ATAATCACATCTCTAGTATCTGTAATTGGCTTTGTTTTGTGCCCATTTCCCTCTAGAATAGCCCCTCGTTTACCTGATTTTGTCGATCCTGGAGGGTGCGCTGAGCGCGGAGACGGTGGTAGGCAAGAGGTACATCAATGGATGCTTGTCCTACCGACGATGATCTGGCAGACGGTTAGTTTTTGCCCTCATGCCTTCTTCTATCTCTCATCTTGCGGCAGAAGCAGCCAAAATCAGAGAAACCGAGCGGCCGCGGCGCAAGAATTCGCCTACCGTTAGACCTATAACCGAGTCGGCCTCGCAGAGAGACACTGGCACTAGGTATTCTATTGCTCAACGGTCCCAGGCTCTTACCCTGCATTCCATCGGTTGGAAAACTGCGCAAATTGCAGCCTATACCAAGATCCCTGAGCGATCTGTCCGAGCGATTGCGGAGAAGGCAAGGAAGAGAGGATTTACGCCGCAAGAGGATCCTCGAGTCCTCGACCATTTCGTTGAGGATGGATATAAACCAGGGCGTCCAAGAGAAGTGTTAGAAGTCAAGGAAGAGGAAGTTCTGAGTTCATTGAGAACAAATAGATCCACAAGAGAGAAATCCGCAGAAGTTCTAGCCTATGAGCATGGTGTTAGCACATCAACAGCCCTTCGCATTCTTCATAAACATGGCCTAAACAGCGTAAAACCAACGACAAAACCAGGCCTTAATCTGGAGCAACGTGCGGCGCGGCTTGCGTTTTGTCTTGCGCATCAAGATTGGACCCTCGAGGATTGGAAGAAGGTAATTTGGAGCGATGAAACGAGCGTTATCCTGGGGCATCGACGAGGTTCTATCCGGGTATGGCGGACACCTGAAGAGCCATTTGAGAAGTCTGTTATCCGTCGTCGCTGGAAAGGTTACTCAGAATTCATGTTTTGGGGTTGTTTTACTTACGACAAGATTGGTCCCTGTCATATCTATCGAGCAGAGACTGCCGCAGAGAAAGAGGCGTCTCAGAAAGAGATTAATGAGTTAAATGAGGCTCTCGAGTCAGAAAAACGTAAGGAGTGGGAATTATCAAATGGCGTAAGACGGCTAGGCCTCAGAAATCTCCCAGGACGCAAGCCAAAATGGCGCTTTACTAAAGAGACAGGTAAACTGGTAAGACGAGGTAAGGGAGGAATTGACTGGTGGCGCTATTACAAGGTCTGAAATCTATCCTCTCAAGATCTCTCTATCTAACAGGAATCAGGAGGTTGTTCTCCCAAAGCTGATTCCATTTGCTCGCGAGTGCGGCCCCGATGCTATCATCCAAGAGGACAATGCCTCACCACATGCCTATCACTTCATCGGACGAACTTACTCTATACAAGGCCTCAACAGGATGCTCTGGCCAGGCAACTCCCCTGATCTCTCTGCTATCGAAAAAGGCTGGCCATGGATGAAAAGAGTTACTACCTTTAAGGGAGCTCCGCGGACAAGAACTGACTTGGAAACCTCATGGATGAGCAAGTGGGGAACAATCCCACAGGACTCAATTCGAGGCTGGATTGAGGGCATCATGGAGAATATCAAAAAGGTCATTGCGTTAGAGGGCGGCAACGAGTACCCTGAGGGCCGCGAGAGCAAGAGATCATATAAAGGGCGCAGGCGCATTGGAGAGCTGTTTAAACACTCCTGGATCCAAGACGATTAGGATAGCGACAGCGAGGACAGCGAGAACAGCGATGACTATGAAGATATAGAGACAGAAGAGGAGGACGAGTTTGATGCGGACACTACCAACTGATTGAACAGCCGACCTTGCTTTCTATGGGAGTGCCATAGTAAAAGAGGCGGAGGGTTTGGACACAAGGACAGGCATGGACAGGTAGAAAAGGCATGGACAGACGGAATGCCTCCCAAATCAATAGGAATGCCTCAAAAATCAACACCATGGATCTCTATACCAACCCAGCCTTGCGCGCAAATAGCAAGGCTGCGGCGGCGGCATGTTGCTGCAACATGATGCCGTTGTGTTCATTCCATATCAACTGCTCACCTAATTTTGGTGAGGAGTCGATGACATCCGAATACCCTTGCAATGCCGAGAAGCTAAATTTTAGCGCGGCAACTACATTTGGTGCACGTCTCCGTACTGCCCCTGTTGAATTATGATGCCTGACCCACCGATTCCACTTATTTTTTCAACCACTCTCGTGTTGTCGAGATGCCGAAACTCAATTTTGGCCGGGTACGGGTCCATGAGTGATGAATTGCAAATGAAGTACATAGCCAGGATCGGCCGAAATCCAGAGAAAGTTACCTTCGTCGCTTGTGGCCCACTGAAGATACTGAGGGTGAGACAGCACCCAACAACAAGTGCCTTCCACTCTGTCAGGATTGACGTCCTTAAATTGTTCGTATGTGCTCGTTCTGAAGGCTTGAATGACACTTCCGAGCTTGATTGCTTTGATAACGTTGTTCTTGTTTCTTTATTTTCTCGTTTGACCTCATGGAGATACTCTTCCATAATATCCGTACAGCATCGCTTATCGAGAGAATCTATAGAGACCAATTTAAAAATTAGTGACAGTCAAAGGAACCTAATATAAAATTGACTAATAATAGGTTCCACTTACCAAGAATTTCCTGAATAGGCTGTTCACGGCTGGTCTGCTCAGGTGATATATAAGCTAGAAGTTCTTTTGCATACGCTGCCGCCGTCAGAGCCGCGTACTTCTGCCATGCATCATTCTTATGAGAATCCGCATAATCACAGATACCTCGGATGGCGATGCAAGGGAAATCATTCATCAGGCCTGCCGCCTCCATTTCCACGCACAGCGCCCCCAGCTCACGACCCATCGTGTCTCTCGCTGCGACATCCTTGACTAACTCATTCCCCGACGCAATCACACCGTACCAAAATACAGGATTCGGATCGTCGCGCGTCGGTCTCTCGATCTTTCCATCTGTGCACGAACGGCATGAGCTGGAAGAGCTTGAGCCACCACACTGAGAGCAATATAAATTGTCATTTTCCCGCCCGGGAAACCTATACCCGTTCTTCACTAAATTAGGATGTTCCGTGACGATGTCCGCCTGTATATCGGGAACCATGCTGTCGTCGAGATCATGTTCCGCCCGCGAGTGGAAAGTGCAGCCAGCAGTATAGTCGGTAGTGATTTCAAAAATCCTTTACGTTCAAATCGCTCCTTTCCCACATTCTCCTTCAAATCGTACTGAACCACTCCTCCGAACGTTCTGTTAGGCTGGCTGATCACCACGTCTCCGAGACGGATGTCCAGACCTTTTGGTAGGTTAGGGATTCTGCCTCCAATCCCCACCATCAGTCCAAACCGCAGTCCGCTGCTCGGGCGCTCTACCCCGCGCTCTGCCACGGCTCCCGCGACGCTCTCCCGTGCTCGGCCGGGCATTCTGGATGCTTGATCACGTGCGCACATTAAAGCGGCCGCGCTCCCTTTCCTGAACTAAAATGGTAATGGACGAAGCACTGTTCGGGGCATATAATATATATATATATATCCAAGAGCTCGAATTTCTCCCAACAATTCCAGACAAAGCCATCCGCTTCTTGACCAACATGTTATGGTGGTGGTTCCACAGTTAAATGGGCGCTTTGGTTCGATGGAGTTTGTTACTAGACTAGACAAATCCACCATACAATCCAAAGAAAAAATGCGTAAGAGCACTTTCGCTTCCCTCACCCGTTAACCGTAACCCAGACGAACCTTTGCCCAAAAAGGCAAGTTCGAATCCTGGTAGGGTGGACAAAAGTTTTTGCCCTTTTTTGGCTTCATTGCGTGGATGGAGTGGTATGGATTTTGAAAGCCACCTGGTTTGTGCGGGAGGTACGGCATTATTAAACCTCAGGTCGAAAGCGGTCGGATATTATATACGATCTCGATTCTCCGTAGGCATATGGCAGGTTGCGTCTTCCTGGTAGATAAACCCCATTTGACGTCGCGAGGCGAGTCGATTCGGAAGCGGAACAGAGAAACTAGATAGATTGGACTGGACGATCTTCGTATGCTGGCTGGAAGATCGTCAGCAGGAACGATGGACGGATATTCCTAAGAACCCCTAGGCTGGTACCATGCAGAGGGCAGAGCCTTTACGACTCCCTCGGGAGTTCGCCTATCCGGTGGTAGCGTCTTTGCATTCGATACTGCAGAAGTCGGGCGGCACTGTAACGAAAACAACCTCTCCCCATCTGGTCGCAGGGATGAGAAACATGAGTGTTTTCCGTTACCATGACTGTGATACAGATCCGCTTCGGCCGTGCAAACGTATTCATCTTTCCAGCAATGTTGAACCGAACAACTTCTGCTCAAATGCGTAGCAAAGACTCATCGTTCCGGTTTTCCTGACTCATCCCCCAGGACAGTGTTGCAGAGTCGCATATCCCGGGGTGCTAAGTCTGTTCTTGTAAGAGTCAAGAGTTGCACGGAGTAGCTGTCGAGGTTTGCCCAGCATTGAATGATAGATCAAGCGCCCAGCCGAAAGTGCGATGGCTTGGCCAAACGGCATACATAGAAGCCTGAATAAGGTCGGACTCGTTCCGCCACTATCACCTGTGAGCTGCGTAGTCAGCAGCTACCGCGGTACCCTGGAGAGTCGTGTAGAGGCCGAACTAATAATCGTCTGCAGGTTCGCCGCCGTGTAAGCTGCAAATCCACACAGTCGACCCATGAGGGTCATGACAGTATTGTGGGTGCGAAGCGCATCGCATCGCCTTCAGACTTTTGGCCCCTCGAATGGATTCTGTGTGCTGCCATCTTCTTTGCGCAGAGTGCTTCACACCCCAGCAGGAGATGTTCTTCTTTGTGCCGGATCTCAGCTCTTCTCCTGTTGTACCTCTGGCAAATCCGCTTCGTCGAAAATCACCCTGATCATGAGACTGCAACTCGGACACACAGCGATATCTTGTCCGTCTCGTAGATCGGTAATGGTGATCTCAAATCGGTCCCCGCACGGACAAGGATAGTGATAGATTTGAAGGTTCGAGTCGTAGGTCATGTCTTCAATCTCAATTTCGTCGTAGATGTCCTGATCTTCGGCTGCTGTCGAGGAGGAAGCAGTCATCTTGAGAGTCGTGGAGGCGGCCGCCGCGGTTATCGTTGTCGATGGCATGGTGAGTCGTGTTATTCGAGGAAGATTCAGAGTAGTGGTGCACAGCCTTTGAAAGTCTCAGGGACGGCAGAACGATGTCCTTTGCAGAATGTCTTGCCAGAGAGTCGATGGGTGACTCGCAAAAAGAAAAAGTTTGGCGAAGCCTCTTGCGGGGTCAAAATATACAAAATGCGGAGAAATCACGTGGGAAGTGTGTAAATTTCTGTGATTACCAAAGCGCCAAGTCTTGTAAAGACAGGGCCTCTGGCAACGGCGGTGGTAATGCCTCTGACGCTAGTACGCAGGTATATAGTCTGACATCTCCCCTCGAGATGTCCTAATCCCACGAGACCCTTACGTTTAATCACATTTCAGCCTCGTAAGTCCAGAAATGATGGCGGGATGGGTTATCATGTCCGCTCACGAAAGCAAAAAACGACGGTATTCCTCCTTCGTTCTTGTTTGCAGACGACCTTCATCTCTCCAGTTGCTCTAGTAGCTAGTATGAAATCTCCCCCATCTGACTGGCACGAGCATTCGAGCATCTCCCTTTGCAGAAACCGATTCAGTGAGCCCCAAGCATCAGCTGGTCCAGCCGGGGAGGGCAAGTGCTTTATGAAAGATGGCTTGTAAAGCCACGTTCGATGATCGATGATAGGCATTGGACAGCCGAGATCGAGGAAGCGTAAAGACTGACTAAGACCACGCGGCTTCACGGCCACAGATCAACTTCCAATCATAGCCTGTCACTGAACTTGCAGTTGGATCCCGAAAATCCGTGTCATAGTCCATACGCAACTGTCGAGCGGCCCATGCCGTACTGGAATCGGCAGCTCCGATCTCAGCGGCCAGCAGACACAAGTTCAAAACGCTAGCTCCCACTGGCCTATATTGGGTTGCACTCAGTGCGAGATCCAACATCTGCAATGCGAAAGTATGCGATTCCTGCAAAATATTGGCATGCTCCTTCGACACAGCAATCCGAAGCTCGTTGATAAGAATGGCAATCGTTAGCCCAATACCGTATGTCCGAATATAGTGGCAATGGATTAGGCCGGACAGTTCGTTTCCCAGACGTCTGCTTAGGCTTGCCGTGCTCGTCATGCCCTCAAAGCGCTTTTGGACGTCAATTAAGGATGGCTCGAGCTCGTCTCGGAGACTTTGCGCTTGGTGTTGTAAGATGGCGAGCTCGAAGTGAGATTGATCAATGCCTTGAAGCAGCTTTTTGGCTCTGCGCATTAGATTGGGCAGCCTAGTCAAGCACTGCACTGCTCGTCCCTCTGCGCTGAGGGTATATACCTTGTTGTCGAACATGTCGATCCATTCTTGATCGGTGAAAGAGATTCGGTCGCTGAACAAAGATTCAAAGAGCTGAGATGCATGTTAGCATCTGATATGTCCTGTCTATTTCTGGACGTCACTCACCACAACGGCTCGAAGTGACTGGAGCAGATTCCTTTCGAACGAGTCGTTGGTCCCCGGTCGACCTCGCAATCTCAAGATCTGCGCCGCACCCTCCGCATGACTGCTACAAGGTCCAGTCGGCGACCAGATGAATTGCTGGGGAGTTGGGTTAGCATAGGGCGACCCGAAATGAAACCCACATGGGTCTTACCTGACAGTTCATGAGGAGCAAGACTGCACCAAGGGTTTCAGGTGCCTTTGCTTTGACAGTGTCACTCAGACAGTTCCGAAGCGCCGCTAACGCCAATCCATACTGCTCCAGGACGTCATGAGCGCCAGCAATTCCGGGGTTCGAGAAGCGTTGAAAGGCAGTTACAAAAGCGCCCGTAGCTGCATCTAGAGCCTCGTTGGTGCCGAGCCGTGCTGGAATGTCGTTGAGATAGTCGCCGTACGTCCAGGCTAGGTTGTACTTGACTCCAACCGAGGGTTTGATCTTCTCTACAAAAGACCTGATAAGCGCGGTGTGATGATTGTCGAAACCTTGGTATATTGTTATTGTGCTCGGAGACAGACCATTGTGAGTGGGCTTCCGGGCTTTGGCTCCTTTGGCGCTTGTAGTCGTTCGTGTGCTAGTGTCGCTCGAAGCAGGGCTGTTGTCGTCACTCATGAATTTGTAACGCTGCTGTCCCTGACCGGTGCAAGCAATGTCCAGGCGCTTGCAGCGAGCACATGGGTGTGTGGAAAGGTCACACTAACACAGCAGGTTAGGCACTAGACATGACACGAAGGTGTCTGGTGGAGGTGGAGGTGGAGGTGGAGGTACCTTTTTCTTTTGCTGGCGACATGCATCGCAGCCACGCCCTGAAGGAACTCCGGGCATCGTGATCCATGTTCATCGTCTCTTCTAGGACTGATGTTGCGCTTTTCCGAGTTATTTAGCCAAAGATCGAGATCGAGTCCAAGCCCGTCGGGAAAGTTAGAATGACGTCTGTGGACGTCGTATTCTAAGGCACGCGTGGCACGCCTAAGGTACCTGAGGCGCCGTGCGCCGTCCTTGGCGAGCTTGGCGGCATCATGCGGGTCAAGTATACCTAGGTAGGTAAGCACCAGGCATAAGTTCCTTTAGCTGGAGGTAGCCTGGAGAACAAAGTTAGTTACATATTTAGTTCAAGAGTTTAGTTCTTTGTTTCACATTCTAGCGGCTAGTAGCGAGAGCATTTTAGTGATATATATAATCGGACGGCTACGGTATTTGCAGCCTGGTCATCCAGCAGTGCTTGTGAAGTAGCCGTCTGGTAATGCTGGTGCGGACAGACTATTAGCGTACATAACACAGAGATTCTTCACCATTATCGATCCGCTTTGTAGATTGAGTTGGTACGCCAGCGGAAAGAGAAGCCCCGAAGCTCCTGGCCCAAAGAGTTCGGAGGGAAGATTTTGCTTGTACTGCATCTGGAGGGTTGACGGCTGAGAGGACCTCGGAGCGTAACGAGCAGGCAGAGAACGAGAGTTGGGTGACCGTAGGATTTGCCGCTCAGTTCCTTTCGTTCGCTTGATCACGTAGATCGCCTACTCAAATACATTCTTCGTGGACCAGGAGATATCACTGAGAGACTCCACAGTAGGCGTTTTGGTCTCAATGATCGTGGTCTCAGGAGCAGCAGCACTCATTGCCGTCCATTCGACATCTAACCGTTGACTGCGCTTGTCAAGCTGAAAATCGATTTTCTCAAAAACCAAGTTGCATGAGACAGTGGTCCACGTGGGCCGCCGTAGAGGAGCCAAGGCGCTCTCTTAGTCGCAGGAATGATGTGTATGGGCGGAAGGTTTCTGTCGACTCCAGCTTGGCGATATTGAACCGGTCAAGGTAGTGGGCATCTCAACGATTGAACGTGCTGAAGGTGACACATTTCGAGGAGCTCATTGGCAAGCGATGGAGGTAGGAGGAGTTTGTGGAGAAGATTGCGGATGAGTATGAGACTGATATGGGAGAGCTATCGGAATGCTTTGAGAGGGTTTGAGAGGATGGAGTTGACATTTACTTGAGGAGAGGGAGCGAGGACCAAACCACGAACTTGGTTGAATGGTGAGTGAGATGGCATGAAGACCCCGCGTGTCAATGGGTCCGACTGGAATGCTAGCGGTCATCCTCGTCTTTATTCCATACCACTACAGCAACGTGTTGTAGATGGGCCAAAATGAATGTCGGCAACGTTCTTCGTGCCAAGGCCAGCTGCCACCCTTCGCGATGACCCTCGACGATTCATGGGTAAGTCCAGAGCGGCGTCGCCCTCGGTCGGAAGCATGGTGAGCCCGGTCCAGATTTCACGACGCTTGACACAGACTACCAGGCTGATGAACTCGGAGCGCTGCATACGACCGGATACGGTTAGCGTTCAGGCACCCAGCTGTTGCAGAGCCTCGTCAAGATCTTCCATAGGATATCTGCCTATCCCTCAGCTAGTCTCCTTCTTTCGACATTTCGTACTCTCAGACAGGGCTCCGGCATTAGGAATCCATCATGTTTGGCTGTATCGGGATGAAGAGCAAGGCGCAGCAGCGTCAGGCACTACGAGCCATGCACGAGGAGGATCAGCATCGCGCAACATCACATCCACTTAGTCCTTGCTACTCACGATTAAGGCCATCTTCAAGCTAGGCATGCGGCATATGCATATATAGAGGTCAGGACGATACCTGAGATGCGACAGTGACGTTGACACAATATTTTCCTGCGTGCGATAAGTTACCAGCGACCCTGTTATCCTCCCCAAGATGAGCCGTCTCGTATCTCGACTGGTTAGCAGCCTCTCAGATGAGCCAAAGTCGAGCAACACACATCAAACCATCACCCTTCGCCCGTCACCGAAAGACAAAAACTTGACCCTCATACACTTGGCCGGCCACCCACTTGATGCTCCTCCTCTTTATACCGTCATCGCTGCAAGCGATAACGTCTCCGTGTATCGTGGCAACCTGGCTCCCGTCAACCTAATTGGGACCGCTGACTCGTCTTCCATCACATTGCACGGCCAGCAGGTAAAAGTGAGATCGAGTCAAATATCTGGCAATCTAAGCCTGGAATGGCCAACCGCAGGAACTCTGAAGTGGAAACCAGACATGTTGACAGGCAGTTCTCTAGATCTGTCAGACAACTTCGGGCGGAATCTAGCAAAGTTCAAGTCGACCAGCATGCTCAAGCCGAGTGAGAAGGTGATTGAGATTCTAGTCCCGTGTGACGAAGTTTTCACGGCGTTGGTGGTTCTATCGGGCTTGGCCGCAAAGGCGGCTACGAGGAAGAACATGGAAGCTGCCTCGGAGATTGTGCAGGCGTTAGCAGGCACCTAGAAAATACAGAAGCAAAAGAAGATGACCATCTGGGACAGGAGAAAATTGTACGCCGTGTGACCTCGAAAATACCTGCCTCGCTGTCATCGCAGCGACTTTCAGAACCCACCAAATGCGGAGACCGCCATATGAGCAGGCTCGATATCCGGCAAGATTAGCCCAGGCAAAACAGCGGGAGGGAACTCGAAACAAAGAGAATAAGGAGCCGGAAAGAATGGCCTGAACTGCTTTTGCTTCCATGCAAAGTGACCGCCAACATTCAATTTTTGGTATCATTGGATCATTAGAGGTGTCGCGGGAATTGCGAAGTGGAATAGAGTTCTTCTCCACTGGCACAAATCCCAGTTGCATACGCTCGATATCGTTCCGGCCATGGCCACAAGCGCCTTCGTGATTCTTGCCGATGATTCCCATGCTTCCTGCATATCATAACCGCCCATTGACACCCAAGCCAATGCGTCAGCGGTGTGATATCTATCGATATCTCCAGAGCGACAAGGTGTTGTGTCTCTTCCATGTCTTTCTTCTTCCAGCGGTGGTCTTGGTGAATCCATGACCCTTGCCCAAGCCACGGGACTTCTTGCCAGTTGCGGTAAGGCCGCGAGATTCGCGGTGCTAAACACAAACGGTCAGCCTCGCCATTTTCTCCTCCTTCTGAGTGCTCGATTCTTACCTTGTGAACTGGGTTGACGATCCAGTTGATGCGGGCATCTCTGCGGATAGCCTTGTGTTGAGGGTCAACAAGGATGACTTCGTAGTACTTGTAGGTCGAGTCCTGGTTGATCCAGTAGGAGTTGAGGACCCGAAGGTTGGCGCAACGACGACCGACACGCTCTTCAGCGGTGGACTTGAGGGATCGCTGGTACTTGAGTTGGTTCACACCCTGGTTGGTGGGTTTGCCTGAGATTTCACGGTCAATTCAATGACACCAATATTTGACCAATGTGCTCACCATAAGTAGCACCCTTTGGCACAGGTCGCTTGCGACCTCCACGTCGGACACGGACACGGTAGATCACGTAGCCCTGCTTGGCCTTGTAACCCAAACGACGGGCCTTGTCTGGTCGGGAAGGTCGAGATGCGCGGTGGATGACATTCAATTGTCGGAGCTATATTGATGCACTCTCAGCAAAGTTCAACGAGTGTATAGCAAGACACAAAACCATTGTGCCACAGAACAGAGAAGTAGAAGGTATTGTGTTTTCCTCCATCCTTTTCTGTTCTTTTAGGGGAAGCTCACCTCCCAGCAGCGGACTCGGAGAAGGAATCGAAGGACATCGGATTGCTTCTTCTTGTGAAGTTCTTCGACGTACTTGAGTGCACCCATCTGTATGAAATAGTCAGCATGGCCATTGCGATGACATGACACCTTGCTGAAAGACGCACCTTGACTGTTGTACCTTGCGAAGAACTGGTGTTGGCGGGTTAGAGAAGTGGTGCGACTGAGCGTGAATTGAAGCCATCGCCTGCAAAATCGAAATTCATAGTGCGCAGGCTTGGCACAAAACTTGGCGCGGCCTTGCCGATCGTATATCAGCCAATCAGAACTGGATGCAACAGAGCTTCACCCTGACACTTCAGTTGACGTTGTCACGTACCTTAGGCGGTAGTAATCTACCTCGTACTCACGTCTACTTCATGTACAGGTATGGCGGTCCTTGACACGGAGGATGCTGTGACCGACGTCCCTGCACCAAGTCCTCATTGCTCCTTCGCGTGCATGTTGCCTGCGAAGCATAACTTCTCCAGCGCCCTCTCTGTATTCCGAGCAATATTCCCCCATCCTAGAGGCTCCTTGGTTGATGAGTCGCCGTTGACGCCTCTCGACAACAACATCCTGCCCCTCTGCTTCTCTTCTGCACTGATGCCGACAGGACTTCTGACTTCTTGGAACCTGTCAGCCAGAAGATTCTCGACATCTGCTTCTGCAACTCGTTTTCCTGCCTCAACTGTGGCGACTGCAACTTCTCTGTCCTTCTTTAATGATGCATTGATTTCCGGAAGGCGTGATGGCTCGGGCGTGCGAGCCGAGAGCTGATCGAAGGCAAAAATGATGGCGTCGGAGTGTTTCATGAGGTTGACCAGAGCCTCGCAATATGGTTGTCCTTCAGCGCCGAGATGCTGGACGTGAACGGGTCGAGTTGAATGGCTGGCTGCGGTATGGTCTCCAATGTATCCAAGAGCTTCCTGTATGAGTGGCAAGAATCCTCCTTCGAAGTCCCTTTTGCTCGCGAGGCTGGCCTTTGTCAGCATGTGTGACCTCTGGGTAAGGCTGAACCATACTTCTGCTCCTTGATATCCTTCAATTTCTTCCTGACGCCATCGTGTCGTTCTCTGATATTCCTTGAAAACCCTTCTGGCCATGGATCCGGCTCTTTGAGCTTCTCGCATATCTTTCCCATTCGTTCGGCATCGATACTGATCATGATGAGTGACAGGACGAGGTTACTGAAGGTGGTTCGTACGCAAGATCCCCAGCATCGCCGTCAGCAATCCTACTGCCTTCAGGCTGAGGTGAGTCGTCAGATGACAAGATTGGCAGACCAACAAATTCCACCTTTTTGCCATTGGAGCTCGATCGTCTCTTGCGCGCGTGTGGCATTGTAGTCTGCTCTGCATCTGTAAGCCAGGTGTAGCAGCAAAAGTCTGGCGTACTCACTTCTCTCAGTTTGGCCTGGACTTGCGACCCCTGGGAACTAACATGAACCGAAAGCCAAACCGAGCTCATCAAAAAATACCAGGGTGAAGTCAAGGTGTGTTGGAGTCTCGGAGTGTTCCCGTGAAAGGCGGGCTGTAACAGACGTTGGTGAAGGCAACCACGAGGGAAAAAATCTTGCAGTAAGCCGGCACGCATCCAAACCTCAAGAAAAGATTCTTTTGATGAAATCGTATGATAAACTGCATGCCTACCTAGGTAGGTACCTCTGTACTAGTAAACGCCTCCGTGCCATTACATTACAGACGAGAATCTGATCATTCGGAGTCCCGATCTCTCTCCCTCTTGATGTCCTTTTGTCTCGCATCAGAGCTTTTCAGTCATGTGTCACGAACAGCCATTCTTCGTTTCATTAGCACTCTTTGAATTTCACCAGCATAACCATCCTGGAGACGGTGTGATGGACTTTTCTTTCCAAGGCTCCTTAACACCTGCAGCTTCAAGACTTCTTAGATCATCCCAGCGCGAAAATGTACTCCGGCAAGTAAATCAATCCATCGTTGGCCAAGTCTGCTTCGAATGTAAATCTTGTCGTCTTCCCTCACCAAATGCACGAGTCTATTCCACATCATCATGTCAATGTCTTCATGATCAGAATTCTACATGTGTTAGCCCGCCCGCCAATATGCACCATTTGTTGAACTAAAGGAGTCTTTCCAGTGTGGTCGATCGTACTTTTTTGTGAATGTTTCGCTCTTGGGCCTCTCTAAGAGCCAAGTGACAGGCCTTGGAACCTTCCTGTCCAGTCTGGATGGCCCGGCCCTCTGGCTCTGAAATCGTTTCGACCGCTGGCGAAACTAGCTGCATTTGGATTGAGACCAGGATAAGCTGGACCGTAGAAAGACAAGAAAGGATCCATCTGACCGCCTATGTTTGGTGGATAAGATCCCACTGCAGGTGGCATTTGTTGAGGACCGGCCCCAACATCTTGAAATCCGGCAAAATAGGCATTGCGCATTCCTTGATTTTGGTTGTTGAAATTGCGGTCGGCGTCAAAGGTGTCTCCAAATGGGGTCGTTACCGGTTGAGGACCAAGATCATGCGTTGGCGGCGGTTGCTGTCGCCTACGGTGGCGCTCATCACCGGGTGCAGCATTATAAGCAGGCGTGAGACCGAGGGAAGCAGTTGGTGTCTGGAACGAGGCAGGGTTGATGGCAGACATCCAAATTCTGGTTTTATAAACCTTGAAGAGGTCCGTGACAAGGTTGTTGAAGTTGATGTAGCTGTCGGCAAAGTAGTAGAAGGTGAGCTTCTTGCTATCCCTAGAGAAAGAGTCAATAGTTTGTTTGGTGGAAGATGTCGCGGTACCCACATTTGGAATTCAGCGTCCAAGATCTCCATATTCAACCTATGCTCGATGACCTTCTGTTGACAGACACGTTTCGCTTTAGCTTCGTTACCCTCCTTATCTTTCAAGGCCTGGATTTCGTGGTTTTGAGCCAGGCGCCTGATCAATTTGGGCTTGAGTTCTTGGTGCGAACCATCATGGCCGTGATGACCCTGAGGCCCCATTCCACCAACTGCGCTTCCTGGGCGGCCTGCAATGCCATTGGGATTGACGACATTGGGACCTCCATTCCGACTTTGCAAAGAGAACATCATCAACCACTTGTAGTGTTCTTCAGCATAGTATTCCTTGTAACGGCGTGCATCTTCCCACGAGACTTTGGTGTGCTGTACAGTGCCTAGATCAGTGCCGCGGTCGGCCTCGACGATGACCAGGTCGCCGACATTGACATGCAGACCTGTCCCTTCTTGTATGTAGAAGACATCTGAGCGACAACATTTGAAGTTGACGATATAAAGAGGTTGCATAGCGGGTTCGAGATACTGTCCCATGCTAAGGTGTTGAACGTAGTTCTGATGGGATTGGAGGACTCGGGCATCGGCGGCGCGGCGGGTCGCTTCGTCGGTATTGAAATAGGCAGCTGCAAAGAGCGGGTTGTGTAAGTACAGAGCCTGCTTCTCGTTCTCGCTACAATGTATGATGGGCAGGAGAACAAATATTGGTAGACTCACGATCTTCTCCTTGAGACAAAGTCTGTGTTCCAGACTCGAACGCATTCAGTTCGTTACCGCGTTCTGTAGAGACGTTAATACCTGAGCCAAGTAAGGCGACTCTCCCACTAGACATTTGCTTACCACTCGAGCTGAATGAGCCATGCCGGGTTGGCACATCAGCAAATGAATGTCGACGGCTCTGGGGTGCTTCAGGGATGGACCCAAATCCCAGTGAGGTCTGCCAATGAGCTTTCTTCAAACCATCTATATTGCGATTCTCGGTGGGAGACGCGACTTGTCGATCTGAGTACCCGATGGCCTGCTCGCTCATGCGACGAGCAGCATTTTGGCGGCCCAAGTATGTGAGCTCTTCTCGATCGTCAATGGCATTTTCTTCCTCTTCAGGCACCGCGCCTCTCAGGCGCGTGTTCCTGAATCCAGGAGGGGGCTGTGTCGCGGAAGATGCTGCAGAAAAGGTTCTGTCTCGAGTCTGAGCCGCCTGTCGCAGTTTGGCGTTCTCTTTTTCGAGTCTCTCAATGACCCGCGCCTGCTCAGTGGCGATGATATCCGTCACGTTATCATTAGGATCTTCCTCTTCATCGTCGTCAACCTCTCGCAGACGACCGAGGCCACCAGAGTCATGTCCAACAAGTCCGCTTGTCCTGGAAGTCCGTCTTTGGAGAGGCGGGTAGTTGTTTCCCAGCCTGTTGCGGGTGGCTTCGACAGAGGTCGAGACAGGCGCTGTGTTCGATGCTGTGGAAGTGGTGTCTAGCTGGCCGACAGAATATGACTGTGAGCGATAAGTCTTGGGAGTGGGTTGGAGCGGGATCGAGAAAGGAATGCCGTCGCCGTTCGCAGTGGGAATGACTTCCTGAAGTCTGGCAGGTGGATCTTTGCGAGCATCTTGACCCCAAATATTCCACCCATATGGATTAGTGCCTGGGTTGTGCCACGCAGTAGCAGGGGGATTCATATTCGAATTTGACCAGGGGGATTGTTCAGAACCTGGTGTACCAGGGTGTGACGTCGAGGGACTGTAAAGAGCAGTCATGGAAGGTTTCCTATTAGTGTTTGAGACGGTCACGTCGTTGAGCCAGGAGGTTCGTCGTCCGTTTCGATTCCCTTTCATATTGCCCGCTGCGGAGGCCTTTGCGTGGTCGACCTCGTCGTCGGACGAAGCTAGAGCCTCTGAATCTGGTGTTGATCTTCGCAGACCAGGATTTGACTTTTCGAGGAGAATAGATGCAGATGCTTGATGAGGATTAAAGGTACCAAACGCTGGCATGGGGCCCCTCGCTGACAGACCCGGCTTGATGGGTGTATTACTCATGATGATGGATTTGAGTCGACCTCGATGTGAAAGATGTGATCGACGCTGCGGCAAAAGAGAGTCAGCGCAGGTCTCACAGGATCATAGAGACAAAACCAATAAAGGGGAGTCTTAAGAGGTTGATGGACGATTGATGTAGAGGCAGAGAGTACGACAAATGCGTAGATTGGATGCCAAATTCTGTACCACAAGGTGTGCTAGTCATAACCAACGACATCGACATCGTGGTCGACAGTGAAAAGCTAGAGACCCAATGCAGGAGTGGAATGGAGAATTATCACTTGCCGTAGTATCACAGTCTTGACATGAAGAGTCTAGCAAGCTGTTGCAACATAGCTAGCAGTGGGCCACGTCGTGAAGGGCGCGTCCACGCCTCTTCAATTCTAGAGTCTCCGAGACAAATACTGGAGTGGAATCGATATGATGATGGCTTCTGATGAATGATTTGAAAGAAATACTGACCTCCGGCCAGACTGATGAGCGATGCGTGGGAGGTTGAATGAAGGATTGGCCAGGGCGCGCCCAGGCAACCAATGAAGAACTCGGACCAACAAAAGCTGCGTTGTCAGATCTGGAGAGAGAGAGCCCCTCACTACACAAATCCAGAGATTTTTGGCTGGCGGCAACGGTGGAACAAGTCAACAGGTTGTATACCTTGTGGACTGAATTGAGGTTGAATGTGAGCGTGGAGGGCGGGCTGAAGATGGTGCGGCGGAGGTATCCGAGGATGGGCCTGGCAGCACTCAGGCAGATTGTGTAAGAGTGCCGGTTTCCCCGGATTTATTCGCGACAAGGCGTTCGGTTTGTCAGGTTCTCACGCGACCGCCCAAAAGCGCCGGCTGGCTCTGGAAAGGCCCAAAGTCAAGGACTATGATGGTCCGGGCGGACACGGGTCGTCTTCGATTGTCGTGATTGTCGTAGTGAAGCCGAGGTTTATTGGAGCAATTTACACAATAAAAAATGGATGACTTGCTTCGCAATGGCCAAATGCGAGGACGGTGGTGGCGCTGAACGTAGAGCATGCAGATCGGAAATCTGCGACTCGAGGAAAAGAAGAACAAAGTAGTCAAGCAAAGAGGCCAGGTCGAGACAGAGCACCGAAAGACAACTGTGTCCGTGCTCGGGTGATCCTGTAGGTCACGGCATGGAGGGTCAGTAGACAGGCAGAAAATGGCAAGAAACCCAATTATTGGCGCTGGTGGACCAGGGAGCAAAGAGGCAAAAAACCAGCAAACCAGCAGAACGAGGATCGGGCGGAGATGGTTAACAGGCTCACAGGCAGGGCGGTTTACCTTGGAAACTGCTGACCCCTCTCTCAGGTCACGCCAGGTCATGAAGACTTGGACGAGTATGGATTGGCGCTGAAAAGACAGAGTTTTAAAGGAGGGGAGGGGCTGGAGTTGACGAGATTGATTGGGTCCCGGCTCCCATACCACAATGGACAGATTTTCTGGGGAAAGGCCCTGCTATTAGCTGAGCGGCTCGTAAACACGGAACTAGGTTCATGGCAGGTAAGCTCCCTCAATAACAGCAATTCCCCCCCCAGAACCGGAATCACCCTAAACCAGCCCTGGCAGGAGAGTATGGGACGAAGGCGATCAATAATTGTAAACCATATCGGTATTCGTGGTATTGATTGATCGACCGATGATTGACTGACTGGATTGATCGATGATCGAGGAAGATGGCATGACCTGCAGTGACAGGGGCATCGAAGTGCATCGTACGAACTACTGCAGGCAGCAAAAATGCGGGGAAATTGCACAAGACTGAGGCGGATGGCAGGACTCAAGAACGAGGGCACAAAGAGCAAGGTGGGCAGGGCACGAAGATCGCCATCAAACAGTCAGCAACAGGATGGGAGTGTTGCACGACTACATACAAACCATTCACTCACGGCTCCTTTATGAATGACGTAGAACAGTGTCCCAAATGCCTTGAAGCAGCCATCCAATATTGAACAATGAACCACACTGTACCGAGTTGGGCTGGTATATTGGATTTCCCGGGGACTAAGGAATCCGAGTTCACCTGCCAGTATTCCGTATCGTGATGCATCTAGGTCCTGGCAGGCGACTATGAGTCGTCGACCAACATCCAAAATGGTCCCTCGCCACCATGATCAACGCCTGCTTAACGCCCAGCATGCGCGCTGCGGCTTCTGTGCTTCGTAATATCCACAGTCACACTCCGGGTTCGATGATACTTCGTAGCTTTCATGAGCATTGCCACACGCTCCAAACTTCTTATCCTTTCCCGACGGGCTATCCCGGTCGTCTGAGGGAGGAGATCCTTTGTCTTCCTAGCAGCTTCTAAGACTATTGGCTTGCCATTTCCGAGGGTCCGTAACCACATGACTCGGTGCTCGCCATTGTCCGGTTGAGCCCAAGTTCGTAATATGGTATCCCATGGAGATCCCATATTTGCGGTCAAAGGCGGCACCGGCCTAGCCCCGGTCCTGCCAAACACCATTTGGTAATGAATAGTCCTAGAAAGCGTGCAGAATGTACCTCACGAGGTCGTATAATAATGTTGACCGTTCCGACATGCGGTCCTTCAGATGTTTGATTCGCGAAACTGCGAGCGTGCATGCCAATTGCAGAGCGAACCTCCACTTCATGGACCATGGGCCGACTGCTCTGCCGCCGAATCATGATAATCGTCTCCAGAAGCCGAGGAGTCGTGCATGGTGACCGGCCTTAGCACAAAATCAACAAAATCTTCGCCACAGGTCCTTGAACCGGTTGAGTCTCCATGGCGGCGGGTTTTACTCAACGAAATCTAGGCTGCCCTTGCCCACGGTCGATGGTGCTGCGTCTGGACCTTTCTGCTGCCGGAGCTTCTCTTCGAATTTGGCAAACTCCTTCATTGCGATTTCTTCCTCTTCGTCCAAAACTTGGTTGACGCCTTTGACTTCTTCGATATAATGCATCAGCATTGACTCAATCCCATTTTTGAGCGTCACTGTGCTGGAATCGCAGGTCCGACAAGCTCCACGAAGTTTTAACAGCACCATGCCGTCTTCAAATCCTCGAAATTCGATGTCTCCGCCGTCTTCCTGAATGGCCGGTCTGATTCGTGTCTCCAGCAGCTCTTTGATCATGGCCACAACCTCGTCATCGTCGTCGTTGGCTGCTAGGGAATCTTCACCCACGCCCTCCTGACCTTCTGTGGAAGTACCTTTGTCGACAGTGTTGACAAGAGGCTCTCCTGAAGTAATTGCCTCGGTAATGAGACTGAAGACTTCAGGTTTTATATGCGCCCAATTGACATCTTCTGCCTTAGTAATAGTAATGAAATCAGGGCCGTAAAACACCGAGGAGACACCATCAACATCGAGTAACTTCGCAGCAAGTGGAGACGGATGCGGAGCAGCTAAGGTCGAACGAGGAGAGGTGTACTCGAGAAACGTAGAGGGGAAACTTTCTGGTAGAACAGGATGGTTTGGAAGGAATTTGAGGGCCGACGGGTTGGGCGTCGACTGTGTTTGAATGTATATCGTCCGATTTCGTAGAGAGAAGGAAGGGCCTTTCTGATAACCAGGCTCCAATGTTGGTCGGTGGCGGGCCTGCGATGTAGTGATGGCCGGTATTCGGACTGATTGATGGAGATTGCGGCTAGAAGCAGGCCTACAGAAGCTGCTGAGGTACGTTGCTCGATTCGAACTACGTAGAGCTCGTAGAGATGAGGCTGGTAGTGCGGCGCGCATGGTTTTAGGTATCAACGATTCCAGACTTCAGAGGGTCTAGGTAGATGTGACTCAAGAATATCATAACATCAAATGGTGGAATCGAAAGCGCAGACGAATCTTTGTTAACGCGCAGGAGAAATGACGCAAGGACAGTCACGTGCGTGGCAGGAATCGCCCTCCATTTGTCAGCGCCTTTTCGGGGTAGCGATTTTGGACGACGCCATCAACATCAATCACTTCTTTGCATATATAAATCCCCCAAGTACAGTATCAAACAACGACAATAGCGGAGCTTGAGGCTTGAGTACTGTACTGTCGCACCATAATGTCGTCCGAACGTTGCAGCGTTTGTGCAACTACGGACTTCAAGTATCGCTGTCCCTCATGCAGGGCCACAAGGTTTGATATTTCGTTTCTCGTTACGTTCCTTGCATTAATCGTTGTGTGACAGCTGCTCTCTGACATGCTTCAAGGAGCATAGAAGCCAATGCGTCCAGGTGCATCAAGAAGTCGATCACCCACCCAGGGCAGGCACTGCCACAACTGCCGCAACACTGGCGACCCCAGACCTCTCAGCTGCAGATAGGCTCCTTCAAGACCCAAGGTTACCAAAGCTCTTCGAAAGATATCCACTTCTGCGCCCAAAGCTCAAATCCATCTTCGAAGTTGCAGTGGATGAAAGCAACGATATTGCTCCTGCAGAGCGCAACTCCAGGGCATCCAAACCAGCAAGGTCCGCCCAGCAGCGTATTGCTCGTTCTTTACGTCGCCTTGAACACGAAGTGGGCTCAGAACATGCCGAGCGTATTGGACTGAAAGCGTTCGCTGATCTGGTGGCCGAGCTGAGCTCAAAAAGATCAAACCAGAGGTGATCAAACGCGGCTACTTATTCTAGAGATGCACATCGTGCCACAGGGCTGATTTGAGGCAATGGAGGAATCGGCGGATCTTCCACCGTGCTTGACTGGACGGGCGAGACTCTCTTTGATTTGATCGACCACGTCCTTCTCGGAGTCGGCTTCCGTTCTGGGTCCTCGTCCAAGTACATGTCGATGAGCTTCTCTACAGGCGATCTCCTCTGGAATATGCTGAGAATGCTCCGCTGTCTACGCAATTGAGGTCTGCTGGTGCTCTTCGGCTCGGCTGCCCCTGCCGCCTTTGCCAGGGTATAGTCTAGGTTAGTGTATTGCCAGGGATGCTCGTCATCATTATCATCACCCTCATCGGAGTCAGCAAAGCTCAATATGGGTGGCTTTCGCTTCTTGTATCTCAGTACAAGAGTCTCGGCTCCTTCTTGAAGAGCAAAGCTCTCCAGCTCTCGACGGAGTTGATCTTCATGAGGGGAGCAGATCGACATGGGCGTTTGCGGAGGACTCAGAGTTGCAGCGGACCCAGCATGTGAGAGGGTTGGCACAGGCGACAGTCCGCCTTGAAATCTGGAAGATGAGGCCGTCTGATCCGACCCAGACCTCCCAGCCCTCTCACTCGAGATTTCTGCTGTAGCTGATGTTCGCCTTCTGGTCGTCTTCGATGGGACGCCTTCGCGACTGATGCGTACCTGTCCTGCTGAAGAGCTCTTACTGGAAGTTCTGGGCGGCAAAGTCGAGGTCATCATCCCTGCTGGATTTGACATATCATGGCCCGAAAGGAACGCCTGGTCGGGATCACTGTTGCTCGACTCCTTGTCTGTGGCAGATGTTCGTACTGTATGGTCGGTATGTTGTGCCAGATGATCAGAGCTTGATCTTGGTGGACTCCCATTTCTGGGCGGAGTTGGCAATCGTCGTCTCGGGAGGAAATGGTGAAGTATGGATGATCTCTGCGATGCAGGCTGTTCTGAGTGATTGCTGCTGCTTGCTGAATCCCGCTCGAGAAGCGTGTCGCTTGACCCGGTCAGCCCTCCCTCGACGAGGCTCGTCCTATGTTCAAGCTGCCCATAGATTACTCCCTGATTCTGCGAACGCCTGTGTCCACCGAGACCACCGTCGACCCTGGACAGTGGCTGAACTAAAACAGGAAGCCCGGCGAAAGTTGCATTCTGCTGGGCTACCAGGCTTCTCCTGACCAAGGAGGATACTCTGCGGGAACCCGAGCCTGGCGGGATCAGGGGCATATTGTCAAACCAGGAGTCCACTTCGATATACGAACGTTGTGAATCGTGGCCACTAGACCTTATTGACGCGCTTCGGGCTCGTCTCAAGCGAGCTTCGACTTCTTCCATTTCGGCCGTGTACTTGTCCAGTCGCTTGAATAACGAGTCGAGGTCCAAGTCGACGTTTGGATGGTAGGACGAGATCGACGACCGATTTGAGACGCTACTATCTTCCGCCATCATGTTAGTGGTCCCCTTTCCCGGTTGGCTTTCGAGATCGATCTTGTCTCTCGGTCTGTCAGGGCTCGAGTATGTCGAAGTCATAACGGCTAAATCCCGAGTAAACACAATTTCAATGACGATGCTTGGGCGAGCTGAGCAGATCACGGCTCGCCGAATGACAGCTTGAGTGACAGCGGAAAGGACGCTTTCAGCATATTTAAACGTGGTTGACGCGTGACGAGAAGCTCGGACGTCATATTGCTAACGCGGTCTACAGACTCAAGAGTATGTAAGGTAGAAAGAATTGTATTCTCATCCTGCGATGGGCGTTGTCACGCATCCGGCCACACAAGTTTTCAGGAGACAACCGTAAGTAGCAAGACCCTGAAATGGCGCGTGCGGCATGGACACGCGAGGAAGCTGAAGATACTCGTACCTATGCAGAGGCAAGCCGGGTGGCTTGAGACTTTCGTGATTGAGTTTTTGATCTTGCGGGCCAGGAGAGAGACGATGGTTCAGCTGTTGCCGCAGCCTCAGGTGTTGCGGACCTGTCTTAGCCTTCCGATAGAGGCGGAAGAGTGGCTCATAGAAGGATTATTTATGGACAGGCAGGAGAGCTCTGGTGCACCATAGTACAGTACAAGCTGGCTTTCCTTGAGAATCTTGGTCCTTTATCAGGTCGGATCATCCTCGTCGCTTGTTCTGCTTGGAGCTCAAAAGTGATCCGGACCAGGGATGTGGTAGCGACGGCCGGAGTCTCGGGAGATACTGGACCACGAACATGTCAACACGCGAATGAAGCATTGAAGATTGGGACTTTTCGCTTCTAAAGGCCTGAGCCGGCGCCAAAGAAATTGCAAAACAAGCGGGTGTTAGATTTTGGGTTGGTGGATTTGGCCCCTGACTCGGATAGATTGAAGGCCCAGGATGGGAAGATGGAGGGCTTGCGATCTCAACAGGGGCACTTTATCAATTCTAGTCATCTAGGATGGAGATTATGAGATTATGAGAGTATGAGAGCAGAACAGAAATCAAAAACTTGTATTCGCATTATCAGCCGTCAGCAAAGAGAACGCACGAGGACACTTTTTGAAGGAAAGAAAAAATCAGCAAATTGGAAGACCAGGTTGTGTGTGGTTGAGAGCAGTGAGGCTACTTAGACGGCGCCAGGCTCGAAGAATGGCAAGTTTGGCCCGAAAACGAGGCAGAACCCGCTGATGCCGCCTGAATAAGTGAGCCACCGCCTACTAACTTAGCCTTAACTGCTGGCTCGGCCCAGGCATGAGGATATGGTCTGAGATGGTCCTTAAACTACCTTACCTTAGCTATGCACCTAGGATTAGGCACACTAGGCCGGCTGGAGGAGCCTAGTAAGCCCTGATTTGCCCACCAAGCAACGGTCCTCGCCTGCGCAAAATGGGACGACATATCCTGCTTTGAGAGCTCTCTCGTTCCGGTGCCATGCAGCAGGTCGTTTTCTCCAGCAAGATGCAAGGAGCAAGGTGTTTGCATGTGTAATTGTGCAGGATGTAGCTGCAGGTGCAGAGAAATGCCAACCATCGTCAAGACTTGATCGTGCAGACTCGCCCACTTGGCGGCGGCGGGCGGGAGCAGGATCGCTAACAAGGCGACGTGGTAGCCACCAATGGCGGCAACGTGCTGAGAGATTGGCGCATTTTGTCCCCGGTTGGTGTCGCTGCGGAATCCAGCAGCCTGCGTCTTCTTCACCTGGCCATCCAACCACCACCAACATGGTACCTGACACACTGGCATCAGACGTGCAGTAGCCCTTTCACATGGCCCTCGACCTTGATCCTAGACCAGACAGAGTCCGAGCAGACTACGCACAAACCCACCGTCACATCCAAACTTGACGAACCCCAGAAATCCATGTCCAACCTCAAACTCCGAACCCACCCAATCCAAACCTCCTCCGACCTCGACGTCGTTCATCACTGCTCTCTTCAGACCTCACATCCTTTCCTAACCTCGCCGCTCCCCAGAGAGCATCATCTTTCTCGAATTCAGATGGGATTCTTGATACCGCCCTCTACACCAGGCTCCTCCTGATTGTCCAGCTAACGTCCGGAACGACCCTTCTTCTCTCGCTATCCAGCCCCTCCACTCAGGCCTCCACCAATCCTGACTGTTTTGAGATTTTTCTCCTCCCCGACTTGATTGACTACTGGACTTCCGGTTTCATACCCGTCCACTCCTTCTCGCTTGGCCGACTTCTGGAGTGAGCAATTGCGTCGCTCTCACTACCGCTGCTGAAAGCATCCATACCTGGTCTTCTCAGCAAGCACGGGAGCTGCCAACACCTGGTCCTCCCACGTCAATCTTGTCCGAAAACAGTCCACCAGCCAGAGACCCATTAGCTTGGCGTCTTTATGTCCCAGATACCCATGATCGACCTCCACCTTCCTCTCCTGACTGTTCGGTTGTCGAACATTTGCGACGGGCCTCGCCCTGAAGGGATCCAGCCAGCCTTTGTCATTCATACGCCATGAGTGATGCCTTTTTAGCTTGACCCCGAGAAGGCCTGCTCAGACCATGGATACCAGATCCACCAGGTATCGCTCCCTCGAGCCGAAGGCGGCTGTGCCATCCCCCAGGAACCGCGAACGTCACAATTCCACTCCTACTACTGATCGACGAAAGAATCAACAGTCTAGACATGCACCTTCATCCAAATCCGGTTTCAACGAGGACTCTGTGACCTCGCCCGACAACAGGACGACCACGCGATACTCGGACCGGCGGCCTGCTAGTGGCCATTCCTCACAACCCAAGCTCACTTCCAAGGTGTGTAGGCCATATACGCCCTGATCTTATTCTATTTCGTCTATCTAGCCTTGCTCTTTGTTTGCGCCTTCATATTGACCCTTCACGCTTCTAGACAAGCCATTCCAGCCTCACACCATCCTTCAAATTCTTGGCTATAGGGTCTCGAAATTGCGGCAAGAGTACATTCATCAAAACAGCCATTGATCAAGAAGGGCCGCGAACTTCCACTCAAGTGACTGTCAAAGATCAATCTTACAACGTCCAATTTATCGAGTTGTTGCTTGACGATGTCGACTTCAGTAGCGAACGAAGGATCGAGTGGCCATCTTCCGTGAACGGTGCACCCTTCCCAGACATCGACGGCGTCTTTTGTCTCTACAGTGTCTCCGATAAGGAGAGCGTCGCCGATGTACCTCCGGCTTTGAGTAGGTGCTACTATATTTTCGACGCAAGGCTTATTTTGGCTGACGTGTCCACAGCTTCTATGACAAACACGGGGTTGCCATGTATGCTTGTGGCCTCCAAAAGCGATACAAAGCAAGAGTCTCGTCAGATCAATCCTCTTTTCCTTGAACAAGTAAAGCGCAATCTTGCCAGCGTAGCTATTGCTGAGGTGTCTTTGAAGACACCTCAGAGTATCAAACTCTGTTTCTTGAATATGTTGAATCGAGTAATCGCCTCTCCTCGTGGTAAGTCCACCTCTTTCACCATTTTCATGTCGCACTTGCCCTGCCTACATTTTATTTCCTGAGCGCTCTTTCCTTACCTTTGGCTTGGTTGTCCTTGAGCGGAGCCGTCTCAGCGTTCGATGTCTCCTTCACTCCATCTCTCCTGCACTATATGTGCACGTCAATCGGTTAACATATTTCCTCAGCTTCCGCACGATCTGGCAAAACCTCACATGCTTCCTCCCAGCCCTTAGTCGATCAGCGGAGGACTTCCAGAGATTCTTCGCCAAAGAAAACTCGGAGTCGAAGTCGCTCAAAAACTCGATTACAGACCTCCAAATCCAAGGAATTGCTTCTTAATTTGTCTATGCGGCCAGCTGTGATTGAATCAGCCGATGAAGATAGTGAGTCGTCTTCTTCGGAAGGTGTGATACCTCGCAGGCGAAAGACTCAACTCCGACTTGACACTACAACGGCGTCGAGGCCTCAGCGTCGCCCAGCAGAACCTCACACGCCAGTATCCTCGGGCGATTGGACGAACACATTGATATCACCCGAACAGACAACAACAGCCATCGTTCCCGAGACGCCAGATTCTTACTACGTCAAGTCGATGCTCCGTCCCGCTTCTCCAGACAATGTCGACAGCAAAGCCTATCAGACTTTTCTCAACATGGATGAAGACTCCAACGATCTTTCTCCGCGTACCGAGGTCGAGCAACTGGGGCCTCCTCTGGGCGTCATGCAAACCAACGATCATACCAGACAGGAGTTAGGTGTCCCGTTCAAGGAGCTCGTGGAAAAGTTGCTAGTACTACCGGCCAACAAGACTGATTCGAAATTCGTTCCCTCATTCCTATGCCTGTATCGAGCATTTGCGACTCCACAGCAGCTCCTCGTCGCCATGATCGACCAATTCGTGGCTATCGAGAAAAGTAACATGGTCCATTTTTCGAAAGTGGCGGAAATGCTTCGCTATCTTCAGGTGCTGGCACAGTGGACCGCCACATATCCGGGCGATTTTGCGCAAGGTCCAGCTCGCGACATTGCTGTCCCTTTTGTGCAGAACATTGAGAAGAGTAAAGTCTTTGCGCCGGCTGCAAGAGAAATAAGCAATAATTTAGACACGCTTGTTCCCGATGAAGATTCTGACTGGGCATACAACGATGCTCCCAAGAAGACTCCGACATCGTCATCAGACTCCCTCCACTCGCTCAATAACGACGGCTCCAAGGCAGGCCGAAGACCTCTACGCGATGATGACGACAGCGAAGACGACAATGACGGGTCTGCACCAGCGTCGAATACTGCTTCCACATCGTCCAGTATGATCAAACCATACAACTCTTCGAGTCAGTCGGCCTCTAACGTGGTGCAATTGGAACACGCCAAGATCCAAGCCGAAAATCTGAAGAGGTCCATCCCTCGTATTCGTCTTAGCAAACTTCAATGGCACCAGTTTATGGAGACACCTGTAGAGGAACTGGCCAGGGAAATTACTCGAATTGATTGGACCATGTATTCTGCCATCAGACCTCGGGATTTCGTCCGGCACGTATCGCTCTCGACAGAGCAGAGGAGACAGTCTAGAGGAGTCGACAACATCAGCGCCATGGTGAAACATTTCAATCATTTAGCATTGTTCGTCTCAGGGGTGATACTACTCCGAGACAAGCCTAAACACCGAGCCAGGGCTCTTGAGAGATTCATGGCTTTGGCTTGGAAAGTCCGCCAGTTGAACAACTACAACTCGCTTGGAGCAATCGTGGCTGGAATCACAGGACACGAAATCGCTCGGCTGAATGCAACGAGGGAGCTGGTGCCAGCTGATGTCCAGAAGCAATTCCTCAGGTTGACCATTCTCATGGGCTTGTCGAGGTCACACGCTGCGTATCGAATGGCGTGGGAAAACTCCTTTGCAGAACGCATCCCGTTTTTACCCCTCATCCGACAAGATCTTACAATGGCTGCTACCGCGAATCCGACGTTTGTCGGTTCCAACATCAATTGGAAGAAGTTCGAAATCATGGGAGAAGTGATCGTCGGAATTCAAAAGAGTCTCGAAAATCCGTACAGTTTCCCGCCTCGTACGGTTCGAAGTGAAGATACGGTCAAGTTAGTGCTGGAGACCAAGATTCTGGAAGAATCAGAGGTAAGCAAATCACGATCCTCCGCTTCCGTGCAACCTAACACATGAATACAGGACTCGGCAGATCCTCGAAGCGAATTATACGATCGCAGTGTGCAGGTTGAACCGCAACAAAGTGGGGCGGATCCCAAGAAAAAATTCGAATGGCTGCGGCGTTGATGATTAACAAGGTCACCGTTTCAGACACGTCTTTGCGACGTTGACGACCGAATCTCAAATTTCAGCAGGTCAAAGGGGAGGCGGTCGGAAATTACCATCTCAAAAGAGGCGAAAAGCGTTTGCCTTTACGGCGATAGAGAAAAGCGGTTTCGAAATGTCAAATAAGTATGCGGTCTCACGACCTTGAAACCGGGACATACTACGCTATTACGAGTTATGACAAACAATATTGATGACGAGGAAATTCCCAGACGAAGTTTGCGATCTGGTATCAAAAGAACAACTGGAAGATGCTTTTGTTTTCATAGGGACTTCTGGCGGGCCTTTGCATGGGTTGGGTGCAAATATAAAGGTGTTCAAGGAGTTTATCGCTGCAGAACACTGCAAGACAAAGACTTCGATTCGTCCGTGAGTTGAAGTGAGACTCGTTGAGATTTGGACTCGAACTTCCTCTGCTTCGACGGTACTGGGGCTGGGTAGCAGTATGTGGAGCCAAATCTGCACCGCATGTCTTAACTTCGTCTACATGAATATGTCGCTACTGAAGGCATTAATTCCAGTTTACCTCGCTATCATTGGGGTACAGCAGACATGAATGTATGTACATGCGGTCATCTTCATGGTATATGCATATTCCTTAGTACTTTAAAGCCTAAAACCACACAGCACAACAAACCATTCAGCCCGGTAAATGCAACCCTTGCCAGTAAACCGATCGTCGCGACAATTATGTGTTAAACATGCTCCCTCACCACTTCAAACGTAACGGCTCAGTACTCCGTATCTCCCACTCGAATTCCGAATATGGGGCTGCATCAACAAGACAAAAAGGAAAACTCGTCCGACGGGACCATCACTCTCTGTAGACCTCACCTGCTCCATCAAAAATCCTACCGATTTCCCGAGCTCCGCCAGACAGACACCCCCGACGCTTGGCTGACCTTGTGATCGCGGACCATACTCACATGTCACTCAACCCTTGGTCCTTGCCCTTGTCTTTCTCCTTGTCGTTTCCCTTCCAGTCCTGCCAGTCCTGCCAGTCCTGGGAGGTCTTCGATGTAGCCGCGAGTCACGCCTTGGTGCCGTCCTTGCCTGCCGCCTCTTTCAGCATCATCCTCTTCTCATTGTGGCTCGCTTTGCCATTGACACCTTCGTCGGGCATCTTGACCATCCACGAGGGAGGCGCAATGCCCGTCTGGTCGTGGATCGTGCTCAACAGCGGAGGTAGCGATTGCATGATATTTTTGATCGGCATGATGCCCTCGGCACCTCCCATAGCGCCGGCACCGGCACCGACACCGGCGCCGTCTGTGTTCCAGACCGTGATCTTGGGTTGCAAGCCTTGGATGGCTTTGGCATTGGCCAGGGCGAGCTTCTCATAGGTGTTCTCCTTGATCATCATGTACGTCAAGAGACCCTGTGGCCCGCCAAAGGAATCTGCCAGAGCCTTGTACGCTTGGGCCTGGGCCTGTGTGGCCTCTGCTTCGCGCATTCTGGCATGGTAGTTGGCGTCTGCCTCCTTCATCTGCCGCTCGACGTTTGCTTGGATCTGGCGCTGCTGCTTGAACAATTGTGCATCGGCATCTTGCTTTTCCGCGTACGCTTTGGCGTCGGCCTTCTTGCTGTCGCGGTAGAAGTTGGCGTCCGCTTCGCGCTCGGCCGTTTCCTTTGCGATCTGTGCGCGCACGAGGTCCTTGGCTCTTAGCCGCTCCAATTCCGTCGCGGCTTTCTTGGTCTCGACATCCCTCTGCAACTCCGCGTCGCGAGACTCGGCGGCGCGTTGAGCTTTGATTTGCGCCATGCGTATGCCCATTTCCAGCTCGGTTTGACGATTCGTCAACTCGGCGTCAGCCTGGGCCTTGTCGGCTTTGCGCTTGGTCTCGAGCACGGCAGTCTCGGCCTCGATCTTGGAGATTTCTTGCTTCGTGTGGCCGCGCTTCCCGGCCTCGCCGATTTCGCCTCGCATGCGGGCTTCCGCGACGTCGATGCGCGCTTGGTTCGAGGCGCCCTCATGCGCTTTTCGCGAGAGAAAGGCGAAGTATTCTGATCCGGGGGTGTCTTGCAGCTCCTTGACGTTGGCGTTGTAGATGCAGAGGCCGAATTGATCGAGTTCTTTCTGCACATTTTCGATGACCTGGGAACGTCAGGCGGCATAAATGGGGAGGAGAGAAAGAGCTTTTAGAAATATAACATACTTTCTGTTTGAAGACTTGCCGTTCCTTGAAAATCTCCTCCATGGTCATGCTCGAGACGATGACTCGGGTCTCACCTTCGATGATGCCCTTGACGATGTCCTGGACATGGCTTCGCTGAGTTGGCACGATAGCAGTGCCTGGCTTTGATGAGTTTGTCGAGGTGCCATCCGGGTTGCCGCTGAGGAGGAGTGCATATTTCTTGAGTGCGTCGGGCTTGTTGTCAGGGCCGATGGTGAAGACGGCAGGTAGAGCAAACTGCAGTTTCTCGATGGTCATCGCCTGTAGGTTGAGAGAGAAGTCGAAAGGAGAGACTGAAATACGTGCGACCCGTTGCCATGGATAGACAAAGGCTTTCTTGACGATACGGACATCATCGATGTTGGCGCCCGTAACAACGAGGTACTCGTTGGCGTTGGAAATGTGGTACCACATGTTCGGCATGCCCCTGGATATTCAAAGTGTGCTTGTATGATGTGAGTAGCGAGGGTAGTCGATTGCAAGAGCCTGACTGTGACTGATATGAAGAAGACAAGGAAGCCGATAGGTATAAGAGATGGTTACACAGCAGGCCTGGTGCTGCAGTTCTGATTTGCAAGACGAGAGAGCAAGAAGCATGTACACATAGAGGAGGGGACAAATCATAAATAACTCACACCGCACGCTGGAGAGTGAGTGTTGATCGCGGACCTCACCTCGAGGACCACGGTTCGTTTCCATGCCCATCCCTGTGACTCAAACGAAGGTGAGCCTATGGCACGGCCACATGAAGATGCCTTGATGGAGCCGGTGGAGGGGCAGTATCGTGCTACCATAGTAAACACAGGCGCTGGAGTGCTAGCATGGAAAGGTCCTCTCGGCTTGATGGACTCAAGATGTCCTAGGCATCCTGCAGCGGAGCCCCGGAAGGGCGGGCCATCATGGGCTCACTAGGCCCAACACCAGGTACCTTGGCAAGGCAGAAATGCATCGATACCATTGTTCTGGAAGGTTACCTAGAGTGTTGAAACCATCAGATGATCAGACAATTCGGAGTTGCTTCTGTTGATACCACAGGAGAAGTACGAATACGTCATGCAGAGTGATTATCTTTCGGCATGTCGTTGCCGATACTTTATACCAAGCACAAAGTATGTGGTAGTATCCGAATAGCGGATGTTTTGGAACGGATTGGGTGGCGGAGCACCGCTAGACAAGGCCAGGCAACCTCTAAGAACTGCGCAATCATTCACGAACCATTAGCACACGGTCGGGGCTGACAGGCCTCTCCTAGATATGCTAGACACATCGAGATCAGTAGAGCGCGATGGCTGGACCGTGCGACCACGGGGTACAAGGGCGGAAGGTCAAGTCGTAGGTAAAGCTCGGGACTTCAACGTTGAGTCTTGGGACGTTGAATCTTGTCTAACCAACCGCGTCGTGGAAAAGCTCAATGGTAAAGGACAACCGCATATTCGACGCTGTAAGGAGAACGAGAAGCTGCAGCTGGACGCGTTTGTGTTGCCAGAGCGCACAGAATGAGGGCCATTTGGTAGAATTGCACAGCTGTTTCCTGTAAAGACTAAAGCGGCGTCGGATGCTGCCCTTTGGATCGTGACTGGCTTTGACGGTGTCTAACCAAACCAAACCAAACCGTAAAGCGGCAATGCCTTTCCTCGGCACAGCCAAAAGTCAGCCTTGCACTGCCACCCGGGTCCGTCTATCCTTCTCACCCCTCTCTACTCTGCGTGACAGGACATACACGGAGTACCCACCTCTCGCGATCAAGCGTATTCCAGATTTCATCAACTGACCATCATTCGGCCCGGAGTCTTTCGCTGTAAGTTGCACATCGGCCATGTGATGTACGGCACGATGTCTTGATCCCACTTCAGTCTATGTTATCGGCCCCTCTCTCCGAGCCACTTCCTTCAACAAAAGTCGGTAGATCCATCCCAGCGACAAGCTCATGTGATTTTGGCCATTTGGCGCCCAACTCACGGAGAGCCTGAAAGTCAAGAGTCCACTAACTTGCGCCCAAGAAATGTGCGCCGGGGATCTGAGCGACCTTTTGAGCAAACGGTGGGCGTAACTCTATTGGGTCCGATCCACCCAGATCTTTACACCGGTCAGGATCTTGTCAGCCGTCAGTTGGGCATTAGAAAGCCCGCGCCCTTCATTGTGCGGCTGCCACAGCAAACAGACAACGTCTTGAAGGAGCAGCCGATCAAGCCCCCAGTAGCCGCATTTTGTGGCAGAGAGTCATTAGGCGAGCCGAAGCTGGGCGCTCCTACCTCGTGGTCTTGTCCCGACTTGACAACCTTCACTAACCATTGCTACTCGTATCCTTCGCTCCCTGTCCATCAAACCACAAGGGTTTGGATCTGCTGTGTAACCTCCGAGCTTAGTCCTTGTCCAGTGCAAGATTCCTCCTCATTGCTGAAGTTCCGGCACAATCCAACAAGGGCAGATGGAAGGAAAGGGCACGTACCGGTGGGAAGATTTTGGAACGCCCAACGAGCGGATCCCAACTTATGAAGAGTCTATGGCTACTGCGCCAGTATCGACGTCGACATCGAAACCGTGGCAGAATTCTAGCAGTTCCGGGCCTTCCATTATACGGCAAGAACGCACGCGACGGGTTCGGCATCTCATCACCAACTCCATAACTCCAACCTTCACTTTCCATCTCGCGAACGGTTGCTCTCATCTGAGCATCATTATTCTACCATCCGAGTCTCTGCGGAACAGCAAAGCCTTGACGGAGCAGAATATAGTGACTCCAAGTCCGCAATCCCAGGAGACACGGACTCTCCTTGCTTTGAATGGAGAGGAAAACCGCGCTTCCTTTTGGATGCAGGGTGCTGTGGTCCAGGAGTTGGACTGTCTACTTCGACGAGAGCTCTCTGACGAAGCAGCCACTGCTGTCACTTCCAATCCAGATTCGCGTCCTGAGGCACAACCACTACACGCCACTGAACTTCCACCACGACCGAAGTCCAAATGGTGGCTAAAGCGTGCGTTTGTCCTTCCAGGGCCTGACCATGACCCAACCGGCGAGACGGGAAAATGGAATCTGGGCTGGCGAACTCCTGAAACTCTTGGTGCTCCGAACATAGGGCCTGGATGTGAGTCGTCCTCTTGGAAACCTCGAGCACGAACAAAGGAACTCCAACCAGACGAGATGGCAATCAGCACCACTTTACAGCCCGTAAGCTTCCGGACTGAGAGTGAGATGGGCCTCTTAGAGACCACCACTGTGAAGTGTATTTGGGTAGAGATCGAGATTGGCATCTAATCCAACAAACTCCTCGTTTGCTCAGTCGATAGGTCCTGCATACATCTGTGCTGGTCCAGTGATCTTCAGTGAACTCTCAACGCCATTCATTCATGAAGGAACAACCCCCCTATATGTGCGCTCTAGATTTACAAGCCATTTTCCAGCCACTCCTGCCCACAGACTTGATATGACGAGCCAGACACTACCCATCATTTCATAAGCACTCATCCGTTATAGTAGCCATCTAGATCTTTGCCTGCAACTCAGTTGTCGACGCTAGCGCAAGTCATGGAACAAAAACCGTCCTATCCCTCTTCGCTGCCCACGCATCAGCCGCATCCTCCAGCTTCCGCACCTTCAGATCCATCTTGGGCAAGCCAGCCACCGCAGCCAGCAGACCGGGCAGCTCTTTCCCAAAATGCGGCAAAGACCAGGCTCCAGGTCCGGCGCCGCGCATCGTGATATTCTTCGACCGCAGGACGGCGCCAGGCAGAGAAATATCCAGTCCCGCAACCGACCCAATCTGGACATACTGTATCGGGACCTTCGAATTGACAGCGTTGAAAAGCGCGGGCACCACTGGACCATAGAGATAATCCAGAATGACATCGACATCCCCCAGGACCGAGAAGTCGGTCTCGGCAGGCTTATCCGCCAGCACGACGACCTGGTCGAGATTCAGTGAAGACATGTCCTTCGCATTTCGCGCCACGCATATGACCTTGCCGGCGCCCTTGCCGCGGACAAATTCGACGGCGACTTTGCCCGAGATCGCCGTCACACCGACAATGACGACGGTGAAGTTCGCAGGCAGGTTGTCGACTCTTGCGGCGAGCGCCATCCACGAACTCATACCCGGATTGACCAGGCCGGCGATTTGGACGGGGTCGGCGCCGTCAGGGACGGGGACGATAGCTACTTTCGGGACTGTAATGTACTCTGCGAAACCGCCGCCCGTGGCAATGCTGCTGAAATAGACGGTCTGTCCTTCGGGCGTGGTGCCTACACCGTCGGCACCGGGGACGTATGGTAGACCGGCGCTTTTACTGCTGTAGTGCTGGCCGGCCGCCTGGGAGCGGATGAGTTGGTGAAGACCGGAGGCCAGGATTTTGATGGTGACCTTGTCGAAGTCCGAGGTCGTTGGGTGCGGATGGTCGGAGGTGAACTCTGGAGGCGAATCCCAGGACTTTACGACGATGGCGCGCATGGTGGAGAGTGCCTTGGGTGTATCGAGGTATAGCTAAATTGGTGGATTGGTTGTTGTCTGGGCTGGAAATGGAGACGGGCAAGGGCAGGGGCAGCTGATGTTGGATGGCTTATATCCTCCGTATTTCAACACTCTCTTTGTGGTTGTGAGATTCGTCCGGGCAGTGAGCAACTGGGGGAGTAGAAGGGACGGCGAGCACTACCTTGTTAGACCCTAATATATATGGCCGGGACTGTGCTTTGGATCCCGAGCCTGAACATCCAAGACTGGCTGCAGACAACCCCGGTGGTGGCTACAAATGGATAACGCATGTTAATACTATTAGTATGGGCTTTGATGGCAGCCAGGAGCCTTTGTCAGCACACAATCCTCCGTTGTCCCAGTTCAATCTCGAGCCATCACACAACCCGTTGAGTTGAGTAAGACAACGGCTGTTGAATAACCCGCATGTGCAGCCAGCCGTTGGGTCATGGGTCATGGGTCATTCGCTGTTGCATTAGCCTCATGAGCGGGAGGTTTCTTAGGATAAGCAAACCAAGGAGTAAAAGAAACACAAAGATGCATTTTGAGGGCTTCATTCCCACTTTCAACCACGTGACGGGTAACGCGTTGCCCGCAGTTGAGATGCTAAAAGTTCCGACGTCACATCTCTCGGTCGAGACGAGACCGAAGTCATTGTCGAGGGTAAACAAGTGACCGTCGGCTACTCTGTGAATCTCAGTCAGACATTACAGTAAAGAAGCTACGTGAGACCCACCGTGGTTATTCGTCTCGAGGCAACGAATACAATCCGCAAAGTCAGTTAAAACACAGCCTCGAAGATAAGATTGACCATGGCACCATCTCAGCTGCAAGTCGCCATCTCCTCGTTGAAGCGCCTGCTCAAGGAAGAAGCTTCGTACTACAAGGAGCAAGAGCACCAGGAGACTCGCATAGCCAAGCTGGAGAAGGACGAGACTGACGAGGATGGGAACCGCGAGTTCACGCTGAAGCAAGAGGTCCGTCAATCATTCTTTACACACAATGGCATTCCTTTCTGCTTTACGGGTTTAATGTTTTATACTGATAACCAGAAACGTAGCGTCAAGCCTTGGAAGAAACCAAGAAAGTCATTCCTACTCTGCGTGAGCGCATCACCAGCGCCAGAGAGAAACTGGAGAATATGCTGGTATGTCGACTTCCTCAATCCAATTCCTCCCGTTGGTGCCCCTAGAACAGATCTGATTGCAACCACAGGATATGGCAGGCAATGACGAGGAACGAAACGCTGCCGTGGAAGTCTTGAAGACGGCCAAGGAGCAGCAAAAGGACGATCCCATTTCCGGGGTGTCGACGTAAAAGTCGCGAGAACCAACGGACCGTATTGATGTCTTCATATACAAAATAAAATACCAAGGAGCGATGACCCTCGAAAGAGTTTGCAGCAAAGCTTTCACAGAGCAATCGTTTGCTGTTGCCAACGGGAGCGGTTTCTCCTTCTGCGAATGTCTGAGGGTGCGAACGTACCCGCAGATGTGGCTCAAATAGCCAGCCATACTCGCTTCCGGCAAGATTTCAACCCTACCTGTATTTTGCAGGTTGAAAATGTATCATCAAAATTCAGCCTGGCATACACACCGATCCATATCATAGAATACCTCCCCTGTGCAGACCGCTCTTGCAATGACAGCCAGCTCGTGTTCACCGGCCCCGACCGCATGACGAGTCATCTTCTCCTGCAGGGCTTGAAGTCGCCAGTTCAAGTCGTGTCCATGTCATCGCCCGCTTTCTCTCCACCAGCGTTAGACACGCCCTCTCCTTTGCCTTCGTCTGCAGGCCCAGCATCCATATCAACATCCTCATCAGCCGCCTTGGGCGTCCTCCCAGACCCCTCTGGCAGTGTCGTCGGTGTCATGGCGTTACTTCCACGTAGATCCATCATCGGCGTCGGCGCATCACCGGGGCGTGGTGTGCCCGCATTGGACAAGCCATCCCTCCCTCTGCCCACGCCCAGCATATCCTCATCATCTGCCTCGCCATCATGCTCACCATCGCGCCCATTCTCGTGCTCGGCACCATCCTCGTCCTTTTCCGGCTCCTTCTCATCTCTAATCACCCTTCGTAATATCATTCCCTCGCTGACAATCTTCTCAAATTGCTCCCTCCTCTCGAGCCAAGCCTGCGTATGCTCCTGCGCCTCGCGCTCCAGCTCCTCGATCTCAGCCTTCAGCTTCTCAGTATTGACATGTTGCTCGTCCCGCGGCTTCAACGCTGCATTCTTCGTAATCTTATCCGCAATAACATCATACGTCTTTCGAATCGCCAATGTCTTTTGCGCTTCATTCAGCTGTACACGCAGATTCGCGGTGTTTTCCCTGACCTCGGCTGCGGTTCTTTCTATCTTTGCCTTTTCCGCCACGTAACGCTCTCTTTCGCGCTCGTTAGCCGCTCGGAGAAACTGAATGCGGGCAATACTGCTTTCGAACGCGGCGAAGTCGAGGATGACATCTTCGCGGAACCGTTGTATGTCCTTCAGCGCTTGTTCATGCTGAGCTGCTGTGTCTACCTCGGATTTTTCAGCAGTATCATCTGTTTCGTCATTCTTCGAGAGGAAGGCATTGATAGGTGTCGTGGGCGCAAGAAGTCTCTTGGTAAGACGTCTGAATGGGCGCTCTTCGATTCCTAGGAGTCTCGTGGCATGTAGCTTGTCTGCATTTGTGTGAGCTCTTGAACAAATTAAAGCCTGTAGCTTTACATACCTTCTTCTGCTTGGTCTAGCAGCGTGAATGTAGCCATTGTTGTGTGTTGTCGTCAGTACGAGCTTTTGAATAGTTGTGAACAAAAGAACTGCAGGAATTCGCGGAATACATGGCCAAATCCGGCGCCAGGACAAGGCTGCGGGCTGCGGCGGCGAGGCTGAACTTCACTCACTCACATCGCACCTTCCCCACAATCTCAGACTTACATTCCATTCCCAACATGTTTGGCCCATGTCACCGTGCTGCTGCGTCTATACTAACTATAGGTCTGACTGAGAGGTCAGATCCGTTACATTGCGTTCTGATGACTTAGTTCAACTTCTCGCTTTCAGTTCACACATATATCATCCCATCTTTGCGCAGGCCCATCCTACCCTCTGCTGAGCTCGTCCAGCCACCCGCCATGCCAGTCAAAAGCCTTCAACACATGTGTCGAGACCACTTGATTCGGTGGAAGAGGGGTATTGAGGACATATGGATTGTGCCCTATGAAGTTGCACGTGAGGTCTTGCTTACGATCGAAAATCCAGATCAACTGGTACACCTATACCACCATACCACCAGCATGTACGCAAGTGCTAACACATTCATTCTTAGCGCCGAATAGAACTCAGTTCTCCGCAGATTATCGGCGAAGACGGCGAAATATGGTTGTCCTTCATCAAGCGCGACATCCCCGACTGGCACCTCAAACCCCACGAACCCAGTGACCCGAAGGACTGGTGGAAAGTCTACCGCAAACTGGCTGAGGAAGTCCGCCAGAGCGCCCTTGCGGCCGAAGCCATGCTCAAAGCCTCGCTAGCGGACATCAAGAATGAGAAAGAACAAAACACCGCGGTTATCGCATCGGGTCGGCATCGCCCGCTTCAAGGACCAAGTAGAAGAGCCAAGATTCATTACGACTACATTAGCGGTCGGACCGGAAGCAAAGGTGCACACAAGATGTCGTTGATGGAGAAGATCAGGAAGGAGGCCCGTGATGCAAAAGCCTCCAAGATGAACAGACCAATGCACGAGTTGCACAAGAAAGCAACGGCCGTGAAAGCAGCACCGCAGCAGTTTGTCGAGGACATGAAACGGAAGACGGCGAAGGTCATGTCTCCCCCTCTGCCACCGGCTGCAGTGCGAACGTCGAGGCCACCATTGCATGCTCCCAGACCGGCTGCATCTCCTGCTCATGAATCGTACGATCTCACGGCGGATCGGGAGGCGAGGCTGAGGGCGCTGAAGAATGGCACTGCTCGTCCTGCATCGGCGCCGGCAGCTGATAAGCAACCTAACAGTAGCCTGACCTTGGATTTCCTGGAGGATTCGGATGGGGAAGAGAAGGAAGTCGAACAACCGCGGAAGCATTTGGAAGTCAGCGACGAGCGACCGAGGTCTGCCAGTCCCTTGAGACTGCAGCAGCGACCTACCATGAAGAGGAAACAAGCTCCATCACTCTTCATGTCATCAGCGAAACGTGTCGCAAAGCCACGGAATATCTCCTAGTGTAGGTGGTATTTTTGTGGATGTGCATATCATGGATTGGAATCTCGCAAGGCGTTGGCATGGCTATTGGACTCATTGGGATATAGATTTAGCAAGGTGTTGGGCCGACTGTTGGAGTCATTGGAATGTAGATTTTGGACATATTTCTCTTTTGGGGCAATATCCCTATAAGATTGGGCATGGGCTTTGCGTGTCCTTGATCAGTGTCGATGCTTCCCAGATCTGATTCTAGACTGTCTTCCTTCTATGGATCATGCTTGCACGTCGAATCGTCTTCATTCATGTCTTCGTTTCAACGCCGGGAAAGTCAATATGTAAAGCTGCCGGCAAATCCATGAGCTTCGTCAATGGTCAGTGTTCTTCTGCACTCGGCTGTCCCTGCCTGCCTTTCATCTCGCGACTCTGACCAACGATCGTCATGGTTCTCTGCTCGGCGATTTCGGTTTCGGTCCCGTCTCCTCTTGAGGTTGAAGTCTTTGTCATCATTACCGTCCTCCTCTCAGTGCCAGGACCAAATGTAACGTGTTCCCTCCCTCGAGCCCGTAGTCTTCTGCGGTCTTTTCATCGGCCCTGTATTTGAATATCAAAGCCCTTTGTCAGCAATTGCCCACGTCGTCGTCGTCGTCGTTGTTGTTTTTCTTCTTCTTCTTTTTATGTCCCCATTCATTGGGTGTGTGACCGGAAGCCAGCCACGGACGTACATTTGTTTCCCACCATAGATCAGTCTCTGCTGCACGGGGGGGATGCCTTCTTTCTCCTCGACCCGTTCTTTGATTCGTGAGACCTGTTAAACAGTTGCGCGGGACTTGGTCAGTAACTATTTCCTGTTGTAATGCAAGAGCGATGTCGATGCCATGTGATACGAGGCGATATTGCGCGCGCGCGTGTGTGTGGGAGACTTTTCATAGTCTGTCATCGACACATATCGCAGGTAATCGAAGGATCGTTATGCATACCTTGTAGTCGGGCTCGATGTCGAGTTCGATCTCTTTCCCGGTGAGCGTGCGTACTCTGCCACACCGCGCTGGTTAGTCCGGGTCGCGGGAAATAAAGCCGTGAGAGGGGAACTTCTATGGGAAATGGAAATGGCACGGCGTACTTGATCAACATCTTGAAAGACGTGCGAATGAGCAGTGTTTTGGGTGCCGGTGCCGGTTATCAGGGAGAGGGGCTGTCTGTAGAGAGGTGTGATAGCTTGGTAGATGATGTGGGAGAGAAAGTTGTTGCCTGGAGGTCAAGCAGGTGAATGGGTAATAGCAAAGGAACTACTACGGTCCATAAGTGACGCAGTGAGAAGTGGCCGAAATCCAAGGCAATCCGAGCGCAGCCTGACGCTTTCAAGTCGCTTCAATCGCGGGGCAGACGCTGTACTTGGCACTCGGTCTCTCGGCCTCGCCTTATTCAGTTTAAGGGAGTTCAGCCTTGCAACGAGTCCAGCCTCAGACTGCTCGCTTGTGCTGTTCCAACTACCAGCTTAAGCTGCGCACTACGCTTGCTTGCTGAAGTGTTCCTCGTCTGTATTGCTTGTTGGGAGGGTGAAGTACAAAGTGTTGAAAAGTGATGCAATCCTCATAGAATTGAATAAATCCCACGGCCATTCGTCCTTGAATGGCAGTCGCTCGAACGCCTCATATTGCCATCATCGCCAACCGACAAAGCAGAAACGAAGTGGGTATGATAGTAGACTAGAAGACAACAGATGAAACCTTTGAAAACGCCTTTCCCGCCCATATATGTCTTCAGAGTTCGTAGGCTTGCGCCCTACCTTTTCCATCTTCTCCAACGCTGTTGCACAGTTGTCCCCAGTCAATGCAACCTTCGGCTGCAGGACGAAACAAACACCTCTTTCCGAGTCGCTCGCAGACATTCAAGCTCGTTCATGCACGAGCAGATGTCCAGTGGCGGTCTGTGGTTCCACTGTTGTATAAGAAATATCGGGAATCAAAACTAAAAGTCGACTTTTTCTGTCTCTTTCATACCTAAACATTATCGGTAAAATAGTGGTGTAGATATTCTGGTCCGGTATCACAAAAAGAAGCTTCAAAAGCCTCGCCATGGATCTCTCGAATCGGAACTGCCTCTTGTCGATGAACTTGCTGCTATCATTTCGCTGTGGAGCAGCGAATCTACCGGGCTGATGCTGTCACGACCTTGATCAAGACCCCAATAGCCCATGTCCTTTTTCTTCGGTGGTCCCCGTAGCAGACTGAAAGAGGGGCGGTTCGAGGAAGTCGATGTCTTGCCCTCGATGAATGCGTCCATTCGCATGGTGTTGGCCTGATTACCGTCCAAGAAAATTGCCGGGATTGGTGGCCGGCCGGATGCACTTGCCTCACTGCCTCTGCGACTGCTTACAATACTCTGCATGCCAAGACTGGGCGTATAAAGCCCCCGATCAGACGAGTATACTGCTGTAGAGCGAATACTTTGCGAGTATGTAGAACCCGGGCCCGGCAGACTAGGAGTGGCGTCTTTCGCAGAAAAGCTCCTGAACGAACTTGGTGGCGCTCGTGGTGCGGTGTTACTGCGTTTTCGCGAATGTCGCGGAATGATAGGTGGAAGCGCTGGATCCTGCGTTGGGTCGTAAAAGTCACGCGTTGGTGGTCGTGAATCCTGGACAGGTATGGAGCCATCAGTTGTGAAGGATCTTGGACCTGGACCAGCCCTCATGGGATTCTTTGCAATGCGAATCGAGTCGCGGATAGGTCGCCGGCGGAGAGATCCCGCAAGAGACGGCGTGGGTTGGTTCAACGTGTCATTTTCTGGAGGAGGCGGAGGTGGAGGGACTGCAGTCAAGTCATTGACGCTCAGTGGTGAATGCGACAAAAACGATAACGCTGTCAACCACACATAATGGCGCTCCTGAGAGGTCGCTGTAAACTTCAGAGCTCGTTGAGGCGTCAAAATGAGTATAGACCTGTTGAAATGTTGACCAGCGATTGCACCTTTGGGCATAGGGTTATCGTCCTTGACATCAAGAACTGACTTGATAGTCACTGGGGCAGGTTGGTTAGCATCATTTCGACCCGGATCGTAGATCAGACTCACGCTTTCGGCCACTCTTCCCCATCAAAGCTGTACCCGAAGTAGGTTGTTTGCTGCTCCACATGACGGCGCGCTCATAAGGAGCAAGCCATACCCATCTTTTGTGACGGACGCCATTGTTTGTAACACTCTGAGATATCTCTTCTACGCTCTTAGTGCTGTCCCAGTCGGCCTTGTCAGTGACTCCAAACGACTTTCGTCTCCTGACATATTTGTACATCCACTCGCCAACCATCGTCTGGGCGATGGAATCAACCACAGATGTCTGATGCATGGACACGGCGTCTGAATTGGTCTTCGTATGAGCACCTTGTCGACTAGGCCCAGTAGCAATAGAGGGACGTGGTGCGCTTGCCTCGCGCGGGTTGCTGTACGGTTCTGCTAGAAACGACGCCGGTTCTGTTGTCGGCATTTGGAAGCTAGGCATTTCCGGCACAATCGAAACCCGAGGATCAAGGGGAGGTGATCGACTGCGAGCTCGTCGTCCTTGAGAGTGAGGAGAGATGGCAGGCCCTGACCGTGCCTTTCTCAGCATTGGTCTGGGATATTTGTTCTTGGGCCGCTTGGTAGGTGAGGCGTTGCTGCTTCCAGGCGAGCTTCTGCCGCCTTCACTGATTGATTTACCAATCCTGGCAGAGCTGTACCTCAGAGGCACTGGGAAGGGAGCATTGCTCTCGACCGAAGCTGTAGTTGATTGCGAATGCGACGTACGATGAGCCGCGGTCCCACTCGAGATCAAAGCAGCTTTTCTCATGTTGTTTGATCTGACCGAGGCCACTCTCTTCAATTTCGAACCGATATTCTGTCTTTGAGAGCCTTTACGCGGGCTAGTTCGGCCTTTGGAGAGGATACTCCTCATTTCAGGAGGCAGGCCATCCTCAGAAAATCGGAGGTTTTCCAGTGCAGCTGCTTCACCCGCGCTAACCGCAACACTTTCGCCGATATCCTCCAATACAGGGTCCTGCGACACCATCTTGCCCGACTTAAGCACGAATTTCGCGGTAGGGCGGCTGAAAATGTCGTCCTCTGGGAAATTACCCTCGTCAAACAGATCATCTCGGTTTTCTGCATCGTCGTCAAATCCAGCAAAAAGGCTGCTGGATCTGATCGGTCGTGGCATGCCAGAAGCGAATTCTCTGGAGAGTGGCCCGCTGTCATTGATGGGAGGCGGAGGTGCCCTGGACGGTCCAGCCACTGTACCGCGCTTGGAAGTAAGCGTAGAGGGAATAGGAGTTACTCGGGGCCGGGGAACAGGTGGTGGCACCGTCATGGATGAGATTGGTGCTCTAAAATGGCTTGACAACGGAGCAGGTGGCATCTCGGAGGGTGGAACAATGGCTCGTTTATCGACGCGAATCTCTTCCGTCTGCATCGATGTTGACTGGGATCCGCCAAGAGACTGAGAGGTGACCTGGGTACCTGCGTTTCTGGTTCGGGGTGGTAACACAACATTAGTTTCAGGTGTGGCAGGTCTCGATCCAGGAGGAATGATTGCGATCAACGGGATCTTGAGATCGACAGTTTCTTCACTCTCAGTGTGCTTGTGACTGTTGATGACCAATGCAGGTATAGCAGATTCCGTCTGGGTGCCGATTGTAGCTGTTGGCACCCGCTCAAGAGCGCTCTCGGGTATTGTGGTTAAGGGGATGTCATGTTTCTTAGGAGTGAGTGGTGGGCTTGGAATGGCTTCCACGGTCTGACAAGCAGTAGAGACCATCACCGGTCGCTGTTTCTCCCACAAGATGTCCACGCTGTCGACAGGACTGACCAGGCTAGGAGAAACACCCATTTGCCTGACGGTTCCGACTTCGATCTCTGATGGTCGAACGGATTTCGACTGTCGATTGACAGACGTTGCCGGCCAGGGCGAAGGTGGTGGTGAAAACTGGATAGCAGTGTCGACATAGTTGACACTTGCTCGGCGGCGCACACCATCTATTGATGCGACACTCGACCGCTTTTGGTCGGGGCTCTCACTGCGCTCAATCTCTTCGAAGTCCAGAGGCATACCCAAGATCTTGCGAGCCTTGATGGAGAGACTTGAGGCCGGTCGAATCTGCTCTTCTGGAAGAGCGTCGGGAGAGATGCGGCCGTCCTCCTCGTTCTCCTCGTTCTCGGGAATGTTAGCCATATCTTCCTCCATCTCGTCAAAGGCAAGCTCATCCGCCAGATTCACTGTGACACCGTTGTGGAAGCTCAAGACGGAAACACGGCCCCCAAGTGTGTCGCTGTTGATCGACGTGGCGCTTTGCCTTCGTCCTCTTCGGGCGAGTATGGAACCTTTACTTGGGCTCTCCATGAAGCTGTTCCGACTCTGACATGCGCGCTCGGTCGGAGAAACAGGGGGTACATGATGGTGAGCATTGGCGACTTCGCTCAGTACGACCTTGAGACGGCCTTCAGCGATATGGACCTTGGTCTCGAGGCCACGTTTTTCAGCCAACCATGCTTCTTTATCTTTGTCCCATAGAGTCTGCGTCTTCTCTGCGGTTTCCTCTTGACTTTTTGCCTTCTTCTGACTTTGGTCGAGGCGCTTGCGCAGCTCTGAGACGTCATTCAAGGCATCATCTCGTTCCTTTGCCAGTTCATTTAGGGCCGAAAGTGTGCCTCCCTCGAGGAGTTGCATCTGCCTCTTTACCGATCTTGTGTCTTTGTTGGCTTGGTGTAAATTGTTGTTCAAGATTTCATTTTGAGATTGCGCATTGTGGAGGCTGATCTCCAGCTTTTCAATGTCATCAGCTCGACTTTCCAGGTCTCTCCGTAACGACAGAATCTCTGATACCAATGAGGCGTGGAGTGTGGGAGTGAATCTTCGAGGGTCGAGGGGAGAAATGTGTTCGTCGAGGGCAGGATTGATGGAATCATTACTTCGTCTCTTGCTGGCTCGCTCATCGGGCATTGGCGGCGGTGTTGATGAAGGTGACATGTCGTCGTAACGCCGTGATCGAGTCGACTGAGAACTCGACGGTGTGCGGTATGGAGTATCCGTTGGCGAAGGTAGTGAGTAACTGAATTCTGGCTCCATGCTTCTGGAAATGCCACAAGAGGCTCGCGTCAATTGGCAGCCGCCCTGAGCATGCTCAATTGCAATGAGTCCTTGACTTTGGAGAGGCAGACCCGGTAGGTGAATGCCGGACTGCGTCTGTGCTAGGAGGAGTCCAAATACATGCTGTCCAGCAAGGCCTAGTGTAGATGCAACTTCAGGCCAAATTGTACCCTAGAGTGTCGGCGGCTTCTTGTGTGAACGTCGTCGAGCTGGTGATCCAATTGCACGTTGGTGTTGCAGATTCCAGATTGCGAGACATGAGACAGGAGCATACCATCTAGGTTCACGTCGTGCGTAGTCGCGTCAAGCGGGCGTCAATGAGGAGGATGACCAGATAGACAGGAGAAGCTTGTAGAATTTTAGTCCTTTGGCCCAAGTCTAGTCTCTGGATCTACATATCAAGATAGCAGTCGGAACATCGAGGGACAAAGAACCGCGCAAGTCAGCCCTCCGATTGAAGGATGTTCGTGTGCGACTACCTAAGGTAGGCCTGGTGCTCACCTTCTCTTTCAAAGTGGTCTGTCTGCGGCGCGTCTGAGGCGGGCCTTTGGGGCTGATCGAGCATTGAAGGGCAGCAAATTGATTGGGTGTTAGTGGAAAAATCATGATTGTTCAGGGGCAGCGGTGGAAGGGAACCGAGCATGCATCGACCAGGGATGTGTGAAAAGTGGAGAGGATGGAAGAGAGAGAGAGCGAAACAGTTCAACGACTGGCGTGAATTAAACGACCAGGGTAAGGGAAGCGAAGGGCGGCGCCGACCAAGTGCATCCCAGAGACCCGGGATCCTTGCCAGGGTCGGCGTCGTGGCGTTCGAGATTTGAACGTACGGTACGGAGTACGGAGACGGATATTCCGCAACATACCTCCAGGCTTCTGCTCGTGAGCCTGTGGCCAAGGTCGACCAGGATTGAAAAGCTTGCTGAACTTCGCGCTGCACTTCTCTCGGCAGCTCGATGTCCAAGGGCATTCCAGACAGAACACTCAGACGGAGTCTTGAACACCAGTGACTGAAGGCAAATGTTTGGGGGACCTTCTTAGCGGCCAATGTTAGCTTCGGGCCGCAACCACTCGGGACAGATGCCTAAGCCATAGTCCAAGCCTCATGCCCCGCCATCAGGCACAAGCATGTTTCAGGATCCCCATCTTCGGAGCATTTCTTTGGCCTAGTGAGTCTAAACTTTGCTCTTCTAGGCATTGGCGGGGTTGATCAAAGGTCGCCCTCAAGTCAAATTTCCAAGCTCTTTTCGACTTCTTTCGTGCCGCAGGCCGTGAAAGCAAAGATTGACGAAGCAGGGCTCCGTATGGTTCAACATGTCCGGGTCCTCGCGATATAGAGAAGGAGACAGCCGGCCAAGATGGCAGGAAGGCATGCGGTCGAAGTGGTTACCCTTGGCCGTCGTTGGATGTGACAATTTCAATCCTTGCTGCCGACCTGCATCTTTCCTCTTGTGTGTATCGGCATGAAGCATGAACTGTTCCCACTCTCAACCAACAATCCCTGTAGCCTCACTCTTGGGCCTGTCGTGCCCTGTGCACCACCCGTTTCCTTCACTCTCGCTTGCAAAGCAGTGTCACGAACTCCGCAAATTCCAATCATCGATCCAGTTGGGACCACGCCTGAGCAAATGAATTTGGTGAAATGTTCATACATTTTGACCTGTATATCCTGCATTTTCGCCAAAAGGAGACCACGGTTGTCTTGTGTTTCCATTTCCATTACCGGGACATATTGGTCGTTGAATATCAGTGATCTGCCCGCGTACAGTATAGAACGCACGCCGCATAGCCTCTGTCCTTGTCATTATTCTGTCAATTATGTCAGGCAAGTGCAAGACCCTCGTACGCAATTTCTGCTGCTGTTAGTCTCGTCTCATCACAGTGTGCATCCCGTCGATTCGCACAGTTGCAGACATCATCACCCTTCATCTGCACGTGTGACCTTGTCCATCACATACATCATTGTGAACCGTGGACGAACAATTTCGGGGCTTGCCCTTGCCTGTCATTCTCGTGGCTTGTTGGCGTACTACTACGGTATGTAGCATGGTCGGTTCGCTTCACTTGCGAGAGCTTGATGCCCCTCCAATCTTTCGCCTCGTTCTGCCTTTTCGTTTCATCTCCCTTTTGTTCAAAGCTTCAGATAATAATGTGTCAGTCCTTTACTATGTAGAAATGCCACCTGTGATCTGCTGGGGGTACTGACCCATTCACCCCATTCTATCAAACTCCGCAAACACTCGGACAGACTTCCCACATTGGAGGGCTACTAGTGTCAGTCATAGCCTATCGCGGACTACGCCCACAAGTTGTCAAGGTTCAACGTTCTGGTCCCTGGATGTCGATCAAACTGGAGATACCCATCCGTGCCATCCTAGCATGGCCATTTGCCTGGACTGTCGACGTTCACGTTATTATTGACAGCTGAATGGAACTTGACAGCTGCGGCCGGGTTCAGGCACTGGCCGGGCGCACCAGGCCCGGGAAGGGCATCCACTGCTGATTGCTCTTGCCTCGGCACCTGCTCCGTGCTTGCTCTTCTCCGATTCTCGCGCTGGCTCCAACTCTCCATCTGCGATTCCGTCATCGGTTGTACGAGTCATCAGCATGATGTTTGAGTGAACCACCGGCGCAATGCCGCATCAACAACAGCCTCTTCCGTCTGCTGCAGCAATTCAACTTCTCAATTCCCGGTGCAGTTGATTCTGTCCATTAGCGGCCTTCGCCATGTCCACGTCTCAGCCACCCAAGGCTCTCCTGACCGACGTCTTCGGTACCGTCGTCGACTGGCGCAGCACAGTAGAGAAGCATCTCACTCTTTCTGCCTCGGAAGCCCTCAATTCTTCCACCAACTCAATCCCTAGCGCCGTCCGAACTACTGCTGCAGACATTTCCTGGCCGACAATAGCCCAACTTTGGCGGAATTCATACTACGAATTCACTCGCAGCTACGATCCTTCTGCGAAGGACAAGAGTAACTTCAAGACGGTAGACCAACACCACGTCGAGGCTTTACACAAAATACTCGTAGATCACAAGCTTGATGGGCTCTGGACGGACGAAGAAATTCAAAAGATAAGTATGATATGGCACTTTCTAGACCCATGGCCCGACTCGTCCGAGGGTCTGGGCATCTTGAACCAGAAATTTCAGACTGCGACGCTCAGCAATGGCAACACAACTTTACTATCGGATCTGGCGAAGCACGGTCCTTTGCCATACACTCACATCATCTCTGCTGAGGATTTTGGTGCTTACAAGCCACATCCCAGTGTCTATCTTGGGGCAGCCAAAAAGTTGGGTCTTGAACCTGGTGAATGTGCTCTTGTGGCTGCTCACCTTGGGGATCTGAAGGCAGCACGAGGCTGCGGGTATCAGACCATATATATAGAGAGATCAAAAGAGGAGGCATGGCCGTCGAAAGACATTGCCAAAGCCAAGAAGGAAGGGTGGATTGACATGTGGATTGGCCTTGATGAAGGCGCAGGAGGATTCCTTGAAGTCGCAGAGAGATTTGGATTGCAATGATAACGACTACGGCGACGGCTATTTCGCCAACATGGACATCGCCTCCAACGGGCTCTAGAAGCCCGTCGATATATTACTCTTATGACCAGCGTTACTGTTGCTCACCGGGTGTGTATCTCCTAGGACGTCAAAGTATCCTTGGAAGCATGTACTTCTTAGAAGGGGGATTTTGTAGATGTCATCAACATCTAAGATAATGAACTGATGCTCTAAATGCCATACCCATGAATTACGGTAGATTGAGCCTGATCTCAATGTCATTAAATATCATGAATTAGACTGTCTCATATTGGGCTTTTCTCAGATCCGAACGTCCCATACTTTTCGCGAGCATTCTGGTGTCAATCTTCACGTCTTTCCGGTTCAACTTTCCTGCACCTGTCACGACTACAAGGCCAGATGCATACTCGGAGCACCCAACTTCTTCTCCGCCTTCTTTGCAGCCTTGTACCATTTGGCATTCTCCTCATTATACGTGGTGCGGCGCTTGATCATCCTACGTGGATGGAACTCGCCATTTTCGTCGAACCCAGTCTCGTTGTTATTGTTGTCGTCGTCACCTGCCTTCGAGGCCGACGGCGACCCAACCGTGGTGGTCGTCATCGGGCTTCCGACCCCGTCAGTTGGCGAATCGACATCCGCGCCGAACATAGCTCCCATGCCACGCCCGTTGCCCTCCGCCGAGAACGGGTTATTGCTCGTCGGGCTAGCACCAACACCATTGTTATCAATCTTGAGCCCATTGAGCTTCTTCGACGCGCCATTGATAATTTCTCGCTCCTCCTCGTCAGTGAGGGGCTCGATATCCGGCACAGGTCCACGCGGGATGATCACGGGCCATCCCAGATCGCTGCCACCGTGCGTTTGGCGGCCCTTAGCCCGCAAGTAGCCGTATTTATAAGCCTCAAAGAAGGTTGTCTTTTTGAAAACGCCGCCGTTCGTGCGGTCGGACTCGTCCCAGTACAGATTGCGCAACCACTTTGATAGGCCGGGGTAGTCGTGGCGGATCATCTTGAGGTTGCAATTGAATATGTTATAGTACGCGACGTCGAAGCGGGCAAGGGTTGTGTAAAGCCTAATGTCGGCCTCGGTGATGTGCTCGCCAAACAAGTAGGGCTGATGTGTGGAGTCTGCGAGATGAGCTTCGAGCCTGTCAAGGGATTTGAACAGCGGGTACACATTTGCGTCGTAGGCCTCCTGCGTCATGGCAAATCCACACTTGTACACGCCGTTATTGACAGTGTTGTAGACCCATTCGTTCATTTCGTCAATTTGTTTGCGCAGATGCTGAGGGTAGAAGCCGCCGCCGGGCTTGTTGGCCTCGCGCAGGTCGGGCTCAAGGAACTCGTCAAAGCTGTCATACAGCATGCGAATGATCTCGCTGGACTCATTGTTTACGATGGTGTGCGTCTTCTTGTCCCATAGCACAGGGACTGTGTAGCGGTCTTCGTAATGTGGATCGGCTTTGAGGTATAGTTGTTTCAGGCAGGTAAAGCCGTAGAGAGGGTCGACAGCGTCGGAGCCGTTGCGGCCGGTGAACAGCCAGCCGTTCTCGGTCAGGTCGAAGTCCGTAACGATCAGTTGGACGATGGGCTCGAGGGATTTGAGGCCGCGGACAAGGATGGTTCGATGGGCCTAGGTAGGTGTCAACTTGGGACTGCGGCCACGGAGGAGAGTACACGTACCCAGGGACATCCGTAATTTACGTAAACTGCGTACCTATCTTTCTCGGGAGGATATTTGGCACCTGGCTCTGTGGAGATGAAGTCGCGGAAGCTGCTCTCTTTTCGACGGAAGTGACCGTCAGTGTCTGCGTGAGCATGCGTTGGGCGCTGTGGTCCGGTTAGCTGCAGCGTGAAAGCTGATAAATCGATGTCTCACTGAATCTCCCATGGTAAGGCCTGGGAGGTTTCGAGTTTTCCTAGCTTGTAAGTTCAATTGAAGGCTAGAAGGAGTAGAAAATGTGGAAGCTCGAAGGTCTGATTGACAGTCAAGCCGCTGAATCGAGGTGGCAGCTCGACTAGGTTACGCAGCACAGTCAATTATACGCAGCGCGGAACGACACGTAGTGGCACAGATTACCGACATAGCATGAGAAAGACGAAAAGAAAGCGAGGTGGTTTTGAAACTCAACTGTGACTCTGGTTGCGCAGGTCGTCTTGTCGATAGTGCATTCAGCCGTGTCTCAGCTGCAAATACGGTGCTTACTCGATCTTGTCAGGCCTCAATTCCGCCCCGCAGAGATCATAGCCACAGTCCAGCTTCGTTGCACGTGAATGACTGGCAGCCCGAGTTTCGGAGTCCGTGTTCGTCTCGATCTGGATTCTGAGCCATTCGTATAGCTTCAGAAGAAAGCTTGGATCCGAGGCGCTTTGGGGGCGGCGCATGATGGTGCATCTTTGGTTCGGTAACACATTTTGCGAGGTCTTGAGCGGCCCCCATAGGGACCGGCTCCCTAAAATCGACGTCATCGAGTTCAGCTTGGCAAATATCACCCAGAATTGAGAAATCGAGGTTGAATTTTCCTTGGCCTTTTCAGATTGTCTGTGGAACAAGGTGGACAACGAATGTGCTTAGGTATTCTTGCGGAGATCAACGTCACCAGCGCGCCTTCGCACGTCTGGCAATCGTGTGTAGCGTGTCCGAGACCGAGTACATTGCTGATCGACCGGCAGTCGAGATGTCATAAGTCGGTGGAAATGCTCCTTTGTACAGACGAAGAACCATTTCTGTACGCAAGACATATCACTTAGGCCTCGTCATTACCCCATGAGCCTGCCAACCCCGTGGCCAAGATCTTTAGGCGAAAGAAAGGCCGCTTCATCAGGGCGAAGCTGAGGTCGATACCGCATCGATGAAGCGGTGTCCATAACGACGCCTTAAGACATCGTCTGGCGAACTCGAACGCAATGTTACAGCTGCATCTAGTCGCTTCTCAGGCAATATATCCCGCCGGCATGCACATCGCAGGGAAGAAGACTTTGTGCCATCATGCTTGATAAAGAGGCCTCTGGCACTCTGCAGATTTATCAATAACGGCCCAGGTGCGACTCGCTTAAGACTATCGCTACCGAGCTTGCAGAAACAGGAATCATCGGACTTCCAGAGACAGTTCTTAGCAAACTGACTCATGCATGTTCACATTCACCTATCGTACTAAGCTTCGAGATCGGTAACGATGCCCCATACGGAATACTCGGTGCAACATTCCCCAGTGGAAGAATGCAAGCCTTTGACCTACCGTGCTTACCCCAACCGGACTTGTTCTTCCGCTCCGGATTTTTGGTGCTCCTTCTGGTGACTGACACTGGAGGAGATTCAGTGGCCACGTGCTGAGCCAAGATCGTGACGGGAGTCTGCCCAGATAAGGTACTTGGCTGACAGATGGCTTGTCGCTTCCACCTTCGTTTCAACAAATGCTACGAGGATTTTGGAATCGATTGCCGACCACTATAACCAACTGCAGCGTTAACGAGGAACAAGCCGCTCAACTCCCAAGAGGGATTCGTCGGAAACGTTCTCCTGGGAATGACGATCTGGATCCGGCTGCTTATGGGGAACTCGAGACCCTGCATGAGGAGTCGTTCACTTCGTGAAAATGGGGCCTGGCAGATGTGCAACTTTTGTATCCGGAAGGTCGGTGTATTTATGTTGGCCAGTGCTTTCATCTTACCTGAAATGGTGAATGCTCTAGCTTTCTTTGGTTGGCTGAGGGGAGAGAATCGTTGAAACATATGTTGCGGTTCACTGCAGGGTACCTAGCTCATCCGTGCTCTTCCACAAGCACCGTATGTCGGGACGTTGGGATGCCTAATCTGCCTTTGGCCAAGAAGGGACTGTTGTGATCGGTTATCCAGTCGTAGCTCTTGGTCGTATGTGCCGCCCGACACATGAGTCCCAAAGTGTGACGACAACTGACCCTCCCCACGCTCATATCACTCCGTATCACATCTAAAGCAAAGGGGTGATAACAGTGTTGCATGTTTGCGCCCCCTGTTTGGATTTGTCAAACGATATCGGCGCCGTTATCGACGAGGACATTGATAGATAGTCTATCTTATCCGATAAGGCGCATATCGCGACATCGTCCCTCCGGCGAAGGAGATTTGCGCCCCGTCGGATTGACACAGACATCGGAGCCTTGCGACAATTCTCATCGGTTCTCCTTTTCGCTTGGGACTCGGATCCAATCCTGCGTCGCGGATTCGAAGAGTGTAAGCGTTAACTCGCGCCGAGAACCGGATAGCATCCTCTTACACGTATGACCCATAGATCTTCTGGGTCACTGTTCTCCTCGATCTAACAGATTTTGGTCCTGTTCCTTTCTGATCGTCAGAATCATGTGGCGCCGTGCTCCTGCAGAGGACCTCCAATGTCGGCTAACAAGGCTGTGGGGTTTGCTGCACATTGCTTCGGCTGCTGTCAGATTGGTCGACCCCACCATCAATTGAGCCTGTCGAAAGACGAATGCGCATTACTTATGAAGAAGGACGAACAAAGGCATGATCTGCGATGGAGATACTCTGACTGTGTTGACATTTATTACCTTGTAGCCTGCTAGGTTGTGGGAATAATTGCAACGTTCGACAGGGTATATAAGGAAAAGGTTCCAAACCCAGGCGACTCCATAACTCCAGCTCGCTTGAGCTTAGGGAGCCTTTTGAGCCGCCTTCTAGTTAAGGTAGTTAGTCTTGGACAAGCTTGGGTTCGCCGGGACGGTCCCTGTAGATGGGGGCGGTCAAGACTCAAGTACGTAGTACACAGTACAAGTATGCGTAGCGGGGTGAACAGAGTTGGAGCGCAACAAGAGCTTTCCAGAGCCATGCTAGCCCTAAGATAACTTATGATTTTAGCCTAGCACGGGCACTCACGGGTAGCTTTCCGCCCGTAGCTCGCGCGGTCTGGTAGGAAGCAGCTAGGTGGAGAGAGTTAATAATGCTGAATAACTCGAACTTGGAGAAGACCTCGAGCACAATTGGAAAATGTATGGAAGCATATGCCACCGACCGGATAAATGACTTCCGCCAACGCTGGTCATCATCGTCGCCCTCTTCAGGGAGTTTTGTCATGGCTTTGGATGCCTGGGTACCTTAGGTATCACTCATACAAGAACGGAAGGTGCTGCCGTTCCTCCCACGCCTCTCGCAACAGAGTTTTGTTCGAGTCGGCAGAAACAGCAGCAGCGAGAGTGACTAAAGAACAGACGAAGTTGCATTAACCAGTCGCAGCAAAGTAGGTACCTGGGTACATGCGCAAAGGGTAGAATTGGTCACGCAGGGTGGGCTGTTCAATGCCTGGTGCAGCCATGGCTAATGGACGTACCTACCCTGCCCCTGTTCAGTCACTACTGCACTACGCTTTCCCCGTACTAGTGAACGGCCCAAGGTGCTTGCTGCAGGCGTTGATGCAGATACTCTCCGTAGTAGAGACGCTCACCTTCGAGACGGCATCCATCCCATACCGAATAGTCGCCTGAAAATTTCACAGCTTTCTCTCGTGTCCTCGCTTTTGAACTTCAGCACGTTTCGTTCAGCAGCATTTCCTGGACCAAAGCATCCTCATCCAATACTTACCTACTACTAGTAGAGGACACGCATAATCGTCTACATCTTCCCAGCGCATCTACATCATTGCAAGGTACCATATCGAGTGCCTCTTTGTCGCCCCACAAAAGTCTCTCGACCTTGCATTGCCTCTCAAAATATTTCCCTTGTGTCGACGATCATCGATCACCAAAACATTCTGTTGCACGCCAATTCTCGTCCTTGCTACCCTGCCCTTCTTAAGCGGTTGAAGAACAGAACGTCCCTATTCTTTCCTAGTCCTGTTGGAATCGACCCCAATCGGTTCCGCGCGGCAGGCAGATCATAATCTTCCCACCAGCCCGGGCATTTCCACACAAAAAGCCTCCCTCTGCGTCTGGATTTTCGTTGATCGACTTCGCTGTTGCAAATCACCGGCCGAAACTCCTTTAGCCCTGATTGACCACTTGGAGTGCCCACGAGTGCCTTTCATTCTAGCCCTCATACCCCGGTGGACACACGGCATTCTCCAAAAAGCTTCCCTGTCGATCGCTTCCCGCAGCACGAATCCTTCCAATTCGCCGCATTTGACAACGAAGGAACACAGCCGACGTCCGGTTACTGATTCTGCGCCATATCTTTTTAGACAGTGTGAACAAAAAAGGATTTGGGGAAAGAGAAAGTCACGAACTCGCCAATAACATTCCTCTCGCCGAAGCAACGTAAAAGATCCAAAGTTTGGTCCGCTACTACCTAGAACCTGCGTTCCTTGAAGGTCTAGGCCTGGAGCACCCACTATTTCGCCGACAGAGTACACTCCATCGCCCATCGCAGCTGCGCCTACCCGCCAGGTTGAATGCACTCAGAACCCCTTGCATGTTGAGATAAAACCTTTGTGAGACGTCCACCGGTACACAAAGTTTCAACTTCTGACACGCGACGTCAACATCGAGGACCGGCACGAATCATGGCGGGGAAAATGACCTTGTATAAATTGGTGGTGCTGGGAGATGGCGGTGTAGGGAAGACGGCTCTTACGATCCAGGTCTGTTCTGCCTGCAACCCTCGCATGGCATGACTTTCTGGCTAACTCTGCACAGTTATGTCTCAATCATTTCGTCGAGACCTACGACCCTACCATCGAAGACTCGTATCGGAAGCAGGTCGTGATAGATCAGCAGGCGTGTATGCTTGAAGTTCTGGACACCGCCGGCCAGGAAGAGTATACCGCTCTTCGTGACCAATGGATTCGGGACGGTGAAGGCTTCATTCTGGTTTACAGCATCACGTCAAGAAATTCATTCAACAGGATCCAAAAATTTCATTCACAGGTACAACGGGTCAAAGAGTCGGGCCATCCGAATTCGCCTACCGGAGCAAGTTACCTGCCCACTCAAATGAATGGAACTCCTACCTACACCGGCCCTGTTCCGATCATGTTGGTTGGCAATAAGAGTGATAAGCACCACGAACGGGAGGTGTCATCTCAGGAAGGCCAGGCTCTTGCGAAGGAACTGGGTTGCGAATTTGTAGAGGCATCTGCAAAAAATTGTATCAATGTTGAAAGGGCATTTTACGATGTTGTACGACAATTAAGACGACAACGACAATCACCTACGAAGCAAGTTGACCGCAAAGGCACAAACTACGGACCTACTCCTGCCCTGCGGAACAACTTCGACGCCGATCATCCACGAATCTATCGCGAGCATGGCCGGAAACGAGGCACTAAATGTGTGATATTATGATTACGACATTTCCAGCTCGATTTGACGAGATACTGGTTTCACGACGACTTACGACGAGTTGATGTTTAGCGCCAGCGACATTTTTGCATTTTTTTGACTGGATGCCTGCCTTGCACGCCTGCTCTTGTTGAGATTTGCAGGCTTCTGCCTGAACTCAACATGTCCGCATCGTGATTCGATCGACAGCGTCCTTGAAGACCTGCGAGCGAGCCTCATCCGACATGCACCAAGAAAGATCCAGCATGTTGCAGAGCCGCGCCATTTTGTCTGAACAAAATGCTTCAGACGAAGCCCGCATTATATTGCTCCTCTTTACTCAACATTTCTTTCAGCAGTTGCCACGTCGTGTACGTCGCATGTGAATACCTGAGCCCTTCTATGGCCAATGGCCCAACAAAGTACAGTGTACCCTCGACCGTGTCTGCATATGCAGCACCGAGCTTGCTTTAACAAACAATACCAGAATCGCACGGACAAGAATCTTCGGTCTTCGCCTCGGCAGTAGTCGGATCTACCTTCAGGGTGGGAAATTGAGCAGGCGAGCTTGGTCTGATGGAAAAGGTCGATTCACAGCATGCTCTACATTTCAGCCCTTTAGGCGGAATGTGCGAGTTGCGGGTTGCCGCTTGCGGGTTCTCTGCGTGGCTAGCAGCGCCAAGTCGTCTACATACTAGGCACAACGAAGTTCAGCGGAACACTGGTGGTTTTTGGAGCCAGAGCCTTATGATGCTCAGACTTTATGTTATATATTTGGGGGGTAGTTTGCGAGGAACCCTCCGGCCTCGTCCATGCACAAAGGAGGATAGATGGTCCAACCGCAGGAAAGGGAAGGGCAAAAGTGTTCGATCCTCGATGCGACTGCAAGAGAACGCCGGTCTAAAAGAATTCAATCCATGGTGAGTCCACAAAATCATGAATCCAACGCTCGCCGGCCGCTCACATGGGCCATTATTATTAAAGTATCTTGTCGCTCCGCTCGAACTTTACCTAGGGGCTAACGTACTTGTGTAGTTACCCTACAATAATAAGCCTTCAAACCGTCTCGTCTCCATAGCATAGTCCCTGCCATTCACACAGTGCTACGCAGCTGGCTTCACTTTTGTGGCGGCTAGTCTCCCGACGAATATTGTAAGCTGCGTTGCCTCGCACGGTAGCTGCATATCAAATGTTTAGTAGGTGCCCGTTGAGATGTGATTGGATTAATACAACGGAGTCATCAACGCTGGTCGATGCATGTGCCAGTGCGCCATACACGGTACATTTCATGTGGTCTGAGCTTGAAGCTGCTGGCCTGAGAAAGCACAAAGGACCGGGACCGTTATGTGCGGAATACTACCAGCCTAGCGAATGCTAACTTGGCTAGCTGTAGCAACAAGTTCGATCGGCACCATATCAGCGAAGTCCGCCACGTGTCAGTTTAGACCCGAGAGCACAACGCTTAGCTAACTGATGGTGCTGAAACGGTTGTATTTGGGATGGATACGGAGTACACACTATCGGTGTGTTTGCTATGGTCCCTACGGGAAGGCCAAGATAGACATCGTACTTCAGACTTTTCTTCATAATAGATGGTTACGGAGGACTCTGGACGAGCACTCTGGACGAAGTCGATGACGAAGATTCGAGACCATTTGTCCTTCGAGGCACGAGTTTCCCAGGGATAGTTGTGCTTGCCGAAGCAAAAGTCGAGGCCCGTCGAATGGGAAAGCCTCCAACACTGACCTTCGCTGGGATTTACTGACCAATATCTGCGTAGATTAGGTATGGCGTATCACCATTACTAACAGGGATTGAGAGAAATGAATCTATAGCCAGGCATTCCAGGCCAGGTCCCCACGGGGTAACCCCGGGTCAAACAAGAGTATGGACACTGAATGCTCGACTGCGAGCAATGATGGTCTGTTCCGTCCGGGACACGACAGGTCCTACTGAATAGGGCCACAGATACTGTATCGCCGAAAGCCTCGTCGGTAACAAATTGCGTCGGCTGGGAGTTGTAGATCGTGGTGCTCGCCCAAAGCGAAACATCTGCTTCATGCGAGCTCGCCCTGTCGTTCGCGCAGGGGAAGATCGGCCTGAGCATCCCTAGTACAGCCTATTGCATGCAAAGGGGATCAACCCGGCAGGCTTTTCCTTGGAGTTGGGTGAGAAGAATGCATGCAGAGCGTGGTCAATGCATGGTGACTGCACGCTTTAGAGGGCCACATCAAGTCGGCCTGCAGAAGAGCCAAGCTGCCGAATAGCCGCAGACATTGCCGACATGCCGCTGGCTCGTGGCAACATTCAACTAGGACACATTATATTGAGGAAATCAAAGATGGAGAAGGTAATGGGCAGGTATGAAAGCATGACTGGATCCGGTAGAAATGTCTGGCGCTCGACAACAGTAGAGGGTCCATTGCCTTGATTAGTCCTCTCAAGATAGGAGCACCACCGACACCATGCAAATGCCCTGGGGGTCGAAAGCTACTGTACCAACTCCGCGCTGTATATGGGCATATTCCCGGTGATTGAGGCCACAACCCAAGCTCTGGAGAGGACTTTGTCCGCAATAACCGAGGTACTGACATAATTGCTCATGTAGTTGCGCTCTTCCAGATCGACGCGATTAACGCCAAGCAGCCAACTACACTTTCTCTGAAGTCCGTTGTGCTGAGCGTTAGGACAAGGACTGATGGTTGAGAACGTGTTTAACGTGTCAGAGAGGTGAAACGCTTGCAGGCTCAGAAATAAGCCAATAAATGCCCCAGCTTCGTCTGCAACTGACGGCCATGCATCAAAGGAAAGGACCGAGCCGCTAAACTCAGGCGCCACGGATATTGCTACCCAACCCACACATTGGGGCGGTGGTTCGTTCCGGACTCTGAAGGCAAGCCAACCAAGAAAATGTCCATGCAGGTGATAAGAGCGCAGAAAGGCGACTGCCGTTGCGAGGGGTGAAACAGCCTTCCTCAATTGATGAAGAGCTCCTGCAAATCGAGTGGGACTCGCCAGCAGTCGCGCATTAGATACCTATTTGGATGAATGCTCCCTTTCGACCTGCCATACCTTCGCAACGACCGTCACTATGCGCTGGATGGCTGCTGCGTCAGGCACCTCTGCTAAGCCTTGAAACAGGAAGAGACCGCAAAAGCAAGAGTCTGAAAAGCTTTTGACCGCCACAGAAGCAATTCGCAAGAACATATCTTAAATGTCGTAGACCGAAGTGTATGCCGCTGGACATCCGAGAGTATAAATTTGCGGAAGGCGGTGGTGTCGAAGCGATGTTCTAGCGTGACGAGTTGTTGCCAAACCTAGGCGAGCGTAAACTGTGATTGTACGGCAGTGCCCTGACCAGGAGACCCATGTCAGCAATAGTATATCTTTGGCCGTAAAGGAGAGCATTGTGCATGCATTAAGCTAAAATCGCAGGCTGAGCAGAAGCATTCTGGGCAAGAACCCAATGTGGGCATTCAGCGATCATCACCTGAAGCTAAGGCGAGCAGGAGTAAATGCCGGCAGACAGCCTGCTATGCTAGCCACACGGTAGCCGAAAGCTACATCGGCTGTAGGAGCGTAGACTTGTATCGTACGGAGGTACGAGTGACCGTGTTGTTGTTTTACCCACAATCGTCACTCGGCGGCGTAATCAAGCTGGTCCTTGGAGTAGAACTTTCAACCTATCAGCACCTGTGATGGCGCACGGGTGTTCCAACGAACTTATGTTGGGTAAGTTGCTGTCCAACGGCTTTCCTATGCCGGTGCAGTACGGCGGCCTCAGAGCATTGCCTATGCACTGGCCTTGCTCAAAACAGGTAAGCATATGCGGCAAGGATTGTAGGCATGCAGTCGCAGTCGGTGTCCATTCCAGATGTAGGGGTTGATACCAGCTAACATAAGGAGGTTTGCCTCGAGGCATTTCAATAGCCGGTGTTGGTGAATAATGTTGCCTTGAACAATATGCATGGGTGGAGGATTTCCCCGATGACAGTACCGCCTAGGTTCCCCGGCTGTTGATATTGCTTGCATCAGTCGCATTCGCCGTCAAGACTATTCACACTTCTGAACGTCGAGCGGGGATATTTCTGTGGCCTCGACCCTTCTTCGGAGAATTCACTATATCCTGTTTGAGATGATTGATTACTGTACGGTTCGTCTCCCGCTCTGCTTCGAGGGCCTCAATCCGAGCTTGAAGTTCTGCAATCCTTTTCTCTTTGGCTTGAACTGCTAGCCGCGTGATTTCACGCCCCTTGATAACCCCCTGAGTGCGAAGATCGTGCTTGTTGAGAAGATCAACTAGCTCTGTTTCTGTTTGAGAATCCAGATGCGCATTGGTCAATATAGCCAGCGCTGCAGTTGCCAGAGGCGACGGGGCAGCTTCGGGTTGCATTGGCTGTGCTCGTCCCCGAGCAGGAGTATAATTGGGAGACAGTAGCCCAGTTCCCCCCGACTTGTGCGAAGTGGACGGCGTTGCGAAGACATCGTCGCTCAAAGGCCAAGTATCCTCAGCAAGGCCGGATTGTTCAGCCATCTGACCAAAAGCTCTTTTGCCCGGAGAAGCGGTGGACTGTGTTCTGGCAGCCTTCTTGGGTGTTTCGAATTGTGGTCTCTCCTTCAGCACCTGTTGTTCGGCTTCGAGTAGGGCCTCATCGTTGCTGGAGGACCAGTCAAAACTTGAGTCTTCGTCCGCCTTTGCAGCCTTGGTATGTTCATGTGGCTCTTCCTTGTGTGTTCCTCGTCTACTAGCACCAGTGTCTGGAGTCGGCGGGAGGGTGTTCCGTCTCGGCTTCTGGGGGGTTTGAGGCGGCTTTGGAGGCTCTGAACGAGAATTGTTCAAGACTGCTGCTTCCTCTCGTACTTTGGCCTCATCTGTCCAGAGAAAGAAGCTGCATCGTTTGTGCTGTGGTTTCTGGCAGGTATAGACTTGAGATCACATCAGAATATAATATTCGGTCCTGATTCTGGGTGAACTCACACCACCTTCCATGGTTCTTGCCGCCATTCTTCGTTTGGAACTTGTCCGCAGGCAGACGTGGTTCACAGTCGCAATGCCAGACTCCGTCTAGAAACAAGCCTCTCTTGCTTGTCCGGCCATTTCTAGTGTGGTAAGAGTTGGCCATTGCCTTTCCCAGCATCGGCCGGTATCGTGGTCATGAGGATCTTGCAGGTGACAGCAGAGGCTTCGGTTTGTCGACGTGAGTGACGCAGGTGGAGTAGGCAAAAAAGACTGGGAAATGCAGGGCAACTGGGGGCTCACTAGGCTGCACTAGGCATGTCCCATAGCATCTCAATTAGCTTGACCACCGTTAACTAAGGGCTACTAAGCATCGGCTTCGTTTCCAATCCCAGAAATGCCTGCGTTCAGCGATCTCTTCGCGGCAGCCTCAACGCGACACGTTCTTTCGTCGATTTTCTTGCTGGCAACTGATCGTATTACAATTATAGGAAGCACCCGGCTTCACCACACCACAAGACTCCTTCAATCCCATTGCCTACACCCGATCAACTCGATTACCGTCCCACCTGGGTCTCGGTACAGTCCGCAGCCTCCACGCTCGGACCGGACCATGTTGTCGTTAATCAACAAGCCGGGTTTCCTCTAACACAACATCAATAATGGCGCCTACAGGCGGGGGCGGAGGCGGAGGAGGTGGCGGAGGAAACATCAAAGTCGTGGTTCGAGTGCGACCCTTCAACACTCGTGAACTCGACCGTCATGCAAAATGCATTGTTCAGATGCAAGAGGCGCAAACCGTCTTGCAACCTCCTCCAGAGGCCGAAGAGCGGCTGCGAAAGGGAGGCAAGGGCAGCTCAGAACATCAGAGAACATTCAAGTTTGATAAGTCATACTGGTCTTTCAACAAGGCAGATCCTCATTATGCCGGTCAAGACCACTTATTCGATGACTTGGGGGTACCATTACTTGACAATGCGTTCCAAGGGTACAACAACTGTATCTTCGCTTATGGTCAGACTGGTTCTGGAAAGTCATACAGTATGATGGGCTACGGGGAAGAGGCCGGTGTTATCCCTCGCATTTGTCGAGAAATGTTTGAGCGAATCAACGGTGCACAGTCTGATCCCAACCTGACCTGCACTGTCGAAGTCTCATATCTGGAAATTTACAACGAACGAGTCCGTGACCTGCTGAATCCTGCCACGAAAGGCAACCTCAGAGTCAGAGAACATCCTTCGACGGGCCCCTACGTCGAAGATCTGGCCAAATTGGCTGTCCGATCTTTCAAAGAAATCGAGAACCTGATGGACGAAGGCAACAAAGCTCGGACAGTCGCCGCGACAAACATGAATGAAACTTCCAGTCGTTCTCATGCAGTCTTCACCCTGACTTTGACACAAAAACGTCATGATGTAGAAACCTCCATGGATACTGAGAAGGTCGCCAAAATCAGCTTGGTCGATTTAGCAGGCTCTGAAAGAGCAACTTCGACGGGCGCCACTGGAGCTCGTTTGAAAGAAGGTGCAGAGATCAACCGATCACTCTCCACGCTAGGGCGCGTCATTGCAGCTTTAGCTGATCTGTCCTCGGGCAAGAAGGGCTTGAAGGTGCCCTACCGAGATTCAGTCCTCACGTGGCTTCTGAAGGATTCCCTTGGTGGCAATAGCATGACTGCCATGATTGCAGCCATATCCCCTGCCGACATCAATTTCGAGGAAACGCTGAGCACTCTGCGATATGCAGACTCCGCTAAGAGAATCAAGAATCACGCTGTCATCAACGAAGATCCAAACGCACGCATGATCCGCGAGCTCAAAGAAGAGCTTGCCAAACTCAGAGGTCAGCTTGGAGGAGCCAGCGTTCCAGGAGGTACGGAAGAGGCATATCCTCCCGATACGCCACTTGACAAGCAAATGGTGTCGATAGTCCAAGCAGACGGCTCTGTAAAACGCGTTAGCAAAGCCGAAATCATGGATCAACTGAGTCAAAGCGAAAAATTGTACGAAGATCTCAACCAAACTTGGGAAGAAAAACTGCAGAAGACCGAGGAGATCCACAAAGAAAGAGAGGCCGCTCTCGAAGAACTGGGCATAAGCATAGAGAAAGGCAACGTTGGGATGAGTACCCCAAAGAAGATGCCTCACTTGGTCAACCTAAGCGATGATCCATTGCTGGCAGAGTGCCTCGTCTACAACTTAAAACCGGGCATCACAACTGTCGGCAATGTTGATTCCTCCGAAGCTTCGGAGATTAGGCTGAATGGATCCAAGATACTCGAGCACCACTGCAAACTGGAGAATGTTGATAACGTGGTCACCGTCATTCCCAATGAAGGTGCAGCTGTCATGGTCAACGGTGTACGTGTTGACAAGCCGAAGAGACTGAGAAGCGGAAATCGCATCATTTTGGGAGATTTTCATATCTTCAGGTTCAATAACCCTTTGGAGGCAAAGGCTGAGCGAGCCGAGAGAAGTTTGCTCCGACATTCGGTCACTGCAAGCCAACTGAACTCTCCTACGCCATTTCGGCCTGGCCATGAGAGATCTTACAGCGCCGCTGGGTCGGAATTCGACGATGATTCGAGCAGAGCTCAATCGCCAGGGCTGAGCAACGGAGCATCCGATTGGTTCTTCGCTCGAAGAGAAGCCGCCGGTGCACTGCTCGGATCAGACCCTAAGATCATGCAACTGACAGATGAAGAGCTTGACCATCTTTTCGAAAACGTCCAGCGAGCACGTGAAGAGCGACGTGGCCGACCGGAGGGCAAATCATGTGAGCACGACGAAGATTCTGATGATCTCAGCTCTTTTCTTGTTAGAGACAAGTATATGTCCAATGGGACAATTGACAACTTCTCTCTTGATACAGCCCTTACTCTGCCCGACACACCGTCACTGCACGGTGATTCTCAGGGGGATGAGGACCCGACTTTGACTCCGAGCCAATTTGACCAACAGCGGCAACAGGGACCACAATCACAAGCTGCACATGGCACTTCAGAAGCTGCTGCTCAAGCATCAAAAGAGGCCGAAGCAGAGGCTCAGGCGAGTGAAATGCAGAAAGAGCTTGAACGTGCCAAACAAGAATTCCAAAAGGAACTCCAGAAGCAGAAAGAGGCATTTGAAGCGCAGATCAAGAAGATCGATCTGGAAGTTCGGACACGAGAGGCTGCTCGGACCCCAGCGGGCTTCTTACCTCTAGATGCTACGGAGATCGGAATTGCACGTAATGTCATTGAGAAGTGGCAACAGAGAAACCATATCGCCATGGCAGAAGCTGTCCTTCAAAACGCTGGCCTCATCAAGGAGGCACAAATCATGGCCAAGCTCTTAGATCAGGATTGCAAATTTCAATTTGTGATTCTAGATCTTGGAGAAGAGCGCGGTTCCTCCTACGACCTCATTCTGCATGACATCTCCAGAGAGGACGACGATGCCCTCGTCAATGCTCGCAAGCCTTGCCTAGCAGTTCGGGTCATTGACAGCCAACTAAGTTGCATTCATCTGTGGTCCCTGGAAAAGCTACGATCGCGCGTGGTCAAGATGCGACAGATGCACCAATACAAGAATCAACCAGAGTATTCGCAACATTTTCGCTTGGACAACCCCTTCCGCGACTCAGACCAGCCATTATTCTCCTTGGTTGGAGACGGTAGCATTCCTCTGACTGCTGTCTTTGAGACCCGGGTCCAGGACTTTGTCGTCGAGATCTGCTCCCCTTCAACCAGGCAGATCGTGGGAAGGGTAAGAATGTCGCTGGAACCTTCGTTGGCAGAGTCGCCACCGTCGGCGGTTAAGTTCAACATCATCATGCGTGATTTGGTTGGCTTCTCCGAGCACGAAGGTAGCCAGGTTCATGCTCAAATGACCGTCTTGGGAAGTCCCGACGAAAGTGTTGCAACTACTCAGCCCATACAAGGCTTTGGTGATGGTCCGGTTCGCTTCGAGAGCGTCCATAATCTCAGCGTCCAGCGATCAGCCGAGAAGTCTGCCACCCTGAAGATCGCCATCTTTGCGCAAGTCAGCTCAACTCACCTTGACAAACTTATCAGCTGGGATGAGCTTCGCGAGATGAATGAGCAACCTGCAGATCACGAGACTGCCCATCGCTTGTCCGAATCCGAGTACAGTATTGAGGAACGACATGATGTGTTTGCCAAGGTCCAGATGCTTGAACTCGCTGAGAATGGTCAATACATGCCCGTCGAGGTCTTGCAAACCAGTGCTGACGACAACGGAGCATTCCAACTGCATCAAGGGCTGCAGCGCAGGATTTCCATTACGTTGACTCACTGCTTCACCGAGAGTCTACCGTGGGATGAGTTGAAAAGCCTTCGCATTGGCGAAGTTCATTTGATTGATTCTTCTGGTCGTGTCACTGACATTGGCTCGGTTACGCCCGACATTGCGCTCAAACAAATTCAAGAACCAATGATCAGAGACAATGCCGATGGCACTTCCAACATTACAGTCATAGGGCAATGGGATAGCTCCCTGCACAAATCTCTTCTCCTTGATCGAGCGGCCAACGAACATTGCAGGATACAGGTTGCTCTCCGATGGGATGTAGTTTCCAGCCGTCTAGCGGAGCCCATGACATTCTCGGTCGACCAACAGCTGCAGATACTGCCAAGGTCGTATGTGCGTCCGCAGTCAATGTTCAAATCATTCTGGAACCAAACTAGAATCACGCATTCGACGGACGGACTGTTTTCGATTGTGGTTCGTCCGGTCAGTGCGCAAAGAGCTGCCGATCTTTGGCGACTTGATACTTCGAAGAACTATATCAAGGGCGAAGAACTTCTCGGCAATTGGAGCCCAAGAGGCATTTCCTTAGTCAAAGACTATCTTATTGCCAGAAGGAAAAGAAGACAACTACAGGATATTGAATCAGCGAAAGCAGCCCTCGGTTGGAAGAAGCTGAGTGTCAACAAGATCCGGTCCAGAGCAGCCTCGCCTTCCAACATGGATGCGAGAGAAGAGACATTGATACGGAAGTTTCTTGAGATATGGATGAAACCCAGCGTGGAGATGTCAAATCCCATCTTCGACACCTCTCACCATCCAACCATGGCAGAGACCTCCCAAGGTCAGAATGGAGGCGCAAGCAGTTCGACTCCAGCTCGAAAGCCCCGTTACCTAGCCACAGTCACAAATTCGCCAAAGAATCCCGTCTCTTTGAAATCAGGCTATCTGCTGATGCCTTCTGAAAGCCATGATCCAGCTTACAGCCAGACTATGCAGTGGAAGCGTCGTTTTGTGGATCTACGGCCACCGTACTTATATATCCATTCTGTTCCCGATGGAGAAGCGATCAACGCGATCAACCTGACTCACGCTCGCATCGATCACGATCCGGACTTCAAGCGACTACTCGGAAGCGGATCTATCCACAGCGTGGACGCCGAAGTTAGCGGCCACAGAAGAACGGGGAGCGCCGAACTTCATGGCCTGGCGCACGTTTTTGCGGTGTATGGTGAACAAAACACCTTCTTATTCGCAGCGCGCAGTGAGAGGCAGAAAGTGGAATGGATTCTCAAGATTGATCAAAGTTATTTCGGCACAGAGGTCGAACAAGAAGAGTTGTGAACTTGGACGAAGTGATTTGTTCTGCTCATCAACAGAGCTGGAGCGCATTTTCCCTTCCGGCCTGGCTGTCGAATTGGAAACTCAAAGGAAATGGGACACGATGGTTGTATAGATGGTTGCCTGTCTGCGATGAGCAGCATGTGCTTTGTTTTGCTGTCAATTTTCTGATACCCCGGGAGCATTGACCTTCCCTCTGATGTGAAATTACCTTGAAGAAGTGCGTTGATGTTTTTTGAGCTCTGCTACAGGGAGATGCAGATATGAATATACATATTGACAGTTGGATCCAATCTTTTGGCCGACTCTGATGGCAGCACTGGCCCCTCCTTCCCTTCCCTTTCCTCTCCTCTCCTCTCTTCTTCTCTCATACGTGATGGGACCGAATGTACAAACGGTGAGGTGTGCATACTGACGTTATTAAACGCCACGAAACGCCACGAAACAGCCAAGGCAGAACGACAACTCCACACTGATCTCACAACTCCGGGTCTCAATTCACTCATTCACTCGCCGTTGCTCAATTTGATTTCTCGGCAGCCGTTTTCTTTCATCATCTCTGACGAGAGACAGCAGAACCTAGATCTCTCAGCGACCCCTGGTGGTGCTTGTGCTTCCCGTGGTCTAGTGATAGAACAGCGTCCAATGACCGCCGAGGTTGGGACGGCACGGTTCAGCTGAAGGGCGCTGTGCGCATTATGTCATTATCGACATCAAAACAAGTCCCCATCAACTATGACAGGCTGGATGGCCGCTCCAGCAAGGTGACAAACACGAACGACGACATCACTCAGCAGATCGGATGGATCCCTCGATCCTGCTACCCTCTAACGAGCTGGTCTTGCCCGTTTCATGGAGCCACCATTGTGCGCCATATCCAGCTGTCTGCTTGGGCCCTTCTGCCTTATCGTGCTTGTTCACCCCTGTTTACGGAGTATACTCGAGCACAAATCCAATAGCTCGGTAATGCATCACGTCCCGTGTCACGGTTCGCTGGGCCAATTCCCATTTTGGAGCGATTGACAGGGTGAACAGGATCCCTTGCTTAACGTACTCGGCCAGCACTCACTGTGTTGTCCTGTTTGTGTCCGTGATACCGCGTCCTTTTCCGCTGAGAAACGTTTTGACATCACCGTGTGTCACTCGATTCTCGCTTTGCGCATATTACCTCGTCTTTCTTTGCCTGTTCCTTCTTGATCTAGCAGGCCAGCCCAGCCAATTTCGGTACCTGTGCAAAAACCAAAGGACAACTGCACCGAACATGCCTCGATCCTTCCCTCCCTCATCTGTCAAGAGACACAGCGGGCGCCGGTCGAGCGACACAGCACGCGACCGCGATGTTCGCCATCGTCCTTTTGCTGGCGAAGAACAAGATCGCCAGGAACAGTCGAAATGGAAAACGATGAGACAACACTTTATCGCCATGAGCGGTGAATTCGTGGGCACTCTCCTGTTCCTGTGGTTTTCGTTCGCCATTGCACAAACCGCCGCAATGACCGGAGGAGTGGCCGGAACGTCTTCTGAGATCGTCCTCACAAGTTTGGGATTCGGGTTCTCACTGCTCGTTACCGTTTGGGCCTTTTACAGAATCTCGGGTGGCTTGTTCAATCCTGCTGTAAGTTTTGCTCTCCTCGACCTGGCCGTCCTCTCGGCAACGCTCTTTACGAAATGCTAATCGACTCTGCAGGTCACTCTCGCCATGGTGCTTACAGGCAACGTACCATGGTTTCGCGGTCTATTGCTTCTTCCAGCTCAATTACTTGGCGGAATTGTCGCAGCTGCCTTGGTCCGATGCATGTTCCCAGGACCTTTGTCTGTCAACACGCTTCTGAGCAACGGGACCACCCCTGCCCAGGGCGTATTCATCGAAATGTTCCTGACTGCGCTCCTCGTTTTTACCATTCTAATGCTCGCCGCGGAGAAGCACTATGCCACGTTCATGGCCCCTGTGGGCATTGGGCTTGCCCTGTTTGTGGCAATGATGGCTGGTATGCGATCCTCCATGGACATACATCTACGTGCGCATTGAAACTGAAACTGATGCTTTGTGATCCTAGGCGTGCACTGGACCGGTGCGTCACTCAATCCTGCCCGAAGCTTCGGGCCGGCTGTGGCGACGCCGCATTTCCCTGGCTACCACTACATTTGTAAGTTGGAACTTGCTCGCAACTTGCTCGAAAGGACTTTGATATATCTTCGCGAGCACACAAAACTAACCTTGCATGTGCACAGACTGGTTTGGCCCTATCATGGGCTCTCTCGTCGCAGCCGGATACTACAAATTCGTGAAATACCTGAACTACGAAGAAGCGAACCCAGGCCAGGACGCCATCGACGAAAGAGAGAAGCAGAAGCAAGACGAGAGGGCTGCTTCCGACGCTTGATCGATGCATGTGGATGCAACACACGGCTTTCTTCCCACCCTCTTACAGGGCAGTGTCATGTAACACCGTGAGCTTCATAGCGTTTGTGAACGTATTGGTCGGTCCTATTCAGTGGGTGGTGACTATCGTTTGCCCCTTCGGAAGGGAAAAAGGTGCTTACACAATGGCGGCCGGTTCAAATGCTTTGGGAAACGATGGGACTGGGTATGAATGGGGATCTTTCGTTACGCCCGAATTCCAAGGTCGAAGCCTCCAAGTGTTACCATTGTCCGATGACGGATACCCCCGACTTCTGGGCGATGTCGTCCATCAGGTTTTGCTGTTCGACAGGTAAATGGGCGGGCGGCCAGACCGAGGCTCCCATTCAACCCATTGGGATAAAAAGGAAATGTACACGCCAACGACGGGAAGCTCTCACGCATATATTATGACGGCATATCTTTTGACGATAAACGACATGTTCAATAGCGACGCTGCACCATCATAGAATACGCGAACATGAAGCACACGTATGGGAGGCTGGATTTGCTATAGGACGAAATGTCTGTAACCTGTTGAGATCAATCCTACAATTCACTGCCATACAACGACACCAAACCAGGCGATTTGCGTCCCTACCTCTTTGGGACTTGTAACACTGCCTCCTCGGCCTCGAACCGAGACCCGTCATCCGATTCATACTACTCAGTCACGCTTTTACTACACCTCGTTCTCGATTTGGCCACCTCTCAGCTATCAGTCCATAAAACCCTCCGGTCCGTGCTACCTCGCAGTGCCAACTGTCGAGGCCGTGTATCTCCCCAAAAATTCGAGACTCTCTCATCTACCAAACAAGACCTGCGAAATACTCTTTGATCCAATTCATGTCGTCATTCAAGCTACTTTGATCTAACTCTGTAGCTGTATCAGGTACAGTCACTACCTATTTCAAGTCTCGTTATCCTCTTGGATATTAGACTGCTATGGCCGAGAATTACTTTTACGATTCAATGCCCCCAATATCGCTCGCGCTGATGCCCCATGCCCTGCCAGAAATATCGTATCATACCGTACCACGCTTTCCAGTGATAACATCTGCATCACCTTTGCAACTCGTTCTTTGCTCTTGCTTGCTTGTCGACTGTGACTCAAAACACAAAAAGGAATCGTGGCTGATCGTGGTCATACATTAGGGTGTGATGTCGAGTTCAACGCGAGATGACCAAATGAAACTCATAATCGCCTCAGTCCGCAAAGGTCGAAATTCCCACGATACTACACAATCGAACCCATAAGGATACTATTTGTTGTTTTGACGTTTCCTTGGAGGTGGTGTTTTTCGTGAATCCTGAAAACCGTTTTCAGAACACCATTAGATCCCTTTCGCCGAGTGTTTGCGATACCCAAAAATCGTCCCTTCTATCCAGGAGAGAGGATGCTGCGTCTAGATGACTCAAACATCAATCATTTCTGCATCTTCGGCTAGAATTTCATCGGCAGGACCCCAGTTCCCTTCAAAAATCGTGGCTCCCGCACGTCGTCGGGCTTCTGCAAAACGAACGCCTTCAGTGTTGAGCACGTCGGTCGCAAGAGGACGGTCGCTTGGATCAGGGGAAATCATCCATCTGACTATCCGATCAAGTGCTTGTTCATGTGACGGGTCAATCATGAATTGCGGTGGACTGACAAGCTCACCGCTCCGTGGGTGGTGGAAGTTTTTCTGATGATGTTGACTTTCCACTCCGTGTCTTCCGTCAGCGTCCACTACATCAACGTCACATTGGTCGGGGTCTTGTTCGATATCGAGAGATGAACCCTTGGAGATCGGATTTCCAGTAGCGTCCCGCAAGATGCCGCTCGTCCCAGAACTCCATGTCAGGCTGGGAACGTCGCTCATGTCGCCATTCCGCAGCTTCTGCCACGATACACCATTATCAGGAAGCTCGACATTTCCGGCAGTTTCGAGCATGATAAGACCAAGAGCAAAAATATCTGCCGGCTTGTCGTATCTGCCCATCAACACCTCAGGGCCAATATATTCCCGATCACCTTCACCTTCAATGCCAGCCTTGGCAGGCCATTTGCATGCCATACCAAAATCAGCGATTTTCAGAACCCCCTCGAAAGTGATGAGAATGTTTGCAGGTTTGAGGTCAAGATGGATGTATCCGCTGTCGTGAACATGCTTCAGGCCCAGAGCCAATTCCAGGAGCATCTTCCATATACGAAAATCGTCCAGTCGAGCTTTCAGGCCGACTTGCGCAAGGAAAACGTCCAGTGTTCCTTCTTCGCAGAATTCTGTCTGAATGTAGAGGTGACCTTGCTCCTCCCAGCTGTCAACGAAGGTGACAATATGGTCTGAATGGCCTAATGCTTTCAATACATCCACTTCTTGAATCTTTCTCTGACGGTCCTTGGCTCCGGAATATGAATGACGAGACTTCTTGACGGCCCATACCTTCTCCGGCAAAGACCCTCCCGACGACGGACGAGCACTCGAGACGGAGTAGATTCTATGATATGGTGATGATTCTGGTGGCTGTGAGACTCGGTAGACCTGCGAAAACTCGCCTGAACCGATAAGGTCAACTTTTTCGAATCTTGAGCTCAAGCTTCTGTCAGCATTCGAGGTGTCTGCACCGGCCAGGTTGAGACTTGGTCGGTTCGAGAAATTGGGGAAATGCTCTCGTGGTCCTGTCGGTGTTGCAGGTATGAAAGCACCATTATTACCATCTCGCCCGCCCGTGGGACGTTCGGCGCGGCCAGAAATTGAAAGGCGACTAGGGTCCGGAGGGAAGAATCCGTCAAGGGGAGTGTGAGGAGACAGTCCATCCGCCTTATCGATCCTTGGACTAACTGGAGAGACAGACATCATTTTAGTACGTTCCAGCGCGGGCGACGGTAGAGGTTGAATTGAAAGAGATTTCCTCGAGAGCGGTTTGGGAAACCCGAGATTCTTCGACATGCGGCCTCCTGTAAAGGAGGGACCTGGCACCGAGGCAATGTTCAACGTCGACTTTGGTCTCAGGTTGGCGGAAGGAGAATCCTCCATCACGCTATCACTGTCCCCATCGACATTTTTAGGCGATGCTAAAATAGGAGATAACTTACTGCTTGAGACACGGGTCCCCACGGCTGACTTGGGCATCGTTGGATTATACGGCAAGCCTGGATGATGAGGTGATGGCGAGACGGAGTCGCGGTCGTGAGGCTCGCCGAAGTGCTTGGTGGGTGTAGGAGGATAGTCGGATTCTGTTGACTGACTGGTTGTACGGACAAAAGGTGATCGAGTGGTGGTCTTGTCCTCGGGTTCGATGGACGCAAAACTTCCTTCTCTGATCAGGCTGTGCTTGTTGGACCGAGGCCCAAATATACCCACGCTTCTGGAGAAGGGAAATGCTGAGACCTTCGAGGCACCATTATGCATCTCTAGAGGCGTAGCAGGCGCTCCGAATGAGTGACGAGGTGCTCTGTTGCCGATAGGGTTGGGAGCAGCAAAGTTATCATCCGCAGGGAAAATCACCGACTGTTTCTTGCAAGGGGTGTCTGGCATATGGGCTTTCGGTAATCCAGCGTCAGGGTCATCCACGTTGCGGTTCTTCTTCGAAATCAACCCGGTAGACATGAAAGCTGCGGGCAGCGGTTTGGCAGCTTTGTAGTTCCCAGGGGTAGCGAACGAGCTTTGGGAAGAGAACTCGTTTCCTTCTGGTGACGGTCGTGATGCGCCAATGGGCAAAGATTTCGAGAAATCGTGAGATCGAGGTCTGTTCGGGCGATGGATTGGCTCATGAGTGGGTGAATCATCTTGCTCATCAGCTTGTGAGGAGGACTGTGTCAAGGTACGAGACAGTGGGTGTCGAGACTGTTGTGAGAAGCCGTTCTGAGTGGAGGTGACAGGATGAATCGATGCATTCAAGAGGCTTCCTTGGCTCGAGAATGGGCTTTCTCGAGGCAAGGGTTGATTATCCAAAGACATACGCAAGCCTTTCTTCGCGTTTGTTGATGGGCTCGCCTCGAAAAAGGACTTGTCCACCTCCATGATGTTAGTGTACTTCAGGTTACTCGATCGATCATTTTGTCTTTGTTGAAGAGTGGACTTCCGCAACGACGAGGATCGTTTTGGTATCGTAGAGAAGCGCGATGCCGACAGCGGAGTAATGGTTCCAAACCAGTCATTGTCATCTTGTGCACGTTTGTCGTTGAACATGCTGCCATCCAAACTGTCCGACTCGAAGATGCTAAAGTCCAGACCTGGGCCATGAAGGCTTCTTCTCTTTGCAGAGGGACTATCGAAATTGTCGGTGTCATCGGCCTTTGGGCCATCCGCTCGCTTCATGGGGCTTAGCGGAACAACCGTAGAGATCAGGGCGCCACCGCTTCGCCTCTTTTCCTGACGGGTCATAGGGGCTTTCCATTGAGGTGGTTCTTCTGGTGAACTGTCGTTCTCTTTCCCCTCTTCTCCAGTCAAGGCTTTGAGCGCTAATTCCCGGTCTGCTTCTGCAGAACTGCGCTTTCGGAGTGGCATAGATGCGGAGTTTCCACTATCGTTCGAGTCGTTCAGAGCTCGTTTTGTAGGACTCTTTGGCGATGTGCGAACTCGGGTAATGCCATGGCTCTGCGTTGTTCGTCGCAGAATCGGACGCTGGAAGCGCGAACCCGGTGTGGTGCGATTGTAGGGTGCTGGCGCGTATGATGAAGACATGATTGTGTTTTCACCTGATATTCTTCGCGAGGGAGACAGTGGTGACGACGAAAAAGGAACGTTACCAGGACCCGGTGATCGAAAGGGGAATTGACGAAGTTCGGAGTTCTTTGAAGGAGAACGAGATAATGACCGCCGTATTTCGCGAATGGCAGAATGAGGGTCGAAATGCGCAAGTGCCTTAGGAGAGTGTAGGTGCGCTGCTTCTCGCTCCTCACGATGAGGAGAGTATGTTGCCATCATGACGGAAGTTGTGGCTTTTCTTGATTCAGACCAGCACCGTTTTTCGGATTTTCAACCCCAGCTATTGGCCATGAACGTGAGCACCCCAGGTGAAACAGGATGTCTCGCAGAGACTTTCCTGACGTCGAGGAAGGAGATTGAAATAGTACGCGTGGTATAGGAAAGGTCTTCAATCAAGCTTCTTGCATAGTCGACGTGCAGAAAGGAAGGCAGGTGCAAAAATCGTCCAGCGAACAAGGGAAGGCGCGGTGGTGGAGGTGATGATGAAGATATTCAAGCCACGCAATATCCTCTCGTGCGCGACTGTTTGGTGGCGGATATCTTCGGAAAACAGTTGTGATGAACTGCAGGTAAGGAGGTGAGACAATCCGGCGAGATTGAAAGGTGATAGGAAAAGTGGCTGTCAGCTCGCGATATAGTGGCGGAAAGGATGCCTGGTGTGGAGGATTCGGTCGTAGTAAGGCCGATTGTTGACTGCAGGCGTCGTGATCGACAGGTTGCACAGCAGACTCGAATTGTTGGTTTGGTTTGCGTGTATCGCGTGTGCAGGGTCTTAAGAGGGCGGGGATGACGAAGATTATGTGTTGTTGTTCGAGGGTGGCGATTCGAGGGATGTGGTGAGACTGGTTGCGAAGGGTTTCGATGGGGGAGCTGCGGGAGGAGGAAGGGTTCAGGATGGTGTGAGTGGACGATAGAGAAGATCAGTCTGCCTGGATCAACGTTTCGTGTCTTGGGCAGCTCGAGAAATCCAACGGCCACGACACGCTCGCATGATTTGGCAGAACCTGGACGCGTCCTGGTCGAATGCCAAGCTACGCATGTAAACAAGGGACGCTTAGTGATGGCACTACGTCTCTTTCGGCTAGTACCTGCTACGATCCCGCTAGGGCCACGAGACAATGGTAAGCTAACAGAACGCTTACTGTGGTTGAGGCCACTAAGTGCTAGGATCCTTGCGGCACTCACGGCACCCTCGATTGTGCCTAAGATGATCACCATGATGATGCGGGAAATGCCAGGGTGTCACCAAATATCCCACAGCCACTCCGATATTCCCCTGCCCCGGTTCCAAAGCCACGTACCCAAAACCAGACGATCAAGCGATTTTAGAGCCACAACCCGGAGTTGCCATATTTGTTCATTTCTTATGCGAGATTGTCCGCAACAACGCAATTTCTCAATTGTACGACGGTAATAATAGCATCCATCCTTGAGGTCACAAGGCCATCGCATCAATTTCATCATATCCTGATACGCATGGACCTCGACTCCGAGCTGGCTTATCCTCCGATGCATCTAGCCAGCTCCAAAGCCGGTGCGCAATGGCCATAGCCTGGGGCAGACAAGATCAACGTTGGCCGCATAATCATCCGTCAGTCGGCATCTTCCATGATAAGACCAGCTGCTGCCGCTGCGAGAGCCTTGCATTACAGATTTGGGCCCTCGCATGAGCAGCCTCCATGTGTTGCTGTGGCATAAGCTTGGGTACGTTGTGAGGGCAGTACATGCCGAAACCAAGACCTTGGGAGAGCCTCTTCTTCATGGTGACCACGTCGTGGCTTGTGAGCCGTGAGTCCAGGCCTGACGATTCACCTTAGGTACTTGGGCAAGCATCGTTAGACAACATCTTGGGGTGCAAACTGCTCATCCCCTGTTTTGGGAGATTCGGCGCTCGTAGGCTTCCCAGCCTGCTTTCTGATATTGTTTCACTGCGGCCACCGAGTCCTCCGAGGCATAGATTCCCCTTCCTGCGATAAGAAAGTCGGACCCTCCCTCCATGGCAGTTGTTGGGGTTTGATATTGCTGTCCAAGAGCATCACCCTTGCTTGAGAGATTGACACCGGTGGTGAACACAACGAAGTCCTCATTTGGTGCTGCACCGGGTGAGTGGCTTGACAGTTCCCTGGTTGACACGAAGCCCATCACGCTTTGCGGATATTTTCTTGCAATTTCGACGGACGCGCGTGTATACTCTCCCACTGCGAGCGAGCCTTTCGAGGTCATTTCAGCCAGGATCAGAATACCTCGTTCCGCACTCCCGCCATCTCGGATCGTTTGGTCCAGGGCTTGAATGATCCCTTCTCCCGCCAGGATGCTCGCATTGACAATGTCGGCCCACTCGTGAATGCGTAATGCACCTCCTTTATACTGCTTTTGCACAGTGTTCCCGATGTCAATAAACTTTCGGTCCTCGAATAAAAGAAAGTTGTGACGTCGAGCCAGGTCAACTAACCCTTCGACTGTGTGCGAACCGAAATCGGAGAGAATGTCGATATGTGTCTTAAGGACGGCGATATACGGCCCTAGACCTGTATTGAACGCTCGTCAGATGACTTCCACAATCTCGTAGAGCGGTGCTTTGCAAGTATTAGGGATGAATGGAGCTTCGGAAGCCAAAAAGATTCAACTTGACCTTTTCCGAGCCGAAACCTGAAGGAGACCATGACTTACTGTCAGCAATTGCCAGTAATTCCTTGGTAGTTGTCAAATCTGCAGACAGCACCACATTTGTCCTCTTCTTCTCCGCGATCGCGAAGAGTTTTCTTACGAGCGGATTTGGATGGTCTGCCGCCCGCTGCCTGTAGGATAAATTGCTCTTCGATGTCATGACGGAATGCTATTGTCGTGTTGATGGCTTCACCTCTCTTGACGGATCTGGAAATTCGCGCTGATGGTACGTGTAATCAGCGAACCGCCTTTTCGTACCCTTGCAGTAGTCAACCTCCACACCAGAAAATCGGGAAAGTTCAGGGACAGGCACCGGCAACAGGATCCGTCAAACTAGGGGTCGGCGCCAGTTGAGTAGAGAGAGATATGGTTGGACAAGGAGTCAAGGAATAAGTCCCGATGGCTGGCGGTGTGAGTGGGAGGAAGCACAGTTGGAGCGTTTGAGCGGAACAGGGCCACCAAGATGCCACGTTGAAGATGCCACGGCAATCAAGCAGCACTTGGGTGGCACCCCTCGCACCCCAGGCAAGCCGTGGCAAGCCAACAGGCCACTGAGGCCAGTGCAAAGCCACATTTCAAAGGACATGACGCTGTTTGCCATCCATCTCCATCTGGCATCGGCATCCTCCTTACAATTCCGCTTTTCTACTCAGCACAAACAGACAATTGCAACTCCATCCACCCGTCATCACCGTCTACTGTGCTTCCCACGAGCCGAACGCTAAATACCTCTGCCCATTCGTTTGTCATCCATCACAGTAAATATGCTGCAGCCGAGGATCTGATTGTTTGGACCTCATGCGCTCGCTGATTGAACCACCCCGGCTCCACCGATACAACCGCAACCTGAATGCCTGGACTGTTATAGCGAACCCTCCCTTTTGGTTCCTACTTGCGCCGAACACTGAACTCGAATCACTGCTTCCTCCACCTCGGTCCTTGCCTTACTGCGACTTGAGTCGTTCGCTTTTCCGTACCAGCAGATCTACCCACGATGCTCCTACAAAGCCCCCTGGTCGATTAACAACGTCCGGAAGAAGATAGCCGGGGAGGAATTATTACAGACAAGAGAAGCACGCATTTCCACAAATCATGTCAGGACAGTCTGCAGAAAATACACCGTCCCTTGGAGCTGGGTCTGCGGACCAATCTCAATCCTCGCGTGACGGCTCTCCTGTCCGCAGTTCGCGCAATGTGTCCGCCATACCTCAACTCTCGAGATCCCGGAAGAATAGTCAAGAATTCAGTCCTACTCGGAGTGCAGTAACCAGCACAATCCCTTCTGCTGCCGCCGTCCAACGTGCACTGTCGGCCCAGAGACCCATGCTGCAACCCTCTGGCCTCGACGGCTTGGTTGAGGGTGCTCGCTCTTCCGAAAGGCAGTTGAAAACGAATGCACCCTCATGGCCAACATCTCCTCGTCTGAAATCTCCACCTCCCAATCCAAACAAATCTACAGCGAGAGCTACTGCTAAAAGAAGCGAATCGGAACCGACACCATCAAACACATCCTTGAAGCGACTGGCGACTGGTTCTCACCCTGACCAAACCGCTGCGATGCAAGTTCCCGAAAACCAAGAAACATTATTTCAGCATACCACTCTGCGGGCTCCCGGTCGAGGTCCTAGTGCGAGCGCAAGTGCACTAGAGACCGTGGCGGAGAGTAGTGTGCCTACGACGCCTTCTATTGGGCCAGTCCAGAACCTACCCGATCAGAAAATCGATGTGCCCATCCTTGATAAACAACCAGAACCCGGAGCAGACTCGTCAGCCAACAAAGATGGTGAAGGGAGTGGCGGTGACGTCTCTTCCAAGCCTGGTGGCAGCAAGGCAGAGAATGGTCGTAGATCGAGAGCTCCCAGTGGTTCTCGCCCTGCCTCTGACCTAGCGAAACGCTCCTCTACCAGTCTTAACGGGCCTAAGACCAAATCTACTTCAGAACCTCCCCGGACCATGACAGTGGAGACTGAGACGGTGACTTCGATGCCTCAACTGCTCGGCCCAGATCGAGGTGTTTCTGGCCGAGACGGTAACGGCAGCGTACGCACCAAACCCAGCAACGAAACAATTCGCCCGAAAAAGGAGAAGAAGAAGAGTTCTCGTAAGCCACCCTCGTTGCACGCTGGCACTGTCACCTCTAAAGCCGATTTATTCGAGGCCAAGGTTGCAAGTGCTGTGGACGAAGCCGATACTTCCGACTCGGATGAGACATTTGTCTATGAGTCCAACCCGCCCGACAGTCGACCACCTCGGCACCACTCCCGCACGCCCAGTGCCACTTCTCTGGCTAGCCAAGAACAATACGGAGGTCGCAGCAAGCACGGGGTGCGCAGCGGTAGTCACGCGATCGCCGGTAAGAAGAGTATGAAATTTTCGAATAGCACATACAACAATCATCTCGACGGGGACAATGGCCCAGAAGCCAGAGGAAGCCAACGCAATAGCAGTACTACCCCACGACATCATCACATCAGCCGACACGGACGACCTCATCACACATCGATCCTCGATACAGATTCTCCCTTCACTCAAACCAACAAGCCGAACTCTCCTCGAGCTTCTGCCAGCAACTTGGCTCGCCTTTCCCGGCCCAATAGTCCCAGACTTGCCAATGGACGCCTGACGGGGACCGCCCGCAAGGGCGAGCCTTACGACACGTACGACGATGCTGCAGACGATGAGAGAGCACCGTTGGTCGGATCCGTACGTGTCAACCGCACTAGGTACAGTCGGCGGCCACATAGTGCTTCATTCCGGCATCTAGATTATAGTGATGCCTACGACCGAAGCTACTGCGGACGTTATGGCGGTTGCATCTTTCTGGGCGTGGTTATATTTCTGATATGTGTGGGCATCACCACCTTTGTGATGGCTCTCAACCTGCCTTTGCTGGATGTTTCCATCAAGCATATCCAGAATGTGCTTGCGTCAGAACAAGAGATTATGCTGGATTTGCACGTGGAAGCCACCAACCCTAATCTCTTTGCCATAACAGTGAATGACCTTGATATCAATTTGTTCGCCGAAAGTGCTTATGTCAGTTCGGGCGCCGAATGGAGAGAAGGAAACAGGAAATTCAGATGGATTACCCGTCGAGATCCTTCCAGCCTGGATTTGATGTGGCCTCCTTGGGATTCGAATGATGGTGTGGATGAGGGTACCGATCCGATAGACGATCCCGAACCTGGAACTCAGAAGATGTTGCTCGGAAGGATCCTGGAATTTGACTCGCCGTTGGTGTTCGAAGCATCGCCCCTTCGCCGCAGCCACACTTCCTCGGTGGGAGAGATTCGGCTGGCCAAGCCTGGCAACAAAACCGAAGAAGGAGGATCGGCCCGCTGGGAGAGAGTCCTCCAACACCCGTTTGATCTGATTGTGCGCGGAGTGGTCAAATATCAGCTTCCTCTAAGTTCCAAGACGAGGTCAGCCAAGGTGGGAAGTCGGATCAAAGTATTGCCTGATGATGGTGATACTGGCGATCAGCCCGATGATGGCCCCAAACCCACGAAGGCATCCGCGGATGTTGGACAGCAGGCTGGATTTACGACTTGACACGAATTCCATTTGTAACATCACCATGGCCCCGCAGGGATGGGGCCATTTGACGACCTAGATACCCAAGAGATCCAAAAAGCAGCGGGTTTGCAAGTATACTTGGTTATACGATAAATGGATGGCGAAGACCGGTGAAAGCAAGGCTGCAAGGGAGGGGCAAAGTGCATGGGATGAATGGACCGATCCAGCTGCAAGTCAAGCAGCGGGACTATCGCATGTTTCTCTTCTGCAAGTGTCTTTATATAGTGGCCACGCTGGCAAACCTGCCCATAACAGCATGGAAACGACGGCATATGCCCAAGTCTCGTTTAAAACCACGCATAAGAGTGGTGAATCCTTCGTCATGCCCTCACCGGTTGTCTGGGAAGGCAGCGTTTACGAGTCTACCGTGTCGCGACCCCGGACACATGCACAATCGTTAAGCTACCGGTAAACTGACCAGAGACCAAGGCAGCGCAAGCTGATGGGGACGTCAGTTGGTGTATTAGTCGCTCATGGCAGGCAGTGCGAGGTCGTGACTTAGCAGGTTGTCTCCGCAGAAGTTCCTATCTCGCAACTCCAGAACTGTCGAGGTCTGACTGTCACAATTTCCCAGCGATCTCGTGCCAAGTCAGTGGGAATCATTTCAACTTTGACGATATCTTGCCAAGGTCTCTGTCTGGCAAGAAATCCTTTTCCTTTCGCCTTAGAAAAAGGGCGCATACGATCAGTGTAGGTACTACTGTGTGGGAGGCGGAAGTGTGGCAACCCAGTTGGGTGCCAGTCGGGATACGTCATGCCTGGTGTGTTGGACTTCCATCCGTGAATGGACTAGAATCAGGTTTCCATGCAGTCGACCAATACGGAGTACGTAGAGTGATTTCTGTACAGCACATTTTCTCTCACCAGTCTGCACTCACTGTGGCTCTCGCTCTCGCTGGCAACCCCTCCATCCCCGCCACACTGTTTCTTCACCTTGCCATTCGCTGCCCAACATCAGCCCGTTCAACTGACTTTTGTCACGCCTGAATCCTGACTGCCTGTCTTGCCCGGCTACAAAACTTACCGTTGTTGTGCTTTTAAGGCGGTAGTTCCCGGTCATATTGGCCTGAGGCAATCAAGAACCAAGCCCTGAAAGCGTCGGGCACGCGCCCAACCTCAGAGGTACGAATCGCCCCGTTCCCGCTTCCATGCAGCATCTGATCCTCCAGCCCACCAGCCCCAATCTGGATTACATACTGGATACTCGTCGCCTGCCAGCTGAACCGCCCTGCTCCAACATCTTCCATCATCTTTTGCGTCCTTCCCATCAAATCACCTCATCCGCCTTGCAGTCTTATCTCCCACCAAATTCACCGCTTCAAACCACAAATTCTCTCCCACAACTTTCCGTGCGTTATCAATTTCAGACTGCTTTTGTCCTCGAGACAGTCCTCCCCTCCCCCCAGCCTGATTGTGCCCTGCATTTGCGCTCAGCATGGGCTCCGTCTACCGAGACCGCTATGACGACTCCCGAACCTCCGTTTCCTCCGCTCGACGCGATGGTGGATACACAACAGTCAAGCGCTACGTGGTAAAAGAAGATGACAGCCGCTCAGCCATCGGTCGAGACCGCCGATCTTTCATCCCGGATCGTGCAGGCGAGCGAGTGGAAGAGACACGGATTGTCCGTCGTGAACGTGAGGTTGAAGAGCCCGTGCGCGAGCCGCGCCGGGACGACGCTCGCGTGTCCGAGCGTGAGCTTGTCATACGCCGTGAGCGGGACGATGAACCTCGACGAGACCACTATGAAAGAGATTACTACGACGTCAGGCGTGAAGATCCTGTGGAAAGAGAGCTTGTCATTCGGCGAACCACCGAGCGTGACGAACCTCGTCGAGACGACCTTACAGTCACAAGATTTGATGACCGAGGTCGGGATGTTCGCCTCACTGAAACTACTCGCTACCGAGATGATTTCGAAGTTCTCCCACCTACCCGTGGTGGCTTCGACGAACGAGACCTCCAGAAATACACCCGTACGGCGGAATACTTTAGTCCGCCACCCCCTCCGCCTCAAACAATAATTATCCGCCAAGAACCCATTATCATCCGAGAACGAGTTCGAGACGATGATTACCAAATCGTGCGTAAATCTGATGTGGAAGACGAGCGAAGCGTCGTCCGCCGGGAACCACCACGTGGTGAAGAGGACTTTTTCTACGAGAAGAAGGTCCGTGAGCGGCTTGATGAACCGGATGACTATTACGAGCGTCGGGCTCGGCGAGGCCGGTCTTTGAGCCCACATGACTCTGTTTCTCAACGAGGCCGCGACTACAGCAGTGACGACAGTATGGTCTATGTGCGGAAAGAGACTCGCGAAGAGGAAAGCCCCAGTCCTCACCGTCGTAGAAACCTTGCTGCTGGTGTTGTTGCTGGGATCGGAGCTGCCGAGCTTCTTCGACATCACAAAAAGAAGGAAGGGAAGGACACTTCTCAAGGTATTGGCCGCGTTGGCCGTGACGTGGGTGCTGGTGCGCTAGGAGCTCTTGCGGTAGAGGGTATTGAGCGGTACCGAAGCAGAAGTCGCCGACGTTCGCGAAGCCGCTCCTCAAGCCGTCATCGCTCTCGCTCCCGACGACGACGGAGCCGGTCTCGCTCCGAGTCACCATCAAAACTGAAGACCCTAGGAGCCGTTGGCCTAGGTGCAGCAGCTCTGGCGGCGGCAGCCACATTTGCTGGCAAGCGTCTCGCGAAAGGCAAGGAAGATGATGGAGGCCGTCGCAGTCGTTCTCGACGGCGATCAAGGTCCAGATCAGCTTCTATCTCGAGCCTAGAAAATGACCCGTCAGCTCCGGCCAGCGATGCTCGCAATCCTCGCCATCGCAACAAGAGGATGGCCGAAGCTGGTGCTGCCGGCGCTATCGTAGCAGGGCTCATTGAGCGTGCCAGAAGCAAGTCTCGGGCCAGAGACGGCAAGGAGCGCTCTCAAAGCCGTGTTCGGCAGGCTCTTCCTGTGGTCGCGGCAGGCTTAGGCAGTGCCGCGCTAGCTGGTCTCTACGAGAAGAACAAGGCCAAGAAAGAGGCCGAACTGATCGCCAAGGATGGACGTCGTGCACGTTCAAGATCCAGAAGCAGAGCTCGATCTGATGCCTATTATGATGGACCACGAGAGGGCGCTGTTAGCGATCCCGGACTGATCGAGTATGGCAACGGTCCGATGTACGGCAATAATTTTGGTCCAGATTATTATGGTAGGCCGCCGCCACCGGAAGGTTACTATGGTACTTCAAACGCTGTAGTCCCAGCTGCGGCTGCCGGTACCGCTGCTGCGTATGGGGCGCAGAGAGCGAGAAGTCGAAGTCGAAGCTTGAGCCGTGAACGAGGCGGTCGAAGATCTTCTCGCAGCTCTAGCTCTTCCCCTGACCGGCGTCAAAGTCGCCGCCGGTCGTCAAGAGATGCTACAAAGATGGCTGCTGCTGCAGGTGCTGGAGCAGTTGCTGCTTCTGAGTACGATAGACGCAAGCAGGAGAAGCGTGAGCGCAAAGCAAGAAGGCGTAAGTATTGGCCTCGGCATCAAAGATAAAATCATTGCTGACTCTATTTGGCGCAGGTCGTGAAGAAGAAGGAGGATATGGCCACGATCCTTACGAAGACAGCTACAACCCTAACCAGCAATATCCTCCTACGCCTCCTCCCCCCGTCAATGACCCCTACGCTTCACAACAAGGTTTCTATCCCCAGACAAGCCAGTTCCCGCCTCCTCCAGGAGCTGTACCACAGCAGCAGTATCCTCCACAAACCTCAAATCCAGGTGCGACGACGGGAAATCCATATGGACAGGCTTATCCACCTCCACCACCTGGTCCTCCACCAAATGCCACTGGCACCAATTATGAGGCATATGCTTCTGGTGCGAATCCTTACGCACCGCGTGGTCCTGAAAATGTGAGTGCCGTGCCGAATTTTACTTCTGGCGGTCCTTTTGCATCTGCCACTCCCAATGACCAGAACCATGTCAATGGTACGTCATAGTCATGTACCTATAAGCCCTCGTTGGAACTAGGCATAGACGAACTTACTGACGTACTTGGAACAGGTGTAAATGGGACAGTGTCTGCTCCAACTCCCCCGCCATTCGCCGATGCCGATCCGGCTGCGGCTGCTGCTCCATCAAGTTATGAACCTCCTCGTGGCCACCTGAGTCCACAAAATGCAGATGCTCCTTTGACTGAAAGATCAACATCTCCGGCACGTTCTCGATCGCAACCACCTCCATCCGGTAGAAAGAGTGTTCAATTTGCTGAAGCCCCACAAGTAACCACCGTTTCTGATACGACACTGGGAGGATCCGAAGCTTCGAGTCCTGAACGTCATCACGAGAGACAGAAGCACTCACTATCCGGCGGATACGAAGCAGGAGATGATACAGATTCTACACTAGACCAACTTCGTCGAGGAGCGCGTGAACAACCATCTCGGTCTCTTGACCCAGGTTCGAGGGATCGAAGGCACCATCGACGGCGCCGGTCTCATGAGCCCACTTCGTCTCGTGGCGAGCCAAGCAGTAGTTCGAGAGGTCCAGAACTTGAACGAGTCACAAGCCCAGCCGATTCGGACGCGACAGTCGAGCTACCGGCAAGATTTGACGAGAAAGGCCGCAAAAAGCCGGAACCAGGACAGGACCCTCTAGCAGACAAGATCGAGGAGATTTTGGCCGGGAGAGGCGCGGCCGGAAAGATGTTTGGCAACTTTTTGGATGGACTCCTCGGCCCGGATGGCAGGAGGAAAAAGAGCAGATGACACAATACAGATGTTTGCAGAAGGTACGACATGGTGACAATTGGAGCACCGCGCCACGAATTTCATTTGGTTACTGATTGGAAAGGTATCTTGGAGTTATGCTTGGTTAAAGTGATTTCCCTACTCATGAAATGACGAGCTGCAGAAACAACCAGCCATGATGAGCCTGATGAGCCTGATGAGCCTGATGAGTCTGATGATTACGACAAGACAGGACATGAAATAGATGGCCTTTAGAGATCTAATGCAATTATGAAGACGCCTCGTCGATTCTTAGATTCCAAGGAAAGAGGACACAGACCAACGACTACTTACGACCAAGATTGTACTTCCACAGCCAGCAACATGGCCGACTCTGTAGTGACATTACAGAATCGCAGATGAGATTGTTAAAGTCCCGAACAGAATACATAGGGTTTCCTGATCGCAGTAGCAGCAGCACAATGAAGGGAAATAAATGTCAGGTACGGAGTAAGAAGGCAAGCCTTGACCAACGGCGGTCAGTCCAGACAGAGCGAGAGCGCTAATTTGGAGTAGGAAGGGGCTCGAAATTCACGAAACGGACCATGTCTGCACTAACCACGTCGCAAGAGGGCTGCTGGCTGAGATGGCGCGGGCTTCGGGCCAGACTACGGAAAAGAATCCCAAAAGTCATTGTCAAGGTGTTGTATCGGCTGGCTCAGGTCGGTGGAGAAATCGTGGAGATCGATATTGGCAGGGTCAATAAATAATGAGGCATATTGTCGAAGAGATTATCGCCCAGAGATGGGCTCCCACGTGAGGTGCGAATCGAGTACTGGCAGAAGTCACCAGCCCTTCTCACCCAGGTCGGGTAGTACCCAGGTATAGTTGGAACGGAGCGGTCGATTTATTGATTCATAGTGCAAGTGCAATAGTTCGCAAAGCCCGGCAGGATAAAGGAGGGAGAGTGCAGAGTTTCTCGAAGAATATTGGGCGTAGTCTGGCGTTCCCATCAATCAATCATTCAAGCATTCCTTGGATATCAGCAGATCAGGCGGACCTGGTCCATGTGACTGACAGTCGCTGCAGAAGCAATGGCACTGGCATCTGCGACATGATCGCCTTCTGTATGCGAGACATCCGTCATGATAGCCATGCCACCCTCGCGAAGTTTGTGATTGAAAAGCTCTCGCCACAGCACCTTAAGACCGTATGACCCCCCGTTTAGAAGACCAGAGCAGCACCCTTTGTCTTCTTGTCACCACTAAAAATCACGAGTCAGCATCTCATCCGATGAAGTCGATAGAGGTTTGTGGCGTACCCCAACTCGAAGTGTTTGCATCGCTTCAACGCTAATTGTGCCTTTGTCTTGCAAGCTGTGCATTCCAATCTCAACACGACCTTCTTGGTTGTCTTTGCCTTCTTGTGGAAAACGGGCTTCGTTTGACCACCATAACCGGATTGCTTGCGGTCGTATCGACGCTTTCCTTGCGCGAATAGGGAGGCCTTGGATCGATCATCAGTTTAATGTTTCCCCATGGTATGGCGCAAGGTGAGTGCTACCTTTCCGGCCTTGTATTGCGTGACCTTGTGTTGGGTGTGCTTTTTGCAGGTCTTGCCCTTGCAGTAGGTGCGGCGAGTCTTGGGAACGTTGACCTGTAATGAATTGCGGTCAGCGCATCTCTTTCGAACGACATTCCAGGATCCCCATTTCAATTCTCTTTTAAAATCTGTGGGACTTCTCAGGATAACAATCCTCTTGGACTCCCGTGGCCGTGAGCGCGTTCACGCTGAGATGTTCCCACAGCGATATTCCACCTCTTGCACCGCTCGTCAACCGACGCCGCCTCCCAGTTGCCTCCTGTCTGCTTGGGATCGTGTAGAGAGCGGAATATGACGAGGCTACTCACCATCTTGGCTGATTGTCTGAGAACGTTCCTCGGAAGTTTGTGGTGTCGTCGTGGACAATGTCGACGAACAGTTTGGGCGAGGTTCAGTGCCTGCGCAGACAAAATGCCAAGACCGCACATAAAAATTGGGTGAGATCGAAGAGCGTAAGTTTGCCGACGAGTGGTGATCATGTGATTATCCTGGATCTGCCGTGTTCCGCTGGCGGCCCGGGAGGGAGCTTCAAGTCGTATGAGGCTTCGAAACATGATTGATGTCGCAAGCATCATCCTTATCAATGCGTCACGCCCGCCAGCCTTTCGCTCGCTGCCAGGGCTTGAATAAAGGCGATATGAATTTTCAAATTCTGCAATAACGCGAGTAGAAATCATGGCGAAAGTCGACTTCGAAGACTTGTCTGGAACTTCCACCCCGATAACTTCAAATCCTTACGATGGTCTGATCAATGCTTGTCACGGTGATCCTGTTCGCACTACTATTCTGCTGCCGGTAACCGTGATATCTGACATGTCACTCAGAAACTGATACAGGAACGTTATACAACGCATCGCTTGACTAGAAACACTCAACAACGGGAGAAGATACTTGGCCAAGATTTCAAAGGCTGGCTTCTCGATGAGTACCTTGTGAAACTGGAAGGACCACAAAGAGACGAGTCTTTCGTCGACCCTCGTCATTGCCTCGTTTTCTGGGGAAGACCACCTCAGAAGGTGAAAAACCTGATCGATGTGATTCAATCCAAGCTCAAGGATGCTGCTCCAGGTATGTCCCTCACCGGACGATGTTGTTCGCTGCTGACAGGACAGATCTTTGGCTCATGCCTCTCGAGAAATTGCACTTGACCGTCATGGAAGTTGCTCATTCGAAAACGCAAGACGGTATCGCAGCTCTGGTGGACGCGCTGAAAGCTCACAGCACAGAGATCGCTGATCATACCATGACCCATCGAGCGAGGCTGATAAAGCCTTTGTTGAGTTATGATTCAGCTGCACTCGCGCTCAGCTTTGTCCCCGCTGCTGGGGAGTCGGCGTCTCATGGCCGAACAGCGGAAGACGACAGATACACATATCATCACCTCCGGCGAGATGCATATGCTGCCCTTACGGATGCTGGAGTCCAAGTCGGTTCCAGATATGTCGTCCCATCGGCCCATCTCACCATTGCGAGGTTTAACACGCCGAATGTGTTTGGTGGAGATCCGCTGGACGGCAACGTTACTCTGGATATAAAGAAGCGTAAGCATTGGATCAACGAGATAGAGTTGATCAACAAATGGCTCGAAGCAGAATTTTGGCCAGAAGAACAAGGGGACCTGATCAAAGCTGGAGGAGAATGGATTGTGGGTGAGGAAAAAGGGCTCGACTTCCGCCATGGGACTTTGTGGTATGGCGGAGGTGAAACGATTTACTTGGGAGAAGGCTTTAACCACTCTGACGAAGAGTGACCATTCGTTGACTGCGTCCTACACGATTTGTGGTTAGAGATGTGCGGACTGTGAGGCTCTAGTCTGGGGAAAGAATTACCTTCGCACACGGAATCAGGTAGGTTTGGGATTGATGGGATGGGATAGACTGCCCAGGGCATGACGTCTTGACAGATGCCATTGGTCAGGGCGCATATGATCGGGGCATCCTCCTTTTATTAATGCAGTCCTCTCCACAATACGGATATTAGCCATTATTATCTGATCGACTTCACATCCTGGTGACGCTTGCATGACGCTGAAGCCCTTGAACCCCAATAATTTACCATGCTGATTAACAAGCAGTGCCTCATGTATCAACAGGCCACCCTGTCACGGCCCCTTACAAGTAAGGCAGAGGCAGAGAGCTGAGTCAAGTATTTATTGTGTGACTCTAGTCTTGATCCTTCCTCCCAGAACTCTATCATAATTATCTGCCTGCACGGTATCTATTTCCCTCATCACACAGCACAAAATGGCTTCTTCCACTTCTGTCAAGACCTACAACCGCGCCGCCTACATCAATCAGGAGGACCCGGAGGTCAGGATTCACTATGTCGAGTCACACCCTCCTAGCGGCCAACAGAAGAAAGGCACTATCCTCCTGATTCATGGCTTTCCGGAGACATCCTACCAATTTCGCCACGCCATGATACCCTTGGCCGAGGCGGGCTACCATGTCATCGCACCCGACAAGAAGGGTCACGGATTTAGTAGCAAACCCATCGGTAATATGCATCAGCAGGACCCGTTTACGAAGAAGTCCCTAGCCCACGACCTGCATGAGCTACTCACCAAATACATGGGCATCAAGGACAAAGTTCACGTCGTTGGCCATGACATCGGTGGGATGGTCGCACACGCCTATGTCTGCCAGTTTCCAGACGACGTCGCCTCTGTGATCTGGGGAGAATGTCCACTGCCGGGATCGACACTGTACGAGAATGAGAAGCACTCCCGACCACTATGGCACTTTGACTTCCAGAGCCACAACCCAGACATCGCCGTTGCACTGGTCCAGGGCAAGGAGAGGATATACCTGAAGCACTTTTACGACCGCCTGACGCAGAACCAAGCAGCTTTCACGCCGGATGTGGTGGACTTCTATGTGATGCAATTCAGTCAGCCAGACGCTCTGCGCTGTGCATTTCTCACGTACCGCGCTTTCGCGATCGACGCGGAGCATAATCGCAAATGGAGGGAGGAGAAAGGCAAACTCAAGGTCAAGAATATGGTACTCTCTGGAAAGGATAGCTTTCTCGCTGTCAATGCTGAGTCGATGGCCAAGGAGTTCTATGAAGATGTGAAGGTCGGATTGGTGTCCGATTCAGGACATTATCTTGCTGAGGAGAATCCAGATGGCTTTGTGGACGAAGTGCTGAAGTTTATCGAGTCATAGACCCATGCTGCCAAATAAGCTATAACATGACTTCAAGTAGGACACTTTCTCTTGTTTTCAAGAGATAGAATGCCAGCCACAAGAAAGGGTCGTTTCTCTTGCCAAATAGCTTCAGCCAATTGCACGCAATGGAAATTGCTGACCGGGCCGTCGGAATGGGGATGAAGACGATCGGTTACGAGTAGGTGATCGGAGTGTCTGAGCCTCGGCATCTTCTTTGGTGTTGACTGCGCTCACTTCAACGAAGCAATAATAACCATCAACATCACCACCCCGTCTTCTCCAGTTTTCTTTTCTTCCTTTCTATAAACTAATCACAGCATCTTGGTTGCCGTTGCATCACTGTATATACGCTAAAACCCCCACGAACCTCATCGCCCCTTCCTTAGACACTCCTAAGAAGCGGTCATCTGCTTCCTCGAGAGAGACGTCCAGGCTTGGAGCACGAGATCGCATCAGAAACGGCATATCTTGGTCCGTCCAGAGCTAAAGCCAGCGACCAAAAGACTGAGCGAGCGCAAGAAACTCCTCAACCACCCAGCAAACTGCGGGCCTCTAACCAGCAACCGCAGCGATAGCCTACCAGGCCCATCCAATTGCCGACGTCGCCCGTCCATACACTCAGGCACGGAAAGAGCGCCACAAGAATATACATATAGAATTGAAATGTCCAAGACCTTCACAGCCGCCGACGTGGCCAAGCACGATCAAAAAGCCAGCGATGGCATGTACATTATTGTGGACAACTCAGTCTACGATGTCACAAACTTCGTCGATGAGCACCCAGGTGGTGCAAAGATCTTGAAACGAGTCGCTGGGAAGGATGCGAGCAAGCAGTTTTGGAAGGTGTGTTACGAAAGATTTGCACAGCTCACAAAAACAACGCTAATCGGTGCGCTGTAATAGTATCACAACGAGTCAGTGCTGAAGAAGTATGCTCCCAAGCTGAAGATTGGCGAGATTGGCGAGAAGGCCAAATTGTGACCCCGCCACTCTGCGAAACTCATACCAGGGCGCCTGGTCTTAACAATTCACGATCTCTAGCGGAATCGACGTTGCGCTTGACGTTCAGACGCTGAATCAGTGAACACGGAATGTGCACACCTGCATGAAATCTTCTATCAGGTGTTCTGGACGCAATGCAGACTGTCGAAGATGTTGCACGCAGGCATAATCTCGCGTTGCATTAGATCGCATCGGAGTAATTTCCAAGCGGAATGGTTGTGCAAACCTGGATACTACCATGTAGACAAGATATATATATATATATTCATCATTTCTACTGGTATTTATGTCCATCTGAATGACCGCAAAACACTTTCAAGCATTCCCTCGAACAGCAGGGTGAGCAATGCTTCTGGCTAGGTAGCCGACTGATCACATTACTATCACCCTGCATGGTTTTTGACTGCACAGGAAACCAAGGTAGAGGAAGCCTTACGTTATGCCGCCGATCTGCTAGGCTACATGAATTGTGGACTTCCCAGCTGGGGGTCGGCTGTCGTTATTCAAATGGAGAATAAAGCTTACATTGCGGTAGCCGGATTAGTCAAGAGGCAAGCCTCTTTTTCGCATGTCTCGAAGACGGGAGACTGAGCCCGTGTAATGAATGCAGTCACGTCCCAATTCTTCGCTGATGATGCATTCTGCTTTCTTCGGTCCGTTGTGCACGGCGAGCTCAGATGCCATCTGGTCGGGACTACCAAGGCGGCTTCGTCTTTGTGAACGGTGATGGCTCTACACCGAAAGATCTCGCCTACCGAGACAAAGTAAGGCGCCAGGTCTCTGATTACCGACGCTGGAAGAAGAGACAAAGAACTCGGCAATTGCTCGAATCATCCAAGTTCCTCGAGAATGTCCCTCAAGATGACACGGACGATTCTCCACCTGAGTCATCTTCCACCCAAAGGCCCATCCTGCCTCCATTATCAAGCAGTCCAGTCAGATTGATGGGATTGAGCAAGATCCCACGTCTGCTAGAGATCCTCCTTCACAATGGGAACTCCGATCCTTTTGATGCGCTTCCAGAACAGGTTACAGCAACCGTCAATGACCTGCTTGCGTTCGAGCGAGACTGTGTCTACCCAGCTATCAAGAAGATGGAGCACCACATCACACCCAGGGAGACCACCTTCTCGAGCACGTGGTACGTCGAGACTAAGGCCTATTTGTACGATAGCATGGCCGTACACAGTTATCTCTCTCGAATCGCTACCAACATGTACATGGTCACAGGAGCATCGCCGTATCTTGACGCGGCGCATGAATTCAGGTACAAGGGTGTCACCGCCCTCCGCAAGTACCTTGACAGCACACCAAACATCGACGTGCTGCGACTGTACAGGGGTCTCTTGATCCTGCTATTCGCGGACAGTGTCCTAGGGGATAGGCATGCTATGGATGTTCACGTCGCAATCTTAAAGGACATCTTCAACTCTCACTATCATACCTTAACAGTTGAGCCTTCTTTCAATCTCCACCATTTCATCAGCATAATCTACCACGACGTCCAAAATGCTGTTATGGGCCTCTCACGTATTTCGTTCGACTTGGAGCCTAAGGGGTGGGTGGTTGGCCAATTCGCGCCTCTTTGGAACATGGTATCAGCGACTCTAGGCCCACACATAATTCACAGAGTTCGACATGTGGATTCGTCTCTCAGTCGCGGCTTGCAAGCCCTGTTTCTTGACGTCCAAGAGATCATCGACATCATTGTCACGATACGCCGAGTTCCCTCATTGATCGGCTGTTTTACTTGGTTTCATGCCATATCGAAGATCACATTGGCCGTGGGAAGGCTGATGACCTATTACGCGGACCTGGATGCCAACAAGGTTCTCTCCTCGGATGTGGACCATACAACTCCAGAACCACTCTGGCTTGCTAAGCTGGGAGAGGCCGCTGCTGCCTTGTGTGCCGTGTACTGGGTACGCGAAATCGGCGGCATCGAAAGCGTGTATCTCTCACATGATATGAGGATGTTCACAGCCAATCCGATTATCATGGCGAAGCTTCGAACGATCCTCGAGCACATGTACGCCCTCTTTGGATCCTACAGCAATTCCCGAGAGAGATACCATCCTCAACTGCTAGTCTGGGTCTTGTGGACAGGCGCAACAGCAGAAAAATCCATGCAAACATCAGTCGAGCCAGCCTACCCAGGCCCGAAGAGGCCTGATGATACAAACTGGTTTACACGGCGGTTCTGCTCTCTGACGGAGCAAGTGAGATTGACCTCATGGCCAGAGTGCCGCGATATGCTCGAGCGTTTCCTGTCGCTTCGGGGCCTCGACCGGATTGGAGACAACGACTGGTGCATAGAACATTTCGGAGCCTCAAAGAGTGAAAAGGCTATCAAGCAGTAATGTATGGGCTGACACGCGAAGTGCACAAGATGCTGCCTTGAACAAGCGTGCGATGAGACTGGGCTCGCGGCCATCCAGTTTAGAGGTTCACGTTGGCGGCGAGCCATGGTACAGCTGTAGGAGAATTGGGAGAGAAAAACAATAGCAGTACAATTTCCGTTTCAGCAAACACTTGCCAAAGAAGCCTCAATTTTCGTGGATATTGGGTTTCTGGAATCTATTGGGAAGAGGCCGTAGCTCTATCTTTGCCTCGAAAATCCAACCGGTCTCGGTTCATAAAAGGATTCCGAGTAGTGGTACCGGCTATCGGGTGCCCGTGTGAGGTCTGCGAGGGAGGTTCTTCCTCGCAAAGGTCAGCTTCGGCGGGCCATCATGCTGATGGCCGCGGCTCAACTGCTTATTAGGATAACCCTTATGAGGGAACGCAGGACGAGCGACATCAATTGTGGACTTTCAGTTTTCTAGCCATTGGGACCCTGACTTGGCCGGAGGGCGATTGTGTTGCCAGATAGGTTTTCCGAGGAAGGTCGTCTTTTCTGCGGTCTGAGCAGACATCATCGTGGCCGGGCCGTCGTAGTTTTGGGTTGAGCCGCACTGCAAGAGCGCGACACCGGACCCGAAGCCCATATGTCAGCGTCAATGTCATGAAGCCTTGTCGTTCCCTTCTGTCTGCGTCGCGTCCGTTGTCGTAGGATGACTTTTCGCGATTCGCGCCTGCTTGTTCTGTACGATGCGCAACAAATTCCGCAGCAGGACGACGATGGTCACTTTTCCGATCGCAGGCACGTATATCGATGCCTTCTGCTTGACATCGGCCGGGAAGTTCTGAAGTCACACCGCATGAATTAGTCACTCTTCCGCTCTCTCGCAACAGCGTTAAATCAACACCGAGCAACTGCTCTAGCCAAAAGGGCCGAGGCGCACGAGCGGGACTCCCTTTTCCTTACCTTTTCACTTGAGAAATTGATACACACCGCGCCCTCCTTGAGCAAGTGACAGGGGAATTTGAATTTGTCCCCCGGCACTCCCGTGACCACGACATCACACAGCGGCACACACGTCTCCAAGCTCCAGCCTTCTTTCTCATGGACCTCGTGCTTCCGTTTCCGTATCCCCTCGCCGCGCGTGAACAGCTGCACACCGGTGACATCGACGCTGTAGACACTTGCGCCGTCGTTGGCCAGCAGCGCGGCAAGCGGCCGCCCGACGACTTCGGAGCGGTTGACCACGCAGATCGTCCGGCCGAACAGCCTGTTCCCGTACGGCAGGATGGTGTTGTAAATGTGCAAGTACTCGAGGATCTTGATCACGGCCAGCGGCGTGCAGGGCAGGACCGACTTCATCGCCTGCTCGTCGTCCAGGAACCGGATGTTCTGATACATGTTGAAAATGTACTGGTGGCTCAGGCCCTCGACGTCCTTGGACACGTCGACAATCTGCTGCAGGTACTGGTCCTGTCGGTTGTTGAAGATCGGGTAGTACACGATGATCCCGTCGACGGCCGTGTCGTTGTTGGCCGCCATGATCGTCTCCTCGACGTCGTCCTTCGCGACCGACTTGAGGGTGTATGCGAAGCCACTTCACAACGGCACAACAGCGTCCCGAGTCAGCTCAATGGTCCACCTCAGCCGTACAAAGCAAAAGCACATGTCTGGGAAGTCTTTCCTTCCCCGCCTTCAATGACCCCCGGGAGAAATTGCTACTTGACTCACTTTTCTTTACACGTCCTCTCCGTCCAGTCTGCGTACACTTTGGCAGCAGGATCGGCATTGGCAAGTACTCCGAGTAAATGCGGTTTGCGATCAAGTTTGCTCAGACCGGCCTGGACTTCGGCAAGGAGTCCTTTGGCGATGGTGCCGGCCAAGATGGTCTTGCAAATTGGGCCTTCGTCTTTCGACATGTTTGCCGGGGCGTGTAGTGTTGTCTATCGCGAGTCTATCATGGTGGCCGAGAAATTCTGCTTTCTGAAAAGAGAAAGAATAAAAGTTTTTGATAGGCTGAAATCGGTCTCCCACGTGATCAGCTTGGCAAGGCTCGCTCACAGCCTGGCACGGCCACGGGCGAGACGGACACTCACGGGACTATCCTCGCTGAGATGCTCTCGACGCTGTACGAAATCTCTATCCTCCACATGATATGATCCTGGGCAGTTCAAGTTGTGCTTGCGCAACGTTGTATAGTTTTCTTCAAGCGCAACCTATATCTTGCTCTGAGCTTTGCCTTCGCCTCTCGGCACCTTTCGTTCCACTCCCAATGACTCAAGATCCTTCTTCTTGTAATAGTGCGGAGCCACCTCGATCAGCCACTCTGGTTTCAGCGGCATGCAGCTCCTCATGTATTCCTTGCTTGTCAGGACCAATTCATGGTAGATCACCCACTTCGGTTGGTTCTCGATGAGAACGCTGGAGGGATGGATATACACAACTTGCCCATTCTTGACCGTACGATAACTCTGCCCGTCACGTTGTAAGCGTGCAGAATGCGGGAAGAAGCCTGCGGTGATGGCTTTTTGAATCGGCTCCATGTTGGACTGACCTCCACAGGTCTTACCAGCATCTACCTCGACACGATCACACAGTCTGGCTAGCTGGTCTCGAACGTCTCGAGCTCTAGTCAGGCTTCGTTGCTGCAGGAAATTTTCTTTTGCCCATACAAAGCTGTAGTCCGAGTCCGCCCACTCATTGAAGACATTCAGCAGTGAGAGGTGGTCACCGCCATCTTTGTTGGTGAATCTCGCCCTCGCACTGTCAGCATGGATCTTCTTGTCTTTAGGTCGGAAGAACAATGCAGATGCTTCACCCAGCATCGCAATGATTGACAGCACTTCCTCGACACAGCCGTACTTGTCAGCTGCAAGAATCGATCGAGCAAGCATAGGATCCGTTGGGAATTCAGCCATCTGTCGCCCGATCTTGGTCAATTCGCCGGCATTGTTGAGTGCGCCCAGCGCGTACAACTGCTCAACTGCCCGAACGAGTGTATCCGTCGATGGAGGATCCATGAAATCGAAATCCAAGAGGTCATTAATACCAAGACTTTTGAGCAGGAGTACCACGCCTGTGAGATTTGTTCTCTGGATCTCGGGTGTGGTGTTTTCATCGAGCTCGTTCTTGTATGCTTGGGCTGTGTATAAGCGGAAACACTTTCCAGGACCAACTCGACCTGCTCGACCAGCACGCTGTCCCGCCGAAGCACGGCTGCAGGGCACTACGACCAAGGACTCCATGCCTGTGCGAGGATTGTATTGGTTCTCTTTGACGAAGCCTGGGTCAATAACATAAACGATTCCGTCAATGGTCAAAGATGTCTCGGCGATGTTGGTGGCCAAGACTACCTTTCTCGCTCCTGGGGGAGTCGGCTCGAAAATCTTTGCCTGCAGGTCCGTGGGCAAGTTGGCATATATAGGACATATGATCATTTCTTTGACCTTGCTTCCCAATTTGCGGGCCGTTTCCTGCAAGCTCGCTTCCATAGCTTCAATCTCTTCCTGGCCAGTCAGGAAGACCAATATATCGCCAGGGCCCTGCGTGATGTGAATTTGGAAGACCGTGGTAATGGCGGCGGCGAGGTAGTTGGCTTCGGGTTGAGCTGTGTAGTGGACGTCAACAGCATATCTTCGACCGGGAATATTGAATATGGGCGCGTCATTGAAATATTTCTGGAACTTCCTGGCGTCCATTGTCGCTGAGGAAATCAAAAGTTTCAGGTCTGGCCTGGCTCTTGCAATGTCCTTCAACAAACCACAAGCGATATCCGTACTCACAGTCCGCTCGTGCGCTTCGTCAATCATGAGTGCTGAGTATTCCGACAATTCGGGGTCAGTGAGCAGTTCTCTCAACAGCATACCGTCTGTCATGTACTTGAGTACCGTCTTTTCAGACGTGTTGTCCTCGAAACGAATGGCATAACCAACTTCGTTGCCGAGCCGCTTGCCCATTTCCTCAGCCACACGTGCCGCAACGGACATGGCAGCGACTCTTCGTGGCTGTGTACATCCAATTTTCATTCCACCCTTTGTAAAGCCGGCTTCGTGAAGGTACTGTGGTAGTTGAGTCGTTTTACCGCTGCCAGTCTCACCGACAATGATCAAGACCTGATGATCCTTTACTGCTTGGATGATCTCGTCCCGGAATTGGTAGATAGGCAAGCTCTTCCTGGTTTCTTCGATACTCTTTGCTTTTGCTTCGGCTGCGCTTAATCTTTGGGCCATCTCCCGCTGCTCTCGAGTCATTCCCTTGCCCATCTCTCCGCCTAACGTTTCCGCCATGACGAACTTCATCTGCTGGCTCTCATCGAAGACATAACCATAGTCCCCTTCATCGACAAATTCGGCCTTCTTGATCTGCGCTTCGGCCCGCTTCGTCTGCTCCTTCTCCCATTCCTCGTGCTCTGTAACATAGCGCTCTCTCCCGACCTCATCCCTATCGACGTACCGCTGATAGAGAGCCTGCTCTTTTTTCCGCCGATCGATCTTGCCCTTTTCCGTGATGTAGTCCTCAGGCAGAGCATAGCCATCCAGATGATCATCAATGTTCAGTCTCTCCTCTGCCAGGCGCAGGACCTCCGCATTCCGTGCAAACTCCTCCTTTTCCCGCCTTGTCAAGTCTGGGTTCTCTCTCAACTCCGCTTGCTCTTCGGCGACTTGCTTGCGCAGGAGGGCTAACCGTTCGGCTTCTCGCTTCTTGAGGTAGTCCTGTCTAGACCGTACCCGTAGATCTGGCATTGCCGCCACTCTTGCTGCTGCATCGTTTGCGAGTGCTCTTCTTTGAGCTGCGATACTATCCTTGGGCGCAGATCTGTCTTCTACCACCTTTTTAGACCGTTCCTCGTCTCTTTGTGCAAGCCTCTGCGCAAATTCGTCCCGTTCCTTAAGGTCTTCGTCTCTTCTTCTCTGAGCCTCTTCTTCAGCGGTTTCCGGCGGCGGCGTCGGAGGCCTCGCTCGATGGGAAGGCGAACCATCAGAGAGTTTTATCCTTTTCGAAGACGATTCTGCGAACTCAGGTTCGGCCTCCTCTTCATCTTCCACGATTTCCTCATCACCCCACCGGTCTTCGAAGTCAACATCGTCACGGCGTCTTCGATGAGTCGCGTTGCGCTTGTGAGACTTGACGCGAGGTTCCGTGGATGGCTGTTCGGACATGTCGACTGGAAGAATTTGAGTATGTGGATTGGAATTTCACTTCCTAGTGTATGGGCCCGATGGAGGGGTGCCGGTTGCCTGGAGGTGTGAACAACGCTTCCAACAGGAGAGCCTGCCGTGAATTCACCCGAAGGACAGCTATGCGTAAAAGCCTCAAATGGGCACGCTGTCAAAGACTCATCATGATAGTAGATCAGATCCGCCCACTGGAAAGAAATAATAATACAGGCCGTGGCCAGCGCAACAGAGGACGAAAAGTTTCTCCGCAATCAGGCGAGGCAAGGCTGAAAGTTGCACCAATCAGAACTCTCCTCTACCGGCGAGGCTTGCCATCAGCTACCTACCTATTAACATCGTGATATCCTCGATATTTATCTTCCGCACAAAGACGAAAGGCGTTCAGTCTTCGGCTGGAGCGTAAGAGCGTGACCATTTGTAGAAACGATGCGCTCTATCTAATGTCCATCTACCGGCCACGTTTAGACTAGATCAACCGCTTATCATTCGATCCGCATGTCGGCGCTCCCATGCTTGCGCAAAGATGGATAGTGTCAATAACATCCAAATCCAATTAGCTACACCTCTCCTTGCGACATCGCAACCCACCAGGGTTAATCCTTCGAATCCTGAATACCATTTTGAGGTTTACTCCTCATCCTCGTTGATATCGTCCACTTCCCGTAACCATGCTGCTCGTGCGTCAACTGCTTCTTTACGGACATCACGTTTCACATCATCCAAGACATTTGTCAATCCATGCAGTACTTCCCGCTTAAGTCCTATCAGTGGGTTTGCTCGGGAAGCACCACCAGTGATGTACTTCGGCATCAGTGTCAGACACCGGGTAGCAAGTCGGCGTGTCTTAGGCAGATTAACCGGCACTGCCTTCGCTGCTGGTTTGGCAGGACCAGAATGGTGCATCGATGCAACGCCAATCAATCGCTTGACAAGAGCTGGGATATGGCCGCTCTCTTCCAATGCCGATGGATTATTTGATATGACAACAGCAAGTGTCTCCAAAGTGGCTACCTTGACAAGTTGATCCACAATGTCCAGTGATTGCAGAAGCAGCGGCAACAATGTTGGTAGTTCAGGCATCACGATCGCGGATGGCACATTGGCCAGAATGCCGCTGAGAGCCACAAGGTAATTCTCTTTCTCTGTCGGTGATTGTGAACCTCTAAACGTCTCCGAGATAAGGGGTGTCAAGATCTGAAATACGCGCTGTGGCGCAAGAAGTCGGATTTGTGCTCCGTTCTGCTTGGATAGCACATCATCTGAGGATAATATCGTGGCAAAGCCCATCGCTGCTATTCTCGAAACGGCCTGCGGATACTGTCGTTCATCAATCAAAGCGACAAGATTTGTGAGGTACTGATTGGTTTGCGGGGCAAGGCGGAGTGCCAGAGCTTTCGTTAAAAAGAAGATTAATCGGATGTTGAAATCAGGAGTTTCGGCCTCGTCCATGGGTGTGTCCTTCAGGGCTGATAGGCGATCCCAAAGTATTTGTTCGACGAAGGGTATATTAGGAGAACCAACGTGCTTGTTCACGTACAAAGCCACTTGCACAAGGCAGCATTGCGTGATCGCGTGACTTGACGACTTGGATGCGAATGAGATAAGGTCTTGGATGGTGTGCGGTATAGAATCGCTCGTGAGCAGCGGAGATTGTATGGTTTTTGGTAGAGCTGCCAACAGCCAGGTCGATAAAAGGGCTATTGTGGGTGGTTGCAAAAGGTCGGAGAGCCCCACCAACCCGTCGCCAGAAGGGTTTTCTCTGTAAAGAAGATAGACGTTCGCCGCAGCTTGCTGAACTTGCTCAGGCATGCTGTGTCGAACAATCAGGTTGATGATTCGACCAAGGAGATCTAGTACATTCTCGTCTGTGAGAGGGCCTGCCATAGACTGGGACGCTCTCCTCGACAGACCAACCACAACTCTTTCGTAGTAATCACTTAGATCTGCCTGTGGCGCTAACGCCGCTCGATTCAGAACGTACAAAATGGTTCCCAGGATAGAGCAGGTATACGGGAAGGAAGTGCCGTCACTGGAGCCGAAAAGAGTATCCAGTTTGTTGAGAAGTCGTCGCATCAGCGTCTTCAGTAACTCTTTTTCAACACTGATCTCGGCGACACCTTCGAGCACAGAGCGAAAGTCGTTGGATTGGGCACCTTCTTCTGAGTCGGGCAAGCGCGCCATGAAAGCAGGAAACGCAATATCTGAGATGAGTCCAGGTTTGAATCGCGATATCTCAGCCAATGCACTCATTGCCTTCTTTTTCAGTTCGTCGCGGCCGTAAGATTCTTCTGTCAGAACAATATCGTCAAAATACTGGACGAACAAGCCAATCTCATCGTCGCCAAGCACCGAATTCATTTTCGATACCAAAAGCAAGCCGTTCGCGGCTGTTAATCTGAAGGAAACTTCTTCTTTCACAGTTCCCATCAATGCCTGGCTGTAGAGTGCAACAAACTTATCCTTGAATTCACCAATCAAATTTGCTCGGCCATTAGGATTTCTTTGACTCGGTGTTGTCCAGGATCCGTAGACTTCTATTGAGGCCTCAAACAACTGATTCGCCACTTCCAACACGGCCCTCTGCTGCACCAACCCTTCCGCCGACTGGTAGATGGTGAGAAGTGAAGGTCCGACCACATTTATGACAGTCTCGAATGACTGTACCGAAGCGGATGCCACAGACTTAAGAATGTCCCCGGAAGCTTTCGCTTGTCGCGACGCTGGCTCCTGGAGGTGTTCCAAGCACTCTTTGTTGACAGGCTTCAGGTATTGCTGTAGTGGTGAGCTCGCCGCATCTTGCGTGTCCGTCGATAAGCATGCAGCGATTCCTTTCAACACATTCAAAGCTTCTGCAGCAAGTTCGGGCTCTTGCGCTTGTAAGACCTCGAATTTGACGGCATCCCAAAGCGTGATTGAGTACTGGCTGATTATGGAAGGGTCGTAATTCACCGAACAGCTCGCGAGAGTCTGTAATACGTCCTTCTTGACCGTACTCGACGTAGAGTCCAGACGATCCAGCATGTTTGGAAATGTATACGGAGCCAACGCCCCTGTAGACGCCAGGCAATCTCGAAGCCTGTCTTTTAAATCCTGGGCCGTGATCCCATAAGGATCATTGGGAGGGGGTCGGAATGTGATTGGAAAATAGGCGTAGACCGCGTCAAACATAACTTCAATATGCTTCGTAATGTCCCATTCCACCATGAGGACTCTAAGCATCGAGAAAATCAGCATGAGGTTGCGAGGATCCTTTTCGCCCGCGACCAAGTCGACAATGCCCACCAGAGATTCGTCCCCCATGTCTCTCACGGCTGCCACAGTCAGTTAGATTCTTAAAGGATGCTTGGGGATGCTCCGGCACCTTTACGGTGATGCTCTAAAAGCTCGTTGAGCAGCTGTAGGATCTTATATCTCCCGGCCTGATTCCGCGCCTGCAGATCCGTGAAATGTTCAAACATCCTGCTCTTTGTCAGTCGGGACCGACAACATGACTTGCTGCCAGACCACCTTGAAGGTACAAGTCCCTGGACAGCTGTCGCGTGCTGAACCGCACTCACGCTCTCACAACTGTTTGTGCCATTTCGTTCGTGAATCTATCGAGGCTCTGTAGTTTCGACAGTCCGTCGACGGCCCCTCCATCTTCGATACGATCGCACAGGAACTGACACAAGACCTGGACCTGTTGCCGCGAGAGGAATTTCGGAGGCAGGAAGGAGATGATGGCAACTAGATAGGACACGGCTCGAGCACGGATTTTCTCGTCTTCATCGTTGATGTATTCGCCCAAGGACTGGACTACTTCAATCAAAGAGGTTTGGCGACTTTCAAGTTCTTTTCCTGTCAGTATCTGTGCACTTCCCGCAGATGGATTCGCAAACTGACTTTGAGCAGCGGACTTTGCGATTTCAGCAGCTTCCTGTTTGCTGTTTTCTACTGCCAGCACGTAGTTCCGGGTGTCTGATAGAGCCATGACACATGTTGACGCTCGCAATGTTAGGAATGCCTGAATTTCATGAGCAGAAGGTGCTTCGACGACACAACTCTAGCCTGGACTGCGAAAAGAAATTCCCCTCCACATGCGAAGTGGTGGTGAACACCGAAGACTCGCCTAACATTCCTCATTGGGTGCCGAAGCAAGACCAGACGCCACGTTTCTTACATGCAACTCTCATGCGAGATCTCCGAACCCTAGATCTCGATGCTGCAAGGGGAAATTTATCAAGGTGGCCTGACTGTCTCATAAGGTGCGGGTGAGACTACGGGCGGCGGTCAACTTGGACATCTGTTCCTCTGCCGACATATCCAGCTTCATGTGCACTATTTCAACCTACACTAGTACCAACCTGACAACAGCGTTTGAGAACAAACAACAGTCCCTGTCTTGTGCCCCCGGACTGCAGCAACGGCCCTGCTTCATCATCCCCATAAATGTTGACAGGGGTTCCTCGAGGCTTTCGGGTCAACATCGAAACTACTTGTCCAAGACCTTTGATGTTGTATCACGTGAAGCTTGCCATCCCAAGCCGCATGTATGGGTACTGGTCTTGCCTTCTGGGACTGGCCGAGCAATCTAGACGCGAACACCGCGGTTGACATGTCCCTCTGCCATCAATGTCTCTTGGCCCCGCCAGAAATATAACTTCCTTTGTCGAAGCTGGTGGGCTACTCCGGACTTAGGGACTCATGGACCGCTGCTCGTATAGATAATGGTCATGCCGGAGTACGCTGGAGTGGGAGCGCCAATCTAATGTTGAGTACAAGTTGGTTTGCGATGCCTGCGATGGCTGGACATACATACAATCGCCCCGACATTCCACCACGCGCCAGTCGCCTGAACTACCAAATCGAGAAGATGTTCGCTGTTGTAGGTAGGTCCGTCATCTTCGCGGACAGCTTGGAGGCCGCCATCGCTCGGGTCGACACCGGCCACTGTTTGTCCTCAATACCTAGTAACGCTCTTTGTAGCATCGATGCGATGCTCCATGAGCTTTCTCAGCCCGGGTCTCTCTATTCCCAGCGTGTCCCGGTCATTTGCGGCTTCGGCGTCGATTTCAGCAGCAGTCCGATCGTATCCGTCTTCCAGTTTCCAGCCTCGAAGCACCACAGCGTGCTTATGGCAGGAATCCAACCCAGAAGCCCGCGTTCTGGGTCTCACGCTAAGGTTGAGTTCATCGTTTTGTGGTTCAGCCCCTTTTTGGTTCAGCCTTGCGGTAGTGCTCACCAATCTTTCCAGCTGTACAATTCCTGCTATGTTCTTTCCTCAATTGATCCAACGAACTGCATGCCTGTTATTCCCACACAACTGCTGAGTGCTTTCTCTATCACTCGCCCTTTCAATCGATGTGCGGTCGACTATTTATATTGAATCCATGCCATCAGGTCACTGCAATAGCATTCCTAGGCTTTTTGTGAAGTTGCAATCGTCAACTTCCCATGCTTGCGGCTTTGCTGTCACTAACCAAGCACTAACGACCACTGGTGACACTTTGCGTGAATCTCATTATGCACCTTCGTGACGAGGCTTCTTTCTTCGGGGCCTATTCAACAAACCGACCCCTACAGTGTCACTCATCACTGTCACTATGTTGCTGCCGTTTGTCATGCCAGACTATAAGTGCCTCGCGAGTTCTTGGACTGCCTGTTGGAAACCAACTTGAGACTCTGCTATTCTCGAGAAACATTCGTCCAGAGAATCATCAAGAAGAGAGCACAGAGCAGCACCACTGCCGATCCAGACATCCGAGAACCACAATGTCCGACAAGTACAGCGACCGCCACTTCGACGATTACAGCGACAAGTATAGAGACCGCCACGCAGACGATCTGTATGAGGACCGGTACGAAGATCGCAGCCATCGTGGACACAGCTACGAATCCCCTCATCGTTCATCCAGGCGCGAGGAACGTTATGAAGACGTCCGCCTTCCGTACTCGGAGCGCCACGTGCCTGGGGTGAACGATCTCATGTCTGGCGGCCTCGGCTACGGATCCTCAACATCGCGGGACCGATCTCATCTCTACGAGGATATGGACAAAGCGTACAGCACTAAAGCGACGATCAGAAAGTGGTACGATTCGGAGCTCTACCCACGCGAGAACGCACCCTATTTGTCTCATGCCAGTGCCCAAAAGCTTCGAGTATCGGCTTATGAGGATGACGAAGAAGTTGGCAGGGATGTCTGGAAGCTGCGGGATGAGGCGCGCCAGAAAGTGTCCCTAGACAACTACAACTCCAGCAAAGCTCTTCGTCGTAACGACATTGACTCTCGAGATTTGGTACTACCCGCGCAGCAGTTCCAAATACTCCAAAGTCTCCTACCCCGGCGACGCTCTTTCTGTGACAGAGAGCAGTGTTGAGCTAACTAAGAGCAAATATCCTCGAGATCGATATTAAGCTGTTGAGGCAAGGCCTCGGACACGATGGCTGAGTTATAAGCTGGCAAGGCTAACTTCCCATCATACCACTGGTCTCTCCTCACTTATTGAGGAAACAAGGACCGACTGTTATTGGCTGGGTCGGATAGCTGTCAAGTTGATGCTACAGCATATCTGCGGGTCTGACTGGCCATATTTTTATCAAAGTACCAGCTAAGGTTGGACCTTCAGTCCCGTTCATAGCCCTAATTTACATGTCCCACAAGGAATGACATACCACACATCTCCGACCGAGTGTCCTGTCAGCATACTGTTGCCCATTGTATGGAACTATGGCTTCGCGTACACACCCTGTAGCTTCTTATGAAAAGCTTCCGAACAGTCACAACACGTGCAATCCCTCCAATTTTCAATTGTTCGTTGCAGAATGTAGATCGGCATGATGAATCTCGTGCCTAGCGAGGCTAGATGACTATTGGTTTGATATGTTCACTCGATCAGACAGCTTATGATGCGTTCTCAACCCGGGAGTTGGGTAGTCATAGTAGCCGACGTCCTTTAAAGCAGTATATAACATAATCCCAACGGAGTGCTGATGGATATAGGTCTCCATGGTCTACTACCGTACCATTGAGACGGTCCTGCACTACTGCCGTTGAAGACTTTTGACAGCCACACCTCTCTCGCTCTCCCAGGAGCACCTGTTTGTGCACCCGTGACACATTCTGTCACCAGGCATGAGCATCCTCGATGAACGTCGACACTGCCTCCCTTCTCCATCGTTCGTTTCGTGATATAGGCACCTTCATCACCGCTGATATCATGTGATGAAACGATTCCTCCAGCAGATAGAATCTATTGGACAGGCGTACTGTTTTGACAAACAGAGTGCTCAAACGCCGGTCGTCCGGATAAGTATAAATATCGCTTTCTTACCGTGCTTTTCTTTCTCCCTTTTCCGTTCTATAATACCATCTACTACGACTCTCAAAGCCAACTAAACATTTACAAATATCCTAAAAGCATTCTTCTCAAAACAATCAACCACAACAACAATGCCTGCTCTCCTCGTCAACTATACCGGCAAGCCTCCAAGCAAGCCTCCTCCGAAGCCATCAGAGCCTCGTCCCATCCCGGGTGTCAGCTAAATAGCTGACAACGATCACGACTCGACCAGCACCTGGTAAATGGTTTGTTACATATCAAGTGAGACAGGATCATACTGACAAGATAAACAGCAAGTCTTTGCAACGGTGACTGGTCGCGACATGGGGTTTGGGAGCTGACAGGACTTTTACGCACATATGTTGGGGTATGATGGCAAACAGGGGAAGCCAGTATCAGGGTGCTTGACAAGTACTTACATTAACAAGTACTTAGGCAATTTAGCAGTGCTAAATTTGTTGTCGAAGGGATGGGGTTTGAGCTCTCGAAGACCTAGTCAGTGACCCACGATGACATAGAACTAGACAGCAACCAACAATATCGTTATCTCCAAAAACCCTCTTTTCTCTTTCCTGTGACCAATACGTCTACCGTCAAATGTATACCGACCCTCTCATGCGACCAGGGTGGTGGGAGAATGCATGTCTGGAGTTGTCGTGGTAGTCCACTCGAAGAAGAGGCTGAGGCTCTCTGGGAAAAGGGGTTGGACGCTTATGTAATTCGCCAGGCTTGCATTCCAGGTTGCTACTTCGCAATATCAGGCACCTAGGTGTCAGGCTCGCGAAATATTTATTGCACGCATCTGGGTGGCACGTATTGAGTAACTACGGCTGAAATCTAACCGAATTCCATTTCCATATTCCCTCGATATGGTGTTGTTGCAGTGATCTATAACTCATCCTTTACTCGTACATCTGGTGCTGGCCTGCCACTATCCTTGAACAGATCCACGCCCTTCTTTTTGCGCCATTTGTCCCAAACCGTCCAAAACTCCTTTTCCATGCCACTATCCATCTGGTCCGGCAGAATGACTCTATACTCGACGTACAAATTGCCAAACGCCTCTACCTCGTGGTCATGTCCATGCATGTGCCCTTCATGGTACTTTGGCATGCCCTCGCCAGTGATCGTCTCGACTTGGCCGGGTTGAATGACTTCGCCACGTTTCCGGGACAGCTGGACAACGTGCCCATCCAGATGGGTAAGGTTACGAGTCCACTCGCCCATCCAAGCCTCCCGGAGGCTGAGGACCTCTTTCCAGTAGAGGTCGTCATCTTTCCGGCGGAAGAAGGTCCCGTCTGTTCTTGCACCTTCGTCCTCGGACATCTTTGGTTCCTGCTCCATGATGTACACAAACAGATTGCCCGCAATATGATCCGGGTGTTCGTCCGCCTCGCTTTCAAAGACCAGCCTGTGTCCCTTGGGCATCCCTTTCTCGATGTTTGCGGTCAATGTTGTCGGTCCTCGGACGACCTTACTGCCTCCGCACACCTTGCATTTATGCTTGATGGACTTGCCCTGCCCGCCGCACTGGTCGCATGCCATCTGCACCTGCTGATAGATACCAGGAGCAAGCATGTGTTTCTGGATGATCATTCCCCTTCCGCCGCATTTATTGCAGGTCTCGACTTGTCCATCTGCAGATCCTGATCCTTCGCATTCTTCACAGATTTGTTGCTTCTCAATGGTAAATTCCGTATCCCGGCCAGTGTAGAAATCCTTCAGCGGTACGTGTAGTCTCACTTCGAGGTCTGGGCCCCGCCTTATCCCGCTTCCCGCACCGCCTCCAAAATGTCCTCCACCACCAAAGAATCTCGAGAACAGATCAAAGGGGTCATGATGATGTCCGCCTGCTCCTCCTCCCCGTTTATGGTTCTCTAAACCTTCGTGACCGTATTGATCGTAGATTTTGCGTGTCGTTGGGTCTGAAAGTGTTTCATATGCATCTGCTACCTCGAGGAACTTTGCCTCGTCTCCTCCTGATTTATCTGGATGGTATTTCTTGGAGAGCGTGCGATAAGCCTTCTTCAGGTCGCGTTCTGAGCATGACTTGTCGAGTCCAAGTATTCTGTAGAGGTCTTCGGCAGCCAGAGCGCAGCTGATCAGGGCAAGAAGCGGGAGGAGACGGGATATAAGGTAGAGGAGTAGCATGTTGAGGGCCAAGTGCCCAGAAAGGCCGACTGGGAAACACTTGTAGTTGTATCAGCGCGTCAAATGGTCTTCTATGGAACAGACATTGTTGACAGAGCCGAGGGCCACTGGAGACTGTTCTCGCTCCTGTTAGTGGATCAGAAACAAAGAATGGTGAAATGGTAGCAAGTGGAAGTCAGGATACCCTTTCGAAGTGCTTTTGAGACATGCTGGCAACATTTCGCCTGCGGGGAATTTGGCCGCTTCGTCCACCGTAACAACATTACGGCGAAGCAAGATTTATCCACACGCTCTTTGTCTCTCATTTGCTTCCTGCCTCTTGTTTCATCCTTTTGCCTGCAGAGTCGCGGTCAGTGCTTCCATTGCTTACTGGCAATTCCATGTCCACGTGTGTCACATTCAGACGTGGTGCTCTGATCGCAACCTATTGCTCGAGATTTCCAGCTTCAGTTTCCTCTCAGCATGATACTCATGATTCCAGCTAGCCAATATCCAATATGTCCCTCGTCTATTCAGTAGAACCAAAAGATTGAACAACCTTACATCAGGTAGGAAATAGACACGATCTGAACGACGAGCTTCATCCCGTCCGCGGCCATCGTTCGCCATGATCTAGCGTCTCCCTTCAGCGACTGGAAGGTCTCGAAGTACTCTAAACTGTGATAGGGGAAAATGTACACACCGGTTGATCCTCAGCGCTCACCCTCACATGTCGCTCATGATGGGAAGCGGCCCGAGTTACTCACTCAATATGTCTGGAAACCGTCTTCCGGCTTCAGAACGACGTCGATTCCGCTCGGGTGCGGTATGTTATGTGCTCTCTGAATACCTTTCTCCCACCGAGAAACGAACGTCGCCGAAAATCTACCTCGGATGCGGCCTTCCACGTCGCACAGCAGGGACGATCACTTCATCTGGGACGACCTCGGGACCATTCAGCAACTCGACAAGTAGGTGACGGTGTCCTGGAAGCGAGCTTGCCGTCCGTTGTGTACCATCCAACCACACCTTCCCTGATATGCTGTGCTGAAGACCCAGTGTCGACGACAAGAAGGCGGTCTCCTCAATCACGATTTGAGTATTGTGACTTGGCTGTGCCTGGTTGGAACATTCAACGAATGTGTGTTTGATCATGCCGACTTCGAGGTTGCCACCTCCCGAGAAGGGGTGTACAGATCTGTCAGAGAGGATGGTGCAAAATGATCAAATTCGAGATAGCTTTGAGCAACCTTTGGTTTGATGATCTTATTTGAAGGAGTTGATTTCCACTGTTCCTACTCTTCAGATCTGGCAGACCACCTTGGGCAAGAACAGGCAAAATGCTCGTCTACTACTCTGCTCCAGCGATCTTATTCGGCAATCTGTTGTTGGTCTCCGCTCTTCCGCGCCTCCATATCTGGAGCCATGAAACCGAAGTCATTGATGACAGCAATGGCATCTGCGACACTTCCGACGACACCTGTCCCTGGTTACCGTACCGCCTTTCACAACTGCAAGGCACACCAATCGATGAAGGTGACATGAATGACCTGCATCACCTGGCCATTGACAACGTACAAGGTGCGACCGGACCTGCAGCTATCATATTCCCTCCAACACCTACCTTGAAGAAGGACGTGGTCGCCACGACCACACCGTGTCCTTCAACAATGATAACTTCCGCCCTGCTGAACCTGCAACCTCGTGCGGCGATGCCCGGCCCCATGAAGGACATACCAGACATTCCCAAGAGCGACCAGGAGCAAGAATCTGCCGGCCCGCCGCCTGGACAACCCACACATCCACCAGAGCAAATGATCCCTTGCGGAAGATGGGGCAGCTGCCCGAAGGGCTATGACTGGTTTCCATTGTTCATGGGCTGTTTTTGCCAGTGGAATCCAACGACCACGATCATGATCCCAAACTCCATGTAGCAATCAACCAAAACTCACAGCTGGCTTACATCGCCGCCAGGCTCTGCACGCGGGCCGTGCAATCATGGCCTCAGGGCATGTGCAGATGAACAACTCTTTACTAGCCCGCTGGAGTTTTATACAGACCTTGAAAATTGAGCTTGACATTTCGACATTGTCACAAGATTGTTAGTGACGATGGCTTCCCAAGTTTGTTTTGTGAGGAGGACGGGTTCTTTCTTTATGGGGATAGTCGACATGTTTTCATGGTATGAGTGCTTGAAACGCACAACGCTCCTTTGTTCAAGCGGTTGTCAATGGCTTTGCGCTCTATAGTTGAGCGGGAGATTTCGGTTGAGATTATTCTTTGTATCAACAGGCTGCCAACAATTGCACCCACAATGTGCAAAAGTCTTCACGATTTTGATTGATCTTTTGCTGATTGCCTTGCATTATTGCGCATGATCTATCCAGCCTTGGTCAACAGCCTCCCATTCAAATTGCTATAGTAATTCAATGAGATTTTTGCCGCTATGGCCAAAGTAAGTGTCCAACAACAGCTCCGTGGTGGTTCCTATAAGGACTTGTATCAATCCTTGATCATTAAACCCAGGCTTGCTGGGCGGGGAGGGTGACTAACCTGGTGTCCAATCACAGTATGGCGTCTGCGTTTACCGCAATACTGGCCTAGACGATGCCGCCCATATCAAGTTCTCCCAGCGCATCGGCGAGCTGGACACGATGAGGCGGTACATGATTGACGGCCGCAAACCCAGATACGGGTTCTACGAGCTCTTCGACGCCGGTAATATCGACGACCAAGGGGGCGTCCTTGACCCAAACAGTCCAAGGGCTCAATACGGGAAAGTAGGTATCCGTTTCAATTCCTCTCCCGCTCCAAGTGCCACTTACCGACATGCCAGGGCAACGCTCTCTTCCACGTTGACTCATCATTCAACCCCCGACGAGCCAGCTTCTCGCTTCTTCGCGCCGTGGAAATTCCTCCACCGGGCAACGGCGGCAACACTGACTTTGCCGACTCTCGCACGGCCTGGGACGACCTTGACCCGGCCCTGCAGAGGGAGCTGCTGGAGAAGGACTACACCGTTCACCATTCCATCGCACAGTCCCGAAAGCTCGGTTCGCCCGAGTTCTTCAAGGACCTCGACCCGACGAACGCCGGCAGGATGGCACGCCACAAGCTGATTCAGGTGCACGAACCCAGCGGCCGGCGAAACATCTATATCGCAGCCCACTCGCACCACATCGAGGGCATACCGAAGGAAGAATCTGACGCGTTGATCAAGAAGCTGCTCGACCATGTCACACGGGAAAACAATACCATTAGCGTAGAATGGAAACAACCCTCGGACATGATCATCTGGGACAACCGGTGCACTCTGCACAAGGCCAACGGTGGCTCGTTCGAGGGCAAATACAGGCGGGATCTGCGCAGGACGACGGTGCATGATGATAGCAGTACGGCGTGGGGGTTGAATGAGGTTGAGGATGACACGGAGAAGTGGGTTGTAAACCATGCGGCGACCAAGGCTGCTGGAATGACTAAAGTGCAAGGTTAGGGAGTGTATGTCATGTGTCCATGCTCGTGTATCTTAGCCTCGTCCAGCCATTTGCATCTTTTCTTGCTGGCCCGTCTGCTCGATCTCGGGGAATTGTCTCATCAATAATGCCGCGGCAGTGGAAGTTGATCCGCGTCTAATGATCGAACAGACCCAGGCCAGGATATAGAGGCTCGCTAGAGAAAGTCTCAATTTCCTGACGAACTCCCATGCTTGTGGTCTATGCTGTCAGATCGGATTTGTGAGAGTGTTTTGGTAGTGTGGATGACATGATCGACGGGTATGGACATGCGCATGGACTATAAGATGGTAAAAGGCGCATGAGATGTCTTTTTTTAACTCTTGTGCTGGAGATGAGCTGATTACCTAAATCTTTGCGGGCGATAACCGTCATGTTTCGAATAGGAATCACCGATCGCCAACGGACAGATGAACCCAGAATTCAGGCATCACATCAATATGGTATGTTCGGCGAGTCGGCTCGCATTATAACACCAGATGCGTATTCGCAAGGAGATCCCAATTGAGGCTGATTAAGGCTGGCGTGGCCATACGAACAATGCGTTCACCCACTCCGAGCCATTGGGCAGCTTCCAACTCGACGTCCTCAGCTACTTGACACAGCCCCCACCGATTATGGCTTTCGGTCATGCAGGGACTGTGGTTCATCCCGGACTCATGCTAGCTAGGCATTCGTCGCAGCTCACAGCTGGTGGGCCGGGCTAAGATGGACATCATGCACGCCTTGCTGGACGCCTGAAACCAGCGGACAAGTTGAAACGAAAACGGCCCAGGCGTGCCAGGCTCAACCCACCAACAAATGCTTGATCAATCTCATCAAGCTCTTACCCGTCGAGCATCTTCTCCATGTTGTGCCATTCAGTGCAGTGACAATGTCCGAAAGGACTCATGTTAAGAGACTGATTGTATGTGTAGACAGCGAAGAAGTCGGTGAGGATGGCACCTTAGGTGTGATTGTTCCCATTGCGCGAGCGGCTGAAAGAAAGCACGTTAACCGATTGAGAAGGCGACCAGAATCAAAGCAACATCTTCAGATTGAAAAGCATCATTCCGAATGCTTTGTGCTATGATGCCCAAGGCCGATCCGTCGAGCAGGTCGTGCGTTATTATCGCGCTGTCGAGGACGGACCGAAATTGCTAGACAGGCTGAAGTCGCGAAACTCAACGCCGTATTACGAGCAACAGATCAAGGACATTGTCAAAGAGGTCTGCGAAATCCTAGAGGAGCCTAGAGATGAATTGTTCCTTTACGGCTTCGGCCATGGCGCCTTCATTGTCCGCGCCGTGGCAGGACTCCTCGATGTCATGCGCATGCCGAAACGAGCCTCCGTGAGGTATTTTGACAGGCTCTACCAGAGCTGTTTGGACGTGTACAAAGCACGAGCCGAAGACGACAACACCAATGGTCCGAAGGTTGTCGAATTCTTGAGATCGCACTCGACCCTTCCAATTCAGATACAGTTTGTGGGAGTGTTTGATACGATCAAGTACAACGCCGAGGGAAATATGCACGATTTGTCCCTGGTCAGCTCCATACGACATATGCGACATGCATTGGCGTTGAACGAGACACGGTCTCAGTTGAGCCCGGAAATCCTGGATTGTCCAAAGAGCCCCGAGGAGCTGCAGGGCCGGAGCTTCATTCAAGCCTGGTTCATGGGATCGAATCAGGATATGGGTGGTGGCGCTGCTCATGACGGCCTTTCACTCTATCCGCTGCAATGGATGATCATCGAGAGTTTGCGAGCTGGCCTCGTGATCCAACCTGAAGAAGAACCAAAAGAGAAACAAGATGCAAAGAAAGGCTCATTGTCTTTGACATTTCCTCAATATGCAGGCGAACTGCCAAAATTGGGCAGCGGCGAGCAGATCGAGTGGTTGATCAAGCATACAAATGGCATCGAAATCAGTATCTTTGATTTGCAAATGGTCATCGGTGGCAGCACAGACGAGGACCAGGCGCACAGCATCCGAATCAATATACCGAACACAATCTACGTCAGCCAGCGCAAGGTCTTCAGCAAAGGCGGCTTGGTCGGCTACTGCGCCAACGGTGCGTTCTTGATGCCAGCCAGTGTCTAGGCGGCAATGCTGACATCTGGCAGGGAGTTACGGGACAATCATTCATCCTTCGACATTTTGCCTGCTGGATAGATACCCTCGCTTCAATGAACAGTCCCATTTCAAAACTCTCAAGAAAGACATTGCCGACTACCGAGATCGAAACCTGCAGGATACCGAAGGAACCCTACCGCCGTGGCTGGAAGGTTTGCAGCTACAGGCCAGTGGTGTGAAAGCATTCCGAATCTTGGTTTGCGGCAAGACTGGCGTTGGAAAATCCACCTTGATCAATAAAGTCTTTGGCGTCGAACTGGTATTTTCGTCCCTACGGACCAATGCTCTCGTGCCCGTATACTAACACACATCTCTCCAGACCGAAGAATCCGAATCCTACAAACAAGGCGACCACGACATCAACCAAGCATTCGAATCGCCCAACCATCCAGGCTTGCTGATCCACGACTCGAGAGGATGGCAAGCGGGAAGCGATAAAGAACTAGACCTTATTGCCAAATTTCTCCGCCATCGCGCGTTCCAAAGAGATCCTGCTCAAGCTCTCCATGTCATTTGGTCAGTATTTTGGGCTTCTCGCTTCCGTCCTCCTTCACTAACCGAAACTTCAGGTTCTGTGTCGACTCGGACGTCAGCCGCATCGAGGAAGCGGACAAACGAACATTCGACACGATCGCCCAGTTCTCGCACAATGTGCCCGTCTTCGTCATCGGGACGAAAAAGGACAAACTGGTGGCATTCCACAAAATCAAACTCCTCGAATCGTACATGGAAAAGACCGGCGACTATCACGAATCGAAGCGCCTGGCCGAGGAAGAGGCGAACAAACTAGCCGAGGAGCAATTCCTCGCTCTACGCGACGAACTCTCCCAGATAAAGCACTACAAGGCTGACGGGTATTGCTGTCTTTCCAAAGGTTTGTCTTTGACCTCTTGGCCGTGCCAATTAGATGAACAGATGAAGCTGATCATTACAAACCGGGCAGACGACGACCCAGGCGTGCGCAAACTGTTAAACTCCACACTCGAGCTAATCACTGATGACAGGGTTCGTCTCTTTGCCGTCGCGGCGCAAGTCGTGGATGTCGAGCAAAAGATTGACTCAGCCATTACAGAATGCATGCGACTGGGCTTGCACGCGGTCCGCACGGCCATGGTCCCGCTACCGTTTTCGTCCGCCATCGGCACGCCGACCGTAGCCCGGATCCTCTGCGAGCACGTCCTGCAGTGCTTTGGCTTCCCGAAGGCCATGCCCGACGCCGTCGAGGAGATCATGAACCGCGTCGTCCTGGGCCATCTGAAAGCCTTCATGGCCGTCACAATGGCAGAGTTTGTGACGGTCGGTGTGGCTACCGCTGGTCTCATCGTAGGCACGATGGGTGCCGGAGGTGTCTTGGCCCTGGCCAGCTGTGTTCTGGCCGCCCCTCCCACGGCGAGGATGCTGTTCAAATGCGCGTGCGACATGATTCTGATCCTTGAACGGTCTTTCCGGTACCGCGGGAAGTATGTCTCGGTCAAGCAGATCGAAGATGCAGCGCTGTACTACACGACGGTCATGACGAAGACGTTCGCAGGAAAGGAAGTGCTGCTCCAGAAACATGTCCACGCCGAAGTCGATCGACTGGTACCACTGCACAAAGTCAGCGCAGGCATCCGATTCAGCAGGCTCAGACCGGGCCTGGAAGAAATCATCTACAAGAACCGGTTCGAGAAGCGCGAAACCGAGAGGCAAGACACCATGCCACTCTCGCCAGAAATCGGAGGGAGTGAAATCATGGAGCTGGAGGGCTCCGTGTCGAGCCCAGTGGAATTGCCCTCCCGGAACGACCATGTCGCCGAACTGCCAGCTGAAGTACCGAGCGAAGGGAGCCTAGGGAGCCTTTCACCTGTCAGTCCTGAAAGCGATCCGGGAAGACTGAGGTCTAGTACCGCCACGAGCACAAGTGTCACCTTGACCACGATTGACGAACTGCTGAGCTCAGACGAAAAGGCAAGTATGTCGAAGACCACGAGCGATCAGGAAAACCCTGGTGAAGTCAGCCCGCCTCTATCATCGGAGGCGCCGCCCCTAGATAGGACGAGGAGTGAGAGTCTGTTTTCGAGAAGCACGAAGAAGCTCTCATCAAGATTCGGTCTGAAGAAGTCCAAGACGAATATTTGACGCCTGATATTGGAGCGGAGATCTAGAATATTGGCTACAACACAATTGATACCCTAAGTAAATGCAATAAAACTCGTGTGCGGATCCCAAGTTACCTAAAGGGCCGAAGGCCAATGCTCGAGGAATGCTTTCGTACAAGCCGCTGCGGTAGCTGCATAGCCTTGCCACTTCTTGCTTTTGTGGCTATCTGCATAGTCGCAGACTCATTTGATGATCATCACACATGTAAAGGTGTCCCATACACCGGCACCTTCCATCTCGAAGGCGATGACCTCTTCTTCATTTGCAATCCGGTCTCTGTCCCGTCCGGACTTCATGACAATGCTCCCCGACGCCACCTTCCCAATATGAATAACGGGAAAGATTCTTGTTCGGCTGCCCGTGCGTTGGAGGCTGTGATAGTCGCTCACGCTGGACCAACTCGGAGTCGTCGCATCCTAGCTCCTCACAGGTTGATGCAAGAGCTGCTGCACATGTGGAACCATTGCTGAGCTGAGATTCAGAGCAGGTTCCGCATGCCGATGGCTGTTGATGCCTGTGCCGATAAGACGCATCAAAGAGCTTGTCGTACTCGGATCCTGGGTACTTTGCTGATTGACCCAGTTCACCCTGAGTGTTGTTGAGATAGGTGAAAGTTTTTTCCTGGAGAAGTTTGCGGCCCCATCGACCTTTCAGCTTGTTCAGAAGGGAGCGAACCTCCGGCGGAGGCCTAGGATAGTTGTCCAGCACACCATCCTTCCTCACAAAACGATCGGGAAGTTGTCTTCCAAAATCATAGCAGACGAGCCCTTCGCTGATGACAACATCTCCTAGCAGAATTTCCTCACCATGGGCGGGAAAAGGGACACCTCCACAAATACCAACAACGAGTGCGAGCTTAATACCTTCAAAGCTGGACCGGCAATTGGCCGCAACCCTAGCTGCGCTTTCCTTTCCCATGCCTGGCATATGTGCCAGCACCACATTGTGGTGCCCAATGATTCCAGTTGAATAGGCGTTTTGATTTGAAGTGGCTTTGCCATAAACGTCTCCGTCATCGTCCCAGCGTTTATCGAACATGGCCTTCACAGCGTCGGCTTCAAGAGGTAATGCGCATATAATCGCGACTCGGAAGTCACGACGGGTTCTGGGTCGTTGGCCACTGTGGTACGAGTTGTGGTTGGAAGAATGCGTGGCAAAGCTTGATCCTGTGGCAATGCGCAAGGAAGGAGGGGGCACAGGGTGATACTCGGAGGTTGATTTTCGTTTAGGGGACCTTGAGAATAGCTCCCGTGAGCCCTCAGCCGCTGAGAACTTCGCCTTACAATGGTAGCTTTCGGTTTGTCCAATATCTCGTCGAGTGACACATCAGGATGAGCCACTTGAAGCCGCTGAATCAGGGGTGTCAGGATATACTTGAATATAGCCGCTCTAAACTTCAGATCCTCGTTGAACGAGGGGTGCTGGACAGATTCCACCCCGTTGCGGAACTCGAGACAAGAGTTGATTATTTGCAGAATATGGGCATCATCGAGGTCCTCTTTCCGGGGTGTGAACATCCGGATTAATGCCATGTAAGCAGCTTGGTATTCTTCTTCCGCGTCATCTTCATCTGCGGCTGTTATCGAGATGCTCTGATCGAGTTCTAGTTCCAGCAGTAACAGGCCAAAGGCGAAAACGAACGAGCAATAGAATTCCAAGGCATCGATAGTGTGGTTGGAGTGTTGATTGGTCGTCAAAGAGGCCAGAATATACGGTGTCTGGAGATCAGGTTCGTTGCCGATGCTCGAATCCGGAAGAAAGAATATGTTCTCGGCGTTCCACTCATTCTGTAGCCAACGACAGCCCACCAGCTTCACTAGAAACTGGGCCAATATCACTGACACGATCTTCTTCTTCTTCTTTTTGAAAAAGAATGGCGCGACTCCACAACTCATTTGATGTTGAGCACGCTCTTCTAGGAGATCCGAAAGACTCCGTTTGGAGTCGGCTCTGATTCGGGGCACAGCCTGTTCAGAGTTATGCGAGACGGCAGATTCACTGCACACAATACGTAGAAGCTGATGGGGAGGACCTCGTGTTGCGCCGCAGAGATCTTTGCTAGCTTCGAAGCCACGATCACCAGCTCCGGCCCTTGCATTGTGATTTTGTCCCCTATGTTGGAAAAATTTCGTGATTGCGAAGCACTTACATCTCCTGGACATCAAGCTCACACAAAGCCTGACGCCATCCACCCTTGCCAGTGCAAGTGGATAATAGCATCCTCAGACTTCGTAGCCCGGTAAAATGCACGAAGGCGGTATGTGATGAGCCACAATTGCTCAGCTCCTCCATCAACGCAGTGAAAATAGTGTCCATGTTCTCCCGTACTTGTTCATAGTGTAGTATGAGTTGTAATTCGTCCTCCTTCCATTCGTTGTTCATACCCTGACAAAAATCATCTTCCAAAGTGTTGGAAGACAAGCGGTTGACTGTCCGATTGAAATCTTCTACCCTAGTGACAATGTCGCGCAGACCTTCAAGGGTAATTCCCACCCAAACAAGATGCCTGAGATCATGTGCGTGATCCAATGGAGTGCCACTGGTGTTTCCATGCCGCCGCAGGAGTTCAGCTTGTAGCGCTCGGAGTTTCGGATAACGCTTTGCATAATGGCGCATGAGTAATGAGCTCTATAGGGAGGAAGATGCAGCGGTGGAGCCTACCTTGCCATACTCGGAGTCCGAGGAGCTGTGACTGAGTACATCGTTGACATAACGTTCGAAGATGTCAAGCAGTGAAGTCAAAGCCGCAAAACCATGATAGGCGCCACGAGACAGGCTCAAACCTTGAGCTTCCTGAAGCGCATCCGGGACAAGCCATAACTCGAATTTCAAGTTTGTCACGAGGTTTGAAAGTATCTCTCTTTCCGTTTCTCTGAGGTCAGCAACGTTGATGCGTGATGGTCGGGCTGCGAAGACGAGATGCACTGAGGCGAGCAGCTGCCAGTCATCCAAGGCGTGAAGAGTAGACCCCATATATTTGTGCCTGCATCACGACATTCTTGGAAGACAGGGCAGTCGCAAAGAGACAAATGGTCGGCGAAGGACGGCACTGCAACTGTTCGATCAAGGCTGCAGAAGAACAAGAAAGGAAAGGAACGTCCAGGCCTGACGAGTTAGTAGAGAACCCGGCAAGGAGGTCTAGCACGTCTAGGCCACATTTGAACAGATCACGTGATTTGGCTAGTGGTGGCTCATCCCATAAAGGAAGGTTGGCCGATGGAACGGTCTAAGTACATTGGCTTTTCGTGAATGCAGCCTCAACCGGGCAATCTCCCATACCATCCCACCACCCTCAGTTGACGCGACTAGAAAAGCCTTCAAGTATGTTGGCGAATGCGGCAATACACGCCACGCTCGTTCCGTCGAGAGGTGTCTGCCGGTCTTGACTTTGACATGCGCTGCACGTATTCTGGCTCTCTAGGCATGTGCCATGGATGAAGAACCGTCGAATGCCCGGATCTCTGACGCCGCGAATTCATGCTTGGACCTTTTTGCAAAGTACCTAGACGGCCAAACGTTGACACAGAAGGATGTTGCGCACGATCTGCGAATCAGGCTGAAATTATGGGCGGCTTACACCGGCGCGCCCTTGCTTCTTCAGGCACTTCGTTGGACGATCGACTCATTTTCCACGACGATGTGAAATCTATGGTGCTAAAGCTTCTGTGTATGGTTGAGCGGAGTCTCAAAAGTGGTAGGTTCTCAACGACTTGTCAAGACCCGACAACTCACGAAGGCTCTTGTAGCAATCTTACGCAATGAACATTCTACGCATTATTTCGATCCATCTACTCCCCAAGATGGACTTCCTGAATCAGCTGAGTCAGCCACTTCTCAGAGGCGCTCTTTTCATGGTCTTGACGCCGTCTCGGCTTCGCTCGACCGACTCCACAGGCTTGCCACGGCTATCCGACGATCTTCCATTGAAAGCCAGAAAGACAAGCTCTTAACGAAGACATCGTGTTCCGAGGAAGATACTTATCAGCAACTAACTTCAGCTCTTATCTTCCACCGAAAAAGGCTTCTCTATGGGCCCCGACACAACAAGAAATTGGCTTCGGAGCAGCAGAAAAAAAAACGAGGTGGTCTAAACGATGCTGATCACTTGATTCAACGAGTGCTCATGCGCAATGCTCAAGAAACCAATCTCGCTGATATCGGCATGCCTCCTGAGCTCTCACAAACCGAGCCACTTTCGAAAACGGAGGCTTCTATTCCTAATTCTCAACTTCGTCTTGCTGTACTCAAAGCATCCAGGCCAGTCGCCTCCATTGTTAGTGTTGGATCATCTGTCTATGGAGATCACTTCCATTATCCGGATGCGCCGACTTTCAAGAAAGACGCCAAATTTCACCCTTGTCCATATTGTGCGGAACCTCTGTCGACCAAGAGACTTGGTCCAGAGAGAAGAGATTTTTGGAGGTTGGTACTTTGTTAACCTGAAACCAAAACTCGAGTGCTAATCCTCATCCAGATCCCATGTGATCCGAGATCTTGAGCCCTATGTCTGCATCTCGGACGATTGCAGAGATCCGTTACAGTTCTTCGTCCATTTCAAAGATTGGCTTGACCACATGAATTCCAAGCATACGACAGAGTGGTATCGGACAGTCCACATGTGCACCTGGCATTGCAACTTGAGTCATGAAGAAACGCAGTATTTTGACAGCAAAGCCAGGTTCGACATACATACCAGAGAGGCTCATGCCAATTTGACTTCAACGCAGATAATTGCTCATATCAAAAGAAGCAAGGCTACAGGAGTCCGACAACAATTTGTGTGCCCACTGTGTGAGACGGTCCCCGACACGCTCCAGGGTTCAGACGTTCGACTACAGCTCGAGGGTGCCCAAAGACTCCTTGCAAAGCACGTTGGTTCGCACATCAAAGCCCTGTCTCTTCTGTCATTTCGGCTTGTTCCCTTGAATGCTAGTGAGCAGGTCACTACAATCTCGTCATGTTCCAGCAATAACTTGTCGATGAATTCCAGGCAGACGGTGGACGGTTCCAGGCGTCTATCTGACATTGACTCGGAGCTAGACGTTCCTAAAACCTGGACTGCAGATGCCGAGCAGCATGGCGTACCTTTCGGTGATGATATCGACACTGACAAGAATACCAGTGCTTCCCGAAACCAGTCGCCGGGTGAATCCCAGCAATTTGGAGCACTTTCAGATGGTATGCTGACGGGTGGCAATCCTACTGCTCTAGACCAAGCTGTCATTCATCATCTAAGCTGCCGATCGTTGGAGATCGGTACTTGGAGGAGAATGGATCAAAATACGAAGGACTTGGTCGTGTTTTATTCTCCCGCCAAAGCCCGCATGACCTATTATATTAAAAATGTCTCTGTTGGATACATGATCGAATACCCTTTCGCTTTCATCACCAAAGTCTCGCAACTCCCTAATAAAGTAAGGACTAAGGAGGTTCGACCATCTTCGACTCCTAGTGTTAAGTCACCAACAGTACTTCGATTCAGGATTGATCTTAATTAAGCACCCGGAGGTTTTTGTGAAGTCTCCTAAATCTGGAGGATGCTACCACTGCGGTGATTTCACCGAGGATCAACAGGCCTCTCGAACTTTGTTCCACCATTTGGAAGGTGATGCTAAAGTTCTGAGCGAACAATTTGCCAAACTGGTCTAGCTTGTGTCTTTTCGGTACAGACCCATTTTGTACGATCTGAATGGACGTCGGACGGTGCGCGACGTAAGAACCAGCCCCCAGCAACAGGCCAACGAGACACAAGTCCACCTCCAACAGGCTGGGTCCCACATGATAGAAGGCCATACAAGGACTGAAGTTCCTGATACCGATCGCGAAATGTGGGATTTCCTGCCTGGCTTTGAGCACCTACGGCATCAGCAAAACACGTCCTACCCTACACTACCTGGTCAGGAGATGTACCAAAATTTTATGTCCGGGGCTCAGGGCCTGTTGCAACGTGGGAACGTGGGAACGTGGGAACGAAGCTTTAACTCGACAGGTTCATCATGGCCGGGAGAATGATGTGGCCGCTGATGGTGGTGATACTTGGCTAGTGAGGACAGGTGTCCAGCCGTCCAACAAGGTCACGGCAGGCACTCTCGATTTTGAGAGTTTACTACCACCGCTCCAAGCACGCCTCAAAGGACGGAAGTGCCTGGTTCTTGATCTTGATGAGACACTGATCCACAGCAGTTTCAAGGTCGGCCAGCCATCAATGAGCGTTCAGATGGGAGCTAATCGCTAGTGATGCAGGTCCTTAATCAAGCGGATTTTACCATTCCCCTCAATATTCGCGGTCAATACCATGACGCTTATGTGGTGAAGCGACCCGGTATAGACCAATTTCTGAAGCGCATGGGTGAGTTGTTTGAAGTTGTTATCTTCTCCGAGAAAGCATCCTCGGTACTACCACTCTTGGATCTATACCCACGGCGAAAGCTAACAACAAAGTAGTACGTGAATCCCATCATTGACCAACTCGACATCTTCCAAGTGGTCAATCATCGACTTTTTCGAGAGTCATGCCACTGGGACTACTACCAGTCCGAACCCGACGACGACGACGACGACGACGGTCTATACTTCAAGGACTTGAGCCGGCTCGGACGAGATCTGACGTCGATAATCATGCTTGATAATTCGCCGACGTCATATCGCTTTCACCCGCAGCACGCAGTACCCATCAGCTCCTGGTTCTCCGATGCTCATGACAATGAGCTGTTGGAGATAATCCCGGTACTCGAAGACTTGGCCGATCCGCATGTCACAGACGTGAGTGTAGTTCTTGACATCGCATGTTGAGGCCGAGGGGCCAGTGCACACTTTTTGAGAGTCTGGGTTCGGCGGAGTCGACGGGAATTTCCAGCCGTCAGAGCTGGGACCGCCTCACTTGATACCAGGAGGACGATGGCAGAAGCTATCTTGAGCACCACCAGGCTGAAGTTAGCAGCTCAAACCACAGTCGCCCCAGAGGGATTCAGGATGATGTGGGCAGTGATGAGGTGGCCTAGTGCTGAGCCATGCCCTGAGCAGCCTGAGTACATAGTACGGAGAACTCAGTATTCTCTCGGTTGCAATATCCGCGGGATGGTGGAGGTGTGATTTTACACACCTTCAACATTCATACGAGGTCCTGCAGAAACCCCTTCAAGGCCCTAAGCCGAGTCGGTAAGGCTTTTCATTATTCGGGCCTAATGTGCCTTGGTCTCGGGATTATCAATTCGGGATTGCAACCCGTTTGCAGTCGTTAGTGCCGCATTCCCCTCGACCTGAATACGGGGGTAGGCACATCCTATCCTAGCTTGATGGTCTAATGTCAGGATGATCGCAGGTGCCGGAACGGAAAAAGATTTTGTGAAGGCGAGAAGGCTAACTCGAAGTATGTAAAAACCGACGAAAGAGGAAAATGCGGAGGCTAGCGACCCGCGGGGGAGTGACTCAGGACGGATTCCCTTGGCGGATTCAAATCCGTCCCCCGGAAAATGTTCTCGTGAACGCTGCTTCCATCATCGTGACTCCAGGGGAGTGGGCTTCCGCTCACACCTGACGAAAGCCAACAAAAGCCCAATCAAGCTGGTACCAAGCCTAACGTGCCTCGTATATATGAATTCCACCAAAGTCTGAAACACGTCGTTGCCGGTGATATTGCCCGGAGCATCCAATGAAACGCTGGAAATGGAAGATCGACACCACTCATTTGCTAATTCTCATGTCACGATGAGGCCATATTCAGTCTGCGCTTCCCTTACACAAGGTAGTATCCCTCTATGCTACGTTGGGTCATCATTGCTGGCCACGCTACGTGACGTTTCTGGTGACAGGGTATGCCTGGCTGTATAAAACGCCCAGATTTCCTCCCTGTGTCCGTTACTGTTTTCCCATTGTTGGCCAGCAATCGCTGCTCTAATTTTATTTTCTTTCGAAAGAAATCTGGAACACCGTCGTTCTCAATCGCATCATGAATACGATCGTCGCCAACAAGGCGGAAGAAAAGCTCGGTGACCGACCTACCGCTACCACGAACGAGTATGATGCTCGTCCCGGTGAAACCATGCTTGCACTCCGCTGGTACGGTGATAGGGATGTCCGCGTTGAAGAAGTGCCCGCACCTACCATAACCGAGTCTACCGATGCCGTCGTGAAGGTGACCGGCACGACAGTCTGCGGTAGTGATCTGCACCTGTACCACAAGGAGATTATGCAGTTGCAGAAAGGCGAAATCTTGGGACATGAGTTCATGGGCATAGTCGATGAGGTCGGGTCTGAAGTCACATCGATCAAGAAAGGCGACAGAGTCGTTGCCAGTTTCCAAATTGCGTATGTCTATTCTGTCTATGCCCCAACAAAGGTCATGCTTAGGCTAACACGAACAAACCCAGTTGTGGCAAATGTCAATTCTGTAAAGAAGGCCTCAGCAGTATGTGCGACCGCACCAATTCGTCTGCTTTGCAGGAAAAGCTCTATGGTAAACCCTTTGCGGGACTATTCGGCTACTCCCATTTTGCAGGGGGCTTTGCTGGTGGCCAAGCCGAGTATGTTCGGGTACCGTTCGCCAGCTTCAATCTTCTCAAAATCCCCGACCATGTTCCTAACGAGAAAGCATTGTATCTGAGCGACATCGTTCCAACCTCCTACCACGCCACCGTCTGCGCCGAGGTCAAAAAAGGCAAGAGTGTCGCCGTCTGGGGTCTTGGTCCTGTCGGCATGCTATCGTGCAAATGGAGCAAGCTCGAGGGAGCGAGACGGGTGATCGCCATTGACCAGGTACCAGAGCGCCTCGCTCTCGCGCGGGACATGGGCTGCGATACCATCGACTTCTCGAAAGAAAAGGACGTTGTCAGTGCCATCTATGCGCTTGAGCCGCAAGGCGTTGACTGCTGCATTGATGCTGCTGCATTTAGGTACACGAAAACCACCCTGCATAGTGCTGAGCGCATGGTGGGCCTGGAGACAGACAGCAGCGAGATCGCCAACGAGACTTTACGTGCAGTGCGCAAATTCGGAACGGTCTCGATTGTGGCCGACTACGCGGCAATGACGAACCAGTTCCTCATAGGAGCTCTGATGGAAAAAGGAGTCACGTACCGTGGCTGCGGCCAAGCTCCCGTGCAGAAGTATTGGCACCAGCTGCTGAAGAAGATCGAGAATGGCGAATTCGATCCCACTATTGTCTTAACCCATAGGTTTTCGATTGAGCAGTTCAGCGATCTGTACAAAGCATTCGATGAGAAGAGGCATGGAATAATGAAGACGTATGTGCAGACAAGGTTCTCCCCACCACCGACGCCAGGCACTCCTCCATTGAGCACACTCAGACCGGGGGATTTGAAACCAGTACCAACAGCCTGAGGTTGGTCGGGCCTTGACCACATATGAAGATGATGCTGGCAGTGATGAGGTTGCCTTGACTTTCATTGATATCTTTTCTTCAGCCGAGGTAATGGACATCCGCTTTGGAGCGGGAGAAATGATGAGCATATGAACCCAACGAGATGCAACGCTGTATCGCCAATTTTTGGTACGAGGTACTTGTCCTCCGTACTCCGTAAGAGCTTTATCGATAGAGCACGTGAAATACTCGGTACATGAGGCACGATGAGGTCAGATCCATTTCATCTTTCAGCCTCGGCGACAAGGAAGATTTTCTTCGAAGCCACCATAAGCGAATGCAACAAAGATCGGTAAAGTGAGCGTTTTGGCTGTCTGGCTGGTCACTTGTCCCCATCATCCCCAGAGTGCCAATGAGCTCGAGGGTGGCAGATGGTGGGTGCGAGCTGCATGTTCCTGCATTATTAGACGTCACGCGGACGAGTTCAACGTTTTGACCAAGAAAGATCTTGGGTCTTCAGTGGCCTTTTAGTCCAACCCAACCAACAACCCACCACTTTTTCTCAACTTCCTTCATGCTTCTGCCTCCTCGTACTATTCCCTTTCTTCGTTTCTCTAGATTGTCTATTTCCTATCTTGCAAAAAGATCCTGTGCCCGCCCACCCAACTCCCCTCAACCTCTCGCCATGGACGGGGTTCGAGCCAAAATGTCGTCCCTCACACCGTTCGCAAAGAAACACAAAGTCACAGTGATAGGGTCTGGCAACTGGTAGGACGAAGACTGCCTTCACACAGGACGCTTCTGACTGGACTAGGGGCTCCACGATCGGAAAGATGGTGGCAGAAAACACGGCTGAACATCCCGAGCTTTTCGAGCGAGACGTGCAGATGTGGGTGTATGAAGAAGAGGTCGAGGTCGACGAGAAATCAAAACACTACGACGAATCCCACGAATTATGCAAAGGACCACAGAAGCTCACAGCAATCATCAACACCCTCCACGAGAACGTCAAGTACCTACCGGGTATCGATCTACCTCATAACCTGGTCGCGAATCCTTCCCTCACCGACGCCGTCAAGAACTCCTCGATCCTCATCTTCAATCTCCCTCATCAGTTCATTTTGAACCTCTGCAAACAATTGCGCGGCCACATTCTACCCTTCGCTCGAGGCATATCCTGTATAAAAGGCGTGAATGTCAAGGAGTCCTCTATCAGCTTGTTTTCCGAGACCATTGGAGAAGAGCTGGGCATATACTGTGGTGCGCTGTCAGGTGCAAATATTGCCAAAGAGATTGCTCAAGAGAAGTTCTCCGAGACAACCATCGCCTATGATCCCCCGCCAATGGACTCACAAGCACCTACTCCTGCTACATCTCAAGGTCCTAGTCCGGCCTCGAGTCATGTGGATTTGACCAAGCTAGCCCATAAGGACGTCTCTGGCAACCCGTCAAAGGTCAAGCTCAAGCCTCTCCCTTCTGAGTATCAACCGATTGATCATGACACAATCAAGAAGCTGTTCCACCGTCGGTACTTTCATGTTCGAGTTGTCTCTGACGTAGCTGGTGTGTCACTTGGAGGTGCCCTGAAAAACATAGTCGCTGTCGCCGCAGGCTGGGTCGACGGGCTCGGATGGGGCGACAATGCCAAAGCTGCAGTCATGCGAGTTGGCCTGCTGGAAATGAGGGAGTTTGGCAACCGGTTTTTCCCTCACACCGTCCACCCAGACACGTTTACGGTCGAATCGGCTGGGGTTGCCGATCTGATCACGACGTGTTCCGGAGGTCGAAATCATCGGTGTGCGAAGTTAAGCATCATGGAGGGCAAATCGATTGAAGAGATCGAAGCGAGAGAACTCAATGGTCAAAAGCTGCAGGGAGCCATGACAGCTCACGAGGTCAATACTTTCCTCAAGAGTCAAGGCGCGGAGAAGGACTTTCCTCTTATGACGGCTGTTCACAATGTTCTGGTTGGTAACGAAAAGGCTGAGAACATTCCGGATCTTATCGAACCAGAGGATGAGTAAGTGAGATTTGCGAGTCATTTTCGGTTTTCCTTCTTGGGCAAATTTTTCCGCCGTGCTGACCGGGAAGCTCTCGGTCATGCCGGCAGAATGTGACGAACGGATCTTTGTAAGCATGATACATGATACCCAGGATCATGAACGACAGGTTGGGCCAGACATGGCTTGGGCTGGAGACTACAGGCAGGCAAAGAATTAGGAAGAGCATCTTCTGAAAACCCATCAGATGGTGCATGAGATGAGATTATGTTCAGTCCAGACGAAGTTCTATTGCGAGCATCTTATGTTCTGTTCTGTTGATTGTATAACGTGTCATTGACTGAGGCCTAGATAGGGATAGGTCTACGAGTAATACAATCTCAACTTCAACCTCCAAGACTCCATCAAACAAGACAATATCGAGGTCTGAGGTGAACAACGGATCGCGTATGACAAACGAGGACCCTAGAACGAATTCGATTGGAATGAAGCCATCCAACAGTACGAGTAACTCGATGCCAAAAACCAAATCCTCAGTAGATCCTTCACCATCGACACCTCAACCGGATACCACAAACGAGTCTTCAAGGACTGCTACACGTAGTCGACCAGCTGATGTCGCGTCGACCGATTCCGCCAATTTGGCTTCGACACAATCAGATGCTCCGTCATCACGCGCAACCGAAAGCGAAACTACGAAGCCAACACTCACACCGCTCATCCCAGCCCCGAGTCTCGCATCAAGCCGATATAATCGCCAACTCCTCGTCCCGCAATTCGGCCTGCAGGGACAACAACACCTTCTCGCCGCACGCGTCCTGATCATCGGTCTCGGCGGGCTCGGCTGCCCCGCGGCACTCTATCTCGCGGGCGCGGGCGTCGGCACACTAGGCCTGATGGACGGCGACGTCGTCGAGACGAACAACCTGCACCGACAGATCGCGCACACCGAGGCAGCCGCGGCCGCGGGCAACACGAGCAAAGTCGAAAGTGCACGGGACAGGTGCGCGCAGATCAATTCGGAGGTGCGCTATGAATTATACCCGACTCGCGCGACGCCTGACACGTTGTTGGATGTGTTGAAGGTCGGAAAATATGATGTCGTGCTGGATTGTACGGACAATCCGGCCACGCGGTACCTCGTCAGTGATGCGTGCGTGGTGTCGGGTACGATCTGTGTGAGTGGAGCGGCGCAGAGGGGCGAGGGCAGTCTTATCGTGCTCAACAACCCTCCTGGACCTGGGCGGCCCGGTGTGTCTCAGCCTCAGGTTCAAGCCGAGAAAGGACCCTGCTATCGCTGTGTGTTCCCACGGCCACCGCCTCCCGAGATGGTGCGTGGGTGCAGTGAGATCGGCATTCTGGGACCCGTGGTCGGTGTCATCGGCACGTTGATGGCGGGCGAGGCGATCAAGATCATCGCTGCCGGGCAGCATCAGCAGCAGCAGCATCTAAATCCGACCGATCTATCGTCGAGTGTAACAGTTGCAAGTGTTGGTGCAGAGGCAGTTGCAGGCGGGAAAGCCGAGACGACAAAAACAAAGTCAAGGATACAAACGCCAAGCCACACGATGCTCTTATACAATACCTACGCATCCGACCCACGGAGTATGTTCCGCACCATCACCCTGCGCGGACGGAGGAAGGACTGTCTAGCCTGCGGCGACGACGACGCGTTGGCAAAGAAAGGTCTTAGTCGAATCACTGCGGACACAATCGCCCAGGGCAGACTGGATTATCAAGCGTTTTGTGGCGTCGCGGAGGATGATGTGAGATTATTAGACGAAAAGAGACGAGTTGGCGCAAGGGAGTTTCTCGAGCAGCTCTCCTCCTCCTCGACGTCAAGGAAGACGGGGAGACCGATAGTCGTGGATGTGCGCGAAGAGCATGAATTTGACCTGGGTGCCAAGGTGTCGGGCAGCGTGAACATTCCGATCTCCAGGATTCTGAGAGCTCGGGGAGGAGGGGCCTTTGATCGGCTCAGAGGGCTGGCGGGGATGGAGCACAAGGTGGAAGGTAAGCTGGACGAGGAGGGGAAGGAAACGCACAACTTTTCGGACACCAAGCCACGCGACGCGCAAGACGAGATGGAGGACGAGAACCACCGAACGCACGACGGAACAGCGTTGAAGCAAGAACGAAGTCCAGTCCCGATATACTTTGTCTGCCACCGCGGTAACGACAGCCAAATCGCAGCGCAGAAGTTGATCGAGCACACCGAGGCTGAAGAAGCAGCAGCAGCACCAACAACAACAACAGAAGCAAGAACAACGACGGCGAGGTGGGGATGGATAGGCGATGTCAAGGGTGGATTTGTTGCCATGGAACGGTTCGCGCAGCCGAGGGTTTGATGTTGCTGCAAAACGAAATGGTCCCCGTGGATTGCGATCAAATCAAATCAAATGGGATTTCTCAACCTGCGGCCCTACTACGAGTAGTAGTGAAGGCCATATGAACTCGGAGCATTTTGAGCGTTTTGCGTTTTGCGTTTTGCATAGCATTGCACAGCATTGCATCCAGATGGGTCGATGGTCTGAAGGCACCAACGATGTTGGCATGTCGCCGTCGTGATGGGTCAATATTATAATGATTATCAGGAATGAAGAAAGCTGGCATTCCTGGAGTGACCAAGGGCATGAATCTGATAGATCTTAATCGTCCACGATGCAACAACCTATAGGTCATTCATGTAGGTACTGAAACCGTCCAACTGCTCGGACAGTGCTATTCTCACTCCCTAGTTTCACACTTCTTGCATCTCGGCGTCCACAAGCAGAGGTCTTGCCGCCGTATGACTCTGCCACAGCAACAATTCACATCGAGCCGATGAGCAAGAAGCGCAGCTGTTTTTTGAACACGTCGTCAGCCATTTCCTGCCATCTAGCAGAAAAGCTAGGAACGGTAAAGCTCGAAGGTCGCAATTGAGCTCTGAGTTCAGGCCTCGTCAGCGATGGGCCTAGATCGCTACCAGTACTTCAAGTGTAATGCCACCATATCCCGCCTCCTATTGCTTTGGCTTGTATAAAACTCCTCCCCTGTTGAATCTCTTTCTGATTCTGTGAACGGATCTCAACAGATCGGAACACCGGATCGGTCTGTATGAAATATCACCCCGCAAGAAGAACGCCGACGCAAATCATGCCCATTCATCATACACATCGTGAATCTGTCATGCACCAAAGTTCCACCATCATCATGCTTCACGACTTCTGGGCGAATCTATCCTCGGCGGACTCTTTGACTTCCGGCCTGGATGTGGTGAGTTGCTCGTTCTGTTCAAAGGGTTCTGGTCAGCATTTCCGCTTCACAAAGGCCGTGAAAGTATGACTCACGATCGCCTTCTCTCTCCCTCTCGTCTGAACTCATCGATTATTCGTAGCATCTCCTTCCTGCCGGCGGTCGCGTCTACCGTCCTACCTCCTAGACTCATACTCACTTTCGAGTCAGTCCTGACCATGAGTAATCTCTTAAGCAGTAAATGTCGCATATTCAGGCAGACAAACACTCCACAGTCTGAAGAGTTGTCCTGCTGGGGGCTATCCTGCAGATGGATGAAGCGTAGGGGCTTGTTGATGAGTTTGGAAAGCTTCTGGGTGACATGATGTGCTTCGTATTGATTTCCCGGAGGCATCGAATCGTAGTGAAAGGCAACACCGTCGACGATGGAAACGAGGAGCAAGGACCAGTGAGTTCCGCCTTCTGCGACCGTCACCGAGTGGTTGTCGTTTATGGGGAGGAAGATGTGTGTGATATCTGTGAAATCGGGTAGTGCGTCCTGCGAGGGTCAGTATCTGCGGCCTGCCGAAAATATCCCTAGCATCTACCTTTATCGTCCGCGGATCGGGTGTCTGCATCAGCATAAATGACATGGTTGGTCGTAGCAGAACGATATGAGAGTGCTTGAAGTTTATCAGGTACTCTCGTTCCAGGTATCTGTGGTGCCATCTCGTCAGGTGTCACGATCCTTCTGCCACATCTTGAGAGTGCCATACTCTTCCCAGAAAGCGATGACCTGTGTGCCCGGTGTCAGCCTCGTATTCTGCCACACCGCGGTGGGTGTAGACCAACATTGTCTGTTAACCAGTCATTCTTCAACACAGATATATCCTCTCGCGTCACTGTCTCGGTCTCAGTCATGGGCTACAGAGGGAGAGGACGGGCACTGACGTCGAACATCATAGTCTGGCGAGATGAGTTAGCTGAGTATGTTCCAGATAGGGGTGCACTTACAGCTGAGGTAGGCATCCTCGGGAGCGAGCTTTGGCGCCATGGTGGTCAGCTAGATTCATGCGAGTTGAACACTGGTACACTGGCTGGCCGAAGGCGATGAAGGGCAAGAGAGGCGAGGTATAAAAGTGGCAGGTGCAAGCAAAGAATGCGACGCACCGATCTCCCAAAATGCCTGCTCATTCGACCACCGAAAGGATGGAGGTCAGGCATGATGTTTTTGCTGTGGTCCTTGACGGCAGCGAGTGTAGGAGGGCCCCAGAGTGACGTCTGAAGCCTGTTGCGATTTTACTCAGTGTGCCCGCAGACGTGGGAGAATGTGAATATAGGGCGGCCCGATTCTTAGACGACGTATTCTGGCTGGAAATTCATTTCTTGATCAGACACCTGGCAGGCTGTTCTTGACCAGTCGCACAGTAATATAAGAAAGATTCTATACCTCTTCAAACCCCTGCTATCGAGAACACCGCAGCTCGTGCTTGTGTTACGCAGCCACAAGCCGTTTTCGAGTATCCAGCCAATTGGCAACGTCATTGTCTCAGGTCCATTGGTGATCTTGAGTCTCCATCGAACCGAAGAAAAATGCCCCACGAGCAACGTCCGTGCCTGTTCTAGCCTTCAGCATCCTTGGCTATCATCAATAAAATCAAGTGAGATGGCTGCATCATGGTGTATAGGAGAAGCAACGTTGTTCAAAGAATTTGATATGTTGGTAGCAAAATCATCCAAGTTACGAACTACGTCGAACGTCGAGTCACCTTCCAGCTTCAAGTCATCATCATCGCTAATGTACATCATTTTCTCTCCCGTCGTCCCCAAGGTCCATTCCAACGCCGAATTTTGAGCCCGCTCGAACGCTTGAAGAAAAACAAAGCTCCTACCAATCCCAGCCCATTAGCTCCTTTTCTATGGCTTGTGTACTCGAAATGTTCGTGAAAAGTTGTCGTGTTTGCTTTTAGTACTCCTAGCCCACCATGCCTGTCGAAGACAGGAGACAGGACAGAGTAGAGCCCTCGTCTCAACAAAGAAAATAGACGCTGGTTGTGGTGAAAAGTCGAATTATCCAAGCTCATTCATGATAGTTGACCTCGCAGTTCATTCACATGTAGGCGGATGTGCTCGGCCTTTCATCCTGCAAGTTTGGCAAAATGTTTGTTCCAAATCCAGCCAATCTCTCTGGTTGGGTCATCCTGGTTGATGGCCAACCATAATTCCCCATGCTCAGCGATCACGTCGAAGATCTCACCAGTCACATACGTGAGATAGCGGAAGCCTCCTTGCTGGCGCGATCGATCAATGTTGAATTCATAGACGCTCGCAGCTGTGAACAACACGCCTGGTTCCTGTCGGGGTTCAGCCACCTCTCCTTCTTCCAGAGGCTGATTATCCTCATCCATAGGCATGGCGGAGGAGAAGATGTGGCCGACGGGTGTTGGCAGATGAGGCTGTGATTGACTTGGACCAGGAGTTGCAGAATAGAATGTCGAGGTAGAGAGGTGTCTATTCGTTGGAGATGACTCTATCAATAACGGACCAAGGAATGGTGACGGTGCCTCCAAGCTCAACCGAGGAGGAGGAACTTCAGGGAGGCCTGGACTGGTCCCTGGCCGAGACGCGCTGGTGCTATTGACGGTGTGGACTGAAGGCGCGCCGCGAGATCCTGTCTCTGGAGTTCTGAGTATCCTTCCAGAAGCTGCAGAAGCGGCACGAATCCGGCCATCTGCAAAACTGAAGGCGCTTGGATCGCTTGGATCGTTGCTATATGAGCTGACCAATCCTTCACTTTGCCGCTGGTATAATGCCATGTTCAGGCTATCGTCGTTCATCGAGATCGATCGCTTGCCGAGGCTGTTCCATGATGGTTGACGGGGCGAGTCCTCACCTAGCAACGTCGTACCTGGAGTCAAGAAAGAAAGCAGGTTGCCAGCCTCAGCGAGTAGAGAGCCGTTACAGATGCTCAACGTGAGCGCCGACGCCTCTTGATAGTCGAAATCCTCTTGCCAATCTTTGACAATATCAGATTGCTCGAGTTTGTCGAGTGGAATTTCCATGGCGGCTGAAAACTTTTGTTTGCACATTGCCAACCAACTGAGGTGAAGCTGAATGAGGTTCGCCTGACATGACAGGACCAAGTCAGCTGTGGATTTGAGTAGGCGTCTCTTTCGCTCCTTGGCTTCAAGGTTGAGAGCTTCCCACTGCTCCATACGCTCAGCCATCTTCTTGTCGATCTTTTCACCCCTCTCTTTCCTGTTCTTGAACTGGTTGTAATCGAGCAGTCTCTTCTCCCTTTTTTGGATCAGCCCTTTGGGATCGTTTTGGAACCTCTCCAACATAGAGGCAGTCTTCTCCATGGGTCCCACTACTCGTCTGTTTACCTGATCAATGTGGTCGGGAAGCGCCATCGAGTTGATACCTCGAATGACTATAGCGAACTGCCGCAGTCTGCTCTCAGCTTGCGAGTGATTGGTGTGGCCGACATCGACCCATGCCTCGGCTGCGGCTGCCACTTCACACATTCGAGTCACCCACTTGGTGATCGCTTCAATATATCCTTGACAGTCTTTGGACACCAGGAACAAATGGGCGATGTTGTTGTCGTACTTGATCTTGATTTTGGCATATTCCTCATCCTCATACATTTCGTTGATGCCAACATGCTGCCTCAATTTTTCTGCGCGGCGTCCGAATGCTTTGGTCAAGCCATTGCGGACATCAGATTCTTTTCTCTTCCTGTTGAGCACTAGGTCAACCAGTTCGGTATGCTTTTTGACGTCGTTAATGCGCACATTGACCTCTGTAACCTCGACAAGTGCTCTTCGGAGGAAGCTGGCATCAGGGTGGGTATCCGCGGTCGTTTCCACCAGCTGAGTGAGGAGGAGGGGATATTTGGTGATGCGTTGGATGGGTTTGACAAGAAGCGCGTCCAGACTCCAGGCGTTGGTAATGTCGCTGGAATTTTCCTTGCACTCTTTCAGCCATTCTCGAGCCGCGGAAGACGACTGCAAAGCTTCCAGTCTCTTGTTCGCGGGATGTCGGGTCCGTATGTATTCCGTGTAGACTTTTTCCATGTCACCTATTGATGCCTCGAATGCTTGACCAACCCTGGTGAGCTCGTCCTTCTCAGCATCAGTCATGTCAGCAATGCCATCCGTCGAACCGGCGGAACTATGCACAGTTGAAGCTCGATTGCCATCTTTTCGTCGATCGGATTTTTCCATAACATAGGCCGGCTTGACGACCTGCTTGAGTAACCCGAGAAAATCTTTCGAGAACTGCTGCACAGCATCAACATTTCCAAAGATGATCTTGATGTCCTCGTCGCTTATTGCTGCAACAGCGGTCTGTTTATAGATGTCACACAGCACGCGCATATCTCTTTCATAGGTGTACTCAGTGTCGACGAGTTCCTTGAGGACATGCCGCCTCTTATTGAGGCGACGTTGCTCCGGTGTCTGTTCCTCTGTAGAAGGTCTTGCTGTGGTAGATCCAGACGGCATCGCCTGCTGATCAATGCTCGACCGCGTTGATAACTGAGAAACCGCAGTCAGTGGTCTGGATGGCGGAGCTGCTGGGATGCTCGGCGGTATCACGCCGGCTGGGGCCGACCAGGATGTCTGAGCGATTGACGGCATCATTGCAGCAGGTGGTGGGGGTGGAGAATGCGACGGTGGCCGCGGTATATCCCATTCAGTAGTCAAGGGTAAGGACTCGCTTCTTCGCTGTTCCCGCTCGTTCTGCCTGAAAGCTTCTGTGTCTTGTGTGACCGATCTATCACCAGGGTAGGTTTCGTGGGCCAGAGAGGACTGCTGCCGGCGTGGTTGAACGTCTTTGGGGGATTGAGCCGCAAATTGTATCCAGTCCGTAACGGACGGAGAGGTATCGGCCCAATCTTCTGCGCTGTCAAGGCTGGACTTGTATCTGTGATGAGATCGATATCTTTGGGGTGGTGGCGGAGGGACTACACGATCAGAGGTAGAGGCGGCGTGACTCTCGTCCATTGTATTTGTTGAGTCGTCTGCAGCATCATGGTCTGCGCTCAGTGATGCTTCAGTGCGGGTTTTATCGGTCAACCGCGGCTGGGTCTGCTCGGATTCAGCTGGCGGCGAACGTGAAGATTCACGGGTCCATTTAGAGTTATAGTCTTCTAATTCTTTAAGGCACAAGCGTAGTACCTTTTCTTCGTCCACGTTTTCAGCATCGGCCAGATCCGGAGACGTCTGGATGATTCGGTGATAGATATCGTCCACAAGCTGCTGGTCAACGACTCCTGAAGGCGTTTGTTGCTGTAACACAATGTTGACTATCGTGTAAGCATCACTGGCATATGTGTCTCTGTTCGAATCGCCCCCCACGCTCGAGCGACCGACGTCCGAGAAGCCGTCAGATTCGGCGTCCACAGCTTCCTCTTTCTGATCATAGCCCACCTTATCTTCTATGTCGACGTCTTCGACCTCTGATTCGCGCTGCTCCGCTTCTATCGAGGACGTCCAAGAGCTTCTGTGATATGTTGGTGGGGCGGGCAAGGTTTCCGCAGGTGGTATCAGTGGTCGATATCCTTTCTCAGCTGCTTCTTGGTCATCTAGATATGTGGTGTCGCGCAGCATCAGATGCACTGATACTCCATCAGCATGGTCGGAATTCTCTCCTGACGCATGTGAAGTTTCAGACAGTGGTGATCTGGAGCCATGACTCCGAAGAACACTGATCTGGTCGAGAAGGGACTGCACCGGCTCAAGCTGAGGTGCATCAGCTTGAGGCTCGACATCTATCATGGTTGCTTCCGTTGCCACAGTGCCTTCCGTGATGGCAGAGCGAGGGTCTTGTTCATCTTGCCGAGGCTGCAGATGCGTATTGAGGCTGTACGGTATGCTGCTAAATGTCGACTCCCCATGGCCGAGTGTGGGTGAATCCAAATCATCTGCAGAACAAGCAGCACCTCCTTCAACGATTTGAAGAGCATTCTGGGTGAAGGCCCGTCGATCTTCGGCTTCCTGGTCCTGGTTGTAAAAGGCACGTTCTTCAGAGTTGTCCTCCATGGTGATCGGTTCGTCCACAACGACAGCCGGGATTTCCACATTGCCTTGTGTGGGAGGTTCGAGATTGTCCGCATCGCCCGAAGGTGTCGAAGGCGTTATACTGTTGTTGCGGCTCGTCGCCGTCGAGCTTGTTCGGGTTGCTCCGCTCCCACCCTTCAGATCCTGACCCTCTTTGGACTTTGTCAATGCTTGTGTGATTTTCAATCGACGAGCCTTTAGGTCAATATCTGTGAGTTCAGGAGGTCTTTGACGCCGGTAAGCTCTGCTATCGCTCTGCTGCTTGGCCATTGTCTGGAACTTCTCCGCCATTTTCGCACGGGACGCGGCAGTCGAAGCAGAGGACACAGGCAGCCGAGGTCTTGAGCTTCTCAGGGGAGGTGAGATTTTTGGTGGAGGAGCAATGATGTTTGCTCTCAATGAAGGGCTCTTCTCGCTCGATCCTGCTCCCGGCTTAGCTGTCCTTCCAGGACTCTTAATCTGGATAGGAGAACGACGTCCTCTGCGCGGGCTAGGAGCTTTACGACTTGTAGAAGGAGCAACGTTCGTGGGCGACTGACGTAAGCCATTTGCCCGCAGAAGCAGCTGAGAGTTCAAGCCAGTCGTAGGAGAGACGTTTGCAGGTTCTGACGCATTGCGGTTGTGCCGGACGCTGACAGGAATACGAGATATTGCACCTCCTTTAGGTGAAGTGTCTTTACCTTCACGCCTCGTGGTTGGGGAGTTACTTTCACGAGGGAGGCTTGACGAGGCTCCTGCGAAGTCGCTGTTTGCTCGACGATGACTCGGGCCGGGAGCAATCGGCCTATTCGGCTCGGTATTACTGCTTGGACCTAGATATTGCCTATTGTGCTTTGATGCAGATGTCGATTCCCCAGGCTGTCGCATGTTCGTAGAACTCGACGGAAACATCGGGTTGGGGCTGTGCATTGGGGACGCTTCCGAACCCGTTCTTCGGCGAGCATTGTATATGCCATAGCCTGCAGCCGGGGCTGGGGTCGCTGAAGGAAGAACTTCGCCAAACAGTAGTTTGCGTCCACTTCCCGCAGCTTTGGTGTTGTTCGCCGCCTGTTCCGAAGCAGCCACGGAGGAATTTCCTCGATGGCGACCGCCAACACCAGTCCCATGAGGTCGAATTCCTATGCTAGGGGATGTCATCTTCGTAGAGTGGGAGAGCCTTGAATCTGGTCTCTTCAACTGCGGAAGACTGCTCGCATAGGTGTTCGAGGGATCGATGGAAGTGTACGGCATGGGGCTGGCAGTTCTCGAAGAGGGCCCAGGAACAAGTTGTGTTGGTAATGGCGGCACTTCCTCCGGAGAGGCATCGAAGCGCGCCACAAGATCCTTGAATGAAGCCTTCCTCGACTTCAGCAAGGTTTTTGCGGTTCCGTTCTCCCAGGTGCCATTAGACAGATTCTGGGTGTTAATAGTCGGTCTTCGGCTACCGACAGAACTCCTGGCCGATCTTCCACCTCTATCCTCATTCGATTTAGCTGATGCGAAACTAGACTTTCGTGTTGCGGCTCGATTCTCGTCCTCCTCTTCAAAAGTTGTGGTACGAATCGCTTCTTGGTGTAGGGCTAGGGGCGAGGTATTGGTGAAAGGATCATGGTATTGTCTGTAGAAATCATGCGGATCGCTTGATCCTTCTTCGGTCGGCGCAATCTCTAATTTCAGGTTTGATTTCGAAGCCGACGGGACTGAGGGTGTCCTAGTGCGTTGCGGTGTCGACTGCGTCTGGGCATAAGCGGTCGAAGGTAGGAAGACGAGAGATCGATTTGGGGACTGAAGTTGCGAGGGGGAGTTTCTGATCTGGTCCGGCAAATTAGTCTGCGACTGGGAGGACTGTCGACGATGATGCGCGGCATAATAATTGTTCTGGTTTGATACCGCAGAAGGCATGTCGTCGACTCTGGCCCAAGTTTACGCCGAGGCCTTCCTTCTTGGACGATGATGTCTATCGTGCAGATGCATGGCCCGCGCCCAACATACCTCAACCACTTGAATCGCACTCTGTCGCGCTTCTGCCTGTCAAAGTATACGTCTCTTTTTGTGCAAAGACCTTCTCGTCTCGATCTGACAGCCGTCACGCCCCCGTCTGGAGATGATCTAACCGCAGGGACAATGAAGACTTGTTGTAAGATGAGGGGTGGCCGAATATCGACCGACGGCTGGCGACAATAATGCCCGACACAAAGAAAACCCTTTTTCTTCAAGTTGAAGTAGAAATCGCGACTTTTGGTGCAAACTGCGGTTGTAATGGTTTGAGATCGGGCAGGGTACGCAGGGCTAGATCGGTAGGTCGGGCCAAAACAGGTCGGCGGGAATGCGTCGACCAGAGAGGGACTAGGTACTACACTACGCTGGCGCAGGCGTAGGTATCATGAAGTCAAGAGGAGGGATATGGGGTGTGAGGCTGTCTTATTAACGGTGAGTTTGTACGGTGTATGTGTTGGGCGTTCGGATGAGATGCCAACAAGCGAGCAGGATGTCGATTGCTAGCGTACAATAGTGGATGGGCACGATGGGGTCACTGAACAGGCACCTTCTGAAGGACTCCGCAACTAAGACTTAAGCACTACTGTGTAAAGTGCCCTAAACCTCCGGAAATGCCATTCTTCACAAGGCTTGACGTGGACGGTTCGAAAAGAAGCCAAAAGAGCCGACAAACTCTGATCAAATCTCTTTATCGAAGAAAGTCATTGTTTGCTATCGAACAAAGCCCACAACTCAGAAAGTGCCGAACACTTCTATCCATTACGGATGCGTCAATTGTGTGTAGCAGAAGTACCAATTATGCTCCTGAATCTGCATCTCCGCGTTTGACTGGTGCCCAACCTTCATTCCTCTATCATCTCCAACCGCGCCTCTTGAGCAGCAACAGGGCCTCATCCGCAGTCCTTGTACTGACAGAAAAAGCTACCACCCTATCATGAAAGAACCCTCTTGAGCGCCTATCTGAGCCACTATTGAATTACAGGGTAGGTTACCGAGCCTAGCAGCCTCGTCAAAGTACTCCGCCGAAATGAAGCTAGAGCCATTTTTGTGTGCATGACAAGGCGAGACGGCGAGACGGCGAGACGGCTGAGAACACGGTCGATCATCCATGCTCAAAAACCCGCTAACAAGTCGCGTTATTCTTTACCCTGGCACCTGGCAAGCTGGCTCCCGGCCAGACAAACCACGGCCATTTTTGAACCTTCAGACACTAACAACGCGTCTGTCCTGGCCCCATCGTACTCGAGAAAACAACACCCGCTTGTCTCATTTCTGGTAGTGTTTCAGCCAACTCGCCTAACCCGAGAGTCTCCAGGACGACAAAAACCTATTGCTGCTGACCGCGAAGGATGTTGGCGGTAGCCAGCCTCTATGCAGAGAGAATAGCATGCGCATTTCGTCGAGGGAGCCACGAGTACCAGGACCATGACCAGAAAACGAAAATGCCATGACAGTGCTTCCAATCACCGACCGACCAAAATCTCCAAAACATCCAATCAGACAATCGCTCTCGGAAATACAAAATTACCAGAAGTTCAACCAACACCAGACGCGGTCCATCATGCACTGCTATCTTCCTTCTACCCCAAGGTCTGTACCTTAAGGGTCTTCCTGTCGACATATCTGCCCTCTACTTCTCGCGTCCGCCGTCGGAAGTTGTCCCTTTTTGGACAGCAAGATGATGAATGTCTCCTCGACACCTGCCTCGTCGGCATTCTGAACGAGCCGTCAGTTGCTCTGAAGCAAGCACGCAAAGTCGATTTCCTTACCTTTACACAATGTCAACAACGTGCAACTGGTGCTCATAGCAATCGCACCCAACAGTGTTGCTTGAATGAGGTAGGCTTTTCAACGCTCCGCCCCTGCAGGATCGGCGACTGACTCGGCTACGTAGATTGTAGACTTTGCCATTTGGTCGCTGTTCCGAGGAAATTTCAGTGGTCAACGGCCACGCCACATCCTTTGCCATGGTCTACAGAGGGCATCCGGGTCTGTCGAATCCGGCCGTGTTGGCAAAGACAGCGGCGTCCTTCCGGGGATAGTCCGCCATCATCCAAATGATAACCTGAAGATCTTGACGTCAAGCCCCTGGACCGAAATTTTATCGCTTCTAGGAGATGACGCCGAAGCCATTGCTGCAAGCTTGTTTCTCGATTGTGGCATCTTCACAAGGCTTGCAAACGGTAACGGAAACTATTTTCAATTGAGTGGAATTCCCATATCGGAATTAAAGAACAAAGAGACATCACAGTCCTGCAAAGATCTTTCTTCCACAACACGGGACAACCGAAATCGTTCAGGGTCCAATATTCGATTCGTGAGGAATCGGATACTGTATGCGAGACCGTCGTTGAATAACGCTGGCAGGGTCAAATTCGGCTTGCACCATATACATGTCCTGCAAAGATACACCGGCGTCGTCCAACCGGATCATAGCGTTCATATTGCAAAATACATCTTCCCACGGCAATTTGGCCTGCACAACGTCTTCAATTCCACCGTCGATCCAACAGAAACAGCACAACACTTCAAAGACTATACTCTACGTGAAGTGGAAATTCGAGGCCAACGCAAGAAGTCTATGACATGGATCCCCCGGCGGTTACGCGGCAAAGCTTTGGAGTTGGTGAGGAAAATTCAGCGAAACCATCACAGCTGCTCCTACAGTCAACTTCTGTGGCACCATTGTCCCATTGGCGACCCACCGACTAGAGCGAATGTCAGGCCAGGACATGAACATGATATATCCAGTTCGGAGCCATTGGTCACTCAGATTCCTGGGTCTAATTTCTCAGCACAGCCATCAAGCCCAGGCTCTGACCATGGTGAAAATGGGACATCATTTTTACCACAAGCAACTCCCGTAGCTGCAGTCTCTGCCTTTTGTCGGTCTGTCATTGGCCGCTTGCTTCCTAACGATGCTTGTGGGATCGGTACGGAAGGCCGACAAAGCCATGCAAAGCTGATGAGAAGAATCGACGAGTTTGTGCAGATGCGCCGCTTCGAGAGCATGACCTTACATAAAGCTGTCCAGGGCATTTCAGTAAAGGCGATACCCTGGCTGTGCCCACCAGGGCAAGATGGACAGAAAATGTCCCATTCCGACCACTCCAAACGTCTGGAACTGCTACACGAGTTCGTCTACTACATTTTCGACTCCCTTCTGATACCGCTCATTCGAGCGAACTTCTATGTTACCGAGAGCTCGGCTCACCGGAACCGATTGTTCTATTTTCGACACGACGTGTGGCGGAAGCTCTGCGAACCTAGCCTTGCAGTCCTCAAACTGAACATGTACTCTGCGATTAAGCCCAGCCATGCTCGCCAGAAGCTACAACGTCGAACCTTGAGCTACAGTCACCTTCGGCTTCTGCCGAAGGATCATGGAGCGCGGCCCATCACGAATCTCCGGCGGCGACAGCTGAAAGTGGTTTCCGGCAGGCGAATTTTGGGCAGCAGCATCAATGCTCAGCTGGGCTCGCTGTTCAGCGTCCTCAACTATGAGCGTGTCCGGGACCCTACACCCTTGGGTTCAGCTTTACTATCAATTGGAGATCTTCATGGCCGATTGAAACAATTCAGAGCCCATGTACCAGCAGGATCGCGGTTGTACTTTGTCAAGGTCGACATCAAGTCCTGCTTCGACAGTATCCCACAAGAGCATCTGTTAGCTATGGTCAAATCACTTTTCTCGGAAACTTCGTATCGAAGCACTAAACATACGGAAATGAAATGTCTGGACGAGGTAGGAAGGGGCGACAAGGGACCACTGAGACGACATTATGTGGGATCGGCCCGCCCTGCAGACGATACAGCAGTATTTTCAGAACCATCCGCAAACAGTGTCGCGATCAGAAAACGAAATGTAGTCTTTGCAGACACTGGGAATCAGAAGGTCTCCACACGAGCCTCGATATTGAAGCTCCTTCACGAGCACGTCGGAGACAGCTTCGTCAAAATGGGCAAGAAGTACATGAGACAGACGAATGGCATCCCTCAGGGCTCGGTGCTGAGCAGTCTCCTCTGCAGCTACTTCTACGGCGCATTCGAGCGGAATGAGCTTGGTTTCCTAGACCCAGAGTCGTCCATGCTTCTCAGGCTTATTGATGATTTTCTCTTGGTGACCACAGACGTCCAAGTGGCAAGACGATTCCTCGAAGTCATGGTCAATGGAGATGGAAAATATGGTATAGCGGTCAACGCGGAGAAATCACTTGTCAATTTTGACGTGTCAGTCAAAGGCCACAAGGTCCCCCGATTACACGGCGGTAACTTTTTCCCTTATTGTGGTCTGGGTATTGAGATGACAACACTAGAGTTGAGAAAAGATCGAGGGAAAAGAGATGCATATGTTAGCAATGCGCTGACAGTCGAGACAAGCTCCCGACCTGGGATGACGCTGAGGAGGAAGGTATTGGCATCGATGAAGCTGCAGATGCATGCCATGTTGCTGGATATGTCATTGAACAGCAGGAAGCAAGTGATTTCGACACTGTTGGGAAATTTTGCAGAATCCGCCATGAAAATGCATCAATACATGGCCAGTATGGGACAAGCTACTTGCTCTCGGCAGACCTTGGTCAGGAAATTGATCGAAGAATTAGTGCTAGCTGCTACCAAGATCTGCTGGGTAAAGAACAACCACAGCCGGCAAATTACCAGAACACAGATGTGCTGGATTGCTGCCGCGGCCTGCGAGAGAGTGCTGTGGCGCAAACAAAGTCAATATATGGAAGTATTGGCATGGCTGAGGACGTTGAGAAAAAGCACCGAAGACAGGATGAACCTGGAGAAGGGGGAATTGAGGTTACTCGTTGAAGAGAACGACAGGACATTCCAAGGATATGTATACTGAATGAATAGAATAAGAGCGTTGGTCGGTTACCTACCTGAATAAGTAAGCCATGTCAACACAGATGACAGAAGTCTAGAAGCACAAAGGAAGGCCAGAATCTGGTCACTAACTAGCATTGAGCTGTCCCTGACAACACATCGATATGGAATGTTGGCAGGCGGGATGCGTGTGTTGTTCAGAGCGCTTGGGCAAAATGTGGCCTGGGTGGCATGGGCTTTTCCTTGCGCCTCCATACCCGTCGAGCCCGTCTTTGCATCCTGCGGGCCTGCCACCACCAGCCAGCCGAAACCAGCCACCGACAACATATCCCCAGCTTTTACTAGGATGATGCGCCTGCTCGCTCAATATCAATATTGGAGTCCTCAGCAGCTTGAGCCTCACCGTCTTCGCCTGTCTTCATTTCATTTCTCCCGCCGAAGCCAGCCACGGCACACCGACGCCTCGCCTGGCATAGACAACCCTCGGGTTTTGGACACTTCTTATTTCATTATCATGAAACAGCCACAGTGCGTCAGAAGACCATCTTGAACGACTTGACAGACGCCTGCTGCGATCCCTTTTACGAAATCACGAGTCTGGCTATGACCCTTACTGAACCTGCGACGAGATCTCTTAACCACTTGAAACACATTCGCGACCGGACCTCACCAACAACCGGCGGTGACAGTTCTTGATTCGGTGGCTTCGGTATAACATCTCATCGAGTCTCCACGATTTTCCAATCGACGAGATCGCCCAAAATCCATTACATCAACGAAGAATTACTGGCAAAATAATCCTGGACGAACAGTCAGTGGGTCGCAAGCCGAACCGTTGTCAATCCCTTGAAACCTCCCCAATTGATGCCACCTGCGGCCTAGATGGTCATCCTGCCAGCCCCCCTCCGCCACCAAGTTTCCCAAAGTTCAAAACCAAGGCCAGCACATGCCAGCCAGTCAACAGCCATGGAGGAGCCCCTAAAACAGCCAGCCGCATCCTCTCTCCGGCATGGTCGCAAACATGGACCCGTGCTAGCATCATGTCAACCGTCAGCACCATCTTCAACTCCACCAATGATGCGGATGTCTTCGCCAGGGGCTGGTCCATTGGAAACTTCGCATCTTGGCCATGATCCTCGAGCTTCCAGTTCGCAGTTGGCAGGCCTTGATCAAGTCGTCCGCAACACCGAATATTATGTCCTTTGGCGCATACCGACACTCGTTTCCTGCAAGTCTTCAAACCTCAACTGTGCAGAAATAACACAGCCATCGTGCACGAACATTGATCTTAATTACCCTGTCAATAACAACGCTCGTTCACCGGAAATTAAATCACCACATTCGCAGGCGGAAACATTCAACACCTTCTCCCGCAACCACTGCACTTACAACTTCATCGATGAGAACGCAGGGCAAGGAGTTCGCTCGTTAACCTCCTCCTTCTCCTCCAGCGCTCAGATCCTTAATATGACGACAATAACCGCAAGCATCCCCGGCTCACCTCCTGACTTGTCCGGCTCCCGATCCTCCAAATCGTCCTCGTACTCTTCCACATTTTCGAATTCCGATGACTTAGAATCCGACTCAATCAACTTTGAAGAGATTGGCTTGGAAGATGACAAACAAGCCCCTCCCGAAAGCTGCCATTCGCGAGACCTCTCTATACAATCGTTTGGATCGCATCATGAGTTGATGAAGACGAAGGATTTTGGAACTGGGGACAAAAGGCAGGCGCTTCCACAGTTGCAGACACAAATCAACTTGTCGCATCGGAGACAGGATTCCGCGACGCCGAGAGCAGCCGGGTCGAGAATGCTGTCAATGAAGCGCGGATTCACTACTCCTGAGAATTTCTTCCCTCCCAGTAACAGGACGAGGTCTTCGTCACCACCGCAAAGGAGACCTCTCACATCAATTTCCAAAAACGTTGTCAGTGCTGGCGGTCTACGACCCATACCTCAATCGTCGACATCTTCACTTGGCCCGCCTTCGAGACGGGCTTCATGGCAACCAGCTAGGAAGACTGTCAAGGAGTTGGAAGCAGAATATAACGACTCTGACGATGAGCTGCCTGAAGATGCAAGTCTCTGGAACGTTCCGGTATCGCCACATGTGTCTGGACAAAGGTCACATAGATCGAGTTTCCGCGGAAGCCCGGAAAGAGAATTGCAAGCTCACAGTCCTCGTCCTATACCTCTGGCACACGCGAGGACGACTCCAGACACGCCTCCTCGCGTAACCATGCATTCTCAAAGCCTGCCAAAGAATAGGGTTCCGCCTTCACGAGCAGTCACTCTCAATCCTTCCACGTCAGATCCTCCATCACCACGGAGGGCAAATAATCTGCGTAACGGAAGAACGAAGTCATGGAACCTTGCGATGGCCGATCTGAGTGAGGAGGCTCGGATTATCAGTGAAGCGTTGGAATACCATGCCGAATCCAAGCAGCAAGATAGGCTTGAAAGCTTGCGAGGTGGCTCCTCGCGGGAGAGCTTGGAGACTGTTTCGGACGGCAAGTCGACAAGAAGCTCGAGCATTCAACTGCCCCCAATCCAGAAAAGCACTTTGGACTTTATGCCTATATCAAAGCAGAAGGAGGCAATCCTGTCGCGAACAAGGCCGTCGTGGCTACCACCAAAGGATCCTAAAGAAGAGCGGCGACATCTAAAGGAGTATCAGCGCATGATGGCGGCATCTATTGAAGCTGAAAAGAAACGTTCCACCAAGCTGCAGGTTCAGCAATGCACAGAGAGTGATACGCGCGATTCGCTCAACCGGATCTGGCAATATTATGTCGAAGAGTCCACCGACATATCAACGATCGACAAACGTGTGAATGATCTTTGCTGGCGTGGTATCAGCCCCAACATTCGTGGCAAAGTCTGGCAGAGGAGGATAGGGAATTCTCTGGGACTTACTGTGAAAAGCTACGACAAGGCTCTGCAACGAGCCAAGGAGATCCAAAAGCTACCGACCGACCAGCTAGATCGCAACACTAAGAGTATGGAACGATGGTTTGTCGACATCGAAAGAGATGCCGAAACGGCATTTCCCGAGCTCAATCTATTTCAACGGAATGCGCCTCTTTGGCAGGATCTGGTCGACGTCTGTGAAGCTTACGCATGTTATCGCAGTGATGTGGGATATTTTTATGGGATCCAACTCATCGCCGCATTACTTTTGTTACAACTGCCCACTCCAGGCGAGGCGTTCATCCTCCTGGCGAATTGTTTGAACAGACCAACACCTTTGGCATTTCAGACCAATGATACACCTACGACTGGACGAGCATACAACCATGCGATTTCCACCTTGAGTGTCAAGTTTCCTCGTCTTCACGAGTATCTGTTTGGCTCCATGGAACAAGGCGGTCTGGGGTTCAGTGGAGAAGAAGTTTTCGAACCCATGTTCCGGACTATATTCTCCAACGGCCTCGATGTTGACCGACTTTGCCGGCTCTGGGATATCTGGGTATTCGAGGGTGACCGGACGCTGATCCAAGCAGCAGTGGGCGTCTTGGGTAGCCTTCAAGCGCAATTGTTCGATATTCGAGGAAGCATCGATCTGAAGAGGCGCAACATTCAAGAAATGCTTGGGTGGGGACCTTTCAATCGACAACCTCAATCCGGTCATTGGAATCTTCATGTTCTTGGGGACGAAGAAAGATTTGTTGAAGAAATACGCCTTGCTGGCACCCTCGATTACACTGGCAAGTGAACAATGCTTAATGAAGTGTACAGGTTTGTACAAATGAATATTACTGAATACAAGAGGAGGCAACAACTTCTTCCGCTGGTTTAATCAACGACCCTGTTACCAACTTCTTCTGAAAGAGAGGGAAGCTTCTTTAGTTCTGGAAAATCTGGATTTGAGAGCAGGAGAGAAGGGCCGCTCTTTGTTCCTGCACTTCAGGTTGTCGGCCTCGAAGCTGCTGAGGGCGAGCGAGATTTGATACTGTATATATTTAGTTTTCGTTGGACTTTGAGCTTTTGATGCTCGTCCTTTCTGATTCTTTTGTCGCGAGATCAAGTTATGAAGACAGATAACTAATTGATGAGGAAGCAGGCCAAACCTTTTGGTCAAACTACTAGGATTTCGTCCTTGTCTACGGAGTATCTATGTTCATGTTTATCTGGGACAGACTGGTGTGGTCACGATGATCGAGCACGGAGTACATCTTTTATGGACCGTCCAATCTCTGCGTTCGAAGTACTGTAAATACCTTATCCATGCGTGTCCATGTTATCCCCATCTATTGCCGGCACCGTTGCAGATGTGGCGCGGGGAGGTCAATCCGAGGAAGTTAAGCGATGTCAGCGACTTGCATACTCGTATGAATTAGACGGACACATGATTCGTATAGCAGTCGTCAACTCTGGACGCCTAGCCTTGGACAGGTCCGGCTATGGTCGTGGCCCGGAAATTAATTAAAAAGGTAAGTCGATAATGCACGGGTGTTCTTCGCGTTTCTGTGTCTCGATTGTTATTGTTCGCAGTGGCACTGGGCAGCTTGTTCAGGCCACCCAGCTGAGGTTCACGAGAGATACGCCGACGGCAACCTAACTAACTCACCGCTTCGTGATTGTTGAGTGCTTCAGTTGTGGAGTGAGTGTGGCGTTCAGGGGTGATTGACGGTTTGAATTGAACGGGACAAGCCGTTCGAGTTTGATATTCTAAAGCTCTGGGTTGAGAAGGGACTTGAGAGAGCGGTGCTTGCGTTGACTAAGGTACACTATCAAAGCCTTTGATTCCGATTCTTCGCAGGAGAAGTGAAGAAGAGTACAGCGACGAACTGGGCGATTGTTGCTTGGAAGAAGGCGATATACTGTGCGCGGAACGGAGTCCTTGACCAGAAAGGCGATAGTGTTGGGAGCGTGAGCAACTGAAATAGCAAGTCCTCTATCGACTTTGGGAGTGTCCCGACGGGAAACACACAGAACCTGCAGCGAGCGAGATTGTCCAGCCTTGACTCGACTCCGTACGGAGACTCGCAAGCTCAAAGCAATATAGCCAGAACAGCATCTTCGCGACGAACGAACACCAGTCAACGATCCCTCACCACTAGCATCCAGCATCCAGCATCAAGCATCCAACAGCCTCCGAACCACTTACCGACCGACCTCACCATCACACTCGGCAAGTTAGAAAATGGTCCATCTCATCCTCACCGGCGCAACCGGCCTCGTCGGCTCCGCCGTGCTCTCCCACATCCTCTCCCTCCCAGCCAGCGCGACTCCGCAAATCACACGCCTGAGCATCCTCTCGCGCAATCCGAACATCGCCCTCCTCGCCAGGCCCCATCCGCCTCCCGGGACGCCGAACGCAAACAAGCACACCAAGATCGAAGTCATCGAGCACAAGGACTTTGGCACGTTTCCGCCGGAGCTTCTTGAGAGATTGAAGGGTGCCGACGCGTGTATCTGGTCGTTGGGCGTGAGTCAGAACGACGTCGATCGCGAGACGTATGTGCGGATCACGAGGGACTTTGCAGTGAATGCTGCCAAAGCGTTTTCCACGCTCAAACAATCCTCGTCCACGCCGTCCTTGCAGTCCTTGCAGTCCTCACAGCCACAGTCAACGCACAACACGGCTGGCACTGGCACTGGTGGCCGTACCAAGGATGCGACCGAAGCCTTACAGGGCAAAGAGGGCGAAGGCGAGCATGGGAAGTTCAAATTCATCTATGTCTCGGGCGAAGGTGCCACACAGACGCCCTCGCGACTTACGCCGTTGTACGGGCGCGTCAAGGGCGAGACTGAGACCGCGCTGCTCGAATTGGCCAGACAGCCTGATATGAGACGCAAGCTCAGCGTGTACAGTGTGCGTCCCGCGGCCGTGGACGGGACGAATCAGCCGTGGCTGTGGAAGGAGATTCTCAAGCACCACAGGACGGCGTTTCAGAGTTTCTACCTGCGCGCGTTGATCGGGCCGATCCGACACCTGGGGAAGGCGAGTTGGGTGAGTCCCACGGAGGACTTGGGGAGGGTGTTGGTTGACATGGCGCTGGACGACAGCAAGGGGATGGGAGGTGGCGAAGGAGAAGAGGAACAGGGAGGAGGGTACGAGATGTATGGGCCGGATGGGTTGAGTGGGGATGGTGGGAGGATTTTGGATAATGTGGTGCTGCGGCGGTTGGGGAGGGAGGGCGAGACGAGATAAATACTACGCTGGATCGGTCATTCTGCGAGTGTAGTGAAGGGCAGTTGGAGAGAAGGCTTAGCGAGGAAGGGAGGAGGAGACAGGCACTGGGAGGCAGAAGAGATATTGATATATAGCCAGCGATGAGCCTGGGAAGTAAGGGTGTGATTCTGGCTCCGTCTTGCTGAGTCCAAGATGGATTATGCTGCTGAGTAATTGGATGAAAGTACTCCGTATGGGTTCAGTTCTTTCGTATGTGTAGTATCATCCTTCACTGGTTTCTTGGGATTTATATCATCATAATCTGCGCAAGATGTAAGATGTACATCGGTACCACGCTGTACGAGTACAGGCTGCAATTCGCGAGCACATGTCCTTCGCTTTATCTGATTCTCTTCTTGTGTATGTTTCCTCATCTGGGTATCCTAGAGGGGGTGCACCTCTACCTCCTGCAAACAAGCAGATCTCATCGTAAATTCCAATATATGCTCAACGCTCAGAATATGCGCAAGTTCAAACAAATCATTCTTCGTCGCAAGATTGGTGCTCATGACATCCCCCAACCAAACAAGACAGCAGCAATCGTAACACACACTGTAGCGAACACCCTACTCACGCCGACTTCGACGTTGGGGCTGCCCAGCGATTCTCCACCGGCGTTCGTCGCACTGGCACTCGGATTCGCACTGGTCGAACTCGGGACACCGCCAGTGGCTCCTTGCGTGGCGGCTTCCTCGTTGAATCCAGAATCTCCCGCGCTCCTCTCCCTTGCGACGTTCTGCTTGAAATAGAAATTGTCCTGGCCCACGATATTGCCCGCCGGCCAGTATTCACAGACCAGAAATATGCCGTCCAGCCCGTTCTTGCCGTCACAATTCGTCCACCCGCACCCCGTGGCCTGCGTGCTCTTCCACACAAGCTGGGTGAAATGGCCCGTCTCTTCGGTGAAACCCGTTGGATCGCTGGTGTTGAAATTGTATTCTGCGCGCTCGTTGCCCCATGCGTCGACCGCCTCGATCACGTTGGTATATCCGCGGGCCAGGTTCTCGCCATAAGCACCGTGCGAATGTTCCCAGACGCAATTCTTTGAGTAGTCGAGCGCATACTGGGCAAGTGTGTCGTTCCAGTAGATGTAGGATGCAGAGTGTTCGTAGCGGTAGAAGTTTGTCGAGTTGAGGATGGAGGTGCGGAAGTCCATATTGTTTGTGTACTGGGCAGACAGAGGTTGCGTGGGTGCTGCCATGGTGTAGTAATTTGTGATGGTTGTGGCTATGACCTCGACGGTCGAGGTTACTTGCGAGAGGACGGGGAGGGTGTGGAGGCAGAGGATGCTGAGGGATAGAGAGAGTGGTAGGCGCATGGTTGTGGTGGCTCCCGAGGGTGATGGCTTGGTTCCTCCTCTTTTCCTCCTTTCTTGTTGTTCAGGCTGATACTTTCATGGTACCTAGGTATGCTTGATCTTCCAATGTCTTAAGTACTGTACAAATGGGTATCTATGTTATGACAAAGCAGTGCAGGCCGAATGAGTGCTGGACTCTGATGAACGAAGGACGCAACGAGAGTATATGTCGGTGAAGACAAGACAGCGAGTTGGAGGAAGCCAAAGAGTATAAGGAACAAGTCCGTCACTGCCTAAAGTATTGAGGCTGAGCAATAAGCAAGAAGAACGACCATCGTCAAGCCAGGCAATCTGCGCTTGGACTGTTACTAGTTGACACCTATGAGTAGTAGACTGTAGTTGGTGTTTTGGTGCCTGTCAGATGCGACGTCATGGTTGGCTTCCCGCTTAACCCGCCATGCCTGATGGATGCCTGCATCATGCCGCTCTCAAGCGCCGCCAGAAGATGCCGAAGTCTGCAAACCAACCGATTCGCCCGCAACATCCCTGCCGGTGCCTGTGAAGCTGGAGAGCTCCTGTGGAACCCCCCAAGAGGAGCCGTGGGAGCTTAACTTGGTGAACAATACTCCAGATTCCGTAGGTATTAAAATAGTCCACTTGTGCTCACCTGCAGTCAACTGTGATACCTTACTGACCTTACATCAACTCACCTCTGTCGCTGCAAAAGTTTCAAAAGTTCCTTATGTCCTTCATATGGACCGACAGCAAACATGGATGTCCTCACACTCCAGCTCTGGCTCCTCGCGACTTTTTGCGGTGGCCCAGAGCTCGGGTTTGACGTTGTGGGTGCTTCATGCCGGTTGCCGCTGAGGAACAAAGGGCGGGCAGATTGCTCAAAGACATACAGAACTGAGAAGAACACCTCTCAGGTGTCTTCTCGGTGCGGCGATACACACATCACCGCCTGCACAAGGCAGGTCAAACAAGATGGCAGTGGTATTTCTACCTGCCTCTGGCCCGATCTGAAAGATGGTTTCGCTTTTGTTGAGTGTTGAAGACTTGTCAAGATCGCTTCTTCATCAAACAGATCGTCTCGCAAGCTCGCTCACACAATGGACGACATTAACAGCTTCCCCGGTTTCGAAGGTTTCGAATGGAATGAACCGCCTCCAGTCCCGGATCATGTACGGTCTGGCGTGATTCCTGGGAGCCCCAACTCTCCAGGAGGACCGTCCGCTGCCGTGCTTTTCCTACCAAGAGCGGTACCACCTGGATTTCCTCTAACACCTGAAGAGCTTGAAGAGCTTCAAGCTACCAATTCCAAACACACCAACGATTTGTCGACTGGAGAAGGTGAGCCCGACACAATCCTGATGCCTCTTACCTTGCGCTCTACGTCCAAACGTTGCAGAACTGACAATCATTTTACAGGACATGATTCTATTGAGGACACAGGACCTCCATTTGAGCCCTGCGGACCCTCACCCGAACACGAAGCCAGATGCGAAGCCAGATACAACCTGTACAAGGACACCCTCAACAGCATCGGCAGTCGCTACACCTGGCTGAAACTCCACGCCACGGCTCTCACTCTGTCCGAGAACAGCATCAAAAGCATCCTCACTCGTCTCTGCTACCTCGCCGCCCTCAAGAACTCGGCCGCCCCCGAGATCCATGCTCGCCAGCACTTGATCCGCTCGCGCCAAGTCACCAACATCGAGCCACACATCATCATCAACCACATCGAGTGGATCCGCTTCATCGGCCGCTTCCCGGCCTTGGTGTCTCAGGTCATGAAGCATGTCACATGGGTGGAGTTGCTCAACAAGGAATATCGCAAGGCTGAGCCGGCCTGGAAGGGCTTTTGGGACGACGTCGAGCGACACGGCGGCCTTCCAGGGATGCATCATATGGACGCATTAGACGCCATGCACAAGAAGCGTGTTTTTCTCCAGGGCAAGATCGTGGATGGAGAGGCCGTGCTCGCCAACCTGTTCATGCAGGAGCCAATCTGGCTGCAGTGGGAAGTCAATGGCTTGTAGAACAGAGGGTCACGTAGTAGATAGAGAATTGCACATTGTGTGCACAATGACAGAGAACCATGAGCAACTGGACCCTGGGTGACCGTCCGGTGCAGTGACCGCATTTCTGTGATGTGAGTTCGGGTTGGACGCCCATTGCAAACTTGTTAAAATCATCCTTTGGGACCATGGCTAGCTCCAGGGGCAGTGGGTATAGGTTCGTGATTTAGAATCCAAGGGAACACCACATTCAAGACTATATCCCGTATCCAGCAGAAACGTGAGGGCATCCTGATACAGTAGCACTATCATAGTGGTATATGAATGGAGGCATCCTTGGCTTAAACATATCATTTCTCATCACGTCGTCCTCTCGTCATAATCATGACTGCCACCTCCTTCCACTAGGACCTCGTCCCCATCCTCATCGCATATGATCTACATCACTATACAACTGTCCCCCTTGACCTTCCCCTCCACACGTCCCTTGACCTGCAGCCAATCACTCCGCCGCTCAGCGAATTCAACCACCTCCTCCACCGTGAATACACCCTTATACCTCTCGCCATCCGAAATGATGGTCGCCATCTCCGAAACATCCCTTTCACTCTCCCCGCCGATCAGATAGATCTGAGCAACCTCTCTCAACGCACTGTAGTAACTGCTCAGATCGTTATTGCGAAACTGGGCCACAAAGTTCGCATATGCTGTCAAATCGGACAGTAGCGGCAGGGCGCCCAGCGTCGAAACGCGTTGACGCTTGATATGCTTCGTCAGCGCGGTGAATAGCCGTAGACCGACTTCGGCCGTAAAGACATCCAAAAGACTCTTTTCCGTGGCACCAGTCAACATGCTGGTGTGGTGCGACACGAGGGCGATTACGCGCGACGCTGTGGCTGTAGGACGGCCGGAGAAGTCGATCACCATTGCACTAGCCTTGTTTCCGCCGAGACCATCCGCGTTGGCTAATTCCGGGTAGAAGTCGGTGGGGAGTTGCGTGGTCGCGCATATATATTCGACCTCATTGATGAGCGCGTCGATACCCTTGCCCAGGCCCGCGGCGACGCGTTCGTCGAGCATGGCTTCGAACTTGCGCTTCTCCTTGACGTTGGTGTCGAGAAAGTCATCGCGCTTCGAGATGCCGAGTCGAACCAGCTCGGACTCGTAGAAGACATCGAGCATTTGCTGGATGAGGTCGCCCACGTTGACGAGCTCGAGGAATGTACCCAGAGGAGCGACCTGAGCTATGTCGTTGTCCGGGTTGGTGTTGGTCTCACGGGGGTTATAGGTTGATAGGTGGTCAATTGCTTTATCGAAGCCGGCTTTGACGTGGCGAGTGCCGACAGAGTGAAGAAGCAGGACGAAGATGGCGGAACATTGTTTGCGTGCCGATTCTCCTGCTTCGCCAACGAGACTGATAAACTGGACGGCTCGCTCGAGCGAGGATTTCGCTGCGTGCACGAGATTAAGGGCTACTTCGATGGAGAAAAGCGACCGAATGTTTTCCAGTTTACTGTTCATTAGGGCTGCTTTCGCTGCCAACTCGCTGGATGGTGCTTCAGCCGATAAGGACGGTGTTGCGGTCCGCGGCATCGAGAGGTTAGGTGTGGATGGTCGAGATGCAGTAGCACTTTCCCCATTGACGAGGGCTTTGGCAGTGGGTTTGGTGTTTGGAGGGCCTGAAAAGCTAGGGAGGATGTTGACTGGCATCATCACCACTTTCTTGAACGATGACATAAAGTCTTTCTTGTCTGCTTGTCGGTTGACGTTGGACATCAAGAAGCTTTCCGTAGAAGCATCTTGTTCTGAAAGTGCTCGATCCCATTGTTCCACTTCCACGTCAGCTTTGTGCCGGAAGAAGGCTAACTCTTCCGATAGATATTTTTCCAGATGGGGTCCGTATATATCAGCTACAATCGCATTGCACCGGGATATTGTGGTCTCATCCGCATCATTTGGAAGAGCAAAGTCCTCAATAAACTGACTCGTAGCAGCGAATGTACCTGACATGATTCGAAGGTACAAGGATGTGCTCCGCGCTTGAGCATCTTCGAACAAGGACGACAAGAACGGTGCAAGGATGTCCTTTGCTACCTCCTCGATTAGGCGCAAGGACACTTCCTTTGCATTCGGAAACACAGCTTCCACGATTGCGTTTTCCTGGCTGTATGCAGTGCCCAGCCTTTCAAAATAGGCATGAACCTTCTCGAGGGAAAGCTGCCCATGGCCTAAAGAATAATCGATACAATCGGAGACACCTCCGAGCGTTGCCCTCTGGTTGATGAGCTGATTGTCGTGCAAAAACAAATCCACAGCAGTCCTGCCGCCATTCAAAATGTGCATGACACGTGCATATTGACGCATCCTGCCCTGGATGTCTTTGTACTCGTAACCTTTACGAAACTCGAGTAACGCGGCTCTGTCCAACGTGTCTACTGCTTCCTGCACCCGTCTTTCTCGTTTGCCTGACTCTGGGGAGAAGTCGCTTGCAGAGAAGGTTCTGAGGTTAGCCAGAAGCTGGGCTTGCTGATCAGGCACACTGAAATCCTTGAAGATACGGCTTTCCATTGGATTGGATGTGTAAGACAGATCGCGATAGTATGGCGCCAAGAGCTTGTAGATCTTGCCGTACTCTTGCCTGGCTTGACCTCTTATTGACTTGGCACGTTGGTAAACTGATAGGACTGTATCAGGGTCGACGGGGAGGCCTGGAGAAACCATGGTCTTGGGACTGGCCAATTCGGCGACGTCAAAGCCATCAGCAGCTGGTCTAGGGCGAAGAGGTGAAAGCATGTTCGTCTGCCGCCGTTGCGCAATAGGAGACGAGTCGACATCGAACAGTACTTCTGGTCTCCCTTTGCCGTTCACCACGTTCCGGTCTATCGTACTCCGTCTTCGACCAGGAGTTGTAGGTGTTTTGTTGGCTTCTGCTCTTTTTCTTGCTTCCGCATCATTCCAGCATCCCATGGCTTTTAGTCTCCGAACCCATCTTGCTTCGTCATAGACCATTTCATGCATGCGCCGTGAGGTTCGAGCGAATCGAAGTAAATCCGGTACATCAAGGTAATCAGCGACCACAGCCACAACCTCTAGAATAGGTCAGTATAGGCGCAGTGCCCAGCCTCGAAAGCTGTCGTACCTGCTGGAAGAACCGGCTTCGAGATGACCATATCAGCCAGTCTCAGTGAAGCCAGAGGATCCCTACGGGGAGCCTTGCCAGGCGCCGTTGGCCTCTTTGCTGTAGGCATCGTCCGCGGTACCACTGGGTGAAGGATGATAGAGATCTCAGGGTTCTTTGCGCTTCCTCATCTCGGGCCTTCTCGTCTTGAGGCCCACTCTATGCAACTGAAGCTGCATTTTGCAATTGTTGCGAGCCTGAGACAAGTTGTTCAACAACAAAGGTTGAGGTTAGAGTCGGGCCACCTGCCGAAGTCGCCTCGAGGTTGCCAAGAATGGCTCTACCGCTCCGTACCGACTTCAGGTACCTAGGTGCCTTACACTTACCTGACACTCCTGGTACCTACCTCGCTAGGTACAGAAAAGCAGGCATGGCAGGATGTCTACAACATTCACCTAGTAACTACTCCGTACCTCTGCACCATCGGCATTACGGACTCGTGGCATTCTCACTACTGCCATTGTGGCAGTCCAGTCCAGACTGACGAAGCCTTCAACGCTGAACTTGATGCAGTCCCCGACTAGACCAAGCCGAGCCTCGATCTCAGTCGCCATGTTCTCATCGTCAATCGTTAAGACTTTTGATGGAAGCCCAAGCCTGCACAATTCCCGTGATGGTTGAGATCAGAGTCAGCCACAATATCACCATTGCTAGCCAAAACGTCCAGAATTGCTGAGGATTTCGACGATCACGCCAAAGCTGAGCCCAACTTGCCGGAGGAGGGAGAAACACCACGTCATGAAGCTCGCATAATCGGTCTCGCCAATACTCGAACTGGGCGAGAGTCGACGTCGGAGGTCCATTATACGGACCTAACTGCTGGAAGCTCTGCTGGTGTTTCTTCAGCAAGCCATTGGTGTCTGGATCCCATTGTGGGAAGAGAAGATTCAACGTCCATATTGTCTCCAGGAGGAGTCGTCCCGGGAACGGGCTATGACCGTCAGATTATTTCCTTCGTTGCGTCTTGGACACTGACCTTCCATGTGGTTTTGATCCTCCATCACCATGTGGGTTGAGATGGACCTGGAGCAAGCTTTTGTGAGTACACTCTCAAAGCATGGTGCCGCCGGTCAAGTCTCAGGTGGTCGGCTAGACAATCTGTCCATTCAAGCTTGAGACCACATATTTTCACCATGAAAGCCGCCGTAAAAGAAGGATGCAAGCGACTATCTTTGGCCTCCACTCTCCATTTCGACGTTGGAAAGGCGTCAGTCACGAAGTCTTGCAATGTCTGCTTACTACTCCACTGCAGGAGATGTGTTTGCGGTGCATGCAACGCTGAGTCTGGCTCCCGAACATTCACCATCAACCACAACCTTACAAGGAGGTTCAGCGTACGATCGGCGGCCGCCTCATTCTCCAAGTATCGATCTTGAAGCAGCTTACGGAGCTCTGATTTATTGCTCGCCGCTGAGCGTACGATGTCCGCCACCTCAATCAGCTCTTCGTGTCGAGCTACCACCAATTGACTCATACGTTATTGCAAAGTCAGAGTACCAAATTTCAGCATCGCCAGCTCTCGTTCGTAATATTTGAGGTGCTGCTGAAATTGGCTTTGGTCTATCCTTCCGAGGCTGTTGTGGAACAGACCGTGGAAGACCTTCCATCTGGTTTCATGGCTTGGTTTCTGCTCAAGCAATTCCGTGAGTGCTGCCATTACCGCGAATTCTCTGTGTAAGCGGTGCAGCTTGTCCAGGCTGTGGTTGAATCCACGCAAACTGGCAGTCTCGAGCCTACTTATCCGTCCCGCTACAAGAGATGTCCACGTTCACGAAATCGAGTTGCATGAAATGGTGGCTGAGACCGACCACTTCTAGCTCTGCATGCATGGCACCCGTTTCATGGCTAACAGCTATTACAAACCCTGTGTGTCATTGTTATTGGCTGTTCTACAGCTAGCCACAGGCGCCTGCAAGCTCGCTCTGCAGCACAGCCTCAGTGGCTTGGCTCAGCCTGACCACGCCCAGCTTCAGGATAATTGCTTCTTGTTTTCAAGTCGTGTTGGAATCTTCATTATCCAAACGTGGGTTCGAGAGCCGGCTGTCATTGTAATGTGCTCAGTTGCAGTTCCTGTGCCCGCAATGGTTTCCAAAACCTTGGAGTAACGGAAGCACTTCGGCAAAGGACGCCTTCAACGGTGGATCGCATCTTCTCATCCGAAAAGCTCACAGTAGGGTTTGTGAGAGTGGTCGAGCTCTTCAAGGGCGTCAAAGTACCAAGCGCCGAGCCTGTCAATCAATCTCGACCGAGGCCACCAGCGACAAATATCCAAGAGGAAAATGCGAAGCCGCTCTGTATTGACGGCCATCGGGCCCTTCCTCTTGGACAAGCCTCGTATATGTTGCGCTCTATGCCCGTACCTGGAGAGCACGTCTCTACCTGGCAGAACATGATCCGAGAGCGTCTGGTGGGTGAAGTTCAAAAACATTTTCGGACCGAAATCTGTCAGCTCGAACTCATCATGGTTGCAGATGCTGCTTTCAGAGTTGGGCCTTGCATTGTCTTATCCGTATGGGACGAGAGCCTGTGCCACACTGAAGACGGCAGAAGGAGGACGGTCAAGAACGCCAACAAGATCGTCCGAAAATTCCAGACCATGCAGAATTGCCCATTTCCCATCAAACCCGTTGCGGACAAGTTATCGCTAGCTGCTCGCTGCTCGCTGCTTAGACCCTTACCAATCACCTGTAGCGACTGCCGATACGGCTCTCAAAGACCGAAACACGCTCGTCGGCCTCGAAATCAACACGGGCGCTGGCTATGATGTATCTTTCAGACTCGGAGGCTTGATCCGGGTTGGCTCGACGGCATATGGACTGACAGTAGCTCATCCCTTTACTTGCCCGCGGAGATATAATACCATGCACTCAGGATCGAGCCAGGAAACGGAAGACTCTGCCACTTCTGACTCAACGGATGACAGTGATCGTGAGGATCAGCTCTTCGGACCGCATCACCCGAAATTTGCGGCTCAGCTTGTAACGGATCACCAGGACAGAACCAGTCGTGCGACAAGCGAGTCCTTCTCGGATGGCTCAGCAGCTCTTCGCCTGGAGCCTGGGACCCAGATCTCATTAACACACGTGTCGTCCCAAGGCACGATTTCTCAGCCAATCGGCCGACTCGCAGCGTACAGTGACACTCGTGGTCACGGCCAGTTTCGCCTTGGAAGTGATTTGGCATTGATCAAATTGGACGATGAGGTACCTCTGCCACCGAATATGTACCGTTCGACAACGGGAGGAGATGCGGTGCAGATTGAAGCTATCAACACGAAGGGACTACCACCAAATACGGAAGTGACGATTATAGCAGGCACGGGTTATCACTTGCAGGGCGTTGTAGGTCGACACGACGTTACAGTGTCGGTGGATGGCATAAACCTTACCGTGACTCAAATTATACTTACAGCACCTCTCGGTAAGCGTCTTGCCCCATTGTCTGGACATCAGCAGCTTGGCATTAACAACTCACTGAACTGCTTCTGGATATTCTGGTTCTTGGGTTGACAATCTCTTCGTTGGCTGCATTGTGACTGTACGGAAGGTCTTGCCAATTGTCTACATGATCCCTGCCGGTTCAATCATCGAGGAGATCGCACAAGACCTTTGTGACTCAGACATAGCGGTTGATATCGGAGATGCTTCGTCTCCAAGTCTCTCTCCCTCGGATTCTCGCGTTGAGCCCAATACCCAGACAACCAAGGCTTCTTCACTCGATGGGCGAGATGCTCCCCCCGACAGCTTCGACGCCAGCTGTGTAGATGGGGCAGCATCCGATCTGTCTCAACCTCTTTTTACTTACATTGATGTGGACAACGAGGATCAAGGCAAACCTGCACATGCTCTCAGCGGCGAAACCGAGCATGAACATACCAGAACCAATACCCATGACCCCGACGCTGATCCCCTCACATCTCTGGGCTCCTCTAGAAAGCAACAGGCAGGGAGTGGTAGCTCATCCATCACACCTTCGTTGCAACGGATCGTACCGCAACTCTCGAGGGCTGAAGAGACTCCATTATTATTTCGAACGAACAGTAATATTTCAACCGAGGTGCGTACCCTGGTGCCGCTGATGTTTACCAGCAGCGGCACCCTGACTTGTGACTTTCTAGCCCGAGGCCATTGCAAAAGACGATCCAAGCTCCATAGTTTGGTCTTCTGGAAGACGATGGAGCGAGTTCGCTATGGCCTATCACATGTCCTTCTTGGTCTTTTCTGCCTCCTCAATGCCTGTTACAATTCTTGATGAAATTGCATCAACGCTGTCCATCACGTTGGAAAGCAAATACCAAATGGTTCTCTCAATTTTCGTCCTCGGCAATCTTTCTGGACCACTAGCGGTGCGTTTGTCCCAGAGATGTGGTCGGTGGAGAACCTCACTAGCATTCATATCCCTTTTTGCGATTTTCAACCTCGCCTGCGGATTTTCAAGGTCCGCAAACCAACTGCTTTGGTTCAGACTTCTTTCTGGCATTGGTGGAAGCGGCCAAGTCGCAATAGGAAGCGCTAGGACACTATAGTTCTTCAGTTATCGCCAAAGGAGTACTGCCCTCGTGATCTACTTAAGCTCGTTTCCACTTGACCTCGGAATGGGCCCTTTGATCGGAGCCTGGATCACTGAACGACTCTCATGGGCCTGGTCATTTTGGATCGTCTTCGCCTTTTCCTGCCTCGGGTTACAATTGCTCTTTCTTTGTGGCATCGAAACCAACACAGCATATCTACAGAACTCCAGTCGGTCCTCTATTCGCGGTTTTGTCAGGATGTGCGCAAGGGTTTTAGGCATCTTGAGGGATCCTATTGTCATTATGCTGACCGTTGAGCGCTCGGTCTACTTTGGGGTCTTCTATTTCATGCTTTCAACCTTCGCGGGACTACTGCGGGAACGTTATCACCTGACGAACTCTGTATCTGGCGTTTGCTACCGAGCCATCGGTGGAGGGCTTTGGGCGAGCAGAGTCGCGTTTCGGATATGCTCCAGATGGTTGAATCGAGATCGAAATCTCAAGAGCTTGGCGAGCAACGACTACCACGCAGCACCGGAGTACGTACTAACTATGGCCATCGTCGGCTCATTGACGCTTTCAGCTGGTCTCATCGTATACGGCTGGACTGCGGAGAAGCACAAGACCATCGCCGGGCCCATTATAGGGCAGATTCTGTTTTCTTTCGGTTACGGCATGACCCCGGACATTGCAGCAAGGTACCTCGTCGACACATATGGACCACGTGCTTTACAAATAATTTCGGGCACTAGCGTCCTGTTGGGCATGTGCGGATTCGGGTTTCCCTTGTTCGCTCGTTCATCCATCCGGAAGTATGGCTACGGATTCTCGAGTACGATCTTGGCTGCGGTGACTTTCACCACGGGCGGGACAGTCTATATCATCCTGTGGCTGTTTGCACGCAAGTTCAGAACGCGAAGTAAATATGCACCTGATCCTCGGAAAGATCTCGGTCCCAAATTACCGGCATGGTCCACGGCTCGGTGGAGGACGGATCCGGGTCCAGAAGAAGGCGGTGCTGAGGAGGATTGAAACGTCTTCTGTCTGTCCAGAATTTCAGACAAGAGGTTCTCCCATTCAGAAGAAGGCGCTGCTGAGGAGGACAGAGATATCCTCCGTCTCTGTCCAGCATTTCAGACAAGAGGTTCTTCCATTCAGAAGAAGGCGGCTGGGGAAGACTGAGATTCCCTCTCGCTCTCTCTGTGTCCAGATTTCAGACAGATGAATGCTCGGTTCTCCTATCGTCTTGTACGTAGGCGAAAACGCCCACCTTCACCTTCACCAAGGCCATCCCATCCGCAAATGCCCGGACGATGCCAGCAAGTAGTATTCTTGCTGTAACACCATCATAAGTCGTTACGATATACAGCTGCATGATATCTGGACAATTGAGTCAATTCATCTTATTGAATGTCTGGTTCATACCGCGGATCTAAAATGCTCCGCTCTCTCGAGACCTGAATGCCTTCCCATATCTAGAGAGTTCCCATTTCCACAATAGTACTCATGCTTCCAAAAACGCCAGCGAAAACGCCCAAACAATATCGATAACTCTGTGACGCGGACCCTCAGATGTCCTCCCGTGGTCACTGAATCACAATACCTTCCAGCTTGGGTTAATTCGAGTCGAATCCAGCTCCAGTGTCAATCCCGGGGTATTCTCTCTCTCACAGTCGCATGCCCTGCTCAATATCTCGTACGTTCACGCATAGCTTGGTCCTACAAGCTCCCCATGACTCCCATCGCGTCATGATCTCCGTTGCCAACACCATCATACTCTTCGTTGCCACCCCCATCATGCTCTCCGTTACCACCCCCATTCTGCTCTCCGTTACCAACCCCGTCATCATCTCCGATAAACCCTGCCTTCCTCTTCTTGTGCGCACCATCTTTCCTGACGGGTATTTTGACGCCCTGACCAGCAAAACTCTTGCTAAGATCTGTCGACTCTATTACTCCTGGGAACTTCTTGGCACTGAACACCTTGAAAGGCTTGCTGAAGGCCGATGCCAAACATGGTGCCTCGTTGAGTAGTTCACCGCTGGCCAATGGCTGTCGGTTGCCTTCCTCCAGAAAGGTGAGCTGCGCCAGGTTGAAGAGGTTCAACTTCAACCGGAACCAGCCTTCAGTCCTGACACTGAGATCTTGAAGGACAAACCAGATGCCGTATTGTCCATGCTGGTCTTGCAACAAATTCGCTCCGGCGGAAGAGCTGCCGATAAGATTCCTGGCAATCGTAGTTTCCCTGGCATCCCGGACTCCGCTATTAGATGCAATCCCCATGTCTTGAGAGGAGCGAGCAGAGAGAGGCTGATTCGAAGAGGAAGACATGGATCCTCGAGGAGAGGAATGAGAGTTTTGAGAAAGCTCGTAGCCGTTCTGATATTGAGGATTGTAGTTGGCCTGGGAGTAGGAGGGGTATGTAGTCCTTTGGTCGTAGGTCGAACCGCCATTAGCGTAAGCGTGGTGGCCGTTGGATGGGTAATATGAGGCAGCCGAATTGGGAGCCGAATTGGGAGCCGAAGTCGTGGGAGAGGTGAAGGTTTGTGCGCCGTAGGTGGCCATGTTTGAGGGAATGTAATCGTGAGCTGGATTGGGTGGATCCCGACCTGTGAAGACGTGTGGGTAATTCGTGACATTTGTTGATGAGATGGATGGTGAGGATGTGGTGTGTTTGACGCAATTGTCTTCTCGTGAACCATGGAGATTCCACAAATCGACCATCAGGACGAGTTTTGAGAGATCTGCCACTTTCCTGCGCTGGGTGAGTATGGAGGCATCCGAGACGGAAAGCAGGTGGAGCATACGTGTAGTCAATTTCCAACGTGGTTCTTGCATCAAATATCCTAAGCAACACACATGGCGGAGGAGAAATTGGCCGACGGTCCTAAAAATATTAGCACACGTGTCATGACCAAACATCTAGGACTGCTTACCTTGTCACCGAATCCACACATACGAGCCCGTAATGGATGTTGTCTCACCTCGATCTTCCAGATTTTGCCATCCCACACCCTGCTCACAGGAGGTGGCCCCGGTATATCGTAGTTCCCAGAGTCGTTAACTTCGCCGGGGATACTGGGACTTGGAGGTGGCGGTGGCGCGCTGTTAGCGTTGTTAATGCTAATGCTGGCACTGTTGGCTGGGGTTTGGTCGGAACCGGACGCCATGGCGAATGTAGAGAATTCCCGGGCCTGTGCTGTCTGAGTGTTTACAGTAAGATGTGCTGGTAAAGGTGCTTGACCAGGCGGTCTTGAATGTCGGTAAGTATGAGGGGGTGCGTGGTACATGGTTGAACCTGGAGGGAAGGAATTGTCCAAATATATAGTGCACGGAATGTCCTCAGTGGGGAGTGCAGGGCAGTCGTGCCCAGTACTGCCTCGCCCCAAACTCCAGTAGAGTGGTTCTCCAGTAATAGCAGGCGCAATCAGCAATGCCTGACCTTTAAATCCTTCACATCCAAGACAGTGATCGTTTTCATCCAACCAAACAGCGTTTTTGCGAACTTCTTGAGCCGCTCGGGTTCCACGTCTCACAGTGGTTCCCTCAATTTGCCTTTCAGAGGTCAAAACGGAGAAAGTTTGTCCTGATGTGATAACTCAAGCAACAGGGGCGTGGTCAAAGAAGCCCATATAGTCGAAGTCACACAGAAAGCGTCGGAGAAAAAGCTCTGAAGGCGAGGTACACAACTGCTAGTTCTATGTTACGCAAGGAGGCGGCGAAGCCAGATGATAGGAACCCTCAACGTGAATCCGTTGGTGGTGCTTCGAAGGTCGGAAGTGACAGACGGAATGGTTGACAACTTTGACAGGGCTCCTCTTATAAGGCTAGATATATCAGGATGTGGGATATTTCCGAGGAAGCCAGGTAAAGGAGTTGATATCTGTTGGAAAGGCCGCTTCAGGGCCAGGGCGGATGCGTGGAGAGAGAGAAGGTTGAAGAGTAGCTGGACCACCACACGCCCTACAAGTCTGGGGTTGGTGACTTTAATAGAGATTCAGGTCCAGCCAGTGATAGCATGGCGGGGGTTATGGTTCCAGAACTTTTTGCCTTTGCATGTGGGTGTAGGACAAAGGCAAGATACTGAGACCACAAATTGTCCGATACGTGGGCGGAGAATTGGGTCGGGTCGATGTCGAGCGCGTTGACGGACAGTGGGACAGGCCCCTTTTGAATCAGGTACGACGACCAGGGACGACCTTCGGATGATAGTGCGCTGTTATGAAGAATCGAGGTTGCGAAGGTGGCGAGGAGAACAAAGAAGTCGAGTCAATATGTCGATGAGCCAAGGGTGGAGGCTGAATCAGTTGTCACCTGCAACCATGTCGGCGAGATCAGAAGGAATGCCGATTTCTGACAAGAGAACGGCGCCGGACTATTGGACGGGAGTTTATATGTACGAGCTTGGGGCCTTGAGGCTTGAGCGTGCCGAAAACTGGTAACGAGTAGCGGAAAGTTGGAGTCTTTATCGGCGGACTGACGGGCACTAAAGCGAAGTCCCCGTATTTGCTTATAGGCTAGGAGGACGCCTAGCAGCTGGCTAATCTACAGGCAGCTTAGTGCCTGGAGACGCTACTGCGAGCAATGATCTAGCCCCCCAGCCTGTTGGAAACAGGCTGCTATTTCCTCTTTCCCATCACGACACGCTGCTGTTCCGGGCTGGGGGGTGTTCAGCATGCGATAATTGAGGGGTTCTACTGATTTCTAACTGCATTGTCTCTTGCAGTCTTCTTTGTACTCGTACACAGTACCTACTATCGTAGTACTCCCTGTCGTCTAACCGAACGGACTCTCACCACCCGTTACCTTAGCCGAAACTCGAGTCGACTAGACACAGGCCATTGACAAAGCAGCGGCCAACCCGACAGGTGAGTATCAAATTCTTCCTTGCTGGATCCACGGATCCTCTTGTCGTTGGTTACCGTCGAGCACATCCTGGTCGGTTTGGCTTGGTATCAAAAGCCAATCTTTGTTCCGCTCCCACCAACCCTGTCGTGGATCGACCACATCGACTTCTTTTTCTTCGCTCGGCCACGCCACCAACCCCACCTTTGCGCATACGATGCCTCAACAGCCTGTGTAACACTGCAACCTCTCTTAAACATGGCCTCTTTGTGCTGTCCAGACATGCATTTAAGCCAGAGCTTGTCCAATTCTGATCAGAGCCGTTTTCATTACTGCTTCCGCGTTCTCCATCAGGGACTGCAGGGAAGTCTCCGACTGCCACCCCGCCATCGAATCAGTGTCGACGTGTCACGATTGGTAGTACTTTCTGCCTAGCTGTTCCCAGATACACAGTATAGGTCAGTCACCGATTGTGAGGTTGGTGGCTGATGTTACACGCGACGTGTCAAATTGTCGGTCTCGGGGACAAATAGCCCTGCACCAACCCAAGGATCGCTGGTCATGGGCTGCAGTATCGGTTAAAATCAATAGGCACATGTCAAGAAGATCATCCGCTGACACGACACTTCATCTCCCTGGCTGACGATATTCACGCAGCAAAGACTTTCGTTGAAGATCTTTCGCCTCATCAGTAGTTCTACAGAGCACCCTCGACCCTGCTACTATGCGTTGCATGATGACATTCGCGGGGACCCGGAAGTTGTACAGTTCGACCTACCTCTCAACAATGCCCACACAGCCAGAAACTCTAATCACAATGTGTCGCTGAAAATAAATATCATTGCAGATCATCCTGATCACGGTACATTACCCATGCCGACCCTATCACCACCCGCAGGACTCCCAAACACAAAGTTCATGCAGTAAAAATCACCTCATCTACTTGTCGGCTTGCTTGTTGCCAGGCAAAGCATCCTTGGCCTTGTCCTTGGCCTTATCTGCCAGTGCGCGGATGTTGCTGCGATCATGGGACCCATCGCGATGGAACGAATCAGTCCGCACCTTCTCATTGTGGGCTCGAACCTGACGCTGCTCCTCCTCACTGAGCTTATAGAGATTGCCTTCGCCGCCTGCAACGAACGAGAGTCAGCCATGCGCCGAACAATGGCATTTGTGTCATGCGTACCTCTGCCTATGTGGTGGCTACCCTCGGGCAGCATGACCCCAGGAACATCAACATCTTGGGCTCGTCGCGCCTCTTCAGGGTTGTCATTTTTGGCCATATTTCCCGTCCCGCCACGGCCAGTTGTGTATACGCTTGATTTCAAGGTGGGTGTGGTCTGAGGGCCCAGGGCGGGTGAGAGAGGTTTGCTGGTGACATTGCCTATTCATGCCATGTTAGAAACACTCCTCAACAACGCATCCGGTGTGTGACACTGACCGGCACCGCCTCGGCCGTAGGTGATGGGCCTTGATTCAGGCATATTATTAGTGAGGGTTATTGGGAAAGTTGCGACTGCGCCAATCGTTGCAAGTGTCAAACTCGGAAATGTTTGCCACCGGTATGCGGAGTGATCAAACGACGTTGCAAGGATGGGTACTTTATGGTAAGCGTTGAGACAGTGACCGCTGAACGGCGCAGAAAAGTCCAGTCACTGGAAAGAGACAAACACTGGGAGAAAACGCAGGGTATGTGGAGCTGCCAGAATACAAGAATGGAAGTCTGGAAGTGTAACTGTGAAGGAGCGGGCCCTGAGTTTTCAATGATCTGCTGTTCTATCGAAGAAAATTGCATCATGTCTGGGCTGTAACGCCAAAAGCTTTGACGGTCACACGTGCGGAGAGAAAAATGGCCCTTCCACCGCTTCTCAACAGGATGAATGGACGAGGTTGAAAGACGCCATCAACGCCCAGGTCCAAGCAAACTCAGACGTAACAGAAATGAGCCTCATACGTTCTCCAAGAGGTTTAGCACCATTGCCCAGCCTTACTAGCAAGGCTCATGACCTTCTGGGTCTTCACTGGTCTTCAGGTTCGGCGGCAGCCTCCATGTTTGGAATCTACCCTCTTTGTTTGCGGCCACGATCATGTCTGAATTTATCCGTGAGCCACCTGGAGCCGCAATTTCGACGATCTCGTACGGATACCTGGAGATGGGCGAGGAAGTGCCTCGCTTGCTTGCAGGCAAACAATCACCATTGGCTCTAGAAGTGATTTACCCCAGATTTGCACTGTAGCGAGAGAGATGGAAAGTGCTTGCATCTCCGCCCGCCATGATCAGCCTACCGAGTGTATATCATCATGCGCCTTGCCCATGCCCTCCCTAACCTATCTGGAATCTAGAGGACACCTATTCACGTTCGCGAAAGTGGAAGCTGTTAGCTTGCTATTGATGCTGCCAGCAGCACGGCAAACGAGGTCCTATTCAAGGCATGTGTTTCCTTCCGACCGCCATCCTACACTTGGAATAGAGAAAATATTGATCTCGCTGCCTCAATATTGGGAATTTATGCTTCATTCTCAATTCGCCAATGTTTCCTCAGAGAAAAGCGGAAGAGGCGCACATGTGACAATATCTCGAAAAGGTCAGTGCTTCAAGTGGCGCCTGTATCACAGTACCGAGTACACACTACAAGTCCAACCATTACCAGCAGTGGAGTCCTTGTGCATGGAACTCGTTCTGCTACCAAGATCTGAGCAGCCACCGACGCAATGAGGACATCCATAATTCCCATACCAGCTCCATGTTCTGCTTCATTCTAGCGGTGGACAGCACCCTTGACAGCCCATCTGAGGCTCGCGGCTAGGTACCTGGTAGGCATAAACCTGCCCCTAAGCTTTTAACTACCATACGTAAGAAACCACACCGCTTGCTACCGAAAACCCATCCGCCAGCTAGCCTCATTAGCCACAATTTCACAGTCCATATCAAACCATCATTCGCTGGAAGTCGGACTGCATGACGATAACAGGCCCTATCATCGATATCTTGGTAAGTGGAATGCAGGAACCGGCCTGATGACACTTGCCCAACTTTTCCATGTTCCAAAGTGGTTTTTGGCCCGCCTGCGCTTGCTGCCGGCTGCGGGACGGTTCCTGCTCTGGCTTTTTTTGGTATTGATATTCATTCTCTCTCAATCTTCATCCACCAACATCTCTTACGCTCACCGAATACCTGTGCTGGACAAGTCAGGCTTTAATTCATATCCTTTGCATTCTCTTATCCTGTCATTGCGTTCTCCTTGTCTTCATTCCCTAGAGCATTTCTGTCGATCCCCATACGACTCCAAAGAGCCAGACTATGCGATAGCCAGCATCCGAAACTCATCAACAAAATCCTTCCAGTCATTCTCAAGCCTCCAAAATGCCTCCGAGAACTCATCAGAGTACTCGCCAGGTCTATCTGCTGCCTCTGGACGACACTGGTGCCCCAGATGTCCCCAATCACTATGTTTACCTACCCGCACCTACCGAACCTGCCTACCTTCTGAGGTTTGCCATTGAAGGTACAAGCTCAATATGCCGTCAAGGCAGCCTCTGGGTCAACATGCCTAAGCCTGGTGAACGCTTTGATCGGAGTCATTTCCATGAGTACAAGCTACACCCCGATTTCAATCGGCAACTCGAGATTGATATCCCCGTTACCTGCGCCGGAGCGTTCTCCTTCTATACGACCTATACTCCTCTGCCAGAGTTCTCCCTCGAATCTTGCGAGCCCCCCAAACCTACCCGTACCGAAACCCACTATATCGACATTGAGCCAAAGCTGACTCTGGGCGGCTCGAAGCTGCCACTGGATGCTCTGGGCATCTTCTCGGTGGTCTCCAAATTCATGGGGAAATATCCCCAGGATTGGAACAGACACTTGAGAGGCATCAGTGCAAGAGGTTACAATATGGTACATTTTACACCCTTGCAAGAAAGAGGCGAATCCAACTCTCCATACAGTCTTTACGATCAGCTGGCATTTGACAAGGAGCTCTTCCCTGGTGGAGAAGAAGATGTTGCACGCATGATCAAAGCCATGGAAGAAGAATATGAGTTGCTGGGACTGACCGACGTCGTCTTCAACCATACAGCCAACAACAGCAAATGGTTGGAAGAACACCCAGAAGCAGGTTACAATGTTGAGACTGCCCCTTGGCTGGAATCCGCCTTGTGTCTGGACAGTGCTCTGCTCGAGTATAGTGATCAACTCGAGGCTATGGGCATGCCAACCGAGTTCAACAATGTCGAGGACCTGGATCGGGTCATAGCAGGCATCCAACCTCATGTCATCGACAAGATCCGTCTCTGGGAATACTTTGCGTGCGATGTCAAATCTGACACTCATGCCATCATCCAGGCATGGAAGGCCGGCATCACCAAAGTCCCTCGAGGAGGATTCGACAATGTCATCGGAGGTGGCCTTGATACCCTCAAGTCATGGTCTCTCTACCAGAAAGCAACTTTCCTGAAAAACCACGGCTTGTTGAACGGCCTGCTTATTACTACCAGATATTCACGCAAAGTCGATCCTGCTGTTGGCTCAGCCATGCTGACGGCCTTGCATGGGCGGTACGAGGATGCATCTGATGTTCAGTCCGCCGAAGAAGAAATGAAAGCTATACTTAACGAGCTGAACCTTCCTTTCTACCGGGAATACGATGACGATGTTGCTTCCATCAAGTCGCAGACCCGAGGTCGACTACAGTACACCAGGCTCGACGCACATGGTCCGAGATTGGGTCCTGTCACCAAGGATAATCCTCTCATCGAGACATACTTTGCTCGCTTGCCATTGAACGAGACAACCAAGAAGCACAACCCGGAAATTCTGTCTCTGGCTGTCAATGGATGGATCTGGGCAGCAGATGCCATGAAGGATAACGCAGGTCCCGATTGGAGGCCTTACCTTCGCAGAGAACTCATCCCCTGGAGTGACTGTGTCAAGTTAAGGTACGGAAAAGGCCCAGAAGACAACCCATTCCTGTGGGAGCACATGACAAAGTACGTGCAATTGATGGCAAAGTACTTTACTGCCTTCAGAATCGACAATTGCCACTCGACGCCAATTCATGTTGCCGAGTATCTGCTCGACAGGGCCAGAGAAGTTCAGCCCAATCTGGCGGTCTTTGCAGAACTCTTCACGGGTGATGAAAAGATGGACTACCTCTTCGTCAAGCGTCTGGGACTGAGTGCACTGATTCGAGAAGCTATGCAAGCGTGGAGCACACAGGAATTGAGCAGGATTGTCCACCGGCATTGTGGTCGACCCATTGGCAGTTTTGAGCTGAACGTCCCTCAGCGCTCGAAGAAGCCAGTTAGCAACTTGGCCAATGGAGTCAATGGCACTGGGCCCAGAACCAAAGAGGTGGTCAAGCACATCCGAGAAAGTCCTGTGCACGCTCTGTTCATGGACTGCACCCACGACAACGAGATGCCCGCTCAGAAGAGGGATGCCAGAGATACCCTGCCCACAGCTGCTTTGGTCAACATGTGTGCTTGTGCCACTGGAAGTGTCATGGGTTTCGATGAAATTTATCCAAAGCTTGTCGAGATTGTCCATGAGCATCGGACATACACATCGATCAGCTCAGACGGTGAAGTTCAGGTTGGCCCTGGGGAAGGTGGCATTGCTGGCATCAAAAAGCTTTTGAACCAGATCCACACCATGATGGGCAAAGATGGCTATGACGAGACATTCCTGCACCACGAAGGTGAACTGATCACTCTTCACCGAGTCCATCCAGACTCGCGTAAAGGCTACTTCCTCATCGCCCACACAGCCTTTCCCGGCTCTGGCAATGGGAATGGTGGCTTGAGCCCTGTTCACCTCGCCGGCACAAAAGCACGTCCACTCGGTTCTTGGGTTCTGGAAGTCGACCAGAGTGATGCTGCAAAGAAAACTGCATTGGAAGACAAGAACGAGCTTGTTGGATTGCCTTCCCGAGTTAAAAAAATCAAAGGCGCCACGGTGGAATACGAAAATGGAGACACCATCATTCGATTAGCTGACTACTTCCCTCCTGGATCCATCTGCCTTTTTGAAACATGGGTGCCATCTGCCGAGCATACATTTGGTCTGAACGCATTCCTCGCCGGTGGTACTGACGAGGCCTTCGGTGAACTCGACCTCACCGACCTCAACTTTGTCCTATATCGATGCGAAGCAGAAGAACGGGACTCGAGTGATGGTGCAGATGGGGTCTACAACATTCCCGGCTATGGGCCGCTCGTGTATGCTGGACTTCAGGGCTGGTGGAGTGTTGTAGAGCCGATAGTGAGGAAGAACGATCTTGGTCACCCGCTCTGCAATCACCTTCGTCAGGGCCAATGGGCGTTGGATTTCATTGTCGGACGAATGGAAAGAATCTCCAGACAAGAAGGATATTCCAAGCTGCACAAGCCTGCAAGATGGTTGAAAGAACGATTTGACGCCGTTCGGGAGATTCCAAGTTTCCTGCTGCCGCGCTATTTCGCGATGATCATTCAGATTGCGTACGATGCGGCATTCAAACAAGGAATTGAGCTGATGAGTCCAAACATCCGACAGGGCCAGGACTTCCTTCAGAGTCTGGCCATGGTCAGTGTTCAGCAGACAGGGTACGTTAAGTCTGCATCGTTGTGGCCGGATAGAAGTGTACCTTCCCTTGCCGCTGGTTTGCCCCATTTCTCGGTCTCATGGGCAAGATGTTGGGGCCGGGATGTTTTCATTTCCCTGCGAGGTCTCTATCTGTGTACGGGTCGTTTCGAAGAAGCCAAGGAGCACATCAAAGCTTTTGGCAGCGTCCTGAAGCATGGTCTGATTCCCAATCTGCTGAGCAGTGGTGCTGCGCCGAGATACAACTCTCGAGATTCACCGTGGTTCTTCTTACAAAACATTCAAGATTATACCAAGATTGTGCCAGACGGATTGTCAATTCTCAAGGAGAAGGTCCCTCGGCGATTCCTGCCATATGACGATACCTGGTTCCCGCATGACGATCCTCGAGCGTATTCCAAGGAATCCACAGTGGAAGACATCATCCAAGAGATCTTCCAACGACATGCATTTGGCTTATCCTTCCGGGAGTACAATGCTGGACCTAACTTGGACATGCAAATGAAGCCCGAAGGATTCCAGATCGATGTCCACGTCGATTGGAAGACCGGTATCATCTTTGGGGGTAACCAATTCAATTGCGGTACTTGGATGGACAAGATGGGTGAAAGTGAACGCGCTGGCAGCAAAGGGGTTCCTGGAACACCCCGTGATGGTGCTGCCGTCGAGATCACGGGCCTCTCATATAGCGCCTTGAGATGGGTGGCTGAACTTCACAAGGCTGGCAACTATCAATATTCTGGTGTCGAAACCGACGCGGGTGAGAGAATCTCCTTTGAAGAGTGGGCGGGCCGCATCAAAGCAAATTTCGAAAAGTGCTACTGGGTTCCCGTCGATCCCAAAGACGACGTCGAAGAGGACATCGACCCCAAGATTATCAATCGTCGGGGCATTTACAAGGACTTGTACAGATCTGGCAAGGAGTATGAAGACTACCAACTTCGACCCAACTTCCCGATTGCAATGGTTGTGGCACCAGATTTGTTCACCGAAGAGAGGGCGTTGCGGGCCTTGAAGATGTGCGATGATGTTCTGCGAGGGCCAACAGGTATGAGGACACTTGATCCTTCGGACCTCAACTATCGTCCTTACTACGTCAACTCGGAGGATTCCACGGATTTTGCGACCTCAAAAGGGAGAAATTATCACCAAGGACCGGAGTGGTTGTGGCCGACAGGCTTCTTCTTGCGAGCATTGTTGATGTTCGACCTGGAACGAAGGCACACCTCAGAGCAGAGAGTGGAATCATTCCAACAGGTGACGCAACGATTGGCTGGATGCAAACAAGCCATCAAGGACAGTCCGTGGAAAGGACTGACCGAGTTGACCAACAAGGACGGATCATTCTGTGGAGACTCGGTATGTTTTCAAAGTTCTTTTGTGATGATTGTTACTGACTTTGTTCGTAGTCACCTACACAAGCATGGTCCGCTGGATGTTTGTGTGACTTGTTCCACGACGCATCTATTTTGGCACCCGAGGTCAATGGCTCATGATGACACAACACCCGAAGGAGGATTAGACTGGGACGAGACTAGGGTTGGCTGGATGCCTATGACATGACACGAAGCGACAGGACCGATGAATGAGGAAGAATGGAAGACAGGGTTAGAGAAGGGTATTCTCAGAGGACAGAAAATAAATATTCTTAATACATTTGCATACTCTTCGTCGGCCTCCAAAGTCATACGGAGTAACCAGTATACCTAGGTAACGATCACATGCTCGACGTTGCTACTATTTCCTAGTACTCCGTTACTTGTCCTTGGATCCAATCGGCGACTCCGTAAATGACAGTAATGTACTTAAGGTATTTTTGGCTGCGTCATGCAAGGAACCAAAAGTTCCCGATCGAGACTCTGTCGGCCCACGATTTTTTGCGCATGACTCCAAGGTGTCGCTGCCGCCGACTTGCTCATTCAGACTCATTGTCTTCCTCTTGTACAACACCGACCTACCGCTTGCTTCCCGTTCGACAAGCCTTTGATCATGGCTGTGAGTACTTCGCCTACCAATACCGTACTGGCGCATCCCCGCATTCTTCGTTCCCGACTGACTCACCGGCCAAACAAATAGTCCTACTATATCACGAATCCTCATGTTGGTGACAGGGAAAGCTCAGAAGATTGGCGGAGTATGTTGAATACCATTATGTCCAAGTTACCGTGTCCAGGCTCCCCTCTGACCCTCGTCGTTAGTTCGCGGCTACAATCCTCTCACACCGCCAGACCTACTACAACATGAAATCCCGCAGACGAAACAGTCCAAGGCGACCGTCCTACAAGGTCGAGATGACTGCGTCGCCGTAGTCAACGACAAAGATCCCAATCGCCGTTTGTTGGTCATCATCGGCCCCTGCTCAATCCACGACCCTGTCTCTGCCCTCGAATACTGCGATCGGCTACTCAAGATGAAGGAGAAATACAAGGACGACTTGGTTATTGTGATGCGGTCATACCTAGAAAAGCCACGTACGACGGTGGGCTGGAAGGGGTTGATCAACGACCCCGAGATCGACGGTAGTTTCCTGATCAACAAGGGACTCAGACTGAGTCGGCAGCTGTTCGTGGATCTGACTGCCCGCGGGATGCCAATCGCCAGCGAGATGCTTGATACCATCAGTCCGCAGTTCCTGGCGGATCTGCTGAGTATCGGCGCTGTTGGTGCGCGCACGACCGAGTCTCAACTACATCGCGAGTTGGCTTCCGGTCTGTCGTTCCCCGTGGGTTTCAAGAACGGCACGGACGGGACGTTGGGCGTGGCGATTGATGCCATCGGTGCGGTCAGACATCCTCATCATTTTCTGTCCGTGACGAAACCTGGCGTGGTCGCAATCGTAGGGACTGTTGGCAATGAGGACTGTTTCGTGATTCTAAGAGGTGGAACTACTGGCACGAATTTCGATAAAGAAAGTATCAGGAAGTCAAAGGAGAAATTGGCCGCGAAGGGCCTCAGTCCAAGAGTGATGGTGGATTGCTCGCACGGCAATAGTGAGAAGCAGCACAAGAACCAGCCAAAGGTGGCCAAGGTATTGGCGGAGCAGATTGAGGAGGGAGAAGAGGGCATCATGGGCGTTATGATCGAGAGTCATATCAATGAAGGTACGTTCTCACATTCGTTTTTGAGCGCGGGACGTGTTCCTCAATATGAGCTTTTAACCCGATCTGAAACCGAATGCTAACATGCTCGTCTGTAGGAAGCCAGAAAGTGCCGCCAGAAGGCAAGGCAGGCTTGAAGTATGGGGTGTCCATTACAGATGCTTGTATAGGGTGGGAAGACACCGAACTCGTGCTCGATGTCCTCGCCAAGGCTGTCCAGAAAAGGAGAGAGAAACTGGGTGGCAAGGCTGTCAATGGTACAGCGACAACAGAAAACGGCCATTCATAAACGACCTTTTGAGAGCAGGGAACGCTTACACAGTACATTCGACTGGAAAATGTAGATACCTTACAGGTGAGGTGGGAAAAGCATTCCTCGTCATTCAACCCGTCTTCACATCGTGTTTCGTTCTACAAAGCTCTGACAATTCGACGAGGCAAGGCTAAAGCTCAGCCTGCCCACCCCTGAGTGAGCCTCATCTGTCTTTCACCCTCAATTGACTCTCTGAAGCTTCCATGCAGCATTTTAACGACTGAAGAAAAGGAAAGGGGAATAGGCTCCATCAAGTAAGACAGTGTACAAAGAGGCGAATACATGATTTGCATTCTGATTTTGGATTCGGAAAGAACAGAAATATCTGTTGAGGGTGAGAGGGTCATAATATCAGTAAAGCTGAGGGTCTTGCCCTTCCATTGTAGTCCCACGTCCGAGTCCCCAAGAGAGGGTACCCGAGAGTTGATGGGAAGGGGGAGGACAAGATCTCGCCCGCCGTTTGTGATGAAGGCGCCATCATATCGTAAATTGCCTGGTCAGTCAATGAAGGCAAGGGAAGCCCTTTGAAGGCATTTTGTGCCGCAGGAGGAAAAAAAGATTTGACCCGGCCTGCTCCCACTCCGTCGGACATTTCGAACCGAAGAAAAGTGTGCATTACCAAGGCCCGTAGTCGGTGACAGAGCAAGGCGGCTCGAGAATTGAAGAATAAGAAGTTGGAAAGACAGAAGTGAAGGCGTGGACCACCGACCATCTCCCTGTATGCTAGCGATTGACATCGGCAATCTGGTAGAAACATCATACCTAGGTAGTGAAGTTCGTGTCCTGGTTCTGTCCAGCAGAAAACATCTTTTCGACTCCGTACCCGTACGAGGCGAAGACTTGAATCCGGGGCTACCAGCCAGTCCAGCGACTGTTTACCAGAAGTAAAGTCGAAATAAAAACCAAATCCAAGTCGCTCTGTTTGCTTGAACATCCCCGAGGAGTAGCAGCGGCGGCGGCGGGACTGGAGACAATGATGTCCAGCGACATCTCCTTTTCTGTCCCGCTCCATACCACAGTCAATGTTGTATTCTATTGACACTTAGTTGCCCTTCTTCGGCGTCTTGTGGTCCCTGAAACCACCGTGGAAAGTCAGATCGACCTGCTCTGGGCGCGTAGGATGGATCCATCCTCTCTTTTCCATCTGCGCCTCGTCCTCTTCGACCACCTCGTCGTCCTCGACATCACGCTTCCAGGGAAGCCGGTCCATGATCGGGTCGTCCTTCATATCGATCGGGTACACGTTCGGGTTGCCCGCCTTGATTTGGATGCCGCCCTTTTTGCCTTGGTTCTGCCACCACTTCCAGTTGGCCATTGGTTGCGTGATATAGTTGTGCCGGCGCTCGAGGTGTGAGTCCTCGTCGCCCTCGAACTCTCCCTCGTCAGGCATGGGTCCATGTTCGCCCTTTTGGTGCAGGCGCTGGCCATCGCGGAAATGTGCAGGGTAGGCCAGGGTTTTGCCCTGGGGTCCACGGAACTTGGCATCGCTGTGGCGGCGCTCAAGAATTTCATCGAATTCTTCGTCGGGGCTGGGCCCGTGGTTGCCTCGATTGCCACCCATGCCGCCGAAATAGGAACCTCCGCAACTGCCACCAGGGCCTCCATGTCCCCCAGCGTGACCTTGGGCCATTGCGCCAGGTCCGCCATATTGGCCGCCGTGACCTTGGCCCCCCTGCCAACCACTGTGGGCATGGCTTCCTTGTCCCACGGATCCATCGTGCGCAGAAGGAGCTGGGAGGGCGCCAGCCTGGGCCGAGATGAAGGCCAGGATGAAGGCGACTTTTGCCGCTGATAATTGCATGATGATTGTTTTCTTGTAAGTAAATGAGTATGTCTTGATATGTGAATTGTAAAGATGCTGCGGATCGGAAATTTTCAGGGCGATACTTGAACCTTATCAAGAACCATCTTGAGAACTAGATTAGCCATTGTTCGATACTCACGAGCATAAAGGGACGCGAAGGACAAGCCGAGCATCGCCGAAGTGCTCGTGGTATGATGGCGAAGAGAAAGAAAATACCAGAAGACCCAGGCCGCAAGAAGCTCCGGATAACAAGCACACAAAGATCCTGCGAGAGAGGGGATGCAAGTCCATAATGAGACATAACATCGGTCTATGCTCAATACTGACTTGAATAGAGCAGCTAGACCCAAAGTCGACTTGAATAAGATGGGTTGACGCCGGAAGTGTATATCAATAAGCCTCAAAATGGCGCCTTACCCTTTTCGGACACAGCCCTTGTTCGAGCATTCCTGAGGATTCTTGAGGATAGGAAACAGAACCAGGGGAGACGAAATTGAATGAAATTTCAGAGGCCGCTAAATAGGTAGTGCCAGAAGCAAATCGCTGAACGCTAAGGAGTAAGATCATAAAATAACTGGGTTCTGAACCGAGATCTCCAAAGACGAAAATAGCTTCCTAAACATCGGCATTGTGACCATTGACTGGCTCAGATGCTTCAGTAGCCTCAGAAGTAATTGGGTCCAGGGCATCAGAAGGCACAGAAGGAATCACCTCCACTGACTTGGCAGGTTCAGAAGACGCAGATTCTTCCGTGGCAGCGGGCAGGGAACTGGCTGCTTCGTTCGGTTCGGCAGGCACGGACGGAGCTGATTCCACTGCAGTGCGAGCCGCGGAGTCTGATTGGGGTTCGCCGGTCGACTGCATTGGATCCTCCTTGACAACTTGAAGAGGTGAAGCCAAAGCCACCTCAGGTAAGACGCGCTGGTCACCGTCATCCTCCTTCTTATTCTCAACGTCCTGGCGTGTCTCCAGCTGCATCTTTGGTGGTGGTGCCTTCTGCTTCGGAGCGTCTTTGTGCTTGTTCGTCGATGCAGCCTTCGTCCTAGGAGGACTGTTGATTTGAGCTTTCTCATGAGCCTTCTGCGCACTGCTTGTTGTAGGTCTCATCATTCTCGCTAGAAACCCTTCATCCGGTTTGCTTGTGCTGACTCGTGATATGGGTCTGTCATTGGCCAAAGAAGCACGTGAAGTCTTCTTGGCTAGCGTGCCTGTAGTGGATGATGTGCTTGCTCGAGGGGGTCTCATCGAAATAGTGGAAGGTCTCTTCGCGATTGATTTGCGACTTTCGGCTTCCGTTGGTGAAATCTGTGCATCATGCTTAGCTGCCGCTGAGGCGGTGGTCGCTGTAGCCGCGGCAGGAAGTTTCGTAGGCCTTGTCGGAGATTTCGGCCGTACAGCCCTGGGCGAGGTAGGCTTTTTATCTTTCTTGACGGGAAGGGTAGCCTGCTTTTGCGGTGTATTCGATTTTGGGACTGTAGCTTGAGCCTGATTCGGCTGTTCTGATTTCTGCTTTGCTGCTTCTCTCGCCTCTTGCGCTCGTTTAGCTGACTCCATAACACCTTTGATCTTGGCAGGTCCACCTCTTATATGCGCTATCGGGGAGGTTGGCGTTCTGGGAGATGATTTCGAGGTAACAGGCGATCGTGGAGAAGGGTTTGATTTTGCGGTGGGACCAGTCTTTGTAACAATCTGCCTTGTAGGAGGTGCCTTTACTGGCTGCGCCAACTTTGTGGTCTGCAGAGTTGTAGCAGGAGGTGGTCCTGGTTTACCTCCGTTGGTTTGCATTTTCTCAACCATCGCTGCGGCCTTCGCCTCATCCTTGGGTTTCGAAGGTGATTGAGAGAGCTTCTCTTGTACTTGGCCAGATGCGAGAGCCTTGTTCAGATTCTTCACCTCCGATCTATCTTTTGCGGGTGTATTTTCAGCAAAGGCAGATCCTTTCAAGATGTTTCCCAGTCCACCATTTGTTGACCCATTCTGTGGCTGTTCCTCCTTTCCTGAGCCTTCGAGTGAAGACATATTTCTCGGGACAGCACGTCTTTCTGGTGAGAAAGCTGCTGTCGTCGAATTCTCTTTGTTCTCTTCTCGGTTGCTCACTTCGCTCGCTCTTCGCAGACCTAGTATGGGTGCGCCTCCGTTCTCGCCTGGTCGTTCAACTGCAACGAAGCTTGCTCTGACTTTGCTGACAGGTCTACTGCCGTTGGAGATTTCCGAAGGGTTTGGGGATCGACCTCGACTTGGGGGAGATGTGGATTGATCGCTGGCTTTGTTCTCGAACATAGCCCGAAGGTTTCTGACTCCGCCGCTTCCAGAATTGGCAGACATGACTGCAAGCGGAAAGCGCAAGTCAGCAAGCAAAATTCGACGAGGCAACTGCGGTAAACACGAAATAGACGACAAAATCAATTGACAGAACCTAAGGATGGAAAATGATTGTCAGTGAACCCAAGAAGGTGGATCCGGGGTCGAATAACAGGGGGCAATGCGCTGCGTCCGAAACGCGTTTTACTTCGCATCTTCTGGTCATGCTGGAAATCTCGGGATTGGTGGGCGTCTTACACACGAGCTTAGAGCCAATGTCCAATGATCATTGCCAACTCTGTTGACTTGTCAGAAAGCATTGAAGTTCGCAGTATAAGGGACAAATATCGATTTGTTTTGCAGCTGATGTTCAGTTTACAAGCTGCGCGTCGCAGTTGCGTCCCTGAATCGGTTGTCACGTGACTGTTGTTCCTCGCGCCAAAGACGATTGTGATACAGTCCCCCGAAGCACGCGTGGATATGATATTCTATAGATTTATAGTGATTCGCAAACATCTCCATGTTAGCATTCTACTATGAAAGCGCTGGTCAAGGCTGGTCTCGATGCGCTAGCCGGTCGCTGGAGAGGATACAATACAAAGGAGAAATTGATTTGGCACGTGACTAGGAAAAGAGATTATGTACCCAAATATCGCCGTTGCTGGCTGATGAAAACAAAGGCGGTGAGCCGAATTTGGTACGCGAATTGCCATATTAGGCAGTCGTGGATAGTATAGCGGCAGTAATCTTTGCTTGGACAAAGCTCGGCGAGTCGGGGCCTCATTTACCCGGTCCGTTATCGATAAGGCGCCGGCGTTGTCTTTTGGCTTGATAACGCGCAGGCAGGCAGAGGACTTGCTTGGTAATGAACACACACTCTGTACGCGATCAGGTAGTATGTATATCAGCGGCGTCAGGGTTGTCACATAAAGAAACTGATTCCCGACGCCCTCTCAAGCTACACCCCTTGATCTCGCAGCTGAAAGTCGCTGCACAAGCCAGACTATCATCCCCATGTCTACCAAAACCGAGGTCGACCCTCTTCTTCCCCAGAACGACCCTGCCCCAGAGATCCAGGGATATGGCTTTTCGAGATATAAAGGCTACGCTGGTATACAGGCTTCAGAAGCGGAGTCGCAGACCAAAGATTGGATAGATGACAGTGAAGAGGATGATGCGCAGTCTGTATCGACGACAAATGCAAGATCGGCCTTGAACGGGATCGCTTCACTTTTGACGGTCGTTATCTTCTTGGGACTGTTGGTCGCTCTGTTGAGACCGAGACTACAAGACGGCACTAACGAGCCGTTGCCCTTGCCCAAGCACCCTCCTCAGACCATTGAAGACAGAGTCGCCGATATCCTTGACCATACTCCATTGATAGACGGCCATAATGACCTTGCTATCTTCCTCCGGTTTGCATATCAGAACAAGCTGCACACCAAGGTGTTCAAAGATAGATTCGAGAACGGCGGGATGGAGGCGAACGTTGATCTGCCTCGTCTACAGGCAGGGCTGGTCGGAGGCTCATTTTGGAGCGCATTTGTCGTGTGTCCAGACGACGCCAGTGACGACTTTTCAGACGAAACATATGCCACCGCGGTTGCTCATACTCTGTCACAGATCGACTTGGTCCGACGGTTACAGAGTGAATATCCTCAAAATTTCACGTCTGCGACCGCACCACTTTCGGTGTCTTTGAGCAATTTCCATGCTACAAGATCAGTGATATCGCCCATCAGCATCGAAGGACTGCACCAGATTCCACAGTCGGCTCCTCTCTCGACTCTTCGTCTGTACTATGCTTTGGGTGTGCGTGCAGCGACGCTTACCTGGAATTGCCATAATGCTTTTGCCGACGCTGCCCTTATAACCTCAAAGGGGGAGACCAAGGTGGCGCCGTACCATCGTGGAGGTATCACCACAGCCGGAAGAGACGTCATTCGCGAGATGAACCGACTTGGTATGCTGGTCGACATTTCTCATACCTCGTATTGGACGCAAAAAGCGGTTCTGAGCAACAGGACCTCCGCTGCCCCAGTCATCTTCTCCCATTCTTCAGCATTTACCTTGTGTCCGCATCCACGAAATGTACACGATGACATCTTGGATCTTGTCAAGGAAACTGGAAGCTTGGTGATGGTCAACTTTTCGCCAGGGTTTATCTCCTGCTTACCCCCACCCAATTCGAGCATAGTTCCAGAATTCTACGAAAAGAACAATACCCTGCACCAAGTGGCTAGACACATTGTCTATATTGGTGACAAGATAGGGTATGATTATGTTGGGCTTGGCAGTGATTTCGACGGCATGGGCGACCTGACTCCGCGTGGTTTGGAAGGCGTGGACAAGTACCCAAACCTGATCGCTGAGCTGCTTAAGATGGGCGTCAGCGACAAGGACGCTGGCAAGGTGGCAGGCGGCAACCTTTTGCGGGTCTGGCAGACTGCTGAAGGGATTGCGAAGCGGCTGCAAAGGATGACTCACGAAGGTGAGGATGAAGTAAGTGGTTGGTAGTGCGGCAGCATATACAGCAGTTATTTGTTTTCTGGTGAAGGTCGCATCGAATTTTTGGCTATTGAGGGCTCTCTGAAAATGGCGTCAATCTGCGACATTTGTCCTGCGCTTACATCTCAGTGAATATTATTCGCATGCTATCCTATCTCAGATTGATCTGTGGAGTGTGCCGCTGCATCACTGCCAGGGGCTTGCGTGACTGCTGCACGTTATCCTTGCTCCCTCTCGCACTGCGAATCGAAGGCCCACTGGGAGTGTTCGGGTATGGGCTTTCACTCTGCAACCATGTATGCAATGCAGAATGTCCGTCACCGTGAAGCCTGGTTTCAAGATGGATGCAAAGGCCAGTTCGTCTGAGGCGCCGTGAGTCACAATCACCGGACTCGCGACCCAGATCCTGTTCTTGGGCATGTCAAACCCACACTTCCCGCAGGCCAGGATGCTGAATTTCCAGACTGATCATCCCTGACCACCTTATTCTTTGGGTGATGGAGCTTGACAAGCGCGCCATGATGTTACATATATATATCATCCTCTATCTTCCATGAGACTGCGGATCTCAGAAGGTAGGAATCTTCTTCCGTTGCACTGTTTTCAAGCTCATCCCTGAAGAATTCCATCTTCGCCCAGATACGAGTCACTGGACATTCTGAACACGTTCGACCACTTCTTATTTTGATCTGCGAGCCGACACATAGCGTCGTGCTCGTTTTTACCGACTCTGTGCCTTCGAGAAGGCGTCCAACTCCAAAAACTTCGAGTCCAAGATGGGTTGGATAGCGGTTTTCCACAACCTGGAAGTCCAGTGTCTCGACGGTATCTTGAATGTCTTCGACTTGATGAAGCTTGCTAGCAATGACGACCCGAAATCGACAAGAGAAGTCCGTGACCAGAGGACCCAAAAGGCCTTTCTACAACGACCCGAGTCCCGTTGTTCCGGTCAGCCGTGACGCGAAAGCTGTCCTTCTAGGCCAAGTCAGGAGGTTATTTGCTGTCGTCGTTGCTATGAACGGGGAAAGGTCAGGAGTCAACCACTGTAAAATCTCCAGGTACAAGCAAATTCCTCAAACAGAAAAAGAAAGAAGAATCAGGCGCTGATCAAACATCATTCCGGTGTTTCTGTCGAGTCGATGGCAACATTGTTCGCATCCGAGGTTGCTGCAGACATCCTCCTAAAAAGTGAGATCAGCGACAATAGGACAAAAGCACTACAGGAGCACAGTACTCATGACTTCGATTTCTCCAAAGTCAGCCTCGACCTGTGGCGCAGTCGCCTCTAGAAGACAAGCAGAGCCGCCGGAAAGGTAACCTTGAGTGGGTTGAGCGAAGCTACATCTGATGGAGAGAGACCAGGAGAATTTGAAAGGTTGGAAACAACAACAGAAGAGCCTTGCATTCCGTGGATAGAAGCTGAAGAGCAAGGCCTGTTGGGAGCAAAGGTACCACAAAAGCAGCTTGCTTGCCGCAGCAAGCCTTAATCTTTCTGCTTCCTCCGATCAAGCTTTTAACAGGTACGGAATCGACGCTGGTGCCTTGGTCCAGGACTGCTTCGAAGGTCTGAGAGACCTGAGACTATTGTTGCCTTGTTTATATGGCAAACCCATCGCTGCTGTCGCCTACCTACTGATCCCCTGGATCAAGAATCCTTGAGTCTGTTATTGTTCAGCACTATTCTGACATGCCTCGACCTTCGACCGAACGAGGGTCGGCCTCGCCAATTCAATCAACTGAGATCGACGACGTACATTCCACCAGTCGTCCAAGCTTTCCACGCGCCACACGACCAAATATGCCTTTGAGTGGTTCGATATCAAGGGACATATATGAATCATCAAAATGGCCGAACCAACCTACCTTACTTTCGACTGGAGACAGGCTCTATCAGAACAGAACCTGTTCGGGTCGATTCAAACACTCATGAACACCGTCGATTCTCGCACAAACTGTACACACTCCTATGAAAGGCCTGCAAATTGACCTTGTTGACATTGACGAGGAGATTTCGGAAGAAGGCGACCGAGAAGACCGGGAGCAAGCCGCAGCCGCGGGAGACCCGCTGGTAGGCGCCGAACTGACTTGGCACTCTGCGATGAGAAGATTTCTCCAAGTCCGTATGGCACAGGATTCGATCGAAGGACCGATTCGAGAGCACGAAAGGAGACCGTCAAACGCCACCGAGCCGGAGAGCTACAGAGACGAATGGATGACTCGATCGAAGTTCCGAAGAAGGTTGTCGTTGCTTGAAGGGAAACGAACTTGGAACCCGCGAGCAAATCCGTTCTCCTCGACCATCACGGAGAAGGTCAAGGTCGGCCGCGTGGACCTCCTGCGTGCCTTTGGGTATGGGATCACCACGGACAAGTTCAGTCTCGAACGAGGGAGAAAGGTCTTATTCGACCTTGCACTGATGCTGGACGTGCATCCGTTCCACCTGGACGTACAGGCCCAAGCCGCTGCACGACGATCTCAACACCTTCTAGGGTTGAAAGTTCCCATTGACGATGACTGTGCTATTGATCTACTATATATACAGCAATCACCTACGACATCAGCCGACTCTGCTCAAATCTCGGAGGATCCACCGAAGCAAGACAGGAACTACGTAGTAGCCATTCCATCCCTGTCGCAACGGCAGAAAATGCACCAAACAAACGAGACCCCGATGGGCAGTCTACCTAACTCCACACGGCCTCCTTTGAATGTCCTGAGTGAAAGACTTCGTCAGAGAAACATCCTCGCCTGCATCATATTACCTTCAACAGAGGAGTCCTTCCAATCTCTTTCCCGCAGCACCTTGCGGCCCGAGGATTGATTAGGTCTCATTACCAAACCAATGTTCATATCCCCCATCGCAGTTGAAGTCAATGTTCAATCTCAAGCAATACTTCGCCGGAGACCAAGAGACGACCCAAAAGAACGGCCGAAGTTCTACATCCGGATCTATGAATTATCGGTTCCATCTAGACTCGAAGTCTTTTTCCAACAGCGCAGATGAAGTTCAAGTACGACAAGACCAAATCCTCCAAATTCATCCCCGGCCGGCCAGCGGATAACAATGAGAAATTCAAGCCTGCAGCTTCTTTCTAGTCACTGTCAAGGTAGACCCAAATTCCACGCGAAACCAGATCTTGACAACAAATCTGTGAATCTCACCCAAATCTTCACGACTGCAGTGGCGAACAAGGGAAGCTCGGACAGAAAGGAAAGGATATCGATTCCGCCCAATCCGGAGTGGTGATATTGCCATCTGGCAAGAGATGGTAGTCCTTCCCATCGACTTCAGCGGACCTTAGGATCATGACATGAATATGGTTGTCCGATTCGGTAGAGTGGTCTACTTCCCCCAAGCACATGGTAAAGAGTCACCAGGACATGGTCAATGTTGAGGTCATCCACATCGTGAACGAGCCAACTGCGGTCAACAACATCAAGCTCGAAGCGGGGCCGGTGCAGCTAGTACCAGACTACTAAAACAAATCGTACGAGCTCACAACTGTATGCAGAAAAGAAGGACACGGATAAGCCTTTCGATATCCGAAAGGATTTGGCAGCGGTTGTTGGGGCTCTCGTGGCGACTTAACGTCAGTGCAAAACGTTGTGCTACCGTAAAAGGTCTTAGCTAGAGACTTTAACTCACGAGTCCTAGCAATAGTCCGGCAATCACAAAACCAAGTCTCAGAGGCTCATCTTTTGAATACTACTATCTTCACATTCCTTGTTAGAATAGAGGAGAAGAGATTCCAAGTTCATCCAAAACTTATATCGTGTCTCTCGGAGCCTCTTCAAGCATAGACAATAGCATCTTGTTGACCAGGTCAGATTACCACAAGTTGAGCCTAACATCTTCTCATTCTTGATATCCCGCACAGATAGTGAAGGGCCCTTTCTGAATGATGATCGTGCATTTAGCAAATGCGTCTTCGTCAGGTCCCGTTCCTAGTTCTCTTGGTCAAAGGCAAGAATGTCGCAATCAGAACTATCAAAGTCCTCGAAATCTTCCATCTTGCGCTTCTTCAGATATTTGAGGTCGTTCATGTCCTCCTTTTGATAGGCATCAATCCACTTTCCCAGATCCGTATCCTTGAGGAAAAGAACGACTGGTTCACTTGGCCTACGTTCGTAATGTGGACCGATGATGACTTTTGACGTAGCTCCTGGCTTATCAGCCGGGAAGAATTGCACAGTCCGGGTCTGTGCCGAGCGCGGAAGGAAGATGACGTTCTTTGGACTGGTGATATTTGCTGTGTTGTCCACGTTGCTGCTTGCCTGTGTCAACGGTACCTTGTATACCCGCAAAGTTGAGTCGCTGAGGCACAGATACAGTTCTGTGTCTGTCCACGTCCATGAATACGGCAGGACAGATATGATTGGCCTTTTCCACGGTCCCAGAGGGTAGACATGCCGTGCAACTTTTTCCGGTCGCCGCGTCGGAGCGCTGTCTGTTGAAATGCGAAGAGTTGTCAAGACAAAGATCAGGCCGTATATTGGCGGGCTATCACCCGTCCTTCCCTTCTTCATCAGCTTCGTCTGCTTCGTGAGCTGAACTGCCTCTATGTGTGCGGCATGTAGATATCGACCACAGCCAGAGAAGTGCAGGGCGACCGATATTTGGCGCGCTGATATGTGTGTCAGTTATGATGATGCAAAGTCTGAAGTTCTCACCTTTCCTATTCGTGGTTCGCAGCGAATGCAAGCGAGCCGACCCGCCATCATGCTGCGCAAAAAGCAGCCTCTCCTGACCGACCGGCCACACCACTAGTTTTGTCCGAGGCTCGATGCATGGAGCAGAGTCATGCAGCATATCTAGGTAAGATCCATGCCAAGTGTAGAGTTCCTTTGGAGGGTCTTGGGCGACGTCCAAGACGATCAGATCTTGCCTGACCAATGCAGTGCGCCAGCTTATGACTCCTTGCGGTCCCCTTGGTCCGCACTCAAATAGATCGTGCCTTTGGTCGTAGCACCAGTAGCCTTTCTGAATGCACTCTTTACACAGATCGAATCCGCCACCCGTAGACTCGCAGTTAGCGCAATAATGCCAGGACTCGTAGAGTTGACAGTGACATCCATCACATCGAACGCCGTGCGCTCCACGTGAATCGCTGGTTATGCGGACACCGTAGCTAAACCTCTTGCCTTTCCCGTCTTGGTTGGCCTCGTCAGCGGACGCTGATGAGCTTTCAGAAAGGCTGTCCCAGGCAGACGGTCTCTCGCTTGCATCGGAGAGCAGAGAACTAAGTTCTCCTTCATCCTCGCTCTCGGCATTGGAGTCGTTTTCCATATTGCCGAGGATTGAGTCGTCTTGCTGATCAATGTCTTCGGAGGACGAATCAGAATAGTCTGGGCCGGTAGAGTCTGATTCTGCACCGGATTGGTAGTCCAGGATGGAAACATCATCTGCCGAATCCTCCTTTAGTTCCATAACCATGTCCTCTGGAAGCTCATAAGTGTGCAGATCCTCATCGTGGCCGACATTCCAGCCGTCTTCGTCAGAGCTACTCTCCTCGCTACTATCGTAGTAAGGTTTGCTTGTCCCTCTTCGCCATGGCTGTGGACCATACTGATTCGCGTCGCGAATTCTTTTCATGCGAATTGCATGTGCAGTGCGCTCCAGGTCCCAATTGGTATCAACTGTTTTCGGCATTCTGCGACGAGTAAGCACAATGACAGAGTCTACTTGGCATGATTCTTCGAAGTAGCAATCACGAGGACGTCCACTACTGACGTCGAACATTGAGTAGGCCCTTTGTGTTGCCGGTCCACTCAATTGCAACATCCGACAGCCAACGTGCAATAAGTTGGCATTGAGTGACAGTTTAACTGGACTGATGAGCGAAGCGTGCGAGGCCTTTGGTACCAGAGGCAAGCGCTGCAAGCCGATTGTGCTAAATCGCGACCAGAGACTGTCGGATTTCGTGACAACCACACTGTAGCTACTGTGCATTTTCAAGGCCTTGGCCCCGTCGAGACTCCATATCTGTATCGAGAGCCGTATGTTGTTTTCACTGCGGTCTCCGTTAGCTTCTCTGTGTTGCTTAGATGCGTGACGAACCTGCTGTCATCCATGTAGCAGAGCGCTTGCTGCTTTTCGTCGTAACAGGAAGCGGCAACCAACCGACATGTGGCCGTATCAAGCTTCGATATGGGAGCAACGCTTGCAGGAGCAACTCCGATCGTCAGGGACTGATATCGACACTCCCACCTGGTCAAAAATCGTCCTGTTCCAAGAGTTGGCCACCGCACACGATCTAGCTCGCCAACAAAGTCTGAACTCAGTCCAAGATGCAACAGATGGCTCCAGTCCGACACCATGGTTTGATACTGCTCTTTGATATTGCAAACTTTGTCGTCAATGTCGTCCGTCATTCTTGGGAGATTTTGCTTCCACGATCTTGGTATGTCGGTTACTGGGTCATAACTGATGAGAAAATGGCCAATAACGGCAATGCTCTGAATCTGAAGGCTTGTGTAGGAGTTATGCGACAAAAGGAATTTCTTGACCAGCGCTTGAAGATCTTGAGAGCGAGAGGATTTGTCGCAATGCCTATACCAGTACTTTGCGGCATATGTCGCGAACGGATGTTGCTTTAGCAGTGCTGGGTTGTTGCATATGCTTTGAGAGTCTGGCGGGATCAAGTCCACATATCGCCGCTTAAGGAGATGTTTTACACACGCAAGGGCCAAGAGGTCGGGATCCACGACGTCGTCCACATCGCAATCCTTGTATCGACATAATTCTTTATCCGACCGATGAGAGCGGTGGCTGTGAAGAAATGATCGAAGAGAGGAAGGGTGCGACAGCACTAGGTAAGGACTTTCCTGTTGATCGTGAGGCACAATCCGATGGGTCAGAATTGGGCACTCATTTATGATTTCGTCGTCCGTAAGAACGATTAGAGTGCCCCGGACTGCGCTGATGGCCTCGCGGATCTCACAAAGTCGCAACGGGCGTTTGGCGAATGCCAGTTGGCGAATGGCAAAAGAGAAAGTACGATCCTGTGAAGGGTGAGTAAATAGTGAATCAGCTAACAGGTACGTTCCAACCTACTTCCATAGGGGCAGGGTTTCATATATCATCTTTTTCTGTCGATAGGACATCACCTTGTTCCGGTAGAAGCCATGCATGGTGGATGGAAGACCCCTTAGGACAAAATCAACCATTTCTTCACTAGTCTCAGGCTTGAGCAGCTTCAGCTCTTCTACCATCGTCACCGCCCAGAGAAAGCTCCCTTGAACCTCTACGTTCATTTTGACTTTCACAAGAAAACGATCCCATGCGTTAGCAATCTTTGTCGATAGCCCAAGGCTGTGTGCCAGAAATCGAGCAATGTCGCTCTCCGTTTTGTCACTTGTCACCCGAAGCTTGAGAACGGAGCTTGTAGGAATTGCCGAGACAGCATTTGAAATCCAGTCGACGTCCTGCGAGCTGAGCCACAGACGCACGCGACCAGAGCGTCGGAGGGCTTCGTTCATCAAGTAATCGATCAAACTCTTCATGCTGCCGGTGTCATCGAACTCATCCAGTCCGTCTAAAAAAATGGTGACATGTTTGACTTCTCCAAGGGCACTTGACAGTAGCTCCTTATAACAGGTGCCGGTCCTGCTATTGCACTTGTGGATCAGAGCCTCTGTCGACTTACCGATCTCCCCGCATTGTTCTTGAACGCGAAACAATACCTGTCGAGCGAGCGACCTGAGCAGCTGCCGTCGAGGGACTTGCCTGTCGCTCGATAGGGGCAGGAACACGGGAAAAGAGCTTTTGATAGCCTCGATCCGGTAAATACTGGAAGCACATATGTAGGACTTTCCACAGCCATATTCCCTATTCAGCCATAGTATTGGACTTGAAGAATTCTCGGCGACCCATGTGTGCCATTGTGGTGTCTGGAATATCCACTCGCACGAGTCTTTAAATCTCTTTTCCTCGATGTCGTCGAGCAGATAAGCGTTGTGATTATCGCCATCGATGATTGAATTTATCAGCTCCCGCAGATGCCTCTCTTGCTGGAACTCCAGATTTTGTCGGTCGCTCAATTCGCGCTCTTTTGCCACGCGAGCTCTTTCGGCTATGTCTTGTTCGAGGTTCTCAACCACCTTGGTTACTTCTTGTCGCAATCCGTGCTGTAGGTGTCCGTTGGCGAATGTACAAATTTTATGTAGCTCTTTCGCATCAGTTTCAATTGAGCTGAGAGCGCTTTCCAATTTGTTGTACGGGCGTCCGGCGCGTCTTAACTGCTTCATTGACCCGCCCCCAAATATCTTGGTCATCTCATAGAACAGGTCAATGATATGCGTATACGAAAGGCCTACAACATGATGGATAATCGGGCCGAAAGGAGTAGACAACGCCTACATTGTATCGCAGAGCTCCAGAGATCTGATGTGTCCCTCCAGTGATTCTAGAACAGCTTTTGCCTTTTCAAAGCCTGCCGAGTAACTCATCAAACACTCAATGACACATCGGAGCCCGCCCCAAACAAGTGCAGATGGCGTTGGGTACGCCGCAATCATCTGATCGATTGATCTCGAAAATTTGTCCAGGATGTGCACCACCGGCATGACATATTTATCCATCCACATTCTGAATTCACTTTTGGAGCATCCCTGCATCATGGTAGTGACGGACAGTTGAGTATGCTCTATGGTCGCGCCGTGGGACTGGAGTATCTTTTCAATGAACAACTCCTTGCCGGAAGTAGGTTTAAGAGCGGCTATGTACTCCTTGCACACCCGCTCGAAACGGTTTGTTGGATCAATCGACGTGGCCATGTCTCATGAATCGTTTCTTCGCGAGTATGTACAGGCTGGATCAAGGGTTTGACGCTGAAGCAAAATTAATCGATGAGTTCCTGAGCAGCAAGGAGTAGAGTATGGCTCCGAGTTCAGAAGCATGTGGCTGTGGGCAATGAATCGCAAGATATTGGGCGTGTGATGATTTGCCTTCTGAAACGGCCTTAGAGGCTGAGTTGACAGACATGCTGAGCTTGCCAACATACAGCCTCCCTTGTGCGACTCCGTGGATGATGTGCGTCAAACCAGGCCCATTGGTTGGAGTCGCTTGTGCAACGCCAGGTCTGCTCGCGGACACGCATTTCGCCCTGCGACATCACCCTGCCATGACCATATGCTACTACGGAGAGCATCCCTGCCGCTGCAGACGCTGAGGTGCACAGTACATCGTGGTTGGTGGTCGTTAAAATCTGGTGCTAGTGGCGGAGAAGGACTGGGCAAGACGACCAATAGTACGCTCAGCACGGCTCAGTCATGCAAGGCTGCGCCATAGGCTGATTGGGTGGAACGTCTTCCTCAAGTGCGATCCAGCACCTTCACGCACAGCAGAAACTAGTGCACTTCGTGGTATCAGGCTCCAGCGCCGGTCTAAGACCCTCGCCGGCGGGGAATGCCTGCGGCACATGTTTCTGCACCAGGACAAAGCCACGCCTGATGCAGATGCAGCTTGGCGGAATGCCCAGCCTGATCGATGAAATAAGAGCTCTATTCTCTGCTGAAGGACAGAGGTAGAGCAAGACGTCCGTTGCAACTCCGTTATATTGTCCTCTTCAGCATCATTGACAATGCCTCCAGAGCCCGAAACGAGGTCTCACCACACGCATTGGGGAAACCTTGACCTTGCCGCTGGTGAACTCCGATCATCAGTGGATGCAACAACTTCCAGCGATCAGACCGCACAAAACCAACGCCAACCGATCGTTCGTGCGGATCAGATGTGAGACGACCACCCGGACACGCTTGCTATATATGCTGACATTGTCCTGCAGTTACAGCAAGTGAGTATTTGAAACTATCGTGCTTACGAATCCGGGATGCTGTTTGCATGAACGCGTGTACGATTTGACAACTATCGTAGGTCGAAACGCAAATGGGAGTACTACAAATCTGCGACAAGAAAACCTCGACGAGCACTATGGACTAAGTACGTGATATTGGTTAGGACCAAGTTCTCGCAGAAAGGGGTTCCTGTAGCCGTCGAAATCGATATCAAGGGCAGGTCACTACGGGAGGCATTGCTCAGTATCAACTCTACGGTACAGGATGAAGTGTTTGCGGACGGGGGGAATTCGGAGCAAGTAAGAATAGGTTCAGCCTGATCTACAGAAAAGCTAACTTTCTACAGCTCAGCGATCGCAAAGTGTTATATCACTCTAGAGAAGACCTCGCCGGGCTTCTGCAGCGCGAGAAGGCCAAAAATAACCCTGATGAAGACCTGTTATTTGAGCTGTCTGCAGGTCTAAAATTCATCGCTGAGGAGTTCGGCGCAGATATGGCTGCACTTGAGAGCCTCACCGGAGAAGGTACCATTACCACTAACTTGTTGTGGATGCTCTTCGCGCCGAATTCTCTTACCATCGGGCAAGATGAACTTGGACAGACTTTCGCCGTACTCGTACGCAGCTCCGGCCTGTCCGAGGACAGTGACCGAAATCCGTTGTTCGTGCTGCGAGCAGATCAACTTGATCACGACGGTAACAGGGTCGTGATGAGGACCCGCATGACTCTGTATATCCCTGGCTTCGACGGGAAAATGGACCTGACCGAATTGCCATTCTTGCCCCTGAAGTGGCATCCGGATCGTGAGGCCATCAAACAACAACTCCTGGCCAGATGGGACAGGGCTGAGATATTCCACGGCAGGCTTCTTGCAGAGTATAAGGGCCATGGCATGCGAGAAGGTACAGACAGACTCGTCAAATTCAACAGCCACGGTAGGGTCATGCTGGACCCTGTCAGCCTGATTAGAACCCAACCGGACACTAAGCTGCGAACCGGAAGATTCACAGCCATCAAGCAGAGTGCGATTACCGAGGAACTCCGGATGACGATGTCTCCGAAATTGTACGGCTTCAGTCTCGGCGACAAAACATGGGGTATGTGCGCGGAGACTCGCGCGTACCTTAGAATTTTGAACTAACATCGACTTAGGTTGTTTTGCGCTATCAAACATCAGCAACGTCGTCTTCAACTCCGACATTCTGACGTCCTTGGTCCTAAATCAGGACCGGAAAGATCTGATACGGGACCTCGTCATTTCTCACCGGTCCACAGACAACACGTTCGACGACTTCGTTCGCTTCAAGGGCAAAGGCCTTATCGGTCTCCTCTCTGGACCTCCGGGCATCGGGAAAACCATGACAGCCGAAGCAATAGCGGAAGTCGCCAAATGTCCTCTCTACGTAATCAGCTCTGGTGAATTAGGCGATAGGCCTGACATCATACACGCAAGGCTGAAAGGCATTTTGGAGCTTGCAGAACTCTGGCGCGCAGTCGTGCTCCTCGATGAGGCTGATGTCTTCCTGAGTAAGAGGTCTGAAACTGACCTGACCAGGAACGCCATCACCTCCGTGTTCTTGCGTGAGTTAGAGTACTACCAAGGGATCCTAATCCTGACCACCAACCGATTGGAGAGCTTCGACCCGGCATTCATGAGCCGCATGCACTTCTGTCTTGACTACCCGAACCTGGATGCTGCAGGGCGCGAATCTATCTGGAAGGATTTCCTTGCTCGGGCTTCCAGCAGTAGCGCCAGAATTGAGGTCAGTATCGATGCCGACGGATCCACACGTCTAAGAAGCCATGCTTTGAACGGTCGACAGATCAAAAATGTCATGAGTATCGCGCAGTCAATATCCCTCAAGCGTGGCCAGCCCATCACTGTTGCCTCAATCGAGAGCGCTATCGAGCTTTGTCAGAATTTCCATGTTGTTGACCAGAGACCGGAACCCGAGCTTTTGCACGATTCAGAACCGCAGCCCGACCTGATATAAACCTTCTTTGTTTTTGTCAAGTGCGACTGGATAAGGCCTCTGGTACATATCACCGTTTTCAATGCATTCTATCATGGTTGGCTTCAACTGCTTCGACAGACTTGTGCGGTCGACCGGACACACCTTACCAAGAGCAGCATGTGAAAGCTCATAATCACCACTATTTCTTAGTCGTCGAACGTTGTTCGCTACTATTAGGGAGTCGTGGAAGTTAACTTCAAGAAGGCGTCGCGGCGTCCAGACGAGCAACGACCGCTTCGTTCTGTTTGCATATTGGAGATTGGTGATAGACATCAATTTATACCACACGTTTCATGTCAATGGACCTGTTCCGACGAAGACAACGTTTAAGACTCTGGCTGACTAAGCAAGGCTCAGCCCCCTCATGCTGGAGCCACTTGGCCACCCCTTTCCATGTTGTATCTGATCATTTCCCTGGGTTCTTCTTGTTCCAGATCAACAGGCCCGGCTTGTAACATGTATGTATTCATGCCACATCCACTCCGTACAGCTACGAAACTTCACTACCTTTGCGTCCTCCAGAAAACCCCTTGGAGAACTATTCTGAGCAAGTAAGGTAGAGATCGACCTTGGGATACGAATAGGCTGTTCACCGCCATGCATACTGCAAGAACCCCGGATGATACCAATGATCGTGGGCAGTTGTCTGGTTCATTCGGTGTCTCCGCTCGCAGACGTAGCCCAGTCAGGCGTAGGCTGGCCTCTCTTACAGGGGTTGTGAGGTTGTGATCCGAACTTTAAGGCCTCCCAAGCTGCCGATCGCTGTCGTTGAATTGGCCTGTTTCGACTTCATACATGAGGGCTGAGCGGCGCGGCTGAGCCGCTGGCAAATGAGTAGCCGTCTGGGTGGCCGTTGTGCAAACCATAACAATGACCTGGAGATTGATTGTGATGTCGCCTGGGCGCAGGGTTTCCGTGTTTCAAGGGCAGCGTGTTGAAAATATAGATAGGTTCGTGTGGCTCCTCGCAAGCCGTAAGTTGGTTTCTCTTTCTTTGCACTGAGCATCAAGCATTCTCGATTCAAAACACTCTAAGTCGGCAAAAGATCATCACCCTCCCACAGCTTCTAGCAGCCCCAAATTGAACCCTCTTCCCATCAACCCCCAATTAAGACCTTCAATATGGAATTCCGCGGACGTAACAACTACGGTCCGCCTCCGAGTAGCTACGAGCCACGTCCAAACTTCTACGTCGAGCCCGTCGGTGCTGTCGGCTACGGCCCCGGGTATCGTCGGGGTATGGGCATGCGCGGTGGCTTCGGGTGCGATATGTGCGGACGTCGTCGCCGGTGCCGCTGCGACAGACCAGGCTTGCTCGGCGGACGCCGTCAGGGGCTTCTCAGCACGGTCATTGGTGGCACAATCAGCATGATGGAAGATCGGCACAGGGGCCAGAGGGAAGAACGCCTAATGCAGATGCAATATAGAATGGAGGAAGATATGCGATACGCCCGTGAGAGAGGGCTGGAGACCAGGGCCATGCAGAGCCAGACTCGTTCCCGAAGTGCCGTGCGGGAGGATGGTCGAGACAGCGAAAAAGACATCAGGAATCGGGACAGACAAGGCGCGAGAGCGCATAGTGAGGACGATTCTGACGACGAGGACCGTGGTGGTCGGATGGACGAGAAGCACGGTCTGAAGAGCGACGAGAGACAAAGGCAGGAGAGGATGGATGAGAAATTGCCTTCTTATCAAGCTGCTACGAAGAAGAATTAGATCAGCCTCAAGAGGAATGGAAGGGACCAGATCAACCGCCCTTGAGGTATTGATGATGTCTTAGCATGGTCTTGTAGCGGCTTCCGATTCGGATGTAATTCTTTGGTCCATGCGAACTTTCTCTTGTCTTTTTTGGGTGCCGGGACTAAATAGGTAGCTAGGAACGACCTGACTGGTCGCGGCCGTCGGCTTGCTCGAGCTTTTGTGCTGCACCCTCAGCCCAGTGCATAGCAGATCGTCTGTAGCAGTCGAAGAAGCCGCAATACCGCCGTGCAGACGTTGCTAGTTGCCATAGTTTGAGCTATTCAAAGTCGCCCTCTGTTGTCAAGCGGATGATCCCAGTGGCTCAAAACATAGCCATTACAGCGTATGTCCTGGACAATGTCCAGATCAATATTGAGCGGTCGTCGATCCTTCGTTCCTCTCGACCAGATCTCCCACGCCCAGTCCACGACCGACCTTGACTTTGACCATTTTATCCTTCTTCTCGCCTTCACCATTGACAGCTTCGCCGTCCTCGTCTTTCTTTCCTAACGAACCAACGCCGTCCCCTTCGTCTTTATCTTCCTCTGGCATGTCCTTGATCTGCATACTCCTCAGGTCCATCCGCATAGCATATGCATCCTCGCCATCGGCATAGTATTTGCTTTCGATCTTATCAACCTTATACCCCAACGTGTCCCGGTATAAATGCAGCGCGGCTGAATTTGACATTCTCACATGCAGACTGACATAATTCGCATTGAACACCTCGGCCATAGCTCGTTGGCTCATTCTCATCAATTTCTCTGCGATTCCTAACCTGCGGTGTGTGCGCATGACCGACAAGCTCGTAATGTGTCCGTGTTGTACACCGTCGGGCGGGTCCTCCTCCATCTTGGCCAGTACATAGCCCACCACTTTTGGATATGCCGCTGGTTTACCGCCTGGACCGCGGACAATTGCGACGAAAGATAGTTGAGGCCATGTCAGTGCGTGGTAGAGGTAGTATTTCAGGAAGTAGTTCTCGGGTAGGTTGGTTAGGTTACATTGTTGTATCGACGGCAGGAGTGAGATGTGTGAAGGATAGGAGGAGACAGGCACAATGTCAACCATGATGACGAATCTATTTCGACTGAAGTTCAAGGGCAGTAGGTGATCGAGGACGGTAAGACGGTAATGGTAACTGTGCACGAGGCTTAAAATGTTTGGCAACCATTTGGTGGAAAATGCGGCCGGCAAAACCGCGGCTGCTACATTCTGTACATTCTACGTTCTATATTCGGCTTGTTCAACTCCATGACCTTTCTACTGGTATTCGTTGACCAACTTGATACGCATCTCATCAAGCCCACGCCTGTTCGGCTGCACGCGAATTCATGCTATGGACATCTTCATGCCACCGTTGGCACAGATAACACTGCCCGTCGTCCATCCACTCTCCTCTGCACAAAGCATTCCTATCACACCAGCGATCTCGTCTGTAAATGCCGGTCTCTTCCCACCCATACCCTTCAGTACCATCTTGTCATATTCCTCCGGGTCGCCACCTGCGCGAGCTTGGATCACAGGATCACCGCCTTTGTAATTCATCAGAGGAGCTTGATCCACATACTGCTGATTGATCTTCCAGAACGTCTCTCCTGCCTGGGTATACATGTCTCCATGGACAGGTCCTGGATTGATCGCATTGACGGTACAATTCTCTGCCAATTCGCGAGCCCAAACCCGGGTCATTGCTTCAACAGCTGCCTTGGTGCCTGCGTATATTGATTGTGATTCACAACCAATGGCTGCAGACACACTCGAAACGTTCACAATCCGACCGGATCGGTCCTTTGGCAGGTACGGTTGACATGCTTGCACGAGCAGGAGAGGGGCCAGCACGTTGACACTATATTGTTTATGGAACTGCGTCTCTTCAATAGGTCCCAGCTCCGGATCGTTCAACAATTTGTTGCCGGCGATGCCTGCGTTGTTGATAATGATGTCGATCTGGAATGCCCCGGTCCGAGGATGGGAGAAGTTGTTCTTGGCCGTCGAGACGATATGAGGAGCAGCCCGAGTAGGTTCTGACAAGTCGGCTTGGACAGGAATGCAGACAATGCCGTACTCGTTGCTGAGGTCCTCGCAGAGAGCTTTGGTAGGTTCGGTGGACGAGTCGGAAGTATAAACAAGAAGCAGCGAGCACCCTTTGGCAGCCAAGTTGCGAGCGACCGCTGCTCCAATACCTAGACAGCGTCAACGAAGCCCCTTATCCTCGGCCGTGAGTGTGTTACCTCTTGATCCGCCGGTGACAATCCCAAACTTGCCCTCGTGAGGCCTAAAGACAACGTCTTTTGGCATGTTGGTCGACGAGAATGTTCGTCTTGGAGCGATTCTACTTGCCATCTTGTTAGAATCCCACGGTAGGTCTGTAGGACTGCTCTATAGCTTTTCTGGTCGGGCCGTTAATGACTATGGTGGGATGCTTGGTGGAGCGAACGCGGGGAGGGATTTTGAGCGCGACTCCATGAACCGGGCGCAGACGGCCCGCAGCCAACATTATGTGATGGAAAGAGAACAAGTGGCCAAACAATCATCCACTCTTCAAAGAATAGTCTTCCTACTTCATTTGCCGTTATCCGATCGCTGTTCCTACCGAAAACGCATGGCCGTTCATGGACTTTCTCAAATCTGCAGTTGCCTCTGCCATTGCCAAATCGAGTTCCTTTCCGGTCACCGTCGGAGATAGAATCGATGCAGGTGAATCGATATGGGCTCTACATAATGGGGTCAAGAAGGTGTGCAAGGTCTTCCTGCAAAGGCTGGTACGGTCTCTAAGAACGGTCTAGGACGACAACACTCCCTGTTGCCTCTTCACCTTCGACATCAACAAAGACAAAGCTCGACTACCCCTAGCGAAGAATGCCGCTCGAAAGTTGCGCACATTACGGCATCCCGGAGTCATTCGAGTGATTGACGTGATTGAAAATGAAACGCACATCTATATCATCACGGAGAAGGTGACGCCTCTGAGTTGGCACATCAAGCGCAAGAGCCTGAGTGAGGAGACCATAAAATGGGGGTTGTACAGTGTTTCTTCGACTCTCAAATTCATCAACAATGAGGCCTCTTCAGTACATGGAGCTGTTCGAGTCGCGTCAATATACACAAGCGAAAGCGGAGAGTGGAAGCTGGGCGGATTCGAAGTCCTCAGTTCCATGAATGAGGACGATGCGATAATTTATACCTATGGAAGTCTATTGCCGGACTCAAATCGATATGCTCCTCCTGAAGTCGTGAATGGCGGCTGGTCCGCCATTAAAAAGAACCCGCTGGGAGCGCCGGACGCCTACGGTCTCGGTATACTGGTCTTTGAAGCTTTCAATGGCAGCTTCATGGGCAATGATCAACTTAATCAGCCCAGAAGTATATCGGCCAACATGGTTCAGAGCTATCGAAGGCTTGTCAATTCCAATCCAAAGCTCAGACTCTCAGCAAGTCAGTTTGTTGATCAAGGGAAGAAAACAGGAGGCTTTTTCGAGACCCCGCTCATCCACATCACGGAAGGAGCAGACAGCCTGGGGCTCAAAAGCGAGGAGGAAAGGGATCAATTCCTAGGGTGAGCACAGCTACCCTTGACTGAGATCGGGTCACTGACTCGAATAGCGAACTCGATGAACTTACAGACGACTTTCCTGAAGACTTCTTCAAGATGAAAATCCTACCAGAATTGCTGAAATCCGTTGAATTTGGTGGTGGAGGACCTAGTGTCTTTGGAGCTATAATGAAGATAGGACTCAAGATGTCGGACGACGAATTCGAGTCCAGACTTGGACCCGTCGTCATCCGTCTCTTCAATAGTCCTGATCGTGCGATGAGAGTGTGCCTACTCGATAACTTACCTCTGATGGTCGATCGAATCCCGCAGAAAGATGTCAACGGCAAGATCTGGCCGGCCATGACAACAGGGTTTACTGATACAGCTCCAGTCGTCAGAGAACAGACTGTCAAAGGCGTCTTGTCAGTAATCTCCAAGCTCTCTGATCGTGTCATCAATGGGGAGCTCCTTCGGTTTCTGGCCAAAACTGCAAACGACGAGCAACCTGGCATCCGTACTAATACAATCATCTGCCTTGGCAAGATTGCCAGGAATCTCGGTGTCGGTTCACGATCCAAGGTGCTCATTGCAGCCTTCACCCGAGCACTCAGAGATCCGTTTGTGCATGCTCGAAATGCTGCTCTGATGACTCTCAACGCGACAATCGACGTCTTCAGCGATGATGACTGTGCCACAAAAATTTTACCGGCCATTTGTGTCATGCTCGTAGACAAGGAGAAGTTAGTCCGTGATCAAGCGAACAAGGCGCTGGACAGCTATCTCCAGAGAGTAAGAAAGTATGCTTCGGCGATGCCAGATACCGTGCTACCACCTGAGGGCGCTGCCAGCACCGCCACAGCGGCAGCACTAACTCGAATGGGGAACCAAAACGATACCGGCTGGGCTGGTTGGGCGATCTCCTCCTTCACCAACAAGTTGGCTGGAGCAAGAGGGGAAATGGCTCCCACAGCCGCCATGAACGGATCAGCACTGACGCAAACTCAGTCACTGCCTGCATCTGGTCGGGCTACTCCAAGTATTAACGTGGTGCATGAGAAGCCTGTGTCTTCACCAAAAGCCTTTGCTACTCACACACCGAGAAGCTCTACTTCGCAACCACCAGAAGTCGAGGAAGCGTTTGGGGAAGACTCAATGGATGCATGGGGCACGATGGATGATGACGGCGACAATTTCTTCGACGCCTCGTCGAACCGCCCAGCCAAGACGGCAAACCCTGGGCCTGCCGCCGCCTTTGATGACGGTGGAGAGCCGGATTTCGCAGGGTGGTTGGCCGCACAGTCCAAAGCGAAGACGCCGAAGCAATTACCCAAAGGTCTGAGCAAGACAAATACCACTGGTGGTAGTCTGAATGCTCGACCCTCAGGTCCTCCCCGAAGTGCTTCAGCCGGTGGGGGAATCATGGCCAAACGGCCGGCCGTAGCAGCGGCAAGGACTGCAGCAAGTGTAGCTGCCAACAAAGACGTCAAGAAGGAGGCGCCGAAACCCAAAGAGCCGGATATCAACGATGACGATTGGGGGGCTGATTGGGAGTGAACTTGACGCTCACTGGCTTGCTTTGATGAACATATGCCGCATATTAGCGACGGAGATTAGATCATGGTTCTGGAATCTGGGCGACTCAAGCGAGGCGTTGGGCGTTCTTCTTGCGAATGGTAACAGTTGTTTATTGTTCGTTCGGCCACCTGCGACAAAAGCATTCAGTTGGGATACCAGCGGTACCTGGTGCATGAGATACACAAGCCACTAGTACAGAGGGCCAAATCAACTATACGAGCTACATCAGCTACTAGTACTTCAAGGCGAAGCGACTCGCTGTTGGCTACCTGGCAACGTCTCTTCCACCGTACCCTGTCTGTTCGTCGACCTCGACTACAACATACTCGGGGATCAAAATCCGCATAGTCACCTCGAGCATGGGAACGCTGAGTGCTTATGTGAATATCCCGACAAGAAGTGGACCTAGCAGACAGAGAAATCGGAGTTTTGCTAGGAAGGATCGAGAAAAATGCTATGCGAGAGTGGAAATGATCGCACATGGAATGGCAATTTCTCTGCCACTGGCAGGGTATTGAAATGGCTTGGTCGAGCAGGATCTACTCGCTTTGGAAGAATGTGAGACTCCAGCATCTCTTTCCGCCGGCTTCTGCGCCGTTCAGCGAGCATTCGCACTTCCTCAGTCAATTACAGGCTGGCCTCGTGCTTCGATTTTCCTTTTATTGTTTGACCGACTCATTTGATCCTCCCGTCCTGGACCATCTCTCTCATGACCTCGATCGTCTTCTCTACCGCCATCTTGGCCGTCTTCCATTCTTTCTCTTTTGCCGCTTTGAGGCCTGCCTCGTCGCCCTCCAACTCATAATGTAGCCACTCAAACGTGTATGTCATGTACAGATTCCCGTCCGCATCCTCGCTGATCACGTTTTGCACCTTGCTCCCGTTCGGCTGGTGGAACTCGACCTTCATAGGCTCAAAGGCGATGCATTTTTCTTGTACGCGACGATTTCCATCGCGGAAGACGACCTCGCGGACGGTGATGGGATTTCCGTGTTCTGTGTACGAGGTAGATATCACGTCTGTTGAGACGATGGCGCCACCAACAAAGTCTTGCCCTGCGCGGATCTTCTTTTCGAGACCCTGCCAGATTTGAGCGTACGTGAGGACGGGGCTTGCACCGGGAGGATTGATGGGTGCGGTGAAGGCGATGTTGTTGGCAGGCGCCGGTTTGACGGGTTGTCCGCTCATGATGTGTGTACACGCGAAACCACGGGCTGTTTGACTCTGACGGACCATGAGCCTCACGTCGGCTTTAAGTACAAGTCAGAGGGAGTGTTAGCATTGTATCAGGTGAGGCTCATTGGGAGGGTTGAATCTGAATGTTTGGCAAGCATTGGGTAAGCTCCGGCATCACTTTACTGCGAACTCCGACGATGAAGAAGCTAAGTTACTGAGCGAGTGGAGTGCCCTTGGTACTTGGAGCCCAGCCAGCTGTGAATTGATGGACATTATCCAAATGCCATACTCGTATTGCCACAGGCTACAACCCATACGAGATGCCATCACATGTGGTCGAAGGGACAGCTGCAGAGAAGTTTACCAATCCCTTTATTCCTATGATGACCACATAACGTCGTCTTCGCTGTTCCCTCCTTATCGGTCTCTGCAAATCACCACGCTATTCTGGGTGGCTGCTCGCAGCTGACATAACGATCAACAACGTTCGCTTAGCTTGGCTCCAAATGAAAAGGCAAGCCGATTCGTTCAAGGCCTGCTGCTGCCTGTCGAATGCGACCCCAGGAGCCCCATCATTGTCAGCAACTTAGGTCAGTGGCGTGGAAAAGGCGTGGGAAAAATACGCTCAGACCAATCTGTCGACATCTTTGGAGGGTCCGCACCATTTGCTTGTACATAGTATGCGGGAAAGCATGCTATTCCTTTCGAATTGACCACTCGAGTAGTGTCTGCGGAGATGATCCAGGCACAGGAGTCATCTGTCGGTGCGGGGCACAGGACTATACATATGCGAATTGTCTCGACTGCGATGTTCGGACCACAAGTACTTGTTCGAGGCGATAACCACGAACAATGTCGACAGCCACGGTAGTTGAAGATCTGCCCGTACTGACGAAACCGAAGAGAACACGTAAAACTCACAGCAAGGTCAGGACAGGATGCCTGACGTGCAAGTACGTATCAGCAAGTGATTGTCTAGATGTCGGTCACTGACTTCGACAGAATTCGAAGAAAGAAATGTGGGGAAGAGAAGCCCTTCTGTCTGCGCTGCACAAGTACAGGTTCGTGATCGCAACACGATCTTCCGAGAAGGCTCTGAATACTGAGACAAAGTACAGGTCGGAAATGTGATGGATACCCGCAGCAGCCGTCGCCGCCAACCTCAAATGAAGACTCTCCCATAAGCATCTGTGAACCCGATCCGAAGCGCCAGAAGACAAGTACAAATGGCAAAGTGGCTATTCCCTCACTTCCGAGAACAACCAAACCGGCGGGTATCGATGAAGACTTCGCTCAGTTGTACAGACCACCTGTCAAGGTCATGTTCGAGGCTGACAATGACTTCTACTGTTTCGACTTCTTCCGATCGCGAACAGGCCCGGAATTTGCCGCATATTTTGACAGCTCCATCTGGCGCACATATGCTGTAAAAGCCGCTCTGCAGCATCCGACTGTGCTAGCAGCCGCAACGGCCGTCGGCGCCGTTCACCGCAGATTTGAGCTGGGTATCTCACGAGAAGCCTTCGAATACTGCGATCTCTCAGACAAATTGTATCAGAAAGCGCTTCGAATGCTATCAAACGACTTAGCTTCCGACCATCCGAGTGCCGCTGAAATCAACATGATGACAATGAAACTGTTCAGCGTATTCGAGACGTTCCAAGGCAACTATGATCTGGCACAGGCGCATATGACAAATGGCTTGAAGGGCCTACTCCGGCAAAATCGGCGCACTACCTACAGAGACACTCACTACCGCACCGTAGACATCAACCACGAAAGCCTTCGAAAACTATTCCTCAAGCTCGAACTAGAATCAGTTCGACTATTCGACGGGCCGGCCAACATTCTCAGCGACCCGGAAGGATCCCTCCCCGTACCCCCTCTTAACCCTTTTGACCCCGATTCACTCTCGTATCTTCCCGACCCGAATCCCTACCCAATCCCTCGAGCATTCACCTGCCTTTCGCAGGCCCGCGACGTTCTCTTCACCGAGACGAAATGGATCTGGCACACCTGGACGCTCCTCGAGCAGGGCCTCCTGGTGGGCTCCCGCTTCACGCGCCATCATACACACATCTCCCGCCTGCTGCAATGGTCAATGGCCTACGCTGAGTTCTCCAAGACGGAGCGCAGCCGACGAAATTCTAACTCGCACGAAAAGCACTGCGGCCACCTTTTGAAGGCGTACCGCGAAGCCGCCTATTTATTGCTACTCACGCAAATGGCCTTCCACTCCCCTGAGACGGGCGAGGTGATTGTCCCTCTGTGTGACCCGCCCGAGACTTGCGATTGCCACAAATCGTGCCGGACGTACGCGGAGCGCAGGGAGGCTCTGAACGCGCATTTCGCGCGCATCCTAGTCCTGTGCGAGAGTATCTTCAATCAGAGTTCGTTTTTCGCGTACGAGGAGCACAGTATCAGCGTGGACTCGGGCATCGGACCACCATTGTACCTCGGCAGCAGGAGATGTCGGAGTACCAAGGTCAGGCATCAGGTCACGTGCCTGCTGGAGGAGAGCGAAATCCAGAAACGTGTCTGGGATACGCTGGGCGTGTACACGATCGCAGAGAAGTTGAGCAGTATTGAAGAGCACGCCGTGGTTGGCTGCGGGGCAGTCGCAGCGGAGCTGGAGCCTAAGTGGGTGGACATCACGTTCTTTTTGGATGAGAGGAGGGCGCTCTTGAGGTATTGTACGGCGGACCCCGAGGGGATGGGCGGTAAAATGAGAGGGACGGGCCTGGTTACGGAGCGGTACACAGGGAGTGGGAGTGGCGGTTTGGTGTGGACGCAGGAGTGGATCGCCTTTTGATCATGGATGTCGAGGATCGTGGGAATGAATATGCTCATCCTGCATGGCCTCTGTTGCAATGCTGGGCTTATGGTCTGGGTGGCACGTCTTCATGGGATGTCCATATCGGATGGGTTGGATGGACAAAACACACACTTGTAAATGGCGGTCAAAAGGAAGAATATGAGCGAGTAGTTGTTTCATGAATTTCCCATTCTTGATTGTGGCATTTATCTGAACGGATCGCTCCACGGCCAGATGACACGACTAACGCCTTGCTAGTCTGACATACAACTATATAATCGAATATCGGTTTCCAAAGCTCAACAAGTCTACAAGAACCACAATTGTAACGTGTTTATACCGCCCTCCTTCTGAACCCAAATTTGCCAGGACTCCTACTCGACCGGGCCCCCTGTTTTTCCCTCGTAGCACTCCCATCACTCGCCCGACTCCTCTTCTCAGCCTTCCTTCGCCCCGTACAGCAACAGACACCACAACACGTGCCAGTTTGCATCAAAAAGCCAACCAAATTCAGCCCCGTAGCGACCCACATAAACGCCAGCATCGGCTTCCCCAGGTACGCCTTGATGTTCAAATCGGCGGCGCCGGAAAACTTGTTTTGGAAAATGACAAACATGACCGTGGCTATCACGGCCGCGGCCGCCGTGAACAACAGCGCCGCAAACGTCAAGATTGTGACGGGCAGCTGTCGAAAGAAAATCCGGCGCGCCTTGTGCTGCCACCTCGGCCGCTTGCTGAAGCCCATAGGCGCCAAGAAGACGCATAAAAAGGTGAGGATGGTGCCGACCAAGAAACAGGCAAACATCCATTGGCTCGCGAGCTTGACCAGGTTAAGCACGTCGATGACCTCGGTTGGTAGGGTGATGCTCGCGCCGGCGAGCAGTTCGTTCAGAATGATTTCGACCGGGTTGAACCAATACAGCGTCTTTGTGGGGCTGCAGTAAGTGATGCCCTCGCCATTGTAGCCTTCGCAGAAATTCCACAGGCCGACTTGGTAGAAGTCGTGCAGGCCGATGGACTGGGCGATGCTGTTGATGAAGATGGCGTTGGGATATGAGAGCGGGATGATGTCGGCGAGGCTGATCTTGAGAAAATACGTGGAGCGGATGACGGGGTTGTCGTTGATGTTGCCTATCTCGACGAGGATGAGGAAAATGGTGGCGATGAGATAGAGTGCTACGGTGAAGATGCGGAGGCCCGTTGGCTTGGGCTTTTGGTAGTTGGATAGAGGGTCGTCTTTCGTTTCATGGGTGGGAGAGGTGGTGGTGGTGGTCGTCGTCGTGTTGTGGTTGGAGCGGGAGAAGAGTGCCATGGTCGGTAGAGCCCCCCTTTTGATTTGATCCGGTGGCCGCACTGCCCTTTTGGTCGTTGGGGCAGGATGATGTCGAATCGATTGGCCGAGGGAAGAGGAAAGCTATGAGAGTGTTGGTGTTGTCGTTGTCGTCGTCGAAGAAAAAAATTGCTTGAGAAAAGAACAACGGACGACTAGTAGATCGGAATAAGCTGCATTGGCGCCGACCAATGCGTCATGACGAGGTCGAACATGGAAACGAATACGATGTTTTGAAAAGGTAGCAGCCGAGCACTACTGTCGTACTCCATACTGTGTACAAGTACATTAGACGATGTGGACGATCCAAGGCCTGGCGGTCCGGGCGTGCAATGGTCTGGGTGTTTGGTCAGCCTTGGAAGCTTGCAACGGGGTTTGTCATGGATGTGGCTGAAGAACAGAGTGGATACAAATGACATAGTGAGACAAGTTTAAATGACATGCCTAGACCTGATAGAGGCAAGTGGTGGGTTAGATGCCGTAATGCCGAAACTTTGTCTGGTCAACAATTACACGTCAAATAAAATCGAGCCTCTAAATAATAAATTTCACCTCTTGCCGTGGTTCCGATGAGATCAGTGACATTGAAAAGACAGAGTATGACAGAGAAGTTGATACGAGCGTAACATTCAGAGTCTCAAGCATTACTACCTACCTAGGTAGCTATGTAGTTATGTGCTATAATGTGACAGGCACCTGGGCAGCACTCTTAGGTGACGCTCAATTAGGTGCGGTTTAAGTGATTTCTCAATGTTTTTCTCCAAGACATCGACCACGCGTCATTCTGCATGTGTCAGGGCCCCTCTGTAATACTGTATCATATCCACACCCCCTGTAGCAAACCCACAGTACCTGACCATACCCACCACCTAGATGCCCACTACGGCCCCGCCTGGGTCTGTATCTTCCATCCTAATGGTTCTGTCGATCGTGTAGAGAGTACGGAGTATCCATACGAGAATCATCACTACTGTCACTTCTCATCCACAGTCGACCGATATCTGACTTTTTCATTTCTACCGACGACATCCTCATCATTGACCGTCAGGTTTATACACGCGCATCATTAGTCTGCTCATGAATACTCCGGCATAGATCATATTCGGAGAGCTTCGTGGCTTCTGGCCCATCTCCCTTGCTCAACCTTTTTCTCAGACCAGACCACAAGATGCAGCTAAGCCTTTTCGCCCTATTCGCCAGCCTTGCGCTGCAGGCGTCGGCTCAATCTAACAGTCAAAGTGACTCAACGACGGATTCGGCCTCAGCTACAGCTACTGCAGCAGACTACGCCAGTGGGACCTATGCCGACGTGAGCACCACTATCACATTCACGGCCACCACCAATTATGCCACAATACCAGATCTTTCCAGCCTCATGGCTACGGACAACGCTACGGCTGCGGCGTCGAGTCCAGGCTCCAGTAACGCCACAACTACGTCCACGTCAAGCGCGACGGCCACAGTGCTCTCTGGCACAGCAAGGACGACATCTCTGAATGGTACAACGACAAGGAACTCCACCACCACAGCAACCTCATCATCGGCACGTCCCACTAACACTGTTCCTTGCAACGGCCATCCTCAATTCTGTCAACGGAAATACAGCAACATCACCCAGGTCGCCGCGCACAACAGTCCGTTCATCCGGTCAGGCTCCCTTGCAGCTAATCAGGAGTTGGATGTGACGACCCAACTCAACGACGGCATCCGAATGTGTAAGTACCTCTTATATCCAATGCTGACATACTACTGATACGTCCGATTTCCAGTACAATTCCAAGTTCACCTCGTCAATGGCACACTGTACCTCTGCCATACATCCTGTGACCTCCTCAACGTCGGCACATTGCAAAACTACCTCACTACTGTGACCAAATGGTTACGTGCGCACACCAGCGACGTCATCACCATCCTAATCGGCAACTATGACCTTGTCGACCCAGGGAATTTCACCATTCCAATCGTCAACTCGGGCTTAATCGATTTCGTTTATACTCCGCCCACGATGCCTATGCCTCTCGACTCATGGCCCACCCTCGCGGAGATGATCTTCCGCCAGACACGCGCCGTCGTCATGCTCGACTACCAAGCTAATCAGACTGCCATTCCCTGGCTTCTTGATGAGTTCAGCCAAATGTGGGAGACGCCGTTCTCGCCTACGGACCGCGACTTCCCCTGTACAGCACAGCGCCCGCCCAATCAGGCCGTCGCTACACGTGAGAATAGGATGTACATGGCGAACCACAACTTGAACCTCGACGTCAACATCGCGGGCATAAGCATGCTCGTGCCCTTCTTTCCCCTGCTCAACGAAACCAATGCGGTCACGGGCTACGGGTCCGCCGGTCGCGCTGTGACGAATTGCACAACCAAGTGGAATCGGCCACCGAATTTCTTGCTCGTGGACTATTATAACATTGGCAGTTTCAACGGGAGTGTGTTCGAGGTCGCGGCAGATGCAAATAATGTGACGTACGATCGTTCTTCATGCTGTGGCACGGCTGGGACGAGTGCAGCCTTGAAAGACGTCGTGAATTGCAGGTTCATGCTAACGCTTATAACGCTGGTTGGTGGTCTTTTGCTGCTCTGAATTGGCTGCACGGATTCATCAACTTTTGGAAACGGCATCCATGGAAATGAAACCGAAAGACCGGAATTGGGAATATTTTTGCCTTGTGAATATTGGCTACGACTGATCTTGCACAATTGAATTGCATTAGCGAGGGTGTTGATGAATTGTGGGCTGTATTGGATACTCCATTAATATTTATTTGTTTAATCAGCCTGGGTTAATCCACGAAGTCTACGGTTCTCTTGTCCATGTCCTTTCCTCCAACGCACGATAAACCTTCCATTGTGTCGAGCGCATCGTCACTGCCATGCATGCTTTGGAATCGCAAGCTCGACACGCAGTCAGCGATGCTGAGCACGATGTTGGGTACAGCAGACCCATTTCTCCATGTGATCCGTCTCCATCTTTCATCTTCGCATCCTGTTTCGCGAATTCTATGCGACCCAACACGCATGTGATGGACGCGTCAAGGAGGGTGGGTTCTGGAAGGCTATTTCGCAGACTCGGTACAGGAAGTGCTTGCTAGAGGGCGATAGGAGAGACGCTGGATTGCACAAGCTTTCACACGTGTTTGAGCGTTGGTGTAACTTGGTCGAGGGAGGAATGTATGGGCGATGAAGTACGGAGTCATGTCCAGGAAATCAGGATCACGTCGAACAAAATATTCAATAACGGCGGAATTTATCCGCAATTCCTCCAGTCGGCAACGAGGTTGACGTTGCACGATCAACAACTCCGACTTCAGCTAAGGCGAGAAGCGTCGATCATGATCAACACCAAGCTGAAAGTTCGATTTCGGGAACAAATACTCCACGTCCGTCTCAACACTTGAGCATGCAAAGGTGATATGGAAGAAAATACTAGTATGTACGGCAACACGGCCGAGTCGTATTTATGAACGCGACACCAACAAGAAATGAGTCGGAGTCGGGGAGGCGAACGCGGACTCGTTCAGGTACGTCCAACTTACTGCCAATCACGAAGATCTCTGACAGTCGTCCCTGCAGGCTGTCTCTTGTGTCGGAGGAGAAAGGTGAAATGCGATGAGCGTAGAGACAATGGTTGCGCGAATTGCGAGAGGCTAGATCTGCACTGTCCGGGCTATGGAAACACCTCCATGAGTCCCCAGTCGGCTGCATCTGGCACGCCCAACTTGACTGAAGCGGGCACTAAAAGGCAACGCACAATACAGTCGTGTGAAAGATGTCGAACGTCGAAAACGAGGTGCTCGGGCGAGCGGCCGTCGTGTGCTCGATGCTACCAGAAGAAGGTCAGGTGTATTTACAACGACAAGCCAACCTCCAAACAGGCCATGCATGTCGAGTCTCCCAACTTGATCATGACAAAACAGTCGACTTCGACCTTGTCCGAGCAAGCGAACGTACATGCAGCCAGTCAACCCATGCAGATCTCGGCCGAAGAGCGAAGCGATGCACTAGCTTGGTCAGTCAGAGTCATGAGGATATTGTGGCCCTGCTGAGGCTCATCTAGGCTCTGCTTGTCCCAATTGCCGTCAACTGAACAGACACGGATACTTGCCCAGCACTATTTTGCCAACATACACCCTCTTCGTTGCTTCGGTTTCATCCATAAGCCCTCGTTTATGCAGAGGCTGGACGAAGGACTTGCCTTCAACGACAAAGAAAACACCCTTCTTTACATCGTTTGTGCTTTGGGTGCCAAGTGAGGCTACTCGGCCCCTTATATTGCTTTGGGTCATCTTGCCAATGACGAAACTCTAGGTTTTATGCTCTCGAGCACAATAAGACGGCCAATTCCTTGACTTCTGAATCAATTCGAGCGGCTGGAAATCAGTGGGCAAACACGGCTAAGCGTAGAGTACTGGACAGCTTTGGGCAGGTATCAGTCGAGAACTTGATGGTAAGCCATCCTGATCAACACATTCGTCGCCGGCTCACTAATGCTGGTCAGGCAGCTGTCCTCCTTCAAGACCATGAAATCCGTCAAGGCAACTACGCTTCTGCTTTTATGTGGACTGGAGTTACTGCTCGAATGGCGCATGCTCTTCAAATCAACCTTGAGTTTTCGACTGACGTGCTCTGCTTGGACTCCTCGGCATCTCCTCCCGCGACGGTCAAAGAGTCACGGCGGCGCCTGATGTGGGCGTGTTATGTGCTTGATGCTTCAGTCGGCAGTGGTGTGGATCAATTGACTCTCCTCCATGAGCGAGACATCAAGATACAGCTACCCTGCGATGAACGCTACTTCCTCCTCCAGAAGCCATGCCTCACGGAAACTCTTCTGCCTGGACGTGTCCTCAATTTCGTACCGCAAAACATGATACCTTCGGAGCCTGCTGGCAATATGGGTTTGGCTGCATATTATTTACGGCTCATTGAGGTTCGCAAAAGAGTCGTGAGGTAAGAACATGATACTCTTCGAGATGTTCTCCAATGTCTGACAGGATGCTCTGCAGGTATGTGAAGCATCTAGACACTGCAAGCCCACCTTGGATGGCCGACTCCGAGTTTGCCATGCTGGAACGTGACCTAAACTCGTGGTATTCGACCTTACCAGAGAGCCTCCTCTTTACTTCCGCCTCAGTGTATATCCGAACCGATACCGGCGAATTTGGAGCGTTATGCAGTCTGCATGCCACATACCATGCCACGATGATCGACCTATATCGAGTTTTTGTGCCTGCTTTGTACAAGCTCCGATCCAGTTTCGACTTTCCACCTCAGCAACATCAATTCCTCAATCAGCACCGGCTCTCCCTGTTTGGTCATTCGAGGAGTCTGGCAGATATAGTCAGACAAGCAATATCCAGAGATTCAGTCAAAGCGTTGGCGGACTTCTGGTGGCCAAGTATTGTATATGACTCTTGCCGTCAGCTCGTTTACTACCTCACCCAGTTCTCCAACGACACAGCCGGCAAGGCGGCATTGGCTGCAGAGGTCACCAGTCTCGTGAAGAGTAATATCAAAGCACTCAACCTAATGAAAGTTTTGTACGCTATGGCCGAGCCCCTGAGCGTGGCAGCGGAAAGAATGCTCGCAAAGGCTGGGATGGCTCGATTCGAAGGTAGCGTCGTTCCGCGAGACGCTGTCGATCCTGAGGAACCAGAAAGGTAAGCTGGTTTCAATCGCGTCCCGTTCTACAGATCACAAACAACTGCTGACATGGACTTCCGTAGTCCTAGTGCTCCAGGAACGCCGTCGCAAAGCGCTCCGGACTACGTCCTACATCCACTGTCGATCTATCGGCTGGCTCGCAAAACCATTTCTGAAAAGCACGCTCCCGAGAAGATACCTTCGCCGTTGACCAGCACTTTGAGTCCTGTTTCTGTCTCCGCGCGGACCGACGTGACTTCGAATCCACTGCATGTCCCCTTAACGTACGATGGGACCGGGATGGACCCATCACAACGACTAAGCTACGAACCACAGCAAGTAATGTTTGAAGAGAACATCGCAGGTGGCACGTCCATTGAGGAAGAGCTTCAACTGAACTACCCACTTGAGATGACCAGTTTCTGGCAACCAGCTGAGACCCTCGCGGACGGAGCGTACAACTTTGACCCTCCTAGCTGGATGGGTGAATTTCCAAACGCCGACACTTGGCTGGATTCCTGGCCTGGAGCTCCGCGGACTCAATTCTAGGTTTGGCACGTTTGGCAAGTTGTACGAAGCACTTCATCCATAGCCACGGGGACAGAAGTGAGATGGTCGTCGCTTCGACATCCGATCCGAAATATTGCCCCGCTCCAGGCCTACCACTGCAACGGTCGGAACTCCTCAGAAAGGGCAGCTTTTCGAGCCCTCGTGATGTTGCAAACCAGATCAGGTACTCCGTACACTCAGCGGCAGTCACCCCTTGACTATCGTCAGCAGTTTCCAACCACACTGTCTGCCCGTAACCGGTAGCCGAGTCTCCGGCACCAAAGACGTTCCGCCAGCTGCACGACTCTCGGAGTGGACCACATCGCTACCTCGAGATTATAGATCTGGGGTTCCTACTTAGCAAAATAACAGATTCTCGGCAAACAAAAGAATTACTGAGTAAGGCTCGATGTCAGGCAGGAAGAACATACTGCTTCTGATAGCAGATGACCTGGGTCGGAATATCTCGACTTATGACGCCCTGTCACCAGCGAAGACGCCTCATCTCAGCGAGCTAGCCCGGTCAGGATCGCTGTTCACGCACGCTTTTGCGTCGACTGCATCCTGTTCACCCTCTCGGACCACCATCTATACTGGACTTCATACACATACCAACGGTAATTACGGCTTGGCTGATGGATGGAATGCCTTTTGCACGTTCTCTCACGTCGAAAGTGCACCCAAGATATTCAGGTCTCTCGGCTATCTGACCGGCATTATTGGGAAGGTTCATGTAGGCCCTCCGGACGTATACCCGTGGCAGATCCGAGAGGAGAGCTCGACACGAGATGTTGCATGGGTTGCCGACCAAGCGGAAGCCTTTTTTGCCCAGGCGAAACGAGCGGACAAGCCATTTTTCCTGACGGTCGGCTATATCGACCCGCATCGTGTAATGGGCGAACGAGGCGGGTTCGGAAATAAAGACAGCGGCTTCGATGCGCGTATTCAGGACAAGAAGTACAGTCCTGACGAGATTGAAGTACCTGACTTTTTGAGCGATCTGCCCGAGGTCCGCAGAGAATTGGCAGAGTACTGCCGCAGCATCAATCGACTAGACCAGGGCATTGGCATGATTCTGTCAGCCCTGCAACGGCAGGGTGCTGCTGACGACACACTGGTCATATTCATGTCGGACAATGGTCCGCCATTTGTGAATTCCAAGACAACACTTTACGATGCTGGTGTTCGATTACCTCTACTCATCAGGCAGCCAGGAGTCAAAGCCGGAGTAGCGAACCCGAATTTGGCCTCCTGGGTCGACATCCTGCCAACAATGCTCGACTGGACGGGACATTCCGTACTCAATGTCAAGGAGGCAAGTCCGCGGCGAGGCCGGTCCTTGTTACCAATTATGGCGGAAGAACAAGAAATGCCAGGATGGGATAGAGTCTACGGATCGCATACATTCCACGAGATCACCAATTTCTGGCCTACACGCTTCCTCCGAAACAGGCGCTTTAAATACCACCGCAATGTGGTATGGAAACTGGATTTCCCCTTTGCTCTGGACTTATACGCCTCGATGTCCTTCGAGGCCATGCGGAACTCTGCCGGGTCGGATGCTACAGGTGATGACATCTTGATTGGGTCGCGCAAGTTGAAGGACTACTTCCAACGTCCGCCTGAGGAATTATATGATCTTGAAGCCGATCCATCCGAGGTTCGAAACCTTGCAGGTGAAAAGGAGTATGAAGCTATCCTATTGGAAATGCGGAAGGACCTGGAAAAGTGGCAGGCAGAGACCAAAGACCCATTTTTATGGCGTGATGGGATAAGCCTCTTGCTGGCCAAATCCTACATGCGAGACGAGGGCATGAAAGTGCCGGATCGATTCGACTTTGATGTCAGAGCTCCCAGCAACATCAATGGCAAGATGGTCAATCTTGCAGACATATAGTATCCAGCAGCAGCTTGATCTGAGATAGCGAATAAAATCGTAAACAAAGCAAGTACACATCTCCCACGCAAGGACGACTGGGGCATAAGACCATGAATGGTCCCGGGTCAATTATCATGTGGCCGGAGTGACTGTACTTGCAGATTGAGGAGGTCAGACGCCCCGGCTGCAAGATGGATGGACCAGGTCAAGCACGGAAAGGGAGACGACAGGAGGGAAGATTGGCCTGCGTGGGACTTTCGCTCATACCAAAGAAGATATAAGCGACAGCCGTGTGCCTGTTAACCGACACCCGACGACAGGCTTCCTGCGACGCCACGGATTTATTCCCCCAGAACTCATAGGACACTAAACTCCATCACGCAATCGCCATGTGCTTTATAAACAGGTCATTCTGGGGAATCAACATGGAGATGGTCAACCTGCAAGAAGACTCAAAGTACTGTCGTCTGCCTTGCTGGACTGGAGGACAATTTGCTCCTCACCATGGCCATCCTCCGAGGCCACCGAATCACCAATATCTACGCCGTTGCCGGCCTGTGTACCATCGGCGGCCTGATACAAGGGTTTGATGTGTCGAGCATGTCAGCCATCATCGGGACGCAGGAGTACAAGGAGTATTTCAACAACCCTGACTCGGTAACTCAAGGTGGCATTACTGCCTCGATGGCAGGCGGGTCGTTGCTGGGTGCGCTGTTCGCATCATGGCTAGGGGACAGAATCGGGCGACGAGACTCACTGTTCGTGGCATGTGTTGTCTGGCTAGTTGGCTCGGCAATCATGGCTGCTGTCCAGGACATTCCAATGCTTATAGCCTCGCGAGTTATCAACGGATTTGCCGTTGGAATCCTGACGAGCCAAGGGTATGTTGTCGAAAACCTCAGGGCAACAGATCTGTCTGAAAAAAATCTCTAGGCCTATCCTTATTGCTGAAATCAGTCCTCCAAATCTACGTGGCAGACTAATCTCTCTCCAGCAGTGGATGATTACTTGGGGGGTATGATGTTCTCTCTCGGTACAAGGATCTGTTACATGTTACAGTGCTGACCGGCTTCCAGATCCTTATCATGTACTTCATCAGTTTCGGCTGCTCTTACATCAAAAATAGCACAGCTTCGTTCCGGATCCCCTGGGCGCTGCAGACAATCCCGACCTTGATCCTGATGGCCGCGTTGCCATTCCTCCCCCGCTCGCCTCGCTGGCTGGCGTCAAAGGACCGATGGGACGAAGCACTCGACATTCTCGCCGCGCTACACTCCAAAGGGAACAAACAAGACCCGCTGATCCTGACCGAAGTTCGGCAGATTCGAGACAAGATCGAGCTGGAGAGGCAAAACAAGTCGGTGTCGTGGATGGAGTTGCTCAAGAGAAAGAACATCATCCGAGTACATTGTGCTATATTCGCACATATCTGGTCACAATACAGTGGCACCAACGCGATGATGTTCTACATCGTTTATATCTTCCAGGTAAGACTCTGACTCGTCGTCAGCACTTGCATTGTCCGCACCACATACATCATGCGTTGCTAACCTACAACGCGACGTCAGATGGCCGGGCTGGGCAAGAACACATTGGTCATAGCCTCGATTCAGTACGTTATCAACGTGGTCATGACCTTACCTGCTCTTGCATTCATGGACAAATGGCCGCGGCGCAAAGTCATGATGATCGGAAGCTGCGGTATGGCAATCTGGCTCTTCACCGAGGGAGCGCTGATGGCAAGCTACGGTCACGCGGTGCCTGGCGGGCTTAATGGAGTTTCGACCGTGACTTGGACCGTTGACAATAGCGCGGCAAGCAAGGCGATCATTGCTTGCAGCTATTTGTTCATCGCAACTTATGCGACTACCTGGGGGTGAGTCTCAGTTTCACATAGGCTGACATATAAGAATTTCTGCTAATATGTTCTGATTCGGACAGACCTGTCGGATGGTGAGTTGTCTCGCACACGTGGCTGCTCCAGATCCCATTGCCCAATTGTTGTGATACTAATGATTCGTGCTCAACTCATAGGATCTACCCTGCAGAGATCATCCCTCTTTACATCCGGTCAAAGTCCGTCTCGCTTGCGACGGTGTTCAACTGGTCAATGAACTTCTCACTGACATTCTTCACGCCACCGGCTTTCCGCAATATTCAGTGGAAGGCAAGTCAAATCTTACTCCCGCCACTCCCCCGAAAGTCCAATAAAGACTGCTAGCATAGTACTACTGTGGCTAACATCTTTCTTTCTTTCTTGCAGGTCTACATGATCTTCGGGACTTTTTGCCTAGCCGCGTTCGTGCATGTATTTCTCCTTTTCCAGGAAACGCAAGGAAAATCGCTCGAAGAAATCGACCCCGTCTTCGACAATGAATCCATCTGGGCGTTCAAGGTCAAGCACCACCCGGAAGAGTTCAAGCACGAAATCGAGCATACCAAGCAGCTCAAGGTCGCTGGGCTGGAGCCGACGAAGATCGAGGTCGAGGTGGCGGACAAACGGGCTTGAATACCGCAACGTTAAGAAACTTATGTGCGAACTTCGATTGTAAACAGGTGGAGCTCCACAGTATTACTGGTCTTCTTTCACGGCAGTGGTGCTTTCTGAGGGCTGAATAGTGAGGCAGACCGTAGTTATCCCCTGGGTCTTGACTATGTCTTATGCCTGAGGTGTTAGGCTCCTATGTAGCTTAATGCTTAACGCAAGGCTGTACAAGTGTAATCTCGACAAGGAAGTCAGCCGCAAGGCTACCTGCCCCTTCCCGCTCTCCACAGCCTTGGCAGGCCCACCTCGGGGGATGATACTATGTAATCATTTTGTATTTTGGTGGCCAGACAGATGGGGAGATGTGTATAAATAGTGTTCTTACAACTTAGGTCTACCAAGAATGTTAAAAAGTTAACATGCAAATCCAAGTCCCTATTCTCTGCGTTGGCCTATCGCAACAAAGAAAACACCACCCGATGGGCTCCAGATATCACGCTAAGGGGTGGCATCCCCAATTGGTGCTTTCATACTGTAAATAAAGCATCGCAGCCTCACTTGCTGTCACCGAGACCTGCAGTGTCCCGTTCGTGACTTGAATGACCTGCACGCTCTCGTCCTCGGTCAAGACCTGCCGCCCAATCCCGTCATTCTCTTTCGTGTTCCAGCTCACTCCGCCCCATGTGATGTTCTCATTCGCATAAGCAGTCGCGCCACAAGGACTCGTCAAAGTCTTCTTCTGCACAGATTTGACATCGTCCGGCACCGCAATGGTGAAAGTCTCGGCGGGCCGTGATGATGTCAAGTCTGTGCAATTTGAATTACTAACGTTAGTAAGCTTCCCGTCCCAGTACTGCAGGTTCAGCACGGCAATTTTCGCAAGCCTGTCATCCTCGTACGCCGCATATGCGGACAAGAAATCTGACTGTACACCAGTACCAGTGACGTTGACCTCCGTCACTGTCGTGTTGCTGGTACTTTTTCCGAGTGACGACCTAATGAACTCGGCAGCGAAGACATGGGCATAGAACGGGGCGAGAACCTCGTTTGTCTTGTTGGATGTCCCGTCTGGACTGGAATAATCGACACTCCAGAGCGAAAAGGTAAATGACACGCCGGACTGGTAATTGATCCAGCCCACACCCACGGACATGCTGTGCAGCATGAAGTCGACCTGCGACAGCGCGGCGCCGAGGACAGCTTGCAATGGTGAATCGTTGCTGCCGTTGCCAAGCGAGCTGCCGACCTCGCCGAGAACGAGCGGAATGGGTTGCGGCTCCAGCTCGTTGAGAAATCCTGCAGCGTCGGCAATCTGCGCCGAGCCGGTCTTGATGGCGGCGTGGTTCATCAGGTCATTTTGCAGGCTTGTTGTATCGTCAATCTTGGTCTGATAGTAGTGCACCGACACGCTTTTGATGCGAGCCTGGTCTTGGACGAGGTTTGCATCGTTGAACAGGTCACGAATGTCCCATTGTCCGTCGACTGTGGCGGGGCTGGAGAGGAGGCTGTTGGTTGTCTCGGCTGAAACGGCTGCTGCTTGCCAGATCTTGGTGGTGTTGGTGAGCTTCAGTCTTGCTTCGATGTCGTCGGTCCATTCGGTCCATTGCGAGACGTAGTCGGACGCTGTCCAGTCTGAAGAACGAGTGTTGCCGGAGTAGAGATTGACCTCATTGCCTAGTTCCAACGCCAGAATGTTCTCAGGTTCGATGGCCGCGTAAGCTGCCTGAGCGATGATCAAGGAGCTGCTGAGATGCTCGTACGCGAAGGGTATGTCGAAAATGTATCTCGCATCGGGGAAGTACTCGAAGATATCGAAATATGAAGGTCCAAATGTCATGTTCGTGGGAATACCGGCCGACTGCTGGCTTGGTGGGACAACGATCGGCTCAATCTGATTCGCGTCATAGCCCAGAGAATGGTCACTATCATATAGCGTTAGCAAGATATGTAAGTCCAATATGAATGTTTACACACAGAGAAGTGCCACCCACGCGGATGATCGGCTGCGTTTGTGTCTTGTTGGCGATGGCTTGCACCAGATTTTGGGAGAATGTGTTCGCTGTGCCATTCGGGCCTTTTTCGACGGCTTCAGTGCATGACTCCCGTTTTCCCTGGTTGGAGACTTACCAGCATAGAACAGGAACGACTTGGCTTCGAAAGCGAAACCTGCGAATGCAGGATTGACTGGAGGTGCAGCTCCTGCTGGGGTGGTGGGTGAAGGAGATATTGACGGCGAAGCCGTAGCTCGTACTAACAGCGATGCAGCAGTCCCTGCTGATAGCAGAAAAGAGCCAAAGCCCATGCTTGCATATGGAGGGATCATATTAGCGGAGCGGTTGTTGATCACACTGAAGGTGTCAGGCTCTCATCTGTCCCCCAAGTATTTATTCAAGACCATGGGAATAGCCTTGTGGCCATGTTCCTTACAAAGCCACTGCGACGAGGCGGAAACCCTTGCGCAATACAACCCCTCCCATGTGAGGCCATTCATTTCGGGACACCCTGTCGCAAAACTCGTCCACATGATCTACCGGCTGAATGAGATTGCAGGTCGAGAGCCTTGACACACGGTAGCGGGCCTGACCTACTTCTGGGACAACGCATGATTTCCGATGCGACATGAAAACAGGGCTGAGGCTGTATTGAGGCCTGACTGACTGGATAGCTCGACCTGAACGCGTGGTGTCGAGGTGGGAATGTTTTCGACTTGTCGTCGGATGTCGCTTAGACTCAGGGCAAGCTTTTCCGGCTACGCTACTGTACGAGTCAGATCCGCTGGCCAGTCCATCTGCCATCAGCCACATATTCGCCGCAGTCGTGTTGACCGACTGTTTTAAGGGGCTTGGTGTTTGCCATTTTCATGGTCTGGAGCCAGAGATCTCCAGAATGAAGCCTGAACGGCCACTTTTGCGGGAAACAGAGACTCCTCCATTCGAGAGACACATTAGTCCTGCCGATAGATGACGCGGATAGTACAGGATCATGCTTGATCCCCGGAAACAGAAAGTATACCACAATGAGTCACGGAGACCGAGCTGGTGAATTGGCTGGAGATAGAAAATGGTGGATATGACATCTGGCAGGCACTGCTGGACTCGGAGGATGCATTATATGGCTTGTGCGATCCACCGGAGAAGCTGCCTACCGCTCGCACTACCGCTCGCCGTTACATATATTTATTGTGCGGATCAAAGATACGTAAGGGCAGTTTCCTCTGATGTGCACGAAATTAGCAATGCTTCGAAAACTTCCCAGAATATCGGCGGAATATCATACAAGTATGGTGGATTTGAACAGATCCCGTCATGGTGGATGTTGAAACAAGTATTAATAGCTTGCGCCAGGCCCGTGGAGATGTTGCCGAGTCGTGATTTGCTTGTTGCTTGGGACAAGGTAAGGATCGAACGACCCTGGCCTCATCGTATGGAGGTGATTGCTCGCTTCAAGATCCCAGCAGGCCAGAAAAATCCTCGTTTGATGTCCCCAAATCTTGCGCTGCTACCGTGGCAGCTGCTGCGCGTTATCCGCAAGTGGGAGATCACCTGTGCAAGGCTGGCCTTTAAGGCAAGGCCCTCATGCCGCATTTATTGACTTCATGTCACTGGCGCAATGCTCATCAGGCCGCCAGCACTCATAGCATGTTTAACTGACATATAGGACCCCGATTCCTTCCCCTGCAACCGCGCCCGGATACTCCAAGTACTCGTGCTCGATGAGAAGACAATCATGAAGATGAAATCGACGACTCTCGCAGCAGCCTTCGGTGTGGCTGCGCGACTGGCGGGCAAGGCTCTTTCCACGCCATCGGGGACTGCATCCAAGACGCCCAACGTCCTCCTTATTTTGACTGACGATCAAGATCTCCTGATGGATTCTATCGACTATATGCCCAACGTGGACAGATTGATCAGCCAAAACGGAACGACGTTTCAAAAGCATTACTGCACCATGGCTCTCTGCTGTCCATCGAGAGTCAGTCTGTTTACGGGCAAGTGTGTCCACAACACGAACGTCACCGATGTCAGACCACCGTATGGTGCATACTCGAAATTCGTGTCACAAGGCTTGAACGATGACTATCTGCCGCTGTGGCTGCGAGACGGAGGGATCAATACCTATTACGTCGGCAAGTTTTCGAATGGACACAGCATAGACAATTACAAGGACCCTCAGGCGAGAGGATGGACCGAGAGCAAGTATGTGATTATGCTTGAACTCGCCCCTTTGGATTTTTCCAGCCTTGTTAATACACCATCAGTTTCCTTCTTGAGCCGGGTCAGTATGACTATGAGAACACGACGTGGGCTCTCAACAATCAACACTGGAAGTCGTATCCTGGTGACAACGCCATCACTCTGACTACGGAGAACGCTCTGCATATGCTCGACAAGGCTGCGACAGCCGGTAAACCGTTCTTTCTCACGGTAGCTCCCGCCGTACCGCACGTAGGACTACGCTCGGATGGTAAAGGATCATTCGCGCCGATTCCCCAGAAAAAGTGGGCAAATGCATTTCCGAACGCGAAAGTACCGCGAACCAAGAACTGGAACCCTCAGAACATAGATGGAGCAGTCTCCTGGCACCAGAACCTCCCATATCAGAACCAGACCCTGGTCGATGAGCTCGACGCGTTCTACCGGGCGCGACTGCGGGCCGTCGCTGGCCTCGATGACATGGTCGCCGACCTTGTCGCAGCATTGGAGAGCTACGGCATCCTAGAAAACACCCACGTCATATACACAGCCGACAACGGATACCACATATCGCAACACCGCCTGGGCCCGGGGAAGAAGTCCGGCTTCGAGACCGACATCAACATTCCCATGGTCTGGCGTGGCCCAGGGGTACCGGCGGGCAAGGTCCGAAATACCATCACCACGCACACCGATCTTGCTCCCACGTTTCTGGGCATTTTCGGACTCCCTCCACGGACAAGCTTTGACGGCAGTGTCATTGACTTTGAGACCGAGGCCATAATCTCCACGGGCGGCGCCGGCGCGGTGGTCGAACACGTCAACGTCGAGCACTGGGGATCTGCCAATGCGTACGAGTTGGTGGCGCCTCATGCCGATTACACGGTCAAGGGCGAAGACAACAACACGCAAAAGTCCGTGCGGCTACAGGGCGCCAATGGTAGTCACAGCCTCTACTATGCCGTCTGGTGCACCAACGAGCACGAACTCTACGACATGTCGACCGATGCTCAGCAGGTCGACAACCTCCTACCGCATGTGTTGGACATTTCACAAATTGCAGCACAAGCACAAGCACCTGATGACGGCGACGGCGACGGCAATGGCAATGGCAAACAGCTCCTGGGACGACCACTCCAGAGAGTCGTCGCGCGGCTCGACGCCCTACTCATGGTGCTCAAGTCGTGCGTCGGCATCGAATGTACCGACCCCTGGGCCCAGCTTCATCCACAGGGCGACGTCAACAGCCTGCAGGATGCACTCGCCGAGCAGTACGACCAGTTCTACGCCTCCCAGCCCAAGGTCATGTTCTCGGCGTGCAAGCAAGGGTACTTGATCGAGTATGAAGGCCCACAGCAGGCGATACATTACGCTGCCGGCGGCGGCTTCGAATCCGGTCAGAAAATGTCGTCGAATTACACCGATACCAGTGGCGTGTCGATGTCGGCTTGGAGCTCATAGAAAGGTCATGACGCCTAATTGTTCCATTATTCCAAGATACTTTTGACCCATAACTAAAGACCAGGGAAGTGGTGGACGCCGGGTGGCTTCCACCCACATCCAGCGTTAACCCATTTCACCCGACTGCTCTACAATAGCCTCCAAACAGGGGATTCAAGTAGGCCCTCGCGCATCGGCTCAAGAGAAAAACAACCACCTCCAGAGCTGGCATGCGCCTTTCCCGTCGGTCTAACTTGGTCGACAACGATAGAAGCCACGAACCGGCCAGCCAATTTGATGTTTATCAGGTCTTTACCATGCTTCATTCAGTCGCCCGTCTTCGGATGCCGTTGACAGTGTCTCTGAACGGATGCTGGTGACATGCCTGGCGAGAATGTCGAGCAAGTTGCTACAGTAGACCTGAAGCCAGGCTGGACGTCTGTCATCCTGAAGTTTTCTATTTGATGGTATGGGACGACCTGTCACTTTCCCATTCAATTCACACGTCCCGACGTGTGAAGATATCATTCATGGAGAGAGAAAGAGAGGCAGAATAGAACAAAAAGATCGACTGACACTTCATTCACATTCGCCACAGTTTCGCACCATCTGAGTCCCCACTTCTACTCTACCACACTCCAGCCGAGCGACGAGCACCCTTCTCACATTGCGGCCGACGAGGCTCCCCTCCCATAATAGCATCAGAATATTTGCCTGTAAACCTCTCCTGCCATACCTCTCTTCACTCATGTCGATTGAAATTGTGGTACGCGGCCGTTGCCTTCAACCCCACCTCATGTCGGTACACCAAAATCGTTCATATAGATTCATGTCCCTCAGTAGCACTCCCAATATTGATATCCTTCCTCTTTAAGCATTACCCCTCGACCGTCCAAAGATCTCCCAAGGAGCTGTTCATATTCCAGACTACCCGACGCTTGATGTTCTGATCAAGAATAGCTTCCATGGTCCATTACGCGTGGGACGTGCCTCCCAAGTCAGTTGCTCTCGTCCCGGATAAGTGCCACGATCATGCTGTAGAGATAGAAAAAGAACATGACAAGATGGAAGCCCAGCTTGATGAATGATTCCTGCAACGCTGTCAGCGTCGGCTCCCCACACCTCAGGACTTCGTTCACGAGCATACCTTCTTGTGAACATTCAATTTCCGGAAAATCTCGGTCGCATCAAGGAGATGTTGGTTGTCAAGGATCCTGCAAGTGTGATCTTATCAGCCCATGTATGCTTCTTGGTGCACGAGGGTACGCACTTCTTCGCATTGAAAGCCAGGAGAGGCAGGTTCAACAACAATGCTAGCCAGTATCCATTGATCAAGAAGAGGAAGGTCAGGAATGCGTGAACGGCAGCTTCAGGGATGATGTAGGTGTTGAGGCGGTTGCAGAGGTCAATCGGATTGATATAGTCACTATTGAACCATCTGTCAGCAAAAAGAGCGCCCGGCCTTTGTCCCTGGATTTCATGACTGACCATTCCAGATCGCTGTACATGATTGTGAAGAAGACTTGGAGGAAAAGGTTGACGGCATTTATTAGTACGGCGAGCAGGTATAACCACGCTTCGCCCGACATTTTGTGCCTCTCTCTTGCCTGCGCAAGCAAGGACTGGAGTTTATCAGGAGCTCAAACAAGCAGGATTTTTCGGTTGTCGAAAGATGGGCGCCGTGTAGGACCGCAATGCGCAGGGAAGGCTGGGAAGTGCAGCCTGGAGAGGGGCAAGACGGGTGTCCCGAACAGCTGGGGAGTTCGTTGCTGGGAGGAAAAGCTACTGTGCGATGGCTTGATGGCTGAAGATTTCTGGAGCGAAAAACAACAGGCTGTCCTTTTGCGAGGGATGGGCAGATTTGGTAGGGTGCGAGGTGGTGGTAGCAAAGTCACTTCTCAAGCAAAGTGACTAGGATGCAAAAAGGCACGAGAGGAATGAGATCAGTTTCCGTGGGGAGCGAAATGTTGGCAGGTAGCTTTGGGCATGAGAGACTGAGAGTGGGCGTCGCAGCGGCATTTTGATGGTCCTGCCGGCCGACGTCACATGCTGATTGCGATTACCACTCACCCACTGGATTACCCATTTGGGGCTGCAGTGCCTCCTGCTTAACTCCGGTATCCTGATCATATTCTGATTTCCCCTTCCTCGTTGTACATGCGTGACATGCGTAAGTGTAAGTCGTCAACGCAGACGATATTCTCATCTACCCGTGTATGTGTGGTGCGCAACCATATCCTGGAGACCACCTGCATCGTATCGTCAAGATCCCTTTCGTTAGACCATACATCCAGAACCCAACCCTTCTATATCTACTCGTACATGGGGTATCAATGAAGGAAAACCAGACAGACCTCTATGAATAACTGTCCACCCAACAAGACCAACACCACAGCAGTCGCCGCCGGTGGTTTTGTAGCACAAAAGAATCCCTGGGCCCCAACGCCTGTTCGATGTAGAACCAAACGCCGTCCCTCAATTCCGGATCGCTTCGATTGATGAAGGCAACCGCACCCCATTAGGGAATCTTAACGCGCTCGGACAATAAGTCTCGCAGCCAAGTGTAAGATGGTGCTCTCTCGACTGGTCGATAACCCGTAACTGCTCTTGAAGTGCTGGATTATGCCCAAAAGTATCAATGCCTCCTCTCTGCTCAACCATCGTCCGTAAGGCTTCCGCATGAAGTTCGACTTCACTCCTCTGTCCGAAATCCGATGTGTAAGCCATTAGTAAGAGCACTGCTTGGATGTTGGAGTCGGAGCTGGCGTGGTCGGCAACACAAAGTCGATTCCATAGGAGATTCGTCCCTCTGCCGTAATGTGTCTGCGCATCAACTTGATCCTGGACTGTCTCGGGACTGGAGAATAACTTCCATCGCATCGCGTAGGCGTAGGCTAGCAAAAGATTTCGTGAGGCTTCGTGCTCACGCATGTATGCCACGGCCGTGTCCAAGAAGTTCCTGCTGCGGCAGTGAACGCAAAAATTGGCGGTATCTAGAAGCCTGGTTAGTCTCACAGTCTGAAAAATCTGGTCAACACGTACAAAATTGCAAGATTGAGTCTTCTGAATCTATTGTCGCGCCTGGCGTCATCATCGACTCTGTGGCTGACACTGGGATGGAATGGTTGTCTTCTGAATCAAGAGCGTTCGAGGATACGCTCCCCAGATCAGGTCGGTCAGATATCGAGGGCGCAGGAGAGATTGAAACAGAGCTCGTGGCACTACTCGTTGATGTTTCCGTGCTCAATGGAGGGCGTCTGCCCCATTCGAAGTATCGAGTCTGGCTGGAGCGGCGCAACAATCTCGAACGCGTTTCCCGCCGCTGTGCCGCCGAATGGTATGCGGTATGTCTTTGAATAGCACTCCTGACGTTTGGATCTTGACTGTCAACGAACTCGACCACGTTGGGTCGACGCGTCGCAGAGTTCTTTCTCGAACCACCATTTGAGTTGTCGTCTTGAGCAGTCTCACCACCTGAAGACATGAATCGTTGATCTGGTATCGGGCTCTATGGTGGAAAGGAATGAGAGGACAGTGCCTGGTCTGCCGTGCCCAGGTATGGATGAGTCAATTGGGTGAATCTGACGATAAATATACCAGAAAGGATCAATCTCGAAGTATGTGTTAGGATTTCTCCCGCGTGTAATCAAAATTATGAAGGAATCAGACCTCTCCGAGGTCAACTGTTGTTCAAGTCAACCTTAGCGAGCGCAAGAGTGGAAAGGTATAGGCCGATGGAAGGGACCACGCCCATTTGGCATGCATGAGATTGCAAAGCATTGATATAGAAGTTCTGGAACACTCACGAGATACGGAGATCCATCTAGAGGGACAACGGCTGGCAGAGCGATGCTATTTAGGGCCAGGACTGATGGGGTTAAAGAGGCTCGGTAAATGTGCTGTGCATTGTGGAGGGATCTGGTTGCGTCGGTTCCTTTTCAGATGCAATTGCCGCCCAATGGGCTCCCCTTGGGTCGTTGTTCATGGTCCTGAGTCGCAGACAACGCGGGAAAAAATAACAGGGCGAGGCTTCCGTCTGTGTCGATTGTCTTACCACCTTCGAGCTGATTCCCTGGTGGTTTCTACGAGTAATGAAGCTGCACATAGGAGGAGTGAGGTATATACCTTGAGATCCGTACTTCTTCTGGTGGACCCACTGACTCGGTCACACTAAGCCGCGCCGGTCACTTGACGGGAAGAACTACTACATAATATACGCGACCCTCTTCAGCCCCGTTATATAATAGACTTCTCGGACCGCCCAGCCGTTCGCTTCGACACTCGGCATCATGGAGATCTTACACTCCATGGCCTTGTGACTTCCGATCGACCAGCGTCCGGTTTGTGGAAAGCGTCTGGCAACACGATCCCTTTGGCCCTGGCTTATCATCTGGGTGCCAGGGCCAAGAAGCGCATGAGAGAATTGGGAGTCTTTGTATGAAGAAAAGAGACCCGGGTCGGGACATCGGCCCTCCGTCCCAGGCCCATGAGTCGACATTCGTACGATGGTGGTGCCTTCGTGGAAGCAAGTAGGCCGGAAAGGGCCGGCTGCATGTACAAGTACGTCTTGAGGCAGGTTCCGATTGGACCTCACAACAAGTCAGCTGACCTCTGAGGTTTGCGAGACAAGGAACCGGACCGAAGAATGGGGGATAGGCATTTCAAACATATAAGTACACAGTATTGCAAGCGTCTATCTTTGCCTCCGCCCTAATCGTTCTTGCATATACTGTGTACTGTGTACTGTGTACTGTGTGAGAGTGGGCGTTTCCGAGAATTTCGAGAAACTTCCCGATATGCTTGGAGAAGGGAGCGAGGGGTTTTGGCCGCCACTCAAGCCCACTTCCACACATCTCGAGAAAGTGAGGACGATGATGGACGTGGGTTGTTAGTTGCTAGGCTGCACGGTTGTGTACTTACTGTGTTAACTGTGGTAGGCTGCCGTGCCTGCGTAGATTTTCTAGAAGCCGTGCTTGAAAAAGTCCCGATTCTAGCAAACGCTAGTGGCGTCCAGTCTGCTGAAAATCAGGGTCCTCCGAGGCTCCCAAATGTACGCGAAATCCTGAATGGACGACACAAGTACCGACCGTGCATAGTACTTTGTACCGCAGTGGCACAGTATGGCCTAGTAGGTAGTGGAAAACTCCGCGTGATGGGGTCATGTGAGGCGAAGGGTGGCTGAGAGAGACCCTCAATTGGATTTTGATACCCCACATAAACACCTCGCATCAGTCCTTTTTTAACGTCACCTCTTTCTTCGCGCATCTTCGCGACGCGTCTCTCTTTCATTGTACTACTGTGTATTGTCTGATACGCAGTATACACAGCTAACTAAGTGGCAATGAACAATTGTCAAGGCTAAGTGGCAAACCCCGGATGGCGAACCCTCCAGATACTCGCATGCTGCTGCCTGCCAAGTGGCACCTACTATTTGCCACCATGCTCAACGACCATTTCAATGACCATGGGCAGCAGAACTACTGTTTTAGTGTGACAAGAAGGATTTTGTCACTTTCGCCCCCCTCCCGGATGCGTATGGTAAGTGGCAATGCTCTATTTCAACCCATTGGGTGAGAGATAAGAAGTCGAAGGAGTAGCCTCCAAATCGATAGCTACTTTGAGAAGCACAGAAAAAGAAGACGCGAGATAAGATATGCTGGTTCGTCGAAGTGAATGTGGAATGGGCAGTGAAGTTGAGAATGTGCAGTGCAACAACGGCGAATATCTGGATTCGCAGTCCCTCTTCCGGCGTCGCCCCTTGATACGCCGTGCTGTGATACGACGTCCACCTCCTTCCGGTTTGTTATCTTGTGGGACTGGCAAGCTCATTTCCAGCTCTTCTCAGGAACACAGTTCCGGAGACGTAAAGCTGCGCATCCTCGAGGCGACAACTTGCCACCGCCAGGTAACCGGAAAGCACTTGACTTCAATGGTACAAACTAGGCAAATGAAGCAGGAGCGGGAATTTAATCAACTTCTACTGTTACTTGGTAGTCGGCCTCTTCGGGCTAAGGGAAGTTCTGACAAGAGACGATGGTCGAGCTGGCTTTCTTTAGGTGGGACGTGGGTCTGTTGCCGGCAAGCTCGCCGGACACTGAAAATAACCCCCCACCGGGCGCGCTGAAAGTTGGTTCGACGTGAATCGACCGTCGCAGTCAGGCAGCTCTATATAGGTCTTGGAAACAACGGAAGAGAAGGATGGATTAGAAGTGATGAAATTTTGGAAAACGATTAAAACTAGAGCCCGAGGCCGTATCGGCTGTTTTCTGGGGTCCTTAATCCGTCAACACATACAGGCGAGTAACTGCATACCTCAATCGAAATGCAGGCGATGCTATCGCCCTTTTCTTGTTTTTCCAGCCGTGCTCTTCCCATGAGTTGCCGTCTTCCGAGCCGATGATGCAGCGCTCCTCGTTTGAATACTGTAGCCTCCGTCTGGTGTTTCATTGACATTGACCCGAACCCCCTCATCATAGTCACTGTCGTCATCGTCGTCGTCGTCCTCCTCTTCTTCAGAGTCTGAAGGCGGTGCCAGATACCTCATGACCTCAGGTTCCTCGCCCGGAAGAAAAAGCTCGTCTTGTGGACGACGATACCTGGGAGCCTGATTTTGAGACAAGGCCGGTGGACCAGAGGCGACTCGTCGTTGTGGCGAAGCAAATCTCGGATCATTAGGATCAAAGCGGGGTGCCCTGCCAGTATTGGTTTGGTATGGGAGCTGATCGAGGGCAACATTGACAAGACTCGAGGTTGATCGTGCCCTCGGCTCCCAGTCAGGTTCGGATGGGTCAGGCCGGGGAGCACGAGAGGAGCCGGCAGCGTACACTGCCTCTGGATTCGAAGCATAACGGCTGGGGTAATATGGAGCCACCTGCTGGAAATGTTGTTGCTGCCTCAGCGACTGACTCGAGTTTGTGCGAGAGCCTTGACGAAGGGGCTCGGCCTGGCGTGGACCGGCGACATGGAAGCCTTGAGAATAAGACACTCGACGAGCATAGTCAGACTCTGACGCTGGTAAGGCATAAGAGGTGACAAGATCGTCCCGACCGTCACGAGCGGAGCTGTTTGATGCTACACTCCTCCCTCGGCTTCGTCCGTCCACCATCTTGCCCTTTGGCGAATTGCTCGCTGACTTGTCAGGCTTGCTTGGCTTCTTGCGGGCCTCAACTGGCTTGCGTCTGACTTGTGCCTCTTTCTTGCTCTTAGGGGCCGCTTTTGGAGCTGCCGAGGGACGTGGAGGGGTTTGGGTCCGCTCTAAACGTTCCAAGGCATCAATTTCTGCTCGGGTCAACTTCACATTGGGCTTACCCAGAGCCCGAGCACGCGCGATTCTCTCAAGAGCAGTCCGCACAAGCATGTCTTCCTTGTCCCTGTAAACCATTTGCAAGTCCGATCGTCTCGTAAGGCCCGTAGGATAATCATATTCGTCTTCGTCCTCGGAAGGGGTAAAATCGTCGTCGAGTGCAGCACCTGAACGCCGCCGGCGCGCACCGTTACCGCCCAAATCTATGCCAGTAAAGTGAAGTTCATCAGAAGTAAATCTTTGTTGATCCAGCCCAACACCGTGTGAATAGTCATCATCTGCATCCAGCTCTTCCACACGAGCATCATACTCCCACTGTCGTTGTTGCGACTCCCACAACCTGTCGTTCTTCCCCTGTCGTCCCCCTCGTGGTGGTCTTCCCCAAGGGGGCATATCGTATGGAGTTCGCGGCCGACCACCTAGACCGCCTCCTCGGAAAAAGCATTCTCGATTGGTCTGTCCATGAGCGAGGCATGGCCGAGAATGGTGACACCAGTAGCACCGATCAGCCACAAGAACGTGCCGATAGGCGAGGCAATGAATGCAATGGGAACAGAAACACAGGCCAAGCCGGTGTAGAGTTGCGAAGTAGTAGCACGGAAAGTGCCGATCTCGAGATCTCCTCCTTGTAATCTGCCAATCGTCCACATACCACCGACCACGAGGACAATATCAAAGAGAAGCCAGAGGTTGGTGAGCAGGCTGTAGATGCTGAGCATGACAAAGACCACAGCATAGTTGCTGGAAAAGTAGCTGAGGTTGTAGTTGACTCTGCTTTGAACTTCACCGAAGTTGTTGGGTTTTGACAGTCTCTTGAGGTCCAAGAACTCGGATATTGGTTTGATGTTGGCAAATCGAGACGCGAGAGGCTGCGAGCGGACACTGCTGAAGCGGTCGGAAAGGTTGAGGCGGGACGTCAACGCGTCGAGAGGGATACTGATGCGAGCCATTATGTTTGGAGGGGACGTGATTGAGAGTCAAGTGAAAACTGCGGTGTTTTGGGAGTTGAAAAGGGTGACTTGATCTTTGTTAGCAGAGGGAGACAGGCCGCAAATGATGTAGCACGTACAGTTTCTTGAATACGGTGAACGCGTTGGTTGTAAGACAAAGGCGAAAAATTGAGGGTGTGATGGATGATTTAACGACAGTGAAGCGAGCCGGTAAAGAAAGACGAGGACAAAGGGGCAGAACCAGGCACCGGGGGTTTTTCTTTGAGGTCGTTGAGAATCACCCCCTGTCGAGGAAGGTTTGCTGACTGAGGAATAAATCTCGAGGGGCCTGCTCCGCAAAGGCCCGCCAAACGAAAGGTGAAAGGTTCGCGGCGCAGGCGAATCTCCAATCTGTCAGCCGCAAATCTGATTTCCTCGCTTGCGAAGATGGGAGGGCGCAGCCACAACTGACACCCTCCTCCCCCTAAAAATGGATAATTGGACAATGATTGGGACAATTGATTCTTGGTTCGAGGACTCTAGACACTGTGTCCGAGATACTCTTCTGCCTTTCCTTGGGCCTGCTAGCTGCAGGCTCAAGGCACAGTGACTGCCATCGCTTTGTCTTCACCTGCGAGGTCTGAAGAGGAAAAAGAGAAGAGCAAGCTGTCAAACGGCGGGGGACCAGCCCACCGATAAATAGAACTTCCCTCTCCTCGCCTCTTCTTTCATCACACTGTAGGCTACTGCACGTCCCACGGCTGGGTGGCTGCACTTTGTTCTCGAGCCCTGTTTATTGGACCACGTTTTTTGGGCAGCGACCCCGAAATCCCATCCGCCTTGATTTCGTTTCCATCCTCTGGTGTTTCCCAAAATCCGTCTCCAACTGCGCCGTGTTGGCTACATTTCTTTTTGGTTGCCCTTCCATTGGGGGTAGTGGGTGAAGATGAGGCCGCGAATCCTGCACTACTTTGTCCTCTGCACCCTGCTCCTGTTGGTCGCAGCCTGGACGAAGGAGGACTATGAGATATTCAGACTAAAGGACGAGGTTGAGGCCGCAGAGGGTCCCAACGTGTCCTTCTACGATTTTCTAGGTGTCAAGCCCTCCGCAACTGTCGATGAAATTGGTAAAGCCTTTCGGAAGAAATCGCGTGCTCTGCACCCAGACAAAGCCAAACATTCCTTCGTCGCTTCGAAGTCCATGCCAACCCCCAAAAAGCCAGGCGAAAAAAAGAAATCCGGCGTCCATGTTTCCAAGGGGCCTTCAGAAAGAGAAATTCAACGCTTCCTCAAACAAGCTGGGGAAAGATACAGCCGGTTGGGTGTGGTCACGAACGTCCTGAAGGGACCGGAAAGAGAAAGATATGATTTCTTCTTGAAGCATGGTTTCCCAGCATGGCGAGGGACTGGCTACTACTATTCAAGATACCGACCTGGATTTGGGACTGTGTTGGTAGGGTTGTTCCTGGTGTGTGGTGGAGGTGCCCATTACTTTGTCTTGGTCACAAGCTACAAGCGACAACGCGAATTCATGGAAAGATACATCAGGCATGCTAGAAAGACTGCCTGGGGAGATGAATCCGGTATACGAGGAATCGCTGGCCTTGGCCAACCAGCAGATGTTCCTGCACCGGTTGAGGAAACCGACTCAATGGCAAACCTGAACCGACGACAAAAGCGAGAAATGGAACGACAAAACAAAAAGGACAAAACAGGCAAGAGCAAGCCAGCACCGAAGGCTGCTCCTGTTCAATCATCGCCGACCGGTGATAGACGACGGGTCACCGCCGAGAACGGGAAAATTCTGGTGGTTGACTCTCTTGGAAATGTGTTCCTGGAAGAAAAGGATGATGATGGAGAGGTCCAAGAATTTCTCCTCGACTTGGACGAAATACACAAGCCAACTATCTGGGACACAGCAGTTGTCCGTCTACCAGTGTGGCTGTACAGAAAAGCATTTGATCCCTTCCTCAAGAATACTGAGCCAATACCGATGAATGAGGCCACCCCGTCAGAAGTCGATCAGCTCGTCGAGAAGGTGTCCGAAAGCATCCACAGTGCCGTCACAGAGAAGTTGCCGACGCCCGACATGAGTTCCAGCCAGATATCTGACTCTGGCTTTGAGATTGTCGATTCTTCGGGAATCGAGAACGAGATTGAGAAGGCATCTGCTGCAGCCGGAGTTAAAAAGAGAGGCAAAAGGGGGAAGAAATGAGCCGATAGACCATCACAGTCCTGAGCGACCGGACGCAGATAGCTTCCATAGAGAGAGCGAATGAACGAAATCAGAAACCCATGATCAGAATGTCTTGTCTTCAGTCGCTTGCAGTTTTAGTCGTGACGTATCGTTACTGAAAATAATCTGGCTAGGTACGGATATTCGCTAATGCTTTTCATTCTTCCCCAAGGCCAAACTCGCGCATCCCATCTTCGATGCCATGCTTAGATAAACATCTTCGCAATCCCCATTAGACTCGAAATACTATCCCCAACGCCACTACTCATGCCCGGCAGTGATGTCCCGCCTTCAAAATCCCTCGCCCCACCTCTAGAGTAGTACCGTTCCGTTGTCTGCCTCGATGTACCGCCCATCATCCGATGGAGACCGGGCGGTAACCTGATACCCACCTGCGCGAGGAGTTTTGCCAGTGCTCCGCCTGTGATCAGAGGCATTATGACCAGTAGGAACACCTTGAGCGGGTGCCGACGCATGTAGGAATATATCTCGCGCAGAAAGCGGCGGATGCGGTTGATGAAGCCGGACCGGGGACGTGCACGGGAAGAATGGTGCCCTCGCGACGAAGAGCCACCGCCGAAGGAAGAGAAGAAAGAGGATGCGGAGCGGGAGTAGGATGGGCGTGAGGCGTAGTAGGCTTTGCGAGAGGGCGAACGAGACCGAGACCGGTCGCGGATCCCGTCGTTCCAGAAGCCCATGATAAGACGTGTACTGTGTATATGAAGTAATAGATGGGACGGCTTGCTCCAGCCCGTGCTTGAAGGCCGCGGGTGGCAGTGGGTGCCAAATGAGTCGGGGCGCTGGCTGCGCAGAGGAATGTGGTGAGAGCAAGGGCCTCGACTGCTTCGGTTGGACTGGTCTGGTGGTAGTCCTTAAGATCTGGTATGTCCTTGTGGGTGAATTCTGGCCTCAATCAGTGGCTCGTTTGTCGGCATGAACACTTAAGGATCAGTGCGTCAGCCAAAGTGAAAGTTACATGTTTCGTTGAAGAACAATTTCTCAGGTAGCACCATAGACCGCTGAACTGACAATTGGAGAGGCTGGAGAACTAGAAGGGCGCTAGCGAGGCTGCACCCCTACTTTTAGCGTGTCGAATTGATTGGCTGTGGCCTTTGCTCCAGATTCGGCGCTACAAGCCACTGTGGCTGCAACGACATAAACGTCATCGCTTCTGAATGCGATCTTTGAACAGGGAGGGAGTGCTGTACCTCTTGTCGTCTATCCTGCTTGATCTATCCTCAATCCTCACAAACCAGTTTACTTGTCTCCTACACGCTCTTCATATCTTTAGGTTGTCCATGCTTGGGTGTACCACATACTTTTCATTCCATCCCATCGCTTACATCTGAGCCTTGTTGTTCATCCAAGGCGCAGTTTAGGCGCCTCTATCGTTCACCCACCATGTCAAGCCTTCCAGACTATTGTGAGTGCTTACAATCAGTTTCAACTGCTGTGTCTGCTAACACCATTCTTGAGACTCCATCCTCGAAATCACGTCCACGGCTACAGACCTAGAGATCAAGCGAGCGTACAAAAAGGCCGCCCTCAAATGGCACCCCGACCGCGTCCCAGTTGACTCACCCGAGCGTCCTAAGCGCACCAAACGTTTCCAAGCCATCAACGATGCATACTACACACTTTCTGACGTCACGAGACGGCGAGACTACGACGAAGCACGCCGCTTCCACACCACATTCACGGAGGAGGATGTGGACGAGGAAATCCCGCGCCGCACACAACCTGGTTCCAACACCTGGAGTTCTTTCTTCTCCAATTTCGGCAGAAGTGGTAACCAAGAAGAGAAGTTCTCGAACGATCAATTCGAAAGTGCATTTGCTGAAATGATGGGGGAGGCCTCGATGGCAGACGGAGCAGAGCAAGAAGCAGGCTCGGCGCAACCCAAACCAGGCTCGTTCTGGGCAGTGTTGGGAGGTCTAAGTGGTGCAACGCTGGGCTTCATTTTTGCCAATTTTGCAGGTGCCATCCCTGGTGCCGCTGCGGGCTGGAAGTTTGGCAGGCTCAGAGATGAGAAGAAGCAGCCTGTTTATAATACCTTCCAGCAGTTGCCTCAGGGTGATAAGGCGAAGTTATTGAGCGAGTTGGCGCAAAGGCTCTTTGCAAGTGCTCTTGGCAGTTGAAATGGCGAGGAAACTTCACGTGCATGGGCAATTCGGACTATTCCAGCATTGGCGTTTTGTGGGAATACCTGGGTATCACTACCAATGGCGCGCTGGCGCGGCAGATACTACATGGGAGAGATGCAGTCTGGCAGAAATCAGGAAGCGAACCTGATGTTGCGTTTCGAGATCTGCTCCAGCAACCCCAGAGCATGAGTTCTAGATGTGACGCAATGTACTGAGTTTTGACGGGAACAACAAAGAACTCTGGATATGGTATTTCATGCTTCTTCTCTATTGTCGTAATGTAGCATATAACACATTATTAATCCAGAAAAGGATAACCGCCGGGTGTCCTCATCTGTGGGAAGAACCTTTATGCGTGAAGTCCTCGATGCGACATGCAAATCTGATATCCAACCAACGCCATGCAATGCACCCTGTATATCCTTTTTGGGTCGCCTCGTAAGATTTTGTGCAAGTGTTGTTTTTATCCTCACATAGATGATACTGTTGTCCAACTGACCACGAGGAATGGAAACGAAGTAGAACGGCTGGGACTGATTGATTTAGATCCTAAACCGGCCAACGCCCCATTTCTTCTGCCTTCCCAAGTCGCCATGACTCTGCGGATATCCCGCATTCGTACCGTTCGTCATGGGGGCGCCTCTATACGCACCAGCCTCGAGATCATCGCCAGGAGTGACATTCGAATTCTGATTTGGCCCAGCACTGTCCGTCGTCAAGGGCGCACCAGGTTGGTGTCCATGGTTAACCTTTTCCATTTCCTGCTTGAGCGCCCAGCCCTGCGGCATATGGTGCGCGGTTCTCACGCTGGGCAAGAGATCCAGCAAGAACGACAAGATGTAGAAGGTAAAGATCAGTGCGACGACCCATTCAAGCACGGCGGCGACATTCTGGTGACTCGTGAAGGTCGTGCTCGCGAAGGCAATGGCCAGGGCAACCTCGACGAGGATGAACGTGAGTTTGACCCAGAAGCTGATGCGCAGGATCCGGTGGGATCGGTAGTGGATGCCCAGACGCTGGTACTCGGCGCACAGGAAGATTGCGGACAAGATGTAGCCGGCAATAAACAGGAGGAGAAAGCCGTCATGCATGTGCGGGTGGCGATATGTGTCGAATATAGACAGGAGGATGAGGCCTGCGGATCCGGCGACCGCGCAAACGATGGCGAGGACGGACAGGACCTTTTGCGCGGTCGACGTGTTCGGGGCGAGACGACCGGCGTGTCGGAGCCAGCGTTCGGCCATGAAGCCCAGGTCCAGGAAGACAGTCGTGATGACGGCGCCGGTGATGAAGAGCGGTTTGAGACTGAAGGCGCCCGTGTCGGATATGTAAGCTATCGTCTGCTGGGGCTCCATGGACGGTAGATGTCGGTGGCCCCTGGCTTCCCAGTCGACGAACAGTCCTAGGAGCATCCCGAGCCACCTAAGGCCCTATCAGCAAGAGTATGAGTGGAGGGGAGACGGGGAGACATACATTAACGCGGAAATAATGGGGAACAGCCAGCTGCCGAGATACCACATGTTTGAGAGGTGAAGACGGGTTTACGGTCCGCCCAGGACAGTGGAGGGAAGAGGGATTGCGGGACTGAGGGGAGAGAGAGAGTGTGTGTGTGTGTGTGGGTGGGTGGGTGGGTGGGTGGTTTTGGGGCAGCGGGAGGGTTCTATTCTCGTGGCGAGCAATGGGTGCAGATGCAAGATTAACGAAAGAGAAAGGGTATGTGCATGGTATTGATGGAAACTTCAAGGGTATTTGATGATTTGCAGGTACGGAGGTATGGGCTGGGGGGGTATTGGAGTTAGTGTCACGATTGCAGAGAAATCTACCTACCTTTACATCATATGTGGTATACGGATCTATGAAGCGGCGATGCCTCGTTAGTGCAGCAACCAGACTCTATGACAAAGCCCCTACCACGGACTTAGGATGTGGATTAGAAGTTAAGTTGTCATGGCTGTTCATAGCCTGTCCGTAGCGACTCGGGACGAAAAGTCGGATATCACGGTCCTGCATAAAATCTAATGCTCGTCGAAGTCTAGTTATTATTTCCCGCATTCTCGGTGGTCCTTTTTCCCTCTTCCCATATCGCTCACTGCAACACAACGTGAGGCCAAGCAGATTTGCGCATTCAGCCTCAAACGTGTCGCAAGCAAGCGAGAAAGCCAACCGTGGCCAACCCATGTCGACGTCATGGGCACTCGGGTTTTTAATTGACGCAATATGGATCTGAAGTGGCCATACAACCAATCATGTACCGCGAAGGCCGTATAGCCGGTCGATCTCAACATCCCTCAAATGACGTCGCTCGACTAGCCCTTTCCGGCCCTTGTCTCTTTCTTTGGGCTTCACAGCTCAACAGTCAGTGACCTTACACTGACTAACGATTGGTCACCGCTAGTGTTTGCTTCTTGTGGTGAAGCCACGGGAATCTAACAGTACGAGTATCATTCTGTTTCAAGCAGGTCAACTACTTCTCCTATCAGTAGGTATTTCCGCCTCTTGACCGGCCATTGATCGTGGGAGGAGAAGTTGCATCGATATGCTTCTCTAGGTGCTCCTTCAGTGGCGTTTTCTACTCCATAAAATCCCAGCGACCAGCGCGAATGTCATCCTCCTGGTCAGAACATCCTTCTTTCCACGCAGCAGGTACAAGTACCAGGCTGCAAAACTACCCGGGATACCAACGAAGCCGGTCTACAATGTAGTAGAGTTGGGTCCAATTGTGCAACATCGCGCTGGGCTAAAACAGTAACGATGGACTCTTTGATCACTGCTTGATCTTCAGCACAGTCCTGATGCGTTCTTGTTGACTCTGGTTGACTCCGATTTTTCCAAGGTAGTCGTGAAGCCCGCCATAGGACGACTTCAGATGTTGGAGAATTCTCTCACAGAAATCAGGAGGACAACCCGCAAACGACTCATCTAGGCCAATGCTTGATATCTCTTCCATTCTTGCTGCTTTCTCCGGCTCCAATTCTGGTTCAGATCTGACATAGTCCTTGGCGATGGCTTCGACGTCGATATCGCAGAGCAGAAGGACTAACAAAATGATGATGCCTGTTCTGTCTTTTCCTTGAGTGCAATTCACCATCACCGGCCAAGTGTTTTGGTCGGCTAGGACGTCAAAGACTTGTTTGACCTCGGGACCACTGTGGTCAAGGGTATCGATGCCGAGACCTGTAAGCCCCCGAGGCTGCATCAACTCCCGTCCCAAGACCGAAATGCCTTCGGTACGATATCCAAGAGCCATAAGAAAGACCAACTTGGCCAGACTGGTATATTTCAGTTGCCATATGAGGTGTCGCTCGAATCCTTTGCCATTGAGGTTAATCTTGGCATATCGGATGCTGGAAATCTGGTACGATTGAGCAACATCCTGGTCGACTGAAGGAATCGCAGCAGATTGGGAGGCAAAGTCGATTTCTGAGCGTTTCTTGGCCGCATTGATATGTTCTGTCTTGGAACGAAGGTCGATGATGGTGTTAATTTTGAATTTGTTGACCAGCTGATCACGATCCGACGGACTGCATTCATCCGGTCGGGCACTCCTGAAGAGGAAACCTGTCTTCAAGACTTCTGTCCCCACGATCGAATTGATGTGAGCACCAACATCGCGGAAATTGAGGAGGTTATCAAATTTCTGGTTGTCTGCATCTGCCATGACGACCATGTGGAAGAGATTCCAGCACCAGTCTCTCTGTAGTGACGCTTTTTCGAGGTTCTCGTACCATGGATTGGGGGCCAAAACAATGATCTTCAGGATTAATCAGGTTGTGGAGAACTGGAGCTCGAATCGAACATCTCTCACAGGCCTCGTCCCTGCTCCTGGTCACCAGCTGCGAAATGTCTTCTGCTCTCTGATTGAGGCGTGCTACAAGTGCAATCATCTCGACCAAACAGGATAAGAGAAAACAGGTAAGCGAGCCCCGTGCATGATTGGGGAAAAGGGTGCCTCAGGCTCTTCAAGGCCTAAACAGTTACTCGTCCTTGTCGTATCTCCGCAGCAAGCATCATGCCCATAATATTTTTCATCGTCAACATCAGCGTTCACGAGCGTTCTAGATACCTAGCGATGATCGATGGAGCGTTCTTCGACGCCAGAGGCTAAGTTAACTACGGGTCCGTGACGGTCCTCTCGGCGGGCAACCAGCTGTCAATAGTCGCCAGAAGCAGAGTTCCAAGCTGGAGCAACAAGCCACAGACCAGTTAAGAGGTTCTGCTCCCGCTTTGGCTCTTCTTACATGACGTATGTGGTGTCCATGACATACACAAGCGCATGCTCTTGGTAATGGCACCACCGTGACCACCTAACTCTCGACACGGCGGCAACTGTAGAAAGCTCTTTTTCTCTGTATTGTAAGCTGGCAGTGCTTGTTACACCTCAAGCTGCGCCAGTTCATTCGCATTCTTATGTCGTGGTAGTGTCGCTGTCGCTCAAAGCACTGTCATACCTTCATTTATCTGCGTCATTCGGCCAAGAAACATGTCGGCAACCAGTGCCACTCCGCGCTCCAGCTTCTCCCACTCCAACAAGCTGGAAGACCAAGGTCAGTCGTCCATCAGCGTCGCGCCTGTACAACAAATCATTGACGTGAATTGCAGCAGCATCAGCAGCTTTACGTGACTCTCGAGATACTGCTCGAAAGCGAAGCTCCTCCTCCGTTCTTGACGGGGACGGCCGGCTATCTTCTGCCAGTCAGCTCAACCCCGCCGTCGACTCCTTCCGACAGCACGCTAATAATTCTACCAGGTGCCGCCCTATCGCTAAAGTACGCTCGAGCCCAAGACCTACCTTCTTATCCCTCGACTGGAGGAGTAAAATTAGCCTCCGCCGGCGCAGCCGCCAGTCTCGCAGAGTCAAACAAGAAACCCTTCGAACATTGGACGCCGAGTTCAATTCCTGCAGCAAACACAGCTGCCACTATAGCAAAGGATTACGAGATGGAGCCGCTATGGCAGCCAGAGTCCAGCAAAGCTGGCTCAAAAGCCGCAATCGCCGCACAGAGAGATTCTGCGCCGGTAGACATTTGGAAGGCGCCGGAAACGGAGCAGGGTTCCTCTGCTGCGTCTTCTGCGCTTCACAATCAATTCTCTCCGCCTGCGATAACCGAGAGGGAAGTCTCGTCCGATGGTCGCAAAAAGGCACTTCTAGCCGCCACAGCATCCATGTCAAGTGGAAGACGCCGGGCCGAATCAGCACCTATGCGGCCGCAACCACCACAAGGCAACTCTGCATGGGCCCTCAAGGCGGCAGGATCAGTACATGGACGGAAACCTTCTGATGCACCAGCACCGCAGGCAGTCGATATGTTGGGCGCGGATCCAGCCAGAGTCCAGAACATCGCCCGAAATAATGTTAACAGACAGATGTATACCGCAAACCCTCCGGTCGCAATTGAGGTTGAGGAGAAGAATCGGCAGGACACTTTGCGTGCATCTGCAGTAGCCATGGCGCGGAAGATGTATGCCATTCAACAAGCACAAATTGATGAAGCAAAGGGATCCCGTCGGTCAGACAGTCATTTTGCCGCATACACTGCCCGGCAGAGAGCACTATCAGATGCAGCGAATCAAGTTGTGCCCGAAGAGGCTCCTCGATACGAGAACCTAGAGGAAGCTGCGCGCAGGTTGGCGCAGGAGCGTTTGTCTAGATTACATGACGAACACGCAGAATACCGACAGTACTATGGTCAGCAGTCGCCACCTAAACAGTCTCGACTAACGATACGGCGCGGTCGGAGGACCCCCAATCTCCAACAGGAGGATAGTGACTCAGATGAAGAGCAGTCTCGGAAGATCAGATCGCAAATGTCCATCTTCCAGAGCAAGTTGGCTGAGGTTGACGGCAAGAAGCGACAAGCCGACAGAGATGCATTGCTGGCAATTGCTCACAAGAATGTCACTGCACGTATGAATGCAATAGATGAAAAGGTGTTTAGTGAGACGGGCAAGACAAGCCCTCAACAACGAGAACTATGGGAGCGACAAGCTCGAGAAAGAGCTCAACGAGAAAGCGACGAAAGAATGATCAATGTTGGGAAAGTCCATATTGGAGGTGGCAAATATCTGGAGCAGTCAGAGATCGATGCTATTGCGAAGGCTCGGTTGCAACCAACCTTGGACGAAATCACCGAGAAGGCTGAAAAGCAACGAGCCAGGGATGAGGAAATCAGGCAAGAGCAAGAAAGAATCAAGGCTGAGCAGGAAGCCGAGAAATCGCGTCTAGCACAAGAGAAAGCAGAACAGAGGGCCGCAGCTGGTATGATTTCTGCTTTGTATCTGAGAGTCAGCACTAACCCAGATTTAGAACGAGAAAAAGCTGAAGCCAAGGCTCAAAGAGCTGAAGAGAAACGAGTTCAGCATGAGCAAAAACATGAAGAACGACGTATCAAGACCGAACAAAAGGCTGCCGAAAGGAAGGCACGCGACGAGGCTAGAGCGGCCGCTGATGAGGAGAAGAGACAGTCGGGAGCCACTAAGCCTCGGATCCTGCCCAGCTTCCTCTCGAAAGGAGCTGCAGGAGGAGGAACAGCCGCAGCTGTTGACGGCACGGCACATGCATCAGAGGGCACCGCAGGAACTATGACGGTGCCCGAAGTGGAGCCTGGGGAGATCACTGGAGACACTGTTCACGACCAGGTCACACTCGATGCAGGTGAAGCCGCCTATGCTGTTGCCGCCATTGACGTCGAAGATGAGGCGGCAATCAAGCCGACGGCAGAGTCAAGAGACGCAGAGGATGTTGGCCTCAAGGACGAGACTCACGGTCACCCATATACGGCGGCACAGGAACCAACATCACCCACGTTCCCCGCCTCGCCAGCCTCGCCGTCTAAGCGAGATTCGAAGGTGAAGTCCTGGTTCAAGAGATTCAGGAGTGGAAGCAAAACAGAGAACGAATCGGAGACGCCAGCTCTGCGAGATGGAGAGCCTGATCCCATGGGAACGGGTCGGACTGCCGAACCGATCAAGAGTACGGAGGAAGAGGACAAGCACGAGTCTGATTCTATTCGCGACGTCGCTCTGGCGGGTCGAAAGAGTGAAGCAGAAACGGACGACATGTACGGCGACTCTAACCGGCCAGAGGGAAGAGTCTCTCCAGTACATGACGAGCCGACGAGCCATCAGATTGTCACCGGAGGTACCGAGCCAGAGAGGTCGGTCAGCCCAGTGTCTGAATCATCTGAGCTCAGTCAGGAACCGTTTGTGATTGCTGCTGATGTGGCCTCTTCGAGGTATTCAGCAGACGCCGGAGGATCAAAGCGAGACTCTGGTATGGACCAGGCTGGAGCCGTATCCGACACCGACTCCGAGCCTCGAGGTAGGAAAGGCTTCCGCGAGCGACTCCTCAAGAAGGTCATCCCTGGCAGGCACAAGGACGAGGATAAGCATAAGTCTGCCACAGAGACCGCTGCAGTAAAACCGACATCCCCTATTGCAGAGGAAACCACCCACTACCAGACCACAGAACCAGCGGAGCATGCTCCGACTGATGAGACTCACGCCAACCCGGACCCTCAAGTCCTTGCAAAGACCGAACCATTGAGGGAGAAGATCCAGGAGCCGTCGACAACCTCGACTGAAGCCGCCAACACCGCGACAGATGCAACGACCCCAGCACTAACGCACACACAAACCAACGGCGAAGACGACGACGACGACTTCGAAGAGGCACGCGATACATTCGATGAACAGAGATTAGGTCCACCGCCCAAGCTAGTCGAAGTATCCAAGATGGAGGCGCCGCGTTTGGTCGAGGTCAGCAGTCCGACGCAAAAGAAGTCCACAGAGTCTCCAGCCGGCCGCAACAGCATTGGTAGTGGGAGTCGGTTTACGGAGGAGCTGTAAGATATGGCAGAATCCGCCGGATGAGGGTCGAATATCATGGTGGGGAGAACAAGAGGGACGGAAGGATACGGAGCGACCGATACTCGATATTGCTTATCTGGATGAGCTTGATGATTGATTACTGGATATTTGCGATATCCAGTCTATGTGCTGTCAATTTTGCATGCTACGCTATGTTATGCTATACCAGGGTTTACGCTAGGATTAAGTTGCATGTTACAGCATCTCATACCAGATGAATGTCACTACCTGAATGCTAGCATCGTGCATGTCCATGGCTTTCTATTTAACGATGCATAGGCTGATGGTTAATAACATCGTAGACACCATCATATACCAAGGACATCTCGCGAGGCTGGCTGGAGTTATGGAACTTCCCAAATTGGGCAACTTACGCGAGAAATTTCTATGGGACCTTGACAGATGCATGGTGGGCCCGCTTTCTTTTAACAGAACATGTGGTTGAAGGCCCTGCTACCACTTCATACGTAAATTTTCGTCCCAATAGACGTCGTCAGCACCATGTCGGGCCTACTAGGAGCCGGCTACGAGTCCAGCGGCGACGAGGCTCCCGTCGCGCAACCTCCTCCAGCGCGGCCGAAGGCTGTGAATGCGGCACCAGAGGTATCAATAGAGGTTTGGTCTTCTTTCCTGAGGCATGCTGCTGGTCGACCTAACAATGTGCAGGATGCGTCTGAAATGCAGATAATGTTAGCGAACCCTACGAGTACAGCCCTCACATACAACGCCACATATGACAATCTTTCGAGACCGTCGCAAGGCCCAGCCAACCCGTTTGTATCCTCGACTGGAAATGTCCTGAAGCGCAAAAATGTCCTCACCGGGAATGCGGAGGAGACCAGCATGTCCGAAGCCACCTTCAAAACTCAACACAGAACCTTCCAGAGTTTGGGCTACACGAAAGACCCCAGCTTGGACGGCGCCTTCGTGGGAAACCAATCTGCGATCGCAAAATATGGTGGAAAAGACGTTGTCCAACTACGGCATTCTAGAGAAGAAAGCGCAATGATCCGGGCCAAGAGACAGAAAAAGGGTGACAGCAGTATAGTCGACGGCGAGGGCGCATACCTTGGACCATGGGCGAGATATACAAGCGACGACGTCGCCTACGAACAGGCCGAAGCCGCAGCCGACCAGGAACTAGCCTCGGACGAAGAATGGGTAGAAGAAGGCATCGAGCCTCTACCGGCCCCACCAAAGGAAGCCACAGCATACGCCGAAGATTCCAGCGTTGCTGAGACCACGGAATTCCACGGTGCTTCAGAGTTGGACTACCAAGGCCGCACCTACATGCACATCCCTCAAGATCTGGACATCGACCTACGCAAAGAGCCTGGCTCCATACAGAATTACGTCCCCAAGAAACTCATACACGTATACAAGTACCACACCAAGCCCATCACATCACTACGTTTCATTCCGAAATCTTCACATCTCCTACTCTCTTCCTCCGCCGACGCAAAGATCGCACTTTGGGACGCCCATCACGACCGCACTCTTCTCCGGACCTTCTCCGGACACAACAAAGCCATCACAGACACCGACTTCCATCCCACCGGCCGCACATTCCTCTCGGCCTCTTACGACCGCCAAATGAAACTCTGGGACACCGAGACAGGAAAATGCATATCACGGTTCACCACCGGGAAAACGCCGCACACATTGCGCTTCCACCCCGACGGCAACGAGTTCATTGCCGGCATGTCCGACAAGAAGATCGTACAATTCGACACACGCTCGGGCGAGCTCACGCAGGAATACGACCACCACCTGGGGCCCATCAACACGCTTACATTCGTCGACGAGGGCCGCCGATTCATATCCACCTCCGACGACAAGTCCCTGCGGGCGTGGGAATACGGCATCCCCGTGCCCATCAAGTTCATCGCGGACCCGAGCATGTACGCGCTCGTCCGGGCCACGCCGCACCCGAGCGGCAAGTACGTGGCATTCCAGAGCGCGGACAACCAGATCGTCGTGTACGCGGCGGGCGACAAGTTCCGGCAGAACCGCAAGAAAGGGTTCCGCGGACACAACACGAGCGGGTATGCGATTGACGTGGCGATCTCTCCGGACGGCGGAATCATTGCGTCCGGCGATACGGGAGGGTATGTTTGCTTTTGGGACTGGAAGACGGGCAAGATGTGGCATAAGATCCAGGCGGGCGGGGAAGGCACGGGCGCAGTCACCTGCGTCGCGTGGCATGGCCAAGAGAGTAGTAAGGTTGCCACGGGCGGCTTGGATGGTATTATCAGGTACTGGGATTGAGAGGCAGTCTTCTTTTTTGCGCGACCGATCGTGGAAAAATGGAAGGGGGACTTTGTCGTTTCGTCGCGGCGGTGGGACCAGACATGCGCCATGTGCTCGCCCCCCGAGTGATATGATCAATGATAAAAAGGAAGTGCTTGCTCCACGTCCACGGCATTTTGCACGAGCTGCTGGCCAGGTTCTTGACTACTGCTGCTCATCCCCCGATCGGCTCAACCTGGTCTTGATTTACGGAAATCGATGATCAAGGCTTGATCTTCAAGATCGTCTCTCGACCCCTACACTCTACCCAAACTTGGCGTGATAATGACAGCACACGCCTGACGCTTGGACGAACTCTACTGGCACCATGGACGAACGAGATTATCATGTCGAGGAGGGAGTCCCGTGGGTATGTTTGGGTTGGTCTACATAGCTTTGTCAAAGTATTAATACACCATCCAAGCAGTCTACATTTCATTTTTTGAACACCCGGAGATCGGTCTCTGTACAAGGGGTCATGGCTTGAATGTGAGGCGAGATGCCAGACTGTCGCAGAGCCAGCATAAGTACAAGCACCTCACATGCCTCGTCCAACAGCCTCTATGCTCCCGAGGTTTCTGGTCCGTCTGTTACCACCATAGCCGTAGTTATCCGGCTCGACAGTGCTCAGTCGGTTCTCGACCACTTGCCAGTCAATGCAGTCCCACCACGCCGTCAGATATGCACGTTTCCCCAACACACCGTAGTCCGGGATCCACTGGTGTTCCCAGACATTGACACACAAAATGGGCTGGGCGTTCAGCAGGCCAGTGAATCGGTTCGTTTGGTTGGCACTAAATTGGCCAAAGGAACCAGCAGTCTGTCCCCCGCTGGCGATGACTCGCGGTCTACCAGCAACTCCACTCTTGAGATCGTCTGCAAGCTGTCGGCCATTGAAATTCGCCATGTCCCGTGTATCTCGCCGCGGAGCCGCTTCGGGATACGGACTGCCGGCGTTGTATGTGGCCAAGATTGTCATTCCGCCGGCGGAGGGTGGCTTCATCAGCCAGACGAAGCCGTTTCCAAACATGGCGTCGGCTGTCTCGAGGAATTCGGAGCGCAGGTGGTCCACCGATTCAAAGTCCATCTCAATATTTCGCATCGTTTGCATGCCTGGACGCCGCTGCGCAGGATCTTCACTGTCTGTCAGGGCTTCCCAAAAGAAATGTGTGTGATTTGCCATTGCTGCATGGTTGTAGAGAGCTGCCCGTTCCGGTCGGTGGGAGCATTGAAAGTGGAGGTCTCTGGGTTGGACAGATTCGTCGGGTGTGCCTGCAAGAGGTATGTCAGAGGATCGTACTCTTGTCTTGTTCCAACTCTTGACGTTACAAGTCTGAGAAATTGCGCACCTTGGGTGTATTCTGTTAACTTGTCGCATAGATATTGCGAGTATTTGGCGTAAGTTTCTTGGTAGGCATTCGCTGAGAGGAACCCGGGGACGCCATTATTGGCAAATCTGTCTTGCTTCTGATGGTCAGTCCATGTAGGTGGTGTATGCTTGCTTCGACACTGCGTTCGGGGAAGAGCAGACTGGGAGAGAAAGGTCAGTTGAGCACACCATCGTCGGAGTTGGTTGAACGTACAGCCTGTTTGACGACAGCTCGCAGCAGAGACTGCGGCCTCGTCGAAGGTCGTGTGATCATGAACGGAAGATGGAGCGATCCAACCTCATTGCCCAAGGAAGCAACTTAATTGTACTGAGTACCGACTACCAAATTTCTCGAAGTAATGGCCGCAGTGTCTGTAAGGGGAATAGTGTCTTGCTTGGGCTCTGAACCAATCATGGAGCTTAATTAGTGACCCTTGTCTGACATGAGAAGCACGGTCAGCCTCATCAGACTCATCAGAATTTCTCGCTGAGACCGGCGTCCTGCGTTGTCAGACCACTACATTTTCCAACCACTGGCTGAGCTCTGCCTTTCTGCTGAGTTTCGATTCTGAAACGCCTGTGCCACCTCCTCCCTTTCAAAACACCATCTACAGCTGTGAAAACATCCAGATATCAACAGCCAATCCTTTCGACCTGGTCGGCTGTTTCGGACGCATCAATGCGTTTGCTATCCACCACCAGGTCGCGCAATCCGCCGGCAAGCGGCAAGCCACTGGCTATTCTCGGAGCATTTTCAACATCCAGCTGCATATTCATAGTCAATGGCTATCCAAGGGCCAAAAGTCTACCTTCAACAGCGCGCATCGTCGGTCTGGATCAGACTCACTCTTCCTAATGGTCTATAATGGGTGTCCCGCGCGGCCTTTTCTTTGTAGGTTTGTCAAAGGTGAGGACATCACTATTTCTTTGTTCAGTTCTCAAAGCCTTTGTTATCACGCTTCGTTCGTGCTGCTATTTTCGCGTTTACTGTCAAAGGTCCTGGTGACTAGGCTTTATACATCACAAACGCTTCGTACTACCTCTGCAAACTCACCTCTGTATGATATCTAATCTTTCGAAACTCTTCGACATGCATCTCACATCAAGCGCAAGCACGCTGCGCCTCGTATGGGCCGCGTCCACCGTTCTATCAAGGGCCTCAGCCTTCAGAGCAACACCAACAGCAGCTGATACCCTCTCATTGCTCACACGCCGAGATGACCTGTCCTGCTCAGCAGTCGACTCCAAACTACCCAGCAACTTCAATTGCCCTTCCCGCACGAACTGCATATCACTGGACAACTCATCATCAGGGCTCTGCTGTCCAGACAACAACAACTGCACCAACATCCAGACGGTTTCCTGCAACATCCAGACCCAGAACATAACAGCAAATACCGATGCCCCCATCTTCACCACGAGGTTAGGAGACAAGCTACCAAGCTGCGCCGACGCTTGCTGTCCTTTCGGATATCAGTGCATTCTGTCCCCAGATGGGAAGAATGTCTGCAACCTCATCGCCAGCACCAGCAAGACCGGCACTTCCTCCTCATCATCTTCCAGTAGCTCTTCCACCGCCTCTCAAACGTCGACCTCCAGCTCAACCGCCACATCAACACCGCTCTCCACTGGCCTCACCTCCTCCGCCGCCCAGACATCGACATGCAACAAATTCCCTGTTGGCGTCTTCCTCGCCGGCTTCTTCCCCGGGATGTTCATCGGCGCCTTCCTCATGCTCGCCTGGGTCATCTGCTCCGGCCGCCACCGCAAACCCAACAGCAGCTCACGCAGCTCGACCGGCTCGGGCTCATCCGTCTACAAACCTACCATCTCCGACCCCATCCCACTGGGCTCCCCCAGCGGCGGTTTGAGAACCGACTTCCTCCGCCGCACCACCGGCCGCGCGAAATCCATCTTCTCCACAAGATCCCAAGTACCAGGTGGTGGCGGTCCCAGCACGAGCGCATCACACTGGAAAATGCCCACGCCTCCCGTGCCCAACAACATCCCCACAACCGGGACCACGCCTGGCGCCGCACAGCCTGTGACTCCAGAGCGCCGTCTCGCGCACGAACTCAGCTCCGAGAGCATCCGCGTCTTCTCGCCGCCGAGCGGCACCGGCGTGATGGTGCAGCCCGTCCCCGCGCACATCGCTCCCTTGAGGGGCATGAGCGCGCAGCGGTACAATTACAATGCCAGAAACCCAGGCGCAGCAGACAGTATGGGCAGTCCGTTCCAGTCGCCCCCCAAAGGCACGTCCTTTTCGACTGACAATGCGCACAGCGACGCCTACGCCAACGCCCAGACGAACGCCCGAGGCGTGAGCACGTATTCGGCCGTCTCTTCACTCGCCGAGCACGAACATGAACCCGAGACACTCACACCAGCGCGCTACGAGCCGACGGGCTGGACGCCGACGGTGACGAAGCGCGTGCGTCCCGAGGGCGCGGGAGAGCTGGAGAGCAGACCGACCACGACTTTCACCGAGATGCTCCATGAAGCGGGGTTCCCGGATCCGATGAACGAGTACGGTACGCCGGCTGTGCCGAAGATACCGGATACCTACGGCAATGGCAGTGGCAGCCGTGGGAGAAAATGGTGATGAATAGGAGACTTAGTTCTGCATTGAATGAGTTGTACAGAGAGTGGAAACGCCGCAGTGGACTAGCTTTGTGACCGAGCTGGTTGAGTCATTATCATTTATTTTTGTGTATTGCTTGCCAGCGATGCGTACCTCTTTGATTGTCAAATAGTAATTACTATCGCTACTCTGGCCCTGTGGGATGTGGGATATTGCCAGAGGTTACTCCGTAATGGAAATCTTTAATTGCTTATTTTGACGTCCTGTTGAATCCCTGATCCCATACCAGTCGTACTGTACTACGTATAATGTGATATTGTCCGTGTGGGTGCAATATGGATTGCATTGGTTAAAGGTGTTAGTATAATTTGGCGCAATGTCAACGTCAACGCGAATATCACAAGCATAGCGGCGCCACGCCAAAGGTCTGATAGCAGAAATACTTGGTCGTAACCCGTCTTCCCTTGCCTCTCTGTGCTTGTGCAAGGGCGTGAGCAAACGCCGCGAAAAAGTCGCTCCGGCAGACGGGGTCTCTGATCTGCTTCGATCGATCGACCGCCCAGGCCGTATCTTCTTCGTGTATGCTCTGGATTGCACAGAGGAAAAGCCGCCGGAGATATCCGGAACTGAGCTTGCCTGTATGGCACAAGACGTTCCAGTCGCCATCGACAATCCCCCTGGATATGTCGCATGGCCTGCTTTGCTTCGGGCGATGCGAGTGGCGGATCGCTCAGAGTCCCTCCGACTTCGACGATTTCGGTCCAGTACGCTGCATTGCATATGCCGATCAAGCTGATGGGTGGCTCCGCGATCGCACGGCAGAATAAGGAGCGAAGGACATTGGGTTCGATTCGCATATGGCTGGGTCGCGCTTCCCACAGGGCATACATTCTGGCCTTGTGACCGGTCATCAGCTCGGCGACCTCCTCCTGATCTGCACTGGTAACTCGCGATCGGTGATAATGACTCAGGTCTACGATCCGTGCCGAGATTCTTTGCAGCTCCAAGTAAAAGGCAAAGATTGGAGCGCTCAAAATATCATAGACAGACGTCGTCGCGTCAGTGTCGTTGTCCAATGAAGGCAGGTTGAAGGTCTCCATGCCATGATTCGGTAAAGATGTCTTCACCGTCTCGGAGAAGAGTCCTGGGTTTCCGCCTCGTCTTGCAGACGCATGGAAGACATTCAGCCACGTCTCAATGCGTAATGACCATGGTGAATGGTCTCCGCGCGAAGACCAGTCCTGCAGCCTCTTCACAAAGCTCCCTTCCGATTGACATAGTATCGAGCAAGTGTCTTCCGGGGCAACCATCTCGAACAGACATAATAGGAACACAACAAGAAAAATGGTGTTGAAGTCTTGACAAGGGTCTTCTAGGCCTGTTGCAAGACGGGTGCTTGCAATCCGATAGAGCGCCGTTGAATAGGACATGGATAACCCATTTATCTGAGCCTGGTAGAGTGCATGAACGGCCAAGATCGCCCGATGCCACGGACTGCTCCCGACTGGCCAACTTGGTCATATATATCTTGACCTTGCTCCAGTTCATAAGGTCGAATCTGGCGATCAGTGGATGATTGACCTCTTGAATGAAGTACGACAACGACGGCTGAGCTGATACCTGGTTGGCTGCTATCAGGTCAATGGTGGTACATAGTAAATGTCTTGGGAAGTCATGTGCGATTGGGCTGAATGAGATCGCAGGATGAAATCGTTCATGTTCTGGCTGACAGAGGTGCTGTCGCCATCGTGGCTTGATAGGGGAGCATCGGGGGTGGAGGCTGAGGAAGAGCCCTGGGCTGGCTGGCTAGCACAGTCACCAGTAGTTGGATGTGACAGAGCTTGAAATGGGCCGTCAAGGTTCGATGGCTGTCTATGCGGCGCAAGTTCCAACGCATTCCATCCCGTCAGCAATGGACTCTGCAGTCTTGGATTGGATTCCGGAAGAGATTGCGACGTGGCGACCTGTGTGGGTGCGATCACACGCTCGTGAAGCGGAGAACTGGTAGCAATTTTGTTGTATACGCATGTGAGCTGAAGCCTTGTGCAATTTCGGCGGGATGGTCGTCGTTCATCGCATTTGACCTTGAAAGCTGCCAGTTCGTGTCAGTAGATGGGTAGAAGATACTACGCTCTCACCTTCCTTGTCCGGCACGTTAAACAGCCAGTAAGTGCACGACCTTTATAGCGAGAAGCAACTGCCACCGACGCGCTGCTGCCCCCCCTGGGCGATGCAACGCTTGTATCAGTAACGGGCATTGCATCGTGCTGTCCATCCACATCGGACCTGACTAGGAAAGGCCGAGTCGATATCCGGTACTACCTCATCATTCACCATCTCGCGTCGGAAGCATATCAGCCCAGAAGAGAATCATGGCAAGCCGCAAGAGGGATGCGCCACCGCACGATTGTATGTTATGAGTGTGAGATAAAAGTAGAGAAAGAAGTCTAGAATAGAATACTGTAGTTCGTCTACAAAACTATACTTTCAGTGGTTGCAACTGGAAAAAGGCGTGCCCCAGCCGTTGTTGCTCATTGGCTCTCTCATCAGCTTCTTTCAGGACGCAGTTGCCGGACCTTTGCAGCCTTTTGGCGGGTGTATAAGAAGCATGGGATTCCCGGCGAAGACTTCCTCCAAATTTGAACCTTTTGTCTAAAGCCACAAGCCTCATGCTTGCAATAGACATGGCTGAAGCTGCCAGAAAATGAGTTGGGGCTATGGATGGAGACACCCTTCAGCATTCCCGATTGAAACTAGATATCTCTGCAATCAACCGTCATATCTACATGTGCAACAACATTCCCCGAGTCTTCCGCAATCACCCAAATCTGACTGGCACTCTTGAGAGCGAGGAAAGAACAGAATTCCGTCGGCTCTTGAAAGAGGAGCAGCATGGAGAAAGCTGAAGGAACCCAGACGTTGCAGCAAGAATTGCTGTCCGATGCTCAAGATGCAACCAACAAGGAGCACGAGTTGACCTTTTTTCAGGCCATCAAGCTTTATCCCAAGGCTGTTGGCTGGAGCGTGCTAATGTCGACAGCCCTAGTGATGGATGGATACGACACCAAGCTTATTGGGTCCCTGTTCGCTCAGCCGGCATTCCAACAGACTTATCGGAAAGCTTCAATCGAACGGCAAATACCAGATTCCGGCGCCGTGGCAATCAGGCCTTAACAATGGGATCCAACGTAGGGCAGATGATAGGTCTCTTCTGAAGCGGGTATATCAGCGAGAGATTCGGCTTTCGAAAGACCATGATTGGTGCTTTGCTCATGGTGCCTTGTTTGATCTTCATTCAATTCTTTGCTCCTAGCCTTGGAGTCTTGGAGACTGGACAGATTCTCCTCGGTAAGGACCCTAACGCTTATATTGTGAAGTCTCTGACCGCTTGTAGGTATTGCTCTTGGCATCTTCCAGACCATCACATGCGTTTATGCCATAGAGGTGATGCCGACATGTCTGCGAGCATACCTTACGAGTTATGTCAACTTGTGCTGGGTAAGACACCAGTGGCCAAGTTGGACGTAATACTAATAGAGTTTTAGGTGTTTGGTCAGCTCATCGCTACCGGTGTGCTTCGGGGCGTCTTGGACATGCAGGCACCGTGGACATATCGTGTCCCCTTCGCGGTTCAGTGAGATTGCTCCTAGCAGACTTCTCTCTTCTTGGTGACCAAAACAGATGGTTCTGGCCGATTCCGCTAATTGTTGCTGCTATACTCGCATCTGACTCACCTTGGTGGCTTGTAAGGCAGAATCGCCTGGAGGACGCCAAAAAATCTCCTCGCCGACTGACATCGCGGGGCATTGACTTTGACCTGGACAAAAGCGTAGCACTTATAGCGGTTACAACCGAGCATGAACGTGAAGTTGCAAGCGGCACTCACTTCCTTGCATGCTTCAGAGGAACCGATCTTCACAGAACGATAATCGTGATCGGCTGCTACTGTATGCAGGTTTTCAGTGGTTCGACTCTGCGAGCTTATATGACCTAGTTTTTTCAGCAGGCCGGTCTGCCAACGGATCAGGCTTTCAACATGTCAATTGTCGGATATGCACCCGGATCCACCGGGGTTGTCTTCTCTCTAAGTCTTGAAGTACTCTTTGGGAGTAAGGACAGTCTATTGATGCATCCTTCATGCAGTGGCTCTTGATGCCCAGAGTTGGCCGACGAACGTTCTTCATATGGGGCTTGATCGGCGTAGGCACGTTCTTCCTGATCGTTGGAGGACTTGGTGTGCGCCAAGCAAGCGCTCCATCCTCCGGTCTGTCCTGGGCTGTGGGAGGTCTGCTGCTTGTGTCGGTCTTCATCGTCGACATTTCTGTGGCTCCGCTCTCGTATACGCTGGTGTCGGAGATCCCATCCTCTTTGCTTCGAAAGAAATCCGTGGTGATTGCGCGCTTTTGTTACGCGACCGTCAACATTGTAGCCAATGTGTTAACACCATATCAGTTGAACCCCACGGCTTGGGGATGGGGAGCACGCAGCGGATCCTTTTGGGCGGGAAGTTGTGCTCTTTTGCTGATCTTCACGTACTTTTTCGTCCCAGAGCCTAAGGACAGACCGATTGCAGAGCTGGATCTGTTGTTTGAAAAGAAAGTGTCGGCAAGGAACTTCAGCAAGCCCAAGTCCACATATCCGAGGGCACAGCGCACTAAAATGCAGCTTGACATCCTGAGATCGGGTAGCGCGGAGGTTCGAATACTTAGAGCATATCACTTATTTGATGAAGCAAAAAGTCAACGGGCGTCTCGCGGACCAGTCTGCTAACATACCTGCTACTCTACCCCAGGATTCCCAATCTCTGTCAGTAGGAGACGAGGCCCCACCCGCCAACCCAAATCGGCCTACCTTCGAGGGGGAATCCCGGACACATACCGCTAGGCCACCGGGGTGAGTCTAAACGGAGTGCGACAGAGGCCTCTACCATCGGTCCAATTTAGAGAAAGATTCGGGGACTTTAAAAGATGAAGTACTGAGGGTCGGGTGTGGTAGAAAGCTCGAATTCGACTGGGTGAGGACTGCCTGACTTCACTGATAAGGCGGTTTCTCGCAAATAGGCCCTCGTGCCATACACGTTGTCCTCGGTGCTCCGGACTTCAATGATTTTATCAACAGCTCTGTTACTCTGATAGACATAGGACAGGCTTTTCCTTTCAATCGTGTCGAGATCAGTAACGCATGGAAGCACCAGAACAGGTGTCCAGGAGCAAGTGGGCGAAGGAGTCACTAGATGTGAAAAGCGGCATGGAATTTCTAGGAGTCATCTATGCCAAGGCCGGGGCTATCATAGAGCAGCGAGACATGAAAATGACCGATCCTCGCGTTACTTGCATAAGGTACCCGTCCGAAGCCTCCGCGCCCAACCTTTGTATCACAGAATCAATTCACTCTTTACCTTGCCCACCAGACCGCCTACCCACCACTGCTCCTTGACCGTACTCTATAGTCAACTACTCCAACATGTCCGAAGAACGCGCCCCGTCCCCCACACCCTCCGAACGAGCCCGCAAGGACGCCGAAGACCGCAAGCGCGAAGAGGAAGAACAAGCCAAACTCCCCTACCGCTGGACACAAACCCTCGAAGAAGCAGACGTCAACGTCCCCATCCCCGGCAATCTCAAGGCGCGCGACCTCATCGTCGAACTGAAAAAGACACACATCAAAGTCGCCATCAAAGGACAAGAACCCATAATTGATGTCCGCAGCGTTCCCCCCCCCCCCCCCCATAACTCAAACCCATACACTTCTCATGGTGTCTAATTGTTTGTTTTGTAGGGCGACTTCCCACACCCGATCCAAGTCGACGACTCAACGTGGGTCCTATCCACGAAACCCGACAACACCAAAGAGGTCGCGATTAACCTGGCCAAGGCCCGCGGGTCGCACTGGTGGGCACACATAGTGACGTCGGCGCCCAAGATCGACACGACGAAGATCGTGCCCGAGAACTCGAAACTGTCCGAGCTCGACGGCGAGACGCGCGGCATGGTCGAGAAGATGATGTACGACCAGGAGATGAAGAGGCAGGGCAAGCCCACCAGTGACGAGCAGAACAAGCAGGACATACTCAAAAAGTTCATGGCCGAGCACCCGGAGATGGACTTCAGTCAGGCTAAGATGGGCTGAGACTGAATTGAACGCTGGAAGCCAACTTGGTCGGGGCCGCATGAATTGTACGAGTATGATACCAACGACGATCATGAATATCAAAAAAAGTACATTGCATCAAGGGTTGTACATACCTAGGTATTAAGTGGATCGACTCCACATGAAAATCAGCGTCGACCAACATAAAGAACCGTGCATCGTCACCCCAGTTCGTATTGTGTACTCTGTCATGCAGTGAGTTCGTATTCCCTCAAGCCTCACTTTGTCTGATAGACATTAAAATACCCGAAACTGGCATAGTGATTTTCCGGTTCCTTGAATCTCAGCCTCGTCGTTGTTTATTGGCTACTTTCGCGTCTAGGCCTCCTTTTCGCCTGAGCCTGACAGCGTCGCCTCTCTTCGCATCTGAGGTTGCGACCCTTTGTGCACAATAGGCTGCCTCTATCTGCCTCTGTCACATATGATCTCCCATCAGAAATACAGTGGCTCCGATTCTCCCATCATTCACGGGCGGAGCGGGCCGTCTTCACATGCTCATCTCACACTCGACAGACGGCAGTGCATCCAATGAGCGAACCTCAGCTTGCTTCACAGAAGCCTGAGCAAAGAGAGTGTCCCCATCGTTTGACTTTTGGGTACTCTCTGGTATGTCGAACATGTTCTCGTCTTTCGTCTTGGCTAAGTTGCGGTCGTCTTTCATATCTTCGACCCGAATCTCTGATCGATTGGCAAGTTCTGCTGCCTGGGCAGCTTCTGTGAGCAAAGTGTTAGTATATAACGTGGCAAGATGGCGTGTGTTGCACTCTCACTCTGCATGACTTGGACCACGATGTTCTCAACTTCGTCTCTCAGCGTGATCAAGGCAGGGTACTCGAACTCATTATCAGGGTGGATGGCCTCCGTGATGGCGCGAATCATCCCTTGGAATGCCTTCGGGTTGAATGCCGATTGACGCCAGTCTTCCGGTAAATTTAGTTTTCTGAAGGTAAGACTGTTGCGATCGCGACGAGCTAAAGAAGGTCAGCTTTCCCATGGAGCTTTCTGCGCATCAAGGTTACCAGTAGTCTCACACTGATTGACGCTCTGTTGTGCTTCCGCCTGTGTATGTTCTGCAGGTATCTTGGGTTCTCTTGAAAGGCTCAAATTGCCCATGGCCCTCTGCAGCAGGTCTCTTCCTCGTCTCCTCTTCTTTTTGATTTTTCCAGCGCCGCTATCGGGAGACTTATTCTTGACTTTGGCCATCCTCGGGTCACACAGATAGACGTCGGCGGCCGTGACTTCAGGGATGGGGTGTGTCTCTCAAAGTGACAGTAAAGGCGACCTTTCTGAGTTGAACGCAGTGGCTTCAAAGTTGCAGGCAACAAGAGTTCTCGGTGAAAGGATGTGAAGAGCTTGGCAAGAGAGAGAGGTAAAGAGTGAATTCGACATCATCTGGAGGGTCGTGACTTCCGAGGTCTGGTATGAACCTTTAAGGATGGTCAGCAGGGTTCATCTCTTGCTCCTTATCACTGTGTCGTCGTCCATAAGGCGTATACTGTCGGCACGCTAAAGTACAGGGCTTGGTTGAGTAGGTGGTGGTGAAGTTGTTGTACCCTCGTCGAAGGGTTGTATCTTACCTCGCAATCTGCTCCCATTGCAATCCGACCAACTGGCGGCGCAGGCCTTTCTGAGCGTTGTCACTTGGGCCTGATTAATCTTTTGGTTTGTCTCATGAAGACGTCTGAGTAAGTTCTCGGTTTTTCTCACCACGTGCGAGTGTACGTCGTGATCGAAGTGGACGGGTCTGCCCACCGCTCGTTCCCATTTCTCCACTCACGGGTGTCTGGCGACAGTGCATTGTAGATGGACTGACATTGCATTGTCAGCGAAGAAAGCTGTGCAACTGATGTCGGATTCTGTTCCCACGATGGCTGTTTATGGGCCACATTACTCCATTCTGCCCTTTCCATAACGCGTGGGTGATTCCCTGCCAGATCGGCAGTCATGCATTTCATATAATTCCGTCCACGATGTTAGCGATAATGATGAGAAAAGCAGTCCTACGTAGAGGCCAGCCCGTCTACATGAGTGTGAATACACGTGAACCAGATATTTGGCAGAAGTTCTGGTCGTGATCTTGCTCTGATCCATTGCTCAGTGCTGTGTGGCGGAAGATCTGGTAGTCGACGCGGTCGCAACTACTTCCGGGCAGCAGAGTGATCGCGAATGTACGAGTGGCTGAGCAGGATACGAATGCCAGAAGGAAAACCCTCAAGCCAAACCCACGTGTTTGCAATGGCTTGCTACTGTCACATCTCTCGGGTCGATGGCGTTGAGGCATTTCTGATATCCCCCACGCTTTGCAGCAAGGGCCAGACAGTTCACACGTCCAAGAAGATGTTGTGTATGGACGGGACTTGCAAGACTGCGTGCTTCAAGATACGAGAATCGAGAGTCTAGATCTTTCTTTCTTGCGAGGAACTGTCTCAAGGACCAAAATTGTTTCGTGATTTGACCTCGTTTCAGCCTCAGCTTTTTGAGCCGTGGGGGGCAAAGATGGATTGGTAATTCAGTAATCGCTTTGAAACAACAGCAGACTCAGATCTACGCTTATGTTGAGGACATGCGTTTGGTGTTGCGTGCAGGGACTTGCATGAACACAAAGGCTGGAGGAAGAGTCTACTTGCTCAGGGATCTTTTCTGGGCCGAGGAATTCTGGTTGGGCATCAAATGCTTTCTCTAAGCCCCATGGCTGGGTGCATGGTATCTTTGGGCCCACATGGGTTAAGTGAGAGTAACGAGACGCACAGTACTACGTACATAACCTGCAGAATATTGCGAGGTGTTAGATCTAGAGAAGCTTCAGGCTGCGGCTTTCAGATTCATTGGCAGTCTTTTCAGACCTGATATCTACAAGATCTGCTAGTATGCTAGGCTTCAACGTTGATCCCCTTGGATAGCGGTGTGCCCAGCCCTCCGTTCTTCGCATATTGCCGGTATCGACGCTCGTAGAAGTTTGCCACCTCTTGCGCCGCAAGTGTCTTTCAGGTAGCAATGCATGCGCTGGCTATGATCACACTGAAATTTCAGGCTTCAGAGCCCTAGGTTCCTGCAGATTGGGCAGCTTGTAGTTGAAGCCGCATTCTGTTGCAGTGTCTTTCGCCCTGAGTTGCCTTTGTCTGGAGTCTCATGGGCTCAGCATACGTGGTTTGCAACGGGACACCGGTTCTCCTGCTCTGCGACGTGTAGCTGTTGCGGAAGTATCCTTGTCTTCCAACTTTGCACGCTGCCTCAGTTACCACATCTTTACCTGCCTCATTCGAGTCTGCTTCCGGTCCAAGCGCAAGGTAATGGAGAGAACTGACCCGCAAGCGAATCGAGATCTCTCCGCGAGATGCGAATTGCTGTCGGTAGTGGGCCACAGTCACGCTATTTCGATTTTGGTTGCAACAGGGCCTGCACAAGAAGGACGCAGAATCCCAACGGAGGATGAAAGCATAAACAGCCTGTCTGAGGTACCGTTTTCCGGCTTCCTTGCGTAGTAGGCCATTCGACATCAGCAGACCGCCTGATCCCAGCATATTAGGCGTCCTGAGGATGATTTCCCTGCTATTCATGGCAAAAATGAAGCCACTGCGTCGATGCAGGTCACAATGGCCCACCCCGGCTCTGTCGCGTGGCTGGAGACAGCATCGCAGAGCCTGTGTCTTACCAACGTCGTCATTTCCAAAGTAGCTTTCTTTTGCTCATAGGTCTTGAAGGTATCTGCGCGGTCCTAGGTTCAGTCATGCCAGCTGAGTAGACACTTTGACGCTGGACAAGACATTGGGCTTCGACCTTCTTCGAAGACTTTTTTCTTCTTCTGCATTTGTGTTCCTTGCTCGAGCACCACTGTAATCTGTAGAGCATTCCCACCTTTCTCCTGGCTTACTCCTGACAGGCTTCAGAAGCTCAACAGGAGGCATCTCAACAGAGAATCTTGTACTGCAGAGCCGCTCAAGATCCTGTAGCATTCTCAGACCCTTCATTGACGTTTTGTGAATGTATCTTATGTTAGTGCTTGGCCAAAAGATCCAGAGTCGAAGACTTCCAAGTTCAATCTCTCAGCAGAAGGGTCTTAGGAAGGGGTCTCGAGCGTCCGTAGGTGCGGGTGGTCAGCAACGCTTTCAATCACAGTCGAAAGCCTCGCATACACGCTAACTTGGGTGATGAACTGAGGACTGGAAGGAGCCGTGCTCGACCTCGATTAGATTTCGAACCGGCATCTTCTGCTAGTTCGCCAGGGGAGCTTTCTGATTGAAATGTTTGGAGGCGGATTGACAGTATCGCTTAGAGAGGAGTCGGGTTAACAAAGAGTGGCTGCCTGTTGAGGCACTGGAAGTCCGGCGGTAGCAATCTCTCCAACGGCCTCTCCTAGAAAGAAGCCGCTCACTGGTGACAGACTGCCTCGCGATCTGCCCTAGGAAGGCAATGCCAGGAATTTTACGCCAATGGCAAGGAGGACCAGTCCTGGATATACTTGACTGCAGCAGGGGACCAAGCCTGATTCCACAGCTTTTGCCCGGGTCCGCAGGCAGCCAGAGGGTTCTTCTGTCGCCTTGCTAGATGCGGTGTGAGAAGTGGCTGCATGTCGACTAGGCGGAAATGCCTTGCAATTGGCATGCAGGAGGGAGGAATAGAGAACTGTCCAATGACCATCCTGATCTGTTTCGAAGATGTGCGGATCATTAGCTCTTCCTGGTCAAGTACATCCTGCCGATTCTAGCTCGGTGCAAGAAGACAACGAGCATTTTTCTGCTCACAAAAGTGGTTTGCATACGGGCCAACGAGGGGAGGAAGTTCGTTCAGGCCGGATGAGGGGGCAAACGATGTAGTGCGTCCCAGTAGCCACTCTTCCGCCATGAAGTCTCTCGGGCGTCAATCCGCATGCTTTCCACAGGAGGCTGCGCTTTCTGGTCCAGCTCGCTTCAAATTGAACTGCCAGTATCAAAATGATTGGTAAAGTTCAACAAGGCTTCTATTGGAAACCGAGTTCCCGAAGTCTGGCTCTCCTTTCGAGGATCACGTTCTCCGTCTGCCTATATAGAGCATCGAGCTGTTCCATAGATAATGAGTCCATCAAGATTCTTGCAACTTGTGTGCCTGCACTAACAAGCTGTAGCATATACCGGTCATCCTTGGGCGTCCTGGACTGCTGGTCTCTGTTGTTCTGCCTGACTGCAATAGAATTTTCCAATGTCGTGACAAACTGTTTGATTTGATTATCGTAGAGCACACGGGCTGGGATCCTTCTCTTGGTAGCAAGCCTCTTGAGCAAATAAGCCCATTCTGTCCACTCTCTGTCGGCAGGTGTCCGGACTCGAGGCTTGTCACGTTCGAGGGGGATAGGAAACTGGTACTTTGCCACAAAATGGAAAGCACACCGAGACAGGATGTCGTCGACGCGTAGCGTGATTTCGTCCTGTTCCTCGATGTTCAAGTGTACAGGAAGCGTAGGAAGAGCTTGAGAGCGTGCGTGTTCTTGCTGCGGTACAGGAAGTGGCAGAAGCTGTGACGGTCCATCAAACTCGTCCTGATTGAAGGGTCGTCTGCGGGTATGATATCTGGCCGCCCTTCCCATCTCGGCACCGCGGCGATTGTGTGTCTCCAGGTCGAACTCGGCGTAACCTTGACTGGTCGGCGATCCTGTCTGGAAACTGTAGCTATCCTGACTCTGTCGTCGGAGAGCAATCTCGTCAGGATTGGACCTTGGTGGCAAGACGGGCGGCTGATATGAGCCTGGGTCAGAGGTGAAAGCAGAACTTTGCGATCCCAGAGACAGAGGCCGGAACTGATCGCCAACGGCCGTAGGTACAGTGGCACGAATCGGTCCGTGTATCTCAGGGGGCAGCCTCTGCCGCAGTCTTTCAGTTCGACCGGGAGAGATGCGCCCGCCAGTATCTCCCGCAAAAGGGTCGTACGCGGACGATGACCATGGTGTGAACCTGCTGTGGACTTGTATCAGTTTCTTGTGACGGCATTGGAAGGCCATGGCAGCACTTACTTATGAAAAGAGAACGATGAGGGGCTGTCGGCTGGTGGCCTCGACGATGCGGTATTCCCTGGATTGGACAAAAGGAAATCCTCGTGCTCAGACATGCCCACGTTGCCGTCGGTCAGATCAAGGGCGAATTGTATTCCGGGGGCGACTGCCGAGGAGTAGGAAGAATGTAGATTGTTGATCGGAGATGTCAAAGCCAACATGATCAAATCGGTCAAACTGACATGCAATGGGGACGAGGAGAGTACAAAATAAAACCGGCGAGGTAAAGGATGTACGTCTCCGTCTCTGATAGGCGAGTTTGATCAATCAATCGGCCAAGGGGGCTTCGCACAGGGCATCCATTAGCATTGGGCATTAGTATTGTTGATGCCAGACTTCCTGTATGAAATAAAAGATGGACTGAAGTCCAATAAAGATATGGCATTCATCATAGGGCACGTGGAGGGGATAGGTTCGTGTGGCTTTGAGCCCTCGTAGACCCATTCGAAAGGCTATTCTCGAAGTTGTGATGCCCACCCTTCCGCAACCCCGGACAGTCTAGTTTCTCACACCAGGCCCACCCTCGCAGGGGCTGAAACAAAGTGCCTGAAGCTTCGCGGCGGATTGTTGCCGACACCATGGATGAGGCGTCGAGGGTCTCTTTTAGGCACTCTGTAAGTGTCCGTCTAGTCTCTGGCAATGGGCGCCACATGCTCGCGTCCAGGAACGAAGCATCGGAAATTGACAGATGCTGGCGTTAAGCCTCGTCTTCTGGAAGCTCGATTAATTTCCTTCTGGACGGTTCTGATAGCGGAAGCATGCGCGCATCACGGTGTAGTCGGCACGTCATGCACCGGGAATGCCCAATGCCTGCCCATCGATGAAGATGATTGATGCCCGAACAGCATTGAGTGGACAGAAGTGCCCCTAGCTTGCGACTGAGTACAGCACTTCAAGATCACGAGTTTCGATGCTCGACCGTCGAGCTTGTAGAAACCCATTAGCCTCACAAGACGACCAGGTATAGCAGGCATTATTCGCAGGTGCATGAACAGTCTCATGAAGGGACAACTTCGTTGGCTATGGAAGTTTGGACAGGGTGTGCAGCCGTTGTGAAGAATGCAGCGGCGATCATGGTCCAGGGTGGAGAACCACCAGTCACGATCACGCGAGCCGCGGCTAGCAAGCATCACGGCAGCCAACTCCAATGGGCCTCGCCGAGAATGATAGTGTCTCAAGGCCTGCAAACCCATCTCAGAGACAAAAGACAATTTCTAAGCGAACAGAGAATTGGAAGAACCCCCTCAGAGTTCGACCATTCGTTTCCCTCTTTCCAGCAGCCACAAATGGCGGCGTCGGCGAGTCGGGATAGAAAAGGAAACTGCGGCCGGTGAAGCCATGTCCCGCTAGAAAAAGATGGTCAAAGCCGGCTGAAAGGTTGAGAGTGCAAAATGAGGTTGAAGTAGTGTGATACAGAGTACTTCAAGGGAAAAGCCCATTCAGTGAAGCGTCACCGCTGCCCAATGTTCGCCCGTTCGCCGATCATGGACATGATCTACACCGGCCTTGGTGAGGCGACAGCGGGACCTTCTCGAAGGCTAATAGCTTGTTCGAATGTCTGAACAAAGACGGAGCTGAGCCCGAAAGAGGTAGCCTGGCATGTCTGAGTACATGGAAGGGCCTGCTATTGTAGCAGACGGGGAGGCGGAATGGCAAAGGTTCTTAGAGCTGGTCCTTGAAGACCTGGTCAACGGCCGCGAGGGAGTGACTTGAATAAGCCCGAATCCATTTCGAAGGAGAAGTGTGTGATTTTGCCTGGAAGCCAAGACCAGTACCCTTTAGTCGCAAGAAACAAGGCACGGCCCAGGACTCGTAGGGCTTCATGGGCTCCATACTTGGCTAGTGATAGTTTGCCAGGACCATGGATCCATGGTACCGCAGGAGCGGAAAGGTCGTCGTAAGATGGGTCCAGGGCAGATGACGAACGCTGATTTGGAGGAGCCCAGATCGATTTGCCGTACAGAGTTAGTCGCAAGAGGCGAGAGTTGACGGGATGGAGACCAGGAAGATCACGTCGAACGGCTTCGTGACAAGGGGGTCTTTGTTTTGGTGAAGAAAACAGTGGAGGGTCAGAAATGGAAGATTGAGAACAAAGGGGGAATCCCGCTGTTTAGACTAAGCGCCGCTAAATGCGCAGACAGCCAATGATAAAGCAGCCAAGACCAGACTACGTCATTTTCTAAAGCGCTAACCCTTAACTTGAGACGACCATCTCTCCTGCTATCTTTTTCACCTTCCTTCCACCACCACTCATTCAACACCATCAGCCACTGAGCCACATAATCACTACTGTCGCCATGGTATGACGGCTTCCATGGATTTCGGGAAGGCTTCTCTTGCTGTTGGGGACTCGTCGAGGCTGTCCACACGGAATTATGGCCGTCTCCATAGCTCCTCCACGCACCTCCTTCATGTTTCGTCTGAGTGGTGTCCGTCTTGAAAGCAACATCTGATGCATTTCGCCTACTGCCTTGCTCAGGAACTTCGAGGAGGACCCGAGGACATCGTTTCAACATTCGTCATCTGAGATACAAGTCATAGCTAAGTGTGCCACCATGGTTTGCAAGGCAAGGCTCCCCATCACTTGACCTTGCCGCTATACTTAAAAATAGCCGTCGATCTAGGTCCAAATGCCTAAAGCAGAAGAGTTGCGCCGTGAGGGTCGTCGCTGCGCACCTTCGCTTGCTTCTAGAAGGCAGGTACTATCGCTTCCATCCCGAGCTGGCGTCCTAACGGTGTCAAGGGGCAAACACGACACCAATGGGGTAGCACGAGTTGGCTTGTTCTTGAGCAGGATAGTTGACCTCATTCGACAGGCACCTGATCAGTCTGATGTGGCGATAATCTCCGAGAAGTTGCCATATCTTCACGTCTGCTCTCGACACACGTCTGCTCGTTCCTGACGTCGTTGCAAGCGTCGCGCATAGTCCTGATTGACGTTGCATCTGTTAGCACACATGCTCACAAATCCGCTACCGAGTAACGAGAACTCCTTGCGAAACGCTAGAAGTCGGCAGAGAACACATCACTCACTTGGCAACTTGTCTTGATGCCCACTTCTAGCCCTATTCGTGGGCGATAGCCGAGAATCCTGCTGGCTTTGTTCCCCGTCGCATAACGCATGGCCGCCGCATCCATCACGCTACCGCGGGACAGGGTCAATGGCCGGCCGGAAATTCGCGTGAAAAGTTCCGCGACCAGACCCAGGGCCCACCCCAGTCCTTCTGGAATTCGAATTTCCAACCAAGGCGGGTAGTGTCCAAACTCTTTCCATACTGCAAGGCTAAATTCTCGGAACGAGATGGGCTCGTTGTTTTGAATGAAGAACGTCTCTCCTGCCGCGCTTCCGGCCCCGAGGCGAGCACTTTCGACAACATCCTTCTCGTCGGCGTCGACTGGGTTCCGCTTTGCCCGGATACTCAACAGGTTTTCCAGGGCGAGCACATGAGCATCAGCTACGTTTCCAACATACGTCGTATCCCAGAGATTACAGCCATCTCCAATGATGAACCGAGATTCCCCTTTCGCGATACAGGCGTGAATGGAAGGTATCAGCTGATTGTCTCCTTCTCCGAAGATAACAGATGGCCTCAAGACGCAGGTGAGCATCGGACGTTGGGGGCGAGGGTGAAGACTCTTCTCGGTGGGGTCGTCACCTGCGGACTCCTGGGCCTGCTCACGATTGGTGTTTGCTGCAATCACAATCCTTTCTGCTTCGACCTTGCTCTCGCCATAGATGGAGCTCTTGTCGGCCACAGGCCACCTCTCGTCAATATTCGGATATGACATGCTCATGTCATCTACTACAGCGCAGCAACTACTCGTATAAACCAGGGCTCTGCAACCGGTCTGTTTCGCTGCTCCTACCACATGTTGCGTGCCGGTGACATTGGTCTTCCTTACCAGTGCTTCGATACGACGTGAGTATCTGGCAAGGCAAGGTGAGTTTGCGATCTTGAATGCAACCGAAGAGGGTAGCATGGTGCAGAGACGGAGGGGGCTTTCGTGCAGAACCAATAATACAGCTACCCCGAAGATGTGACTCTCGAAGGTGATAGTTTCATCAGGAGAGATCAATCGTGATTGTCTTCAAGCGCGGCGGTTACGGACGTGCTCGGACAAGTTGAGAAAACAGAACGAAAGGGACCTACCTTTCGCTCAAAGGCGGAACCATGCCTGCCGAATGCACAACAGCATCAGGCTTTATCCGCTCGAGTGCCTCCATCACATCCATCTGGTTTGTGATGTCTGCCTGGACGTGCTCATATGAGCATCCTCTGAGCAGCCCATAGTCGTCATCTTGGTATTCCGGCAAACCTCTGGGATCTTCGGCTGCATCTAGAATGCATACCACCCACTCTGGGTGCTGCTCCTGCAATGCTCGAACAATAGCCGACCCCACGAAACCCAGACCACCAGTCACCAGGACCTTGATTCTTTGTGAAACTCCTTCCGACGTTGTCGAGCTTATATTCGAGCCCGGCTGCAGAGCTTCAATTTCGAGTTTCGCCATAGACGTCCAGGGCGCCGGAGCTGCTGTAACTGCAACGTCCTTTAACCTCCAGTCGACGAACACAAATTTCAATCTTTTCTGCGGTGTTTCATTCGCCTTTTCATGACAGCGGCCGATATCCCACGTCGTGAGTCATGACGAGGCTGGATAGTACATTACCTCACGACCCGAGGCTTGCAGGCGAGACGACCGACGTTAGGGGAGAATGGGATCTGAAGGTGGTGTGATCCGCGATGTCGAAATCCCGTCCCTTTGGGTTTCACTCTTTCGACATGGTGCGTTGCATGTCAGGCCATGGGCCTTTACTCTTCCGAGACAAAATCCTGTCGATCGATGCCGAGCTTCAGGAAGTCAGGTACGAGAAGCGGAGATGTTTCTCCATCAAGAAAAACAGCTCACGCACAGTTACGAGTATCGCAGTTATGACTCGACAAGCGCCAAATGACTGGGCCTTGATCAGCCTTGTCACCGTCATTGATTTCATCACTACCTGACCTACGGTAGGTACCACACACCACACAATATTCGCAGATGGGCAGCTCTATCGTACTCGTAGTAAGGCAACACAACCTGCTTCGTATCCTACCCGGTCGACGCAATGGCAACAGCTCATCTCGGTCTCGAACTTGGCCACGTTTCGGAAGATGCGAACGAGGTTCGTATTGCGATACTAGTACGCCTGTGCCCTGCATGCAGCCTTTTTGTTCAAAAAAGGACTGCCAAACGCCTATAATACTACACTCATTACAGCTATCAGACCTCATGTCTGATGGGAGCTTGTGATCGAGCCACATCTACAAGTCGGATTGCACAACTTCTTCTCATCTTAGCAAAATGTCTATCCTTGTCTGCTGGCAGAGTTCAACAGACAGACACAAGAACACCAGAGGGGGCGTCAGGTCATCATTCGTCCATTCCTCCCGCTCTCCACGATTGAAGCTTGACCGGCATCATATGAAATGGCCTCTCTCGTAGTCCTGCACATGCACATGGGGCTGCCCATGTGCCACGCCTATGGCTTCTGGCTGGTGATACTGATGTTGTCCATCACTTGGTCCCGATAAGGCGTGATAAGCGTCCGGCTCGGGATCGTCGTCGACACCAAAATACTGTTCATGAAGATTGGGATCCTGGACCTGACCGGTCCCAGGACCTACGTCTTCGCGTTGGAAGCTGTTCCTTAGCGGTGTGCCCTGATCGGATCCTTCCGCTTGAGGTTGGAGGTGACTCCATCGACCTTGCGCCATTCCTGGACTTGGATGTTTGGCTTGCAAATACGTCGGGCTGATCGCGTGCATTTCGGTCGGTGGTTGAACTTGGCCCCATACTTCCACGCCCTTGCCAGACACGGGACTATACATGCCATCGACGTTGGCTTCGTGAATGCGGCTCATACGTCCGGTCTCAGCCATGCGCTGCCGCCTCTTTCGTGTGAATACGAAGCAGCACCAGCATGCGCTTCCGAAGAGTAAGATCCCGCCTACAATGGGTAATGCGATAGCGACGGCCAGTTGCCAGCCATGCAGTCCGGAGCCTGAGCCGGTGTTGTTCGATGTCGCGGCAGGGCCTGCAATGAGCGTCTCATTGAAGATGGCGGCAGCAATGGGAAAGAATGGCTTGCCCGAAATGGGTGGTTGGACACAGGAGATATGTAGTGCTTGCAGGACTGTGATGCGTCAGTCACACAAAAGAGCCCTAATGGGAACACCGTCAAGGCCTTACAATTCGCGAGGAACAACTGCTGCGGAATAAAGCTATAGCAGAAAGCACATCGGTTGATGGTTGTGCTGTCGAAAGTCCCTACGTTGCAGAATGCCTCTCCGGGTCTGGCAGTAGACGTATCATTCGTGATTTGATAGTCGATGGACGCGTTGAGCGCAGCGCAGCTGACTTGACAAGGACTGCTGATGGAGATATGCGCCTCTGGCCAGGCAAACATGCACCCTGCGAGGGCGTAGCGGAAGGCCACTGGAACATTGGTTCAGCACTTTGATTGCCCCCAGATTGTAGCATGTGTACGAAGTAAATAGGAGAGAGTCGGTAGCATACATAATCCCCATCCCACATCGGTCTCATTCTTACTCGTGTCCACGGCTGTGCTATTCAATTGACATGCCACGCATTTCTGGTATGCTCGACCTTGCGGTAGGGCTTGGTAATCTGCATCGAGGCAGACCACATCTTCGTTGAGGGTACCTGCGTCGGCGCAGACTGATTCGCAAGGCGACCCTGCGACGTATTGGAGGGCGGAAGTCAGACGAAGGAAGACGATCAGCAGGCAGAGGAGGGTGAGATGGAGGGCCGAAGGTGAAGGGGCGGTCGCATGGCGGTCATGCCAAAAGGCCATAGCATGACACTGACGGTGAGCGCAGCGACATATGAAACGATCAACCACAACGCGACCGCACAGGCAGACACAGGTTGGATTCGAATGGACGGGATTCTCGCGGCTTGTTATTTCAGTCCAATTTTAAGGCCAGCGGAGGGCGACAAAGGTGACACTGGTGAGTGGGACAGCAACGAGTGTGGCATCAGCAGCGGCACATCCCCCCTCGTGCCGACGCAGTTTTGCATGGCGGAGACCTCATGGGTGCATGGCTTGCTGCGTTGTGCATGGGCTTGCATCTTCCCGGGCGGTTAGAGAAGCTGGCCTGCCCAGTTAGCAGAGCTTCACGAGGTTGGTGTGAGGTAGAGTGATTGGTGGCAGGTTGGTGGCAGGGTGTGATAATGGTCGTTGGAGAAGCTGAGTGGTGGGAGACTTCTCGTGCTACTCGACGCTAGGAAGACCGACAACAGGCCCATCATCCTCTCATGTTCCAGCTTAGTGGGTGATGGTCTGGGGACATCACCGAAATTCGAGATCGAAGGCTGTTGAAGATCGACATTGACACTACATGTGGACTATGGAGTGCTTCGTAGCTCCTGAACATACATGAAGCTAACCCCCTACACAGAAACGGAGGCTTCGGATATCACGGAGTTGGCACCTGAACAAATTTCTCTTTCACTACTGCGACAGTTGTCGTTCGTGAGCGAACCGCCGGCGACATGCAATATTGATCAAGCGAAGCGATGCTACTGTGATAATGCTGTGATGCGCATGAGAAACGCCTCAACTTCAGATATACAATACTTGGGATCCCTGATTTTTAAACGCTGAGACCGGTGTTTGGACTCAGGCGAGTTGACATTGTTCTTCAATGGAACATATATACAATAGTCAGGACTGCTATCCCAAATCCGACTTAGAGATCTCCTTGATCTAGATCTTTTTGCTTCACACCGCATCCTTGCCGTCAAGGGATACGGAAATCATCCCAGACATGTTCTTCAGCATCGGAGTAGCCACCAGCCCGAGAATGGAGCAGAACGTGCTTCGGGTTTAACGGTGCGGACTGCCTATAGCTCCTGGACAGCAGGTCAAGTTGAGCAGAGACTGGCGACGAAAGCATATTCACGATGGACATCGGCCCGGAGCTTTAAAGTGATGGTCTCGAGACGGGCTTGCTCTCGTGTCTGAAAGCTACCGCCCTCTGTTGAGTTCTTCGACTCTTTTCTCAAACGCCGAGATCATTGTGCTCGCAACCTTTTCCTCAACCTGGGCAAACATCTGATCATAAACTGGATTCCGGAACTTGACATTGACATCCAATTTCACCGACGCATGGTCTGGGGATCCCCTGTCCGAGTGCGAGATCTGCCATTTCGTGCTCAGGACTTCAAACAGACCATCGCTGTTCTCTTCACTGCTTCGTGCCTCCACAAGCCCCTTTTCGGGGTCGCAGCGGACGATGCTGTCCCAGTCCTCCTCCAATCCGAATTTTGCATAGCCGACTTTTAATCTGGCGCGGGTTGGGTAGCCTGCTGGATCTCTCGAGGTCACATTTGATGAGATGGTGAATGGTAGAAATGTTGGGTAGCCAGACACATCCGACACAGCTTTGAAGATCACACTAGGTGAGTATGGTAGAAGCTTCGTATGTGACAGTGAACGTAGAGGGCAGGGGCCCAGAGCTGAGGATAGTATAGAGTCAAGAAAGTGTCGACTCTGGAATGGTGATACTTGATTGACGCCGAGTAGTGGTCGGTGATAGACCGTAGAAGCCCTGCTTGGGCTCTGAAGCAGGATGATAGGCCGTCGTGAGTTCATCTTGCCTGAATCAGAAATCCCCCCGAACGCCAGTTACATGCAAGCCAGTAGGGAAACAGCCATGTCAGTCCAATTTGAATGGAAAAGAGGCGCCTTAAGTAGAAAGAAAATGGATGATGGTCGTCATGAAGCAGTCAAGGAGCAAAGAACATAAAAATTCGCTTATGTCATTTTGTCTGTTGATGTTTCTCCAAATTTCACCGGCGACACTTTTGGTCGAATTCGTCGTTCGATTGACCACCATTTCCTCAACCTCGCAGAAGCGAGTCTCATTATCGTTCTATACTTCCATCTACGGGTGTACATAGTCTTTCAGAATTCAGATATGATACGCCGCTAGTCGCCAGCTCCCCGTTGCTCCTCCGAAAGAACTGCAGCTATGGAGACATCGAGCGCTCCGCCTCCTGATGCGGTTGCTACCAGAAAGCAGCCTCCGCCTGAGAAGCCAGAAGCTGTGACCTTGAGAACGAAGATCGTGATATCTTTCTGGGCAGTCATACTTCTACTTGGACTCCCCACATGGTGGCAGACAACGTCAATATACAGGGCCAATCTGCCGCTTCAAGACATGGTCAATTGGGCAGAGGGTTTCGTGCGTAATGACCGACGTTCCTTCAGTCTGCAGCTAACTCTCGCTCGTAGAATATTCCTGCCGCTATCCCCTTGCACATCTGGATTCAGCCGTCTGGCTTCCCATGCTCCGACGCGGAGCGCCTGGTGCGCGACACGCAACAAGTCCTCGACGACCTCAACGAATACCCAACCCTGCACCAGAGACTACACCTCGTCAGTCGCTTGTCGAGCACCAAAAGAGACGGCCAAGAAGGAGACCGTCCGGGCTGTGGTGGAGATCCTACAGATCCAGTTCTCGGAGATCCAGCCCTGAAGATCATACTGGAGCCAGCTCCAGACACTTTCGAGTTCAAGTTGGACGTAGTCACTGCCACAGCTACTGTACGTGGGTCAGGAAGCAACATGCCCAAGCAACTGGCAAACATCCTACAAGATCTCTTCAAGGACGAGCAGATTGCAGCAGCTCTTCAAGTTGTGTCTCTCGCGAGCCACTCGAATTATGCGCAGGCTTTCCTGAAATCGCAGCCATTCGACCAGGTCACCAGCATTGAAAAGCGAATCAGTCGTGCCTACAAGTCATCCCCCGAGTTTCACTTGACTTTCTCCCTTTTCACGGCCAGCGGGTCCCCATCTAGCTGGGATGTTCAGGAAGCACTGAAAGATAACGTCTATCCTTTGGTACAAGCACTGTCCGATACGGCACAAATCGATGTCACGACTCAGGTTCAGCTCTACTCGGCATTTTCTCCAGCGGTCCAGCCTGTTCTCCTCGAAGGACGCAATGGTACATTCCTGCAAGAGCAAGACCTGACGGCATTCGTGAATGCTGCAGAGTGGCCACTTGCTCCTTCTATCGGAGAAGGGCCCACGCTGAATTTCATCCTGTATGTGCCCTCCATCGACCAGAGTCCACTCACCATCGATAAGGTCGAGGGCACATCTTGGTTGATTCCCCAATGGGGTGGTATCCAGATCCTTAATCCGCCAATGCAGGCCGATGCCGTCTCTGGCACGGTGGTATTGCCGGAACACCTGCCCAAGGATATCTTGCAGCAACCATTCCAGACGTTCTCTTCGCAACTTCTGTCATTGCTAGGTGTCTCACTCCCGGATGGAGCGACGAATGCTCTGCCTCTTCAGCTTCGTCTCGACGCTTATAAGCGCTTCTCTGCACTTACTCTCTACCTGAAGGCTGCGTCCAGCTTGGGTTCACTATCCAGATTAGCGCAGCGGCTTAGCAACATTCCAATCCCAAGGAACGTTGCACAATTAGTCGACGACACGATTGGCAATCTGACCACATGTTGCCACGCTTTTCAGGACAGCAGATGGAATGCCGCCCTCTCTCACGCCAAGGTTGCCTACCGAGACAGCGAAAAAGCTTTCTTCGACAAGTCTATGGTGGGACAGGTCTACTTTCCCGACGAACACAAGGTTGCTGTTTATCTGCCTCTGCTCGGTCCCATTGGAGTACCTCTCCTTGTCGGGCTCCTGCGAGAGATCAAAAGATTCGTGTCAAAAAGGAAGGCAGTTCCAAAGTAGGACCACATCGTTCCAGACGAAAGTCGTCCAACCTTTCCGACCGAACACTGCCATCTCAACTGCACTACTGAGCCAGGCATTGGCCAGAGAGTGATATGCTTTATTACATCCCGCCTCGACTTTCATGCTAGTCGACATTTTTGAGCTGCCTAAACAAGAAGCTCGATATGACATTGTCCACTTTTAGTGGGGCACATGTAGCCCTGTCTCCGCACTAATGCCAGTCTCATCAATCGCATCCTGGTCACGCAGGAACATTGGAAGCAACTGTGCAATCAGCATTGCCTATGCACTGGGGAAACGGGGCCCGCCGCCCATGGAGTTTTTGGCTTATCGACCAACAACCACCTATCGAGCGTCATGAACATCGGCCAGCTGCATGGATACTATCAGGTGTCGCTCTGAAGTGACCTATATATCGTGGAATAGTCGATGAAGAGTCCGGTTGTCTACCTCAGAACCTCTATCCACACCGAACACCATGGCGGCGTCATCATCTTCCTTCCGACTGTTTGCATTGATCTTGACCTGGCTTTCTCTGGCCAATCTGGTGGTAAGTCTATCATGCTTCAATCAGAGTACTGCGATCAATGGAAAGCCGTTCCCGCCGTTGATAGAGGCAACAACGGAGGACCTCGCTGTTGGCTTGGAGTCAGGTCTGTTCACGAGTGTGGACCTCGTAAAGGTGCGCTTCTATACACCAATGCGTCCCACGACTACTCACCACTTTTCTTCAGGCATATACCGCCCGTATCATGGAGGTCAACTCGACGTTGCACATGGTGACTGAGCTTAACCCGGATGCTCTGTCTATTGCCGCCCAGCTTGATGCGCAGCGTGCCAATGGCACTGTCATGGGACCTCTGCATGGTATTCCCATTCTGATCAAGAACAACATTGCGACGGCCGACAAAATGGACAACACGGCCGGCTCCTATGCCCTCGCAGGAGCGAAGGTGCCTAGAGACAGTACCATGGCCGCTAAACTTCGACAAGCCGGGGCGGTGATTCTTGGTAAGACTAATCTGTCCCAATGGGCCAATTACCGAAGCGATAACACGAGCAATGGTTGGTCCGCCATCGGAGGACAGACCCAGGGTGCCTATTACCCGGGTCAAGACCCTTCAGGGTCGTCTTCTGGTAGCGGTGTGTCGAGCGCTTTGGGTCTCGCGCTTGCAGCTCTGGGTACAGAAACGGATGGTTCCATCTTGTCGCCCTCCGACGTCAATAACCTTGTGGGTATCAAACCAACCGTCGGGCTGACTGCAAGAGATCTGGTCATCCCTATTTCTGAGCATCAAGATACAGTTGGGCCGATGGCACGGACTGTGAAAGATGCAGCATATCTTCTTTCGGCCATCGCTGGAAAGTCGCCGTACGACAATTACACGGACGCCATCCCTTTCGACACGATACCAGATTATGTGGCCGCTTGCAATTTCTCTGCTCTGCGGGGCAAGCGCATTGGTGTTCCTCGAAATCTGATCGACCTGTCATACGATCGAGCGGCACCTATTGTTCCGGTGTTCAATGCAGCTCTTGACATCTTGCGAGCTGCTGGCGCCATAATTGTGGATAACACCAATTTCACCGGCTATGAAGCTCTGAATGAGGGCAATTACAGCAATATTGTCCTTGAAGCGGATTTCATTAGTGACCTGCCCAAGGAGTATCTGTCTCAACTATCCTACAACCCGAACAATGTCCACTCTCTGGCCGATGTACGCAACTTCACTCATGCTTTCCCCCTCGAAGACTGGCCTGAGAGAGACACTTTGGTCTGGGATGGTGCTTTGGAGCTGGGTTTCGGCAATACTTCACCGGAATTCTGGTCGAATTATACCATGAACACCTACCTCGCAGGTCCACTGGGTGTTACAGGGGCCCTTCGCAATTATTCTCTGGATGCCCTGGTGTTGCCCACAGAGTTTTCGCCGAATTTTCCGGCCCTGATCGGTTCCCCCGTGGTCACCGTGCCCTTAGGCGCATACCCACCGAACACGACTGTCCTCGTCAACGGGTTTGGCACTCTCAATGCTACGGCACCGAATATTCCCTTCGGTATCAGCTTCATGGGGCCTCATTTTAGTGAAGAGCTGTTGATTGGGTTGGCATATGCTTTCGAACAGAGGACTATGGTCCGAAATAGCATAATTCCATATATACAGCCTACGACTGAGTTAGTTGATGTGGTGAACGAGCGACGGAGATCTAAAAAGGTATAGCAGCCCTCAATAGCCTAGATGAAATTTTGAGGAGGATCAGATCAATGCTGTAGACTGAACATGGGGTTACGAAGCACAAATACTTCTATTCAAGCCTGTCTCATGTCTAGATGAAGTGCCATGTAATGGTCGGACCCTTTCTTTGTATCTTGTTCTCATTTCTTCCTCCAATGCCGAGGGGCATCGGGGTCTATTGGGCGTCGCCATCTGGACGCAGGGGACGGACTGTACCTAGGTAGGTAAGGGTAATGCCCGAGAGATGCCCGTGAATCGCCTGGTGTGGGCTCACCAGAGAGATCCAGAGATCCAGATCTCTCTACCAATCGAGGCGCAGAGGATCCGGCTGACTGGCCTGTTGAGCCATTGGTAATCTCCAGGTTTTTACTGGGGTGGATTGGGTGCAGGACACGGATGATGAATGGTTAAGGTGTTTGTTGGACCCGTGTTGGACCTCGGTTCAATCGATTGACCTGAACGACAAATCCCCCAAGTCCTGACATCCGATAAGTAATGTCATAATAACCACAGACGCCCATCGGGAGCCGTCTGGACGTTGTGTATAATGAGCTCTTCCTGATATCTGATCCGTTGTTTGATCTGCTGCTTGATTCTTGACTGATCCCCCCGTTTCCTGGCTCCATTCGTTCTTCCCTACTCGCTACTTCCTCCGCATTCAGCCTCTCGTAACCGATCTCAGACAGACACAGTGGGCAAGAATGGCGCCGCAAAAGACATCCCAAACGACGTCCCAAAAGCTCACCCGAGATGAAGTCGCCAAAAACAACACAGAAGATAGCCTCTGGTGCATCATCGACCACAAAGTCTACGACCTAACAGACTTCCTCGACGCACATCCCGGTGGCAATGTCGTGCTACAGCAAATCGCCGGGCAAGACGCCACGCAGGCCTTCTACAACCTCCACCGCCACGAAGTCCTGCAGAGATATGCGAACCTGTGCATCGGCACGATCGAAGGCGAGAAGTCTGAGGTGGTAGACCCGCAACCGGGCGATTTGTCTACCGTCCCCTACGCAGAACCCTTGTGGCTGGCGCCGGTGTTTAAGAGCCCATACTATAACGAGTCGCATCGCCGGTTGCAAAGGGCGGTGCGGGAGTTTGTCGATCGCGACGTGTATCCGGAGGCGCAGCAGAAAGAGCTCGACGGGACGTATATAAGTCAAGAGCTCGTCGACAAGATGGCGGCCAACAATTTGTTGTCCATGCGCCTGGGGCCCGGGAAGCATTTGTACGGGCGCGAGTTGATGGGCGGGGCCGTCAAGGGCGAGGAGTTTGATTATTTCCACGATCTGATCATCGCGCAGGAACTCAGTCGTGCGGTCGCGCGCGGGTTCCAGGACGGGAATATGGCGGGGATGATGATCTCTTTGACCGCGGTGAGGCAGTGGGCTAATGACTCCGCGCTGAGGGATAAGGTGACGCACGAGTGTTTGAGCGGGAAGAAGTTTATGTGTTTGGCGATTACTGAGGCATTTGCCGGAAGTGATGTCGCTGGAATTCGGACGACGGCGAGGAAGAGCGAGGATGGGAAGCATTATATCATCAACGGTGAGTCCCTTAGTACCTGTTTTATGCCATGGCAATCGTCACCACCTCGACGTTGCTGTCGTGCCGTCGTGCCGTCGTGCTATTGCTGAGATAGCCGGGGTCGGTGAGCATTGACTTGGATTTTGGGCCACCAGGCTGACGATGGCTACGTACGGCCGGTAAACAGGAACGAAAAAATGGATCACAAACGGCATGTTCGCAGACTATTTCGTGACCGGGTGCAAGACGGAAAAGGGCTTCTCGGTCATCCTCGTGCCGCGAGACGACAACGTAGAGACCAAGCGGATCAAGACGTCGTACTCGACCGCGGCGGCGACGACGTTCATCCAATTCGACAACGTCAAGGTTCCCGTGAACCACCTCCTGGGCAAGGAACATAACGGGTTCATCGTGATTATGAGCAACTTCAACCACGAGCGCTGGGCCATGGCGTGCGGCGTGATCCGGTGGATGCGCACCATCGTCGAGGAATGCTTGAAGTGGACGCACCAGCGCATCGTGTTTGGGAAGCCGTTGATCAGCCAGCCCGTGATGCGCCAGAAACTGGCCAAGATGATCTCGTTGACCGAGGCGTGCCAGAATTGGTTGGAGAGCATCACGTTCCAGATGTGCCAGATGGATTACGCCCAGCAGAGCAAATTGCTCGGCGGGCCGATCGGGTTGCTGAAGAGCTACGCCACGAGGTGTGCGCACGATGTCGCCGATGATGCGGTCAATATCTTTGGTGGGCGCGGCATCACACAGACCGGTATGGGACGTGTGGTGGAGCAGTTCCATCGCACGTATAAGTTTGATGCCATTCTAGGAGGGACCGAGGAGATTTTGGCGGACCTCGGTGTGAGGCAGGCGATGAAGCAGATGCCCAAGGCCATGTTGTAGTGCTGGACATTCCTCGACAAGGAATAGTCCACCTTATAGGGTGTACTAACTTACTTCTCGCGGCTCGGCTTTGTGGTTGTAGAGTGATATATGCCTAGGTACATCTTTTCGGAGACCTTGGGGGCACCTCAGACAGAGCATCTGCGATTCTGCATTGCTACAAAAGGCAACAAAGCTGTTTCAAAGCATGTGGAGAAGTGTGTGTTCAATGGTCTTGTCGAATTCCCTTCACGTTGCTGAGGACCTAAGGGTAACAAATCTATCTCCGTCAAGCGGCGAGCTGCTTGCCGCATTGAGAGACCTTGCCCCGTTCATAGGGCGTGTCCGAGCCAACTACAGTACCATAAACTGAGGCGAAGTACTTTTGTTCCGCGGAAGAGTGTGTGCGCCTTATTGCGTAAGCTCATGACCATAATATAAGACTGATGGCACTGCTGCAACCATACCTGGTACGGTACCACTGGTACTCCTCACAATTTGGTGGGCGAGTCAGCTGAGGTAAGAATACGGAGCCCCCTCGTACAGGCTACGCGGCAGATCATCTCGCATATCCGCCCTGCTCCCCTTACTACAAGCGGGGAGCTTAGATGATCTTAAGTCTCGCTTGATGCGGCCTTGCTAGACGTGTCCTGTCCCACATTGGCGAGAATATGGATTACGATCATCATGGACGATGGATCTAGCGCTTGTGGTAGGTGGTTCATTAATCTTCGACATACCGACACGAGGCCGGCTGCGACTGCTCTCACATCTACAAATCCCATGTCCGAGGGAGAAAGTGTGATAGCTTTGATTTGCCCAGGCATTTTGTTTCTCCTTGTAAGTGTGCCTCTCTTCAATGACTGGCACCATTGTCCCTGCTCTCTGTCGAAAGGCGCTGTAGCACTGCTCGAATCTTTCTTCTGTCGGAAGCGGACCAGTTCAGACATCAGCCTCCAAACCGTACTTGTGTTGGACTCGACCTCTCAACACCGCTCGTTCAGACTGTTGCACTGTACGGCCGTAGACAACCAATGGCAGCAACCCAAATCCCGGAGGAACGAACCGTTCCAGACATGACATTCCAACTTCGCGGCCTGCAGGTCAGCGAGCTGCCGAGCACGGCATCGAATGGACTCTCCATATCTCGGCCTCACAGGTGCAACCCTGGTACCGGTCGATTGGCCGCGTCCACGATTTCGTTTCTCAGTTTGCCATTCGAGATTCGGCGAAGCATTTTCCAATATGTCTTCCAAGCTCCAGAGGCGGCAGAGTTCCCACCACCAAAGCCGACCAAGACGGCGACTTCACGCCGGGATTATGTGTCTCCTCTGCTGATCTGTCGTCAAGTTCATGGGGAAATGCACCTCCTTCCGTTCCAGATCAACAAAGTGAAATGTCCGTCCGTATTTGGTTCCAACATCACAGCCACGAAACAATTCCTGTCCAGCTTGCGAGAGGTCCAACGAGGTGCGATCAGACAAATTGATTTGAGTTTGCTTGCCAGCGTGACCGAGATATGGGAGGTCAGATCCTTGCTGAGGCTGATGGCTGGAATGGACGAGACAGATCGCCGCCAGAATACTGCTCGTCAAGACACGGAAACCCGCCCCTCGAGAGATGCCAGCAGCGGATCGCGATTCGACTTGCGATCTCTGACAATCCACATTGGGACGCGAGATCTGTACTTGCAACAAGCAGACTCGCTAGCCGGACTGATGCATTTTCTAGCGTGTGGGCCTCCCTATCCAGTGTCCTTCGCTTCCACGTCTTGGGTGACTGAGGGTCTGGTGCACGTAAGAGCTCTCAGAAGGCTGACGATAATCGTGGAGGCAAGTGGTGATGTAGCGCACCAGGTCTCGTCGACCGAAAGAGACCAATTCCAGCAAACCCTTGCCAAACAACTGCCTGGGGATGTTACAGTCAACGTTGCCTGGAGGATAAAAAATCCTATCTGGATCATAGACGACAGCGAGTGGGCGGACTTCTCATGGCCACAAGATCCAAGTTACATGCAGGCTGAAAGGGCAGTAGAGCTTCAAGGATCAACACCAGGGGACCTAAGCGTCGGGTTCTCTTATAGTACTCGGACCCCGATATGAAGCAATGAGATTGATGTTTGGATGTTGAATGTTGAGGACGTTGCTGCGTCGTCTTCCTCGTGTGTTAATGCCTTAAAGAGTTGCACTCTCAGCCTGACGCCCCTCCTGTGGTCATGTATTTGTGAATGGATTCGAGAGGCATCTGGATTGTAACCGTTTCTCTGATAGTTGTAGGCGCAGAAACTCCAGGCTTTGGTTCGGTTTTCGTGGGTTCGACGTCCATCTTGTCTTCGTCTTCTTCGTCGGTCTCCTCATATTCATCCTCGTCTTCCTCTTCGCCCTCTTCACCCTCGTCGTCAGCTGGTTCAACGAGTTCCCTCCGAAGACCAGTGACCACGTTTTGTATACCCCGTTGCTTCTCTTCTAGGGTATAATCAGCACCCCATCTCTGTTTCCGAGCCTCTTTGTTGGCCGCGCTAGGTGCCCATTGCCAAAGGGCACTGCGATCTTGATCAGGGAGCCCCGAGTAAGACGCCTTGTGTTGTTCCGTGGCTATCTTCTCTCCTTCTTCAATCCAATCTTCTATACTGGGCTCAAGTTTCGTTCGTAGCAGTGTCTCTAGAATGATGGCGCGCTCTCTGCCGGGAAATTGAGGTAGTGGGAAAGCGACTGTGGATTGGAAGAATTCACGATGCTCTGACAGCTGTGCTGCAATCTGCTGCAGGTTGTTCGAGATGAGATTTGCGTGGGTTTGTAGCGAGGGCCTGCAAAGTGTCAGTTCCAACCTCCAAGCTGTGACGCTGTCTAAGATACCAGGAAGGTAGTTGGCTCTGGGTGGTGACCTCTGAGCGCAGGGCGACCAAGGAAGTATGAAGCGCCAGCAGTCGCTGTCTTGCTTGGTCAAGGGATCTGACCTGGTCGTTACTTAGAGCGGCCATTTTATACCAACTTTTCAATTGAGCAGTGCATAGGAACGAGTGGTTTTGCGGTGCCAGGCAGAGTGCAGAAAGTGGATGCGAGCTGATGTGGTGCACGGTTGTGGTTGTACATACAAATAGTGGGCAGATTCTCGATCTCCAACTGCGCAACTACAAAGCTTCAACTCCAAAGGTGGCGATCACTCTTCGCAAATTCAGAGCGTCCATCCAATGCTTCGTCAATAGTATAACTCCCACCAGCCTGCGCAGGCGATTGCAATGGCTGCTCCGGCAGTCTCTCGCCTTTCCAGTAACGCCCTTTGCTCAGCCTGTCTCGCCCGAACCTTTCGCCAGTCCTCTACTTCGGGCAACCTCTTGCGATGGTCTTCCTACGGAAAGAGAAAGCTTCACGCCGCGCCACTGATTGCGACTGCAAGCTCCCGGAACTCAGTAGGAAACTCACAAAGCTTCGTCCGCGACTATTTTTCCGCCAACGATTCGCTAGATAGAGGATGGGTCAAGAGCGGGCTTCTAGCGGCAATGCGGACTGCCGCAGAACCGCAGCAGAGCAAAAAGAACTTGTCGCGCAAGGACAACATACTCCGCGCCGAGGAAGCATATGACCAGCTCTCATCAGACCATAAACGGGCGATCGCGGAGACATCTGGCGCCCAAGAAGTGAGCCCAACAGTTCAGGGTGTAGAGACTGTCCAGCCCATACCTGGAATTCAGTCGGACGAGACCATATTACCACACAGAAGGAGGAAGAGACGGAAGAGTAATGATCCTTCTTCCACAGGCCCAGAAGAATCATTACCTCTAGATGCCTCATCACAATTGACAACGGCGGCTGCATCTATGCCCGCATCCGCTACCTTCCGACGCAGAATGGCGACATATCTTTCTCTATCGAAGCCTCGATTATCCTTCCTCATCCTACTCACGACGACTTCGGCATACTCTTTGTATCCCCTACCAGAATTACTGTCTTCCACAGCCTCGTCTGTGGAGACTTCATTTTCGACTTCGACCTTGACATTGCTCTTCCTGACTTCGGGAACCTTCCTATCATGCGCCTGTGCAAACACTCTCAACATGCTCTTCGAGCCCAAATTCGACGCTCTGATGACACGAACTCGCAACAGACCACTCGTCCGGAATCTGGTTTCTAAACGATCCGCGGCACTCTTTGCACTAGTGTGTGGAGCCTCGGGACTCCTACTTCTGGGGTATGGCACGAATCCTACAGTAGCTGGACTCTCCGCTCTGAACATCTTTCTCTATGCTGGGGTCTACACTCCGATGAAACGGCTCTCGGCAGCTAATACATGGGTTGGTGCCATAGTAGGTGGTATCCCACCTCTCATGGGTTGGTGTGCTGCTGCAGGCGAGGCGGCCACTTCAGAGCACCACTCGTGGCGAGATATGCTCCTTTCCGAAGATTCCATTGGTGGTTGGGCACTGGCTGCGCTGTTGTTTGCCTGGCAGTTCCCCCACTTCATGTCTCTTTCGCATACTATCCGAGAAGACTACAGAAATGCTGGCCACAAAATGTTGGCTTGGACCAATCCTGCCCGGAATGCAAGGGTGGCGTTACGATACTCGTTTGCCATGTTTCCAATATGTGGGTTGCTGTACTGGGGCGGATATGTCAATTCAGGCTTCCTGGCCATTAGCACGGTGTGCAATGTATGGATGACTCGCGAGGCCGTCCGTTTCTGGAGGAAACAAGGAGCTGGAGGTAGTGCAAGAGGCCTCTTCTGGGCGAGCGTCTGGCAGCTCCCTCTCGTGCTCGTAGGCGCGTTGGTATGCAAGAAAGGGCTATGGGACGGTTTCCTCGAATCCGAGCCGGCTGCAAGCATCTACGACGAGCCTGAGATTGAGCTTGATGGCAATACTCTGGGGATGGATTCAGCACAAGCGCCAAAGCATTTGAAGATTGCCACAGAGGTTAATCCCGCCATGCTTGGGTTTAAGCGACCAACTTGAACAGCGCTCCCAAGCCGACAAACACTTGCCTCTCGCACGATGGGGCCGTTGATTTCATAGCATGACCACATATTGCTAAACGTGTAGAATACAAGGGTGCTGATGCACGACCACGAAGATCAAGTATGAGAACAAATCTAATCTCGTCGCCCCGCGATTACATTCTCTGTGCTCCTCCCTCCAGATGCCATTTTCAAGGGAGGTATGCCGAGCAGGATAACGCGCTAAGTACGAAGTAGGCAAGTAAAATATAAATTACTTAACACAGTGTATTCTGACCCGACCTAACCAATTTAGGGTAGACGCCAGTGATTTAGTCGCGCTATTTCAAACAAACGAGAACGCGTGTTGGTTGACGCGAACCCTACCTTGACCTCGCACTCTTCTGCAAACCAAAACAATGCTTCATTGTCCACTCAATGCTCTGAGCGTCGCCGACCAATATAGCTGGAGGCCTGCGAGCCAGTAAGCTCCAGCGAAAGCTGTCTCGTCAGCATGACGACCCCTTCGTAACGTCTATCACTAAAACAATGAATGACGCCAGACTAACGAATGACAGTTCTTTCTTCTTTAGAATGAATGACCTGAAGCCCGATCATGAGCTGACTCCAGGTGTGGCCTTCATTGCCATTTTGCTGCATGATAAGACGGCTTTGGGCCCCTTCGATCAGCAAGATGCTCTTTGGATTAAGTGTCCTAAAGAGAAGGAAGTCTCGTCCCTGCTGAAAGCCTACAAGAAGCGGCTTCCAGAGGCGGGCGAAATCGTCCTTCGCCACGACTTTGCAGTAGTCCACGAAAAGACCAAAATCAGCACTCTTGCTACCCGTCCTCCCAATGACTTCGTCGCTCTTGAAGCTATTCGGCTACAAGATTTAGACAAAGACAAGGCGAAGACAATGATGACGCCATCACGCTCGCCGCTCACTGAAGTCACAAACACTGCCAATCAATCCGGCAGCAAGGCTGCGGCTACCATTCAGAGCACCGAGGATCTCAAAATCAAGCAGTATACGCCACCTACCCGCGCTCTGAGTGGCCATCCACAGAACGTTCCTGACGCGCAGCATGTACAGTCGCCGACTCATTCAAATCAGTCAGATCAAATCGGCTGGGAAGACTTCCTGTTTGAGCGCCTCGAACTCCAGAGACAGCTCGGAACCCTCAATCCTCTTAAGGATGACGAAGCAATCAAGCACGAATGGCTAGGGTTACAGCCGGGTCAGAAGAGTTTCTTCATCCAGAGAGGAGCCAAAGTAACAGCTACCGAACGACCAGAGCCCGTCTTAGTCCGCCGTGTTCAGCACGGAACCTTCTGGTGCTTCTACTACGAGCGGTATTTTGCGTTTCAGAGAGGTAGTGTAGACCCTCATCGCGATTTTGTGTCTCAAATACATCACTCCGAGATCTGCACGCATCTCTGGACCAGAATGGGCAGCACGGAGAAAGCCCGGTATACGAACATAGTTATGAACCATGTCCAGGCAGCAGTGCACAGAGGTATCGTGGATAGCATGCCAGGTCCCGTCAGCAACGCCCAAACTTTTCCGCATAATGGAGACACTACGCCTGGCTTCAAGCGAGAGCCAACGCCTTCGCCGGAACCCGAGGACAGCACGATTGCTAGTTTCGACGGCTTAGCAGAAACGAAAGATTTCCATGTCGACCTTGAGGATGCTGTGAATTCTCAGAACGAAGCACCAGTCCGCCTCAGCATGTCTGAACTCTTCGATCATCGCACACCGGAGCAGCTGGAAAGAGGGGTTGAGAGAGGTGTCGAACTGCTCAGCGACATTCATCGAACTTTGCAGGAACAGCCTAGTGAAGAAGCTGGCCAGTGGATTCAAGCTCTGGAGAAGGTGCAAAAACAAGCAGCGCGGTCAAGGACTGTGATTGGGGTGGTCGGTGCCACCGGTGCAGGAAAGAGCTCGGTCATCAATGCTATGCTGGACGAGGAACGTCTGGTGCCCACCAATTGTATGCGAGCGTGTACCGCAGTCGTCACCGAGATCAGCTACAATTATGATGATGCTGCGCCGTACAGAGCTGAAGTTGAATTCATCTCCCGCGATGACTGGCTCAAGATGCTCAAGGTAATGTTTCAAGACTTACTCGACGGCAGCGGCCAAGTATCTCGCGAGTGTACGAACGAAGATTCAGAGAGTGGCATTGCTTATGCTCAAGTAAAGGCTGTGTACCCCAAGCTAACGAAGGAGGAGATGGAGCATGTCCCAATTGACAGACTAATGTCACACGAGAACGTGAAATGCCTAGGTACCACTCGCAACCTAGAGGCAGACGACCCGTTGCTGTTCTACAAGAAATTGCAGCATTACGTCGACAGTAAAGAAAAAACATCTGGCAAGAAGGAGGATGGGGAGAAAGAGAAGAAAAAGCCTCGCGAGATGGAATTCTGGCCACTCATTCGAATGGTCAGACTATATGTCAAGGCTCCCGCCTTAGCCACGGGTGCCGTCATTGTCGACCTTCCAGGTGTACATGACAGTAACCAAGCCCGTGCTGCGGTAGCTCAAAGCTATATGAAACAATGTACTGGACTGTGGATCGTTGCGCCCATCACAAGAGCTGTCGATGACAAATCTGCGAAGAACTTGCTCGGCGACAGCTTCAAACGACAGTGTAAGTAACTTCCACCACAAGGGTGTTGCCTCCCAGCACAAGCCTTGAATGCTGTCTTCATTAGTACATATTACTGACGAATTGCAGTGAAAATGGATGGTGGTTACAATTCCGTCACTTTCATCTGTAGCAAGACGGACGACATCTCCATCACGGAAGCTCAGGATTCCTTAGGACTTGAGGAAGAGCTTGGTCCGATGTGGACAAAATGGGAAGGACTCCGGAAGAAGAAGAATGCTTTGAAGAAGCAGATTGAGGATCTCAAGGACACCAAGTCCGACATCAACGCAGCCATAGAAGCCGCCGATGAGGAGGTCGAAGTCTGGGAGAAGTTGCAAGAAGACTGCAATGCTGGCAAACCCGTCTACAAGCCCAAAGCAGCATCTCAGAAGCGCAAACGTGTAGAGGTTTCTATCCCGTCAAAGAAGAAACCCAAGTATGCTGAGCCTGATACGGACGACGAATTCAATGACGACGGCGAAAATTCCGACAATGATGCAGCGTCCGACTATGCCTCCTCCGATACAAATGAGGATCGCGGGCCCCCCTTGACCGATGACGAGATCACAAGCAAAATTGCAGAGCTGCGAGTGGCGAAGAAAGAAGGACGACGCGAGAAGCTCGGCATTGACGAGCAGATGAAGGACCTTCGCCGGGAGATCGAGCAAATCGACAAAGAAAATGAGTCGATCGATGCCGAGCTTTCAGCCAAATGCATCTCTGGCCGCAACGAGTACTCCAGATGAGCAATTCGACAAGACTACGCTTCAGGCATCCGCGAGCTCGATCAAGAGTTGGCTGAGGAAGCAGATGCCGCAAATTTCAATCCCGAAGTGGACACCCGTGACTACGATGAGGTTGCCCGCAATTTGCCCGTCTTTTGTGTCTCATCTCGTGCATACCAAAAGTTGAAAGGGAGACTTCAGCGAGACAAAACACCTCCTGGCTTCAAGCATCTCGATGAAACCGAAGTGCCCGCGCTGCAAGCCCACTGCATCCAGTTGACCACAGCTGATCGTCAAACGGCGTCTCGCAGATTTCTCAACAGCCTCTTTCAGCTTCTCAACTCCTTGAGGCTATGGGCGTCCAACGACGGTACCGGCAATAATCTCACTGAGGATCAGTTGCAGCGAGAGGCCCAAATCCTGAAAGAGAGGCTGAACAAGCTTGACTCTGTGAGTTCCCCCAGTCTATCAGTCCCCAAAATTTCTTATGTCTTGTCTACTCATGAATGGCCATGGTAACTAACACAGGTTAGGCACTCGAGAAGGCAGTCTCGAACCTCATGGGCGGAATCGCCGACGAGCTGCAAGACAAGGTCTACGATGTTTACCCAGCTGCCACAACGGCCGCGAAATCACAGGCAGACGACACTGCTCGCAAGTGGGGGTCGCCTGTCAATCGGGACAATCGTGCGGCGGGAGGCCTCTACTGGGCAACGTACAAAGCTGTTGTACGCCGCGAAGGATGCTTTACAAACGCTTGGGGCTGTCATAACTTCAACGAGCAGCTAGTAGAGCCGGTCATTCGCCACATCGCTGGTCCTTGGGAATCTGTTTTCAGCCGCAGAATGCCAGGAATTCTGAATGGGCTTCCCCTTCACGTAGGCCAAATGCTCATGGCGTTCCACGAGGAAGTGGAACGTCGTGCAGTACGCAATGGTGTCTCCACTGCTGCATTCCATATGCTCAAGCATCAGCTAGCCGGGTACAAGGAGACACTCAAAGATGCAATGAACGAGGCACGCGCCAAAATCACCGAGAAGCAGCGAGAGATTAATCGAGAATTCGAGCCTCAGATCACCAAGCACATGCTGGACATCTACGATGTCTGCGTGAGGGAGTCTGGGCCAGGTTCGTACGCGAGGATGAGAGCTAACATGGCCCGATACATCGAGGAAGAAAAGGAGTCGATGTTCGAAGACGCCGTCGAGCATGTTCGCCGGCTCATCGAGAAGATGTTGAAGGAGGTCAAAGAAGACATGCTCACCAAGGTCGACGGAATCTTCATGTCCATCGAAAGAGACTACACTGGCGTAGTCATCGGTCAAGACAAGGGAGAGAAGACCGAGGTCCTCCCACGCGATCAGCGTGCATTGCGAAAAGCGGTGATCAAAGTCGTCGATGGGGCAGAACTGATCTTCAAGCGAGCTGTGGGCCTTGAGCCTGACCCAGGTCCAGAGCCAGGACCAGACGCTAGAGTCAAGACCGAAGACTGTGAAGGCAAAGAAGGAGAGACCACGGGGCACGCGGATGCTGCAACCCTAACGAATGAGGCCGCAAAGAGCGCATCACCAAAATCCGGCGCAATAAAGCTTGAGGATGAGCCAGAAGCAGCTTCAAATGAGGTCCCAACACCACCGAGCATGCGTCCTTCGCCAGCTGCTCATGAACAAGCGACAGTCCAAGCTCAAGCTCCGCCAGCTACAACATCGGAGCCTTGGGGGTTCGATGCGTTGAATAATGATGTCGCTGCCAATGGGTCTGTGAATGTGCAGCAGTCCATCGCTGCCCAAGCTGCTGGCGGTGTCAGACCTGCCGAGAATGCAGTCAAGGAAGAAGCAGGTCCCTCTTGAAAGCAGCGACGGAGCTGATGGAGCTGTTCCGCCATGACCACATGACTGAGTTAGAGCAGCCAACGCCAATGGTGTTTCGTTGGAAAGCAAGGGGTTTTCTTATTGAATGCCACGTATGAACCACGCGGTCAGGGTACCTTTCTTGTATGTTTTATTTACTGGTTGAGCGAGGATGACTACTTCTCGAACGGGAGGCTTGCGGCCGACGCACGGTTGGTTGGATTGGGGACAAGTATGACGACCAAGAAAATGAAGGCGATGAGAGATAGTCTCATTTTACAGTATCTTTTTGGCTCTCGGTCTGCAGTAGATGGGCTAGGTTTGCAGTTGTATGGATAATACTCCTAGGTGGTCTTAATCTTTCAATTCAATAATCGACCTATGTCACTGGACAGGCCGTGCTTTTTCAATCCGGCGATATTGGCGACCAGCACACAGTTTCTGTTGTCATGATCTTGCCCTCCAAATTTCCAACGGCAATGTCGCTTGCGTTCAGTAATGACCTGACCGGTCCTGACGTTCTTCCCAATATTGTACTACGACTTCGACCTTGCACACCCCTGGACAAGTCCCTTCACGCTTCGCACCATCTGAGTTCGAACGTGCAACGCTGCAAACAACTTTCGCCCGCCGACCCTCTATCCAGGGCGGCATGTACAGCGGCCCATCCCCCGGACGACTCCAATCTCCTGCCCAAAACGTTATATCTGTCAGCGGCGTGCCGATTTTATTTTGCCCCAGGAAATTGAAGCCAGGGAGAAGGGTAAGTTCCATCGGTCAGGCCATTCGGAGCAGCCCAGGAGAGCGACGCGCAGGTCGACGGTTGTTATGTTCGGGCAGGATGTCAGGGCGGAGTGGACGCATGTCCTGGTTGGGAAAGTTGGACGCTGGATATCCCGTTCCGCTCCAAGCGCATGTGGCCGACGGGCGCGGTATTTCTTCAAGATCTTCTCCTTCACAATAGTAGGAGGTCCCGCGTGGGCTGCCCCCCTGGAATGGTGGTTATGAGGATTGTCGAGCACCGGTCGCCCGGGCGCCAGGGGCGGGCAAGGACAGCTGGGGAGAAGATGGTGAGATAGAAAAGGAAGATGCTGGGCAGGAACTTCATCTTTGAGATATGTAAACGGTGCTATGGAACCCTGTTGGACTGAACCGGCTGGAAGATGGACAATTGGTTCCGCTTTTGGTATCAGTCAAGTCAATCGACAGAGGCATCATGAGGATACATGATACCTTGCCACGTATGAGGCCTCCATTACGGCTGTACGGCTGCCTGGGGAGAACTCAATGGGATTGGCACTTGGGCGCTTAAGATAACGTGTTCACTATTTGTGAATGCTCGTGATGTTAGTCACCTACCTCGCTGCTGCATGGTCCGGCAATGTCGATACATGATGTGCTTCAAATAGGCCGGAGCATGTGAAATTGGACAAGATGTCGTCGGTGAGTTCTTTTCATTAGATTTCTTCCGCATCGCTTGACCTTTCCGGAAGGAGCCACCGTAGAAGGACCGTCCAGGCTCCTCAGTCCACTCAGACAGGTGGACAGGGCACAAATTACAGAGTGCAGCCTGGCTGGAAGCGACTACGCTTGCTTGAAGAACAACAGATAGACAGACCGTAGAAGTTCAGCCTGACCCTCACCGACGGCGCGACATTGGCGAGGCAAAATCAAGAACAGCCATTGACTCCGTCTCAGTCACAACATAACCTCATCGATCAGCTACTTGCCAAAGAGCCGGAGTTTCTCATTTTGGAACAGCCTGCAGCCTGACCTTCAAATGCCCGTTGAATCTCGGAGTAAAGGCGTCCTGCCAATCCATATCGTGATGTGTAGTTTCAGCGTTCACGATGTCAAACCTGCGAACGAGATGGGCAAAGCCTTTGTAAAGCTCTGCATAGGCAAGACTATGTGCCAAGTCAGCAAGCTATCCTGAACGGAGTCTGACAGAGACCCAAGGGTAAAAAGAAGAAACTGCTGAACGCGCAATGTGAGTTCATAGCAACTTACTTCTGGCCGATGCAATTCCTACTACCACGCGAAAAGCTGATCATATGACTCTCTAGCTCATTCACGTTGTCACCCAGCCATCGTTCAGGTTTAAAGGTGTATGGGTCCACGAATTTGGTAGGGTCGTTGTTGTACACATAGTGGCTGAAAGACACTCGAGTCTACGTTAACCGCCTGTCAGTAGGAGTCCGTTCGTCACGATTGAATTGCCATTCCAAGGAGACAACCTTCGAATCATGGACTTACCGAAGCAGGAATGGACTGTCCGCACAGGATCGCTCCTTGAGCAGGCACGAGCCTTGGAAGCCGTGCAGAAGTACCCAGTGAGAACCTGAGAGACTCCTTGATAACAGCTCGCTGGAATTCCGGATGGGTTAGGATACGTTCGCCAAACCAAGGGCTTTGGGATGTTGTGCTCACCAAGAAGGGCAAGTTTTCCAGGTCGGTGAGCACTGCAACTGCGCCTCTCTGGGGCAAAACAGTAGTAACAAGTTCTTGACGTAGCCTTCGAAAGATTTCCGGTCGTTTTACCATCTCCCACGTGCCGAAGGTCAGGGCGTGCGCGGTTGTGTCAGTTCCTGCCAGAAACATGAGAACGGCATCGGCGGCGAGTTCCTTCAGGTTGGCCACATATTGACCCTTTTCACGATTCGGGTTGAGCGCAGTTCTGAAGATGGAGGAAGTCACCTCTTTGGAATCGCTCGGTGCTTGCGACAGCGACATAATGAGTTGTTCACATTGCTGCTTAGAATTAGTCGGCATGTCTCTCCACCAGGACTGGTACATTCACCTTCAACACGCCGTTCAAGGCTGCCACGGCAGGGAACCATGTTCTGACTTTCCTTTCTGGCAACAGGGGAAATATGGCCTTATTCATGAGATTCCCTAGTCGTGGAAAATACCAGAAGACTGGCGCGATAGAGCCGAATTCTTCCAGATTCACGATCAGACTGGGCTTGAGGAGAGGGTCATCCAACAAGCCCAAGCTCATCTGGTAACAATAATGCATGGTGACGTCGGCCGTCAAGCATTCGAAGGCCGTATCTAGGTCTATGGCAGTGCCTCGATGCGCAAAATCCTCCAGCCGGACGAGAAATCGGAGCAACTTCTCGTTGATCAGAGGTTCAAGGTGACTGATCGCAGCCTTCGAGAATGATTGCACAAACAGCTCCCTGTGGGGCCTGGCGACGCGACCGTCGGAAACACTGAGAAAGGAGCCTTGGACTTGCGGCCCGCTGTAGACCTCCGGAGAACGATGGAAGTCGGATCCTGCCCTGAAGACACTGCCGCATCATTAGTTTGGGTTCACGTTCAGTGAATGCACGACATGTCTTACGTTCGGTAAGCTTCCCAATCGAAGATGTGCAACTCATTGGGGCGTACTCTGACGATGGGCCCTGCTTGTGGTCAAAAAGAGACTCCAGCATCTGTCAACAATGCCCACCATATTGGTCATGCAGCTTTCTCAGGTGCTTGACGAGTGAATCGTTCGGGGATAGATCATAGCTCACAGCATAAACATTGGTGACAGCCGCAAGCTTCGGGCCTGGGAAACGTGCTAAAGGATGCAGAGTGATTCGGTAGAGCGCTCGCAGAACGAAGGCCACGATGGGCAACAGTAACAGTAGGGAGAATATGAAGGAATAAGAGAGCGCCATCACTGATCCTTGCGATTGTCCTACCAGGGGTGAATTCGGGGTCAAAGGGAAAAGGATGAGGTAAACAACCGATTCGAGGGATTGGGCTATATAGCTGGAGATGGCTGATGTACCTACCTTCGATGAACACCCCTGCAGGAGAGTTACGCGTTGGCCCGGGAGGCCTGAACCAAACAACCGGTAGACTCAATCGATTCGAGAACCGCGGTGAGCTTCGAATTGGCACATCATCTTTCACAGGCATCGTCAAATCGGGTTGAGTGCTCGTCGCAGGGAAGTCAGCTTACGCTGGTGAGAATACGACGGCTCGTGTTCCCGTGTTCATGTAGACAAAAGGTCCCGCAATTTTATTGCTGCGGCTTACTGTAATGCGCCAAGTTATTTCACCATCTCCCAGTACCAAGAGTACTTGGTCTGCAGCCATCATGGCATAAGTGGCATAAGGCTGAAAGAGCTTCCGAGGAATCATGAGGGTCCCTTTGTGATCCTGGGACGACACTGTGCCCAAGGACGGAATTTGGAATTTTCTGGTCTAATAATACACGTGGGCAAACAATGCCCTCGGAGCCATATTACTAAGAGCGAGGGCGTCAATCTTCGTCGTCATCATCCGCATATCGTGGTCCTCCGGCCGCAGGTGTAGGCGCATCAAACGCACCGCTGGCGTAGGGCGTAGGTGCACTTGCTGCAGGCGTAGGAGCATCGAAGCCAAGACGATTATGCGCGAGTGGCTCACGATTGGCACTCTTCGCAAAGCTTGGAGCAGGTGTCGGCGCATCAGGAACACCAGCACCTGGTGTTGGAGCGCCAAGGTAGGGAGTGTAAGCATCGTCGTCGTAGCGACCGGAAGCAGTGGGTGTGGGTGCAGAAATGCCTGGCGTTGGCGCATCGTATGGGCGTGCAGAAGGTGTAGGCGCAGAAGCAGCATTGCCCGGGCCACTCCAAGCCGGAGTACGGGAAGAAGAGTTGTAGGCGGGCGTTCTCGAGCCTGTAGCAAAGGCATCAAAACCAGAATTGCCGGACGAACTGAAGCCATGGTCAGCCCCGTAAGGGGTCTTTGCGCCGGAGCTCCAAGCCGGCGTGCGGCTGCCTGTAGCTGAGTAATTGCCAGCACCACCGTAAGATGTCATACCTCCACCCCCGTAGGATGTTTGTGACCCAGATGGACCCTTCCATGATGGGGTGCGTCCAGCGTCGAGCCCAGAGCCACTAGGACCGCTCCACGCGGGAGTTCGTGACGAGGTACCCCATGCTGGAGTTCGTCCTCCGTCCATAACGCCCATAGGAGTCCGGCCACCAAAGCCACCTCCATCTGGAACACGAGAACCGAGGCCACCGGGACCTGCACGCATAGTTGATGGTCCTCCACGTTGCCTGATCCAGTCCTCATATCTTGTCTTGTTTTGGGTATTGGTACTAGAGTGTAGTGTCAGCGTAGTCACGAGTGTGCCATTGGATTCGACTTACTCAATGATGGAAAGGTCGAATTTGCTGAGATTGATGGTTTTGTTCTTAGTCTGAAGCTCAAGTCTCGCCTCTCCAGCTGTGGTGTCTTTGACAATCGCACGGTGACCTTTGTAATTACCTTTGTTGATATGGACAAGTCGACCTTGAATGGGGTCACGTCCAGGACGTTGAGGAGGGGCCATTGACATATCTGGTCGCTTCATCTGCAGTGCAGGGTTCATCTTGGTCAAGTCAGTGCTAGGCGCAGTAATTCTTCCACCCTTTGCGGCAGTCGTAATCACGTTGGTGCATCTAGCAACCCAGATACCCGAGTTCTCGATCCCGAGCTTGTTGTGGGCAAACACGTATCCTCTGTGGATATGTAGTATCATCCCACTTTTGCCTTCTCCGCCAGACTCGCGGATACCATCGCCGACGCGAATCTCAGATCCATTCTTGTCCGTGGCGACGACATTCCTCCGAGTTTCGATCTTCTGCACCTGCGAAGGCATTCTGGTGGTGACGGAGCCGTTCTGATCCAATATCCGCACCGACTCGCGATCAGCTCTAATGACACAGCCAGCCGTGGTAGGACTGTCGTCTTGTTAGCAACTGGCAGTAGTCATCTCGAAGAAGAATACTTACTCAATCTGAACCAATTCTTGCACATCAAATTTGCTCTTTCCGGCACCGCCACCGCCGCCGTCTGTGGCTTCTCGAAGATCCCTGCTGAAGACAGTAATCTCTTCATTGCTGGTGTTGGTAAGGACAGTGACTTTGTCGTCCTTGATACGAAGAACCATTCCAACCTCGTCACTGTACTTGCTCCCACCAATGATCTTGACATTGTCGCCTTCTCTGAAGCGTTTCCGTAGTCCCTTCACGGGCACCTCGACAAGCTGACCCGAAAGCTCCCCTTCTGACACCATGATAGACACGATATTACCGTTGACGGCTTCTGTTCTTCCCACGATGCCTCTCTGCTCACCCTCGTAGACCTCAACTTCATCACCAGGTAGGAAGCTGCCTTCGGCTGTCGTGCTCCGCAGACTATGAGCCAGAGACTCCAAGTCTAGGGTCTCTGTGCCATCGGCTGCCGTTTTCGTGAGCTTTGTGATCTCATCGAGTCTCGGGCTCACATTCTCGGTAGTAACATGCTGTAGCTTGAAATCCTTGATCAGGAAGCCATCTTCATATTGCTCGCCTCTATAAGTCCAGCTCTTATTTGAAAGGCCTCGATTCTGCTGCATAAATCGGTCGTGCTTCTTCCGCGCCTCGGCCTCGTTGAAGAGCCGCTGAGGAGGCCGATTTGCGAAACTGTTGATGGGTCCAAAAGCATTTGGTCGTTTGCGCTTGGAGTCCAGGCCGCCAGGACGCATGGGATCCTCATCTGCACCGTAGGCAAGTCGAGGAACTAGTCTGACAGTGACCTCAAGACCGTTAGATTCAACGGCCTCAATCATGCCCAAGTCGCCTTGGTACAAACCGCGCTTTATGCGGACATAACCACCGACTTCGAGCTCTTTGCTCTTCGTGACTCTCAAGAGGTCTGGCATTTCTTTGACTGGAACGAGGTTCATCTTCGATCTTGGATATACATCAGCCACGTTGGCCAATGCATCGTCCACGTCGACCTTCTGCCGGGCTTCTACGAAGATATATCCAGCCATAGGGCCATCGCCTCGTTCGAAAGCCGAACAGATTCGCATCGGCTTCCGACTGTTCTGGCTTTCGAAGAATTTCTTCATGAGCTTGCTGACGATTTCACGCTCCTTGCCGGCTTTGCATCTAACACCCCAGATACTCGGATCGTTGACGTCAGGCATCAATAGATTCTGTGGCACGAAAGAAGTGTTGCTTAGAGCTGTGGTTGTTCTTCGTCCATATCTTTCCTTGTAAGCTGCGGCTTGTTTTTCTGCATCCATCGAAGCCTCCAATTGTCGCTGGCGGTCCAGCTCCCTATGTCTCGCATCGTCGTGATCTGCTTCCGGTGGAATATCATCGTCAGGGTGCGTATCCTGTATGAATTCTGGCCCCAAATCGTCTTCGTCAGCTTCGATCTCGTCGTCATCTTCGTCGACTTCGGCTTCCTCTTCGAAGAACTGGTTGAGGCCTCTTCTTCTGCGCTTGCGAGGCCGGCTTGTGACTGCGTCTTCATCGTCATCCTCGTCTTCTTCATCCTCTTCGTCGTCGTCTTCCCCGTTCAGATCTTCGCCTTCACCTTCGTCGTCTTCACCATTCTCCTCTTTAGCATCATCATCGCCCTCTTCTTCGTCTTCGTCTGCCGAAGGCTTCAGTCTTCTGGTAGGAGACGCCGACTGCTTGCCATTCGTTCTGGAGGCGCTGCGGCCATCATTGTCAGGCGAATTTGCTTCGCGTTTCGTAGTGTGTGGTCGAGATTCTGCGTCCTCTCCATCGTCGGAGGCCCCTTCGATGACCGGGTTGAAATCGTTGTCAGACTCTTCATCATCTCCGCCAAAGTCCTGGTTCAGCCATGATTGTCCAGAAGCCATTTTTGCTGATTGACGTGAGGGTTGGTTTACTTAGTGGCGGATTCTCAGCACAGGTCAGACGCATGCCACTATGATTTTACAGTCAGTGGTAGGCAAGAGAAGGGAGGGTGAGGAATGGATAGATCTGAAAAAGTTTCGAGATGTTGTTTGGATCCTCGAAGGCGCAGATGCCACCTGCGCCCGCCAAGACGTGACCCTTGTATATCACGTGATAGGCCGTCTCAAGAGCTCGAGAGCTCTCCTCTCTTTGAGTTGAGAACGTCAATTCTCATCCATCACAACAATCCTAATTCTCCCTTCATTTGATATTGTGCTACTCACTTTCTATCCCTTATATTACGGCGTCGGAGCTCATGCTCGAAGTTCTGTCTTCACTTTCTGCTCTGCGAAGTCGTGACTCACAACCGAGTAGTGCCTAGGGGTCTGGAGTCGGCCATCGGAACAGCAATACTCAGCGCGTGCACGTATCCATCCGGCCGGGACTCTGTTCTCACAGAGGTATGACCTGTCCTGCAGTCCCCAGATCACATGAAGCAAGAGGTCAGGCTTCAACAACTCAGAACGGTCGATACTACGGCAGAGTGAAGGGAGATGAATCAGTACGCGGTCGTCCCAGAGAAACCCGCTCTTCGCCCCTCGAATCCCTAGTTCTGTCAGCCATCGTTCATCCCTCGGACTTCGTATGGCGAATGTTGATTAGCAAGTGTATGAAAAGCGTTCCAGAAAGGCCAGTGTGGCATAGATATCACAGTATTTTGTTCTTTGAGATTGAAACCCGAGACCAACCCTCAGTCTTGTCTCTTCCATATCTTGCCGTCCCAGACGTCGCAACGCTATGCTCACATTTGAAAGCCTGTATCTGTTTGATTTGAGGACTTTTATTCATTCTCTAATACCCTTAGTTTCAGGAGTCTCCCTGTAGAAGCTAGCCACCAGGAACGCCAGTTCCAGCGCCTGCTTCTCATTCAACCTAGGATCACAAAAGGTAGTATAATTGAGGCTCAAGTCTTCCTCGGTCAGTCCCTCCGCCCCGCCAACACATTCAGTTACAGCTTCGCCAGTGAGCTCGAGATGCACGCCGCCAAGGTAACTGGACATGGACCGATGGATTGTCAAGGCTTGTTTCAACTCTGACAAGATGTCACTGAAACGCCGAGTTTTGAAAGTCGTCGTCCCGTTAGTGGTTTCCCCGTTGGTGCTGGGTGCTGTTACTGTCGCGTTGCGCCCGTTTCCGTGCATAGGATCGCACTGCCAGACCACGGTATCTCGGTGCGGCGAAGCCTGAACCGCGCGGATATGTCCTGGCAGATGTGCAGCAATCTTGTCGTGACCGTAGCGTGTGATCAAGACAATTTTGCCGACTTCATGGCTGGGGTTGAGGATGTCGAGCAGAGGCACCAGGTCAGCAGCTGGCATGCTCGGACCAACTTTGACACCAACCGGGTTTGCGACGCCTCTGAAGAACTCGACGTGTGAATGTGTCAGTTGACGTGTTCGGTCGCCGATCCAGATGAAGTGCGCAGAGGTGTCATAGTAGCCTTGAGTTGGGGGTAAGGGAGGTGGAAGTTGTGTAGGAAGAGAAGTTTTTCGGTGTTTGCTGGGCGAGAGACTTGTTTTTGAGGGGAGTGAAGGTGGAGGTGTGTTCGATGGGTGTTTGAACAAGCGAGTGAGGGATTGCTCGTATTCAAGTAGTAGGCCTTCATGTGACGTGAAGAGATCAACAGTCTCAAGACCGCCGCTAGTGTCAAGCCCTATCGTCCGCATCATCTCAAGAGTGTCTGTGATACGTTCTACGATAGCTTGGTAGTGGTCGCGGACCGTCGGATCGCGAACGTGCCCCAGACTCCAGTCCAGAGGGGCGTGAAGGTCGGCCAGACCGGACGACAGGGCGGCTCTTAGGTAGTTTTGTGTCGCTGCCGAATGGAAGTAGGCATCGACCAGCCTCTTCGGATCGGGTTCACGTGCAGCTGGGTCGGCCTCATAGCTGTTCAAAATGTCTCCTCGGAAACTGGCCATTGTGACACCATCGATTGTTTCCATGGGTGAAGAGCGCGGTTTCGCATATTGACCAGCCATACGGGCCACACGGACGACCTTCTTCTTCGCACCGTAGATCAGGACAAGGGACATCTGCAACAAGAGCTTAACTTTCGCTTCGATCATATCCTGGTTGCAGTAGTCGAAGAGTTCTGCACAGTCCCCACCCTGCAACAAGAAAGCGTTACCTGTCGCTACTTCCCGCAGCTCATTTTTCAGCTTGACGATTTCTCGTGGCGTTACCAGAGGTGGCAGTGTGTTGAGTTTGGTGACGGCTTGGTCGAAGGAGGCGGTGTCTTTGTATTCCACAGATTGAACAATGGGTCTACCTTTCCAGCTCGACGGTGTCCATGTGGCAGACGCGCCATTTTGGGCCATTATAACAAGTTCAATCGGCCAACGAATCCCTTCAGGACCCTGCTGTGCGGTGCAAGATCAGATGTCCAATATCGAATAGTCCTGGTATGGTCCAAGGCGGCAGATTGTGGCCGTGGTAACACTTGTGGCAAGCGGAGTGTCGGCCAGACACTATCCCAAGATGCTAAGTGAAATGGCTATGGCAGTGAATACCGAGTTCAATCAGTGAATTGTGCGCCGCCTTGTTGCTTGATGAAATTATGACTCGACTCTGCGGTTCAAGTTGTGAGCAAGAAAGTTTGATGTTGTTGCAGGCGCCATGCCCTTTTGGGACGATCTTCTGTGCCTTCGATTTGTTCCCTCTCATCAGCCAGGTGGTTCGTATTCTCATCTCCCTACACACACCTTCTTCCCTCCTTTGACACGTCCCACACGATGGCGGAACCAATACCCTCGGCGTCTACAGCCGCAGAGGCCGGCGATGATGAAGTTGCTCAGAACCTCCCTGCTAACGCCGAAGACCGCAAGGCCGCGGCTGCTCTTAATGCGTTGAACGCCGCCGAAATGTCACAGGAGAACGGAGAAACAGCCAACAAGAAGCCCTCGGCCGCACATCAGGAGGCATTGGGCAAGGCAATGTCGAGGCTCGAGATCGCAAGCGGTGTCAGCAAGAAGAAGGAGGACACTAAAAAGACCGAAGCGAAGAAAGAGATTGACACAAAGAAGAAGGTCAAGGTTGCTGCTGAGGACGTCAATTTCCTGGTGCGTGCGAAAGAGAACATGCGCGGAGTATATGGGACTGACGCGGTTGCAGGTCGAAGAGCTAGACCTCTCAAAGACGAAGGCTACAGAACTTTTACGCTCACATGACGGCAATGCGAACTTGGCTGTCAAGGCTTTCATAACACCACCTACAAAAGCATAGGAAGCCACCCCTTCTCGAGGATCAAAGTAAAGGGCGAGGGAAACACCAGCCGCCAGCCTGGTAGGATAGGTGTCCGGATCGAGGTCGTGTTACCAGGCTGGGTGAGAAGCGTCGTGCGTCGTGCGTCGTGCGTCCGAACTACGGCGCAGGCTGCTTCTGCGCTGCCCAGTCTTCCTCCCGCCATGAGGTTTCCATGACCATCCAGCCTGCGTGGTACGATTTGGTCACCTGGTTGCGCCGGCACGCCAGCATGCAACAGCGAAGGAACTGCGAAGCCTACACCCTGTTCTTCACGGAGACTATGGAAGGCAGCAGCAGGGTGGCTCTCGACGCAGATTGGGATCACCCCTCGTTACCTTCTGGAGCCATATTGACTGAATCACTCAACGCTTATAAGAGTGGTATGGTTGCAAGGAGCGACCTGCCGTTGGCAAGGTGCACCTCGAGCGGTGAACAATTGCCGCTTCCTTGTTATATGCTCGGCCGAGATTTCGAGCTCCGCTTTCTTTGCAGCGGCTGGCTCATCTTCGGCTTATAGCTTTCGAAATGTGTAAAAGTTGCTGACAATCTATGCATGTGCCCAACACTGATCCCACTTACCGTGTCTGAAGCCAATAGAATGTTTACATAGACGTGCCGTGCATGAGAAGCCGGTGCTTGCACATGAGGAGCTGTCCCGGAGAAGTGTATGATGGCACCCATGGAGTTGTCTTGGCACGCCAGACGACTTCATGATATAATGTGACTTCATCCACCAATTGATGGCTGAAATAAAGCTTTAGACACAGTCAAAACAAGACAGAAACAGGCCGATACTCCTAACAGTCACACCGTTCACATTAACCAGAACCTCGAGGAATCATCAACAGCTACGAACCTTGGAAGCGATGGGTGTGCAGGAGTGGACGGTGAAGGAGGTCAATAAATACCTTCAGCCTTGTTTTCTGATGGAGAAAAGCTAAACACCACCACCTCAGGCATATTACCCTTCAAAATGCAGTCTCGGTGAAGGACCCTACTATACTCCCGAACGACATGAGCTTCGATATATGGTCAGTCTCTTCGGGTGTCTGATCCTTATCACACACACCAGCATATCTGACTCGTCCAAACACAGGACATCAACAATAAGAAACTGTTCATCATTGACCTGAACAGAGGTCCGGACTCGGTCAAGATCATTGACACGAAGATGGCCATCGGCGTTACCGCGAACATCGAAGGTGTCGACTCGTCAGAGGTCATCTTGGCAGGCGCAAAGGACGGCGTCACCAAGTTCAATCTGAAGACTGGAGAGCATGAATACGTCGCCAAATACTGGACTGGCCCGAATGCCGAAGACAAGACGAGAAGGTGAGACTCCCACAACGCTCCGTGCCCTTGAAGGGCAGTCGCTCACGTAAATTCTTCCAGAATGCGATCGAACGACGGTGCTGTGGACACACAGGGACGATTCTGGGTGGAAGCCTTCGTTGACCCTGAGATTGCTGAACTCACCGAGGAAGGTTGCCTGTTCCGACTCGACCACGACGGTACGTTACGTACGATGCACGAGAACATGACGATTCCAAACGGTATCACCTGGAATGCGAACGACAACACCATGTTCCTCACGGACTCGCCGCGAGGTGACGTGTTCGAGTTCGACTACGACCCCAAGACCGGAGATATTTCCAACAAGAGGGTCTTCTTCCACCTCGACGAAGAAGGTGTCAACCCCGACGGTCACGCCATGGATGTCGAAGGCAACATTTGGCATGCCTGCTACGGTGGCTCGAAGGTCATCCGCATCTCGCCTCAAGGAGAAATTACCGGAGTCATTCATCTGCCAACACGTAACATCACTTGTCCTACATTTGCTGGGACGGAGCTCTTCATCACTAGTGCGAAGGAGGCCGAGCCAGAAAAGTTTCCCGAATCGGCCAAATTTGCTGGAAATTTGTTCAAGGTGGATGTCGGTATCAAAGGTATGCCGAAATACAAATACCGGCTCGCTTGAATTAACATCGCTTCTTCGTATCCTTCTAGAAGGAGAACGAGCGATGGGCTGGGCGAAATGAATTATTGAAAAACCCAAATACTTCTTGTCCAGTGTCCAACGAGATGTCGACGTCAACCCTAGTCGGAGGGTGAAGCATTACCTTTTCTGTCACTCCAGTAATCTCGCGGATATGACAAGTGCCTGGCTTGTGCTTCGCTTCTGACCCTCAAGGATGTTTTCTAGTGTAGGGCTGCGCCTCGACAAGGCTCCCTCGCCCTGGTCACAAGTAATCTGTGTGGAGGAAGCAAAAGACTGGTGTCCTAACGGACCGGACAGTCGTCATCACATCAACAAGCGAGAAACAACTTCTGCGTCGGCAATAACAAATTTAGAGTCGAGTTGTGATTCAGTAGAGTTATTGGTTGACTTTGGCCGGCATTCAAATACCTCAATTTCTCAAAAAGGACCTTCGATATGTTCTGGGACGCGGAACAAGCTCTCCCGGGCTAGCATGGAACAACATTGGTTTCTCGAAGACGGTCGGCGAGAGCGCAGCCTACTATAGTATTGTGTTAGCGAAATTTCGTGACTGTCCTGGGTAATTAGTATCAACTTGTGTACACTGCTCCGTGCGCCATTCTGCTGGTGTCACTGTAATCCGGGCTCTGGCCGTGATTGACGACAGCAATGAATCAATGAATGCAGGAACTACCCCGTTTCAGGCTTTCAAATAGCTTGACCGATGCAAGACCGTTGCCTCCCCAATGAGTGGCTCCAAGTTTATGGTCGATTGGGGTCCTCTCGAGGTCTCGCTTACAAGGTTGTGCACTCTCACTGGGTTCCATTGTTTGGGGATTGTCGGCTTGATCGGCAACGAGGACAGGATGGTGAAATTCCAGAGAAACAGCCGAAGTGTCGAGTCGACGCGGTAGTCGTACGAGTAGGGATACAATCTCGACAAACATGACTTTGTAAGCGAAGATGAATCATCCTTGTCGGTTCCGATAATATCATAGTACATGGTATGATCTTGCTGCTCGGGGCGGCGTACTTGTAGGTGTTGAGGCTCGAAGAAGGTGCGACATTGACTGATGGAGATCCCACTTGGCACTCGCTCGCTTAGCCCCAGGTACTTGTGCTCCGTATCTCGAAAACTTGCACTTGATCGACATCATCACCGCCCTACCGTGAATGTCCAATTTGAGCATCCGCAATTTGCTTTGACGAGGTTGTGCTCAGCGTAAGTGGTAACCTCACAATCATCGAGGGCTCTTCCCCATCCAGCGTGGTCGGAAATCAATGTGCTTTCAGTGGCCCCATTAGGCATCTGCAAGCTCTGCCCCTGCTTCGAAATGCAAGGATCCTTGCAGTGGCCCCATCACATCCTCCAGTGGACACTAACTCAAGCTAAGTCCACAGCCCACCCATGCGTCATATTGACGATGACCCTAGTGCCCCTGAAGGCTGACACCAGGGTTGTAGGGAGGGTGGAGGGGTCGAATATACGATACGATTTCCACGTGGCTAGACCTTTCCTGATGAATCTTTTAACGAGCTCGTACATGTCGAGGCCATTTCTTGCAAACATGCCTGGTCCTCAGTCATCTCCAGCTGTAATCTCACATCTCACAGCGGGTATCGGTTCGCTCGCTAGACATCAGTAATCCGTAAGCAGAAACAAAGTAGCAGCCACAACTCACAGATTGTCGTGGCCTCTGACTCTAGCGAGGGATCCTTGAAACCCATCGGTCATCAGCTAGCTCATCCATCCCGTGCATGTGGACTCCTTCGAAAAGTTCTCTAGAACATTGACATGTCCAATACTAAGTTCCTCGGTGAAGGGCGACTTATACCATTTTGAAGATTTTGGCCGGCGCGGGTGCGAATCATGGCTCGCCGCACGTCACCCACTGCGAGAAAGCTGAGCGTGGTCTTGGGCTTTAGTGCTCGATCAGCGTTGCACCATACTATTACGAGTACGAGTACTCGTAGTAAACAATGATGTCGGATGAGACTGGGAATATCCCGTAAAGCAGGACCAGTCCCATGATATGGATGAGGTCAGTCGCCTAAGAATCTGGCACTCCACAAGCCCGTGATGTAGATGACGTTCAGAGTACCTCGTAGGAAGCTGATCACAACCTCTATCATTTTGATATGAGAAAGTGGCCCTTTGACGCCATCTCCGGCGCAGGTTGAGGCCTTACCGTGGAGATTTGAGCCGATGGTTTCCATCAAGAATACTCAAGCCAAGGACCATTATGGTATAGTCGATAAAGATGCTTTGACGGCGTGCTTCATCCATCAAATCATGCAGAGTGTTGTCGATCCGCAGTCACATACACAGTATCCTCTCGCAGAGCTAGGATCAGATTTCCCGCGGCATCGCTAATCGAATGTCCGAGCCGCTTCAAAGCGAGAGGTTGACTTTAGTTACTGTGAGCAGCCCGGCTGGGGAGTGGAAATCTTCCGCTGTGAGAGGGTGATCTCTTCATGCCTTTACCGGCTTTCACTTCCGGAAGAGACCTCTGGTAGACAATCTTGCGTGAACACAGGACTACGAGTACACATCAGAAAATATAGGACGCTCTGGTCGTTGACGATACCTGAAATGGATTTAGGTCTGAGAATACCAGTACGCAGGTAGTCTCACAGTCGATCTTATCGTCAGGGAAAGATACTTGAAGGGTCTTTGGTGGAACCTCAAATTGGCGAGATACTTGATGCTTCCACACACTTGATGGACGTAAGAAAGGTAGATCCCGATACAGTATCACGACCGAGGTTGGGCGCGTCATGTAAACATGGCGTCGGACTCAACCTCGAAGTTTGGAACAGCGTGGTTGTATGAGTAGTAGGTGCTGCCAACGAGCCGCGACAGTCATGTCCCTTGACTCAGGAATTGACATTGTCGACGGGAATTCCGCTAGAAGGAAATGCGCCGTTCCTGTGCAGCGTCGCACAAGTAGCACGACTACGCTTGTCGCGCGTCAGGACCAGATGCATCCTTGTCAGTCTTCCAACCTGCAATCTATGTCAAGGACGTCCCTAACATCCCAAATCAGTCCTTCATCGCTTCATTACGCGTCTGGCAACGATATGGCCGAAACTCATCACTGGCAACCTCAGAACCATCACTCGAGCTGCAGTGTCGATGTACCTCGAACAAACACGTGTCATGCCATCGTCCGCAGTAGGAATCAGCTACTGCGCTGCTGACTGGACATGCTGCGTCCGCGGGCACGCGTATCGTTTTTTGAAGGGACCAGGACACCGGCACGATCGCTAGGCTGCTTGTTGCTGAAACTACAGGACTTGTACTAACTAATATCGTAGTAAGTACGGAGTATGGAGTACAGATACCATAGTAACTACCCTGCACGCAACCCTGGAAGGATATGATCGCCGCGATCCTCCGAGGCGGCCGTGGCACCGGCAGAGCTGCTGCTTAATTATTCGAACCGGTGGATTGGTCTACTGTACTGGATACGAGCCACTGACGATTCACTCCAGCTGGATTATTGTTGCACGGAAAAGCTAAACGAAGAACGTCACCAAATATACATGGTAAGTTTTCTCCATTGGGCCACGATCGTGGGCTGCAGTGGCTGCTTCACCACGACAGTACTGTGATACAAGAGGAGATGCCCCGTTTGTCTGGATCAGGAACCTTGAAAGCTTCTTCAAGGCCTGTACCTACAGCATCCGATCGTCAAGGAGTGGTCCTAACGGCCCAAGTATGCGATTCAGGGAGCTCTGAATCGGCGTGGCAGAGCAGATCGCACGAAATCATGAAATTTCCAAGCTTCATTTCCACCTTCATCGCCCAAACACATCAGAATGAAATGTGCAATCAAAGGAAATAGTAAATGTGACTTTCATCACGGTCGTTGCATCACGGCCCCTTCGTCACTCGGCCAGGGTTGGGACAAATTAGGAATTCAGGAATCCCAAAAAGAGAAGCGTCGCCTTTGCATTGGATTCTGAAGGATCCTCTGATGCCTGATCCCAGGCGAGATGGCAGCGGGACCATGACCCAATAACACGGACGATTGTGAACTACCCTAAGGAGCTCTCCGGCCTAAGGGACCTCTTCCACCTCTGGGTCTCTTCGACGAGCTACGAAATTTCTTCACTCGTTGTGGGTGACTGGGGTCTTGCAAGCCGACAGTCGGGTCAGGCTAACTGGAAGCAGACGCTAATGCAGCTTCTTTGTTAGCCTCCATGCCTGACATGGCTGCATGGTAGACTTTCGGGCCCCCTGGTCGTGTCAAAATGCCACTGTGCCGCCCGCGCCGCCTCACACCCAAACCGAGCATGCAATGGCGGATACTCTGGAGAGCCACCCACTTTCCTTTGGACCAGTCTGCATGCAGACCACTCACCCTTCCCAGGCCTTGGGGACTTCGTGCCGTTAAGCACACCGATCCATGCATTCATAGGCTACCCGTATCAGTCGCAACCTCTTCCTCTACCCCTGGAGCTTTCCTGCTCGAGGACTCGTTCCTTCGGCGTGCAAGCCCTGAAATAACTCATGACCACGCACCACGCCTGATTGACAGCTACCACACCCGCGAGGGCAGCGGCGGAACGCCACATCACCGCCATGCCGAGCTGGGCTGCGCTATCATGTTGATGCCCAGTTGCTGCCAGCATCCCGCTGGACTGGTGTCATTAGCCCGCGCTTTTCAAAGGATGCTCGGCCGATGAGCTAGTTCTCCTAGCTCCCCGTTTTCTGTTCGAACGTCGAAATCTGATCACCGGTGTCTCGTTCCTCATCCACCCGTTGCTTGCATGATCGTTTGTACCGCTGCTGGTGACGGCGCGACCCACTTCCCTGACCCTGCTCCTGGTCCACCGATGGATTCCTGCTTGCCGGCGTTGGGCCAAAAGGTCCCTGTCTCAAGCACCGCTCAGATCATGACGAAGCAAAGCTGGTCCAACGCTAGAAGCCTGGAAGCATCTCTCCTTCACCTCCAGCAAAATGGTGCTTCCCGCTTCCCCGTCCTAGGAATTGCTGCGGGCCATCAAGTCCTTGTACCTCTGCTTACTCCGACAGTACAATGAAATATTACGAGCTGACCTCAGGCTAGCTTGCTGAAACTATCAGTTTCCTTCCCATCTACGCCATCACCACTCCTGGTCTGCCTGACCTCAATTTGCGATTTGCGAACGGACCTCTCAGGACTAGGGTTCTCGTCTGATGAATCTCATTTGCTGCCTTTTCCACATCAAGAGCGAATTATCAGAGGACCCTCGCAAGCGCTAGAACGCTTGCGCAGATGCTTCTAGTCTGGGAACGCGCAATCTGCGTTCCGAATTCTTGTTCCCTCTTGTACCCCTCGTCTGACTGCCTCGACATCTAAAAGTCGTTCTGTGAGTCGGCCACCTGGAATTACGACTCCTCCTCTCTGACCGGCAGCAGCATATTAAGCCATCCACCCTGGCTACCCTCGGCGTCAGAATCTCCCCTCTTTCCCAATATCCCAGATCACCTCCAAATCCTGGCTACTACCACCAAGCTTGGAAATACAAGTCTGGCAACACCCAGTCGCAGGCAGCCGCAGAACCTCCAGACTGGCGGAGGGAGGGAAGCGGAGGAGCGCCGCAGGAGGATCATCCATGGTCGCGACTGGGGCACCAGCCGCACGAGGAGGCTCATAGGTACATGTCACGAACTTCCCCAACAGACCGGGCACCGAATACCTCTTCCGGCTTTCCAGGAACGTACGTTCCTGCAGCGCAGACCTCCGGTCCAGGTGGAGATTCTTCCAGACCGAGCACGGCGAGTGTAGCTAGGACTGAGGCTCATGGCAGCTACGAGGGAACCAGTTATGGGAGACAAGCGGCGGATTTCAATACTGGGGATGGTTCACGTCGACCTTCGGCAGAATCGACAATTCAGACACCTTCTCGGGTGTTTGGGATGCACAACATCTTGAACCCGCAAACAGAACCAGAGGGGCAGCCTCTAGGAGCCACATCGATCGGTCAGCCCCAAATGAGCATTATACCGGGCCCTTCTGAAGCATCGCCTCGGATTCGAAAGCGCATAGACCTAAGATCACCGCCACAGGAACATTCTCAATCAAGCCGTGCTCGTATCGGGAGGCGTGTGCTTACACCCAGATCACCTGCCGTCCGTGCTGCAAGCCTTGGGGCTCGAAGAAATCCTACCTTCCATTCCACCATACAGCCTCTCCAGCCGATTCCGGGGCCCGGTCGCACGTACACTGCTGAACCTGGACCTTACCGATCTTCAGAAATTCCCCCGCTTCCGTCTTTGGCGATTGCAACAGGGCCCAATGTGCCCAATCTTGCGCCGCTCGAGCCAAGCAGTCAGACTCGATCTGCGCCCGTGCCCGGAAGCCCTCCACAAGGTTCCGAACCTTCGACGACGCATCCAGCCGATCGACCTGGACCGGGCCACCCGACATATCCTAGGTACGAACAGCCTTCGCCGATGTTCCGCTACGGCCCAGGCCAACCGTTATCTCAGCCTTCGTCTGCGCACAGGGGTCTACCACCTGGCGTGCTAGGTGGATTCGGTAACGAACATCAAATGCACGGGCCTCATGAAGGCTACCAGTTGGGGCCAACATCAATGAATCTGACGTTGGACACGGACCAGGGACCCATGGTTCTGCCTGTGGAATTGGACCTGCAACAAGCCTCGCGGGTAGCCGACGAAAAGAGAAAACGCAACGCCGGCGCATCAGCTCGGTTTCGAGCGCGGAGGAAGGAGAAGGAGAAGGAAGCGTCTCATACCATCTCAGGGTTACAGCAGGAGCTTAGGGACTTGATGGAAGACCGAGACTATTATCTTGCAGAACGAGACTATTTCCGCGACCTCGCCGCTCGACATGGCGCCTCTACGCAGCTGTTACAGCGACCTCCTTCACCTCGGCAGCGACGACCAGCAGTGGCTGCGTCGGTGGGACCGGCCCCAACAAGCGGTGCAAGTTCAGATCCCCAGTTTAGTTCCGAAGAGTCGTATCGTGAACATCACGAGGCCGCTTCTTCCGCTCAGCGCCGCCGAACAGGTGACTATCAACCAGCCTTTTTGGCCACGCAGACTCAGTCACCCGCTCTATCTACTTACAGTGCCGGATTCCCTCCTCAACCGCCCATGCCGCTTCCTCCGCCTACGACCACGGGGCCGTACGCACCGGCGAGATCACTGCCTCCGGGACCACCTGCTCCGTCCATCACAAGATCGCAATCCTACGACCCTTTCCGCCGAGACCCTTACGATCGAACTTGGAGTTCCGGCCGGTAATCCGCACGGTGATGTGAGAGCTGACCGCACATTTCTTTCCTATCCGAAATGACTATCCTAGAGAGACGACTATGAGGGCAACCTCAGACGCAGCATCCAATGTTTTGTATGATGGACATGATTATGAATGAGCCGATACTCAAAACGGATGCTCAACTGTCGTCACAAGGAGCGCTATACTACAGCTCCTTTTCGAACAGATTGGGAGACGACTACAACGTTGAGAATACTCTTCTTGACTAATATCCTATTTTCCTTTTGTTATTTTCAGCATATTGCATGTGCGAGATACCCCTGGCCGATTTTCACTTCCTGATATAATGCTTTGTTTGATTTTTGGCGATTTTGGATATAGCAATAGAAGAAGTGAGGGAAACGCAGTAGCAGGCACTGCAGCGAGGACACTGGACGATTTCCTTTGCACATGGGCTGACGGCATTGAATCACCAGACGGATGGTGGCTGTACAATGGTACTAGGATATGTATCCACGAGAGATGACCCCAATGCATCATATATTGAGCTACATCTATCTACATACCATTGACGTGTGCAGCTCTGTGCCGGTTCCTTTCTCAAGGCCTCACATGTGGCGACGGCCTTGCGCCTTCGATGCTGACGAGCAATCGCGAGGGCGTGGAATTTGACCTTGGCGACAATACGGGTAAGGGCAAGCAGACGCCACCCGCGGTTGCTTTTGGAATCTGTCTCGAAAGGGCATCTGCAAAAAACACGCAAGCGAGATGATCCACGATTTTGACAACCTTTTTTCACATCCCAGCCACACCTGAAGATGTTCAAGAAAAATGCTCTAGCCGAAGCGATGGACTAGACAATGAGCTAACATTTGGCGATACCCACCGGTCTACCAAAAGTGTCATGGAAGCGGGTAGTATCCAGGCAGAATCAGACCAGAAAAATCAACCACAAAGGCCAGGTACGTACCAATCATGGAGGAATACGGAGTACGTTCTTTTGATTTGTTCTTGGTCAGATTTTTGACTTGCACGTTTGACCTGGAAGAGCTATTCGTGCAGCAAAGAGACCTACTTTTGTGGCGAGATGGCCTCCAGTACTCTCGTATCCCGTACATCCTTGGGGGCTGGATGGCGATAAAATCATCACGAGACCAGGGTACGTACCTTAGCCCTCTCATCGGCTGGCATGACCACTCTGAAACTTGCGGAAATCGAGCTCCAGACTACACCCAAAGGGCTTACTGTGCTACGTACGCCGTACATTTGGGAGGCTTGCACTACTCCCGTACCTTCCAATCGATGCCAAAGGTAGCTGGCCAGGACGGCAATTTGTCCTCTCGGTGCCGCCTTGGGCTTTCACCAAGCCTGGCGGTGGTTGGCCAGGGATCATGGGTCTTGGGGCCACGAGGTGGAGTTCCACCCAGCTCCGAGATCCAAATTAATGCACGGTAGATCAAAGCGAGCAATCAACAGTCGAGACGTACGGCGTGCGGTAGGGCTTCCAAAATTGGTCATGTGTGACTGTACATGTGAGGAAACGATCCGCAGGTGAATACTGTGAGACATGGTCCTGAAAGTCCAAGATGTCTGGGATGGAGGATTGAGAAGCGACTTGCTGCATATGGGCATTCGCGAGACGGCTCCAGGAAGGGAAAGCTCCCGACATGGGTGACGCGGGTAAATTCTCCGGGGCTCGCTAGGCGCAATTGGTCGCAGTGGAAGTTGGGCAGCAAAAGTTGGTTGCTGGACGTTTCTTTCTTCTGACGCGATCCTCCTACCGAAGTTCCAGAGACATTCAGAACGAGGTAGGATGGGAGGCGGAGGAGGAGGAGGAGGAGGGAGGGAGGGTCGACATCGGTGACGGATGCAGGATCAGTTTCAGTTGCTCATCAGGCAGGGATCCTTGTGGCGGCTGGTTCTGCTGCACGACGGCCCAAGATGCGCAACAGCCCGGCTAACGAAGAGAACTACTTCTTGCATTGCATTGCATTGCATTGCATACCTTATGTGGGCGGCAGCAGGGATCACAAGGTCAAAGCTATACACCCTCGAAATCGCAGACACGTGGGCAAGAACGATGCATCCACAGGACTACCCCGTCTTGCTTGAGGCCTGCCACCGCTGAATTGATAACGATATATATTGCTTTTTGGAAGCAAATCCTTATAAATGTGTGATTCAACCCAAGGTCTTGCGCGGGATGAAGGCGCAACGAAAGAGCCGGATGACATATCGCCTCCGCGCTTCACCCCAAACTACCGAAGCAGACTACTGGCCATACTCCAATGGCAGCTGTCGACGTAAAGTGACAGGGAAGATGGAGCGGTGATGACGCGTGACCACGAGCAGATGGAACTGCAGGCAACTCGAATCGACGGGGGCGTCATGGGGGATGTTTCTTGCTTGCATGCGGTCAGCTCAAGCCGGATCGCTACTCGGGGAGTTAGTCAGACGCCCCTTGCTTTCTGGATGCATCATTATGCATCTTTCACACTTCTCTTTTGCCTTCCCCCTGCCTGCATCGCACTTGCATAAGTGTGTGGTTGCAGTCACAGTGAGGCAACCTCTCGAGAAGCGTTCCGTCCCTCCAACACCTGCAGCCTGCAGGATAAAAAGCCGTGGGCGGAGACAACTCGTTGTGCACAGCCCAGAGACACCTGTCAATACGGTACGAGTACCTGCAAGGGCGGTAGTGGTCCTGAGATCCGCTGGAACTGTACCAGGGCGACACGTGGCAGCCGTTCCCAGTGCCACTGCAGGACAATTTGAGGTGTTCATCGTTGATGCAAGTTGCAAGTTCAAGTTCAGATGTGCGAAAAACAGGGAACTGTTTGCTATCGCTACCATATGGCGACATCGCAATCGTCTTGCATGCAGGTGATGACACAAATGTGAGAAACCCTGGTAGGTGCCTGGTTCTGTTGCCAGGTTCTGTTGCCAGGTTCTGTTGCCAGGTTCTGTTGCCAGTGATGCCAGTGACGAACAGGCATTTGGGGACTTCTAGGCACCCCGCAGCGCCTGGAGCGCCGAACAGAGGAAGTCTCGCTACCCCCCAAGCAGCACGCAGAAAAGCAGAGGACCCCCGGCAGCATAACATCATCGAGTATCTTCTGGTATGATTTGATTTTGTCTCCTCCGTATACGGAGTAGACTATCTGGAATTGTGGGAATTTGACAGGCCTTTTGGCCGCATCCATTACTGCTCGAAGATACACTTGCGACTCACGACATACAGCAGGTTCTCCGCCAGTCAGTCGCATATTATCCCGGCGTTCGTACTCCAGAGCCAGTCTCGGCAAAATGCTACGAAGCTCTTGGAGCAAGAATGGCCTCGACATAACTCAGGTAAGTAAGGTAGCTTCATAGCAATCTGAGTTCTGGAGTATTTCAACTGCAGCTGAGAGTGCTACACACTTAATATACTCCCATCAGCCCAAGGCAAGCAGGTAGTACTGTATCTAGCCTCGTCGATAGTACAAGCATATGACTATTGACCGCCTCTCACTTTTTTGTGACTTAGGACTCAGTTGTACCTTCTTTACTGCCTACAATGTACATATCTCTTTGCAAATCAGCTAGGACAAAGTGACAAGGTCAATTCACAAGTGAAAGAATGGTGAACTACATCGTTGGCTCCTCATTGTTTGGGATCAAGTGCTTGCATAAGGCTGCCAAGCCCTGCCTCTCCGCTTCTCCAAATCCTTACTGTTATATACGTAGTCTCCGAATTTCTTTACGCGACGCGTCTCTCCATCTACCGTTGCATTCGATCTGAATCAGTTTTCACCATTAGCTGTCAGCTGTCAGCAGCTACAGCCAGTGTTGATCACCACGATCATCTGATTACTGTCAAATTTGTTCCTTCCTCATACTCTATACCGAGTTCACCTCTGACGTGTCCCCTAACATGGCACCAACCAAGAAACGCAAGGCTGCGGGCGAGGCAAGCACAACTCCCAAGAAAGTTCGCATTGGAGAAACACTAGATATACCAGATGTTTCTTCTACTGGCCGTCCCAAGAGAGCATCCGTTGGCGAGCCACAGTACAATTTCAAACGCACCACCACTCCGAAAGAGGTATCACATCCCCAGGTCCTAAAAGCTGAAGGCGAAGTGAAGAGACGTGGTCGGCCTCCAAAGAATTCCACTACACCTGTGCCCGTAACAAGCACAGAGGACGAGCCTAAGCCCGTGGTCCGGAAGCGAGGAAGACCGCCAAAGAATGCTACAAAGCCTACCGCTACAAAGAAAGAAGCGACTCCTCAGAAATCTGCTCTGAAAAATGGTACGTCTTATCCAACCTGAATACCTGATGTCTTTCTTGCGTTTTAAAAGAGGGAGACAACTAATGACTCTTTGCCCAGGTACGAAACCTTCTCCCGCAATCCAAGTCTCAGCAAGAAGCGCACGTTCAGCGATCCGACAAGATGAGAACGCGAAACCTGCCCCGGCAAAGCGAGGCCGAAAGCCTAAAGCCGCTACTACTACCACAACAGCTTCTGCTCCTACCTCTGATTCCGAAGACGGCCTCAACGGTGACACAACAGTGGGAAGTCTCGGTATGGACACCAACGCAAAAACAGAAGACGTAGAAGCAATCGATCATGACATTCAATACTGGTTGATGAAGGCCGAACCGCAATCTCGCATCGAAAAGGGCGTCGATGTTAAGTTCTCCATTGATGATCTTGCCGCCAAGGTCGAACCCGAGGGATGGGATGGTAAATGCAAACAATCTGAGACGAGAGGACACTACGCTGATCATGTATAGGTGTCCGCAACCCTGCCGCAAGGAACAACATGCGAGCCATGCGAAAGGGCGATCTGGCATTTTTCTATCACTCCAATTGCCCCAACCCTGGCATCGCCGGAGTCATGCGTATTGTCGCCGAGCACAGCACTGATGAAAGCGCCTTTGATCCTGACCACCCTTACTATGATCCTAAATCCGACCCGCAGAAGCCAAAGTGGGAGTTGGTGCATGTGGAGTTCGTCAAGAAATTCGATAAGTTCATTTCGTTGAAAGAACTCAAATCATTCGCTCAGCGTGGGGGTGCTTTGGAAAACATGCAGATGCTCAAGCAAGGCCGACTGAGTGTATCGGCAGTTTCGGCTAGCGAATGGAGATTCATTCTCGGAGTGGCTGGAGAACCGGCTACACTGGGCCATGGCACGGCAAAAGATGGATACGAGTCTGATGTCGATGGTGAAGGCGAGGAGACGGCTGCTGAGGGTGACGCCGGAGCCGCCATCGAGAGGAACTACGAAGACCTGGTCGACGATGCTGCTGCTGATGAAGGTAAAATCGAGACTGGTGCCAAACGTGCTCGGCCTCCTGTCGTTGCCGGAAAGGGTCAGCAAAGTGATTCGGACGAAGAGGTGGTCCTTGGACTCGCCATGGTTGCTGCTGCTACCACGACCGGTTTAATTCCCAACGGTAGCTACGACGATAACAGCTTTGGCGCTGTCTCGGCGGATCATGGCTTCTAGGCGGCATAGGTTGGTCGTCAGTGAGACGGAGCAGAGGTTCACCTGAAAGCGGTGCCGTAAGGCTCGAGAGATAATGTTTGAAGATGCTCCCAGGTGAAGGCCGACGGTGATTTCTGTGAACATGAGGGCATTTCCTTTTGCTGTTGAGAAGGAGGACCATACTACGACTGACCAATGGCAAGGTCTTTGAAGCTGTGGGTGCCAGTACATTAGGTCCAGCTTTGCATGCAGAAGCAATGCACATACAGAAGAATGTCGGTGTCGATAGTCATGGACTCTCGATTCAAACTGCGTTCGTTCCTATGATGACCTAATCGGCTGATGGTCGTCTAATTGAATTCCACTTCATCGTTTTGACGTAAAATCCGGGGAATTTTCCAGCCAGCAGAGACTCTTCCTCGTGTTGTTCCCATTTCGATCGCTTGCCGAGCGGGCTATATAAGTGCATTATTGGGGAGTTGGCGCTTGACTTTGCAACCCTGGCTCTGACCTTGGCCCTGGTGCTTCTGTCCCGATACATCTGGGATGCATTTCGCATAGGCACTCATGAGCTACATCTGGCTGTTTACGAGTCACTGTTGAGAAGCCGCGAAAAGCATACGAGGGTAAACATGCAAGAAGCCACACAACACAGTCCCTGCCTTAGCTCGAAAGATTGCCCGTGCATTTGACAGATGTTTCCCATGCCCTGATCCCGGAAGAGCGATGCCATGGAGCCCGGCTGCAATGTCATGCATGATAAGGCTGGAATTCCTGGCCAAACACGACAAGCCGTCGAAGGAGGGGCAGACTAAGCTTGTAGAGGAAAGAATAGCCGTTTCTTGGTGTTGAAGAACTGCCCCTCATTGCGCTTCATTGCCCCTCACCTTTCATTCTGCCGCCATACAGTACACAGTAGGCACCGGAGCACCTAGGTGGTTAGGCGGGTGACAGGTCTACGGAGGACCGTGACGGAGCTTAGCGAGTGGCTCAATGGTCAATCCACCACACGCTCATCCCCGTCAGAGGCAACGATGGGCAGCTCTCAGCTCCATGAGGAAATTCATTCCTTTGCAGAGCTGCACGGACTCTTGGATTGGTCCATCCCCCAAAACCTCGGTCCTGCACGGGCGGCGGGTTCTAATCTTTGCGAATACAATCGATCAATTGATTAGCGAGCCAGAATTGTGTTATTTCATTTCTTGCCGGTATCTTCTCTTTACATGCTCAACCTCTTCACAAGACCTTTCTTTCTTTCAGTGAGAGCAGTGCGATTGACATCTTCTGCATACCCATTTTCTCGACTGCGGTCCTTCTCCAGTAAACAGACACTCCTCTTCAACATGGCTGACCTCAAGGTCGAACTCACTGCCCCCAATGGCAAGAAAATCACCCTTCCCACCGGTCTTTTCATCGACAACGAGTTTGTCAAGGCCACCTCGGGACAGAAACTCACGAGCATAAATCCTTCGTAAGCGCCCTACTCAGTTCCCCCTCTCCCCCTCTCCGTCTCGACACTGACTAGATTCACAGAGATGAGTCGGAAATCTGCTCCGTCGAAGCAGCATCCGCAGACGACGTCGACAAGGCCGTCAAGGCTGCACGAGCCGCCTTCAACGACCCTTCCTGGCGAGATCTCCCTGCCACCGACCGTGGTGCCCTCATGTACAAGTTCGCCGATCTGCTCGAAGCGAACAAAGAGACCTTAGCCACACTCGAGACCTGGGACAATGGCAAACCTTACAGCGTCGCCCTGAATGAAGATCTAGGCGAAGTCATTGGCACAATGAGATACTACGCCGGCTGGGCCGACAAGATCCAGGGCGAGACCATCCCTACCAGCCCTCAAAAATTCGCATACACTCTCAAACAACCCATTGGCGTCTGCGGCCAGATCATTCCCTGGAACTACCCGCTCGCCATGGCTGCCTGGAAACTCGGCCCTGCCCTGGCCTGCGGCAACACAATCGTCCTGAAGCCCGCTGAGCAAACACCCCTCTCGATTCTGTACCTGGCGAAGCTTATCCCCGAAGTCTTCCCCAAGGGCGTCATCAACATTGTCAACGGCTTTGGGCGTGAGGCCGGCCACGCGCTCGCCTCGCACCTGGACGTCGACAAGATTGCGTTCACAGGCAGCACGGTCACCGGCAAGCAGATCATGAAGACGGCCAGCGTGAACATGAAGAACATTACACTCGAGACGGGCGGGAAATCGCCCCTTTTGGTGTTTGACGATGCCGATCTCGACCAGGCCTCCAAGTGGGCGCACATTGGCATCATGAGCAACATGGGTCAAATCTGTACAGCGACGTCCCGTGTCCTAGTCCAGGACAGCGTGTACGACAAGTTCGTCGAGCTGTTCAAGGAGGTGGTCAAGTCGACGTCCAAGGTCGGCGATCCATTCGCGGACGACACGTTCCAGGGCCCCCAGGTCACCAAGGCCCAGTACGAGCGCGTGTTGGGGTACATTGAGGCCGGCAAGAGTGAAGGCGCGACATTGGCGAGCGGCGGTGTCCCGCACAAGAACGTCGGTGGGGGCAAAGGGTTCTTCATCGAGCCGACCGTCTTCACGAACGTCAAGGACGACATGAAGATTTATCGCGAGGAAGTTTTCGGCCCGTTCGTCGTCATTGCCTCGTTCAAGACCGAGGAGGAGGCCCTCCGCATGGCGAATGATACGACTTATGGCTTGGGAAGTGCCGTCTTCACCAAGGACATCGAGCGTGCGCATCGGGTGGCGCAACGCATCGAGGCCGGCATGGTCTGGATCAACAGCAGCAACGATTCGGATTTCCGCGTGCCGTTCGGAGGTGTCAAGCAATCCGGCATTGGGAGGGAACTGGGCGAGGCCGGACTGGCCGCGTACTCCCAGACAAAGGCCGTGCATGTCAATATAGGGTGCAAGCTGTAAGAAGCTCTTTAAGGGGTGGGGGCCGGTTGTTCGCTGTTTGTTGAACAGTGCTTGGCTTGGCTTGGGCTGGCTCGCGACAATGTCTACAATAAATAGCCTTGATGTGGAAGGAAGAAGGAGGCTTGGCTTACTTGCTCCCGTGAGCGGAGGATTCCCATGACATTAACTGACCCTGTCTGTGCGACGGAGGATTCACAACGAGAATGGTATATACCCGAACAGATCTGAAGGTGAAGGTGAAGGTGAAGATGAAGATGAAGATGAAGATGACGCCAAGCGAAGCGAAACTTTGAAGCGAAACTACTTCATCCGGATCACGATCTTAATGACTTCCACATACTAAGTACTTTAGGAAGAATGAAAAGGAACAGAGGCATTATCAATCACCATTGCAAAAGAGGCCCGATCTGACCTTGACCGGAGCAAGAAATTGTGATCGCACTTCATTTCTTCGTTTCATTTCATTTCATTCCAATCCGTTACCGACTTCAAAAGCTGCAGACTGCGTAAAGTAAGGTGAACTAGAGTCTTGATCCAGCCTCAAGCTCACTCTTCCGAATCAGCTCATGACTGAAAATAGGAACCAACTCCGTGCGATCGATTCCTATACCCAAACTCATCCATGATCATGACCATGACCATTCGATATACCCATTTCCAGCCTAGTGAGCCTCAACACCTCAAGCGCCAAAACACAATCAAAACAATCAACATCACATGTATGAGCTCGTATGAAATGAGCAAGAATCCTCCAGTCTTGGCCGCCGTTCCCGTCCCGCCGCCACTGGTATTGCCAGACTGTTTCGTTTCGTTTCTTTTTTTGGTCTCGAGTCCCACAGAGGAATGAAGAGCAAGCAACCAAGAAAGCAAAGGACGTCACGTTGCCATTCCCAGCTCACAACGCGCGCTTCTTCGTGACAGACTGTTGGCCCTGGCTGGCTGGTGGCTGCTCCTACTCCTGCTGCTGCTCGAGCGACGAAAGACAGAGACAGGAAAAAAGGCACAAAAGGAAGAGAAGGAAGTCACTACTCTCTCCTCAATGGACTCGCAACAACCGGCTTAAATGCCAGATTCGCCCCGAGCGTCCTCCTCCTCGCGCCATCACTCCCACCGGCCTCTTTCCCACGCATTCTGACCTGGAACTTCTGCTTCTTCTTAGTCCCTGCTTCCTTCTTGTCATCGTCTTCTTGTGCCAGTTCTTCTTCATCGTCGCACTCAAAAATGCTCCTGTTGATCTGCTTCGGTGGCGCACTCATCTGCACCAAATCTTGCCTCCCCATCCCTTTGGCGGCCATATACGGCGTCAACGGAGTCGCCGCGGTACGTGGGTCGTAATCGACTTGCAAATTTGCCGACTGAGGTGTCTCCATGCTTGTCTTCTTCGATGCGACCATCGGCGTAGCAGCGATGTTGGACAATATCGAATCATCCTTTGGAATGGTGGAGAGGTATCTCATGTCCATGGTCTCACCACCATCACCAACTGTTGCTGCGGCAGGGGAGTCGTATACCGAATTGAGTTCGGTCTCTTCTTCGGTGTTTTGGTCGCCTTCTGACTGGACTTCGCCTGCACACCGAACCTGCTCCTCCTCGTCACTTCGGCTGTCCACTTCCTCATCGTCGAATTGCAGATTGACGTCATTCTCTTTGTCGGCCTCAGCCTGCTGTAGTGCACGCACCGGCGTCTTCGCCAACTTCATCTTCATATCTTCGTTTCCGAAATGAGCAGCTGGCAACGATTTCCTGCCTCGTCCCTGCTTCGTCGCACTCAAAGAACCGTTCTCGTTTCTCAAGATCCGCGGCTCCATGCTTTTCCGCCGTCTCGATCCACCACGCGGCATGATCCCCGTGTCCACCGCATACACCGCCTCGTCTAGCCACTTCTGCTCGCGATAGCAATCGAGCACCCAACTGACCCCGACGCATAGAACCTGTCCTTTGGCCGATCGGACCTTCTCAAGCGTACGCTTCCCGCCGTCCTTATACACGACATGTGTGACTCCCACGGCCTGGCTCAGAGCTTCGGGTTCGTTTTCTGCAGAATCGGGATTGACAGCGAGGCTGGCCCGTGGATTCCATCGCCACTCCTTGATGCACCGTGCGCCCATAGACGTGAGCAGATCGACGTAGAACGCTGAAGCGTTGGATCCTTCACTCGTGTGGATATCGTAATGCACGACTGCGCCGCTGAGAGGGCCGTCACCGACAGGCTTCAAGGGTGTTCGAGCAGCTGGAGTGCGGCTCTTGAGTGAGGTGGATGGTGTCTTGGCCTTCGTGGTCATCGCGGGCGTCTCGGCTGGGACTGGTGTTGCAGCTGTAGCAGGGCGAGAGGGAGTGCTGAGGCTCTTTCGTCTGCTAGACTTGGTGGGCCTGGCGTAGTGAGGCGTCGCAGTGGCATTGGACTTTTCCGTTGACGGAGGAGGAGCCATACTCGCTCTCTTCGGTGCGGAACCAGGAGTCTTGAACAAAGCAGAGCCGATGGTCATGACAGTAGCTTCTTGACCGTGTCCTTCAGTCTCCGGCTCCGGTTCAGAGCCAACCTCCATCTCATCAGAGAACATCATGTCTTCTGGCAGCTCTATGCCGTCTAGAGTGCTGTTTCCAAAATCTTCGATTGCAAAACTGAATTGACCAGGCGTCGTCGAGCCGGTCGCGAGCGAATGTGCAGGACTCGGTGCTGCGCTACGAATGCGTCGTTGCGGTGACGAAGTCAATTGATCTTTTGCCCGCGGTGTTGCTAGAGCGTCCACGATAGCCACTGCGTCCATAGGGCTGAGGCCCAGGCTACGTCTCTTGACGGCCAGTGAGTTAGACGAGGACAACGATCGCGGTCTCTTGCGCTGCATCTTGATCGGGGATGACGTCGTAGGAATTGTTCCCTCAGGACGGAGAGGAACTTTAGCGATGGTGTGGACGACACGTGCGAGGCTGAGATCGGGCCGGACTGGTGTGACGTTGAAGTCCATCTCGATGCTCTTCTCGACGGTTGCTGAGGTCGTATTCGCGGCCGACGGAGAAAGTGCGACGCTGGTTGAAGAATCGCCGAGTAGGTAGGTCTCGACGGCTTCAGACTCCTTGCGAGGTGGGCTGATTGCATCTTCTTCTTCAGACTGTAGTTCATCTTCGGAGTCAGATGATGGAGCATTGTCGCTCAGCGGTTGTTCCGCGACAGCTTTGCCAACTACACATTCTTTGTTTGTCTGAGCTGGGATTTGATATGCAGGAGCAGCATTCTCGTCGCCATAATTCTCAGACGACGTTGACAGCATAGACTGCCTTTCTTCCACCGTCGAAAGATCTGCCCCTGGAATAGCTGCTGCTTCAGGCCCATCATCATCATCACTTGTTGGTCCGTCCGGTTCATCCACTGCCATCTCTTCAGCCTCGTTGGCTAGAGCTTCAAAGTCAACCATGGCAGTGTCCGAAGCATTGGTGAATTTGATCAGGTCGGTCGTCAGCTCGCCAGGCTCATGGCTGGAACCGTCCGACCCTTCATCTTCAGACGTTTCTTCTTGCTCTTGGACATGCTCCTCAACATCGGCTTGCTGCACAACTTCGTGAAGGTCCTCTTCTTCCGCATATATTGCGCCTGCAAGCTCATCGGTTTGCTCCTCGAAGTCCTGCGCAGCCATACTTTCGCCGAAGAAATCCGGTCTTGCCGGACTCTCAGTCATGGATGGAGCAAATGACAGTCGAGCAGCCATTGACTTTCTCTTCTGCGCCTGCTTCGCTGGCGTGTCCTGCCGATTCACTTCTACCGATCCAGCAACGTGTATCCGAGCGAGAGGTGAGAATAGACCGTGTGACGCTGGTGTGCTCTTCTGGGGGCTACTTCGCTTCTCAGGACTGTCCGCTCGCCAGCCACGGACTTGTGCAGCAAGTGGAGTGAATCCAAGACCTCGCGAAGCGCTAGGAGGTACCATCCCGCCTGACAACCGGGACTTGATGTTTGAACTGCTAAGACTAGGTTGGCCTCGTGCGACTGGTGTTTGGTCTGCGGCGAGTTCATCTTCAGACTCATCGTCGACCTCTCGGAGACGGGTGAATAGAGCGTTTGATAGTCTGGGCTTGGTGATGGAAGCTTGTCGAGCTGCTTGAGGGACAACCTCATCTTGAGGGGCCTCATCGCTATTCTGCTCGTGAACCTCTTCAACTTCTTCCTCATCCTCATCAGAGACGTCTTGATGCTCCAAATCAGGGTCGAGGACTGTGTCGTCGCTGGCGGCATCAGGAGCCGCGACTGGCTCGGCGTCAGCCACTGGTGCAATTTGCGCCGGCTCGACAACTCCAAGCTCCTCATCGTGTTCACGTTCTTCCTCGTTCAGCTCAATTGGCTCATCAACCTCCATATTGTCCTTGGGCAGATTGAGTTGCGGCTTGACGGTGTCCACCTTCAGTGGGCTTCTGATGTTCAAGACCGATTGATCAAAGTCCAACTGTCCCACCGCCTCTTGGGCCAATTCATCATCGCTCATTCTGTACACCTTAGCTAATCGCTGAGGTGACATGGAAGATCTGAAGTGAGACGACATGACCAAGTCAACATCGCCCGGAGACTTCATCTGCTCGGACGCAGGCGTACCCTGCTTTTTGATGGGCGAAGGCGAGACGTGACCAGGAGTCTTCTGCTTCGATGGCGAAAACAGCCGTCTAGCTGGCGAAGACAGCAGAGCAGTCTTCAATGGTGATTGCCGCGGTTTCATAGCTGACGGAGGGAAGACGAGCTTATCAGACAATCCACGTTTCGGTGACTGTGACAACTGGGAATGACTGCTGGGATTCAAAGACAGAGATCCATTGCTGCTTGACTCCTGGATCTGGGCTCGGAAGATCGCCACGCCTTCCGGTGCTCGTCGTGGAGACTCCTTCAAGGAGTCTTTGAATGGAGAAGAGGGCATTCTTCGCGGTGGACTCATAATTCCTGGTGATGCATTCGCGTTGGACTTCTCGGGAGACTTCAAGGCAGGGGTGAAGTCCAGAGCCTTGACAGGGGACATTGCTCCAACAGATGTGACATGCTCTCCTCGTCTTGGTGAGAGGCTGAGATCACGGACTGGGGTCTTGCCGCCTGCAAGTTCGTCTTCCTCGTCCTCATTCTCGACCGGCATAGCCTTGGCAATCTGAGTGATCTTCTTTGGCGTCAGGACTCGAGGCATGATCTTCTCGGTCTCCTCCGTTTTGGACAGTTTGGCAGCCTTCGAGGAACCTCGAGTAGACTTGGTAGTTGTTGCTGCGGGCTTGCGGATCGGTTTCGCGCGCATTCCCTTTGCAGCTGTTTCGCTCTTCTTCGCCGCAGCAGGGGTAGGGCCCTTCTTTGCGGCCTTCGACTTCGAGACGGTCACGGGCTGCTTGTTCTCCTTCTCGTCGTCATCATCTGGTAGGTCTTGGAAAGTCACCTTCTTGCGAGCCGGTGCTGGGATGACAACGTTGATGGTGGCCTCGGGCACAGCAACCGATGCTGTTGACCCAGTTCTGGCCCGAGTCTGCTTGGTGGGTAGCGGCGCTTGCGAAGGTGGGAGTGGCTCAACCGGTGTATCTTCCTTCTTTGCTCGACCCCTAGTCTTGCGTACGGTTGCCGCAGTCTCAGTTGCGGCATCTTCGCCTTCTGCCTTCGTTGCCCGTGACCTGCCACGCTTCTTAGGCATGGGGTGGACCTTTGGCTCTTCGACCTTCTCCTCCAGTTCAGCTGCGGCCATATCTCTCTTGGTACGTGTTGTGGCGGATTTAGATGTGGTTGTTTTTTCCTTCTTTTCTTTTGCAGATGCCTTCTTGACCTGTTTCGCTTCTGGCTCCTTTGCCGGCGCTGGTTCTGGGGCAGGCGCGTCCAAAGGAGTAACTTTGATTCTTCGTCGAGGAGCGGCTGCTAGTGTGGAGGTAGCTGGGGTCGTGGTCGTGGTGCGCGTCGAGCGCGATGCTCTAGTCGCTGGTTGTGCGACCGCGACAACGATCTCGTCTTCGTCATTGCTGTCATTGACTTCGACGACCGGAGTCGATCGGGCAGACTTGGTGGTCTTCGTGTCCGTTTTCTTGGTGACTCGCGACTTTGATACAATGGCCTTTGTTCTGCTTGTAGTTGGTACTGCTTTCGAAGGTGCAGTCTTTCGTTTTGGTGCTTCGTCCAGGGCTGTTTTTGTATCGGTGTCAGCAGCTCGAGCGCGTGTGACGCGTCGAGGTTTTGCTGGACTGGCCGGTTTTCGGGGTGCCATGTTGTAGCAGTGGTAATTCAGTGTATTCGGCTTCGATGAGGAAACTACTTGAGTTGTTGTTGTCGCTCTTAGTGACCACGCCGGTTGTTATAGACGGGCATCCGAACAGCCGAAAGCTCTGTCTCTTCTGTGACTCGGGATTTACAGCGCGATCGTGTTGTCGGCTTGGGCTTGTTGATGTCTTCGTGAAATGCCGCGTGTCGGGTGTCGCGGAGTCCGTAATAAAAGAATAGTCGTAGAGGAAAGTAGCGTAAGGGCTTTCAATGGTGACGGTCGAGGTTGTTTACAAAGTAGATGTTGATGTTCCCATTAAGGTTAGAGTGATTGCGAAGTCACGTGCGGCATTTAATTGGCGGAGAAGCGGGCTTGAGGATGATCTGATCTCTCATTCGAAGGCACAAACCTCCCCCAAGGTAACTTCTTGAGCGCATCCTGGTCATCGTTTGATCCCCAGCGCAAAGAAAGGTGCCACGCAAGATCACCGCGGAGTTAAAGCAGTTTGTCCAGATAATTAAAGTGATGATGTATTAACATTTCATTATCAATTTCTATACCTTCCCGATGAGACGTTTGGAATCAAATCCAAGGCCAGTCCCAACAACCAAACTTTTATTCATCATTCATATCACACCCAGACACTCAAGCTTCGGTCTTAGTCTAGCAACTCAAGCTGTACAGAGGAGTAGTCGGTGGGGGTGTTCCAGCGCCGACGAGTCCAAAGCTGGGACTGGCACCAGTGTCCTGAAGAATGTACCACCAAGTGTTGATGTCGTTGGCGAACGCGTGGCATGCAACATCATCGTAGTACGTCTTTGCATTGTCGACGGAGGCGACAGCTTGACCGCTGCTGGGGCCCGAAACTGGCCAACCAGTCTCGGTGATCCAGACAGGCTTGCCCTGGCTCGCGGCAACGGTGACATCATAATCGTCCCAAAAAGTGGCGTTGGCGTTCGCAATGCTGTTGGCCTTGGTGGTCTCGTAGTATGGGTATGCATCGACACCCAGGAAGTCGCAGCTGCCAATCAATGCGTTCTGGCTCGAATTGGTCCAGACGTTGTACGTGTCAACGTGGCCGACGGGCTTACCGGCCAAAGCGGTGCCGGCGATGGCGGATCGAACCTGGGAAATGTAGTTTTGGATAACACCGGGACCAACACCAGCTCCGGAATTGTTCTCAACGCCAATAGGTGTGATGCGGTAGATGTCCTCGGATCCAACACTGATACCAGCGACCAAATCGCCAAAAGCGCTACCGTATTGCGAGATAGCAGCATTCAATGCAGCAAGTTCGTTGGCAAATCCAGCGTCACCACCTGATGCCCACAAGCCCAACAGCAGGGTCGTGCCGGTGTTGATGGCAGCTGGAATGGCGGAGATGGGTGTATTTGTAGTTCCATCTTGAATCATAGTGTACAGACGGGCAGAAGTATAGCTTGAGCCGGCGAGGTTCTTGGCCGAGTTGAATTCGCCTTCAAACGCAGCTTGGTCTCGACCGGTTGAGCCATAGTTGAAGCCCTTGTAAGCAGCGAATGTGGATGGGAGGGCAGCCACGAGGGCGAGGATCTGGGAGGTACGCATGTTGACAATTTCTATAAGTTTTAACGAGTGTATCCAACGAGGTTGAAATTATACAGTTGTAGAGTAGTAAACAATATGAGGGACAGGGAGAAAATACCAGACAGACCAAGGTTGGGGTTGATATATCGACTGCGCAAGCGACGAAAAAAGAACTCTGCCGGGTGGCGGCAAGATCGAGGCGCAGGGACAAGCAAGGACTCAACGAGGGAAGTGGTGGAAGTGGTGGAGAGACTCAACGGTCTTCAGTCAATGGGAGCCACAAGACTGGGGAAAAGAGAGGGTCTTGAGGGTCGTGAGGGTCGTGAGGGTCCTTATTCGATCATGATCCATGTCTATCGATAAACGTCGGCAAGGGACAAGCCACGACGAGCCAGATGGGGAGCTACTCGTAGAAGTCGTGAGATGTGAAAATCTCCTCGCTACCACAGTACTTGTGAGAACTTCCACTACTCCGTACCTGCGTCAACACTGTACTCGTACCTGTCTTCAATCCCTGTCATCCCGCAGCTGAAACCGAGCCATTAACAGAGAAGCCCGTGAGAGCCCTAACAGCGTCAGACTCCACCAGAATGCATCATCAGCTTTGTCCACGTATCCTCGATGGCGTGCACAGGGTAATCCACCCGAGGAACTTGCCTGGTCGTGCATGGTCTGATTTCTACTCATATCACAGTACTCTACACTCTACAGATGGCTGCTAATGACGCGTTAATGGGCATTCGAAAAAAGGCTGAGTGAGACCACAAAAGTTCGTATTTATCACGTGCTGGTTATGCTTCACTTTATTGCTCCCTCCCATCAATGATCTTACAATTTCATGCCCAATGCTTTGTGCACCTTCATGCTCTGCCGGATACTCAAATCCAGCATAATCTCCTCGCTTCCTCCAGGGATCTTGTAGGCCAGGGTATCGCGGTATAATCTCTCGACTTTCCCACCTTGACCACCTCTAGAATATGCAAGACCACCAAAGATCTGAGCAGCCTCTTTCGTGCAAAACTCAAACGTAGTGGTAGCCTGGGCCTTGAGACCGGCAATTGCGCCTCCTAGTCTCAACATGGCTTCTGTCTCACCCATCTTCTGGCACTGATACACAATGTTCTCCAACCAGGCATAACTGGCTTCGATCTGGCGAGCCATATGTGCAAGCTTCAGTCGAATCACAGGGTGGTTGATGAGCTTCTGTCCGAACGTCTTCCGCTTGGACGCATATTTGACAGACTCTTCAAAACACACCCGGGAGAATCGCAGACATTGAATGATAATGCCAACCCGTTCGTGGTTGAAATTGGTCATAATCACTAAATCACCGTTAGTTCCAGTCCTACCGCATCCGCGTTGGTTTGCATACCTTGGAATCCACGGTCCTTCTTTCCAAGCAAGTTCTCGACAGGGACCTTGACGTCCTCGAACGTGATATAGGTGGTGCCACTGGACCAAACACCTTGACAATCCATTCGTCGTGTGCTGACGCCCTCTCCACGCTCGATCAACAACAGACTCACGCCATTCATACCAGAGCCTCCAGTCCGTACGGCAGTGGTGAAGTAATCGCACCAGATACCATTGGTGATCCATTTCTTTCTGCAGAACGACATCAGTCATCGGTTTTATCCACCGTCTCAAGGCTGGGAGGACTTACTCGCCATTGACGATAAAATGCTTCCCGTCCTCACTGAGCTTGGCTTCACACGTCAGATTGGCCACGTCAGACCCAGCATCAGGCTCAGTAATAGCCAGACATATCCTCTTGTCGCCAGCAAGAATTCCGGGCAATATACGCTCGACCAATTCTTTCTTTCCGTACTTGACCAGCGGAGGGCAACCGATACCGAAACCACCGATCAAGTTCCAGACGAGACCACCTGAGCCGGTCCTCGACAGCTCGTCTGTGAGGAGCATCTCATGGAACAAGTCCCATTTCTCAGCCGGCACGCTCTTGACCGCATTCTTGACCAGGTGTTTTGGGTATTTCACACCAAGGAGGCCTGCAAGGTAGCCCCGTTCGCCCATCTGTTTGTAGATCGAATCGGGGACTTTCTTGCTCTCATCCCATTCTGTCACGTATGGTTCGATCTCGGATTCGACCCATTCTCGGACCTCCGCACGGAGAGCAGCGTGTGTCTCGTTGTAGTACGGCGAGTGGTACTGCCTCTGTTAGCATGACATCTCTAAGACCCGGTGGGTGTTCACTCACCCCTTGGTACCAACTCGGGTCACCAAACGGAATGAGATTTCCGTACGGGTCCAAAGCTTCAGCCTCCTCTTGCGCACCAGGACCTGGGGCGGGAGCAACGGTCCCAGATTCTGCCTGCGGTACGACCTTCTCCTTCTTCTCCTGGGGCGGAGGTGTAGCCGGAGGAGTGGGCGGTGCGGCCGTTTTCTTGGTATCTAACGATCCGACCTGTAATTTGCTCTTGTATTTCTTCAGAATGCTCTCGTTATGGTATTTCCAGAACTGCTTTGAAGCATCCTTGCCCGCAACTCGTTGAAGGACTGAAGGTTGGTATCAGTGACAGCGGTCACACGAGTCTGAAGATGGCCGCGACTTACTCTTCTTGCCTCCTACGAACCCGGTTAGTCTGTACGGCATAGGAACGAGATGGGTAACATACCTGGATGTTCGTCTTGGAATTTGGTCAAGTCGTACACATCTTCGTCGACCACAATATAGAGGTTGTCTGGTTTGTTGTGGGATGATACATCCGCGAGGGAGAATGTTTTGGACATCGTCAGTAGCTAGTGTCAGAATTTGCGGAGAGAAAGGAAAGCTGTCTAAAAGGTGAGGGTAGTAGAACACAGTACGACACCGAAGCAGAAGTCCAGGATTGATCAGGAGTGAAAAGGAGTCTGCCTACAATTAATGAGTGAAGGAACACAAAGTCGAGGAGGCGCATGGACACTTTGGCTTTCACATGCCAACAACGACCTGCGCACCGCGGACAATTATGATGACAGCCCGGAAGCCGCAGGAGATTCGGCGCACAAGCTGAATCTGGGTGATCCTGGAGGCCCCGGATCAGTAGCTAATGGTATGAATGACGCTGGATGATGACTTGGATCTCTTTGTCTTGGTTCCTATTCGTGCCTGTCGGGTCATCTGATGTTGCGAAAGACGTCGTATCCAATTTCCAGCCTCTAAACTGCCTCGGCATTTCATGGCTCACCAGCCTTGGGCCCCTGGAGTGCCTGGGTACTGCATAGTACACAGTATCCGCAGTGGTGGGTGCTGGGGCCAAAGGATGGATCATGGCACAGAAGAGCACGTGCTATTCAACCGAGCACTCAGGCTAACCAGTGGTTGTATCGCTTGCTCCATCTCGCGAGTGTCTACATACAATCAATCTATTGAGCTCGCCAGCTTCAATCCCCTGCATTCCCCGTGTTCGCTCGCTCCCGTAGCCGTCGTCCCTCCATCAGTCCTCTCAAGCCTCTTTTCTGGAGTCCAATCACTGAACTCACGTCGCCTGTCCACATCTCCTTCTCTTTGTCTACTTTGCTCGCCCGCTTGCCGTTATCCTCCTGCGCCGAGGCTTCGGTGTCCGTATGCGAAAGATCCGTCGATGTCGAAGCCGATGTCGTGGTTGATGTTGACTCAATTGAACTCGTCTTTCCATGACCTTTCTTTTTGGACTCTTCGTAACTCTTTGTGAGTGAGAGTCCTGCAGTCTTGCCCACTAATGTCTCGTCGCCGACTGCGGTAGCTTCACTCTCTCGTCGGCCCAGAGAGGCCAGACTGCCGCCAGCAGCACCTACAAGCCCACGACCTCCTCCTGCAGCCATGGCTGCTGCATTGAAGACCGCTGCGGAATTCCGTCCATCCAGAGCTTCATGGAGTCGTTCCACTGTCGCCTCCAGCAGTCCGTCGATCTGGTAAGGACGGGCCATCTGCAAGAGCGAACATAATGTATGAGGGGTACAGAATGAAAATCCCACTGGCGGTAGAGACGATGTGTACAAAAAGTGCAACAACAGGTGAATCGTGGGTGCCATGTGTGGCAGATATAGCGAACGAGGTCGACTTGAAGCCGGCACCGACGTCGTATTTGGCAACTCCACCAGTGTTCTGGTCGTTGAGCGGCTTAAAGAGCGCTGCGGATCCAGAATCGACTCAGCACCGGCAGTAGACCCAGGTCCCATCAGTCCATTTGCTGCATTTGGTGTGATTGTAAGCGAAGAGTTGCGACTTGCTTGAGACCGGCCACTGGGTCGTAGCGTCGCCCCGTCCGATAGGATGGTGCCTTCGTGTGTCGACGCAGATTCTGCCAGAAGTTGGTTGAAAAATGGGCCCCAGCGCCTGGAAAGAATGAGGGAGTTGCACGGGATCTTTTCACCTCCCAGAGCCACTATTTCCATGTCCGACAGCTCAGTCAAGCTCAATGCTGCTTGTCCCAGTTGCTCAGCCTTGCCATTGTACGGTCGTCCACCGGCGAGTTGGGTCGGCAAGCTTGCTCGCAGCGAGGCGGGAACCACTGGCGCGGAAACCGAAACATAAGCCGATGTTGGTGCTTCCTTCCTCGGATTATCATATAGACCAAACGCTTCGAGTTCGACCATGCACACATGGCTGAAGTTGATCCGACGATGGTTGTAATCATCCACCAAGCTACGCTTCCGGTGTCCTAAGATGACAAAGGTATTTCGCCGATTCCACAAAATACCTCTGTTCCAGCTGCCTTGAGAGAAGATGGAGCCATTCGTGTCAATTCGCGCCCATGTCAGGGTTTTGAGGTCTAAGGCCCACAGTGCATACTCGTGCTTTGACGATGTCAGATAAGTGCCGCTCACGACGAAATGACCATCGATGATGCCTCCATTGGGAAATCGGAGGCCCGGCGGAGACACACTCCCGGTCATCGGTTTCTCTACCAGGCTTCCGTTCGGGAGTCTGATTTGTAGCTCTAGCTTGACATCCAGAAAGTTGTAGTTGGAGTAGATCAGCATCGAAGTTCCTGGTCTCTTATTTGTCCTCTTGGCTTCAAAATCGTCAAGAGGTACTCCTCGTCCAACTAATTCAGCAGACAGTCCCGTCATTGGGGCAACCATGCTCTTGTACGCTCCACACTTTCGATCCCACGCGGTAGTATTGGTCCACTTCAGGCTTCGAAGATTGAACACGCTTATCTGTTCAATATAGTTGTTGCTGCTGTCTTGGCCTCCCACCACAATCATTTCTGCACCACCACTGCCATCCAACTGCACACCCAAAGTCCCCGAATGGGGGTCCGATGATGGTGGGTTGTGCTGAATGGCAGACAAGGGCGCATTGGCCGACGTGAAGACAGCAGACGAAGGTAGGATCGCCGCACAGTGTGCGTATCGCCCTTGTGGGTTCTCAGACGTTGAGATGAGCGTCCATTTCCGCGTGGGTACGTCAAAGATGTGAATATCCGACATCACCACCACCTCTGGCTGTGGCTCTCCTCCAACCTTTCCACCTTGAGCATTCGCGGTGTTCTTGTGAGTGGCTGGCGACATGCCACCATAGCACACCAGTTTGGAGTCACCCAAGGCAGAAACGCTGTGGAAATATCGTGGTGGAGGAATATCTCCAAGAGCGTCAATCTTGGTCCAGTGACGGTGGATCAGATCCAGTTCGTATAGGTCCGAGGTCAGTTGCGGCTTCGTTCGAGAATGTATTCGTCCTCCAAAAACGTACAACTTGTCACCTAGGATCGTTGTAGTTGCTCCCACCAGGGCGTGGGGCTCTTCTCCAGTAGTTCTGTGCACATTGCAGACCAAACCTGATAGATTGGTAGGTGCGGTACCCTGCTGAGCCACCCCAGGCGTGAAACCGATATTCCCGGTGCCATTGGGGGCTTGAGTGGAGCCAGGTGCCTCGCTGCTGGCCTCAGATGCCGTGAGGCTTACCTGGCTGTTATTCATTGCTGATTGTCGTTGTTTTGCAATTAGGGTTGGACTTTCAACGATCTCTGTATCTGTTGTCGTATAGGACGTATTCGCTTCATCCGATAGCCTTGAGCTTTTAGACTTGCGCCTTAGGGTTGACGCTGTCGATGTTATCGAAGACCGATGGTTATTTATGTCAGACTCCGATGCGTAAGGCCGGAGTTCGCCTGCAAATGGTTGTGCGAATTCCGGAATTATAATAGGCACATACCGTGGCAACCTTCTTGGTTTGGCGGGCTTGGTGACAGTGTCCGTCGAAGAGTCACAGGCAAGTGATTTTGTTCCCTGATATTTGGAGATGTCAATAGGGATGTGTCGGGACCTGGCACACCAAGACTTTCCGTCTGCTACCGAGAATGATGAGGGATTCGGCCAAAGAGTGAACGAAGCAAGCAGAGATTTGGAGTCGCTATCTGTGGCAGAGCACGGAGTTGGCGGCCAATATTGTTCCTCGGGCGACGGAGGATCGAGGCGTGAAGTCCAGAACCAAGAACTACCTAGCCGAAGCGGATTTCTGTGCTTGCCAGGACTTTTCCTACGGAACCTATTCATGATCAGCTCAGTCCAGTAGCCTCGTGCTGCGCGGAGGTGTTCAAGGTCGAGCAATAGCGAAGTCAGCAAGGAAGGAGACGGGCATCATCGAATGTCAAATTAACAAACTGGGCAACTGAGATATGACATTATTTGCAAGTCACTTTCTCCGTATCTTGCAGCTGGGACTACTGCAGGATCAAGAGGATGTCACTCGTCAAAGACGACAGCAGGCAGCCGAATTGAGAATCGGTGAAAGGAGCACTGCATATGATGCATGACGAGAAAGGATGACACTTACCGGCAGACAAAGCACTTGTCTCGGGATCACACCTGGCCTGAAGAACAGTCCTTCGCCTGGTGTCACTTTGAGGGCGCCGAAAATAGGGGCCGGCACAGAGTTCTTCTGATGGCCTTTGGCAAAACGTGATCAACAAGTCTTGTAGAGGGCCACTCAAGGCGAAATAGAGACAAGGATCTGTGCTACCCAGACTGTGGTGTAGGAGAATTGAATGTGGGATTTGTGTAGCGAGTTCGGTGCCTCCAAAAGATCTAGACAGGCTTCATGCAGCGCCGCACGGAAGATCGATGCCAAGCCGGCTCCTAGCAGAGTCGGCGGAGACCAGGTACCTAAAGGCGACACGGGGCGACAAGGGTCAAGGACCCAGTAATTGTACCTTGACATCGTCAGCAGTCCTCTTGATGTTCATGTCATCTTGGTCCTGATGCAAATGAGCATCGGTGGCTTATGAACTGCGAATTCCTCCAAATGGTAAAGGACAAAAGACGTGCCATCTAAGAAGCGCCGCACGGCCCCCCAACATCACAGGTCTGGGGCTGTTCCAAATAAGTAGTTGCATGTTTTGGAACAGTGACATTGGTCTAACAATTATGTAAAGATTGAGAGGAAGTCAAACTGGACGCTCTTCGTATGATTGAATCCTACAGCAACTGCATACCACACCGCCCACATTTAAGCAGCAGTTGTCTTCTCCTTGGGCAGAGGAGTGACTCGCAAGTATGGCTTGATGATCTTCATCTCAGGCCAGATTTCCTTGGCCTGGTCTGTCTTGACGGTGGGATGGACAATCACGTCGTCACCGGGAACCCAGTTAATGGGGGTAGTGACCTTGTGCTTGTCGCCGGTTTGGAGGGAGTCCACGATTCTGAGCACCTCGGCAGTGTTGCGACCGGTCGAAGCAGGGTAGGAGAGAATGGTTCGGATAATCTTCTTGGGGTCAATGATGAAGACGGAGCGGATGGTGAAAGCTATGCCCTTCTCATCGACATTCGTGGCGTCTTGGTGGTCGATCATGTCGTACTTCAGGGCAATTTGTCGGTCCTTGTCTCCAATGATAGGGAAGTTCAGGTGGCTGCCACTGATCTCGTCGATGTCCTTGATCCAGTCTCCATGGCTGTCAATGGTGTTGGCGGAAAGACCGATCAACTTGACACCTCTCTTGGTGAACTCGGGTTCCAATTTTGCGAAAGCTCCAAGCTCAGTGGTGCACACTAAGATTTGTCAGTGCCTGTACATGCAACGCGCCTTTCCTGTCTCTTGTCTGTCCTTGGCTCGGATCCTGCGGCGACTGAAGGCTGGAGGGAGGGCTGCTCGTCACGGACCTGGTGTGAAATCTTCTGGATGTGCTAGAATCTCCCGTCAGCTGCGCCTAGAGTACCTCAACTTGGCTCTGGTCTTACAGAAAAGGACGACCCAGTTGTTTCCAATGAACTCGTGGAAGTCGATGGGACCCTTGGTGGTCTCGGCCTTGAAGTTGGGGGCAACAGAGCCCAGACGGAGACTGGAAACAGTATCTTGTCAGCCATGGCTACTCGACGAGGTGGTCGCAAGTTGTGGAAACTGCTATGGGATGACAACGTACGGCTCAGGACGGTCAACGGAACCCATATTGACTGCGATTTTATGTCTGGGGGATCGGACTGGAGATGAACGTGAAGACTTTTTGATTAGAGTTGGAATTGCGTAGAGCCAAAAGATGGTATGGTCAGGAGACGCAGCGGAAGACTGATATATAATAGTGCCGTCAGTTTAGGTCTGGCTTGAATAGTCCACGACAAATCTTTTCGTGCTCGCCGCGGGGATCAAATCCCTGTGACGGGCAAATTCTCTGTGGGCCCGCGAATGAGGTTGGAGGGGTCCATTATGGCATCAGCGAGGATGGAGGGGTGCTCCCAGTGTAGAAAGGGCTCGAGGCTGGGTGAGGACTCCGTGGTTTGTTCCACCATTGGTGCCATTTTCCAAGTGCCATACAAATCATCTTGCTCGGAAATCACGCAATCGCAGCCTGACTAATCCATTTTGGGAAGTCCAGCCTGGACCAGGTCGAGAGCTCAGCCTTGCAGAGCGATTCTGCCGATCGTGTCACGTGAGAGGCTGCCGTCCTCCCATCACCTTCTGCAGCACATTTGACAGGCGTTTCAAAGCCATGTAAACTTTGTGAAGCGGAAGACAGGCTGCAAGGGAAGCCCTCAAGAAGCCTCGGAGTCTTGGACTCGCTCCAATGGCCGCCGCGAGCTTCGGGGTACAAGTTGTTGGCAAAGCTGACATGGAATAAGCAAAGTATTCATCGACGTCATTTACCGAACACTGTTGCCTTTGTACAGTCATAATCCAATGCGGATGTAGAGGTTTTGTTCTGGTCAGATTCACGAACACACCTTCCAAAGGACTCTTTCGGCTTTCGCACTCTGTTGTTCCAGGGACACATACATCTATAGATGGATTCTGCTCATCCGACCGGAGCGACCGGCGGCCCACAGACAGCCGGCGAACTACCTCCAGAGGCCGTTGCGCTGGCATCAAGATTCTTTGACGCAGCCAGGTATGGCCAAATGGACATTTTTGAGCAAGCATTGCCTCGTGGCTTACCGGCAAACTTGACGAATGATAAAGGAGATACTCTGGTAAGGACGAGGTCTGACGTCCCCTGCTGGTCTGACCTGAACATACTCAGCTGATGCTTGCATCTTATCACGGCCATGCTCCACTTGTATCATTACTAGTCGGACATGGAGCAGACCCGAACAGGGTGAATGACCGGGGCCAGTCAATGCTTGCAGGTGTCGTGTTCAAGAATGAACCGGAAGTAATCAAGATTCTCTTGGAAGCCGGCGCTGACCCAGAGTTGGGCGAGCCAAGTGCGTTGGATGCTACCAAGGTACCTATTCCAGCCTTTAGAAAGGCCAGGCTTGCTAACCTCGAGAAGGTTTTCAGACAAGAGGAATACGAAGGAATGTTCCGGGAACAGATCGAGAAGTTAAAGACTCCAGCAGTTCGAGCAGTGAATGGGCAATAACCCATTGTTATCAATCATTACTGGTTCTCTGCCCCTCAGGGCTCAGCGGTGGCGGTAGCCGCAGGAACAAGTATATAAAGTTCGTAACTCGTGAGTATGAAATGAAAAACATTTTAAAACAGTTTCCTCCTAGATTGCCGCCAACGCCATGCTGCATTTCGCTAAACAGAAGGCTGATCAAGCTGAAATCATTCATATGCATGTGAAGGCTGGTTCATTATGCGGTGTTGATGCAGGACTTTTTGAGATGGGACCTGCAGTGTCGAGACGCGGGGGTGGCATCCTTGACACCATTCGTATTTCCGATTCTGTATCATATGCACTTGATGTGCCCATTCTCCAATGTGTTCTGTTGGTTGGAGGGATACCGCGGATGAGGTTCGAGAAGAGGAGGCTGAGGAGGTAGCGGAGGCCGAGGATGTTGAGGTTGACTTTGATGACCTTGGCTTTTCATATGCCTTCTGCAAGGCTTGGTGGTAGTTGGAATAGTATCGGTTATTGGATGTTTGTGAGTCAAACATGGTGAGTGAGGTTCTTGGCCTTGGTGTCGACTGGCGGATTGTGTGAAGGCTGGTAGAGAAACAGATCGGGGGGGTTTTCGTCTGAAGATATCTTATAGATGTTTCCACAAAATTTGTGGAGGTGGTTCCGTGTGACGTTGGATGTGTACGTGAGGATTGGATTGTGTGCTGAATAAGTACTGTGTTAGACCGAAGAATTCTGATAGAATGCCGGAGGTTCCGACGTTCAGCACAAATAATGGAACAGGTGACGTTCACAGCGGTTGAATTTTGAGACGCGTCTCACAATTTGTTGAGCACAGACAACAACAACAATTGTGTCACAGGGCCGGTTTGTCGTTCGAGAACAGTAGTGTGTAGTGTACCTAGGTAGGTTGAAAGGCGAAATCGAGAAGTGATCAGCAAAACATTGTGGAAAATACCGAGATATACGTATGCTGATTCTCAGGTGGCAGCACACATGGACGCGTTACAATCATCAGGTGGATCAATCAAGAATGGCATGGTGAAACGGTACCGAGAGGCAGTGGTCTGAACGGGCATCATGACTGACGAACCAACATCAACACATGGTTCACATGCAACGCGCTCACCGAATTTTTGCGAATCACTTTGGGGATAAGGGATATGGTACGCTGCAGCAAAGTTCGAGACAGGGGACCACATGGATCGAACATACAGCTGAGAAGTTCAAAGCCTTCATCATCCTCGCATCGATAATAAAGCTTGAGACAGCCACAGCCGCTGCCATGTGAGATCGAGTGGGAAGAAAAAGACTCGCTCGACCACTGCAACCACCCATGAGATAAAGGAATGAAGCAGGATTGGATGGAATGAAGTTGGAGAGAAAAAGCCAGCCTTTTGTGGCAGTAAAATCTTCACCCTGGTGAGATTATTGTTGAACCAATTCGAGAAGAGTCAATGGATCCGAAAGAGCGGCGACGTCCACACTCCACAGCGACAGAGTCGTAGCCAAAAACTGACAACACGACATCGCCTCAATGGAGCCCAAAAGAGCCGAGGAGAAGCCTTTTCGCCCTGAAACCTCTTTGTCAGCTATGCCTATTTCGGTGCCCGTTACGCCTATTTCTGGCCTGGTGAGCCCCTTTCTAGGCACTGGGCTTGAGCCGGGACGCAAGCCATAGACAACATACCTATGTCTTATGCCTGCCCTGACTCTTGCCCTGCTTTACATTGGCTGGCTTCTGCATACCTTATGTGAACACGAGCTGACACTTATTCATACCGTCCCAAACTTGTAAAAGTCCTCAGCTCTACTATTCTTGGGTTCTCTCATCTAAAGGAAGACGTGAACACTTTCCATCTTCGATGATCCAGCAACGGCAGCTCTTGCCTTTCTCCTCGACATCCACGTGACTACGACTAGGTTGATAACGGCAAGCTTCCATGACTCCGGATGTGCAAATACATCAAACATCACGTTGATGCTTGCGTCTTCTCGGTACTTGTTCTTTTCAGGGCAAAAGGATTTTCATTTTGCATCCGATTGGTAACACCCCGCAAGCATGATCCTCGGGCTAGTCAAATGCTACTCTTAAGCCTAGTGAGCTTGGATGCGGGGGAGTGAGAGGTACGTGGCCGAACTGCGAAGGTACAGAAGGTCGGGAGATGTGTCGCAAGGATTGCATGATCTCTTCAAGCATGAGGCCTTGTTGTTCTCACCGCTCCCAATTCATCTCTTTATCTTACGCCTCGAACTGTCCTGAGTCTCAACGTTCAATATGGCAGACACTAATGAAGTCGATGGCACTTCTTCCAATGCCCTCTGTACGGTCGATGAGTTTGTGTCTCAGCAGTACGACTTTGTGGTCGTCGGTGGAGGGACAGCAGGCTTGTGTGTGGCAGCCCGATTGACGGAAGATCCCAACATCTCTGTAGCTGTCCTCGAGGCTGGAGAAAACCGAATGGATGATCCCAAGGTCTCGACGCCAGCTTTTTATCCAACGATGGTAGGTCGACATTCCAGACATCTGCTCATCTTCTGCATCCTATTTTGCCAGACGAATGCCGACTACTTTCATGGAGACCTCCTTCCCAGACAATATTCGATCCAGAGTGGTGTTTACCATGTGACTTTCACCACGTGACAAGGCTGAGCCATAGCATGGCTACGTATCTGCTACACAAGTACTGTCTCCATGGAGGCAAGCATATGGCGGTTTGCGTGGCAGCAGCTCTTCATGCAATCCCTCTTGTGCCCTACTGATCCTCAAGCTATCATCCCTTGCTTACCTAATCCCAGATCGGCCGCAAAGAATACGACTGGTGCATGACTTCCACCCCGCAACCAAATGCCGGCAACAAGGTCTACTCGATGCCACGAGGCAGACTCTTGGGCGGCTCCTCCGGCATCAACTATCTCATGTACGTTCGTGGGAGTAGAAATTGCTATGATGTCGGCTGGGAATCCATCGGCAACAAGGGCTGGGGATGGGACGGCCTGGCTCCCTATTTCCTCAAGCACCAAACTCTTGACGTGACGTCTGTCCACGACGATCCTCAATTCATGCCCGTGGCAGGAGGCGACGAGTTTCACGGCAGGAACGGCCCCATCCACACCAGCTTCAATGACTGGTACAGCCCGTTCGAGGTCGATTTCGCCGAGGCCGCATACGCTGTAACCGGAACCAAGAAGACTATCCATGACGCATGGAGCGGTGACCATATGGGCTTCTACTCCAGCCTCGGTGCCGTGAATAGGACCGATGACCCGGGGAAACGATCCTACGCTGCCACAGGGTACCTCCGGCCAAACCTGCACAGGTCGAATCTGAAAGTCCTGACCGAGGCACAGGCGACTCGAATCATCTTGGATGGGACCACCGCCAAAGGTGTAGAGTTCGTCCACAAGGGTCAAAAGTATAGCGTCAATGCGACTAGGGAGGTCATCTTGTCTGCCGGTGTTATCCAGAGCCCGCAACTCCTGGAGCTTTCTGGCATCGGCGATCCGGAAGTTCTCAAAGCAGCCGGCGTGGACTGTGTTGTCGAAAACAAAGGCGTAGGCGCGAATTTCCAGGATCATGTGCTCGGAGGGCTGCTGTACTACTTGAAACCCGGAATCACGTCTCTGGATGCCTTGCACGGTGAAGAGTTCATGAAAATGCAACAAGACGTCTACCAGCAGAGCGCAAAGGGCCCGTACGCATCGCCTGGGATGATGATGGGCTTCGTTTCTTATGCGTCGCTGGTCTCGCCTGAAGAGTTAGAGACCACCATCAAGGAGATTCAGGATAAGTCTCTGGCGAGGACGGATTTCGAGAAGGCTCAAGAGAAGGTACGTGTTGTCACTATCTCCGTTAAGAAGATAGTGGGAGACTGAGTGCTGAATCTAGGCCATTGTCGATCAACTCCGGGACCCTACCTTCGCCAACCTTCAAACGTTCTGTATTGGCTGCCGTCTTGACGTCGCAAAGGGCTCTGACCAGACACAATTCTTCTCTGCTCCGCCTCCTGGACGACAGCAGATTTCCCTTCTCATGTGCCTGGAGCACCCTTTGTCTCGGGGCACCGTACACATAAAGTCTGCGGATCCTCTGGCTGCGCCGGAAATCGACCCAGGCTATTTCCGCAATGAGGTTGACGCCAAGATTCTGGCAGCCGGAATGGGCTGGATGGACCGAGTGGCCAAACATCCTGTCCTAGCCAAATCTCTCGACGAGCGTGAACTGCCGCCTCCAAATGTCAGTCTTGACAGTGAAGAAGAGAGGATCGAATACGTCAAGAACCACATCAGCACACAGTACCATCTCATTGGCACCTGCGCCCTGGGAGAAGTCGTGGATAATGAGTTGAGGGTGAAAGGCGTCCAAGGTCTTCGAGTGGTTGATGCTTCGATTTTCCCAGGTCATGTGTCCGGGTAAGTGCTGCCGACTGTTTGTCCAGGGGAGTATGCTGACCACGACAGAAATATCATGGCGACCACGTATGCCGTAGCCGAGAAAGGCGCCGACATCATCAAAGCCTCCATCAAGGCATAAGGGTCGCGGAGACCTTCCATTCCATATGAATCATAATGCTCCTCGTGGCCTTTTCGTCGCCTGTCGGTCAATCTTGCGTTTCCTTCGTTGCAATCCTTCACCCCTGCCTTTAACGTCACCTCTGCATGATGAGCCGGATCTTGACTGCGTTCCCTTCTAGTGACTGGTGCTTTGGCGGTGCACAGCCCATCAGAACCCAGTCCTTGCAAGCGAACACAAGAGCCCAACTCCAGCCTTGACCCCATCGATGATATAAACCTCCTTGGCCGCCGCAGTTCCGAGCCACTCGGCACATGCCTGCCTCACGGCGTCTTCCAGACCGACCATACCTGCACAGCCCAGACAGATTGCCTCGGTATCTGACTTATTGACAACCTCATTCCCTGATACACCTCTTTCCAAAAGTCGTTTCGTTGCATCCATCATCTTCTTCCTCACCTCCTCACCTGGCAGATCATGTAGTTCGCTCGCATTCAGGCCTGTCGTCTCACATCCAAGAAACCTCGAGACCTCATTATCGTAGTAGCTCCCATCACTCCCAAGAAACCGTTCGACTGCAGTCTCGAGCTCAGGCTCCCATATCTTTCCCGTCGATACAATTCCAAACCCCTCATGGTCATCGATCAGACTCATACTCGTCAGCACACTCGCCTCAAAGATCCCCGTGACATATTTTCTTGCGCCTCTCCCTTCGCTTCCTGCGGTGGCAGAGGCGGTCAGTTTCCGGCACTCGCTTTTCAATTGTGGAACCAGTGGATGCTGGCTGTAGCATGCCACGAGAAAGGCATCATGGTGTGGTAGGAGAGGTACCAACGAAGGCAGGCAGATCTCGGCGGATTTGGCTGCGTCCTCGGGTGAATTGATGCTGGGAATGCCAGGTGATGGGGATGTGAAGAACGTGTATTCGACCTGCGCCTATGTATCAGACATGGTCACCTTTGCAAATACAAAAAGAAGTGGACCGAAACGGACCGATGGCATGTGTAGATCTTCGAGGACAGGCTTCAAAGCATCCGTCATGCGCTTCGAGGTGTTGGGGTTGATGACGAGGATGCGTACGGGGCTCGACGCTTCGGCGGACATCTTGGGCGGCTGCAGAGGTTGGGAATGGGTAGTAGATGTAAGACAAGCTAACTAGCTCCGATACAGTAATCTGTTATTATGCTGCATGATCCGTGATTCAAATTCATCGATTGAAGCGCAGTGATAGCGAGCTCGCGGGGAAACCTTTGAAATATATTTGCAGGGTCTACCATTATCGCGATAGCGCGATACCTTGAGTCAAAGGTAGTCTGAATATCAGCCAAAGGCAATATATTTCTAGCCTACCTAAGGTAAGGTAAGGTAAGGTACTACTACAAAGCCGCATTAACATCAGTCGCTTCGGAATCGATCTAACGCACGCCTCCATCCTCGTTATGATACCTGTACCAACAGACGAAACTCACATACAGAAGGGGTATCTCGTAGCAATCCAACCCGATTCGACTCAATCTGAACCCAAACCCAACCAAATGAAAACCAAAACAGCACACCCATACTTCATACCCTGTCGTGGGAGACTCGGGCTTACTCGAGTTGCTCAAAGCTCAAAGATGGAGACTCGAGACCTTCCTCCATTACTCAGGCGGACTGCTCCTCAACCTCCTCCCACCGCCTGCAGGTCCAATTGACTGACTGAAATTCTCCACTCCGCCACCCATGCCCATGCCCATCCCCGTTCCAGCAACGGTACTCTTCGCCCGTCCCAACTTCCTCGCTGTGGGCAACTTGCTCTCAACGACCGCGTTCGTAGTCGCATGTCTCTTAAGCGGCGGCTGTCCCGTCCCAGAGCCTAAACTCTTACTAAAGTCCAGCAGCACGGGTCGTTCTTTTTCTTTACCTTCACTCGCACCATTAGCAAGCGCAGGCGCCGAAGAACTCGAAGGTGGTCGGCCAATAAGGTTGATGTCTATTTCTTTCAGGCCCAGACCCGGCTTTGACTGTGATTGTGATTGTTCGAGTGATACAGCCAGGATTGTTCCTTGGCTCTGCGGGAACGTGGCTTGTTGTTGGCTCGTGGAGGAGCCAACGTCGTTGAAGACCTTCGTCTTACTCGGACTTGCTGCCTTGCTGGGGGAGCCGCCGACAGCACCGAAGCCTTGTCCCTTTCTAGGGGACGTTTGTTTGCGGGGCGAGCGGCCTGGTGTTTTCGCGGACGGTGTCTTCGATGCTACATACGGATCAGGTAGGCCTCGTAACCTCGCGACGATGGATTCGTGACTTTCTGTTCGTGGGAGAGTGATCGGATAGTTCCAGTCTCGCTTTTGGGGGGTCTCGCCCGTCGGTATATATTCTGCGAATGCGGATCTTGATACCTCTGATCTCAAGTCTTGCAGATGCGGGCGAATGTCGTCTTCCAGAGCATTGAAGAGTTCTGCTCCGTCTGAGTGCGAGCTGGTCTCCTGCTCGAAATTTTCTAGCTTAGTCTTGTGCTCGTTCGAGCCTTTCTCAAGCTCGACGAAGGCCCCACGGGCGTCAGACGCCATCTTGTCCAGGCTCTGGATCCGCTGGGTGTGGTTGGTGTCGTTCTGAGATCGTGCTCTGGTCACGAAGTCATCCAAAGCGGCCATTTGAGTCGCCATCTGAGCGAGCTGCGCATCGACGATCTTTGTGGTGTCTTCTTGTATCGCCTTTGTGGATTTCTGTATCGCCGAATTCCGCGTGTTGATTGCCTGTTCATGATTAGCGAAACGTTGTGAAAGGTCCGTGAGTACATACCGTCCAGTCTCCTTTCATCCTGGTCTTGACATCCTCTCTAGCTTTGACCACGTTGGTCATCAACTTCGTATCATCCTGGGCCCATCTGTCCATTCCATCACGATAGCTCTTGTCAGCATCCTCGAAATGTTCAACTGCCTCAACAAGACTAGTCTGAGTCTTAATCAGACCGTCAGATAATCTTTCCTGCTGCCGCTGAGATGAGGAATCAATGAGTTGGAAGATATGCTCCTTCAACTTTTCCTTCTCTTCCTCGGCGATTCTTCTTTCATCATCGCGGATCGCCTGAAGCTGAGTTGAAGTGGCCAATTGTGCTTCGATGTTTGCTCGATTGGCCTCCTGGAGCGTAAATCTCAATGTATCCGCCTCCTCCCGCTGAGCGGAGAGCTCCTTCGTGAGCTCATCAAACATCGTCTTGACATCTTTCCCAAGACCACTGTAAGATGTGTGCAGCTGAGTGTGGAAATATTCAAGTTCTAAGATCACTTCCGCAGAGATTTTGCCTGCTGCTTGAGACAATCCCTGGAGACCTTCGCCAACTTTGTCCTTGACGGTTTCACGCAGCTCTTTGATCTCTTCAAGCACGGAATTCATGTCATCCCGTGCCTTAGACGACTGATTGTCGATCGCTCGACAAGCCTGCTCAATTTCTGATCCTTTTGACAGGGCCAGCTGTGCCGAGCTCGTCAGATGCGCTTTTTGCGCCGCAAGAAATGCCTCGACACGCTCTTTGCTGGCTCGGATCATCTCAGCGTAAGTATTCTGAAAGTTCTCTATTCGGGCATCCAGAAGGTCCGAAACCGTAGTGATCCGTCCAATCGAGGCCATCCATGACTCATGATTCTGGATGTGAAGGTCAGACCGCCGCCTCAGTTTTGCGTGGAGACCATTGATGTCTCCCACGGTTCTCCCCATGGACGAAACCAGTTCTGTTCCAATGCCGAACAGTTCCTCTTCTGTTGCTTCGTGTGCTTGTCGGAGTACGGTCTCTTCGAGGAGGTTTCGCTCGGTATCGGCAAGCACTGCTTCAGTTTTTACGAGGACATCTTTGGCGCTTTCCAGCGTCGAGCGTGTTGCTTCATTGTCTCGCTTGAGCATTGTGAAATTGTTGGTCAAACTGAACAATTCCTGGACCTTATTGCGCAGATTGACTTCCATCGTCTCGATGCGTGCCTTTTGCTCCTCACTAAGGATCCTTCTGGACTCGCTCTCAACGGTGATCTCCTCGTATTGATCATTCGTCAGGTACACGCCATTGCGCTGTCGAGTGGCAATCAATTCGCTCTTCAGCTTTTCAATCTCATTGGTGAACTCCTTAAGTAATGTTTTCTTCGAGATCGTCGAGTTGACTTGTGGTTTGTTTCGAATGTTCTTTGCTCTGAAAGCATAGTCGAGTGTGGATATTGTCTCTTCGAGATTACTCTTTGCCGGGGATACTGTCGCAATGATACATGTCTTCGTCCTGCCACCCAATGAATCTTGGAGCAATCTTGTGAGTTTGGATTCCCGATAGGGAATGTGTGCGCTCTTGTCCACGAGAGCATTGATCACTCTTCCAAGCGTTAGCAAGCTCTTATTGATCAATCCGGCTTCCGCAGCTCTCTTGTTTTCTGCTCCACTTCTTTGGATATTTTCACTGCCTGCCAGGTCGACGAGATTGAGTTTTCCAGCACAGATGAAATCGTCACCAGTCTCGTTCGGCTTCTTGACGTAGGTTGTGATGGTAAAAACAGTATGGCTTCGGGAGCTGAGATCGTTGCACTTCGTAGCGGCGACTTGCCGTCTGTGGCTGCCTCTTTGGAGCAGCTTGATGCCTGCTGCTGCGCTGTTGATGTGCGATTCCTCCATTCCCTGCACGACTGTCGCAGAGTGGCTCTTCTTGTTGGCATCATCGTAGATTTTGAGCTTGACAGTATCATCGAGCGATAATAGATCCCGCAACTCTTCATTATACAACTCGATGAACGAGCACTTGACTGAGCACTCCAGTTCATCTGCTTCCAATCTCTGAAACAACGAATAGAGTACCCTTGGGATAATACCAGCCGCGTCAGAGAGGAGTCCATATGTATCAGTCATATCGCCCGACATGGTATATGTCTTGCCTGTGCCTGTTTGGCCGTACGCAAAGATTGTACAATTGAAACCAGTAAGCATCTCGTTTAGTATCGGTGCCACCACATCTTCATAAATGATTGTCTGATCAGCTGCAGGGGAAAAGACCTTGTCGAAATGGTATGTCTTATTACTGATCGCATTGGGTCCCATCGACAATTCCACCGTCTTGCCTCTAACACCTGTAGTTGACACCACGACCCCGCTGTTTTCTCGCACTTCTCGCTCGCTGCGGCCGCGACATCGCACCACCACATGGATGTTGGTCTCTTCGCCATGGTCTTGGTCAAAATCTCTCTCCTTCCTCTTTGTGCCCACGTTCGACGTGACTGATTCTGCTGGGGAGGGCGCGCGGCCCGTCATCGAGCCATGTTGAGTTGCATGTGGACGGGGAGGAGGGCGCATCGAACTTCGACTCGAAAAGGTAGGTCGCTGTGGCCCTACCATGATGGTGGTGGCGAGCGATACGTGGTAACTTCGACAGCTACCGTGCGACGCAGAAGGTAGAAGGGCATTTGCGAGTGAAAATAGTGAAATGCAGGGCTCGTGGGCTGAATGATCGCAGGACAGGGAATACCCTGGTCGGAAAACGGATGGCCTAAATGGGAAGAGAAATAAACAAAGGCGTGATTATATAATACAGCCTCGTCAGCCTCGGACAGCCCCTCTGATTCGTCACATGCCAACCTCAGTCCTTGTGATCAAACAATACGGTCATCTTGGAACAAACGCCTGCAATTGTTACTTCAGCGCTAACAGCTTTCTGACTTCTGCTCGTCGGCACGATATGTCATCGCCATCATGAACGAATCACCGCTCAAGCCGGCTCTTCAGGTCCAGCCAGAACGAGGAATAGGCTGGATAAGTATGCATCGTTCGTTGCGCCTCTTACTTGTGCTGACTTCTCTAGCCCTTGGTGCATCGCTTCACAGTATTATTTCGCGGTTGAAGGCATATCCGCAAACTTATCCCAATATCGATCTATCATACTCGGCTTCAGAGCCGATTACCGAGCCTGCTATTCTGAACCTCCCTTACAATGGGTTGAGGCTCCGATTCGATGGTCCAGATCAGAGACTACGACTGATTGAGGTGTTGGACTTCTCCATGACTGCACTGGTCTACAAAAACACAGACCTGGTGCGCCGTACCAAGACTTCGGATGGGAGCAATCAAGACGAAGCATCCATCCCCCTTGGACCTACGTTTCGACACATCTACAGTCGGCTCTTTGGGCCTACTTATGCCGGAGAATACCTGCCTCCCGAACAAGGCCGCTCGTCCGGGACATATATTCTATCATATCCGGGGCTAGCATTCACCTTTCCGATCAAGCATCAGTCTTGGTCGGATAAAATTGACTTTGTCTCGATACTCTCTTCGAATGCGACAGGTCCAGCAATTTCGATGGCTATCTTCTCCGGGTCTTCATGGACAGAAGCACGATCAAATCTCTATACGAGACCTCCGACCTATCCAAGACTGTCATCGCTTGTTGGTAAATCGAATGAGAGCATTGCTGACGAAGTCGAAGAGGTGAGGGTGCTAGGAGGCGGGAGGCTCGAAATGGTGCGAAGAAACATGCCATTGTTCTCCCTCACTTTGAGTGAAACCACTCCTCAAGATCTAGTGGCCGACTTAGGCCCTCCCGATGCGATATACCGTAAGCATGACCGGCGTATCTCTATTCATGCCACCGGTAATCCTTCCAACCGCCGGCTACCGAGCATGTCGCCAGGACTTGACCCGCAAGCGCACGACACTGATCAATCGTCGGTGCAGAGCTACACCGAGGACTCTGACATTGAGCCAGAGATGGAGGACCGGACAAGTGGCTCTAGCGACGAGTGCTTTTACAATTATTTTCACCATGGATTCGACATCCTCATATCTTCTCCAACCTCAAGATCGCTGCCCTTCCCGGGAAGCTCAACCACTGAGCCATCAAGATCGTCAAGCGCCCAGCTTGTGGCGACCAAAATATTTTTGCATGGAAACATCCCAGGGTCGTTTTCGTTTAACCGCCACCGGAGAAGCCGTTGGGTGATACGAATCCCAAGAGACGGTCAAGAATCAGCCCTGAGTTCTGAGATGACATTTTCGGAGATATCATCGACTCTTAAGCAGATCTGGCATGACACATACAAGAGCGAAGAGGAGGAGAAGCAAATGCAGCGAGGCATGGTCTTGAACCGAGGGTGGGAACAGAGCCCGGAGAGTTCAGTAGAGCTCTTGGGTGACCTAGAAGAGAGTCCGACCCGAGAAAAGGCTGGCGATGCAGACACATCAGAGGTGACAGGAGGTGGCATGAGTAATACGGAGTTGTTTGGCTTCCCTGGAATGTTGTTCGAAGTGCTCAAGAACGGTACCGTCAGTTGTTTGACAGTGTTTTGAGAAGCAAGCAAAAGGACAATCAATGTATTATGCACGATCCCCAAATGATGCCATCAAATGTCCTTTGCGTACCGTAAGCAGCCATGGTGACCCTAAGGCATCAATAAGGCCGGCAAAAAATGGCGGAGCAGGATAGGTAGCGCCTTGCGAGGCGTCGTGGTGCATGGCTTGGTTCTCCAAGGCGAGAGGCCGCCCGCATTATTTGGCCCTTACGGCGGCGGCTATGGTAGTCAGGCATACCTGGGAGAGAGGGATGATGAGGACCTTGCAGTGGGTAGTGGGCGGCTGCGGTCTATTAGCTAGATCCAGCCTCCTCCTCCTCCATCCACACTCTGATTTCCACCACACAACACAAACTTGCTCTTACATCTCTGCCGATGAAGAGCATTGTTTTCCCGACAAACTGTATTGTAAATGTCGCCGCATATGCTTGAGGTCGCCTGCTCAAAGCAAACGACCTTCATCTATTTCTAGCGAAAATGCGCACCTATTTTTACAATTACCAACGTCGGAATCATCACTCTGGGTACTGCGCTCTGTCTTAACCACCATGCCTGATCTATCATATTCCTCACTGCGCATGTCCCTTCTGTACCTCCGCTGACACGTCATGAGAAAACGCAGTCGTAGCGCTTAGCTATTGTGCCTTCCTCATCCTGCGTGGATGAAAATTTTCAAGAATCAACACAGCATACACCAACCCGACTCGATCTTATTCGACGCTGCGACCACAAAATGGCAAAACACAACGTCATCCGTTGTCTCGTGGACGACACAGCCCTGACCAGAAATATTGCAGAGATCGAGAGCTGGGTGGCACAAGGCAAGATCTGTCTCGTGGTGCCTCTGTACAGTATGACAATGTCCGTTTCGGTTTGCGATCGAGCTAACCACCCCAGCAATTGGCCGTCTCCATGTCCTCAAGCGAGACTCGTCTCAGATCGGGATGAACGCTCGTAAAGCCGTCAAATTCCTTGACCGTAGCACCTCCTCGCGGGGCGATCTCTCCTACGAGCCAGTGTCCCTGCAAGGACCTGATGAAGAATATCCGACTTGGGCCGAGGTAGAGGCACACTACTTGAATGAGGAATTAAAAACAGCTGGAAGAACTGAGGAGACATTCACAATTCCAGCTATGAATCAGAAAGAAGGAACCGAGACAGAAAACCCACCCAGTGAGACTACCGAAGCTGCGGGTGCACTTTCGAAAATGCTGTTGGACAAGCTCAATTTCGCAAGAGAGCCTACAACGACGTCGCCAGCATCAACCCCGCCGCTTTCTCCGGCTTCGTCAGGACCGCAAAGTTCCAAGACCAGTCCCGAGGTCAAGTCTGCCACCATGATCACCCACGACCAGACGCCTGTCCCTCCTTCACTGAAGCCATTGCTCAACCCGGTGGTATGGTACCTGAACGAGAGGGAGGCAACTCAACGTGAAAGCCTAATCTTCCTGACCAATTCGCCTGATACCATGCATCTGGCGCGTGACTTTGGCATCCCGACCAAGAATACCCATCAACTGAGAAGTGCTTTAGGCATTCATGACGAACCACCACAACCACAGGACAGCAACAAGACTGATTCGGTGAAGAATACACCACCTCCACAGGCAAAAACCCTGTTCAGCTACCACGACATCGAAAGCGACGACGAAGAGGTTGTATTCAAGCCCAGAGGCCGAGGTTCGAGCCGCGGAGGACAATCTACTCGTGGCGCTGCGACAGTCAATGGAAAAGGCAAGGGCGTCATCGCACGCTCTCCACGGACATCTTTCAGTACCCATCCGCCACAAGCACAAAAGAAACCCCAAATTCCTGTCGACGAGATCGATCCGGACTCATTCGACCGCGGTAGTTTTGGAAGAGGCAGTACTTCGCTCGCTAACGTTGGCGGTAGTGCTCCCAATACGATCTCCAGCAGCGGCCGCGGAGGAGTGTACCGTGGCAACCAGGGCCCCGTCGCAAGTCGTGGAGGAAGCTTCTCTCGTGGATACGGTCGTGGCTTTGAGCGTGGCTCGACCCGCGGAAGAGGTCGGTTGTTCGTGCCTTGACTTCAAGTGTCACTGTCATGAGATTACTCGATCTGTGACAGCACGACAAACAACGAAACTACTGGCATATGCCATTCCAACCGCAACAGTGCATCAAGACTTGACGGTCTTTGAACCGCTTGAAGGGCTTTAGAGCTCTGCGGACAATATTCAGTCCTTGAACAGGCTCGATCGATCACACATTTTGCGAAACACGACAACCCTTGAACTAGCGTTCTGAAGGCGTCGGTTACCTATTGTGGCACACTATGCATCTTTGTCCTGCAATTCTTTTGCAGAGATGGCTTGACAGGTGGACGGCTTGTAATGAAGCGGAATATGGGTTCTCGAGGAGACTCGAGAATGGGCGCAGAGGCGACGGAAAGCGTGATGAATGCTTTTAGGTGCAGACTGAGGAAAATGTCCATCGGACGCTCGGCGGTTCTGCCTTCTTGTCTTCGGGCACGTTACCACTCCTTCGCCGAGCCAGCATGGAGGTTCATTTTCAGTCAAAGTTGTCCCAGTCCAGTTGGGACTCAGATGGCCTGACTTGTCCAGAACCTTCTGAAAGTCGTTTCCAGAGTATTTGCAGGTCTATCACGGCCGATCTGCAGTGACCCCGGAAATCGGGACAGAAGGGCCGTACTTGTTCTCACGCTGGCCAGTCCATTCGTTGAGTATTGTTTTTCTCACATGCAATGAAATGTTATTGGATACTCGTGCTTCCTGATTGGGTTCGGCACCTACGGAGTATACGAGCTTCATTCCCTTTGTAATCGACAATGCCCGGCTGACTAACTCTTCTTCTTTCGTGTTGTGAAACCTGCCTTCTTTGGCTCCCCAGCGACTCCTATCGACTACGGTGATGGAGAATGTCATCTCGCACCAATATACGGAGTATATCTCCACTAGATCCCTCAAGGGATTCGAGGTTGCCACTCGCAGCTCTTCCATTCTGTGAAATCTGCTCATATCAAACACATCAAGGCAGCCTAGAAACGTGCAACAACATCCACGTCCTCTCCGTGGCTTCATAGTCTCCATCCGTGGATTACAGTCGGCGCCGACATTTCGGTAAGGGATTCGTACAAGCCTAGGTGGAGATATTGTTTTTTCCTCGTCCTGAATTAGAGACCTGCTTCACTGTCTATACTTTACTTGGACACCGCGGAGAAGGGTGTGAAACTGTGACACATATGAACCCGACTCCCCCGCAGTCAGTGTGCTGATGCTGCGAAACCAGGCTTGCGCCATCCCGATGCCTCGACGAGTGCAAGTGCCAACTGCAAGGCCGGCACTCGCACGAATCGTCACGAATTGTGCCGATGCCTTGACAACGTCCTTGACGAAAGGCAGTGGGGACCATGGGGATCTCACGACCTGGTGTCCAGATCTAGGAGCCGACTACGATCGCTCGTCGACTACAAGTACCACATCCACGGCAGGAGCTTCGAAATCTGCTAGTACATACAAAGACGGTGTGATGCGCGATCGGCATGGGCAAGAGCATGGCGAGCGGCAGATTCTAGCGGATATCACGAATGCGACGGGAATGACCTTCACCGACAGCGAACGTGGACGTGGAACTGAACGGCAAGGTCGCGATGAACGAGAAAGAGGCTGGCGAAAGTTCGTCAAGTATTTCAGTCCTTCGTACGTCCTGTCCTGCCTGTCGACCGTCACCCCGTTGCTGCTGATCACTAGGCTGATGTCGTTCTTGTTTAGTTGGTTCACCGTGACAATGGGCACGGGCATCGTGTCCATCCTGCTGAACCAGTTCCCCTACCAGGTACGCTGGCTGTACTGGCTGTCCGTCATCGTCTTCGTGCTCAATCTCGTACTGTTCATCTTCTTTCTCCTCGTCTCAATCTTGCGCGGTATCATGTGGTCTGAGACGTGGAGCATGGCCACGGACCGTCCGAAGCAGAGACTGTTCATCGGATGCATCCCGACGACCATGTCTACGATCGTCAATATGATGGTCTTGGTGTGCGTGCCTGCTTGGGGAGAGTGGGTGGTATACACGGCTTGGGGGTGCGTATTCCTGCCACACATACACCGTCATTACCTTGGCCATCAACCTTGACGGTGCAAGTCACTTGGGGGTTGGGTCTTGGATTGTACTGACCTGGGCGTGCAGATTGTGGATGGCCGATGCCGCGCTATCACTTATTTGCGCGCTGTACCTCCCCTTCATACTCATCAAGCGAGCCGATGAGACGCCTCTTTCGGCATATACCGCACTGCAATTGTTTCCGATCATCGCGTGTGTTGTGGCATCAGCGTCGGCGGCCGTCATGAGCAGTGTCATACCGCGACCTGAACAGGCTCTCGCGACGCTCGTGATCGGGTATGTGCTGTGGTCCCTTGGCTTCCCAACGGCATTGTTCATTATGGTGGTATATTTCCAGCGGCTGGCGATCCATAAGCTCCCACCCAAGGAAGTCATTGTATCCTGCTTCATGCCGCTGGGACCGCTGGGCATGGGCGGCTTTGCGATACTTAGGCTCGGCAGTGTGGCGATGAAGGTGTTTCCGCAGACGGAGACGATTCATCCCTTGGCTGGTGATCTGGCGTACAATCTGGGCGTGTTTTTGTGCCTGATCTTCTGGGGGTTTACGTTGTTGTGGCTGTTCCTGGCCGTCGCAACGATCCATCATTGCAAGCATTTTCCGTTCAACATGGGTTGGTGGGGGTGAGTATTCTAGCTAACAAAACTCGCTGTGTTCGCAACGAGCTCCAAGAACTGACTCGGCGCAGATTCACCTTTCCCATCGGTACCTTTGCCTTGTCGAGTATTGCCCTTGCGCAGGAGCTACCGTCGAGATTCTTCAGGGTCATTGGAGCGGTATGATATACAACTGTGGAAAGTTTGGAATCGAAACTGACTCTGAACAGATAACGTCAGTCTGCGTGTTCTTGTTGTGGCTTCTGGTAGCTGGTGCCACGTGTAGGGACCTCATAACGGGTGGAAAGAAGCTGTTCAATGCGCTGCCTGATCCGAAGCATCGTGTTAATGAAGGGCCTGTGGAAACAGTTGGCGACGTCCCTGGCAAGAATGCATGAATGAGGGCGATTTCGAAAACATTGGGGTTGCAACTAGTTCTCTTCTTGTTGGCAATGTGTAGATCCCGCGGGCTGGCGGATCGCTATACTAGATGGTTGTCCGCCGTACTCTACATTCAAGAACTCCCTCTGCCTGCCTGTCCTCGGTACACAATCTCAAGGGGTATAAGTAGGGAAACGTTTCGTAAAGTGGCAGCAATCCTCCAGGCGCGTTCACCGAATACTAATCGTCTACGCCAGTCCCTGTTCCTGCACCACCAGCCTGACCTTCCCCGGTCGGGGTTGCTTCCATCACTTGCCTGATATCCTCGAGCCTTCGTTGGAATCGCTCAATCATCTCTTCCATGCTCTCCTTCTCAGCAGTTGCAGGGACACCGCCTGGTGTATTTCCCCTCCCCTCGATGCGTAGCATGAGTGCGTCGTCCTCGCCTTCTCCAATTGTCGGCGCGGTGGTGATACTCGACCGCAGGACTTGCCAGTCTGAACTGAAACTTTGTGCGGATACCACTTCATAGGTAGGAGCTGTAGGTCCCGAATCTTGTGCTTGTGCCTGGAATCGCGGATGCACATCGAGAACGAGATAGTGTTCCCTTCCACCGGCAATCGGTGGTGGAAGTCGTGGGTCCTCGTGATGCTGCCCGCTCGCACGCTGTGACGGGTCTAGGGCTTCCAGACTTCGACATGCCGCTTCCGCGATGATGTCCGAGTCATCGTCAGCAAAGATATAGTGGACTGTGGGATGATGGTGTTCGTTGGTCACGCTGTCCTCGATCAAAGTGAAGAAAGGTTGAAACGATGTTATTGTAATTGCTTCCGCCTCCGCCTCTGCCTGGGTCGCACAGTGCTCTGATTCATCACCGCCCTCGACCACGGCATGCTCGGAGTACTCGATGGATGGAGGCTGACGAGGAGACTGATGCGAGGCTACGATGGGGTCGTCTTCGAAGTGCGGAGATGGTAGAAGGCTGCGTGTCTGGGGACCGCTGGTACGCCGTAAGGAGGACTTTGACGGCGATGATGAGTGCGTGGGAACTTGACGGGGCTGGGACATGTCCAGAATCGAAGAGGTGCGTGGCTACATCGTGATAGCCATGGTTGCGGTTGATGGGAAGTGTAGACTTTGTTGGGCGCATGCGAGGCAAACAGATTGACCGGAGCCTCGTCGGACCTGAGATTAGATAAGATCATGCTTGCGTCTGTCACGTGAGCAGCTTACAAAGCGACAAGGCTGATCTCGGATCGAAAATCGCATGACGAGAACAAATGCTTAGATATTATTCTTTTGACTCACCACCGACACTCCTCTTCCCCGTGCTTTAAGACCCGGTCTGCCCTCAGCTTCTGTCTCAGGGCTTAGTTTTGCGGTGCTACGGCCAACGATGGAGGGGAAGAAAGTCGTGGTGGTCGGTGCAGGGCCTGTTGGTTCCCTCGCAGCACTTTATGCCTCGAAACGAGGAGCGGATGTGGAAATCTACGAACTACGCGGTGGTGAGGCTTTCTTTCTTCCCTGGTACAAATGGCGACTTGCTTCTAACATCGTTTGACTCTTTCAGACCTGCGGAACGCGGAGACAACGCCTCTCAATTTCACCAAATCCATCAACCTTGCTCTTTCCGAACGAGGCATCAATGCACTTCGCTCAGCTGAAGTTCCCGAACTCCTGCAGGCCGTCCTGGCACAAACCATTCCAATGCATGGCCGGATGATCCATACTCGCTCGCCAACAGGAGCTCTGTCAGAGCAATCTCAACTGTATGATGTCCATGGCCGTTTTCAACGTTCCGTCGATCGTGGCGGCCTCAACAAGGTCCTGCTCGACCATCTGGGTTCTTTGCCCAACGTCAAATTCTTCTTTCAGCACAAAATGACTGGTGCAGACTTTCGCAAGAAGAAGGGCTGGTTCGAGCTCTCCGACAAGTCCGGCTCCTCAGACCGGGCCAAAGAGATTGAAGTCGACTTCGACCTCCTCATTGGCGCTGACGGTGCTCATTCGGCCACTCGGTACCATATGATGAAGTTTGCCCGTACGGACTATCACCAAGAATATATCGACTGTTTATGGTGCGAGTTCACAATGCCTGCCACTAAATCCGGGGACTTCGCTATCTCTCCTAATCATCTCCATATTTGGCCGGCTGGTAGTTTCATGTTCATTGCCCTTCCCAACCTCGACAAGTCCTTTGTATGCACATTCTTTGGGCCAGTCGACTTATTCGTCAGACTCGAGAAAGCGCCAGATACCGAGCTGGTCCAGACTTTCGACAAGTACTTCCCAGGTGTCTCCAATTACATCCAACCCGATGACTTGGTGGCACAATTTAAGAGAAACCCGCACCTACCGCTCATCAACATCAAATGCTCGCCACATCACTTCAGCGACAGTGTCGTCATTGTTGGCGATGCTGCCAACGCAATGGTTCCCTTCTATGGTCAAGGCATGAATGCTGGTATGGAATCTGTCCGAGTGTTGTTCTCTCAACTAGATGAATATCCAAACACTGCCGAGGCACTCACCAAATACACCGACCAACGGACGAAGGACGCTCACACCATTGCCGACCTTGCTTTGGGCAACTACGCCGAAATGCGACATTCAGTAACTTCCCCCTTATACAAGTGGCGCAAATATATCGAGGAGACCCTCGACAAATACTTCCCAAGCCTAGGCTGGGCCACTCAGTATTCGAGAGTAAGCTTCAGCAACCTGAGATACAGCGAGGTGGTCCAGCACTCAAAGAGCCAGAAGCAGATACTCACCTTCTTACTGCTTGCGGTCACTGTTACTGCCGCCGTTGGGCCCGCTGCGGCTGTATGGGCCTATCTCCTTCGATTCAGAATGTCGAAGCACTTCCTCTCAGGGTTGCGGAGGTGAAACCTCTCACCCTCACTTTACCCTGACCTGTCGAGAGCACATGCTCCGCAGACATTCACTGGAACGATGCCTATGGTCGATCTGCGTCCTCGACCTCACCTCACTTCTCCTCTCCTCTCCTCCTCTTCTCAACTCACCTCACATTTCCTCTTCACCGACTTACCTCATCCCCTCTCTGCTCAACAATCTACACTATCGTTCACTACCACCGTCATTAGAGCTTCACGGCTATGGCAATCATGGCTCGATTCTATCATCCATCAGTCCATCACCTGAGATCCAGACTTGTACACTACACCGCCAAAGCTCCTTGCTACAAACGACGAAACATGTCTTTCAAAGTTCCCTCTTCTGTCAGTCATCACTCAATGCGCCTCCAGGAGTAGACAAACTGATATCTTCCAGATCCTCACCACAGCCCGTCGCCGCGCTAGGAAGTGTCAGTACCGCCGAAAGAACGCAGCAGCCTATGACGCGGCCAAGCCGACGATCATGCAGTTACCTAATGAGGTGCTGTTCATGGTATTCGAGCTGCTCGATGTGCCCTCGCGCGTCTGCCTTGGCCTCACAAGCAAGGTGTTCGCCCAGATGACCAGATGCGTCGATACAGCCTGCAACGACCAACCCTCTGTGGTGAAGTTCCACCAAAAGTGCACTGTGCTTCCGTGTACCTACACTCACCACATCTCCGACAGAAGAATCATGCTCTTGCAGCTAAAATCTTGGATGCCGTACGGCTATCGTCTCTGCTGGGTCTGCCTCAAATACACCAAAGTCGGTTGCTCGGAATGGCACTGCACCACTCAGGTGAAGTTCAATGGCCACGACGGTCTGAACGTCCATGCCATTCAACAAGCCGGCATGGACAAACTGTACGCTCATTGGAAATGCATTCGATCCGGCCACGCTCTCGCTAAATGGTCCCGGATCACTCCAGGAGCATCCGGCGGCTTCACTCGGCTCAGAGGCAGTGACAGTCCTCCGACAGATGGCTATGTCTATGATGCGGGCCACTAAACCCTCGTGTCTTATGCTCTCCATTCTCGAGTGAATACGCGAGACGGTCAGGGACGATAACGATAGGTGAGACGATTGAAATGTGAGAAGATTGGGGAAAGCAATGATTGTGACAGAGATTGGACTGTGATCATTAAGGCATGGACATGGGGCTGCAGAACAAACACTGAGCGGCTTGGTGTCGAACATGACTTTCATTGTTGGGGTTTCAAGATTGGGAAAGTCATTCAATTGGCAGAGAGAGATATTATTGGTTGACGTTCAGCTCATGTTGGCCCGGAGCACACAGATCGTGACTTAGACCTCAGACTCGAGTTTGTGGTCACCACAACTGTCACACAGATACAACAACTAGAGACCGAGTACACCTCGATAGAGTTAATGGTACTGAGCTGAAAAAGGCAATACAAATCAACTGCAGGAACGGTCTACAAGCTGCAAGATGTCGAATGCAAAGATCCTGGACAAGACCTGAAGACATCCTTCATCTCTTTCTCATCACTCGTGGTCTCATTCCTTATCATGCTATCAAGGACTTACTACTAGCAATGCATAGTAGGCATCCTGCTCTACCCAACCAGCGCCCTGTCGCTATAGTATGCAATGGCTAAAATCTACTCGCTCACAAGCAATTACGAAGTCTTGAGGCATCTCTACTCCCATGATGGCCCTTCCCTTGAAGTTGACCTACGCCAGGATCTGCACCTCATTCTCACCCTTATCCCCATCCTTATCCCCATCCATTTTGAGCACGCGCCTTTCGACTTTCAGCGGCTTAAACTGATGCCAGCAGTTCGGCGCCTCAAGCACATACCGGTTCATTGCCTCTCGGAACCGGCGCTTATACTCCTTTGGACTCGTGACAGTAGGGCGGTTCTTTCCGCCTCTTGCGAATCCACGGTCTTTAATCCAGCTCTCGAGCTTCTTGTCCCATGTATATGTCCTGATGCAGTCAATTATTCCCACGACGAGCTCCTTGCGCACTTCATCAATGGCGACCATAAGAGAATAATCCATGACGTTCTGTCTCGCCAGGAAGAGTGTGTCGTTGTGCACGCTACTCCGGAGGAGTTTCTTGCTATGCTCGCGCGTGAACAGCGGGGATTCGTATATGAATTCGACCATGTTCTCATCAAGTAGCACTTCGTTCTTCTCGCCAGTCGCGTTGATTTTGCGGTTGCGCATGCTGCCTTTCAAATCAAAGATTCGAGTTGGAATGCGGTCGTAGAATAAGTTCTCCATGACCAACAAAAACCAGTTGTACTCGAGGCCCGTGACAGGATTCTTGATGATGATCTGGTAAAAGCCTAGCATTTTGGCGATAACAGAGGGAAGTTCGTGGAAGAATGCTTCGGACATGATTTGGAAGTAATTAGGGGCGAATTTGAGGAATGATTGCGTTTCGATGGGTGAAAGAGACTTCAACACGAAGCGATCGTCCAGAGTCTTGAGGAAGAGTGACTTGGTCTTGCCGCCTTTCGAATCCCATTTGGCACATCGCGACAGAGACTCGATGATTCGATCCGCGACGCCACATTTCCTGCGTACGGCGTCAAACTGCTCGGCGAAGAATATTTTGCAGAGCATCTTAGCTGGGCCTTCTTGGAACTGGTACTTCAAGTGAGTCCCTGTCTTGCGTAACAGGGAGTGCATAACATCAGCCTGTAAGGCATCGGAGTGATCATGCCCACTAAGATCGTGGACGGTGTCGCGAATAGGACGATTCTGCAAATCTTGCAACATCGTTTTGTAGTCTTGTGAATCCAGCGCAAAGGCGATGATGGAACTCGGTTCATCCTCACGAACGATAATGTCACAATCCGCGAAGATGTGGTCAGATGCACCAAGAGGATACTCAAGCGCAGTCCAACCGCTCGAGGAACGTTCAGCCCAGAAATTGGTCAACATCTTCATCAGCGACGTGCGTTCATGCTTCGGAAGCTCTTTGAGGTCCATGTCCTCCTGCGACATGCGTAAGAGGTCTTCAGGCGAGTCTGGTAAATATATCTCTTCTGAGGCGTCCTCGACATCGCTTCGCTCGTCATTCTCAGAAGGTGCGTGGCTCGAGAGTTGTGTATCGGCCTCGTTTTCGGTAATGTCTGTAGCTCCTGCTTCTATTGGAGGAAGTGTTTCCTCATGTCGTGTAACATCGAGCTTGGCCATGCCTTCAGCCGTGTCTATTGACTTCTGATTGTCGTCCTGCGGCTCGTCCATGTCAAAGACGTCGTCAGAATAGCCTCTTTCCTCGACTGCTTCGTCCACATCTTTGTAGACTTCAACAATGGGTTTTGACACAGCCAATGGATATATCCTTGATTGTCTGTTTCTCGCAGCCCGTACTTTCCTTTCTCTGATCCGTTCTCGCTCGAACTCCCGACTGAGTTGTTCAAAATGCTTCGCGAGATTGGAAACACGAGACTCCTTGCGGTTCGTGATAGCCCGCGGTATCAGGGAATGACCCTTGGAGAAGGTATTTTTCTTGAGCTGTGAAAGTCCGAGGCGCTCGGAAAGTTTCTTGTCGGGAACTTGCAAGTTAGAATCCGAGCCGACAGCAGACAGCGCCGGGCTATGCTTTGCTGATCCGAACCCGTTCATAGCACTGATTGCTGACAGCGTGCTTGAAGGGGGTTGGCCGGCATTTAGACGCAGTTCGATCGAGCCAGCTGGCTGAGAGTGTGCACGAGCGAGTTTAGGCGAAGCCGATTTGCCATCCGATGTTCGCCGCATTGTAGAGGGTACGATGGGATCTTCCGCTATCACAGGTAAGTCAATTGAGTGAGTCCGCGCGGTTGTGATCAGAGTCCCGGATGCCTCCGTGTCCGGACCCAGCGCAGGGCTAAGCTTTGATGGCTTATGGGTGATCTCTGTCGATCTCGCTGTTGCAGAGGAATCAAGCTCAGTGCCGGCACCGGGCAGGGTTTCCCTGTGACCTGGCAATTCTATTGCCAGATCAAGGTGCTTTACATCCTCAATATTCCTTGGTCCATCCAGAACAGATGGGAGATTCTGCACGTCAGATTTCATCACTTCCGAAGACGCCGGAGCCTCGTCCTCCATTGATGGGTTATTTGAGTGTTCGGTGAGTACTGACTGAAGGACATCCTGCGTCTTTTCTGGCGAAAGTTTCGAACCTCTTCGCAACTCGAGGGCATCAGGACGTTTTTCTGCTGACTCGTCCTTTTCGTCAATTGTCTCTTCTGTAGGAGGTGTAGTCAAACCTTCCTCATGGGTCGTCAAAGACGTTACGGACACATCGCGGTCGAGGAAAATCTTCTTCAGTTGTAAAGTAGCGAGTCTCCTGATATCTTTCTCTGAGGGGAAGAAATCCCCTTCAAAATCTGCAAATGTTGTGTCCCACACAGACACTTTTTCTTGCCCTTCACGAATGATGCTATTAAAGGGAATAGTCTCCCAGTACCTGGAATTGGTATAGCATTCTTGAAGCTTTTTGATTAGGCTTGCATGCTCCTCAGTAGCTCTCTTTGTCAGCTTCTCGATCTCTGCGTGACATGCTTCGGCAGCCTCAGGTAAAACGGCGTCGACGTTGATGTTTTTCAAACGAAGCTTTACGGATACCATGAATCGAGTAATCCGTTGTTCCAGACGAGTATACACTTCGTTGCGGAATTTCAGATCGTTGTCGACTTTCCAAGTAATTCTCATTCTTGGAACAATGATCTCCAAGAGATCGATTGGATCATAATGGACGCGTAGAGCGAAGTCTTTGTAGCCAAAGTAGCGTAAATGGTCTCTGTGAAGGTCATGGGGACAAATGCCCGCTCGAGCATGCAGGTCTGCACTCCAGAATGAGAGCTCGAGGTATTTTCCAAAGGAATATTTCCAGCTGCTTGGTGACATTGGAGTTACGGTGGTCTCAACTCCGCACACCTTGCACTGACTCCACATGAGGATGACATCCTGGAATCCGCGCATCTTCGCCGGATATGGCTGGACAACCACTGTGACCTGAGCCTCGCCATGCACGTATTGACGATGGTGTTCGTGCATCGGCTTTTCACAAGCATCCGACTGACACGGCTCGTTCGCACGATAACATAAATCCTCGACATACTGGCCAAGCGTACAGTCTGCTTCAAACTCGGCTTCGGTCTCGTGTTCGTTGTAGAAGCTGAAGGCCAAGAGATCTGGCCCAGAACATGGCACCGAGGTCTGTGTTGAGACCAGGCTGAACAGAACCACAATATTCTGATGAGCAAAAGGATCGAAGAGATTGCGGTTCCCGGAGAGATATGTCTCCCACTGCTTCTTCTGAGTTTCATAGTTGTAGAGGGCCTTGTCGTACTCGGCATCATGCACGGCGTGAATAATCTCTCTGACTTTCTTGCTAGCACCAGCAAGTGGTATATGCACCATCTCAGGTTGGATCAATGTAAACTTGGCGGACTTTCCCTTGTCTTCCATTGCTTGTTCAGCGGACAGATCCTGGTCTCGAAGTCTCTTGAGATATGCAACGCGTCTCTCCAGCTCACGCGCACGCATAAGGAGATAAGGTTGCGAAAACTTCACAAATGGTGATGCAGAGAGGATCCGGGTTTCATGTTTAAGTACAAGGTCTTCATAAAACGTAGGCACGGGTATGTCATCCGGAATGTGCACAGAATCTGCGCTATCCAACCCGGTAGGTGGCATAAGATTGCCATCTTTTTCGGATGAGAGAATGTCTGCATTAGAGACATCCGCCTCCACCTTTGGTTGACCGTCGGCTTTCGTCGCGTCTGTTGCCGGATCTCCGCTGGTTTCGTGGCTTCCATTGCTTGTTGCAGATGTCTTAGATATCAGATTAGTAGGCGCGATACTGGGCTCTGCACCTTGCGCTGTTGGAGCACTCGGTATCAAAGCCCATTCATCTCTCATCAAACATGTCTCGAGTTTCAGGTTATAAACGACATAGACCATGAATTCAGTAACATGTTTGATCTTGGCCAGGGTCTGTCGGTCTGCGCCTCGAAGTGCGATGGTACACCCCAGTTGTGGGGGACAACCCGAGAGATAGACGTAGGTTTTCTTCCTGCCTTCCGCCACAAACGTTTTGACTTCAAAGGAGTCGCAGCGGCCAAATGGATCTGCCTGTGACGTGAGTTTGTCCATCGAATGCATGACCCGAGCTTGTGTACACCGTGACACTGCTTCCAAAACTGACGACTTGACGTTGAAAATTGTTGTAATCTTCGCCTTTTCGAGAAGCTCAAGCGCGAGACCTGAGATGTTCCGCTGCGCCAGAAGGACGTCCGGTTTCAGTGCAGCAATGCGACCAACGAGGTTACTGAGATACTCTCGTTCCTGCCTAATGACAGGATCCAGGCTCAGAAAATGCTGCTCGTGCCTAGCATATTCAAGCGCAAACGTGATAATCAAGATTTTAGGATTCGAATGAGACCGAGCCATGCTTTTCAGAGCAACGTTTTTGGTGAAAACGAGACCAGAAATATAGGCTGTATCTCCTGGTTTACCACCTGGTATCTTCTTCAATTTCACGTAATTGCGGATATCAATGTCGTCGCCACCTTGCACATCAGGATCCACATCGTCGGTAGCTTTTAGTAAGATTGGTATGAGGGCATCCTCCCAGCTTGAGGCCTTGGGGATATTGGCGTCTTTGAGGAGCTGCTGAAGAAGCTTGTGTACATGTTGTATACTGGCACGATTCAGCTCCATTGCTGGGGCGGCCACCCCACGCATGGACGCACTGCGGATCATTCGTGAATGGCCACGATACATGCTGGAGGCGTCTGCCGGAGAATCCTGCGCATCATCCTGGCCGGGCACAATGATTTGTAATCGTTCTCTGGTTGTTCGGGGAGTGCGTTGGTGGATGCTGCTGGAGACACTGAGATTTCGCTTTCGAGAGCCCCTCACAGTGTCGAGGTTGCGAGAGCTGATCACACTAGCATCGTCGTTATCTTTGCCCAGACTTAGCAGCCCTGCAATGCTGCGATCTCCGATTCGTGACCGGCCTTTTCGTACAGCAGCAAGAAGGCCCCTTATAGCGGTTCTGTCGCTATCAGGGCCACTGCGCGAAAGCTTGTCTGGACTAAGGGCTTCATTGATGGAAGGCTCATCCTCGCTGGACGGATCATCGGAGAGATACTGGGCGAGATCTGGATCAATTATGCTGTCACGGTGAAAAGCGGAGGATTTGCCTTCTTTGAGGGTCTCCTCTGCTGCACGTCGTTGAAAGGGAGCCCGATCTTCATGGTAAGCCTTAAAATTCCGGATGTGTTGATGTTTAGAGTGGTGACGTTTGTGACCGTGGCCGATGGAATGACTTGGCTTTAGTGACCTGGAGGAGCTAGGTCGTGGCAGGGGCCGGTCAGTCGTATCGAATTCCAGCACGGCGGAGCTTCGGTCTGCCCCTTCGAATGCTCGTCGTAATGGGAAACTCATCGTGGGTGTCTTTGACATCTGTTCCAAGGACTGAGAAGTCATGGAAGCGTTGTCGTCATCGAAGCGAGCAAGCTGACGGTTCTGGGTGTTGGGCTCTGGGGTCCGAGGGCGGGGATCAGTGAGGGCGAGATCCTCCACTGAATAGTCAGAAGAATCATCATCGTGGGAGGTGATGATAGATTCACAAGGTTTGCAGACACGGATAGCGCTGTTGGACCCGAAATGGGTTCCACTGATCAGTACTGTACACTTGTTGTCGAAGATCTGGCCGCAAGTACGACAATGATGCTTTCGACGGAATGTCGTGAATTGTTCACCACAATGAAAGCAGTCTTTCGCGTTCTCATCCCGCATCCAAAACTCCTTGCTCAAAAGCTTGCTGCGTAACCTGCTCATTGGCCGTGCTTGTGGGGCAACATTGAACCCTTTTTGCTTACTCTCATCCACTGAAGCCTCTCGAGTGTGGCGTCCTACACCCGTGAAGATAGTTGAGTCTGACGAGGACGTACGAGGCGCTCTGAAACCGGGCAATTTGGACTGGCTGACCTTTGGTGCAAGCCTTTCAGCAGGTCTTGATGTTGAAGTAGCAGAAAGAGGGGATTTGATGCTAGAAACGTCGTTTGGTTTTCCCTGAGACCCTAGATGAAGCTTTGAGGGGTGGACTGCAGTTTCGGCAAGCAGATCTAAAGGGTTAGTGGGGTGTTTCTGAGACCCAGCGTCCTGCTTGCTTGGGGAAACTCGCATGGCCGGTGCGTCCCCATTGAGGGTGAATTGCTGTGAATTTGCCAACGGATCGGCATGGCTAGTATGGCTTTGCGTGGAAGTGGATGACAAACCGCGTTCATGAGATATTGATAGGCGTGGACTGGGTCTCTGAGCAGCTTGCAGTCGAGGAGAGGTGACAAGTCGACTTCCCCGATCAGCCGCGGAGGACTCAGCGCCAGGCTTGGAAAAGACGCGCCTTAGACTGTCGCTGTCGCCAGATGCAGTCATGCGTTCTGGTGCTGGAGAGTCAAGATCGAATCCAGAACCAGCTCTGGAGTGATTTGCTGAACTGACCGCGTGAATATTGACATTGGTGACCGATGGATCAGCTAAATGAGCCGAGGGCTGCGGAGGGCCAGTTGGTGATCTGATTGAAGGAGTCGACGGCAGCGATACTTTGGTCACACTTGTCGCTTTCGAAGACATCTTTGACGATTGAAAAAAATGATCGATCGCGGCCGGAGAGTCAACAGCATACAACTTGGGCGAATGAGCCTTTGATGTAGAACCGGAGCTGGGTTTGGAGAGGTCATTGTCCTCGCTCTGCCCAGGTGTAGCCTGCTCCTCATGACGATCATCGTTCTCTTTGACCGCTCCTACGCTCGCCCTCAGCTTGTTGTAGAGTCCAGATATTCCACCTTGTATCTCGCTCGCCAAGGTCTTGTTCTCTTGGTTCGAGGCAGCCGCAGGAGGATCTGTATACTCGTTGAAGACTGTCAGGTTGTTGGACTGGGACGCTGCGGTATGGATTGTGTTCAGCGCCTGGTTGAGGGCATCTTGATCGAGGTCATTGGACAACGAGGCTTTCGAGTCCCGCCGCGCTCTTCGACCGAGCGGGAGGAAGATGGAGGAGGCGGAGGGACTAGGGTTATCTTGACTGGCAGTGGGCATTGTGTATCAGTCTGGTGACCTGTCGGCCACAGAATGTCTGTGATAGTGTGCGGATGTCTTCATGCTCGATAGGCCATATTGACAATATCGGATTTGTTGTGACTTCTATCTCGCCGGAGCCAGCCACGGGCGGCCATGGTCGAATAGGAGAGTATAAAGGATCATAAATTGACAGGCCTCTAAGTAGGTAGGAAATGGGCAACGCTCAGCAGAATGAGTCGGCGAGTCGGTTGGCTCCGGTCGACTTTCTGCCCAACGTCATCCCTTGGCAGTCGCGTCTTGACTCCAACGCGATTTTCCCCAGACCACGTGCAACGCCTGAAGCCGCAATTTATATCGCGATCGCACCCGCAAGCGAGCCTCGAGAAATGCATCGGCAACGCGACGCTCTGCTGTCGACGTGCTTGCTACAATTTATGAAGGAGGATCATCGATGGCGGACCATGAGCCGTGGTTGAGTCCTTTCGTCACCGGCGCCTTAGGCGAATATCTTGAGTACCTACACAAAGGCCACTCCATGGTCGGATGGAAATCTGAAGTCAAAGGGGAGACTATCCAGATACGCCGGAAAGAACCATTTGTCAGTACTCTTCGGACAATAGAGGTACAGGCTCCATGTTCATACACATTATCTTATTGACTTGACCCGCAGAGTCCCTCACCAAGCCAAGTCAAACTGACCGACGGCAAATATCACGTCCAAGCAGTGTTTTGGAAATCTGTCCAAGATGGGCTCGCGCTCTCCGGAGTACAAATATCACATCTTACAGACTCGGCAGCTATCCTTCGAGTCGTTGATCCAATTGTCAGCATCGACTGCAGTTATGGCACTCCAGAGCTACGTCTTTGTATCCCAAAGTGTGAAGTCGTGAGCAGGAAGAGAGCTAGGGCCCTTGCTTTGTCCGAAGGCTCACTGATAACCAAAGAGGCGGATGTGAAACAAAAACTGCTGGAGTTCATGCAGTCCTCATCAAGAGGACGTCATATGGGCACACCCTCCGGCAGCCCTAATGGGTCTATCAGGTCCCAGGCTGCATACAGCCAAGGCAATGCTTCCGATTCCGAGGACCACCTTTCTCAACTCCCTTTTCAGACGCAAATCGACGATGATTTCCGCTACCAGCAACCAAAGAAGGCTGTGTTTACGGCCGGTCAAAGGGATAGGGATCCGCTGCTCTCACTGTTGAAGCAGCGCGGTCAGGGCGCGACGGCCTCGCGAGCCACCCAGCCAAAGGCTGAAGCGCTTCCAGCCCTGCATGCTGATGCCCCAGTTGCAACGAAAAGTAATGATATTGTCCTTGGATTTTCAACCCGGTCTGCCGACAATGGCAGTGCCACCAGCATCCATAGGACCGACATTCCAAAGGCCTTGGCTGAGCCTGTATCTCTGAACGAAGTTTCGCCCGATACGCAAGTCGGGCAAGCCAGTCAGATCTCTTATGACGAACCAAAGACCAACAGCTTGCCCCACGCGATAGTAGCGAAGAAGCCGGGTAAGAATAGTCCAGTCGCGGAAAACGTAGCTTTGTCTCGGTCAAAAGAAACTGCCACTGCGCAACTACCAGCACGAATGGTTCGTCATTTCGGGCGATGGCGAGAAGAGGCTCGCTCTGGTCGCTATTTGCCTCGATATGTACAGAAAATCCCAAGAGAACAGGAGGTCCTGCTTGAATCCGATGATAGCTGGCAACCCCCTCTGGTTGGACGAACTCCCAGACCAGGGCAGGTCCCTCTAGCTCTCACAGAGAGGCTTTGCGAACTTGCCGATCGAGGCTCTTCGGCTCCTCTGGGGTTTGGACACCGTTCAGAAGAAAGTAGTGGTGAACCAGACCTACCTGGCCCCTTCGCTGCTCCACGTGAAGAGGGACCTCCGAGCCGTACGCCTGAACCAGAATCAAGCGACTCTGAGGAGTCAGAGCCTACTATTCCATGGTCAAGCAGTCCACCAACACAAGACCGTCGTCGACATCTGCCGGTAGACAGTCCGCCGTTATTTGCAAGACAAGGGAAAGAGGCTACTACCGAAGCAAGGCCCACCGAACGTGTTACAGCCGTGGAGCCACACTCAGCAACTTCCACCACACGCGATAACCTCGCGCTTCTAACGCAACAGAGGACGCATGTCGACCAGGATTTCGAAAATCCGCCAGGTAGGTCTATCGATAACAGGACTGGCGAGCCGGCGCATGTCGAGACTTCAGACAACGTGGTTACCATACCAACTGACGAGCTGCCTTCCTCAACCGAATCGGCTATGGAGCTTAACGTGATCACTTGTTCTTATCAACAGAAGCCATCCTTCGCAGGCCCAATTCCGACCACTAGTCTCCGAGCCAAAGGCGTCCAGGTCGTAAGAACCCCGTATGTGTCAAAGCGACCTGATTCCCGCCTTGTCAATTTCAGTGCGGGACATGCCAAAGCCATTGAAGAGCTTGACCCAACTTCATCTGCCTGTGTTCCTGGGACATACAATGAGCCCGCCTATTGTTTTGTTGCAGCAGCGACGAGTCAGGATGATCCGCCTATCATCCAACAACGTGCGGAACAGATTCCTGGCAGGGTGCTGTTAGATCAGTCTGGCACAGAAGGCTCGGCTAGCGGTCCTCAAGACTTACGGATCAGGGTTGGACTGTCGCATACAGACAATATCTTCGAATCAATTGACGAGGAGAGGACAGACACCCTTTTGAACGCGGCTGTACAAGAAGAAATTAGTATCTCTACACAAGCAGTCAGTGAGACACGGTTACCAGCCAGTCCAGACAAGACCCAGTCTACAGAGCCTCGATCGGCTGAGCTTGTCGCAGAAAGGGCAATGGCACAAGCGGCGTCTCCAGACATTTCACAAGAAACGCGTCCAGTGCTCGAGCCCGACGCAACAAGCCAGCACCATCATATCCACAAGGATGTCACTGCCTCCAATGAGAATCAACCCCATGCACATGATGCAACTGATTCAGATGGAAGACGGCAAATAGACTCCGACACTGCACAGGAAAAGGCTGGCAATCCTGCATATGTGACTGATCTTAGAGACCATCGTCGGAAGGCGCTGATATCCATAAGCAAACAACTCTCGATGACTTGGGACTCCATTTCCTCCTCTCCCAGTGATCGGCCGCAGGTGTCAATTGGCGCCAGCAGAAGAAGTTGTTCGCCAGTCGCTGCAGATGACTCTCCGAAACAAATGTCGACCCCGATCACTCGTGTATCGACATACGCCCGCATCGAGGAAGAGCCCAAGGCACGGCCCAGCGACTCTACTTCTCAATTATCAGCACCACTCAATGTTGATCTCGAGCCGGTTTTTGCCAAATATAAAGCCACCTATGCCGACTATGGAGGAGACTTCATGGCCTTTGAAAGTTCATGCCGGCTGCTCAACAAATTCTGGAAGATCGGGAAAGATTTTCATCCCTTCTACGACGATGTGATATTTCATCACTACTATGGTTTTCGTCAGTACCTGTCCGAGGAAGCAGCCAATGAAGCTAGCCGAGCCATGGCATTACACGAGTATTATTATCAGCGAGTGCCTGAGCCTACACACACGTGGGGTATTGTGACTAAGTCGATGATCGAGAACCTTATCAGACCTCCTCGGTCCGCAACGCCCGTATCGTACAGTATTCAGCCATTACAGACTTCTAAAGCTGCTCTATGGCCAATGCCGAGCAAGATAGAACCAGTATCTGGCATTCAGGGTCCTATTCCACTTGCTGAGTCCCCCGTTCAGGAAGTACTTGCTATTCAGCATCTGTCCCAGTCAGAGGAAGCCGTTGAACAGTGGCGCCAGAAAGTCTCTCGGGTTCCGTCACGAGAGCCGGAACCGACTGATGTCGGTCGCAGTGCGCCTGATGTTGCTTCACCGGAACTAGGAACCCCGAATATTGATCGCAGTCTGCTTGACATTCCGGTATCTGATCTTCCCCCACCTGAAGTGCCCGTATCAGTGGCTCTATCTAGGGATGGAGATGTGGAAGCAAAGAAGAGGAGAAGGACTCTACCGCCAAAATTTCCGCTCCCATCCTCCAGTCCGGTTCATGTTGAACCATCGACAGCCCCTCGGCCGACAAAACGACCAAAGCTGTCGGCCAGCCCTTTCGTGAAACCGCCAAAACCTGCTTCGGATACAGCCTCAATGACCAGTATATTTCCCAAATCGCCAGCCTTAAAGAAGGCCCAAAAATGGTGGGTCGATCCCGATACGCCGTTCAAGCGTTTTGAACGGAGGTATGCGTCTTTACCTCAGGACAAGCTGACTCCCAACAAGGCGGAAGCTGGCGCAAAGCATCAGCGCTGGAGCGCGAAGATCGATATCTTTGCATGGAGAGCGTGAGGCTACGAGTCTCAATAGTCGAGGCGGTTTATAGGATGATGACAAAGTACTTTTTGGAGATGTCAAGCTTTGTATACAAGAGGCACACTTTCCACGTACAGTATTTCATGTTCCGACAGTCTTTCTCCTTCGTGCTCTTTGATCAGTTAGTTTTGCAAGCTTTATCTCGCAAGCTTTATCTCGCAAGCTTTATCTCACAAGCTTTATCTCACAAGCTTGTCCCCATGGTGGCATCTACTAGTATTGTGCCAAAGTCAAGCATTGCAAACCCCCAACAACCGCGGTCAGCGTGCCCGTCGGTTTGTCTCCGTTCCTGAAGTACCACGCACTGCTAGCCCAGTAGAGCGCCAACGTCAGGGCTGAAATGGCGCGGTCGATGGTCGTCCATGTTGACGGGTCGCGTTGGGAGAGTTGGTATGTGTAAAGGCCTAATTGATTCGTTAGATACTAGTATCCGTACGAGGTATGGTGACACTTGTGCGGTGCGCCAGAAAGCACAAAGTTCTCGTAAGAGGTAAGTAAACGGTTAACGGACCTGCAATCGTAAAGAGAATGGAGCCCTGGTACCAGCCTACTCGAGCGTATGCGAAGAGGATCTTGGGCAGTGAGGACCATTGTGGCCGGGAGAAGACGTCTAGGCCGAAGATCTGGCCGTCCGACGGATCGTTAAGTTAGTCAGGGATCGGGAAGATGGCGATGAAGAATGTGGGTGTGGGTGTGAGTGTGGGTGTGGGATAGAGAGGAGAGGAGAGGAGAAGAGAAGAGAAGAGCGAACAGTGTGGCCCAGGGCGACGCCGACGTGGGCGATGGAGGTTGCGAAGGCTATGCGAGACATGTCTCTTGATGGGGGGCTTTCCTGGCGATTTGTTGGTGGGCGGTCCGTTGCGTCCCTGCTTTCAGCATGGAATCCTCGAGATCTGCTGGATGTAGCTTTCGAATTTTATCTCCCGAAGCGCTCTACGTAGTATTTCTATTCGAAATAAATACTGTGGAGAGAAGGGGGTTGAGGTGATGTGAGATAGGCGGGGTGATATTTCTCCGCTTTTCTCGTACGCAAGCAACACGTACGTCCGGTCTCGGGGATGGACATATGACTTCGTGAGATGCTACTGTAACTTGGCGACTTCATACATCAAGCTGAGACCCGCAAGAAGAGAGCTTTTGGGATTAGATGTATACTCTTAAGAGAGTCGAATCTGCCATTCTCCTAGGCTTATGGTGTACATCGTGGAGCACCATGACCTGACCGGAACTTAAGCCTTCAGCAGCACAAGGCTGAGTAGTCCCCCCTTTCTTTTATCGCAGCAAAGGCATGCCTACCTAGTTGGAGGCTTGTCATGTGTCCGGTGATAACGGGCACTGGGCCTCCACCGATGAAGGCCGGCCTCCGACACCGTTACGCTCATGAGGCAGGATCACTCTTCGTCTCAAGAGACCATCACTTACATTGTAACAACCCACACCATCACGACTGTTCCAGGCAATTTTCTCACAATCCCATCCTCTCCTCCGCTGCCTTGAACCCCTGCAAGGCCTTCTTGTTGAACTCGTCCGGATACTCCCAATTACACGCATGCCCACCCTCCGTCACTATCCAGTGACTACCCTCGACCAAATCGGCCAACTCCCTCGACAATACATTCGGAATCAGAATATCCCGCTCTCCAATTAGGACATTGACATCGACCTTAAGGCCAGCCAGCTTGCCCACGTGCTTCCTTGTGTCAAACGCAGTGATGACGTTCAACTGCGCCAGATAGGCGTCTCGGCCCATTTCCTCGTCCGTCTTGGCCATTTCCGCCTCAATCTCGATCAACTCGTTCTGGTGCGCCGGATCGGCGAACCACTCGGGCGTAAAACACCACAATAGCACGTCGCGCATGACATCGGACACGGACATGTTCCGCGCCATGTCGCCCCACAGACCGAACATGCGGGTGCAGAAGGGGCCCGGCGCGGCGTACGTGCAGCACAGCGTCAGGCTGAGTAGTTCCAAGGATGAGGAGTCATTTCCGCCGCAGTAGTTGAGCGCGTACATCTGCGCGATCATGCCGCCCATGGAAATCCCAAGGACGTGGTAGGGTCGCGGGATGTCGAGCGTTGTCACCAGGGCGCGCAGGTCGGACGCCATGTCTTCTGCGGTCCAGCGTTCGTCGCCCCTGCTGGGACGCGATGAGAGGCCAATGCCCCGGTTGTCGTACGTCAGCACGGTGTACCCCGCGGACGTGAAGGCGGAGACTTGAGCGGCCCATGTTGTTTGAGCGTCAGCGAGGCCGTTGATGAGAATTACCCAGGGTTTTGATCGAGGTGATGAGGCGGAGGATGAAGAAGAAGGGGAAGGCTGGTGAATGGTGTAGTTTATGCGAAGGGTGGGGGAGATTTCGAGATACTGCATCCCTTGAAGATTGCTCTTTCGGTACGAGGCTGGCCGCTTGAGACTTAATCTGGTCCGTGATCTGGCTGTTGAGATAGTGCGATCTCAATCGCTTTGGGTCTTCCACTTCAACAGCTTCTGGGACGACGATGGTTAGGCCTGGAATGAACGATGATTCCGCATGCGATAACGATTTGACTCAGAGTATCGGGCGCTGACTAAGAGCCATCACGACCCTCTACCTACTGTAAGGTACCGAGGTACCATCCTCGTGCAGCCTCGTCACCCACAGTGGTCCGGAGTACACGGAGTACTAGTACTTCCCCTGATCGTGGGAGCCTTCCTTTGATTGACGCACGTCCAGTATTTGAGATTGATGCCTAGCAGGAAAAACAGCCGTGACGGTGAAACAATAAGAGCTGTTATAACTTCATTACAGCTGTATCTTGACCCAGCACCCATACTTATAATACCGGCCTTGAACATGATCCATTCTGTATCATCGTACTCCGTACAGTTTAGCCAGATCTGTGCCGCTTTTTTGATGTTTCCACCAACGCCTGACGCTCAATATCTAATCCAAAATTCAAATCCTCCACATTCACTACAGCATGGCGGCCGCCAGTGGTACCTTGCTTCTTATCCCTCTGTCAATATCATTCGTAGATTCGTGTGGCTTTCAACGATAGCCTGGCGAATGAAGGCGTCGTCACTCCTTTTTCTCGTGTTTCTTTTCTTCATCGATGTCCAAATGGTCCACATTGCCTTGATCATGACCTTCTCCGGCCCAGGTGTGACTCCAGTATGTTATTGCATAGCTAGGCCAGTGATCCGTCGCCAAAAGCAGTTTGCACCTCTCGGCGCTGAAAGTCTCCTTGGTCGCCCAGCAGACGTCACGGAAAGCCTCACCATCTCGCTGCCACGAGTAGGGATAGATATATTGGAAGGGCAGAACCTCAATCGAATGGCCCAGACCCTTCCGTGGCGTGAATTGCTTCGCGGTCGGATTCTTGGAGACATACTTGTCGAGCCTCTCTCCTTCATATTTGCCTTCCTCCCCAAGATACTCGTTGATTCTGTCGAAGAGCACGGCCGGCCCAGTAACCTCCTCGGGTGACTTGTCTTCGCCTGACCCTTCCCGCATGCTCTTCATGACGTGTTCGAGGACCAGGAGGAAGAATGGATGACCAGGAGTTGATGCCATCCATGCGTTCGGAATCGAGTTCGGTTCGCCATTGTCAAGGCCCATCCTCCCAAAGAAGGCCTTGCGACCATTCTTCTGCAGATTGTGCGTGGATTGAGGTCTGGGTCTGGCGTGAGAAACAGTCGACACATTGTAAATTTGGAATAGTTCATCAGCCGGTCGGAGGCATTCGACGTCAAGATCTCCGTAGACACTAGGACCTGTCAGTCAATGCGCGTTGACAGTATGACATGTCACCTCACCCTCCGAACATATACATGTACAAGTTGCGCACCAGATCTGCCTTGTAGATCACACCAGGCAGAGCTTGATATGTGCTCAACAACCAAGGGAAATGTTTCTTAACCAACTCTTCATTGTCATCATCCGTCCATAGCACCCACTCCCAGTCTGGATGTTGTTGTCTGCACGTCGCACTCCATCGCTGGAATTTGGCCGGTAGCTCGGTCGAGGACCAGCTTTGGTGGATTAATTTGGGTATCGTTTGGAGATCTTTCGATATAGGCCTCTCCATTAGTTTGGCTGGACTAAGGTATCTGGCCTTCGCTTTCGAGGAACGACGTATAGTATCAGGCGCATAGCTCTGACCACTGAGGAGAATAACGGCCAGCGCCCCTATGACCAGAAACACGACCCATCGTAGAGACTTTCGCGAGCTGTAGTGTTGATGTAAAGGATTGATATTACGAGGGGAGGTGCTCGGCTCCATAATGGAAGGATCGCGCATCAAGGCGCAAGTAGACAGGAAACGACAGATAAGAAGCAAGACTCTAATACAGGGCAAGGCGATCGCAGCAAGGAGGGGACGAGAACATTCAGAAGATGTCTCTGGAATGCGCCCCCAGGTGTACACGAAGGGTCAGAACGGGGGAGATTGACCTTTAAGCCCTGAACAAGGGCGACTGGACAGGCGGGTTGACCATTGCATCGCTGATAAGAGCACCCATACATACCAAGTGTGGTACGGGGGCTAGTTAGAAGCTGCTCGTTGCTGCACATGTTCGACTGTGAGTTCAACCCTCCATAAGGGTGGAAATCTAATCTCAAATTCACCGGTGTCGTCGGTCCCGCTACAGATCCGAGATGGCGATCCTATGTTAGGTTACACGGCTGTGACACTCCAGCCATGAAACATTGGTCATTGGGGCCAATGCAGGTTACCGAATGCTTCCCGCAGTGGTGGGTTTCTCTTCCCTCTGCTTTCCAGTGCTGTAGAGAGACTCAGATCGTGTCATCAGTGTGGATTTTGGAATGTAAGGTACCCGAACGTAGCACTTGTTCCCCTTACCGGACCTTGCATCAATAATTTGCTACTACGAGCACCTAGGTACTACTGCGTATGGGACGCCGAGATAACCAGAGTTTTCGTGGCGGTCTTGTACCTGCATTAGCTCTATTTACTATCGATAAAGCCCACGAATGACATTTGCTGGCTCGCTGGGTATCAGTCTGTCATCATCACGCGTGGGTTACACGAAATGCGCGTGTCTCAGATTTATTTCGTCATCGACCATGGCGAGAAAAGGCTGGATTACTCGTAAGCTGGCTTAGTGACCTCGCTCATGGCGTTACTCATCTTGACCGCATTTGTTGGAGGTCTACTCGGACGTGGCCGGCAGCCAGACGAGATCCGTGCGAGATGCCTCTCTCGGTCGGTTGCTTCCACCGTCGAGCGAGCCAAGATCGACTGCTTGCTTCGGCATAGGGGCAAAGTCTTATGTGACCACCGCTTCCTATGGTCAAGGTCTTGCGATCAGCCCTCGTACGCGGGCGTCCAAAACAGAAATTGCTCGGTATGTGATAGCAAGACTTGTGCCTTCAGGTGATTTCAGGACGTCTCCGTCATATCAGACTGCATCGTTGAGCTCTTCGACGTGACCAACAGCCGACCCAATGTCTTCGATATTCATTTGCGGCGGAGTCGAATCAGGGTACTGGCTGTCAAAGACTGTCCTCCCGGCTAGGAGGTTTGCCATGTTCAGCCGAGTTGAGAAGACCAAGTGTGGCGAGTTCGCAGCTTCAACCGTCCGTTGGGAGTCGTCGCCATAACCAATATCACTCCATTTGCTGGTGTTCGCCGTTGGTCGAGAGACACCAATAAGTTGTGGAAACACCGAGACACAAGTGAAGTTGTATCGCATGTCCTTGCAGAGGTCGGCAAATCCCCAGTCGACGGGACTGTTATATGGCATCATGCTCATATGATAGAGTATTTTTCTGGCTCCTTGCTGTGAGACTGCATATCCAGCTGTACAGACTGCGCCTTCCGACCTGAATACTATCCTGGTCTTGTTGTCCCCGTTGGGTCCCTCCCAATGTGACATGTTTGGAGCATCCACATTTTGACGATATTGAGGTGGCTCAACCGTAGGATCGTTGGGGATCACGAAGAATCGTCGACGTTCTTCGGGATAGACCCAGCTTCCACAGTGACCTATCCACAAAAGGTCCCAGTTGTCGCCATAAGGAGAAAAAGGAACCTCGTGCTCGGGGGTCTTCACTATGTACCTAGACCCTCGTGCGAATTGAACCAACTGTTGTTTGAAAGCGACGTCCCAATCCGCATCATCTTCGAAGATCAATGCCGTCGCCACTTTTTCACGCACAATTTTCTGAAGGGCATTGAGATGGGCCCGCCAGCAACCGATGGCATTGACACTCTGCTCCATTGTCTGAGAATCCTGTTAGCCATGAGCTTGGCAATGCTTTAAGCTAGTCATACGAAAGGCAGGGCCTTCTCCGGCACATCATGTCCATCTACCCCGTCCATTTGTGTATATGTGATTCCTGATAGTGCAGCCTGCATGGCGAAAGCATCTCTTTTGTCCGTACGCGACGGTAACGAAATCATATAGACTTCTTGAAAGCCCAACGTCTCATTTGGCACTCGGTATATGGATCGGTCTTTGGCGTAAGGGTTTGCTGAGACGCTGAACTCGTGCGCATCGACTTGTACAGAAGAGGGATCGGCCAGATCCGAGACGTACGGAACGCCCATAGATGGTGGCCGAAGCCATATGCAGAAGAAAATGACAGTGAAGAGGAGGCCGATCGCCACGAACTTGAAACGAGGTGGTACAGCGGCCATCATTCTCGGGACTGACGATGGCTGTCATGAGAGCAGGGAAAGACTTAGAGAATGGCATGCGTGAACAAAAAGTCTTGGAATGGCGGCATAATGCAATGAGAAAGAATGGCCGGCAATCGTGTATACGAAAGCATAGTCAGACACCACAAGGAGCTCTGTGTCTCTGCAAGAACAAGTCAGAGGAAGGTGTGAAGGATACATCCTGGGCGAGCCGAATTGGTTTCATGGTTCCCCGGTCTTGACATCTCGGTTTTGACCAATAATTCACTTGCCATACCCAGCTGCGTGCTGCTCGCCAATCTGATCAAGGAATCCTTCACCCTTGCATTGCAGGGCTTTTTCCGCGCCACAAAAGTCCGACACCCCGTAACTTTGCAGGTTACACAGCAGTGAAGCATGGGGGGCTAAAGGGCCCTGGAACCTGTGAGATTGCACAAGAACCGGCATGGACAGTCTCGATGCCAAATCCATCCAAACGGTGCTTTCCCAGCCAGCCGAGATGATAAGATGCGATGCGAGCAGACCTGTTACCGGATCGGGCGTACTCTGTGACACGTGACATGGCTTTGAGTCCGGCGGAATCATCTTGGGGGACGAGAAGGATCTTAGGTATGGGATGAGAAGGATCTTGTGGGATGAGAGGGACCTTATGAGATGAGAAGGATCTTATGCACATAGTACGGGATGAGAAGGATGTAGGGATATCAAAGAGAAAGATCAACTCCCATCGAAGAGGAGAATGATCCCCTCCAATCTTTCCTCTTGCTTGGAGTGAAGCCTTGGGCATGGTCTGGTGAAGTCGTGTCCTTGCTTACCTGATCTTCTCCAGAGTGTCCTCCCGACATTCTGGGGGCCAGGGAGTCAAGGGCTGTTCTTGGCTGTCCACGGCTATCCGTCCATCTTCTGAAACATGTTGTCCCTTCCCCGTACGGATATCAGTCTCAACAATCCGACACAGACTTCACCGCCCATCTACCATGTATTTCGAAAAATTCCCTAGACCGGCCTCACCAGCACATATCGAAGGATCCTGGGCTACGTGGCTCTTACATAACGCTTCAGGGGTTCGGGCAGTGAGGCTCACCAGGCGTGCCTGAGTGCCTGGCTAGTGGTCCGTCGGCCATTTAGTTAGCGTTGGTACTTCCCCCGCCAAGAAGATCTAGACTTCATCACATCACCCGGCGCTTATCCCTTTTCTCTTCCATTCCACTATTTTGGATGATTTTCACCCCCAACCTTGTTTCAGCTCGAGTCCATATACAAAAGCCTCACCCTTTTCCCAGTCTCGATTGATCCTAATGGTGAAGATCTGGCCATACTCCGGACGAGGCCGTGTGTTGAGGCAAGACTGCGACCGTGCCTCGACCGCCTGAGCACTGGCTAGCCATCAAACCAAAGCAGTCACCCAGGCAGTGTGATCAAGAAGCCCGTCAGAGAAGTTTAGGGCCCCGTAGGTCCACGCAAGAGGATTCTTCTTCAGCTCCTTATTTGAGCCTCGACGGCGTTGGTGGCTGACTTGCGTCTGTTACCCTGCTCCTCGCTTACCTACTACGTAGCTTACTCCGCGTTCCAACGTTCGAAGCTTTTTATTTTTCTTTTCTTCTTGCTTACCTCTGTTCTTATTCTTCCTTGCTTGTAAGCGTATTGTGCCTACAATTCTTCCACACTGTGGTTCCTTGGTTCAGGTGTTGACCACCATCATCATTGACTTTGCCCTTCACCCACTAATATCCCATTTCTGTTACTGACCCGAGCACTTGACTTTCCAGCAAACATGGTCGAAGCCTCGCACACAGTCGCCATGGATCACGACAAGAACCTCAGGCTCCAAGTCACGGACGCCGCGTCTTCAACTGCCTCGAACCCGAATTTTCTGCCCTCACCAGGTCGGGACCCGTCTTTCAAGCCGGTGGCTCTACGAGAGAATACCCAGGCGTCGATGGATATCGATCACTATTTCCTCGGACCTCGAGACATGAACCATCATTCAAAGCTACCGTACTTTTTACGTTTGCATGGCAGCGTTTTTCCCAAGATGATTTTGCCCCTTGCAATTGCCGGTGGCTGGGCCACAGCAATCACATGTATCAGCAAATTTGTCCACAATCTGGGCATCAACTCCGTTCTGCTCACCATCACCGGTTTCGTGGTCTCTCTTGCTCTGTCATTCCGCTCCTCTACCGCGTACGAAAGATACATGGAAGGCCGAAAGTACTGGGCACAGTTGATTGTCACCTCCAGAAATATGGCTAGGTTGATGTGGATCCATACCAAAGAACGACATGATGTGAGCGAAGAGCAAGGCAAGGCTGATCTTCTTGGGAAATTGACGGCTTTAAATCTTCTCAACGCTTTCGCCGTGGCTCTCAAACACCGTCTTCGATTCGAGCCCTCGGTCGAATATCCCGATCTGCAGCCACTGATTGCAAACATACATACTCTCGCCGGAGAAGCAGACCAAACAAAATTGCAACCGAGAAAGGCAAATTCTTGGAAAACTGCGGGTGAATATCTGGGCATCTCCTTCGCCGAGTCGAACCCTCGCAAGTTGATCAAGCGCTCCACCGACAATCTCGGCAATCTGCCTCTCGAAATTCTGACTTATCTCTCTGCATACATGGACGAGATTATGAGGAACGGCCAATTGAGTATTCCCATTCACCAAACCCACGTCATGAACAACATCACCTCCTTGGCCGAGGTGCTTACCGGTACCGAGCGTGTGTTGAACACTCCGGTACCCATTGCCTATTCGATCTCCATCTCGCAGATTACGTGGGTTTATATTTTGGCCCTTCCTTTCCAGCTTTACAAAACACTCGGCTGGGTGACCATTTTCGGAACTATCCTTGCAGCGTATATCATTCTGGGTCTGGCTGCTATTGGTTACGAAATCGAAAACCCCTTTGGTCGCGACGTGAACGATCTTCCACTCGACGCCTACTGCCGCGAACTTGCTGCCGATATCGATGTGTTGACGAGCATGCCTGCTCCGACGGCGGAGAACTTCATCGCTACAGCGGAGAATAAGGTCCTTTTCCCACTGAGCATGAGCAACTACGATAGCTGGAAATCACGCTCCATTACGGATATTCGAATGGCACTACGGTCCAAGGCGACGACGGCAGCGACCTCGATTGACTTTGAGCGTATGAAGGCTCAGCACGAGAGCACGAACGAGAGTACTGCTGTTCCGCCGGTCGAGCACAAAAAGGATCGAGCTGAGGGAGACGCTTGCTGAGCAGGTACGAAATCTTCAGATTGTATAACACGATACGCATTCTTCACGGCCGCCCAAAAAAGCCTTGTATTTGGATCTACTTGGTGCATTTATCAGCGTGGTTGGGGAATGCAAACATCATATACTCCACATATTACCAAAGCATAGCGAAGCATACAATCACATCAAAAAGAGATCACGAGGTCGGCAATGATCTTCATCTATTGTTTCAATTCCCCTTTCCCTATTTTTTCCTGGTAACAATGCTAGTGTGCCACTCCGAGGGTCAGTTGGTTGGCACTAGTACTTGTGACTTCAAGCATCCTTGCTCTTCCCACCCAGTTCTCTCGGCATCTCACCAGCCTCGGCCATCTCATTCATGACGCGCTCTGCCACCTTCATCGCGTCCACGCCGGCCGGCACGCCGCAGTACGTCGTGGCATGCAGGATCGCCTCTCTGATCTCCGTCTCGGAGAGCCCGTTGCGTCGGGCGCCTCTGACGTGCACAGCCAACTCCGGAGCGCGGTTCAGCGCCATCAGCATGCCGATGTTGAGCAGCGAGCGGTCGCGGCGTTCGAGTCCGGGCCGTGTCCAGGCGTATCCCCAGCACCATTCCGTCACGAGTTCTTGGCCCGGCCGGGAGAATTCGGTGCTGCCGTTCGCCAGGGCCCGGTCGACGTATGTGTCGCCCACGACGGAGCGGCGCATGGCGAGACCGGCTTCGAACAGGCCTTCATGGAGAGGCCGGAGGGCTGGGTCGGTGGAGGAGGTCACTTTGGGCTTTTCGGACGACATCTTTTCTTTTCTTCCCTTTCTTTCTCTGTCTCTCTCTTATGGTCCAGGCGAGGCGACGAAGTAGCGCGGGTCGGTCGATGGTATTGTTCGTCTTTTGGTGGTGGTGGTGGTGACAAGTAAAAGGGTGTGTCAATCCGAGAAGAGTTCGAGAGAAGACGGTCTGACCTTGATGGTGCTTCGGTTCTTTTTTTTTTCTTTCACGAGGGGTTTAACGGCAAAGAAGGGGAGTCTTTCGGCTTGAGGATTCATTTATTTACTCTACCCCTCGAGAGCCCCTCCATTGCTCGTCAATGGTACGAGTTACTCGACGCTCCGCATTCGGAGAGTGATTGTCCTTGGATGTGCTCGGCATCTTCGTCTTCTCCAAACTTCGATCCCGACTTCCCCAATTTCTCGGGGGCACATGGCGAGAACGGCACGGCCACCACCGGTGCTGCACGGTCACTCATGGCCACGCTGGATTGTTACCCCGAACTCAGTCAGGCTGGATCAGAGTAACTGCTCATAGGGCCATCACCTGCGATGCTTGAGCAAGGCTGAAAAGCAGTAAAGCAAATGCAAGGGCCGGTATTGGCCTGAAAAGGGTAAATCCAACAACTGGTGCTGTCTGATTGCGTCTATGGAAACCGCATTATGTCAGCTTGCTGGCCGTAGCCTCGTCGGCATCTTTCTGCCAATCCTCTCTACCCCCGAGATACCTATACACTACCCTGGAGTCCAGATCCCTGCAATTAGGGTCGTTGCTTGCACCCTCATATGTCGCCAATCCAGCCTCGCCGAGGACGTTCTTTGCGCCTACCCGCTTGGCCATTTCCAAAGCCAGATTGAAATCTTTTCGCATCAGCTGCACCTTGAATCCGTTGGTGTAGCCTTTCGACGATGGAGCCTCCGGATACACTCCGGGCACAGGACAGAATCTGTCACAAATAGTGTTCTGCGCCGTACCCGCCCCGTACACCTTGTACAGCACTCTGGGGTCCAGTCCTGATCGCATCCCCATGTCCATCGCTTCTGAGACGGCAATGGCAATGATGCCTGATAGGTAATTGTTGGAGAGTTTGGCGGCCAGTCCCTTGGATGGCCCACCGCAGGGGATTACTTCTTTGCCCATCATCTTCAGGAGAGTGATGAGTTGAGGCAGGTTAGGATCCGCTCCATCACATCCTAAGAAGAATGCTATCGTCCCTTTCTGAGCTCCCACCACACCGCCACTGACTGGTGCGTCATAGAATGAAGTCGTGGGAAATTTCTCTTTGATGTAATCCTTGACTGCAAGACTGCTGGCAGTATCGATTGTTGAGCAGTCGATGAGTAATTTGCCGGCAACATCGCTCGAGCAAATCGTGTCAGAACCCCCTTCCATGTATACTGATCGAACATGCTTGCCCTCCGGAAGCATAGTCAGAATGATTTCCTGCCATACAGTCAGCCATGGCCAGTCACATCTGGCCAGATAAAGTCGAGACATACTGATTTGTCTGCCACTTCCTTTGCGCTTGAACATTTGACCACTCTCTTCGGGTAGTCGTTGCATAGCTGATCAACACTTGCTTGGTTGATATCGAACACAAAGATTTGGATGTTCTCGGGCAGCTTGGACGCGAGATGGCCGGCCATGGGGAGTCCCATGGCCCCTAATCCCACGAAACCAAGGCCTGATATCTTTGATAGATCCATACTGTCCTCCTGTCCTTGCTGATGCGCTATACCTCGTATGAAGATACCTGTGTGTGATGATTGAGGGTTAATGCCAAGTACGTAACCGAACCAGCGCAAGCCAACAACTCTCGTGTACAGATAAAAGATATGACCTATACTAGTACTCACGGCACGAAACCCGACACGAAAATGATTCCAAGTCTAGCTCAGAGCTCAAGACAAAGTTGTTCCGTATCGAATTCGTAGAATTGCCATGGAGCCAAAGTCCCAGAAGAGAAATATTGGGGTAACTTCAACTTCATTGCCGGACAGTTGGAGAAAGAGCCGCCCGGCTGAAGAACTCACGAGTCACCCATGCACGGAGTCTCGTGAAGACTCCCTTCGTGCCTCTCATGGTTGCGAGTTCGCCCAAGTTGGAAAATGCCTCTTTGCAAGTTTTCATCTTCCTTTTCATTCCATCTCGCAGTTATCACTCCTACTAACGATGGGCAAAAGACTGATGAGACCGCGCCTGTCTCACCGTGACATTGGAATCTCTTTCGAGAAGCTAACGGCTTTTCGAAATGACAAGTGATGATACCCAAGATTATTCAGACGAATCAGCAAGCTCCGGACTCTTTCCTAAATGCCATGGACGTGTGCATGGACTATGAACCGTTGAATTCCTGTGATACGAAGTCATTGGTCCGAACGCAGGGGGTTTGCCTGTCGCGCCAACTTCCTGGGCACCACAAGCTATAACCTCGAGGATTCAAGGATCTCTGCGAGGATGTTCCGTCAGCCTATGACCTCTCGAGAGGTCTTGTGTGACATAGACTCAGCTCCAGATAAGCACATCCTTCTGCAGGAGCCTTGCTACTCGTAAAGTCGCTATGCTTTGGTATTTTGAGTTCTGACACTGTGACAGTCACGACAGTACTTATGTAGCCAACAGATCAGCCACCAACCAAGGACCGCCTTCGAACAGCGTCATGATGCGCTTGGCTGAGAAATGTAGGCGTTGTTATTATAACCGCTGACTCGGTGACATGACTCTATCGCTTCCAGGTCACCGTGATTAGGTAACATTGTCCTTGAACCCGATTGTTATGGCAAAATCATCTTTTTTTTTCATCGCGACACATGCCCCACCTGCTGACTTGCCATGCCGATCAGCCTCATGCCGAGGTCCTGTTCGACTCGTCAAGCAGAATGGTGGAGACCATATTGTTGGTACTTCACTACGAGTAGGCTAAGTCGAAGTCTTGTCCTTATGTTGCGCGGTCCCGTTGTTGTACTTGGTACTCCGTACACACAATTCTGATAAAGCTTCGAGATCCGTCTTTTCAGCTCGGCAATGCCATACGAGTACGGGTAGAACGAGTAGTGCAAGCCCTTTCAGGACCAAATGCTGACAACCAAGCCGAAATCATTGCTCGAAAGGGTTGCGTGTGTCATACTCCACTGCGCAGGGGTTTGTTGTGGGATGATTGCCAACGGCGCACGCTGATCTGTTTCACGGCATGTACTATTCTGAACTTGGGTCGCCCGCCGGGATTGAACCGCTTGGACGAATCGCTTCATAGTAAACCTCACCCTACACGACTGACTCGGTCGGTAATGATACCCGCTGAAGCGGTGTGTGGGCGAGGTTGTTCCAGGTCTAGTGGAGCTTCTTCTTTCTTCCTTCGACCACAAGCAATGGACACTCATGAGCCCAGGAGCGACAGTTGCAGACATAAGACCTTGGCTGCTTCGAGCAAGCAACTTCGATGACTTCCTTTGCGTTTAGCACATGATGGCACTCTGGCTGTCAGCATGAGGGTAGCATTTGAGCTGGGAGCCACGATCAGCGCACCATTCTCCAGTGAACTATAAAGCCCTGGCTTCTTAGTCCGATCGTCTCTTGCGACCCCGTAGGTATTCGAACAACACATCGCCATGGCTGTGGTTTCAGTCCCGACATTGCTGTCCGCACTGGTGCCGGTGACATTCCTCTACGTGAGTGTCTATGGTGTTCCTCCAGCGAACGGTTGTTCTAATTAGTCACCAGTTCGTTGCATTGGCAATATATCGAGTTTACTTCCACCCTCTGGCCAAATATCCCGGACCTCTTCTGGCCAAACTGACGCAATGGCCCGAAGCAAGATCAGCCTGGCAAGGAAGGAGATTTCTCAACTTACATCTGATGCACGAGAAACATGGTAGGCAGTACTCTTCTCCCGGGAAACATTACGATGCTGATGCACTGGCAAGGGGACGTCGTCCGATTCGCACCTGATAAACTCTCCTTTCGAACCACAGGCGCTCTGCGGGACATTTACGCGGACCGACGAGCCAACGTGATTAAGACAGGTTGGACATATGCTGGTTTGCGCATCAACCCTGGTATCACCACCCAGACATTATCAGATCGTCAACTGCACGCCGCTCGGAGAAAATTGCTCAACAACGCATTTGCTGAAGGTGCCTTGAAGAACCTGGAGAAATATGTCGTTGCCAATATCCGGGATTGGTGTAATCATTTAGGAGAGGCTAAGGATGGTGACGAGAAGGAGCCTGGCTGGGGCAAAGAGCGTGATCTTGGCCTCTGGTCTACACTCCTGACCTTTGATGTCCTTGGAGATCTCTGTTTCGGGTCAAGCTTCGACGCCATGAAAAATGGCTTCACCTATATCCAAGAGCTCATCTTGTCGTCTTCCAGCTTTCAGCAAAGTGTGAGTGTCCGCTCCATTCCAACAAATGTACATATCTGACATCACGCCCAGATTGCATTCCTTCCGATCAGGGAATTGGTGTTCCCACTGATGAAGCCAAAGATTCTGTTGCTCACTGGCAACAAGAATATCAAGCAAAAGGTCATGTATCGACAACAAATCGGGGTGCTGGTCCAGAAGCGCTTCGCTCTGGAGAATGCCAATGCCGATAAAGCCGATGAACTCCAGCGCAAAGACTTCTTCCACCATCTCTTGAATGCTAAGGATCCCGAGACCGGCGAGAAGTTCAAACCAACTGACCTCGTGGGAGAAGCCGCGCTGCTGGTTGGTGCCGGTGCCGATACCTCTTCAACGGCAATGTCTGCTTGCTTTTTCTATCTGATGCGCACACCACGAGCGCTTTCTAGACTGCAAGAGCAAGTCCGCTCCGCCTTTGACGACGTCGAAGAAATCAGATATGGCGCAAAACTCACCGGTCTAGCATATCTTCGAGGCTGCATCGATGAAGCTATGCGAATGTCACCACCAGTGCCCGGCCTTCTGGACCGACAAGTCCTGCCTGGCGGTGCTAACATCGATGGACACACCATCCCCGAAGGCATGGTTGTCGGCGTCCCGACTTACTCCATTCACCACAACGAGAAATATTATCCTCGGCCATACGAATTTCTTCCAGAGCGATGGATTGCAGGATCTGACTCCTTGGTCACCGGATTTGATGTCACACCTGAGAGCGTGGAAAAAGCAAAGTCCGCGTTCAATGCCTTCAGTTCTGGTCCGCGGAACTGCGTCGGCAAAAACATGGCATACATGGAACTGTTCGTTGCCATTGCGCGTACGATGTGGCTGTTCGACATCAGGCTTAAGGAAGGTGACCACACAGGGGAGGGGCGTCCCGAATTAGGACTTGGACGTGAAAAGCCTGGCGAGTACCAATTGACAGATTGGCTGATTTCGGAGAGGCACGGGCCTGTGCTGGAATTCAGGAAAAGGACAATTTCGTGAACGAGGATTTTGTACGCAATGCAATAATACGAGTATTTTGTGATAGACGCAAGGCTGGGTGGGACTGTATGCGTGATGTACAGGCTTGCTGGCTAGAACGATATACATGGATTGCGGAAAGGAACAGCGCCTGAGGTCTTTGGGCATAATGGTGTCGTCAAGGTAGGGACATGTTGGATTCTTTCCACACAACGATCCATCTGCGGAGGAGATACCTCAGGACAAAGCGTTGTCTCGGCGCCACGTGACAAGGCTGCTTCGGTTCACCGCACTAGGCTGCGCTCCGCACCGATGGTCTTGTCCTTTCGTCGACAAGGTAAGGTGTATCTAACAAAAGTTTTTGCCGTCGCTTCGCAAGTCTCCCCTATCATGTCGCTCGAATCCCCGCCGTGACAGCCACGAATCTTTCCTCTGAAACGCTCCGACCGATGCGGAGGCAGCAGAAGAGGCGACAGGCTCATAGGACAATTTCGGGAGCTTCAGGATGGTCATGACAAGGTGGACACATAGGAGGAGTGAAGAATATGGGCAGCAGGATGATGGTCAACGATCAATACTCACGAGAATTCAAGAGACGGTAATGGGGTCAAACAATTTACTACTTGCTGCCCGCTCGCCTCGGGACCGTTACGCGTTGAACCGTCTCATTACTTGGTAAGGTTGGATCGCATGAATAGTTCCTCTGTGACGGTATAGTCTAGTGCACCTGGCCAAGGTCTTCTCGCTCAGGATGGCACGGTAAGAGGCACCAAGGACAAGTTCACCTGCGGCAGGCTGTCACATCGATCAAAGGTGGACGCGTCAAAGCGATTCAGAGAAGAGGTCAGAAAGCTTGATATCCTGCTAGCAACGGCACATATCAAAGGCTCTATTTTCATTATATTCATCAGATCGAACGTCTGTTTCTTTTCGATCCCCTTTCACTTTGCTGTCACATGGCTTCAATTTCCCCCGAGATATTCACTTCGAACCGCTGTTCCCATGTGATCAATATCCAGGAGCCGTCTCTCAGGCATATAAGCCGTCACATATCTCTCATTGCTTCCATTCTCCTAAATGTACCTGGCCTTATGTGGACGCGATCTGGCATCCGATGCTATTTACCTCCTCTGACTGACGGAGTTCAGCCACCTGTCCCTCACATCTTTCATTGCTTCCATTCTCCTCATTGTACTGTGGACGTTATCTGGCATCTGATGCTACATCCCCCCTCTGACTGACGGAACTCAGCCACCTGTTGTACTCACATACATAGGCTACAAAGGCTAGACGGCACGCAAGATGGCTCTCAAACGAATCGCTTCTTCGGATCGATGACTTGATCAAAGAAAGCAAACGGAACAAATGGCAAAGCGTACCGTCCGTCATCAGAGACCCATCCGAATGCCAGCATGGTACTGACTGGTTTCTGCAGCAGGGCTGATCAACCACTCATCACCATCCTTGTGAAATCAGGCACCACGACCCGGCAATTCAGCTTCATGAGGGACTTATCTGCAGCTATTCCGAATGCTTCAAGGATCTGCTCGAAGATACGCACCCGCCACAGCAGCTCACCATTAGCTATGTGACCGCTGATGCATTGGGCACTTTCATACAGTGGCTCCGCACGAGGGCCATCATGATGGACGAGCTCAAGCCGAGTAAAACTAAGAAGCCCAAGTGCCGTATTCGGACTTGCTGTATGTGGGAAGATTCAGGTACGACTAACATACGTTATCCTTAAAACGCTATCCAGGCACTGACTTGAAGCAATGGCAGCTCGAGAACCTGGTCTGCAACCCGGTGACGCGAAGACAACGCACCCGCAAACTGACGATCACCCAGCCCCTGGTCCAAGCGGCAGTGGAACAGAGACAGTCGACACCGAAGAAAACTGGCATGCTGGCCTTTGCCGTACTCAACGTGTCTACGGTCGCCTGCTGGATCTATACATCATGTCTGATCACTACGAAGCGCAGCTCTTCCGAAGAGAAATCATGCTACAATGGCAACGTTTCACCTTTCGGGCACCGAGGTTCCCAGGTCTGGTAGTCGTACAACGCGCAATCGAGAATCTGAGCATCGAGTCGTCCCACTGTCGATACATGACAGCTTGCTTCAGCCGCATGATGATCAAGAATTCCTCTCAGAACACTCTTGCCAAACTTCCGCCACTCTTTGCTGCTGCGATTCTGAACCGAATGCTGCTGAATCTGAGGAGGCCCATGGCTCGCCATGCAAGCTACGAGACATACTGGTGTAAATATCACGACCACGTTGACACGCTGGACCGAAAATCGTGCCAGAATGCTAGGGCAGCATGTGAGGATCCTGACACGGACGACATCTTGTGAGTCTTGCTGGATGGAAGAGGTTGAGGGTGTTGGCAACGATAAAAGGGACGCAGCAATTTCTTGGAGCATGGAAGAAGATATTGGGCGACGGGCAAAGGATGCTCTACTCTGGACATTGACGCTGGTGATTTGGTTTTTTTGAGACTCCAACGAGCCATCATTTCTGCGACTGTAACGGATTTTCGCGCTCTCTTTGCTTTTGAAAGCTTTTGGAGGCAAAAAGGAAGAGACTGTCGGCATTTTGCTGGCTAAGTCAAATGGTCGCATCTCAGCCATGGTGAAAAGTTACTTAAGACGGTATAAGGCCTTCCCGATTGGGACGGTCTTTGGCAGTTTCGTGACTCAACATCATGAAAATTACTATTTAACTTCTTCTCCGTTTTCGTGGCCTTGGTCATTTCGATACTCGAGTACAGAGTACAAGAGTTACGCTACCTTTCTCGTGCTTTCTCTCATCAAATTCAGTCACTCCGCAAGGTCAGATGAAGGACAATACTGCCAAGCTTCACTACCATTGATTTCCCCCGCTTCGTATCATCGTCAAGGACATCCTTCGTGAACTGTCTACTAAAATCGTTGCCCACAAGTCAAAAAGCGCAAAAGCGATCATGGCTATCCTTGTCATCAGCCGGTTTGTCTCAGTCGACTGAAAGCCTGATCTGCTCCACGGCCTCCCGATATCAACGCAACGCAGCCAGAGGATAAGATGCCTGGTGACAGTGAATATTCTAACTCGGAAGAACCCTTGGGCGCTGACGCATCCGATAATAACGAGCCGCCCACTCAACTTCGACGTCAGGTTTCGCTTTACGATGCAGTCGCAGGACGGGTTGGGCAGCAGGGTTTCTTAACCGTAGAACAACTGCGTTCATCCACATTGTTACCTGTTGCCCCCGAAGATTACTTGTTGCGGCAAACAAGAACACCTGCAGAGATATTCGAGGCCGATCATGACGCTGGAGGCGAACTCGCTGCGGCCAGAAAGCTACCAGAGTCAGAAATGCTAAAAGCCATTCACACCTACGCATCCGATCTCTACAACTCGGCTACGATGAACCAAGGAAGATATGACTTCCGATCTTTGGACGAAACAGCACTCATTGCTGTGGGCATCCTGCTCGAGGAAGCAGTGAAGGAGGCTTTGGGCGAGACTGGGGACATGGTATTTGTGGAGCCGGAAGGCCTTGAAAAAGGATTGGGAGAGACCACAATGACTCGACATCAGATCAAGGGCAGAGTGCAACCAAGGGCCAGGGCCATTGAGGTACCAGAAGAGGAGGACATAGACCAAGATGAATCACCAGCCAAACGACCACGGCACTGAGAGTCATGGACATGATCCCTTCGAATCGATTGAGCCGATCGTGATGACATCCCTTGTCGTGTGCTGTCACTAGCAGGAGCAAAACCCGTGGACAGGTCCGAGGCACCGAAGTTGTACAGATGCTGGACCAGATCTCCCGCGGCGATCCGAATCATTGTTCACATATGGAAAGCTTGACATCACGAAGCTTCAGCGACCTTGTGCTTGTCACGCTTGCAGAATTTTCGGAGATGTGGTTCGATGTATACATACTGTGCATCCTAAGTGTAAGGCATGGAATGCACTTGATTGGACTGAAGTGATGAGAAAAAGTGGCCTGAGGTGGAGTGATGGTGCCCGTCGCGTCAGGAAAATGGGTGCCGGAAGCAGATGTCGCTGCAAGAGAGGGAGAAAAGAAAACAACCAGGGGGTGTCGATTGGCCAAAATCTCGGGTACCGAAGACAGAGTTATCGAATGACAGCTGCTGGTGGCTGCTCCCAAAGATGGCCGCCTATCGCAAGTCACAGGCTGGCCTATGGCGCCTACGCGGTGGCCTGGAGGAATAAACTCTCGCCGAAAGAACCTGCCCTTCACGGCCTTCTCCACCAAAGTCTTCGGGGTGTCAGGCCCGCAAGATTCAATTATTTCAGCCACCATCACCACCATTGCCCCTCGCCGACGATTACGGCACATAGCCGCGTCCCCCCAGTCCGTGCCACGTCCCAATCCTGTACAGTGACGCAGCCTAGTGAGCCCCTCCTCCCAGGTGCCTCCCATGCAAAGATGATCCCCTTCCTCCTGGCAAAGTCTGGGTTTCTGGTGCACGGTCTGCCACAATCTCGACCTGCCAAGCCCCCGAACCAACACAAGCCTTCAACCACCGTGACCACCCAACTTCTCCATCTCCAGTGCTGTGGTTCACCATCAATTCGATCAAAGCTTGGCTTCTTACGTTGTTCGTCTCTTGAGTCTTGGGAACCATTCGACGTTATTGTCGCTGATCGCTGTTCTCGCGAATCGTCGGCTGTGCTTTGTTGGCCTGACGAGACTATTGGTGAATGTTATCATCTTCCAGCTCAGCAGCGCTGCGCCCAGACCTCTGTCCACGCTCCTTCCGATCTTCTCGCAGCCTGCGCTCTGACGTGAACTGCGCGCTTCTGCACGTCTAGGATTGTGTAACCGGGTGTCCAGGTATGCTTGATCCACTGTCCTCTTCGATGAGGCCTCCTGCTGCACCAGACAATGCCCTGGTCTCCTTTGTGAGCCTTGCGCGCACGAGGTATCCTCATGGTTGCTGACCGAGCTGACCGTCTGCCACCCAGCACGTTAGACTTGCGTACCCTGAGTCGCACCGATATCGCACCACGGCCCACGAAGACCCATTACCTCGATCTTTGCGCTGTATCTGCTCTTCTGAGCCAGATCAACAATGTTTTGGTCGAGACCACCCCGATAACATTGAATGGCTCAGGTTGTGACGGCAATGCCTCTCGAGTCACTGCTCACAAATCCCAACCAAGCAGTGCCTCGTTCGCGCTCAATACTGTCGTACTTTTCCAGCTCGCTCGGGAAACATGCTCGGAACATGTTCGACGTCGCTATCGAACCAGAGGATCCGTTTCGAGTCTATTCTCCGGGCCAGAGTGTAAAGGGTCATGTCCTCTTGACGGTCTCCAAAGGCTTTGATATCACACACCTTGTGATTGCGCTACATGGCTATGCAAAAGTTTATAAACACCAAATACCGCCTGGCGAACGGCTGCCTGCTCCAGAAGGCCTAGCGACTGGGAAGGGCACACGAGGTTTCCAATACCATGGCAATGGACTCGCGACCTTGTTTCAGAACGAGCAAGTCCTATGTGGAAGCGGGTTTCTCAAAAAGCATGTCTACAAGTTTGCTTTTGAAGTCCCCTTCCCGGCGAAATCCTTGCCTAGCACGATTGATGTTTGTTCTCCCACAATTGTGGCCTTCGGACACCAACTGACGCGTTGCAGTTCGAACGAGGCACAATTTCCTACATGCTTACCGCCACAGTCACGCGTCCAGTCACAATTAGTCCGGCAGTCAGCCGCAGTATTAGAATCAAATTTCGAGACCAGATCGATGTCGAGCCCATGTCCCATCCCAAATCCAGGGTGATCACACTCGAACCCATCTCGAAACGAGGCAAAGTCAAGCTCGTGAAGCCGCCTTCTTCGATTTCTACTCAGAATGTCTCTGCTGCCGGCCAGTTGACCCGAAACAATACGCAGAACAGTACGACCAGTCGAAGTACCAATTCTATCGGCAATCCACCTCTGAGCCCCGCGCCAAGTGAAGACACAGTCCACACCAACACCACTACCACGAGTACGCAGAGCTTCCAAATGGCCGACGCTGAGTCGCCTGGCCGTAAACAGAGTCCACAGACTAGCGACGCGCGGAGTAACGCCACTTCCTCATCTGCTCACACTATCACCGCAACTACTGAGCTTCCACGTCACGGTGCATTACCTGGAGACACGATACCCCTTCGTGTCTCTATCAACCACACGCGAGATATCCGGGGCATGGTCATCGCAACCATCTACCGTCAAGCCCGAGTGGACATGCATCCCGCACTTCCTTTGGGAAACAGTGAGGGTAAGAAGAGGGCCGAGTACGAAGATGTTTATCCGAAGTCGCGCACGGGTCTTGGGGGATTGTATTTTGCCAATGCGTCTCCCAACAGTGTGTTTCGGAAAGATCTGGCTCAGTCCTCGACGATGATGGTTGTCAATCCAGCCACTATGACTGCAGATATCACCATGTCTCTCAAGATTCCCGATGAGGCGTTTCCGACCATCGCAAACGTCCCTGGCGGAATGATCTCGTTCACGTATCACGTCGAAGTGGTTGTTGATTTGTTTGGAAAGCTGGGAGAAACTCGACTGTGGCCTCGCTTGACCACTAGTGACCCTGTCTTCTCCCAGGCTGCCGAAGCTGGTAACCAGCTAACTTCGGACTGGTCACATGGCATATTGGACACCACCCAACTGCGTCGAACGAGGGGCGTTATCACATTCGAGATGTCGCTAGTGATAGGTACACAAGATAGCGGCAGGAGGAAAAGGTTGGACAGACCTGCCGAACCCCCGACTTCCGAGCCCTTGCCGCACTGGCTAGACCAAGGAGGACACGATGCATTCTATCAGAACGGTGAACATGATGGACAGTATTATGATGAGAATGGTCAGCCATACTATGACGGGTACGACTACGACTTCGACTACGGTCAGGGCTACGATCAGAATTATTATCTCGAATTTCCCACTCCAGCTCCCGATTTCATTGCTCCGCCTCAACCTCGGGAAGATGTAGACGAGAAGTCCCGGTTACGGAGACAAGAGCAGCTTTTACTACCGAGCGAACCCCCACCCGATGGTGAGGCTTCGACCAGTGCAGCTGAATATGCTCCGACGGCGCCTGTAATCTTGTCAAGCCCTCTGCCAACAAGAGAACATGCACAACAGGACGGAACTACCACACCTTCCACCTTCAACACTACTGCATCGGTCATGTCGGCGAGGTCTGGTGACACTATACGGCCTCGTTCGGCTTCTCCTCCGCCAGCGCCACCATCATTACGTGGCGTTGATGCCACCGACGACAAGCATGAGCTTGAGCGAAGACGGCTTCTCGCGCAGGCAAGCGCGCCGCCAGTGGAAGACGAGACGGGGACTTCCAGCAGTTCTGTCGCACCACAACCTTTGGTGCCCAGTGCACCAACGATTAACGAGCAAGACGAATATAATGTACAGACATTGAACCATGATCACATAGGGTCGGATCTGCCACAGTATGAGCGCTGACTGAAAAGATGTTTTGATTTTGATATTGGAGTTGAGCACAGCGATGGCGCTGGCGGGATTTTAACGGTATGTTGGAAGCCGAGCCAGAAAATGTCTGGAAGACCTTGGACGGTGATGTTATGGTCATGTTGGCGTGAGGTTTAGCTGTGATGGCCGATGGTCAGCACCAGGCAGTTGGAGGACGAGACGAGCACAATGCCATTGAGCCCAACCAGTACGCAGATGGTCTGGCAGTCCAAGGTATAAAAGAAGTCGGAAACCGACACCGATTGTACATTCAGTGTATCCATGCCGCAGAAGAGCTCCAGCTACTTCTAAGGATTCTGCACATTGATCTCAAGTTGGCCATGGTCTTCCCTGCTCTGTGAACCTTGGAGCCTCCGAGGAATTTAAGCCAAGCATAAACTCTGGCACGTGACATTGGAGCCTCATTCTGAATCTTCACTCTGATGACTTGTTTTCGCACTTCTTTTTTGAACATGATCCTGTCCAGTGCTCGAAAGCAGGGCCTTCATGTTCGATACGTCGAAGGCGTACACCTTGATCATCGTCCCTCGTCCAATCGGCACGCCGCAGACGATTGTTCCTGCTTCGTACCTTGGGCAGCCGCCATTCGCTTATCCTCGAAGCTAACTCGGCACTGATCAGATAACCACGACATTCTCTCGTTCACAGAATGGACAGTGCTGAAGTCACCTTCTGCCACAAACCAGTATGGCCAGCCTTATTAACGGCCTCGCCGAGATTGCTTCTAGCAATCGTGACATCTCTTGCCCTCGTTTCCAGCATTGTTACCGTCTTTCCGGCTAGCAACATGTTTGGTCAATGATGACGCCAAGTTGTCCAACGAAGTCGCCATAGTGGCCGAGGAGGGTTGCTTGAGACTGGGGGCGCTCGAATCCGCAAAGATCAGTGTGAGCCAAGCCCAGTGAGCCTTCTCGAGCGATCCTTCGTCGCTCTCCTACGCTTTACGACGCCGATGACTGGTTCGTTCAAGCTCAGTAACCTTCCTTCCAGAACGGAGGCGTCCCTGATTGCAACCTTGCTTCAACAAAAGCACGTTTAGCATCCCCGAGAGAGATGGTACCGCATCGTCATGGCCAGCTAGTTGTCGCTAACCCTTGCAATTGCCGACGATCAGATTCCCCCGTGGATACTGATTGGTCCAGATCACCACCACACTCCTTCCTTATCTCCAGCCCCAAAACACCTCAACGACACGACACGCGAGCAACGACGCCCGTTGTTTGGTTGCGTGAACGCCATTGATTCACTCAGCGGGATCCAGTGGCTGCAGCAGCCAGATAAAGCTCTTGCTCGAAGCCCACAGCTCACCCCACGCCACACCTGTCGGCGGACTTGGCAGGTATGAATCGGCAACATCCCCTGCAAAGTGTCGCATGGCGACGAAGCCAGCCAAGCTATGCTTGGAAGCAGGCGTTGCATCGCGATAAGCACACGCCGCCGCACGTCTTGGAGCAAGCTTATCACTCTAAGACACCCTTGGCTTTCTCTTTTCCCTTTCACTTCCCTGAAGCCTGTTCTCTGTTCTCTTTCTTTCCTCCTGGATGAAACATTGACAAGTTGTTCAACATGGCCACAGAAACGGAGAAGAATATCCAAGGGGAGAAGTTGCCGGATCACACTGTTGGTCATGATGTCGAACACGGACACAATGAACAGAAGAGTCTGGCCCGAAATCTTCAGGGCCGTCATATGCAAATGATTGCCATTGGTGAGTTGTTCCTTTGCTGTAGATGTGAACGATATTGACGGGTTGAACAGGCGGTTCCATCGGTGCTGGTCTTTTCGTCGGTTCTGGCTCCTCCTTGCAGTCTGGTGGTCCAGCTTCCCTCATTCTCGGCTTCATCATCGTCGGAGTTATGTTGCTTTGCACGGTCCAGGCTTTGGGTGAACTTGCAGTCCTGTATCCTGTCAATGGTGCCTTCTATCAGTATGGAGTGCGCTTCATTGATCCGGCATGGTAAATACTCCTGTCCCGCCATTTGGAAATCTGGCTAATCGCCGCCACCGATGAAGGGGCTTCGCCATGGGCTGGCAGTACGCAATCGGTTGGCTGATTACTCTTCCTTTCGAGATCACTGCTGCCGGTATAACCATTGGTAAGTCGCTGGCGTCTCACAAAAGCTGCTGCAATCAGGCACAAGCTTTTGTATGCCATGCCGTGCTCGTTATAGACCGGCCATATTCTGACATTGCGCAGATTATTGGCACCATTATAACATTGGTATTTGGATTGCTGTCTTCCTGACCACCCTCATCATTGTACAATTCTTCGGTGTCAGGGGTTATGGTGAAGGTTAGGAGGACGTCTGCCACAAGTGACTTGCATGCTGACCGTTGCAGTCGAATTCTTCCTTGGTGTCATCAAGATCATTGCCGTACTTGGCTTCATAATCTTCGGTATCATTGTTGACTGCGGTGGCGTCCCCGGCGACGATCGTGGTTACATAGGTTTCCGCTACTGGAATGATGCCGCACATGGCAACAAAGCATTCCGCCACGGTAAGTCTTCACCCTCCCCAGGCCCCAAACCCCACACGGAAAAACGATATATACTGACTTCGCAACAGGATTCAAGGGCTTCTGCTCGGTCTTCGTCAATGCTGCATTCGCTTTCGGTAAGGCCGCCGTTTGTCGGGATCTTCTTCAAAGCCTAACTTTTCAATTCTAGGTGGGACAGAATTGGTCGGTCTTGCTGCCGCAGAAGCTGCGGACCCGAGAAAGTCACTCCCGAAAGCCACCAAACAGGTCTTCTGGCGTATTGCTGGCTTCTATGTCATCTCACTCCTGATTATGGGCCTTATTGTGCCGAATAGCTCACCAGATCTCCTCAACTCATCCGGCGCCAACACCAAGGCCTCACCTTTTGTCCTTGCCATTCAATACGCTGGGGTCAAGGGTCTTCCGTCCGTGTTCAACGCTGTCATTACTATCTCCGTCATGTCCGTTGCCAATTCTTGCACATACGGCTCTACACGTACCATGCAAGCTCTGGCTCAAGGTGGTATGGGTCCTAAATGGCTGGCCTACATCGACAGGAAAGGTCGACCAGTCTGGCCTGTCATTATCCAGATGGCATTCGGCTTGTTGGCATTCATCAACGAAGCGGAAACCGGCTCGACTGTCTTCAACTGGCTTCTCGCTCTGACTGGTCTGTCATCTTTCTTCGTCTGGGGTTCCATCTGTTTCAGCCATATTCGCTTCCGCAACGCCTGGAAGGCCGCCGGCCGCACTCTGGATGACCTACCGTTCAAGTCGCAAGTTGGCGTGTATGGGTCATGGGTTGGCTTCATCCTCGCCATCCTCTGTCTCATAGCGACCTTTTATATCTCGCTGTTCCCTATTGGTGGTAATCCAACTGGAGGCGCTGAGGCGTTCTTTGAGAGTTACCTAGCGGCCCCTGTCATCATTCTCTTGTTCGTCTTCTGGAAGCTCTGGACCAACGACTGGAGATTCGGCGTCAAGACTAAGGATATGGATATTGACACTGGCAGGAGAGACTTCCACGAATTGCCGCCACCCGAGGCTGGTGAGAGAAGGGGAAGCCTGCGGAGATTGAGCAGGGCAATCTTCTAGACGTAGTCGACGGGTCCAGTGTTGGGGCAAGTGCAGGTCAGAAAGGGACAATTCCTCGAGGGCGCTGTCCTCCGGTCAATGTCTTCTCAACCCACTGGCCCGCTGGCTTGACATTGGATAAATTTCTCCATGTCGGAGCCATCGAATCAGGGGTCCCCTTGCATCCATCATGTTGGTCAAGGTATAATATCAAATATGTATGTAGAGACCAAACCCAAATATTAGGCATGCATCCAGTATGAAATAACTTTAGGTAGAAGTCAGCATCATATCAGAAAACAAAATTGCTCGTACCTGTTCCTTTCCAAGCTCGACACATGGATAACCCGATTGTAGGTGGGCGCTAAGTTACCGAGGCCGCGAACATTCGTTGGGACTCGTGCGGACGACCCGGTTACAAGTAGTTCAAAGAAGGAAACTGCCGGTTAAGTGCGAGGATCCATAAAGAAAGTCCAAAAGAACCACCTTGAGGTATTCATAGTCGTGGGAACATTTTTTGTCACTTGAATCCTGTAGTATGAGTGAGTATTCAGACCAACCACCAAACGACGCCTTGAGTTACTATGTACTATGTCCTCCGTACTGTAACACTGCCGTGCCGCGACGCGCTATCTTACAAGGCCGGCCAACCCACGCACGCCCTTGCTTGGTGTGAACCCTACCAAATATTCGAAGAACGCGCAAGTCATTTTATTGGCCAGACCTTTTATCGGCTTACTTCGACAACTTTTGGGGACACCGTCCGGTGGATCGACGGCCGGTCTCTAGATAATGACCGTGTATATATCTACATATGAAAAGAAATCCGTGGTGCTCTGTTGCTCCTTCTCAGAGCACCTCAGATCATCAGATCATGTCACGTGATTCATAGCCTTGTTCTCTTTGTTCCAAGGCCGAGTTCAGCCGCTTGACTTTCTCGTCAACAACCATGGAGCTTTCAGATGGCAAGACCGTCACCAACCACGCCAAACCAAGATAACGAAAGTGATTTTCCCTGCTTTCCAGGTCCGCAATTGCGCTCAGCGCAGTTTAACCTAGCAATCAATTCAATAGACCAAATCTTGCCAACAACTACTTTCCTAATTAGCTGCCTCATCTGCACCCCTTATGCTTGACCTACAGCAACGAGCCTATTTTCGACCTGCAGCAGCCATCTTCAATTCGCCATTCTTCTCCGAAGTCCTACTGTCTCTAAAATGCAGGTGCCACAGCCGCTACTTTGATGTAGAAATTGACAGCGATGTTAATGGGCCGGGTCTCCACATCGCCACCCAAGATCTGACAAGGTGTGTTGTCGGGATGATAGTTCTCAGCCTGGTCTCCAACAGCGGTAGCGGCATTCTGCCAATTTCTGGTTGGCAGACTGATGTTGATGCTCCAACCATTGATGGACGTTCCCCAGTCTTGGACCGATCCCACTCCTTTTGTACTCCCAGACCCGGACTGAGGGGCCTTGCGATTATTGCGATCGGGATCGATCCCGACGGAGCCAGGAGGAGTATTGTCCACACCACGGAGGAATCGGCCGCGGAGGTCAGGCAAATAGAAATGGTCAGAATCCTGCGCACCCCAAATCGTGCCGCATGCGGTAAAAAGTTGGGGATACTTTTTGTTCTCGACTGAAGAACCGTCGCAAAGCGCCCAGTAGTCGGCGCTTGGGGCTGTTTCTCCAGCAATGGCAGTTATAGTTCCCACCGGCACCATATCAGCTGTCGGGTCTTGAGATCGCATGGCGAGGAAGAACATCACATTAGCATTAACCGGACGTGTCTCCTGATCACCTCCAGACCAGTACTGCGCATTTGTGTTGTCGTCACCGCGGACACTGGTCCTGCCAGCAATCTTGAAGGATTCAACTGTTGCCCCCAGGCCCACGTGCCAGAGCCTCGCCACCAAGGGGCTATTCGCCTGCGCCGTTCCAAAGGCCTGTGTTGAGCCCGCAGCTGGAGCTGTCACACCGGACAAGCCAATGGGCTGGTGTCTGTTACCGTTCTTGTCTCGACCAGAATTGACGTCCACCCCTCTAATGAACATGCCCTGCAGATTAGGCACGTAGAACTCTGACCCATCGGGTGAGATGCCGTATCTACCGCCAAGCGTTCTGTATAGCTCCTGGAACAGCCTTGTCGTGGTCCTGTAAGCGTCACCTTCGCACGGCGCCCAGTTGCCGTCGAATGGGTCAGGTGCCTGTATGGGGGAACCTGCGTAAGAAATAATGGCCCCAGTGGGAAGTGCGACAGAGGGTTTGACCTTGATAATGTACTGCATGTATGTATTCACCGGCGCCGTCTCTGCAGATGGGAGCTGAACAGGATAATCGACATAGCCAGGATTGTACTCCATCATCATATAGGCCAGTGGGCCAGAGTCGCCTTGATTCAAGTGATGGTATCCGTCAGGTAGGTTGGGTACTTGAAGGGCCAGCTGACTAGGCGATGCTGTCGCGAACCCCTGGACTGATCCTGGAAGTTGTGCTGCTTTGTCACCTCTGACGCCGGTACGTTTGTTGCTTTCCAAATCCACCTTTCCCGCGGGGTCAACACCGCGGAGAAAGCATCCCTGCAGATTCGGAAGATAGAACACACTGGGATCGCCGGAGGATCCGTTGCAGTAACCGATTGCATTGAACAACTCGGGATATTGCATTTTGTTCATTTCGGCCCCTTGGCAGACCATCCAGGACGCAGAGAAATCTGACGGCAGCGTGTCAAGGGGGTATGCCAAAATGGTACCGACAGGGAGTGAATTGGTGTCCATGTTGATAGAGCGATATAGATTTGGTTCCGTTGCCGAAATTCAGCTCTTGTTGCTTTGTAACTCTTTTGAATAAACACTGTCAGTTTCGAGGACGTAATGTAGTACTACTCAAGTCTTACTTGGTTGAGGATTTTGGTCGAGAGGAAATTGGATCACAGGAAGAATGCCACATCTTTATAGTTTCTCAACACAGTCTGGGCGCAACCGCTGGTTGACCTAGATGAGGTGGTGGAGCTGGTCTCAGCAGCGCCCATAGATGTCTGCAACTGAGACTTGTTATCAGGTAAAACGATGAACTCAAGTTCAGCTCCGTTCCTGGCTACACTCACAGCTTCAGCCGCTCACCAGGACATTATATCAGCCGGTCCGAGAACGCCTTCTTAGTCTCTCGAGAACCTGATAGAGTATCAGGTGTGGCATGAATGGAATCTCCGGACCGGACGCCCATGCCTCAGTTTCCTTAGCAGCGGTGCGTTATATCTTATAAGCCACCGGAGGGTAAACGCGTTGTGCCAATCCTGACATTTGCACAACTTCGTTGAGGGCCGAATAACAACACAACAGGCAGAGATGAGCCTCTTGAGGTCCCCTGAAAGTCGACGATTGGGAACCACTGGTCACAAGACGGGTGCTTGCACTGAACCCAAGAGAAGTGCAGAGTTTCTCGCTCATAACCTTGTGGCGTGCTGATGACAAGAACTCGTCGGTTACCGTCAAATCCTGCAGAAGGGGTACGTGCGAGATGGTGTGATGGAACATCTGTGGCTTCCGTCCCGGTTTGGGGAGTCGACCGTGTGATCTGCTGGGCTGGCAGCCTCAGCTCTCGTATTCGAAAGTGGCAGCCCATTGCAACACTTATCCTAGAGTATCTAGGTTGCTTACCCATTTCGGAGTGCGACTACCGCTAAATCAGTCGCAGGGAATAGACAAAGCCACTGGAATGAAAGTAAATCGAAAGGTTTGATTATGCGCACTTCCCTAATTTGACCTTCGACACGTCGAAAAGGAAGCCGTTCTTGCGGAGGACTTAGGTAATGGATACACAGCTCCTCAAAAAGGGGAGTTTCAGCCGCGTACCAAAGCCACGAGCTTCAGCTGGAAAAGCGTCGTGCACATGGCCACATCCACATACGTGCCAGTGCCAGTGCTGCCTGACTCAACGTCCGAGTTACGGAACGTGACAGGCAGAGCGGTGCTCGTCCAAGGAGATGGTGGTCGTTGTTGGAATGAGAGAGATAGGGCTCAGCGTAACGTGGGGGTATGCATGGTGTTGTGTAACTAGGTGGGAGCGCCTGGCAGACAGATGTAGGCCTGCGCCAAGCTATCTAATAGGGAAGGTGTGGCGATGGCCCAACATCGTCTAACTACCTTAGTGATGGGTCTACGGATACGGAGCAGTAAATTGGTCTAGACGTGACGAAAGGAATCTGCTAATAAGATGAGGATCTACTCCGCAGGTCCGGCATTGAACTCATTCATTCCAATGTACGGATATCAAAACGCCCATTCAACCCGTTTGTCTAAGACTCTATCGTTCAATAGCTGGAAAGGCTGGAAAATCCCCTTTCTGGAGTCTAGTTTTTCCCCGGCGCATTCTGTGAATGATGACCATATCGGAGAGAAACATGCTTGCGCCGCCACCAACCAATGTAATTAATTACAAGCCCAGCCCCTCAAAGACGAGAAGCATGTCACAAGTCAAAAAGCTCCTTGATCTGCTTCAGACAGTCGGCAGGATTCTCGACGGCATGGCCAATGGTCCTTGAATCATTGTAAATCTCCCAGTCGTTGCCGCCCTCGAAGCACTTGTCACCGAAGAAGTGGATGTTCTTGTAGTTGATACCAGACAGGCCCTTGCTGGGGTCGGCCTCCGCCTCGACGTGTCGTAAGCAGTACGTCTTGTCCCAGCCTGTTGGAAAGACGTCGAACGAGATTTGACCGCCAATCGAGTATCTATAGTAAGCCATAATTAGTTCTCGAAGAGGGAGCCCCGAATGTTGGTTGCGTTGTGTTTTTGCTTACGTGACGGCCAAGTCGGGAAAAGCCTCCTTCAGCGCCTGGATCATTTTCGGCCGGCAATTGTTCTTCTTGTCCCATGCCTCGAACTCGTTTCTTTCTGCGGTACTGGCGTTACGACCCACGGGGCTGACATTGATCATGCCGTTTCTGAACTCGATGAATGTTCCTCGCATGGCTGGGAGACCTTCCAGTTCCGAAATGTATCGTAGGATCCATTTGGCGAGCTTCTGGTACTTTTCTTCTCCGATCCATTCGATGAAAGAGGTCGACACGAGGGGTTGGCCTAGACGGTAGGCCTCGAGACCATTTTCCGCGAAGCAGAAGTCAAAGACCTCCGTGACTGACAGGGTGTCGGTGCCGATTTGTTCTTGTTGTTTGGGGAAGTTGGAGCCTCCGACCTGGAATGACAGTGTTAGTGTTACGCAGTGTAACTCTTGTGCTGGGGAGAACGACTTACATAGCCGATTGCGCACTTGTGTCTTAGTCTCGCAAGGGTCTGGCGCATCTCAGGCGAGATGGACAGTCGGGCAGGAGTGAGAGTGTTGTCAACATCGAACAGACAGATTGTCTCCTTGATGGGACGGTCCTTGAGGTCGGGGTAGAGGTCGGCCATGGTTGTGGGTGAGATGAGATGTCAATGATTCCCGAATGCTGACCAGCAACGAATGATAAGGTTTTTGTGGAAGACAAGCTGCTCGGAGAAGTGAAGGGGGATTGTGCAATGTTCACAAAGAAAGACTTGAGCAGAAAGGACAGGACAAGAACTGAACAGGACAGCTCACCGTAACTTCGATGCCACCCTTTTTTTTGACACATGTGGCTTCAGCGGCGCAGGGACAAATGCAAGCCTCGAACGCGACTTTCAAGGGGATTTCTCCCCGCATCACGTGCCAGGGACTGGATTGATTGATTGATTGATAACGGCACACTTTCCTTTGTATGGGCTGGCATCATGCTATCTCGCAATGTAATCTCGTCTGGTGCACGTGTTCAGGACTTCACTGCAATCGGATAAGAAAGCTGGTCGTCGACATCCACCTGAATCCCAAAGTCTACGAGCGCGAGCAGCAATCCTCCACAATTTCTTCAGGTACCGAAGAGGCTGCCGCAATGTCGAAATGCGACGAGGATTTCCAGCTCATGGTGTTCTAACACGATGCGGACACGGCGCTCGCCCTTCCGTTGCCTAATGTGACACTGAGAGTATGTGTAAGCAGGCCGCTTCTCGTTGTAGCGGCTTTTTGAGGACCCCAGGTGCTTGGGTCAGACTAGCTATCTGAAGGATTATGAGGAGGTGAAGTCGAGATGCGGTAACGTGTCCATTTGAACTCCGCTCCCGGGTCCGGAGTCCTGTCCTGCCTCCTTGAAAACATTCACTGTATGAAGCCGTTGACAAGCTGTGCCTGGGCGCATACTTTCTGACCCTTCTGTAGAAGATGAGGACACAGTCCTTGTGGTAGCGTTCAATTCCCACCTCAAGGTTGAGGTGCCCGGAGCTGGATTCCAACTACCTCCGTCCGGGTTTGGAGATGGTCGAAAGTCGTTTGCTGGACGCCATCGAGGTGGGAATCCCGAGTCACCTTACCCAAGACCCCAAGCATTCTCATAGTTATCGAATGAGAAATTCTCCGAAATCTGCACGGCGAAATTATCCCATCCAAAGAGCGAAAAGTCGAACCCACCGCCGCCGTCTGAAGGTAACTGAGGAGTCCCGGGTATCTGGAATGGCATTTGTGTCTCCGGATCGATCTCGCCGAATCTCGTGTCTACCGTTTCTGAATTACCGTCGACAGGATCTCTGGACGTCGATCCCGGCGAAAATCCTGAATGCGGTCCCGAAGCGGTAGGATTTACATCCAACGACAAAATCCTGCTGACGTACTTATTACTCGCCCGCCTCTTCTCGCGGGACAAATGCTGCCGGTGCCGCTGTATAGCGTCTGCAAACGCCGTCAGGATCTCATAGTAATGCTCTGCCTGGGGACTGTGCTCGGCCAATTTTTTGAGCACCTCTCTGGCGCCATTGAACGATTCATCCATGTCGAACGGTGACTCGCTATGTGCGAACATCGAAAAGCCCAACACCAGGCCGGCCGCAAAGACCCATGCCCTGTCCACGTTAGCAAAACCGGGCTTCCCGTTGCATGGAGTGCAGCCTTGCACATACTTCATAATGCACATATTACCCAACAGTATCCCACCTTGCAAGGCATCAAAGCAGGTCTGTGCCATAAGTATGGCAGAGTCGATACACGCCTGCGCGAGGTTGACCGCCTCACCTTGCGAGGCATCTCCTGGCTCCTGGCCTATCGTCCCCGGCAACCGAGCCATAAGATGTGAAATGAGAAACGGCCGTGTCACAACCATGACAGCGAAGTAATACACGCACGACACATGTATACTGCCAATGATGGACTCCTGATCACTTGGACTTAGTAGCTCATCACCGTTCTTTTCAAAACGGCGAATTTCCTGCGGTAAATTTGCGCTCCAATTTCTCAATTTCTCGAGGAACCGTTTCGCGGTCGCAAGGTCAATCGAATTCCCCGAGTCAAGATTCTGCATGATCTCGGCGATGAGTTCGCACGCACCGAAACTCGCGTTCAACGCCATATCGCGGGGCTTGCCGACATGGATGTGCATGCCCGTGAAACTTGCGCTATCGATGCGTACGGCCGGTGTCGAGTAAGGACGACCTAGAATGGAACAGACCAGCACATCGAGAACGCGCAGACTCTTCAACGTGCGCAGTCTGCGCAACAAAACTAGATCAGCCCATGCAGGAGTGACGACAAGAGGAAACGACAAGGCATGGGAAGATAGAACCTACCGAATACTTCGCTCCGGCACCCTGAAATGACGATACTGTTCTGTGACGTGCAGGCCCAGCGCGGATGACGCTTGACTTGCGATGCCGAGATACATGAACGCGGCGTTCCGTCTGCACGCGCCGAGCATGTAAAATGCCATGAGAAGGAAGCAGCGGACCATATCCAGACAAGGGTCCTCGAGAGCAGAAGCCATAGCCACCTTTTGCGCACGGGAGAAACAGCGCACGGCGTAACGCAGGTCATAAGGGCTCAGGGCACGACATTGGCCACCGATTGCGATGATAACATCTAGAGCGGCGATGGTATACTCGCGGCCACCGTCGGCAGGAGTGGTAATGTTTGTCAAGTAACCCTCGATCTCCTCACGGGTGAACAAGTCGAGAAAGCCGTTTGTCTGTTTACAGAGTTGTTGTCAGACAGAACAGGTGGGGATGGTAAAGCAATGGAGAGTAGACAGACTTACGGCAGCAAAGTAGACCTCGATCAAAGCTCGTTTCTGACCCTCATCTTCTTCGAAGATGGTGTTCGTGTCTTCGGGACTGCGGACTTCGAGCATGACATTCCGTCGGTCGTTCTCCGTAAAGACAGAAGGGCCCATTTGCTGCTTGATGGTCTGGCGCAGGAATTGCAGGAAGGAAAGAGAGGCCGTCCCTCCGACGTAGACTAAGAGGAGGTTTCAGAATATTCGTGTATTGTGCAGTGAAGGGCGGCTGTCCTACCTTTCTCGCCCTTCGAGTTAAGCAGTAGTCGACCACCACTCAACCGTCGCGGAGTTGACGATTGCGCCGCCGGTGATCTGGAGCGCTTCCCGGTCGTAGGCGTAGCGTCTTCATCTTCATCTTCGTCGTGGGCTCCGGTCGCGTACTCTAGCGACGATGGTTGTGCAGAAGGTGCCGCAGCATGAGCGTGAACTCCTCGAGGTCGCACAGGTGATTCCGCATACTCGCAAGTCGATGCCGACTTCTTCCTAATGCAGTTCGCACAAGGCTGTTGTGCGTCACATCTTTTCTTGGATGCTTTGCACGGTAAGCACGCTTTGACTGCCCGCTGTCGATCTTCGGGACGGACTTTTGGTCGAGGCATTTGTCATTTCTTGGGATGCAACATGGAGCGACCAGAATTTCTACATCATTGCGACGGTACGGAAGTGGAGATATCGCTAGAAGAAGAATGAGGCTTTCGGATCAAGATCTGGACAGTATGTGCAGATATCGGGCTTCTCGGCTAATAGGTACCCACGTACCTTAGGATAACGATGAGTCGCGAGTCGCTGTTCGGCTGTGCCAAGTCTACAACCAAAGGGTGGATAGCGAGCAATCTGATGTATTGTTGGATTCATGACCATTAAAGCCATCAAATATGACGTTCAAATTCAGAAATGTTTCTTGTTCTCTATCAATCGGTGGCATGGCACTAGTATACAATCATCACAACCATTGTACAAGTACCATATCCACGCCCACGTCTATTTTTGTTCATCAGAATCTATCCAGGACATGAGAAGAGTCGAGTGATACATATGGGAGCCTCTTAGCCAACATTCAAGAAGTAGCAATCACGCCCAGCATTCGCTATGCAAGGAACAAACAAGCAACAGCACGAACACACCACCTAAGCAGCCATAGCACCCGGCTTCATGCCCTTGACGCTCTTCCACTCGATGAAGATTGCGCCGATGACCGACAAGGATGCCATAGCCACAGAGATATACCAGGTATCTGTCAATGCAATATTGTATGCATACTGCACGCCATCCAGGAATCTTGCAGGTATCTGCTCTTTCAACGAGGTCGCACCGACATGTACCACAATTTCTGGATCGACGCCGGGCGCATACTTCGGGATTTCCGAGATGAGTCGGTTATTGAACACATTCTGCGCGACCGAGACAAATAGCGCACCACCAAAGGTCTGCATAAACATGACCAGTGCCGTTCCGGTGGGCACTTTCTCGAGCGGCAGGACCGCTTGAACCGTCACCAGGGCCTGCTGCATGCCGAAACCCACGCCGAGACCGTATAATGCTTGGTACCCAATCCACTTCTCATGGCCAGTATGGACTTCGAAGGTCGTCAACAGCCCGGCGCCAATGGAAGACAGTATCACACTGAGCCAGTAAAAAGGCCAGTAGTGGCCAAGGGCGGTCGTAAGCGCACCGCCCAGTATACTTGCAATCACCACCCCCAGAACCATGGGCAGACTGTCGATACCAGACTTGAACGCCGTCGCGCCCTTGATGGCCTGGAACCAGATCGGAACCCAGTATATCAGCACGAAAAATGCGCCACCCACGGTGAATGCGAACCAACTTGCTGCAGCGACGCTGCGCTGCGAGATAATGCCGAAGGGCACAGTGGCGTGCTCTTTCATGAAGTACTGAATGACGATGAAGACGACTGTGAGCACACCAAAAAGTGTCAGGCACAAAATAATCCTCCAGTTCGACCACGGGTACGTCGATCCGCCCCATTGCAGAGCCAGCAGGCATACTACAATGTCGACGATAAACACGGCTGTACCGCCAAGATCAAGTTGATGTGCTCTTTCCCTCCACGAGACTTTGGCTTCGGACACTCTGTTCGGAGATTGGAAGAAGAAGAAGATGACGAGCAGCGTGACGGCGCCAAATGGGAGGTTGATGTAGACTGAGAAACATTAGCACCGGTGTTGGCCAGTTCGTTGTCAGATTTGTGACTTACAGCACCAGCGCCAGCCCGGCCCGTCTGTGAACGCACCACCCATCAGAGGCCCAGCTATAGAAGCGATCCCATACATTCCTCCGATAAACCCTGTAAAGAGCGGCCTCTTAACCAGCGGCACAGTGTATGCAATGATGACGAGGGCGCCGGAGAAGATACCAGCTGATCCCACACCAGAAACTGCACGACCGACAATAAGAGCCTCTGATGTTGGGGCGGCACCGCAGACCGCAGAGCCGACTTCGAAGATGAAGATGGCGGTCAGGTAGACGTACTTGATGGAGAAAAAGGTGTACATCCTATTCAACCCTTTAGTTCCGCATTTTCCTGATTAGGTCGGAAGGCCACTTACTTTCCAAAGAACAGCTGCAGGGCACAAGTGGTGAGTAGATACGCCGAACCATACCAACCCACATCGCCGAGGGAATTGAAATGATCGGTGATTTTGGGAATAGCAGTGGCAATGATGGTGTTGTCCAGCGCGACCAGGAAAACGGACAGACACAGTGCGAGTGTGATCAACCCAAGCTTCAAGCCAGATGGGTACTCAGCCTCCTGATCCGCGGCAGACGGTAGCAGCCCATCCCCATGCGCCTTCTCATTTTGTACGTCGACATCGCCTGCCGAGGATGATCCTCGTGATACAGCCTGTTGGTGTTGTGAATCCACGTTTTTCTGCGAGGTCTCGGACGCCTGCACTATCGACGACTCGAGATGCGACTGCTTGTTCAGGTCTGTATTCGAGACATTCTGGCTCGGGACTACCGTAGTGGCTCCGGAGGTGACATTTTCCGCCGTTTCCAACCCAGTCGGGGCTGGTTTCTTGTTGAATAAGCCCATGGAGGCGGAGGTCAATAGGTTGAATCTTTAAGTGAGCCTAGAAGTAGGGCTTAAGAAAGTTAAGATTCTGACTGCGATCTGGCTGACCACAGGCAATAGGGATGCACGTTGAGCCACTCCCTCGTTGCTCGAAGGTAGGTCCGATGTAGAGTCCACTATGCTGAACGGTATTGAGTGCGATCCAGTCGAATTGTATCCAGTATTCGTGGTCGGATGGTCCGCTAGGGACAATGCAGTGTATATGGCACAGAGAGCGGAAGTATTAGAATAGAATATCAGTACTAGTACAATATGGGCTGCAGGCCGCGGAAGATGAATGAAAGAACCTGGAGATTGAGAAGACAAAAGCGCGGAAGAAAGTCTATCCAATGTAAATGCAAAGGGGGAATAATATACAGAGTAAGAGCAGGAAAAAGTACGGGTCATGGAAAGCGACAAAAATACGAATGCGAGGAAGGGTGAAGGAGAATGGAGCTAGTACGAGCTAGGCACCCGGCATCTGCATCTGCACTGCACGGTGTTGATCAAATTTGGGTCCGCAGTCCGCAAGAATCGCAGCTGAAGGATGAATAACGGAATGAAGCTTTTCCGTCTCCAAACATTCCAGATGCTTGCAAGAGCCCGAGAAGCCCCACGCCGGAACCATTTGGTCCATAATGGCCCATGATGGCCCCATCTTCATTGAACCAGAAGAATACATAGTACAAGCAAATTGCAATAATATGTACTAGTCGTATCAGTACTCAACGACCACACGATCCCAAGCCCTCATTCTTCTTCTAGACTCTTTCTCTGGATCGCATCTAGCACCAATCATGACGTGTAGCATTCCCGAAAGACCAATTCGTACTCGGTAGCCGTGGCTAATAGCACCTTCTTGGGTTTGAAGCCAAGTCTGGACGGATGAAATATCAGGCCGCTTTGACCCATCAACGTGTCTTTAAACCTGTCAAATGGATGTTCATGGGAGTTAACGCAATGCCCCTTTGTCCCACTCGGTGTCAAAATATTCTTCGTTCCGACCTTGAATATTTATCACGTGAATTAGATCGGAGTTTCTCCCGCCCGACCAACTACCAGGTTACCTTACGGTAGGCTTCAGGCTTCTCTCTATTATGTTGATGAATCAGGCACAAAGTCCGCCATACACCTGCCATCAGGCCACTCAGCACTGCTAGGGCGACCACAGCTAGGGCGACCACAGCTAGGGAACCACCACCCGTCCAGAACACAAAGATCAGAGGCTCCAAGCCTTACCTGAGATCTTGGGGGCCTGTAAATCCTAGCACAGAACATACACATTATCGCTATTCTTCCTACCAAGAGACCCTCCATCATTACTAGACTGACTCCATGCGCCTTGCGTCGGATCTCGTATGTATCCATGCTTCCGCCTATGTACAATACTATCGCCATGCCATTGTCTATTTCTCATTCCTCTTCTCAAAATCCACGACCGCCGGACCCAACGGCCTCGAAAACAAACTCGAGTAATCCGTCGGCACCAGAGTCTTCCCTTGCGGCTGTCTGAGCTTGACCAACCTCACCATCGTCGCCAACACTGTGCCCAACTGCACATACGCAAACTGCTCACCAATGCACCGATGCCGTCCCGCACCAAAAGGCAAGTACGGAGATGAAGCGCCTTTACTAATCATGCCGTAGCCATAATCCTCAAATTCCTCCTTCTCCTGCCCGAGCTGCGAGTACGCCAAAGGGTGCCCTTCATCCCATCGGTGTGGTTCCCACAACATCGGTTCCGGGAAATATGTTGACTCTCGGGATGTCACACCTGGCGCCGACAACAGCGTGTGCGTTGTGGGAATCATGTAAGTCTTCGTCGTGGTCGGCGTGTTCGCCACGATAGTCAATGGAGATTTGACCTTGCGCAGAATGCTGTGGATTGGGGCGTGCAATCTCAGCGTCTCCTTGACCACTTTCGCATTGAGGGTCAATTTCTGAACACTCTCGTATGTAAGAGGGGGCAAGTCTTCGCCTAGGATCTTCTTTTGTTCCTCCAGCAACTCCTCCTGAATGTCCGGACGCGTCGCAAGTCGAAGCAAAATCCAGGCAGAGGTAGACGACGATGAATGTTGACCAGCCATGAGTAAAGCAATCATCATATGCGCGACTTCCTTGTCAGGTACGGGCGTGCCATCCTTGTAGGCACAGTTCATCAAATTCCAGATCATGTCCTCTTCATCCCCCTCGCGCTTTCCACCTTTGGCCCGTCTCTCTTTGATGATTTCCATATACGTCTCGGCCATCTTTTTCTGCGCGATATCTCGCTTCCGGTTGTGCGGAAGAGGAGCCCACGGAAGCATGAAGTTGATCGGTGCAAATCCCATGTCCAAATCGTGATACAAGTCGGCGAATGTCGAATCGAATTTGGCTCGCACCTCTCTGCCTTGCAGAGATCGGGAAGCCGTGTAGATGGTAAGTTCGGCCATCGCTGGAATGACATCAATACTGCCGCTGCTGCCCTTGAAGAGTTTGTTGGTCTCAACGAATCCTTTAGTCTCTGAGGAGATCAAGTCGACGTAAGATTTGAAGGCGTCCATGGTGAGGCCGAACTTGACCATCTTTTTCTGTTCCATCAATTTCGCATTCTCACAGTCGTACTATTATGAGCAACGTCAGCTGGTCTCTCTTCGACTCCATATTCGAGGCTGATTTACCACCACGCCCTCTCCAAACACGGGTGTCGTCAAGCCGGTGTAGACCTCCTCGGCGTTGACATCTTTCAGCTTTCCGTTCAGAATGAATTCATTTCCCTTCGTACCCAAGCATACGGTAACCTTTCGGCCGAGAAGGATGAAGGTAAACACATCGCCGTATTTCTCTTTGCATGAGAAGAAGAAGTCGAACGGGTCCATGCCGTACCATATTCTGTAGCCGATATGTCAGCATTAATTCCTTGTTCGCGAATGCCGTATGTGACGCCTCTTCCCCGTGCAGGACACCCCGACCAAAGCCATGAACATCTCTTGTAAGGAAGACCTACGTGTTGCCGATGAGCGGGAACCACGAGAACACCTCGGGCGGCGCATTCTTGTCCTTGAAGAGAAATTGCCGTGTGACGTTCAGGACGACCGAAAGAAGGCAAAAGGCGAAGAAGCCCAGTAGGACGACCTGGTAGGTTGGTAGAGTCTCGAGGAGTCGGTCAAGGGGCGCTGCGACAGTGGCGAGCAACCCCATGATGGGCGATGTTGTTAGGGTTCTCTGGCGAGGCGACGGTATGTGAGGAATATAGAGACAAAAGAGTGTGATGTCGCAGACGGTGTAGGATGAACGAGAGACCTGGCGGTGGCTTAAAGCACTTTTAATGATGAATGCCGGACTTGCTTTTGTCGTTCCCTCCGAAAAATAAAATATCCAGGTACTGGGAGAGCGCGATTGGCGGAGCTGCGTCGCATGCATCATGCACGGCCAATCTGCTTGGCATGAAGTTGGAGATCCGGATCGAGCCACCGCCGGCATCGCTTCTTCCACTCCCTTCTCCTTTATCAGCCCACCTCTCGTAACCACTGGCACCGCCACGGACCACCAACGACCGCCAACTAGGAAGCCCCAATATCAAACACAAAAGAGGCTCCTGATGGCCCTAGAATGTCCCTCTAGGTGTCATGTGATAGTATTGACACGACGACTGGTACAGTCTTTCGTCTCGCCCAGATACCTGCACGTACTTTACCCATTTTTTAAGTCTACCTGGGTACTACTAGTTAGTACCGCCTCAGTATCCGATCGAGGTATTCGACCACATGAAGCCTATAGCTTTCCTTTCTCGAGGTAACCGTTTTCCTTCAACCACCCGAGCACATCCTCACTGTCTCGTTGCAGCCAGTTCGCCTTGGCCCTTATGGCGTCAAGGCTCTGCTGCAGACTCCGGTCGAAACCCTTCTTGTCTTTGTCCTGGAAGAACGCCTCGACCCGGTTCAGCTGCTTCTCGCTGGTGAATCCACCCACGCAAATGCTAACGACGCTGCTCAACATGCTCATGCTGGGAGGAAGTTTTTCCACCAACTCGTCCCAATTCTTGCACATCCATTCCCACCGCTTCTCAATGCCTTCTGCGGTAGTGCCCAGTCCGCCAATAGGCATGTAAATGTCTTGCATCTTGACTTCTCCGCTCAAAGCGAGCTGTAGGGTCTTCTTGATTAGTTCGGGGCTCCTCGCGCGCCCCAAGCTTCGCAAACAAGTGTTCTTCTCATCAGCCGTAGGAGCGGAGTGATATCGCGCAAGTAGAGCGTCCCACTCCTTCTCTCCACCGTCACGTAGGACCATGGCGAAAACCGACGCTCGCAGATTCGGATGCACAGCAGCATGGTCTCCGGCCAGGAACTTGCTGAACATCTCCTTGGCTGCTGCCTGGATCTTCTTGTCCCCAGCTAGGCCTGCGGAGCCGAACATTAAGCTCTTAAACTGGCTCATAATGTGGTCTTCGTTCTCGGAAAACTGCCAACCAAGTTCATGTGCCTTGGCAGAGCACAAGTTCAGCTGGAACGCCTTGAGAGCGTCTTTGGTAGATTCATCCTCAAATATCCACGTGTTGCGGACAGCATTGATCCGGGTAAGAATTTCATTCCAGACCACGAATTGCGTTTCGGTGTTGAATGATTGAAGCAGGCTCAGGATGCCGGATGTCTTGCCGTAGCCACTGGCTGCGAGGGCACCAGCGTCGGCGATCATACCAGCACGGTCTTCCACAGAAAGAAGGCCCTGTTGAGCCGCCTCACCTAGCTTTGTCAGTCGCTGTGGGGTGTAGCTCGTTCTGTAAAAGGCCGAATGATCAGCGTTCAGCTTGTAGAAGTCCAAACCACCCTTGATCTTGAACGTCTGTTCCCGTTCTGTCAACATGACACTTTCGTCCACGCCGTCTTTGGTTCTCAGACCGAGCATGACAGGGTACAGAACTTTGTCCTCCTCTGGCTTGACATCTCCAGTCCTCAAGAACCGGTTTTGTTTGACCGTGATGCTTGAGTCTGTCTCATTTTCAGTCACACTGATCACAGGATATCCGATATTCTTGGTCCAGATGTCCATGACATGTGCGACGTCCTTGCCACTTGCCTCGCCGAGAGCGTCCCACAAGTCGCTGGTCTGCGTGTTGCCCCAGGCGTGTTTCTTGATATACCTTCTGACGCCATCAATGAATGTATCCTCCCCGAGATACTTTGAGATCATTCTCAAAACCGAAGAGCCTTTCGAATAGGAGATTGCGTCGAAAATCTGGTTGATATCTTCCGCACGATGCACTGGGACTTCGATCGGATGAGAGCTTCGCAGTCCATCCAAGCCCAGCGCTCCTTGCAAAGTGTCGATCACGAATGTCTCCCATACTTTCCACTCTGGGTAGAACTCATTACAACTGTACCAGCTCATCCAAGTAGCGAAGCCTTCGTTCAGCCACAGACCATCCCAAAAATCCATTGTGACAAGGTTACCAAACCACTGGTGGGCCAATTCATGCTGGACGACTTCTGCAACTCTTTCTTTGGTAGCAGCTCCGGCAGATTTTTGATCAAACAGAAGATCTACCACTCGGTACGTGACTAGACCCCAATTCTCCATGGCACCAGCAGCAAAGTCGGGGATGGCCACCATGTCCATCTTTGGCAAGGGGTACGGTGCTTGAAAAGCCTTTTCGTAGAATTCTAGAGTTTTGGCGGCCACGTCCAGAGCGAATCTTCCATCCTCCTCGTTCTGTTCCGGCGTCATCCACACCTTGATGGGTAGTCTGAACTTGTCTGTTGAAATAGACTTCAGCTCGGCGATGATGAACGCTAAAAGATAGGTAGACATCCGAGGAGAGCGAGTGAACTTCACAGCCTTGCGCTTTCCACCTGTAATCTTGGAATCCACATGCTCAACAGACGCAACGTCCATGTTCGACAAACAAGTCTTGTCCTCGTCCGCAATCAGGGTCACGGTGAACTCGGCCTTCAGGGCCGGCTCATCGAAGCAAGGTAGTGCCCGCCGAGCGTCCGTAGCCTCGAATTGAGTCACAGCCAAATACTGCCCGTCCCTTCTCTTCGACCTGTAGAACCCGGCCATCTTGTCATTCAGCTGTCCAGTGTATGTGTGCTTCAATTGAACTTTTTGCCCCTTGCTAACCGACTTCCCTAGATCTATTGTCGTCGTCTGCGTATCAGCATCGTAGGAGAGGGTTGGAGATGAAGTGACCAGGGCCCCATCTGCATGGACGGTTGTGGTGTGGATATCGAGTTCCAATGTATTCAGGGAGATGGAGCTGGTGTCTTTTGCGACATCCAGATCTATAATGGCGGTTCCTTCGAATGTGAATTTGTCAAAATCAACCTCGAGGGTCACGTCGTAATGTTTTGGAACGACATTGGTAGGAAGGACAACTCGGCCTTGGGTGTTGGCCACACCAGGTGAATCTGACATGAATCGACACATGCTGGGGGTTGTAGGATGGAAGAGAGCTTTTCGAGAGCTTCTTTTCTCAAAAACAGAACGATTGGAGAGTCCAGTGGGCAGAAGAGTAGGCGTAAGGGGCGGAATACTCTTGTGCTTCAATTGGGTCTGAAAAGATCGTCTGCAGATCTGTCGAAGGAGTGGTGACGGCGATTGAGGAAGATTCCTAGATCCAGCAAGCCTTAAAAGAGACCGTGCAGGTGGCTTCATCTAGCGACTTTACGAAACCCCCAGCAGAAAGGAGTAAGCTGCAACGGGAAGGAATGAACAAACGCAAGGGATTCGAAGGGTCTCGTGCTCCGGGACTCACGAAGCAGTTGTCATTGCGCAGCAGCAATCTGTGGGGGCCAAAGCCCTACCACGTGCGGGTGTAATTTTCCAACCTCCGAGCTTGATGAACGGTCTTAACCTCTTTCCCTACGACTGTACATACTCCAGACGGATGCTTCAACCAACCAACAAGTTTCGACTCGTACTCTGCTCCGCTTGCTAAACACTGCATTCATGGCCTCTTACAGAAGCAGTACTCGACAGAGCTGATATGGACACGAGTCTTAGCGAAAGCCCTTTATCGATTCGTATGCCATCTAGAGAAAACTCTGCAGTGGTTGGTGGTGGGAATCATCATGCAGCACCAGAGCCACGCAAGAACCGGCATCAAAATGCTTTGTACTCGTGCATTCTTGATTTGTTTTGAGCTTGGCTGGCAACAGTCTCGCCAATTTCTTGCTAGAGCAAATCCCAGCAAGTTTGAGGAAGTCACTTAGACCTTGTGGGTGACTCTCCATAGAAAGTCTGGTACAAACACAAAAACCCAGTGATTACAACACATTTGGTGAAGATTTATCATCCCATTCTCATTCTCATTCTGCCATTGCAATAGGTGTCCAGGGAAAGGACTTCTGCGACGGGACTGATGAATGAACCATCCTCTACGTTTCAAGCCCACCTCTGTATTCCCGGGGGAGCACATCAATAAATCACGACACATATGCCACGCAGCACCCTGTAACTCTTCATCCGTAACGCCAGCTCCAGTTTCTCATGACGGGGTATCTTTCCATGTCCAACACCTTGTGACAAGCTCGACCGTCTCTTCATCAAAAGTGGAGCGGCTCATGCTGATCGTTTGAGCAATAAAGACCATACGCCATAATATGACCTGCAATTCCACGCTGTACAAATGGTTCGTCAGCCACCAATGTTCCTTCGAGTTCAAGCGTGGTGACACGTAATTAAATATGAGATTGGTGTCCTCCCACCGCCGCTGGAGGATCTGTCTGTAGAAGATGATTGATGCCGATGAACGCCTGACTGAAAACGCCGTCTCGAAACTAGTCCTGAAGAACCCGCAGGCAGGAAAAGCAGCAAGTCGTGGAGAAATAACTCATGATCGTGGCGGGGTGATGAGAGCAGCGGCGGGATTGCTGTCTCGATTCGATACTGGAGGAGAAGCTCTGCTAGGCGAAGATATCGACGGAGCTGATGCTCGCTTTTGTATGACCTGTAGCTTTCGTCGAATGATTGTAAGTCTTCCGCGAATGCTATTCACCACTAGACGGGTGTCAGTACTAGAAAGATCGTTTCGCATGCTCGACTTACGATTCTTCACGGTCCTCCTGTCTTCAGCTTCCAGTCCATTGATTGGTGCTGTATCCTCCTTTTCGTCTTGGTCACTGCTGGTGCTTCCATGCTTGGACATTACGTCTTCATCGCTTTCCATGACTGCTTCGAGCATCCGGATAGCCGTGACGTAGGAGATCTCACATCCAGGCAGATCTTCGTTCGTCAGCTCATTGATGGCAGCAGCCCGGCTCATCTCTAAAGCACGGTCATACATGAGCTTTTCGGCTGTGATGCCGGAGCTCACGACGACCTGGTCGGCTGAGGTGCCCATTCCAGCACTGGAAGCAGTTGCAGAGGAAATGTTGTTGGGATGACTTGGATGATCCTCCGGCAGTCGTCGTTGGCTGTCGATGAGCTTGAGCCGTACAAGGTCGGCCTTCTCTAACACTTCGTTGAAGCGGTTTCTAATCCATTGCACAACATTGTTCATTCGCTGACCCGCGGCAGCTGCTGATCGATTGGTTGCCTCATTCGCCGCCTCGGCACGGTTCTTGCGAGCCCACCAACGCGCTGCAATATCCATGGCTTTTGCGAGTAATGCCAGTGCTTTAACGTAGAGCACCAATGCCTCCTCAGCAACAATCACGGTGGCTTCGATAGTCAGGTCTTCATTCGAGGCACCGAACGGGCTGTCTTGGTCGGTTCCGTCCGAGGCATGGCGCAAGCCAAGGCCAGGTTGAGAAGGAACAGCTGGAGTAAGCTGTTTATACTTGACCTCAGCAAATCCATAGACCACGTCACTTCTGGTGGCAATTTCTTCGACTGTTTGCACAAACTTGGTGTCTTCGTCGGCAGCTGGTGCTTTCGAAGAGTCTCCAACCATTATCAGACTACTCTGGGCGCCCGGATATACCGGAAAAGGGCTGTAATTGACCGGAGGAGATTTACCGCCTCGCATGAAATTCACCGGTGGAGAAAACCCGACTCCGAACAAACGACCACTCGCCATGTTCAAGGCTTTTGAGATGGCGGATGTTGCCGAGTTGGGGCTGGGCCCATATCGTCGTTCATAAGAACTTTGGCGATTGTGCAAGGTATCGGGGCGTCTTCCAGAAGCGATCTGAACTGCTCGAGACGCGCTGGTTTGTGCGCCTGTCGCAGACCCCGGAACCCCTTGAGTGGTGGCTCTACGAACCATTGCTCCGGCTTTAGGCGACGCCGCTGCTGGGCTGTTTCTGTTCAGGCGTGGATTAGCGTCGATCTCGTCAGCCAAAGCATTGACTTCAACAGCCTTCTTCTCCACCAAGACGTAGTCTCTCTCGAAGGCAATATCTTGGGCTAATCGTTCTCGCTCGTTCTCTTCCTGTTGCTTGCGTGAGGCAGTTCCTTGATCCTCATCGTATACCTGGCCGCGCAACGATGAAGGTGGTAGCTTATGCGAGCCTGCACTTGTTTGACGAGCCATAGGAGTCGACGAGGGCCGATAGACCAATTCCTGTCTTCCTGGGGCAGTGGCATGCGGATGTAGAGCAGGACGGGGTTCGACTGGACTCGTTGGAGAAGCTGCAGCTGAGCCCATCTCATCAGCTGTTCGTCGCACTGTCACTAGCTGATCTTTCGTAGCTGATGTTCGTCGTGTCACTGAATAACTTCGTGGCAAATTGTCTTCGGAAACAGTCTTTGAGGAATCGCTATAAGGACTCTCCGGTTCCGTCCTTGAGCCTGGACGAGCCATGCCGGTAGGGTCTGTTCGACTGTTTCGTCGACGATCTGTCTCAGGCTCTGTTGGCTGCTCGGCCACATCTTCAGGATGCAAGCCTGGGATAGGACCAGTGATGATCTCATTGCTGAAGAACTCAGGAAATGATAGACGTTCCTTCGGGTCCCTTCTAAGTAACGACCGAATTAGTTTCTTCATATCCTCTGATACCATAAACTCTTCAGCGAATTTGATCTTGTCTTCACTCTTTTCAATCTTTCGTAGCAGTTCAACATGATTTGAAGCTCTGAAAGGTGGTCGCGCCGTCACCATTTCGTATAGGACCGTACCAACAGACCAGAGATCAGCCTTCGCATCGTATTTTTCATAACGCAAGATCTCAGGCGCCATATATAGTGGTGACCCGCACAATGTTTCCGCAAGCGCTGTGGATGGTAATGATCTGGCAAATCCGAAATCGGCGATCTTGAGCATCGGCAGAGATTTGATGCCGCAAACCGGACTGAGAGCGTCTTGACTGGGTTGATAGGGCATGGGTCGAGGCTTGTGAGTTTCGAAATAGGCAGGTGATGGGTTGAGGAGTAGATTTTGCGGCTTAACATCGCGGTGAATGAGGTTTCTAGCCCGCAAGAACTGCAGAGCACTTGCAAGCTGCTGTAGGAAATGTCGGACCACCACCTCGTGAAGACCGCCATGTCGAGGATTGGGGTATTTCACCATCATATTGCCCACCAGCTCACTGTCTTTTATCTGATCCCGTCTCTTGATGAAATGTGAAAGATCTCCCAGAGCTACATATTCCATCACCAGATGAATGTGAGCACTCGACTCTTTGCAGTCGATTAGGGCAACGATGTGTGGATGATGAAGGCCTTTGAGGATCGAGATCTCGGAAGTCAGGTTGTCTCTCAGTTTCTTATTCAGTTTCGCCATATTGACAGATTTGATCGCAACGATACTTTGGCCGCCGGAAGAACTCTGATAGCATGTCAGTGGAGGTCCTAGAAGACCCCGAGACGTAGATGACTTTGTGCGACTCACTGTGTGGACAGCCTTGTAGACTGTTGCAAAGCTCCCTCGGCCTATCTCTTCATGGCGCTGGAAACTGCCTATTTTGTCCGAATCCTTTGACCTCCTCGGTGCGGAGGATTGTAATGTTGTAGACGCCATCTTCACCTCCTCCACCACTCCGGGTGACACGGCCGGTCGAGCAGGCAGAGGCGAGGATATGGTGGGCGTTATCTTCTCAGTTGCGGATAGTGGGTGGCGGTTATGTGATTGAACATGGATTGATCGAGATAGAGGCCAGGCTCGCAGATGTACTGGAACGACAGGTAGATGGGTGGAAGGAACAGGCGACGGGCCACGAGAATGTGGAGATGGCGTGCAATTGGGACGGCAGGCTGCGTCGATTCGGAGGTTGTGTGACCTGGCGAGGGGGGAAAGCCCAACAGACTCGGCAAGGATTGATTGATTGAGTGGATGTTTGATGGACAGCTAGCTCACATCGAGCTCAGCGGGTTGGGGGATGGATGTAAGGGTGGTACTGTAGGTCGGTCGTTGGCTGCGCGAGGTGTGTCGAATGACGCAGTTTGAACTGGGCCGACTTGTTACACCCGAAATAGAAGAGAAAGCGGCTGGGGAGCGCAGAAGAAGGAAAGATAACGATAGATCGATGAAAACTAAGAAATGATCAGACTCAAACAGGGCGCGATGGTAACATGCAATCATGGAATGGTAAGGTTAGTCACGCACGTCAAATGGTGCGCGCGACATAACAGTTGAACCAGTGAGTCCGGATGATGTGCACTTGCCTCACCTGCACACGATAACACTGATAACAGTCACGTGATAGAAAAGGCGGCGAGGCGAGTGCTGTCTGACAAAAGAAGTCCATCACATCCAGAGAGCTAACGGCTCGACGGTCACTCTCATTTTGCACGGCTGGCGCCCATCTGGACTAATGCGTAGATGTCCGCCTTGGTCAGACCGTGCTATTTTCCCTGTCCCCAGGCAGAAGGGCGATCATTGAAAGAGGTAAATCATTCCCCTTGCAACGAATCATCTCCATCCGTGTCCACACTGTCCTCAAACGGAGTCAGCCGATCGTCTATCAGTGTGGATTTGGCTCCCGGGCTCAGATTACTATCTTTTAGGCACGGCCGGATGCTCTGTGGCGTCCGCGAAGTCAGATGTGGTGCTGGGAGCAGTCGCCTGATCAAATTGCAGGCTGTACACTCACGAGGCTGAGTACGTTGCACATTGTATGTTGTATGGCTCAGCCTAGGGGATGTCTATATATTCAGCCCTCGGACCAACAACCACAACCCCACGGGTACCACCACATTATCGTTCGCCGCAGTCAAGGTGCTCTCCAGAAGACTCGCTCCTAGTCCTGCAACAGCACATTTCCCTAGTAGCGCTACCACTGATTGATCATGCCAGGTAGCCCAGCCGCCCAGTCTAAGCCAGACCCAGCCCATCGATAGACCACAAACAACCGCGAAGGCAAAAGCAAGGCTGCCTTCCAAACTCTTTCCGCCTGCCCAGTACCATTTTGTCTCCCCGTAACGCCTGCCGATTAAACTTGCCGCAGCATCGCCCATGCCAACACAAATAACACCACTCACCATGCTGAGATCGCGAAGAGGTGTTTCCCACCCAATCCACGGATCCTCACCTCCACGCGGTGCCGCAGCCAGTGATAGCCATAAGGGAATGGCACATCCGATGAGCAAGAAAATATGCGACACGATAATTGGGCCACGATAGTCTCGACCATCCACGTACGGAGCCAGGAAAGTTGTAAGTGGTCTGGAAAGCGGAGGTAGTTGCGAGGCCCGGAACAGATCGAGCAAGAGGAATATAGCCAGCATCAGGCCGAGTGCCAGAGCAATAAAACAAGGATCCACGAAGATGGTAGGCAGAAGCATGGCAACCATGATACCATGGAAGACTTTACGCCTTGTATCGACCTCAACCATAGAAGTCAACTGGAGCACCGCCGCGATGCCGAGGAGCAACACTACCACGCAGTAGATGCAGATCAGGAGTCGAGTATTTGCAGGTCCAACGAGCTCTTGACGGAGAGCTTCGGCAGAGAAGGGTGGATGAAATGTTGAGCCAGACGACGTTCGTGCTGGAAGACAGATCCATCGCTCGAGGTTGTTGCTAACCACCCAAAACCTGAATGCTGGGATGTTGCCGAAAAGGTAGCCTAGAGCCCAGCCAAATGGCTCATGACCCGATAATGCTCGGGCGCCAACATACAGCCGGACAGGGCCTAGTATTGTGATGATGACGAAGATATATACAGCCGCTGCGTATCCGTACTTTCGCACTCGAGCTTGCTCCAAGGTAAATGACAAGAAAGCGTTGGGCGGACTCGTCGTGGCTGTCGGCTTGGTCCTCTTCTTTCCTTGAGAATCTTCCTTGGAAGCTGCATTGTCGACCACGGCGATCGTGTTTCGTCGAGAAGCTTTCGAAAAAATCGGGGTATGCAACGACGATACCTTCGAGATCGGCTCTTCGACTGCGGACATCGCCTTCCCAAGAGTCATCGTCGAGGCTCTTCCATTGATTTCCAGTTTGAGCGGAGGTCTGCGCCTGGACATCGGCTGAAGCATGGGTGGTTCGTATTCGCTTTCAGAAGAGTTTCGCCGCCTCCGCTGCAATTGTCCTCTGGTCAAAAGCAGGCATATTGCCTGATCGATCTGGAAGATGAGGCCTGGCTTAGGACGTCTCCGCAGAAGTTTCCAGGTTGGTACCCTCGCAAGTGCGACTTCCCAACCCAGGAGCTTTTTGCAAGTGATGAACACACATAAGCCCCCAAGCCAGAGCATGGCCTTGAGGATTTCTGCCTGTGGACTGCGTGCGAAAATAAGCAGATGAATCAGTGCGGTTGAGAGGAGTCGTAATTCTGAGATGTCGAGACTCGAGGTCGTGAGATAGCCAAGGACCGTCATTAGTGACTGATGAAGAGGGTACAGCAGAGCTAAGTCCTCCCTTGCTAACAGACTGTTCGATCCAAGTCTCAGAGGCAGTGGGGTTTGGTGGGAGTTATATGACCATCGCAGGCTCGATGAATCCAATGGTAGTACGGTAATAAGCCAATGGATGTGATCTCCTAGAGCCGGGATCCCTGGCGTCCCTGTAATCAGGGGCGGAATCGATGAAAGTGCGCACACGACGGCCACCGGAAGAAATGTACTGCACCGCTGGAAAAGTGAAAGCGCGATCAGGACTGGTAGCGTAACAGGGTATAACAGAGGTCCAGGGTCAAACCGAGAAGGGACGTGGAACCCCAGGCGGAGAGCTTGCACGCAAGACTTGCCGCTTGCACGAGCGCGGAGAGCCAGGCGGACCGGGAAGGCGAGATAGAGCAGCGGCGGTAGCAAGAGGAAAGTCGTAAGCTCGTTCAGCCAGCCCGACAGCTCAGATGCGCCTCGCGTGCTCGTCCAGACAGTGGCACCAATTCCGCAGAGCAGCAGCGTCTCTGTGCACCTCCGGACGATCTCTCTTCGCTTTCGCTTCTTGTATACTTCGAAGTCCTTGATCTGCTTCCCAGGTTGAGGTACTTTGTTCTCAATCTTACGACTCTCACCAAAATAGGCATATTCCCGTGCCTCGACGAAAGCTGGGGGCGTCGGTAAAGGACTCGCTGCAGGAGTCAGTCCCCCCGGCGACCTTCCCCGGAGCCCTTTTCTTGCACGTAGCGGTGGTGCAGGTAGTCCTTTCAAAAGGGGCCCTTTTTCGTCATCTGCCTCTGTCCCGCTTTCGCTCGACTCTGAGCGACTGAGGGCCGTCGTAGGGTAGCCATTCGGAGCATCTGGACTTGAGAAGGTAGATAGGCCGATCGGTTTCGTTAGGCTGTCGCCTCGTAGGTGGTAAGGTGTGCGGGTACGCTCAAGTGTTGGACTCGACTGATTGTAGATGTCCTGCGAACTGGATCGGGCGCTGTCATTGCTCGTTGGCTTCAGTGAAGTCATCGGAGGACAGGCCGCAGTCAAAGGGAAGCGAATATCGTGCGCCGGTCATTCATGTAGATCGGCTCATGGCGGGCGAGACTGAGGAAGAGGTACAGCGGAGGAGATCTCTGACGATGTGGCCATGTCTTTAGTCTTGTTGGGATGACAGGGAAACTTCACATGCTATGCGAAAGAATCTGGTGAGCTGCCACCTTGGTCACATCCGACCTGTCTTCAAGTCTTTCAGCAGGGAGCCGTCATTCCGTGCCGAGCTCCCCCCAAACCACATAAGTTATTAAGCAATTTTCTTTCACGTAGGGCGAACCTGTGCTGTGCAATAGATTCGTCTACAAGTATCATTTCTAGCATGGATGCAAAGTAACTCATACAATCTGCTGGCTGTAATCAATTCCCCAAATACCTAGGTACAGAACGGCTCCGTGACCGCGTCGTCCTCCGGATACTACAATGCATGTCTTTACAATTCCGCCTCCATCTTGTCCAGAATCGTTCGGACAAACTCGTGAGTAGTGCTGTCGCCTCCCATATCGCGAGTTCGTACCTTTCTGTAAATAATGTCAGTATGAAGCGACGGGTGCCGTCAATCCGGATTCAACTCACCCATCAGCGATAACATCGTAAACCGCTCTTGAGATGCGGTTAGCATGGTCATCAAGACCAAGGTGTCTCAGCAACATAGTTCCCGACAGCAAAAGTGCGGTAGGGTTGGCTTGATCTTTGCCCTGGATATCAAGACCGACGTGCCGGCATCCGGGCTCGAAAACGGCGACATCACGGCCCATGTTGCAACCGGGAACAACACCGGGTCCACCGACCAGGGCAGCGGCAATGTTGGTGAGAATACCACCGTAAAGGTTAGGCATCACCATGACGTCGAATTGTTGAGGTCGAGATACAGCCTGCATAGAAGCGTTGTCGACGATCATGTCGTTAACTTCCAATGTGGGATAGTCCTCTCCGACTCTCTTGACAGTGTTTCTGAAAAGGCCGTCCGCAAGCTTCATGATGTTGGCCTTATGAATGCAGGTCACCTTCTTTCTGTTGTTTGCAAGGGCAAAAGAGAAGGCGAATTTGGCAATGCGTTCCGACTTGGCTCGGGTAATGATTTTGAGTGATTCGACCACACCCGACACAGATTGATGCTCCAGACCAGAGTATTCACCTTCGGTATTCTCACGCACAATGCAAAGATCCACATTGTCGTGCCGCGTCTTCAGTCCAGGAATGTTCTTGACCAGGACTACGGAAGCGTAGATATCGAGCTCTTGTCGCAGAGCCACGTTGAAAGACTGGTGACCTGATCTCTCGATTGGTGTGTGCAGAATGCCCTTCAGCCCGAGCTTGTTCCTCTTGAGGGACGCTATTGATTCTTGGAAAAGCTCCTCTGAGTGCTTGTCTCCGGTATCGACACCAGACACATCGACTTGTTCCCACTCGATAGGTACGTTGTCGGCTTTGAAAACGGTCTTTACTGCTTCGGCCACCTCGGCACCGATACCGTCACCTGTAGACGTGCTGTGTGAGCAATTGAACCTCTATGCCTAGCCATCACTCGAGATCTGCCGTACCTGGAATCAAGGTCACTGTGTATTTTCCACCATATTTCGTAGGCTTAAAGATATCGGATTCGACCGTGGCGTAGGCTAGGAGCGGTTCTTTAGTTTTCTGCGTCTTGTCCTAGAATGCGTTGATGCTCACATCTTGCTAGGAATGGAGATGTAACCTGGCGTCTGCTCGCTCTCTGGGCTGCGCGGAGCAACGACTGTGGAAAAGCTCGTCAGTCTTCCGGAAGCTGCACAAATTGTGCTGGAAAGTCCTACCTGCGCGCTGCGGGTCGGCCTCGCTAAAGACATTGCAAGGAACTGCTGGAGGACGTCCAGGTGAATGTTGGCCAGCAGAGTTGAGCAGGAAGAAGTGCGATGCGGTGCGAGTTCAGTTATCAAGGAGCTTTTGTTCTGCAGAAGCAAAGCAGAGTGAAAGAAGCTCTGCAGGCCCCAAGCCAATCACAACCCACATGGAGCCATGACGTCGAGTCCACTTGCGTCAAGAATTTCCTCTCGTTCCGTGCAAAACACCCGAGGGCCTCCAGCCGTGCTCCGTTATCTTGCTCCATACCTGGTAGCGACGTAGGTAGGAATATTGATCAGCACTCAGGCTTATGAAGTATCATCTACTATTATTGCTTGTTGGACTGCTAAACTATTGACTATACCGAGTCGAAGATACCAACCGAGACTACTATGTACCATACCAAGCGTTGTCCAAACCCTAGTTCGTCTTGAAGTTCAATGGACCTTGAGCATGTCTCAGCTTCGCGCCAAAGAATTGCAAGAAGATTATGATGAAGAATGCAGCGCCCATGATCGCGCTCTCAATCCCATATTCGGTTTGAGTACCGGCCTTTGTCGCCCAATTGATCTGAAACGAATGTCAGAATGCTGCTCATCGGCAACTATCAGCATAGATGGAACTCACTTGAATGTATCCAACAATGAATCCACCGAGAGTTCGAGCAAAGTTCAGCCAGGCTGCGCACTCTCCGCCAGCTTCAGGGTAGGCATCAAGAAGGTAAGCCCCCACTGCTGCTGTGGTAACAATGGTTGCAAAGTTGTGCATTGCCCAGCCGACAGCAAGAACATAGTAGGAATAAGTCTGAGGATGGTGCAGAGTGACGCCAATGAGGTTGTAGCCGATGAGCTTGAAGGGCAAGACCAGCCAGAGCACAATCAACCTGTTTTCAGGATCGATGCGGCCTCCGTGGCGCTTCGCCCAGAGCTTAGCCACCAAGTCGAATATAAAGTGTCCAATCGTCAATCCCAAGATGGCTCCAATAACAGGGGCGGTATAAATGGCTGCCAGATTGCGATAGCTGAAGTTGTAAGCTGGGATGATCAAGACTGAGATTGTGGTGTTGTTGCCAATGGTCCACGGGACTGTGAATGGTCAGCCAGACGCCACAACGGAGTAGATGGGTATAGCATACAATCAAAGAAATAGAACAAGCATATCAAGAAGACGGGCATCTTCAAAGCCGTATAGGCCAAACGACTACCAGCCTCCCAGAATGTGTTTGTTGTGTACCTGGTTCTGTACTGCTCCACACCCACGACTCGAAGCAGTCGTGACTTGCGCTGCGGGATTCGGTCTGGCATCAAGTGCCGCGGGTAGAAGGTCTCATCACCAAACAGGAACGTGAGGGCCAGACCCAGAGCAATGATACCAAAGTCGAGCCACATCCCAGTTCGCCAGGAAGTGACACTGACAATGGCTGCCATAAACTGTGGGCCCAGGAAAGGAGAAAGGATGATAGCAGTAGACCAGATATTGATCTTCTTCGCGTGCTGGTGCCAGAACCAGACATCCTTGATCCACATGAGACCGCCACCCGCTGCGGCAACACAGAAGAGACCGTTTAAAATGCGAGATGCCATGTAAGATTCGAAGCTCTGAGCAGCAGCAGACCAAGCAGCTGTACCTGCTGACAGACAGCCGAACCAGAACAGCACCGGGAGGCGGCCGAAGTAGGCAGAGAGCCAAACAGTAGCCAATCCGCCCACGCCCAACATCTGCAAAGCATCAGAAAACCGTATCGATGAAGACAAGGGGGCAAAACATAGGAGTTGTGCTTGAACAGCACACTCTTTCAGAGAATACTTACGAAAGTGTTACTGCCAATAAGTTAGCTCTTGATTATTCGAACCAGAGAACAGCGAGCAAATACATACCCAGCGGTAGCATGGTTGACCGTGTTGGGAGAGATGTGCCATTCCTCAGCTTGTGGGATCAGGGCACTCGCGCCAGTCGCAGCAGAATAGTCGGCGGTACAAGCATTAACAGCAATGACAACGAGAATAAGGCTCTTTTTCCATCGGGGCCAGTTCAAGGGATCCTCAGGGTCTTCAGTAGGCTGAGGAATCAACACAACGCCTTTCTTCGACTTCTTTAAGGCGACATCGGGAGCAAGGCCCAGCTTCGCCTTGAGTTGCGCCTCATCAAGGACGTAGCCCTCGGTCTCACCAACACGATCGAGATCGATCGTCGCGCTTTTGGCGACAGGCTTCTCCTTGTCAGCGTCTGCGCTCGAGACAGAAGGAGTGGCCGAGGCAGCAGTAGCCTGTGGTTCTGGTTTAGTGACTTCTTCAGCCATGGTTGCAACGAAGGAAGAATATGAAGGGGGCAAGAGTGGTTATGGGAGAACGAAGAGGTTCGACAGCAGACAGAAAAAACAAAATTAAGCCTGGGGAGTGACGGGGGGTCGTGTGCCTTGAAATATTCACTGATCACCGCTCCTCAAGACCCCGTCCACCGTTTAGGGCCAGCCTTGTTGGGCCCTCGTCTATACCCCCTTACTTTTGACGGACCGTAGCCGATAGCGATCTAAGAGCGGACCTCCGACGCCAATGCTCATGTCAGATGTCGGTAGAGCACCATGAACACCTCACTGGACCAATCTGGGGTTGAACAACACCTGTTTGGTTTCAGCAGCATGCACTCACCTGCAGACTTTTCCGTCGTTTTCAAGGTGCGACGGGGGACACCATCAAATGCAATCTTACACGAAAAAGCGGATTGGCAATTGCTGATTAGGGAGTCGAAGTCGAGCGAGGAGGCGATCGTGGCGTATTTAGGCACCTACGATTCGACGGACCGCAAAAGGACAATTAAAAGGGGGACCACTAAGCCTAGTGAGCCCGTGACCCCGCCATATACTGCTAACGGATTAGCTTGCCGGCCTCCAAGTTTAACTTAGCACTTTAGCTGTGGTTAGCGGACCATCATGGGACTTATCACAAGACTAAATTCTCACTACGGAGAATAACAGTCGATATGGGCACTACGGATGGGGCAATATAGGAACTTTCGCATTTTTTAGGCCACGGCAACCCAAGCACGCCCAAGGGAACCCGAAGGCAACCCGTAACTCACTCTCAGACTCCGACTCGTGATTTGACTCAAGCAACAATTTTTCTCTCTGAGGATCCACCGCACAGGATGAATTCATACACGACTTCTCCTGGGTTATGTTCCTTGGACGAAAAGACGAAACCCGAGCAGTATTCCTGTAAGATTGTCCCATGCTCGCTTGATCCGCGCTCCGACCAGCATCACCATCCTGAAGGATATAGCAAATTGTGACTCGAGACATCGCCGTGATGCAGGACCGAGACAGGCATTTGGTCTTACAACGCTTGTGAGTTGAAGGGGACAAGAGTGGCCAATCACTAGAAACAAACCAGAACTGTGACACTTTGGGTCGTTGTCGCGCCAGAGCAGTTATCCATTGTTGCGACTTTCCATTTGCAATTTGAGCGACCTCAAGACAATGTTCAGGATAGCGTTCGTACGCTTTCGCACGGCATACACTTGCTTCCAACACCGCTACGACACTTATGGTAGCTGGCAAGTATCCGAAGTTCTTCAGCCGATGCACCCCTCAAATTCCCCAGATTCAAGCTTCCGCTTCTTGAACCCCACGATCTTAAGGCCAACTACTCGATTTAGACGATTCGCGGTGTCGACAGGCTAGCGTTGGGAACAAAACGAGATGCCAGATCGTGGTATCACAAAGTGCTCGTTTTCGGACGGCACTTCTATCGGCAGAAGCTGGCTTCGTGCATTCGCAAGCGCGGGAAGCCAACCGTTGGGCAATGAAGCCGTGATCAGAGGTCATCTGCCGCGCACATCGGAAGTGACCCTCTGGCTAGGTCGCTGTACGCCGAGCTACCTGATACGCATTAGGCGTGATGGGTGCATCGTCTGCAAACTGGCACGCTTTCACTCGGTTGCTTGGAGCGAGGACTTCATCTCTACGCTCAGCCGATACGCGTGTTGGTCGGCGCATTGGCCTCGTTGTCCAGATATATCGTTCATCGGCATCAGCACCATAAGAATCTTCACGTACGTGTAAGTCTCGAATCCCACGCTGCGTGTCTCCACAGAGTGCCCTCGAGTGAAGTTGTTATATCGTTGTCAGAGCATATTTGGGGATGCAAGGGCGGCCCGAACAACCAGCGCACCCTTTAGAGACCTGTACCAATGAGTCTGTCAGCGCCATGGTCCCATATCAGGCTGGATGGCTTTCACTGACATCTGAGCTGTTGTGCCACCTTGGATGCAAGCCCTCATGAGAAAACAAGTTCAGGACTGAATCTGCAGAAGGTTCGCGCACACTTGCCGACAGGACTTATGACACTTATGATCGGTCGAGCATCCGTGTTGATCTTCGAAACCTTCCCCATTGCAGACGGGTAGAAGTCGTCACGTTGCAGGCAGAGTCCATACCTTGTTCATATCAGCTACATGTGCCCTTCGTCCCCCAGGCAATACCCATATCCAATAAGAGATCTCAAAAGAAAGGAACCTAATGCTCTCGATAATTGTGCAGGCACAGTGAATCGTTTGGCATTTGTAAACGGTTCATTGAGGGTTCCGACGATTAGTACCTCCATCCATGTTGCCTTCTCCGTTTCTAGGCCGAATCAATGTTGTCCGGATGACTCGAACATTTCGCGCAGGGCCAGCCGTCTCCATGAAACCGAGTATCAATCGACGAATCCCCAGTTTCTGCCGTCAACAGCCGTTTGAGGTCCCCCCCTTCCCACCCAACAACCACATTTCCTGCGCCAGATGACAGAAAATCGAGCTATGGCTTTTGTTGCAGTCGCCCTCTTAAGCCCTGCAACACAAGCCCACGCGTTTGACGAGCCACGAGGGTTGTCACACAGGGGTGAGATCTCCTTCAACGCCAAACAGCCCATTGCATGGGCCATCTGCTCGGTCAAATGTTGACAACGTACTGCAGAGCAATAGTTCTTGCATCCATACAACAGGACAAGCGTCATACCTTGCATCAGGCACCTCTAAGTTGTTAGAAAGGACTCGAACTCTCTGCTATCAGCAGGGAAATCTTGTGCGTCCAAAGCAGGCAAATACTTGACCAACGCATTTTGAACGATGGGCGGCATCGATGTTATAACCATGTATTGTCTTGCAGAAGGTTTGGCCGCTGTATGCAAAGCAAGGGTAGGAGGGGATTGCTTGCGCAAGCTCGTAACCGTTGTCTCTTAGCTTGACATCTTCGCGACGTCCATCTTCTTGCGCCCGAGATCAACATGCAAGATCAAGTATCTTGCAGATTTGCCAATCAAAGAGATCCCACTAGGCAATAGGGACAATGCACATGGGAAAAGGTTCTTTGCACCAGTGTGGTCGTTTTCGCTTGATTTGCAGCGAACTGCATAAGAATGATTTTCAGTACCCCGGCTAATGTGCATGGCAGGCGTCGTTCGAGGCGGGTTGTGTGCCCAACCTGCCGGACGAGGACCATCAGTGGGTCGATAGTGGCGGATGCATCATTGTGCGTCCCCGCGGCAAGCATTGCATACCGATTTGAGACCGGGGATGCCCTAAGCGAGGGTTCTTCGGCAAGTGAAGGGTCAGCGAGAATAATGGGCCATGATCATCGCCTCCATGCCCAAAAGGCTCGCACAAGACGCTGAAAACTATCGAGGAGAAGAGTAGTAACTAAATCAATGTTCCACCATCTCATACAAGTACATACCTAGGTACGCACGCAGTGGTGCCGAGGTCGCTTGGTGTGGCTGTAGTAGTACTCGCAGGAGATGCAGCAAACCCATGTAGAGTTCGCTGGTTAGCGATCCGCATCAGTCTCATTGCAGTAGAGTGTGAAGGGGGTTTCGCCTTGAAGAGCAAGCGGCCTAACCGACATCAGGATAGTAAGTTAGGATGACTGGCAACTCAAGCATGGTACAGGTACGTACCCAAGTCGTAGCGGAAGCAGGTCGCGAGGTTCCTCCCGTGGATCAGCTGTCAGGAAGCGGTGCGGGTCATGATGGGTGACATGGGTGTTCTGGGTCACTAGGCTAGCGAGTGCGGCGGGTTGTTTAGCCAGTTTTTCTGATGCGTCTGATGCGTTACCTGCTGGAAGATCCCTCCTCTACGGGAGCTCCCTTTGCTCCGTCTTGACCCTTAACCCAACTTGTATCACTTCAGACACACTTTCTTCCCATCTGGCTTTGCGCTGCACCTTCAGTCTTCAGATGTCACTGCCATTCGCAACATCGTCGCTTCTACCTCGTTTGCGAGTCCACATACGGAGTACTTCGATTTGACCCAAGAGTCATGGCATAACAACCCTCACTCCTCTCAGCTTGGTTCTACCCTCCCTGCATCTGTTCGCTTTCGACTAGCCTCCCTACGCAACAACTGCTATCTTGCTATCGCCTCACCAGATCCGTCTCCAGCTATCAGCGACTTCAATCAATCCAGATTTCTATGCTTCGACTACGTCTAGCCCACCATGCCGTCCAATAAAGTCTTCCAGACCGACAAAACTCGTACTTACAGCGCATCTACCTCCTTCAATTTGACTGTCCTCATTTCCGGCTCTGGGTCCAACCTCCAGGCCCTGATCGATGCTTGCGGTCAAGCACCTCCCTCAAAAAACAAACCTGCTCCCAAACGTCTCCTCCCACACGCTGAAATAAAACATGTCATCTCAAATCGGCGTGAAGCCTATGGACTGACGCGCGCCATGGAGGCCCATATTCCTACGACATACCACAACCTGCTGGAGTACAAGAAGAGATATCCAGATGACATACAAGCTGCGAGGAACCATTATGATGCTGATCTGGCTCAGAAGATCCTCACACATATCCCCAGCCCAGATCTAGTCGTTTGCGCAGGATGGATGCACATACTGTCACCAGTGTTCATTAACGCGCTAGCTGCGGCCAATGTGCCTGTCATCAATCTTCACCCTGCGTTGCCTGGACAATTCAATGGCGCAAACGCGATCGGGCGCGCTTATGAAGCTTTCCAAAAAGGAGAGATCACCAACACTGGGATCATGGTGCACTACGTGGAAGCAGATGTCGACATGGGTCCACCAGTCATGGTCAAAGAGGTCCCCTGCAAATCTGGAGATTCTCTGGAAGATTTGGAAAACAGAATCCACGAAACAGAGTGGAAGTTGATCGTGGAAGCCACTGGAAAAGTGTTGGCACAATTGGCGGGACAGAGACGATCGGAAAGTTGAGCGCAATTCCGCAGAATGACTGCTTGAAACAAGGAACCTCTGTGCCTCCTCTTGCAACATGGCCCCGAGAGGTCACTAGGCTTACAAGAGTCATTCCTTTACTGCAGCAAGGTGTTTCAAGGATTATTGGATGATCTCTAATAGAGGAGTCTTCAAGGGACGGGCAATTGGTGGCGACCCGTTGTGACTGGTGTTATTCCCCCTTTTTTGCTACTTATATTCCGTTGTGTCCATGTTGGTTCGAGCACACATGACGCAGAACAAGACAGATGAGGATTGGAGACTCTGCTTGAAGAGCGGAACGGTGCGAGAAACCAGCTTATCACACCTCGACGAGGACAACAGGATGAACGACAGAATGGAACTGCGATGGCTCATTGAATCATGATCAAGCGCTGCGGTGGATCGGGCTATTGACTGATATGTTGAGAATTGGAACAAAATCTCATATATCTGCTGATCTTGATCTTGTGGTGGAAATGGTACCTAGGTAGCAAAACTCAAGCGCAGCTTGGATTACCGGTCACCCTTCAAGGTGAAGCATAGCGTAGCTTTCAATGAATATCAATTGATGACGAGGATCGGAAGTATTACACAGTACACTCTTGTGATAATAGAAGCTCGTGGAAACATTGGGCCAGGTCGATTATAGGCTGCAGCTGTGCAGACTCTTCATCAGACAGAATATAGATCCATTTCAATTCCAACGGTATGGCACCCAACATGCTATACTAGACAGGAACACAAGCCTCGTGGCCTCCAAATTAGTAAGGCAATGTATATAGGGTATCGCACAAACAAAACAAAAGCAGTAGCAGTGCATGACATCGGACAAGACTGGCTCTGCTCGACCAGCAGGCGAGTAAGGCAAGCCCAGAAAGCATCATTCCTCCTCTCCGAGCGGCCTCGCACCAGGCTCCAGGCTCCTCGACACAACAACCACGATCAAACCACCACTTTGAGCAGAAAAATCCATCAGACAGACATCGTAAAGTCCTCAGCCGTCGTTCGGCAAGCAGTCGTCCCATTCCAACCGGGCGGGTACCCAGTCGCCGACGTCCTCCAGAGTCCAAACCTAAGGTAGCCAGAACCACCTTCAGCAAAAGCGCTGCTTCGCACGCAAGCAAGGCTCCTTGATACTCCAAAACACTTTAGTTAGAAAGGAAGAAAGCAAGCATCACTGCTGCTTCTCGCTCTGCAGGTGTTGACTCGACGCATTCGCACCCACAGGCCCGTTTCCCATTCCATGCACCTCGCCATTCTCCTTCTCGCCTATTCCACCAACCTGTCCATCTGACGTATCGGGCCCTGTCCGGTCGCCATGATGTTGATCCGTCCCTCCATCCAGAAACTTGTGGTACTCCCGCTTATACCTGCTCTCTTTCGGATCGTGCCCTGCCGCCCTCGCATCCAGATATTCCTCATCACTACTACTTATGCTGCTCATACTCGAATTCTGCAGGAACATGACCTGTCCCGCGCTCTTCTTCTTGCGTCCTCTCTGCTCACCTTTCAACTTGTTCATACGTTCCTCGTCACCCTGGCAATCGAGGGTCACGACCTTGAGGCCCGGGAAATTCATCGCGAGAAAATCCCGCAACATGGGCAGCTTCTCAGCGTTGGGCCGGTACGTCCCGCTGTCGTTGTCGATGATCAATTCGTAGTGACTCGGGTCGGTGTCTTTGCTTGTGCTGGATCCGGCACCCACTCCTTCTACCTCTACTTCTTGGTCCTTGTCCTTATCCTTGCCATCTTTGTGGTTTCGCACCGCTGAATGCACCGGACACTTGGGGTCGGACTTCTCGTTCTTGTTGTCCTTCTCGTCGTCCTGCTCGTCGTCCTGCTCGTCGTCCTGCTCGTCGTCCTGCTCGTCGTCGCCCCCTGTATCGATACTCATCTGCTGTACCTCAGCATTCTCTCGCTCCTCCTCCTCTGCGCCAGACTCCGGCGCAGGCTTATGTGTCCCTTCGAGCGGATCCACCGACTTCTCATCCTGATGCATCTTTGCATGCCGGACCTTCCGGATGAAAAACTCTCCACTGCACGCGATGTAGATACTCACGTCGCTGTGCATGGTGTGCTTACTCAGTAGGTCGATGCCAAATTCTTTGCCCGTCTCCGTAAACCGCAAGTGTCCGTCCAATGTGAGCACGTACGTGAAAATCCGCCCGCCTTCGTCGTAATGTACAAGGTCGAGGAAGAGCTTGGTCATGTCGAGGTTCGGTTCCGGAAAAGTCCCGTACTTGGTGGTCCGGTCGTAGTTGTAGATCCTGGCGTGCTGATGATGCAGCGCGCGATTGAGCAACCTCCCACGCATGGAATGCGACGTGAACATCCCAGCGACGAAGGGCTTAAATTCAACGTATCGGTGGTACAAGTCCGCAGGGACAGGGCCGCGGAGTTGCATTTGGATGGCTTGGAAACTGGTACTCTGCATTAGCAACTGACACGGCGTACACAATGGGGGCGCTCATAAAGCGTAGGGTTGAATGCATACTTATATTTCTGCGTCTCCTTGCCGTCCTTGCTTCTCTCTGTATTTTTCGTGCCCGCTAAACGCCCGATAAGCGGCGAAAAATGCCTACTCCACGCGAGCGGGCCGACAGTGTACATCCTTCCACCGCTCTCATCTTTCGTACGGCCGAGGTTCTCAACACTTACAACTAGATGCCCGTCCATTTTGATGTTGCGCGAGAATAGGGCCGCGCACCCACGGAACGTGTACGCGCGTTTACTTCCCATGCGCTTTTTCAATTCGAAGCTCTGGCGCGAAAAGCCTTCCCAGTTGTCATCGATGTTGGAGATGTTGATGTGCACATTGCCGAGGCGGTCGTCGTGGTCGCTCGGATCTTCGTCGTACAGGCGGCATTTCAGGTAGAAACCGGACTTGGGCACGTTGGCTACGATCCAGTCTGTGTTCCATTCGGGACTCGTGCTGCGATGGATCGTAGGCGTCCGCAGAGACAAGTCGGGATCTTGTTTATGCCGCTTGGGAAGGTCGGATTTCAGGATCGCCAGGATGTACGGGTCTGAGGAGAGGGTGCCGAGGTCGGCGAAAGGCAGGTTCTCGGCTTTGTGGAATGTGATTTTCAAGGTGTACCCAGGCGGCGCGTGGGGGACTGGTGTGTCGTCGTAGCCTCCTGCTGGCCCTTTCTTTTCGGATGTGCCTGTGCCTGCGCGTCCGGTGTATTTCTGTTGCAGTTTGTCCGCCTCATTAACTAGCTTGGGACCGAACTTGTCGGTTGGGTGTTCCTTGCGCAGGACGGGGGAGTCGGGGTCATTGTCGGGCATAATGGGCGACTACGATTACCCGTGGTTATTCGAGTACGAGTGTGTTGATCGGTGTTGGGTGGGAAGGGAGACAGAGGCGCATTGAGTGAGAGGTGGACTCGAGAAGTAGACGAGACGAACACTCGACGCGGGTAGGACTGCAGGATTGTGGTTCGTTCGACGGCAGACGAAGGATCGCGACATTAAGGCGGAGAAAGGATGAAGCTGGGTCGAGACTGGGGAGTTGCATGCAAATGGGAAAGCCGGTCACTAGCCCTGGAAGCGCTGACGACGGCGCCGGGCCCAGCGGCGAATAGAGCAGAGGATCAGCACCATGCGCCCCTCTACTAATCAAAAGCTTGAGTAAAGCTTGGTTTTTTGGGGGGCACCACTGGGGCACCTTCCAGGCAGTCCACCCGGCGACACCCCAATCAATTCGCTGGAGGCTATGAAAATGCTGCCGATCGGCATGTGCATCGGTGACACGAAAAATTGCATTGACATCATCGCCAGGATACCAACCAGGCTTTGTAGAAGATGCTGCGTAATGCTCTGGGTCATCATTGTTCATCTGTCATTGCAGTGTAGACTGACCGTTATGTGCTAAACGACTGTCCTCAGGCATTATTACAGAGCCAGCAAAAGTTGACTGAATCAACAGAAGCAAACCAGATCTATTATCGACTCCTTCGCTCATGCAAAACCAAGTTATGCAAAAATGACCGACCCCTCACCAATGCTCTTCGAAAAGCTTCAACAGCAAATCCGCACCTGGCCCATTCAAGCTATCCCTAACTTCCTTCTCTGACACCGCGCTCACCACTTGCTTGTCATCCAACGCTTTGCTGCTTCTTGAAGGTGTCTTCGTTGGCGTCAACAGACCAGACATCCGACCTGAAGATTCATGTACTAGGCCGAGGGTTTCCAGGCTAGCCACGACGTCTCGGAACTCGGTGATCTTCAAAGGGACTAGTGTGCCATCACGTTTGCAAAGCATGGTGTACTTTTCGAAAAGCCCTTTGATGGTTGGTATTCGTGATTGCGACTTCGAAGGTGTGGTGTAGGGATCGCGGTGTCTCTGTTGACTTTCTGATGCAACCAAAGAACACAGGACAGCCTTCTGCTGGAGGTTCAGTCCGCCTAATCTTGAAACGGTTGCATTGTTGAAAATGCTGGATGCGACTGCTGCGACATGGGCAGGAGAGGCCCTTGGTGCCGTCTCCGCTGTCACCTGGTACAGCATCGATCGACCCTCTGCTTTCATAGGAGACGACCCAGTCAATACTGACCCATGTAATTGCGGATTCTGAACTTCTGCAAGAGGCTGCTTGGCTGGAGTGACACTCTGCTCCGACCTCATTTTCGTAAGGGTCTCTTGTTCAATCTTATCAATAACACGACGCACAAGACTGAAGGCTTTCCGCAAGTCGCCTGTTTGAGACGCAATCCTCTTGCTGCTCAGCTGAATCGCTGCAGGATGAATTAATGGGACGAAGTCGGCACCAACTGTGGTCTCAGCAGGTAACAGCGACCGCAGCTTCTCCGAGACGATCTTGGAGATCTGTTGAGCCGAATATGGAAGAAATGGTAGAAGATTTGGTTTGACATTCGTCACTTTCAGTCGGGGCAAGAAGCGGTCGGTGAGATCCAGTGCATTGGCAATGCCGATCAGAATCAGAGACGAAGAGGGATGCATTGCCCATTCGAATATGCTGTATAGGACCTCACATTCCCCGCTGAGAAGCGTGTCGATTTCGTCCAAGAGCACGAGGTGCATCGCAGGGTTTGCTTTGCGGGTGGTGAACAGTTTCGTAAGGCTGGCTTTGATGGATTTCTGGTTGCCAGTGCAGCAGCCAAACTCTTGGGCGAAGCTCGTCAAGACCTCCTTGGAAGATTTGAACGCAACGCAGTTGATAGTTGCGACCTTGACAGGCTTCTCCTGGAATTCTTGCATGATCTCTTGAACGAGTGCGCTCTTGCCAGTGCCAGGCGGACCACTAACGTAGCTGCAGCCACCTTTCTTGGCCTCGATGGCATCGGAAATGAACTTTGACAATTGACCTCTCTCCGCTTCTCGACCAATCACCTTCCCATTTGAAGCTTGGGTGAACAATTGCCTCGCCTGAGAGTATACATTCTGCGCTTTTGATGGCGTGGATACGCGTGATGATCGTGGTGTGAGAAGTCGCCCTGCAAGATGTACGCGATGCTTGGGCGTGCTCGGTGGTGTTGCAAGAGCATCTTTGAAGCGTGCAGTTGCCGGAGTTGAGACAATTGCAGGTGGGATGTTTTCATCTTGATCCTCAACTTGGCTCGTCTTACTGGTTATCAGCTTGTCGCGTATGGTACGTCTTGCTCTTTCGTTACAAGGTCTGACAGAACGAGATGGCTGCTGGACGTTCTGGCTCTTGGTCGGGGAAGTCTGCTTCTCCAATTCATCTTGTTTTTTTGTGTCTTCGTATATCTGAGGTGCAGAGTGTCGCGTCCGTCTCTTTGAGGTGGAAGAAGTAGTTGAGCTTTCTACGGACGGTCATTGTCAGTGATTTCCAGTCGACCTGGTATCGATCAAGAACATACCTTCTTCATCCAGGACTCTTCGAGACCGCTTTCCCAGTACTGTAGCAGCCATTGATGTGGTTGTTGCTGCTTTTGCTTGCTGGTGTTGGAGTTGGAGAAGGAAGGTACGAACCTGAGTCGTGCCTTCCTTTGCATGAATCGTGCAGTCGCGTCCCTCGCGCGTAAAGTGAACGCTCGGACCACCGCCTCAATATCCACAGGTGGCTGGGTGCGGGTACTGGATCCACCACGTATACGGTGAAGCACTCGCTCGTCGGCTGCAGTTTTGAACTCTTGAGCGTGGTCGGCTATTGCTTTGGTTTCTCAAACCCCGTCTGTCTTGGCAAGTTTGCAGTCAACGCGCCTTAGACCCAACTGCCCGATGCGTTTTCGTCATAGCAAAAGTGCCTTAACAGTTGAGAATCGTTGCATGTTTGCCTGCAGTCGGCGCTTCATACCTCAACGACACCCACCCATTCCACATCTTGCCAATTGTTTCTCCTACTCGCCGTAAGATGATTTCTCAGGCATCTCCCTCATGAAGCCATCCATTCCTTGAGGCTCTAGCAAGAGTCAATCAACCTTGTACATCTATTTCCTTCAAGCGCTCTCCCACATCCTCCTTCTTTAGCCGACCCAAATTTCAGAATGGACGAAGCAATCGCCACAGTCGCCGCCGTCACAGGCTCGACGCCAGAAATTGCCGCCCAGTATGTCCAACTTGCTGATGGGGACCCCAATCAGGCCGTGCAACTGTTCTTCGAAAATGGTGGCGCTGATCTAGGCGGCGCACCATCTCAATCCCAACCTCAACCTTCGTCGAGCTCACTCCCCACTGGCGGCGCCCAGAACCCAATCGATCTGGATGCCGAAGAGCATATCTCTGATGACAATGATCCCGAGGTCACCGGATTCAGAAAGCGAACACAGGGCACTGCACCATCTAGGCCTGCAGGCGATCTTGAAGATGACGAGGCTATGGCGAGACGATTACAAGAGGAAATGTATGGTGAGGCAGGAGTGGAGGACGGTATTAGAGCTCCTATTGCTCGACAAGCAGAGACCTTGGTCGGGCCCGGTGCAGGTGTGCTACCCACGGTGGGTCCAGAGTTTGATGCTGCAATCGAAGCGCGTATGCGTGATTTACACCGGAGACGAAACCAAGGTCGGTCTCAACTGAGCACTTGTTGACCATTGGGCTAATTTTGTGTCAGTTCGCCCAGGAATTTTCAACCAACAGGAACCTCCCTCGAGCATCTGGGATAGAGATGTCAGAGAGGCCGAGGCCGGTCGTGGCTATCTCGCAGAATCAACAGGAGGGGCGTCCGAGGCTTCTTCGAGGTCAACGAGACTCGCCAGACTCTTCCAGCCGCCTTGGGAGTTAATTTTCAAAGGAGAATGGGAAGATGCAAGAGATGAAGGCAAAGAACACAAGAAGTGGATCTTGGTTGACATTCAGGACCCTTCGATATTCGATTGTCAAGCCTTGAACCGTGACCTGTGGAAAAATGAAGGCGTTGTCGACACCATCAAGGAAAACTTCGTCTTCATTCAGTACAACAGAGATGATCCTCGAGCAAGCCAGTACGTACAATACTACTTTCCGAACCACGAGAGTCAGGACGAATATCCTCATGTTGCAATTGTCGATCCCAGAACAGGCGAACAAATCAAGCTTTGGTCACGCAAGGTACCTTCGGCGCCAGAGTTTTTGATGCAATTGCACGAATTTCTGGATAGGTATAGTTTGGAGAACAATGCCCGTAATCCTGTGGCCAAGCGAAAGTCGGAAACCAAGGAGAAGCCCGTTGACCAACTCAGCGAAGAAGAACAATTCGAGAGAGCATTGCAAGCAAGCCTCGCCACCTCACATGACCAGGAGCGATCGAAAGCACTTGCGGCAGAAGATCCCGACGAGCTGACGCGAAGTGTTGGGGACCTAAGAAACGCAGGAGGACCATCCATCGATGAAGCCATGGACGTCGATGAGTCCATCGCAGCATCAATGACAGAAGCAACACCTCATTCACAGATCCCTTCCGATCGTCCTCATGTCGAACCTCCTGCTGGACCAGGTGTCACACGACTGCAGATCAGACATCCTGGTGGTAGAATTGTTCGGCGGTTTGCTCAGGACGATCCTGTTCAGCGAATCTATGAATTCCTGAAAGCAGAACCCTTGGAGGGCAAGGAAGGAATGGATTTTGAGTTGGTGTCCATGGGCAAGAACCTCATCGACTCACGACACGAGTCGATCGAGGCAGCTGGACTGAAGAACGGGACTGTGATGGTGGAGTTTGTGGAGTAATGGTGCTTGATGGTTGGGCCGTTCTCGAGATCTCGTCCCATCGGCCATATGCACCCTAAGGCGTTGCCGAAAATGAGCTGATTTGACGATACCAAGGGACTTACGTAGCCTAATATGGGCGGTATGGCGCAGTTCATGGTTGCACACAGGGCTGCACGTAGGACTGCATGAAATGATGAAGACGGGCGGTCCTGCCTGTTTCCAAAGATCCAACGCAAATTGTCCTGTTTGGCTCGTAGGCTCTTGAATCTGTAGCTGTCAAAGTGGCTGACCAATCGGAGTAGTGAACAGCATAGCGCGACTTGTTGCGGTAAGGGAGTAAACACGCCGTGGATTTGTTTCGTCTTCGCAGATACGACCTCATGGTGCATGACAACACTGTAAACATAATGTCCTATGATCCTGTCGCGTCGAAAGACAGCAATGATTCACGATCTTACGACTCCCCACGATAGAAAGCCACACGCATGAAGGGCAGTGGCGCTTGCCCAGTGCACTCCGAAGAATTAACAGTGCTTTGACAAGTTTACTCGGCCACTTTAGGCGATCGCATACACTGGTGCGCAAACACAGTCGTGACGACTTCTGTTCTCCCGTTTCGTCTTGCTGCGGTGTCCTGACCGCTCATCGTACGATACAGTCGCCTGATTCTCAATCTGATCCAGTCGATCTCCTACCTGCGCATACCTCCCCAGCAACCATGGACCCGGACGAGCTGTACACCAAACAGAACTGCATTGGAGGTGGCAGCTTTGGAAAAGTGTACAAAGGAGTCGACAAACGAACAGGGCAGGCAGTGGCAATCAAAATCATAGATGTCGAGAATGCCGAAGATGAGGTCGAGGACATCATCCAGGAAATATCCATATTGTCGGAACTGCAGTCCCCGTATGTCACGAAATACCATGGGTCATTCCTAAAAGGCTCCGATCTGTGGATCATCATGGAGTTCTGTTCGGGTGGCAGCTGTTCGGACCTTATGAGGCCGGGCCTTATCCATGAAGACTATATCTGCATCATCCTTCGAGAACTGCTTATGGGCTTGGACTACCTGCACGGCGACAAGAAATTGCATCGAGATATCAAGGCAGCAAATGTACTTTTGGGACAAAACGGACAAGTCAAGCTGGCCGACTTTGGGGTTTCTGGACAATTATCAGCTACTATGACCAAGAAAAATACGTTTGTCGGGACGCCATTCTGGATGGCGCCCGAAGTCATCAAACAATCAGGCTATGATCACAAAGCGGATATCTGGTCACTTGGTATCACAGCTATTGAACTCGCCCAAGGAGAGCCCCCCTACGCCGACATCCATCCAATGAAAGTACTCTTCCTCATTCCCAAGAACCATCCACCCACGCTACAGGGCAACTTCTCTCGCACATTCAAGGACTTCATTGAGCTGTGTCTGCGACGAGATCCTCGAGAACGTCCATCAGCAAAAGAGTTGTTGAAACATCCCTTTATACGCAAAGCGAAGAAGACAACATATCTGACCGAGCTCATCGAGAGAAACGAGAGATATGTGGCAACTCATGGCAATAGGTCTTCGGATGATGAGGACGATGAGGAGGCTGACAGGCCTGCACAGCACAATCATCCGTCTGAGAATGAAGATCTCTGGGACTTTGGAACTGTCAGACCTGTTGGAGGCCGTGGTGGTGGACTTCGCCCTATGAACGACTCCGACACCAACGCAAGAGCGTCTGCCGAAGGATCCGCGTCAAAAAACAAGAGCGATTGGGATGAAACTGTCAAAGTACCTTCTTCTCCGCAAAAGTCTCCTGTCAAAGCTGCTTTCCCTACTCCTGCCAAAGTTCCCTTACCAGCTTCTCCAACCAAAGCCCCGACACCCAGTGAAGTTGCAGGTTCATCCGGTCTGTTTCCACCAGCAGTCCCTGCAAAACCGTTGAATCCCTTCGCGATGCCCCTCACACCGGCTGGTCCAGTTGTCAGCAAGTCTTCAATATCCCAAGAACACAAAGACAGCCCTGGCTCGAACGAGTACAACAAAGCATTCCAAGCTCAGCTAGCGAAGGATATGGGATTTCTGAAGATAGACGGCGGAAACAGCCCAAACTCACAAGGCTCAACTCCACCTAACAAGAAGCCTCTTATGATGATCCCAGAGATCCCACCTTTCAAAGGTAGGCCCGGTAGAGGCGAGCCTCTCAACAAGCTTCAACCACCAGTGCCACAAACAGCAGTCAATCAACAGCCACTTCCATCCTTTGCGCCGAAAGAACATTCATCTGTTCCAACAGCACATATTGCATCATCAACAGTAAACCAACAGCCACTGCCACCATTAATGAGCAAGACTAACCAACCTTCGTCCTCAACACCACCGACCCCAGGTACCGCATCCACCCAACTTGCAAAGACAGGTCCCGACGAAGAGCTTACCGCTCTCAACTCTGTGATTGTTCCAGCCCTTGAAGCTGCGATCCACCGCCGGAGCTACATGTTGAAGGAGCTTGGTCGAAGCGGTAAACCTGGCTCATCTGCAGCGGTGGAAATTCAACAACAGAGAGTCGAGAATCATCAGAAAGTGAGACGACTGGCTTCGAAGGCTGCTGCCATTTTCCAGGAGATTCAAAGATATGATGAGGAGTGCCCTGTTGGCATGGGTGGTGGCGTAGCCGAGTTTTTGGAAGGATTCCTTGAAGAAATTCTGGTGAGAGTCGAGGCTGCCGAAGAGCCAGAGAGTCCTAAGAAGGCATGAGAGGATGCGATTTCATGGCAGGCGTCGATTTCATGATCAATTCCAGGCTGAGGCTTTTATGAGGCATTGTATGAGGCACATGGACAAGCTTGATATGAAGAGGTTCACGTGATGAGAGGCACAGTATGGTTTATTACGACTGCTAGAGGTGGCAGCACTGTATTCAGCCTTGCATGACTCGGCTGGCCCCTGCAGCACACTAATATCGAGTCAGGATGTTCAATGATCATGACCTTGATTTACTTACCCCATAAGCCTAACCGACCTTCTGAAACGCATTGCGTGTTCGCAGACATTAAGCCCACCATGTGAAAGGTTGCGTCCTCGGCGTTGAGTATCTGTCTCTCGCCGTGAGCAATCTACCTAGGTAGTCGAGAAGCTGCAGAACACGGTCCTCCGGGTAGAATAGCACGATGGCCGACCACACACCAAGTTCAAGCCCGAGTTCGCTAAGCAACCTCATCCGCCTCGCTCCTCTGCAGGTCAGTGATCTCCCTGCGCATCCCGATCTTCCTGGCTCGTCTGCGAACCTGTCCGCCCTTCTGACGGCGCTCCTCGACGAGGGCGCGTCTTTCTTGTCCCCATCGACCTTCAGCGGGAATTTCAAGCACCATTCCACCAAACCCTCTCCGCCGTCAGCCGCGCGTGTTGAAGTCCTTAGTCACAACGTCCCTGCGAATGCTATCGCGCAGATTCAATGGACGCGGTCTCACCCCGACAACAGGGGAGTGTCGCGCAGTAAGCCACCGAAGGTGGATGCAGAGCACTGGTTCGCAAGACGCAGCCTACACCGGGACATTTCCAGTAAAAGCAAGGAAACGCCCGGCCATGCAAGTTGGGATGAATTCGTGTTCGGACTGCGCGATGAGCATAGCAAACATGAGATGGAGTTCACCCCGACGTTGTATGATGCGAGACCTGTCGCCGATTGGAAGGGGCAGATTCATAAAATGGAGGAAGAGGGAAAAGGCGGGTTCAAAGGGTATACAAGTGTCAGTCTGGGCGTGTACGAGATGTGTCACGCCATTCCGCCGCCCTTGATGCCGCGATGTTTCTGTGTCTTGGTGGCCACGGCGAGTACGGGGAAGGATGAGTTTGTCGCTGTTACGGTGCCGGTGGATTTTACGGGAGCGGGTACGGACGGCGAAAGCGTGGGGTTTTATTCAACGGGACGCAACACGAGAGAGGGTGAAGACGCTCAGAGAAGGAAGAAAGTGCTGATGGGATTGTATACGGCTGTGGAGGTGGTCAGAAGAGATCAGGAAAGGGAAGAGGTAGAGTGGATCATGGCGACAAGTAGTGATGCAAAAGGGAATCTGCCGATGTGGTTGCAGAAGATGAGTCTGCCGGGCGCGATTGCTAAAGATGTCGGGTTCTTTCTGAGCTGGATTAAGGATGTTGATGAGGGTGAGGCAATGGCAAATACGAGGAGAGGCTGAAACAATGCAGCTCGGGACTGATCACGGCATGGATCCGCCTGTCGGGACTTCTCTTCGACTCGGTTAGCCGTTTCATGTCCTTTGATGATGCTCCGATCCATTACGCATGGACGATCTATCTACTGCTGCAGTTGCGGCCATGGTCTCCTGACTGAACCCGCGATAAGTTCATCTACGAGATCGGTGAACTTGATCCATGCAAAATCTGGATACAACTCTCGTCCATTGATATAACCCAGGTACTCTGCATTCTCGGGGGTATTGTCCGCCCGTACATATTTACTGACACAATACTCGGCAATTGCCAATCCGGCCATGTTCATTGGGTTTGCAGGGTCAGTTTCTGCAGCTGCTTTGGCAGCTTTGAGGTTCGCAAGCGCCTCTTCAGCAGACCTCTGCACCTTCAAGTTAGCCGACTGGAAGTCATCACATAGGGAAGTATTCGATCTTACGGGCACGAGTTCCAATTTCTCGCCCGTCTTCTCTTCAACGATCGCATTCACTTCATTCTGGCTGAGCAGATCGCCATACGCATAAACTCTTTTATTCAGCGTGCGCTCGTCCTTGATCATGCGTACGGTGATTCGTCCCACGTCTCTTTTGGCCATGAGCATGTTCGGCGTCGTGCCTCCGGCGTAGACGTCATTGAGTGGCAGGATTGCCGCGTAGTCAAACTTGCCGCTCGGTACGCGTGGGAATCTCAACTCGTACCAGTACCCGACGTCGATGATGGTGAAGGGTAGCCGTTGGCGGAACATGTGGTCGTGTACTTGCTCCTTGACGTCGCGAATCTGCATGATGCCGCCTTCGGCGCACGGTGTAGCCCTGTTGCACGGCACGAAGCGTTTGACCCCGGTTTGAGTGGCGGCGTCGATGAGAGGTATTTGTTCGAGGGCGTTGGGGACAAAGATCGAGCTGATCGCGATGTCGATGCCCTCGAGAACAGCGACGATGTGCTCAAAAGGCCCGGAGAGGTCCCCGTCACTACTTTCAGGCCACGATCTCTGAGATCCTGCACAGCGGGTTTCCCGGCTGAAGATGTGCGGATGAAGCAGGTGATGTCCTGCGTAAGTGTCAGTCGCCGTGTGCTCTCGTGAAACAAACGCGGTGAGTTGTAGACGGAGGAAACTCACAAACGAGCCATCCTCGATGAGGGCGGTCAGGATTGCTCCGACCAAAAAGACCTTTTTCTTTCGACATTCCAAGGTTATCCAGAGACAGGATGCATCACTTGCAACCGTGCGCGCTGCCAGTCTTTATGCAATGATCACCGTTACAATCAAATAATGATTCATCTTCCCTTGTGCCATGCACAAGGCTTGTCGGGGACGATTGGAGGTTCTGTCGGATTGAAGCCTTGATTGCGTATGGATATCCACTTGATATCCCAGGCTGCAGGGATATGTTGCTGAAGAGGCGCATGATCTCGATCTTGCATTTGATTTACCATGAGACTTCAGGCCCACCTGATCCAGCAATTTAGGGGCCAGATGGGGGCTAGTTACTGAGGCTGTGTTCCGGAATAGAACACTGTCCCTCACGAGTGTCCTCAATACCTCAACGACACAAGGGGTCGTCGCATGCAGTACGAGCTGCCACGAGCTGCTAACTTGTTTCAGACCATCGCAATCCCCGGTCCCGCAGCGTTGTTGAGCCATGCTCAAGGCTATTCTGCTTGCGGTTGTGATTGACTGTACGTCCTCATGATCAATTAAATGTTCTGCCTGGTCACTACGAAAAAGGAGAGGTACTACCGGCCCGGAACCATGACCGACAATCTGGGGCCAGGTACTATGTATACTCGACGATGCAATGTTACAGGCAACAGCTTCCAGTGAGTGATTTATTCAAATGCCGGCAAGTATGCCTCTCATTTGCATTGTACTGTAAGCTCCGAGTCCTTTGCGCAGGTTACGTCAAGCAAAGATGCGTCTCGTCTCATTCCTAGCGTCTTGTTGGGCAGTCTATTCCTCCTTTCTGCTTTCTGAAGCCGGTCCTTCCTCCGGGCTTGAGGTCTTCGAAGAGTTGCAGAGCATCCCGACGTCATGGGTTATAGATGGCGAACCGTCACCTTCTGAGCTCGTCTTATATCGAATCGCCATCCGCCAGGATGAGACACAAGCCCGGTTCCAGCAGCATGTTATCGACATCTCAACCCCGGAACACGCTTCTTACGGCCAACACTTGGATTATGATGATTTGACTTCGTTCCTGAGCCCGGCACGTCATGTCTCCAGCAATATCAGGAGTTGGTTGGTGGCAGCTGGAGTTTCAGAGAGCAATATCCAAGTTGACAAGGACTGGATCAATTTTGTGGCTCCCATTGACCTCGCGGAGAATATGTTGAACACCCGCTTCTACTACTTTCGCCATCCAGCAACCAACACCAAAAGGCTGAGAACACTCGAATACTCTCTGCCGCCCGATCTCCATGAGCACATCCAGATGGTGCATCCTACCATCCACTTTGGCCATCCGGAACCGCATGTTCGATCCGCAGCCTACAGCGCTGATGACGATGCCGACGACGAACCCATACCAAAATACGGATCGGCCACACAACTCAACGCCACCTACTGCAATGAGACCGTGTCCATGGACTGTCTCCGAGCATTGTACGGCGTTGGTGACTTCCGAGCCAACCGTACGTCGGGCGCAAAGCTGGGAATATCAGGCTTCGCCCAGTCCCACATTGATTATCACGATCTGGCACTATTCGTCGACAAATGGGCACCGTATGCCAAAGGTGCCAACTTCAGCGTGGTTTCTATCAACGGCGGCAACAATACGCAAAACGACACGGAAAACTCTGGCACAGAGGCTTCAATGGACATCGAACTAGGTCTGACCCTCGCTTACAATACTCCAGTAACATTCTACACCACCGGCGGACGGGGCCCGCTGATTCCCGATCTACAGCAGCCATACGCCAACACGAGCGTCCAAGAACCGTGGCTGGAACACCTTCAATTCTTGGTCAAGCTTCCAGACAAAGACCTGCCGAACGTGCTGAGTATATCCTACGGAGAAGACGAACAGTCTCTTCCAGCGTCGTACACCAAGACGGTCTGTAACCTGTTCTCTCAGCTTGCGGGACGCGGCGTGTCGGTCATTACTTCGAGGTAAGTGTGACCCATCGGTCTGTATCACGATGCCCCCTATCGTTCACGAAACGAGATACGAATTGATTGTGTGTGTCAATAGTGGCGACGGCGGTCCAGGAGACGGCTGCATCACCAACGACGGCAAGAACACTACACGCTTCATGCCGCAATTTCCCTCCTCTTGTCCGTGGGTCACGTCCGTTGGAGGAACGTATGGCGTCGAGCCAGAAAAGGCCGTGGTCCTCAGTGGCGGCGGCTTTTCCGACCGCTTCGCTCGGCCGTCCTGGCAGGACGACGCAGTCAAGAAATACCTCTCCAAAATCGGCGGCACCTTCGAGGGTCTGTATAATGTTTCGGGGCGGGGGATCCCTGACGTCGCTGCGCAAGGTTGGGTCAACCATCCGACATTCTACCTTGGCTATGAGTTCATGAACGGTGGGACCAGGTGCGTAGTCCGGGCCCCGTGTTGCTCTTGTTATACACCCTGTGGACAACCCTTCAGTCAGCAACTTTATACTGACACCAGACTGTTGTTGAAACTGAACAGCGCATCCACACCTACATTTGCCGCGATCATCGCAAATTTGAACTCCATACGCATGTCGAAGGGCAAGAGGCCGTTGGGCTTTCTCAACCCGTGGCTGTATGACAAAGCCCGCTCTGGGCTGACGGACATCACGTCGGGAGGATCACGAGGCTGTTACAACGAGAGCCTGAGTGGGTTTCCATCTCCGGAGGTAATTGGTGCTGGTTGGAACGCGACCGTCGGTTGGGATCCTGTTACTGGTAAGTCGGACAGTTAAGTCCTCCCATGCAATTCGGCCGGCTGACACGGACCACAGGTCTTGGGACCCCCTTGTTCCAAAAGCTCCGGACGTTGATGGATTGATGTGTCGACATGGCCGATGACACGACGGCTCCGAAGTGGAGAAAAGCATAAGTATAAGCATAAGCATAGGTCCAGAGTAAACATACAAGATCTCCGCATAAATGGTTTGACATTCATTGCATTGCGAATGGAGATTCACGTCCTGCCGACTGCCCTCACGAAGCTGAAGTCATTGAGAATGCTATTCTGAGGACACCTGTGAGATAACCAAACCATCATACATGTTAGCCCAGACCGAGTTCTCAAGGGTATGGCTCGTGGTCAATGTCAAACTTATTTGCCCCTTCATGAACCAGCTTTGACCAGTCGTGCCCCTGGACCTGACAATTCTCGGCGCATTGCATCCTTCGTCATCAGAACCACCCTTCTCCCAAGAAGAACAGGTATAGGTCGTGGGCCAGTAGGCACCCAACAAAATACCAGAAGTTACTGCGGAGGTGTATCTCGACTCCGTCCATGGATGAACCTGCATTGCTCGAAGCCGAGGTCGATGCAGGCGGCGATGTACTTAATGATCTCGTTGGCGAGGACATTATGGAGGACAATCCCGTGACGAGTATGGCTGTTGTGGAAGTCTCGTCCGTCCTGAAAGTGACGACCTTGGTGGAATAGCTGGTGGAGGCGCCATCAGTGCTGCCTGGAAGAGTTGGAAAAGGCGACGGCGAGTGGGCAGTAGCAGTGTAGTTCGAGGTGAAAGCTGAGATCAAGGAGTCAGGGGAAATATGGGATCCTTCCGTCACTTTGCCAGCGGTCGTGGTGTCGGTGGAAATAGTCGACTCAAACTGCGCGCATGGCGCTACGGTTGCACCATAAGCTGTGCTCCAGGTAGAAGTCCCCTAGCAAGACACTCACGTTAGCAGCTGTTTTTTATCATCTGCGAACAAGCAAGCCATACTTGAGGCCCCGAAGCGGTTTCTTGTGTGTACAATCCCACTCGACATGTTTGAGTTTCGATCGACGACTTGCATAAGGCCTCGTTCGCGTAGTCATAGAACATTTCCTCATACGCGGCGCCGCTGCATAGTTGATCCACTTCTTGCCAGCAATCCCGATCCTGGAATATTCTGGGAAATGCCTCTTTGGTTTGGTTGCAGATTCCTTGGAGACAGGTCTGCAGGATGTCGTCGCAATCTGCGTTGGTTTGGTACGACCCGACTTCGAAGCAGTGTTTCTAGCCGCGCATCATACAATTAGCCATAGAAGAGCAGGGACGGAATGCTTGACTTACAGCACATTCGTCCGACCGTTTCTCGAGACCATCAACCACCGTATGAAAGCACAACGAGGAAATCAAGCACAGCATGAGTATGAGAGGAGTCTTGGTAAGCTCAGATGTTTCAAGATATAAAGTGTTTTCGATCGACGGAATATGGTAGACTTGCAAAGTCGACTGCTAAGGTGGACGCTTATGGGCGCGGACTCATGCTGCTGTGTTGCCTGGTGAGGCAGCAAATGTTCAGACTGGCTGGAAGAATAAGGAGGCGGGCAAACAACACAACCATGGAGTGAATCAAAACGGTGAGTGCCAGCTCCAAGTCCTTGCTGGCAACGTCATATTGAAGATAGTTGCACGATTTTGAGCCCTGAAGGTGCCAGATGCAACAGCTACAGTCCGGGTTCCTGCATATGATGTTGTACCGAGCACTGATAACGACGGGTTGTGGCATGATATCAAACAGACGCGCCTTGAAGGAACGTTGCACAAGGTATAAGTGTACCTCAGCAACAAGGCTGCCGACGAAAGGTGCTTGAGGTTGACTTTGGACGGTCCATAGACTTACGTACTGTATAGTGGACTATCTTTCGTGGACAATATCCCTTCGAGCGTTCACGATCAAACCGCTCGATCAAGCAAACAGTCCTTTCCCCCACCAGGCACACCTTTCGTTGGCCGCATCATCCCGCTGTGGCCTGATGTAGGTGGCATTGAGAGCGTTGATGCTTGAATTTGACCCGTATATTGGAAAGTATGGCAGCCCCGGCCCATTTGGGTTCCCTGTCTTAGCGAAATTGACCAGGTAACCTTGTAACTCCTCGGCAAGCGGAGCAATAAGAGAGGCGCTTGAGCCTTGACCATTGTAGTAGGTGTAAGCAAGGTCCTGCCCATGGAAACCTGGTGCTACTTGAAATTCGTATGCGAATGTCTGATTGCCGAAGGCTTTGTTGACGTAGTCGGTATTGCACGCAAAGATAACCTCTTGGACCATCAGAAAGGCTCGCTCCAAAGCGGAGGTGTAAGGCTGGCTTCCATCATACACTGCAGGATACAGAGTATTTAGGACATGGTTGATGGCGGTCTGGGTGATACCTGGAAACATCACTGTCAACCAAGTCTGGAAGTCGGATTCGGTTTTGAGATAAGGAGGCGTGAATCCTGGCGCTTCCGCGATATTATGTCCAACCATAACCGAGACATTCTTTGCGAAGCGTCCGGTACTTAGGAGTACCCCTGGTAAGTCTGGCACGAATATCCCATCGACCATAGGTCCATAGGTGAAAGTGCCATAGTAGGAATTGCCAACTTGAATGGTGTTTGCTAAGATCACTTCATCCGATGACTTCTGGCGAGCTTCTGCCAGCCCGCTTACGTTCAAGACCGAGAGAAACGTGTTTGTGATGTTTTCCATAGCGAAGCTAGACCGGACCGGGTCATATCCTGGAGACTGGGCGATGGCCTTCTGGAAGGACACGCCATTCTGCCCCCCAAAAGCCGTGATTTGATGCACAGCGGAACCACCGCCAGCGGATTCCCCAAGTATAGTGATCTGATTAGGATCACCACCAAAGAGATGGATATATTTGGAAACCCACTCTAGTGCTAGTCGTTGGTCGTAAAGTCCAGCGTTCGCGGTTCCTCCGGATGCTTGAAAAGTCGGACCTGCAAGCCAGCCCAAAGCTCCGAGGCGATAGTTAAACGTGACGTAGATAATGCCGTCGCCGCCCCCTTTTTGGCTGGCTTTGATCAGGCCCGAAGGGTTACCCCATTGACCCTTTGAACCAAGGGTGTAGCCGCCACCATAGATCCTGCATATGTCAGACAGTACAGTTGGTTGAGGGCGATCGGGGACCTACCACACGATAACAGGCGCACCACCTTGCTGGCGTCTCATTAAACGGCTCTTTCCTTTGTCAAATACTGCTTTGGGGACGATCACGTCCAAAAACAGACAGTCCTCCGTTGCTCGTCCATCCGTCTGCGGCGCGGGAGGTGAATTCTGTAAGACCATCTGCAATTGCTCGTTGGCCGCACTGTAGTTGAAAACTGACACATTTCCTGCTATGATGTCTATCTCGACCTGATTTGCGGTAGGAGACCAATTTGGAATAGCGGAAGGGCAGACTTTACCCACGCTGCCATTTTGAACCACGGGATCCGTCCCAGTCGGTGGTACTGGCGCAGCAAAACGAAGCTGACCAAGCGGAGGTTGAGCGAACCTGATGTTTGAAAAATTGTAGGTTTGTCCGGTTTGCTATTCATCTATCAGCAAACGGAAGCATTCAGTTTCTCAACAGTCTGGATATACGTTGAAGCTGATCGCTTGATGGATCTCGTAGCCTAGGTTGACTTCAGGCAGCGGTGCCTGTGCAAAGGTGAGCGAGGCAGACAACAACGCAAATCCAACAAGCGAGGACAATTGAAAGGACAGCATGCTGGCAACCTATAGACCAGCCTTTAACGATGGAGCCAGAAGACGACCGACGGGTGGTACTTGTTCTGAGGAAGTGCATCGTTTTATATGACGATGTAGAAGCTCCTTAGATCACCGTATCCCCGAGCCGTCAACGGGTTGCTGTCCACAAGCGGACGAAGAAGGATCTGCTGGACGAGATGGAGCTTCCCTTCGTGGAATAGCTATACGTTCAAATTGATGTCTTACCCCACGCGTCGTCTAGCATAACACTTTCCTGACCGAGTTTGGCCAGGAACAAGGAAGAGCTGCCTCGGTATTTCGACGTATCTCCAACAGTATTTCCTCCTGAACGAGATTGGTGGCCGGCATTCCTGGGATTTCGAACTCGTCTTTGACGAGCATGCAAGGGACGGACCGAGGTCGAGTGGGAGCGCAGATGCCCCATTGCGGCACGGAGGATAATGTCCTTGTTCCCATCAGGTGGATAGCAATAACCATAGTTGCTGTTCGGTCTGGCAGAGGCTCAGACGGAGCGAAAACCAGCCTTGCATGGTCTTTGGGGCAGTGGCCGGACGATGTTATCCTTTTCAAGGGGAATTCATAGTCGAACCCGAGGCTCAATGGCATATCAAGTGGGTCAATCAAGCATAAAGCAGCCCAATTGAGAATGTGACTCCAGCCTGATACTCCCTACCACGATGCTAGTCAGGATGTGACCCATGGGGAAAGGAAAGGTTTGTGGAAAAGAGGAATGCGGAGAGCTTTAAGATGTTCCTTCGGCAGTCGTTTACAATTGTTACAGGCGAAGATCCAACGGAGCAACATCCATCCGGACCATCGAGATGGCCTTGGCGCGTGCTGAGCTGATCAACAATCTGTCGTAAGATAGCTTCAAGTCGTTCGAAATTGCTTCCTCACTTTGCGGCTCGAGGAAGTCAGATGAAGGAGGATGCCTACGCATTTTATTCACGCTTGCTAATGATAAGCTAACAATACTTGGTATGCCACCACCTCAGATGGCTTCCGCGATTTGCCTGTCCCGATTTACCACATGTCCCAGCACGTCCCGGAGTCCAAACTCGCCATCCAGCTTATCGAGGAACACGACATGCGTCCAGCTCAAAGTTCATTATTGACCCACGAGTCCATCAAGAATGCGCTCTTCCCCAAACTTCACTCGGTGTGGTTTTTCCTTTGCTCTCAGGCACCAGAACCCCCACAAAAGCGCCGAACACGCCAGCAATGGCAGCAAAAACCCACCAGACTCTCCCCTGAGGAAGAGCAGCGTTTAGCAACGGGAAGAACTGTGCGACCATGAATGTGGAGAGCCAGTTGCCTGCAAGCGCCCAACTTGAAGTTGCACCCACCGCTTCAGGCCCGACCAGTTCACTTGGTAAGAGAAAAGGTACCGGCCCCAAGCCGACGCCGAAACTGCAAACAAAGAGGCCAATGCCAATGACGGTGAGCAATCTGATGTCTTGTTCGAGGCCTATAGCGAGCATGACCGAAGCTGAGCCCATACCGGAAATTGACATCAGCAGACATGGCTTTCGACCAATCCTGTCTGGCAGGGGAGACGACAACAAGGTGACCAGAACATTCACCGCCGACACAACGACCGTAATCAACGCTGCCTGCTTCGGCATGATCGGTCCCAGAATAGCAACGCTGTACATGACCACAGCATTGATACCGCAAAGTTGTTGAGCCATCATTGTTCCGGTAACTGCGATCACGGCCCGTCGATACTTCGGGACTCGGATAACATCGAGGATAGATTTGCTTGCTTTTGGTTGTGGCCGAGGACCTCGAGGTGGTCCGAGGAGGCTTTCCTCTTCGGCCTCTCCAGAGACTTCCCAGTGGTCCATCTCTTCTCGGATCTCGACACCCTTGCCCCTGATACGTTGCAAGATACCTCTGGCCATTCGAGGTCTGTTGTTTCCCGCAAGCCACTTGGGAGTCTCGGGTGCCAGCATCAAGCCCACGGAAGTGCCGGCGGCAATGAAACCGGCAGCTGCAAGGATCCACCGCCATTTGCTATTCGTGGACAAGAAGTATCCAAGGAGTTGTGCAATGAAGATGCCAAAGTTGATCTGGACCTGAGTGAAGGCTCCAAACAGTCCACGCTGCTCTCGCGGGGCCACCTCCGAGATGTAAATTGGGCAGACAACTGTGGCAGCGCCAGCTCCAAGACCGCTGATTCCTCTTCCCGTTGCCAGGACCCACATCTTACCAGCAAGTGCTTCTGCAATCGGCCCCATGGCCAGGAAGAAGGTAAGCCACTTGAGGGCAAACAATCGTCCATATTTCGTTGCAATAAACCCACTGAACAGAGCTCCCATGAGACCTCCGATGGTGAAGGCGGATTGCACCAGACCCCACTGACCTTGACTCATTGGTATGCATTTAGGGAGGCTGAAGGCGCCATAGGTGGGTAGTTTGTCGACCTTGCATGTGATGACCTTTTGAGGTGCATTGAGTTCTCCCTGGATTGATCAGTCACTGCGCTAGCCAGTCCTGTGATCTTGGAGAACTCACCAGGTGGTAGCCGAATTGCAGAGGGCCAAGTGTGACGATGAAGACGAGGTAGAGGAGGAAGGGAGTTATCCGCTTCGAGGAGGCCATGAGGCTGTCAGAGAGGCTGGCAGCGTATTCGCTTGACGACGCCTGCTTGACGGATCTGTACCCACTGCTGGTTCTGTTTAGCGAGGCTCGGTCCATTCTGGCGACGGGAGAATTGCATCTGGGGGATGGGAAAACAGGAACCAGCCATAGGGAAGCCAACATACCTTATATGGACGAAAAGATGCCGCTAAAGAAGAGAGAATGTGGGATGCAATGGCGTAGAGGATGCGTCATGGTGCAGAAGAAGTGCAGACAGGCAATAGAATTGATTGAACTGCCTTTGGTTGTTTGAGAAGGAAGCGGCGGCCTCCGACAGAAGGACATGACGAGACCCTCGAGGAAGTAGAGATGAATACTATGCACGTGACTCTGGTAGTTCTGAAATGGGGAAAGTGCAACCGCGCCCATTTGCCCTGTGGCGTTGCCATTGGTTCATCGATTTCTTTTCCCCTTGTAACTCGTACACATCTTCGTACAGACATGAGACTTCATTCCTCTATTCTTTTGCTGAGAATGTGCATTTACTGTTGAACATCTGATCTTCAAGTATCAAATATCGCCGCTTGATGATCGCTACCACCCCTTGATGGTCCAAAGGCACCAGGTGTCTTGACGTCAGGATCGGCCTGGGCTTTGCCATCCGCAATCTCACAGGTGCCTGACTGACCACTTCTCGCGGTTTCTCCAGTCCGCCGCTCGATGCATTGCTCGGCATGATACGGTGATCTCGCCTTCACCATCAACGCTGTGGCTTGAGAGACCCTTATGCCAGACTACCATGCCCGGTTGCAGATTACTTGAAGGGAAGCAGATTCGGCAGCTTTGAAGCGGCCATACCACAGACGATGTTCAACATGTCGAGACCTGGGTCAGGCCTTAGTATAGCCCAACAGCTGCGTAAAACGGTGCAATTGGGGTTGGACGGTGAGAGCCGCCCCTGACTTCTTGAAGCCTGCTTTACTTGATTTCCTGCTCAGCCTGCTTGGACTGTATGCCCTTATGGTCCTCTCGGCAAAGCATCATTCTTCCCTTACTGAGAGGGAAATCAATGCTAACACATTACATATAGACTCGGGCCGGGGCCTGGACAAAAAGCAATCAGGCAACAATTATACTTCCAAGGTCAAAGTCGGCCAGAAATACAATATCATAGGGTTCATTAGTTCTGGCACATACGGCCGAGTCTACAAGGCCGTGGAAAAGAATCCAAAGAGCGATCCGTCCAGTCCTGTTGGAGCTACGCCGAACAAGGAGCTGTTTGCCATCAAGAAGTAGGCCCATGTCTGCCACAATCGACACCACTTATGGCTAATTCTCGCTAGGTTCAAGCCAGAGAAGGAAGGTGACAATGTCCAGTATACCGGACTATCGCAGTCAGCTATACGAGAAATGTCACTGTGCACGGAGCTGTCACATCCCAATCTGATACATCTTGCGGAAATCATTCTCGAGGACAAATGCGTCTTTATGGTCTTCGAATACTGCGAGCATGACTTGCTGCAAATCATTCATCACCACACTCAACCAACTCGGCGGCCCATACCCGCCACGATGATCAAGTCCATCCTGTTCCAGCTTCTCAACGGCTTGTTCTACCTCCACCAAAATTGGGTCGTTCACCGCGATCTGAAACCTGCAAATATCATGGTGACTAGTTCTGGCCATGTCCGGATAGGAGATCTTGGATTGGCTCGCTTATTTCACAAACCTTTGTCTTCATTATACTCTGGCGATAAGGTCGTCGTTACTATATGGTATCGGAGCCCTGACCTACTACTAGGCGCCCGTCACTATACTCCAGCCATTGATATGTGGGCTGTAGGCTGCATTTTTGCGGAACTGCTAAGCCTCAGGCCAATCTTCAAAGGCGAGGAAACCAAGATGGATAGCAAAAAGACGGTGCCGTTTCAGCGGAACCAGATGGGCAAGATTGTTGAAATCTTGGGAATGCCTCGACGGGAGAACTGGAAAGGGCTGGTGGACATGCCGGAATATCCTCAACTACAGTCTCTCATTGTCTCACGGGGAGGAATGCCGGGAAGCCTATATCCGACGTCTTCCACGAGTCTGAACCGTACTGGCAACAATGGCAGCGGCTTGGAGAATTGGTACAACAACTGCTTACGACACGCAAGCTATCCTGCAGATAGATCTCCTGGGCAGAAGGGATTCCAGCTGTTGTCCGAGCTTTTTGAGTACGATCCTGATCAGAGATTGACGGCGGAGCAGGCTCTGCACCACGAGTACTTCAAGAACACGGATGAGGGACCTCACAAAGGCCAGATCTGGGTCAGCAACAACTGTTTCGAGGGCCTTAACGAGGTATACCCGCACAGACGAGTGAGTACGGAGACGAACGATATTGGGACAGGGAGTTTGCCTGGTACGAAAAGAGGAGGCTTGCCGGACGACACGCTTCTGCCAGCTGCTAAGCGCAGATAGGATACCTCTTCTGATGTGCCGCAAGCGTTCCCGAGCCTGCAGGACAGCAAAAATGCCATCCCACCCGCACGGCGTTACGGCCAAAGAAATTCGTCTCTGGTCTCCCTAGTTCCGATAGATACCTCACGGAAAAGATGCTTTGGAGGATATGCGAAACCCGTAGGGAGCAGGGAGTAGGGAGTAGGAGTAAGTGGGAGTAGTCGAATCTCAGTCGATCTAACAATGCCAAGACGCTAGCCTCTGGGTGGCCTCGATTATTTGTTTACTATGCCGCAGAACCGACTTTCCACTGTCCCAGCACTGCCCAACTGTTCATTCAACCACCGACCTTGAACTCCAACACACTCTGACCAGAACATATATCGAGAACACTGGAAGGCTGGAAACTTCCCATAACGCTCCACCTCAATCAATCACCATGACGCCCGCAAATACTCGCAAAAGAAAGTCGGACGAAATGGAAGAGCCTGCCCGCGCCGTCACGCCCACCGGCAGCCCTGCGCGTAAGAAGATGAGGATCACACAGTCGCAGAAGCAAGCTTTGATGGATAATTTGCAGCTAGAGGGTGAGTGACGCGTCGAGCACCGCGAGACTTGTCCTAACCACCTGCAGTCACCGAACGAGCACGCCAACTACGAGCCGGCTACGCTCTCCAATGCGCCGACCTTCGAGCCAGAATCGAGCGACGCGTCAATCGAATCCCGCTCGCTCTTCGCAAAATGAGCATGGGAGAACTCATGGCCCAACACGAAGCTGCCCAAAAACCGCAATCAACAACACGCGCGTCGCCTGCCAAAGGACAGTCTCAAACCACCCTATCCAAAGACCGCCCACTGCCACCTCTTCCATCTCAGCAACATAGACCAACCTCCCCCGTCCGAGCACAACCAGCGGCGGCGGCCACACGCGGCAAAAAGCGCAAGAGCCCCTCCATCCAAATAGCCTCAGACAAGGAAAATGAAACCACCTTCGCTCCCGGCACCCTGCCTGTGCAGAAAAACACCAACCGCGCCAAAACAACCACTACAACTGCCACCTCAAAGACCACAAAACCGACCTCCGTCCTGTCCCCTCGCTCGCACAACTCTCGCACACTCCCCCGCTCCCCGACCAAAGACTACCCTATCGCACCCACCTCTCCAGCGAAGAGCATGATCGCCCGGCCAACCTCCCCCCTCAAGCCTGCCTCACCACTCAAAACCGCCGCTACAGCTGCGACATCCGCCATCTCCGCATCGATGCACGGCATGCTCGAGCATGCGAAGCGCGGCGCCGCATCGAGACTTAATCGCACAGCCTCGAAAGAAAAGACCACAACGACATTGACGCGTGGCCAAATGCTCCCACCGCCTCGCCCTGCCCCAAGCGCGCCCTCAAGCCCGCAGCGTGCCTTCAGCCAAACGAGCACGCACAGCGCGAGTACAGATGTTTCGACAGCGTCGAGTGGGACGACAGTCGTGAAGCCCAAGCGAGGAAGGGCCGCGGCTGCAAAGACAACGGCGAAGACTACCGCGGCAGAACCCAAAAGCCCCGGTGCAAATACAAAGAGAGGCGTGGCCAAAGCCGCAAGCGCAGCTAAGACGGCGCTCAAGCGGAGTGCGACCACTACGAACAAGAAGGTCGTTGTTGCCGAGCCGGCCGCGGGCCGGAGAGTGCTGAGGAAAAGGACCTGAACGAGCCAGCAGATATGTTTTGAAAGGAGGAAGATATTGAGGTAGCCTTTGTTGGGGAAACATCATGTGCACAGGAAGATCAGCCTATGCAGTCATCCCTTTTGGGTTTTGTTTTGTCGATTCATGTTGGGAAGCGTTGGATATCAGTCAAAATACAGCCATGCGCACTCATGACCCTGTTGGCCAGGTATAAAGTCAGAGCCAGGTACGCATGCCATGTTTGGGTTTCAGGTGTTATGAGGGCAATACGACGCATCAACCATATGGCTTGCGAGTGGTAATGAATATGGATAGCTTGAACAGCGCTCAAGCACGAAGACTGCACGAAACAAGACACCCTGTTCCATCTTACTTGCCCTGTTCCAGTGTCTGATTCGAGCCATGGTCTGTAGGAGAAATAGATACCCTAGTCATGCATGGCTCGTAACCAAAAGTCTTACTGCATGATGCTGCTTTTCCGATGCCTGAAGTGTCAGCGTATAGCGTATGACTTTAGGTCAGCAACATATTCCGGCACATCCGACCTGGGACCATGAGGCACTAACCACAAGCATTGTTTTCATGGGTGCCTGGTAGACTTGGCACGGCTTACATATATCCTTCTATGACAGATGCCACTACGAAGTATGTGCTGACGCTTCGTGATATGCATCCACTGTAAAGACTAAAGGTTGATCTCTTCAAGAGACTCCTCCCATGTTGTCGCGTTGTACTGTGTGCAGTGATGGTGGGCGTTGCGGGAAAGTCAAAGGGTTGCAATACTTGCAAGAAACGCAAGGTTAGGGTACGTAGGGATGCGTGATCGATTCGTGCATTGCGATTTCCCCTTCCAGACACTCATTCCCGAGACTAATGGTGGGTCTCACAGTGCGATGGCGAGAAACCGACTTGCGTACGCTGTTGGCAAGCAAATCGTGTATGCGAAGGATATCAACGCCCGCGCCAGTTCAAGAATCTGAGTGCTCTGGACCATAACACCTTGTTGGCACGGACTCAGCCTTTGACCTCACTCACAGAACTCTCATTCAAGGTCTACGGAAATTCCAGTTCGATTGCTGAGGAAAATGACCCTATTTCTAGGGGCATTCTCAACAAGGGCAACAGGCTGATGGCGAGAGATCCGAAGCTTCGAGAGCCAGGAAATGCAGCCAACCTCACGGACCTGTTCCTCAATTTTCTGAGCAATTATATCCCTGAAGAACAGGCCGGCTCGCGATCCGTACACCACAACAAGACGCCTGTATCTTGGCTACAAGCCATCGTCCCGTTACAACGCAGTCACACTTCTCTGGGCCTCGCAATGTCAGCCTTGAGCATGGTTGGTCTGGGTCGAAAATGCGGCGACGGGCACCTGCGAAGTCAAGGGTTGGCGCATTACGGCAGAGCCTTGTCCGACCTCCAGAACGCCCTGTCCAGCGAGACCCTGGTCTTCGAGGAGCAGACACTGGCAAGCTGCATGACTCTTTCCATCTTTGAGGTCAGTCTGGCCCCGCTCCCTGTCCAGACATTTACCAGCCAACATCATGTTGCTGATCTGGATGCCATCAAATAGGTATTAGAGGTATCAGGAGGGAACACTCTTGGGTGGGCAAGCCATGTCGAAGGCATTTCGAGGTTGTTCCAGCTTCGAGGTCCAGACTTGCACGTGTCCGGACCGAGTCACCATCTGTTCTTGGGCTTCAGACCGACTGGCGTAAGTTTCGAGGGCTCTTTGTCCCTGGTACAATTGTGATGGCGCGAACTGCAATCTCATTTCCAGGCAGATCATCCACGCATTGGCGCTACGCAACCCGACGTACCTGGCCACCCAAGCCTGGCTCAAGATCCCGTGGACAGAGCAACCAAAATCCGATTTCCACCATCTGCTAGACATCATGGCCCAAATTCCCGCCCTGCTTGACCAAACCGAAAGATTCGACAAGTTCTCCAACTCGGAAATCTCGCTTGCAGAGAGACTGCAGCTTCTGAAGCAAGCCACGATCTTGCATTTGCACCTCGAGGACTGGCATCAAGGACTTCGAAGCGCTCCGAACCACTCGGAGCCGCTCTATTCCCAACGCACATCTTCGCAACCTTGGGCTGGCAGCAGCCCTGCTCGCAGCCTTCAACCCGTGTTTGCGACGTTTCTGCACTTTCGGACCTTTGAAATGGCACGCATGCTCCTCTTCTACTGGACAGGTCTCCTCCTACTCTACAACAACATCCTGACAATCTCCTCGTCAGCGCTGAATGATGGCCATCGTTCAACTTCAACCTTCGCCTCCTCCCCGCCGCTCCTTGAAGCAGTCTTCGTCCGTCGACGAGCTCTCGAAACAGCAACACTGATCGCCCAATCAATGGATTATCTCCTCTCCGATGAACGGCGCATTCTTGGCCCTCAGAATGTGTTTTTCCCCTTACGCACCGCGATGCACGTCTTTTCCGGCGCAAACGAATACAAACTAGAGCGCTGGTGTAGGTCGGTGTTTGAGGAGCTCGATCGGCGAGGCTATCCCTTCGGCAAGATTCTGAGCACCTGGCGATGGGATGACATACCGTTGTTCTTGTCCGAGACCTTGGTAACTGTTCGGGGGAAGGGAGACCTTGGTCTGGGCATCAGTGGCTGATATCTACCTACCTCCCTACCTACCTATATAATCGACCTTCGCGAAGTGTGTGGATTGTGTAAACACCGAGATCGGCCAATGAAGAACCGATCTGCGAATTGATGAAATGTTACATGGTTTGTGCCTTCTACTCATGGCCACTGGACTCGACCAATGCTGGTCAAGCAGAACACATCAAACAAGCCCCAGGCAATGATACACCACCGGGAATTGACCAATCCTACACCACACGTACCAGCTTTGTTACACGCAAAGTCCAACCCGTAAGGCGTGCCACACAGTGTCCATCTGACAAAGAGACAAGGTATGATACCCACGTGGATATAGCCAGCCATGCGAAAACTCCGGACCCCTACCCCCCCTTAACTCCGTCAAGTCCATGGGCAGCTGCATACGGACAGTAGCATGTGGGTGCCATGCGCTCGGAAAGTTCACAAGCGATGTGAGGGATGCGATTGGTACTGCTGCACAACGCACTGGGTGCATAGTAGGATGTCGAGAAAACCTAGAACCGTCTGCAGACCGGAAGGAAGCACTCCCGGGACTCCTTTACGTCGTAGGGTGATTCCAGATCAATGTCCAGATCTACGGAGTACCAGTAGTATCATCACATCACTTCCCCTTCCCTTCGTGCAGGACGAAAGAAAGAAATCCCACACAGCAAGAAGAAGGGCCTCCAATAGTCTCAAGTCCTCAAAAAGGTCTGGAGCGGATCCCAGCACAGCTAACCCCTTTCCCCCCCCGGAAAACTTCGACCGAACCTCCAGCCGTTCAATATGGCATCCAAGGACAAGAACAACAACAGCAGCAACAACGACGCCGTGATCATCTTCGGTCCAACAGGCAACGTGGGCTCCGCCGCGGCCCGCGCCGCCCGAGAAAAAGGTGCAGCTGGTGCCAAAGTATTTCTCGCCATGCGAGATCCTCAAAAGCCGATCCCAGGCCTGACCCCGGACCAAGAGTCAGAAGGTGGTGGTGGTTTCGAGAGAATCTACGCCGACCTCACCAAGCCCGAGACGCTCCACGACGCGGTGACCACGACCGGCGCAAAGCGCGCCTTTATCTACCTCGTCTTCGGCACGACCGACCACATGAAGTCCGCCATCACGGCACTCAAGGCCGCCGGGATCGAATTCGTCGTGTTTCTGAGCAGCTACGCCGTCCCCAACGACCTAAACATTGCCAGCATTTCGCCCGCGAACTTCATCGCCTGGGGACATGGCCAGGTCGAGTTGATCCTGCGGGAAGAGTTTGGACCACTCTCCTACGTGGCTGTCCGACCGGGTTCCTTCGCCAGTAACTCGCTGCGCTGGAAGAAGGCGGTCGTCGAGGACGGCCTGGTGAGAATCGCATATCCCGAGGCCCTGTTTGATTGGATCTCACCAGAAGACATTGGAAGAGTCTGCGGAGCGCTGCTTGTTCAAAGGCCTCGACCCGTGGACGTGGCCGGGATGAATGGGAACGTTGTACGACTCCTGGGGCCCGAGATCATGTCCCAGGGTGATGCTATAGACGTTATTGGCAGAGCTATCGGCAAGGACATCAAAGTCGAGCGGCTTGACGAACAAGAAGGCGTCGAGTTCTTCATGAAATCCGCCCATCTACCGGAGTTTGCGGCGCAGCAGCTGATCAAGATGCTGAAGAAGAGAGCAGAAGATGGGAGAAGCGATGGAGGCTACGAAGGTCCTTCGTATGATGAGTCAGTCTCTAATATTCAAAAGTACGGTGGAAGACCTCCAACCAGCTTCCACCAGTGGGTAGAGGAAAACAAGGCGGAATTTGGTGCTTGAAGGGCGGCATCATGCGGCATCCAAGAGATATCATACCCAAATCCGCAAACTGCGTTGAAGTGGTTCGCTGAGGCGTCGTTGCATGATCTTTCTAAACTTGGAAGTAATCATATTCATAGCTTAGCAGGTTGGACTCTCCCAGTCTGTCACACCACCATAATATTTGCAACCTACGTACCTCTTCCGCAGCCAAAGCACACCTCGACTGAACCACTCCCCTTGAACCACGGTATCATGCCATCTCCGGAATCATAGGGAACGACGAGCCTTGTCTTACATATGGGGGTACTGCTGTATTGAGACAGCCATTCGGAAGTATTTCATGTCGCCAGGGCCCCTCGAAGTTCAAACTCCAACCACCGAAATGCTGAGACCGAGAGCGTGCCCTTAACTGGGAGCCCTTGTCGGCAACCAGAGACTTTTCACCTCTCGCCAATCCAATTGCTGTACGTCGGTCACTCACTGTATCCCCCGAACAACCAGATCATTACTAGTAATCCAGTTCTGCCCCAGCACCTGCCTGAGCTGCAGCTTGAGCACCAGAACCACTTCCGGCGGCCCCGTTAGGTGCAGCATCAAGATCTTCATAGCTTTTGATACTTCGTCCTTGGACCGCCTCTCTCGGTCCCATGGCGTTCATACCACCACCTGCACCATCTCCCCATTTCCCACCTCCTCCGCCTCCGCCTTGAGCGATGAATGCTGGGTTGAGCCCAGGCGGGAGACTGCCTCTTAGCAAACCACCCATATTATTGTATCCTCGTTGATTGTTCCGTGAGTTGCGATCGTAGGGACCAGTTCGATTACCATATCTGCCACCACCACGTCGAATTGGGCCTCCAGTGTGACTTCCACCATTCATCCCATCGGCACTGAAGCCGGCGTTGAATGGAGTCTGCATACCTGGCATGCCCATCATGGCGTTCTGACCAAAGTTTACCATGTTCATTCCGATGTTCTGCAAGCTGAATCCACGTGGAGTTCCAGTACTGAGATGATGGTTGTTAGGTAGAGGGAAATGCCCATTGGAGTTGGCGTCAGAGCGCGATGGCGCAATGTGTGACGGATCCAGAACGTATTGATTGACGAGTTCGAGCTGCAACAGTCAGTATATCACTTAATTCACAAGTGACCAGACTTACATCTTTTTTGAGAGTCGAATACCAGTCTTCATGCCTCTTCTCGACGTGCTTTTTCCAGAAGTGTTCGGCTTTGAACAGCTTCGTACACTCCGGGACCTTGCATCGGTATTTGGCTTCATCTTCTTGCTTGACGAACTTGGCCATTTCTTCATCCAGTGCTTCCTCAACAGGTTTGCCTCCAATCTTCTTCAGGTCGACATACTCGGGCTCAAGAATTTGCAGAATCTTCTCTTCAAACGTCTTGACCCAGTTGAAGGCCCGAAGCAGTTGCTGATCATTCTTGTTGTACTTTGAAGGGCGCTTCTCCTGTACCGGACTCATCGGCTCATCCTCGAACCCGTTCTCCTTTTTCTTGCCCGGAAATGGTTCTCCAAGAGCGCTCGCCCTGGCCGCTGCTTTCGCTGCTGTGCTCAAGCCAGCTCTTGGTCTTCGAAGATGACCACCAGGGCATTTACGAACCAGTTCGTGAACAGAATCAGACTCGAAGACACAGAAAAGACAAAAGTTATGGACACGTCGAAGATACTCAACCATCAGGTCAAGCTTCTTCTTGATGACCAACAGCTCTTCGTCGTCCTGTTCGTCATCATTCTCTTCACCTTCTTCACCCTCTTCATCGAATTTGATCTCGTCATCATTGTCTTCGAAGTTGGGTTTCTTTGGTTTGGCTGGTGGCTGGAGAAGACCTTGGTTTCGCATCTGCTCGACCCGAGCATCGATCTTGGCCAGAGCTCCTGAAGTCTCATCTTTGTTCAAGTCCATGTCAAGCTTTGTGATCATTCTTCTCGCCAGCTCGTAGTCTCGTTCAACCCGTTCTGGAGCGGAAAACAAGTCCCAAAGAGCCTTCTTCCGAGGGGCGCTTGGTGCATTGTGCACGCCGACGTGGCAAGTGAAGTCGCCTCTCACAGAATCCGTAATGACCTTGCCGTTGATCAACTCAAGAGCTTTCTGAGCCGTGGACTGCTTCTCGACTTGTGGCTTTGCTTCTCCTTCTTCGCCATCTTCGTCCCGCCCATCACCTCGCTCAACCTCTTCCATTGCTTCCCCATCCTCTTCTGGAGCAGGATTGAGCATGATCCAGCCGATGCGATGGAATTTCTTGGCGGGGTTCGGGTCGCTGAGGGACAATGCTCTAAATCCTCCTTCTTCTTCGCCCAGGTGTTCTTTGCAGAATTCTTCGATACGATCTCTGCCGACGTTCGGTGCGAGCGTCTTGATGAGTAGTGCAGGCTGATTGACCGATTCATCTCTGAGGTCACCACCTTTGGCAGGCACGAGATCCAAGACACCCAGGACTTCGCCGCCGCCGACAGCTTCGCCCTCTTCCTTCTCGACCATGCCACCCGCACCATCACTGTCACTCTTGTAGATGCCTTCCAGAGTGAACTCGTCAAAGACTCCGGTCTCCATGTCCTTCTCCCATTGCTGGAAGACGTTTTGACGGGCGTCCATTATGCGTTTTCGGATAGGATCTCGAACTTCGGGAAAATATCGCTCTTTGAACCATTCTTCACCTTTGTGTTGCTGGACGAACTGTCTGGCCATTTTCACCTGGAATTCTTGCTTGTACTGATCGTAAGCTTCCTGGATCTTGGCCCTCTCTCTTTCACGGTCTTCTTTCGCTTCTCGATCCCCTTTGATACGGTCTGGTCTTCTTCCGCCATTTTTGGCTCTTTCCTTTTCTTCTTTGATTTGCTGTTCGCAGCGCCACCAATCAGCAAAGAAGCTGAAGCCTGCTTGGGTGTCAAGAGAAAGAGGGTTCGCGAGTGGGTTGACTTTGATGGACGGCTTTGTGGGCTCCTGACCAGGAACGTACCGGTCGATATTGGCAGCTATTGGGGAAGGCGCTCTTCTGCGGTCGTCTCTTTCTCTTGCCGTGGATCGTGCAGGATCGTAAAAGTCATCTCGGGCGGGTCGATCACGTTCGCGGTCTCGCTCGGGCTGGTAGCGGTCAATGCCTACCGGAGATCTCGAGCGAGGTCTAGGAGCTGGACGACGTCGGTCGTCGACTGCAATCGGTCAGTGTCTAGAAAGCCTCTCTCAAACAATCGACTGACCAGGTGATCGTCTCCTGTATGTGTCTCTTCTGTCGTAGTCATCATCTCTCGACCGATATCGAGGCGACCTCTCCACAGGAGGGGAGCCATATGCTTCGTACGGATTCATCTTCGCTCCAGCTATTCAATTGTTGTCAATATCGTTGATATCGAGGTCCAAATGACCTTGGTAGGCTGGTCCGTGCCTAGGTCATCTGGGTACGTGAAGGCTTGGTGTGCGCAGGAGGCTCAGGTAATGTTGTCTGGGATGATTCGGTCGGTGAAGGTGGAATAGCTAGGAAGAGACTTGACAAAGGTTAGACATGAGTTGAAGAAATGCAATGACAGCATCATGGTAAGAATGTGGTTTGAGGTCAAAGAAGGAGAAAATTCCGCAGGCATTGATGCCTCTATATAAGTAAAAGCAGGAGGAACAATTGTAGAAGCTTCAGCCGACAAAGGGCAATCGGGTTCTTGTGAGAGACAAAAGTAAAGGCCGCTGGTCTTCTGACGGCTGGATAGAAATGGCGCGACAGAGTAGAACGAGGATCCGAGGCGATTAACCTACAAGATGAGACGGAGAAAAGGTCGATTGTAGAGCTGGTTAGATCAACGGGATGCCAGCTTGTTGATGGTAGAGAGAATGAAGGAGTGACGACCGCGGCGCGATCGGAGAAAACCACGCTGCTGGCAGGCTGCGCCCAGGAACGAACGGAACGAACGAAACGAACGAACGGAGAGGAGACGCCTGAAACTGTGGATGCAGGTGGCGGAAGCAGCGAGTCTCGAGGCCCCGTTGAGCTGCAGCAGCCAAGTGGAGGCAAAGACGAACCCAAATAGTACACACGTGATATGGATTAGCATAATAAAAGCGGCGAGGAGAGAACGAGCGTGAAAGGGCACGTGACGAGTGTAAAGGCTGTAAAAGCAACGAGCTCAAGTCGACGGCGACTCAAGTATTGATGATCGCTGTAGGTGTGGTAGACTAGACTACGTAAATTCAATGTTCATTCCCTCGTCAGTCTCAACATAGCCTACTTCATCGCTCAACATGCTGTCCCTGGGGCATTCCCTTGCCAAACCACTCATTCAACAACTCCCAATCCCGGTCGTCCAGAGCAGGTTCGTCTGTTCCGTATCGGGCGATGAGAAGTCCAGACAAGCTCCCGCTCCTTCGAACAGCTTGCTCGCCAGGTCGCGAACCAGAGTCGTCGACCCATCCCTGTTCTCGAAGTATCCCATCACGGTTCTCTAGCGACAGATCGTCCGTAAAGCGCTTCAGTAGATGGAGATTGGTGTCATCAAAGACCGCATCTTCAGTTCCATGCAAGTTGATAATCGAGCAGGCCAACTTGTGGTTGCGAATTTGCTCGCCGGTGTCCCCTGTGGCGGTCAACTACCACGCGTGTTACGAAAAGGCTGGCTGCTTACAAGTTCCTTTTGTCCACGACATTATAGATGGCAAAAAGTAAACAGTTGTTCTTCTCTTTGTTGCGTTCCGGAATGTAACAACGTCTCAGGACGAAAAGAGATGGATGGTGTTGATTGAAATATCCCTTGTATGTTGTTGCAGGGGTCTGTTTTGCTGTCACCGGAGAGACTGCCATCCACCAATCATGAGCATACCTACTCCGTATGTGGCAGGCAACCATTTTTAGGCCACCCATAGGTAGACTTGATGGATGGCTGCTTTTTGTCAAGCAAGAAGACACAATCGGACACGGACACCAGAAGAAGATTGGAGATTTCAGCGGCTGCAAAGGCCATAGTGTATGATAGTGAAGAGTAAGAAGTACAAGGTCCGCTGCTGACAAGCAACTCAAACCGCTCGCTTGGGTTCGAAATCGTATCGCAGTTATCAGTCTCAACCTATCCATATCGTTCACACATAAGGACCTCAGAGTGCCTTACATTGCTGACGTAGAAAACAGTAGGTGAGGACATCTGCAACTCAGAACAGTCTCCTCCAAGAAACTGAGATGGACCCTGTGCTCGTTACCTGCAGCTCATAAAGAGACACCATTGATGAAGGCAATCTGTTGGGTACAGCAAGGATTTGCTAACAAGGAACAAGATCTGTTGATCAGAAGCGTAAGCGAGTGACCAGTATGTTAATATCAATGCTATCATTCATGGCCATCTTGTACTCAATCGCCATTGCAAAACGATTTGGAGCTGCGCATGGAACAACAGGACAGGATCTTTACGCTCTGGCCCCTGATGATATCAAACGAGAATTCGCAGGTTCGGGGATGATTGCTGCGGTGTCAGATATTTTGTCCGCCCTTAGAACAAATTGCGGAAGGCCGTCTGACCTCACGAGTCCTTCGTTTCGACAGCTTCTTCTTTTTGCTCTCTGCTGGTCATTGTCCAGCCGTTGAGATGACCGGTCCCGGCGGTCAAGTATGTCGCAAACCCCAACCATGCAAGGTACGGAGCCATTAGATAAGCTGCTGTTTTGTCCACTTTGCTCCAGACATAAGTCAGATAGCCCACTGTCCCAGTCAAGGTGACTACGTCCAGCATAGCCTCGATCGGTCTCCCCAAACCGAAGAACAAAGGCATCCAGATCAGATTCAAGCCAAGCTGGATGGTGTACAAGGTCGCGCCTGTTCTAGTGTGTTCAACTACCTGAGGACTCAAGCTTGCCATTCCCGTGTTCCATGCTCGGTGAGCTGCATATCCCATCGTCAAGTACAATGTCGACCAGGCAGGGGCGAATACCCAAGGAGGTGGTCTGAAAGGTGGCTGTTTCAATGCCAGGTATTGTTCCTCTGTGGTTCTGAACTTTCCTATCTCTTTAGCACCAGTGTCCGAGAATTTCTTTGGGCTCATTCTTCCAGGTTGCGAGACAAGTCCAGACCCTAGGCCGAGTCCAAGCGGCAGCAATATCGATAAGGGAGCATTGGAGAAGACTGAGGAGGGAAGGGTGAGGCCAGGTATATAGGACATCTTGGGAGTGTCGACGTAGTTGCCTCGTAGTCGTTCGCGCAGTGTAGTTGCGGGCTTTTGCGCAGTCAGAATTCAGTGAAGAAGGGTCAGTGAGTATGCAGGTGGTCTCTTAACAGATGCTGTAAGACTCTTCCTCAAGGTGGGCGTGAGCGTACTTCTACTAGGTAGACGGTACGCGGGCAGATGGAAGTTCGATCAAGGTGGCTCCACCATCAGGAGATCGATTGTTGATACACCTTACTCCGTAATCAGCAGTGTAGTATTAGCGTCGGGATACTTGCCTAGTCTAGTACTCCCCGCTCCTTGCACTTAGTTACGAGTGACTATATATAGCGGCCAGTCTTTCCCTCTTAGATTAGTTAGTTAATTAATCTCTTCCGCCGCTATAACTATAGGTAGTAGTAACGAACCTACTTACAAGAGCGATTATATTCTCTTATAAGGGTAGTTAGTAAGTCTTATATATTCGTAATAATTTTAACTACTTCGATTCGTTACTATTCTTTATATTAACGATAGTCTTTAATAATAATTTTAATAACGATAGCGACCCAAAAAAAATTTGGAGAAAGCAAAAATATGTTTTCCAAAATTTTACTTGCATGAGACAGTGGTCCACGTGGGCCGCCGTACATAAGACACTTCTCAAGTAGCCAGGCGGTGCACCTAAGCGCCCCGGAGATACGTTGCCGCAAGCGCTACCTTCACCGAGTAGTGAAAGGTACAGTGGTTAGCCAGCCAATGAGCGTGTTTAATCATCCGCTTGACCTAGGTACGGTTCTCAAATCCTCACTCAACGCGTAAGTTTACCGTTAGAGAATTGAATCGAAGTATCGATGTATAGCTATATATACTCGCAATCTTCAAAGTTCGGGTTTGTTCCTCGACATTCTTGACATCTCAGTTTGGATATTACAATCTCTTTTGCTTAAAATGCATTTCGCTTTGAGGTTCACTTACAGCTTCCTCCTATAGATCATCTCCTTCCTTTTTTCCCTTCCTGGAGTGACCATCTGTAGACCACTCCTTCTTCATGCCTACCAGGATCTTCTACCTCCCACTCGAAGATTAACTGTATCGAGAATCGCTCAGATTCCGGATCGGGGTGGGCCCGCCACTCTAAATCGGCCAATAATTACAATTGTATCTAACACTCCGGCCAACCAATTTGTATGCAGTTATAGCAGCTATATCGACAAGCACACGAGAAGACGAAGAAGCTTCAGGCGCCGTGACCATCTATAGCGGCACGAGGCGACTGTCCATCGAAAAGTCACGAGTCCAGTTTACGATTGCTGGGTACCGGGTTGTAATCGGCCCTTCACCAGAAATGACAATCTTCAAAGCCATTTGAGAACAGCTCATGCGGGAAAATCCAGAAGTCGCAATCGTTATGTAGCAACGCGGAACCTTCTCTGAAGTCGTTCGGGATGACACTTCCATCGTTGAGCGCACTAAAAGCCGCATCATCCGGGCCGAGGCAGCCCAGACGAACAACTTCGAAAACCTAGGCTTCTTCGCCGCGGCGGTGACGGCTGGGAACATTGCTGGTTTGAGCCCGCGGGCACTGAAAGCGCTGAGCACTGTGTACGTCCTGGTGAGAGCTGTGTATAACGTGGTGTACATTTTCAACGATACGATGCCGCGACCGGCGAAAGGTTGGTGCTGGCTTACGGGCGTAGGATGCTGTTTGACCATGTTTGTGATGGCTGGGAACAAGATGAGAAAGGCACTCTTTTGAGGGGAACAGACGCAGCAAATGATGTCAATAGCGTTGTTTGGTCAGATGAGAGGGTGGTGCCCTCTTGTGCCCCACATGGGTCGAAGTCATAGTACGTCCCCAATTGTACATTTTGTATGGATTACATGTCGCTGCAAACGCCCCTATCCCCGTCTCACCAGCTCCTGAATGCTTGCTCCGGAACGCCCACAAAAAGCTTAGTCACGACACCCTATCTATCGCTCACTCCCCGCAGTCACAAAGAAAGTGCAGCACGAATCCTGCTTCTTCGTCCGCGTGTAGAACATTCTGGACTATTCGCTTAGCCCGCCCGACTCGGTGACCAGGCTATCAGTATTCTCTCCGGCTGAGGCCGCAATCCATTTTGATAAGCAATGAGCGTGTCTAATACGCTGTGAGCAGGAATAGGGATGACGGGCGCCAGGCCCAGATATCAGCCCTTTGACCGCAAGGCATCGACTCAAGGCGAAATAAAAAGCGCAAATCTTGGATTTGGTGTGGGAATCGTTCAAGAACTAAGATGTCCTTCACCACAAACTGTTGTTTACTGCAATCTAATCAAGCCTTCGAAAAAATAACGAGCGCATGCATAACAGACGTAGCAGCATCTCTTGTTTAACCAGAGCCACTTTGCCGCTCTCTCGCAAACATATCACCAGACCTGCGTAGACGGTTACGTACGACCGTCCTAGATTCCTCATCGTTGTTGACGCCCGAGGGTGAAGAAGAGAGGAAAGATCATTCGGCCAATCCTGCGGCAGGTTTCTCAACAGACCTTTCGATGACCCTTGCGAGCTTATCCTTGCGATCCTCGTCCCGTTCGCTTCATGGTTCTAAACAATTCTGGCAACGGACGACAAGTCGATTGACCGCACTGCGCACATTGCTCGTCTGGGTGTGGTGTCTTACACAGGTGATTTACTTATTAGTACCAACTGGTAGGTTACAGACTTATAAGTGTTTAGACGATATATATAGACTGATTTTTTAAGCTAGTATACCACTCAATATGGTTCGGTACCTCGGAGGGAGATTTGTACACCGCCAGACTCTAGTCGACCATTTGGTGAAGAGAAATAGTCGCACTGTAGCCTAATTAGTAGACAGGAGTATTATGCTATTCGACGGGGTTTTCCAGCTGACGCATGAAGAGGAGTATATCTTGGAAGTACTGCTATTACATAGAAAGTAATTTGGTGGTTGCTTGGTTGTTCGCATGGGATTAGGCTGGGAGTGAACGAGTCTTGGTAGGGGCAATCGAAGACATGGAAGTGGCCGCTATGTGCGGTTGAGGTCGAGAAATTAGAAGTAGATGGTGGGAATCGTTGGTATCCCGTTTAATTTCCCCCCGCAAAGACGGGGTTGCTCTCGTGGGATATGGGGCTAACTCACAGAGGTCCAATGCCGATCTTTTTCGATATGTGGTTGGCAGGCTAGTCCCATCTATATAAATTGGACTTTACAGTAGGTGCTGTGGTTGACTATATCTATCCTCGTTTCACCTCGGACTTGTTGGTGTTTCGTCTCTTTTCTTGCGCACTCACCATCAGAGCCTTTGACTTTGTGCTCCCGATTCGGCATTGGTATTTTCAGGATGGCATTGACGGTCTCGGATAGCGTGGCGGTGTTTGGTAGTCCGCGGTACTTATCGATAGTGGTGGCCGTGGCAACTCTGGTACTCCTCCTCCTTACACGATACATCAGACGACTATTGTTCGTGACTCCGAAGTCAGTCCCGGGTCCATTCCTTGCCCGTCTTTCTCGATTGTGGTATCTGATTCAGGTACGCCGGGGTGATTGGCACAAGGTGATTCTGCAGCAGCACCGCAAATATGGTGAGGAACCCTTATGGCTCTGGTTACTGCCTAGGTCGAATGATGCAATTAGTTACTGAAGCCACGAATAGGTCCGGTCGTTCGCATCGCCCCAAATTATTACTCGATCGATGACCCTTCCGCCATCAAAATAATCTATGGGACGGGCACAAAATTCGTCAAAGGGCCCTGGTACTCAGTGGTTGGGGATCCTTCTGTGCCCATCCGAGATATCTTCACAGACGTGGATCCCAAATCACACGCGGCGCACAGACGCCAGATTGCGTCTCTGTATGCCGTCACCTCACTATTGAAAATGGAACCAAACGTGGATGAATGCATCACAGAGTTGGACGCTAGGTTTGCAGAAATCACTCGGTAAGTCTTCAACCCTAGTAATCGTGCAGCAAGAAGTTGTGTGCATACGTCTGTCGACGCTGACTCTACGCACCTCAGAACCGGGAATGTTATCAACCTGCAATGGTGGCTTCAGTGTTATGCATTCGACGTTATTGGCAGTATCTCGGTAAGCAGTGATAGCGCTTATCCTTCCGTTGGAGTTCCCGGAGACACCGCTGTTGAATTGGATGATATGGCTAATCATTGACTTGCGACAGTTTGGGAGTCGCTTTGGCTTCTTGGACAACGGCGAAGATCCCCTTGATTTGATTCCAGCCCTGCACGGAGGAATGAGCTACTCAGCCACCGTCGGCATCTATCCAGAATGGCACATCCAGATCTTTAACCTAATGAAGCGACTCGGGACAAATCCAATGGTCAAGACGTTCTCATTTGCCCGGGAGAAGATCGAAGAGAGACAGCGTGCCATCAAAGGTGGAAATGTTCCGGACTCCCAGATCGATGATTTCCTGACCAAAGTCTTGCGACAGCATCAGGATGACCCGGTCGCCTTTCCCATGGCAAAGGTCTTCACGACTTGTATGCAAAATGTCGGTGCGGGCAGCGATACGACCAGTATCAGTCTCTCTGGTATCATGTGGTTCCTCATCACGAATCCTGGACCTCTCGCAAAGGTTATTATCTTCCCCCAGTCTCAAGTTTGAGCGAAAATGGACTGGCTAACTCGACTCTGATCAGCTACGAGCGGAAATTGACGAAATGACCGCACAAGGACGGCTGTCTGATCCACCTACCTTTGCAGAGTCCCAAGCTATGCCTTACTTCCAGGCAGTGATCCAAGAAGCTCTGAGAATGCACCCAGCCGCCGCGTTTCCGCTTGTGAGGATCGTCCCAGAAGGAGGAGCTGTTATAGCGGGAAAGTTTTTTCCTGCTGGAGTAAGACCTGAGCACCTTAGCTTGATATCTCAGTCGCCGTACTAACAAGGACTTTAGGCAAGCGTAGCGGCAAATTGCTGGGTGGCACATTACAACAGACAAGTCTGGGGCGATGACGTACATGAGTTCCGGCCTGAGAGATGGCTCGGTGACAAAGATGAAGTTGCTGCTATGAGCAGATATTGGATTCCCGTCAGTGATACTCTGTCCTGTCTATTGCCTATTTAACCATAGTTCTAACCGTCCATTCATTACAGTTCGGGCACGGAGCTGGAACATGCATTGGCAAAAACATCAGTCTTATGGAAATCGGGAAAGTCGTTCCTCATGTGCTGCGGAAATACGATTTCAAGCTCGTGGATCCGAATGCCGAGCTGAAATGCAGATATATCGCCTTCGTCTTGCAAGAGAACCTGGCCGTAAGGATCTCGCCACGGAGAAAAGACTGAAGCTCTACGTTCGAAATGGCTGCTGGTCTGAGGTATTGTAGATACCAAGGGCAAGAGGAAGTCACGTTTTGTGGGGTAGGTGTGGTTGTAGCGGCGGAAGAGATTGATTAACTAAACTAATCTAAGAGGGAAAGACTGGCCGCTATATGTAGTCACTCGTAACTGAGTGCAAGGAGCGGGGAATACTAGACTAGGCAAGTATCCCGACGCTAATACCACATAGGTGGGAGCCCTTGAGGCGTTGTACTTGGACGACCCGTTTTTTGGGACCTTCGATGGGGGTAGAAACAACCTGCCCCCGCCCGATTTCAGACCGAATAGATTGGTCCACGACCGTCACATTTAGTTTTTCGTCTCTTGCATGGCTCACAGGCTTTGTTCGTGCTCGGTTTCCGGCAATGGGTCATGATAAAAGCACTTGGGCGGTGTGTTGGGCTGCTGGTCTTGCGACCCAAGCCTCTACAAAGTTTCTAGCTAAGCGCGAGATCGAAACTAGCTGCTGAAAAGGTTTTGCTTCACGGGGTGGCTTGTAGGACGATTGGTGGCCTCGATATTTTCCACGTTCCCATCGGGCGGTATGACGAAAAGTTTGTGGATGGGGGAACGGGAGCCGACCACTCGATATAGAAACTCTGGAATCAGGCACAGGGCAGTATATGCTCCTGAACCCTTGGAAGACAACCTGGTATCTAGCACTCTGACCTGAACCAACTATGCCTACTCATTATGACTATTTATACCATCTCCTGTATCGTTCTAGGCGGCTTTAACTAAAGCCTCAACTAAAAAAAGTCCACTTAGTAGCTTTAGTGGTGATGAATAGGCGAGAGTAGATTCTTTGCCCATGGTCAACGGCCAGCCTTATGGGAATGCTTGGGGTTTATGGGGAGACGAGGACGAACTAGGTAGTAAGTCAGGCGCTCGGCTCAGTCATTGGCTGCTTTTGCCACATTCCATGCTTTGGCGGCTCACCATGCCACAGCCTTGAACTATCTTACACCGGAAGTTGTCAAGCACGCGGTCACAGAGGTCAATGCTGGTGTCTCGGTACAGCTGGATTTGCCCCTGGACACCTTCACTGAACGTCTCGTTGGCCGAGAACCCTTTGCACACCAGATCATTGATTAAGGAGCGCCTGAAGGGTACTCCAGACAAAGTGTTTGGCCACGATGATACGGTGACTTTCAATACGCAAAGCGGCTCTCAGTGGGATGGTTTGCGACACATTGCGGTGCAGCATTGCGGCAAATACTACAATGCGCTCGAACACCGGACCATCGACGAAGAAAAAGAGAATGGCCGTCTTGGTATCCACAGTATGGATGTCTCGTTACCCAAAATGACTGGTATTGGCTGCTGACGATATACTTGCAGAGTGGGCTGAAAGGGGCGGCATCGTCGGTCGAGGCGTACTTCTGGATTACTGCTCTTGGAGAGAGCAGACGGCAAAGTCTGTAGTACCAGCCAACTCGACCTACTCGATCTCGACAGACGAGTTGGAAGAGTGGTGAAGCATCAAGGCGTACAGTTCCGGGTCGGAGATATTCTTATTATCCGGTCTGGCTTTACCAAGTGGTATAAGCAAAGCGATAAAGTAGAAAGAGAAGAATCGTTGTAGCGCTGCATTTTCATTGGAATGGAGGCGTCTATGCAGTCTGTCAAGTGGTTATGGAACCATTATTTTGCGGCTGTTGCGGGCGACACCATAGCATTCGAGAGCCAACCTATCCCGTTCAATGTCGAGGGAGCGGTAACGCTTCATGAGTGGCTACTTGGACACTGGGGCACTCCGATCGGCGAGCTTTGGGATCTGGAAAGGCTGCCACACGTTTGTCGGGAAAGGAAGCAATGGTCGTTTCCTGCTCACCAGCGCCCCCCTCCATGTCTTTGGTGGTGTTGCCACGCCACCCAATGTGCTCGCCATTTTGTGATATAGAATAGCGGCAGACCCGACTGGAGGACTTTGAAGTCTACGTCCGCTTACACTTCTTCATAAGGTTGAAAAGAAACGAGCAGAATCATGGCCCGGGTGAATTGCTGTCGGCCGTCATAAAAATGCCATCTATCTCTGAACTAGGTAGCTATGCTCAAACGATGCTCAACATTACGAGAAATGAGCTTAAGCAGTGCTGAAACCGATGCTACCTGAATCAAGCTATATCTCTAGGCGTCAACCTAACATATAGATCTCCAGGACTACTGTTAAACCACCCAAGCGTATCAAGCTCGTCATCTAGGTTCACGAGCGCGACATGGAATCTATGGAAAATAGACGCAACAGCAACCTCCAGTTCGAGATAGGCCAGATTGCGGCCAACACAGGCGCGACTGCAATGGTAGAATTAGCGTACTATCAGGCCTAGTTAACTTGCGAATACTCACCCTTTAGTGCTAAAGGGAAGACTAAATTTCTTCAGATCCGGCAATTACTCTTTTTCCGTCCAGCGCTCAGGTTTGAATTCATATAGGTCCGGAAACAAATCTGGGTTGTAGTGGATAGACCAGGTGGGGACCGACACTAATATATTTCCGGGGATTTTCTGACCAGCGATAACACAGCCTTCAGAAGGAGTGATTCGTAGAAGCCCGATGCCAACCGGCGGACGCTCTCGCAGTGACTCATCGATACAGTTCCGCAGATATAAGATATCCTTCACGTCGTTGTACGCACGGACTTGAACTCCGGGCAGGAAAATAGGGTCTACCTCAGATTGGAGTCTCTTTTGAGCTTCTTGATTCCGGGCCAAATGATACAAGGGGCTGGTGAGGGAACTACCGATGGTGTCGTTGCCGGCATTGTGCTGTAACTCTATCAGTCCCCTTCGCTACCTTGCACTGTCAACTTACTAAAGAGTTAGACTCGGCGATCAGCTCACCGAAAGGCATCACGTAGCTGCCTAGCTTCTTGTTTGCAGCGATAACGCGCGACCAGATGTCATGCGGAGCCTCCTCTTCCAGTATTTCCTATCGTCGGCGGATTTTGTGAATGCTGATATTAGAGAAGTTGGCGCCCATCTTCGCACCGTAGGAGCAATACAGGACATTCTTCTTCAGCCATTTCGCAAGGTCGGTTCCGAGATATCCCAGATTATTTGCGTATTGCACACCACCTAGGAAGGACGTAATTGCATGTACTTCGTGCTGTTCACCTTCTAGCGTTTCAGCAACGCATGTATCGTTCCCTTTCTCAAGAAAGTGGAAGGATTCTCCAAATACAACGTCACCAATGGCGTCCCAGGTGAACATATGGATCCATGGCGTAGCATTGAAACCGCGCACACCATGTTGTGCGTATAGTTTATCAAATCTGTCGAGCAAACACTGGACAGCCTTCGTGACAGGTGCCTCGTACTCGGCGACGCCCTTGGGTGAAAAGCTGCTAGCAATAGTGCGACGCTTCCTAATGTGTACCTCTCGTGACCGAGTGTTCCCAGAACTACGGAACGGACCTTCAATAGCGTCATAGTAAACGTCTTTAAGGATGTCCGATGCGCTGTGGGAGTATATGTCGTAAATGCTTCTGGTGTGTTGAAAGATACTGGGGAGAGTCAGCCTCAGTATACCCATCTCGGCTCGCAGTAATGGTCGTACAGTGGTTGGGCTCTACTCGAACGACAGGACCTAGACGTTCATGGGCTTTGTGTATGGCCATGAAGCGCTTCATCCGCCGGTTGTGTTACAGGGACCACAGCGGCGTAAATGCTGAGAACCCAGCCGAGGAGTACTTTCGTAAACCCTTAGGGTCAAGAAGGTACCTTGCAACAGGAATGCCTATGGTACAGACTACTGCAAGGGCAAGTAACACTCCTGTTTCATGTTGGCGACTTCCATGCGAGACTGAGGATATTCAACGTACCGATTGACAACATCTTGATGTCCTCAATGATTTAGGCCCAGGAAGTATCGTTTTAGGACTAACGTAGTGATTAGATTCCCAGTTTGTTGAGCTGGCTTCTTCATAAGTATGCACTCCTTCAGGGTGCGAGTCTGTAGGGTCCTGCCTGGATACTTTCAAAGAGATTGTTTGAAACTTCCCAGCGATGACGGGCCGTCAACGTGATACGCTTCCTGGGTTTCTCCAACCAGAGACATTCCATGAGAACGGGAAAATACCAGGCGATGCTTGCAGAGGCGGAGCCGGCGTGGATCTCCCAACTTGCAGCAGCCTTACCTCTGTCTTCCAGCCTCATACCAAGACTTGAAATGGGCCGGCGCCAGTCACGCGTGGTCACGTCTCCGTTGTTCCGGCCACGGTTTTGCGACCTGGTGTTGTTTACAAGCATGATTGGAGAGCTTTCCTATCACAGTTGACATCGTTGTCCGTCTGAGGTCCACCAATGCGGCTGGCTCCAGGGTCAGCAGCATGAGTTCTCCGTAAGGCCATTTTGATTTCTACCCAGTAAAATGCATGACAAGCGGCTGCGTCTGGCAAACACACTAAGACCAAGCAGGCGAGCAGTGACCTTATCTGACCGGCGCCGGGTGGGTAACCGGTCCCTCGTACCCTCGGAGAAAATCCCCAACTCAAACTCAACCCATCACGGGCATCTTCTTCCCCCGAAATCAAATCCCTGACCCAAATCTCCGCCATAGAGAGCGTTGTCTCTCTCACGATTGACCGGGAAAACAAAGAAGACTGCAATGTCAAGTCCTCGACTTCTTCGACAGCCCGCTTCCGCATCCTCGCGCGCAGACTTCCTGATCGAGACGCTCGGCCTCAGCTACCTCCCCAAAGAATCTGGATATATCGGTATACTAGGGCGTTCATGCCATAATGTCACTATTGAGCAGCCGACTGTACGCAAGCCAGAGGCCGCTGTCACCCCCAGCTTCCCTCATTCGTCCGGGCCTCTCGCCGCTCAATCGCACAACTACTACATGCTAACGTCCGATCATCCCATCAACTACTTGCACTTCCTAGCCCCGGATGACACTCATATTCTCATCGAGGGTGGGCCGGTGGAGTACTATACATTCACACCCCCAGGTCATCCTTCACTGTCACTGTCGAACCCGTCTTTGACGCCTTCCCCAGCTTCTGGGTCTCCGTCTCCGAGCACAGCATCAAAGGCGATCCTTGGCCGAGACTACGTCTCCGGACAGGTTCCCATCGTCTCCATACCGGGCGGATGCTGGAAAGCTCTCAAGCTTTGCGAAGGCGTTGAGTATGCCTTGACGGCGAACGTGCTCGCGCCGGAGTTCACCGACGAGAGGATGAAAATCGGCGCAGGCCAGAGATTCGTGGACATGTTCAACGGCAGTGCGGAATGGGCGACTGAGAAATTCCTGCAGAGACTTATTGGGGACGAGAACTGGACTGGTGATTTTTAAGAGACCGAGACACATGTTTGAGCCACTCAGACGTGACCTGTCTCATGCTCAACTAGGTCGTCCATAAGATGCTCAATTCAAAAATCCCTCGGAAACACCACCACGGTCCCTCCGCCTTGGGAATCCTGCACGATTACAAGCTTCGAGGCCCAGGTACCACGACTCTCAACGGTCATAGCATTTCGATGTCTTCATGTGCCACTAAAGACGGTGCCAGCCAGGATATGAAGTCGATGATGAGCCATCCAGCAACGGAAGTGCAGAGACGTTTGCTATAAGACCACTAGGACCAGGCGGGCTATCAATACATGGTCGAATATTTTTGACAACGCTTGATAAATATGAGCCGAGATGATCGTGAAAGGGACGGCAATCTTTCAATTTGAACCTCTTTCAGTCGCCATCACTGCGTCTTTCTCCTCCTTGCTCTTCTCCTGCTCGCCTGGGATTGTCAAGGAGGACGAACCGGTCGATTCAGGCTGTGACACCGGAGGTGACTCGTCGGCCGCCCGGTTGACTGCAAACCGACTCTTTCTCCTGATGACATAGCCGTATTTGTAAAACACATATGGCATAGGAGCAAGCAACGCACTCAGGCAAGCCAAGATCGTAAGTGTCCAGTGCACGCCCATGTTTTGATAAAATGGAATGCCCACAACCGTCATTCCGCCAGCAATGATATAACGGGCCAGCGTGGCAAATGTGAGCGCACTCGCAGCGTACATCTCATAACTGTCGATGATGTACATGTACGAACTAATGAAAATCATGATGGTTCCATAGCCGAACAGGACCGAAGCGAGGATGGGCGACCAGATCGACACGCTTGGATATGTGGTCCAGCCCATCCACAGCAGCGAGATGGGAATGGCAGGAGCGCCGCCAACCATGGCAAACCACAGCCGAACTTCGGGGTCGAATTGTTTCCTGCCTCTCGACTCGGCCACGCGCTGAGCCAGTACCGTTCTCTTGTACATCCACGGCAGCCAAGCACCGCCCAATAGCACACCAATGGCTATGCCGACGAAGATCGTGTTGGAGAGACCTTGTGAGATGCCGTATGTCTGTCGGAAGATATAGTCGTATCCGTCAAAGAATGTGAAGAGGATGATGTAAAGCACAGACATATATAGTGTGATCAAGAATATCACCGGCTCCGTAAACGCCATGATGAAAGGTCTCGGAAGGGCGACCCTGAGCCGCGTCGACACTGGTATGCGTTCGATCTCATGCTCGGCAAAATATCGCTCATCGCCGGTGAGTTTGCGGAGGTGCTTGGCCTTCCAACTCAACAAGAGTGGGGGGAACGTCTCTGGCTGAAAGAAGAATGCTAGAAAGAGTACCACAGCGGCGGTAAACAATGCTATCCATTCTGTCCACCTCCAGGTATGCAGATATGGCGACTCCGGCACCCATGCACCCATTACAGATCCTAAAGGCGGGCCCATGAAGCCTCCCACGGCAAAGATAGGAAACATGTAGGTCTTCTCGATAGGTGTGAACATATCCGACACCGATCCTCCAGCGCAGACAAGCGGAGATGCGCCACTGAAACCTGCCAGAAACCGGAAGACGATTTGAGCTCCTAGGTTGGGTGCTAGAGCAGATGCCATAAGCCAGATGCACATTGAGGCAAGCGACACGCTGTAGGTGCCACTTCTTCCCAGGACTTCTGAAAATGGGCCGCAGATAAGAGCTCCAAATCCGAACCCGATCAAGAAGACGCCCACAGCCAGGGTCTCGGTGACTTCGCTCACACCAAGGTCTTTTGCAGCTTGTGGTAGGACAGCGGCGTCAATTGGAGCAGCAGCGCCCACCATAAAGGCAATCGAAGATATGATCAGTGTGGCATAGACGCGACGGAACATAGACCAATTCCTTGGGTTCATAGGATCGTCCGGTCCGTCCCATTCAACAATTAGTACTGGCCGTCCATTGACGACTCTGGTTCTCTGCCGTGACAAACATGGTAGTTGGCGCGCGGCTTCGGCGTCGGTGGACTCCAGTTGTTTTTGTACCGTACGTCCTATCCGGCGATATTGGAGGTAGGTTTCCATTTTGGATAGGAGAGCGAATCATGCAATCGAGACACGAGGCGTTTTCATGAGGTTAGAGGAGGTCAGAGAGAATGGATATGGTCGACCCTTGTCCATAGCATATCTCACAGAAGGCAGGAGACCGGTCTAAGACCGCTGCAGTCGACCATCAAGTCGGTAAACCTGTGGAAAGAATTCACGGCCGAGCATTATGAAAGCAGAAGCGGCAAGGTTTCTGTAAAGGGTACTGGAGGATGAAAAATCCAGAGGGAAAAAGCGGAGCTGTAGCAGCACACTCCGGACAATGACATTCTTCCAGGTCGCTTTCTAACCAATGCGTTTTCGGTCCGAGTCCTGATAAGAGTGGATTCATCTGTCGCAGCTGCAGCAGTTCCTCTGATATGGGCCGTCCACGGGTGTCGTACCTCAAGTACGAAAGGCGCGGATGGAAAATTGGAGGAATCGCATTCGGGCTTGTTGCCGAATGCGCAGAGTGACGTTGGAGGTTGGAGACTCACGTGGAGACTGACTAACTAACTTTCTGAAAAGGGAAATTGATAGCGAGCGGCAGCCAAGACACCGAGAAGCTTATCGTCCTTATCACAACCGCCGCCTTATATTCCCAATCACGTGGTCGGCCCGTTGTGCCAAAAGTAGCAGACTGACTGACTTCTCCTGGTATCCGAACCTCACTTGAGTACCTACCTAGGTACCTAGTAAACTCAATGCTTGAAATCAAGAGGACCCCTGTGACATCCGTAACTTCGCCAGCCACCCGGAGAGAAGTCAGGAGAGTCTTTTAGTCGGTCAAAGTGACAGGAGGCCTAGCTGTTCTCCCGGTCTACAGCCAATGGCACCACCAACGCTCTTTTCGCCCGGGGACGAACACTCTCAGAGCTCCAATGTCCTCCTTCTCGAGCCTTTGACACCTTCATCGTTCTCCCCTTTTGGAACCGCCATATCACCTCCCTTCTCGAGCTCGCTGAACAGTGTCCCGACGAGCATCCCCAAGCCACTGCACTCACAGCATCAGCCCACTGCGGTCTTCGCGAACCAGAACTCCGCATTGAAAACCTCGCCGATATCAAAATTCACCAACAAGTATCCCTCCAACTCCTCATACCCGGCTTCAAACCCTCGGATGAGCATGTTCTCATGCTTCCCTCGCAACATCAGTGGTGTTGGCATCGACAATTCCAGACCTGGAAAAGTGGCCTTCGAAGTGTCCATCCTCGAACGACACCCTTATACAACGCAAACATTCAGCCCCCTGGGTCTTTCTGCAGAGGACAAGTCGACAGTATTTCTCGTCATCGTTGCACCGTCACTCCCTTCCCCTGCCACAGCAAGAACCTCCTCTGGAGAGACAGTCCGGATCGCCAATCCGCCAGACTTGTCTCGTATGAAAGCGTTTGTGGCACGAGGTGACCAGGCTGTCACCTACGGGCCAGGCACCTGGCACGCCCCAATGGCCGTCGTCGGACAACGCAGGGTGGATTTTGTGGTGAGTCAATTCGCCAATGGGATCCCCGATGATGATTGCCAGGAGGTCCTGTTAGGAGAAAACGCCGTCATTGTAGACTTGGATACTCTCAATCTGGACTTGGGTCCACATCGGAGTAGATCAAAGCTGTGAAGCTTCGAATGGAGCATCCTCTGCCCAAGTCTCCAGCTTACACTTTGGAGCTGACCTGTATGGGCGCTACATCCAAACGGCTTTGCTGGTCTTTATTGGACTACGCTACCTTCAACAGGACTTATCGTGGTGGTGACTCTCCCTACCGCATTGCTCCACACCGGCGGCGCCGGCGCGGCTGACCCAGCGGCTGCCCGCACCAACCTGCCGTGCCAGATGTACGCTGTAGTCCTTCTCACAGAAGGCATTCAACCCTCATTCACGTCACCCTCCCAGACGTGACTCATTATCTGTTATGGAGTTTGTTGGCGGATTCGGACGGATGGGGATGTGACGGTCACGCTCACGGTTACAGTCGCGGGCGGGTGTTTTAGTAAACAAAAGTGCTAAAGCCACGTGAGCTTGCTCCTGTGTGCAGAAGCAATCTTCTTGTTCACATTCACTGCTAGACGCTGCATATTCAAAGGGTATCATAACAGCTGAAACACTCCAACACTCCCAACCAAGGCAAGAGAATCGCCCCACGGACCAACTTTTCCTGATACATATCAGAATGCGGTGGTGACGTCCGGTCTTTCCAACTCCATCGCACGAGAGCAAGAACCAGCTTCACGACTTGGCGCCCTCGAGTTTCGTGACCAATTTCTTCATAGCCACCCATTCTTCTAGATTCTTCTCATTGTTACCGCACTGAAGGCCTTTACCGACATCAAAGACAGTTACGACACCATCTAGACCGCCAACAGCTATGTGGCTGCCTCTTCTTTCTTCCCATGCTACCTTGTTTAAGCCTTTGAAGGGTACAACCCCGTTCTTGCCTCTTGTCGGCGTACCTCTAGCGATGGGCACCTCAAGATCGTAGCCGAGATCGAATACCTCCAGATCACCGGCACCAGTGACGCAAGCGAACATTGAAGGTTTATGCGGCGCCCATTTCGCGTCGTACACAAGGTCTTCTCGAGCTAGGTCTAGGACTGGACTTACAGTGGTCGGGTTCGCACCCGCAGCTGAAGCCAGGGCAGCGGCACTCGAAGTGGCCGCTGGCTTGATGCGCCACACCTTCACAGACCAGTCGGAGCTGGAGCTGAGGAGGAGGTCTCCTAGATCCACGGGCCCTCGAGCGGGATGAAATTGTGCGCTCATAACAGGAGCGGTATGGCCGCGGTAGGACAGTCGAGTATCAACACCTGCTTGTGCACCAGCACGATCATATCTGTGGCAGGGGTAGATGGTTCCTTCCTCGGTACCGACAACGAAGAAGGTGGGGTCAGAAGTAGGAAAGCTCATGCAAGTAGGAGCAAGGTCGTCTGTCTTGGCTGGTGCGGGCGTATTGAGGACGAGGTATTCTTGTGCCTGCGTCAGCATATCAACAGACCATGAACAGACAACCCCGTCCATCGAGGCTGTCAAGATGTTGTGAGCATTCGGTGTCCCTACAACACTGATACTGTAGACTGGATGAGTGTGGCCCAAATGCGATCCCGACTGCGGAGTTTTCTGGACAGGTTGCCCTGTGCGACCGGATGTCCTCGTATCCCAAAGGCATATCTGGCCAGAATAGCAGCCTCCAATGACAAGGTTCGGGTGGAAAGGTGAAAATCGAGCCGACAGCACATCTGACGATGCCGTGAAGGTGTACTCTGGCCGTGACGGTGCATGAGAGTTCCACAGCAGCACCAAGCCGGCTGGTTCGTGAGGAGCTGATGGGTTTTTCGTGTAAGAGGTTAACAGTAATTCGTTAAAATGTGGTGAGAATTGGATGTCGGAGACTATTCGTCTTCGTGTGTATCGATCAGAGAACAATTGGAAAGATTCGCGTACTGAATGTGACTTCTTGCTGATTCGCGAATATGGCGCATCGTCGTCATCCTCGTCTAAGGTCGAAGTTCGAGTATAGTCTGCCAGCAGATCGTACTCGTCGTCAATATCCAGGGCTCGCTCAATAACCTTGGACGACCGTTCCACAAACGAGACAAATTCGGAAGAAGCAACAACAGCATTCAGCTCATTGTCGTTTAGTGATCGTAACGGAAATCGGGGTTGTGCAATCGATGGCTGAGTAACAGCTGGTTCTCGACTTAGAGTCGCCTTGACTTCGTCTTCTATCTCCTTTCGAAGATTCTGTCGGATTTCTTCCTCTCTTTCCAGATCACGGCGGCTGCGTCGCCTCTCTCCACGTACTTGAATATCGTCCTCTTCAGCGCCATCTTGTATTTTCGCATTTTCGTCTAACCAGGGTTCCGTCTGGACCCCTTTGCTATATGTGATGTACTCCTTTTTCGGTGGAGCGGGTTCGTGAGCGGCAGCAGTGTCTCTGTGTGCGGTAAATATCTCTTCAGTGGTCTCGGTCTGCGTTGACATAGACACCATCAACCTCTTCGGCGATGGTTCCACCTCATCTTGGGGAGTGATCTGGCCTGTGCCTTGGAGTGAACTCGGTCGGCTTCTTCGAGGGGATGCAGGCGAATCTCTCTTTCCGTCAATGAGCCTTGACACAAGGTCATCAATTTCTGATCTTCGTGCTTCTGCAGACCTTCCAGGAGAGGGAGCCTTCCGATTGTTAGCAATGTTACGTTCAGCATTGTCTAGGTTCTTACCTCGCCAATGCTCTGCCGCGATGAGGCATATTGCTCCTCCCGCAATGCCTTTTGTCGTCTCAACTCTGCCAGGCGGGCTTTTTTGGCCAGGAGCTCATCCTTGAGTGAGGACATACTTAGGAAGATCGCGTCAACTGTACAGTCTTGGATGCCATGGCAGACGGTAGTGTTTGCTGCGGACGTGGTTCGTGTAAATGGGCCGGCAGCGACTTTCGCGTGATCACGTGATGATCTCGTTGGGGCAAGGATAGCTCGAAGACGAAAATCAAATGTTTCTCACATTGAAGCTTCCGCAGCCAACAATTTCTCTCCCTTGCGCAACAAAATATAGCGGTGACAGGAGCACAGCTGACACAAGAGTCGCTCCTTTGTAATCACCAGCTTGGAAGAGAACCAGCGCCGCCGCTCTTCCCTTCATTTCACCATGTCCACGTCACAAGGAGTCAATGTACGAACCTCCCAATCTTTCCCTAGTTTCCCAATCTCACGCCTGTAAATGTGTACGGAGCTTCAAGCTGATTGACAGCAGGTGCTCCGGTGGTCAGCCCTTGTCGCAGGCATATTCTACGGTTTTTCGCACCAGAGAACGATTACAGCGAGCAATGCGACAGCTCATGCGCAGGCCGAATACCAACACAAAGCCGATTTAATACAGAAAGCAAAGGCAGAATGGGCAAAGAAGAACTTGCCTCCTCAATCGAAGACGGGCAGTGGTGACAGTATGTGATGCGAATCGGCTTGAGAGTATATCTTTTCCGGCACGAGACTGACTCTGATGGCAGTTATAACGGATCCCAATGACAAGAACTTCGACCTCGAAGCATACCTGACGAAGCTGTCGGCGGAGAGTTAAAGAGGTGGCATTGGTATTGAGTTTTGAGTCAACAAGATGCCAGAAAAGTTATCGGCTGAGGTGGGCACAATTAGACATGGCGTTCATCTGAGTTGATACCCAGCATTTGCTCTCAGATATGGCGACCATGCCGTCGATGAGCAAAAAGGCGGCCAACCTCTAGCAAGACACTTGTACATACATTTGCCGCGGCAAAGACATTGCCTGTAAACCATGATCAAATTGCCTGTTGTCTGGGACCCCATGCTTCCTTTCTGACTCTGGTGCGATCAAGACTGCAGTTCGATCACGACTGGAGGAATGTGTTACGTTTTCGAGCAGCCGATATCACTCTAATGCACGATGGTCAGGTTCGAGAACAGTCGATATTTCACAATCGGCAGTATTGGTGGATTTGTTTGATTTTTTAAGGGTTCAGAATCCTCCTCGATTGCGGCTGAGCCCTTGTCCGACGACCATCGACGACCTTGTAAGAATCTCAACACGCGTGGAATCCTGAAGGACATCCATCGCGAGATGATTGCTTCGCCTCGTGGACCAGTCACGAGACATCGGATCGAGTCAGTGCTACTCCGTACCGGATGGGCTTAAGGCTGTGTCAGTCTCCGCCGTAGCTGTGTCCACAGTCCCCCTGTCCTACTGATTGGGGTCAAGGCCCGAGACCACTCAAGCAGGAAGGATGTAAACCAACGCAGCCCCTTGAAGCGATGAACACCTCTAATGAAAGGCTCAAGAGCAGACAGATTTTATCAAGTGCCTCATACCGTATAATATGTGGTAGTGAGGGCTTGAGTAGTCTGATCATGTGACCGTTCTATATATGATAGCAAAGCTACTGTGGCGTGTGTGGTAGGGGCGTGATGGGGCTCACCAGGCCCTACTTTTTCGCTAGCGGGCAATCCATTGCTAGCTGGGCCAGTGCTGGGCCAACGGAGACGGAGACGGCATCCCCATCTGTCCGGAAGTCTATCCAGCACTAGGAATTGCCAGTTTCGACTGCGAGTGCGACTGCTCTCAACAGTGTGCGTGAAAGATAGAACAGTGAGCGGCGGCAGAAGTCGAATCTGAGGGAGCAATTGATGGCTTCAGATCGAATCCCAATTGCACCATGCCAAAAGGCCGGAGGTTCCGGAAAGACAAGGCTCGAGAGGGCCGAGCGGGCAAAGGAAAAGGTTGACGAAGCGCCATGACTCCGTATGACCAGGGTACGACAATCTTTTCTGTTCTGGTACCTCGCAAGGTCCATGTTGACACATTCTCTTCGGTCATGGTCGTGCATCAGACGCCTGCAGGACCCCTGGAACATTATTCGCTCTTTCATGCATGTCCAGCTCCCAGTTCAGACTCTGCAGAATTTCCCTTCAGGCCAGACGGCAAGGACGGTAAGTTCTCCTCACTGAAAATGATTGACGTTGCAAAAAGCCCTGACAGTCGTTCGGGCAAAGGCCGTCTTAGACTATGCTGAAAACTGCTCGGTAAGAACCAAAATTGGACGACAACTCATGGCAGCATACAATACGATGATTCGATAGGGTCATTCTCCATGTTTTAGACCATTGCCCCTCACATCACCTCGAGTGAAAAGATGCATTGATCGGCATATGTTGCAGCCGATGCACTGCGTCGACCCAAAGTCCCAAAGTCGCAGCTCGCGAGATCGAGTCAGCGAAGTCAAAGAGGACATGATTTTCAACCCCGCAGATATGGCACTTCCGAGAAGATGGCAGCCGAGCGATCATGATCCTCAGACCAACTGCCGCACTGGAAGCTGGAACCTGTGCAGACGTATGTACATTCCGTATTGCCGTCTCGATCCATCAGTATCGTGCTCACTACTATGCACATTACGTTGGGTGGCCGATAAGTCTACTCGTACGCTCCCGTGTAAAGAGCCAAACACCAATGGCGCCAGGGAGTCCTCTGTGGATTCCACGGCAGCGGACACCTGAACATCCATTCTGCCACTCTACGAGTTAGCAAGCTGCAAGCCTGCAAGCCATCACCTTCATGTCCTCGCACTATTCCTTCCCCAGTATTTCCCCGCAGCACAAGGGATGTTACGAGTACTGACCTAGAGTGCCTAGTTCCCAGACACTAAGGCGGATCCTACAGCCCAATGTCATGTCTGCGTCTCATTGGCCGAGATCCCAGACTCTCTCAAGCTTCATCTCGAGCTTGGGGGCTTCACTCGAAAGGGAGAGGGGCGTCGATGATGCGGACTTAATCTGGCACCCACAAGCGGTTACTAACACCCCGGGAACCCTGTCGTCCGTCCTCGTCAAAGCCTGCATTTCGATTCCGCTTCCTAAGGCTTGCGGCCAGAAGTCTTCCCTCTCATCCAATGGTTTGTATGCCCGGTCGTTCGGCTGAGCGGGTTAGGGGACTCCTCTCCACCGAGAGGAGAAACATCAGTTGATCTGCCCTTGGTCTGTGACGCGACTATCAAACACAGACCGTATATTATTTACCAACCAGGTTTCCCAGGACAAGTCCCTGTTTGTCCTTGTGCTTGTGTCTCGTTCTTGTCTCTTGCTGCCGGTCCCTACTCACCTGTACCTCACCTTGAACTCAAAGTCCCACTGAATTGTTTCCTGTCTTGGTACCAATACCTCACGTCTGCCTCGCGATACATTTCTCTCTTCTAATACCAGCAAAATGGCCGCTCCCAACCATATGCCAGATGTCGAAAAGGACCATGCCGGCAGCGGCTCCGTCAATGGCGGATACGACCTTCACCACGATCATCACGACCCCGATACGGCTCTGAAAAGACTGCGAACAGCTGGCAGCATTTCCATCACTCCAGAGCTCTTCGAGAAGATCTACCTGTCGCCCAAAAATCGAGTCTCGAATAATATTCGATCGACTTTCGGCAACCCTACGCCACTGTATGTCCTCCAGATCTGTCCCGCTGCTACGTCTTCTAACACGTCTACAGGGCACTCTGTGGCTTCTTACTCTCCTTGACCCCTCTTTCAAATATTCTCTTGGGATGGCGAGGCGCTGGCGGACTCGGCGCTGCTGAGGTGTAAGTACACCAAACGATAGCCACCCGCACACTTGCACAAAGCTCACGGTTTCACAGCGGTGTCTACTACTTTTTCGGCGGTCTCCTCATGGTATTGGGCAGCCTTCTCGAATTCATCCTAGGCAACACCTTTCCATTCGTCGTGTTTGGCTCATTCGGTGCCTTCTGGCTGTCTTTCGGGGCTACTTTGACACCATATTTCAACGCCTCCATCGCCTACGACCCAACACACCCCGCGCAGTCCTCCACGAACCCTACCTTTGCCTCTACCTTCGCCTACTTCCATGTCTACATGGGTGTTTTGTGCTTCGTGTACATGGTTTGTGCGATTCGGACCAACATCGTCTTCGTGCTCATCTTCGCCACACTCGTGGCCGCGTTCGGGTGCCTCGCCGCATTTTTCTTCCAGATCGGCGCGGGCGTGGCGAACATGGGCCTCCAACATGCAGCGGGCGGTATCACTTTCGTCACTTGTCTGCTGGGCTGGTACCTGTTCTTGGTACAATTGCTTGCCTCCGTGGACTTCCCGCTCAACCTTCCAGTCGGAGACTTGAGTCGATTCATCCCGGGCGCTAGCGACAGAGCGAAGACGGAATGAGCGCTGTCTCGGTCCGTGGGGATGTACAGCTACGAACCGAGGTAGTAGGACTGCTGGGGGATGGTGTGAGACGACAGCGAGAGATGAGATGGGCTCTGCGGAAACGAGGTTGGTTTGAGATGAGCGATACAGGAAGAAAAAGAAAACGTCCGTGACGTGCAGGAAGGACAGTGTAATGCCCCTGCATTTGCAAGCACGGTGTGGTGATGGTGATCAGAAAGCAATTGGGCGGACAGTACAGCAACTGCGTTGGATAATCCTGCTTGGTTCGAGCTACTCAGCTTGTTGGCGGCAATAGCGCCCGCACAGAAATGTATGCCTTTTAATCAGACGCCATGTCACGTTGATGATAGTCAGTGTGTTACCTAATGTAGGCACTCTCGCATCCATTGATTGTATGAACCGGAATAGCTTGGACAGACCTGCTAGGGTGACTAGTATGCTGCACTCTTCGAGCGGCGAATTCGGTAGCAGTAGCACTGCGTTTTTGCTTGTGCAGAAAAGTAATCTGCAGGAACTCGACGGTGTGCCTTGGCTGGGTGCTTCCATCGAAAGGCTTCGCCAAGGTTGGAAAGATCAAGACAAGCCGAGACGAGGCTGTGCGACTGATGCAGTGTAAACAACAAGACGGGCGACGATGAGGGTATAGTTGGTCGGAAAAGGCAGGGCACACACCGAAGGGGTGCAGGCCGTCAAAGCTAGGAAACGTCGTGATCCGTGTAACGACCGCAATCTCTGGCAAGACATCCTGCCGTCGAGATAAGCGGTGAGAGTGCAGAGTGCAGAATCCCTTTCTGGGGGCTCCTCTGGAAAGCCTATCAAGTACCTAACAGTACGGAGTACAGTACACGATCTGCTTCCAACAGTCAGGAGAGGGATGTGGATAATCTCCCATGGCCCTGGTGGCCCCTTACCATTACCCCGGTCGTCCTCGTTTACCTCGGTCCTCCCGCCAATTTCCTCTCGTCCGAAACCAACCAAACTACTCCAGTTCCCCTGGGGTGACCGAGATTTTAAGCTATCCAAGCTATCCAGGAGTCTCAAGCCCAGCGCAAGGATCTCGAGCTTGCCGATCAGAGAAAGCGGTGAACGGTACTTTCATCGACACAAAATTTGACATGCTCCATCTCACCTGATATCTCGTAGTTGAAAAGTACAAATTGCGGAAATACGCCCGCGGTCTGTATATCCGGAAATACCATATACATACTCCGTGGTATTCCACGCGCCAGAACTGAGGGTAAACTATCACGGTTCCTGAGTCCTCCGGTGCTATTGCCCCTGCGGGTTTGATGTTCTCAGTTCAGAGAGTGCTCAGTGTCCTGCAAGCCGACGTTGAACTGTGCCAGCTTCTAGTTGAGAATATGGTGTCTCCAAGGCTCGCGCATGCCCAAGTCCTATTGACGACTAACTCAAGATACACATTGTCACGAAAGATGACGTTCTGTGGCACAGGAGATGCGTCGGAGTTGCTTTTTCACGCTTCGTGATGGCTAAATGCAGTTCCGTGGCAGAGCTCCTCAACGAGCTCGAACGCGTCAGGGCTGGCTTGTCAATTGGCCATACCCATACGCTTCCTTCACTCAGCTCCATGGCTTCCATAATTCTGGATGGTCGACCAGATTTGCGTCATCAAATCAAGAACGAGTTTGTCATGCCATGAGCGGGACGTCAATGTCATTACTCTAAGAAGTGGAAGCAGCTCGCCGCTGTTGGCGAGCCCAACCTTTTACAGGGTAAGGAATACCCCAGCTCGACCTGGCTTTTCAGGCGCCTTTGAGAGTCACGGAGCATGTATCCCTGTCTGAGTAGGTGCCTAGCCGTGAATGAGAGAAAGTCGTTCGGTACAAAGGTCAAACATCAAGTTTCATGGAGGACTATGCGCAATTGTTCATCGGCGACCTGATCCTCGCTGGACGAGAACAGACCTCTACTGGACTGAACTAAGCTGTGACCGGATGGAGTCTTCGCATGGGTCGCCAGACAGGGTCCTCTGCAGAGGTTCAAGATCGAGGAGTGGTACTGGCCACAGATCCAGAGAGAAGTAGAAAATCATAGCTGGTCATGGCAAGACAAGAGGAAAAATTGGCATTGTCTGACGGATGCACTTGCTCGTAACGTTGACCGCCACAGCAAAGCCTTCCTCGTAAAGTCCAGCTCGTCAATATACTCCCAGACGTCAGCTAGAGACGTTAGGGAGAGGTTTAAAGAGATTGCCGTGCTACTCGGATAGATTATTGTCGTCTGATACACTGGGCGCCGTTGACATGATCAGAAGAAATTCCGAACTGGGTGGGAATTGGTCCTGTCAGACAATGCCACTTTTTCTCCCTCAATATGGAAAATCATAGATCCGGAACCGTTGCCAAGGAGATTTATGAACGACAGCATCCCATCATGCTGCGTCCTCCTTGAGCATCAGTACGCTCTCATTAGATGTCTGCCATTCAATCATTTTGCCATCGGTCGTGTACCAGTTGTCGATAGAAGCAATTCATCCTCCAGCCTATCTCAAGGGAGAAATACCGCAGGTCGCTCTGCAGCTGCATGTCCGGAAGCCAGGCCTGGCAGTTTGTTTCCGGCACAGGGACAGTGTTGATTGCAGCGTCGAGGTCATTCCTCGCACTTGGACAAAGACCTCGACCATCTCCTGTCACAAGGCTTTTCCTTAACCATAAACGCACCATGGCCACGACCATCAACACCCCTCGTGATCCAAACACTCTTTCAAACTACAACAACTGGCGAACGATTCACACGTCGACGACATTAGACATCTTGTTCGATGAACAGAAGCTCAAAGGCATTGTAGCCCACGATCTGCAATCTATCACTGACGGCGAGAGTGACGAGATCATCCTTGATTCCAGTCATGTGCTCATCCGCAGTGTCATGGCCGAAGGCAAAGCCGCAAAATGGGAGACCACAAAGCGACTTGAACCTTATGGCAATGCACTGAAGATCAAGCTTGACCGCAAACCGAAACTGGACGAGAGAATCGACATCCAAATCGACCTAGAAACGACAGAATCATGCACGGCTCTGCAATGGCTGGCCCCCGCTCAGACCTCCAACAAGAAACACCCGTACATGTTCTCTCAGTGTCAAGCCATTCATGCCCGATCAATCTTCCCCTGCCAGGACACCCCGGATGTCAAAGCGACATTCGACTTCAACATCAAATCACCTCTCCCAGTCATTGCATCTGGGATCGGTGGCAAAGACAACCCGACCTCTCCGGCTGCAGATGGCACCCACCAGCTGTACAAGTTTCACCAACGTGTACCCATCCCATCCTACCTTTTTGCCATCGCCAGCGGCGACATTGTCACGGCCTCGATCGGCCCACGCAGCATCGTGGCCACAGGTCCCGACGAGCTCAAAGACTGCACATGGGAGCTGGAAGAGTCGACCGAGAAATTCCTCAAGGCGGCTGAATCCCTCGTCTACCCCTACGCCTGGGGCGAGTATAATGTCCTGGTCCTGCCACCATCGTTCCCATACGGTGGCATGGAAAATCCCATCTATACCTTTGCCACGCCGACCATCATCTCGGGTGATCGTGAGAACGTCGACGTGATCGCACACGAGCTTTCACACTCCTGGTCCGGCAACCTCGTCTCCAACGCATCCTGGGAACACTTTTGGCTCAACGAAGGCTGGACCACATACCTTGAACGACGTATTCAAGCCATCGTGCACGGCGGCGACCAGTGGCGCGACTTCTCCGCGATCATCGGCTGGCAAGCCCTGACCGACTCGATCAAGAACTTTGGCGAGGAGCACGAATTCACCAAGCTCGTCATCGACCTGAAGGGCAAAGACCCCGACGATGCGTTCTCCAGTATTCCCTACGAAAAGGGCTTCAATTTTTTGTACTACATCGAGAAACTCATCACGAAAGAGCAGTTCGACACCTTCATCCCGCACTACTTCGAGACCTGGCGCGGCAAGTCTCTGGACAGCTACGACTTCAAAACGACGCTCTTGGACTTTTTCAAATCCAACGACAAGGTGTCTGCCAAACTGGCCGAGATCGATTGGGACACGTGGTTCTACAAGCCGGGCTTGCCGCCAAAACCGGACTTCGACACCAGTCTGGTCGACGTCGCGTACCGCCTGGCGGACCAGTGGGAGAAGTTCACGACCCATCCAAACCCCGATTTTGGCCCGAACAAGGTGGACATCGACGGCTGGACGGCGAACCAGGTTGTCGTGTTCCTCGAGCGGGTCATGGCATTCAAGACGGCCTTGCCTGTCCCGCACGCGAACTACATGGGATACATATACAACCTGAAGGAGACGCGCAATGTCGAGATCTCGGCGCGGTACTACCAGATCGCCATGGCCAGCGGCGATCAGTCGATCAAGGACTTTGTGGTCAAGCTGCTTGGCCAGGTCGGTCGGATGAAGTTTGTCCGGCCCCTGTTCCGGGGCCTGATCAAGTTGGACTATGAACGGGCCGTGGAGACGTTTGAGAAGAACAAGGACTTTTATCATCCGATCTGTCGCGCGATGGTGGCCAAGGATCTATTGGGGAGTAAGCAGGGGTAAGAAGGATTAGAAATGTGAAGCCAAGCGATGAATAGGCTCTCCACGGCTCTCATGCTTTGCCCAGGTCTGAGGTCTTTCCTCTGCTGCTCGTACCAGTCAACATTAACTGTTTGAAACCATTTACTCTTATCGCACCTTGATCTCTGCACCAACCTGTACTCGTAGGTCCTTCACTCATCTCACGTGCACACTACTCCACATCAAGTCTAGCCCGGAATCTCCTTGGCATCTCTAACCCTCCTCGACCTATATATTTCTTTCTTGCCTTCTCTTCTTGATCTCTTCTTTTTTCTCTTTTTCTTCATACTTACCTTAGAAGGACCACCTGAGCTCATGGTTTCGGGTTGTCACATCGAGACTTGTCCATTGCACATCGCGACTTGGATCGGTGTTGGAAATCCTTCGGGGCTTCCACTTCTGTAATTTTTGTCTCGCTTGCAATTCATGCATTGCAAAATCTTTTCATCAAATGCCATTCTCGTCCTTGTGGCGAGGTTTGGAGAAGAGAGAGAGAGAGAGAGAGAGAGAGAGCGCAACACCTTCACGTAAAAACAAGAGATATTTGGATTCAGTTCTCATCGTTGAGATAAGAGACGAGAGTCTCACTAATAAATCACAACGCCCCAAATCCTCACAACGAACGGATCGCCGTCCACTGTCAGTACCTCCGGACGCGTGAAGACCGAGAGTTTGAAACTGTGTGGACACCGAGACATCTGGAATCTGCGACTCGTCATGCTGCGCCCTTGAAAGGCACAAACAGTCCAGCTTGTCCCTTCCAACTCGACATCCAATTTCATCGGTTCATCAATTCTTGCAAGAATGATTATTTCAAGTGCCTGGACTGGTGAAGACCCAAAAGTTTGGCAGCCTCCTTCGTTGTTCCTCCGTGGTTCGGCGAGCTCGTTCGTCACCATAGACACCAACAACGACCTTGTGAGGATGCGTGCAGATGGCTGAATGGATGATACAATACAAAAGAGAAATTGCCTCGACACGTGACTGGGAAAAGAAGTTATATACCTGAGCATTCATCGATGCTGGCTGATGAAAATAAAGGCGGTCGGCCGGAGCGGGCAGGTGAAATTGCCGGAAAAGGCAACACTGGTACGGCGTAGAATCGAGTCTGACACGGTTGTGTCGCACGACAATCGTTTGCCCATAGAGATCGGCTGGTACGGAGTACCTAGAGTCGAGATTGTCTTGGGTAGATTACTCAGGTATGTCCATATCTTAGTAAGGTACTCAGAGCATGCTTTTCACAGATTTACAGTGCCATGACATTTTCTTTCTCCTCAACCATAAAATGATTCGTAAGACTCCGTATAGTAAACAATGTCTGACCCTCACCCAACCCCGACGAACACCGTGCAATATTTTGTCGCGCCTCCGCTGAGAATGCATCCAAAACAACTCCGTCCAAAGGTGGACTCTACAAATGCACGCTAGGTATGCACAATCCCAAAACCCCAACTCACTCGCTCACTTTACTCCTCAGCCGTTCCATCACTATCCTCAAAACCTCATCTTCCCAGTCATTCAAATCAAACCAGTCCGGCACGACAATTTCTTCTCTCGTGATGATGATCCTGTTGTCGTTCTCCTCCTCCTGCTCCTTCTCCCTCTTCGCTTCCGCCCTTCTTTGATGTGAAGCCTCTCCTCGAGCCCTTGACCTGGACTCCTCCAGCGACAGCCGATGCGGCACTCTACTTCCCCTGGTAATGGAGACCGACCTCGACAACCTTGACAACCTCGTGGCACCACTCTCTTGCTTCCTCAAATCGTCCGCGTTCCCATTCGACCCCATCTCGGTATCCGCGTCACTAATGCCTTCCACTCCTCCTCCACTGCCGCTTCGACCATCGCCCTTCTCCACATCCCCCTCGCCCTCTCTTTCCTTCCTCCTCTCCTCCCGCAGCGCCTTCAAATCAACCGGCGTCCACCAATACACCGGGAACCGCCGTCCGGCGACATTATTCAACACGAGCGCACTCGTGAGCATCAACATCGACGCCAGCAGCACCAGCGGCAGAAGCCACCATCCCAATTCCTGCACCTCGACACTCGTCGCTGCCAACAGTGCCGTGGCCCCGGCGGGCGGATGCACCGTCTTGGTAAAGCTCATAATCATGCTCGCCACGCCGACGGCCAGCGCGCCCGCAAGCCAGCACAGGTCATCGAAGCGCTGCGGCGGGAGGTGTTCGAATAGCTTGGTAATCCCCACGGCTACGGTGGCGGAGAGAAAATGTCCGAACACCAAATTTCGCGGCTGAGAAAGTGGTGATTCGACCGTGTTGTACTCCAAGATCGCGGCGGCGCCGAAAGAGGCGATGACGATGGGAACGGCGTGGCCTGACAAGGGCGGTAGCGCGCGGAAGACCGACTCGATGATGGCGACGCCACAGAAAGCGCCGATCATGACGGACATGTAGAGCGTGAGGGTGTGGAAGGGGCGAGGGGATGGCGTAGACGTTGGCGAGGAGCGTGGTGCGCGGTAGCCGAACCAGAATGACAGCCATGTGGGAAGGAGGTATGTTGGATTCCGGGGGATGTAGGGATTCAGGTAGTTGTCTATGTCGAACGGTCGACCTGGTCTGCTAAAGAAGTTTGATATTGATGGAGACATGATGGCTGGTCTGCAGGAGAGCTGGCGAGGCAGCCAGCTTGCTGTGGGAGTGTCGATGAGTTCGAATGAGTGATAATTGTCAATGTACACGACTTAGACAAAGAAAGGACATTATAAGAGATTGACCACCATCGACCACCATCGACCACGTCGGGTAAACGATAGACCTGAGAGGTTGCCACTATAGTGGAAAGAAGCGGCGCCACAACGGAAAGAAAGAGATGTGATGATTTAGAGCAAGAAAAGAAGAGTGTCAAGATTGATCAAATTCAACTTACCACTCGATCCGTCCCGAACGAGAGGCGAACGGTACATAAAAAGAAAAAAGACCGAAGACAAACGGAAGACGCACTCCAGATGTGATGCCGTAATGAAACGCGTCGAAGAATTCCAGCATCTCCGCTGTCGGTCGAAAATGCCATAGTAAAAAGGCCGGCAAAAAGCAGCAACGACATTGTACCCACGCAATTAGCAACGCCAAAGGAAGTCTCTCAGGAATTGAATTGCTTGTCGAACGGTGTTGAAAGTTCAAAGAAGAAGCTAACCGAGAGCTTTACGCGAGAGAAATACAATGAGTGGCTGTGTGAGGGATAATTGTAGTCATGGTAATGGCTCGATCGGGAAACGGACACAAGAGAGCAGTGGAGGACTAAGTCGGCAAGGAGATTATGGACGCTTGATTGGCTGGATGTTGAGATAGTCAAAGCAGCGTGACACGGAGAAAGCGACATCTTGTCTGTGCTTGTCGCAGTTCTTTCCAGTAGTGGGCCAGCCGTGGTTTTATCCGAATCGATACTTTATGATGTCGTCGTCTCAACAGGATTGTGTCGTTGATCAGATTGACGTGGTGATGGATCGAAAGGGAGAGAAAGGTAAAAACCCGAGGCCAAAATCTTCGCGCCGACAAAAGAAACTAGTCTCTATTTGAATTGACATCATCATACTTGGCTTTCACGTGATCTGATCTTTCACGTGATTCTGCTGTCAGTGAGCTCTCCCTGTTCGTGCCGAGCTGCCCAGACTCGCTAACGAAAGCTCAACACCTTTAGGTCAACCTCAACTTCATTCTGTGCCACCTATGTCGACTTGACTCGAGCCACCTCGCTTCTCACAGGAATGTTGTGCTCGGGGTGTGGCTCAGGGAATCCCTCCACCTCGACTCCTTTTCTGAACATCAAGCAATGAGTCGAACCTCCGAAATGGAACATGCCAATTTCATCCCCCTTCTTGACATGCTGCCCCTCCTTGACCGTCATCTCGCAAGTCGACACTTCGCACATACCAATGCCCAGGAACGCCATCAATCCGATCGCAGGATTGTCCGCCTCGAAAAACATGATCGCTCGGGTCGCAGTTGCCGTCAAATATCCTTGACTGGTGACTTCACCTTCAGGATCAGCCGACTTGTTGGGCCCAAAATCCTCAAAGAGCGGCTCCGAATAGTATGTGCCATCCACAACATATGCCTTGACCAGTTTCCCTGAGACAGGCGCGTGCCAACGGTGATAGCTCAGCGCACTCAGGAACGCCTGATACACTGTTCCCCCCACAAACTGATCGGCGAGCGGATCTTGAGCCAGCATGTCCACGACCGAGTACGGTTGTCCCTTGAGCCAGAACTTGTCTCGCCGCTTCACATCCCGCGCCACCTTGTACGTCTTGGATTCGCACGCATTGGCAATCACGTTGTCATCATCGGGACTCGCAACAGGTCGCACTTCTTCCTTGAAATGCCGGGTGAAGAACTCATCCCATGACTTGTAGCCCATATGCGGATCTGACGGGTCGCAGTGAAACATTTCTTCGAATTTGTAGTTTGTCTTGCCTAAATTCGCCGTGAATTGGAGCTCGTCGTGACCGTGCGGACTGAACCAGCTGCCCTTCGCATCTCTCTTCAACACGTACGCTGAGTCTGGCGAACCGAGGAACTCGGCCCAGGCGTTGAGGATCTTCTTCAGCATGGCATTGACCTGAGGATCGAGAAAGGCGGCAAAGCCACTCTTAGTGCCCATGGGCCAGTCGAAGAGCGCGTTGAACGGCAGTCCCACCAAGCCAACTCTCTCGGACTTGTCGTTCCAGGAAGGCGCCGTTGTCAGGATGTGGTTGATGACTTGAAGCATGTGGATATGATCCCGGACTGTCGGATGCCCGCCACCTTGAGGGTCGTTCTTGTAGGGTGCTTTGTTGGGAATCTGATCAAACATGGAGGAAAAGAGTAGCCAGACGCGTGTATTCTTCTCGATTAGATCCTTGAATTCCAGTACCACGGGATGTAGATCTTTGGGATTCTGGTCGACATGCTCGATGACTCCAGCCAACCATTCCCGGTGTGCTCGGTGGTCATGAGGCAGCCACTCGCCAGTCCTGTCAAGTAAAGTCAGTTGGATGTGAAGCTGGGCACAATAGCGCCGCGTATGTACCTATGGGTATGGTGCTCGGGTGGGATGTTCTTCTCGTGCTTCATGATGTCTTCGGTCAAGTAGAGTAATGATGAGGATGAGGATGAGGATGAGGATGAGGATGAGGATGAGGATGAGGATGAGGATGAGGATGAGGATGAGGATGAGGATGAGGATGAGGATGAGGATGATGAAAACGAAGAGACTTTTCACAGAATAGATGGGGGTTGTTCTTCAATGTTCCCCTCCGGAAGGAACTTGCGTAATTGCTGGCTCGAAAAAGTTGTTTCCTGGATGTCTACGTCACAAGTTTCACGACGCGACCATCACGACTGCCGCCGTTCCGGTTGGCTACAACTTCATCAAGTTCATTGGAAATGGCAGGGAACAATTCAGGATGATGAAAAAGCAATATCATCTATGCAAGGGTTCTTGCCAGATTATATACTCGTATTCACCACTATCAGCACATGAACAATATATCCGCCTCACGCCAGACTCCTCCACCTGTAGGGGTTTTCAAACGCCATCAAATGCTCCAGTTGTTTGTACATCAATGCAAAATGCCCTTTTGATATTCGCTCAATTCCAATTCTGCCATGCACATTCACATCCACCGCTTCCACCGTCAATCCCGCCCGCTTCAGGATCGAAGCCGTCTGTCGCCGTCGCATCAAGTGAACTGTTCTCATCCACTAGAGGCGGCGCCGGATTGATCAACTGCCCACCTACCCCTCGCAGCTCCGGCACAATGCCCTTGACATCGTCCTGAATGACCTGCAAGTTGTCCACACCGTAGCAATAAACTGCCTTCTTGTTGATATTCCCTCCATGCCGGTCCAGACTGATCGTGCTCGGATAAGGGAACGAGCCGGGCCGACTGAAATCGGTTGCCGAGTTGTTACTCATACTCGTGCTGTTTGCACCTGAGATTGGACTCAGGAGTGTCGCTCCGAATGCGGGGTTCGTCCAGATCCTCACAATGAAGCGCGTCTGAGCGAACGTGCAGCGCAAACGTGACTGATCTCGCGTCGACCCACCGTCCTGATCCTGTGGATCGATCCCGTTGTTGGTTGCAAATTCGGACGTGTTGAGGGGTGCCGTCGAGCGTAGAAAGATGGACTTGTCGTAATACATGTAGAACCCAAAATGTTCGTCGACTTGGCCCCGATTGTATAGTTTAATGGGCTGAGAAGTCGGGTATGGGGAGGTTGGGAGGAGATTGGCCGGGGCTGCGCTGCCGTCGTTTAGCACATCTGGCGCGGGAATCGAGTCGGAGTTATTGCTGGCTTGTCGCGCAAGAAGCCGGGCCGAGCTGGGCCTGATGCTGCTCTGCGTAGCGTTTGATGGATCGACGGGAAACACGGGAATGAAGGTCATGAAGAAGGGTGTGTCTTCTCCCTGAAAGGGCGCGCTTATGTTGTCTGTCGTGTTGCCCATGAAAATCTGGTCGGCTCGGCTGGGTGGGGCTGGATTCGGGTCGAACAAGTCGTTGGTGAAGGGGTCGTTTGCTCGAGATGATAGACTGCTTGACCTCTTTGAGATTTTGTCGACCGGGATGGTTAGATTGGCTGGCACCGTTCCATTCTTGAAGGTGATTTCGAAGCGAAAGTTTGGTTGATCTGGATTGTTAGGTGCTATTTCAGCCTGGTTCTCTTTGGGAAGTGCGCAAGTCCACATCGTCGTGGGCGCTATGCATCGAGGTTGTTCTTTGATGGCATCGGGCATGGCAATGGTAGAGATGCCTGTTGGAATTGGAGGATAGCCTGTCAGGTTGAGCCACTGGTTCTGGACAGGAGTGCCATCTCCCTTGCGTGTGAGCAGCGTTGCCAATAGAATACATGCTATCACGATCAGTAGCAAGGGGATGGCGACGATTAGCGTCCAGCGGCGCTTCTTGGATGTTGAGTCTTCCTTGCCCTGCGACCCTTTCTTCATGAGCAAAGACTTGAGCTTGGAAAAAAGGCCAGGTTTCTTAGGGCCATCAATCTCCTGGCTGCTGGCTGGTTTTGGCTTCTGTGTAGCCGACCGGTCCATTTCTCGGCCTATGGTCGTAGCCTCGGGTGAAGAATCGATGAACTCCTTTCTGGCCTGCAAAGCTACCGGCCCAGGCACATGCCTAGACCACTCTGCATAGGTGGTATGATTCTGGATAGTCACTGATGGCGGCTGCGTTTGGGCCCAGGGTTGGCTCTCAGGCGGCATTGTCGTTTGTTCAACTGACCGGGCCTCGTTCGAAGGCCGGCTGATTTCTGACATAGGGACGGCTCCCTGGGATGTCATCATTTGTTGCATCCCTGGTGAGATGGGACCGGGTGACCGAACTGGGGGTTGAACGACGTGTGCCGGCGTCACAGCAGCAATGTTGGGTAATTGTGGGTTCCGATGAGGAGGGCGTGAGTCAAATGAACGTGCTTCCTCCTGGGCAGGAATTGACTCGTCGTTCGCTGCACTCTCCTCATCTTTCACGTCGGGGGAGTATACCTCGGCAGCAACAGGCGCTTCGACCGCTCTAGCCTTGGTCACGGTTGCCGCATTTGCTTCCCTCACGCTCGGTGACAGCTCCTCAGGTTCGGAGCGCACCGTAATATGACTCTTGACCCTGTCTTCTGATGCATCACCCTGTCTCGCATTTCCCGAGACTCGTTTGGCGTTGTTTTCCTGTGCATCGACCTCTCCCAACGCTTCGGGCTCAAATATGGAATGCAGCAGAGGGAATTTTTCTTCGCAAGAATGATTCTGGCATTCGAAATATCGAGTACCGCTTAACTGCTCCACGGCACATGCATGATAGTATTCTGCCGCAAGTCCAGTTCCGAGATATTCGAAAGGCTCGCAGGATGGGAGTGCCTTGGCCTCTTCGGCTGGAGGACTCGATTCTTGCGATCGCACAGGTAATCTTTCCACCTGATCCTCTTGCGACCCCTCCCCACGTCCCTTTGCCCAGAAAGTCCATCTTGATGACATGCTCGCCCTCGGACTGGCTAGCCCAAGTCGTCGTGGAGTTTCAGGCGATTCTGCAACTAGAGATGAAACTGAGTTATGTTTTCCGAAACCCTCCGGTGAAGGTACTGGCGGTCTTTGGGTGTCCTTGACGCGGGTTTTGTCTGATACAGTACCTTTTCTTGACAGCATGGGCGAGAGCATGAGGTTCCACCAGCCCTGCGATCTAGGCCGAGCCTTGTCGCCTTCTAGCGGAAGAATATGCTCCTGACTCTCCGATGAAGCTCTTCGCAGGCTCTCAGCAGATTCAGAATCCTTCTCGTCTCCAGATATCCAGTCCTCCTCATGTTCGCGACTTGGCACTTCTGAAGGATGCTCGATACTCGCGCCCACTACGGGCGGGCTGTCTCTCACATGTGCACTTGGCAGCCTCGGAACAGGTGGAGGACTTGCTCCATTTTTCAAATTATGGGACCGGGCCTGTACGGAGTAGATGCTGGATGGAGGCCGTGCCCTGCGTAAGAAGGAAGATTTCCATGAGTCTGTCTCTTCAGCTGGCGTGATGACAATTGCGGGTGTCTCTGGGGTCTGCGCTGATGCGGCACTATCGAGATTGTGCTTCGATGGATGGGCATCCGCTTCACTCTGAGGAATGCTCAGTCCGATAACGACCGATCGATCATCGGGAGAAAAGTCCTTGCTTCTGGCCGAATCCAGGTCAATCGTGGCCATGGAAGCTTGATCATTGAGTGACACCGCCTGTTGTTTCTCCAAACCGCCCACGACGTTCTTTTGAGCTGCCTGCAGCTCTTGCCATCTTGAATGGGCTGGCCGTGCACGTTTTCTGTCACAATCGGGAGCTTTGGACTGGAAAACCGGCGGCGCCATAGAGTACTCTAGAGCAAGATCAATCATTGTCTGGTTGACATGCTCAGCCTTTGCTGACACCAAAGCAGTAGCGTATCTCTGACCGAGCTGAGGTCTCTGTGACTGCACTTTGTCCACGAGAATGCCCTCAGTCCGGGATCGTTGCGAGGGAACCGAGAAATTTGTGACAATGTTCAGTCCTGGGCGCCGCCTGTCAGGATCGGAAGTCGAGTCTTGATGCTGCTTCTTCCGCCTATCAGGGGGTTCGTGCCCTGTTCCTGTGGTCGGCCGGTTACTCGGAGTGTCTTGACTATATCGCTCCAAGTGAAACTCATCTTCTCCGCTTGATGAAGCGCTTTCATCCTCAGATAGGCCGGACGCGAACGCGTTCGAAGACAAAAAGGGGTTGTTCGTGGCCAAGCTCGTGCCGCCATTGCTAGGTTTGAACGTGGTAAAGGTCTCAGTTGGGGGCGAGGAGAACGGAAAGGCAGGCGTCGGGCCTCGCCGATCTTGTTGCAATAATCTTGCCTGGAACATCTGCTGCGAATTTCCAGAGGGCTCGAAACTGGTCACCATGCTGGCAGGACTGGAGGTTGAAAGGGAGAGCAACTTAATGGCAGAAAGTTGGGATATCCTCGAAATGGTCAATTAGATGATCGATGCGGCTGAGTTCGGACAGCTGGGTGGAGGTATTGTCGTGAAAGACATTTCATTGTTGAAGTTGATTCATTATCGAAGGCATCTCTCGGAGGCAGCTGGCAGTCTGTCTTAGAAGGTGTGTCGCTGCCTGGCAATGTCTGAATAATATTACCAATAACGTGACGCTAGAAAGTCAGTTTGAAAGAGAGTATAGTAGGAAAACAATAGGAAAGTAGTAATGAATAATGGTCAGTAACAGCTCGGAGGAATCAACGGTTATTGCCCACAGGATGAAATATGGCGGTGCGGCAGAAACAAGTATCCAGTCAGTCTTGGTAACATTAGAAACAGACCACAGGAAGTCCCAAGCCAGATCCATATATCTCAAACAAGGCCATCAGAGTCTCGTGGCAAGCTGGCGATTGTTGTTTGGATCTCGGGACACGGTTCAGTAGCCTCAATGTTGCGATGGCGCGCGAATCCAAACATAGCACTTGGATCAACGGCCCAGATATTTTCATGTCTGCGGCAAAGTTGTCGGTAAACATGGTGTTCCACCTGCAAAACCTGAAGGTGAATGGGTAGAGGGACAAAAATCGACCAGAACGCGCGCCTAGCACATGTTTGACGTTGGAATTGCCCACAACCAATAGAGTCTCCATCACGTGACTACATGACACAGCCTCGACTGAGGTTCCACTACAGAGTAGGGCTGGGACGAGACTATCCGTACAATGAGACAGAAAAGAGGGTATTCTATCGCTGAATACTGCTGTTCTCACTTGGGTCGACGAAATCCGGAAGACGCTGAATGCATGTTAACTTGAAAGGGCACCTAAGATTCTTCAACTGGTACGTACTGATTTGACCGGTTACAGCTCATATCAAAGACGCACCAGAGACATATTAAAGAGAAGGTCGTTATGAGGTAGATCTACTCCAGCCGGACTATGCCAGAATCCCTGTTCACATCCCTGTTCACAAGTTGACTACTGGATACAGCAACCCTCTCGTTCACATCCCAACATCCCACTGACTCGGTACAGATGTATCTCATGCCTGTACCCACCCACTCACATTTCGGGACTCTCAAATACACGTCTTCTAATAGACGAGACACAGACCTTCCACTGTGACTCGCACTTTTGCAATTATTTCGTCACCACAAAGTAGCCTTGCCCAGTTGCTCTTTGAATACATCACCGCTGAAGGATGGTATCGTAAATCAATCAGACCATGCCCAATCGACGCCCAGAGTATCTCCCACCACTCTGTAAGTGCCTCATTTTCACTGACAAAGAGACCGAACGCCACATGGAAACGTCAACAAGCCGAGACGAACAGGACGAACGCAAATATCCCAAGACATATATCTCTCCGTTTGGCGGATAAAAAGGGCAAACTCGCCAGGATTATCGTCTTTCTTCCGAATACTGTATACCTTGCATGGAATTACCGCCCATGATTGGCGGCAGTGTTCGTGTAGACTCGCTTGAGCCGTCCACGTGGTGTTTAAAGTGTGATGAGTAGCCGAGTGGGCTTTGCGGCATTACGTTCGGCGGAGGTGGAAACGAGCTCTGCGGTTGTTGCATGCTCCGCATTTGTTGGCTCATCTCGTGCATCTTGTTTTCTAAGTCTGAAAGTTTTTGCCGTTGACTTTCATAATCAATCCTTGCTTGCTTGTTCTGGTCTTCAAGCTGCGTAATATAATCAATGGCTAAGAGAGTTTAGTTGAGACTCGAAACTCATCGGTCGAGATTCTTACCTCGAGAGAGGGTTTCCCATTTGCTGGATTTGTTGTTCTGACTTGCTGGTAACCGGGTTCTCAACTGCTCAAAGCAGTCTTTCATCTCACTTCGTCGCTTACGTTCAGCAAGCTTGTGGGTAATTCGAAGTTCCGGGGTTCGGCTGTAGGGTGTGGTGCTGTTGGGGGATTCAGGATCCCCTCGAAGACTGTCGACCTGTTTGTGCTGCAAACTGTGATGATGCGCTTCTGGGAGTTCTGGTCACGTCAGCAAGACTCAAAAGCCGACAGCGCAGTTACTTGCCTTGCTGGCCTGGAGGCAGCCTAGAGGACTCCATTGTCAGGACACTGCTCGTAAACGATTCTGCAAAGCTGTTTCTCCTTGAATAGGTCGATGGCGTTCGGCCCTGTTGGCGGGGTGCGGCCTCAGGATCAGGAAAGGCATAGGCTTGACCTCGTGTGGGAGCTTCTGCACTGTACACTTCTTGCTTTGGATTTTCCAAGATGGGAGGTGCAACACGGCCACCAACAAACCCACTCCGTCCGCCATGGCTGGACGCCAAAGAAGATACTGGGTTGTTCATGGTGGAGTAACGACCAGCAGCATAGCCGTTCTGCTGTATACCTCTTTCTCTTTGAAGACCCGAGACAAGCGAGGTCTGCGAGGCATTGGTGCTGGTGTATGGAGAAGTCGGACCCAACCCCAAGTTATTCATGCCGTGGTGAATGCTGTTTGTGACACTACTCCGTCTAGATTCGTCAAAATCACCACTACCTCTGTGCTGATTCTTGTCCGCAGGGGGTGGGGGTAGTCCGTTCGTATGGTGCTGCATTCCGCCATTGAAAGGCGCAGGCGGCGCAGAGGTATTCTCCGGTGTGTACGGCGAACGTCCGACGGGAGAATGGGCAGAGTTTAAGTATGGCATAGAGTTGGCAGAATTGACCGAAGAACCTGGGAAGATGTTAGCTCGGCAAACAACCCTTGTTCAGCGCAGAAGGCACTAACGTGTTCCGGGCGTCATCCAGCTCCCAGAATCTCTTTGTGGTGGCAGGATGGAAAGGTCGGAGGATGCTCTGTCGATCGGTTGGACCGGCAGCTTCGACGTCAGAGAGGCTATTGAGGGTAAAGTCTGAGTTGTCTGTGGGAGACTATGAGGAGGATTTGTCTCCCACGGGCGGCGGCTTGTCGTCTCCATCTTTGCAAAGTCGTCGACTTGTCGCTTGTCTGTCGATTGTGACTAGCTCAGAAAGCGACCACAACTGTCAGAGACGCGCATGTGGTTTTTGCGCAAAGTTAGGAAGTCCCTGACTCGTCGCTCGACGAGCCTGAGATTTCGCGAAACAATTGGCCGGTACCTTCGCTGAAATGATACGTGAGAAGTACCGTGGCGAAAGGTGGTTCAGGAACGCTGACACAACAGCGTAGATGTGATACAGACTCTTTCGCAGAGGATACCTTATGCTCAAACGCAGACTGCCGCTGCTGGCACACCGTCAATGTTGTCCAGATGTTGTTTTGCGATTGGATAGAGACCACACTGTAGTGGAAATCTTCCTGCACAATCCTAGTACCAATCGACTAGATATGTAGCCAAAGGCTGTATGTTCAAAGGTTCCTCAACGGGTCCGCCTGTTGGCACCAAGACAATCTGATTGTGCTGCGGGGTCTATCGTAGCAAGATTCCAGAAATCTTTGGGTTTTACAGAGCCGCAAGGGCTTGTTTCAAAAAGGGTCGAGCGGCTGCTGAAAACGTGGCGCGGGAAGGATCTTGTGGAGCGGGATCGAGGCAAATGCGGCTTGCCAGGATGTCGCAGGTATTGGAAGTGATAAGACTTGCAGCTCGAGGTGTCGCACAACGGCTGGAAGAGCGCAGAGTAGGGACTTGGATTTGAACTCGGATAGATGCGTCGGAGAAGGTATGGTCTGTTGGTGAGAGAGGTTCGGCTTGATAGACAACGAAGGAGTCAATGGAGGATTGAATGCTGCGCCGAGGCGGGAGGCTGGGGCTGGTTTCAGTTGCAGCAGGGTGCGGTCGGTGCAGTGAAGAGGGTTCGACGACAGTCAGTGTACAAGGTCGCCTGTTCTTCGGTGGGATTGCGCCTTGAAAGAATGGTGATAAATGTCCAGTATGAAGGCAAATAGGAACGAGAGGGAGAAGTGGTTGAAGATGCGGTTAGGTTAGTCGCAGTTGAGAGTCGAATCGAACTGACAGTGGCAGACAGATGGAAGGGCAGTTGAGAGGCCCGAACCAAAGTCAAATGGCGCCCTCGTCCCTCTAGCTCCCGTTCTCCAGTTTTGGGAGGATTAGGGCGGTGATAGAGCTTTTAGTCCCCAACGCACAGTGCACTGGCAGATACGGATAGAAGGTACCTAGGACGGAGCATGCGTAATTTGCCAGGCTCTGGCCAGGGCACCCAGGACTGCCAGGGTTGATTTTTGGGCGCTCCATGTCACTCGAAGCACCTTCTCCAGTTATCAGTTAGCGCCTAATGGCCTCAGGTTAGGTGGTGCTCGTGTGGGTAACCGGCCTCTGCTCCGAAAATCTTGGGTACGTGATGCCACTATGGGTAGAGCCAACCCATCCAACAACCATGCTTTCTCCCTCCGACTCATCCATCATCCCTCGCTCCCGCACCTCTGAACGAGCCCGCGGAAGAGCTAAATCATCAAAAGAGGACAGGATTGGCTTCACATGTCTCCTCTTTCAGCGCGCTCGGTATACCACTAACTCACCACCACCGCTCGAACAGGAACCGAACTACTGACATCAACCACACATAGGACGTCCATCAAGTTCAACCAGCAATAATACGAGCATCACATCCGATCAAATAATGGTGCAGGAATTGCGAATCTGCCGATCATAATGACCGTCTTCTCGCAGAGGCATCCGAAGTCGAGCTGCAATCCCGGAAGCGGGAGCGCTCAACCCACGTGCTCTTCCCTCCCACTGCATCAGAAACCCTTCTGTTCGGGGACCACTGGGCACCTGCTGGGATTTCTCAGACGGCATGCTGATACGACTGCTTTTTCTTCCCCTCTCACAGATCGTCCCTTGGACTCGTGGTAAACCTCGTGTCACCATTTTGTCCCCTGGTCGATCACTTCGCCCCTTCGACAATCCCTTTCGCACGAGCCTATCAAGCTCAATCATCTATCCATACCTCCCGACGAAAGACTGGTAACGCAGAACAATGATTCCATCATGACATTGAGGATTTCGGCCCTGCTCGGGCGTACAAAAGTTACCCACCTCCAAATCTTTGCCCCTGCTGTTTACTGGCGGGCTCAGGGGTCACCCACAATAATGAGGCGCATTCGCTTCTTTAGGCCTGTGCCTTGTCTGTGTCCAAGACTTGCTAGGCAGTACCCGACCCCTGCGCCGCTGAGAGATGTCTCCAAACACTATCGAAAGGGCTCCCCCATGGCCGATTTCGATGACGACGATCCTTGCCGTTTGTGAAATTCCAGCCTCCCAATATCAATAGTATTGAGCGAACCCACTTGCAACTGAAATCAGCAGCCCTCCTTATATTCAATAGATCGCATCTTGACAAAGAATCAGCTCACAAAACTCAGCATTATCCCTTGGTCATTCTCTGAGAAAGCCAATATCTCAATTTTAGTCCTGCAACATGTGTCAGACTTTGCGCTGCCCATGACGTCGCCTCAACACGAGCCCTAAGACATTCTTTCCCACCTCGTGCGCCACTGCAGCTGAGGCCTGGCTTGTGCTTTGAATCCACCAGAATCAAGGACGAATCGATGAAGAGCAAGACATTGGTTGCAGGGGTCACGAAAACGTGGCAACGGCAAGCCTGTTCTGCCGCTTCCCAGGGTTCGTCTCCGCTATCCACGAATCATCGCTGCTGAGCCTACAGAATCGTCTGAAAAGTCGCAAACTTTGCAGTCACGAACGCTGCGTGACAGCTTTCCGAGCAATCACAACTCCGAGAATCTCTAGAAGACTCACTGGTACGCGAGTCGGATACGCAGCGCTGTGAAATTCTCGCGTGGCTTTTCAGCCCCCGTTGCGAGGAACGAAGCGAGGCGCGCAGCACTACTGCACAAGCGGGTCACGATCGGAACATTGACTCTAATCGAGCTCTACAGCTCGATAATCCAAATCAAACTTGACATTTTGACTGCGCAGCCGGCTACCGTGAAACAGTCTAAATCTGACGTTGCCGGTGTTCAGAATTTTTGACTCGCTGCAATATCTCAAAAGGCACCGATCGCTCGATCCCGTAAACAAGAGGACAGAGTGGAAGCGAATGTGCCTGTTCCTCGTCTTGCATGACCACTTTGACGACATGCACGGACATGGCAAGTTCCGCCGTCAAGATTGGAGCCACATTATTCTCAGCTTCAGCAAGACCAAACATCCCCGTAGTCAATCCGGTTTACGAGTGGCTCTTGGAAGCTTTGATCATGTGAGAAAAATGAGTTGATGCACCGGCAACAAAGGTTCGTGGAGAGTTCTGCAGCGGGCCCCTTACTTGGCTTAGATGCGTGGAAGGATGGGCCAGGAATGCAACTACCTACCAAAAAGCCATATCCCGTCCAAAAAAATACTTTGCAAAAGCCAACCGAGCAATGCTCTTCTGCGCGGGATGATATTTCTTGGCTTTACCTTTTGCTTTTCACCTTCTCGGGGCCTTTCAGCATTGAAAAAGCCGTCCACTGTGTCGACCAAGGCAAGCTCAAGAGGTGTATGTTCGATGCCCAAGACCTTACGCGCTTTCCTCCCATCAACCTCCTAGACTGCCTTTCTCTCAGACACCTGTTCCTGGTTCTCTTTGAGGGATTCGTGCTGTGATCTGCACAAATTCTCTCTAAGAATGCCCACCGTGGTCTGATGATCATATTCGGGGCCTACAAGGAATCGTTGAGCGCGGGCATCTTCAAATAAGTATGCTCTGAGGTGCGCAAGGGCAACATTTCTGACGTCTACAAAACCCTTGGAGTCGGTAGGTGGGATTAACGAGTCTCCAGATGGTCTCTATCCACATATTGAGATGTCCCAGAGATTTGACTCCAGCCGGTGATGGACCAAAAACCCAAAGAGGAGTGATTGCCACTAGACAGAAGGCCGGTTTATCTAATTCCACGCGATCCCAAGCCGCCTTCTCGGCGAGAGCTCTCGGCCCACAACAAGCGAACGCACCACCGGGAGTAGCTTTGGCTTCTTAATAAGTGCAGTCCGCTTCAGCATACAAGTATGTGTACCCTGGGCGCAGAGCTTGGCCAAGATTCAGGATGCATGCGAACGACGCCGCGAACAGTTAAGCACGCCCATCCCAAAGCACGACGGTGCAAGCTATAGATCGATCGGCAAAGTAAGTCATGTCTTTCGTGAATCTGATCGGTCTCGGTAATCAATGGTGCTCTGCTGGCTCGCTGATATGCCTGGATAACTAACGGCCAATTTGCGGTAGCACCAACAGCAGCGACAGATGATCAAGCATTTTGTCTGTACACGAGCACCCATGTCTTGGTCACCTCAAGACATTGATGAGAGAGTACGTTAGCAAGTCTGGTGTGCTCTAGCAGTGCTAGTCTTAGTATAAGGCTCCCTAGGCTAAGCAGTCACGCAGTCTGCCTGCTGTCTCGTGGCCCATTTGCACCGCCACAATTTGCTGCGCCTCGTGGCACTTGCCCCACACGACAGCCTCGTCAGGCGCAGGGACTTTCTACCATTCTGTCCTAACATTGCACCAAAACTCCTCTCTCTCTATCTCTCAAAATGTGCACTTTTGTCAAGTGGACTTCTCCTGGGAAAACTACTCGAGATATTTGTCCAACAGCGGCACTGTAGGTCGCCCAGGTGTTGAGGCGGGACAAATCCCTTTGCGAACCATGTCAGCCTTACTCGTCTAGCAATGTTTCGATCTCCAAACAACCACTCTCCAGACTTTGAGACCCGGTTCTTCTCAATGCTCCTCGGCCACCATCATCTTTGCGGAACAGTCCCAACTGAAGTGAGATCTCTAGTTCAAGGCATCTCAATACAGCATGATGAACCGCAGAAATCCTGGCGGAGGCTGTGACGGCTTTTTGTCAAGGATGAACAACAAAACGCCTACGAAGTAAGTTTCCTAGCTTTTCGAGAGGCAACAGGCAGATATGGCGCTCGCGAAGCCGTCGCATAGCCAGCATCAATGAAGTCTATTAAATCATGAGGAAGGCTTGATTAAGAGAGTATGACTGCCAACTTCATTCACTGCCCCTTCATCACTTGCAAACGGTGAAAGCAGCGAGTACCCCCATGGCATAGGCTGTGAAATACTGTTACTCAACAGTGGCAAACATCCTCACCTTTGTCAAAGGCTTGAAGCTCCTTATTTATTGTTAGTGGAAGAGCAAAGCTTGCTAAATCCATCCACGAGACTCTCTCTTGCTTCGCAAGCAAACAATACAAACGAAGACAGAGATCAGATTTATACCTCGCAGCCGGTCACCTTCCAGGTCATCACCTACGGTTCCTCACTACCAGTATCAAGATGACCAGAAGCGGGAAAACACTGCGCAGCAGGCCCTCAGAGGATCTCACCATGGCGGACGAAGCCTTCGATCTCCCCCGTCGGCGAAAATCAAACGACGATGCACAACTGGGTCTTACCATCGAAGTCCAGCCACTACAGAAAAGCGATTACTTCTTATTGTCCATCCACCCCCAACAGCGACCACAACTCGACCTCAAACGAGCCTCCTGCGACATCGTCCTCGTCATCGACGTCTCTGTCAGCATGCAAGCGGCAGCGCCACAACCGGATATCGAGGACCCAAATGAAAAAGAAGCAGCGGGACTCAGCGTCCTGGACTTGACCAAGCACGCCGCGCGAACTATTGTGCAAGGTCTCAACAAGGGTGACAGACTTGGTATTGTGACTTTCGCAGCCGATGCAGAGGTACGTTACATTAATTTTGTCACCTTCTCATCTACAAGACCAGACCACGCTAACATTGGCCCCCGTCCTGACGCAGATCATCCATGAGCTCCTTCCCATGACTCGGTTCCAGAAGCAAGCAGTCTTGGATGGCATCGAGGCAATGCACGTTCAAAGCTGCACGAATCTCTGGGCCGGCATCCGCACCGGACTAGAGCTCTTCGAGAAGACGGCACACATTGGCAATTTCCAAGGCTTGTTCGTCCTGACCGACGGAATGCCCAACCACATGTGTCCGAAACAAGGCTATGTGGCGAAGCTAGGGCCCATACTCGCTTCCCTAGGCTGCCAAAAACCCACCGTGCCTACCATTCACACCTTCGGTTTCGGCTACGGCATCAAGTCAGCGCTCATGCAGTCCATCGCCGAAGTCGGGAACGGCAACTACTCTTTCATTCCTGACGTCGGCATGATTGGCACCGTCTTCGTGCACGCAGTCGCCAACTTGTTCACCACGTTCGCAACATCCTGCACGCTCGAAGTCATCACGCCAACCACTGTCGAGCTCAAAGCTCTCGGTCTGAAGGACTTTGTCATCCCAGCAGAAGGAAAGGATGGAGACCACCGCTACGCCCTCCGACTCGGCAACATCCAATATGGTCAGAGCAGAGACGTCGTCTTCACGCATCCAGGCGGCTTTCCGGAGGACATGCCAGTCGACGTCGCGCTCAAATACAAGCTGTCGGACGGCAGCGACCATACCTGTCAATCCACCACTTTGCTTCCAACTTCCCCAGCAACAAGCCTCCGTGCAAACATGTCAGAATACCACCTCTTCCGGTCCGAACTCTGCGAATTTCTATGCACTCTCTTCCCACTCAAAGACGACGGCGAGCACACATACATCACCTCTGCTGATGCGCTATCCGAAGCAAAGGCTCTTCTTGACGTCCTCGTCGCAGCCATAACCTCCGCCTTGCCCTCGGCCCGGACCCGTGCTCACTGCGAGGATCCACACATCAACTCCATCCTAAAAGACCTTGTCGGCGAAGACCCAAACGGCCAAATTTCCAAAGCCCTGCTCTCGGGACACAAGCATCCCTACTGGACGAAATGGGGGCATCAGTACTTGCCGAGCCTGCTGCACGCGCACCAGCGCCAATTGTGCAACACATTCAAAGACCCCGGGCCGTTGATGTACGGAGCGGACAGCCCCCTGTTCATCAAGTGCCGCGATGAGCTTGACAGCGCGTTTGACAATCTCCCAGCTCCGACGGGAAGTCGCCCAAAGCGCGTTGTGGCGAGGTACGATGAGCGCGGAACACGGTCCGGGACGAGAACGATTTCGCACAGCCCGTTGAGAAACATGAGCAGCTACAACAGCGCTGTTACTCCTTGTTTTGAGGGCGGGTCTTTGGTCAAGATGGCGCATGGGCACGGTGTGAAAGTCAAGGCCGTCAAGGCGGGGGAGTGGGTGTGGACGCCGAATGGGTCGAGGATGGTCATGGCGGTCGTGAAGACGAGAGTCTGTCATGGCAAGCTGTGTCGTATTGGAGACTTGCGCGTTACGCAGTGGCATCCTATCAAGCAAGATGGGCGGTGGGTGTTTCCAAGTGCTGTTGCTGAGAGGGCGGTGCCTTTCGCGGGGAGTGTGTACTCGGTCTTGCTAGCGCCGTGCGACAATCCTGACAGCCATGCTATTGAGGTCGGCGGGCAGATCTGTGTGACATTGGGACATGGTGTGGTTCAGGACGACGGAGGTGACGATGTCAGAGCACATTCTTTCTTCGGTAATTACGGCAGAGTTGCACTGAGTCTTGCCCGGCTCAAGATGGACAAGAAGGGGCATTTGTTGTGTGGTGGGCTGAAGAGAGACGCTGCGAGTGGTTTGGCTTGTGGTTTCTTGGCTGCGAAGGCACGCAATGGCAAGGCAAAGGCATCGAGGTGGCGACTTGCTGGAAGTTGAGAGTCAAGTGCAGAGTTCAGGCTGCTCGTGCTTAGGCTCAGATTGCTGGCCTGGGCATTTTCGACCTGGTCATGGGCAACGTGTTGAGAGGTCGATGTAGTTATGCAGAGGAAGCACTCAGAAGAGGGGCTATTAGTCAGGCGCGGCGAAGAGCTATCCAATTGTCAGTGTACAGTACTTCCAATCGATGTTTTGTCAGGACATGGGGGGAAAGATAGCAACGGCATGATGTTGTTCAGTGATCACGGTGAATACTTCGTGTTCGACAGATTTAAGGCTCCCAAGGAGAGCCCACCTGGCTTATGTGAGGAGAAGAAGAGGAAGCTTCACAAAGCTGTAGGCCTGAAGTCGAATGCCAGGTATTGTTGAAGCTCTGGGGCCCTATCAGTCGAGCAAATGCGAACCGGGAATTCCGGATAATGCCATGTGCTGGCATCAGTCTTCCTTGCGGAGAGGGTGAGAGGGTACGCAAAGAGCCATTGGTAACCCGGATACGATGGGACGAGTGGTGCTCTCTCTGGGCTGCGCTCCCGGAAGTGGCCATGTGCCCAAGTCATTGGTAGCAGTGGCGATGCGCAGGAGGGGATCCTTTCGTGGTTGGATTGATTTCTCTTTGCTCGTGGGGTACTCGTATGGACATGCGGGAACGATGGGATGATGCTTTGACACAGGCAGCGAGGCTGCTCGATTGGCATGTATGCATATCAAATAATGCCTGGTGCAGCCTTTACCAGCCTTGGCCAATAAGCACTGCCGGGATTGGACATCCGGGGCCATAAGCCATGCATAAAATATTCCGTACAGGATCAATTCAATGCTTGGGTGAATAAGGGATCACAAGGCCATGATTTCTCGGGTTTCGGGCCAGCATGCCAACGCGAAGTATACGAGACTCTCGTAAGCAATTCATTGCGTTTTCTGAGCGGGGATTCCGAGGGATATAAGGTCAGTAAGTTGGGCTGGGCTGGGCTGGGCTGGCCACCTCGCGCTCTGTCAGCTTTTCGTGTTCTGTTCTTCACTTCGAGGACTGCACAACCCCTGGGCGACTTCAGGTACCTGAACCGACAGTGGGAAAGTTCCAAGGACATACAGCCTAGAGGGTGCAAACAGGTCGGCACTAACGCCAGAGGGAGTGAAGAGAGACAATACAGTATGATCCTCCTCACTTGCCTTCTTCTACCGGTTGTGCCGGTGTCGATGCAACTAAGACGGTCGATCCGATTTTTCAGACCAAAGGGGAATGATTAAGGGGGTGGAACAGCAGTTTAAGGAAGCCAGGTCGGGGCAGAGGAAGGAGGTATGCCCGTCACCCTTCGATTCTGTGCATGGCGGTGCTAAGGGCGATGTAGCAGAAGAGGATTCTTCAAAAATCGAGCTGCTGACGACTAGGGATGAACAGGCAGTTTTGCTATGCGTCCTCGATGAACTCGCAATCTGGGAGGACTCTGATGGCTTCACTGGGTAGTGCAGCTTGAAGAGAATGGAGGGCATAGGCAGATGCACCTGAGCTTGATTTCTTTTGTGAGGATGTGGAAATTTTGACCCTCTGGGTGTCTGGAGCAGTCAGTGAAGCATTGATTGCCTTTGACCAGGATAGTTATCTGGTGACTATGTTCAGCATGAACGCAGATTGTGTCAGATATTGGACCTCGTCTTATGTTGGTGAAGACCTTTTCATAATGTGTCTGGAAGGTGGGTGTTCATAGTTTCCCATAACAGCGCAATGGAAAGGCTGAAAAGTGTGAGAGATCGTAGCACTCTTGTTGAGTGCCGTGGTGCCCTTCGAACATATTCACTGCTAGGATTGACAAGCTGAGATACAGCACCATGCTCGCCTGGCGATGCTTTCGTCCAGCTCTGTCAAGGATACCTAGTTCCTGTAGACCTGAGAGATCTTGTAAGCCACGCCATACGGACTCTGGGCCTCCAAAAATGGCATCACGGCCTCCTGGTGGCCCGTCGTTCAGAGGCCGGATTGGCGTCAGGACCCCGCCATCATCCGCACATTTGTCCCGCTTTAGCGTCCGCATCTTGCATTGTTGCTCAGGAACCGGACGAGTTGTAGAGGCACAAAGGCACACAAGCCCAACTGGAATCACACACGCTAAGTACGAGTAGTTCGTGGCAATAAATACGAGCTACCTAAGGTAGGTAGTAAATGATCCGGGCTTGGGCTGTGCAGAGTATCCGTAGTGAGAGTACTGAGGGCGTGAAGAAGGCGGTGTGCGAAATTCATCATCTATTTACATCTCTTGAACCCCTCCTTTCTCTTCCTCGATAGCTAAGGTGTCTTTATAGTACTACGCACGACCACTTCCCCCTGCATTGATTTCTTGCTGCTTGAACTTGGTTGCTTTTATCCATCATGGCGTCCAACGACAAGTTGATTTCTTGGGAAGGTGAGTTGGACCGCGTTCCAATGACTGCGATCTGAGGGAAGAGTTTTCTTCGATGAAGAGCAGCGAGCTAACCAGTCGACAGACTACCAGGGTTGTCTTACCGCCTACTTTGAGTGGGCAGAAAGCTATGATTCCAAGGTGTGTCCACCACCACTGCGAGACACCCTTCGAATGCGATGTTGACTTCTCTACCAGGACTGGGAACGCCTGCGAAAATGCGTTGCCCCCACCGTCCGAATCGACTACCGCTCCTTCTTGAACAAGCTCTGGGAGGCCATGCCGCTCGACGATTTCATCAAGATGATTTCGGATCCCAAGGTCCTCGGCGACCCTCTTCTGATGACCCAGCATTTCTGCGGTGCCTCGAAATGGGAGAAGGTCAGCGATACTGAAATCATCGGTCACCACCAACTGCGAGTGCCTCACCAGAAATACACCGATGCTTCACGCACCAAGATCAAGGTCAAGGGTCACGCCCACTCATACAACATGCACTGGTACAAGAAGATTGATGGAGTCTGGAAATTCGCCGGTCTCAACCCGGATATCAGATGGGGCGAGTATGACTTTGACAAAGTCTTCGCCGAGGGTCGTGAGGAACTTGGTGAAGAGGAGGCCAAGAAGGTTGCACAGGAAGCCCAGGGCATTCCCACTTCATGAAAGGAATGCTCCTGCACATTTTAAGAGTTTGGACATCTGGACATATAGGACAACAGTGACGATGGGTTCGATTGGATAGGCCACGGTAAACCCGACGGCTCGACTCGAAGTTAGACGCTGTTCAATATGACAAGTCTGAAGACTTTACAATCCGTCAGCTCTTCGGCCCGCCCTGGTAAGGCTGCCTGCCTGTCTATTCTTAGAATTCTGCAAAGTGCCCGGGACGTACGTGTTCCAGGACGAAGCACTCTGCGACGATATCACCGGTAGAGGACCAAATTACGGCCGTGCCTGTCGATACCGACTGCCGAGATCCGTTGGTCTCACCAGGAATTCGTGGGCACTTCTTCAAGTCTTGCTCCGGAAAGATCTCGACAGATTAAAGCCGCTTCTGAGCGACCTTGAGCATATTGCCTGGAGTCCACTGCTTCTGCCATTGTAGGACTCGCTCCCTTGTCCTGGTCCTCTAGGGGTAGTAGTAGCTTGCAGCGGATACCTTGGTGCCCGGTCGCTGTGTATGCCTACAAATGGCTCTGCATTGCTATCACTCTGAACGTGGTTCTGGACCACTATGTCTTCTCCTTTCTTGTCTCGAATGTCTCCTCCCCTTCGCTTACGACGAAGGGATGGACGGTGGACGATCCGGCAATCACGTGTATGCTGAGTCAGCGAGTCACGGACTTCTCTGACTTCCATCCATCGTTGCGTTTCCGGTCTGTTGTCTTGATTGTTAACATTGTCTCCTGTTCGGAAAACAGCAGTACTACCTTGGCCACTTTTCAAGCGTTAGATTTCCGCGTCGTCCACGTGCTCAACAAAGGCCCCACGATATCGGCAGTTCTTTTTTGCCTCCAGCATATCCCGTACATTGGCATCTCTGGACTCTGGCTTGGCTAGAAGCATGGTAGGTTGTTTTGAAGATGGCTAGCTTTTTAAAGCTGGCCTCGCCTGCACTAGACACTCGCTCTCACCCGGCGCCTATCACTTGCTATCTTTCGATCCATGTCTTCCTTCGAGTACTGCGCCCCGAAATTGGAAAAGTCGAGAGCAATTCTATCTTCGGTTATCCTAGCCTACGAGGTGTAACAGCTTCTCACGCCGTCTCTCTCTTGGGCCAAGGCAACCCGGACGAAAACATGACCTGGGAACATTTTAAGTGCGGCTTTTTCCCCGGCACTTCCACGTTTCTCAATGCGAGACAAGGGTGTTTCGTTGAACGCACCGGTTATCCTGCTGAAGCATTCGGACAAGACCTTTCTTGGCATCAATGCACCAAGCGGCTTACCTACACATCTGGTTGGACGCTGTATCTTCCCCAAGACCGACTAAAGTCTCAAGAATGCTTGGACACAGCGCAATGTCTGCTGCCAACTCATCCTTTCAGCATATGCCGGGGCCCCAGATTCCCTTTCTAATGTGGGAGTAGCAGGTTTTGGAAAATGGGCATAGCCTATCTCGCTCCCAAGTCTCGAACCCACTGTGGGATCAACCAGGGCTTTAAAATACTCCATGGGACCTCATTCTTGTCTCTTTGCCTTACGGGCAGTCTTTTCTCGTAGGGGGTTTCGATCAAAGTGGTATGGTAAGGCCAAATTTGACATCATTGTGACCTTCAAGAACCAGCTGGCGAGATGCTTGACAGGAAAGAGTCTAGCCTTTGGGCTCATAGGAAATGTCTTATGATTTGCTGCGTTGTAGCAATATCGAACATGCAGTATGGATTTGATACGGCAGCGGTGGGCGGCTTGCAAGGTAAGTAATCTCATGTAGCCGACCGAGCTCTCTATGCTGCCACCTTGGACTTGGATTGACCTAACACTTTTTGCATGCTAGCTATGCCTGGGTTCCTCAAAGTGTTCGGTTTTCCCAGCGAGAAAAGCCCGAATGGCTATGGCATCGATGTGAGTCCGCTATCTGGATGGCCCTGTAGGGGCCCACGTCTGATTGAGTTTTTTTACAGCCTGTTTTCCAACAGCTCATCAGCTCGCTCCTGACGCTCGGTTCCTTCATCTCGTCCCTGCTTGCTGGCGTGTTTGCATCATTCTTCGGTCGCAAAGTGGGTATCTGGTCTGCCTGTGCGTTGAATGCCGTGGCGGTCGCCATTCAAATCGGCACTACCTCCAAAGGAGCAATCTACTTTGGCCGCCTACTGCTTGGACTTGCCAACGGCTTCCTCGTTACCTTCTCGAACGTATATACTTCAGAGGCTTCGCCTGCTCATCTCCGAGGGGTCGTAAGTATGCCCCCTTTCTTCTCTCCGCGAACAATCCGCCATTCCAGCACGAGTCTTATGTTTTGTTCCCGTCCTCATCGGCGTCATTATCTGACAGTGTGCAGATGGTCGCTTTGTTCGCTTGGTGGGTCAACATCGGCTCCATCCTTGGGGGAACCGTGGACAAATTCACCAAGGTACGATTGGACAAGTCGTCCTACCAAATCCCGTTGGGCTGCCTGTACATTGTGCCGACAGTTCTGGCTATTGGTCTATTCTTTGTCCCAGAGAGCCCTAGGTTCTTGTTGCACAAAGGGAAAGAAGCCGAAGCCAAAGGGGCGCTGATATACCTGCGTGGTTCGGCTCTGACCAAAGACGAGCTGGAATTTGAATGGGCCGAGATGCTCCGGGGTCTTGAAGAAGAAAAGAAGAATGCCAAAAGCGTTGCATGGATGGACATGTTTAGAGGTAAGCTCTTACTCTCTAGCCATCCAGTCTGCCTGTCTGCTAACACGATCCCTTAGGAAGCGACCTTCGTCGCACGATTCTATGCTATGGCATGATTGGCTGCCAGAGCGCCTCTGGAATATGGTTCTTGATTGCATATCAAACATATTTCCTGCTTCAGGGTGGAGTGACGAAGGCTTTCGAGTATACAATTATGACGAGCTGCATTGGATTCATCGGGGTCAATGTTGGAATGTTCTCGATGCGACATTTGTTCGGTCGGCGAAACATTCTCATGATCGGAGCGATGGGTTGCTGTCTCTGTCAACTTGCCCCTGCCATTGCTGCCAGTACCAGCGATAACTTGACATTTCGTGCCAACATCCTCACCGCATTCATCGCCTTGTTCAAATTCTTTTACAACGGCGGTGTGGGAGTGGCTTCTTATGCAGTGGCCACGGAAGTTGTGAGCACGAGGTTGAGAGCCTGGACAGTCGGTAGTGCCACTGCCATTGGATACCTTCTCGCTTGGCTGGTGAGCTTCTGCTCGCCATACTTCATCAATCCTGCTGAGCTCGGCCTGGTAAGTGGAACAGTTCACACCGTACTCTTCTAAAGATGCTGATTCGTGACAGGGCGCCAAATACGGCTACGTTTGGGCCGGCTCAAATTTTGCCTGCGTCGTCTGGGTCTTTCTCTTCATGCCAGAAATGAAGGGTCGCTCGCTCGAAGAACTGGACGAAATGTTCATCAACAAAGTGTCGGTCCGAAACTTTCGGAAGTACGAATGTGCCCTGCGCCAGGACGCGGCGAATGATGTCTACTTGAAAAGTGAGGAAGTGAAGGTCAAGCAGATTGCGGCGACACACGGTGAAGAGATCGAAGCACAGAGCAAGTGAAAAACCAGGCCAGCTGCCTAGAGGAACTGAGGTTGAGCAGATCTATGTCACCAGCCAGTACAGGATGCTCGTTGCATTGTCCGTCGGTGTCATAGTCGAAGCTCTCGCGGGAGTGGACTCGGGCTAGGAACGCTATGGTGCTCTCGGTCGCAGGGTATGAGGTCTTGATCATGCAGCACTTTTGCAAGTGTAGCTTCAACATCGTGTTCCGTGAGCCAAGTCATGCTCGGTCTGTTTTCCATTCTCTCCCTCAACTCTGCATCCGTTGTTGGGGCTGCAGCTCCCACCCCAGCAAGCACACTCCTGACCAGCTGCTCCGTATGAGGCCGCCTGGTCTTCTCATATAGTGTCAGCGCGAGCTGAATATCCGCCACGGACGGCATTTGACCAGGTCCAAGACTGGCCAGGACATGCTTGACCAAGAGATACAAGGCCCAAGAGTCATCCAGAGCAAGCGAGCCACCCGCAGCATGCGCTCCGCCATGCGTATGCGCCGCGTCACCGACCGAAGTCACACGAGAACCGAATACCCACGAATCCAGCGGCTCGCCTGCGAAGTTGGAATACATGCGGACATGGGGCGTTGCGTCCGCAAGGGCTTTGACCACGGGATTCCAATCCTTGTACAGCTCTCTGAAGAATGACACGTCTCCTTCCTGGTCCCAGTGGAAGTTCTCCCCCTCTGCAGGAAAGTCCTTGGGGTCATAGTTGCCGACCGTCGAGTACATGTTTCGTCCGAGCCGCGACGCAAAGAACGTGTACCTCGGACCCCTCCAGTGCGTCGAATCCGCAGGGAAATCCGGCATGTTTTCGACCAGCGACGCATCGAAGGTTGACCGGATCCATGTCCGGCCCGTGTAGTGCAGTGTATGCTCCGGTTTGAACGTTTCTCCGTGCCTTGCGACCGAAGCCCGTCAGCCCCGATAAAGATGTCTCCTCTGGCGTTCGTCCCGTCTTCAAAGGCCAGCGTCACCCCGTCGCCGTCGCCGTCAACTTCAGCGGACTTGACAGCCTTGTGAAGATGGATGTTCTCACTCGGCACGTGGGCGAGGAGCGCTTGATGCAAGTGCGCCCGGTGGAAGCGCGCTGTTTGGTGTTTCGTGTCAGGCACATTGACGAACTGGTCCACGCTCACGATGTCGTTGGTCTTCCAGTGCCGATAGATCATGTGCAGCGCACTGGGCCCGCGGAATGCAACGTCGTGGTCGAGAGCACTGTGTACGCCCAGCCTTTCCAGGGTGCGCAGGCCATTTGGACTCAAGGCTATACTGGCGCCAATTTCTCGTAGCCCGGTCGCCTTGTCGTACAATTGGATGTTGAATTTGAGGTTCGGCTTGTCGAGTTGACCGAGAGCAATGGCCGAAGCGAGGCCGGCGATGCTTGCGCCAGCGATGAGGACTTTGACTTCAGTCATCGACCGGAACGTGAGTAGACCCTTTTGCAGCCTCCACCACATGTCCTCATCGTAAGGTGTAAGAGAAAGTCAACCGTAATATGCCAGGATATTGGCATACCGTGGACGTATACATTTCTGGAGATGTGCGTGTAACAATTCCCAGCCATGTCGCTGGCTTGCGAGGCAAGTCTCGGCATGGTTTTCCTCTACAAGCATCCTTCAGCGACTGAGCACGCAATACATGGGACATCAAGCACGATAGTGGACAATGTGGTGACCAAGCGAAAACAAGTGGAAATTGTAGGCAGTCGCATAGCAAGCTACAACAATTGCTTTCATATCCTCAAGCCCACCCATTCTAACGCGCCAGCAGATGAATACCGCCAATGCACAACAACAATCTGGTGGTCAAGATGATCATACAAAATTAGAGTCAAAAGCACACGCCTGCATTCCATGTCATCGCTCCTAGTGCAACCCATACCATAAAGTCAGTCAGCCGGCCCTTTCCTTTTCAAATTCTTTTGAGTTATGCACCGACCCTCAGATGGTGGAAATCGTATCTATTGTCATTTTTCGGAACCGCAATATGTTTTCCCGAATGTTGTCATTATGCGTGAATACCGGTCGATCAGATCAGTAGTCTTGGTAGTTTTCGAAATTTTGAGTCGACATGTAGCCACTCGTCGGTCGACTGGGTTGTGGTGCCCAATTGCCATTTGCTTGTGCTCGTCGTTCTGCAAAGACTCAGTCAGCAAAGCCCAGGGTCGAAGAACCGGCAGAAAGACTTACCTCTCTCAAAATCAGCCCACCTCTTCATGGTGATCTTGGTGCTATCGAACTCTCCTTCATACTCAAGGCCTGCTTTCTTTGTCTTCTCACCCGCTGTTTTTCGTGTCTCGCCCCAACTGAAGTCGTCAAACTTCCAGTAAGCATATATTGGGAGCACGAAGTTCCAAATCGGCAGTGAACACAGATAGATAAGCATCCAAAGGATGTATGACCAGCGATGAGCCGTCAGGACAATGAGCACGGCCGGCAGACCAAGAATAAGAGCTAGCAGGATCAACGGGATCACAGGGACTGGCTTCTTGACAATCGAGATGATGATCAGATAGACGGTAAACGCAATGGCGGCCGGTAGGACGAGCGTGCCGATGAGTTCGATGAACACCACGAATTGCATGCTGAAGCAGAACGTGCCGCACAGATCCCGAACCAGAACGAGCTCCATCAGGTTGTGCACCGTACTGTTGATCCATCTTCGTCGCTGCGAGAGCAAGACTTTGAATTCATCCGGAACTTGTGTCTTGCACACGGCCTGTGGTACGAAGACTTGTTTTCGTTTCGGGAAGGTCTTCAGCATCAGTGTCGAAAGATAACGGTCCTCACCCAGAAGCAGCAGATTCTTCTTGTGTAGCGTGTCGACCACGTTCTCGGAGTAATGCTCGACGATGTCGGGATTGGCCAAGATGGGAACCCAATAGTTTTGACCGCCTTTGGGCGACTTGATCCGGTACATACAGAAACAGCCTGGGAGACAAGTGACGCCACCAAAGACTGATTCGAATGATTTTGAGAGATGGTGTGAAATGAAATACTCAAAGACCTGGATGCGTGTGACCCAAGATTGAGTCTTGTTTGAGATCTTGGTCTCGCCACAGAGACCCATGATTTCAGGGTCTTTGACCATGGCCGATATCATGTGGGTTAAGCTGTCGGGGAAAACCTTGGTATCTGCGTCAACCATGAGCACAGTCTCGTAGAAGTCTGGAGACATGCCCGTGACTTTCCACAGGCCGTTGAACATTTCGTACTCCAATTCCGTCATTCTTTCGTCGAACATGACCTTTTGCAAAAAGGACATCAGGATGATCTGACTGTCACGCTTGCCTCGGTTTCCAGGTTTGCTTTTGGTGCCTTCATCCGGAGTTCCACATTTGACAACAACCATCATGGGCACTCTTTGCTGCTTGGTAGGTGCTATCCTTGACCCGGCGCCATAGTCATAGAATCCTGAATAGACTTTGGCCATGTTATGTCGTTTCGACCCGCTGGCAACGGCAACATATGAAAAAGCTTGGACGTCTTCGGGAACAATGACAAAATCGCCCATCATTCCAAGTACGATGTCCGGTGTAGACAAGGCTTCCCCTTTGCCTTTGATCAATCCGTCGCAAATGACGATGATGGCTTTATGGCTGTTGGGATAGTCCGTGGTCGCAATAGAGTCCAAAGTAGTACGAATGCCGTCTTCACCCTCTGAGTAGGCTGTCACGAGGCAAAGAGTATGAGCGAGTGGATAACCAAATGGCTGCCATTCTGGAGGTGGTTGAGGAACGACGTTGTCATGGATAAAACCGACAGGACCATTTGCTCCAAGATTGTCCATCGCAACCGAATAGCGCGTTTCGTGCCCGGAGAGAAGCAGACTGGATCTACTAGCTCCGACACTCATCCGTGAGGGCAACAAGTCCAGCGTATTCTGGCTGCTATTGTAACCGCTCTTGTACAGACTACCAGCTCCCTGAGTCAACCTGGCCTGCGAAGATTGGCTGGTCATTGTCGTAGGGGGTGCTCGATTTGCCTTTGCAGCACGTTCGACGGCATAAGGGCTTGTGAAGCGTGACGTCTGCGGGAACAACATACTTCCACGTTTGCTGGTCCTCCCATCCGATCCAGAAATAGTACTTGCCGGGTCTGCGAGTTTTGGAGCCGGTTTATAAATATCGGCAGTCCAGGCCTCGATCTGCTCGGCTCGCTTTTTCGGGTCCATTGTTTGGGATGTTTTCGCAGCTCCGTACTTGCGAGCCAAAAACCACTGAAAGGCCAAAGCCAGGAAAAATTTGGCCAGCACAATAGCAAGGATGAACACCAACGATACGTATAAGACGACTTTGGAGGCGATGCAGCCCACCGACTCAGTGTCGATGGAGCCAACCTTGGCGATCTGACTCAGACATTTTCCAACCTTCTTGTCTGCAGATGATTGTAGGACATGAGTGATATCCATTCCGCGGATTTGCCCATTTGTGCGGAGATCGTCAAACTGAGTAGGCCAGGCTACCTGACTGTCATTGAACCACCTCAGGAGATCCAAATCGATGACGGAGCCGGAGTACACCACGAGGTTTCGGCTTTTGTTTTTGACATCGTCCCAGGTAAAGAAGACTTCTCCCGATTGTCTAAGGCCGTGAAAGAACGTGTCTCGACCCTTGGAAGTGGTGTGGCAGGCGTACCCCAGGTAGTAAGGTACAGTCGTGTTGACGGGGGACGAACCATCCTGGTTGAAAGCTACACAAGGAAAGTACCAGGCGAGGTCTCCATCCGAGTTTGTGGGCACATCGGAGCCTGGTGCTAGCGTAACCAGTCCTTTGCAGTCGCCATTGACCTTCTGAAACATAAAGCTCCCATCTTGGCCGCCGTACTTGTGAGGTAGATCATACAGCACATTGGTGTCGAGAGGAACGCCCAGAGCGGCAGGATGTTGCGAGCGGGACAGATCGAATGCATTGCCATGGAAAATCATGTAACCACGATCCACATGATTGATCTTGAGTCGAAGTCCAGGCTGCGCACAAACGGCTTGTGTGAAGCCGAAGGTCAAGAAGCCGACAAAGGCAGCAATCAGCAAGATGATGCTGATCAAGCCGCACTTTTCTCTCCAAGCTCTTCTCTGTGCACGCGCTGGCATACCGAAGCATTGCAGGACGAAATCGGGTGCCCAGAATGTGATGATTGCACAATACACATTCCAAGCGCTTGGGGGTTTGATCCTATCAAGTTCTTTTTGTCGCAGTTTTTCCTCTTCAGTCATATTTCGAGTGTCCTTCCGGACCAGTTTCCGTGGTTGTTTCTTCTTGCCAACGGGTTCTAATTTTCCCGGAACATGCGCTGTCCGTTGTTGACTGGGAGCAAAATCATCGTCGAGCGGAGGCTTCTGGTTGCCGCTGTCTGAGCTGACTGTCCGGCCATCTGTCAGATCTTCTGCCACGGGGTCATTCCCAGTCGTAGAAGGGAAAACTTCCATGTTCTGAGCATGTTTACGGTAATAGTAATTGGGATGATCTCGATCGATTCTGTTTCGTTCAGGACGGATAAGAGATTTCTTGCGGCCGAGCTCGCTCTGGGTCATGTTGGACATGATGGGTTCCCAATCCGCAGTTCGGGATCCGGGTGAAGGAGGGTAAGGATCAGGGCCGTATCGCTGGCTCGAGTAAGGAGCTTGGTTGTGTCCCCCTGTTTCGATGTCCCTAAAGCGCCGAGAAGGAGAGTCTCTGTAGGGTGAATGTGATTTTTCTCGTGTAGGTGAAGTTGTAGGCCGTGGCCTACGCGGGTCTGACATGTCCTGCAGAAGAAGGAATGTTAATGCTCGGCATTCACGATCAACAATGGCATTGTGATTGACACGCACGGCTCAGTATAAATATCAGTGTGCAAGCTTGTATTCTCGCCAGATTCTTCTCAATCTTTGTTTCCTGAGGACCGCGCCGGCGCTGTCACTCCACCATAGATCTATTCGACGAGCGGATATGCAATAAGGAGGCTGCACACTCGACGGATTATACTGTGTACACTGCAACGGCGGGTATTCTGCAGAGAAAGCGCGTACAAGGTGAGCGATAGGAACTGCGGCTCGAAGTGCAGAGTGACTGTTGCGGTTGCGGAAGGGTGAAACGAGTTGTGGCTGCGTTTGTTGGCCACGACGGACACCTATGTTTCGAAAGCGAGTGACAACCAAAATCCGTCGACAGATTGAGAGATCAAATGAATGCCCGTTGACTGAGTGAGTGTATGGCCAAGAGTGTACTATGTGTTCGTGGGGGTCAGGGAATGAAGCAGGCTGAGGAGAGGAAAATAACGAGTGTGCATCCTTCACTACGGTGTTTGGCCTGCATGAATACGGATGAGAAAATACAGGCTCAGGCTCAGGCTTCTGACAGGGATTTGGTGGATCATCAGGAGAAACAAGAAAACCAGATCTTTCCATCGAGATGAGGCAAATCGATCTCCTTTCAACATCTTAGGTATCTTTCAATCGGCAAGGTATGCCAATGCACTCCTTCTCTTCGTTCCACTCATGTTTTCGACTTCGACCTCTTCAACAACCTCAATCTGGCTTGCCTCTGTTGTCCTCCTTCGTCAAAACAAGTCTTCCAAACTGCGGAGAGAGGCTCGGTTGTGGCTGAGTTCTGATCGCTAGGTTAGTGTGGTTAGTGTATTTTTATCTCCGAGGTTGCCCTGGCAGTCGCTCGTCAAATCAAGCTATCATGGTGAATTCTTGTTGAAACCACTCCTCCGCCACAAGAAGCCTCCTCCTCTGGTATGACACCTGCGTGCACCTGTCAGTGACCGCAGTCGACGCCTGTTACAAGCCTGAGGGGATTTTGGGCTGCGTCTTCGATGGGTTGTCTGTCTTGAGCTTGGGCCTCGCAAATTCGCTACTGACCTGAGTATGGCACGCACTGTCATCATCTCACCATACCCATCATGCAATGATTTCGGTTGGAGGAACGACTATTAGGATGTTGTGGCTGTCTTGTCTCAATGAAGACTTCTCTAAAGTGAGACCTGCTCCGTATGAGGCGGCGAAATGGCATCAAAAGGGTTTGGAGGCCGGCCGCCCCCGGATAGATCTTCCTAAGAACAAGCCCAGGGAGTCGTGGGAGCCTGGGATTTCCCACCTATTGAGACTGATGGGGCGGAACGGACAGTCGTCCAAGCGCCGAGTGTGCCTATACGCGTGGTCGCCCATCACGCTTCCAACAACAGGCTCAGAACAAACTCTGCACCCAGCCTTGACTGACAACCTCGACCTATACTTGTGGTATCCTGTACGCTGGTGAACACTGTAGACATCATACGAGTGACACCTTCACGGGCCTCCAAGCACCAGGTGCCGAAAGTCTGGTCATTCGATCATTGTAGCCGAGGTCGTCATATCGTGTAACTCTGGGCCCGTGAAGCAGTACGTAACCACCCAGTAGCCGTTCTAATCCACAAGAATCGTTCAAAGACATGTTCTTTGTCTGCACAGAGAAAGGAGCATTCTATTTTGACCACCACTAATACGTGTACGGCTCAGAAAAGGGAGGACGTCAACTGCGGGGCGGTGACCCTGTCACTGTCACTGCCATTCAACTTCTCATCCTCGCTCCCTGCCAATTCTACACAGTATCCCCATTCCACCACATTTCCATAACCAACTCTTCCTGGCCGCCTTCTGAAGGAATTTTATGCCCTCCACTTCGTGACACTTCGGTTCGTCAGCATAGCCACACTACTTGTCTGTCTCTTCAACCAGAGCCATATCCGCTAGTACCTGCGTCCGACCGTCATTCTTGACCAATATCCGTTCTCTCCCCGGATCAAGACGCCACAGCATTCCTGCACAAGAGATGATCCCCAGACACTCCTTTTCTTCCACCAGATCCGCTAGCTACTAGTACATTCCACGTCGCCTTCTCTCCGTGGTTGCTGGTCAATCACTTCTCAGGCTATTCACGGGGACAGTAATTCCCTCTAACTTCGCAGCCTCTCCACAACCTATCCTTTCTTTAGGGGACCGATGCCTTTCGTCTAAAGTGCCCAGAGCCCAGTCGTTCGTTCAAATGGCTCAAACTGCTAGCCACCCGCTCCCTCCGACCCCTCCTCCGCCGATCTACTCTCCTCCTCTGCGGACCGACAGTCCCCAGATCATTGAGCCAGTGCAAGATGGTGGAACTAATAGTCATGCCGGTATTTCGAGACCAAAGATCTCACAATCGAGGCAGATGAGCAACCCTTCAATATCCATGTCCCTTGCAGACCGCCGGTCCTCAGGAGGAGCACATGCGGCTGCCAATGTCCAGATCAGTTCGCCCGAGACCGCAATGTCAAAGACAGCCGATCCCGTTGCGGTAAAGCGCACGCTAACTCCCCAGCAGTCTCAGCAGCAAGATCCAAGCAGACTGTCACCATCCCCTTACGCCATGCCGCGGCGGCGGCCTGTAGAGGGCAGCGTCGTTCAAGACCACCGACGGGTTTCGTCCGAGAATTATGCTCCAAAAGACGGAAACATAGAGTTGACACCCTTTCAAATGCGATCTATGCGACATGCGTCCACATCGGCTATCGACACAGAGGCCCCTTCGGAGAGCTTTGAGCCACTGAGGTATCACCATCAACTCATGGAAGAGGCGGAGATGAGCTCCCTCGATAATCGAGCGTCCAAATTGACCATCGCTACCGACGTATCAGGTCAGCCGGATAGTGCTCGCAACAGTACCTATGGCAGGAACTTGCAGAGACCAGACAGTGGCTTCTCGAGCACCTCCGATTTTCGTGGACGATCACACTCTCCCAATTTGTCTCCTGCTCGGCCTATATCGAGAGGGTCTCGGTCGCCAGACACGAGACCTCTGTCCTATGTCGATCTTCTCAACGTCCCATATCCACAGCCGGCGCCTAGTGGTGCAGAAAATTTGGTCAATTCAGGTCTTCGCACGGTGGTTGGTAGTAACGCCAATCTGTTGTCGACACGAAAAACGCTTGAGATGTACCGGGCCAATGTCAAAAAGACCAACGATCCGGCTGTGCAGTATGAGTTTGCCGTCTTCATGATTAGTGCGGCGCAGGAAGAGGGACTAGAAGCTGACACGGTATCGGAAACGGCGGCATCGGAAAAGTCGAATCAATCCGTAAGAGAAGATTTGCTGAAGGAGGCCAAGCATATTCTTCAAAAACTATCCGATAGATCATATCCTTTTGCGCAGTACTATCTGGCGGATGGATACGCTTCTGGCCTCTTCAGCAAAGGTAAAGAAGATTGGGATCGGGCGTTTCCCCTTTTTCTGTCTGCATCCAAACATGGGCACGCCGAGGCGGGGTACCGTACCGCTTTGTGTTACGAGTTTGGCTGGGGTTGCCGGGTGGATGCAGCCAAAGCTGTTCAATTCTACCAACAAGCAGCCAGCAAAAACCATCCAGGTGCTATGCTTCGACTTGGACGGGCTTGCCTAACCGGCGACATGGGACTGACCAAACGATACCGTGAAGGTGTGAGATGGCTCAAGCGAGGTGCTGAGTCTGCCGACTTCCAATACAACCAAGCTCCTTATGATCTAGGCTGCCTTCATGAGACAGGCTATGGTCCGGACGTGTTCAAGGACGAAGCCTACGCAGCCCAGCTGTATACAAAAGCTGCTGATCTCGGACATGTTGAGGCCAACTATCGACTCGGGCAGGCCTACGAGCACGGACATTTGAACTGCCCCCAGGATCCCGCCCTCAGCATTCATTTCTATACCGGTGCAGCAGAGCGGGGACATGCAGAGTCACAAATGGCGCTTTGTGCTTGGTACATGGTTGGAGTTCCCAATGTCTTGGAAAAGGATGAAGCCGAAGCATACGAATGGGCCAAAAAGGCTGCTGAGCAAGGGTTACCCAAGGCTCAATACACGGTTGGCTATTTCACCGAGATGGGCATTGGCTGTCGTCGTGATCCGCTCGAAGCCAACGTCTGGTACGTCAAGGCGGCGGATCAGGGGGAAGAACGAGCCAAACACCGTATTGCAGCAATCAGAGCTGCTGGTGCCGGAGCAGATCCAATGACTGCAGCGGCAGCGGGAAAGAAGGGATTGTTGACAACTAGTAAAAGTTCGGGAAACGTTGGACCCCAGGGTGAGCATGCTGACGGCAACATCTACACCAATGCCACATCACTGACGAGAAATACAGAGGGAGAAAAGAAGAAAAAGTTTGGTATCTTCTAGACAGATACTTTCGATGTCTAGCATTTGATGGCGCGAGCTTCCAAGAATTGGAGAGATGTAGAAGTATTCTCGACACCAAGGAACATTACGACATCTGGGTGGAATGCACGACGAAGCGTCGATGGTATTTTCGGGAGCTGAGCATGGCTGCCACTACCTACTTAATCAAACAGCATTGTATTGGTGATTGCAGGTGGAAAGATTGCTGCCCACCGCACAAAAAGCATAGCATAGCGAGGTCAAGGGATTAGTTAAAGCGTGGTTCCTCGACCACCTCGACCAAGATCATAGACGGCCGTGAAGCTGGATATGTACGAGGTACGATAGTTGAAGCAATTTTCTACGGAAGACTCCGTATGCTTCTCGTCTTTTCCTTTCTTGCAGCCACAATTCCTTCCTCTCTTGGTCTTGTTTGGCCTTGGTCGGAAACAACCAGTCGTCACAACGAAATCAGTATTTCCGTTCCCCAACACCAGTCAACATCCTCCCCTCTTAACTAGTCGGCATGATTGATCTACAAGTGGCCTGGGAGTCATTTGGCGCTTCTCGAGGGACATCGATGTTGTCTTCCATTGGTCAATTCTGGCGGTGTACAGACCGTGGCCCTTGGCGTGCAGCACTGTCGATTCGTCGCCAATCAATCTGCCAACACGACGACCATCTGCATCCCTAGCCCATCACCGCCAGATCTCGAAACCACAACTATCTCCATCACATGGCCCTGAAGCATGACCATGATTGAGACTATCGGCATGTCGGTGCCGGTCTTCCTCCACTCTCGACTACTATGGTATGGCGACCATGGCGATGTATCCTTCAGAAGATCTGGCATCCAATCTATCGTGCAGCCGCCCATCTCCATCCACCCCACAAAGTGCAGCTTCAAGCTCCAGATGCCAGCAGATCTCTCTAACGTTGCCTTCCCAAAACAGTTGACGCCCTTTGCCCACGGCTCGAAATTCACACCTACATTTCCCCTTGTATTCTTTCATTTTTGTCAGATTGCCTTTTGTTTCGAGTTATTTTCGAGCCTTCCCTCGAAGGCTTTTGTGGGACTGAGACATGACATACAGCATTATGCATGAGTCTGCATCTGGCGGACTCTCACCGTACATCATGTGCTGACCCCATATAATACTACCATACGTAAGTATGTGACCGAGCTTCAGTGACGACAAACAACCTTTCGCTCATTGCCTCCAGTCTTTGTGTGTTTGGCTTTCTTATCTTTGTCAATGACGAGCTCCGAACAAACAGCTGCATCAACAATACCACTGCGTCACCGCAACGAACAGAAAGCTGCGGGTCTGTGCTACCCAAAACCGTCTTTACGAAGCGACGAGGATTTCACGATCAGACGAATTACGAGTAAAAAGCACCGAGACCAAATGAACCAGCATACGATTGACGAATCTGATGCCGAATCATTCCATTCGGCCATCTCGAGCGTGGCGAGAATAAAGTCGCGATGTCAGTCAACGAGGCACGGAGACCGACCCGCTAAGACATCTAGATGCAGGCGATCTAGGACACAGATTTCGCAGGAAGAGAACGCAGCCCTCAATGCTAGATCGCCATCAGAGCACCACCGAGCGTCCAACGAGAACGGCCAAAATAGTTCACAGCTCTATTCGAGTCAATCTCGCCATCGCCCAAACCAACCCACCATACCCAGACGACAAAGCAGCTCAAACCTGGACAGAAAGAAGAGAAGAAAATCTGTGCGAAAAGATCCGGCTACTTTGCATCGTGAGAGCTGCCAGCTCTTCTCGTCACTGGATGGCATGCTTGCCTTGAGTCGGGAGTTTACACCGCTACCTAGCGTATCGACCACACGGACAGGGACCCGACATGGGTCTCTCATCGTAGAAGAGACAGCAAAGCCAGAAGAAGCAGAAACCATACATCGTCTTTGCCGGAAGGTGGACGAGAGGTTGCAATCCGTCGAACACGAGCCATTCTACTCATGTCGAAGAAGGAGTGCGTCGTCATTGCCAATCTCTCAGTCAAACTATTCTGCGTTGACGCTTCAGTATCACTCACGTGTCACACCACGAATATCAATATCTACCAGTGATATGCGCAGCCACGGTCGGAGGGACAGCACCTCAGTGGGGACTGGCGAGCGACCTTATAGGCCACCTTTGAATACCGTCATTTCTTGGACTTCAGACGCCTCGCGACGGCAGGAGTACGAGAGAATTGATCGAGCTCATTCCGGCGTCAGAGGCATGTTTTCGAAGATCTTGCCAAAGTGTATGCACTCTAAAAACAAGAGGAGAGCTTTCTTCACGGGCGACTGCGACGGCGATAGTGTCAGAAGGTTCAGGATGAGCCTCGACGACACGAACCATGCTGATGATGAGCCAGTTGTGGAGGAGAAGAATGAAGTATCAAATTTGGATGCCTTCAACGAGAAGCGTGCACTTGAGTCTGAGCAGCGAGGCTTGAAAGACAGCCCAGAGCCGACGGCCAAGACAGGAATCGACACAATGAAGCGCTGGTGGACATGTTTCCAATAAGAAAGGACAGTGTCGTGGTCAGGCGAGACCTGGCCCATATCATCGACTCAGAGTCACGAGGCCTTCACAAGTCGTTGATGAACAAGGTTGGCCGCCAGGCATACCCTTATTTTGCATCGCATCTGGTGTTGCAGCATGCCATTCATGGATCCACGAAACCTGGACGACCAGGGAACCGTCAGTGCTTGATTTTGATTCTCCTATGTTTTTGAAGCAAGAAATGGAGCGGAACAGTGCTCCAGATGAGTCGAGATGGGCACAGACCTACAGGAACGACTAGACGAGCAGACGATATGCAGATATGATGATGGTCGCCTGGAACGAAAAAGCTGTTCTTACAGGCAAATAGCAGCAATATGCAAATACTGGTATATTTGAAATACCTCCACTGTATGGGTGTTAAGAAGATGCCACGCTGAGTCGAACCTTGGATGATACGTGCGACATGATCTTTTCTACGTAGATTGCAAGCACAAAGGCGACTCAATCAGTCGCACTCCGGCTTGCGAAGTGGAGTATCTCGCATTCGTCGATTTCTCGGGGTTTGAATACTACAGAAGATCTCTGAGACTGGCAAAGTACTCTGCTCGGTTGAAAGGCCTCCACGCTCAGGCACCTGGTTCGCCGCCGGCATCGAGGAGCCCTCTCCATGTAATTTTCAAAACTCCGAGGGGTTCGAGCTGGTGAAGCGCCTGGAAATCAATAATTTGGTATGCTCGCGTCCTTCGTATGATTGCCCAAGTCTTGCCTGCGTCGCGACCAATGGGATACATTTAACCGTGCTGAACAGGCCACAAATTCTTCTCTTCGTTTCATGACATCTCAGGCTTCCAGGTCAGGAGGGTCCTGAGCTGGGTTGTATTTCGGCTCCAGTAAGTGTATAGGAGACAACAGCACTGTGGCTACATAGAGCCGACCTAGGATTGGAGGCCTGCTTGAACTACCAAGCTGTGCGGGCTCGACCTGTCATCGTCTGTCCGTGAACGGTCGTCCGTGGACGCAATGCAGGCCCTGTCGTGCTCAATGCCATTCTGCATCTCGGTAACGGATTTCGATTCGGATAGGCTGCGCAATCGCACGAAGAAGAGCCTTTGGGTGATATTTTTCCGCATAGTGGCATGTGGCTTTCTGGCATAGTGGATGATATCCGTTGTTCGTTTCGTCCTACTTGTCCACCTCATAAAAGCACGTTTTCCTCGCCTCACAGCAAATCAAAATCATCCAACTTCTCCCGATACTGAAGGACCTGTCTCTTGACTTTACTCGCGTCGACCCACGTCACAAAATCTTCCATGCCCCGTGATACCAGAAACGCCGGGTCCGTCACGACTTCGGTGCCGACACGAACGTGCCCCTGCTCAATGAACTTGTGGGCGGTGCTGATGTGTTCGACCATGCCTATCCGCACCATGAGTACACCTAGTCTGCGGCGACAGAACGCGGAGACGGTGACATCCTTTTCGACGCTGCTCAGACCGGCGCCCTGGCCGCGGTTCTGTTTCAGGATGCCGATTTGGTGCAGCTTCTCGAGCATGATGGTCTCTGTTTCGACGCGGTATGGGTCGCTGGGATCGAGGTTGGAGAGGAGATGCGCGAGTTGGCGCAGTCGGCCGGCCAGGGCGTTGTATTTGCTATAGTCGAGTGGGTGGGTGAGGTGGTAGCGCCGACGGACGGCGGCTTCGCGGTGAGATGGTCCATCGGACTTGTAGGTGGTGAGGTCGACTTTGCGGAGGAGCCGGGACTCGTGATGTTTTAGTTTGCGGACCATGGCTGTAGGTGCGAGTGTAGGAGGGAGGAGGGCGGCGACGGTGTGGTGGTCGATTTGTTGAAGGTGAGGCTCTGCCACGTGAAAAAAAGATTTGATGCGGAGGAGAATTGGACGAGACGGGGAAGTTAGCCGCTCCAAGCCGCTATTCTCTTTCTGGTAGGGGTTTGGTGGCTTATGATTGGGGTCTGACTCTTGATTGGGCCTCTCTAGCCCGCTAAATCTCGAGCCCTGTGGCAGGTAACTTAGTCGTATCCTTCTGTCTGACTCCGGGGTAGAGCCTGACGAACTCACAGCATGTCACAGACATACAGTTTGAGAGCCCACCGTGAAGGGCCGAGTACAACAAGACCGGAACCATCTCTGCCCGACTCGGCGGATTGCGAACCAGAAACTCATGGAGTCAGTCCTCGGTATCAAGGGTCCGCTCTTGATATTATTACTAATCTCTAATGCATAAACACGGCTTGCTATGGCATATGCACGACACGTCTTGATCATGACAAAAGGAGGGCTGTCCACGTCCCAGTCGCAGCCAGTCGCAACCAGTCGAACAATATAGTACTGGCCTGATGAGTCGGAACCGACGATATGGGATATCGCGGAAGTATGATTCGTGTGTCACAACTTGGACCCCGCCCGAGTTTGGTATGAAACTCGGTAGACTAAACAACTCCAGCATATGTTCGTCTTTCTTTTAGTCAGCATACCTTTTCGAACTGCTTCAGACCTCGACGGTTACGCCCGAACCATTGGTGCCTAGTTGACCTACTGGTCTTGGAAACCGAACGTTATGATTCCCAAGCTAAGTGTGACCCGCTAAAATTACTCCGCGTCTTCAGATATATATATGTTTGCAAGGCCTGCTTTGCTTTCGTATCTGCACACCAATTTCTCCAGAAGAATAACATCCCATCAAGCACACCTACACCTCAATCATGAAGGCCATAGTTATGCAAGGTGAGCCTGGAAAGGCCTCGCTAGCCACTGACCGCCCCTATCCCAAGATTCGACCGGGATATGTACTTGTCGATGTCAAAGCGGTAGCACTCAATCCGACCGACTGGAAGCATATCGACTATTGGAACACCAAAGATTGCCTGGTTGGGTGCGATTATGCTGGAGTTGTGGCAGAGACTGGCACGGGCTATTCGAAGCCATGGAAAGTTGGCGATCGTATTTGCGGATTTGCTCACGGAGGGAATCCATTGCAACCCGAAGACGGTGCTTTTGCGGAGCGTATCGCGGCCAAAGCTGATATTCAGATGCGTATTCCGGAGAATATGTCCTTTGAAGATGCTGCAACTTTGGGCGTGGGCGTCGTCACCTGCGGACAAGGTCTTTTCCAGCAGATGGGCTTGAAACTGCCCAGTAACCCGAGCACTAAAGGAGAATTCATCCTCATATATGGCGGCAGTTCTGCGACAGGAAGCCTGGGCATTCAAATTGCGAAGTTGTAAGTACTCAGCGACTAAATGCGATGAACGGAGCTGACCAGGTCAAAGAGCTGGATATAGGCCCATCACCACTTGCTCTCCGCGAAACTTCGATTTTGTGAAATCGTTAGGCGCAGCAGAGGCTTTCGACTATAACGACCCAGATTGCGCGAACAAGATCCGGGAATACGCCAACGACAACCTCAAGTATGTCTGGGATACAATAGCGCTACCTCCTACAGCTCGTATCTGTGCCGATGCAATTGCTTCCGGAGGGATCTATGGCTCCATTCTCAAAGTCCAATTCCCTCGGGACGATGTCGCGTGCAAATTTTCATTGGGCTATACCGCAGCAGGAGAACCTGTGAAGAAAGGGAATTGGGATCTGCCAGCAAACGTCGGTGACTTTGAGTTTATGAAAAAATGGATTCTCGACGTTGAGCCCATCCTGCAGAACGGCCGACTGAAGGTCCATCCGCCCATGGTGGAGAAAGGACTCGAGCATCTCTTCGAAGGACTTGATCTGCTCAAACACGATAAAGTCAGTGGGAAGAAGTTGGTGTACGTGCTTTGAGGCAAAAGAATTGCTGCTTGTCGTCGTGAACCTGCGTAAGCTACGGGAGGAACGAATGGCGAGCTTCTGGATGGAAAGGTGGCGGAGTAGATTTGAGAGATGAGGTACTGATTCCCGCCGGAGGAATATCTACCTTAGGTAAATAAATAGGTATCTTGCAAGGCCATTGTCACAGACCAAATTACCAAGATTCCTTCCAAGGCAGAATCGTCGTCACTGCTATCCATATACTCTGTATCAGCCACTTGATTTGCAGCCGAATAACCCCAAGCCCCATGATGCCCCTGTACACAGTACTAACTAGTTGCTCGGTATGACTGGCTAGTGACGCCAAATAGCTAGTACGAGTATTGGCCAAACCAGGTGGCTTCCGTTTATGCATTCAGCCCCCTCACGCCCCATGACGCAGTCATCCTGCGTCAATCACGACCGCCAATATTCCATGATTTGGCCTTCGTCGCAGCTTGAACAGATCAGGACAGTCGTTTATTTTGCTATGATGATCTAAATCCCTGCTGCAGGCTGCCTGGAAATTCTGATTTGACCCCATCACACGGCTTGTTCCTCGTCATTCGTTCACCTGGGCCACGTAACTGCGCGTGCCCATATAGATTTCCGTTCACGTCAAGCCTGCGCCCGGTTCGGCCTTTTGACGACATCCTGATCTGCTCTTCCTTCCTCCTTTTCTGCCACGCTTCAGTATGGCGACGCAAGAGCAGAATCTCGAGAGATTCGAGACTGCACCCGAGGCAAATGGAAACGTCAAAATCCCCAGCATTAATGTCGAGCGGGCAGAATCCGCTCGAGAGTCCATTCCTCCTGCAGGGCAGTTATTGACGGGCAAGCAAGAACATTACCTCAAAAGAGAACTAATTTCGAGACAAGTCCATGATGAGATTCAGGAACTCAATACTCCGACGGCCCTGCAGCGCTTCGGGGCACCCTTCCGGTCGGAATATGGCGAAGTCTCTCCTGTAGACTCGGAATTGCCCATCCTACGCTACATCTTCGTCAACCATGTCCGAAAGTTCCCCTTCCTCAATCAAGCCAAAGAGAAAGAATTCTGGCAAGATAAGTTACAAGTATTCCTCGAGTCTTTCGCAAGCAAATACATCTCCTCGTCAGAGGACAGACTGGAAGAGACCAAGAGGAGGAAGCTAGCAAAGAAATCCGAGAAGCTTGTCGAGCTGATGATGGTCTCGGGTATACCTACAGCTTCTGGCTATGAGGAACGAATACGTTTCGCGGAGATGGAGGTTGTTGAGAGAGGTGCGAATGAGCAGGGTCTCGTGGTGAACCAACCCGAAGGGAACTATATCAACGGCTGGGATGTTAATGTCGCCGCTGTCAGAATCACGTCGGTGAAGAGGAGAGTTCGCTACCACCAGCACGCAGAATTCTTAATTCGTGTCAAGCGAGTGGAGCAGCCTGAAATCTACGTTGGAAGGAGATACGGAGACTTCGCCAAACTGCACAAAAACTTGCGGAGGGAAATGCCTGGGAAGGTACTCCCGCCATTACCTAGGAAGAACAAAAGCTCGACCCTATCGTCGATGATGCCAGGTGGAGATGACGATGGCTCATCTATATCGTCTGTCTCCACACAGGCGTCTGTTGCAGAAGACACAAGCAGGAGCTTCACGCCCAAGCATCAACGATTTAAATCTTCTTTGAGTCTGGGAACTGGCTCCGGTACGGGATCACCCAGGAATCGAGCATCGCCTCGACCTAGCTGGTCCCGAGAACCCAGCCCACAACCCATAAGACTGCACCGTGAAGATCAGCGAGTCTCACTGAGGGCCTTTCTAAGGACTATACTTCAGAATCCTCAAATCGCCGAATCCAAGTCAGTAGCTGAATTCTTCAGTTCCCAACCTGTCACTTTGAACGAGGAGGAGCTTGAAGACGTGGCCAGGCGCAAAGAGATGGACGCAAGACGATTGGAAGAGCAAAGACAATTCTACGAAATTGCCCGAAAACGAGCGGCGGAGCTTGATACATATATGGAGAAGTTCCGGAGAGACATTGTGGAGAGTAACGGCCTCACAAAGCTGTTTTCCGAGATCCGGCAAAAAGAGAAACTTGAAGACCTCAGTCCCGAGTACAAGAAGTTTGCGGAGTGGTTGAGGATAGAGGTGGCAGCCACCATCTACCACCTGTTCCTTGCCGAGGACAACTCACCCGAGCTCTTTGCACAGGCCAAGCGCATACATTCTTTGGTACCGTATACTGTGTTGAAGAACGTGATACGAATAGCGAATCCTGCAGCCGTCATGTCGGGAGTTCTGGACCTGTTCCTGGCGCAGCCATTTGGGACCAAGTCACTCCTTCAACGCATCTTTGCACAAGCACTCGCGGATGGCATACGACAGTTTCAAAGATCCATCGATGACCTGGTCGCGAAGGTGGCAGATCCAGTACTAACCAACAAACTCAAAGCGTTTGTAGACAGCCCGGAGGAGATCAAATCTATGGTGAGAGAAGAGGCTCAAAGCGAAAATATCGATCTCGTGGTGGCCATCCTGCGATCGGAAGAATTCAAGCCTGAATTGACGTCGCAGCAGATCCAGCGAGTGTACAATGCGTGGGTTGCCTGGAATAGTGCGGTCGAAAATGACGACGAAGAACTCAGGCAAGGAGCCGAGATGTTCTCTCAGCTGAAGCAACTGCTGAAACTGATGACCCGACAACGGGACAAAGCTATGATGGCTGCCATGATTGAGGAGCCCACGACGCTGCAACTCTTCCGAGATTTGTTCACCATCTTCTATGAGCCTTTAATTCGAGTATACAAGTCCGCCAACGTGTACAGCAGCATCACGGATTTCGCACAATTTGCGGACGATGTCATCAAGACTGTGGAGATTGCGCAGCGGCAGGATGTTTCTGCTGATCCCAACCAAACAGTCCAAATGTTTATTGACTTGTGTGCGCGGCATGAGCATAATCTTTACAAGTTCATCCACGAAGTACACATCCATGACAACGGCCTATTCACCGCACTGATGGGATGGATTGAAGATATTCTGGAGTTCTTGAGGAAAGGACCGCAGGGGGGCAGATTAGACATGAACGCGATCTTCCAGGGTGCACTGGACATGAGCGTGATTGATAAAGAAATCTGCATCATGGAGATCAAGGCTTTAATCGAATGGCAGGAGGCTCGAAAGAAATGGCACAGCGACAAGACGAGGCAAAAGATGGCCGCCGAGGGCACCGGTTCTGCTGAAGGCCCTCCTGGGATGTCGTCGTTCAGAAGCAGCGACTTTGGACTACATGAGGTAAGCCATGTACTGTATGGCGGAGAAAAGCCAAGCTGACATACTTCTAGGCGGATCTCATGGATCTTAGGATATCTGACGAGGAAGATGGTGAAGACAGCGAGGATGAAGACATAGAAGATGATCTGGATCCAATTCAAGCCGAGCGACGCAGACGGAAAAAGGCACAGGACCGGCTGCGGCGTAGTGCCGGCGAGCCGGTCAAGCCGGACGTCACAGAGGTGTTGAAAATGAAGGATCCTTTCCTGGCCATGCTGAGGATGGTTCTGAGCGATTAGTGCTACGAGCGGAAAAACTCCTTTTCGCACGATGTTCAGCATGGCCCAGCATGTGACAGCTGTACTTTCCCTAGGCACTCCCACTCGCATCAGGCGTATCTTGCATACGAAGACAGCCTGAAGCAGAAAGTCGACGTGCAGAGTGTTTCATGATTTCCAGCCGGTTGACGAATGGTAGAATTGAACGGCCAAAATGAGGCTGTTTGGCATTCTTATTGGCAGCATGCTGGGAAATAGGCAGCGGGTAGGCTGACCTTTCTTGGTGATGTGGATTTTCATTTGCATAGAGCAAGCATTGATTCAGGATTGGACAAGCGCAAGGGAATCGGCCAGTGGCTGGCTTCAAACACTCGTCCAGTTGTGATGAGGCAGTGGTCTGTTCTGCAGAAGCGAGAAATCAGGTCGCGCGCAGTTTGAAGATCAAGACGTGTGTGGGAGCCGATAGCCTGTTCGAGCGTAAAGGATGGAGCGGAAGTGGCTGTGAGAGGTGCGTCATCTCGAGTCGCAGGGCTTCGCTTAGGGATGGCGCTGCATGGCATGTGCACTGCAACCTCAATGTTTACCGCGTCCTACATCCGAGGCATCAATTGCAGGGTATGAGTTACACAGCGCCATGGAGGAGGAGAAAAAGTACTTTCGTTGAGGACCTTCCCGTCGGCCGGAGCGACGCGGAAAGCAAGACTGCCTAAGGTAAAGTAGGTAGTATGAGGCGTCGCACGGAATAGCTGAACTTGAGTCCTGCAAACCCTACTGTATACACAAAAGAGTGAACGACTACCACGTGATACGCGTGGAGTTTGCTTGTTCTACCCTGCCTTGCGAATGGTAATACAGAGTACTCTCATTCAATGTGTGTGACACAATAGGATTGCCAGGGTCTCGTCTGGATAGACCAGTTAGGCTGATTCACGGTCTGTCGACGTCTGTCTCTCTCATCAACTCTCTCATCAACTCTCTCATCCCACCTGAATGTTAGAAACGGGTGCCAAATGTGTAGCGTGGACTAGCAGATTAGTCAGTGACCAAAGAGGCTTAGGCAAGAAAGGTCACGAGGAAAAATGGTGGTTGGTTGCAGTTGCCGACAGAGCAAACAAGAGGCGAAGCACGCAAAAGAGCGTGAGAGCCCACACACAACGGCTAAAGGTGGAAAAAGAGCCGTCCACAAGCGAGAAAACTCTGCTCCGCTTTTTCTGTCGAATCACCAGAAGAAAACCGGTCGTTTCTTCTTTCTGCCTGGCGTCCCAGGTGGCATCCCATCAATCACCCTTGCAATGCCTTGCCCTGTTGCTGCTCGTCATCTTCGGGTGGTTCACTTGCTCGCTCAGCCCGTGCCCGAACAGAGGGTTACGGTCAGATCACGCTGCCCAACTCTTCTTCTATTTGTCCATCCGCCCACTGCCCACTCATTCTTCCTCTCTTCTTTCACCTTTCTGTCCTCGCCCAATCGCCCATCGTTTCAACTTGTTTCCCTTGTCTACCCAATCACCTCTCTATTCTATCACCCACTCAGCACTCGCAAAAGCACATCAACAACCATACTCGTAAGAGCCTTCTCGTTCACGTGGGGGCTTTCCCGGCGCAAGTCGAGTATTGCGAACAGGGCCGACCAGTGACCAGTCTCCAAGCCTCACCCAAGCTCGCCGCCGAATCATCTCACTCGATCTTCTCGCACAACTTGATTCGACTGCAGCTTCTTCAGATCCACGTTCCTGGTAAACAAGCACAACCTATCATCGACGGCAACCATTTACAACGCCAGAACAGCAGAGCCTCGCGTGTATATCGACGTCGTGAAGCTCCAAACGGCCCAACGGGAACCTCAGCTTTTTAGGCTTGCGCGCGTCGCTGTGATCTCATCAGCTCGGATCAGCCCAAGCAGGCAAAGCGGCGTGCTCGCTCTGATCTGATCCCAGCCCTGCCCTGCCGTCTGCCAGCACTGCAGCCCACCATCCGCGGCAATTCTCCCGCTGCTCACCGCTAACAATCACACTTCACCAATTCCCACCACATCATCAAACTCCAAACTCCAGCTTTTCCCGGAGTCGCCCGACTGTAACAGCGCTTCCAACCACCACACAATATTATTTCACATCACTGTCGCATCAAATATTCTTTCCGACCTGCAGTCGACAACCTTGTTGATACTGCATTGGCGCGCGCATTGGCAGTGCATCGTCACTGTGGTCGCAGAAAATCACTTTTGCGACTTGGTGCGTTCTGTAGATCAGCTCCGACAACTTCGCTGCAGACCTCGGGCAGAAGGTGCGACAAGCCCTCAAAAGGCATCTGACGTCGTCCAAAAGAACAGAACCAGAAAGTTTGCGGTACAAGAATAGATCCCAGCCCAGCTTCATTGTGGGACACGGACTAGAGGTGAGTTGCATGACTGCCAACACATCAATGCATGCGCCTCCAATTACCACCACCTAATCATTCCCACTCAACCTCCTCCTCCAATAACTGCCTCTGCTATCACTGCTGCCCTATTGACGGCCAATACTGATTCATTCTGCGCTGTTACGTAGTTGAGCAGCCGAATCGCAGCTTACCTTCCTTTCCGCCCTCGAATCATTCCTCTCCGCCGCCACAAGTCAGTCAATCCAATCCAGCTGCGCGCGCAATAAGCTTCTGGAAAGCGAGAGGTTGCCACAAAACGTCGGTAGAACATCACGATATCGAACATCAGTCTCGAGGACGCGAGTCCCTAGCAAGAGCTGGAACAAAATCGAGCGGGAAATCTAGGGCTCAGGCATCTACATCCCGCGCCACACTCTTGCTTCGCACTGCCCGCGCGGAGCAGAAGTGACAACACATCAGCAAGCGCAGCGCTACGCAACCCCAGCTTTGCTTGCTGCAAAGGAGCCCAAAGCGAGGCGATTTCAGCCGGCTTATGACGGCTGGTAAAACAACCTGATCCAGTTTCGCCTCATTTGTCGACTCAGTCTTCGTCGATATAGTGGAGAGGTTGTCAATCTTTCGTCTTTCTCAAGCAGTCTTTGCATAATCTGCTTGTCTAGCCATCAACGTGAGTATTGGTGCTTTCCTTGGTGGTCCAGTGACCGTCAAATACTGCGCTAGCTACTAACGCAAGGGACCAGGCTCCATCCTACCGCTCTTAGACCCTCCTATCAGAGAGCCTAGGTGCCATTCTGCTGCTTTCCAAGGCACAGCAAGCCCCCAGAGCGCGTTCCAGCTATCACGTTACGCCCCGTCCGTCTGAACCGTCACGCTTAGCCTTCGGAGACCTGTGTCTCTTCCGTACGCGCGACAGTAGAGGCGACCAGCAAGTCAACTTTACGGGCCGCAACCTTCTCACACCGCGACCGTGCGTCTAGAACAGAGCGAGCGACTTCAGCTTCTTTTCAACGGGCATTCACGATGGAGTATCCTCCACAATATCAGCAGCATACTCAACATCCACACCTGCAAGGCGCATATCAGACATCGCCTCAGAGTGCTGGTCCCGGTACCCTTCAATCCCCTTCCGGTCCCCAGTCGCATATGCAACAGCACAACCCCAGTCAAGCTTCTCCTATCCTGCCGTCGCAGACCCAGAACCATTATCAACCTCAATCAACCACTGGTGCCCACCAATCTATGGGCTACACACAATATGGGATGGGCACAGGGATGAATCAGGGATATGGGATATCACCCACCCAGGCTGCTGCGATGGCAACAGCAGCGGCGTCAGGTTAGCAGACACGCAACGAGGAAGACATACGCATGCTAATATCAAGACAGGTCAAATGCCACCGCTAGCTTCTGGCGTAACGATGCCTCAAACAACCCAAATGGGTGGACAGAGACGGATGAGCCAGCATATTACAAGTCCTCATGTCCAAGTCTCCCAACCGGTCATGAACCACAACATGCCTAGGCAATCCGTGCCTCCGGTTATGGCCCCTCCTCAACAACCCGTCCAAGCACCAGCCGAAGAGATTGTCGCAGGTGGAGCTGAAGAGTCCCCTCTATACGTCAACGCCAAACAATTCCATCGTATCCTCAAGCGACGAGTTGCTCGGCAGAAACTCGAAGAGCAGCTCCGCCTTACCTCGAAAGGCCGCAAACCCTATCTCCACGAGTCGAGACACAATCATGCCATGCGGCGGCCTCGTGGACCGGGTGGCCGATTCTTGACTGCTGACGAAGTCGCCGCCCTGGAAAAGGGTGAAGTCGGCCCGAACGGCACACCAGCCACCAAGAAGACCGAGACTGCCACATCTGGTAGCAAGAGAAAAGCGGGATCTGACGACAATGACACCCCCCTCAAAAAGTCCAAGGTCGCCAGCGAGAGTGCAGAGGAAGAAGATGATGATGATGGTGAGGAAGACCTGGGCTAGTTCCCATGCCTCCCATGTCTGTAAACCTTTTCCTTTGTTCTCCTGCTTTGTCGGGCATATTGGGGTTGTCATATTAGCAAGCGTTGACTTGGTTGCGGACGGACTCACGGTCAATTCGGCATGGGAGGTCTTCTCGAATCAAAGCTTGCTGGTCTTGCCGGGATAATCTTCTCACTTTCCTTTGTTCATCGACAACGAACCTTCAGAGAGATATGGGCTCGCGCCAGGACACGTCAAACATTGTCATATCAGCCAATCGACCTCCTTTCCTATAAATGTCAACTTCCCCTCGGAAATGGCGACCACCCAACTGGACCATTGGCCTAAAATCGAAATCATCAGCACTCATCATTCACATTCTCAGCACAATACCTTTTCGACTGTCGTTCCAGATTGCAAGTGTTTTCAGCCCGAGTATTGCATTTTTTCTTTTGCTCTCGCGATAAAGTCCTCGACGGGTACCGACGCCGGAAAAAATAATGACAAGGAGACGAGCAGTGGCATCCACTCACAACGTCGAACCTCCTGGACATAACTGGATTGGTCATTCGACGGTCGACTTTCGCTCCTCCGTCAAAGATCTAGATTTGTTAATCACCTCACCGTGAAGAAAAGAGCGTATGGTAGGCAGGCCCAGCGCGGAACAGGAGGGAGTTTGATACTTGTTCAGAGCCGGTGGGCATACGGCAGACAACACTACTAGTGCACGCGCACATTTCGTTCGCACACAACATTTCATCGACTGGACATTCTTTGCATCCGTCCTACATCTCCATCAGCGTCTCCTCTACGATCGTTTCACGGCTGACGAATTTCCTTATGTTGTCGATTTCAACTGTGTTTGAGTCTGGTTGAACAAATTGCTGCATTGAGACGAAGGGGTTTGGGAATCCGTGCAGAACACCAAAGGCAAGATACCCCCTGGCTTGGTTAGGTAGCTTAACAAACGGGGCCCCTGCCAGGTGCAGTTGGGTTTCATGACTATCCATTCTCATTTCGAAATTGACCTTTCTCTTTTCGGTTATGAGTGATGACAATGGTCTCATGGGGAAAGCTGAGGCTAGGACCCAAGGCATCGGACAAGGTCAGGATGAGGAATGGGTGGACTGGTCGGAAGCACGGGAGCAAGGATTAGAAGCGCCGCGGAGATGGCAGAGGCGGGACTTTACACCTTCCACCCACGACGCTCGGAGAATCATCGTCTTCCCGGGAGGGAGTGGAAATGGAGCGGTCGAAGGAGGAGAGTTCTCTGGCGTAGGGTGCTTCAGAAGGAATCTTTGTACAGATTGGGCTCAAGATGGCTGTGTACTGTTGACTTTTTATCTTCTGACTATGCCTTTGAAATCAAGTCTTGTAATACGGCATACTCTGCAACTCTGAGTACTATGCTTGTACTTAACCTCGATATACTATTCGCACGGCACACTGCAGCCGGCGAGGGGTATGCGACGAGGACGAGGCTGAGCTCATTCAGTGCCAAGACTGGACTTGATAGGACGGATGATGACTTCTTTCTGTTTCACATCATCCATCCATCGACGATGTTGTAACGGACTTCAACTCCTCTGATCTTGCTATGTACAAGCACACTGCTGTACTAGTGTTTCTGATCAAAGCCGCTTCTTGTTCATGAGTTCCGCTCCAATGGGTAGATGCAATTTCTTGCTTAAGTCGCACTGCCCATTCAACAGGTCGGGAAATTCACCCGCGGTTCGCATCTCCGGCCAGACAACAACAGAAAGAAACCCAAAACAGCCAAGTCCCCGTCATGGATTCAAATTTGATGACAAGCTTCATGTTTGCCCTCATCCTCCATCCCCTCTTCAGCATTGTCTAGCTTGATCAGGTAGCCCCCGGGCGACCTACGTGATTGTCCGGAGACATGATCCTGCTCGAGTGCTACTGATTGTGGAGAAGCCACTGGCCATATCTGCATATGGTGAAGAGAGTAGGTGCCACCTAGTAATGCTCAATACTTCCCACGCTTGACGTTTCGACTGTGCGGAGTCACGTTGCTGGACGGAAGGCACACATGAACATGACATCACCGTCTTCTTCTTTCGCAGGTGCGGTTGAACGAACTAGCCTACCAGGAAATGGTGATTGCACATACATATCTGGCCCGTATTCTCCTCTCCCACTCAGATCCTGCTTGTCTGTCATCTGTACCTGAGCGAGATCCAAATCGGTGGAAGTGCCCCGTCTATTCTTGCTGGTTTCTTTTTGCTGTTCCATCAAAAAGCTCTTGTCTAGGTTGAAGAAGTGGTATTCATCACCAGCAAAATGGCACATCCAATCCAGGCAGTCCAGGAAATGGCCGGCGCTGTCGGTGCCGACCCGCGTCCCATGCAGCGGGCTAGTGTGTTCCAAGGGCTCAACGAGGGTCCAGCCGTCACGGCCGCGAAGATCACGGGAGTTTCCTCTCAAGGAGGACGCGTCGACGACGCGCCGTATCATACAAACAACGATGGCATCCCATGGCCAGACCCAGCCCACAGCAGGACTGTCGGCGGTATTCCAGTGGCCAGCGATGTCTTCTTGTTTCAGAAGCAGCAGGCATTCAATCGGCATAAACTGCTGGAGAGAATGGTACATCCTTGTAGGTACACGTCTAAGGTCAACGCAGATATGGGATGGAATCAATGACGGAGCTGGACTGGGCTGACAAGAAGACCAACAGGCGGGAGTGGTGCCTTCGGATACTTCGAAACGACCAAGGATGTGTCGAATCTGACCAAGGTGAGTTGCCCCAAGAGTAACAGGGAGCGGCAACTAATGAGAAGGTTAGGCACATTTCCTTCGCGGCTCTGGTGTCAAGACACCCATCTTCATCCGTTACTCGACAGTGACTCTCGGTCGTGAGTTCCCCGATCTGGCGAGAAACCCGCGCGGATTTGCGGTCAAGTTCTACACTGGCGAGGGCAACTGTGACATCGTTGGGCTGAACTTCGTAAGTCACTCGTCAACTCATTTTCAGCCTGATCTGCCTTTCCAAGGGTTATCTTGCTGACTCGGTCAATATAGCCCATCTTCTTCTGCCGTGACCCGATTCAAGGTCCGGATGCGATCCGAAGTCAGGGACGCCGACCAGATAATTTCCTCCTTGATTACAACGCCACATTCGACCTTTTGGCCCATACACCTGAGGGGTAAGTCCGATCAACCATATCTAAGGGCTAAGGTTCGTGGCTGACAGGAATCTCGCAGAAATCATGCTGGCATGATGTTCTTCAGCGACCACGGTACGCCCCAGGGCTGGCGGTTCAACCACGGCTACGGTTGCCATACGTTCAAATGGTACGTTCAGAACCCCACTACGTGGAGACGAGAACGAGGACGAGAACGAGGAACAAGGATAGGAACGGGATGTTAATGATCTGGCACCTTTAGGGTCAACAAAGAAGGAAAATTCGTGTACATCAAGTACCACTTCCTCGCGGACGGGGGCCAGAAGCAGTTCACACGTCAAGAGGCCGTCGAGATGTCCGGTATCAACCCGGATTACTCGAAGGAAGATCTCTGGCATGCAATCGAGCGCGGCGAGCCGATCTCATACACGGCCTGCGTGCAGGTGATGCAACCTGAAGATGCGGACCCGGAGAAATTGGGCTTCGATCCATTTGATATCACGAAGGTCTGGCCCAAGGATCAGTTCCCGGTACGTCTCTAGCTCATTTTCTCCTCCTTTCGGATGCATATGGCTCTGCAGTGGACTGTCGTGTCACTGAACTGAGGCTCTACAACGGTCCGGTCGTAGTCCTCATTGTCATTGAACCTGTGCTGACGTTGTTGCTTGTGGTGATGTAGCTCCAAGAGTTCGGCAAACTCCACGTTAACAAGAATCCCGAGAATTATCACAGAGATGTCGATCAGGCTGCCTTCTCGCCTGGTGCCATGGTTCCAGGTATTGAGGACAGCCCGGATCCGCTTTTGCAGTTCCGCATGTTCTTCTATCGAGATGCGCAGTTTCATCGTATCGGCACGAACTACCACCAGATCCCAGGTAAGCATCTCACTTCTCACCTCTCACATCCCCCTCGCCCCCCCCGCCCCTTCATATCGAGGTGTGTCCTTGAGGAGTCCACCTGGGTGGCAGCGGCGCTTTTACTCCACTGTCAAGAAGTGCCTCTGTTGAGGAGTCAATCTGACAATTACTCCACTGCCTCTGTGAGGAGTCCATCTACACATTTGCGTCGCCGCCACCGGGTGCCTCCCAGCCAGTTACTGTCATTAGCCTTGCACTATCGCATACCTGGTCTTTGCACATGTCAACCATGTTGCTAACCCATGCTCGGTAGTAAACTGCCCATTCATGTCCGGCTCCATGTCGTCCCTGATGTTCGACGGTCAAATGCGCATCGACGCCAACCACGGCGGCAACCCGGACTATGCGCCAAACAGCCACGAATCCATGTCCCGCTTCCGGCCCGACACCGCAGGTGCCCCATACAAGGTGGCGGACAACATTGTCTCGCGCAAGTCGCACTTCTGGCACGAAGGCAAACTCAGCGACTACGACCAGCCGCGCAAACTGTACGAGCAGGTCATGACCGATACGCAGCGCGAGCATCTGCACAGCAACACGGCCGTCATGCTGGGCCACGTCACCGACACCAAGATCCAGGTGCTATACCTGGCCCAGCAGTACAATATCAGTCCGACGTACGCGAAGGCGATATACGACCTTTTGCCCGAGAAGAAGTTTGAGTTCGGCGAGGTGGAGAGTAACGCCAAAGGCGCCGAGAAGAGGACCAAGACGCCCATGTTCATGCCCAGCGCTGGCGAGAGGCTGATGGGCATGCCGGCTCCCGGGGTCTACAATATGTGAAAATCAAGAGGTTCTCGGTTGTCATGAGTAAGGAGGTAGGAGGTAGGCGGGTATGCTCGGAGTTTCCTACCCGCAACATCGCCATGGAACAGGGCTGAATGAGTATTCACAAGGACATATGCTGAGGGTAACGGCCCATTACTGACTTAGTATTATCAGTATCAGTATCAGTATCAGGGCAGGGCCGAAGGCTGCTTAATTACGGGCCCGGCTATGCTTCATGGATGACAATCCAAAATACGCAACAGACGAATAGGTCTTATTCCCGTGCGTAATGCTGGTACTCGTGATGACTTAGGTAGAAACGAGAACTTAGCATGGCTACCATTCTTTCCTCAACACTATTATGGACTCGCCTTCTGGATTTGCAATGTTTCGTCTTTTGTATTCTAGCGCTGAGCTGTTATGTCTGTCTACCGTTCTGATGTGGCCAAAAATGCTACGCTATGCTATGCTTTGATATGCAGTGAAATCGGGACATGATGAACATCCCTCAGCTCTCGATGGGTCGCTCAGCACAACGCCTGGCCATGTAGACCGCTAAGACTGTCCAACCTTCCTGGTCATGCAGTAGAGCGGCACCCAGCGGTGCAAAGGGCCGATCATCCACTTGTCCTGTCGTGAGAGGGCACGGCGACTTCTCGGATGCAGTGGACAAATCTAACCATGATGCGAAGCCGTGCGGGATCGAGAGCCGTCAGTCAAGGTGAACTCCTTGCTGGGGCGTGGGTAATGAGCATGTCTCGAACAGGGGGCTGGTGTATGTGGCGGAGGGGGTAGATGCGAAAGATGTCTCAAAAGCAACGATATTCTTTTGATGGTGAGATCGCATTGAGACTTGTCCAGTCATGGACAAAGCCTAAGAGTCAAGCTTGACCGTCGTCCACGATCAGTCGAAGCAAATACCCTGAAGGTGGTAAAGTGTCTGCCCAAGAGGTTGGCTAGAAAGTCCAGTTTTCATGCACAGATTTGATGGCCCATTCGAACTTCTCGCGCAACGTCTTAGAGAAGAATTTTTCGATGGGAACGTCGAATTTCTTGCTGAAGACGACAGTCAAACGTGGGTCAATGTAGTTCTGCAAATAAGGGTTAGCAACCTGGTCTGTGGCACATCAAAGTCAAGTCCTAAACTCACGATCTTGGAAGTTCCCAGTGCCACCTCTTTATTGTTCTCCCGGTCCTCTGCCTGGATTTCCATGTTGGCAATTCTCTGGTCCAACTTCTTGATATTCTCCTCCAGTTTTTCTAACGAAGGCGACTTGCCTTCGGCCTCGACCTTCTTTGTCTTGTTCTCCTTCTTGTATTTCTTCTCTAGGTCTTTGGCGGCTTGAAGTCGTTCTTCCAGCTCGGAATGTTTCATCGGCTTCTGACCTTCTTCCTTAAGCTTTTCATTCTCCTTCTCGAATTTCTTGGTGATTTTGGTCTTTTGTTCTTCGACCAGGTAAGCTTGGTGTTCCATAATCCACGCCTCATCCAAGTCATCAGGCAGCTCGAAATATTCGGCACCCTTCTTCTTCTTGAGTTTTGGATCGAGGTCGAGCATCATCTGCTTAATACGCCATTGCTGATACTTGACCCCTTTTAATCTGTCTCCAAGCTTCTCCATCTGTCCGGCGTGGGACGCCGCGACGGTTCTCTTGTGGTTGCAAAGGATGGCCACTTTTCGATTGGCATCGTTGTAATCTTTGATCTTCTCCGGAATTGTGCCTTCGGATTTCATTTCAGTTAATAGTTTTGACATGGTGAAAGAGGCATTGTAGGTACGGAAGACTTTGGCAGTCAAACCAGGCATGTAGCTCTTGAGATGGTTATTGAGCTGAGTGGTGGTCAAGCGATCAAAAATATCGTCACTTTCCTTCTTCGGTGCCTTCTTGAAGATCTTGAGGTTTTTGAAAACTTGTGGGTCGACTTCGAATTCCTCGTGAAATCGGATACTGTCTTTACCCAGGAAGTCAAAAATGACGGTGCAAGGGGCTCGCAGTGTGATATGCTCGTACTTCAGAGAGCAGCAGCCAACGGTCTCAGCCTCATCTTCACCCTTCTCATTGCCAGCACGAAGAGCAAACTGGTCAATGAGGTACATGGCGGTAGCTTTCTGTCGATCAGCCATGAGTTCCGATTTCAAGTCCTTCCTGTAATCCTTTCGGATCCGGTCGATGTGCTTCTTCAGCTCTCTAGCTTTTTCGAACTTCTTGTAATCGCTTTGCCCTTTGACATCGGAGCTGGCAGCGAGCATAACGTATTTGTAATTACCATTGATGTTCTCTTGCCACATGGCAAGCCAAGTACCCTCTCTGTCGTGCTTGACTGCTTTCCATTTATGACCTTCAGGTGGTACAGGCACTGTTGCTTCTTTGCCGATGTTGATCGTGATCTGTTCAGGCATGACTCTCGTCTTCACTTTTCCTGTCTTCGGGTGCTCACCGCGACCACGGAACAAGCCGGGAGGCTCAACTCTGAAGTTGCCGACTTTCTGTTTTTTGCCATCCCAAATGCAGTACATATAAGGAGCTTCAGCAGCGTCTTTCGCAGCTTTGATAGCCTTCTTTTCTGCAGCTGGCAATGCCTTCTTTGCCTCTCTTTGTGCATCGTAATGCTCAAAAATTGCTCTGAAATCTAGTTTGGCAAACTCTTTGATGTCAACTTTGTTGCCATCCTTGTCTGTAGCGCCACCGGTTTTCTTCAAATACTCAGTGAAGTCCGTGAAGAAATTCTTCTGGAAAGTCGGATTTTCCACGTTGTGTGTAGAGTTGAGCATTGAACCGAAAAATGTGGCAACTTCTTCGGCTTCTGGATGCAGATTGACAGGGATGCCGTCGTACTTCAGCTTGACGTTTTTAGGAAGCGGCTCGTAAGGAGGCGGGAAAACGACGCCATTGTGCTCAAGGGTCTCCCACTTGTTGGTCCCATCACCTTTGGTTGGGTCTTCCCACCACTTAACATCTTCGTCGTCGTCTTCCTCATCCTCGGGGTCGACTGTTTCTTCCTTTTTGACCGCTTTCGCCTTCGAAGTCGGCTTTTTCGCAGGTGTGGATGACTCGGACTTGGTCTTCTTTGTTGTGACGGCTGAAGCCCGCTTAGCGAGAGGTTTGTCATCGTCTGAGGATTCCTCCTTTTTCACCTTTTTAGCTGGTGTAGCTTTCTTTGTAGGTTTATCAGCTTCTTTCTTCACTTCTTTGCTGCGGATCTGTTTGGCTTCTTTCTCCGCGGCCTTTTCTATTTTTTGTTTCTCTTTGGCCAGTTTCTTCCCTAGCGGGACGTCCGAGTCGGAGGATTCGCCAATCTGAGCAGCACTGGCACGAGGCGGTTTCTGCACACTTTTGCCGTTCGCTTTTGCCTTTGCCAGGAGAGGGGTGTCGTCCGAGTCGGATTCTACAGCTGTAGTTGTCCTTCTCTTCTTGATCTGCTTACAAGTCAGCCCACTTCGTGATCATGGGTAGCCGGGGAAAATGTCCATACCAAGGGCTGATCGTCGTCACTACTTTCTGCCTCGGCATAAGATGGGCGTGTGTTGCTCTCTCGTGCCTTGCGCTTAGCAAGCGCACCATTGGTGAGATTCCCATTGGTACCCGTCATCGGTGTGTCCTCCACTTTCACGTCGCCGTTTGCCATGGAGATCCCAGGCAAAATGTCGCCGTTAGTAGGATTTTGTCGATCCAATGCAGCATCGACCTTGGAGGGTATCTTTACGGAAGACAACGGTGAAGTGACTGCAATGAGATAAGTCAGTAAAAGAAGAGGGAATCCGTTTGTGTCGCAAACAGGAAGTTGAATGAGTGACCGAAGTATCAATGGCGCGTGACTGCTTACCTCCGTTGGGTTTCCTTGAGCCTGCGAGGGGCATATCATCGTCCGACGAGTCCATCGTGCGCGTAAATGAGGCAAGCCCGTGTAGTTGTCGAGCAAAACTAGGCCGAGAGAAACGATTGGCCGGCAGTCGAGGTGGTGAAGGAGATGCCCTCAAGGCTAAGGACCGGATTGACCTCCAAAACGCGCCTCGGACGGCAATGGTGGTGGTTAGAAGGGCGTGAAGGACAAGTTCCAAGGTTGGTGAGGAGGGTGGAAGGCTCTACAAAGGCGTTGATGAACTGCGGGTGGACCGGGAAGTCAATTGAAGAGAAAGAAGGGTGAAGAAAGATGGGCAGGCCGAGAAGAGGTAGAAGAAGCCAGTCGTCTCAAGAGAGTCTTCAGCGGCGAACGGCCCACCTGCATGCACGACCCATAACAGAGCGAAAAATGAGGGTTTCGCCAGATCGGTCTTAGAACAAATAGCTGTAAAGCGGCCTTTCTTTTCCAGACATTCTTGGTTAGCGTGTCCACGTGATCATTGCCTGCGGAACACAGCTCATCGGAACCTCATTTCCAAGGGGAGCTTCAATTGACCAGTGACTCTCCCCTCCCTCAGCTACGACTTCCTCAACACCGCTCAACTACGGCCTCTCGGTCAGTCTATCTATTCGAGATGCTGTCACGAGCTGTGAGACCAGCTCTCGGCGCTGGCAATGCCGCACTCGCCAGGTGAGCTTCCGTCAGTCCCGTGTGACTTTTCCAATAGCCGGACGACGATTTCCTTGGACGTACAGAATGCTAATTTGGCTGTAGAACGGTCGTGCCTCAAGCTGCGGGCTATGCCACTCTGCGAGAAATTGAGGGTACGAAATTGCGATGTGAACAATAGCCCTTAATATTGACCCTGCTCTAGGCCGCCTCAAGTCCATCCGCAACATCGAAAAGATCACAAAGACCATGAAAATTGTTGCTTCAACAAAGCTCACTCGGGCTCAGAAAGCCATGCGCGATTCCAGATCCTACGGTCAGACGTCCAACAAAGTTTTCGAAGAAGCCGAGACAAAGCCATTGGAAGAGAAGAAGACGCTTTTGGTTGTTGCAAGCTCCGACAAAGGCCTTTGTGGTGGTATCCATTCCGGTCTGACACGTACAGCCCGCCGAATGCTTGAAGCGGATTCAAACCTGGACATTGCCATCATCGGTGAAAAGAGCAAGGCTCAGCTTAGTCGTTCCAACGCCAGGAATGTGGTCTTGAGTTTCGCGGGCGTCGGAAGGGACGTCCCAAGCTTTGCTGACGCTCAGGCTATTGCGGACCAACTTTGCCTGCTTCCCGAGGAATACGCAAGCATTAAAATCCTCTACAACAAGTTCATCAACGCAACGTCCTACGAACCAGTCACCATCGAGGCATACTCTGAGGAGGCTATCACTCAGTCACCAAACTTCGCAGCTTTCGAGATTGACGACGAAGTCCTTGCTAACCTTCGCGAGTACACTCTTGCCAACTCTCTGTACTGGGCTCTTGCTGAGGGACATGCTTGTGAGCAATCTGCCAGACAGAATGCCATGGATGTGAGTTATTCTCAAGCCCACACTATATGCGGCCCACTGACCCAACTTAGAACGCTTCCAAGAACGCTGGCGACATGATCGGCAAGTACACCATCTTGTACAACAGAACCCGACAAGCTGTCATTACAGGAGAATTGGTTGAGATCATTACAGGTGCTGTTGCATCGGAGGATATGTAGGTGTTGTTTTAGATGTACATAAAAGCCGCGAACCAGTTTCGTTGATCAGCTAAGGCTCAGAGGCCGCTCAAATCAAGTTTTCGTTGTCTGACGATCGGCTTCATCTGTTTGCTACCCTGCTGCTTACTGTGTATAGTGGGATCTGGGACTCAGAGAAGTCATGGTTCCTCGGATTTCGCCGCGGTTGCATGTTACGCTCATGTCATCGCATTTCACAGCCTCTTACCTCACAGCATCATTGGCGTCCACCCTTAGTCTACCTAGGACGCCCTTCCCCTAAGCTGTCGCAGGCTTGGCTTTTCGAGGAAGCCGTCCCAGTATTGTCGCCTGCTTGCACGATCTTTCCGGCTCGACTGAGAGATTTGTAAACGAAAAGCGTCAATGCCGGCCGGTTCCCGTGCGATCGATCCTACGCTCGACAGCCACAAACACTCCCGTACCAGCCACCTCGTACACATTTTCTTCTTCTATTCCATCCTCAGCGGATACGTCGATGCAGCTGCTTTAGTCGTTTGTTGGCCCGCCTAGTTGTCGCTCTAGTCAAACGTGATCTTGGAGGATATTTTGTAGCAAGCTACAAGGTCATCTAAATCATTTTTATACTTGGTGCGTTGGAAAGATGACTTGACCACGAGGAAAGCTTACGATTTGCATACCATCGCGTGGGATACGAAGCGTATTCAAGGGCAGTCAATGGAATTCTGGCCAAAGCTCAATGGCATCACATTGCCTCTTCTTCGAGGATGCAATTGCAACCATCTTCTATCTGAACTGTGTTGAACCTGCAGCAGGCATGGCACCTCAACATGCGCCTCCACGCTCGGTGCACCATATTCACTATACAACACGCCTGCGATCTTCGCCCAAGTCGCTGCCGCCTATGCCTGCTTGACTGCATGGCAGAAAGGTAGTTCTCCGTATGGACACGACTGCCCTGCTCGGTAGGGTACCTTCACGACCGATTTGTGAAGATGTCCCCTGTGAATACTGCACTTACCACCAGCACCACTTTGAGGTTTATGTACACGACTATGCCAGCGTTGCACTGCCAACATGTACATATTCACCGATGTGAACTACGCGTCAAGGCAGCTGTTTTCATCTGTATATCTTCTTTCCCTATCCTCCCTGATTCCTTTCTCCCACATGTTTCCTGCTCAATCCGCAAAGTGCCCCTAATATCAACCGTAGATCTTGCCCACGATTCATAACCACTCAAGTAAGCTTCCAAACTTGATACTGTTCTGTTATCCACGTTGATCAACCACAGTAGCTCCAGAATTGTTCAAACTCACGCGACCAACATGGACAAACCAGACCTCATCCCCTACATCGAGGGCCTCCGTACTCACACCGAACAACTTGTGACAACCCTTCCGGGCAAACTCAAGAAGATGCCGACCATGCCTCTAAAGGAGACTGTTGCTAGGAACATCTTCGAGGACAACATGCAGAAACTGCTTCAGTATCTCAAACAAGTCGAGAAAGCTTGCGAGCGTGCGAAAAATCAACAAGCGCGCATGCAAATCCAGGACTGGCGCGCCAAGTTGAAATCAATGATTGACCTTGCCTACAAGCGTCCAGATATGTTTGTGCGAGATCATGCTCATCATATTGGTTCGAGCCCTGTGCGTGTCTACGCTGTTGGTGAAGACGCCGGCGGTCAATTCCAAGCAATGACCACATCTCATGGTCTCACCACATCGGTCAATGGAAATAACTTGCTTGCATTGCCAGACAACGCTGCTGGTGATGAAGCGCCTGAGGGCCGTCATGAATTGCTCAACAATCAAGTGACTGCCCCGAGTCCTACTGGAGCAAGCGATGCAACAGGTACCAACAAAGCTCCCGGCTTTCTCGATCAGGTGCAACCCATGGTCTCGATCGGGTCCCCTGAAAGTGGCGAAATCACCTTTGCGCCATCACAAGGAAGCCTGTCAAATCTGTTCACCTTCGGTTCGAACCCAAAAACATCAAAAGACGATGGCTCTAGCGAAACCTGCTCCACCCCGACCAATCCTCAAGAGGCCACTTCATTGATCAAGGAGGATGTGGTCAAAACACAAGCAGGAGAAGTCTCAGCGGTTGCAGGACACATTGCTGAATACCTTAGCGAACAAGAGAAGATTGAACCTGAGACATCAGAACAAGTCGCAGTTAAGCCTGCTACTCTCGAGCAAGATCATTTGCAACAGACCGGGGTCCAAGAATGTGGATATGGACCAGCTGAGAGCGCCACCGAGAATGAGTACACCCTAGGCCATGTCTTCGTCTGGTCACCGGACCATGCTCCACCCAACGGCGACGAAGGAGATGTTGCAGCTGAACAACCGGTCGAGATTGACGAGCAAGTGCCTACTGACATGACGGTCGATCCCTCTGCTTCGTCTGGCCTCCAATCTTCAACTGAGCCTGCAGCTCCTTCTGCGTTCACTAGCGCAACCGAGGAATACACTCTCGGTCATGTGTTCGTGTTCTCTCCTGATCAAGCGCCAGCTAACGGCGACGAGGAGGTTGTTCAAGCAGAAGTAGCACCCAAGACCGAAACCGAAGCCTCCGTGGAGCATGATGTTGTGTCTGCATCGGACATCAAACTGGAAAACCTCAAAGTGCGTGAAGTTGAGCCATCTGTCCATTCTGTAATCGTTGCCACGACTGAGACCCTGGGCGCTTCTCCATTCACCAAACACGACTCTGACTATACCCTCGGTCATGTCTTTGTTTTCTCTCCAGACCATGCGCCACCGAACGGCGATGAAGAAGTTGTTGCTGTCGATTCGTTATTTGATACCGAAACTGAAGCCCATATCGAGCTTGAAATGGGAGCACTGGTTGACGTCCCCTTCGAATCACCCACTGATTGCGCAACCGAAGCGTTTATCGATACTACGGACGAAACAACAACCAAACCTCCACATGTTCCACTGCCGATCAGCACTGAGCCAGATCATTCCCTGGGTCTTGCGTTCGTTATCTCTCCTGACCAACCACGACTGCATGGGGAGGATGTTGAGATCGAAGCCGCTGTTCCTCATGGCAACGCATGTTGCAACGATGAGCAACACCAGGTGGACGACGCATCCGATATGGACAGTCTTTTCGACCCCGGAGATGCTTCTGACTACCTTGCTGCAGCTCTTGCCGAGAACTGGCTGCTGAGCGAGGACGAGGACCTCGCTGAAGAGACCCCAATTGTCAAGCACAATGCAGTCTCCGATGCTGGTGATGCTATTGGGCAAGGTGCTGTCTCCGATACCGAAGATAGCTTAATCATCATTACGAAAGAGGAGCCATGCAACCCAGTCGAAGAAGTCTTGATTGCTGGCGATATTACTGCAAAAGAAACCCAAGCCCGCACTGCCAGCGGTGCAGAGGAGAACACTTTGGGCCATGTCTTTGTTTGGTCAGCTCTTCAGGCTCCACCTGACCGAGACACTGTTTCCACATCGTTCCCGGTGCCGGTTGAGAACACCATCGAAGACGAGTCGACTCTGCTAGACGACCAAACTCCAAAAGGCGACACATTCAAAGAAGTAGTCACTGAAGAGGTTGTCATTTCTGGTACAGGAATCGCTAATGACGAAGTCAATACGGTGACAGTTGAGGTGGAGACCGAATCTCTTGTGAATTCACCGCCTGTCGCGAAGGCCTTCGAAATGATCGGCGAAGAAGTTGTGGAGGAGATCCTTGACGAGTCATTCAAGGAACTTGTTGAGAAGTCTGTTGAAAAGTCCCGCGAGAAGGACTTCGAAATCGCAGTCGAAAATTCGGAGCACATCATCGAGTTTCCCAAGGAACGAGTCCAGACTAGTCCTACCTTCGTTCCAGTCGGTCGCTGTCTCACGAGAGTCCTCGCTGGCATCACCACCGCCTCCGTCGTTGTTGGCCTGAAATCTCCAGTCATTGCGGCGCTCATAATGTATGCTGGGATTGCGTACGCCAAATACCGTCTGAACCGTTAGACACCATCACCCTTACGATCCCCATCACCACATTCTGAATGTTCCAGATGAAGTTCTTTTGCAAGTGCTTTCCTGCGGCGAACGATGAACGGCGAATGACTATTACGATTTTACCTGGCTCTATTACACCAGCATGAGAGCTGGGATTTGCTTTTTTGCGCGGTACTGGCGTCTGGCGCCTTCTTCTCCGTGTCAAACGCTTTCTTCATTGTACGATTTTATTCGGCACGGGCCATTTGACAAAGAGTCCGCCACATACCTCCACAGAGTTCAGCTTCACCTTATCATTGCAAGGGCCGAGACTCGTTGAATTAGTGTCTCCTGCTATGATCTAGAAATCGAAAATGTTGACAATGCCACTTCGGGCACTGAGGTTGGAATAGGGGAGCAGGATTGAAAGAAAGTTCGGCGACGGCGAGGCCGGATGGATGAGAAGAACAATGGATTCGGAAGAAGATTCAGAAAAATCGAAGAATTTTGCTACTCAGGCAACGAGGCTGGAAAATAAGGGGAAACGGATACTGGGATGGCGCATGCTTGAAAATCGTCAATCATCAGGACGGGGTATTTGTGCAGGAACAGGATTTTGTGGAAGGAAAGTCAACGCAGTCGCAGAATGAGTCTTTGCAAGGAATGGAGAGGGGCGGTGGTATGGCTGGAGGGCTGGCAGAGAAAAGGGATCTGCCTGCCTGTTGATATTTGGGAACTATTGAGCTGTTCGCTTGCTGGATTTTGACAGGTTGTTGGCACAGGATGATATGATTGTTATCATTCTGCTGGGCTTTCAAGAATTGCGCGCAACTAAGGAATTGTGATTTTCAGTTGAGCTTTTGTTGTTGATGGTGGCAGAAGTATTGAAAGCAAATTTGTATTTAGGAATAGTATCCTTGAGCTCGACAGCCGAAAACAGAAGTGAAAAAGGAGATTGAACTGCAGCTGTTGTGGTAGATTGTGAAACGTCCCATCGAGTCAACAGAGCTCAGCTGCTTCCAAGAACATCCATCCCATCGTGTCGTCTAGGTTCTTTCCACATCTCTGAGTGGTCGGAACCTTCAGATCGACAATGCATGGCAAGGCTCTCCACAGCTCTCCCAGGATCTCCGATACATATGGTACTTGGGTACTCCGTATCGAAAAAGAGAAGGTATAGTAGGTCAAGGTTGCCATAACCAGCCCGGCCCAAGTGATACCAGGAAAGACAAGGATGTCTCGGTATTCGTGGCTGAATAGCGTTGCCATCAACATAGGAGCTCATCGATCAATGAATGGGCTGGTGGTTTGTTCCAGTCTCGGTAGGTGTTTGTATATGCTGAACGGTGGACCATACGGCTCAAGCGCGCAAGGCGTGAGCGCTCCACCGAAGAATGGCTCTCCTGCTGATAGTCGACCTCGTCGACTCCACGGCAAGGCAGGCCTACCAGAGACTTTTCACCTTTCACAATAAGATCGCACTCGTCAACCACGCCGCACATTCATCGTCACATGCACACCGGGCGCAACCTCCATGTCAAAGCCAGGAAAGCGTCTTCGCATGCCCATATCCAGACCACGGTTCTGCCGCCCAGGACCACGTCTGCGCCCATCTGCCCAGTCACCCGCTGGTCCTACTCCAGCCTGCACGCCTTCCAATTCTCCTTCAGCTCTCACCTCTCCGTCTCCGTCTCCGTCACCTTGTCGTGGCTGCCTAGATCCCCGCCTACGACCGCCGGGATAGGGTCCGCTGACCCCATACTCACGGTCGATGTCACTTTCTTCGTCACTGCCACAGGTACTACAACTCTCTCCTCTCGCTCTGCCTTGACATCTTCTTCTCCTGCCGAGCCCTCTTGCTGCAAAGGCACGTTGCCAGATATCTCGGACAGGCCGCGCTCCTCTTGGTCGTCGTCCTCCTCCATCCACTCCAACTTCACCGTCAGCGGCCCGGCCTCCACTGCCAGAATGCTGTAAGTCACCCAGGTCCACGATCATCAAGGGCTTATCACCCTCATGGTCACTGCCACTGTCAGTGTCACTGTTCTCGCGTGCCCATGTGGGCAGTCCATGCAATCCTCGTGTCCCTCGCCGACGTGCATGTCTATCGGCACGCGGCAAAATATTCCCCTCCTCCCAATCAGCATCACCATCATCATCGCTCCACTCGGCGCCTTCCCCGTCTGAACTACAGCCGGAACAACATGTACTGCAACTCTCGCTGCGCGTACTGGGACTTCTTCTTCTTCTTCTCGCGCCGCGACGTGGGTTCCTGCCACGTTCTGGTCGTCCTGGCCGAAGATACCAGAAGAGATCGAAGTCAGGCTCGGCGATTCTGTTCAGTGGATTTTGGAACGCATTCGGTCGTTGAGGTTGAGGTTGATCTTGGCCTTCTCTGTCGTCAGAGTCGCGGCCACGAGGTAAGCCGTTTCGGCCGTGACTTGACATGCTGGATATCTGGTAATAGATACGGCAGGGAAAGCTGTAAGTTTGGTTTCCTTCTAAGGATGGTTTGAAATGTCTTCTGCTTTCGAAACAAGTGATGTGTACTGGATGGAGGGAGATGCAGGAGACCAGAGGATTTATACCTGGCCAGCATCGTCCTTGCAAGCGTCATGGTGACATATCAGGGTGATAGGAGCCACTCATCAAACGCAGGGGTATGCCTTTGTCACATCGATCTACAGATATAACAGATATCATGGAGAGTGACACTCGAACATGTTTCCAGGAAGTAATTTCTCATGTCTTCACACGAGTGCCTACGAGTGCCCGATACTGCACTGTCGACCCGGAACAGTGTCGACTATGATGATGGCAACCATAGTAACAGCCGACGGAAGAGGGATCGATCAGTGGACTGAAACTAGATGGGCAGATCATAATCCACAGGGAGGTGGGAGATTTACACTCAGACATGGTGCAGGGAATGCAGAGGCTGGCAATCGATATCCGAGATCTTTGCGATGCCTTACGGCAGAATTTACAAGTATATCCTCGTACAGGTATCCATGTGTGATACGATATTTTCGCCCAGAGGAGCCAGTCCACACTATCCGCTGTTGTGCATTAAGCGGACAACTAGACCACGTTCAACGCCGTGCGTGACCTGTCCTCAGTGGCCCCTTATCCAATCTTGGTGGGCAGGAAAATTCAATGCTTGCTCTTGAAACCGACGACCCCATCAACAAGTAATTTCATAATCACGTCATCTTCATCATCACTTGTGGGATAAAAACTACCTGCCAGCTTCGAGCTGTGAAGGCGTTGGCTGGACATCCGGCGCTGCCGAATTGTCTTGGATTTGAGCTGGCCGGCCACGCCCGGGTATGCGAAAACCTGGTAATCGCGACCTCCAGCTCGAAGTTTGAGGTTGAAGTGGTGCCTCGGTATCACGATTTGATTCTCTCTGTTGGTTTTGTGCTCGCTGACCTCTTCGCTCAGCTCTCACGACAAGCGGGAAACCATGTCGATCACGATCATGATAGACAATGCTCATGAACCGTCCCGGAAGGACCATAGCAGGTCTTCTACCAGCACGACCATTGCCGATGATTGAGAACGCCGTCGGAGGTTGCTGTACATCTGGGTTTGTCCCAGCCCTGCTCAAGCCTTCGCTATTGACAGCTTCAGGTCGAGGCTTGGGAACATAGTAATCGGCCTTGCAAAGGGGACAGCAAGCACGTCTTGATGTCAACCAAGGGTCGACGCAAGATGCATGGAAGGCGTGACCACATTGTAGACCGCGGATGTCGTCATCATCTTCGATGGTGTCCAGGCAAATAGCACAAGCATCTCCAGGGTCGGGTAGTTGTTCGGCGGGAACGGCATTTTGGATCTGTTCGTCGTCATCTTCGTCATCATGAGAGGTGACCTTTTGTATAGGAGTGTCGTGAGTGGTTGACTGTGCTGACTTTGGCCGCGACGGGGTCGCTGGCCGAGTGTCAGGGCGACTCTTCTCAGCGATAATCTCAGGTGTAGCATGCTCTTGACTCGTTTCCTCTTCGGCGATGGTGGAAACGGTGTGTGTTTGAGTCAATTCTGCTGCTTCACTGCTGTCCTTTGACTCGCGCGGCTGATTGTGTATACTGGCAGGCCTTGATGCGGTATTGATGCCTCCAGCAGTGGGTAGTCCTTCATCCGCCCGATTGGATCGCCACGTCTTGTATTTTGTCAGAGGGAATTTTTCATTGACCTCATCCATTGTCATGAGCTTCTTTTCGCGCCTGCGACGATGTTGGCGAGGCATGGCGCCGAGGTCAACTGCGTCAGGATCTTCCCCATTCATGCGCTGTCGATTCCGCTGGTTATATCGGAAACAGTATTTGACGCCGACGATAATCCTGACACCAACAATTAATTCATAATGACACGCGGGTAAGATGCCTCTTCAGGCTCACCATAGATTCGTGAAGACCACGCCAAAGCCTAGAGCGACGAAGAAGAGAAGTGGCGAACTAGGCCCATTTCCTCCATTGTTGCCCGGATTGCCCGTAGGTGAGGCGGTTGGAGAGGATCCTACTGATGATGTCGAGGTAGCCATCTTAGCTGAGAGCTTACACGGACACAGCGCCCGTAATCAGGAACTTCTCGAAGACGGCTGGATTGGCGCTGACGGCAGCATTAAAAGTCGCAGCGGCAGCTCTGGTCTCCTAATCTCAATCCACCAGAGACATGTGCCGAGGACGTGATATGTTCAAAAGTGATGATGATGAGGAGAGCAGCAGGGGGCGAGATTAGGATCGATTCAGGCGTGGGCCTGGATTCTTCGAGGTGACGAAGTCCGGTGCGCTGGATGTTTCAAGGGATCGAAACCTGATTCAGGGAGTGGATGGCGTGGGAGAGGATTGGTTAGATCGGACCGCGCTATAGGTCGACTTGATCGTAGGGTGAGACGGAGGAATTGGAGAGATTTCCCTTTCTAGGAGAATTGAAAATGAAGACACGAGGAGGAATGGGCGAAGAATAGAGATGAGCGCAGTCTCTCAGAGTGGAAGGAAAGAGCAGACGGAGACCAAGTGGAAGAAGCAGAGGCTGGTACGAGGTACGGGAGGAGTTGATGACTGGTGAGACTTTGGCCTAGGCTCACTAGGCCGAGTTAATGTTGAGTTTTAGGTGCACCAGGCGGGGAGGAAAGCAGGAACAGCCTGTAGATTCTAGCTACGAGTCAAGCCTAGTTGAACCCATGACTGCTAAGCTACCTAAGGTACAGTACTCAGGCCATCCCGCCCCGCTAACAAAAGGCTTATCCCATACTCGTAGAAACCATATCGGCGGAAGACGACGGATCAACCAAAGAACCACAATCCAGTCAATTCCCTCTCCGAAAGAACCCAATCCTGTACGGAGTGATAACAAGAATAATGATGTCGACGATCTGGACAACTGTCCCATCACGCAGGGTGAATCTACGGTACTCGTACTCGCAGCAGATTCAACACCTCGGCCGTGTGCCAGAGCGACCACCCGATCCTCCTCTTGCTCCGCACAAACTCGCAGTCGTCTTCGCGAATCACATCGTCGCTCGACTTGGAGTTTGCGCCTCTCGTCTTGGTGTGCCCTGCTGCTGCGGCGGCCCAGTTTCTCGCTTGCCCGCATCGGCCATGGAGGCATCACAAGACCATATGCAAGCTCCTCAATTATCTGCGGTGGTTTATAGCTCAACTGGAGTTCCGCTGTGCAGATCACACGAGCGTTGCTATTTCAGACCTACGCTATGTAACGACAGGTGACAACCAAACCTGCTGTCGTTCTCGCCCGTTACCGAACCATTTGCCACACCAGTCCCCTCACCTGAACACGAGAACCGCAATTACAAGCACCGTGAAGCACCCAAGAAAATTAAGCATTGACCTTCCCTTACACGTGCTTGTTCTGTGCACCAGCTCATCATCGTCTGACCCTCTTCCATACTCCATACAGGTACGGAGTAGCTATACAACCGTAGCCAGCCACTGCGTTTGCCCTATTCCATCAGTCGCTTTCTCATCTCGCCCATGGTCTGCCGCTATAACTCCGTCCAGCACCTGATCCAGTGCGCAACCACGTTTAATAAGTGACTTTTGAACCTTTGCGATATCCTCCCTCCTGTAAAATCGAGTCAGTCCAGTGGGACGTCTTATGGTGGGGTTCCAACACATACCTCCTCCAGGTCGGATTCCAATGCATTCATCTCCTCTTCCTGGGCATTGAGATGGTGGAACAGGATCCAGATGAGCTGCGTCAGCGTCAATATCAGTCCGTCAGAGTTACTCGAGAAAGAAGAACTTACACAGCCCGCGCCGAATGATGCACCGCATAAGCCAACAAACTGAGGTGCCGCTGTCAGGACACGACGCTCTTCATCGAAAAATAACTTACCATCCACAGAATAGCAGGATCGTATGCCACTGGGGTCAAGGCCTCACCCAGAGCGGATCCGAAAGCGTTCGTGAGGAGATACATCGCTTGAACAAAGCTCTTCATGCTTGGTGGTGCCTTAGTATACGCGTATTCGAGGCCAGTGACTGATGCGAAGATCTCCGAAATACCGATAAGCATATACTGTCGTGGCAATCAGCACGGTCATGTCTTGGGCAAAAAATGCATGTCGTCTCTTACCGCTGGAGTCTGGATGGCGATGTGAATGTTATTACCTTGCGCAACTCCATCGAGGACCGAGGCGTCGCATAGTGGTTGATCATAACACGGACCGGAACTGCTTTTTGTCAGCAATTGACCTTTCTCAATGGTCTCTCGGCTTCATACACGTAAATCAGATGCTGCACGATAGCAGCATACGCCATGGCAAGCGACGCCACCCAGAACCCAAGGACTATCCGATTGATAGGCGGGAATGGGACGCGCATCTTCCGCAAAAGAGGATAGACTAAGCGATCGAGGATCGGGACGAAGACGATAATAGCAATCTCATGCTTGTCAAACTCTGTCGTATCTTCCAGACTCTAGGACTTACAGGATCAAAGTTTTGCATAAGGTCATTCGGAATACCATGTCCCTTCATTTGACCCGCTTGGGTGACGAAGTTGCCGCTACAATGGTCAGAGTGCGCTGCTGGAGAGAAAATGTCGCTGCCGACGTACCTGAATTGCCCATAAACACACCAGTCTTTTCAAGTCAGCCTCGACTTTGCTCTACTGCCCATAACAACTTACAGATAGGGTAGATGATGAAGACGCGGCAAGCAACAAGAGCCCTCTTCAACTCATCGATGAAATGATCATTCCACGGCACGGTCTTCTGTATGCCGTGCTCAGCCAACCAAGAGGGCTTTGGCGCATCTTGATCCCGGTGCTTGATCATCAGCCAAACACATTTGAACGCGTCCGTGATGATGGATCCTTGTGGTGGACGGACGACGTAGATCTTCCTTCCCAAGATAAGAATAGTAGTGCCTGCACAAAACATGCAGAAACACAGTAGGAAGGCCGACCAGAATCCGATATCTCGCTCCATATATGGTGTCGCCAGAAGTGACAGCGCTCCAACGTTGATGCAGGTGTAGAAAATCATGTAGATTCTCTGAATGGTCACCGAGGGATCAACGATGACTCGTTCACCCTTGGGAGTGGTCATGATCTGTCCCGTATCAGGAATCTCCCTTGTTCGATGCCTACAATAAGTGGTACTCACAGCCATTTTACGTCTCTTGTACTGATCAGCAATGAGAGGCGCCACGTTTGACTTGATACCGCCGGTGCCAATTCCGATGACAATGATGGCGGCAATCTGTAGATCGTCAGAAAATAGCACCGGTATCGACGGGAGCAGGGACCAAGACAAGTGCTTGAACGGCACAGTCTTTTCAGGTAGAGAACACATACGAAGCCACCCAGCCCAGCGCCATTATGCAATGAGGTCGGCAATGCTGTCGTCCAGAGAGTAAGGAGGCCGACAAGATAGACGATGGAGAAGTAAAGAATAGCCTTGTATTTGCCGGTGTATTGGTCTGCAACAATGGCGCCAAGTATTGGAGTCACGTAGCAGAAGAAGCTATCACTCGTTAGGTTTGTAGGATGAAGGCCGCCTCAACGAAATCTCACTTGAAGAAGGTCGTCAGACCCGTGGCTCCCTGATGGCCCATTCCCAGAGCTCCTCGTCCCTCGGAGCCATCCAAAGGTCTTTGTACGTAATTCTGGGATTTGCGTTAGTTACGACTGCTTCTCAATCACGCCAGGCGATGCGCACTTGGAAGATACCCTGACACCCATAGTACGTGAAGCGCTCGCAGAGTTCGACAAAAGCAACCAAGAATGTCGAGAAAGGCAGACTCTCGCCCACATGTCTTAATGTCCTTTTCTCTCGCTCGGTGGGTTCCTCGCCCTCCGGTGTTGCGTCCTTCTCGGTGTCGCTAACGGTATCCGCTGGCTTGTGCTCTGCGATAACATCTTTGTCGACGGTAGGAAGAGACTTGGGATCGATCTTCATGGGTCGGACGACGGCTTCGTTGGTAATCTGCTCCGAAGGATTGGTGTCTTGTTTCACTTCTCCATGTACCCTGCTCAGTCAGTGGAGACCCATATGTCACGGGCTGATGAAGCCATACTGAGAGGCATTGAAGTCGTCCATCCCCATTATTGTAAATTGTGCTTGACGCTGCGGTACCGAATGGCTACAGGCAAACAATCCAGAATATCGGCATTGAAAAGGAAAGAACTCAGAAAAGACGGGAGAGGAGCACACGACATATGTCACTCCGAGATCACTCGCCCCTACCTGGCCATCATCTGGTCGCAAAATTCAGGTGCGTCTAGGGTTGCAACCGCAATCCATCGTACGAGGCCGAGTCTTCCGCCCAACTCGAAAAGGCCGACCTCTTCAAGCAACAGCGCACACAGATCCGAAGTGGAATTCGGCTGATCCATTGATCGTCGTGAAGAACGTGGGACGTTTCATGTGGAGAGTTGCATTTTGTACGAGGTACTCCGTAGAGTGACTCCATTTGAGCTCTCCTGTAGCCGAACGGCTCACTTTCGGCAAAAACCTGGTTGGCGTGGCGCATTACAAGACCGAAGCCCAGGAAGCTTCACGGCTTTTACAATAATACAAGGCGGGCCCCGATGATGCTTGACACTTCCAAGCCTTGCGAAATGGAAGAAGATTGTTTTGAAATTGGTCTTTTTCTCAACTCGTCTCAGCGTCCACGTGATATCTAATGGCAATGATGCCAAGACTTTGTCCCGACGAAATCGGCACGCCACCATCATCCACCCAAGTTCATGCGGTGAAGTTGGGTCTCGGGGTGCTCCATCACCTGTTGTTCCTGCAAATAACAACCGGTCGATGGAGGAAACATATTACCGCACTCTAGCTCCTGCGACTTGAGCCAGGGGACGCATAGTACCCAATAACGAGGTAGACGGTGATAACCAAAGGAAAGGTAACGTTGTCACAACATGCAAGATAAGGATTATCAGGCATCTGAAAATTTCCCCTGCCGTGTAGCTCGTTTATTAGGTTGTGGAAATTCTCTCTACTCGCGCCAGACAATTTCAATATCACTGAGCCTCCCAAGTTTCAGCCCCAGATATGCGCGGTGGATGCCGAATTGACGTGACGCCTGAAATGCGCTTGAGACTGCTTGAGAAAGCTTCGAATCTTCCACCAACAAAGAATGTACAGGGAAGTGAAAGCCGCAAACGTCCGCAGACAGAAGCGGAGAAATGCAAGTTCCTTCTGGTGAGAGCATCAGCACGAGCAGAAAGATCCCAACTTTGTAAGCAGCTGTTTTCCTTTCCAGCATGAACCAAAGCATGCTTTCACACTCCATCAACACCCGATAAATCAAATACATTGGTGCACATTTGCATACCCCAGCAGTAACACCCGTGGTGGTCTCGCCTCCAGCGCCTTGCAAATCAGGAACAAAAGAAATTCGGGTTCTGTCGTGCAAGCAAATTTTGTGAAATAAAGAAGTCGTCGTGTGTACATGAAAAAAAGGGAATGAATCGGATCATCTCAAGGAATGCGTTGAATGTGATCCGAGAGGGCTTCTGATTGGTTTTGGTGTAGGTTCTTCCTCCATATCGATGGTCCTTGTCGGTACCGGCGTCACATCTGCGTCAGATTCAATCTCCGCCACCTGAGTTCCAGGCTTTTGAGGAAAGATGACGGGTGGCGTGAGTTGGCCATGGCTTAAGCGTTGGTTGGCATCTTGTTCGGGGTGAGAATGAAAGGAACTGGTCCTGTCCAGGCTCTTGCGCGGTTGACTTGCCATCACGACAGCCGGAGACGGCTCCTCAGCAATAAACATGTTCTCCATCTGTTCCTCCAGGATCTCGAGGGATTTCCTCAACATGTCAGGTTCCGTGGCTTTGTCGTCGTTCATGGAAATCACACTTCCACGACTATTGGTACGCATCATTTCGATCCCAAGCTTCGAAGTCGGTCGTGCAGTCCTGCCAAGGGGTGATCGAGCGCGTACTTGTACATCTCCAAGTTCCTCGTCCTCATCGTCACCCTCTTCAGCTGCTCCAATAGGATTCTGCATATTCTTCTCCAACCTATCGCGCTTCTGCTTGACAGCATCCGAAGACTCCTGGCGGCGCGGAGTGCGAAGTCCATATCCAGGGGGCTCCTCGGCATGAGCGCTAGCGGGAGCAGACTCGGTATGGACGAGGTGAGGGAAGCCGCTTTGTACGTAGGGCTTTTGGCCGATAACGATATCATCGGAAATGCCTAGTCCGCCCTTGGCCCATTCATCAGTAGCAGCTCGGGACACGATGACAGGAATGTCATCGCTCTTGAAGGATTCCAAATCGCTGAAGAACCCGCCACTACCGATGGAGTCCTCTCGAGCGGATCCTTTGTATGATGACTCTGGCATCGTTGGCGCCAGGCTGGATGCCACTGAGCTCGGGCTGTCTTGCATGTGAGCAGGGTCCACTCTTGTACTGATGGGCGGAATGCTGAGTGGAGCTGAAAGCTTGAAATCCTTGGATGGCGGTTTCCACGCGCAATACTTGCAAAGCATCTCGGACAACTTCTGTGAAGTTGGTGGCTTCTGCATGAGGGTATTAAAGTGATGAACTTCGGGCAGATCCTTGAGATAGCCCGTAATGCAAACGATTGGCGTATGAGTATTGGCACTCTTGGTGTCTCGAATCATTCGCGCAACATCCACCCCATTAATGAGCGGCAACTTGAACTCCGTGAAGATGATGTCGAATTGTATTTGGCTCACAGCCAAGCGGAGAGCATCTGGACCATTGGAAGCCGTCACAGTTCGACAACGAAGCTTTTCCAGTAGTCTTTCCATGACCATGCGAGATACCGGATGATCTTCGCAGATCAAGACATCCAGGGGGCGATAGACAGGGCCTTCAAGAAAATTGATTTGAGACAATCTCCTGGAGCTTTGCCTGCGGCGTTGCACCTTGAGCAATGCTTTCGCTTGAGCGGATTCATTATCCGAGGATGATGGGCTGATATCGCGGACCAATAGCTGACTTTTGCGTTTATAGTGACCCGGAATGAAACTCTCACGCGCAGCTTGCCCATCGCTTTCCTGTGAGCCCACGGTTTGTGACCGGGTTCGTCCGGTAACACTAGACTGCCGCTGAGGCGGGTTCATGGTTTTGGCTGGGGACAGTGTAGGCGCACGAGCCGTTTTGATCGGCGAAGATGCAGCCTGGGCTCCCTGTCGGATAGCGTCATGAGGTATGTCGAAAAAGCTTCCGGGGTTCAGAGAGCTGCTGCCTTGGGATGATCCAGAAGTCTTTCTTCGTTCATGATGCTGTGCTGCTGAGAACTGAACCAACAGTGGCGAAGAAGGCTGAGATGGTCTGCTGGGCGAGGAGTTAGAAGTGCCGCCTAGGCTGGATGGCGAACCTGGCCTGTGCCCCTTGCTGATAGACAAAGCCCGTTTCACGGGCATGGGCATCATGGGACTGCCCTCTAAAGAGGGAGCAGGGGACCCCAGTGCAGGGCTGTTAGTGGCAGAGATGGCCTGCGATTGCGAATACCCTCGTGCTTGAGCTTGCATTGCTTCCTTTCTCATTTTCTCCACGATGTCCTTGTTTGCTCTCTCCAAGACTGGTAGATTCTTGAAGGTGAAATTACCAAAATCATCAGCAATAACCGGCTCACTCAGTCTCCGACTCCGAGAATCTCGAGCGACGTGAGGAGGAATATGAAGAGGCATCAGGCCTCGTTTAGACGACGCTGCTTGAGTCCTGACTCGGAAGAGGGCGTCATGTGGACGGTTCGAATATTCAGATCCATTCGGAGTGGTGCCAGACGGAGACACTTGGTCTTCGAGTTCTTCTGGGAATGATGATAGGGTAGCTCCCCGAGCATCGAAATACTCGGTGTCTTCAGGATGCTCCGGATTGGGAATGAATTGAGCCTCATCCTCCAGTAGACTGTCCCAGTTGATGTCGGCAAACCACGGATGAGCTTGAATTTCTGCTCCTCCACTTGGATATTTTTCGTCTTTGTTAGCTCCAAGACGATCGGCAGGATCCAACTGTATTAGTTTGTTTATGAGGTCTTTCGCCTCGGGGCTGACTTCAAGCTCCTCGTGCTCCGGCCAGGCGATTCTTCTGTGCAGGATGTTGTCAAACACCTCTTCAGTGCTCTCAGCATTGAAAGGTGGAAAGCCGTAGAGAAACTCGAACATGATACACCCAAGTGCCCACCAATCACACATTTCATCTTGACCAGTGCCGTTGATGGTTTCTGGTGCTAGATAGTCCGGAGTGCCCACGAACCGCCGACCACTCTCCTCGTTGTCAAACAGTGGCGGGAGTACTTGAGAAGAGGCTGGCGGTGGAGGAGGTTGGGAAATATTACTCATTGACTGAGACAGAGGAAAGAGGTCCGGCGACGCGCTTCCCACGCTGTAGGATTCTTCCTCCTGAGGATGCGTACGAGGAATCGCCTGAGGAGACACGTCGCTGCCCTCTTGCACACCCAGTTTTTTGAAGAGATGATGAAGATCAAAGCTTGAACCACTGCCACTGTCGCTACGTAGTCCTGAACGACTCCATGATAGCTCCCTACTAAGTGAGCTCTCTCTATTCAAACTGAAGTAGGACGGCTGGTCCAGACCACCAGCGAGAGCAGGTGTCATGAGAGGAGTTGTTGCAGGTGAGTGCGGTCCTTCATAATCGAAAGATGCTGATCTTGAAGCAGGGTTGGATCCGGAGCCAGACCCAGATTGTGTGAATGGGCCTTGCTTCAGTAGGTCAGGGGCGGGTTCATCGGGCTGCTTGAGAGCGCGTTTTTGGCGGCCGATGAGACCCATTCGTGAGAGACCAAAGTCGGTGAGCTTCAGATGACCTTTGGTGTCAATGAGGAGGTTATCAGGTTTCAGATCGCGATGGACAATCCCTCGGCTGTGCAGATGCTCAACTCCCAGGACCACCTCTGCGATATACTTCTTGGCCCAGTCTTCGCTTAAGCCGCCCAGGATTTTGACAAGAGAAGCGCAGTCACCACCATTGAGGTACTCCATAACCAAGTACAGATAGTCTTTGCTCGAAAAAGTCCAGTACAGCTTGGCCACAAAGTCACTCTCGCCTTGCCACATCATGATGGCGCGTTCAGCTTTGACATTGGTGACTTGATTTTTCGCAACCATGTCCGACTTTCGCAGCACTTTGATGGCAAAGTATTCGCCAGTAATCTTCTTCTTGGCCAGATATACGCTACCAAAGGCGCCTCTGCTAATGGGTTTAATCACCTCAAAGTCTTTGATAGAGGGAGGCTGAGCACGTTGTTGGGGATGGCTGATGGAGTTCAGGCGAGGGGAAGAAGGTGTCTTGTCGGAAGAATGCATTGAGGATTGTCTTCTGTGCACCAGCGAGCCAGAAGCTTGAGGCATATACTCGCCAGCCGTCAGTAACGGAGACACAACAGGTGACTGAGCGATTTCGCCACTAGGAATCCTTGCCTTCGTTATGCGTAGGGGCGATGATGGAGGAGGCGGGTACCTTCCGGGCGATTGCTGACGGTGGGGAGAAGCCGAATTGAGACCATGAATGTGCAGACTTCGTCTCTTTCGGTCTCGCGAATGAGCGGATCGGCCATGTTCTGATACAGACGCAGGAGATTCTGATCTCCAGTTATTAGACAACACAGAAGAGGACGGTAGACTGCTGTCGCTATCATTGGGATCTTCGACATAAACTGACCGCCTGTTTGTAACCGGCTGTGGCTGCGGCTGTGATATGAGGTTGCTCTTATGAGATTTGGGGGTTGGACATTCGATGGGACTGCTTGAACCTGTCGAAACCGCCTGTGACGAAGAGCGTCTTTGGTCTTTCATAGCAATGTACGCAATGTCTCTAGGATTTCGAAGGGCCGAAGCCATTGAGCGCAAGCCCACATAAGACGCAGTTCGGCCATGTTCTGACTCTGTAGCCACGGGAGTGGGCTCCTCATCTTCACTGAGGCTCTCGATAATACCCTCAAGTGCAGGCTCTGTTTCAGAGTCACTTTCACTGGAAGAGATTGATTCTCCTGCGGCTGCCCGTTCGGCTTTGATCAGTGCCTCACTGATACAGGCATCAACTTCGGCCATGTATTCTTGTCGAATGCGCTCTGAGTACTCGAGAACATACTGATGGCGACGGACAGCGTCGACCTTGGCACGGGCCAGCTTTTCGGTATCGGCACTAAGGGCAGCCAAGCCAGGCTCATTCTCCAAGCTAATGGGAGCCTGCCATTGCATGACTTGGGATATTCGGGACTCGGACTGTGGTGACTGGGATCTGAAGTCTTCGTCGGTGTTGTTTTTACTGTCCTTGATGGAAGGCACATTGATCTCCATGGCTGTGTCGCAGAGATCGAGGATCAGCTCGACAATACGTACCAAGGGGCGGCGGACCACAAATGATCGAGCACGAGAATGACCTAGCCCTGCCGTAGACGGACTGCTGGATCTTACCGGACTTGCAGTGTGCGAGCCTGAGGCTGATGAGACAGCTGACGACTGAACGGGGGACGGACCTATTGGCAAGCCTTTGTATTCAGGTGCAGGTGGTTGAGCCGGAGAGCTCTCGCCGGAACTGCGTCCTTGACGAGCTTCGAAGGCGTCCAAAACTTTGACAATGGAGTTGCGATGCTCTGACAAATTTTCTTGTATCATCTGGACGTCCAGCTCAGCACGGTGTTCCTGCACGCAGAGATCCGAATGTTTCTCGAACCACCAGGGGACGATTGAGCGCTCGCAAACCCGACAAAGAACGGGCAGAGGGGGTGGATGATTTCCAGGATCGTTAGCCCCAGCCTCTGCTAGTTCGGTGAGATATTTTGCCAGTATCTCAGCACCAATACCGAGTGTTTCGACTAAGGCCTGTGGAAGCGCGATTTCGATGCGTATGGGCTCCTGTGCGGGCTGTAACATCCACATAGAGTGTGATTCTCCACCAGATGACCTGTCATATACCATAATGCCTTGCCCTTCCAGCTCAAGGGTGGCTTTTCCTGACTCGTCGGTTTCGACATTGTCCTCGGTTGGTTCTCGACCATCCTCTGTTGGCAGCATCAATGCCATGTCCGAGGACGTGCCAATCTTGACAGCGAACTTGATGTAAAGGCTTTTGGAATCATTGGACTTCAAAGCTTCTATAGCCGCGTCGAAGACATCCGGATTGTCGGAAATGAACTCGGAGATCTTATGCCCTCGAACAGCGTCGAGTTCCGTGCCAACGACGTCCGTCCAGGACGGGCTGACCCATCGCACGTGGCCATCCAAGCTGAGATCGAGTATGATGTTTCGTGTCTGCTCAGCCGCCTCTTTCAAGTCTTGAGTGCCTGCTTGAATGTCTTGACTGAAGGATCTCTCCATGAGATGGCGAGTCAATTCGCCTCCGAAGCCTGCATCGCTCTTGATGGCAGTGATATTTGGTGGCTCCAGGTATTGCGATGAAGAGCCATCTTCTGCCATTACTCCTGCTCTTCTCCTTCCGTTAAAGGGAGTCAGAAATCAAGCAGACCGCGGAGGCGAGCTTGAAAGGACCGGCGGCGGACTCAGAGACTTATTGACCCACGACGGGAGTCAAAAAGTCCCTTAGTACGTTGACATCTTCCGCATCGACTGGTCCAAATCTCTTGCTAGCGAGCAGTAGATGTAGTAACACCCGGAGAGTATCTCTGACTCTTTCAATATGTTGTCAGAAAGCGAGCGAGGAAAGAAAAGAAAAGCGGGATCGATGTTCGACGAGAGGACGAGACCCGGGCGAGGGGCCACGAGGGCTTGTGATTGTGGACAGAGACGAGCAGAGGTCTACATAGGGACCATGAAGAGTTTTGAGAGAAGGAAAGTATCGTCAGCGAATGGATGGCGTAGTCGGCAAGTGGTATTATTGAAATCGCAGGAGAGTGAATAGCGGAGACGGGAGAAGGGAGGGTGTTGTTGTAACTATTTTCTTTGTCGGCAAAGCGTAAGATACCTGGTAGGTAAAGCAGGCGAGTCGAGCGAGTCAAGAAGGGGTCCAATAGAGGCCGTGGCCTGAGCAGTGGCAGCTACGAGTAATGCTGGTATGGAAAACTGCGCCTATGCCTGCGCCCAGCACGTCCTGTAACTTAGTGGGGCATCAGTCAAAGTGTCTGCGTCTGCTGGCTGCTTCTTGCTTTCAAAGCAAAAGGAAGCCAAAGCCTTTGGATGCGTGCGCACCAGCCCCTGCTCCTCTGTGATCCTCATCAACTAAGCTGCACCTACTTCTCGCTTTCCACCAATAACGATTTCCTGCTCTGCTCGGCACCTAGCACCTCCTACTCGTAAAGAAAGAATCCAGCACAAACTCCATTTGACGCTTGTTCCTCGTCCTCCAATACCGTCTCTTCTCGGAGCCAGTTCTTGCATGGCCATGCAGGAAAGGCTTGTTAATCCGCAGCGTCCATCCATCATGTCCATCTCCTGCATCTCCTGCATCCCCAGTGCTGGCCCTACCGTTAATCCTATCACCGTTGTGCTGACGCACCGTAAACATCATGTCCTCTCCACTTCCGTCCCTTGAAGGTGGTTCGGCTACAAACAAATGCCAGCACTACCCGTCTGGCAGCGGGAAGAGGATGGGTCTTTGTGCATATTATTACGTTCGCACACACACCTCACGACATCAAGAGAAGCACAATTCAAGTGTGGTTGTACTGAAGCCCCTTGGCTGTCGACTGCGGATGCCGTGGCCCTGACCAAGCGCCGTGGCCATCAGAGACACCGTGCGCCAGGTTTCTTATTGTGCACAGAGCGCTTCAGACGTTGGATGAAACAAGCAGTCAGCAATGCCGGGCCAATAAGGCTGCTTACAGTCCCAAAGATTGTGAATTCTCCCAGGCTGCACCACCAAAATGCACACCATCTGCATCCCTCCAACAAGACTGATGCGTCGAGGTTGTGTTAGGAAGTTACCCTGCAAATGACGCGCCGTCTCTCGGTAAACGGCCAGAGGTATTCCCCCCTGTTTCTTGCCATTTGAGACCTTCATGTGACGGGCAGAAAACAGATAATGACACCCATAACTCAAAGATCAACAATAATTTTTCCCTTCTTCCCTGTCTCCCGATGCTCCTTTTCTCAGCCGCAGAACTTTTCAATGCTATCCTGGGCTACTGGAACAGTGGCCGAAACGTCCACAACGACACTCATGAATTGCAGGCTCAATGCTCAGCTGACCCGCCTGTTCGGCTTGAAAAAGGAGGGCGCCAATCACCTCACCCTTCCAAGGCCGCACTACTGCACCGAGCACTACTCCATTCCGGTATGCAAGAGAAGCTCGTGGTCTGCACGGGCTAAGAATGCAGCCTATCTTTGTCCCCGTCTTGGGTTTTGGCCGCGTTTTGGCCTTGGGCCGGTCGATGATCTTTAGGTTCCAATGTAGCAACACCAACGCAGGAAGAATGATCCATGACTTCGAATACGAGTAAGAAACCTGGGCTAAAAGGAGGCCCTCCTAAAAATTGAAAACCACTATACACATGGTACTCGTTCAAGCCTAGCATCTCGTGTTCCACAGCACGCGAGGCAGTTCCCTGTTCAGGCCCATCCGGGAAAGACAATTGCTGACTCTGTGGTGGTCTACTCTGTCTTGTATCCCCGGCATTGGAGAAGCATCGAGAGATTTTCAGCGTCAGTGTGGGGAACAAGGGTTCAAGCGTGCTCAAGGTAAGTACAGCACGTACGGGTATGGTGATCGACGATGGTTTTGGACTCGACAATCATTATTCAACTCCTTGACTCACGAACGACCCGCCTCACGCCTGGGATAGACGATGCTGCCTTTCACCCAATCTTGGCTATAGGAAGGGATATATTCTCATGAGGAAAATGCACGTCGTCTCCGCCACGCATTTCCGGTCGTGCCGGTTTACGTTGAATCTGCCGGCTAGGTTGATCATACTGGAGATGCTTCATTGGCGAAGTCAAGGATCTCTTATCAAGGCTTCTGGAAGACTCCGGCTGTTTGCAACTATCCACTTGCAGGCTGCAGAATCACGGGGCATGGTCTGCCTCCCAAAGTCAAACTCTAAGTGTCATTGCCAATTCAAAGGACTACACGCAAAAGGCACTCTAGAGAGTTGTTCCGGTCAGCTCATGCGCATCAGCAACAGAGTCTACGGTAAGGCTACTTGTCGTGTCACCAACAGCGCCAAAGCCGGTCATTATCATCATGTTATTATCCTGGATCTGTTGTTGGCTTCACGGATTACATCTCCGCAATCACAAGGATTTTGGTCAGCACTGGATATGCTCGGTTGGCAGCTAACATAAAACCGCGGGCACATGTTTCGTAAAGAGCCAACAGTAATATTGAACTTGCATTTGCATCTCTGAGCAGCTACTCTCCTTTTTCTTGACTAGGATTGCCCGGTAAATAATGAGGTCTAAGTCAGATGGCATTGCAGGATACCTCGTAACGCCATTTTCCAGCAAGCGAGCTCGATGATCCATTGCGTAGACCTTTGTCCGCCCATAATATCGAATGAGTATTTCGGCACGTGCCAGCATGCTTGACGTACACAGTGCACGGTTGAAGATTGATATCTTCAATGCTGTAGCAATCTGGCTTGTGACCCAGGCCTCCATACGGAGTACAGCTTCTTCTATTCGTGATGCCATACACTCGATTGATGTGCTTGAGCAAGTCCGAAACATCCGCCTGTGCAGCGCATCAGGCTCTCCACTGCCATTCAAGCATCCATGTGATCAGCTGCCATGAGATTGTTGCTGACCTGTTGTCGCTCACTTGAATACTCATTGTGTTCGCTTCAAGCTGGTTTCGAGCCCTACTGCTCCTCGACCTGCTCCCAGCTTTGCTCTCGCTCGTCCAGCATCGTGCTCTCAAAACGTGCATCGCTCAAGTAGCTGTGAAGAAGAATATGCCCTTTCCGTCTTACATTGCTCAGCCCTGAAGCCGACGATTGCTTCGGTCTTCTCACTGCCCTTTCTTCTCCCTGTCGGCCCGTTCGCCCTCCCTGAATTCCCACACGGCTCTGGCCAATCCTTCATCGATTGGCACAAGAGGCGTATAGCCCGTGCGTGTCTTCAACTTCTCACAGCTATAATACCGATGAATAACAGCATATTTGACCGTCTGCCGATTCAACTTCCCCTTTCTTCCACTCAACCAGTTGAAAAGCTCCGCTGCGCCGCCCACGAAGCTAGCCAGCTCCGTCGGCACACTCCAGACCTTCTCCATACGGACATCCCGTCCGTAGCCAGTGTACAAGAACCGGGTCGCATCCCAAAAGTACGCCGGACTATCATTTGTCACGTTGAAGGCCTCGCCGTCGACCCGTTCATAATCAAGTTCTGCCGCTTTACCATCCCGCCGTCTTGCGTGGCTTGCCAACAGCGCCTGCGCAGCGCACAAAAGCCCGTAGACTACATTGTGCACGTACGTGTTGTCGAACAGATTATTCCCCGGCCCGAGTTGAATATGAAGCTGCCACCCTGGCGCACCCTGCGCTGTCTTCAAAATCCCGCCCGAGAATCCTCCCCGATCGCCCTCGCCGACAATGCCCGCCGGTCGTATCGCGCATGTCAGCATATGGTTATACTCGGGTTTGTCATTGGCCTCGAGCGCAAGTCGTTCCGCGTGCACTTTGGTCTCCGAGTAGTATTCTCTGGGATTCGGGCAGACAAGCGGATACCGCTCGTCGGCATTGATCAGGTCGGTCTCCCCGTCGTGCACAACGCTAGCGCTGGATGTGTGCACAAAGACCTTACACCTTCCCCGGCCGCCGGACCAGTCGCCATACTTGCCGCCCGCAACTTCCAGAAGTGTTCTCGTCCCTTCGATATTGACTTTCTGCAGTATGTGCGCGGGCGCCTCCCACGAAGGAGAGGCCGTGTTGATCACGATATCGGGTTTGACCTTTCCAAACACCTCGAGCAGGGAGTCGACCGATGTGATATCCCCCTCGTGGTACGTGCAGCCGGGAAATATGTGCTGCGTGCATCTCAGATCGAGGGCGTGGACTTGCGTTGATGAGGTGCAAGGGTACCGGGAGCGTAGACTGGGAAACGGAGGGATCGAGGATGCCGTAGACGAGTTAGAGATATGTGAGGCTGCGCCGTTCGCTGTGCCATTGGCCGACTTTTGGGAGGCCTGAATTTGCTGCAGGAACTGGTCCTCTGAGGGAAAGTTGAGCAGCTGATCTACTACCCTGGAACCCAAGAATCCACAGCCTCCAACAACTAAGACTGTGCCGTAAGATCGGACGGTTGTAGTATCTGCCATGTTTGTGAGGATCTAATTTGGAGTGTTTGGTATTTCGCAGAAATCGAAATGTACATTTTCTCTGGGGTTGAAGATCGGAGTGGATTTACTTTAATGACCCCTGAGAGTTGCCATCCGGACCCCGGAACTGCCCACGTTCTTGTGGCGCGCGCAGAAGTCCACAAAATTCTCGGTCATGGCCATTGGAGCAATATCGCAAGCTATATCCAGGACGACTCGTTCAAGAGACGATAAATCCTCGATTATTTTGTGTTAAGCGCGTGAAGCTGTTCGAGCCTCTTTAGGAACTTCCTTCTCCGACAGAGACCAGGATGTAAAGGGATCTGCTTTTCGTTGCCAGCATACATTGCGAACATGGACCCTGGCACGAGAAATCTCAACCATAGCTTCGCGCCTGGAATATTGCCATAATGCAAAGACGACTTCAAACCTTGAACTTCCATGACTCCAGGCTAAAATTCGCACACGTTCCCGCTGTTCCGCCCCTACCATCAACGCGCACCGCATGCTAGTAGCGCATATGTTCACCAGCAGACGAATTGACCGTCTTCTATCCAGTCACCTCGGTCGTGCGCTGAGCTGATCTCCTAAGCTGCCGGAAGTATCTCTTCTTATCGTCATCGGAACCCCAGAGCAGTTTGGCAGCTTCTGGATGAACGATAGTCCGGGGATCATAAGGAGGGCATTCCTCTTCCAAGGATTCTGCAATGGCCTCGATATGATTTCGCAACTCATCTTCCTTCTTAGGAAAATAGCACAAGACTCCGTCCTTCGAGACCCTGTGATGATAGACTGGCGTTTCGACTCTGACCCGGGGTTGTTCCTCAGGGAAGCGAGGGCTGATGCTTACTCGAATCTTGAAGATGCCGCCATCGAGATGTGTGCTGGGTTTGCCAAAGTATGTCAGAATCCATACATACGGGTTGTTGTTCTCCAACTCGATACTGATATTATGGCAGTTCTTTCTCTTCAGGTAGTCCCCGATCTGTTCGAATTGACGTTGGACGCTAGCGGCTTTGGAAGATTCTCGTCTCTTTAGTGCCAAACCCTCGGCAGCCCATTTGTTGGTCTCCTCTCGAAGCACTTCTTTGATTCGCACCAATCTCTTTCCCAGGTTGGCATACTGGAACTTGCCATCCATGGTATTGCCTCCTCCTTCAAACGGCATCTTGGCGAAGTCTGACCCATCCTTGTGTTTAGGACTGTGCTCGACAATGGTTGACATATAGTGCTCGAAATACCACAAGAATCGTCGTTTGAACAGATCCTTAAAGGGCTCAAACTTGATTTTCTCCGGGACTTCGGTTTTCTCTTCTTCATCAGTAGTGTCTTCTTCTGCGGACGAGTATTTGGGCGTGTCGCTTGGAGTCATGACCCTTCCATCAGCCTGAATGCCTAGGGCGTCCTCCAATTTGGCGATGACTGCTATCCGGATAGTCTCGTGTCGGATCTAACCACGAATCAAATCACAATAGCTTTCGAGAGGAAGCGTAGCATACCTTTGCACAGTACAATTCATTCATCTTCTGATCCTCCTTGCCCTTAGCATGCTCGTATCCTGGCTCATTTTCATATGGATTGCTTGACATAAGACTTTGTATGGACCATAGTATCGACTCTAAGCCTTGTGCAGAGGACCACTCCTCCCCGGGTCTTTCACCATGCCAGGTACCCAGGATGGAGAGGCAGACTTTGCCGCCTGCATAGATATTTGGGTTGAACCGTGTTCTGCCACCATTTGTGGTTTTTGCATCGACTTTGGGAGGTTTACTGGGATATTCGGTGCCGAACTTGACGGTAAACTCGAAGAAGCCGTACTCGTAAGGAGTTGTCGGAGGGCCGATAATCAGGGCTTTGACAGAACGCACATCTTTTTCCTCGCAAGCTACAGCTATGGCTGCGCAAGGTGTCAGTGTCCGATCTGGAGAGTTAACAAGGTTCAAGACCTACACAAATCACTTCCTTGCTGAATCTGAGTAATTTCCTAGGCGCAGTCAGCGAACCAGTATCTTTCAATGTTGCTTGGCTCTCACTCTTGAAATTCTCAGGATGGTCTGGTTGGACATGGCGGGCTCTCTGTTCGACTGCGAAGGAGGGTGTAAGTAGGCGAGAGACACTCGAAATAGGATCACTGCGAGTCGACGATGCTAGATAACACTGATAGAGAGCATAAGTCACAGAAGGACATCGGCTGAAAAGACCAGTGACTTTGAGAGTCCTGGTGGTGAGTGAGGCTGTGTTTCACGACATGGAAGGTAGGTGTTCAGAGGCGCCTGCAGTACGGGGAACACGGCTTTCTGCAGCAGCAACGGCATGTGGTCGTTCGACAGAATTTTGCGCCTTGTAGCCTGTTCAGTATTGTGCCAACCAGTGGAGGACAGCGTTGTGAACCCCATCAACGAGGCTGAAGTGTCGACAGAGATTTACTGGCTAGGCAGAAGTCCATCCATGGAGTTGAACGTGGTTCCTCTCAGTTTCGATGGGACCACCACTTCACCGGGTGACTTGCTTTATTGACACTATGACGCAACAAAGCTCGATGGGCACGCTAAGATCAGATTACGTTAAGGCACTGATTAGGTGGCTCGGGTGGCCTCTGTACTCCGTAGGAGAGAGGTACTGTACGAAAGGTCTTCTTTTACCTGTGAATACCTACGGTAGGTACCTTTCTTTCTACTCACAAAGGACCTCTCAGGCGCTGCGAGAAGTCCTGCTTCCCGCTGTTCCATTTTTATCTGTCTTAGAAGTGGTGCATGCCGCCTAGATTGACAATGACCGAAGCGAAGGAAGTGTTCGACAAGTGCGCTGACAAGAGTGTCTAATGCTATCGGCTTCCACCCCGTCCGCAATGTCTCCTTGGTGCTTACGTTCTGTGCTTTGGTCATGAACAGTGAAAGCAACCAGCCCGTTGTGCATGGTTGTACATCTGTACGACAAGAAGTTCCGACGAAAGAATTGTCGACATCTCAAAGCGCCTGTTCGAAGGTGAGGCTGCAGGTGGCTAGCTGAGCTGACCCTGCAGGACAACTCGCTAAGATGCAGCGAGAACCCTACAAAGTCCATCGAGCTGACCTGACTGATCCTAGAAAAGCCGTGGCTTGTGTTCACAATGCAGGTATCTTCAGCTGGCTGACTTCCCTGCCCTCTTTATTGGCCATGTCTGCAATTGCTCACACGCACCAGAACCGCCTTCTGCGTGTTAAAATGCTATATATCTCATCTAAGGTAACCTATGCTTACAATGCAGTCTTTGAATTTTCCGAAATATTGATCTTCTCGACAATGGGTAAGTTCATCCTGAAACGACAACAGCCGAAGATGCTTGTCGACACACTCACTACAGACGGGCATGGGCAACATCAACAGCCACATGGCTCCCCAAAAGATGACCACCTGCTCGCTTACAGGAAATACTGCTCGGCCCTAGGAATTGGTACTCATCCCTATTTCCTGCCTTCTCCTGACTAACCGTCTTTCAGACGCAGAGAAAGGCACAACCTCCTTCGACGAGCGCATCCGCAGAGACTATCGATGGCAGTACGTCTTTGTCAACCCTTCCGAGAAGTGCCTTTTCACTTTCACGAAGCCACTCACAGGACTTGTAGTACCGTCCAATACTGGTTCGTAGCCTCGATAGCCAACGGCATGCTATGGGCCCAAATAATCATCGGCGCCGCAATCACAGCACTGGGAGCGACGCATGCATCAGGCTCGAAGACAGCCACCATCTACCTTGGTGCCGCAAGCACCGTGATAGCAGGATTCCTAACCTACTTTAAGTCAAGGAATCAGCCCAACAGGAGTAGGCAATTCCGCCAGGCGCTGAGAAAGGTGCGAAATAAAATGGGTAAGGGCTGTCTCCTAGATTTTCCTTGTGGCCACATGAGATATCGGGTCAGCTGCGTCGGAAGGCTCAAAACGCCTCTAACACCTTTGTTTCAGATGAAACCGCCCACGAGATATCTGACTCGACAACTCCGGAACAAGCCCTCGACAAGGCCATGGACATTCTGAAGCTATAGTATGTCAAACTTGCATACCATTTCTTACCCATTGTTCTGACACCACTACCCTTCAAAGTGACGAAGCGCTCGCCGAAGCTGCAACAAATTATCCAGACCTCTGGGTTACGGTATCAGACATGAAGAAATTGCTTCCTGGAGGGAATGAGACAAGCCCCAACGAGGTTGACGCTGTAACGAAGCCTGACATTGTCCCTCCTCCCAAGGATTTTGGAGCTGTGGTTCAAGGCGTTCTGCAGCCTGCGAGCAACCACGCCCAGCCAAACTTGGAGAATCGAGACGGCAATCGATTTCGTAATCCCGGTGCTCTTGTTGACTCCAGCTGCCAAGCAAATGAAGGATCACATCCACAACATGATGAGATGGTCTCTGCGGAACCATCAAGGGACCTTGAAAAGCGGAGTGCATCTGTTGATGTGATATCCACAAGCAACAGCTAGTAGGCTGCCGTGAGGTTAGTTGAGAACTCATATCAAAGACGAGCGCTCGTCGCCGTTGCCGGATCAAGGTGCAGCTCGTCAAGGTGTCATGCAATTGGGCAATCGGGCTTGGGAATGACGCTGGTAGAGCTGAACTGTGAGATACGAGACGTGCGAGTAGGGAAGGATTGGTCTGACAAACATTGTCTGGGCGGGAGGAACCTGGGATTTCCTGGACTCCGTAGCGTAGGCTCGGGCAGACTTTGTACTGAACAGACGATGTTGGCTATTTTTCTCTCCGCGTCAAGAGGTCGCTGTGGTTTCGTGCCCTAGCTATTCTTGGAATTCAAGGTCGGGGAGAATCTACGTACATCGACCCATGCTTGGTGGCTGGCTCGTGGTGCAGTCTTGGATGTTCGCGGCGTATGTTGCGAAGCCAGCACGAAAGAGTACCAAAATCGAACTCAAGGTCCGACTTGATGCATGGTCACGTGGCCTTGGCTACTGCCGGCACAATATTCCTCCGTATTTGATGAACCCATTGCTTTGTTGCGGCCGTGAGTCCTACCGGCTCTTTGCTCTCTAATCATTCCAACGTAGAGTCCTGCCGACGCTCTTTGGTCTCTGACGCACTCCATGGCCGAAGGCAGCCACATTTCTCGCATGGATCGTGCATATTGCGGAAGATGCAAGACCAGAACATCCGTGTGCCGATCTGGGTTTTGGGAAGCTTGCCGTCGCATCATTTTGTACGCCGCCAGAGGTGACAAGGCTCCCTTTTGAATCTCGAGACACTTTTTTTCAACACAGTATCTACTGAATTGGCCTACAGGCTCTGCAGAACACGTACAAATGGCAGAAATGGCACGTTTGTCGACCTTTGTAACTAATATTCAAGCTTCAAATTTAGACATACGCCAAATAGAGCCGCGAAAGAAAATCTTTTGCGTTCCAACAAGACGAACGACATGAGCTGGGACGGATTTCCCGGCTGTCAATTGACCCTTTGAGCGATTATCCGCTCAAGTTTGTCCGCACGAGCGTTCAGAGTGGAATGGCATTGTTGGAAGTTCACCTGTTCCGTGGGCGTACTCCGTAGAGTCGGGGGGATATCTCCCCGTCGGTCCTCAGACTGGTGTCAAACATCCACTTTTTCTCCCTAGACCAACCATTATCGAGAATTTGGCATCGTTTTCAGCCTCGCCGATGCTTCAACGCACGGTACGGCCTGACTTGGCGAGTTGTTCCATGTCCGGCGTGTCTGCTTCACGATGCAGTTCGCAGTCGCGCAGTCACGCAGTGTCGGCTGCCTGACCAAAATGTATATCAAGGCGCCCATGCCGCACCACCGCTATTTGGTATGTTCATTCACGACACCCGCAGCAAGCTTTGCAATTCACTTTTTGCAGCATACTTGGCTCTATATCCAAGCATCACTTGCTATATTCGAGCTTTTCGGTCTCACGTCTCACAATCTCTTCGTCCACTGGACAGCTCATCCTTGGATACCTCAGTCAGTCATTCAATCTAGTAAAAGATGTCATCAGTTACGGGGGAAACCCAACCCATGCAAGATCAGTTCTCTGGACAAGAAATCTCAACATCCCAGATCTCATCTTCCTCTAGCTCCATATCCTCAGAAAAGCCGAAAGCTGAGACCACATCATCCGCAGCACCTGAATTCACGATATCAACTCGTTTTCTGCTGGCCTTCGCAGCTTTGGCCGTCCTGACCCTCATGGTCGCTCTGGATGGCACGTCAATCAGTGTGGCCCTCCCTGTAATCGCAAAGAAGCTACATGGCACGGCCATCGAAGCCTTTTGGGCCGGTACATCTTTCCTGCTGGCCTCAACCGTCTTCCAACCCAACTTCGCCTCTTTCAGCCATATCTTCGGCCGGATGCCGGTCATCATGGTTTCCATAACCTTGTTCTTTGTCGGCGTCATGATGGCTGCACTCTCAAACGACTTTGGGCTCTTGCTGGCTGGCCGCTCGATCCAAGGCATTGGCGGTGGTGGCATTATCGCTATGACAGAGATACTGATTACTGATCTCGTGCCATTACGCTGGCGAGGCCAGTGTGCCGGAATCATCGCGGCAATGTGGTCCATTGGGTCGGTGTCCGGCCCAGTCATTGGCGGCGCCTTTGCTGAAGTCCAATGGCGCTGGATCTTCTGGCTCAATTTGCCTTTCATCGGCATTGGCGTCGTTATGGTTCCTCTTTTCTTGCGACTGAACGTCATCCCACAGAGCATCGCCGCAAAACTACGCCGCGTCGACTGGATCGGTACAGTTCTCTTCGTTGGGAGCATGTCCAGCCTCCTGATACCATTGACGTGGGGAGGAGTCATGTACTCATGGTCATCCTGGCGAACACTAGTTCCTCTCCTTATAGGTGCCGCCGGCTTGATCGGTTTCTGCTTCTTTGAAGCATACGTCGCCCCGGAGCCTCTCTTGAGACTCTCGGTGTTTGGAAATCGTACCGCCAACATCGCGTATATGACGACGACCCTGCACGGCATGATCCTCTGGTGCTTGTTGTACTACCAACCATTGTACTTTGAGGCGGTCAAGCAGTATTCCCCTGTTATCTCGGGGGTGGCTCTCTTCCCAGCGACGTTCACGGTTGCGCCAATGGCCGTTGTGACAGGCCTACTCATCACCAAGTTTGCTGCCTATCGCTGGTCGATCTGGTTGGGATGGGCTGTAACAACGCTCGGTCTAGGACTGCTTGTCCTGCTTGATGTCGACACGAAAATTCCGCAGTGGATCTTCATTGACCTTGTCTCCGGTATAGGGCTAGGTATATTGTTTCCGGCGCTGCAGTTCCAGCTGCAGGCTGCTAGCAGTGGCAAAGACATGGCATTTGCGGTTGCGATGTTCGTGTTCTTCCGCTCGTTCGGGCAAGCACTGGGTGTGGCTATTGGTGGAGTTATATTTCAGAATCAGATGATCAAGAAATTGCAGGCATACCCGACCTATGCTTCAAAGGCATCTGAGCTGGCCAAGGATGCTGCGGCCCTGGTCGGAATCATCAAAAACACGGCGGCCGGCCAGGACAAGCTGCAGCTCATGACTGCATATACGGACAGTTTGAGGACAGTGTATATTGTCATGGCGGCTTTGGCAGGGCTGTGTCTGTTTGCAAGTCTGTTTATCAAGGGGTATGATCTGAACGTGGGCTTGGAGACGGAGCAGGGGTTGATTAAGAGCGAAAAGGTAAAGGAGCTCAAGGTCGAGGAGGGAAACAATTGAGTGATGGTGGGTGGAGAGAAGTGTGGTGGGCTTGGCTCTCTTTCTTGCATTGCGATGGCGCTTAGATGGCTGATGAGCTGGATGCATTAATGAGGGCTACAATTTGATGTGCATACACTTGAGTTTGTAGACTATAACAAGGGTCTATCCCACTCACGCAATAGATTGTACAATATTATAATGGAAAGGACTCCATCCACTCTTTACGCGGTCACCTGGCCATTAATTTTGTTTCTTAAAGGATAGGTCTAGCTGAATCTCACCAGAGAACGCGCAACCTGTTCTGACCCGTGCAGGAGGCCCAGTTTACATAGTACTACAACCGGGGTGCAAAACAGCTGCCGCTGGTATCGTCGAAGCAGCAGTTGGACCTCGCATTGAACGGCAGGCTCTCGTGTCACAGAAATTATCCTCGCTGGCTGTCGTTGTCGAATGGCACCCTAACGTCAAACTATACAATTTACCCATGAGACCGTAGTAAACCGACGAAACAGCAGTTAGACTTCGCATTTAATAGGAGGCCCTTCTGCCACCTAATTTGTCCTGAAGCTGGCCTTGAACAGGAGGCCCGCCTATCTGATAAACGGTTCTCGCCGCTGTTTGTGGTTGAATGACACCATAGCGCCAAATTACACGATTTACCTATGAGACCGTACCTAGTACTCGTAGTCCCGCATGCCACGGCCCTGCCATCCAATACCACTGACGACCGCCGCGAGCGGACTTCTTTCCAATGTACACAACGTCGGACGAGTCAAGGATCCGGGAATGTGCCATCTCAAGGGCACGTCCGATATTGTGGAAATGGGTGAACGGTGAGTACCAGATAATCTTGTTTTCACCGAGTTGGAACGGTGAGGGGCTTCGCGTTAGTGGTCCAGGTGGTCGAGCTGTGGCCCCGGCGGGGCACTCGAGCCCTGTCAGGCGTTTCGTTCGTGGCATCGGTGGCTTCGAGCCAAGCAGGGCACGGCAGGGAGTTGATTGGAACCATCATGGAGCCAGGGGGGAGTCGGCTACGAGACCATGGCAATTTACTCCTAGAACATGGGATTGTTTCTCTTCATGGTGATACATGCCATGCCACCCCACGAAGTAGAACGTACTTATGTCGTTCTGTTTGTCCTATCTGTATAAGCTGAGCCTTGCCTGCCGTGTACCTACATAGCAAGATGCAGATGCAGGGAAAGTTGCACAGTACACAGCGAGATGAGGAGTGAGGAGCCGCATCCTGAGGAATGGGTCTTCTAAAAGTCCCGGATGGTTGATCGTCTTCGATCTGGCGATTGGCCTAGTGAGCCACTATGATGGGCCTGAACATTGCCTGTAGCAGAAACATGCAATTCTTGCACTCCAAGCGTCTTCAAACTCCGTCTCCATCTGCATCTCCAAACGCGACACTGTGCGGGTTCCCTCGATTCAAGTCTCTTCCTAGCTGACAAAACTCTTTCCGTTCAGCCATTCTCTTCCTCCCACTTATCACCTGTGCGTGCGACATTGTCCTAGGCTCCTACCCTGAAATTCATGCCTATGACTGCGCAGCGCAGAGGGTGCTCAGACTCCTTCTTGATGGATGGGCACACCCTCCCTTTCATCAATTAAAATCGAATTCCTCCATGTTTCATTGCCTGCGAACCCTGCGGTTCATCATTCCGCCATCCTCCAACTCTCTCTGCCATGGTTGCAAGAGATGTTGCGGCCGCCGCTCAATCCCTACGAGATCCGTGCGAGGATGAACGACCTTCACTTACGATGGATGCTAACGGGATCGCAAGAAAAGGCTCCGAAGAGGCCGTCCACAAAGACCACCGCGGGGATATGGACGAATTGCGCATCGAAGTTCCTCACCTCCCCAAGTCGGCCGAGATAGCCCTCGCCACTCTTTCTACCCTTCCAACACCCTTGCTTGTCCTGTCTTCCCTCAAGACGATCATACTCGCAAATGCGGCTGCTGGAAGACTACTGGGAGTAGATCAGGCCGGCGTGGATACTACGCTTACCGACATACTCAAAGGACAAACCCTTTCTCAAATAGGGATCGATATGGTCTCAGATGGGATTCCCATCTGGGTGAGTTGGGAGAAGTTCCTCGACAATCTTGCAGCTGGCTTCAGAGATCTCGATGAGAACAAGAACTCACCTGGAGAGTTGTTGCCGGGCATACATAGCGGAGATACCACCCCTACCGCTTCGCCTAATCTGCGGAGAGGCCGTTCGCCTGCCCGAAGCAGGACCAAAAACCGGGACACGATCGTTGATGTGACTATTTCGTCCCCCAAAGGTGCCCAACATCAACGACCTCCTCCAAACAGGCACCAAAAGGGCCGCACTCAGGCCGTCCGTGCAACATGTCGGATGATCATCAGTATCTGGGCCTTTGAAGGACAACAATTCTTTACTCTAACTTTCACCAGCCTTGCTGCTCATCCCAAACCCCATGCTCATCCACAACTTGTTCGCCGCAATCCCTCTTCCAACTCTACAAAGTCGTCGCAATCGTCGTCTCACACACCAGGCTCTTCTACCTCCGCTTCGAATATAAACACGCCCTCAGAAAGCTCTTCCCAAGACATCGCCTTTCCACCGAACAGTGGACCCACTCAATGTGTTCAGTCTTCTGCGCTTACGGACTTTCAAAAAGTTCTCAAGATGAAAAACGCTATGTTGAACGCTATCGAAATCCCCCTGATCGCAATGTGGAAAGATGAAAGTGTGGTCTTTCCAAATATGGCCGCACGCCGCTTGTTGGCCGTCGACGCCGATCCGACGTCGGACGACTCCTATGATTTTCTGTCCAGGTTCAAGCCTTGGTCACCGGATTTCTCCCACGAGCTGTCTGAGAGCAATAATCCAATTATTGCTCTCTGTCGATCCAAACGAGCCTTTACCAATTGGCAGATAGGTATGATCAGTGAGAAGACGGGGAAGAGATCTACTTTTGATGTCAGCGGATATCCACTGTTTGATGAGAAAAACAAAGAATTCCAGGCCGGGCTAATCGCCTTCAAGGATGTTACGTCCTATGCCGACAAGTTAGCTTCTCAGGCTGCTGAGCAGGAAGACTGGTTCCGACTAATGTGCGACATGATGCCGGTCATATGCTGGACCGCAAGACCTGATGGTTATAACGACTACTTTTCACAGCGCTGGTACGAGTACACAGGTTTGAATAAAGCTGACACTGAGGGCTTCGATTGGGGTACGCCATTCCACCCTGATGATATGCCGGAAGCTACCCGCGCATGGAAGCATTCTCTTGCAACCGGCGAAAAGTTCGAGGTCCAGTATCGTTGCAAAAGTAAAGATGGTGAATGGAGATGGATGCTCGGAAGCGCCCTGTCACTGAGAGACCATACTACGGGAGAAATCGTCAAGTGGTTTGGAAGCATTACTGATATCCAGGATGTCATTGATGCCAAGCTCGCTCAGCAACAGGCGCGGCAGAATTTGATTGATGTGCTGACCCACTCGCAAATGAGCTTATGGATCATCGATCAGTCTGAGACCGTCACGTTCTTTGAAGGCAATTTCCTCAACCATCAGGATGGTAAAGACGAGATTGTAGGAAAGCCTATTCACGAGGCATTCACGCGATACGTCACCACGGGCTCGCTGACTGAATTTCGGGAGGCTATCAGGCGCGTTTTGAGAGGCACGTCCGATCTTGAAATCTGCGAAAATGAGGTCAGCTCCCGATGGTTCCGATCTAAGCTGGTCCCGCTCAAAGCCAAAAAACGCAGCCAGGGCTCGGAGAATGAAGAGTATGTTGCAGGAGTAATTGGAATCGGAACGGAAGTCACCCAGCTGAGAGAGAAGGAGCTGGAGAACATCAAATTGCTGGCCAATGAAGCTGCGGCGAAGGAGGCCAGCAAAATGAAAAGCAGTTTCCTTGCCAACATGTCTCACGAAATTCGCACCCCGATTGCTGGAGTTCTGGGCATGTCAGAACTGTTGATGGACACAATGTTGGACGAAGAGCAGAGTGAATTTGCCCAGAACATCCAGAGATCGGCCAACGCTCTTTTGACGGTCATCAACGATATCCTCGATTTTTCGAAGATCGAGTCGGGTAGGCTTGACATCGAAGAAGTGCAATTCAGTCTGAGCATCGTCCTCCACGATGTGGCGAAGATGCTTTCCCATGCAGCCAAGCGGAAAGGGCTGGACTTTATTAGCGAGATCCGACTAGGGTCTCCAGACACTCTCATTGTGCTTGGTGATCCTGGTCGAATAAGACAAATCCTCATGAACCTTCTGACCAACAGCATCAAATTCACGTCTGATGGCTATGTCAAAATGAGCGCACGCATCGTCAACGAAACGAACGACACCACCACTGTCGAATTTTGCATTGAAGATACTGGCATTGGGATTGAAGAGGAAGTCAAGAAACGGCTGTTCAGGCCTTTTAGCCAAGCAGACTCAAGTACTGCGAGACGGTTCGGAGGTACAGGGCTAGGGTTGACGATATGCAAGAACCTTGTTGAACTGATGCATGGAACCATCAGCCTGGATTCGAAACTTGACGCAGGGACCAACGCTACTTTCACTATTCCATTTAGAAAAGTGGAATACAAGGCCGGCTCGTCGACAGACTTCCTGGATGTCGGCGTCATTCCTGAGAGACTTCAGTCAGAACTGTCATTATCCATGAACGGATCCTCCTCGAGGGAGGGAGCCTCAGGCCTCCAGCGAGCGTCATCGCCTGTCAACCCAACGCCGTTCGCATTGACCAGCCATCGTCGTTCAACAAGAACCTCCGCAATTGGTGCTGAGAACGCTGCGCTTACCGTGGAAAGGGACAAGTTCCACATCCTTGTCGTTGAAGGTGTGTCTCGACAATCGTCAATTTTTGGATCACATACTGACAGTCCCTAGACAATCCAGTCAATCAACAGATTGCGCTCAAGTTTATCGAGGCTCTTCAGTTCCCAGCTAGCGCAGTTTGGAATGGACGGGAAGCGCTGGAATATCTCCTCAAAGCTACGTCTCCGAATCTGACGCCTGAACAAGCGAAACAGTATCCGATCCCATCCCTCATTCTTATGGACGTCCAAATGCCTGTACTGGATGGTTATCACGCGACGCATTTGCTCAGGCACCATGCTCCATTTACTACGATCTCATCAATCACTCGTATCCCTATTGTGGCAATGACTGCATCGGCAATCCAAGGCGACCGAGAAAAATGCGAAAAGGCGGGTATGGACGATTACATGGCAAAACCAGTCAAGAGATCTGCGCTGGAGAAAACGATATTGAAGTGGATGAAATCAGGTCGAAGTTCTGGCGCTTCTAGCCGCACATCACCTAAAGCGACTGCCGAGTCAATCAAGGCGACGATCAGAAGACCGCCTACAGATCATTCGTCGACCTGTACTGAGCATGATGCTATCGCCATCGAATTCTTTACCCGGAACGCGCAGCTGTCTGAAGCTGTGCGACACTCGGCAGGTGATGGGCTGGACCCTGCTCGCGCTCGCAGGTCCAGTATCTCGAGAACGATCCGCGAGACTGAAATACCGGGTGGTGAGACCGAAGGAGACCGGACCAGGAGGCGAGCTGATGCCGAGGATAAGGCTAGGTCTCTCCGTGATGCGAAGCTGCTGTTCGCCACGGAAGTGGATCCCGCTCGACCGACGATACCGCCTAGGATGGTGCTAGATGAGACAGATACTCCGACTGCTCCTCCTGGACAGGCAGACTCAGAAGTCAACGCCTCTCGTATGGCGTTGACAGAAGAGAATGTTTCGCTGTTTAACCACACACAGGACGTAGAGCCCTCCCAGGCCATGAATGCGTCTTCAGATGTCGGACTGGACGAGGTGGCTTATCCCATGCCTGATATCCCTGGGCCACCACCAGCTGAAGGTTTAACTGCCACCGTCGACCTGGCACATCTGGATGCTCACACTGGAGCCATGGTCCAGTCGCTGCTAGACGCGGCTCAGCATTCGCCGCATGTCGACCTGCAATATCTGCAACCGTTTACGCCTCGGAGGGCCGGGGTCGGCTCCCCAAAAAAGGATCGCCGAGATATTGGAGGATTGTCGTTGGAAGACAGGCAGGAAAGTGATTGGAGTAGTAGTACGGCGCGGCCAGCCAAGTCGGAAGATTGATTGTCTAAGTCTCTTTTTCGATAAGCATGTTCGTCGAATTGCCCAGGCTAGATCTAGCGTTTGGGATATCCTTTGCACAGCGACGGCGCGGGTTCGTTCTCGTGGTTGGCGCTAGAATTTGGAGAGGTGCGTGCCTTGAATGTGAAAGGCCTATACATGGGTTGCGATATTGTGATGTTTGATCCTCGTATTTGTGTGGTGGTCATTGCTTGGTGGTGCGTACATAGAACGACTGACGCGATTACGACTATGGCGAGGGTACATACGGTACTTAGAGGCACGATACTTGGGGTTGACAGAATCTCACTGGGTCGAGGTGAGCAAGTGGCACATATATCATTACTGTGAAGAAATGAACACAGCGTGGAAATCATTCTCGAATTCATTGCTACCTACACAGATATTGTGCTTCGTGGTATAGAACAAGCAAGAGTCCTCGAACCCGTTTTGTCATTTACTCGAAACCCATCGACCCACAAGGCCAAGGGAATGATGTACTCAGAACCCTCCGGCAGCTCCAATGAAGTCGGGAGGACGCATGGCCATCTTATTCGCAATATCCTTGTCGTTGGCCTTTATTTTGCGGAGACCCTTTGCGTTGGGTTTCTGCGTTTGAGGTTGGTCCCTGTCTTTGTCGCTGAGCGACGCTGGAGCCTGGGTGCTGCTCGTGTGATGAGCCGATGAGTTCGTCCTGGTCCTCTTCGGAGGAAGATGGCTTACGTCGCCGAAAGACTCGCTGCCGTGCGCCTCGTCGGTCTGAGTGATGCGAATGGGTTGTTGGGTGGGGTCGGTTTCCTCGCTACGGAAACACATGGTGAACTGGTAAATGGTGTGAGTAACAGGGATTAAGTCGAGCGCGCGCGGTGAGATGATGACGTTGGAAGCGATCTCGTCGTGCCAGATGGTGGGCGAAAATGCTCTGCTTTTTGCAGCCGAAGACGAGCGACGAGAGAGCGTCAAGTCGTACTTCCGTCGTCGGGATCGAAGTAGCTAAAATCTTGAGCTCCAAAATTCGACGGATTCTGATATTCGGCAAGGCTTGATTGCTTCGTAGCCGTTCGGGTCAGTTCTATCGTATGCAAGACAAGTCTGCGACGAGAGTCGGATCCAACGGGTTTAGTACGTGAAAAGGGCGTTGACCAGCGAAATGGTGATGAAGCTCGGCTCAAAGCGCGTTTTTGGGGGGGAAGAGGGAATGTGGTTACCTCTGAATGATCATAGATATGTAGCGCAAGGCAGTTCGTTACCTATGCAGCACAAATGAGGCGAGGTTGGTTGATCTTGAGGGAGTCCAGATCCCAAAATAGCAATTTTGGGATGGCGAATACGACAACGGGCCGAGCAAGGCAGACTGGTTGGAAGGTGAAGTCATCAGAGAAACCGTGCGCGGCCGTGCGAACCGTGGGGAAGGTGATACTAGTACAGTTGACGGTGGGATGGTGCCCTGCCGCTTCTTGGAGAGCGATCTCCGCAAGGCGAATCAGATATGTACTACGTATGATGGTAGTCATGTGGTTGGCGTTCTTCTGTACCCCTCATCCATTTTACCTGTTAATCAAGGGCACGCTTATCGTCACTCATCGCTTCCTAGATATAGAAGAGCGAACATGCTCCCGGCGAGAAGCGAGGAAGGATGAAAGAAGGCTTCGGGTTGCGTGGGAGAGATTGAAAAGCAATTTGGCTGGTAGGCGTTCGGGGTGCGATGATATTCAATGCTCTCTTTCCGAAAGGTCTACATGAGCGGTAAATGTATTGAAATTGTACTCGTACGCACGGAGACAGTCTTGATGAAGAGACAGAGAGAGAGCATTCGTATCTTGAGATTTCAAAAGAGTTCTAAAAGGCGGTGCCGCTTCGCAAGTCAACAGAAGCTCAATCTGTACACAACTCAGCCTTGCGAAGATTATCACGTGCGATTCAGCCTTGTCCTCACTTTTCACGCCAGACTGCAAAGCCCCAGCTTGCCCGAGTTCTGCTGATATTTTCGAACTGAATACTGAGGGATTCCATACCTAAGTTGCACTCTTCATCTCCATCCAAGCACGTCTGGTAACAGCAGGCTGACTGGCCTTTCAGCCATCAGCAGCCTGGCTTCACGATCCCGTGACTTACGGTCAACGCAGGCGTTGCTGGGTCATCAAGAATATCTTGCCTGACCAGGCCTCTCGAATTCTCCGACCTCCCAAACGACTCCAAACCGACGATACAGGATCCTTTGCTTTACCATGCTCGTTCGTGGTAGTTGAGAGACCGCAGGCTCCACCTTTTTCAATTGTCGCAGACAACCTAATGCACAGCTGTAGCACTGCGAAGCAAGGATCCCGTCCGTAGTGGTTCGGCCGTGGTCGTCCGTTCTCGCTGTGCGAATCGGACAGTAATTGCTGTGCCATTGCATTGGCTACAACGGTGGAAACTCCCTCTACCTCTCAACACACGCTACTATACGTGCTTGGATGATGGTATTCGTCCGTAGCTGTCCACCTGCGCTGTGCCTCCGTGAGGATCGATCCCTTCCTGCCAAACGGCTGTGGTGTTGAGAACCGCACCTTCTAAGTCCCATTTGGAATACGAAAGTCTCCCTGATCTCAGATGGTTCCGACTCTGACATCTTTCCATCACACTGAACTGACCTTCTCTGCTGTCTTGAGGCCTGCAGGTCTTCGGCTTTTCTATGGACTTTGCTTTAAGTCCAGAAAATCTCCACAGTCAAGAAATCAATCAAGAAAACAATCAAATGCATGTAGGTGTGCGGAAGCGAAGCACTATATATGATGCAGGGGGCGACTTCACGTCCCTGAAGCAGCCTCACGCCTCTAGGACTAAGTACTTCTACTCCGATCACATTTCCAATCAAGACTCGTTTCGCACAATCACGTTCTAAGCATCAGTTGACAATGCCTGCATCACTTCCACAACCCCTTCCAACCAAGTCCCTTGGGAAAAATGGACCAGTGGTGCCAGCCATGGCTGTTGGACTGATGTCCCTGGGCGGTGCCTATGGCCCTGGAGGCGACGATGAATCTCGCTTGGCTTTTCTTGACTCCATGCACGCCATTGGCGCCACGCACTGGGATGACGCCGATGCCTATGGCGACACCGAGGACTTAGTCGGCAGATGGTTCACAGTTAATCCGGAAAAGCGTGAGGATATCTTCATCACCACGAAATTTGGGTTCACCGGCCCTATAACTGAGCTGAAGCTCAGAAGTGATCCGGAATATGTCAAAGCTGCCTGCGCACGAAGCCTTGAACGGATGAAGATTGATTGCATTGACCTCTACTACTGCCATCGTGTGGACGGAAAGACTCCTATCGAGCTGACTATTAAGGCTATGGTGGAGTTGAAGAAGTAAGTTGACTGAAGCGCCCCTGAGCAAGTGCAGTGCATTGACAGCCAATCCATCGTACAGCGAGGGCAAGATCAAGTATATTGGTCTCTCCGAGGTTTCGGCACCGACACTCCGTCGAGCTCATGCCGTCCACCCCATCACAGCCCTCCAGATTGAATACTCTCCATGGGCCCTGGAAATTGAGTCTGGTGACCCTTCTGTTCTTGACACCTGCAAGGAGCTCGGCATTGCACTGGTGGCATACTCACCACTAGGCCGCGGCTTCTTGACGGGCGCCATCAAATCGGCAGCCGATGTAGCCGGAGACTGGCGTGCTATGATTCCACGATTCCAGCCAGAGAACTTTGACAAGAATTTCGAGCTCGTCAAGAAATTGGAGGAGGTTGCGGCCAAGAAAAGAATCAAGTCCAGTCAACTCGTTTTGGCGTGGTTAATGAAGCAGTGGGAGGGCGTGCACCCACTGTTCGGAACCAGAAACATCGATCGGGCTAAGGAGAACCTTGGCGCATTATCTGTCGAGCTGACAGACGACGAAGTCAACGCCGTCAGAAAGGCTTGTGATGAATGTATCATTACGGGAATACGTGTTCCGGAATCGATGGCGACATGGCAGCTTGGTGAGACGCCGGAGCTGAAAGCGTGAGACGTAAACAGCAGCGGCGAGATGTCACAGCCTTGCAAGATGTGTATTGAGTGTCCAGGCTACGAACAGGTGGCCGTTACACGATTATGGCCACCAGCGACGAGGAAAGTGGAGGACTACCTGGCGTCGTCTTCAAACCGCTTACAACTGCACGAAGAATAGCATCTTGTTGATACTCTTGAATGTCTACTGTCTGGCTACGTCGAGTCATAACTCAACTAGCCCTCGGCTTGCTTCAAAAGCTCTTCGGCTCTCTTTGCGTACTGATCCATTGCAAATAATTGAATGGCTGGACCAACACTGATTCGCGCGACTCCGATCTCTGCCAGTTCTTTGACAGTAAGTCCACCGTTCCATTTGAGTGACACGTTCAAGCGACCCTGAAACTCTCTAACCATTCTCTCAACCTCTGCTCGGCTGACACCTCTCTGGCCGCCTCCCCATACAAAGACTGTAGCGGCACCGGCATCTAGGTACTTCTTTCCTCTCTCGATGACTTCATCCATCGCACCTCCGCGGATCAGGGTGTCGCATCTAGCATTCAGCACAAAATCGGGGAGACCTAGGTCTTTAGCCGTTGCGAGTGCGGTTTGGAGGCGCTTGACCGCGACGTCAACGGGATACATTTTATGCGTGTCTTTATCGCAATCTTCGAGGTTGATGCCGACCGCGCCTGCCTCGACAACGAGTTTGACGGCCTCCACCAGTTTGTCGCCGTAGCCGTCCTGCAGGTCCACCGAGAGGGGCTTGTTGTGCTTTGCTGCAACTCTGCCGATTCCGCGAGCAGCATTCAAATTCTCCTCGAGCGTCATGTCGTCGTCCTCGGTGCCGGCCGCCCGTGCGACGGCATATGAGGCCGTGGCTAATGCCGAGCATGACGGGAGCGCTGCGACGGCCGTGGCAGAGAGGATGTCATAGACGTTTGCCAGGACAAGCGGTTGTCCGGGACGGTGAAGGGAGCGGAGTGTGACGGCTTGTTCGTTTAGTGTCGCAACTGCCATGATTCATGGAAAGACTGCAAAGAGTGAGCACGTTTCAAACCGCGGTGTCTTGCACGAGAAAATGCAGTAAATACGCGATGAGCATGGATTTCTTGCACGGCGGATTAGGGACCTTATTCGTACCATATATACATGTAGATCTAAATATCAAAGGGTTCATGGTCATCGAGCCGTTTGAATGGTCACATCCACAGCATACGGTACGCGGTAGTCCAATAGAAAGGCCGCGGACATCGAACCGGCTGAACTACGATCTACGCAAGTTGAGTAATACTAGTAATCTTCTCGAGCGAGCCTGCCGCTACAGGTGTCTGTCCCTTACTGGCAAACCTTGAAAACAGCTCTGTCAGCACAAGCAATGCGACGTATTCGGCAGTGATATATCCCCTAGGGGTTGGTTTAGGGCATGTGTCACCGTGTTTTCAGTCTTGTAGAAGGAAGGGCGTGTCTGCCTTGGGGTACTGGGCTGGGTAAAAAATTGACCTCCTGGGTGTGAATCAACATTTACATGCCCTTTTCAGCCTGCCTGTGGCTTTAAGTCTCCAGTGCTGATGCAAAAGCATGAGTGTGGGACATACATAGCAGCCCTCCGCCTGCTGATGGGTGAAGGGAGGATACAATACAAAAGAGAATTCGAGACCATCACGTGCCTAGGAAAAGAAATATATACCTGAATATTGATCGTTGCTGGCTGATGAAAATAAAGGCGGTCAGCCGTTAAAATTGCCCGAGTAGGTAACATGGCGGCAGTAAATTTTTCGTTGTTGGTATTTGAAGAGTTGAGCCAGAAACCGTGCACTACGTAGTAGGAGCGTGCGCCCAAGGGCTGACCTGGTGACGCGCAGGGCAGATGAGTCAAACCGACTACCTGCGCCGTCTCTCACATGTTCAAGTCTTAGGGACCGACTTTCGACTTCGGAACAACCACTCACTGATCAGACACAGAAGGTGTACCTGGTAAGACAACAAGTGGTAATACAATCCATTGAACAAGACCTCTACTTCACCAAAGATCTATCAAGTCATTCCTGCCGTCCGTGCTCCAAAACATACCTCAGCTCGGCCTCTTCCATGCATTGCGGCCGTGGCTGGATTTCCATGATCCTCTGGATGGATGAAGAAGATTAATAATGCTCGCCAGAAGTCATAAAGATACAATTCATATTCCTTGTTGGTCATCCTTCTCCGCTCATGCCGTGCCTGGCGAGAATGCATCACCTGATGATGAAACGAGTCTCACACAAGCTGCGGCGACCTCGCTGCAACGGCTAGTCATCGTCCTCGTCCCCACCAAGACCAGCATTCTTTTTCATCATGGCGACATCATCCTTGAGATCCTGGATTTTCCGGGCCAATTTCTTCTTCAAGATCGCATTCTGCGTCTTCTTCAGTAACTCGGTCTGCTCTGCAATCTTCTGTTGCATATCTTCAATCCGATCCTTGACCTGTTGCAGATTCTCGTCACCTTCCTTCTCCGCGTCGTCAAGATCTTCGTCCTCTTCACCGCCTTCGTCGTCCTCGTCTTCATCCGACGACTGCTCGGCCGCAGAAGCCGGGGTGTGCGCCGCGGTTGCCGAGGGCGATGCCGATGTGCTTGTCACTGCAAACGAGGAGTCACCGGCTTCGGGGATGTGCAATGTATTTCGTGCTTGTACTGCAGTCTCCACGGCCGGAGGCTCATCCTCACCAGCAAACATCCGCTCGAACTCGTCAACCTCATCCTGTCCAATATCTTCGACCGGGGTCTCCGTGTACATGGGCGTCTCCACGGCAGGAGCATGCTGACCGTTCTGCAGCGAGAAGTAGCCGTCCATTTCGTCATCTTCCTCGGCCTCAGCATCCTCGTCCTCGCCCAGACCAGAACTATACCGCTCCTCATCGAGCCGAGGATCGTGGTCAAGAAGCTGATAACGAACCGAACTCGCCGCCTTATCGGCCTCGAGCAACGCCTTGACTCGTCGTTCCACAGACTCAATGTCATCCACTCGTGTCCGCTTCGTCCTTGCGAACCGGCGCTTCCTCACCCATTTCATTGGCGCTGTCAACCCATGCGCGTACTGGTAATTCTTCGGGTCGACATCCTCCGGAAGGGGATAGTTCCTCGCTTCTTCATCTGTGTTACACCTGCCCAGCACCAGCAGCATCTGGCAGACATCTATACTCTTGATCCAGCCCTTTTTATCCCACGACTTCATCCCCTCGATAATACAGGGCAGGTCGACCATCGTTATGGCATACTGATTACCTCTAATAATCAGAATGCCCCGTCTGCCCAGCGTATCTAGCATCCTCATCTTGACGTCTGCGCCTCCTTTGGAACGTGGCAGGTGCACCGTGCCATCCTCGATAGCTTTGCGTAGATAATCGCAATCAGGGCCTGGTTGCATGCGTAGTACGAAGCCTTCATGGATCATGGGGTCTGCCTCGCGCTCGTCAAGTTCCGAATCATAGCCCACGCCAATCGGGCGCTTGGGCGCCTTGCCCTTCGCTTTCAACTTGAACAACGTCGGCGCTGTTGTAGGTTTTGGCGGCGGGGCAGGTTGGCTCGGTGTATTTAGTGTGATCTTTCGTATAACAGGTTTAGGCGCTCGGATGGGGATCTCATCATCTTCAGAGTCGCTCGGCATGTGTTGTTTCTTGCGTTTCTTTTTAGATGAGGAGCCCGAGGCACCAACCGACATTGTCTCTGAAGGGGCAGGCTTGGGCGCGTTTTCCGGGCCCTTCAATGGGGTGCCGAGTTTGAGCTTGATGGATGGCGTGCGGACTGCGCTCGTGGGTACGGGCGTTTGTACCAGAGGAGGCGCCCCTGCTGGAGGGATCTGTGGTTTACTCAGCTTGAGTTTAAGCTGCGGGCGTTGCGAGCCATTTTTGGCAGCGTCCGACATATCGTCGTCGCCGCCGGTGTCGCCGTCTCCTCGGGCTACGTCGTAGTTGTAGGAAGGAATCAGGTCATGGCCATCGGGTTCGGTGTCGTTGGAGGACGGTTGAGGCTCAGTATTCTCCTCGTCCGAGTCGATGTAGGTGTCGTTGATCTGCTGCACCTCAGGTTCTGGAGCGAGTCGTACTCTCTTCGGAGGTTTAGATGCGGCAGCGCTGGTCTGACGTCTGTGGGCTTTTCTCGTGGAGAGAATGGATTTGGCGCGTCGCTTTGCATGATGCGCCGGAGTGTGCAGCCTGGACTTGCCTTTGGGCTTCGGATGGTTCGCCCGAGAAGGCTCTGGGGACACTGCGTGGGCGCCGTTATTGGCGGTTTCGGGCGTCCACTCTTCGGCGGCAGGCGCCACACTCTGGGCGGAGGAATTCGTCTCCTCATCTTCATTCTTCTCGGGAGCTGGCACATGTGGCCTCCATTCTCGCGAAGTCATTGGGAAGTGCGATAATTTCTCTGGAGATAGCTTCAGGACCAGAAAAGAAGTCGAAGGGAGTTCGTCCAGTGCTTCTCTCCTGCCTTTTGGGAGAAGCTCCGCGACAGAAGTTGTAGTTCTGGCTCGGATCCTGGGTTTGCCCAAAGGCTGCTGCTTTTTTCTGCCAGCCATTGTGACCGTCGGTGATGGACTGAAACGCGTCGCTTGGTTTTCACTCTAACAATTTTGCAATGTATCTCTTCCCTTTTCACTGAAGACACTTGCAGCAAGATTCCTGTAATCGACGCCGGGCGAGAATCAGAGCCAAGATGACTTCAGCCGATTTGCACACCGCGTTATTGCGCCCAGCAGTCATTCAGATCCTGAGAGCAGCTGGTTTTGGGTACGCTCGACCAGCCGTCATCGACACAGTCACCGATCTCGCCGCAAAGTATCTGTTATTATTGGCTTCTTCGACCGCTCAGAACGCCTTCAACACGCATAACACGTTTGTCCCGACGATCCAAGATGTGAGACTCGCCCTCAATCAAGCAGGCGCGCTTGCTCCGCAGATGAGCACGACTGAGGAGTCTCTGAGGGACGAGGTTGAAGTCGAGGGCGCGCTGGTTCCTTTCGAGGATCTGCGAGGAGTTCAAGGATTTGTAAATTGGGCTCAAGGACCAGTCAACAAGGAAATCAGGAGGATCGCGGGTTTTGGTGACGATGCAAACGTCGAGGAAATCGCAGCTGGACTTGATGAAAAGGAAGATTATCTGACCGGTTAGTTTCTGGCTGTTTGGGAATTTCGACTGATGGCGGAGTGACTGACTCGTGATACAGCGCTGAAAAAGAAGCACAGCAAGACTGGCGAAGAATCACGATATCAAGGCACGGTGCTTGGTAAAGAACTTGAATTGCAGGCTGTCACCATCGTCGGAGGACCAGCTGCATCGATTACTGAGTGGACACAAAATTCGTTGTCGCGCCCACAAATTTCAAGCCCGCACGATGAAGATGCTGCTGCCACACCTGCAACCTCAGGCATCAGCAGTGCACCACCGTCACCCATTGATCCTGAGGTATCAGAATCATTCATGTGAGATTTGGCATCATCGCAGCCTCATCACCGCCTTTTCAGAATAGCTAGTCCGACTTATCACAATGAGAGTTCTGGACCAGCCACTGATCACACAAAGGCGATAAGTGCGGCAAAATTCTCTGTCTGCACACTTTTGAGCTGAAAGATATCCGCAACCGCGATTGAGGGGGTCAAGGTCCCAGGTGTCTTTATGCTCTTGGTGTAACTCACCATACGGTGAATATGTACCTAGATCACGGTATTCAACCCTGAAAAAGAACACTCCGTTGCGACGATCGGCCACTGCAGGCAGGATGGGCACCACCACACTCCAGCAATCACCAAAAAATACGAGACACAATCAAAGTCCCCAAACCTCGGAAGCAGGAAACAAGATGTACAAAGTCATGGGTCTTGAGTCCCAAAAACGGCACAATCCCCAGAACTCATTTTGCGCTACAGCACATGGGAAAGGACGAATGAATCGTCAGAAGGTCTACGATCCAACCATGATACACCCGAACAACAACTTGGTGCGAAAAATGGTCCATTATATTAGTCGATCTCTCTGAGAAAGGAAAAGAATAGTCCTTAGGGAGAAGCCTCCTCTTGGCAACATTGAAAACCCTCTATCACGCTCCGCAGTCGTCTTCATCATCTCAAGCGAGTAGTCATCATCTCCAGCATCAGCAGCCTTCCAGCTCAAATCAGGAAGCGCACTCGATCGATCTGGGACCTCACCTAGACAAGCAGACATGGGTCATTAGCAATCGCCGTCCTCAAGACACTCAGCTATCTAGGAAGGTAGACTCACCCAACCAGTCCTCTCGCCTCGCACCCTATTTTCCTGCCCGCCAGCAAGGCCATACTGATCGCTCGTGCGCGCCTTCCTCTCCTTCTTTTCAGGACGGCGCTTACGAGACCTCGGTTCAACGCGACGAGTTTGACCCATGGGCTGCCCGGTCGTCAAAGTACCATTGCCACTGCCACTGCCATTGTCACCTGTGCCCGAGACGAAAGATGTCGTGAACGTCGTTTGACCCATTGAAGTCATGCTCCAAGCCGTGCTGTCAGTTGTCGTTGATCTTGCTAGCCAGGGGGCATCGCTACTTGCGCAGAAAGCCACGGTGGCATTGGTGTTGCAGATCGTTGAGGCATTGGGGTTCATGCTTGTTGGACCGACTTCGCTGGACAAAGTGCTTGAAGCATTGACTGTAGTGGCAGCCGGCATTGTGAAGCTGGAAGCGGCGTCGGAAGAGGTGCTGTTTGCAGACGGGCCTGTCATGGTAGGGCCGACGGGAGAAGAGTCAGTGCTCGAGGTGTTCAAGCCTGTAGCTGCGGCCTGCAGAGAAGCATTGTATTGGGAGAGCATGCTCGTCATTCCAGTCATATTCCAGTCGAGCCAGGCTGAAGGCGCTGGTGTCTGCGTGCCGGAGATGCCGGTGCCTGTGCCTGTGCCGTTCGACCAGAAGAACGACGAAGAGGCGGTGGTGGCGTTGAGAGACGACGACGTGTTTGAAGAAGACCCTGTACCACTGGGACTCGCTCCCGTTGTCAGTGCCCCCGAGGCTTCAGAGGTCGAGCTCGAATTCCATGAGGTGGAAGTGCTAGAAGAATTCCCCTGAATGGCAGAGCTTGATTCAGACTGCGAGGCGGCTGATGTCGTGCTCCCATTGACGGGTCCCACGTCTTGAGTACTTGAGGAACTCAGGCTTGTGCTGGTCTGTGAGACTGTCGGCCCCTGGACTGCGGTCGTGTTCGCGCCAACCACAATCGTCATGGTCAGGGTCCTTGTTGCTGACGATGATGAAGAGCTTGCCTCGTTGCTCGAGGACGTCGCCTCGCTCGCGGACGCCGAGGACGACGCTGAAGGCGGGCCAAACAGTGTCGCGGTGAACGTGACTGATTCTGGGGATGGGGTGAAGCCAAAGGTGAAGATGGTCAACACACCATTACTGCTTTGAGACGATGATGTGCTCGGCGCCACCGACGAAGTGTTGCTCCAGAGAGGCGTCTCACTGCTTGTATCCGAAGTGGATGCTGAACCGGACCCGAAGCAGCTTGAGCCTGAGAGGTACCGACATGACGAGTTATAGGAACTCGATGATGAAGCACTCTGGGTGGCATTGGCAATCACAGTCTGGGTAACGTTCATGGTCATGGTAATCTCTGTTGTTGAGCTGATGGAACTCGTTGCATTGGTCGTATTGGACTGGGCGGTGCTAGTCCCGGTGGCGTTCCATAAAGATGTATCTGACGAGGCACTGGATGTCGAGTTACTGTAGTCTGAGCTTGTTGTAGACGTTGCTTTTTGATAGGCACTTGTTGACGACGAGGTAACAAACGAAGAGCCTGAAGACGTAGAAGACTGCTCTGGCCCAATTGTGGATGACCCCGTTGCATTACCCGTTGCATTGGTCGTCAAAGGCTGATTCCACGAAGAGTAGCTCTGCCATGGACTATCGTAGCCAGCAGAAGTGCAGGGGAAGCCAGGATGCACCTCGCAGATTGGAAGAGGACGAGGTGTGATTATAGGTTCGATGATGGTTCCGGAACGGGGGTTGCTGGGGTAGGTGAAGTTGTAAAGGTTGAACGGCCTATCGGTATCGTTGTCGCAACGGCGTATGATCCGATCAGGAGCGACTAAAACAAGGTCAGCACAATGTGTCCTGCTTCTCAACCATTCCCAGTACCGACCTGCCTGGGGAACACCATAGCTCAGCGCCAGGCGAGCGAATACAGTACAAAGAGTGAACAGATGGTGGGGCATCTTGAGGATCTCCCCTACTCAGGCCTAGAAATGGAGAGAATTTGGCGCAGGTGAGAGCATCAGAACTCTCAGCCAGAAGCTTTATACCGCCCTTAGTATGACTTCAGGAGGATGCTCTCTTACCTCCACACTCTGCGACATCCAGTCTGTGCAGCATACCTTCAAGCAAACTCACTTCGGAGTGGTCATGCCACACATGCTCCGATCAGGGCGAGGTGCAATCTCGCGTGCAAGCTGTTTTCCGCGCGTGAGTCGGATGGATTTCAAAAAGCCTCCCCTCGTTCCTGTCATATTCACGTTGCCTGCATGCTTAACTCCTAGTTGGTAGGTGTGGAGTTCCCCTTTCACAAAGTCTTGAGCTCATCTGAAGACGGATGCATCGGGCCGATGGACCCCTCCTTTCTCAACGGTCGACGTATGGATCGAAGGTGCCTGAAGATGAAAGTGCGCAAAGCACAGATGAAGCCCTCATTGCCCCCGGTCTCGGCTCGGCTAACGAAACCTATGTTGGAGTCGTGAAGAGAATTTCGTTGACGTCGGGAAGAAGCAGCACGGTGCGGATGATTTCCATCGGCCCCTGACATCGGGTAGAAGCCGTCGCGTTTCCAACCAGATCGATGTGATACAATCGGCCAGCATAGCGAAGGCACGGCCTCGTCCGAATAGCATCAATGCTAAAGATCGGAGTTGCGATCAGCAAAAAAGACCAAAAGTTGCATTCATGAGCTGCATCAACAAGGGCCTGCAGGATCAATCTAAAGGTCTTTGAACGTAAAAGAATGGCAATGAACTTTGTTTTCTGAGAGCCAAATGCTCGAAACCGATTTGTCCCACCCAGGACGAGCTGTGGAGGAGTTTTCTGCATGAGTCTGTATCGTTTTGCAAGGATGTTGCAGATGCAGTCTTCCTCCCATCAGCAGAGTTGACACATCTCGTGTTTTCGGAGTCAAATTCAGTGAGCACTGGGCGATGCAGGTGCCAGATGCCATCTTGGCTCGGAAGGTGAACGTTCTCTTCTCCTCTCTTCTCTCCTCTTCTGGCGAAAAAATCAGGGTTCCATTGACTAGTAAGCATCTGTGGCCACCCTTGTACCTGTACACCGGGTACAAATCGAGACTTGCCTATGTCATCGCTATCATGCTTTCGCTCATCGGAGCTTGTGAGGGAATAATGTGGACGTGGTCACCTCCCAGTAAGTCGCCTTGCAAGGATATCTCAACGATGTTAGAGATGCTGTCGGCCAATGACGAAAAAGGAGATAGGCTCTCTGCTTGAGCATCCAGCATTGATCTTTCGTAACAGTGTAGTGCGAAAGTGTAGTGCTCATGCTGCAGGAACCACCGTGCTAGACGAAGCTTTCTAGAAGACCGGTCCGCTTGCCACAGAGCAGGAGAAGGCTTGCTGGTAAATTTGTTGCGATAGACTCCGGACATGGCTTCTATTCTCCACTTGATGTTGTTGATTTGCGCTTGCAAAGAGACATCATGGCAGGTCTGCCGCTGTAGCTGCATCAAGTTACACTGCAATTCCGCAAGTCTTGAGAGGATCGAGTCTGGTCCATAAAGCGAATTCCAGTTGTCCACTACTTTGCTGATGATCCTTTGCCCTTCCTCGCTTCGACCTGTGCGTGCATAGAACTGTGATCTTCCGAACTGGTGCACCAGCGTTTGGTAAGCAGACTCGCCAAACGTCTTGGAAAGAGAGTCGATGATGCAGCTGAACACAACCTCGGTGACATGAGTCCTCAGTCTGCGATCAAAGTCGGATCTCAGTAACACGGTGAGGGGGTGATCGTGTCCCAGGATAACCGAGGCCATCTCAGCGACGTGTGGCTTTATCTTTGCGTGCAGTACGGAGGAGTTCGGCATATTTATCCCATAAGCCAGCTCGACAAGCGAGAACAACAATTCCGGATGCTTGTCTCGAAGGAAGTCCGGGACCGCATCCAGAGTCTCTTTGAGAACGGCAAAAGCTGCATTTACCTTTTTTAATTCCAGAAGGGTTGACACAATGTAGAATGTCTCCCGAAAAATCTCGAGCTTATTGTCCATATCGAAGATATTTGGGTTTTCTTTCACAAGAGATGACCATGGGAAGCTATACTGCCCCAGCATCCAGTTGAAAGACTGGCTCAGAACAAACTCAACTTTCAAGTCATCACCGGTGGACATGATTGTCGTAGGAGGTCCAATTCGCCAGCGGTGCCTTGAGGGTATGGTATTGTTGCTGCGTCGTCGCTCAGAACTCCTCTGCGTAATTAGAGCAGATCGCGATCTCCCCAAAGAAGGGGCATCGCTCGTCGGTATGGTCTCCCACTCCGGATCATGTTCGTCCTCCGACTGAGCATCAAGTCCTTGGGCTGTTGGCGCCGAATTCCTCTGATGGTTTTGGATGCTGGCCAGCCGCTTTCGCCGATTTACAACGACCGCAGCATGATGGCGTGCTCGGGTTTTGCTTTGGTTCGATTTGTCCTGAACGTCAATGAAGACGATGTTGGACATATCAAACTATGGTTCGGAGCCCCGTCTTACGCAGCTTTCTTCTTCTGGTGATGCACGCCGCGGATTCCAGAGATAACGGCAGTGCCGACTCGAACGTTTGATGTGACTCATTTGGCACATGGCAGAACGGCGAAAGCAGAGGCGTCGGATTCATGCACAGGCAGGAGGTCCATGCCGCTTTCGAACTTTCGAATAGAATTCCGTTTCGGCAAATTTAGATCCTTTCCCACAAGGTCCTATCGCCAATGATCTAGAGGTCGTATTGATAATCTACCCAAATGTTGAGCACTCTTGGCTCTCGTATTTGTTCCAGTAGTACACATGTGCAGAGAGATGGAGAGGGCCTGGGCTGTACCAGGCGGGCAAGTTCATCCGAAGAACGAACAAGATGAGCACGGTGGTAGGGCGCCTTCTCTCCAAATCTGAAAAAGGGCATCATAAGTGCAGATAAGAGCATATGACTGCATCAGTACGTCGTCTTGTATTTTCTCTTTGAGGAAGTGCATTCTCTCAACCGCAGCATGGATGAGATCAAGAGTCCTGTGACGGAGAAAGCTCAGAGGCACCTCAAACGCCGCCCACAGCACGTGATGGGACCGTCATGGATTCACTACCTCAGGTAGGTATCCTAGGTACCAACGTGCCAAATAACAAAGAATACTAGTATTGCCTAGGTGTTCCAGCTCTCTATGGTGGCGGGGGATCGATTTCATTCCAAAACATCTAATAAACGCAAGTCTCTCTGGTGAGATTGTACATACAACACATTATTCTCCCAAACCACGCTAAAGTATTCAATATCACAACCCCTGCGCCACCCCATGCAGGTCTTCCAGCAGAAACGCCGATGCTAGTGTATGCCTCAAGTGAGCGGAATTGGGATGGGTCCAGCTAATGTTGCCTTCGTCAAGTCGTCCACATTCGTTGCCGTGTTTTGATTTGTGAGTGCGGCAAATGCCATGCCGAACATGTTTGGCTGGACATCAGCGTGCAGATCGCCATTGCCGTCTGTGGTCACTGGGGTGTACGCAGGCAGGTTGTTCTGGTTGACCCATGCCATGTATAATGGGCCTGAATTCCAGCCCTGTGGCATCATGGTCGGTTGTCCTACTCTGAAGACCAACTCTCCAGGCGCGTTGGGGGTAGCGAAAGACGGACCGCCATAACCGACAATGCCCAGGTCGGGGAACACCGGCAAGGAAATGATCGATTGAGGCAGGTTCTGGCATGAGCCTCCGACGACGAAATCGAGAGCCAGATTGTAAGCCCAAATACCACTGATTGGGGTCTCAAATGTGGTGGGGTTGGGTATCTCGCCCGCAGTCAGGCGGAAGAACGCATCGTGACGAGATTCAACAGGGAGGATAGAGCCGATGGTAGCTTCGAGGCCTGGATCGGTCGTCGACAGGGCGCTTTGCAGACCTATAAGAGCCCCAATCCCGACGCTTGTGATGATGTTGCCCAAAGCAAAGAAGCTTGTCTCGTCAGAGACAGGGAAGTTGTATTGGCAAGGCAGGACATCTTGAGCTCCGTTGCCTGTCAACAGTCCCACAATTGCTGCCACGTGGACTTCCTCTTGCGCAGCAATATGGGAAACCACATTCAGATTGCTCACGCCGTTTGTTGTGCCACCGCTACCCCATTGCGTGAAATTCATCAGACCCTCTTGGAAGAAGGCTGATTCGAGATTCTCCAGGAAGTTGGCGACTTGAAAGTTGTTGAGAGCATTCTGCGACAGTTTGGGTGTACCAGGTTGGTTTGGTAGGCCACCACCAGCTTGTTGAGTGATCTGAGGTGGTAGCGCCGTGCCTGTGACCAGTGCTGGAGCCGCAACGGCTGACTTGGAGAGAAAGAAGAGCGCGACGGGAAGGATCGAAGACAACATGGCTGCAAATACAGACTTGAAGAACCGAGAACTGCAGGGAAAGAAAACAAGCACAGAAAGTCTAGCAGCCTGCAGACCAGAGACTGGAAGATATTATAGATCTTCTTTGCCTTTTGAATTGGGGGCGGGTGTCCCTGTACTCCCTGTTCAAGCCGTAAGCACTATCGCAAGATGTAAGGCCCCGACCGGGCCTAACGAACTTCAGCCACATGCATTTGGGACCATGATAACAGAGTCGCAGAAACCATCATCGCACAGATACATACAGGAGGCCAACGCCATGGGCACGTCAAAGCATCCCTGAGATACTCGAAGTCCTCGCTGCGCAGCCCGCAAGAGCGAGGTAGCAGGACGTTGCCGTGAACAAAGTCGGCTTAAAAGGACAATCTGCTCGTGGAGCCGCGGGCGAAAAGGTGCGCAAATGGAGACGCAATGGCGATTTGAGGATTAATTCTGGACCATGGACACCCTGTAGGGCTCAAGAACAAGCTTCGGTAAGCACTTGAAGCTTTCAGCTTTGGATTCTTCGGTCCGTTGGCGACTCTGTCAGCATGGCCCAAAATTAGACTCCGTCGCAAACAAAGCCGGAGTGATAAAAAGCTCGACAAACAATTGATGCAAACGTGCCAAGCTGAAGCTCTGATCTGATCCAATGGCGCTCTCCGAAGAAAGCTTTGTCTGACAAGGCCTCATCTCCAGGATTCCACGCTTATCCCGCCGGGCCTTATCGCTATCAACCACGTCAGACGGCTTCATTTTACCTTCCATGACGCCTTCGACTGGTTTATGGACAAGCAGATTCCGTGTTAAGAAGAAGCCTCCAATTCATTCGAGGAGTACTCCGTAGAGCTCCTCCAAAACTACGCGTCTCGGGTCAAGATGAGTTCGTTCGGTATCTGCTCGCATTGCTTGCGAGCTCTCCGGCAGAGCATTCGGCAAGAGGCAAGTCCTACGCCCATGTTTCCGCCAAATCTAACACATTTTGAACAGAAGTTGCTCCTCGCGAAGTCACCAGTTTCCGGCCAGCGATATCTGTCCCTAGAGCAAAAGGAGACCACTCCCCAGAGCCATACCAAACGACCGAACCTCCACATCAATGTTCCAACCGCCACGCCGACCAACACCACGAACCTCACAGCCCAAGTCCCAGAGGACCCTCAAGATCAAAATGCACCAAAACCCTCCAAATCCAAATCAACCCTGAAGCCCGGTCTCCCAGCAGGGCCCAGCGTCTCACAGATGCAGGCACAGATTCAAGAATCCCTCAAGCGTCCCGCCGCCACCAATCCTCTCGCCAATCGCTTGGCACAGAGCTTCCGCAAGACTGCCAAGGGCACAACGCAGACGTACATAACCTACGGAGAGACGGAGGCTCTTTTCAAATCCTGTGCTGCACAAGCAGATTACACAATCCCCGAGGATCAGCGCATGGGCATTCTCACGGGAAAAGGACCTCCCAAGACGGCTGATGGGATCGATCTCGGCCAACCCGTGGCAGACACATGGTGGTTCAATACAATAGGCCTGCCGCCCACCTTCTCCACCTGGTCTCAGGTCGCCTTCCTCCACATGTACATTATCACGGTGCGGCTGCGTGCAGTAGAAACCGCCTCCGAGTTCCAGAACTACCAGCGCTATCTGATCGAACATTTCTCACATGCTGCGGAGGACAAGATGGTGCTGTTGCATAACATGTCCGCAAGGGGTGTACGGAACAAGTACCTGAAGGACTTGTTCTTGCAATGGCGGGGTATTCTGGCCGCGCACGATGAAGGCATGGTCAAGGGTGATGCTGTGCTCGCCGGCGCAATATGGCGAAATCTCTTTCGTGGACAAGAGGATGTTGATTGGGAAAAGGTTGCCCTTGTGGTCGCATTTGTGCGTAGGGCAGTCACCAAGGTTGGAAATCTGGACATCAACACCATCGCTACCAGTTTGAACGGACCGGTTGGGATCTGGGCCCAGAGTCACCAGCCTGCAGGAGACCTGGTAAGCCGGCAGAGCAGGCAGCTCAATGCGCCGTTCACAGGGTGAAGCCGTTTTGAGCACACGAAGTTTGTTGTTCATCGGACAGATTCTGGAAATCAACTCCTTCGACCTCGGCTCCAAAGGTGGGATGCAGTTTCTTGATAGTGAGGGTTTTGAATTCTGGCTCTTCGCTGTAGCTGCCCATGGTGTCGATGCTGGCTTCGGAACTGTCCTGTTGGTGGATTTGAGATTCACGATGACTTTGATGAAATTGTTGCTATGGTCTTGTCTCTCATACAGGTGTTCGGGTATCTCAGGCTCCTTATATCCACTGTTGACTGGGATGCCCATCGAAAGGGACGCAAGGAATCACACTTGCACCCGTCTCGGTTCTCGGCTTGTGGCTCACTGTCAAGTGATGTGGGGCGCAGATGTGGATGACTTGAAGCGACACACGTCCGGCATGTAAGAAGAGAGACATAGCCGAAGGGCAATGTGATGGCTATGAACATCTTCTGCGTGTCAGGCAAAGCAATGCAAGCACGGCAAGAAACCGGCTGCCTTGGCACGGGGAATGAATGCTTCTCGTAGCTTGCTTCGAGGCCATGATGGGCCGCTACTAAGAGCATGGGGCAGTTTGCTTGATATGTTGCGGGGCTGGCAGTCGGAGCATATGTAGGGAGTCAAGTTGGAGTATACCTATTTTTTGCACATTTGTATGGAAGTACCCGGATGACGCCAGTAAGAGTGGTGGAGGAATCTGGGGATAGAGGAGGTGGATATGCATGAAGCTGGGGAATTGGGGAAAGCCAGATTTTGGGCTTCTGAGATGATTCAAATCGCTCTAGGAGCCTTGTCCGATCGGCCTTCTCTGCTGTCATGTCTAATCCTGTAATGCTGGGCGTCCAAGGCTCCTGGAATCTTGAACACTGGTCCTGAGTCGCTTCGGCATATGGGATGGTGACGGGCCTTGGTGGTGGGGAGAGATGTCGAAACCTCAGGAGTAGAGTGTGGCGGATAGCAAGCAGGTAAATGGAGAGATGCCATCATCCTTGACAAGGGCAGTGCATCATGAATTGCCGGTGCCGGTTGACTGTCTAACAGGAGGCCGATGCTGTGAGGCTAAGTATATCTCTTTCCAGGACAGGTTTGATACGCTTGGCATGAGAGTTCGAACACGAGTTGGGAGGTGTCAATTTCCACCCAGTGATGCGAGACCCTAGGCACTGTATGGGCGCGTGGGTTATCCTGTCTGCTTGCCAGGACTCGGGAATGAGTTATGTGGACGGTGGCCTCGTGTCCGACCTCGCTCATTGAGAGCCGGTGTTATGAGGATCAACCACCTACAGGTACTCACGCTTTCTCAACCTCTTTGACACCTGAACCGCCCTTTCCTGCCAGCGCCCCGACCTCAATGACCTCGACCTTCGCTTTATCACCCTCCATGACCATGGCAACCTCCTCCAGACTGGGTCCTTTGGTCTCAGGATATACGAAAAAGATGGTGCTCGTCTCGATAGCCAGCCAGACGACATAGACGATGTAATAGTGCCAAGTGATATTCTGCAGGCCGATTGGATTGACGAACTGATTGAATGAACTGCCTCCTCGGGAGAAGAATTGGGTGATCGCCACTCCTTTGCTGCGGTGGATGAAAGGGAACACTTCACAGATGAAGACATATGTCAGTGGCATCATGAGGTTGTAAAACCCGTAGAATGAAGATGAGAGCGACCACCGCTTTAGCAGCGGAGTTGTTGGTGTGATCTTGTGCATAGACTGCCGAGGCCGCAGTCCAGCATGCAAACATGATGGTCATGCCGGTGTAGGAGGTCAAATACTGGCGTCGGCGTGGCAATTTGTGGGTGAGGAAGGCACCGGTGACTCCCGTGACAAGATTCCAGCATGAAAGGCCAAGGTTGATCTCGTTTTGTGTTCGCTTGGCCGTGATACCCACTGATGCAAGGACTTTGGACAGATAATATGAGACCAGACCGTTGCCAGACCACTGCGAGAACAAGCCGACACATGCTGCAATGAGAACACGTCTACGGTTGACGTTGGTTGACACGAGTTCTTTCCAAGGCGTCTTTGTGCCCTCAATTTCCATCCGGATTGTTTCGCGAATTTGATGGAACTCTGCTGCCACAAATGGACTCGAGCGGTCACCTTCGGCGTGATACTTGATCAAGATCTCCAAGGCCTCTTCATGTCGGTCCTTGGATACGAGGAAACGTGGAGACTCGGGGATGAACCTGTGACGTTAGAGATGCGGTCGTGTCACAGAAGGGGACTGACTGGCTTACCATATGAAGATGAGTTGTAATGTCGATGGTAAGAGCTGGAGGAGCGAGGGCAACCGCCAGCTCCAATTGCTGTCCCAAGAGTATGTCCCTAGCGTGACTCCGGCAGCAATGATTGCACCAGCATACCAGCTCTCGTTGAACAAGCCCGTGATTACAGACCGTTCTTTGGGATACGCCAACTCAGCAATGAGTTGTGAGGCTCCACTAATGGCATATACGATTCCCATACCCAGAATGATCCTTGCGACAAGAAACATTGCAACTGCGAAGGTGTCAGCATACATAGCCATGCAGTTTCAAACGAGGGTACGTACTGTTGACAGCCGCCGTCTGCAGGATGGCACCAACGCTGATGATGGCGGAGCCCAGCACCACGCAAGCTTTTCGTCCGAAACGGTCATTCACATACGGAACGAAAGGGACGGCAATGACTGCTCCAATGGAGAATGCCGCCGTCATGACACCAAGCAAGGCTCCTGTTGGGCTGTTGAAGTCTGCAAACATGTTAGCAGGGCAAACGCTGCTCGAGAAGCGATATGCTTACAATCCTCCCACGGCTGCACAGCCTGGAGTCCATTCAGGACACTCCCATCGTACCCGGACGTCATTTCGACACCAAGAGCAGCCGGGACGAGGCAGAAGTATAGCCGGCGAAGATTCTTCTTTCTATACCATGGTGTCGTATCTTGGGCAAGCAAGTGTTCGATCTCCGACACTTTTGCGACATCGGTGGCGGCCACGTCGTGGCCTGCTATTGCCTTCGACATTTTGGCTTGGTGTTGCGAGCGCTAAGCTAAGCAAGATTCACGGCCCTAATGGAGAAATTCGAGCTCCATGAGTCCCATGGCGACCAGGCTCATTTTAAAGTCCTGAGGTATACTCGGGATCAGACTTCGAATATCTGCCGATGCAGGGAGTAGAGTTGCCCACGACCGTAATTCGGAGGCATATCGGACGGCATGACTGATGGAGCAACGTTGTCTCGCACAAAGCCTTCATAGGCTAAATGATGAGAGCTTTTGGCGTGCCTTGAGGCGGTCGATAGTATTCCATCAGCTTGGTAAGGCATATTCCCCGCCTCAACCCCGTTCCTTTCGACAAGGCCAAGCGGGCAATCCAGCGGGTGTCATCATGGGGACCTCAGGGGGTGAGACAATGATTGGACGTTCTGTCAGCACAACCACATGAATTTAGCCGGAATGCATATTTGAGGCAAAACACAACGGCAGCCGGCAGGCGAGCATACTATCAAGACCCGTAGCCGTCTGATGCCGTCAATCTCTTGGCCTGGACTTGGAAAGCTTCCACGGGTCTTTGTATTAGGCGAGCAGCAATGCTTTGGGCAATGCTTGCGCTGGTGAGCCAAGAATCAGGTCTCCTGCTGCTGACCACGGCACTCTTGCTCGAATGGCTGAAAATAAGTGCTTTCTGCGCCCTTCCTCACCAAGGTGGTACTGGTTACTCGGTAACTTCCCAACTTCCTGCCGCCACGTTGCCTTATATGGCAATTTTGCCTGCCCAATTCGGCTGACCGCCTTTGTTTTGATCAGCCAGCAACGATGGATATTTGGGTATATATTTCTCCAGTAGCAATCAAGTGCCAGTCAAATTTCTCTTTTGCATGCCACGATGCCGGGCGTACTGCTCGCTGTGGATATCGGCGGCAAATGCGCTGTCCGCAAAGGGTGATAGAACACAGGGACTGTTGTGGCTGTCTGAAGAGGAAGGGAGACATGCTCGCTCTTACCTTGCCGTGGTACTTGATATTGACTGGTACGACCATCAATCCTTGACCGCGCGTTCTATCAGGTAGGAGAGATGCAGGACGATGCGATTTCGTGTCTGGTGGACAAGCTTGGGCACTAGACGTGGTGGCCTCCAGGTAAGCGAAGGTGAATGACATGTGGTTCTAATGTCATTGAATATGACCAGCTCGTGAGTGAATGTCTTTAAAGTTGTCTTCACTTAACTGTCTTCACTTAACTGTCTTCACTTAATTGTCTTCACTTAAAGCCTCATGGGTACTTACTCGAGCTCGTCTTTAACGGATCTCTCGATATCTACAACAAGGTCTTCGCACACGATTTGCAAATCACAGTCGATGAGGGCGCTGCAACATGATCCGACCTAATGGCCTCGTGTCATTCCTGATTTGTTACTTGCTCATGATTTTGAGTTGCACACCATTGCGATGTTCTGCACTCGAAAGTGCTTTCCCTCCTGGATACCCGAATATTGGAGGGCCTCCCGGCTACACAGCAGCCCAGCGGCAGGTCTTCTTGAAGACGTTCCAAGACGGACTTGATCTGGCGAAACACACTGTTCTCTTCTGGCCATGTGATCCTGCCAACGACGAGGTATGTGTCTAATAGTGCTCACTAAGTACCATTCATGAATTTTTTTGGTCGGCGGAGCGCGATATGTTGAGCAAAGAATAAAGACAGCCTTCAAATACCGCCTCTCGCCTCAACAGCAAAATTTCTGACCGAGTCCTGACTCTCCGCAGATATACACTCGTTATTTCGATCCTGCGGACGCCACCTTCGTGAATCAGATGTTCCGAGCAATCGCGAATATCGACTTCAACCTGGACTTGACGGATCCGCAAAATGTCGCCCAGCTAGTCTCTCAACCAGCAACTTGGAATGAGAAGTTGTCGAGATTGTCTATTCACTTCATGGAGGACCACCCAGGTGTGGCACAAATTCCAGCCCCAGTACGCGGCCATGGATCTTGCCAACCAAGGTTTACCGCCGCCTATGTGGTCCCAACCGATGGCGGTCGATCTGCGCTGATGTCGGTCTGCCCGTGGGCTTACGTGGTTTACCCATTCTTGCACGACATCCAAAATCCTCCTGCATGGGCTGTGGATCCAAGCAAAGACCAAAGCAAAGGACCGCAATACTACGATGGGTATGGGTGCGAAAGTCTGGGTATATCTGACAGCTGGCTTCTGTACAGTCTTTCAGCCATGATGCTGCACGAGCTCATGCACTTTCCTGGTCTATTCGAAGATGTCCCTGGCTACGCTGATCATATTACGATTGGAATCTCCAAAGATATCAATCACATGATCGGGGACTTCATTGGTCCAGCTCCCCCCGACGGCTATGGCCCCTACAATGCCATGCTAATCAACCGGCTTCAGCCGAAAGATGCGAAAGGACTTGCATGGAAGGGCATTTGGAATGCCGAAAACTTCGCCGCCTATGCTGCCAGCAAATACTGGTCAGAAGGCTGCGGAAGGACGTTCAAAGAATGTCCCAACCCCACGGCTGCTGACCCATTTGAACGACACCAACCTCAATGGCCCTTCTGGTCTTAAATGATGAGAGAGCAGCAAATGGAGAGGTCAGCTCAAGCGTACAGCTTGGAATCGCGGGCTCTGCGCTTCTTCGTCTTTTCCAAGGGCCAAGGCAAGCGGATGATCGAGAAGAACGTCAAGCAATTGCAAGAGTAGCCAGAGGATGGAAGCGGGAACGGAGCAAAATGGCAACAAAGAATTCAATCTGACAAGGGGCCGTATTCATGCAGCGCCTTGCTAAAAGTCTCTGGGTCTCAGAGGTGGCCAGCTTATTCTTTACTAGTCTATTCGAGCCATCACTAAGACTTCGCGGCCACCGAAGCATAATCAGACATTATCCTGTTCAAACCTTGTCTTTGGACACAATTCTCGTAACTGAAGCTCTTTGCCAATTCCTCCAAGGCAGCTTCATCTTTCCCACGGAAGAGCTCGGCGAACTCTTGACAGAACGTTTCGGCCAGGAAGGTCTGAAGAACAGCACGTTCGACATGGCGCGCCGTATTCCATGTCGAAGGGTAGACATCTTTCGCTGTTGGGGAGACCGAGTCGATCCATTTGATGAGAGGCTCCATGACGCCGTCGACCTCTTTAGAAGGGTACTTGCCCCAAGCGTCTAGTTGTAGCCGTTTTTTCTTCTCCAGGATAGGCTCAATCAATTTATTCCAGGCCGAGTCCGGCGAGGTATAAACCATTCCCTGCAGACCGACGTCCTTGAACAGCCATATGGACCAAGGGATCTGGAAGCGGTCGTAGATTCGCAATTGCTCTCCCAACATGTTGTACCTATCTTGGTTGATTTCTTCGGCGTTCTCGTCCCATTTCAGGTTGGCGTAGACTGGGCCGAATTCGCCGTTCCATATGGCCGTTTTGTGGGTGCGTTGGAACTCTGACTTTCGGAGAAACTGATCCTCGAGCCTCTGCTTCTGCTCGGCCGTGCCTTTGTATGGTCTGCCCGTGGGGAAGCCCATCATGCTGTAGTCGTGAAGCGAGTAGACGCAGTTGGGCAGGACGGTGTCGAAACCCTTCCATTCAGCGGCAAAGGTGTTTCCGTCGAGCCATAGAATGTGGTCTGGGTCGATTGCGCGGATGGCCTTTTCGAGGCGCTCGTAGAAGGCTGGCAGACGCACATGCTTGGGGTCGCAGGGCTCGTTGATCGGGTTGTAGCCGGCGACCCACGGATTGCCCTTGTACCGACGAGCGAGTTGCTCCCAGAGCCAGACGGTCCGGTCTTGGTGGTCTTTGTAGTCCCAAAACGCGGCATAGCTGGTCGTGTTGTCGGCGTGCCAGCCGGGACTTTGGCCACCGGGGACGGTGTGCATGTCGAGAATGGTATAAATGCCGTGGTTGGCGCACAGGTCGACCACGCGATCGAGGTGCTTGAAACCGCTTTCCTTCAGCACGCGCGGGTTCATGTCGTCCTCGAAATGCCGGTAGTTGAAGGGGATCCGGATGCAATTGAGGCCGAGAGACTTGAAGAATTGGGCGTCGGCTTCGGTGAAGAAGTAGTACAGCCATCGGTCGAAGAAAAAGTCGTAGTTCTTCGAGCCCATGACTTCGAGCATGGCGGCGCGAATGCTAGACTCGTGACCTGGATAGCCCGTGATGAAGTTCTCCATGCTAGTCGAGGTCAGTATCCAAAGAAGCCCAAGGCAGCGGTGTCAGGTATACTTGAGCCATCCCCCTATTGCGGCGCCTCGTAGTATGACGGGGGCGCCAGTGCTGTCCACGACTTGCGTGTCCTTGACTTTCAAGATACCTGTCGCCATTTGCGCGAGTTTAGGGCGGAAACAAGGGTCGAGCGTGCTATCCGACAACGTCTCGGTCTGTCGTCTTGCTTTCGTGAACGGTGAGGACTTCACTAGCACGTATTGCGACCGCTTTACCTTTGACGAGGAACATCACGAGAGCATAGACGTGCCGATTCGAATCCCAAGTACATAGGCTTCATGAATTTAGCCTGAAAGGAGCGATGAGAGTGATGGGCCGGTTTCGGCGCACACGCCGTTTCAGCCGATCGGACATGCCTGGAAACACAGCCAAGAGAGAACGCGATCCTTCAGACGGCTTCGTACATAGTCCTGCGCAGATGCTGAGGCTCACTGGACATCTAACAGCTACAGTGTTGTCCGTTAAGAGAGACTTTGACGTCGGAGGTTTTGAAGTGACTCGGGATGTGAGGAAAGTCTAGCGAGAGGAATTGTTTGACCTCGGTACTTGTCTTTTTGCTTCTCCGTAGCCAAGACCACGACTTGCGTGTTAAGCTTAAGACCTTGCCGTATCTCCTCACTCAATGTTCTGATGCTCGTTCTTTTCTCTTCCTCACCTCGTTGACGTTTTTTGCAACTACAAATGATATTTGAAGTCAAGCTCCCTGTCTCCCGTCTTGTACTTCCGAGTGTCCTCAATCTCCCCTTTAGCGATCTTCTCTTTTCTGACGTTCCACCGCCTGATGTACAACATTTTCACCACAATCAGAAGTTGAGACACGCACAATGCGCCGAGCGAGAAGCTGTGACCCAGCTTGTAGGGAGATTTTCGGTAAATCTGACCGGCGACCTGTTTGCGTGGTAGATGCATTAGTATGGTTCCACAGAACGGAATAAGATACCGGAAACGGGCTGGGAGGCCCGATAGCCATCCACTTCCACATCTCGCTGTGGCATGACTTACAATTCCTGCAGTGTTCGCAACTGTTCGTGTCGTTAGCACTGATATGCAGCAATCAAAAGCGCTTTTGAACACAATTGCAGGTTGCAGCGGGTACTTACTGGTTTGTTGGAATCCGATGGTGGTCGCTCTTCGATAATGAGGTGCAACATTGACATTAATCCATGTTACGTTCAGCCCAGGTCCGTTATACACAGCCACGGCACAGAGGAATGTCGCGAAATATCGGACTCCATCCGTCGAAACGGTAAGAAGGATGATGTAGCCAACAATGCCGAACATATTTGCGAACAGAATGAACTGAACGATTCAGATCAGTACGCTGCCGGACAATTCATTCGCAGGTCATGCACTCACCGGTGATCGCAGCTGGAACCTGTCCGAGGCAATAGCTGCGACAATGAATGCAATGGCTCCGAATATATACACGGGGACCGTGAGGTAGTTGCTCTGCAAAGTGTCGTATCCTGCCGCCTTCAGAATTGCAGGTAAGAATGTGCTGAACCCGTACAACAGGATGTCCTGGCAGAATTGGATGGCTCCACTGAGATATAGTTTGGGGTCCTGGAAGGCAATACGGACTTCCTGCCAGTCGAGTTTGTCACTACCCATGTACTGAGACCTTTGCTGGTGCCGGATTCTCATCAACTCCTTTTGCTCGGCACTCAGAAACCATGCTTCGGCTGGATCAGAAGGTAGACCAAACCAAACAGCGACGGCGATCAACATGCTGAAGATACCTTCGATGATGTAGACCCAGCTTTTGCATGTCAGCGTCCTACCATTTTACCTCACAGACTCTACTCACCGCCATCCTGCGTAGTTCGCGACACCATCCATCTGGAGCAAAGCATAAGCAAGGAGACCTCCGAAAGCGCCCGACAATGCAGTGCAGCTGAAAAGATATGCAACTCTCTTGGCCTGCTCCTCTCTTTTGTACACCATTGTGAGGTACAATGTCAGACTGGGGAAAAGACCCGCTTCGCAGGCTCCAAGCACAAGACGGCTGGCATATAAACCCCCGACGTTTTGGATGAAGCCCGAGAAGATCGTGGTCAAAGACCAAACAATGCAGAGGCTCGTCAACAGGACCCGAGGAGTCCACTTCTTGAGCAGTATGGCAAAGGGTGTTTCGAATGTCACGTAGGTTGCTAAGGCAAGTTCAGTTCGCTGTGTGCTGCTGGTTGAGGCTCACTGACCATAAAATATCGAGACCGCTGTGGAAAATTGTTGGGCGGATGCGCCAACATCTTCCGGCATTCCAGCAACTTTGACATTTCCCTGATCTCGGTTATCATGCTGTGAAACTTGCATCTTGGACAGCAGAACATACAATGTTTGACCTGTCGAGGAAGCAGGAAAGATACACCAACATGATGACCGGGGTGAAGAAGAGGTCCAACTTCGCCAATAGGATCTTTTCTTTCTTCGGATCAATCTGGGGTATCATGCTGCCGACCTCCTGCAGACCGTCATTGTGCTTGTCGCCGTCGATGGCCCCTACGGATTTTTCGTCCATGGGGTGCTGCTTTTCAACTTCTGCCATATTGAGAGGAATTTACTGTGGACAATTGAATCCGAGAGATGGCCAGTGGTAAGAAAGCTTTGATATTGCTACATGATCTCCGTAGAACATGCCTGGTGGGTTTCTCTTTATACTTGTGATCGATAGGTATGTCGTTGTGGGTTCCATTTATACTCGTGATTCCATAGTCAGTCCATTAAATCACTGCATCTCCTTCGATTGGTCTGTTTCTCTCATTGATACTCGTCGGGTCCAAGTGCCCGAGATAGACAGGGTAGGTGACAGGGGTGTTTTGATAAGAAGGTTCCATCGCTGATCTGCCTTGCATATCCTCGGCAGATAATATGCGTGTGATGTGTGATGTGTGGCCCTGTTACCCTATCAGCCTATCCGCGGAAACCTGATCACGTGCTCAGCCTGAGGCTGCACGCCACCAACGAGGACCTGCGTGACTGTGATTTTCTTGTTCGTCCAACACCAACACCCTTGCTCGCCTGCCCACTCTTGCCATGCCACCACGGTAGAAGTCTCGTTCGGTAGTGGGCAAGACTAGACCTTCATTGATCGGGTCTGTCCAAGCGAGTTATTCTGGAGTGTATCTGATCCCGCAGTACCTCCATCACTCCGCAATACGAGATCGGTTGGTATGACCCGTGGTCAGGCTGTTATTCAAAGCTGGACAGTTCTTACGACTCCAACCAGACACTTGATCAACTGGAACCTTCGTGCCGAGTTACATCTGGGAATTTTCACCAGGCGCTAAGCTATCCCATCTGGCTGAGTTTGGTGACACCTCCCTTCACGGCACCGAGCATCCTATCGAGGCGATCTCGCGACCCTGTCCGGACTAATTGCATGCACCACGGTCCGCGGACCAACATGAGCAACATCTGCCTTGTCTACGTATCTCAGAATATCGTGTCCACTCGATGACACAGGCGCAGGGTTGCATATCACCTAGATCGTACCAAGTATTCCTCTTCACTGCCTCTCCAAAACGTTGGGAAGAAGCCGTGAGATGAGCCCTTTCAAGGATGCAGTCGATGAGCGCTTCAGGGAGCGCAGACCGGCGGTCGTTATATGATACTTCTAAGCGGTCAGCACTTGCATGCAATCGATGCAGAGGCAGGAAGACAAAATGCAAAGGGATCCCACCTTTGCAATGTCCAGCTTGCGAAGAGGCTGGGGTAGATTGCGTGTACACTGAAACCGAAAGACGTATTCCAGTCCCGGAAAGGTTCGTCAAAAGTTCCCTAATGCCCGGAATGCCTTGACTGACCTGCGCAGCATCCTTCTCGATCTCCAAGCGCGTGCGAGGGCTGCGGATCAATGTAAGTAGTATTCAATCGTGTTGCTCAAATTCCTGGAAGCACAAACCAACGAAAGCATTGGGCGTGGATGCTGACAATTGTAGATATCAAAGCAGGGCAAAGCAACAACCCCTCTCCGCAGACCGTTAACGATCCTCCACTCAAGGAAGATGACGACTGGTGGTACAAAGGTATGGATACCTTGCTGCTCAGCCGCTCTGGCGAGCATCATTACGTCGGTACCGCATCGTCTACATATTTGGCCCAAAAGCTCAATCCGACACCGGACAACAATCTAGCATGGGATGTCCATCCAATGTACAAAGACCCGTCGTCTTTACAACGTCCATCGGCTCCAATTCTGCCACAATTGCCTCCTTACGAGTTCGCCAGAAGACTCTATAGCGCACAGTATATCTACATCGGAACAATATTCTCCTTTCTGCAGCCTGATGCCTTTGAAAAGCGATTGCAACAAGTCTATGCGCACCCCCCAAACCTGGGCAACAGGGAAGAGTGTCTCTCCTACTGTCAGATACTGCTCATTCTTGCATATGGCCAAATGTACTCGGTGAATCAGTGGTCAGGCAATGATGGCCCGCCAGGGTTTACATACTTCAAACACGCATTGTGGCTCCTTCCGGATATCCACCAGGAAGGGTCGATTTTGTTTGTCGAAGTCTTGAGTCTCATCGCGCCATATATGCAAAACTTGAATCGGAAAGACGCCGCTTTTCTCTACATTGGTTTGGCCTTGAGGATGGCCATATCACTTGGACTACATCAAGAAGTGGACGATCCGATGATGGATATCGTGGAACGCGAGCATCGACGCAGAGTCTGGTGGTCCGTCTATAGTATGGATCGGATCATATCAGTCAAATCTGGCAACCCGATATCCATTCACGACGAAGACATCGACGTGAGCTGGCCAAGTCCCATCCCAGGTGTTGATCAAAACCTGTCGCCTCCTAGAGTCTTGGCTCATTATACTCAGCTGTCGCGGATCCTGGGAAGAATCGGCGAGGGCATCTATCGGAAGAAGCACAAGACGGGCACGAATCTGCTTACTTCGGTGCAAAGCATCATGAGCGATCTTTCCGAATGGCTGGGAAACGTACCACAGGAGTTGAGAATCGACTTTTCTGCACTGGATCGCCCTCTTTCTCGTGAAGGTGTGTCCACGTTCCTTCACTATTACCAATGCATCAACATGACGACAAGACCAATGCTTCTCTACGTCTGCCAGAAAAGGCTCGAGGCGCTCACTAGCGGCTTCGCTCCTCTGAACTGGAGGGAGGGTTTATCACCTAACGTAATCACCATCATTGAAACAGCTATCAGGGCTGCTCGTGCAAGTACTATGGTAATGAGCGCGGCAGCAAGCCAAAATCTATTTGGTACGTTGCTGTAGTCGCCCCTACCGCTAAGTATGCTAACTCCCCCACCTAGCGACTTATGGCTTTATGGACGGGGAGCACGCTTTCTCGGCTTCATTGACCCTAGTCATGGTTAATGTTGCATTCCCATACAATGAAAAGGATGCAATTGCAATGGAGACTGCTCTTTCTGTCCTCCGAGGCATGGCAGCCAAAGGGAATGAATACATCGAAGCGCGATTATCGCTTCTGATGAATCTACGGACAAGTATTGGACCGGTTTCGTCGAGCCGAAGCCGCAATATGACAGCGACTGTACCATTAACGCAGTTCCAGGACCCAGGCGTGGGTCTCTCATACAACCCGACGACATCGCCGGTGAACATACCGTTGCACCCGCAGGACAGCTTTTTGCAGTTTGACGGCAGTTTCCAGCCCTTACAGGATGTATCATTCAATTTCGACGTAGAGGAAGACCCTAAATTCTGGGAAGAACTATCCGGCAACCTCGACATTGACATGAATATGGACACTGGTTGGATTGAGAATGCTCTGCGGAAGGAGTCATACCATCCAGGCCATTTTGGCACAACACAATGAAACTTGTATTTGTGGGAACAAATCGCGCATCGACACGGCCTGTAGTGGCTAGAACGAGAGATACAACGCTCCAGCTTCATACTTCGGGGATTATGTCCCAATCTCTGATGTCCAGCACAAGCATATAACCCGGAGCATGTCCAATCACGGTGCCTTCGAGAGCAGCTCTTCGTACAGCTTCCTGAGGAGTTACTCCGCATCCCCAGAAGACAGGCACAACTTCTTCATCACTGCCACTGCCTTCGAGTTCTAGTGGCGACCCGTCTGCAGCAACTGGAGCCTCCCCAAAATCCGGCTGATTGATGTCGCGTATACCCAGACGAGATACTGCGTCCCATCCCCATGCAATCGGCTCACCGTGAGTCGCTATATATGGGCGGGTGATGTCTCGCACCTTTTCGACATCCTTCCTTCGATAAGGTCGCATGGATACTACATACGTTGACTGCTGAAAAGCACCGGCCGGACAAAGCGGGATATTGGTCACGTACATGGGAACGTTCCTTCCGTGAGCTGTATGCGTTGGTATGAGGCCTGCTTCGGTAAGAGCAGACTCGAAACTGTAGGAACAACCGATCAAGAATCCAACATGATCCTCTGTCCATTCGTCTTCAACGTTGAGACAGTGCGACTTTGTCAACACGCCGTCCTGATAGACCATATACCTTGGAAAATCGTGACGAAGGTCAACGTTTTTGGCGATTTGTTCGCCTTCCAACCCGTCTATCCATGACTGCAATTCATTCCATTTCCCAAGTGCTTTAGATTCCGCCAGCAAAGGACACGGCACCGGGTTTCTCCGGCAGAGGATCCGAAAATCTGGGGCGTATTTTGATGGAAGGACAATAAGATTTGCCTGAAGGTAGGTACGTGCCGCACCAGATGTTTGTTTGGTGTAAGTGCCTGATCTTGCCGCAAGACGGACACTTTCTCCCGTTTCTTCGACTCCTGAACTCGGATCGGGAGTCTTCTTCAAGTTCGCCACGTCGACCACATTATTCAAAGCGATTGGCGCCATGGTGAATGAGTGATGTCAGCGAAATCAGCGCGGCTTCAGATCCAGCTATTATTGCGGCCTGTCGTATCCTTCAGCTGTCCAAAAAGTTGCCTTCCTTACTAACATACAAGATGTCAACTTTTACGTGGACGAGAGATGTTGATAAGTCGATGTTACAGCGACCTCACGGACGTCTCAAGCACCAACGAGGTCCTTGCGCACTTATCCGGTGGGGATCTGCCAAAAGGCCAGGATCTACGAGTCCAAAGCGCGCTAGGCGAAGGCATCCCGATCAAAGACGCCCAACTGTCGGTACCCACATGCCTAGCGGCAGTTTCATGGTCTCTGCACCCGGGCAATCTCAGATAACTGCCCTAACCAGTGAGCCTCGTCGCATGTGCTTAGCAATGGAGTGGGATGGCGATGTAGGCATTATTCATGCCTATTTGCAAAGGGAAGAGGATGCCGGCATTCTCTCCACACGATGCTTTCTGACAGGAGCTATATGTGCTACTCAGCACCCACCATAAGCGTGGACTTTGAGCAGCAACAGCCCATTCTTTAGAGCAACCATGTCAGAAGCATCCAAAATCAGAATATCTATCGATAGAGGCGGTACTTTCACTGATGTCCATGCCTCCGTTCCCGGAAAACCTGACATCATCCTGAAGCTGTTGTCAGTTGATCCTTCCAACTACCAGGATGCCCCAACGGAAGGCATTCGACGGATATTGGAACTGGCGACAGGAGAGAGCTTTCCCCGAGGGAAACGACTCAATTTGAAGCATATCGACAGGCTTCGAATGGGCACAACGGTTGCGACCAATGCACTCCTGGAGAGAAAGGGCGCAAAATCGGCTTTAATAACTACGAAAGGGTTCAAGGACTTGCTTTCGATTGGCAATCAGTCCAGACCCAAGATATTTGACCTCTCGGCTGCCAAACCAGAAGTCCTTTACGAGAAGGTTATCGAAATCAACGAACGAATCATCCCGTGCCCTAAGAACAGTCAAGCTCACAGATATCCCGAATGCCGTCTAGTAGAGGGCACGACCGGCGAGCAGTTCCGCGTTCTCCAAGAACTCAACACAGAAGAAATCGTCGAGGAGCTACGCATACTATGGGAAGAAGGCTACAGATCGGTTGCTGTGGCATTTGTCCACTCTTACGCCTATCCTGAGCACGAATTGAAGGTGGGCGAACTGGCCATGTCCATGGGATTCTCAGTCGCCTTGTCTTCGAGACTACAGCCAATGGTCAAAATCGTCCCTCGAGGCATGTCAGCATCTGCAGATGCATACCTGACACCAGTCATCAAAAGCTATGTCGATTCCATTGACTCAAACTTCGAGGGTGGCCTAGACAACTCTCATGGTTGTCGATTTGAGTTCATGCAGTCTGATGGAGGTCTAGTTGACTTCCGGAATTTCAGTGGCTTAAAAGCCATTCTCTCTGGTCCGGCAGCAGGAGTTGTTGGCTTTGCCGCTACGAGTTGGGATGAACAAGAACGGGTTCCTGTCATCGGCTTTGACATGGGCGGTACTTCCACTGATGTATGTCGATTCGATGGCAACTTCGAGCACGTCTTTGGCGCCAATATCGCCGGAGTTTCTATTCAGTCACCTCAACTCGATATCAACACTGTTGCCGCGGGTGGCGGGTCGATCCTGTCCTGGAAGAATGGGTTGTTCTTAGTAGGTCCAGAATCTGCGTCTGCCCATCCCGGCCCAGCTTGTTACCGAAAGGGTGGCCCTCTAACCGTCACCGATGCCAATTTGTTCCTTGGAAGGTTGTTACCTACGTACTTCCCCAAGATATTCGGACCTAATGAAGATCAACCCCTCGATCAGGAGATAACCGTAAGGAAGTTCCAAGAGCTTACGGAGTCGATCAATAAGGAACAAATCGAAAAAGGACAGGCCCAATTCTCCTCGGAAGAAGTCGCTCTGGGGTTCTTGAAGGTCGCAGACGAGTCCATGGCGCGGCCAGTTCGTAACTTGACCGAAGCTCGAGGCTTTGAGACCTCATCACACCACCTTGCATCCTTTGGCGGTGCAGGTGGACAACATGCGTGCTCAGTCGCTGCAACACTTGGCATCTCTCGAATCATCATTCACAAATATTCCTCGATATTGTCCGCGTATGGACTGGCGTTGGCAGACGTCGTCAAGGAAGATCAGGAGCCCGTCTCGGTGGAGTATCTTGCATCTCAATCACAGCTACGCAAAAAGTTTGAAAGTATTATTACGCGGTCTACGTCAGACCTCCTGGCTCAAGGCTTCCAGCTTGACAAGATTCAGCACCAACTCTATCTCAACATGCGGTACCAAGGGTCCGATACCAACTTGATGATTCTCAAGCCTGATACGTGGGACTTCGCCACGGAGTTCAAGGAGAGACACCGAAGGGAATTTGGATTCACTTTCGAGAAGCCCCTGCTTGTGGACGATGTCCGAGTCCGATCGATAGCCTCATCCGACAATCATGCAGAGAACAGTCCGGCGGTGCAGCTGAAAGCTGGCCCCATCAAAGATATCGTACAGGCCCCCAGAGAGACGACGAAAGTGTACTTTGGCTCTGCAGGACGGATCGACACACCTGTTTATCTACTGCACAGCATTGAGAAGTACGCCCGCATCAATGGTCCAGCCATAATCATTGATGAAACGCAGACGATTGTGGTGGCGCCAAATGTTGTGGCCAACGTGCTGGAGACGTGTATTGTGCTCGACTTGAAGAACGAAAACTCTCAGGAGAGGAAACCCTCGTCTTCACTGGCCACCAATGAGATACCGATAGACCCCGTACGGTTGTCAATATTTGGACACCGATTCATGTCCATTGCAGAACAAATGGGTCGGACGCTTCAAAAAACATCTGTCTCGACCAACATCAAAGAGCGACTCGATTTCTCATGCGCCCTGTTCTCACCGGACGGCGGCCTCGTTGCAAATGCACCTCATGTACCCGTTCATCTTGGGTCGATGCAATTTGCGGTCAGATATCAACACGAACGATGGCGTGGCCAGTTGAAGGATGGTGATGTTCTTGTGTCAAACCATCCCAGCTGTGGTGGCACTCATTTGCCTGACATTACTGTGATAACTCCAGTGTTCGACCGTCCTGGTGGAAGCGAGATAGTATTCTACGTTGCTTCAAGAGGTCATCATGCGGATATCGGTGGCCTTCTTCCTGGCTCAATGCCTCCTAAGTCCACGGAATTATGGCAAGAAGGAGCTGCGATAGAAGCAGACAAGATTGTCAACAACGGTGTCTTTGACGAAGCTAGAATGACGGAACTTTTACTTCACGAACCCAGCAAATACGAAGGCTGCTCAGGGACGAGGTGTCTTGCAGACAATCTGTCTGACCTCAAAGCGCAAATTGCAGCGAACACACGCGGCATCCAGCTTATTCAGAACCTGATTGCTGAGTACGGCCTCACGTGTGTCCAAGCATACATGTACGCCATCCAGTCCACGGCTGAGACTGCCGTGCGAAACCTTCTGCGCGAACTGGTTACACGCTTTGGCGGCCAGCCGCTAGAGGCTGTGGACTACATGGACGATGGCACGCCAATTCGATTGAAAATCCAGATCGACAAGGACACTGGCTCGGCGATATTCGACTTCGAAGGCACAGGCCCCGAAGTGTATGGCAACACTAACGCCCCCGTGGCGATTACGCACTCGGCGATCATCTACTGCCTGCGATGCATGATCAACTCCGACGTCCCTCTGAACCAAGGCTGCCTTGCACCAATCACGATCAAGATCCCGCCTCGATCTCTACTCTCGCCATCCCGCACTGCGGCCGTCGTGGGTGGCAACGTGCTCACGTCGCAACGGATCACGGATGTCGTGCTCAAAGCTTTCCGCGCTTGCGCTGCTTCGCAGGGCGACACGAACAATCTAACCTTCGGCACGGGCGGCAAATCGGAGGCCGACGGCACGCATGTCGACGGGTTTGGATATTATGAGACCATTGCTGGCGGTGCCGGAGCCGGGCCCAGTTGGAGCGGTCAGAGCGGTGTGCATACGCATATGACCAATACGTGTATTACGGATCCGGAGATCTTGGAGAAGAGGTACCCTTGCGTCTTGCGACAGTTCACACTGCGCGACGGTTCGGGCGGCATTGGCGCACGGCCTGGTGGAGATGGCGTGGTAAGGGAGATTGAATTCCTCGAACCAGTACAGTGCTCGATTCTGAGTGAGCGCAGGGTGCATAGGCCATACGGTATGGAAGGCGGCGGACAGGGTCAGGAAGGTCTCAATCTTTGGGTCACGAAGGATGAAGAGACGGGAGAGGAGAGGAGGGTGAATCTGGGCGGAAAGAATACTGTGAAAGTTAGGAGGGGGGATAGGATTGTGGTCATGACGCCTGGAGGTGGTGCTTGGGGAGAGAAGAAGGGATGATTCTGAATAGTGGTCTTTCAAATCGGCATTATTCGGGTTTTGTGGAGGCATGGCTTTGCGATCTGAGGAGGTTTTCGATATACAATGGTTATTGGATATGTCAGATCAAAAACGTAATCCGATACCGCAAATTTGTAATTGCAGATCACCTTGCCTGTGACTGTGTGTATTTTCATACTTGGACAAGTCTGAGATGTGTGAGGACTGGGCAAGGTCGACTGAGGAGGTCACATCCACAGATCATAGATACCGACAAGTAGGTATTGTATATTGACACCTGTCGGATTGAAAGACATACTCGGATACCCTTGCATTAATTGCATTAAGCATAGTAGATATGTTGCTGGCGTGCACAGCTCGGTCTCTTCCGTTTGCTTCATTTCATGGCTCTGTTCTTTTTACCTTTGAATCAACGACGGGTCCATGCAGACGCATAGCTCGATCTCCTCCGTTTACTTCATTTCATAGCTCGCAGCCAGCTCGTGTACTTTGAATCAACGAGTGAAATTTGGCATGCTTTCGTGGCTCTTATTTACTTTGAATCAACGACCGGTCCAGCCATAAGCACAGGCTGCTTGTTGCAGAAATTCGGGATGTCGCTAAACACGGCGCCCGCATCGTCTCCGGATGACATGGCGCCCTGCATGTCTTCGGGCTTGTCCCAGATCAGGGTGCATCCGGTGCAGAATTGCGGCTTCGCGCCGTCGGCGCCGGGCTTGTAGTCGCACACTTGGTAGCCCTTGAGGCCGTACTTGGCGAAGCGTTCCATGACCAGGGGCATGTGTGTTTGCAGGTAGTAGGACATGTCGAATTTGGTGTCGTCTTCGTTGGGGTAGAGGACGGTGGCGTGGAAGGGCATTTTGGCAAACTTTGACTGTACTGGTACTGGTGGAGTACTGGTAGGAGAGGAGGTTCTGAATGCTCTAGCTTCTGTGGTCCGCTTGTGATATTGTGGTGTAGGCGAGATGGTTCGGTACTATGGTCAGAGTAGAGAAGAGGGAGGTCGTGCATTGTTTATGTAGACAGAGCACGGTAGAGGCATGTGCTGCTGATGCGGGGAGGGGACAGGATGCAAGGTTCGTGGTCCGCGGCTCCGCTCCTGAGTTGGGCATCCTGGACGGCTTTTGGCTGGCTGACTCGTTGAGATAGACTCGATAGTGGTTGGTTTGAGCCGTGGCATAGGCTGCTCGGCTGGTTAGAGTCGGGATGGTGTCGTTTGAAACGACTTCCTCATACGGAGGCACTTTTGGAGGGATCGGTGAGGACTGGGCTAAAGTACTCCGTACAGCAGAGCATGATGTTTTATTAGTTCGAGCAGATTCACCTCGTGAAGATCCATCATGTGTTACAAGCTTCACCTTGTTGCTCATCAGGCTGTTCTACCATGAGACTGAGAATTGCGCAGCTTAGAGAAGACCACGTCGTTGCTACATCAGTTAATTGGAGAAATGCACTCGACTTGCTGTAGTCTGCAAAGTGAGGAATTGACCGGCTATGAGCACTGGTAGGTGGTGGTGATGATGGTGGGCAAGGAGTGGCAAGGCATTGAATTCCGGGGGTGGAGACAGCTCGACAGCTTCTTTTGCTTATCGATAAAGAAAAAACCCACTAATGCCCACGACTTTTGAGTTGAGGCCTCGAGCGTCACGGAATTGAAGAGTCCAATAGTTCACGATCACCTTGTTGAACCAAAGAGAAACCCTACCACAATATTGATCAAATGGTAAGAGCTCTGAAGCACTCCCCTCCAAGTCCCTTGCTAACAATTGTAGGCGCCTCCGTCACGAACAAGACAACCTCTGAAATCCATCCTCAAAAAATCTTCTTCTTCCAGCACGACCAAGTCAGATCCTCTGTTCCCTTCCTCGAAAAAGGACAAGCGGAGAATCAAACATGAGCAACTTATCAACAAGGTGGCCAAGTCGTCCGCGAAGACACCCAGACGCAGAAGACCGAACAAGAAACTAGTCGCCACCCTCGATTCATTAGCAGATGCGTTACCTACAGCCAACGACAACGGCGAGGCTGCCACTCGTGGTGCAGCTGGTGAACGGCCAGAAGATCAAGTTAATATCATCAAGCGCAAGAGCATGAAGTCTAGGCCAGGAGCTATGAAGAGAAGAGAAAACCTCGATAAAGGCGAAAGGCAACGCTTTGTGAAGAACATGGCACAATTAGCTACATCTCGGCCAAACAGTGGCCATGGCAAGGAGGGTGCCGGCGCTCAAGACGGAGTGCAGACCCCTGTGCCTTCTACAAGTGATAGGTGGGCTGCTCTTAGAGGTTTCATCTCGCAGACGTTGGAAACGAAGCCTGAACTGAAGAGCCTGAAGACTTGAAGAAAACGAGGGAGGCACACTGCCATTTGCTTCCTCGCTACTGAGTCAATACAAGGTGATGTACGCCATTAAGTCCTTCAGATATGGAGGATCGGTGCTACAATGAACGGACTCTCGTGCAGCACTAATCCCTGGTCGAACAACCTCAAAGGTCATGCCTGAAACACGCCTGCCCTGCAAGGGAGGACGTTGGAAGAAGTGATCACATCGATCACTGCCGCCTGACACACGTCAAGCAACACCAGTGGGAGTGACTCGCACTGCACCTGGAGAGTTCCTTCAGGGTCGGATGCGCGGACAAAAAGAGCAGATGCACGCTTTCAACAATTCTGGACGGCAGATATACTGGACCAGCCACGTTGATCAATCAATGACGGAGGCCTCGGCTCATGTCACTATGCTGGAGTATTGTGCTATGCACATGCTGCCTCCTCTATCCTCGACACGCTTCCGTCGAGTCCGGCCTTTCCATATCGGGACTCTTTGGGAATATTAGCGAGGATCAACCCATGGATCTTGCCTACGGTCTCAATTTCATCCTGAAATCAAGTTCGGTCAAGAGGATGACTTCCCATCAGCCCCGATCGGATTCTGCGGCCCAGTCAGCCAGCCGACCCATGAGACTTTCACAAATACGATGTCCACTTGCCTGTTCCTGAGTTCCTTGAGACTTTTGAGCTTCCTCTAGCAGGTTGAGTCAATTCTTGTACGAGTGGTCGGCGACGTGCGGTGACGATCACTTACTGTACTTCTTGATTTGCACCTGACCCCACGCAGCTCGTACCAACTTCAACCGCACAAGCACTCCATTTTCAATCAGGGAAGCCGGAGTGCCCTCGGCAAAAGTCCTGGCCTCGATGCACCGTTGTATCACTCTTTCAATGAGCACCTTTCTTTCACGCTCAGGGATAGCCCCGAAATTGATGAAAGGATCCGCCCAGGCGGACTTTGGAAACTCTGCAATATAAGTTTTATGGACAACTCGAGCAAATGCCTGCCGAGTCAGTTCTTTCCTGCTTCCGCCAGCAAAATGTACCGACCCTAAGATTTTCAAATTCTCCATGGTTGATACCCAATACCTCTTTATGTTTCGCTGCCTTGTCGCGAACCTTTAGAGGCTGATCGGTCATGATTGCGTACTTGCGTGTGTTCGAGCAGCTATTCAGCCTGACCGCCATGAGTAGAACAGCTGTCCTTGTCACAACTGTCACATGTGACGAAGGTGTGATCCTTGCTTGCATGCTGCATGCTGCATGTCCGTCCCCCATCCGCACGACCCCGGAAATGGTCGCCATTTGTTGTGCTTGGCCTTGGGGAGCACCCGGATCTTCGCCAGGCTCATTCGACCTGTCTTCCCTCCGACGATGCTAATTCTATTGGAATCTGGACCGTAAGGCTGTCTCGGTGATTCACCTTTCTGCCTGATGCCAAGGCTGCGGTGAGGCTGATGGCCATTTGTGACTTGAGATGTTCAACTATCGAGGGTCTGATGGCCATTTGTGACTTGAGATGTTCAACTATCGAGGGTCTGAAGGCCTGCTAACACTAAATTATTCGAAGGGTCGTTCCATTGCACGTATCTGAAACTCCTTGTCTTTGCTTTTATCGTCCCAACCATGGCTGAAGCAATCGCTGTGGTCGGCCTGACTGCCTCCGTCGTACAGTTGGTTGAAATAAGCACCAAACTCATCGTCCGGATCAACGACTTTTCCTCCTCAATGGACAGATGTCCACGCTTATTCCATGATCTACAGGTCAGACTACCGATGTTGTCACAAACTTTGAATCAAATTGCTGCCAGCAGTCAGAGTGATGGGGCTGATCAATTGCTCAAGCGGGTGGTTGAAGAGTGCCTTGGTGCGGTCACACTACTTGAAAAGAAGCTTGACAAGATACTTCCTGTCGAAGGGGAGAGCGGTATCAGGAGGATGTGGAAGGCGGTGCGCAGCCTATCTCGTGAAAAGTGCGTTCGAGAAGCCTCGGAGCGCCTCGATCATTACTTGAACGTCCTGACGTTTCGCCAATGCATTCAGAACGGGTATCAATTACAGGCTCTCGTGTCAAACCCGGCGAATCAGCCCGAGTCGTCCGCCATAAACACATGCATAACGATAGATGATCCGGACAGAATCATACCGTGGATTAGTGACAGCAACCAGGCATCGCAGGCTCTGGAAACCGGCATCACAGGTCTCTCGAAAACCACGACGCGAGCATGGCCAAGCACGGCCACCATGTTCGATTCACGAACGCGTTGCTTGAGAGACAGATGCATTTGCGCTTGTCATGATACGACCTCGTCATCGGGAAGGTTCTGGTCCTGGAACATTTCTTCACCTTGGGCTCTGGTCCGGCCTTGCGATCGCGCTTCTTGTCAAGATCGAACCTTGAAGGCAAGATACTACGTCAGCTTCTCACGATTCAAGATTCCTTGGAGTGTAAAATTTTGCTTCGAGCTTGCATTAGGCCTGAACGGGTGCTCAATATCGTCAAGCCTGCAGCCCGTCAGAGTTGTGCCCTTCACATCTCCTGGCTTTGTACTTCTGTGGAAGTGTCAAACATATCAGATCGGCTGGTCGGAAGCCAGGCCGGCCTTGCAGAATTTGTTCGACGAGGGTAAAGCTTCCCCGTTAGATGTAGACCCTGCAGGCAAGACATGGTTGGAGGTGACTGCTGCCAGCACCAACTCGATCATTTTCTAACCCGATGAATTCAGAAAATACTCAATTTCCCGTGGTCCGTCTCAGCTCGGGAGGCGCAATTCGGGCTTCTCGAAATGTTGTTACAGCGCCAGACGCGTCACGACACGAATGATTCGTAAGTATCTCCCCAAATCTTCGAAAATACCATTAATACCAAAACTGTAGGTTGCTCTGGCTGTGTGCTCGATGGATTGGCGTAGGCCCCCATCTGCATACCTTGAAAATATTGCTAAACCACGGGTATGACGTGTCATTGGCAAATTCTCACTCGCTTTGCCGGTGGCCGGACGGTAGAGATACAGACTGGCATGCCGAACCGATAGTCCCCGATCCTTTCTTTCTCGAGTTGATAGCGAGATGCGTCGAGACATATCCAGGCAAGTTTTGTTGGCTCTGCGTGTCTGAGAGATATTGATTTCGACGATTGATAGGTTTTGGCGAGACCACCTCACTCATGGCAGCGATTATGGCCAACGACAAGAATCAAATAGGCCAGCTGCTTCAGGAATCGTTCTCTCTTCTCGAGCGAAATTATCTCGGTCAGACTGCATTACACCTTGCCGTCATACGACCCAAGCTGCTCGCAAATCTCGTCGCGCGCTTTGACAACTTAGACGTGGACGAGCCAGCTCGCCACGGCGTTACTCCACTCATGTACGCCGCCACTTATGGCGAGGATGTCTCGGTGATCACACTGCTTCGCGCGGGTGCCGACCTGTGTAAGAGGGATGACTTGAACAAATGCAACTTTCTGGACTATGCTCTCGGAAGGGAAAACTGGAACGTGCTTGACAGAACTATCCAGGACTGTAAGCTGCTCTACTCTCCTAGCAGGTCCCAGTCGATCGTGGATTACGTTACTGTTAGGCTCTTGAGGGACTTTCGCCCTCTTGACCGCGGAACCCATCTCCGAAGACTTCTCTCATTAGGCGCCGATCCCAACGTGACATGTCCAGACGGTTCAACGCTGCTGCATCATGTCTGGGACAGTGACGAGGCAGAAGCACTCTTTGAAGCGGGGTACCGGCGTATAAATGATCCTGACGAGGGAGGAGTTCGCCCCTTGATGAAGTTGGTGCGGCATTCCTGCCTTGTCCTTGTTCAAAAATGCCTAGAAAGAGGGGCGTCAGTGTCGGACCAGGATGACCGAGGGTGGACAGTGCTACATTATGCGGTCCAAGTACTACGGTGCAAGCTCCTATATCCACACCGTCACCAGCTGTATCTGAAGAGACAAGGCGAGCTGGCGATGTCGTTGCCGTCATTCGGCTGCTGCTCAGGCATGGAGCGGATCCTCGAGCCCCAGATTATTGTCCGTGTGCTTGCTCTCAAGCCGGATGTACACCAACCACAGTTCTTCTGGGAAAGGGTGGATCCATCTCTACGGAGCACCATGGAAATATATGGACGCTGGAATGGCTCCAAGTCATATCTGAAACGGTCTCGAAAAGGGTTTGCAGGGGGGTCTTGGTGGAGATGGTTCGTGCCATGCGTTTCACGTTAACTGAACTTGTTCATGTTTGCTGTCAAAGAAGTCGTTATTCCCGAGTGGAAGATGATGACATTAACAATATTCTAGACGAGCAAAGCGTCGAAATACAGGAGCTGGACGAGTCTTTGGAGATCCTCGCTACAAGTGAGATATCAGACTATACGAAGTCATGGATTCAAGAATTCGCACAATACGTCACTGAACACAAAACACGGCCTTCTGGAGTACAAGCCTTTGATGCCGCTGGCTCCGTTGCTGACACAGCTTTTCAGATCGCTCCGCGGCATTCGCTTCGTTATATTGTGGATACAAAACGGGACGAATTTCGCGTCGAGCCCCATTCAAATTGGAGATGGGACACTCCGGACATGACCAGGCGCGTCGACATACAGGCATACCTAGACTGGGTCGCCTACTGCTATGATCACAGAGCGGAATTTGCTCAATGTTCGGAGATGGATGAAGAATGGCGGGCGAAAAGGATACAGTTTGCGCTCCGCCTGCGGCAAGTGCTTGAAGAAGGTTGCTTGGAAGAAGCCAAGGGGGCTGCGCATCGCTGAAAAGGGAAAGCAATGTACTCACAATCATCGAAACTCCTGGAATGAAGGATGAAGGTTCAATTGAGTAAGAAGGTATACGTGGTCCCAACGCTTTCCGGCTGGAAAGGTCCTTCCGAGAGTTTGGGCTTTGACATTTGAGATCCCGACCATAACTATTCACTTGGTCTGAAAGGTCCCCTTGGTGCGAATGCCTTTGTAATGCTAGTTGTTGCGAAGGTTGTGAATCACGTCCAGAGGTTGCCTTCCTTGTCCTCATCGATATCAAAATCACTAGAGTCTGAAAGACCCCACCACGATCCTACCCTGTCAGAGCGCCCAAAAAGACTTGTTTTACGAGTAATGCACATTTGGCATCTTTCTCGCATCATGTTTGAGAAGTCTGACCCTCTCATATCTTGCGCACCGTTGTCAGGATTAGAATACGATCTCAAATACTCCATGGATTTTCGGGTATATATGCAGGGTGGGGGCATGCGGAGGCTCGTCAGCACCGACTGACGTTGACAAACACGGTGCTTGCCGAGGCAGCTGTTTTGGATTACTGATTCACCTCATTCTTCCAATCCATACCGAGCACACCCATTGAACAAACTGATTAGAAGTTGCAACGCATCCGGCAAGGAGGGTTGAGAATGTAGACATCATCCCACATCTTCCCTTTATCTCGTCGAGAGACGACATCTTCCACTGCCAGAAATATGTGTTGAGCATCTCACGACTCGGCAGAAGTACTAAAAGTCGGCAAATAAGACAGACTCCAAATCACACAAGTCTGCTCGATCAGATTATCCAGATCCATAACTAGGTTTCTCCCTCAAACGACCAAAATGTCTCATAACACCAAAAACAAACCCGTTATCGCTGTGGTCGGGGCTGGCCCAGGGATCGGCGAGGCCGTCGCCCGCCGCTTCGTTTCCGAAGGCTTCGTCGCCGCCCTTCTCGCCCGGACAGAGGACAAACTACAAACCATGGTATCCGGCATCGAATCTGATCACGGTCCCGGTACGTCGCGGTATTACATTACAGACCTAGGGGACGAATCAGCCGTGATCTCCAGCTTCAAACGGATCCGGTCCGAACTAGGCCCCGTTAACGTGCTCGTGTACAATGCCGGGGCACGGCGCGTCAATGGGCGGTCCATCATCGACACCAGCAGCGAAGAGTTCGAAAGCTTTACAAAGATCAACCTCTTCGGTGCCTTCTGGTCGACGAAGTGCGTGCTGCCGGACATGCTCGCCGCGGGAAAGGGGACTATCATCTACACGGGCGCAACGGGCAGTCTACGCGGCAGCCCGGGCCTGAGCAGCTTCTCGCCGGGCAAATTTGGGCTCAGAAGTCTTGCGCAGATCGTCACGCGCGAATACCAGGAGCGAGGGATACATGCTGGGCATATCATCGTCGACACGCCCGTGGATGGGAAGTTGATTGGGGGTTGGTCGAGACGGAAGTGGGCACGCGAAGGAGAGGGTGAGAAGCTAGACGATGTTGATGCGCATTTGTCGGCGCCCGCGGATTTAGCGCAGATTTACTGGTTCTTGCATACGCAGCCGAGGAGCGCGTGGACGCAGGAGTTGGATGTGAGGGCGCAAAAGGTTAGTATGTTCTCGAAATTGTAGGATCGTGAGTGACTACGATGGGGAATGGGAAGTTGTGCATATAAGTTTGCGGGTAGGATTGCAAGCGAAGGGCATTGAAATAGTGCAACATGTACAATGGCCGAAAGTATTGGACTCATGGTCTCGGCCTTGGGTTTGCGAGTGTACGTTATAAACTCCTCGAGCGTATCTCCTCGGTGTCCCTATCCATCGGCTACACCGCCAGCTGCGAGGTAGCCACGGGATAGATACGGCTTCTTTACGGACGCTCGCAAGCAAGCAGTGCTGTCCCGTAGTTTAGAGCTTAGACCTGCCCGACCCCTGGGGCTTACTCTTGACCAAGGATCTGGTCCCAGGAGATTGGATTCCCCAGAACTGTAATATTCGGGAATACGTACGAGAGGTGTAGGGGAAGTGTTGCGATGGATTGGAGAATAGGATAATATTGATGATTAGTCGTGATATCAACCTCGGTCCGGAGTAGCTGAGCTTGATTTGTTCCTTCCGACCATGATCTTCGTGTTGTGGGGGGCATTCTCGGCTTGTTGTGCTGAGCTGACACCCTGATAAGCAATAAATAAACTACCTCCAGACTTCCCAGTCACCATGATAACTGCCTCGGTCTCAAACACCAAGTATCTTACCACAACCTGCAAGATATCATCAAGGAAAAGCAAGGCTCAAGAACGACGTCTGAGATCGATAAACCCGCAGCGATGGGGCGTTCACAGGGAGGGAAACTCAAAATATACGTCGACTGTGGTGAGTTCGTTGCCGGCCATACCACGATACAAAGATATCCTGTCGAGATACTTACTGTTTCCAAGTATCGCCTTATTCCTGGTTCGGTTTCACAAATGCCATCAAATATCGGCCACTTCTGAACGCTTATGGTGTTTCGGTAGAGATAATCCCCTTCTTCTTGGGAGGCGCTCGGGACGGTATAGGCAATCCGTGGACGCCGACGCCCACGTGGAAAGAAACGTTCGCAAAGCAAGACTCGCACATGACGGGAGAGTTGTTGGGGTTGAAAGTCGTGACACCCAAGGTCTTTCCTATCTTGTCACTCTTCGTAAGTTGTTCTGGTGCCCCAGGTGTTGTGCAAGCTCCCGTCTGATCTGGTCACCCACAGCCGGTCCGAGTTGCAACTTATGTCAAAGACCATTACCCTGCTGAGAAGTTTGAGGCCACGTTTCCGGCGTTCAGCTCCGCCTTCTGGAGTAAAGGCATCAACATCTCAACGCCAGAAGGTGTGCTCGAAGCCTTGAAAGGCATATTTCCAGACGATGAAATCAAAGATATCATGAAGAAGGCGTTATCGCCTGAGAACAAGAAAAAAGTCGTCGATGTTACGATGAGTGCTGGAGCCTTTGGAGCTCCGTGGATAGTGGCCATCAACTCGAACGGGGAGAAGAAGGACTGGTTTGGCAACGATCGCTGGGATCAAGTTTTCTATCACCTTCAGGTGCCGTTTACTCCGGTCAGCATAATACCTCCAAAGGAAGCGAAAGCAAAATTGTAGGGGGATTTCCGATGACGAGGATGTGACATGCATGATAGAGTGTGCGGGTCGCGTCGGCTGTTAAGAGGAACCCATCACTGGTGCACTTACGACCTTCCTTCATTGCTCCTAACAAACACCTCCTGCAAAGCAAAGTCGCACATCCTTCTTTGTGGCAGTGTCACAACATGGCTCACGATATCATTGTGACAAGAGCGTAATGGGCTATTGGAACAAGAAGACATCCACGGGTTGACGACGCCGGCAAGAAAGGAAGCCCAAGACGCCCTATGGAACGGCTTGGCAGCAAAGACATCAAAATGGTTGTGCAGCCAAAGATTGAGACTGAAGAGTGTGAGAGCAATGGAAGCCTTCCAAGCTGTGAAGCAAGTGTCCTGAGGATTGTGGATGGCGGCCTGTCGACGCAAGTGAGATCCGACGACCTCGTCATTTGGAAATATCATCTTCATGCGACGACTCATTCTCTCCTCTACAGACCTGGTCAATCCGGCTTCCGCACCTACCAGCTACCCTTTATGAGGGTTCTTGTCTGGTGTATGTTTATATATTAAGGGATTCACACGGTTTGTCCTGCGTGCAACGGCCAATATACACCACTGACAGCCTTGTCGACAGACTAGACCTGTTCTGAGCCGCTTCAAACGACACCGTCGCGTCTCGTCGTTTCAATATGGCGACGACATCATCAGCGACCGAACAGCCTCACTGCGGGCTCAGCAATGAGAACCAGGAAAATGTGGCAGCACCAGAACGACATAATCAAAGGCTCGGCGAGAAAAATGAAACCCACGATGGCCTCACAGCTGCACCATATCCTGTCACTCCTCCTCGACAGACTCTTTCTTCAGCGACAGCAACACCTGGACTACGCTCTTCGAGCTCGGAAAGCACAATGAGGAACTCGAGACAATCAACCTCTCCGCCGCAAGGCATCATCTTGGTTGAAACAACCTACACTGTCGAAGAGCTACCCGCCGACATGAATCCAACAGCAAGCCAAATGACTCTGTATGGCGACTCGACTCCCTTTTACGAGGTTACTGTAACTGCTGCGTCGAATTTGGCCCGGCAGCTGTTCGAAACGACCCCGTTGGACGGTCCAGCCGGCAACGAGCGCGAGCCTAAAACTCGACCAACCAAGAGATGGATGTACGCTGGCATAGTCCTGGCTTTGATGAATTTGGTGACTATCGGAATTGACACCATGGTTGCAGTCTGGATGCCAAATATGCTCTTCGACTGGGACGTCGTCGGCTTCGAGTGGGCTTTCGCTGGTCCTGCCATTGGCGCGTCTGCAACCATCCTCCTCGCCGGTCAACTCTACGCTGTCTTCCCGTTCAAAGTCATCTACCTCCTTTCGGCATTCCTCGTCCTTGCTGGAACAATCTCAGCCGGCTTCGCCCAACACATGGCGTTTCTGTTCTGGACACGGATCCTCGTCGGCGTCGGAATAGGTGGTCAACAACTTGGCACAATGGTGTTCCTCGAACGAAAAAACACATTCATGGACAAGATCCGTCGAGACTTCTTTCTCACAATCAGCACAACACTCGGCATGATACTCGGACCCATCTTTGGGGCAATCTTCGCTCATCGCCAAAGATTTTACGCTTGGGGCTTCTACGCGGCGTTCATCATCGGAATCGTCCTCTTCCTCATACTGGCATACCTTCTTCCCAACAAACTTGACGTCGTCGGGACAGGACAATGGAGGTGCGGAAACACAATGGTCTGGCGAAACCCACTGCTGCGCGTCGACGTTTTGGGCTGTAGTCTCAGCTTCATCGGCATCATGTTGCTCTTTATCGCATTCAACTTCGCAGGCACAGTCACACTCTGGTCCAACAAGAACTTGTACATCACCATCGGCATCGGCGTAGCGTTCGTCTTCCTCCTAGTGTTGCAACAATCCCTGCAGGTCTTGTCGTCGCCCTCGACCAACGTCTTCCCAACACACTACCTGCGCAGTTTGAAGACCACAGCGCTCTTCATGACCGTCTTTCTCACATCCGGGATTGTCCAGACCGTCTTGCCATACACGGCACTGTACCAGCTCGTCACGCGCTCTGGCCCGTCGGCGCTTTCCACGGCATTCTACCTCTTCTTCAGCATGACGGCGCCAATCTTCATTCCGATACTGGTCATCCACGTCCATCTCGGCGGCGGCATGATCTCCAAGTATGCCGTCTGGCCCAGCTACGCGCTCTGGACACTGATCTCGTCCGTCTTCATCCTCACCGGGACGATCCTGCTGTTCATCAACACACCGAACCTCATCCCCACCTCCACAGGAGGCATTCCAACAGTCGCTCGAGAATTCGCGCTTGCCTGCATCGGTTTCTGGTCCTCCGTCATCCTGCCGATCGCGCATCAGATCATGGACATCTACCAGCCTCTTGCGGGGCAGACACACCCATACCACAACCGCGCCTTTGTGCTGTTCGCGTTCTGGCTCGGCGCGGCCGTCGCCTTGACCGCCACAGGCTCGATCTTCATGCAAGAAGGCACGCGTGCGCTCCTCCCACTTGTGCTCGGTCCGAAATGTGAACTCAAAGACTTTTGCGAGGAAGACGCGCGCATTCTGATGCTGGGATACACGTTCGTCAAAAGCCACACGGATGAGATCTTCCTGCCCAGCATCGCGGTTCTGGAGAATACCTTTGCGCTGGCCTTCGCGCCGCAATTGCTCTTCGCGGTCGTCTTGTTTCTTCTTGCTGCGGGTATGATGGCCAAGAAGCTGCGCGCTGGCGGGCTGGGTGCCGTGCCGAAGGAGTGGACGGTGCAGGACGAGAGCGCTGGTCAGGACATTGAGCTGACCGAGCAAGGAGGCCGTGGCGCTGCTGGAGGCGAGAGGCAGGAGGCGGAGGCCTGGCCTTTGACGGCCTAGACGTGGTCTTTCTTTTCCCGCGCGGTGCGGTGTAGATAGCACCATAAAATAACGCAAATGAAATTGCACAAAATTGACGTTTCCCTTTCCCCGTTTTCCCTTGTGCTTTTACAGCTATGACGCCCGCCCTGTGCAAAGGGTACAGAGACCACCGGTTGTAGCTAGGGTGTTCCCTGTGGGTAAGAGGATAGATATGTCTGACGTCGGCCACGACGATATGGTGGTGTTGGGAAAGAGGGTCGTTTATATATCTGGCGTTCGACCAGACACTATCGGGCTTTCGAGAAGAGCACTATAGGACACACCTGACGTCCGAGATAGCGATTATATCTTCTTCTTCAGAAGATACGATTTGGTGTTTGGGTGTCCTGTATCGCAAATAGAACGTTCTCAACATATAGAGCTGGCGGATCCCTAGGAGGTAGAAAGTGACTTTTCTTCAGAAGTAGGGACTTGTCACCTGCCAGACGCCAGCTACACAGCGGTCTATAGGTCTAGCGTGCACCTTATGCTCAAGAGGTATCATATCATGTCCATTTATGCAGCCTGTATTCTATGGTATCTCGGTATATTCTTCGTGCGCTCAATGTTTATCAAACGTACTCCTTATTGCCCAACCTTGCCAGCGCCACGCTTGTTTCAGATGCGCTTTCCCAATTCCCACATCAATCAACATCATCGTCATCATTAGGTACATCTTGATCCGCATCTTTGAAGTCGTTCGGACCGTGTCCATCCACGTTCGCCGCGCCCTGTTCCCTCTTTACCCGCTCCAATTCCTCGCCGAACAGCAACGTGAACAATACAACCGCGTAGATCTCGTCGGTAGCCTTGTTCTTCAAGGTATACCGGAGCTCATGAGTCCTCGAGTCGACGTATTTGATCACGTTCAAGCTGAACCCTGGCAGTTTCAGAGAAAAGTCGTTGAAGTCGAGATAGGGGTTCCCAAAGTCGGACTGGTACAGCCGTCCAGCTTCGAAGACGAAAGCATCTCGGTTCGACGGGGTCAGGAAGTACTTCTTTCGCGCTGCCGAATCGGCTGGTATTCCTGACTCTTTTCGAACTTCTTCGCCCGAGCCTTCGCCTCCCTCCTCGACGACCGTCTCGTGAAAGGATGTTGCATCCGGTACTTTCCACGCAGACTTGCCTTGTGAGTTATCTTGTTCCACGACCTTGTCTCCTATCCGCAGAATGTTCCAACTGCTCAGTGCAGGGCCGAAAAGGTATGGCTTTTCCGCGTAGACGTCTCCATCTAAACCCGGGTCGATCCACCACTTGACGATCTTGAGTGCCTGGTTGAATCCCGGAGGTAGTCTGTCCCGTATAGGTCGGTCAAAGTCATTGCCAAAGACGAGGTCGCTGCCTGGTATAGCCACTTTCGGTACGAAGGAGAAAGATATGGAGTACTGGTCGGCCTTGTGCAGGGCATGGTCAAAGTAGGGAGATGTAACTGGCGAGTCATTCGGATAGCCCGTAAAATGTCGTATCCGGACGGCAAGAGATAGACTCATATGTGCATTCTCAAAGGTAAGTGTTTCCGAGGCATTGACAGGGACGAGCTTGTGTGTTGATGGGTCGTGTGCTGGGCCTGCGGTCACGCGCAACCGGTACTGGGTGTGATCGGGGGGTTGTTGAGCTTCGTCGGTCGACGACGCGGATGAGGGTGTTGAAGACATGGTCTATGAGGGTTTGGAAAAGTACGAGTAAGGAAGAGCAGGAAATAGAGATGGATGGCTACAGGGGGAATTTCCTTTGCCTGCGGAATCGCCGTCTCAAAAAAAGTTCGCCGTCACAAACACCCAATGACATCACACTGGGATGTACGAAAACTGTGCTAAGTCATAGTGCGGATGATCATCCCAACATCATCCATTCACAGAAGTGAGGCTTCATATAATTTATTGCGATTTGCATTCTACTACGACAGCCACCATACGGATAAGTCATGCCTTCATCGGTTCATGGTCACAGTGGATGATAGGTGACTGAGAGAGGAGGCTATGATATACCTACTCATTGTGCCTGCTTCGCCTCACCCACACCAGACACGAAAACAACAGCAAGTGCAAAACTGCCTGGATAACCAACATGAGCCAGAGCCAGCAAGCCAGCAGAGCCTTCTCCGGATTGAATGTCGTCTCGATGGCACCTTTGCGGTTTTCACTGATGGTGTACTCTCGTACGAACACGGTTTGAGGCAGACTCCGATCATTGATTTTCATGAAGAAAGGACAAAATGGACCAGGAAGCTACGACTGCCCGCCAGATGACGAAGGCAGAGGCACTGCCATCATATGTCGACTAGTTTGTGGCATCCTCGAAAACTGATGGGCCGGATTGAAGCAGCGGCGTCGTCGGGGAAGTGGTTGTAGCTGAGGCTATATCGCATCAAGCAATGACAATGCCACAATCCCCACAAAAGGCTAAGGTGAGTTCTTCCAAGGCAGACAATCCACAGAAGTCCGTTTTCCCGACAGGCAGTGAAGCCCAATGGATTCTGAGATTGAAGCTCAAGGCGAAACGCGACTTCACGCGTCGGGCTTGGCATCGAGTTAAGTGCGTGAGTGGCCTACTATGGTACTAAACTGCTTCAGGAAGTCTGTTTTTTGTTTACTTATCACAACGGCCTGCAACTTGGCCTTCCTGCTTCAACTGCCTTATGTGTATCTTTTTAGAGTACGCCATCTTTAGACCTTCATCAATCTATCTCTCCGCTTCATGACAGACGACATCCCAAGAACCAAGATGGAGACCCGCGGCTCAAAGCGTAAGAGTTCGGCCATTTCTCCAGCTAAGCCAGGAACAAATACTTCCCACTTCCAAACAACGACCCCTTCCAAGAAGAGACAGCAGAAGAGACTTCGCTTTTCGGACTCATTACTACTTGAAGGGTCTACTGGTCTGACTCCTGCTGTCGGCAAGGCTTCGCTGAAGACACCCAAGCCAAGACGGGCATCGACACCAGCAATCACAAGACATGAAGACCATGATGAGATCCAGTTCACTCCGCTGCGGCAAGCTCTTACACCCAGAACCATTCGCCAAATCAAAAGACATGGCTTGAGCGACGAGATGAACCAGATCTATGCGGATCAGAAAGCCTACAAAGCGTTGATGCGGGAAAACGAGAAGCTCAAGGCAGCGCTACTCGAGGCACAGCAACGAGGTGCTCTTCCTGCAGACTTGTCATCCAGTCAGAGCCGAATTGATGAGGTGCAAGCCAAAATCGAGCAACTACAACAAAGCTTCAGCAGTGCCAGTCAAGAGACCAGCTCTCTCGGAGTCGATGGCGATGATGCCGGGTTTCAGATCTACGAGGATGACGCCGCTGCAGACGAATTCCCTGCTTCTGATGGCCTTGACACTCTCCTCGTGGGGTCGGAATTGGAATATGCTCGTCAAGCTAAGCAGAGTCTCTTCCGTTCAAGTCAAGGTCCATCATCCAGCATTATACATTTTGAAGACTCCCCTGTTCGCCTAAGCAATAGACACAATCAGACACCGTCGCCACCTCAACACTACGAACTTCTTTCCAAACAACTGCAAGCCGCGACGAACCGAGCAGAGGAAGCCGAGGTCGCATTGAAGGCACTGGATCTGGAAATTCAGAGCTTGGGCTTTCCTGCTAATAGCGACGATGCCAACGATTGCATCTGGAGCATTAAGAACCATTTCCGCGAGATGCGAATCGAGCTGGAGAAACTGGTTCCAGGTGAGACAGTCAGCTCATTCGACAATGCCAGACTTCTGCCGGAAATTTTGGCCAAGCTCAAGATGGTGGCGGAGCGCGCACGGGACCGGGAAGCCGAGCTGAAATCAATGCGTGAACAACAGCGTTGTCTCAAGGGCAACTTTGATCACGCAATTGTCGCAGCTGAGAAGGCGAACAGCCGTGTCAAAGAACTGGAAGAAGCAATCGACACCAATGCCGAAGAAATGCTTGAAATCCGAATGAGAGCACAAGCTTGGGAAAAAGAGTCAAAGGAGCACGAAGAGAACAATCAGTCATTGATCGCCGCCATCAAGAAATACCGAGCAGAAGTCACGAAGTTGGAAGAATTGGTTACTTTGATCGAACAAGAACAGGCAGCGAGACTCCAGGAGGTCCGAACCGCGACAGCAACCGAATTTTCTCAAAAATTGTCTGATATGGATGCCAAAGTGGCTGCTGAAACCCGAGGCAGACAAGCCGCCGAAGAATCGGCCGTCGATCGACTGAGAAAGATCAATGAGCTTGAGTCCTCCCTTTCGACGGCACGACAACAAGCGGATGAGCAACTGGCCCGACTTGAGGAGCAACTCCATAATTCCAAGCGTTCTCATGCAGAACAGCTCGCTGCAACCAACCACGCGCATGAAGAAGAAGTCGGTGGATTCAACTCGAGAATCGCCGGTCTTTCTACAGCTTTGGCCTCGGCCAACGCCGAAATCGCGAAGCTCAAGAAATTCAACTCCAAACTGGGGGACCGATACCGTGCAGAGATCAGCCATGCATCTCGAGCCGTCGATCGCATGAACACCGAATTCATCCGCGCCGTCACCAAATTTAGCGAGGAGAGAAAGGGGTACGTCCGCGGCGCGACAATGCGACACGCCAATTGGGAAATCGAGAGTGACGATCTTGTTTCTGACCCCATCCTGCCAATGACGCCGGCTAGCGTGGTACGATTTTCGAGTCCGGAGTACTACAACGACGATGCCCACGTCCCTCTGCCTGCCAGTGTTCGAGTCTCCAGAGGCGAGAGTCGCAAGCGAGATGGTATTGTTCCAGGGCTGGGTATTATGAAGAAACCTCGTCGAAGCTATGACAGTGGCATCGGAATGGGTTCATTGAGCGAGGCCGATGAAGATGATATCTCGAATGACATTATGACGCCGGATATGAGTTCGGACGCCGATGTAGAGACTGAAAATGAGGGAAATGTCGAGATGATGGTATGATGGTATGTTGTGGCGTTTTCTTATCAAAAGGGGCTGGACCAACCGACTGGTATTTCTTTTTCTTGCTATGGATTCAGATTGGCATAGCGATTCGTGGACAGTTGTGGAACTACACAGATTTCTCCTTTGTTACATCTGGGCACAGGTTCGGACTTGGATTGCATTTGGCGTGGTGTTTTGGTTTATACATGTTGGCAATTTGCCGGCTACATCATCTTGACAGTTTCTACGTCCTGAATGAGACTCACTAGAACATGATCGATTGTGCCTTTGCTCTTATTTTGGAGCGGTAAACTGTACATGGACCTTTTTCTATCCGTTCTACATATCAGAGTATCTTGCTCTCTGCCTTTTTCCCGGCCGTTTGCAGCCAATCTAGCCAGCTGCGGCCTTTCCTCCAGGTTGCGGTTGACCTTGAACTTTCATAATGGGTCCATCTTCCATTTTGTCCGCTCCATCTGACGAGTCAGCCCTAAACACCGGGCGGTGACCATCTACAACTTCTTCAAAATATCCTGCAACACCTCCTCGGTCGACGCTTTGCCGCCGAGATCCGGACTCACGAACCGTCCCTCGCCCAAATTCTTATCGACGGCGTTGTAAACGACATTCGCGGCCTCGGGCAGATCCAAAAACTCCAGCATGACACCGACACTTCTAATGGTGGCGATTGGGTTGGCAATGCCCTTGCCCTCGATGTCTGGCGCGGACCCGTGACATGGCTCACCGATGACAATGCCCTCGCCCACATTGGCACTGGGCACAAGTCCCAAAGAGCCCACGAGCGCGGCGGCGCCGTCACTGAGCAGGTCGCCGTATAGGTTCGGCGCGACGATGACGTCGTAGTACTGCGGCTGGAGGAAGAGCTTGTACACCATGCTGTCGACGATTTGTTCTTCGATCGTGAGGCTGGAGAACTGAGGCTGGCTGAGAGCTTCGCGTGCCGTGCTCCGGAAGAGACCGTCCGTTTGGCTGAGGACGTTGGATTTGTGCGTGATTGTGACCATGGCTTTCTTGTCGTCGGACGATTGTCGCATCTTTTGACGTCGCGAGGCAATCTCGCCCGCGATGTTGGCGATGCGCCACGACGCCTTGGAGCTGATGCGCTTGATTGCTTCCGCGATCTGGCCCTCACCACTAGGGTCTGGGTACGTCTTCTCCTCCTTCACATAGAGGTCCTCGGTGTTCTCGCGGACGATGACCAAGTCGATAGGGTGCGGGGTGGGCGAGGAGAAGGCCGGAGATGCCGTGGTCTTGCAAGGCCGCACGTTGGCGTATAGGGAGAGTTTCTTGCGCAGAGCGACGATCGGGGACGTGTAGCCTTCGACTTTTGTCGTCGGCGAGCTGACGGCACCGAACAGAGCTCCGTCACATTCTTTCTGTAGCGTTTCGACCGTCTTGTCGGGAAGGGCGCTGCCAGTGCGCTTGAAGCAGTCGAAGCCCGCGTCCAGATCGACGAAGGAGAATTTCAAGCCGAGGGAAGAAGGGAGGGACTCGAGGATGCGTTTGCCGGCGGGGATGACTTCGCGGCCGATGCCGTCACCTGGGATGAGGCCTATCCTTAGAGTTCGAGCCGCCATGTTTGTTGTTTGTCGCGCAAAGGTGCTGTGTAGTAAAGCAAAGTCGCGTGCGAACATACGCAGTTAAACGCATTGGAGAAAAATATTCTGGACGCAAGGCTGAGCTCCGCCTCCGCAATCGGAGCCTTGCTGTGGGATTGGATTACACGAGGCTGAGGAACACTAGGAGTAGGAATACATTCCGTTTAGCGAATCTTTGCAGGGTCAAGCAGGGTCAACGCTTCTCCTCTGCCAGACTCCCTGAAGTGTTCTTTGTCATTACAGTCGTCACATCATAGCGTACACTGTCCAAATATCCCATCGCCAACATCGCCCAGAGCGCAACAGACGCAAAGGACGCCAATCCTACCAAGCATTTCTCTCTTACAGACATAGCGCCATACTTTCTAAATGCGCATTGAAAGACTTGATCTTTTCCAAAAGTCCGCCATGAGCAGAAGCACTGCTGAGCTCGTCCGTGACGCCGCGAAGCAGATATTCTGTCCCCTCGTGTTCCACGGGCCCTGCTTGGTCCCACTCGAGTTCTGCGCGCCTGGCAGCCTCGCTTAGTTGCCATTTCTGCCTGGCCTCCGCCTCGTTCTCCCAATTGTTTCTGCGTACGGCGTCGCATCTCAGAGCAATCCTCTCCCGCTCTTTCCGAATTTCAATCCATTCAGCCTGCAACGCTGCCTTTTCTCTTTTGCTCTTTCGCACTCTTGCTTCTAGGTCGATTCGGTTTTCCACGGCCTCGGACATTTCAAACAGCTCGTCATCCAGGTCATGCCCAAATGCTTCCAGAGCACTTCGCTTGTTCTTCAGTGCTGCACGTCCCGAAGGCTGGTCTGTGGCAGTTATGCGTTCGATCATATTCGCTATTGTTTCTCGACAGATTTGGGCCAAGACATCCACTGCATTTGGCCGGCCGCGGTCAGTTCCTAGGGTTACAGCACTGTCTCGTTCGTCGTCGGACTGTTCTTCGACCTCTTCTTCATGAATTGTAGGTAACCTCGCGACGTTGGTCAGTCTATGGGTCAGAATGGGGAACGTGGCCTTTGCTTTCTTGTTTTGAGAAGCTCTATCATCTCCAGCCTGAGCACTTTGGCGCCTCTCGTTTCTGCGGCTTCTCTTTGGAATGGCAGGCGTTTCGGGCTCCGGTGAACTTTCTGGGGCGTAAGTCTGATCTTCCTCCTCTTCAGTTTCCAGAGGCGATCGCTTACGGTACGAAGCTGGAGTCGCTTCTCCGCTAGCCAGACTCAGTCTCTTTTGGCGATGCTTGCCGACCACCTCAGGCTCCACAGACGTCGTTGGTGCTGATTGCAGGACAGATGACGGAGTTCTTGACGGCACATCAGTAGCAAGGCTTCGCTCTCGTGTATTGGCACGCTCGCTGGTTGACGAGCGCCTCTTCTTGCGACCCAGATTGACAGACTTTCGTTTCCGTCTGGTCTTTTTCGGGTGGAGCACAAAATCATTGATGGCGTCTTCTGAGACTTCTCGAAATGACCCTTGGGTTGACTTTCTTGCGTTGCTAAGCTTCCTTGAACGTTCCTGTCCAGTACTGGCATCCAAGATTTCTTCCAAATCGAGGTTGGTCTCTGCGGGCCCGCCGAACCCGCTGTCTCCTTGTTTGGCAGCCTTAGGACCGGCGTCATTCTCAGCATGCTCGACAAGGGCGGCGCCTTCAGGAGCCTCAATACTTCGCACGGCTTGCTCAGCACGGTCAATGCTAGCACTATCTCCGCCATCTCCATCGGCCGCAATACGTGCAATATGCGCTTCCTCTTCCAGTAGTAGAGACGACCTTGTCCTTCTGCGGGTACTTCTCGTGTCGTTCGTGTCCTGTGCCTTTGCAGGACTCGCATTGCCTGGCGCACTGTTCTCCTTGCCGAAGCTGTCTTGCTGGACGAAGAGTGGCGAATCATCCAGTAGTCTGGGTGTGACGAGTCCTTCGGTCTGAATCTGCTGAGATTCCTGTGCTTCTCCATCTTCCGCAATCGTAAATATACTGCTACGAGGTTTCCTCCGTGTCGCTGAGCGTGTGGATCTCAACGTCGGTGTTGCAAACCCGACCTCTTGGCTGGGTGTTTCTGCTGTATGTGACAGTCGCCTCCTCTTGGTCGAGCGCCCACTCTGCTCGCTCGCGGTCTCGTGCTGTTCTTCCGGTCTGACAGACGTCTGCCTGATTGACCGTGCTGTGGAAGGTTCACCACTCCTTCTGGCGGGCGTCCTGGAGGTGCGGCTGGAAGTTGGCCTCCGTTGCTGAGGCGTTCTCGTAATTGAGCGTCTCGATCGAGCTGAGCTGGGAAAAGACAGTCCGAAGTCTGCGCTTTCGATTTGGCGAGACCTAGAACACAATGAGCTGCAGTTCGTGTATTTAGAGAGAAATGACAAACGCGGCTCCTCTTTGTCGCATCTGCTGTCGCTCTTGCCTAGCATTGTTAAAGCCAAAGTCGAGTCCAAAATCAGCCTTTGCGACATTTCGAGCCCTAAATCCTATTAGCGATGGCTCAATATATTGGTTTGTACACAAACCCAGCGCCTCGCTGGCGCATAAGCGCCCGATCCTGTCTGTTGTTTGAAGCCATGCTTATACGACGGGACCATGTCTCTCAGATGAATGCAATTGTTTATATGATCTGTGGTTTATGATTGCTGTTTGCAGGTGTGTCGCGGCACGACACTAAGGTGGACGCGTCAAAATACGGTAGAGGACGCGATGGGCCGCCAGTTAAGTTAGTTGGCGACAGTGACAGGGATGTGCTGCTGCCGACACCTATCATTGCATATCCGGCTTGGCGTCCAGCTGCGGAGAGAGAGTCCTCCAGATCTCTACTGTAATAGAGCATACTTTCTGAAGATAACCATGATCGAAACTTTGCCAAAGGCATCATGACCGACTCCGAGTGTCGCTGTTAGCCCGAGAGTACATACGACAAGGCTTGGTGAGATGGGTTGGTTCTGGGGTTGGGGAGGGAAAAATAATCAAAATGATCCCGCAAAATCACTGGACAACGATTTAAAGCAATTCCTGGACGAACAGCAACCGAGACCGTACGTCCCTGCGGAAGCACCAAAGGCTCCGGAGACACCAGCCCCTAAACCTCCCGAGCAAACACTTCCAGACACGAACAAGTCTTTCGAAGATAGAGCTTTGCCGAAAGAGTCGCTTTTTCAAGATGGACGTTACCGAGACCTTTGGAAAACCTACGTTCCCCAAAATGAAATGGCAGTAGCTACTACCACCCCAGTCGAAAGAGTCCTGGCGGCAAGGAAAGACAGAAGACAAACAATCCATAAAGCTGCGCTGGAAAACTGCGCCTTCGAGGAAGAAATACAGCAGCAATGCTTTAAAACGGGTGACTTGACCAAAAGACTCAAGGGCAGAATGACTATGTGTCACGAGGAAACGAAGGCTTTCAATCGATGCTACACACTGCAGGCCAAATTTTTGCAAGCTTTGGGATACATGACGAGCTCAACAACTTCAGACGAGGACGAGGAGAAGATCCAGATGCATGCTGATAAGCTGTATCACCGAATGATGGATTACGAGGCAGAAGTCGATGAAGCAAAGCGGGACAACCGACCGATCCCACCTTTGTCGTCCCTCTTCAATCCCAAACGACCGGCGCCAACTCTCGAGCAGATGGCCTTGCCAAAACCGATGGAGGAGAAATTGAAGAAACCCCTAAGCGACTATCCGCCTCATGAACGGGAGTTGATGGCTAGGGCTGCCTTGCAAGAAGCCAAGTTAACCGACTTGTATGCTGAAGATTTGTTCAATTATACTGTTACCATGAATGAGGATCGAAAAGCTCGACAAGCCTGGTTAACGACGACGTTTGGTGAAGCCATTGGCAAGTTCTTGATTCCGGACCCCCCAAAGGACCCATCCATCAAGTCCTGGAGCATCGACCAACTGGAAAGGGATATCTGGCAAGAGGAGAAGAATGCTCCAGCATCCACGAAGAAAGGGGTTTCATCAGAGTCGCACCCAAAATGAGGCCACACGTTACTCCCCTACACAACATGTAACGGATTAGTCGACCACTATTGCTTTGACGACCCGCAGCAGAATCAGACTCGTCCCGTACTCTGACAAGCACCTCAAAGTAAGGGAGAGGAGCAGTGACAGCCCCAAGGAGATCAAATGATTGCTTGCCATTCACGATGGGCTCAGCTTCCGCAAAGCTGGGGCATAGTCTTTGGGCGAGCATGAAATGCGACCTGCGAGACCTGAGGACTCTACCTGATTTGATAGAGTCTCATGGGATCAGATGCGTCTCCCAAACCGTCGCGCATTGGTACGGTGCTCGAGTACACAGATCGTGCGTCTAGCGGGCAATGAAGATGGGCCAGCAGTTGCTACAATCATGGTGCCCCGACGACTTGCCTGAATCTTATGATGAAATCGCGAGAGGGTTCTTGCTGCGAGACAGCAGTTCGGACGTAGAAAATTGCCGATCAAGTGCAGCTCTACTGCTGAATTAGAGCTACACGAAGCAAGGCCCCTCGAAAGGCAATATCAGACTGGCCTCCGGAGCAGAATATTGGCTACATCCGCTTTTTGGTTACCTAGTTAGATTGCGTTGATTAGGCAGCGTGGTCTATAACCGGGAACGGGCATTGTTACACAAAGATTAAAGGTGAAAATGTACCGGGAATGCACGATCAATCTTGCTCACCTGCTTGAACAGTCATAGTTCCCTGCATGATGCCTGCAAGCCTTGAGTATCTGCCAGATGGCTAAGTGCGGAGTGCCCGACCTTTTGGCGGCCGCTAACCTCGTAATTCATGGTGCCTTCATCACTCACCTTCCAGATATGTTGAAGGAATGCGCGTAAGCAATCCACCTTGACGTCGGCACTCGATGCTGCAATCGTGCGCTTGCTTGGGCCGAAACCTTCTGCACCTCAAGATGTACAGCTATAAGACACTTGAAGAGCCTCTCAACCCTCATTGTTGGGGCGCATCGCTCTTACTGCACAAAAGGTGCGGGCCTGTCTAGATGCAGAGCCGCTTCGATCGACGTTTTCTGCCTACGCCTTTAGCAATAACACAAACTGCATCAACTTCTTGTTTGGTGTCGCACCTCAAGATTCATGTTGAGGCTCGAACTTGTCTCTACCGCTCTTCCTGACGGCATAAGCAGATTCTGCGCCCCTCTTTGCTCGAGGTTGACATCGAAACAGTGGCACTGCCCGATCCAATGTACGTCGACTCCGCTTGAATTTGGATATCGATAAGCATCGGCATCTCAAGCGAGGCACCCACCACATATTCAAGGCGGCCGTAGGTCGAACCCTCGGAGGAACAACCCTATGAAATTGGAGTCCTCCTAGCATACCTGGTATCATGGGCATGTTTAAACGCCATAGAGAGGCGTCCGAGGAGGACCAAGCGTTGCCGCCTCTCCCAGAGGATGCCGTCATGACCATTGATCAAGAAACACCTCTTCTTCGGCTACCCTCCGAAATACTCCATCTCATCTTCTGCTATCTGCCATGCCAGTCTTTGATATCCCTAGGCCGAACCTGTCGCCAATTACGTGCGCTTTCGCAGGAAGATATATTATGGGCGAACCTCCTACGGCCGAATATTCCTCTGAAAGACTACCCACATGATCCTTACCCATCCTCGTCATATCGCGACCTCTACATTACTCACCACCCATACTGGTTTCTGCCGCGCAATAAGATATGGATATCAGACGAACCACACACCGGGAGAGTCATGATAGTCAGGTTTGACCCTAGGCGAGGATGCATAGAGGGTTACCGGTTGTTGGCTGAACGAAGTCCGTCAACCGGGATCCTGTGGCCGTACACACCAAGTGTGGTTATTCACAACTTTCAACCCAGAGTTCACCTATGGCTAGATGACCCAATTCTTAAAATTCCGCATGACGTTCTCCCTTTCAATTCCCGGGAAGGATGGTGGAAAGCGGAGATCAGAATGACTCTGGGTTCCCAAGGTCACCATACATCAGCGTCTTTCTTCCTTAGTCGAAACATCCCGGAGCGCTTACAGAGCAAGAACATGGAACTTTGGCCTCCGCGCACGATTCCGAACATGCCTCGAGTCCGCTCAGCGAGCGTCGACAACTTTAACGGGTCAGGGCATAAGCCTCAGAAGTACGACGAGATATCGCAGACTACCTTCAGGATACGACAATGGCCTTTCTTTGGTGCTGGAAACGCGTATTTCGGCTTCAGCATAGGAGAAGAAGTGAGTACATGGAGTACATTGGACCCTTCGTTGTATACACCAACGCCGGAGAAGCCGTATCAAGGTATTTACGTGGGAGATTATGCTGGGCATGGATGCGAGTTCTTAGTCGTAATGCAAACAGAGAAGGCTCCGCCGCCGCCACCAAGGTTGGTCAGGAGTTCATACTTCCGAGCCATGATTGGACTTCGCAACGACGACGATCCGAGTGATGATGAGCTGGAAGATTCGGAATCTGCGCCAGGAGCCACAAGCAACAGCGCACATGAAGATGATGGCGTCCACCGCGGTGCGATCGAGGCGGTCAAATTAACCGGTGATCCGAATATTCCTCGTGGTGAACACACCTTCATTGCAGACGACATTGGACCTGCGGGTCTGATCAGGATTGCTGAAGAGCATCCGTTTCGAGGAGCGAGAGTGGTCAAGAGTCGGGGCCATGTTGCTGCGCGTGGATTTCTCAATGGTGAGTCCGGCAACGTGTTGGTCCATCAACACAGGCTGGTGCTGACATGTAACAGATGAATTTATCCCTTCTCAGCTGATCATGATCAATCATAATAAACTGGCTCAGTACTGGGTGCCTTTCGGTCATATTTCATTCTATGAGCGGGTTGATATCGATCAATTGATGGATGATACTTTCAGACCCGGTAATCGGGACTGATATGCGAGCAAAGACTGGCTTTATCCTCCGACCGTATCAGTACGCTGATCACACTGCAGATGGCACGACGACCGCCTTTTGTACAGCGTTGCGAAGACTAAGCGTGATATAGTGCGACATGTTATGTTATTTGTTTAGCGGATTCCGATACCCGACCACGCATCCAGACTGCATGAATGCCATGGTCAATCACAGATAGTTTAGAGCTGAGTTATGTCGCAAGGAAACCCCAACCACAACGCCTGCCGCGCATCCGTACCCTCCAATAACTCCTCGTTATGCAACGGATATATCTTAATCTGTAATCGCAAGCGTGGTAAAGCGCTACCCATTCCTTTCATCGTCTTCGCTCAAACCAGCCACTGCTTCCCATGATGGCTACCGATTGATCCATAACCCATTCGCCGACTCCGAGATATCGGTCAACCCAGGTTTGTATCTCTTTGCTCTCGCCAATGGAGGAGGCTTTGACACTGGATGGTCTGGTGGTTAGTTAGTCTGGATCGATACCCTCCGAGAGCGCGATGCCGCTGGCTACCGAGGACAAGAGACGTACGTGAGGCCGGTGCTCCTCTTGACTCCAGCAAGAAAGGCAGAAATGAGGACGGCGTCGAAAGCGTAGTGTGTCAGGCGACCTAGCTGTTTGGTTGTTTTCGGTCACCGAGAGGTTGCACAAAGCACTCCGGGGGTACTTACAACCATGGCGAAGACAATGTCGATATTCTTGTTCGATCACAGTGGTGGATGGTAGAGGCACAGGGTCATGCAAGAGTGAGGATGCTCTGCGTAGTCTTGTCTGGTCGCATGTGATGTTTTGTGCTGCAGCCGCAAGTTACGAATCGGCTGCAGGCGGCGCTTGTCGGGGAACAAAAGGGCGAGAGACCTTCGTCCGGAGCAAAGTTGATGCGTACCGATGGGTTTTGGTGCCTAGTGTGCCTGGCAAGGTCGACTACTAAAACACTTTATCTTATCGTAGCTCCCAGTTGAGTTAGACCCTGAACTGAGGGGTAACGAACGTTGCATGGGCCTGAAGTGCCTGAAGCACTCTCAAAATTCAATGGTTGCTCACCAAAAGCTGTGACAGCAAAAACAACCCCCACCTTGGATGCCACCCAGATGCTATGTTTTGGTTGAGAGCGTACCGTGCAACTCGTATTTTCCAATCGTTTATCCACTCCCCATCGCTTCGCTTCCCGGTGTTGCTGTCCGACTTTCCTGATTCGTTGCCTTCTTGATCGCAGACCCAGCTTGCCCGCTGCTTGGAACATTGTTCTGCGTCAAAGCACAGATAAGCGTGACGTGAGGGCTCCATTCAACTCGACATTTTTAATATTAGGAGATCTCAACAGTGCTAAATTCCTGCCCGGTGGTAATCTACACTGAGATCATTCTTCCCTTCGATCAAGATATCCCTTCCAGCAAAGAGAAGCGGCGAGTGCGTCTACCCGTGTCCGATGCTCCTTGCTTTATAGCCATTGGCAATATTTGCTGACGAGAATTTATTATTAGGCCTTCAGCGGACTTCCACCGCTACATTGCAAACATCTCCGCACCTACCGCTCCTTTCAGCTCAACCAGATACACAAGCCAGAAAAAGAGTAGACGTAGCAGACAAAATGGGTGACGCTCTGGATCATCTTGCCAATCGCACCAAGTTGGAATGGCAGTGTAATCTCAACATCAACTATGAGCCAAAGAAGAACCACCGCAGGACCAGCATCATCTGCACCATCGGTTCGTGAATAGGATGCACGGGTTGCAGGAGCATAGACGACTGACCGGCAATACCAGGCCCCAAAACCAACTCTGCTGAGAAGATTACTATGCTGAGAAAGGGTATGTGAGCAAGCATGACAAGCAAAACCCAGATGCACTGACTGAATGGCAGCTGGTCTTAATGTGGTCCGGATGAACTTCTCGCACGGCTCATATGAGGTATGTCCGCCCCATACACTGCGAGCCACTATACTGACAGCGATCTAGTACCATCAATCTGTCATTGACAACACCAGACAATCGGCCAAAGACTATGCCGGTCGTCCCGTTGCAATTGCCCTCGACACGGTTGGTTGACTTTTGCGGCTGAAGAGAGTGTTGGCTTACGAGGCACAATAGAAAGGACCTGAGATCCGAACGGGAAACACAGTCGGAGACAAAGACATCCCAATCAAGGCGGGCCTTGAATTGAACATCACCACTGACGACCAATATGCCACTGCCTGCGACGACAAGAATCTGTAGGAGCTCGAGGTTGGCGGTTTGACTCTAGCTGACCCGTCTATAGCTACGTTGACTACAAGAATATTACCCAGGTGATCGACACTGGCAAGCTAATCTACGTGGATGACGGAATCCAGTCGTTCGAAGTCATCAAGGTCGTCGACGACAAGACTCTGCGAGTGCGAGCACTCAACAATGGGCAGATCTCTTCCAGAAAAGGCGTCAACCTCCCGGGCACTGACGTTGACCTCCCAGCACTGTCCCAGAAAGACATAGCAGACTTGCAATTCGGTGTCAAGAACAAGGTCGACATGATCTTTGCTTCGTTCATTCGTCGAGGCGATGACATTAAGCACATCCGAAAGGTCCTTGGTGAAGAAGGCCGGGAGATTCAGATCATTGCAAAGATCGAGAACCAGCAGGGTATGAACAATTTCGACGAGATTCTTGAGGAGACCGACGGAGTCATGGTCGCACGTGGAGATCTGGGCATCGAAATCCCAGCTGCGAAAGTCTTCATCGCCCAGAAGATGATGATCGCCAAGTGCAACATGAAGGGCAAGCCTGTCATTTGTGCAACGCAAATGTTGGAATCCATGACCAACAACCCAAGACCAACTCGTGCTGAGGTTTCTGATGTTGCCAATGCCGTCCTTGACGGAGCTGACTGTGTTATGCTGTCTGGTGAGACTGCCAAAGGCAGCTATCCCAAGGAGGCTGTCACCATGATGCACGAGACTTGCTTGTTGGCGGAGGTTGCCATCCCTTATGCCAATGTGTTTGATGAGTTGAGGACCACGTGTCCCCGCCCTATTGAGACAACGGAGTCTATTGCTATTTCTGCTGTTGGTGCCAGCATGGAACTGAACGCAGGAGCTATTCTTGTTCTCACTACCAGGTCAGTCAATGTTGAGACTGACACTTTTGCTTTACTAATTCCAAACAGTGGATCTTCGGCCCGACTCCTGTCCAAGTTCCGACCAGTTTGCCCCATCATCATGGTTACACGGAACGCTACTGCTTCTCGCTACGCTCATCTGTATCGTGGAGTGTACCCCTTCCTGTTCCCAGAACCAAAGCCCGACTTCCGTGGTACCGACTGGCAACAGGACGTCGACAAGAGATTGAAATGGGGTATCTCCAAAGCAATCAAGCTGGGTGTTTTGAGCAAGGGCGACAGTGTTGTTTGTGTTCAAGGATGGCGAGGTGGCCAAGGCCATACCAACACCATCCGTATTGTACCGGCTGAGGAAGACTTGGGTCTCGTGGATTGACTCACCGCCGGCGAGTTCTTCAACACTCCCACGAAATCGAAAAAGTTCTTTGGGTCGTCGCCCACACCACCGCAATCACCGCAATCACCGCCACCTCCAGAGTCGCTCACACAGCGAAGATGGATTGACCGGGACTTGCACAGGCGCACTACAAGCATGGGATAGACAATCAGCCGATGAAGTGCTGTTATGATGATGGAGTCGGTCCAATTGTATGGTGGAGTTGACCAGCGTTATTCTTACACAGATTATTCCAATCACTGTTCATTGTGAAATAGCGTATTGATATTCAGAAAGCCCACAGCTGACAGAGATGGCCGTTTATCAAGTAATCAGTGAGCCAATGGATTTAGGTAGTCCTTGCCGTGAACGTCAATGTTTGGGCGCTCAGCACTAGTCATGGAGGCTCACTAGGCCTTTCACTGGCGTACGATGGGCGCGGATGACGCCAAAAGCGGAAGCTTGATTTTTGACGCGTCGAGCATGTGTCTCCTGGGATCCCGGGTCCTTTGGCGTCCTTTGGTCACTTGGCGAGTGACGAAGCATGCGCCTGCGTAAAACTGGGGGCGTAAATCACCTTCGTTTGTCTCAGGGCTATTCCTGGTCATCTTCAAATTCCTGTTTCAGATTCAGCGGCCTCTCGATTTAACAATTGTTCTACTGACCGCATTACCTGCCGGATCTGGTAGTCTGTACACCTGTCTCCTCCCATTCCTTCAAGTCGGCATTGGCATCTGTGCTTGATCAAAGACGATCTCGCTCATATCCTCCTCGCCTATCAAATTACCCCAGCTTGTTCTCCGCGCCCGCCTGGACGCCCCTGCGACGGCCATTGTCCAGCGACTGCGAGTCCTGCCTTCATCTCTGGCCGCCTATACACGAACCTGGCCTCTACATCATGGCGACAGAGAATGCTCCTGCGCAAAGCAGGCCGAAGGTGCCTGGTTTCACAGACTCCTTCTGGTCTTCTGACTATGCCGGTGGTTTAGGGGTGCTGTTCCAGAAACTCCAACAAGGTATTGTCGAAAATAACCAGATCTTGACAATTGCCAGTATGCGGGCCGATGCCGAAGAATTGTATAGTGATCGCCTGGGAGACATTGCGCCCTCCGTGGACCGAATGACGGGCGGCTTTGCACGGGATGACGGCGCAAGTACTCGCAAGGTGCGCATGGGGGTGCTCCTGTCTCGGGGAGTCTGCTGACTGTTCTAGGCATACGAAGGCGTCCGCAGCGAAATGGTAGAAGCCACGAAGAATCACAAGAAGATCGCCGATAACATTCGCGAATTAGTAGTCAACCCTTTCTCCAGATGGTGCGATGCGCATGCAACGAGGATATCAAGTTCGCAGGAAGACCTGCAATCCAAGATCAAGGCGCATGACCGACAAGCAGATCAAGTCAAGAAATTGCGGAGTCAATATTACAATAAGTGCAGACTGGTGGAAGATCTGGAAGAGGAGAACAAGTTGGCTTTTCAGGACAGACCAAATGGAAGTCCCAAAGCACAAAGCCCGCCTCCACCGAAGATTGTCCTACCAGAAGATGAACTCGAAGAATTACCCGTGGAGATTGGAGACCAGACATACAATCCCAATCAACTGAAGATGCTGCTCACAGATATGCTTGAAAGGATCCCTCTGGGCGAATACAAGGTCCCCATATTGGGTACATATCAAAACGTCTCCACTGGCACGGACATCGTCGACTACATACAAAAGCACATGCAGGCGTCAAGCGTAGGCTACGCTGAGAAGATTGGTCAGGACTTGGTGGATCGAGGATTTTTGCGCTTGCTTGGAAATGTGGGTAATACATTTGCCAACAGTTCGAGGATGAGATATCAGTGGAAGCCCCGAGTGTTCCAGATAACTGGCGTACCGGAGAAGAAGAAGCCGTTGAGCAGGTCAATAACAGGCTCTTCGCAGGATGCCATCCTGGAGTCGCCGACCATCGGCAATATTACGGAGGCTTTACAGGGCTGGAATCCGTTGAATAATCCCCGCCCGAATGAAACACCTGCCGAGCGTCTGAAGCGCGAAGCCAAAGAAGCAGATGAGAAGTACAAGGCCGCAGTCCGAAAACTTGACCTGCTCAGATGCAATCTGGAAGAGTCCATGATGGATCATATGAAGTTTCTCGAGCGATGCGAGACCGACCGATTGAAGGCCATCAAATCTGTAATTCTTGACTTCTCCGGGGCCATCAGCAACAGCATTCCTTCGTTCCAAAGTCAAGTGGACCATATGATGCTCTACCAGGAGACGATTCAACCCCTTGGAGACTTGCGGTATCTGCTCGAGAATTACAGGACTGGAGCTTTTGTGCCCAAAGTCACGCCGTATGAGAATTACTACGGCAGCGTGGAAGATCAAACTTTCGGCGTCGACCTGGAAGCGAGAGCAAGAGCGGACAGAAAACGAGTACCCATGATCGTAACTTCGATCTTGACTTTCCTAGATAGTCACTATCCGGATTTGGAGGGCGACGAAGCAAGGAGAAATGTGTGGCTTGTGGATGTTCCTTTGGCAGCAACGCATCATCTGAGAAACCAGATCAACAATGGAGCGCCAGTACCGAGAGAACTGCTTGAGAAGTATGAGGTACCGATTGTTGCAAGCGTTTTGAAGCTGTATCTCCTTGAGCTGCCTGGTAAGTACTTATACTCACATTGTGCTGAGCTTCTCTGACTGACGTTGCAGATTCCCTGGTCTCCTCACAAGTCTACGAAATCATCAAAACAATATATGCTACAACTTCTGACGCAGTGCCAAACCCGATCTCGACCGAGTCCATGGATGCTACGCCTAGAATCAAGGTCTTGCAGTCAACCTTGGGGCAGCTTCGACTCAACAACATTGCCACGCTCGATGCAATCGCAACCCACTTCACAAGACTTATTGATCTTACTTCTGCTGATGAAGCTTACGTGACCGCCCTGGCCCAATCCCTAGCACCTTGTATACTACGCCCACGGACGGAAAGTTCTCTCACCCTGGAAGAACGACACGCATATCGACTAATCCGAGATTTATTTGAGCACAAGGAGTCAATCTTTGGCGAACTCAAGCGCCAATCCTCCACGAGCGTGTCAACCCGTCAACGAGCGGTTAGCACCAACGACGAACGATCGAGGAGAGCGAACATGGAAGAACGAGCACGAGCCATCACCGAACAAAGACAGCGAGATAAGAGTCCAGGACCAGCGAACCGGCACAGACGGGACAAGAGTACCGATGGCAGCATGGGACGGTTTCCTGTCGTTGCAAGTCCGAGACTCGATCATGGAAGAAGCGTGAGCGGAGTTGGCCTGCCTTCCAAGAGGACGAGCTTGGAAGTACCCGGTAGTACTGAGAATTCCCCAGTCCAGGCCAGACATCACAATCAATCAACTGTGGATAGGAACTCTGTTACAAGTGTTCAGCCATTGAGCTCAGCGATGAATGGTCAGGGACAGGGAGAAACTACGCCTGAGGTTATGAACCTGCCGAGCACGTTTAGCGGTGGTGGGCCTGGACCCCATATTCCACCGCCACTGGATGATGATGATCAAGAATCGGATTCCGCGTCGGGACCGGCGCAGCCGCCACCCCAACATGAACAGGATGGGGCTTCAAGAGTTGGCTCACTAAAGAGGAGTGCCCCCGGGAGCGGAAGGAAACCTGTCGGAGGCGGAGCGGGGAGTTTGAGCAGGAGGACCTATCAGGCTTATGAGGGATCACAGCCGAATCAGGGAGTGCAGTTGGTGGATAGGCCGATGAATCATTATTCATGATCACCGAGTAGCGAACTCGTGGTCAGGACTGTCGTCTTTTGAGAATGATGCGATTGAGCCCAGCATTTCAAGCGCGCAATGTGTGTATTTAATGGCTCGACTGGCAACCAGCAGAAGCGGCCATGTGTGAGGTGGAATGTGTATGATTAGATAGGACGAAGGCATGTCTCAACATGCAGACTCGCGGAAGCCTAGCCTGCTCACGGATCTGTATCACCACTTTGTTCTCTTTCCGATAGAAAAGAATGGTGGAGGGACTTCCACCACAGTACCTGGTAGCCTCGGTCACATGCCAAGAATAACCTTGCTGTGATTGGCTGACTGGAGGAAGGCTGAAGGTGCAGCTGCGGGAGGGATCACGTGGAGGGATCTATCATAGTATCATCTTGGGACTTTATCTGCGGCCACGCATCATCGAGCTTGCCATTCTACACTCTTCAATCGCAATCGCTCAACGATTATAACCATGCGTCTCCCTCGGCTGTGCGCTTTGGCGCTTGCGGTGGAATACGTCCATGGCTACCTTGACACGACACCTTTCTTCATGTTCTCGACATCAGAGTACGGATGAACCCTAGGCAGTCGCCATCCACAAGGAACTAACTGTGCACCTTGTAGACTCCTCAATCCAGACTCCCAGTTACAATCGGCCGACGGCATCGTGTCGAATGTCGCGCTCTCCCTAACCTCCTGCCCTTCAGACTTCTACATCCTCGTCTCACAGCAAGGCGTGAGTGGCCGAGATTACGAATCCATAAAGTCCACACCTGTCCTGGCCCAAGCATTATCAGCGCAATCGAAGAGAGGCGTTCGAAGCAGCATGGTCGTACCAGACGTTGTCGGATCCATCAACCCCTCAAGCTGGATCGAACTGCTGCAAACAAAATGCGGCGTAGAAACCACCGAGATTGACGGTTCAACTGGCGCCATTCCTGCCACGATCCCGTCTTCACCACAGCTTCTCCAAGTTGCGCTTCCTGCTCCTTCAACCTCAAGGAAGCAGGACCTTTCGAGTAACGATGCCTTCTTCGCCTCGATTCTCGACTTGCTGCCTACGCAGAATTATACCGTTCTATACATGACAACACGGGCTGTCGACAGCGGGCTCGCGGCACAGCAGGTCGAACCCACAGACTATGATATGAAGTCGCGGATTCAGGAATCAATGCATATCGGTCTGAAGAGAGATTTGGGTCTCCGTGCAGGCAACAAGACTGAGAATCAAACCATGATCGACGGGCCGTTGTTTGATAAGTATCAGTTCTTTACGCCAGGTAAGTCCTCAACCACACTGGATCTCACCGGAGCGAACGATGATTGCTGATGCTGAGTAGGCATCTTTATGGGCTTCTTGGTCGGATTCCTCCTGCTTTCGATCCTGTACGTCGGAGTTTCAGCGTTGGCCTCATTGCAAGTTACGTATGCGGCGTTCGATAAGGACATGGGCCAGCTGGCGGCCAAGAAGCAGCAATGAATGCCTGCAATGATAGATGCGGCTTGTTGGGCAATTGTGCTTGTCGTACAAAAGCATGCTCGGCGCCGATGCGCCGTTGATCTTTTCCTAGAGAAGGAATGTAAAATATAGTAATGGTTCATGTCATGACTGCCCAGCATGTTTGGCACGCTTCTTTCACTTCTTCATTGGGTCACGGTTTCAGCTCAATTGTGCAGCAGGTTGTCGAGGTGTCAAACTATTCTCTCATTACTCTCTCAGTCTTACATGCTGGCAAGGAAGTTTCGAAGCTCGGCGTTCATCTTAGCACGTTTGGTGGCTCTGAGAGGAGCATACTGTGAGTTAACGGCCCTACCCATCAACTCATTCCTTCATTCACGGTTGAATTCTTCCGCTTCACCCCACTTCACTTTCAGTACGACCTTCTGCAGTGAAGCTGAGCTACCTTCAAGCTTCGTCTGCAAACCGTCGGTCATGGTGCTTCCCTCCTTTTCATGCCTCCCTCCCGAATTTCGCTCACCATCCAATCTTCTTCCTTCGTCTCCATATCACCTGCGGGCCTCCTGTCTGACATACTGCTTCTCAGGCTGTGTCAAGCCACTATCGCTGTCGCCCTGTTCCATTCAAACTGAACAGAGCCTCCCGATCGTTGATCCAGGCAAGCTGAGAAGGATGCGCCGTCAGACGAGCCCACAGACGTGCCTAACAAAGCACTAAATTGCACGGGCGATCATGCGGTTAATGCGCCATGGGCTGACGAGATCAAACGTCTTCTCATCCAACCAGTGAAAGAAAAAGCCCTGAGTGCGATCGAAACGCACCTGCAGGCCTGGCGTGAGGGGAGCATAGATGAGGTGGCCTTCGAGGACAGGATCCGCGCAAGCCTGTTAGATGTCCGACTAACTCGGCAGATGCAAGATACACTTGTTCAGTCCAAACAAAGCGCGCAAGTCAATCCTGGCCAGGATCCCATTTTGGAAAGTGCCCGAAAGAGACGAGCGGATTCCCATGGTGACATCGATCGTCCCTCGAAGGCAGTTCGTGGGAACGAAGAGTCCGGAAGCAAATAGGGGTTGGTACGAAGTTGCAGAAGCCATGATGCGACCAAGCACTTCGGCATTGAGGCAAACGGGTGGAACATTCAATGGGCTGAGTAGAATGGAGAATCAGGGTTATTGATGAGCCGATGAGACTAGGAAAGGAGAGATTGGGACGGCCTGATATGCATGGTTGCTATGGGATCATCACGAGGACGATGCAGCTTGAAGGCAGAGCTTTTCAATTCCGGCGTCAACATCGAGAGATACGGCGGGGCTCATGATGAGCTACGGCCATTGTACTACAGCGTATGCTAATTCGGGCTATTCACGCAGGTCGGCTGACGGAGTTAGCACGAGAACGAGAACACAATGAATACTTAAACCCAAACTTAATGTGGGCATCTCCTCGGTTCTATCGTGGGGACTCTCCTGCTACCAGGCATTGAGGCCCTTTTTTGACATATGCATTGTGGTTCCCTCGTTACTCCCTTCGATATCTGCCCTGCCTGCAGCTCCAGCCAGCTGCTTTGGGATCGAGATTAAGTGCTCTAATACAGCTCATACAGATCAGATATAACGATACGGATCGCGCAGGACAGGGTTCCACAGCGCCACCGCAGGGAAGTAAGTTGTTTATGGACGCTTTCAACGGTCATTATATGCCGTGATTCGCCGTCACTAGACTGCGCGGACGAAGGACCCGTGCGTGGGTGGAGGAAGGGGCTACGCAGCCTTGCTTAGTCATTGTAGCGCCGTCGTAAGTCAACTATCACCTAACTACGAGTACAAAGTAGAGTGGATCACTTTAGCTGCCGTGTCATGTCAATTCTGCTAGATCTGAACGCAGGGCAAGCTCGTGTGAGTGAATAGAATACTATGTACAGTAACTAAGTAACCGCCTCGTGGAAAAGGAATTGATCTAGGTCAACTTTGTCCGCAAATATCGCGGCGAGCTCTATCCCGCAGGCTTGTCGTAGTACTGAGTGAAATCGTGCCGGAGGATATTGAGACCCTAATTGGTGAAAGGTTAGCGCATTTCTTCTTTCCACCACAGTTCACGCGGTGTCAGAGATATGTAAGCACTCACCAGGCACAACTCGCGAGCGAGATTCTTATCCGTCTCGGCCTTGTGGCACAACTGGAACAGCGGGTCGTTTTGACCTGCCGTATCTGCATCTTGGTCATGGAGCCGTTTGAAGTTCTCCCGGGAAGATGGATTGATGACCTCTTCCCAGATCTTCCGGCGTATGTCGGCGTATTTGTCAAGGATGCTGTCGCTGGCCAGACCTTTGTGGATGCCGTGGAGGCAGTCGAAGAGACTTCCTACATCGGCGATGCCTCCTGTGAGTCCTAGGCCTCCGCTAGAGATGGGGGGTATTAGCAGGGGGCGTTCCGAGCGGCATAGAAAGGCTGGGAGTCGCCCTCCTGGAAACTTACAATGGGTTGCACAGATGAGCCGCATCTGCGGCCAGGATGAATCGGCCGACGCGGAAACTCGGAGCGCATCGTTGCTGCATCTTGTACGGGCTGATATTGACGATTTTGTACTCGCCAGGTTTGGGGGAGCCCGGGAGGAGTTCTTGGTATCGCCGAGGCTGTCTCTCCAGGTACTCCTCGTTGGAGAGCCCGGCGACTTCGGCATAGCTGACCCGGTACAAGCCGTCGTTGGTGATCTTTGCTACCATATGCCAATTCGTTGGGTGGATGAAATAGTTTGTGTCCGAATACCCGTATTTTGGGAAGTCGTAGTATACCTGAAGAGATGTCTGTTAGCTAATGCCGCGTTTGACCTATTATCTAGGGTTCCAATAAGAGAAGGCGTGGCATTTACATTTGTCGCAATGATTTGTGCATTGAGCGTCTCGCCGGGATAGTTGAGGTCTCCAAAGAGCGACCGCCTGACTTGGCTGTTGGCACCGTCACATCCGATGATGTAGTCTGCTTCGTGCTTCTGGTGGCCTTCGGGCGTCTCGACCATCACCCACGCCTTGTCGCCGTCCTGGCCTATGTCGACGACTTTGTGGTTCCATTGCACCTTGGCGCTCGGCTGAGCCTCGAGGTGGCTGTAGAGGATCTTGCAGAGATGGTTCAGAGGCAGGACCACCATTCGGTCTTCCTCGGGCGTGATGACGTCGAAGTACATACTGGCTACGGGCGTGCCGTCCGGTTTTCGCCATGTGAAGTCTCGAGGCATGTAGCCTGCACTGGCGACGTCGTCGTACACACCTGCCCGCCTCAATTCCGCCACGGCGGGTGGTGCATAGTGTGCCGCTCGTGGCTGCTCGCTGACAGCTTTGTCGGCGTCGAAGAGTTCGACGTTGATGCCGTTCTTGGCCAGGAGTAGGGCCAGGAGAAGACCGCTAGGTCCGGCGCCGACACATATGACCTTGGAAAGACCCATGTTTGACCGACTCCCTGGGAAGCTGTGAAGTCACGAGCTATGCGGCCGGAGGTTGGTACTTTGCAGGGAGCACCCTTGAATGCTTCAGTCTCGAGAAGATATATCCCCAGGCCCAGGCTCCACGGATCATGAGACTGAAAAAAATGCACCCATATTGCCCAGAAAAGTGCGGGGCATACAATAGCTTCGAGGACAGGGGATGTGGAACAGGTGGGGACGGTGGCATTGCTCTTCTCGCGGTGTTGAGAGATGGACGCAAAAGGATTCCCATTCACATTATACTGTGTGTGCTCTCGTGATGCTGGAGGACTGCTGCTGCTTTGCTGGGATCATGTAGATGCCCGATGCTTTCATGTGTGACGATCACAAGTTTCAAGTTCAATATGACAGCCTCGTCGCGGATGAATGCAACTCTCATTCCCCGCGGGTCCAGATCCGTGGGGGCGATCCGCCCGGAGCCATGGTTCGCATCAACCAAGCTTACCGTGTCGAGGACAAGGAAATCGATGGTCGCGTACGGAGTAACAAAAAATTGATGGTCGCATAACTTTGTCTGGGGTACATCCAGAGACGCTTGAGCATGTCCTCGTAATCCAGAGAAATCCAGTCTACTTGGTTGATCTATGAAAGGCCGATGCTTCATCTAGGCCCTCCGCTCACTTCGTGGGGCCCCGCCAAGGGAGACACGGAAAAGCCACGGTCAGAGCTTGCAGGATACGGCGGCCGAATGAGATCAACGTTGGCCGATATGGGAGTCAATTCTTGCGTATCCGTGGTGTGGAAAGGTTGGTGACTTCAGACAAACAACTGGTCAGAATGGCTGGAGCCTGAAAGACTTTTGCTCGCTGCCTGAGGTAGGCTGATCGGATGCGCGCAATGCTGACTCTCTCAGAAACTCTAGCCTATTGTCATAGAAAAAAACATTCCAGAATCGATCGATACCAGGATCCATGACGAAGCGGATTGGATGATCAAGTATGGTGGCTGAGTCAAGCACACGTGAAGCATCGTACGAATCGTGAAGGAGACGAGGCTACGCTTGCGAGATGACAGCTTTGTGTTCCGAGCCGCATTGTATGCTGACCAGCTTGAACCCCCAGAAATAATTCGAAGTACATTTCAGTTCCGAAGAGCATGCCCGTTTTCGCTGTCTTTGGCCATATCGGTACTACACTTGCGAGTGCCAATGACGCCTTCCTGCAGATACAGCCTCGCAATAAGCGTCCGCAAGGCCATCCATCTGGATGAAGGTGGGACTGATGTCTCGCATGCTCAGGCGTCCTTCAGGCGAGTCACTATCGACGACAGCCCTATATATTCAAGCGCAAAGAAGTTATGATGGCTTCAACGTCCAGTCCGATTGTCGACATACCATTGCCAGCATTTGAAGGAAAGAGTTTTTAACGATGCGGACATCCGTATCCCGATCTTTGCTGCTGGCGATTGCCTCGCTTTCCGGGGGTTATTCTGCACATGTTTCGCGGCGAGGAAGTTCCTCTGCGTCACCCTTTACTAGTTATTCGCCCGCATTCGATACCATTCTTGGTACGGGCCCTAAATTGTCGGTGGTCTTCAACCAGAGCGAACGACTGTTCTACGAAGGAGGCATATATCACCCTCCCACGGATTCTCTTTTCACGGTCAGTGATCGCATCAGCATATCTCCGGGCCGCAATGATTCCGCACAGGTGCTGGTTCGAGTCGCCAACGTCCACACTTGGCCATCCTATGAGATTCTCAATCTGACATCGATATCCAACCCAATATCAGGCGTTCGCTACCAAGGCCAAGGCGCGAATGGGACCGACGATCTGATGGCTTTCGTCGCCTGGGGCAATTCCAAGAATGATCCTCCCGGTGGCTTGTATTCAATTAGCCCTTATCCACCATACGAGGTTAAGCCCCTTACCACAGCCTTGGGAGTGTACCATTACAACGCGCCTGACGATGTCACTGTTCTACCTGATGGAACCATGTATTTCACTGATCCGACATACGGGTACCAAGAAGGCTTGCGGCCCGACCCTCTGCTCCCCAACCAGGTCTATCGTTATGACGCGGCCACCAATACCACGCGAGTAGCTGTTGATGGCTTGGTGAGGCCCAATGGGATCGCGCACTCACCGGACGGGATAGTGCTGTACATTGGCGATACAGGCGCACGTACTGGCGATGGATCGCTCGATTATCAGGGACCAAGAACAACGTACGGCTTCGACGTTAAGAACGTGTCTTCTGGAGCTGGTGGCTCTGCAGGGCCGTTCGTCACGAATAGGAGAGTCTTCGCGATGCCATATGACCTCGGGGCGAATGATGGCTTGAAGACTGACCTTGCGGGTAATGTGTGGGGTTTGAGTGCTACCGGAGTCTTTGTTTGGAATGCTAGCGGCGACTTACTGGGACACATTTCTGTACCGACCGAGGATGGTGGCAATATTGGGTTTGGACGACCAGGAGAGCTGTTCATCAATGGCGGGAATGTGCTCTATAGGGTGACCATGGATGACAGCGTCATTGGGACGGGAGTCTGGTTTGCATCTGATGCCGGAGCGCCATCACAGGTTTCTGGGTGAGCAAGTGGGGAGGAGCAGTTGAGATGCGAGGCGTTTTGCGGACGAGGCAGCCTCACTAGCCTCCGTTATGCCTCTAATTTGTACCCATAAGCCACACGAAATCAAGCTCCCGGCATTCGGGTATACCTAAGTTAGTACAACCACACACCTAAGCTTAGCACGACTTGGTCACCGCTACGGGGATGATGGGGGATAAATGATGAAGCGGTCCACCCCAATGACGCCCCCAATGTCCTTCGTCTGACTGGGCTCGCTGGATACTAGTACTGGTCATCTGCCGACGGTCTCAAGTCATGAAGGCTTGCCATGTGGACAAAGCTGACTTCCCTGCAACAGGGTGTGTACAACGTAGCATCTGCCGCACGGCAAATGACCGATGCCTCCCCCTGCCGGATGAGCATGAAGGACCAAGACTTTTGGAAGCCCACGAAGCCTCTGGTCGACGTCTTCTGCATGTCTTAGCGTACCTCGACTTCCTTGGCCACACGTCAACGGCTGCAACACGCATCAGAATCACTCTTCCACTCGTCCAGCAACGAACCTCCGCTGCAATGCCTACCGAGCCTAACCCCCAAGAGGAAGGACGTGATGATCAAGCAGGGGTTTCTCCAGCGCCTTCCCCAGCCTTGGGCCGTGACCTGACGTCTTCTATTCGCGTTTGGCCAGGGATGATCACCGAAGCGATTGAGGAGAGCAGGCATGCCCACCTTCGTGGCATGGCCGATCCCACCAAATTGCGGTCTTGATTCCCTTTGTGTGATGCTCCCCGATCGTCCGGTAGCATTTGCAGAGAATTGGATTACTTATAGTCATTCGCCCGCCCTTCAGCTTACGGCGCGTCTCAGACAATAGCGCTCTCGAACAGCTTTGTGGCTATGGCAAGCACTGAAGTCAAAAAATCTGCCCTGGACGACGGCCAGTCGCCATCAGACCGGTCGCCCTCAATGACGGAAAAGCATTACGAGGATGGCGTTCAAGTGCCTGTCATCGACATACCAGACCCGGACGAAGGTTTGACTGACGAGGAGGAAGAAGATTGTACGGATTTCCCCCCTGATGTCTCTTGCAGTGCAATACTAACATCTTTTGCCAGGATCGCAGGTTGTTGTGGAAGCTGGATTTGCAACTGATCCCCTGGCTCACCCTTTTGTACCTGATTGCCTTCCTCGACCGTACGAACATCGGCAATGCCAAAATCGATGGTCTACAAGAGGATCTGAACATGACCAGCAACCAATACAACAACACACTGACCATCTTTTTCATCTCCTACTCGGTCTTCGAACCTTTGACCCAGGTCTTGCTGAAAAAGTTCAGACCTTCAATCTTCATTCCGGTCATTATGGTGGGCTGGGGCATTTGTATGACATGCATGGGTTTGGTGCATAATTACTCTGGGCTCCTGGCGACGCGATGGTTCCTGGGGCTGACTGAAGCCGGTCTCTTTCCTGGTAAGCATACCTTCTGACAGGTTCTGCCATCTGCTGATGGTCTGACCGTCTAGGTGTCAACTACTATCTGAGTTGTTGGTACAAACGATCCGAATTCGGTGTCCGAGCAGCCATCTTCTTCAGCGCTGCAGCTCTTGCCGGATCTTTTGGTGGTCTGCTGGCCGCTGCTATCGTGAACATGGACGGTGTCGGTGGGAAGCCCGGTTGGGCCTGGATCTTCATTCTCGAAGGGCTGGCCACCGTTGTGATTGCGGTGATCAGCTTCTGGGTGGTAAGTGATTCTCAATCCGGCAAGGTGCACGTGGTCTGAGTGAAGTCTGAGTGAAACAGGTCCATGACTTTCCCGATGATGCCAAGTTTCTCAGTGACTCGGACCGCCGCAGAGTCATTCGCCGCCTTAAGCTCGATCAGCAATCCAGCGCTGAGCACGAAGAGTTCAAACTCGACTACCTCTGGGCCAGTTTGAAGGATTGGAAGACGTACACAGGAATGGCCATTTACATGGGCTGCGACGGCGCACTCTACGCATTTTCCCTGTTCCTCCCTACAATCATAGCGCAAATGGGCTACAAAAGCGTGCATGCTCAGCTTCTGAGTGTTCCCCCTTATGCTGTGGCTGCAGTTATGACTATATTCATTGGTTTCGTGGCCGATAGGACGGCGTGGAGAGGTGAGCGAACTCGGTGATTCACTGGGCACGTGACCCTTCTGTTAATGCTTGCAGGCTATTGTAATATGGTCATGGCACTATTCGGCATCATCGGTTTCGCAATGTTGCTGGGTTCTGGTTCGCCACATGTTCAATATGCTGGGACTTTCCTCGGAGCGATTGGCATCTATCCGTGCATCCCGAACACCATCACATGGACCGCGAACAATGTTGAAGGAGTGTACAAGCGTGGTATATCCCTAGGATTTGTCATCGGCTGGGGAAACCTGAATGGTAAGTATAAAGGGGGCTACTAGTAGTTGGGTATTTTGGTATGCTAATCGATCACTGTCAGGCATCGTTTCATCGAACATCTATCGAGCCAAAGACAAACCACGATACAAGCCTGGCCATGCCGTGGTGCTCGCATACGAAGCACTATTTCTGCTCGGAGGAAGTGTGCTTCAACATGTCCTGCTTCGGAGGGAGAATGCCAAACGCCGCAACGGCGAACGTGATCACTGGGTTGAAGGTAAGACGGATGCCGAGATCGAGAAGTTGGGAGACAAGAGGCCCGACTTCATGTATACTTTGTGAAACGTCTACGAGGTACGCATTGAGCAAAGGTGGAGGAACAAGGGGCACCCGCCATGGGAGACGTGGGCCTCGATATTATTATGGTGGGATTGATGCCGAACGTTTCTTGGCCGCAGAATATGGACCCAGCAACACACACTATGTCTCGAAGGTCTACGCAGTTACGATGCACCCCGGCGCTTCTTGCGTGTCTTAACGATCTTACAGAAGTAGATCGGTCCCCAACCCGCGCCCTGCTGCTGATCCGGTAAAATCATCCACCCGTGTGTAGTTGGCTCTCCAATGGCCCATGTCGTGGGGACCACCTCGACTTTCCAAAGTTCCGGTTGCGGCTCTTCATCGTTCGTGGGATGTCGGCTGCCTTGTTCGGCTTCTTCTTCTGCTTCTCCATGGGATTCCCCATCTTGGTTGTGCGCGCCGGTATTTCGTCGTCGTCGCGCAGCAGCTTCCTTGACGCGTTTGCGGTTTTGTTTGTCGATCACTTTGAGCATGTTTTCGACAACGCCGTCGTTTTCGTACGGAGAGATCGAGCACGTGCTGTAGACGAGCGTGCCTCCGAATTTCAAAGCGTGAATGGCGTTGACGAGCATTTTGAGTTGCAGATTCTTGGCGGTTTTGTCCGAGCTGGATGGAGACCAGTTGAGGAGGTCTTTGTGCAGGTTGGATGCGGAATCTTGTTTGTGCAACTGGTGCAGGACGTGACGTTCGCTCGAGCAAGGAGCGTCCAGGAGGATCTTGTCGTAGGTCTCGGGGCGGAAACTTGAGTCCAATGTGGCGTCTTTGCCCATGATTTGGATGATTGATTGAGAGGATGAAGATGATGATGTCGAGGAAGAAGGCGATGGCGGGAGAAGGTGCGGTGGCACATACTCGTCAAGGACTACTCGGAGCCGCTTGCGGCGTTGGAAGTCGAGTTCGTTGACGTGGAATCTGGGTATGATTCGGGATACTGTGGTGGTCGTGGTGGTCGTGGTGGTCGTGGTGCTGCTGCTGTCTGCCAGTAGAGAGGGTGCGAGGTGGTTCAGCATGGCTAGGGTCTTTCCGCCAGGGGCTGCAGTCATGTCGAGGATGGTTTCATCCGGTTGGGGGTCGAGAGCGAGGACAGGAAAGATAGAGGCAAAGTCGAGACAGTAGTAGTTTTTGAGGTTGTGGGCGTTCTTGGACGGAGGTGGAAGAAGATAGTCTTTTGTGGAATGCGATTGCTGTTGAGGAAAATGATAGAGACGGAGACAAGTGGTTGAGGGTAGCCATGGAGCAGCATCTTCCAAGAGATCGGGGACACTGTGTTGTGGAGAGACCAGAAGACTGGATTTCTGGATGGCTTCGTTCCAGGTTTGGTCGGCGCTGGGAGGACTCGTCGAGGTCGAGGGAATTTGCTGCTTGAAAAATGGCTCACCATGGAAAGTGTTCAACAGAGCAGCATGTCTGGTCGGCTTGAGGAGTACTGGATATAGAGTGTCCCATCGATGTTGGGTGTTTTCTGTTCCGGGTCCCAAGGTGGGAAGTGTAGATTCGTCGCCAGACTTCTGACATGATGGAAGGGCAAGGGGAGTATCAAAGTACCCCTTGTAGGTGTCCAAGAGCTTTTGCCTGAGTAGTTGGTATCGAGCCTTCTCCTTCTGGGTCGCCTTCACCATATCTTTTGATTTGCTTGGGAAGGATGAATGGAAGGGCCTGGTATGGGGGCTAGGGTACTTCAGTCCGACCAGTCTGCAGGGAGTACAGGGATGGTGCTATGAAGTCCAGCATCAATCTGCGAATTGGCCGCCTTAATTCTGCGATAGTGGCCTCAACCTTCTTTCCATACTTCAGGCGGTTATACCGAATACCAGGAAGTTTTATGTTGATATCGCGAATTAGGGAGCATTGCAGCAAGAATACTGCTGGTCATGTGACACGTCCCTCGGGCGAAGCACTTGAGCAGGGAAGCGAACATTTGTAATTCCATGTCCAAGACCACGACGTTCGCTTCGGTATGATATTGCGCGCCAGAAGCCTTGCTCAGCACTTTGGGTGCGCATTAAATCTAGGGATTGAGGGTGTTGAAGGGCTGCGTATGTGCTTCATGGATCCAGGAACGGGGTACAACTGCCCACACTACCCAGAATTACATCGATCAGAGCACAACATCTCATATATCCAGCAAACAAAGACAGAGCCTTGAAGCACCATGCTTTTGAAACTCTTTGAGAGTCCGATGCTGGATGCAGGACTCTACTCTGGGGAAGGAAGATGGATACGTTGACCAAATCTGTCACCACTGCTCTACATGACATGCTGTTAGTGTCTCCAGCACGAGAGTCGTAACGGACGACAGATGCTGTCGTAGTTGAACAGCTGAGATGTTGCGATGGCAAGTATCGAGGAGATCAAGGTAGGTGAGTGAATGAATACCCTCATCATCCCTGGATGAGCAGGTTAGCCGGTGATGGCGGTGTTGTTCATCGTTCTTTCCAGAATGAGTCCTGACTCAGGCATCAACATCATCACAACAACACCGATCTGGATGACAACCACTCTTTCTCGCCTCCTAACAGTCGTACATCTCCTCTTCATTCTCTCGTCCTTTATCCCTTCGTGCACCTCATCTCTTTCTAAGTGCATCATCTCCATTGCATACCTGAGCTACCTTCTCAAATGACTTTCACCAAACCCTCAGACTGTCTGCTCAAATACCCTTCAATGGAGCGACAGGACCTCAATCAATCCCAATTGGGCAGTTTCAAGTTCACTCCTGTCGACAACATTCCATCTGTTTCGCCTGTTGCCATGCAATATTTTCCAGCGAACATGGATCCTGCGGCCGCAACCTTCATGCCGAGCAACACAACGTCCACCCTACCCAGTCCAACTCTCTCTGCACCCCGTTCAGTGGTACAGGGCTCGAGCCTCGCTGATCCTGCAACGATGAATCAGACTTTGTGTCTAGCCTTGGCTAACGAACAACAAGCTCACAACGCCACCAGATTAGAACTCAACCAGGAGGTTCAGCGTTGCTTGGAGTTGGAAGCGCAGATCAAGAAACATGTGCAGCAGATCGCAAGCTTGACTGTCACTGTCAACAACCTCGGAGCCATCATCAAGCACAATATCAACAAAGACAATCACACTGGTACAAAGACCGAAAGAGGAGGAAGTGTCGCAGAGGATGAAGAGGACACTGCTGTGGCATCATCCGAAAGCATTCCATCTGCCCCTCAGCGCATCGTTGTCAAGATGCCGAGCACCTTTGAAGGCGAGCCAAAGTGGTCGGTGAATAAAGACAATCCGATCTTTAATGACGATGAGGAGATGTGGCGCGTGTGCGATGGTGCAACCGCAGAGTGGATCAGGAACAGCCCCTTCCCGGAACACCCTGTCCGTTACCTACCAGAGAAAGCTGTCGGTTCACTCAATGCCTATCGCACCGTCATGATTGATGAAATTCCCTTGGGAACTACTTTGAAGGATGTTCTCGAGGTGGTTCGTGGTGGCACTCTTCAGTCTATTCAACTCTTCCCTCCGATCGGTCGTGTCTGCCCGTACATGACGGCACGAATTGTGTTTGTCTACGAGGCATCCGCTAACGAGATGTACAAGCAACAGGAAAATGCTCCGTTCATCATCAATGGCGCGCCAGTCCGCACCTGGAAGCCCACTGATCCCACCTATCCCTGCAGTGCTGAGGTCGAGGAAGCGATGTTTAGCGACGAGCAAGCTACGAGAATCGTGCTGATTGGCGAAATAATGGACGACAAATTTGCCATGCTTGAGCCAAAGATGAAACGCTTCAAGCTTGATCATGCAGTGATTGAGTACAGCTGGACGTTCGATGGTTATGGTTCCGTTGAATTCACCGATGTCAAGACCGCAATCAAAGCCATGAAGGAACTGAAGAGAGACCATGATTTCGTGGGCGCTTTCTTCCGCTATGATGATGACTACACCAGACGCGCCTACTAGTTGCGTCGAGCACAGAAGCAGGCACCACTGGATGATCCTCGTTGGACAACCCTTCTCAGCTTTGATGACTGATTGAGTTGGCATACACACCAGCCCCGGTCGCAAATGAATGATGTGTGAGTTAGCAACAGACATGCAAGAGAACAAACTACTCGATAGCAGAATGATCAGTGTATGCCAATTACCTTGCTTGCACGTTCAGACGACTTCGGCCCTCCTGCCACTTGTGCGAAGAAGGCCCACCGAGTACATGCTAGAAAGTGCGCTGCTCGTCGCCCAACAAAGGGGGGCGACTATCATTGCCCAAATTCGTGGCGGGAGCGATTGATTTCCGGCCATTCAGTGTCTATTGATCATCTTTGCCCTGTTTAAATTAGATCCATCGTACAGAAACAGTAGAACAAACGAGGGAGAATGCCCATTCAGCATGTGACATCCACGTCGAGCGCAGTTATTAGGACCCAGTTAAAGGGCCAATGCGGATAATTCTATGTACGGACAGTACAGGCCTCGCAGGCCTTCGCACAATCATGGCTTGATACAGAGGGAGGCGTAGCGACGTCTCACGCCGTCGTTGGGGACTGAATAAGCCAAGCCAATATTGATCTGTGTAGACGTAGACAACCCTATCCAAAATGGAAAAGAGTCTCGCCCTTCTTGGACTTCTTCCCCTTCTTCTTCTCCGTGGCACCATCTGTGCCATCGTCGCCCAACGCAGCCGATGTCGCCGCGGCAGCTTGAGCCGGTGTGGGCGTCGTGCCGCCATTTCCCCACGCATTCACTGGCGTAGCAGTCCCCGAGCCGGCGGGTGAACTGCGACTCGACGAAGTCAACCAGCGAACCGAGCCGCGCGTGTTGAAGCCTGCCATCATGGTGTTCGGCTTCGGGGCGGCAGGCAGGGAAGGGAACGTATCCTCCGTCTGCCGCGGAGGAGCGGTGTTCTTGCTCGACGAGCCGACGCGCGATGCTGCCGTAGGAGGCGGACGAGAGATAGGTGTTGCACCCATCGTGGTGTTGGTAACTTGCGGCGCAGACGTGTTGCCCCAAACGGCCTGCTTCGAGCTCGTTCCTGCTGCTGGTTTGATTGCCCGCCCATTGGTAGCGCTCAGTGCAGGAAATGGATCACGACTTGTGCCAGCGGAGAGCGCGTTGCCCCATGAGCCTTGTCTCGAGACCGCGGAACGAGATGATTGAGCGGTGCTTTTCTTCAGTGTGAGGACGCGACGACCGCCAGTCGCGCCGGCAGCACCGCTCGATACGCCCGGTAAAGTGCCGCTAGGGCCGGGAAGACTGGGGTAATCTTCGTTGATACTGCGCCAGTTGTTCCATGCTTGAAGAAGGGATTGGCGCTTGGTGTCGTCTTCGTAGAGATCGGCCAGCTCGCGGATCAGTTTCCCAAGTTCGGTGCTTGGACAATCGAAGAGAGAAAAGAATGAGTCGATGAGGTCGGTGGCTGATATGGTTCCGCTGCGGTATGCGGAGACGTGCGTCCGGAATTGGGAGAGTTTGGTGGTGTCGTTCTTCAACAGAGTGGTGGCTCGTTCAGTGACGGCTTGGTGTCGCAATGCCCGGGCTTGTTCTTGAGGGGTCATCTCTGCAGTAGATACTTGTGGTGAGTCTACTCTGAGGTTTTCGATGGAAGGTAAGGTTTGAGGTTGCTGTGAGGAAGATGGTTGAGGGCGGGAGGCAGACGAAGGTTGGGTGAGCTGACCGCCGAAGGTTCGATTGGAGACAGACTGGGAGCTCTGGATGGCTAGTTGTCTCTGATATGCCACCTCTGCTCTACTCAAGGGTTGAGCGCTAGATATGGGCAATGGTTCAGCATTCGGATCTCGGCCTCTTCCACTGCCACGATTTTCTCTTTCTCTTTCTCTACCACCCCGCCGTTGTGGTTGATATGGTGTTCGGATATCGAAGCCAGAAAGATTGACTAGACGGGCGTCTCTCCTGGCATCTTTCGAGAGGCCGTTTGGATGCTCTGCCAGTTGATGTGCTTTTAGATCCATTTCGGATTCGAACACATTGGTCTTGTTTGCTTGACATTCAGCGTCCAGGCACACGAAGTGTTGTGCTCCGAAGTGCTTCTCCAGTTCTTGGTAGTTCAGATAATACTGAGGATTTCTGCCTCCATTTCTTCTGTCACATATGTGACATCGCTCGTGCTTCTCCCGACAGTGGGTATACAGCTCGTCGTCTCCATAGAATCTCTGCTTGCAGAAGCCGCACTCTGGATGTCCCCTAAACCCAGACTGATCGACTGCTCCAGGGTTATCGTCTCCGTATTTCTCGTGCTTTCGAAGCTCGCCGAAGGTGAATAACTCGTGTTCGTGGGTGAACACCTTTTTGTTCCTCGTGCAAAGGTCGCACATCATCTTCCCGTGCTTGCTTTTGACATGGCGGTGGAGGTCCGGCCATCCCAGGCACGCAACATCACAATCCCTGTCAGGGCAGTTATATCGGAGTAGGAGGATTGTGTCTTCCAAAATGATATCCTTCTCGTATTTTATGCCCAAATTCTCGTCGATCTTGACGAACTCGCGGTCGTTGAATTCTTCATAGCGTTTCTCGGCATCGTCGGTAAAGATCACGAATGGCGCCTCTGTCTGAGAACTTTTAGCCTAGATCAATGCACAAAGGTGACCAAAGAGTACTTACTCTGCAATGAGCACAGGCTCGTGTCTTGTAGAGAGCCCTCAATCTCAGAGAGCAAATATGGCAAGTCTGGTGGTTGCAGGGTGCGATCGAGATGTGCTCGATTGGACTTGCACATATGAAACACACCTCCGCGTCTTCCACGGCCACCTCTTGCCCGTCTCTTTTTGCTTGAGGGCGGATTGTGTCGCCTTCTTCTTTCGAGGCAGCTCCGGTCAGGCGTGCACCGGAGCCGCCTCCAGGTGGTCGTCCTGAGCTGCCTTCCGCTGTGGTCTCTACAGATCGAGTATTAGACGCATTGTCGCGGGTATGGCCTTGCCCTCGGCCTCTCCCTCTTCCCCCTCTTTGACCTCGGTGGCCTCTGGATCCAGAAGTGCGTCCGCGATCGTCTGGATAATTTTGAGATGCGCCGCGATTTGGTCGACTACCTCGCCCCGCGTTGGGACGGCTCTGAGACGCGTCGACGGCAGGTGCGGCTTCCGACATGGCGTTGTCTGATCAGATGAAGTATATTGTGCAACAGGATAGCCTGCAAATTTTGCTGTTGGTGTATGATGTTCAACGATGACTTCACTGACGAAACTCCAACCGAGATCAACAAAGTCGCAGAATTGTGGTGGGGTAATCTAACTTAAAGAGCCCCTGTTTTTAGGGGACCGCCCATAAGAATAGCTGCAATGACTCTTACTCGCCAAGTGACTCTTCAGCGATAGCCTAATCCACAGAGACTGGATCTAGACGCTCTTCTTGTGAGTAATCCACAATACCTATGCGTTTGACCCTACGTTTACTCTACGTTGAAATGTGGCGGACGAAGCATCGGGAAAAGCAGCGAGTAGCTCTGGCCGCCCTTAGTCAGCAAGGCTGACCCTCCTGAACGCATTGGGGCGAGATGGAAATGCATCCGCCATTTGACATTGATTCTAGCCCGATAGTTCCTGATTATCACGAAGAGTTGATCTAGGCCCTTTCATCCCAAGAAGAGCCATGAGAGTTTTATTCCAGCCAGCCATATTGTAAGGCAACGCCATCGTCGCTGTAATTTTCGTGCCGTAACGCATCCATCGAATGAACCACCCACAGAGATAGCCTGTATGCTGTCGCAAGCTCTGTCCATCTCGTTCTTTTACCAACTGTCAAGCTCATTCTTCAGGATTGTACATTTGTTGAGAGACCAATTTGGTCATGGTGAACATATGCACCTTGTCTTGTCGGAAGACTTCCCTCATTTTTGAATCGCAGAGGATGAATCGCTTGTCACTTGGGTCTTGGAGGTTGTTCGCTTTGATATAGGCCCACAGCCGCTTGGTGGTCTCAGGACGTGACAGCTTTGAATTTCGGGTCAGTACTCCTGTAGCGGAGCTCAACGATTAGACTTACCTGCGTCTCGCCATCCAGAAGACCTGACAAAGCCGGAGATAGATTGAGCGGTTTCTGCATGTCTATTAGTCAACTTTCCTCACGCAGGTTCAAGAAAACTTACATGGAATCCAGTATTACGCTTTGGCTTCTGGGCTTTGTGTTCCTCGTCGTCGATGTCGGAATCATCAGACCCAGTCACTCTATCCTTCTTGACTTTCTTCTTTCTCTTGGCTGGTGCCGATTTCCGAGTTGTACCACCTCTCGTGGGACGAGCACGAGCATCTTCTTCGGCTTGCAGACGAGCGGCATAAGCTGCATCGGCGTCAAGGCTGGCTTTGCGCTTCTTCTTGGGCCGCGGCGTGTCTATGACGTCCGAGTCGCTTTCGGTTTGGGCTTCTCTCTTTGCGGGCGAGCTTGAGGGTGACTGAGTGTGGACACCATTCGTTTTCTGGGTAGGTTCTGCCTGCTCGACCGAAGGAATGACTGCGGCGTCACCATTCTCTTTCGAACTGATGACATCGAATCTTTCATTGATCACGACTTTAATTACTGCCTGTGCATTTTCAGTATGCAGTTCGAGTCTTCAACTTGTGGGACGCACCTTCTGCGGAGTGATATCGTATTGGACTTTGTCCTGGATTCCCTTTAGGATATCTTTTCTTGTAATTGTGGTGAGATCGGCGCCGTCAAGGATTGAGTCGATGATGGTGATGTACTTTTGGCGAACGTCCGGTGGTACTTTCGGTGGTCAATGACATTACGGAACAAGGTGCGCCAGGACTTACACGACATGATGGCGGAGATCTTGCTGCCGCTTGCTCAAGGCAATCGCTGAGGACAGGCGGTATATGAGGGAAACAAAATTGAGCGCGATGCGTGGAGAAGTCAAGGTCAACTCATAGCCATCCGGCCAACGCAACGAGGGCAGGAACTGCCGCTTGCGAGAGCAGGAGGGCGAGGAATGAATGGGTGGTGAAGAGGAGATGTATCGTGGGAACAAACAGCTCTATTGAGCTATAAGTGAGTCAAAGGACAAGAAAGGTGATGCGACAAACCGTAGGCAGGTGGGTGTGAGGACACAAAGCATTGACTGACGGGATGCTTGCGCTGCGGGCTCACCTGCGCATACCACTGAAGAAACAAACTAGTACGAGTATCCTGGGGTCCGGACACAAGCGCTGAACCTAGCGATCATCGGCTCCTTCCAGCTCACCAGCCACCAGCACCTACCATAGGGCTTGCTGACTCATCACCCACACACCCACGTGATCTGGAAATCGCAGGCTTGGCGCTTTGCACAACCTGCGGCGCGATCTTGCTGGAGTGTGATATTTCCTGCGGCGGACGACAGCATCGGGAATTTGTACATTCTTTCACATCCAGGTGCCCACGATCATTGCCAATACCGCAATCATGGCTCCGGGATTTGATCAGCTCTCCGATCACGATTTCGAAGACGAAATCGAAGACATCGACTTCAGCGACCTCAAAGAACGATATGATGTGCGCATGGAAGAAGGTCTCGATACCTTTGTCGTATGTTTGCCTGTGTGACGGAGACATGGAAGAGATACTAAGAAGCTAGGTGATCGACGGGCTACCTATTGTCAACGCCGACCAAAAATCGAAACTCGTCAAATTCTTGCTGAAAAGACTAAATTCGGTCGGGAGAATAAAGGATGGCGAAGAATCGATCTTCATGCCTATGAACGATCAGGGCATGTCCGAGGGGTAGGCCATCCCCTGGAATCGCAAAGCCACGTCCTCTGACATATTACAGTTTTGCATTCGTCGAATACCAGACCCCAGAGCAAGCGGTGGCCGCCACGAAACAACTCCATGGTGTCGCCCTCGACAAGAGACATACCCTAGCCGTCAACAAGCTCACCGATATTGAGAAATATGGTAGAGAAGGAAGAATTGATGAACAATATGTCCCTCCAGAAATCGAACCTTTCTCAGACCGAGAACATCTCAGATCATGGCTTTTCGACGCTGCCGCCCGAGATCAATTTGCCATGTTCCGTGGCGACAAGGTCGGCGTGTTTTGGAATAACAAGAAGGAGCCCCCTGAAATGGTAGTCGACCGGACACACTGGACACAACTATTCGTATCCTGGTCACCGTATGGAACGTATCTTGCGTCAGTACATCAACAGGGAGTGCAATTGTGGGGTGGATCTTCCTTCAAGAGAATCAGGCAATTTCCTCATCCTTTTGTCAGCCTTGTCGAATTCTCCCCAGGCGAAAACTACATAACGACATGGTCCCATCAGCCAATTGTGGTGGAGGAAGGAAAAAGCCCTCTTACCCTTGATGAAGAAGGCAAGCATATTGTCATCTGGGATATCAGGACGGGCAAACCTCTGCGATCTTTTGTCGCCCACGACCTTACCCCTCCTCCAGGCACCGACCCTACTGCCCTCCCTGCAAAAGCAAAGGTACAATGGCCAGCTTTCAAATGGTCTGCTGATGAGAAATATGTGGCGAGAATGAAGCCGCATGAAAGTATCTCTATTTACGAAGCGCCAAGAATGAACCTACTCGACAAGACGTCAGTGAAAGCCGAAGGAATCGTGGACTTCGAATGGGCCCCGGCAATCACCCAACGAGAAGGTGTCAAGACATACGAATCACTTCTCTGCTACTGGACACCGGAAATGGGTTCCAACCCCGCCAAGGTCGCCCTGATGTCTGTTCCTTCCAAGGAAATTGTCCGGACGAGAAACCTGTTCAACGTTACGGATGCGAAACTGCATTGGCAGTCTGACGCGAAGTTCATTTGTGTCAAGGTCGACCGGCACTCCAAATCCAAGAAGTCCCTGGCCACGAACCTCGAGATTTTCCGCATCAAAGAGAAGGGCGTCCCTGTGGAAGTCGTGGACAGCCTGAAAGACACAGTCATCAACTTTGCATGGGAGCCCAAGGGTGACCGCTTTGTGCTGATCACCGCTGGCGAAGCTGTTGCAGGCTCAAATGTCCTGCCCAAGACCTCTGTACAGTTCTTCGCCCCTGAAAAGGTCAAGGGTGCAGGCACTGGAGCATTCAAGCACGCCCGCACATTTGACAAGAAGAATAGCAATGGCATCTACTGGTCACCTAAGGGTCGATTCGTGGTTGTCGCCACTGTCAGCGTGCAACAGCATTCTGATCTCGACTTCTACGACCTCGACTACGAAGGCGAAAAGCCTGAGAGCGAGGCACATCTGAATGCCAATCTGATGCTCATGAATTCCGAGGACCATTATGGCATGACGGACGTAGAATGGGATCCCACGGGCAGATACGTCACCACTAGTGCCAGTGTCTGGACACATCAGGTAAGCTCCTTCTCTCGGTTATTAGGATTTACCGCTAATTCTTGGTAATAGATGGAGAACGGCTACAAGCTGTGGACATTCTATGGCCAACTCCTGGCTGAAGCACCGACGGAGAAATTCAAACAGCTGCTATGGCGTCCTCGACCGCCAACAATGCTGTCAAAGGAGGAACAACGTACGATTCGACGCAATCTGCGTGAGTATTCCAGAGAGTTTGAAGAGCTCGATAAGGAAATGGAGGAGGGTGCCAACCTGGCTGTTGTCGAGGCCAGACGGAGATTGTACATGGAGTGGTACAGCTGGGTGGCTCAAGAGAAGGAGCTGCTCAAGGAGGAACGAGAGGAATTGGGCTTACCAGATCCAGAGGCTGAGCTGCAACTCCAACGCATTAAGAGTCAAGACGAGGAAGAGAAGGTCGTGGAGGAGGTCGTGGAAGAGGTCATCGAGGAGACAGAGGAAATTGTGCAGTAGATTCGTGCAGCAATACTGGACGGTCATGCATAGCACGCCTGCAGCTAAGCGATGATGGGAGAAGTGCATATGAGAATGGTCCTCAACGTCCTGTCGGGCATGTAGGTGTGTTCCTCTTATAGTGCATCGAAGAGCGAAAAAAGCAAAAAAAGCACGAGTTGCCATTACACACACCTATCACTGGCACCACGTTCGCTCCCTCGAGAAAGCGATGCGGGCTCTTGCCGAGCCTTTGATCTGAATTTGTGAAAACCACGAAAGGTTGGTCGAGTTGCCCAGTGGTCGGTCGAGCATCATCGAAGTACATCGTACAAGATCTTAGCTTAGCTACGATTGAGCGAACACCTTTAAAAGGCCGGTCCCTCGACGTAGGTATCCGTGGATAGTACGTTGGAGTTGTTGAAGTAGGTATTACAGGCATATTCGTGGGTGCAGCACGAGCAGACTGCTGGCGTCTGTGAACTGAACACATGTCATAGGGGTCTTCCGTCTCAAGAATGAACCACGTTTCGTGCCTGATCATTACTGTGCAGATTTCCTACACGCTGACGGGGCTGTGGTGAAGCCCTCCTAGTCTGCGAGACACCTCTAACCACCCTAGCCCCCTGTAATATCACCAAATCTGAACTCCACTCCAAACAATCAATCATAACAGCAGTGTCACTTGATGTCACTACATCGATCAGTAAGACCTCGGAGAGCTAAGAGCCGTCCTTTACGAGGCCGAAAATCATACCACACCGCATCTCGTATGTTGTTCTTCCGCCATCGCCGCGTTGGTTGCGATCATAACTCACTTTCGCCTTCTGCCCTCATGCCCTCCTCGACATCGCGCAACTGGTCCAGATTCACTCTGCACTCCTCCATCTTTTTAGACCAATAGAACATCTCCTCGCTGGCTGCTGCATGCTTTTTGCTGTGCTGCGGCGCCTCGATGCTATCGTACTTCTCCCAGGCGACACTGTGCTTGCGCTTGGCTTCGTTGAATTGGTCTGTCAGGAGTTTCTTGACATTAGCAAGGGCCTTCCACGGGGAGATCTTGGGCCGGAGAGTTGGTTCGTCAAGCATGGCGTTTTTCATGAGTTGTGTGATTTGGGCGGTAAAGTCTGGTCTGCCCACATCAAGTTCGTTCTCGATTTCATCTTCGGTTTCGTCGGCACGAGTCTGACGTCGAGATTGAAAGTGAGTCTGAGTCTGACATTCGGCAGCGTGGGTGACGTGTTTTGTTGCCTTCTGGGCGGTCAAGCGCTGGCATACAGCGCAGTTGTCGAGATGCTCTGGGTCGTGGCGGTGCAGGACGTTTTGTGCTTCTTGAGAGACTTGGGCTTGATTTTTTGCCTTTGCGGGCTTTGAGGGCTGAGGGTTGTTGACAGTGATGTCGGGCAGAATGTATGCAGAGGTCATGTTTTCGTCGAGAGAAACACGGCGGCGACGACGGGAAGTGTTCGATGCCGCGGTGGGGTCTTCCATGATGCTGTTCTCAGTATCGTTGAGGGCGGATTTCTTGTAAGACTGGGACTTATGCTGGTCGCCACCGAATCTGGAGGTTGTTCGTCTCTCGGATAATGGTGAGTTGGGTCTGTTGATCGGGACCGGGGACAAGACTCGTGCATCGTTCGAGTCTGTCGTCTTTGCGGCTTGGCCTGGGTGCGAATCGGTGGGAAGGTCTCTGTTGGAAGCGCGTCTGGCTGGAGATCTCTTAGGAGACTCGAATGAGCGGCTTAAATCGAAGAGCTCTTCCTCCACACGCGTCGAGGCTTTGTTTCTCTTCACCGAGGTTGATGTTTTCTTGGACGAAGCGTGGAGCAGCCTAAGCTCGAGGAGGGCTTCATCGCGCTCGCGAGTCAGGGTGTTAATAGTGTTCATAGCTTCGTTGAGGTCACGCTGCAGAGTTCGGAGGGACGCGACTATTTGTTTTTCATCGGCTGGGATCGTGTAACGGATCTGCACATTGGGGAGAGAGCCGTGATCCGCGAGGATTTGAGAGGTGTTTGGTATGTTGGTTGGCAGCATGAAGGACTGGCTGTTTTGGGACTTCGTGGAGACTGCTCTACTGAAGCGAGTTGATTTCTTCTGGGGCCGGTGGGTGGGAGGAGAGTTGCCAGGCGTGTACATGACCTAGAAATTGTGAGCAAGACAATGAGCATGTGTGATAAGCAAGAGGTACCTGGTAGTCACCAACGAATGCATCGGCAGAGTGAATGCTGCTGTAGCTGGTACCAATTGTACCGTGATCGAAGCGTGAGGGAGCCATGCTGTGTAAGATGTCGAGTGTATGATGTTGAAGGAGTAATGGGTGCGCTGAAGGACGCAATGTCGAAGGATTATTGCAAGTTTACATGTAAACAATACCAAATCCAAATCCGGAAATTCTACCGAGTGTCAGGATCGAAAGCGGCAAACCATCCGTGAATCACCATTTCTCGTATTGATTGATCGTTATGGATTTACAAAGGCTCCTCATGGCCTTGACGATGTGATCGCCTAGAACGATCATTATTATGAATTGGCAATTGATGATTTGCAATCTTCCTCAAGAGACGACCATCGAGCTTGTGACCTTCAACCTCTCGATTTCTCATTGAGAACGTCGTTCATGGGCGTCGGTTAGCCGCCCATGGTGCCTGCACGACAGCCGCGCCGTCCTTCCAGAGAAGACATGGGACGCATATCGCAGTAAAAGACACTGACCCTCCAGGATGAATAGGTGAGAAAGCAAATGTGGCACAATGATGATCGCAGCCGATCACCAAAGCCCTATCCCATATGAATTGTGCCGGCTGTTTGAAGACTTGTCGACACAGCCCCCCAGAAGGGACGAACGATATTTGAATGGACAAACCATCAGCCTCTTGTCTACTGATAGCTGCCGGTGGCTGCAGGTATTTACATATGCTCTGCCTGTTTGCTAGACCCAATGCAACAAGATTACGCGATCTTGTCGAGTCGCAAAGACCCTGGCTGCGGTGTCTCAGCAATTCGGACCCATGCCAGCAGTAGCATGCTTTTGGCGCTGACGTGCCTCTGCCCTCTGCCGCGCAACTCCAAGATTTCCGAGGCCAGCCACTGCCACCACCAAGACGTGCATCATTCCCCAGCTTACCATCTGACTGGATTTTAAACTCGTGTTATTCACGGGGAACGCATTTTCATTTCGATGTCAACCTGATACTTTACCACATATCCTATATCGTTAGACTTCCCGAATATTGCTTTCATTTACCACATCCCGCTGATAGTCATACTCTGTTTGCCCGGCGGCTGCAACCTGATCAACACGAATGGCCCGGCAGCGAGGTCTATAACTTTGGCCTCAATTTCTTGCTATATAGTTAGGCCAAAATGACGGTCCTGCCTTCCCGTTCATATTCGAAAAGGCATGTCGAGCGCCAATTACATTCACGGCAGAACGGGCCATCTGGAGGCGGCGGCGGAGGAGGATTCAGCGGAAGTGCTGTTACCATTGGAGTGAGTATTCCCAGCCTATGGAGGGCATCATCCTGACCATGTCAGATTGTCGCAGCCATAGTCTTCGTCATCACAGCTTCCATATTACTATACTCCTTCCTTCGAAAATGGAAGCTCCAGGGCAAGAGTCCACGCTACATCCCCACGAAGTTCTTGAAAAAGAAATGGCAGACATGGCAGCCTGGAGGGAAATACTCGGCCGTGCGCAACCGAGATCTATCGTCTACCAACACAGCCTACACCGGGAACAACATCAATGGCCCTGGGTCGGGAGCGGGCGTTGACCGTAACACCAGCGTCAGAAGTGTCATTACCTTACCCGCCTACTCCCGAACACCCCAAGATACCGAGCAGGTCATTGCCCGTGAAGGCGAAAGAGCCGGCATGGATACGGTCGTTGAGTTCCCCGAGACTGTAGATGAAGAGGAAACACGTCGTGAAGAACAAATGGAATCCCTCTACCAGATCCGGGTCGCCCGGCGCCGCGAGGTAGCAGAACGGGAGGAGCGCAGGCGTGAAAGGAGAGAAGCTCGAGAAAGAGGAGACAATACGCGGCTAGAAGAGCTGAGACGGGAGTCTCGTCAGCGCGCCAGTGAAAGTACTGCCTCTCTCAACGGTGGTGTCAGCGTCTCAGCCGCAACTCTAATTGCCGAACATCAATCCCGCGGGCGTGACAGCAGAATAGCGAGCGTCGCCTACGGGTCGCTGGGCGAAGTACGGCATGACGGCACTCGCATTCGTGCAAACAGCAATGAATCAGAAAGAGGCGGATTGCTGAACGGAGCTGCACCCATGGGCGAGGGAGGCGGTCGGCCTCGATTATATTCAGATGCCACATCGATCACGACAATGTCTCGGCAGCGTACTCGAGATCGATCAGTAAGCGACCTCAGTGTATCGACCGCAGGTTCGGAAGCGGACCGGCAGCCCACCCCAGGCTCGACCATTGCAGGCGATGGTCCTCGACCGCGGAGCTCACAGAGCGATGAGCCTCAAAGTGGGACTTCCAACTCTTCACCAACCGCAAACAGATATACGCCGGACGAGAGTACGGGGTCTGAAGACATCGGAGAGTCACGAATCCCACACGCAGATCCTGATCCGGCAGCTCAACCGCCGGAGTATGATGTCCTTGAATGGGGTGATGCACCTTCGTATGAGGCTGCTGTCGCTCGGGCTGCTAGTAATGCTACTGCTCGAACGGCTGGACTTCCAAGCAGAATCCCGAGTCAAGCTCCTCGATTGCCCCAACTCAATCTGCCCAGCATTAGCGTCTCTGGTGCTACGGAGCCAAACACGCCGGTGTCGGCAGGGCCGGAGACGGCTTTGCGCTCACCACATGAGAGCTGACGAGGCTAATGCGGATGGTGCTGAGACTGGACGCGACAGCTATACAGATCTCGCGCTGTAACAAGACATTTGCAGCAATTTGGCGCTCTAGACAGTTCGGCTTGCCATATGATGGATACAAAGACTATGTGTGAGGTGGAACGAGCATGACTATATGATTGGAATATTGCATCAAGCATGGCGTTGGAGGGAAATGGTTGATCGTAAATATGGGCATTAGGGATTGCTAATGTTAGTGTATCAAGCAAAAGCTCTGGCCGACGGATGGCTGGACGTTCAAACACAACGAAGAGAAATATGTGATCTTCATGCAACTTCCATTGCAGCTTGAACGTGCTGGCACATGCTCTGCCTGGTTACACAGCTGAATCAATTACCCTTCTACGGGTTCGACTTGGCCCTTCGGGCATTGGCTTCGGCTTCATCTGAACCTCGTTTCGACCACAGAGTCCAGAAACGCATGCCTCATTGAACTGAGCGTCGGTGCCGTCTTTGTGTGTACAGCATCCAGCCTTTTGAAAATGTTGGACTGAACGCTCTTTCCCCACCAACAACCATCAAAGCGGTTTATCGCACAATACCCTCAAATCGAGTCTTGAACCACTTGACGGTGTCGTCCTTGTGGACTTGATGGTTTCGGCCGACCTTGGCCTTGGCCCGTCTCCGTCTGGCCACTCGCGCACCGGGTCGTGACATACAGCAGTAGAAGTCCATTCCGTAGATACCGATGGCGGGATCGTACTTGATGCCCAAGTCGATGTGTTCTGAGATACCGAAACCGAAGTTGCCTGTCTCGCTGAAGTTCTTGCGGCGGAGTTCGTATTCCTTGACCTTGAGGCCTCGCTCGAGAATTTCTTCGGCCTTGGGGCCCCGGACGGTAACGTGCACGGCGATCTTTTCGTTACGACGGATACCGAAGGATCGGACGGTGTAGCGGGCTTTGCCTGTACAAGTGGTTAGTATCGAAGCAGGGACGGGTGAAAGGAAAGGTTCGAGGCGTACTGTAGACGGGAGTTTGACCGGACAGTTGTTCCAACACCTTTGCAGCACGGGTGAGACGATCGCCAGACTCGCCGACCGAGATGTTCAGGACGAGCTTGTCGATGCGCAGCTCGCGCATGGGGTTCGAGCTCTTGTCGTTGCCTTCCGCCATCGTGAATGTCTTGCAAGAGCGTTCAGATGTTGGGTTTAACGAGTGCGACAGAGTCTGTGGTGGTAGTGGATGATGGTAGCTGGAAGCAGGCTCAGCGTGCGGATTGAGTCGTCGAAAATCCAAGTGCGGACAAATTCTTCTTGGCAATCTGGCCAAGAGTTCGATTTTGACCTAAACCCAATTTGGTAATCCTGGATTGCTGCAGCTTTTTCTGAGCACTCGCGATCACCTGCAATTACAAGCCGAGCAGTCAATTAATTGAACATCGCTTCAAGCACATTGTCAGTTCGAGCCTGTGTCACTCTTCCCGGAGAAGTGTTGCAGCCATCGCCTGGCAGACGCAGTCGGGCTGCGGCTCTGTACTGCGCAAGCATACACATTTTTTGAACATCAAAACAACTACAATCCCGAAGAGTCAAGTCGCATTCGTGCGCAAAGACCGCAAAGATGGCAAACAAGCAAGGGAAGATGGTATGTTGGTGTTTAATCGCTGTGTTTCAGGTCATACATGCTAATTGTCGAGTAGCAAAATCTGGTACGGATGAACAGCCAAAGTGTGAGCTACGCCAACTAACTGCGAACCAGATCAACTATCGCATGCGTGTTACAATGAATGATGCTCGACAGATGACTGGCCAGATGCTTGCATTCGATAAAGTCAGTTCGCTCTCCTTTACTCAGTGTATATATGTTCGCTGACTGTCCATAGCACATGAACCTCGTCCTTGCCGACACCGAAGAATTTCGCAAAGTCAAACGCAAGCAGAACCGACCTGGTGCGCCCGCCGCGCCCGGCTCAGCAGCAGCGACCGTCGAGACGGAAGAGAAGCGTACATTGGGTCTTGTGATACTCCGAGGAACGAACATTGTCAGTTGCAGCGTCGAAGGCCCTCCTCCATCCGACCCATCCGCACGTCTTGGTCAGTCTGCGCCTGGTGGTGCCCCAAGCGCTCTACAGGCTGGAGCAGGAATATCAAGACCAGCGGGGCGGGGTTTGCCAGTCGGTTTGGGTGGCCCAGCAGCTGGTATTGGTGGTCCACCGCCTCCAGGAGGGTTTGGATTTCCGCCCGGTGGATTCCCAGGAGGCGCTCCGCCAGGCTTCGGAGGAAGAGGAGGACCAGGGGCCCCGCCGGTTGGTGGTCCGCCGCCGGGCTTTGGCGGACCTCCACCAGGATTTGGTGGCCCAGGTGGTCCTCCTGCTGGATTCCAGCCGCCTCCTGGATTCCAAGGTCCTCCAGGACAAGGAAGAGGCTTCCCACCGCCAGGGTTTGGAGGCAGGTAAAAGCTGTGTATGTGGACGAATTATGCTTGGGCATGAGTAGGGGGACGTCGCTTAGAGCAACCACTGCATGACGGACAGTCTGACCTGATTTGGGCAGAAGCACGTGCCTACTTCGACAGTAACAACATCTATGGGCCACACCGCGTGATGTCTAAGCCTCGATCGTGTCTGGGAGCAAGCCGTGCCTGAGGCTCGGACCACCAGATCAGAAGGTTCCGCATCAAGGATCAGCGCAATGGAGTATCAGGGAACAGCAGCGATTATGAGACGCGGCTTCGCTTTGCGCGCTCGGTATATGGTCGAAGGAACAGGCCTGTAGGGCCATGATCAGCAGAAGAAGATTACCATACCATATCGGGTCTTACGGAGTTGGTTAAGGGACAGATCAGGATCCTCATAGCAGTGAACAAACACAGATGATCAACGCATGAGAGTTTGCAAAAGGATAAACATCGCTCCATTCTCTCAATCTTGGTGAAGGTCTTTCCTGCAGAGTGGCCTTGAATGTCATGCTGTCGCCTTTCTAGCTTCTAATTGACTATGTATAGGCATATCGCGAGCATCATAATGAACGTCCCGACCGATTGTGAGATCACTTCGTCAGTCATCGCTGTTACTAAAACGTGCGGCAGAGGCAGCTCCACCCTCCTTCAAGGCAAGGTGGATTTGCTTGATGATTCCGATCTTATTTAGGAATTCTTTCGCTAAAGCAGTTGCGCTTCGACATGGCCAGGACTGCCGAATATATTTCCGTGGTTTGTCTTGGGAGGAGATAAAGTTGAAAGCATCACACCTCACGCATGGAACGGTATACGGAATACCTTTGTCAAAATGTATTCGAATAGACTATTGCTTCGCCAATGATGCCGAAGTTCAATCTGCATGTTGCTTCCAAATCGCCGTTGCTGTCTTTGGAAATAGGTCCCAACCTGGGCAGAGCCCTTAGCAAGTGGTGGAATTTATCTCCGGTCGGGAGTCGAAAAGTCGACAGCAACACTAAGGGATGTAACGTCTAGCCTCTCGCCAGGGCAAGCACAAGAGTCCAAGCAAACGTTCCGCAATATCCTAGACTTCGGATGGCCAGCTACGCCTCATTTGTCCATGACTCTCCAGGCTCGGGCTCGTAAAAATATGCTTGCAGCGAGCACCAGTCTTCTTTCTCTCTCTGCGGGAAGGTATTTCGCACTCCTTCCCCGGCATGATTCTACAAGGATGGACGATGCTGAGTAGTATGAAAGCCAGGAGCATCGGCAGAGAGTCCAGGCAATATTGATATGCTTCGTGGTTGGGGATGGTGCTGTCGAGACCATTGGAGTACTCGCAAAGGCGAAAGACAATTCGTAGCTGGTGCGAACAGAACGTGTTAGCTTTCCAGAGCAGTAGCCATTCATTAAGGGGGTCCTCGTAGTTACCGTGATCAATGCCAGGACGGCGTACACTGTGTATAGTAGTCTGAGAGCCTGTTTCTGGCTGTGCCGGTCCAGACCCTCCCCTCGGAGCAACGCTCGATGAAGCTGGGTAGCGAAAAAGACAAAGATGAGGATGAAGAGCTGCTGGATCCCGACGCCGGCCATGTAGATGTGTAGTCCTAGCGAAATCGTGAGTATCTTGCAGTCCACAGTGGGACGGCGTAGCAAGGCGTCAGGAGATGAGGAGAGGTACCTTGCAATGTCTGCGACACAGAAGTGCTTTCCTGCTCGGCAGAGGCTGCTCCATAGACTTGGATGATGAAAGCACTGTGATATATTGGGTAAGCTTAGTCGCGAAAAGCAGGCGATAGGGAGAGTAACACATACACCACGTCCAACATGACAAAGTACAGACCGAACCGCCATGCGGTGATGCCCAGGATTTTGGCGGTGGGAACGAAGTTCCAGACCATGCGTCCAACAATCATGTACACAAATGCGTTGGTCCAGAGGGGAGCGACCTGTGCCGAAGCAATTAGGTCAGTGGACAATATGGCCATGGAACAAGCTTGAGGGTAAAATACTAGAATCAGAACGAACCAGGCGCCATAGTCGCCCAGGCTGGCCGGATCTGCGATGCTGATGACTCGAAAGATGTAGGCGATGGTCTGCCAGAGTGCGCCCTGATCCGATGAAGTATGTGGTAAGCAAGATTGTCTCAATTCAGAGGGGAAGAATACATCGTGCACTTACCATCGAGATCACCCAGGTATACCACTTTCGGTAGTATATACCCTGCGCTACGTGGGCAGCGAACAGGAGGCCAAACAAGACGGTGAATGTATAGGCCGCTCCAATCGAAGGACAAAATGTCCAGAGTGTGTTGGGGTCAGTTGTGGCTGTTTTACTCGGTCAACGGCGAAGGAGTTGGAGGACTGTTCGTACACACCCTTGCACGTTTCACCCATGCTGAATGAGATTCAGGCTATACAATCCTGTTCCGGTGGGATGATATAGTGATTGGCACAGAAAAAGACCCTCCTTGGTCATAGCAGTAGCAATAGTAGGAGCAATAACAGCACCTCCATCTTCGCGAGCGAGGACGATAGATATACTTATACTTCTGGCAACAGGCATCGCCATTGTGAAAAAGATTCAAACTATCACAGCTTTTGTTAGAAACCTCTCCACTGACTTGGGGTGATGCACTCGGGAGTCTGAGCCTTGCATAACCAGGAGCTTTGCTGGACGAGCTCGTAAGGACATCTCCACCAAAGCCTCACTAGCCCGCTGGCTATCCCGATTGTGGTCAACCGTCGACCTTTTTCCATACTCGCGCTTTGATCTTCTCGTGCAAATCGGCAGGGATTCAGGCAGCCCAGATTGGTGGTTGATGGTGGCAGTTGAGTCTCGCTAGTTACAAGGCCCCCTTCAAAAGGCATGACGGCCCTCCTCTTCCACCATCACGAGGGGTCTGTCTCGTATAGAACATCGAAGACCCAAAACCCATTATCAATATATTGGTGCCTGAGATGAAACTCGACAAAGTCGTCGGTAGCCAACGACGTTGAATATGCCGAGAGTGAAAGCCGCCCACCGCAAGCGCTCTTACGCCCCCAAGAGCAGATCTGGATGCATCACATGCAAGTAAGTCCTGCAATTCCTCTGAAATCCCTGAGTCTGGTGCTGAAGTTCTGGTCCCAGGAGTGCGTTTTGAGATACTTCGTCAGCGCAGGCTGCGAGCTAATCCCAACATTCTTCCACAGTCCGTCGTGTCAAATGCGACGAAGGCAAACCGAGCTGCAACAGGTGCCTGTCGGGCCCCAGTCGCAAGTGTGATGGCTATGCCACGGAAAACATCCCAGAAAACGACAGCCAAGGGCTTCTTCTCGTACGGCTACCCGAGTACTCGGCCATTTCGGGTGACGAGCTCAGAGCCTTCCAATTCTTCAACGAGCATACCCTTAGTCAACTCCCTGGCTTTCACAGCTGCGAATTCTGGGACGTTATAGTCCGACAGATTGCACACGAGGATGTTGCCGTCCGACATGCTCTCGTTGCTCTTGCCGCGTTGCACGAGAACTTCGCCGCAAAAGGCGACAGCTCGAGCAAAAGCAGAACTCCCGAAACCGAACATTTCGCCTTGAGACAATATAACCTAGCCATTCAGCGGCATCTGCAACAGATTGCGGCAGCAACCTTGGACAACAGCAACACCAAACGACTGGAGCTGGAGCGCTACCTGGTTTCGTCCTTGATATTCATCTGCATAGAGGTGAGTCAACCACCTATCCGTTTCTTTTTCTGCGTACTCTGTTGCCATGCGAATGAAACGGATAACTGACCAGCATTGCTCGCAGATCATCCGCGGCCACTTCGCATCATGTATGTCCTTGTTGAAGCGGACGTTTGGCATTTTTGCCGATCTCACCAAAGACGTCCCCAAAGGACAACGACCACCCGGCGGCCTTCTTGAAATCTTCGAGAGGCAGTTGAACAGGCTTGAGGCGCAGTCTATTGTAGTAAGCAAATTGAACACTCAACCTTCACTCTCTTTCTTCTCACATGACACTTATCGCAAGGCCTTGAAGAAAATGAGACTGACACGACGCTGTACAGCTCATTGGCTACGATGCTTGGGATGGACAAGAAGCCCATGCCAGGGAGTCTCAGGCCACAGTCACTGTCCGCCGACAACCAGTACTGCCAGCCATACCCGAAGCCTTCTCCACAGCTACAGAAGCTCGCGACTGTTTCGAATCTTACATGCATGCATTCGCCCTGGCAACGGCCCGTCAAAGTGACGATGCTGTGGTAGACGACAGCGACACAGATACCGCCATGTCGCAGAACAAAAGCCCGAATGCGTACCTCAACGGCTTCGGCCGATGGTCACATGCTCTGGATGCCACAATGCAGCACGCCCAAACCAACGATAGCAACACCTCTCCTCCCAACGAGAAAGAAAAAGAAAAGGAGCGCTGCGCATCGCTGGTTCTGCACATGCACCGACTCATGGTCTCCACATCGGTGGATTTGCTTTCCAGGCAGCAAACCCCAACAGACACCGACGTCCAAATGTCTTGGGATAAATACACCAACGTCTTCGAGGAGGTCGTCAAGATCGGAGAGTCAATATTGTCTCCAACAAGCAGCCCTAGCCCTTACAGCGTCGTAGCAGATGCTAGCCATAGTATTTCCCCTCCAAAGGCCAAAATGAGACCGTACTTCACCCTCGACATCGGCGTCGTCGCACCATTATACGACATTGCTCGTCGGTGTCGGGACCCTCACGTCCGTCGACGAGCAATCGGCCTTCTCTACGCGTACCCGAGGCAGGAAGGCATGTACAACGGGGTCCTTGCCGCCCGAGTCGCCGAGCGAGTTGTACAAATCGAAGAAAACGGTTTGGGACATGTCAGCTCCGCCACCGATATCCCCGACTGGGCCAGGATAAGCGACGTGCACCCGGTCTTCGACTTTGAGCGGAAGCGGGCACTGCTGTGCTACCGGCGGCGTGGTACACACGGCGCAGTCAGGAAGCCTGTACAGGAGGTCATGGATTGGGATTAAAGATCTCAAACAGTCTGCATGGAAACCATCTTCATGCTGGAGCGGGAAGGAGGGAAAGCCTGCTAACAGCAAGCAGGCAAGCGGAAGCGTGCCACTGGAGATTAGTGCACCTTTGCAAAGTACACAGGTTCCTGAGCACAAATGAGCGTTAATAAGATCTTCTCGTCCCCATCAACACCGGGTGCCCTTGTGTTTGCATGCAATATCTGAAGGGCTACGCAGCCTTCGGCGGACTGCATGTGAATACAGTGCACCAACAGCAAAATTCTAGTCCCACAACTAGTACCAGCTGGCCAACAGAAAGATATCAGGAATGTTTGACCGGGATGCCCTGTAGATTCTACAAGTACTTTGTATGTACTGTATTGTTCGCCGTTTGAGACGAGGTCTGCAGGAGATGTAAGGAACTTGACCTATCACAGTATATCGACCACCTACGGATCAAGGAGACATACCATGTTCGTAAATTGATAGCTCCACAAGCCACCTTGAATAGTACTGCTGGTCACATTGTCCGCCTCCTTGGTTGGAGCATGCAAATTTTGACTGCTCAGGGGTCACTGCATACTGGTCGAGTTTCCGTACTCCTAGCAGTGCTGGTTACCACATGCGGATGTCTGGATATAGGAATCGGTGGCAGAATTCCGCATCTGGGACGGTAACCAAGAGTCTGTCGATTTTGCCATCCTCGTTTCTGACCACATTAAACGTTTTCGAGAAATTAAATTCCATGATATTGATGGCCGTAAGCGACGAACAGGCATCGAAACAGCTCCTGGCTGCCTCTTCGGGAGGACCGTCGTACTGGGCGAGGATATCCCCTGTCATTCGTCAGCCGCACCGCAAGAGTCATGCTTGTGAGGAATTGCATACGGCGGTACCCTTTGTTCACCCACTGCGTACACGGAAGGGAGAGTGTCCGCAGGTTGCACATGGTATTGAAGCATGGTGCAAGACTCTGCCATATCTCAGCCAAGTGTCGGATGTTCAGCTTTGGAACACATCTTACCTTGAGCATAGTCCTGTGGAGGTTACCTGTGAAGCATAGCTCCGCAACACCGTGTAGAAACTCGAGAGCCTCTTGTGCTTGTCAATCGTTGTACACCAATGATGGATCTTGGTTTGTTACCACTCAATCGCTTGCGTGTCCAATTGAAACCAGAGTAAGCATCCAATGTCACAGAGTGAAGACTGGTCATGCTGGGTAGAATTTCGAGTGTATTCTTCCACCGGCGATCAGGGTAGGTTGTGATAAATGTTTCGAGGTTGGGGCACGCGCGAAGGATGAAAGCAGAGTCCGGTACATAACGGATGCTGAGTTCTTTGACTGCCGGTAGTGTCACACCGTGGAATGCGGTTCGAAAGGATGCGGTCACGTCCATCTGTGCGTTAAGTTCGATGCAGAGTATGGCAAGGTGCGGCATGGACGTGAGGGCTGCGACCGGTGAGGGTCCATATTGAGATGCTTCGCCGGCTCTTTTGTGCGGGCTCACTTTCAAGGCACTGCAGTCGGGTTAATAAAAGCCTCTGCCAGGCACGATTTTGGTAAATACATCAATCTTGAAGCCAGGTGAGGTGCCCTAGCGAGGGCTTGCATATGCCCTGTGAAATCCTCGAAGTCTCGTAGATTGAGCTTGGCGAAGTTGAAGAGGAGTCGAAGACATAGATGTCTGAAACGTTTGTCGACTCTTGAAAGAGTTTTGAGCGGCGTACGTTGCCACCAACAAGGCCACGAAGACGTAGCCAGACAGCTCACTTGCTTGACGATCAGCCAGAGGCAGTCATCAGACAGCCGGGTGGATAGAGGCAGGATGAAAGGGTGCTGACCGAGTGAAGTGTTGCCGTTGTGCCATTACTGGTAGAAAACGGATCGAGACAGGACTTGGATGTTGTACGATGGACCGGGGCGTTATGCAGAAATGGTCGCAAGCCCGAGAACCGAATGAATAAGAGAGAGGTTGTAAATGGGAGTTGGGCGAAGCGAGGCAGGCGTATGTCAAGTATCATGTTGCACCATGAGGGAAGAGGAAGTCACCTGTGCGAGTAGTGACGATAAAGTAAGAACGAGGGGAAAACAAGAAGGAAGGCAGCTTGGGAGCTTCCTCAGTAAATGGTGCGTGAATCATCCTAGGAACTGGCTCACTCTGGTGTGATGTCCTCCTTCCTGCATTGAATCAGCCAAGAGTCTCGATACATCTTGAGGCCTTTCATCGATGGATTTTGCGGCCGTACTTCTCTTTCTCCATAACCGTTCGAACTCGCGTCGTTGAAACAAGAAAGCGTTTGTTCAAAAGCCATACATCGCCCTAATCTACAACCCTGGCGTCCACTTGCTGCGGACACAGCTTTCACTCGACCCGCAGACACTGCAACCTGGCCTCAGTCTCAATGACATCCAACGCCTGTCTGACCTCAAGAACTTTCCGCACATCGCCCAACCAATCTTGGCTCAGAACCTTGGCCCAGCCCTGGAGGGTGTTCATCTCTCTTGCCGCGCTGTCAAGGTCGCCTTCCTCCAACAAAGTCTCGGTGCGAGTCAAGATACTCTCGACATCTGTGCCAGTGGGTTGGCCATGCTTCTTGAAAAGGACTTTGGATAAAAGCAAACTGGCTGCATGAGACGCGACACCTGCGTTTTCAGGCAGTAGACTAGCTTTGCGCACCTCGTTGGCCACGCGGCGGAAGCGGTCAATTAGCTGTGGCTGGCTTGGGATGCCCTTCTGGTAGGCCGCGGGATTGACGGAGGCAATTGCCGCGTCAACGACCGGGTCTCCCTCAGCTACGAGCTTGAGGGCGGCCATTTCCCGTACAAATGCCTTCGGTCGCGCATCCGAAGCAGCGGATTGAGCGAGTGCAGACCGGACCGCGTCAACTGCAACTTGCAATTTTTGGGTTGCCAAGTTAGCATCGATGACACCATTCCAATTGGAAGTGAGCTGAGTCAGGTTGTCAACGTTGTTGCTTAGGTCGGATAGTTTAGACAGACGGCCCTCTCGTTCTGACTCGACCAACGTCTTGATCTGCGCAACGAAATCGCGTTTCATCTCGATGGCCTGCTCAGCAAGCTCATTCTTAAGTCGTTGCTCAGTAAGCTCAGTACTGCGCTGGACCTCGTTCTTGAGTCTTTCCTCGTACAGTTGTGCGAGACGTCTACGTTCGGCCTCGAATTCTTCCCGAAACCTGGCTTCGTCTTCCGCTTGAGCTGTTTCGATCCGCCTCACGAGTTGTTTGGCACCTTCATCGAACTCCTTGTGTGCCTGTGCGATTCGTTCTTCGGCGGCCTTATGTTCTGCGTCTCGGAGTTGATGGATCTTGCCAGCAACTACTTCGAGAGACTCCTTGGCTTTCGTCATTGGCGCGGAATATTTGTTCGCTGCATCGGGAGAATCGGAGTTGACAACTGTGATGAGGTCGTTGACAATCTTGACGAGTTCTTGAACCACTGGTTCATCGGCATTGGGGACTGCTAGCGGTGAAATCTGAGTCACCGGAGGAATTGCTGGCGGTCGTGGGTCGGACTTTGGACTAGGTGTTGCTGGGCTGGGAACAGCATGTTCTGGCGCCGGGTTGACCGGTTGACCACCGCTTGCATCGGCACTCTTTGGAAGAGGGGCCTCTTTCGCCGCAGAATCTCTCTTTGCGGTCTCCACAGCTGCGCTCTTCTCTTTCTGAGTCGCAAGAGCAGGGTCGCCCTTAGCTTGAGTAGCATCCGTCTTTGTTACGGGCTTGCCGGAGTCTAATGCACTCATATGCTTGCCTTTTTGCGTCACATCACTGCCCTTTGGTTCATCCTCTACGGCTCTCCACGACAGTCCAGATCTCTGGGGAATGGTGGTTGTCTTGCCGTCGATATCTGACTTATCAGACCGGGTAATTCGGTGTATGTTATGCTTAGCATGAGGAAACCTCTTCTGGAAGGACCGTTCCTCGAAATAGAGCACCGCTTCCTCTCCATAAGGAATATACTCGGTGAAAAAGTCGTGGAAGTTATCATTCCTCAAAGCGTAGAATACAGCTCCTCCGTAACTCAAGCCACCGAGTAAGAGAAGGTAGAACAGGAGTCTGAGACGGCGGAATCGTCGCGGAGGCGGGGCCGATGCCTTCGAGGAGGGGGGAGGCGGCGGAGTGGATTCAGGCGGGCTCACGGTGGAGGGAGTGGTTGGAGGCGCTGTCTGCACTTGTGCCGGACTAGGCGGCGCCTTTGGTACGTTCTCTGGAGGAATGGTCGAGGAAGAAGTCGGCGTCGCAGGAGTCGGTCGAGGAGCTGGGCTTCCGGGGCTGCCAGGGCCTAGTGGCACTTCTGTCTTGACAGGAGCCGCAGGACTTTGGCTTCCAGGCATAAAAGCTGGTTCGGAGCTCGAGATAGAGTCTTTTTTCTCTGCGAAAGTTCTCCGCTGTATCCCGATGTCAGTTGCAACGAGACTCTCCGAAGGACGAAATTTTGACATACCTGAGTGATGGCAGCTTGCGCAAGCAATCGTCTGCGCAACTGGGCGCTGACGGGCCTGGCTAGTCGCAGCATGACTGGCTGGACTGCCATCTGCAGCCTCTGTAAACGAGTGTGAGGTGTGGAAATAGATGGCTGAATGATTCCATCCAGTGTCTACAGCAAATTGAGCTTGGGAAGCAAGCTCCAATTCAGGACACGCCGCCTTTACGTTATCAAGTTTCAGTCCTCTACAACCCATCACGTGACTATATCTGTAAAAAGCAGCGTCGTTGTCAGGTTCAGACGAGCGCGTTGAGGTGCCTAGTACGGAGTATCTGATTTGAATTGCCTTTGTGCGTGCCGACGACGTCTTCGGGACTTCGTATACAGTCTCCTGCGACGACCTGCAAACTTGATAATCACCCTAGGCTGCGCGATAGTTTCAAACTCAACATGTAAGTGTTTCTGCATCTTTAAAGCAAAGGCAATAATGGCAACAGCGACGAATGGAATTTTAGGCAGAGAGCACCAAGGTCCAGAAGGACTAACCGTCTCGCTTCAACGCCTCGCTCAAATTGGTATACAAGGTCATCAAGCCAAAAGCACCCAAAGCCACAGTACTGTAGTAAAACGATGCCCACATGGGCAAAATGTGCCGAGTAGATACTCGAACAGGTATGATAATGCTGCCTGTTCTCCGCGTTTTTAGTCGTCAACAACCTCAAGCAATCCAGAGCAACCATTTCACCGTCTTCAGGGTGACTCGAATAGACCCAAGGATCAGTTGTATGATAGAGACAACGGCCCAAATGAGCCAGAGCAATCCGACAACTGTCCATTCAATTCCAGCAAACCAGACTTTACGTAGAAGCCTGATCGGGCCTCTTCGTCTTCTTCGAAATGCGACTTCAATCGTATCATTCAACCCTTTTACAGCGAGTGTGCTGGTCGTAGTGAGTTTCATGCTCAACTGGCCCACTCGGTCAGCTGTCGTTCTGACTTGGGGTGTCATTGTGTTCTCAATCAGATCCTCGAGTGCCTGCAGCTGCATATGCTGACCTGGGGCAACAGACGAGCTAAAATCATTCAATTTGTCGTTGAAGGTCGAGGAATAGTCGTCCAGGTTCTTCATAATATTTCTCGCTGCCATGATGTACAACTCTCGCTTCTTGACACGCATTGATTGTGCCGTGTGCAATGCCCTGTCTTCCGGCGTGAGTGTATCGACGAAGAATTTCGGTAGATCTACTTTTTCCTCCGCTGCGCGACGTCCAATCTCTCGCGCCTTCACCGTCGAGCTGAGCAAGAGAGCTTCAGCACGGCCGATGTCGCGCCAGGAGATGCCTTCAGTGTCGGCTTCTTCCTCGGTAGCTTCAGACCCAGCCGTATGGGCCAAGTCACCAGCAGATCGACTTCCATGGAGGCCTTTCAGACCAGTGGCAGAACTGATTGCAGTATTCAAAAGCTCGGATGCGTCGCGAGACCGCGTCAAATCAAGGGCGGCCCCAAAGCCATAGCTCTGCTTGCGATCCAAGTCGTTCGATGATCTTGCACTTCCAGTGTCGAGTTTAGGCAAAGCCAGGCGGCCAAGTCGTGGTGAATGAGATGATGACCTGTGCTGTGCAGCAAGTCGGGAGATGTGATCTGTGCTATCGGACCTGATTCTCCCGTCATCTGTGGACAGCAGCCCTTGCTTCCTCTCCTGTTGTTCCCTATCTCTCTGAAACGGTGAGGTGAAGCTGGGAAGGTTGGGATTGTAATATCGAGGTCGTCCATTTGAAGGAGGGCTGAGCCTAGTTATTGTCGGTGACAGATGCTCGCTCTTTGTGCTTGAGATAGTTGATGACCTTGTTGGTGGGTGCATTGGAGGTGGAGTTGTCAGGACAGTGCCGTTTACACCGGCCTCCCTGTCAGAGTCAGATCCCGGGTATGAGCGAAGACTTGTCTCTGAAGCAGACGGTCTGTGCTTGTAGAGTGGCGGAGGTTCTCGCTTCCAGATGAAATCTCCAACTCTCGAAACTTCATTGCCTACGAGCTCTGCGATGCGTCCGCCCTTGAAGATGCCTCGAAGCCTAGAATGGTCACTGCCGCTGGTTCCTGCGGAGCGAGTGGTGACTTTGCTAGCTGCATTATAACTGTTTTCGCCTGAGTGCTGTAGAATCAAATCGTCGGGTTGTGGGGACTCGGTATGGTTCTTTGAGGATGGACTCATACCTCGTGTCATCGGACTGGTACCGCGCGAGCCACTACTGTCCAAATGATTCTTCACTTCGCCTGCGAGCTGATTGGGCTGAGCTGATGGAGCACGCGCGAAGTCGGTAGCACTGATTCGCTCGTTCTCTTCATGGTCATGCTTACGCTGAAATGGAGTTAGAATTGCGGATATAGGTTTCCTTGCTGGGGATGGTGCTCGGCTTGGGGGAGGTGACAGGTTAATTGCGATACTCGGCCACTGGGGTCCAGTAGGCGAGTTTTGAACGGTAGTAGTGTCATAGTCACTCGATGCACGTGGTGGTCGTTCCTGCTCGAGGCTTGACCGCAATGGCATTCTCGTCGAAGTGGGACGAGATGACCCTTCCCTGTTGCGTGACCTGCTTAGTGGTGAGGCCTTCTTGAGAGTGTCTATTTTGAGTATCTTTGCGAGGGCAGAGTGATCCACTGAAGACCTTTTGGAATTCACAGCAGAAGATCCCTGGCTGGAATCGCCGACTCGGGGAGAATGTTTCGACGGTGAGCTGCTGCCTCGCGCTTTCTGGCCCTCCTCACCGGGCGATTGCAGCCGTTTTCGCCGCAATCGTCTTCGTCCACGTTCGATTGCGTCCCCGTCCGAGGAAGACGATGCTGAATCGTCAGATTCGCTATCGTGAAATAGCTTTCGTCGAATTCGAGAGCGCTCTCTTGAACTGCTCGACTCTTTGATCTGAAGAGAATCCTTGAATTTGCTTCTTCGACGAGCATATTTGTGGGGACGATGGGCCGATTTGAAGGTGGGTAGCTCTGGCAGAGCTGAGGGAGGTGCTTCGTCCGAAGTAACAGTGTCTATTTCGGGCGCAGGAGACGGCTGCTGTAAATCCGACCGCATGTCCAGAGGAGTCGTGTTCCTCCACCCAGAGAACTTAAAATGTGTATCGGGAGGATAGATGAGGCTGTTGTCACGATCCTGTATCTTGGTCTTGTTCATACCTTGTTCCAACCAATACGCGTCTGCGATGAGATCAGCAGGATGGGTAACCCAGTCGGACCGTGGTCGAGTGGGTTTGGAATGATATGGATCTGGTATTCGAGGAGATGTAGCACGCTTGGGCTCATTGAGGGCGTCTTCTCGGTCTTCATCGTCGGACTTTGCCGTCCTCTGATCAAGCGGAGGCAAGCGAACGCATTCAAGTTCGTCATGCTGGGTCTCTAGATGACTCGATATCACTGCATCCACCCAAGCCCTGACTTTCTCAACATCATGCCATCCGTCTGCCTCGCTGTCAAACGAGGTCTTCTCCCAGATCCGCAACTTGCGATTTCGCACGTATTGAAGAGGGTTGTACGCCTTTTGCATTGCTTCAGGGCCTGTGGATGATGCCGGGCTGCCTGGCTTGCGGATCGGAGGAAGGTGTGAGAGTAGTCGACGATGCTCGTGGGCAATCTCGAAGTATATCTTCGCCTTTTCCACACGAGCTGCTGTAGCTGGAGATATCTGGTCTGCAAAGTCCATATCATAACCAAGGCCCTCATCTAATTCGGAATAGTTAGCGTCCGGTAGGGGGTTAGACTGTCTTCCTTTTGGCGAGCCAGTCCGTGATGCTTGTCGATTTGTTGCAAGAAATGGAGCAATGCTCTTTCCTCTGACCGAGTTTCTGGGGTCAATCGTAGACGCAGTCGAGATGACACGGCGTTCCCCCTGCTCCATAGAAACATATCTCCTACCCGAGGCGAGCCTGCGTCGGCCCTCGCTCAAACTGAGCGCCATTTGAACAATTTGCGCCGGGTCCTGAGCGTAGCCAACATTTGCCACAGCGGGCTTTTGGAATTCGGCATTGCTCGAGCTTGATGCTGCACTTCCATTCATACGGACGACCCCCTGCGTTGAGGACAGGGACCTTCGGATATCCGTGCCTGGAATCAGAGTGTCCGAAGTCGAGTGGTCGTGGACGATGGGATCTCGTCTAAACTCGCTGGCTAATGGTGAACTCCTGAAGGACGAATTCGAATTCGCATTGTTCCTTTGCCTCCTTTTTGAGACCGATAGGTCTGACCCTGCGCTCTCTCTTTTCTTCCTTGAGTCGCCATGGGCAGTCGTCCACGATGATTGCGAGAAACGCTTCTGGTTGGTGATCGATTCAAGCAAAAAGCCGCCAGAGTTTCGCTGGACATGATATAGAACAGCATCATTTTCTTTTCCCTTATCCTTGCTCTTGGATTCGTCACTCCGTACGCTGCTGCCGAAGGAAAGGCGTCCCGAGATGAGATGGGCCTCGTGGTCGCCACTTCTACTTTCGCTGTGATGGCTGGGTGCGCTCGAAGCCACTAAATCTGGTCCCGCCTCTCCTCCTCTTGAATAGTCATGGACAGAATGGAAGGCGGGAAGAGATGGATGATTGTTGTCGTCGGCACGATCTTGGAAGACTTTGGTGGCAACTGGGCCATTGGGACGAACTGGGGTAGAAGCCGACATTCAGGCACCTGCTCATGGGCGCAGGTGTTTCGCGGACTATCGCAGCTCCCTGCGTGATGGAGACAATTGAATCATTGCGGCTGAAGAGTGTCGCATGTAAGGGTGTCGGTCACCGAAGGTCACAGATCTCGTGAATCCCAAACGCAAGTCGGGTAAGGGGGAGATGGTAGACGTATGGAAGGGATTTGGTAGACCGAACGAGCAGGAAAGGATGGCAAATCGTATTCTGCTTTTGTGTATATGAAGAGACGGCTTCAATGGCAGGTGAGTTGGGAAGTATTGATGATCAAGCCTGGCCGAGGCAATGGAGAATTACTGTAAGATGTTGACGTGCCTCAAGAAAGTCGGCCTACAGTTGGTCAAGAGGCTGTCACTAACTTAGCCTGGCGAGCCTGCTGAGCCCCAATCCCGGCGCGACATTTCTATCAGTACTTGAATTGCCACTAGCACTCTACAATGAATCTATCCTAAAGTATCTATATTCGTACAGAGGTCATGACAGGCCGTCTAGAAGAACGATAAACGAAAAGACCATCAGGACTTGCGAATAATTCCCACGATCCACAGGTTCTGAGCCCACCTTTACCCCGTGCAGCCTAAGCAAATAACCGGCGCCAGTGACACTTGTGGAGATGGGGAGGAGGCCTCACCATCCATTGCAATGGGGACCATCATGGGCCGTGGACACCGAGCTCCTTCTCATCTTGCATGCGTTTAGCTTGCTGTTGCAAGTGTTGGACGCAGGAGTCCATCACTCCCCCTCTATCAACTTCAACAAAGCGAGTTTAGCGTGCTCGCTAGTAGGGATTCTGTTATGTCCTCCATGTCGAAGCCTTTCCCATCGGAGCTCCTTCTTACCATCAGCACTCTTCCACTCTTCGTAGTCAAGATTGCGAGAGAAGTCAATGCTGCCATTTGATGCGCGATCCAGCACACGGTCCCAGCTGGCACGACCTTGACGCCACGGGATTTCCCAGTCGTCTCGAGCGTGCATCATTGTCAGTTTCAGCTCGATGTCTGGATTGCTTGCTAATTCCGTCAATCTTCTCGTGGTCTCCCATTTGTCCGCGATCTTGGAGAGCACCCATTGCTGTAGGCGGGGATAGGGAAGCAATGGCGACAATAAAGGAGGTGTTAGCCCTTTAAAAGAGTAAGTCTCCAACAACTCGGGCAGAGAGGTGAAACTGGCGATGAGCACCAGTGCTTTGAATGGTGGCAGCCCAAGCTTCAGTACCCAGTCGCGGTAAGCAGCAGTTGCAGTGAACGTTCCCATCGACTGGCCAACTAAGATGACTCGACACGGATCCACGCCTTCAGACTTCTGGTCTCCATCAGACCTTTGGCCTGTAACGGCTGTCAACACCGTGATGCCATCTTGAATTACGCCCTCCTCGGTCGGGGTCCCGGTACTCAGGCCGAACCCACGATAATCAAAGGCAATCACATGAACAGGCTTGTCTGGCGTCGAGGAGCTCATGATTTGCTGATACGTGGGAGGACGGTAGGATGAGGCGATGTGCGCAGCATTCCCATGAAAGCTTACCACGACAGTTGCATTGGGGTCGTCCAGTAGGATCCGAATGCCTTCGGTATTTACGGCTTGGTCCCATGGCTTGAGCCCAAAATTGGCCTGACTCTTCAGTTCTTGTTCGTGTTCGCGATACAGATGAAGTGGTAATATATGCCAGGCGAACAGAGTGACATTGTCTGGCGTGGTGACCGTGAATGGCTGGATTTGATGATACAAGAATCCAAACTGCTCGGTATTGTTCAGGTCCTGGAAATAGGTCGGGTTGATATTGTGAGCATATGTCGCATTCCGCTGGACAGTGGGATGTGTGAGGGCTCCGATCACCAAGGCATACACCAGCCCACAAGCCGCAAGAGTCCAGTACGCTCTTCGGAAGAGGGTGTTGAAAGCCATTTGGACGGCCCTGAAAGAATGCGAGTGTGCAGAAAAAGAACACCACCAAAGAATGACACCGCCCAGATCAAAATCCTAATGCGCTCGCGTCATTGCGTAAGACGCCCGAGAGACTCAGATGAGGCATGAACAATTCGAGCTGTTAAGGAGTCTACCACCAGTAGATCTTATTGACGACCTGTGAAAGTCGTTATGTGTTAGCCGCTAGCTTACTACGAGCAACGAGTACGGTCGAGCTGTGTTAGTCCGTAGTGGCTCAGTTGATATCCTCCTCGCCAGACCTTCCCCCTTCCTTGACAGGTCTTTGTCGGTCTCATCGGTTACCCTTCAAGCCTTCCAATTCTTGTTATATTTCTCCTCTTCCCGCAAACCCGTCGGCAACATCGCGTCGAACTCTCCAGAGGGGCAATGGCGGACGCGGCGCCTCCGAAAAGAGTCTTACCGGCGCGGGATCGAGGCAATTCTAGAGCGAAAAGAAGAGCATCATCTCCAGTCCTGCCCGCGGCCACCCCAACTGCCCGTAAAGCTTCGACACTAGAACCCTCGACCGAGCCTCCTCGTCAAAAGCGCAAATATACGAAACGCGCAGGTCTTGTCAGATTTGAGACACCGACATCGTGTTCGTCGCCCTCCGTGTCCATCGCTGAAGAAGTCTTACCTACCCGACTCGTGGTCAATAAGCCTCTGCCTACATCAAGGGAGAAGCAGTCAACGAGTTTGTCTCCAAATGAATACCAATCCATTGCAGAGAGCGCCATCCTCGCGGCGTCCCTCCATCGATCTCGCATGCAATGGCTATGTGATGGGGTTTTCAAGAAGTATTGGGTCAAACCTGTCAAAAGGAAGGGCGTGATCGAGGCTCCCCCAAACAATCCCGACGGCAAGACAATGCACAAGCTTGGAGGTGCTACCATCACCATTGAGCCACATATCTTTGATGCTATCTTCTACACCGTGAAGGATTCGTCCGTTCCTCAACCTCAACCATACCACCGACATCCCAACCAGCACACGGCCAAGCAGATGATACCTCCCCCGCCTCCATATGGCATGTATCATTCACCTGGTCCGCATCAAGCTGGGCGACCTTCTGTCACTGGACCGACGCCACCGCCCCAGGGACATGGACCACCTCCAACACCAACTCCTGCTGCACAGGCACAGCCTGCCCCGTCTCCTAATCCTCCGGCTACTCAGCCAGCTTCTTCTACCCCCACTAGCGGTCCACCGAAGGCAATGAACCAACAATCTACACAGTTGCAAACACAAAATGCCCCGCCTCCGTCTCAACCTGCATCGGCCGCGCCCTCGCCCAAAACGCCAGTTCAAACACCACGGTCAGATCAGAAGCAGCCGAGTCAGCCTCCTGGTGGGAGACAGAGCACCACTGACCCAGTCATCCAGATGCTAGCCGCGAGAGCTGCCTCTGATCCACAACTCAAGGAACTGATGAAGGTGGTGGCGACATCAAAAGCATCGCCAGAACAACTCAAAGAGTTCCAGGCTCATATCGACGAATTCAACGAAGTAGTTCGACGACAGGAAGCTGAACGACAGGCAAAAAGCGAGGAGCTATCATCAAGTAAAACATCATCGGACCCCGCCGTCCCTGTATCTGCCGAAGGCGCAAAAGAAATGAAGTCCGACTCCAAACCACCAACACCGCAACAGGCAATTCCTGTACAAACTCCAAAGCCTGCCCCTGCCCCTGCCCCTGCCGCGGCACATCCCTCAACATACAGCACACCGCAGGCACCACCACGTCCACCAGCCCATCCGCCCGCAAGTGGGTTGCCTGGAGTGATGCATACTTTCCCTCATCAAGCTCATGGCTCGAATATGGGCGGACCGACGGGTGCATATGTGGGATACCATGCCCCCCCACCTCCACCGCGGCCGGAGCCCATTATCAAACACATTGTACTAGAGATTACGAGCACTCCCTCGGGCAGCCAGCCGGCGTCTACCGATCGTTGGCTCTTCCCAGAATATGCAGTGTTGGAACTACGACAAGGAGGCCTGGAAATGCTCTGTTCTTTCCTGGTAGAACGCCGCGGCTCTGAAATTCTCGCCGGCATGGGCAGCCAGTCTGCAGAAGAGGACATTGAGACGCCGCATACTAAATGGAAGGCGGAGCAGGAATACTATGTGCCGGTAACCATGACCGTCAAAGCGACTAACCATCGCACGATAGAGACCATTGCTCGGGCTGCCAAGTTACTGCCGCAAGTACAAGAATACATGAGGAAGGTACTCGACAAAGGGGAGCGAGCGCCCAGAGAATATCTGGTCCACCAACTGCCACGCGAAGTGACTGTGGGGGCGGATGGGACGGAAGGGTTTGTCGACAGTGGAGTGGAACTTGCAAGTGAATCCTCTTCCGAAGACGACGAATTGAAAGATGTGTATGGTATATAGAAAGCAATGGAGCTGGCGATCGTCATGATTAGTTGCAGTTCGGTTGGGTGAAGCCGGAAATGAGCACGAATACCTGGTATCATTTACTACTACGAGCGTACCAGAAGTGGACAGTTCAGCGATCAGCGAAGACAAATTTCAAAACCACCCACTTATGCTCGTACGGTGGCACTGGTGGCACTCCGTACTCATACGGGTATGCACAAGGCCTTCCAGGGGCCAGCTCAGTACTGTACTGACTTGGCTTGCTGACCATGGAGCTGTAGTATTGTTCGCCAGCTACTATGTATAGCAACACGTGAATCATGTGATTCACGTGACTGCCGATATGTCGAGTCATTCCATTAGTCGCTCAAGCCAGATGCCATCATTCTGATTCCGATCATCACTAGTACAGTACGAGTAAGTAGCACAGGTAGTCTACAAGAAGGTCATGATGCTATGAAACGGATTTCCAGCAAACCCTGGACAACGCCCTCGACTACCTGCATACCGCATGTACGCACCATCGATCTGGAGATTCAAACAGATTCTTCGCCCCCTCCGAGTCGGAACTTGGGCCGAACACTAACTAAATAATAATAATGCTGGCAACAACACCACCAACTGAAAGACAAAGCCACGATCATCAACGGTTCATCAGCCACCCGCCGCCCGGATTCAACAGCCGGGGTGGATTGGAACATCCTTCCTGTATTGGACGACATCGATGACTTGCTTTGGGCCCTCCGTCGCCATCCCAAGGCGTCTCCAGCAGGGGCCCGTCATGGCCGTAGGCGACAGCGGCCACTAAGTGTCGCCAGCAATCCACCAGCCGGTTCACCACCATCATCCACCAACCAGCTCGGCTGTGTGCGTGGTGAGTTCCCTTGAACACTGTATCTTCGGGCGCCAACCGTTTTCTCCATTCAACCATTTCGGCCCATCAAAACCTCACAAACTTCAAAGTCAGTCCTTGAGCCGTCTCCTCTATTCTTCGCATCTCTCCAGATCCCAGTTCAATTTTTGACGCCACCAGGCCTTAGCATTCCTTACGCTTTCTCTCTCTTCTGATTGCTATGCATATTGTGTTCGCATGTCGCTCATTACTCACAATCCGTCGCCTTTCCCTCCTTCACCTTCCGACCCTTCGACAAAACCTACCCAGATAAAATTCTTTCGCCCTGCTCAGATGGCTCTTTTTGCCCAACTTGCAGTATATCCTCCTCTGGCACAAGTAACGGTGGTTTCTCCTACTCGAGGAAAAGTAAGTCGTGGCTTTTTCATGCCATGTCCTTTCGCAAGGCGTTTCCCCCAACTGTCATCCCACCTTTACGAGATAGCCCTGCGCATGATGACGTCTTGCTGGCTCCCCGTCTGTCTCGTGTCCTGTTGACCCAAACCATAGTTCAACTTCACAGTCGTACTCGAATCCTCGACATCATTACCAGAAAGGCCCTGGGAAGTATCAATATGGTACGACCATGGCAGCTATTCCGGTTCCAGATCTTCCTGGCAGGCTCTCGATCTGAACTTAGTCGATCATACTCCAGCCGTCCTTCATGACGACAGGCAACGCTCCAACTATCGTTATACCTTTTCCGGTGACCTCGACAGTCCCTATGTCTCGCCAGATAAGACCTACAAGGGCCGGAGAGTACCGTTCACCATTCGCTATCGGATAGATCCTAATAGTGAGTGGTCATGGGTATACCACAACTTTGGCATCAAGGACGGCGAACTTGTCTTACAGCCTCCCATCGACCCTAACTTTCTCGGAGCCTACCCTGTTGACATCGGCGAAGGCTGGACTATCAGAAAGACTCCCAGCGATGCCCCTGCAGCGCGCCTTTACACGATTGAATCTGCGCACCCTATCCCCACTCCAGCAGAAGGAAATGCCAACTTCGAATCACTTGTGCTTGGTCGCGTCACTCAGGTTTGCAGATGGTTTGCCCTTGTCCGGATCTGGGAGCCCTGGTTTGCACCACGGCATGGCGACAATCAATTGCACTTGAGTGAGCCAGCTATCTTGATGTCATTTCTGCGATCGGACGGGCTCCATGTGGTTCTACTGGCCGTCAATGGTATCGATGAGGTTCTCACTCATTTCGGGTCGACCGCAAATGGAGAGATTGTCGTCCAAGCAAGAAACGACTCTGGCAGGGACCGAAAATTCAAGGTCCTGGCTGCTTCGGCCTGGAAGTTTGAAGTTGCCAACGCAGCGGTCATGTACGAGGCACGCAAGTTGGTTCGGCAGTCAACAGCATATAATCAACTGGTCGAACAACTCGACCAATTGCCGAAGAGCATCACAGCCGAATCAGTTGACTCGGATACTGTCCTCGTCAACAACAAGAATTCAACAGACGAAAGTGTAGTGACACCACAATGGCTTGAATCCTGGTACGATAGCCTAGCTTACTGCACCTGGAATTCTCTTGGTCAGGACCTTAACGCCGAAAAGATTATGGAAGGCTTAGACTCTCTTGCCAAGCATAAAATCAATATATCGACCCTCATCATTGACGACAACTGGCAATCACTCGACGGCAACCAAGGAGACACCAATCAGTTTCACCGTGGCTGGAAGGCTTTCGAAGCGAATCCTCTGGGATTTCCTGAAGGCTTGAAGTCGGCTGTCGCCAAAATCCGCGAAACACACCCCGCCATCCGTGATGTGGCTGTCTGGCATGCCCTGATGGGATATTGGGGTTGCATTTCTCCTGAAGGAGAGCTCGCGAAGAACTATAAAACCGTCGAGGTCAATTTCCGCGAAGGCACTCCCATGGCTGGTCGGAAACTCACGATTCATCCAGACGACATCCACAGACTGTATGACGACTTCTACCGTTTTCTGTCCAACGCTGGCGTTACCGGCGTGAAAACGGATGTACAATTCTCCCTAGATCTTCTTGCAGACACCAGTGATCGCCAGACGTTCACCAGCACCTATCAATCTGCTTGGACTCAAGCTCATCTACGTCACCTTACTGGCAAAGCCATTTCATGCATGTCGATGGTTCCCCAAATTCTCTACCACAGCTTTCTTCCTACTACAACACCGAGAATCATGCTTCGCAACAGTGACGACTTCTTCCCGGACGTACCTACTTCACACGCGTGGCACGTCTTCGTCAACGCTCATAATGCGCTATTCGTCCAACATCTCAATGTCCTGCCTGACTGGGACATGTTCCAATCCAGTCATCCATACAGTGGTTTTCATGCTGCTGCACGCTGCCTATCGGGCGGGCCGATCTACATCACCGATACCCCAGGCGAGCACGACGTCAATTTAATCCAGCAAATGACCGCCCTTAACCCACGAGGTCAGACCGTCATACTCCGCCCAAGCACGGTCGGCAAGACCATGGGCGTGTATGACAAATACGACGAGAGAGGCGTGCTCAAGATTGGTGTCTACGACGGTAAATCAGAAACCGGTACTGGATTGCTCGGTGTTTTCAACATTGCGGAATCCGATCTCAGCTTCATTCTGCCGATCACAAAATTCCCTGGCGTCAATGCTCCCGACTCAGGAGTTTCAGAGAAGAAATGGATCGTTCGCTCGCATTCTTCTCAACGCATCACCCAGCCAATTCATCCTTCCGACCCTATCAAGCCAGATGGCCTCCTCCAATGCACACTGCCCATCCGTGGGTATGACGTTTGGAGTGCTCTTCCTGTTCACTCTTTCAAAATACCATCTTCAGATTCAAACCTAGACGTGGCCTTGATAGGTCTGCTAGGTAAATTCACAGGTGCCTGCGCCATGGTTGAATCAAGGTTCAGCCTTGCAGAAGCCGAGTCTGATATACAAGCACAATCCGGTTCTCGCCTGAAGATACATGTTCAACTCAAAGCTTTCGGCGTCTTTGGGATCTGGTTGTCAGACGTCCAGTCGAGTTTCCGCAAGGTCGAAGATATGATGGTCATGATTCAGGGGAAGCCTATCCCTCAACATGTTGTCAGGCTGAATACCGACAATGTGCCCGAGGGAAGTGGAGTCCTCGAGATCGATGTTGAAAAAGCGTGGAACGAGATGGACCTTGATCCTGGCTGGGGTAACGAGGTCGGAGTGGATATCTTCTTGAAGTGATTTCCGGCCATCGCATGAATGATCATCATGTCGTTGAAGATCAAACGACGACTTACACCAACGCCATTCGCGCAACCGATGCCCCAGAAGCACCTGCAGCTCTTGTTGTCCTGGTTCTTTTTTCACCCAAATCTATGCGATCGATGAGACATCTCTGAAGGATGATCGATCTATACGAGGCAGCAATGCTTCCGCTCTTGACTTGTTGACAACTGGCGGTGCCTACAAGTCAATGTCTCGACCACCCCACCACAGCAGTTCGGGACTGATCATCCCGTATGTTTGCCTAGCGACTCTGGCCCCATAATGACCACGCGGATATGAAATATGAACACGATTATGAACATGAATTCTTTTGCAAAGCCCACTTGCACAGAAGAGGTGAAAAATGCACCAGCAAAACAATGCAAGTACAGAGTCTCGAAGGATATGATTCGACTCTATCAGAGCACAGCATGGGCTTTTCCAAGGGATGAAGACAGTGCGGTGATTTACTCATTTACATACGGGTTTGCTGTTTGCTCCGTCTCCTTGATACTTATGTATCTGAGACACCCCCCCAGCTGGACCAGGACTTTCCAGCCACCAAGAGAAAGGAAGCACGATGACCAGACCGGCTCGCTTCCGGTATGTGACACTAGCTGATCGCATACAAAGTGGCTTGAATTGAAGGTCTAGATTGGAAGGCTGCTGCTCTGCTGCTGCTGCCTTCTTTGGGCGAGTATGCCGGCCAGTGTGCTGGTGAGTCCCTCGCTGAGCTGCATGGGCAGATATTCGCCACCGTCCGACCGTTACTATATTCTTACCTTACTCAAACCCAAGATATCTTTTAACCCGCCTTACATAGAGATAGAGGGGGGCTCAAATCGCTGAAACGGAGTAGAACAAATAATAGATGTCCAGGACACCTTCTTCATCCCATTCTTTCTTTCTCTTGGGGCAAAAAAAGAAGGTGGATCGTCCTCCTCTCCTCTCCCCTCCTCGATCCTATCATTTCCTCTGAGAACCGTCACCCTGCCAAAGTCCCCAATGACCTGGACAGAATAGAACATTGAACAGAACTACGTTACTAGGTAGGTAAGGTAGGTCACGGTAGGTATGGGTATGTATCATGACATATGCAGAACTTCCATTCTTAGCTCTCTGCTGGCGAGGCGAGACAACGCGGGCATGAACACAATACCCCAACTCACCCGCCCGTAGACCTAGTGCATCAGGATGGGCTCCAGGTGTACGAGCAAGCGAAGGACACCGGAAGTCGGCTAAGAAAGAGGTCTCGATACTCATTGCGGCCCTCACGATGCTCATATTGTTGGGGCCTGGGTGGCATAATCCTCCATTCCGGCCGGAGGGACGGCCTCGAACTCATATGTACAGGAAGCAAGCATTCTTTCATCAGAGAAATGCAAACCGGACACATAGTCACGATCTCTCTCTCTCTCGAGCAGCAGCAGCAGCAGCAGCAAGAGCAATGACTCTGTCTACACTCGCCTTGGTATTGGAATAATCTGATCTTGCCCGCCCGTTCAAGTGACCGGCATTTCTTCCAACCACTCGAGCCTTTCTTCAAAGGGTTGTTTTGAGCCTTGTAAATAGATGGTCTAATCAGTATTCCCTCCGGAACCCGTAAAAGCAAAGTCGCAAGCATAAAAAGACGCGACAACCCCAGCGGTCATTATCTACGAGTCAACCCCTCCAATCGATCACCCTGGTTTCTCTGCTACCAGCGTGTTTGCTTATTTCGACTCATCATAAAACCCCTCTTTCTCCAGTCGTCTTCTCGCCTCTTCGAGTGCCCATGTTTGTATCCTGTCAATCACAATCGTTAGCACAATCTGGCCCTCTCCTCTCACAACAAAGCTGATGTATCATGGAAGATGGAGTGGCTCGTTACGTCCATAACGCTTATTCTTTTCGATCGCCTCCTCTTCAGTAGTAGTAGTTGCCACACTTCCATGCAACCCAACCCCGCCATAAAAAGTAAACCAAGCCACAAGCGAATGCAAAAGCGAAAAACAAGAAGGCAGGGCAACGTACGAAGTATCCTCCTTCATCGTGTACGCCGCAATGGCAACCACCCAACTCGCAACAAACACCCACGCAAGTCCTTCCCACCCTTCCTTCTCGTACTTTTCGCCCGGTCGTTGGCCCCAGAGCCACCCACCAGGAGGATCAAAGTGGTCATCATGTCCGTGACCACCGCTGCCGTGTCCGTGGTCGTCCTGAGCTGAATGTGTACTTGCAAGACGGAGGGCTGTTTGTGATGTCGCTCGTGCGGTCAATGGTGTTCGAGCTGTGGAGGACAGAATGGTCTGCGAGCTGCGCGCAGCGAGGCGGGGGAGGCGGGTGAACATGTTTGCGTTTCCTTTCTTCTTTTCCCTCGCTCTACTCACTTCTTAAGAGAGCTTGCAGTCGTATGCAGACTTTGCCGAGTCGAAGTGCGAGACGTCGAATTGAAACGCTGACGTGGGGAGAGGTGAAGGATGCAAAGGGGCCGTGATCGGTACACAGCGCAGGCTCGAGCCGTCAAGATCGTCGAGATTGTCAAGACCGGCGTCTCCGACTCTTGCTGCAGCTATTCACGGCTTCGTGCAGGTAGAAGGATGTGGGAGTGTGGCGTTCGGAGGTGTTGAATGGCAATGTGTACCTCTGACCACGGTGAAGTCGAGGTTGAGGACCAGTAATGCCAAGACCGGTTTGGGAGCCACGGAGCTTCCCCATCCATCGCAGGGATTGGAGCAATGGGCATCTGAGCAATGGACATCGTTTACGGCTACACGGGCTCGACGGCAAACTGTCCTCCCTTCCATTTACTTGTCCACGTTAACCTCCAAAAAGACATCTACCGTCGTGGAAACCTTGAAATAACAATCTTTATATGGAATGCCACAGCGACCCCTACCATTGTGTGCATGAGATATCCGCTGCTCAATCACGGCATCACCGACTGCATAGACGCATAACAATAACCACCCCAGTCCAATGCACGGCAACTACACACCAATCAACTTGGGGTCCGGATCACATTCAGATCGCATGCTAGGAATCTAGTCTTCGTTGCTTTCGCTTTGTGTGCAGGGCCGTATCTTGAATCTCGTGTACGGAAAGAGAAAATGAAGACAGGCGATCCTCCCAACATCTGCTTTCGCGCTGGAAAGCCCAATTTTCCCACCTTCGAACTCCTCCATGCGAATCGTCAAAACATCGACAAATGCCATGCCAGGTCATTGGACTCGTTTCGACTATTACAAGGCCCAATTTCTCTTCCTTTTGGTACTCTTTTCCAAGGTCCGCCAATGCCCAAGCCGCAAGAAAATGCTGCAAATGGAGTAACGCCTTCCGAGGCATCGCTCTCGATCATTCCCGAGGGCTTTTGTTTCATAAACGCCGTTCCGTCATACTGTACAATGCTGCACAAGGAAAAAAAAGGGAGAAATCGCCTTCAGTTGGCCTCCACAACTTTGGTAAAACTTAGAGGTGAGGAAAGTTCGTGATCAGGGGCGCTGCCGGCTCCGTCAAGATAGCTGTTGGCACTTCTACTCTTTGGTAGACTAGGTTTTTTGAAACCTGGACTGGGTGATGCATCGGGAGGATCAAAAATCTGACGAAACATCGGATCTTGGAATTTTAGAGCCGGCTTTTCGGGGCTGACAGACACTCCTTCGGCTTTTCGAACAATCTCTTTCAATGCACGGGTGATGACTCCAGCTCTTACCACGAGATCTTTCAGATCTTGCGTGTCGAATGGCAACTTCTCCCGACTTTGTTGTGCTGGTGAGGATTCAATTCCGTTCCGACTTTGGTGAATGGTCTGCAGGAAGTTCTTAGTCTGCAAACTCTCACCACGAGGTCGTCCATAGGGAGGTGTGCCAGGACTGGAGATTGAACGTCGATTAATTGTTCGTCCCAGTTCTATCTTCCCACCCTCGTCCTCCACGCGTTTCTGAGGTGGAGTCTCGTCCCCAAAAATATCTGATGACACTGGGGAAGACGGTCGTGGTGCATTATCTTCATCCTCGTTCAGCGTTGCCAAGTCGATGATACTCACTGCATCTTCCCATAGTTGTCTCGAATGGCTCCTGACCAGACCTAGATCGATGCCTCTAACTCGCAATCTCTTCAATTCTTCCACCAGGAGCATGAATTCTCTGACCTGACCAAATTGGATGTGCACGCTCTGCTGACGGTCCATGATCGACTGGGGAACCCGGACACTGCTGCGAAGAGACTCTCGATTCTTCGCTCTGTCATCGCTAGGGGCCTCGACAATCTCTTGGGTTTCCTCTCCGTCGTCGAATTCGAAGTCGTCACTCCATTCTTCGCTGACAGGCTTATTTCCGAGAGCCCAGGTACCAAATTTGGAAGCAGACGATGGTAGATCAGCCTCAGTCAGACTGTCTCGGTTGACTGGAACACTTTGACTTCGAAGGTGCATGGCTGCATTACTTTTCCGTCCAGAAGCCCGACTACGAGCAAGGTTGTTGCCATGCTTGCCATGTACAGTCTTCGGTCTCGGACTAACCCCATCAGATTGGTCACTTCCTAGCTTTTGGTGCTCAGACCAGTCGAAGATTGATGATCGTTTGGTTGATTGTTGCTCATCGAAGTCATGGTCGAGTGCTTGATCAAAACAAACCTGCAGCTGGCCCGAGAGCAGAGAGCTTCTTAGTTCAAGCTTGTTATCATCAGATTTCGGTGACCACTCGATATCCTCTTCGTCGACATCCATCATTTGAGGCAATTCTGGCTCCTCATGACGAGCGCGAGGAAAAGAGCCTATTGAGGGAGGGGACGAATTCAAAATGGGGCCGTTTCGCTTTGACTTTTTGGGTACTGGTGTTGAAACAGAATCCTCCGTCTCAGCCAAGGGATCCTTTACCGGAGTGGATGCCTGGTCCGGGGTGACGCCTTTCGTCGTCTCATGACCGTGGATTCCTGAAATACCTATGCCTAGGTTCTTGTTGTGCTCCATTCCTTCCCTCGGATTCGAGGGCAACTCCTCCAATGTAGCTTTCTGCATCAGATACTCAATGCCAGCAGTCTGGTCTGGCTGTCGATCCACCGGCATCTCGTCAAATATCGTCTCGATTTTGGGTTGACGAAAACCAGAGTGGCTGCTTGCTGTAGCTCGAGTGGCCAATGAATCGTAGGCAGTGTCGCTGTGAAAGTCCATAGAGTCATCATCCGTGAAGACCCGGGTGTCATTGTCAGAGCTTGCTGTCGTCGGGTCCGAGGGAGCAACAGACATTCTTTTGGGGACGCTAAAGCGGTGCTGTGAAGGTCCGTAAGAAGGAGGACTAGAAGTGAACTGTGGGGTGCCAACGGGCAACTCGACTTCAAAGCCAGAAATGTTAGACGCGGGGGACAAGCCAGGAAACCCTGACGGCGGGACAATACTCCCATAGGCTTCATGCTTGCTGACTCGAACTATTGGATCAGTAAAATGCCTCTGTGATAACCCCCGCCTCATCGAAGCCAGCGGGCGACGCATTTTATGCCGTCGTGTGCCGGATGGCACGACGGGATCCGAGAAGGGTACTGGTCGATCATCTTCGAGGTCTTCAGTCTCTCGAGGTGTTACAGAGTTACCCATCAGAAGGGTAGGAGGGTGTTGAGGCGCCGAGACAGTCCGGACGTACGACTCCCGTTGTCCGCCTGAGGAGTATCTCTTTCGTGCGTACCCAGAGTCAAAGAAAGGTCTCCATGCTGGTGCTTGAGATACGTATCTCGATGATTCCGCCTCCAGTACGGATTCCGTGGTCAGCGGTCGAGTGTACGGTGGTCCGGATAAAGTGGCAGACCTTTGGTGACTGGTAGCGGGCCGCCTTAGCAAGGCAGGAGGAGTTTCACGATCGGAATGTAACATTCGTCTGGATGACGAACGTTTGACCAGTTTGTTAGGTTGGTCGAGGTCATTGAAGGAAGGTCGTGAAGCCTGTGGGGACTCGTCTAGCCGTGAAGAAGAAGAGGCAGGGCTGCCAGGCTTCCCGCGTGACATGCTCGATATTCGTCTCAGCCATGATGAACCCGATCTGCCATCCTTTCGCTCTGTAGAAGAATCTCTGTCTGACGTCCAAGGTCTAAGTATCCCATGTCTGCTGACTGAACTCTCACGAGAGTTTGCTCCCGTACTTTCGGTGGCGGACGGGGCATTGGCATGAAAGGTTTTTCTTCGTAGTAGGGATGCTGACAACCGACGTTCAATTCGTTCGGACAGCGCAGGAGGAGTTTGAGAAGGCTGGCTTGTCTGTGGACGTGGGGGATATGGAATTTCGGGAGAGATTGGTGACCGTGGAGCAGCACTCGAGCCAGGAGCCTTCCTCTTGCCCGGCTTTATGAGATATGATTCTCCATCACTCATGCCCAGAGCCAGGCCAGCAGCTGCAATACCGACAGTACCAACAGCACATAGCTAAGATTGAAGTCAGTTCAGTCTATGTCAGACGTAGAAGGCAGAAGAGTCTCTGTACCGTGGCAACGTGCTCTTGGTTGTGTTCCATTATGTTTGAAAGGCCGTATGCCCGCTAGGCGACGCAGCCCAGATGTTCTGGTTGCCGTTGGGACGGTACCTCCTCATGGCGGGTTGACCATCAGTTGCAGGGATTCCGAGAGAGTGAGCAGCGGGCTTGTCGAGTGTCGAGGAGGCTCTAGAAGGCTTGTGAATGCAAGGGGGGTGTTATTTCCCGAATAGACGCGGGTGAGGAAAGGGAGACGCGACAGGTAGGCCGGCGAACGGATGGAGGGGAGGGCCAGGAAGTGTCCTGCAAAAAGACTAAGGCTCAAGACATGCACAACGAAAACAGTGGACACAAGGGAAGGGATAGAGTCGAGAAAGAATATGTCTCTGGGGACGGAGACGAGTTTCAACAAGAGGAGGAATCTCAGCTCGAGTTCAGTTGTATGGCTGCAGGTGAAAGAGTGGAGAGCGAGAGGAGCGGCCGCAACAACAAGCGCAGGCAGTTTGACTGGCAGGGCGGCCTTGGCCCATATTATGATTGATTGATTGAATCATCTACTTAGATGGCATGCTAGAAACTCATCTATCCACTCCCACATCCACACACGGCAGATGCCTGCTCATCAGTGTGAAGCAAGTCCTGTCTTATTAGTCCTCTTCTGTGCATGTCAGTCGCAGCCACGCCCGCCGGGTAACTATTTGGGAGTCCTGTCAGAATATCAACCGGCATTTTCAGCCTGGAGCAGATCCGACCCCCAGCCCTCGACTTCATGCACACTGCACAGGGCAAGACAACAATAATGTGACATGATGGACAACAAAGTCTAAAGAAATGGCGTCTTCCTGCGTCGTCTCCATGTTCTGTCATCCTCATGACCAGTCCCACCAAGTATCTAGACAGTAGCGGCGGCACTGGGACTATACTATTCACTGCGGGCTGCCGCTTCACAAATCATTCATCGGCGAGATACAGGTACTGTGACCACAATGCTACTTTTGCTCTGGAGCACTGTCTCCCCAGCGCCAACTCAATCAGGCGTGGTACCACCCTGGACCATATCAGACGTCCCAATGTCTCGAGGGAACCTACATGAATCAACCGTCCAAGGTAAAATCCTCTCCCATTCGACAAACTAAGGTAAGCGGCTGGAAGAGCATTGCAGTAGACTGCGCAGACATTGTCCACAACAGCTGGCTGTCGCCTATTTATCGTTGCAGGTAGAGGATCATCGAACCACTCGAGCCGATCATGATATAATTCATGGAGTTATGGAAATATCTTCCTTGAGAATGAGTCGTGATTCCTGGCAAACTGCCGTTTTGTACATCAAAGGCGAGCCGTCGACCGGGTTGTACCTCGTAAAGTTAGAGAACGTCTCGGGCGGGAAACAAGGGACTGTGCAGGGCTCTGTGACGGGTTTCCGGAGAACAGGCGGCCCATTCGAAAGCAAAACAACCAGCATTATCCCAGTCCATCATTCCTTCCGGCATGGCTCGTGTGTGTATTTTGAGAAAGTCAAGAACGATCGACCCTCCGGTATGACCGATGGAACTACTGTATGCCCCGCCAAATTTCTGTCCTCCATGACTCAATGCATGCATTAGAGCTCCTCGCCATGGACCGAAAAGCAAAACTTGCCAGAGCTGAAGAACGCCAACGATGGAGTCAGATCCGAGGTAGAGCGAAAACGACGCTGGAGCCGCAGTAGCGAGGGAGCAGCACATGAAACGCGAAGATAAACTTGGAATAAACACGACTGGGGTGTACGTAAACGGCCGGTCAATCGGATAACAAAGTTGAATGGTGGATGCGGCAAGCATTGTTGTTGTGGAATCAGACAACCCACACTTGCCCACAGGCGTTGTGTCTCACGCTCTTCCTCTGCCCGCTTACGGAAACGGCCAAACAACGGAAAACATGTCGGTCTGTTTGTAGTCGATTATTGCTCGATACGTTGAAAGCCGAGCAGGGCCAGTGGGGACGCGAAAAGTTCGTTTGATCTGGTGCAAGCCGAATGGCTGTCAATTCTGGAGCTGGCTGCTGGAGTAGACTCTCGTCTAAAAGCCGAGCTAATCATGAGGTGGAGGACGCATGTTCGTAAACAGGGCACAGCAAGCGCCACGATGCGCTGGGGTTTGGGATGACGGAAGGCTCCAACATGGGCAGCTTTGATACGCCCAAAGTCAGATCTCGCGTCGATGTCGCGTGTTGCGTGTGCGTGGATCTAGGCCGAACTGGTGGTCCGGTCTGATAGTGGTCGTCTGTCGCTTCGAGCACCTCATAATTTCTGATAAATGCCTGAATGATAGGTAACAACCAGAATCTGGAGCCCTCAGGTCACACATACATCACACACATCCAGCCCAAGGCAAAGTAACACTTGCCCAACCCAGCACCGGATCTTCTGGAAGATGATGGCCGGTGATCGAACGTTTTCTCGTGTAACGTGGTGCATTGGCAGGGGCACGCGCTCAAGGTTCAGAGTTGTGCAAGATGTGGGATTCTGACTCCGACGACCTGCCAGTAGCCAGAGTGGCGGTGCCCAGCTGATACCCAATCACCAAAGCCCATGGCCATCTCACGGGCATAGATACGTTATTTCTCATCCAGCATACGCAAGGATCCTAGAGTTCGAGCCAGCTAGGGCTTATCGACATCCCCGCACATTACGGGTTGGCAAGCTAGCGGCATTACAGGATCGATACCAGTATTACCAATCATACCATAGTACAGACGATGCTCACAACGCCTTGCACAGGCGACCACCAAAGACTAGATGCGGGGTTGTCGACCTGAAGTTACGCCTTCTTCCCAAGAGGCGGGAAGAACAAACAGGACAGGCCTCGCTTGGAGACAAACTTGCCACTGACACTTTCAAAGCTCGGATCTGTCATGGTCACCGAGTATGCAGTCCGTAACCAGCAAATAACTGCATATATAATGTATGGTATATAAGCTTGTGCGAGGCGGGCAACCTTCTCCGGAACGGACCTGGGTGTCCAAACTCTGTTGGGTGACTGTTGTCTCACCGATATAGGCCCACGTGCGAACTTGGACGAATTGAAGCCTCAGGCATGTGCTGTTGTGATGTCGTCAAGATGCAAAGTGAAGCGAAGGAAGCAACAAGATGGGGACGCCAGCCCAATGTCCTTCAACTTGATCCTGGTTTTGTTTTTCGATGCTCCCGGTCGACAGTCAGACTGGGGAAGCGTTGGCAGGTCCCAAACGCAGCAGCAGCTGTCAACAGCGGCATCTGCAGTCTTTCCGGATCGTCCGCGCTGTTCTAGTGCGTATTTCAAGCGAGGCCTTTCCCTGGAATTCCTGCATCCATGCCCGCCCTGGTAGGAACGTGGGGAGTTGCCGTACGCAGGATGGTCTGGTAGGTGGCTGACTCGCTTCTCTGACTGTAGGCGGTCCAGATCCTGTATCAGGCAGGCCATTACTGCACAGGTGAGATCCTGACACGTTGGCCAGTGTATGCAACATCAAAGTTGCTGTATGGCTGGCCGTCGACGCGCCACGGGAAGCTTGAGGCAGATCGGAGAAGGTCTCAGGAAGACCCATGAAGACCAAGGCGAGTCACAGGAATACTATGGAACACATCTAATGCACTAGTCCAAGTATGGTTAGACTGCCCAGACTGCAAGACATGAAACTTAGCCGGCTTTTTTGCAACTTCATCTGAGTAGCGAGACGGTCCAATTGCACAACATCTTAACGGTTCTACGAGTCTGAGGTTCTGGAACTCGGCTTCTACACGGGTTATCAGAGGTCTAGTACCCTATCTCACAACAGGAGCTGCCAGCTGGTTTGCTCTCCTGGGACAGGTGGTGGGAAAGGTTTCGTGGGCTGGTAGCATCGCCACACCGAATCCTTACAACTTTACCCTGCGGCAAAAGTCCTTCATCTGAAGCGCCGCCTCAATACCCTGTCTAGTCTGGTTTCTATCTTGCTAGACGGTCGAAAACTGCGCTCTCAACCGAATTCAGCAGTTGGCTCTTCTCAGGCCACCTCGGCTCGAATTACCTCCACTCCGCAATGGAGGCCGAAATCCAAGCTCAGATACCCAACATCGACCACGTCCTTTCCGATTACTCTGTAGTAAGTGAACACCCTGTCCAACGTTTCAACCCCAAGAGATCGTCTGTCTATAGAGAGGGGCAGATTTTGTTACAGGTACAGTCGTTGAAGGAGCGAATTCCGCACTAACACTTTCATTAGGGGTATCTCAACCATGCATCGAAGCTCTTTTTCTCCGAGGATGATCCTACTGCACAGTCTCCGCTGGCTGAGGCTCTTGAAACCATCACTGAACTGCTGGTCTCAGCCTCAGGCAATTTCTCCGAACAGAATCAAGCTGCTATTCGGAATTTAATTCAAAAATTCATTGCTAGGCTAGGAGATGCCAATGGAGTCGACCCCGAGCGGCGGCAGATGCCTTTCGCTGCCAAAAAGCTCGACCAGACCATTCAAGTCAGCTCACAGCGGAACATTTCTTCTACTTTAGGCTTGACTAGTGGTGGCATCGACCTGGAAGCTGCCAATGCTCGCAAGGTGGAGTCCAAGGTGGACAAGAAGAAACTCGAGAAGGCCGAGCGGAAGATTCGAGCAAAGCAAGACAAGAAGACCATGAAAAACGTTGAATATGAAGCGTCTCGGTTGCTTGAGCAACCGGACAGCACTCAGTCCTACGAAGAGTTTTTCATGGCTGTCAATCCTCTCCAACTTGGAGGCGATTCGCAGTCGAAGAGCAAAGATATCAAGGTCGATGGAATTGATGTTTCTATAGGTGGCAAGCGCATCCTGACGGACACCTCGCTGACACTCGCCTACGGCAGACGGTACGGTCTGGTAGGTCAAAACGGTATCGGTAAATCTACGCTTCTTCGTGCTTTGAGTCGGCGTGAGATCGCCATCCCAACTCACATCTCGATCCTTCATGTTGAGCAAGAGATCATGGGAGATGACACACCTGCTCTTCAGGCAGTCCTAGATGCTGACGTGTGGCGGAAACATTTATTGGCTGAGCAAGACAAGATCACCAAACAGCTTGCTGCTCTTGAGGCGGAAAGATCGACACTGGCTGACACATCCAAAGATGCTGCTCGGCTCGATAAAGAAAAGGACGGTCTTGACACGACGCTCGGAGATATCCAAGCTAAGCTCAGCGAGATGGAATCTGATAAAGCCGAACCAAGAGCAGCTAGCATTTTAGCTGGTTTGGGATTTTCCCCAGAACGTCAACAATACGCAACCAAGACTTTCTCTGGTGGTTGGCGCATGAGATTGGCTCTGGCTCGAGCACTGTTTTGCGAGCCGGATCTGTTGTTACTCGACGAACCGTCCAACATGTTGGATGTGCCGTCCATCACCTTCTTGGCCAATTACTTGCAGACCTACCCTAGCACTATCCTGGTCGTCTCTCACGATCGAGCATTCCTGAATGAGGTGGCGACGGATATTATTCACCAGCATTCTGAGAGATTAGACTACTATAAAGGCGCCAACTTCGATTCGTTTTACGCCACTAAGGAGGAACGAAGAAAGAACGCCAAACGCGAATATGAGAATCAAATGGCACAGCGGGCTCATTTGCAGGCATTCATCGATAAATTCCGATATAACGCTGCCAAGTCATCAGAGGCACAGTCCCGTATCAAGAAACTGGAACGGATGCCGGTGCTTGAGCCTCCTGAGGCAGAATATCAAGTTCACTTCAAGTTTCCGGACGTGGAGAAACTGTCGCCTCCGATTATCCAGATGACACATGTCTCTTTTGGCTACACCAAGGATAAACCGCTTCTTCATGGCGTTGACCTGGACGTCCAGCTCGATTCGCGAATTGGTATAGTGGGGCCGAACGGTGCAGGCAAGACGACGGTCCTCAAACTCTTGACGGGACAACTGCAACCTACGACTGGGCTTATATCACAAAATCCCCGGCTTCGTATTGGATATTTTGCGCAGCATCATGTAGATGCTTTAGACATGAATACCTCTGCAGTGGGATTTATGCAGAAGACTTATCCAGGCAAGACAGATGAAGAATACCGCCGCCACCTGGGAGCCTTTGGTATCACAGGTATGACGGGTCTACAGAAGCTTGACCTACTGTCTGGTGGTCAGAAATCTCGGGTTGCATTTGCTTGTTTGTCATTGACCAACCCGCATATCCTGGTCCTTGATGAACCGTCCAATCATTTGGATATTGAGGCCATGGATGCCCTTTCCTCTGCCTTGCGGCAGTTTCAAGGAGGAGTCTTGATGGTCAGTCACGATGTCACGATGCTACAGAATGTGTGCACCAGTCTGTGGGTATGCGACAAAGGCACAGTGGAGAAATTCCCTGGCGATGTCAATGCATACAAGAAGAAGATTACTGCGCAAGCAAATGAGGCTGGAGTTGTCCAAGCCCATTGAGACGGTCTTGATAGAGCCTAGCTACCTAGGTACCTAGGTCGTGAAGCATACTCGTCCATGTGCAGCACAAGCCTTCACAGGACTTGAGCTTCTCCCAATGATGATTTTTCCATGGACATAATGACGCGTCCATTCGGCTGTGCAAGTCCAAGGCCCCCAGTCATTGTGATAAGATCCTTCTTTGCTGTTTTGTGACATGCTCGATGAACTGGGTTGGTTAATGGATGTTTTGTAGCGTGAATGTTCGGAGTCTGTGACACGGCGACATTTGTGCCCGGAGGAACTCCGGAGCTTCTCCCCTTGTTTTGGCGCAGTTTGAGAAGTGCAGGAAGTGACAGAAATGAGATCATCGAGATCATTGTTTGTGTGCTCAATGCCTTGGCCAGAAGGTCCTTGCCGTCAGTATATATGATGACTCTTCCCGCTTTATTTCCTGCTATGTGTCGCTGTAGAGCCTCTTGTCGTATGGGCTCCCACAGCTTTTCTTTGACACGCCCTCCTTAGATCGATAACCGTCTAGCTCGTCACCGATCACAGACATGAAGACACCGTTCATTCACCTCACGACGGCGCTCGCCCTCCTACCTTCGCTGTCGCATGCTCAGTCCTCCTCCAGCTGTGGGCCAGCACCTTCCGGCGCCATCAAGCCTTCAGTTGCTTCAGGATTTCATGTGCAAGTTGTGGCGACCGGACTGTCAAAACCTCGTGGTATCCTTCTTGACAACGCTGGAAATTTGCTGGTGGTGGAACAAGGAAGAGGCGTTGTTTCAGCCCACACAGTGGACGAGAACAATGGTTGTGTAACAGTTGGAACGTCTTCTGATGTGACGCCCAGCTTGAATGTACGTGCGGCGCCAGTCAGCAAAGCTCCATGATTGCTCACGTGTTTTAGCTTAACCACGGCATCGAGTTGTCGAACGATGGCAGAATTTTGTATGCGTCCTCTGCTGAAGAGGTCTATTCTTGGAGCTACGATGATTCGGCCAGGACGGTGTCGAACCGAGCGACCATCGTGGCAAACATGACCACCAACGACCATACTACAAGAACATTGATGCTGTCTCAGAAGGCTCCGGGCATGCTTGTGGTCACAAGGGGCAGTACCTCCAACATTGACTTCGATGCTGCCAGTCTGAGTTCTGGTCATTCCCAAGTCAAGGCCTTCAACCTGAACAACCTTACAGGAGTGTATGACTTCGATGCCGACGGCCTGCGTCTAGGATGGGGCTTGAGGAATGATGTTGGAGTTGCAGAGCATCCGGGCAGTGGAGGTATCTATACTGTGGAGAATTCGGCAGACCAATTGACAAGAATGGGTGTTGATATCCACGAGGACAATCCAGCAGAAGAGATGAACTTCCTGGGATACCTCAATGGCAAGGCATATGCACCACAAGGAGGCAACTTTGGCTATCCATGGTGTTTCTCTGCATGGGGCGTCTCTGACCTTCCCGACAATGGCAACTTGACTGTGGGAAGTCAATATGCAATCGATGCTTCTCCTGCTTCCAACAACCAGAATCGAACAGATGCTTATTGCGCTCAGCAACTACCGGCCCGCCTGGTCTTTCAGGCACATATGGCACCTCTCGACATCAAATTCAACAACAGCGGTACAGAGGCCTGGGTCAGCTTCCACGGTAGTTGGGATCGCACTCAACCGGTCGGGTATAAAGTGTCAGTAGTTGCATTCAAGCAGAATGGGGAACCCGTGGATGTCCTTCAGAGCCAGACCGCAGCCCGCGATGTCTTTGCCAACCAGGATAATTCGAAATGTCCTGACGACTGCTTTCGTCCTGCTGGAATGGTAATTGACTCCCAGGGACGAATATATGTCTCGTCAGATGCTTCGGGCGAGGTGTATCTGGTGTCGAAATCCTCGGGAGCCACTATTCCAGGACCATCGCCATCAGCAACAGCGAGTGGCACTGCAAATGGCATGGGACCGCCGTTGTCCTCAGGTGCTGGCATTCTTTCATACCTGTTGGCTCTTGTGGCCCTGGTTCTATGATTTTGAACAACGATGGCACCTACCGACCTGACGAACACATTCATCTGGCCTATTTTGAACCATTGCGAAGGCGCCGGTTGTTTTACTCCCGGGCACAGAGGAGAGCACAGAGATTTTATACCTTGATATATGGCAGATGCATGGCCGGGTGATATTCACTGCATGTCACTGGTGGAACCTGAGGCCGGAAACCGATCTGTGGTGCACTGAATGGAATTTGTACCCAAACAGACATACACATTTCTTGATCGTTGTCGTGCACTTCCCAACTGTTTTGCAGACTGTTCTGCCGCACCTCGGTTTTGCGTTGGTACTTGGTCCTTTCCCCTGTTTTCGGTGTCGGCAAATGCAAATCCCGAGCTTGGTCGAGATGTATCGGAGTCCAAATGCATTCGATGCCTGTTCTGATCTCGACTCAGATCTCTCTGACCCACCAACAGATCTCGACAACGTCATGGCTTCGTCTCTCAAGGGAGGACTCAAGCACCTGGACCTTGGTGGTTCAATTGGTCACAAGCGAGAGATCATCTCACTTATTTCTGACGACGAAGACTCCGGGACTGATCCGAGCGACGAGAAACCGCTGGCCAAAAAGCAACGCCTTAATTTCCAGCTTTCCAGCAAATTTGAGGAGATGCCCACTGAAGTGAGTTATCTACGCTCCTCCAACAACATACACTGACTCCTGCAGGTCCTCAATCAAATTGTCTCGAATCTTCCCGATGATAAAGACCTCTACGCGCTTGTTCGCACTTGCGCCACCTTTAAAAACGCCCTCAAACCTGCAAACTCCGCGATCTGGAGAGAAAGATTCCTGCTCAGGTGGGATCATCCCTTTGTGGCCAAAAACGAGCAGTTTGAGGCTGCGTATCGAGAGCGTGGTTGCATACTACGTCTATTCGTCCCCTTCAATGATGAAAAAGACGAACGACTACTTTTCCAGTTGGAGCATCTCACATTCATGGTCTTGGGTAAGCAACTCAGTCACCTCAATCCATCTACAGTCTCAATCTAATCCCCGCCAGAAACTTTCAATCAGCCGAATAAATACCTCCTCGCACCTCTCACATCCCTCAATCTGAGCGCTTTTGAGTCGCCGCAGGATTCACCATGGATGCTGACCTTCTTATCGTGCTCATTTTTTCCAAAGACACTGAAGAAGGGTCGTGAAAAGTATGGCCAGCCACATCCTCTCTTCGACGCCTTACAGCTTGTCCTGTCCCACCTCGTGTTGTCACCAGCTTCCCCAATGGCTCTGGCCGTCAAGTCTGCAAGAGACGATTACAACCTGGTCGTGGTCTACAACTGGGACCGACCCTTCGCAACACTCTACCGTCGACTTCCCAAAAAAGAGTCTCCACGACCTCGACGGATAAAGTTTCCTAACCTGAGGCCACGCAACCCCAAAGCGAGTTACCCAGAATTCGAGCTTGACACACATGCCCTACTCCACATCCGAGGCTTCTGGCGTCGGCATCTTATTGGCGGTTCTCTGCGGGCAAACAACCATGAACAGAAGAACAGCCTGGATGAACACACGTACGCTGGAATGGCAAATGATCTGTGCGACGCAGGGATTACTGCCCGGAAGTGGGACCATATGCTCAAAGACAGGCTGCCAGCCATCGCAGAAGAGTGGTATGGACACTATAGTTCTGTGCATCCGTGGCCGAAAAAGAGACAAAACTTGGAAGAAGTCCAAAGCGATGCTGAAGATTGGAGCTCAGCTCATCCCATGGTAAGCAATCTCTTCGCAATTCTTCCCTTGCTTTCTACTAACACGTTTTTATTAGAAACTCGACATTTTGATCAGTGAACAAAACAAGTTAATGAACTGGCCTCCACTATTCCAGGACATTCCTGCTTTTAGGGACACCGTTCCAGAAGGGTTGGAATCCTGTGTCACTTTCCGGGGCATTGCTCCGTTTGTTGAATTGCACGAGATGCAACGTCAGGGGTCCTCGAGGCCGGGTGCAACCCTAACAGTTCTGAGTCTTCCAAAGTATCACCCATATATGGCCCTGCGAGTCCGTGGTGTCATTCACCCGATCGAGAGCCAGCCACGGCCAGATCAGATTACCGAGCCCAATGCCACCATCCCGGGATGGAGTAGGATTGTCATGGTCATGTACAAACCCACTGCGGAATACCTACTTGATGTCCTCGAATACAAGGAGGGGAACTATGGTGGCAATTTTGGAACGACTCTGACAAATCAAATGATCCAGATCGGCCAAGTACAGCCTGGACAGCAAGCACCAGCTCTCGACCCCGAGGAGATTGAAAGAGTGAGGAAGGAACAACTCAAGCAAAAGTTGTTAGGCAACCCGATCTACCGAAATTCCACTTCAATGGACAAGTTTGTCATCGCAGAGCTGGAAGAAAAGTACAGCATCAGTGAGCATCTTCAGTGGGAAGATATGGAATATGCCTATGCGTATGAAGGTGTCCTTCTACCTGGCGGAAAGATCATGATGGGTAGATGGTGGAGATGTGGACTAAATGGTGAGGGTTCGCCTGGCATGGAAGTGGATGAAGATGGGCAGACTCTGGAAGATGAGACCCCAGATGACGACGGAGATGGAAGTGGTGCTATGGATGTGGACGATGATGGGAATGGTGGTGTTTCGGGCTCGCAGGGTGCCTCTCAAACCGGAGCTAAGGCGAAGGGAAAGGCAAACGCAAACGCAACCGTGAAGCGTCATCACAAGTTGGAGAGAGGACCGTTTGTGTTCTGGTGCTGAGTTCGACAGATCAGAACCGTCAAAATGGTTGCAGTGTCTATTGGTTACATTGGAGCGAAGAGCGCTTGACAACTTGGAGACAAGAACAGGTACGGGTGCTTCGTAAACCGAGGCGCGATTCAAGCTGAAAGGCTCAGTCGATCAGAGTCAATGGCTGGGGACACGAGAAGGGTCGTGTCTGAAGTGATCAGTCACTACCTTAAGGTGGTCAGATAGCACAGCGCTGAGTGACAGACACAAGAATACTGTATGAACGAATTTATCAAAATTTATTCCAGCTTCGGTGATTTCGCTCCCTTTCGCCTGAGTTCCAGTATGGCACTCAGTTTGGCTACGATTGGGATCCTACGGTTGGTGCCCCGGCGCCTGAAAGACGACGAAATATATTGCCTAAAGCGGTAGTCTATATTCCCGATTAGGCAGGTATTTCGATTTTCATCACCCAACACCGAGGACTCAGTCAAAATTTCGCAAGTGGAGCTAATGAGAAATGAGGACGCTACGCCGAGCTGAACTCTCTCTCTCTCAGCACGTTTTCACTTTCACCACCACTTGATCTTCATTTTTTGTCCTTCCTGCCCATTTTTGGGCGACGGGATGGGCTGCTAACAAGATACCTGACCTCAGGCACATGGACATTGTGCGTATGCCTTACAACACCACCTCTTCGTGTCCATCGAGTTCCTGACGCAGGCAGGTGTGGGTGTGGTTATAGTTTCGATCTGATGATTGGTAGAAAGAGGAGAGTCGGGTCTTGCAAGGTCAATACGAGTTGCCTCATCCCCATCTCCGTTTCCAAGAGTGATCGGTAGTCCTCCGTTCAATAGTTGCACTGCACGTTTCGCCAGGGCGCTCGTGTAGCATTTCCATGCAGTCATGACCGTCTTTCGGGATCGAAAGCTTCGACTCGGAAGCCTCGAATGTGGCCAAAACCCTTAGCGAGAGACAGCAGCCAGAGCCGAAGCCTCCTCGTCATTATTACTTCCACTTCCCCATTGTCCAGCGGCCCCTGTCGGCAGCAGTGTCGAAGTCGGTTCCACTACCTAAGTAAACCGTCTCGCCAGGCTTGGATTCTCATCGACATTCTCGAAATCGCTCGTTGATATGATCTTCTCGATACTGCTCGTACCGTCTCCACCGCCCACGGCAAGCTCCGAGGTCTTCATCTGTGGACTCTGATCCGGGTACCAGCGGCCGCCTGGGTGCACGTCGTCGACCTGCCGCTGCGGCTGCATCGCGACGGGTGGGTATACGTCGTCCTCGAAGCCGTAGTTCGTGTAAGGCGAGTTGCGGCCGATGTTGGCGGGTGCGTAGACCGCGTCCATGTCGGGAAATTCAAAGTGCGATGATTGCTCTTGCTGTGGTTGGGAGGACGAGGACGGTTCTTGTTGTTGGTATTGGTTTTGGTGTTGGTGTTGTAGCTCGGCTCGAATTCCGTCGAGGTATTCGGGCTGGGTGGTCGCCGCGGCGCCTGTGGATACATCATGAAGATCGTTGTTTTGAACTTCCACTTCCCTGTCGCGAATGCGGCGCATCAGATCGAGGAATTGCGAGTTTTGGAATTTCGTGCTCGTCTCGGAGTTCACGCTTCTGAGTAATTGTCCGGCCGTGCGGGCGAGTTCGTCGGCGTCACGAGAATCTTGGTCGGCGGTGCGTTCGGATTGTTCCCGGTACTCGATGGCATCGGAGCCGATTTTCATTGTGGTTGTTGTTTGCTCAAATGTAGTTGAGGACTCGATTGTTTCTGAGACGTCGGTCATCTGGCCTAGCTGGTCCATCTCTTGCGCATGGGCAATCGCTTCTTGAAAAGCCGCGTCGAAATCAACATCAGACATTTGAACTTTCTGTTCCATGGACATTTGCGGCTGTTGCTGCTGTTGCTGTTGAAACCCACCATCTTGATACATTCCACTGCCGTTGGACTGGTATGTGGGGGAAGAGTAATTCAGATATGGCATGTTGGTGTTCATGTTAAACTGCGGCTGGTCTTGCGCGACTTGCTTCCCCTGCGCCACTGGCGAGCTTACGCCGGAGCGCTGTCGCATAAATTCGTTTTGCCATCCTCCTATGGTAGACCTGATGAGTGGTGCTTCGGTGCGGAACTGGCCTGCGGGCATGGGCTGATCGTGGAGGTTCAGGCGCTGGAAGTCGGCGGCCCATCCTCCCGGTACGACGGTCGGTTGGGGCGAGAACGTAGCAGCGCGGGTGTTTGCGAATTCAGGCTGTTGAAATTGGAGGGGACTGGGCGCTGCATTTTCGAAAGCGTAGAAGTCGGCGTCGAGTGCGCCTACTCTTGGGTCGGCGGTGCGGAAGCCCTGAAGACGGTGTTAGTAGTTGTCCGACTCACCCGGGTATAGGGAGAGTGCGGCATACCTGGCCAGGAGACTGTCTGGAGCTGACTAGTCGGTCTTGCTGAAGTGTGCGATCGACTTGCGTGTGCTTTTGAAGGTTCTGGAGTGGATTGGAGGGGCCACAGAGAGCATCGGCCATGGCTGGAGATTGTGACGGTGAACCAGCTTGATAGCAAAGGGTGTAAACTTGGGCGGAGATCGAGATAGGAAATATCACATCCACGGATTCTAGTAGAGAACGAGAGCGCAGGCGAGGCAGGGTGATGAACAGTCAAGTTTTGTGGATGATGAACAATAAAACGTGGGGGGCGTAAAGATATCGAGGATATCTTTGTAGATGCATTAATTAACAGTCGATGTGGGTGATGCCGAGGTCTGGGGGAAATTATTAAGCCGAGATCTGCCTACGGTGGCAGTGCGAGGGACAAGGCTGTAGTAAAGATGGCAAAGTCCCGGTAATCTCTCTACCACGTATACTAGTACCTGTGACTGGGATTTGACTGAATCGTCCCATACCTACAACCTACTTATGTATGTATTGACCCTTCTACGGTCGAGATCCCTTTGTCCCGTCTGCCTTGATGTCGCTCCCGATCTTAGCTAGCAATCTCTCAGCCTCGTGCCACTCTCCAGCTGGAAATATCCGGCTTGCCATAGAGCCTTCCTCTAGATCCTGTCTGCGCATGCCTCGTTGCCCCTCTTCGAATTGTGCACCTCTCTGCTCACAGCCATCAAACCTCGTTGCTCAATCGCTTGCTCCAACGAACAAGGAAGGACCTTCGCACCATTATGACGGGTACTCAGCCAACGAGACGGGGCTGAGCAGAAATGCTGATGCTGTAATACCGGACAAGTCGCCTTTGGAGTGCTTCGCGGATTAGAACGGTCATGATCGGACACTGTCTTCGCACGAAGACGATTCAAGTACGTACCTTGATAAACGCAGAAAGTCTGCTAGTTTGCCAGCTGCAACCGGGTGGGCGCTATCGTCGTGACCTTTAGACCTGGACCTGGTCAGGATCCCTAAGACATAGTCCTTGAGATTGTTCTGTTTGGTGGCTTCGGTTAAGAGGAGACAAGAACAGAGTCCGATGGCGGTTGATGGTAGATCGTCCGGACCTGAAGTAGATTGGATGAAGGCCAGCAGGGGCCTTGATCTCACTTATTCTTTTTGGGGTAAGAATTTGCAACAGCAGAGTCCTTAAGAGTAGGACCGCCCGTAGTCGTTGCTGATCAGACAGCAATCATTAGGGTATCAATCAAGGATGGAGTTGAATGTTGGCTGGTAGGCTAGCAATTTCGGCCTCTTGTTGGAGCCAAAACGCAGGCAAGGATGGTGGCTCAGATCGGAAAAAGTATGTGAGCTTGCAACATTCTGCTTGGGCCGAGAAGGTTATGCATTATGCTCCCTCATTGTCGGTCGCCAGCCTGTTGAAGGCGTCTGCGGAATGCTCATGGATGGCAGATCAATCGGTCGTTTAAAGCTTCGCTCGCATTCCAGCATCATGTCTCCCGTGCAAAGGAACTTTCGAAGAATATCTCTGTATTCTTCAAGACACAGGTGCTTTCCATACCCTTCGCCCAGACCTCTGATAATAGCTTCTGCGCTCTGACTACGTTGACCCGTTGTGATGCAGGCAGCCCACAGAGCGACGGACCGCGCCCAGATGATGCAGTCCTCTTGCCCCAGCTGGACAGCGCATCCCTTGATAGCTACAAGCAACGACTCCTGAACAGCCTTAAAGAGTGATCCGTGAATCATGCATCCAAATTCGCAATTGCAGAATGTCAGGAGTGCGAGGCAGACGACGTGCTCGACAAGTATGGGCGGAGGGCCGTTCGATGATGACTTCACTGGTCTTTCGTTGGGCGATATTCGACGCAAGCAATCTATACAATTGTGGAATTCGTTCTCTGCTCTGTAGGCGATCACATATGCGGATTCTGATTCACTGACAGATTGAGCGCGAGTGCGAGCCTTGACGAGGATTTTCGTAAACATGTACATCCGCTTGATTATCTCGAGCACTTCGACGCTCAGGCCTCCAAGGAGTGCGATGCTGCGGAATCCCTCAGGAATGACCTGTAATGTTGCAGTAAGCTCGAATGAATTCGGATACCGGAGTGGTTGGCGTCGATATGATGGAAATGGGCTGAGTAGAGTCTCATCCGGGCCAAGGCACCACGCTGGTTCTTCTCTGTGAAGATATGGTCAGCTTGGTAGGACACTACTTCGTGTAACAGAAGCCTTACTCGGACAAGTAGTTCGTTCTGAAGAGGGTCAACTTTTCGTGTATCAGCCAGGAACTACAATCCGGCCTAGAGAGCAACTTTAGCATGCGACATGCATCGGAACAGGCAACATCAAACATACGTCCCAGGTCCGGGCGGACATGCGATCAACTTACGCAGGGCCCGTCGATGGATCATTACTGGTTGGGCGTCTTGATACGAAATCTGGATTGGTAGTCAGTCTATGAGTACCACAATCACTGCGCTGTGGGCCGCTTGCATCGAGTCCCATGAGCATGGTAATGGCCAAGACCGCCGACATGTCTACCTGATCGAAGGCTTTTTGTAGCTTCTCTGAGAGTGTTCGGAGCGCAAGGCCTTTGAAATGCAGAACACGCTGTGACGGGCTGTCCGGTATGATCTTGGTCTGCTTCATTTCGTAGCTAGCGCAACCCATGGCCATTATGGCGTAGAAGAGCTCTGGGCTCATCAATGCCATTGCGAAGTTCTTCTTGGTTGAATCTTCTAGGCAGCCTAAAGCTCGCTGAAGTGGTTGGATGCTTTGGGCGTAGCATCGAAGGACTTCAGTCTCTCTCGTCAGTAGGGAGGTAGTTCACGAACTCATGTGGCGGCGTACCGTAGTCCACTATCCTGCGATGTTCCGGAACATCCATGGTCGAGAAGGTGCTGTATGGGTCGAACTCAATGCTCTTGATTGAGGCATTGCTTCTGGCTTGATGGTAGAAACCGAGCTGTGCGACAATGCTTGAGGAATTCAGAACATCCAGCGATGGAGGTCGACACTTGTATTTCTGTATACACGAGTCATGGGTGTCAGCAAGATCTGTGGCGGCGTCTAGATTTCTTTTCCTGCGACAGGCTGCCTTTCGCCTGGCTTGTTTCTGTTCTGAAGCGTGCGCGGAGATCCTCCGCTGCTGTTCGACATCGTTGCGATGATCACCATTCACGTAGTTGATGAAGATGGCTCCCGGCATGTCTTTAAGTCGACGATGAATATCGAGCAGGTTTCGTTGTCATTATGATCTAGAGATTGACATTGAGCCTCCTCGAAAGCCTCCTCGAAATGAGTGAGATCGTTCGAGTTGGCGCGAGCGAATTTGCCGATTGGCGCCTGTCTTCACCCTTGTTAGGTCAGCACCACCAGCACTCTCACCTAACTGTTAGATACAATCAGCAGCCACAGTCGCCCGGAAGAACGAGTCTCCGGGCATCCAAATGCTTGGAGTGTCAACCTAGTAGCCTACCTACCTAGGTAGTCTCAGCCTTGCGTTATCCTGCCTTCCGAGCTTGCTGGTAAACAGAGATTACCATCTTGAAAGTCCGCGATAGGGCAAACAGAGTAGTGGATTCTGAATGAACTCGACGAACTGCTCTCTCGACAGATGAGGTGCAACACGCTTCACGTGACTAAAAAGTAGACTGGAATCACAACGACGACTCTAACTCACTCGGATGTCAAATGGACAACGCTCTTTTGGTGTTCTATTGCAGCCCTATAGCTAACTCACGGCCTAGAGGATTGCACCACGGTCATTCGGCTGCCGCCTCATGGTCGATATCTGAACGACGTTTGGTCCCATTATAGCCGTGTTGTAGAGTACAAAAGAATTTCACTGTCGGCTCGGAAGAGATCCATCTGATATCAACACAACGCTCCACCTCGCCAAGAGCTGCACCACATCCTCATTCTCACCAACATGAAAAAAAGAAAAATCATCCGAGTCCACCTCAGTTGTATACTCCCTTTGGAGAGGGGGCAAAAAAGAAAGTTGACTCGGTTGAGGCTCGAACTCAAGACCTTCTCCGTATGTGAAATGTTAAGGAGATGTGCTGGGAAGGATATTAGCGATAGTCCAACCGAAACTGCAGTTGTAGGCACTTACATAACCAACTGTAATGCTGTTAGTAGGAGCCATGTGTTGAGGGAAAAGGCTTCACTTTCCTACACCACCAAGCCGGTATTTTGTGCCGAAATTTGCGCATTATTATGAATGAACGGAGAATATGCCGTTGGCGGGTGGGCAACAACATCAACCCCTGAGTTACTTGGACGCCCACTTTGATGGCCGAGCAATCCAAGTACTCAGACTTGTCTGATGAGTTATATTGGTTGACGATGATGTGATAGACCCCAGGTCGGAAAATATGCTGAATCATTGGCTCTTTCTCGCTTCATTCTTGGTCGTTGCGTAGTGCCGGTCGCAACCTGGGCCGACTTCTCATCTTGGGGCAGCGGCCGACTCTAGCTGCGCGAGCATGCATGCTCCAGGACAACGTGAAAAGTCAACCAGTCCGCCACAACGATCCACGTACAGCATATCGATGGAAGCTCATCGACCGCACTCGCGGCCAACCTCATACGGAAGCTCGATCTCGGAGGATGAGGGCAGCTTCTCTTTCATGCCTGACCCGTCGCAAAATGACCCGCCCTGAGCTCCGCCTCAGTCCTCCTTCGCCAAGAGTCGGACACTCTGGTCCAATCGATGTCGCCCAGTCTACCCAGGGCTCGGCAGCCGTCGCAATCAACGTAGTCGCTCAAGGTACAGTTGACATGGCAAGCAGGGCAGATATCGTGGACTTGCTTATGCCAGCTGGCATCATGGAAATTCCACCCTGTCTTCTGGATCCAAAAGTTGCTAATCTCACAACCAACAATTCCATTCCAGTACTCCTCATGGCACGGTCGATTTGTCAAGCAGTGATTGCACAGACGCAGATCGACAGGCATCCAGGGTTTCAGTTGTGCCATCAGGTCAGGAACGTCGAAAACGCTTTTCGGAAGGAACCCAGCGTACTTCGGCGAGGTGGCTGACAGATGTAGATGGACGTCTCTGGCAACCGTACCCATTCGTTTGCAGGTCAACGCCAGAGCAACCTGAGAAGGGGCGTGGGCCAAGCTGTCGTATATGGTAAGGAGGATTTCGTGCGGCATCTTCATTAAGACTGAATCGTCATAAGGCTGATCAGCCTCTTTGGACAGGATCTATCAACGTTAGAAATTGCGAACGGGAGCAGTCGAAACCTTTCGTACTTCATCCGGGATGATAAACCGACAGGATAGTTTCCTCTCAAAGTCTTCGCTCATAGCACGGCATTTCAGCGGCTTGCGAACCACAGGACAAGAATCTGATCTCTGTGGCAGTCCAATGCTGGCAGGAAAGCCTGTCCACAGAGCCATGTCGCCCTTATTATGTGTGTTATTGTCAGGTCGAGAAGACGTTCCTGCTCGGAATGGACGCGTCGCTGGACGCTTTATATATGCAACTGATCTTACAGGCCTTCACATTCGCCCGCTACAGCTGGGAAGTCTCAGATGCCCGAATATCCACCGCGTTAAGCTGGAAGGAGGATAATCAAGGGGGCATTGGGAGTATGATGTACTCCGTACCACATGTCGATGGTGACGGGCAGTCCTGGTCACTGATTAGATAACTAATATTTGCTAGTCCTATTCGAGCCTAGAGGGTACGCTTATCGATAACCACGGGTGTAATGCCGATTCTTTCCCGAATATCAAACCACAAAGTCTCCCACGTCTCCCACGTCTCCTGACATGATCCATTCAAGATTCAATCTTCTCGCCAATTTCGCTGCACAACAAGCATCAGTCATGATCACGGAGTCGAAAATCGCTCATTATGAGCCTTACGAAATTGTACTTTGAAGGCTCAGGTGGCGCTTCGACGCCTGCTTCGCAACCGGACTCTGGGAACTCGTACTTCTCTCCTTGATGGATTACACTGCTCGTGTTTGGATTGGACTGAGAACGACTTCACCGACGTGGTAATCACACCGCAATATACTAACATCCCAGCGATTGATCAAGCAATTTCGACATAATGATGTTCACCAAGGCCAACATTGCCCTCGTCTCAGCCCCTACTGGAGTTCTGTTCCAAGTCTTCGTCATGAATCTTCATGAGGTGTGAACTGTCAAATTGTGACGACAATTTTGCCTTCGGTCTTTCCTTCCCAGATGTCCTTCAGCCCTTCGTCTGCCCTTTCCAGCGGCAGCACCTTTCCAATGTGAGGTTTGATTCCCTTGACGGCCACAAAATTCAACAAATCGACAAACTCCTCCCTGGTCCCAGTGTAGACTCCAGTCAGAATAGTCTGATTTGCCAGGAGATGCAACAGGTCGATCTTCACCTCCGTCGAACCTCCTTCTGAATGGATGCCACAAGACACAACTGTGCCTCCCGGCTTCACTGATCCCAACGAGTGAGAAATTGTCGTGGCTCCAGACGTATCAAAGGCGGCATCTACAAGGTAGGGAAGCTTTGCGAGAGGTTCGAATGTACGCTCGGCACCCAGCCGCGTGGCAAGTGCTCGTTTGGCCTCTGTGCGACCCGTGGCCCATACACGGAAGCCAGCTGCTGACCCGAGTTGAATCAGAGCAGTGGTTACACCTGGAATTAAATGTCAGCAGATTGAAAAGCGGAAGATGCTGATACGCTTACCGCCTGAGGAGCCTTGGACCAACACCGTTTGCCCAGGACGCAAGCTTGCCTGCTTGAACATCATACGGTACGCCGTCAACCAGGCAATTCCCATAACAGATGCATCTTTCGCGTCCAAGCCCTGTGGTCTTGGGACAGCGTTCCGCTTCGGCACCACAATGTACTCGGCCAGCGTACCTTGTACAACTTCACCTAGTACGTGCCTCTTTGGGTCAAGGGTCTCGTCGCCTTTGAAGTCGGAGTCTCCAAGATTTGGATAAACCGCAACTTCCGTCCCATCTTCGAGAATGCCTGCACCTTCATTGCCCAAAATCATAGGGTACCGGATCTCGTGCAGTCCTAATCCACGAAGGGTGAAAATATCATGGAAGTTCAGGCCAACTGCTTGCACCTTGACTCGGACCCATCCCTCTTTGGGTTTTGGAAGATTTCGCCTGTTGATTCTAATTGAGGACAGTGGATCTGTAGAGTTACCGGACGCAGCATAGACTGTGCGGATTGTCGGTTTTCGGGGATCAACATCGCCCACCTCCAAGTACCTGATCTTGTCGTTCTCGATGGTGGCAAGAAGGTACAAATCAAATGGTTCGTGTATGCCGAAGCCCTCGCCAAAGTCGCCATCCATCATTATATGCTGAAAGACCTTGCCATCCTTGCGGAGTTCTCTTTCAAGGATTTCGACTCGACCATGATGTCCGATGAGGCCAGGGCCACAGAACGCTTTGATCCCTTCGCCTGTGAAGCTCTTGCCATCATCGACTAATTCAGCATCCGAAGCGAAGGCGCTCAACATGAGCTCCAAATTGCCATTGTTGATGCCATGGAGGAACTTATCGAGAGAAGTTGGTGACGGTGCCATTGTTGAAGATTGATCGACTTTGCTGGTCTTGAATTGTTCATTGTTGCGGTGGCTACTCACGACTTTTATACCTCAGTTCTATGCATGCGCAACAAATGATCTCCTTTTAGGGATCCCTGCAGGTTTGGGATTACCTGGCGTTGCCAATACACTTGTCTCATGAGGGCATTGGACTCGCCAGGCTGAGGCAAGCATTTGGCTTATATCACGTGAGGGTAAGCCATTTCGTCCGTTGTGGATGACAGGAGCCATGAGTCTATGCTGATCAATTGGTTAGGGAAGGCCAAAAGGGTCTTGGTACTTTCCCAACGCAGGACCGATGTCCGTATCCCTCCAGTATTCGATTCGTCATTCGCAATACAGTTGGCGTGTGGTTGAATGATCAGTATCTACCAAGATGCAACTCGGAACTGTATGCACTTTGCAAAGTATGCATTGCAATCACGGCCCACGCCAAATGTCACCTGTCACACATTGATCCATGTCTCAGCAGAACCCACACGAAAGTCGCCGATGCCATGCAAAGTCCCCGAACGCTAAGCAAAAGGTTGTCGCCTTTGATATATGCATTCATCGCAACCAGATCAATCAAGCCGCGTAGATGATACAACCAATTAATCCTGATTTTCCACATACAAAATGAGCGAGTACGTTTTACTCATCGTCGGTGCAACAGGCCAGCAGGGACAGGCGGTCATTGCTGCTCTGCACAATTTCCCTGCCAAAAGGTCGCCCGTTCGCATCCTGGCATTGACCCGATCTGTATCATCGCCGAAATCCAAGGCACTCCAGGAGAAATATCCCGAAATCACCCTGGTGGAAGGCAATATGAAATCCCCAGGACCCCTGTTCCAAACCACCCAGAACATATCAGCCATCTTCCTTGTCACCGTCCCAGGACACGAAGAGGCACAAGCCATCCCGCTTATCGATGCCGCCACGACGCCTGATTCCAAGGTGCAACATATCGTTTTCAGCAGCGTCGATCGTGGCGGTGATCAGGCCAGTTGGACCAATCCCACTACAGTACCACACTTCGCCAGCAAACACCGGATCGAGCTCTATCTATGTGACGCATGCAAGCGCAGCGGGAAACAGTGGACAATCTTGCGGCCGACCGGTTTTATGGACAATTATAATCCCGGTTTCTTCGGGTCTATGATGGCTTCTTTATGGAAGGCGGGCTTGCCTCCTCAGCGGACAATGCAGCTGGTCAGCACACATGACATTGGCGTGGTCGCGGCTAAGGCGCTCTTATACCCAGAGCAGTTGGCGAACAGGGCTGTAGGTCTTGCGGGCGATGAGTTGACGTTCGGCGAAGCGTGCGACGTCTTCAAGAGGGTGCTGGGCCGCGAGATGCCGCAGACGTGGAGCTTCATCGCAAAGGGGGTTATCTGGTGGATCGAGGAGGCACGGACAAGTTTTGAATGGTTCGATCGCGTTGGCATGCAGGTTGACATCCAGTCGTTGCGACACGAAGCGCCTGAAGTGCAGACCTTTGAGCGGTGGCTTAGAGAAAGCAGTGGTTGGAAAGACCAAATAAAGTGAGAATTCCGGGCATCGAGTGACGATTGATGTGCTGGGATATCTTCATGCTGGATATCATCTGGCGACTTTTGCAGGCCAAGTCGTTGTAGATGCAAAGACAAATCCGCGCAGAGATAATGTCCGCAGAGACCAGAGACTGCACGCTTTCTGAGGGAGTGGAATGGATGAGCTGACATGCCGTCGTAGCGAGCTTGTGGGGGGCCTTAGTGAACGCCCAGAAATGCCTCGGTATTATGCGGATGTGGAGGGACTAGGCGGATGACAGCTGCAGACATACATCTTTGAGATCTGCCTGCATATTCGGGTAGTGAGAAACCCTATCCAGTCTGCTTCTTGTCTGGTTGTCATTGGAGACTTTACTTATTTGTGCTGTTGTCGATGGTTGTCGCATTGAAAGTGGTCATCATCTCTACGCTACAGCATCTGCCGAGAATAAGCGCAAGCAAGAATGGGACCCGCAGAAATCCCAAAGACGATGCTGGCATGGCAGAAGCACTTTCTGAGTATGGAGGCCGTAAGTCACTGCTGTCTTGGGCAGAAGAACGGTGTTCTACAGTATATCTCCTGTCTGGTCTGACATAGTCCCAGACCAGGGTTGAGGTCGAAGTGCCATCTGCACCTGATGATGGACTTTTGGTGAAGATATATGCCGCAGGTGGTAAGCTTCCTTTCCTCTTGAGCCAACATCTGAGCCATGTTGGAGTTCTCCTCCGCCAGCTCTCAGACGACATGCTGAACGTGCTGCAGTCTGTCACAGCGATGTCACGTTGTTGAACATGGAAACCAAGCGTCCTTATTTCCTGGACAAGTACACTCTGGTATGTGCAGGTCTATCTTGTTGCTGTCATCTAGGAGCTCAAGGATGCTGATGGATCCCTGTCAGGGTCATGAAGGCTGTGGAGAAGTGGTCGCTGTTGGATCTGCCGTCACCAGATTCAAGGCTGGTGACATGGTGTCGGTATTAGCAGTACCTGGATGTGGCAAATCATCCTGCCCGGAGTGTACCAGGGGCGTGCCGCAAATTTGCAGCACCGGCGAGCACTATGGCATAGGAAATGACGGCTCCTTCGCTCCCTACATAGCGATCTGCGAGAGAGCTGCGGTCAAACTGCCACCCGGCGTGAGTCCAGCAGCCGGAGCAGTAGCCACCGACGCCGTGTTGACTGCCTACCAAGCAGTCATGCGACGAGGTAAGGTCAAGAAGGATGATACGGTTCTGCTGTTGGGACTTGGCGGGCTGGGATTCAATGCTTTGCAGATTATACTCAGTATTGGCGCCAGGGTCATTGTTGTGGATCAGCGACAAGAAGTGCTCGATGAGGCTGTCAAGTTCGGTGTCAAAGAACAGGACGTCATACCTATTGGGACAGCCAGCATTGCTGAATGGGTCAATAGCAACAAGATCATCGTCGACACTGCGATTGATTTTGTCGGAGTCTCGCAAACATTCGCGGCGGCCATCGAGTCTGGTGAGTTTCCAAGATGAGCCTTTTTGTGCAGTAGCTGATACCAGTATGTCTCGTACAGTACGCATGGCAGGAACGGTTGTGCTTGTTGGTCTCCTCAATCCCGGCATATCATTCAATTCCCTGCCTGCTGTCACGAAGCAGATCGACATCCTTTGCAGCTATGGAGGCACATATTCAGACCTGGAAGCCAGCCTTGACCTGATCGCTAAAGGTGTCATTACGCCGCAGGTTGAGACAGGAAGCATGAAGGATTTCCCTCGTATATTGGACGACTTGCATAATGGGAAGATCAAGAGCAGAATTGCCCTGGTGCCGGAGGGGATCGATTAGACTCGGTCAAAGCATTTGTGGTAAAGAATCCCTGCGACATGCAATGGAGCTGAGTTGAACCACGACGGCAGCTTTGCTGCACCTAACGATGCTAGGATTAGTCCGCTCATTTCTAATTTGAGCACGGTTCAGACAAGGTCGTTGCGGTTGTTGCTGCCCTTTCATTCCTCATTTTCAGCATAAGGCGCGAAATGTGCATGGTTGTGGGCATCTGGCAAGCTCATCACCCACGATGCCTGATGCCCGACTTGCGGTTTGTCCCTGCATTCGCCAAGGTCACACTGCAGTAGTCTCGTCTCTACAACGACCTTTGTAAATTGGGGGCCGATACTCTTGCAAGCCACTTTCTTCATTCCACCAATCACTACCAGGTCAGAGCAACTTTTGTTTTGCTCAGCCTGACTTCTTCTTCGTCATGGCCTTGAGTCCCGTCCCTCCTGGTTGACCCTATGACTATATATGATCGAATGCAGCTTGGTGCTGCTGGACTACTCCCTTCTCTCCCTGACCATCCTCAGCATCGAACATGCCTGGCACTCGAAAACATCCGCATACTCGCCAAGAATGGGAGGCCATTCGACCCATCTTCACACGGCTGTACCAGAAGGAAGGGAAACGCCTTTCGGAGGTCATGGAAATCATGGCTGCACGGGGCTTCCATGCGAGGCAAGGTCCTATGTATTGTCAGTCTCTTCGAAGCTGACCATTACGAAGACAGCTCCATTATAAGCATCGCATCACCATCTGGGGCCTTGACAAGAATAAGAAGGTAAGTCACATCTGCGCATATTCAACCCAGACTAAGTCAGGTTCAGGAGTCCGATATGGCATTTGCAGCTCGTGTGGTCGAAGAACGACAATCGCACGGCAAAGACACGAGGCTACGCATTCGTGGTAGAACATTCACTCCAACGGACGTCGAGAAGTATTGGAAGCGGAAGCCATTGAGCGTGGAGGACGCAGCGTCCGTTCCGCACACCCCTCCATGCGTGGAGTACTGGACGCCAGCGCCATCGCCAGCCATGACGGGATCCTCAGAACTATCAACTTCCAGCACGCAGACAAGAAAAGGCAACGAAGTGGAAGACATGGGCACAGACTTCCTGTCCCACGATATTCAGGCTTTAATGAGCGTCGACGACTTGAACTCCACAGAGTTTGCTCAGTCGCCCAGCGTACCACCACTCATGATTCCCAATTCTTTCAGAATTCAGGAGAAACTGATTTTCTGCGCCAATGAGTATACACAGGCTAGCTTTGATCATTATTTGGGTATGCGAAATACTGATTGGAGCCTCGCTGAGAATACTCTAGTCAAATTCTTGGATATGGCGAGTGACTGGCTTGGAACGGTATACTACGGACGGATGCCATGCACCGCCGCAGTTCTCGAGCTTGAGATTGGCAGGATGATTCCTGGAATCTTGCGTCAAAAACCCCTTTTTCTGCTTCCAAGACTTCTGGCCCTAGGCCTTGTAGTCCAGGGCACCACAAGATCCGACCAGTATTGTCAGAGCTACAGAAAGTTAATAATGCTCTTGAAAGAACAAGCTGAAGCAGTGCTGCCAAGCGCTTTTCCATTGACAATTCTCTTGGAGTCAGTCAATGAACTCCTCGAAGACCTTGCCCCCGATAACGAAAATGATATCCGATCTCATGCGAGATTTCTGTTCAACCTGCTTTAGGCACGATCATTTTGTCTCATATCGGCTCTTTGTCACCCTGTCAGATAATGCTCTCGCACGGGAAGACTGGCTTGATGGCCTGCGGTACGCACAGAAAGCTGAAGATGCCGCTATTCGTATAGTGGGACCCAGCAACAAGCATCATCCATGGGTGCTGGGAGCGCAGTGTGGAATGGTTCAAGCCATTACAGGCATGGGTGACTTTGGGAAAGCCGAGAGCATGATTCAGAAAGTATTGGTCATCTTATGCAACGGCGGGCCAAATCTTCGTACTACAAACGACATCCTGTCGAACCTCCTTATCCGATTAGCTCTAGTCAGAGGAAGATTGGGCAGGGTAGTGGAAGCAGAACAAATCCTCCACCAAATCCTGAGAATTCGATCTGGGTGGTTCGGACCAGGCGATTGCCTTGCCATCAATATCATCGGAATTCTCACCAGCCGTGGCTCTGCCGCAGGTCTGGAATTGCGCGGCAATCAATGAAGGGAGAAGAGAGTCACATATATCAACTCACAGGGAATGACAGTCTAGCTCAACAAGAAATTCCATGGCGAGATGAAGAACCGGCTTTGCTTTATCCACAGATACAAAGGGTGGGCTCATGGGGTAATGATTGTTGTCAGCTTTTTCTATGTCGGGGGGTGGGTACGGGGTCTCTTCTTCTTGAGTTGTGCTACCCGTGGCAGATTCTTCATATTCCTCATCTACATTCCATCCTGAGACGTTGTTCAAGGAGACTTGGCTCTGTCCTCATATGCTTCGAGATATTGACAACAGAGCCCCTGTATTCAGGCTACTCAACCATGACGTCCAACTTCCGGAGAGTATCTCCTGCAACGGTTGGAAACCTGCAAGACGTGGAGGTTCGTGATGAGCAGGTATGCCGGGTAACGTTTCGATGGCAAGGCACTTCCTTCTGGTCCTGCCAGAACTCGGTCGTTCGTTGAGCGTGACTTCTTCCCCCAGCTGTGCACGCTTTTGCCGCCCTCTCGCCACGAAGACGTCGAGAGGGAGCCACCGATGGAAGGAACACCCAGGCAGTTGCGACTTCTTGTCTCGACTGCGACTCATTTAGGCATCTCTGCAATGGAGTTGCATTTCTCGGAACGCAGCACAGAGTACTTGGGCATCGTACAATAGCACCGCATCACTCATACTAGTACCCGTACTCATACCACAGCCGCTTCGTCAGTCCAATGAGCATCAACATCAACATCAACACCGGCCAGCCCACCGCAATGAAACCGCAGCGTGAACACCGATCGATCAGCTGGGGCCGCCTGTTGCGCCAGGACAACTGGGTTCTCACTGAATTTACGCCATAGTATGTTGAAACCCTCAGTACTCCAGACGGCTTTCCTCCCTTCCATCTTACAGCGATTGCATTTTGACGCCTCAATCGCACACTCACTGAAGTACTCGTACAGCGGAATGAAGCAATTGCGTTTCCCTCCAGGTTACGTCCGAGCATCCTGGGTCCAGCTCAACGACGAGCCGCCGTTCGTGGGCGTACTTCTTTGGAACAGCCACCAGTACAGCCAGAAGTACGAAGGCAAGGGTAATGATAACCAGAAGGAAAACCAAGTGCCAGCCCGAGACGACGACACGCCAGAGCGGAAGGACGACTACACGCAAGATCAGGACAATAACCACACGCAAAGTCAGAACAACAACAACATGGAAGCTCGGAATGACAACCACACGCCAGCTCAGAACGACAACAACACGCCAGCTCAACATGACAAGGTTGTGCGAGAGTTGGAGGCATTCATGTGCCTGAGGACCTCACACAAGATTGTCCAGGAGAGCTTGGAATTCTGGGAGAAGCGGGACAGTGCCGAATATATGGGACTTGCACAGTTGGAGATGGACATGTTCGATGTCCTGGCAAGCTCAAGCTGTAGGCTCCGCTTGACGAAAGTGCGGAGTGTGAGCGGAAGTGCCGCGTCCGAATTGGAAGGTTGTTGATGCTTGAGAGCACCTTATCAATCGCAAGAAGGGACAACTAGATTAATAGCAACAGGTAGTTCTCAAGGTCAAGAGAATAGCATTGGACAATGTAGTAGCTCAAAAACGCTTGCTAATATTCCAAGACTCACCATTATCAAAATACAATTCGTGCCAACGACATCAGTTCATCATAGTCGTAATCATCGTCCATCATCCAATCTTTTTCTCAATCTTCTTGAAGAACTTCCCGACCCCCTTTTCGAGTCTCTCTGCAGTAGATGGCTGGTGATGTGCACTCGACGTGCGCGAGGGCTTGTGCTGGTGATGGTGGGTGTGGTATTCATCCTCCGTGGGTCGATAGACTTGGTTATGAATGTCATAGGGTTTGCCAGCGGCCGCAGGAGAACCAGCGGGTTGTCCGGGATGGCCGTAGCTGTAGGTCGCATAGCCTCCCATGGGAGGTGGAGGAGATGATCCCGCGGCCAAGTAGTCCGGATATTGGGGTTGTATGTGCTGCAGTGGCTTGTGAGGTTGTGCGTTGACAGCCTGGTAGAATTGTGTGCCGGGGCTCTGGACGGGTTGCTGCTGCTGTTGCTGGCTGGCGCCGCCGAAGATGTGCGCGTTGGGGTCTTGCACGCTGTTGGGGACGTAGTGCTGCGCGGCCATGCTGGGATGCCTGCTGCCGCTGTTGTTCTCGGCGCTGGTGGCGCTCGAAGGTGGTCGTTGTGCTCCAGAGGTTGAGGCGGATGTTCGTGGGGAGGTCTGGAGCGCAGAGGAGACGGATTGTGTTGGGCCGAAGGATGGGTGGTGTAAAGGAGTGGCTGCTGATTGAGGGCCGAATGAAGGGTGGGAATGCGGTGATGGAGCCGCAGCATGTGGTCCGAAGGAAGGTGGTGGAGGAGAGCCATAATGGCCGTACGGGTCGGGCTGGGGACCACCAGGCAGGCTGCCGGTGTATGGTTGCTGAGGGTGGCCATAGAGATGGTCGTGCTTTGCTGCTGTCGCTAAGCCCGTGCCGTCCGTCGCATCTATCGGGGGAGGAGTGTCTTCCCGATGGGCGATTGGTTCGGGCGCCGCTGGTGCTGCCGGGTTGTATGCCAGAGGAACAAAGTTGGATGATGAACCTGGGCCCGACGCTTGTACTGATGGCGTTCTATCGACGTTCCCAGCCGTGGAGCTAGGTACAGGCGATGCCGCTGCGTGAGCTGGGGTCGGAGCTTGTGGTGGTGGTGGTGGTGGAGGGGGTGGCATTTGACTGAATCCAGGGTGCTGAGCTGCGGCGGCTTCGTGGTTTTTGTCCTTGTGGTATGCCGGGTCAGATATGGCGACGTGCTCGAGGTTCTGGACAACGGCGCTGACCGTGTCATGGCGGTCTGGTTCTGGTTCTGGTTGTGCATCGAGTTCGTGCGCATGCTGTTCTTCATGCTCATCGACGTCTAACTGATGTGGTTGTAACAATCTCTTGCATATGTCCACGATCAATTTTGAGTCTTCTTGGTTCCAGAAATAAAAGTCAATAGTGTGTATTCTGTACTTTGTGGTCCCAGGATCCCTCGGATCCGCACTGGCGAGTCGCCATTCGTCTGGCTCTCTTGACGATCGAGCAGAGGCAGGCGAGGCGGTGGCCGGGCCGGTCGCATCAACGACGAGCGTCACTCGGGTAGGAAAGCGGTGGGAATTGGTAACGTGCACATTGTCCAGGTAGCCATTGAATGCGGCTTGATCGGTTGTGCCTGGATGGAGTGCGACTTCGATGCGGCTAGTCTGTCGCGTCGAGTTGTAGTAGATGTAGAAGTAGGACGACTTGTCGAAGCGATGGAGGAAAGGTCGTGGAGTCGGCGCATCGAAGTAGGTATGAGCGTCGACGTACCTAGACTGCGATCAGACAAAGAATTCGAAAGTGGAAGCCGGACTTACACTGTTGCCAGTATTTCTTCGCCTGGAAATGGTGGCATGGCGGTAGGAAACAGTGCGGCGGCTACAGCTTCGAGTCTGTCAACTTCCAGAATACCAAAAATTCACAGCATCACGTCTATGAGTCGATAGGCGGGTAAAAGAGGGCAAGAAAACCCCTTGATGAAGTCTATATCCAAGTGGTCGTGGTGTTGTACATGCGAAAATGAGCGGCTATCCAAGGTTGGGCGAGTAGGATGTCGACGAGGCTGGTGACGCATGAGCTGGTTGTGGCTGTGCGCGACCGGGCGAACAGGCTCCCAGGGTATCAGATTCTACCACGGCCTCGAGATCAGCTTATTTGATGCATTGTTACTCCGTAGTATGCTTCAAGTTGGGCTAGGATCATGAAGCCATGGTACTGCGTACATTTCGTCGACCTCATCCTCCTGATCGCTGTCTTCCCCCTTCCTCACCCGCGCATGGCTAGCACTACTGACAACCATCCATCTGCATAACAGCCCCAGCGAACCAATTCCTCCAGGTTAGCACTCATGGGTACGGGTGCGCCGTGCAAGAGAGGAGTAGCAAGGATTGGAGTCCTTCGGGAGGGAAACAAGCTCGGTATCAGTTGGTGCAGGGCCGTTCCCAGCGTCTGAGGCTGTCCTGTAACGCCCCCGCTGCCACCTCCACGTAATGCCGCCGGTGAAGCCTGGCCGACGACGCTGACTGTGGGAGGAATATGTGACTGTAGGACCTTGATCTGTGCTTTACTCGACACTTCGTCCGGTGATGATGGTAGATAAACTCGCAGAGGAATATTGCGCAGTTGGCCGGGCGCTGGCACGAGGCTGCCATGGATCTTGGAAAATGTGGCAACGTCACTCTGTTGAGTCGAGGTCCATAAAGCCTTGCTTTCTTGAGCCGACAAAGTCATGATGGGCTTCGCCGTGCCGGATCTCAGGAAATCTGCCTCCTTGACCGAATTGATAAAAGAATCATGCAGGACCATAGGGGTAGCGTCGGGCACTGTGGGCTTTTCTGGATCTGGGTGGAAATGCAACGTCAATTTGAATGGTAAGGCTGCCGAAGACGCATGGTCTGGGCTGGCATCTTGTGTGGACAAGACATAAATATCGTAGAGCAATCCCAGCGGTAGATGCCATTTCAGGGGCACATTGTCGTACGTAAAGTAGCCGGTGAATGGTGAGACCGTCTCAGGATCAGCAATCAAGGAGCTGGAGAAGAACGAGTGCAGGCGTGGTAACAGCAAGGGCAGGTATGACAGTCGTGGAAAGCCGATCTAAAGGACCGTCTACCGTTAGATTTGCCAACTTGGTCGGCCAGCGTTTTGAAAGGCATATCAACCACGCGACGATGATTCGAGGGGGAGACTGACCAGGTAGGGATCGGTGCCATCAAAAGTTCGAGACTCTGATGCCGCCAGCCGTATTTCCAGAGGAAGTCTCGCTTGCCATACTGTACGTTGAAGGCTCTGCAGCTGCTCGTCCTGAGCCATTACCAGCAGCCGAGTCTTGGACAGGGCGGAGATAGAATCCAGAATTTAGGACTCCGTACTGGCGGATGTTGATGCGATTGCGTGGTAGAATAATTCTCCCAATTCAATGAATGAATGACAGACGGGGAGGCGGACCGGAAAAGTTGGCCCCGCCAGCCAGCAAGTTACTCCTACTGTCACCTGTGTACATAGTACTATGTACGTTGAGCATCAAAATCAAGCCCCGTCAGTTTACTCAGAGGCGAACAAGGACATATCCAAACACGAGGGCACTCTACGGATGTGGTTAGATCGTCAATGAATGACCAAAGTACCAGCAGTCAAGAGACGCACACATTCACCGGATGCAAGACGGCTGCAGCATACTACTACTGTCAGGTCTCGACTGCATGCCATCGCTAATCGAAACATCCGCGAGCTTCAGAACAACACCCATTTCGAGAGACTGTCTGGGCCACGGCGATGCCGAACTAGCCTGGCCATTGCTAAGCTAGACTGCGGTCTGCAAGCGAGATATACGTATGCAGTAACTTGACAATTCTGCTCGCGCGGAGTTCCAGCGGAGGCCGGAGAAGGCGTTGCCAAAATGTCGAGCTGCAGATGCGCAGAGGTGTGAGGGTGTGCCAGGCCGCCCGATCCTTGTCGAGTTGGAAGTGAGTGTGGTCAACGATCCAGAGGAGTGGTTGAGAAAACAAGTCTGACGCTGGCGTGCGATTCTTCCGGAAGTTGCCCTTCTTCCAGACGACAAGACCATGCAGACCTCGAGCTTCTCGAGCCGGCAGTTTCTACTGTATCGCTTCGATCCTTGGATTCAAACTACTTGTACCAGAGTGCGAGCCAAGATGCAGGATATCAAGTCAGCCTGCCAAACTGAGAGAGCATGATCCAAGGAATACGGGTGTGATTCTAGGCCCCAACAGTCTTCGTGTTAACCATCCCCACGGGATACTGTCTGCCTTGACTTGCGCCAACTTCAGGAAGGCACCTGTCGGCTTGGGCCCTTCAAACATCCACTTAGGCTGCCAATCAAGCTGGCGGGCGTGGTAGGCGCCTGCAGTGCAACCAAGAGGCCATGGATGGGCCGAAAGGAAAATCGTACGTGTCATTTCTCAACCTTAAGGGTTGATGAGGTTGTCGTGAATACGAGCACATCAAGCCCCTAGCGGGCGCTCAAGACATGGGGATGGATCAGGTTGAGCCAGTCGGAGTCCACGTCCACGGTCAGATTCTTGAGTGGCTTGCATGATTACGGGGGCATCATTGGAAACTTCAATGATTGAGGTTGGCATCCCCCAGCCTCTGAATGAAGGTACTGTCTGCCTGCGTTGCCACCGAGCTTTGTTCTGCAGCAACTTGTGTGCCCGTGACTCAGAGTCCTAGAGAGGGTCGCTAAAGGGGTTTGACCTGTCGACAACGCTGAGCACTGGAATCATGGCTGGCATCGCCCCAACGGGGAGACGTGCTTCAAAAGTACAATCGACACCAGACACGGATACCCTTATTTTGGTTGCTCTTTTCCTCGCGGATCTTCCGATGAATCATGATCCAAGTTGGCCGTGTCAAAGTTGCACTTCTGATGGAGGATGCCGTGTTCCCAACCCCAGTCAGATGTTGTTTCCCCTGCTCCTCGACTTCCCCGTTCCAATGAATTTGGAGTAGAGGGGCTTGACCAAAAAAAAAACAAGGCTCGTGCCTTGAGCGCTCCGCTGTGGAATAGCACTAAACTCGAGCCAGGAAGGGCCGCATAGGCTCAGAGCGCAGACAAACACTATCCGTTCTCTAAGGCAAGTTGGCCCCTGGGAGTCTTGAACGGATCCTCCCCGACCACCACATTCCTGACTTACAGCTGGTGGGCTGGACACGATCCTTGACCATTTATAGGTCAATCTCCTTGTCGATCCGTCTCTGGCGCCATGGAGTGTGTCAATCTATCCTTAGGTGGATAGGCACCTAAGGTGATGAGTAACTTGGAAAATCTGTCGGCCCACGCGAGACTCGTTGAACATTTTGACACTTGGTGTCATCCACAGATCGACCACGTCAAAAGCTCGGATCTTCGTGCAAGAAGACAACCTTTGATACGACATTATTGCTTCATCATTGCAGCGGCAGTCCCAGAGCTAAGGATCGCCTCTGCAGTAAGTTGCAGGCCGCACAGTGCACCCCAAACAGTGGGCGCGTCGAGCCTAGTGGCCGGAGAGCATGGACCTAGACGAGGATCAACACTTGGAGGGCCATCTGTATGCAGCCAGCGATGCAGCCAGATGCCGTGGACCCTTCAGCTAAAAGTCCTCGTACTTCGGGCAGACAACAGTGCAGTTTCCCCCTAGACTTATTGTCGTTTAGAGAGGGAGGCTTACTTCTTCTTTATTACTCGGCTGATCGGGGCTTCCGCGCAGCACTTTCCCCTCCGCGTGGTTATGGATGGTGCCCATCAGTGACCAGTCCCTCATCGTCTATCGTCATCTCCCTTACAGCAACCATCTGGGAGCCCCCTGGACGGATTTCAAGATGCCTGTTGCTCGATTCGTCAAATCAAACCATCCAAACCGCCGATATGGTGCCACCTTTCTGCAGCTTACCTGTTTGGAGCAAAGGAACAGTGCCCATGTCGCGGCCGAGCTACCTTAACTGTCAAATGTCAATACCTTCTCATCCGACCCGCAAACACTTCGTTCCATGTTGAGGCCGTTGTGTATCGCAACTGGAACGAATTGATTTCTTTCCCAAATCAGCCTACGCGCCGCCGGAACGACACTTGCTGTTCCCCGTGGACATTTGCTTCCCTGGCAGTCCAGTGCATACCTGGAACCTCACACAGCTTCCCTGCTAGTCCCTAATCAGTCGCTTCTTTTTCTCCTCTTGCCGACCATCCTTCATAACCTTCTCCAGTCCAAGCCGCTGTCCACCCTGTCCATAAGTCTGACGTCTCCTCACGATAGTAAACATAACTTCGTGTTGATTCTTCATCCTCCTTGTTTCACGCCAACCTGAAGATCCACGGCTCACAGACATCGGTCATCGTCTCGGATCTCTCCCTAAAGGCACCACCTGCCACGCGCATATGTCAACCACTGTTCCGGCTTGAACTGGTTCCACAACCCACGTCCGGATTCTCTTCCACCCGACTCTTCCGTCTTCCTGCTCATTTCCACTCCACATTCAAGTCTCTTGTTGTTCACAAGGCGACTGAAGTGTGGAAGAACAGTCACCCTTTCAACAAGCTCATGTACAGCCTTCGAGACCACTCGTGTCAGCGTCTTTCAGACCGACACTTGACAATCGCCATTTCCTCGCTCGAACGCTAGTCGATTGCGAGTCTCAGCAGGGCTGACAGGCATATCACCGCTTCAAAATACGGCCCCTGCTCGAATTGATATCCGCTGGCACTGTTTAGTTAGTTCGGTTGATATTACTCCCTATCATTCTACAAAATGTCAGCTTGATGCTCAAGCTTATCAGTCGGCGCTCTCATCGATTCTGCCGACTCATTGATCTACCGATGCAGAGCAAAACGGCCACGCTCAATGTTGATTTCTCGTTGCCGGCACAATGATACCGTGGAATCAATTCACCCACAGGTAAGAGATGAACCGTCCACATCCATGCTAACGTTACTCATTCTTTCTATAGACGGCAAGATCCTGACTGGATAATCGAGCTCAATGAATACAATTTGTTCCACTATGTCAGCAAAGGCCCAACCCAGGGGAATCGAGTATTGGACTCACCTATGCTCGAGCATGCACAAGAAGGTCAATTTGCCATCGCTCAGCTAGGACTGCGACATGTTCAATTCGAGGCCGAGCATACGGCACGAATCCAGTCTACTCTCGATATATGCCGTCATTGGTTCGCCGACCACGAGACGAACGAAGACTGTCGTCCAACATCACCACACTGCGAAGAGTTGACAGACTTTCGAACTTCGCCACACTACCTCGAATCATTGCCGTCGCTTCGGCCATCCGACCTCCTGGAGGTCAGAGGAAGATCCCCTTCACCGACCATCACCTCCGGGAAATCTGGAAGGTCTCCCATGAGCGTGGAGGCACTCATAACTCCAGAAGTCGTGAAAACGCCGGGCCGCAAGCGAAAGCATTCGGATGACTTGTCTCCAGCAGCTATCACGCCTGACGACAGCCCCGAAGAGCTCGACGTTCTGGCAACGCCGGCTTTCCTCAGGACGCTCCCCAAATACGTCCGAGCGAGTGGAGCCACATCTGTGCAGACTACCAATGCCCGCCTTCGACGAGGCGCTCGGATGCGGCGCTCAAGGTCCGATAGAGGCCATGGCAAACCTGGTGGTCCAGAGAATGGGCAATCCGAGACTGATGGGCAGTTGTTGCTACACTTCTCTCGAAGTCATTGGTCTGTCCCACGTTAAGCCGGGAAAATGGCCAATGCCGCCTGTCAACGTCGATCCTCATCTTTCCCTTCTCACGAACACTCCACTCCACCATGTCGGACCTATACCAGGGTGATGTGACATCACTCACTGACGATCTGATATATGGTGATCATACCACGAATGCTATCTTTGCCTTGTTGTGCTTTTGTGGATGTTATTCAATGCATTTCAGTTGAATTTCTATGCGTGGATGCGAAAGCTTGCTATGAGGGTCAACAGCACCACATCGTTGTGAAGTTACCGCCATTATAATACGGGGTTGAAGACGAGGTTTGCTTCACGGGACTGCGCCGAAATGAGGGATATACCTTGCAGTTGATTGTCGGTTGTCCTTTGATGCGTGTATTGGCTGTTGGTTGTTGGTTGTTCAGCTACGAGCGTTGGCGCTGGATGGCGTTGATATATACATATGAGCGTTGTGTTTGATCTTGTCTACCGCTGTTACTATGTAGCAGACTTTTACGCTCTCGAGATTGGCATTTATGGATTCAAAAGGGTGTGAAGGTATCGACTGATCCAAAGTGGTATGAGTCGCCATGTTGGCCACCATGCACAGGGTTGGTGCCCTTGATAGGTACATATACATCTTGCCGGAGACAGTATATACGTCGACTCTTCTTTCGGCACAAGGCAAAAAGGGATGTTCAAGTTGTTCTTCACTCGAAGTTCACGCTCGTCCGCCGTTCTCTTCCGAATTATGTCGCGTGTCCTCCTTCACTACCCACTCAATTCCCTCTCACGCCTCTTTCTTGGAGCGTCTCTGCTCCATCCCACGCTAGGGAGATGGAAACAACGCGCTGCCGGCAATGGACTTTGGCATCCGTCGGGCAAGAGAGAGACGTGCAAGGCTGTGGTCCACCGTGAGTGACTACTCTTACTAGCACCGGCACACCCGAGCACTCCGTCTGCATACGGGACTAGGTATTGTAGATCAATCGTAGCCGTTACAGAGTACTCGTTACTACGTACTCCTATCTTTGGCATGACATCCACAACGGTAGTTACATAGTACTACTTGTACGGAGTACTTGAATGTGCACCTACTTGTACGTGTGAGTACCGCGTATGTCTCGCGTGGGACCCAAGGTTCTCTCGGGCCCCAGGCACGGATCTGGCTGTTCCTCCCGACGGGGGCGACGGGAACGGATGGAGACAATTTCAAAGTCAAAGTCAAAGTGCAAGTGCCGTGGATGTTCAGTCACTCACGAGTCACGACTGTCTCATATCGGGATACGGAGTATGGTAGTAAGTACATACTATGTACTAGTACGAGAGTACTTTTTATGCATGGTAGGAAAAGCAAGTTTCATGACCCCTCGAGTTGTCCGAATGCCTTTGTGCGGGTAGCCTGGGGGTGCCTGGCAACTGAGACTTTGGGCCGTGGGAAGGGGGCTCACCAGTCCGGGGGTTTGTGGAGTACTACAGTATGGGCAAGTTAAGGCGGCAGACAACTCGGCGCAGAATGAGACCACAATGCTGACTTAGGAGCACCCAGGTGAGGAGCAAGTGCAAGACAAGTGAAGACTTCTGCACTGCCTTCGGGAAACAACACGAGTACTCCTCGCTGTACATGAGCGCCCAAAAAGGTCTGGGTTTCGCTCTTGTCTTGTACTGTACTGCTCGTTGTAGCCAGACGGGGTGAGCACGAGACCACTGGATCAGTGAGGCGAGAAGCTGGGAACGGTAGAGTCGTACCGAGTACGATCCCTGACATACCGCAGGTCCTGTAGTAGTACTAGTAGTACTCCTACTCCGGGTGTCTGGCAAGGTCTGTCTGCGCCAGGATCGTGGGATGAAAGGCGCATGAATCGGAAGGGAACATGCAGTCGTAAAAACAAATCCGCAAGGCAAGCACTGGACAAGCCAACCCTGCATGGGGAAGGACTGCACTTCGCTTGCAGGATCTGCCCCTGCTTTTCATGAGGGGGGCACCCCTTCGTCTGCGAGCCGTCCGAGGATCGCATGGTCGCGAGGCCGCATCATGCCGCCATCCAAGTTTTTGCACAAGGGGCGGCGCGTTGCGGCTAGGACGGCTTTGTTTTGTCGGCAGATGGGCCGTAAGATTTCTGATTTTGATGTTGGCCGTCACGTCGGTCTTTCTTTTCGGGTACGGCGAGGCCGGGGGTGTACTACGTAGTTCGTGTACGTATGATGGTACTAGCAAGAAGTGTGATGGGGAAGGAATCACCGAAAAAGAGTCCACTGTCGAGTAGAACAGCATGATCCAGACTTTGATGATAATGCCCATGATGGGCCCCATCATCCCCCATCAGCTATTAAGGGCACGGGCACGGGTACCAAGCTCTCCAAGGGCCACACTCCGTGGGGAGTTACAGTAAGTCTGGCAAGATTGACCGGATGATCGACAACTAAAAGGTGAGAGAGTACTGGTATTGCGCTCAAGAACGGCATCTCCCTCAGGAATTACTCCGTGTTATCATATGGCGCATCAGCTCTACCAGTTGTACTCCGTAGCGAGTGACTCGTGAATGATGCAAGGAACGACACTGACCAACAAAAGGACGACCAACCGTCCGTCTCCTTAACCTCACAGAGGCAGCAAATGGACCGAAATCACGATCAACGTTCTTAGACGTACGGAAATATAGTACATATTGATAGCAAAGTGACCAGAAACCTTCGGGACCGCCTGGAATTGACAGAAAGCCCTACACGAATGCTGGGCGGACCGGGCGATGTACAGGTAGAATGACGAGTACCAGCATCGACATCAATATCAAAATACTGTGCACGGTAAGACATCGCTTCGAAAGAAGGTTCGGCTGCAATGACGACAATGGGATAAAATTGGGGTTTGAGGCCTGTTCACTGTACGGCCACCACCCAGGCCGCAAGCGATGGGTGCCTGCCACCTAGCCTGTATAAGTTTTGGAAAGGTCCAAAATCTACGGGTACTCGTGGCAATCGAGAAGGTGATCAGCGGCTTGGTCTGGTCTGGGACATTTCCTGGCGAGACACGACCGACCGAGTCAGTATCGCTTGTCTCGAAGACCAAGGAGCCATGATGGGGGGCGGGGGGCGTACGTTTTGGGTTGCTGAACCACGACAGGGACTACTATTATCAACTAGCGATAGACTTCCCTTCTTGAATCGGTTGGGTAGCGACAGAAATGGAGGGCATGGAGGGCACGACACCCATCACAACAATCTCGTGGCCGCTTGGTGGGACAGTACGGAGTACTCCCAGGTAATGATGGCAGCGTCAGGCGGCTGAGTTACCCATTAGCTGCATCGAGTACTTGTAGCGGGTCCCAGGAGGTGCAGAGGATGATTTTCGGGGAGGGGTGCATGCAAGGCCCCCATCACCTCCTATGCACTTTCACGTCAACTCGCTGGTGCCCTTGCAGCAGCCCAGCCTTGCAGAAGACTATAGTACAGTATCAACACTACTGTATTCCGTACTTCCGTACGTATGCACTCTCCTAGAACATTCCAGTAAGGAGCCTTCCACATGACAGCTCTTCATCAAGCACGTCCCAACCAGGTACACGCTAGGCTCATCTCCGGGCGTCAGGGTAAAGATCAACATCGATAGGGAGACTTTGCTCAAAAGAGACAATGGACGGCCGTGACTGAGTACAACGCTAGGCATCTTGGAGTTCCATGAAGTGGATGGTGCAGATCCATACCGTCGGAGTTGCAGCAAAAGCGCCAGCCAGGGGCATGAATTGCTATCTGGAGACTAATTAGCTTGGTGTACATGAACAAGTTCCGGAATCTCGCATTGAAGTTGGATTGACATGCTTCGTCGTCGACATGTCTCGCAATGTTCTGGTTCCCTTCCACAAGAATGACTGCGCCACGCGGTCGAACAAAAAGGGTTCAGTGCATGACCTCCCGCATGATCAGGGCCTGCTGCATCCGAGCAGACGGCGTCTGCCGCCGCGCGCAGTTGAGCAGTCTTGCCATCTACGCAACTTCGTTACTGGCGAGCTGGCAAAGGCTCTGCGCTGGCGATCTCCTTGTAAAACGGGTTCAACATGACTTCGGGAGAAGCCAGAAGTCGAAACAGGAGACTCGAATCCTTCACGAGCCTGCGCTATACCTGATCACGGGCTCCTGATGATCTTGAGAATTGCTGAATGCCTTCGTCGGGTATGCTGATGGTGTGCAGACAATGTCGTGAACCTTCGTATTGCCGCACTGATAATGCGCAAGCCTTCCATTCTTGACCGGATCTCGGGAACAAGACGTTGACAGCCAAACTGAAGGATGTCCGGGATGCCGGAAAGCAGAGGAAGAAGCTTCCTTCTCAGGCGCACTAGCTTCTTGAGAATCACCTCCTAGTTCAAAGGAGCTCAGACGATGTACAGAACACACCTACAACACTGAATAAAGAGGGCACCGTGACAATGCCTCTAGATCTCCAGCGTCGACCATCGACCCAGAAGCGGGATACCTGCCAGCAACGGCTCAAGTCGTGCCGTCAGGCACAGTGTTCGAGGTTAAGACGTCGCACGCCATGGCATGAGCCGTTTCTCCCCATGGGGCTGGTGCGATATGTGAAAGCGGTAGGATGCTCGAGACTGATTTCCCTCCGTCTGCTCTTTGTCTTGATACCCACCTGCGGAAGTCGCCGCATGACTAGGTCGCTGACAGTCGACCGATACCATCCATCATGCTCGGCATGGTTGCCTCAAATTTGGGTTGTCGAAGCCACCACCAACAGGCCCACACCCAAGGGTGCATGCTCGATTTTCGACGCTGTCTGCGGACGTGAATGTGTCAAGCTGTCCAGAAAGTGACCTGACCCTGAGGTCTCGCCGGTGACGTCGAAGGGCCAAACCCATGATCCCACCCGGGGTTTTCTGGACCACAACGACGGCTCCAGATACCGTACGATGCCGTGCTCCTCACAGGTCCTCCAGTTGCAGAAGCGGAGCTTATCAAAAGCTTGGTAGATCTTATCGCTCTTAACCTATGAGCTTATCTATTCTGCGGGGGCAGAACCAATGGGTGCTGGCTCTTGAACAGGTCTGGCCTGGATGGAGGTGGGAATCCGGGGTACGCATCTCGAAGGCAATGCTCCTGGCGTCCTCTATCTTCACGCCTTCTTTCCACCCTATTGGCCTGATATACTTATGTCCTGGGGAGTCTTATCTCTGGCTTCTGTGAGCCAGTAACGAGATGCCTTTGTGCAGTCGTTCCCGGTGCACTACACGAAGATGTCGTCAGGTCCATGGCAGCATCTCCATCTTCCAACCGGTGCCGATATATGTGGCTTGACGGCCTCTCAGGACATATTCCTCTCCAAGCATATTTCAACTGTACTGTCCTGTCGGATTTCTGCGCAAACGTCGTCTTCAGCATATCTGTTTGCGGCCGAACACCTCATCTTCAGGTCTGATCTTTGTATAGGCCAGTCAAGATAACGCTGTACGCAGCAAACATGGTCACTAGTACTGCTGAAGATGTCTTCATCCACGTTGGACGAGGTGGCGCAGGTACGACTGCTTCTCTTCTTCCCCCACATTCACGAGAATGCCACGCTAACCATTGACCCAGGGAATATAACAAGCTCCTCCACGAAAGAGACCCGACGTCCTAGCTATTCAGCCGATTCGCAGTCCTTCCGACAGGGTTTCGGCACGCGCAGATTCAGCACAGGCATCGGCGGCTCAGGGAACATCACAACGGCAAGCCAGCTGGAAAAGCAAAGTGAGGCTGAAGAGACGTCTCGGCTGTTGTATGATATGCAAGCGCCGGGCATCGTTCTCGTCGATGAAGGTTATCATACAGGTAGAGGTAGGTTTTATGTCCTCCTTCGGCAGTAAGACGGCCGGGGCAGTTTGACTGATTGTATGGCAGGCGGATTTGGCAATAAATACCAGCCCACCGAAGCTGAGATTGACGAAGCCCGTCAAAACAACGAGAACATTCGCAGACAGAGTTTGGCTAGCATCAATAAGCGACGCGAGAGTCTTGCCTCGAGTATGGCTGGTGGTAGTCCGTCTAGCAGTTGGAATAGTCGGAGAATGAGCATTACTGACTCGATGAAGGATTTCTTCAAGGGGAGGAGTCCAAGTAAGGCATGATGCTGGTGGACTCGATGAAGCTTTTGTAGTGCTGTTGATGTTTGTCGCCTTGAAAAGGACATGGCAGGTACCTTTTCGTCGATCAATTTATTTCCTTGTATTGAGGATGCCAGCATCATGAAGTGGTTACTGCAGCCAGGGCATATCTTTGAAACTCTTGTCCATATGCGGAGTCTGAGCACACACAACTTTGTACAATGTTCCGGAAAACCGTACCGGTAGCACTCTTGCTTTCGAGAAATTCGTTCTACCTGATCAACTCTTTGAGCCAGCTTAATCGGGGCCCGTAGCATGACCGTTAGGCACTCGATTTTGCGATGGTAGTGTATCAACGTGCTCCAACCTTGCAATTTCGAGATCAAGATCGAAGTCCTCCCTGTTGTGGTGTATTGAACTACTTCTCTTTCCACCTGGATGCGAGGCCCGCGTGACATCGCTCTTGATCTTTGTAAGATCGACAAAATGAGAAACGTCGTTCTCGTCGACTCGGCTCAGGGCCGACGAATTTCGTTTCTCGCCAGAATCGGTGAATGGTATTGAGGCGCGATTACTGTTTTGTCTTGGACCATCAACGAATGTGACCAGCCTTCCGAGGATGGCGAATTCCAGTTTTAGCTTGATGGAGTAGAAAACGGGTTTGGTGGTGGTTTCGAGAATGTAAAGCGATGCGCATTCCAGGCCGAGAAGCCCAAGGTCCATGATGATGATGAGGATGTTGATTGCCATGAGCTGATACATCAGTCGTCGGGTATTCTCCTGGACCGATGTGCGAAGGATGCGAACGGTTTCGACAATGTAAACGGTGGAAAGTATTACTTCCTGGATGAAAAAGCCGCACATCTGCACCTTCTCCATGACATTATAACCTCGTACAAACGTTTGAGTGTTGGTGTCGCTGTTTGAGCCGATAGTGAGCACCGTTGTAGGTATATGCAGGCAGATTGCGTCGACAATGATCATCCATTTCGTCCACCGGAGAATCTTGTCGCCCTTCTCTCCAGTGACGATGAGATGTAGTCGTGACCACAACACAATGGATTGGCCCGTGACCATGGGATACCACCCGATGGAGAGGAGAAAGATCGAGAACCATTTTCCGCCGCCTTTGAGGATGGAAAAATATTTGAACAGAAACCCCAGTGCATAAGGGATGATTCCCAAACCCGAGATCACCAGGCTCCAGAAGTAAAGTCCCCGGAATCTGCTGAAGGTGCCAAAGATCAGGATCTGCAGCTCGACAACATTGTACATGGCCAAGCCCAGGAAGAAGGCAATGATGACTTTCACAGCGAGGCTGTCGCCTTCATAGCCCCCTGTGATCCCGCGACCAGGCGAGGACGGAGAACTCGCAGCGGATGAATTGCTGGACATTAAGCTACTGGCTGCAGAACCGAGACTCTGCATGAAGCTCTGACATGATCTTCAGCCACAGGACTGTTCTTGGTCAGAATGTCGTCTCGATAACGTTCTGTCGACGACTTTACAAGTCTGGTTCACGAATGTCTTTGCGAGAAGTTTGATTCTGGATGCGGAATGACACCACGCATCTGAGAGTTTGGTTCAATCACAAGCATCATTGTGCGGGCCGCCTAAGGAGCTCACGGACGCCTCTGATCGGCCCATGAAGGATGGCCCTTGCACGCCCTTGCCAGGTTGGACTCGTCAAGATCATCGTCGACCCCGCGAATTGTCTTCGCTAGGCTGTCAACTGGGGAGCATTAGGCGCATCATGGGCGCCTTGGTTTCGAGTCCGGTGGTGGCCCATATTTCGCCTAACAGAGTAATTCTTTGCATAACAATGAGGAAAGGCCGGTCACTGGTGAATAGTCGACGTCATAGGGCGTGTGCAAATCAAGGTGCTTTGATCCAATGCAAGTGCTACTCGTACGGCTGCGAATTAAAGGTCAGCCTCGATCCTAGTGTACTCTGTGAAAAGCCGTTCAATGGTAGAAGAATCTTCGTTTGACTAACATGTCTATGTCCTAAGATAGATCTATGTTCATGGACCTTATATTCACCTGGAAGCAGAAATCCGATATGCAAGTTCTTTGGGCCACAACCAGGCCCCCAGGTAGGGAAGAAAGCTGATCGTTCTGAAAGGACGTTGCAGAGTCACAAAGACGTCGTGGGCCTTGAAACTGGGATATAGAGGATGAGTCCCATAATGGCTGCTACTCTCCCCAACAGCTAGATTTGTAGCTCTCGTAAATTGTTCGCACTTGGCTCCCTTGGCCGATGTTGGCAGCTTGCGTTGCGCGATGACTTTCGGCCAGGCGTAGCCAGTCTACAGAGAGTTGACAGAAGTGAGGGTCGGCATGAGAGTCTCTCTTCTCCCTTCTCCCTTCAGCGACTGTCCTCAATTGGACCGAGAATGAAGTCCAAGCAGCAGTTCGACCTCCGTACCGCTGCTCGTCATGCTCCATTTTGAGAGCAACTTCCCGAATGCCGGCCAGGACGAAAGCCTGGCTTCTCAGTAGCAAGATTTCCTTGCGTGCGGAGGCCATGCCGTTCCCTTTCACTTCTTCAACATCTGCGTTGTCTCTAGATGAGCCGTAACGGTCGAGATCAGCTTGTACAAGTGCCCGTAGGTCACAAATCCAGCTGCGTCACTGATCTCGTTGTCGCTCTGCACAGGGCTCTCACCGTCATCTAGCATCCCTGAGAGCCTCTTGCCGCAGTACCTCTAGCCAATTCCTCCTCATCACCGGGTGTTGTAAGATACTATCTCTGCCACTGTCCTCCGTAGCCGCTGGGCTTGGACTCCTCCTAGCACTGGCATGGTATGGAGGCGGTCTCGTCCGTCCGGTCGACGACGTTTCGAGGCTCATCCTCGCAAAAGTCCGCGTCGTTTCGCCGGTATTCATTGACGTTAGGTCTGTGTAGCGTGTGGAAGGGATCGAGATCACAGAAGAGGCCGGTGAGAGTGGGGTAGGAGTATCTTCACCCGCTTCGTCCGCGGCTTGTATGAGGACTTCAAATTGAGCAGCACTCTTCTCTTCTATAGTGATCAGAGGCTGCTGGGCCACATCGTCGTAACGCGGAGGGTTGTCGCTGTACCGTTGCGAGCGAGGGCGATCTGAGGTAACAGAGACGATGCGGGCATGTCGGGTCTCGGCTTCGAGCTTGCTTGCGCGGCCGTCTTGGGAGTAACAGCATGCAAACAACGAGGAGATAGCCATTGTCTATGTACGTCCACTGTCAGAGCATGATCTGAATCGGCGAGACATCCCAGGACTATGAACTTGGTTCTGAGGCTGACTAGCGGCTGCGCACGGAATGAGGCTGCCCGCCAAGGCAGAATTGCGTGTCTGCCTTGGAACCGCTTCTAGAAATAGTCTGCTGCAAAGAAGCAAAGAAACAAAGAATGTACGTAGTACATGGCTTTGAATGAAATTCACACAGGAGCACGGCGGTAGCAAACGACGTTAAAGTGAGAACGATCATTGATCAATTATCAATTATCATTCATCTTATCCAACCACGACGATATCGTCGGGCTCGGCTAGCGTGACTTCAATCGAAACCTATGCTGAATTCTGCTGAGATTTGCAACATGCGAATCTGACTCCCTTCTGTTTCGGTACTCAGCGTGATCATCCTCCGATCAATCGTCGTCGACCACAAACAGGCCAGTGAGTTGCGGCTCCAAGTGGCTCTCACCCGTGTCGAAGTCGAAAAGGTGATCAACTTGGTCGCAGAACACGTCCAGTGGCTCTCGGCCTTTGGCAGGGGTAGATAGCCAGAAACACACCTTCGCCCAGAACAGGTCCAAGTCAGGAGGATTTGGAAGTGTGGTTACTTCCGCACCTCGATTGATGTACTTGATACCTGCCGCTGCAGTCTGGATGTCCGCCTCTTCTTTCGCCTTCTGGAGGACCAACCTCATTGGTTTGTAGCCGAGGTAGTTGGGAGTCTCATCCAGAAGGCACTTGTTCCAGGTGACCTTTTCGTAGAACGTGTCAAGAATGTCTTGGACATCGTCGATGAAGACCGACAAGTTGGCGCCGACTTCGTCGCTGCATACCACCAGATTCATCATGTAGTTGTCAACCTTTTGTTGGTTATGTTTGATCATAACAAAAGGTATGGTGAGAAGTGTGTCTGTCGTTTTTCCGCAGGTGATTTCCTCAACAAGCTTTGCGTGGTCTTTGTTGACTGATTGAGAGAAGAGACGCAGGCAGACGCGAGAGCAGAAGGTGAATTTGGTGATCTTGTGGAGAATCTCGCGACCTTCTTCGTAAATCTGGCGATTGGCAAGTAAAATACCTGGACAACGTTTGGTACCGAATCCGGGGCATTTCGTGCCATCAGGTTCATCATAGACTATTTGCTTCCTGGTAAGGCCGCAATTCCACACGTAACAGATCTTGCGTGAATCGCCTTCACCTGGATTGAGGGTATATTTCAGGATTTGGAGACGCACTTCCTTAGGCAATCCGATAAAGGTAGGAGAGTTGGGTCGTTCGCCTGGAGCTGCTGATTGACCACAGCTGGGTGGGTTAACGATACCCTGATCGTCTGTCGTCATGATGTGATAGAGTCTTTGTGGCAAATGAAGCCGCGCGGCTGAGCAAGATGGTTGATGTCTGTTCTCTCATGCAAAGCCATCGCAGCTTGCGCGCAGCTCAATGTCACCTCCATGGACGCGACGCGGCTTGGCTCGAAAGAGCGTTGCCGCACAATGAAGGTTGGTACGAAAACCGCCCTGGGGAAGCTGGCTCGCATGGTCTTTGCTTGGGTAGTCGAACTGGATAACATCGCAGACCGGCACGCCGATGACAATGGCGGCCGCCGTGGTTGAATCCAAAGTGAAGCAAGGTACGCTCCTTCAAAGTATACGCTGCTTTCACAGAGAGGGTCTGGCAAGAACTCACCAGCGCATCCCTCATAAATCCTTCTGCAAGGCTTCTTGTAAGCTGGTGAAACCGTCAACTATAGCCTCGAGTTTCTCATCCATCTTCTTAAGCTCATCTTTCTTTCGAGTGTTCTCCTTTACCAAGGCATCTTTGATTTTGACAAGCTCCAACCGTTGCTGTTCCATCTTTTCGCGTTCGAGCTTCTCATGCTCAATCCTCAGTGGCATGAGCTCTTGCTCTGAAAGCCCTGCCTGGTCGGGGAACAACGCAAGATATTCATCGAGTGAGAGAAGTGGCAGATGTGTGTATGCATGACTAAGTCGGTTGTCAGTTCAAATGGCCAAACAGCGGCGGCTGTTACCTACTCATAGCCTTCGCAGGCTCCGATCTCCCCCATGAGGTGTCTTTGCTCGTAGTAGAGGTTTTGTAGCTGTAGTAACAGTCGGTCGACCTCCTGCCTCGCTTCTGCTGTCTCCTGTTTGGTCGCCCTGGCTCCAAACGCCGCTTGACGATGTTGACCACGAAGTTTAGCGACGTATGCGTAGAGGATCTTCTGTTGTTCGGACAGATCGAGCTTTTGTTCCAGAATAGGGCTCGCGGTGGCCGCGGTTTCCTCCAGCCATGAGAGAACAGCCAGAGTTTGGCTGAGTGTTGTTCGTGACGTTTCCAGAAGCGGCTGTAGCGTAGGGTCTGAGATGAGTTCTTCGATCGCCATGATGCATCTACAAGGTGCGCTCGTTTGCAGCTCGTTTGCAGCTCGTACGGAAAGCCACAATGTCCAGAAAGACGAGTTAATAGGAAGCACAGAGACGGCAATGAGATGGCTGAAGGGTTGGACGCTGAATGTCTAGCCAATCGGAGTCTAGCATCCTCCGCACTGGAAATATTTCTCTACCACCGCATGCAGATCGCCGCAGTCACTGTTTCCTTCATAGGCACATTCTGAGACTCCAAGAATGGCGCCAGACAGAGGCAGCGAGGTCCTTGTGGACATTCAATCTATGGAAACATCTTTGAACACTTTGTCAGTGCAAGATGATCTGAACCTTGCCAAAACAAGTGCAATAACAACCCCATCCCCAGATGGCGCATATTCAACTCCACCTCATCTTTCTCATGACCCTGCCACGAATGCAAAACATGCAGACCCCTTTCAGTTTGGACAACGATATCTCTCCGAGTCTGATGACGTCTTTGAGTACAATGCCTGGGATCATGTAGTCCCGGATGCGGCCCACGATGAGTATTGTGAATCTCAATATGCTGCACAACGCGCCTCTCCAGTGTCCGACTTCGATCGAGTTCGGTTTAATGAGCACCCAGAAAAGTGGTGGGATTTGTTTTACAAGCAAAAGACAAGTACATTCTTCAAAGACAGGAAATGGCTGGTTCAAGAATTCCCGCTTTTGAAAGACGTGACCCAAAGAGATGCTGGCAAGAAGGTTGTTCTGGAGGTTGGTGCCGGAGCAGGAAACACGGCATTTCCTATATTAAGAATAAATGAAAACCCGGACCTGAAAATCTTCGCGGTGGACTTCAGCAAAAAGGCAGTCGAGACAATGAGGGACGCGGAAGACTACAAAAGCTCTAATGGTACCATGGTGGCTGATGTCTGGGATGCGGCAAGCGATAGTCTGCCTCTCGGTGTTGAGGAAGGAAGCGTCGACGTGGTCATCCTGATATTCATCTTCTCGGCTTTGAACCCCAAGCAGTGGCAACAGGCCGTCACCAATATTCAGCGAGTCCTCAAGCCTGGTGGAGAGGTTCTGTTCCGGGATTATGGTCGAGGCGATCTTGCGCAGGTTCGGTTCAAGGCTGGAAGATGGATGGAAGAGAATTTCTACGTACGCGGAGATGGTACGCGGGTCTACTTCTTCGATAAGGAAGAGCTTGAGACGATTTGGGGCGGAGCATTCGAAATATCCGATCTCGACGTTGACAGGAGACTTATCGTCAACCGACAGAGGCGCATCAAAATGTATCGCTGCTGGATTCAGGGCCGCTTTCGGAAACGAGATCAAACACACTGAGGTGAAGTCGCTTCGAATCCCGGCGCCAAACAACGAGACCGTGCTACGTCCGACATGGCATGTGGCCGGCCTCATACATGATGTTGGAGGTATCTTGGGCCAGGCCTGTGTTCGTGCTGCCCATCAGTATCCACAAGGTAGACGGAATAAACCAATGAATGACTGGATAGGGAAGCATGAGGCGGATGCTCCCAGCTTATTGCAGGAGAAACACACACGAGATGGGTGTTACGGAGCCGCCAAAGTCTGTATATGTCGCAGACGCCTGGTGATATCAGGAGGCAGCCAGTAGCAGGTGAGATGAGTATCAGATCCAAATCATTTTCGATGCATGAATTGAAGATGCGTCGACCAATTGGACGTGGGAAGGGTTGCATGTGTAGAAGGATTTGTCCGAGTTGAAGTCGAGCAACATGCCCAGACTAAGGGATCCTGCTGCCATGACGGTCATGTCAAAATTCAGATTCGTCACCGCCACGTGATCACCAATCACTTCAGTGCCACTTACGCCTACATTCTTGACATCCACCATAAATTGGTTTGAATGACGTTCTATTTTCTTTGCCGTCACGCCCGTCCGCCGAGCCACTCTCGTCAGTGCCCATCCACCCTCCCGTCTGGACTTATTCCCATTTTCCCTGCGGCAGCCAATATTTCATTCCATCATACCCTGATCAAAGCGCCACTCCCTCACACCCCGCCCTCCCTACGTAGATTCTCTGTCCGTCATTCAATCGACACAGTCCTTACAGTTCCTATTCTTCAGTTTTCCTGTTGTTTGAACTGCGCAATCCTCTTCGACTCGTTCCAGCTCCGCTTGGACCAGACAAGCCCTTTGCCCTACCACGAAGAGAGATCTCCGCCAGCCGCTTCCTTGGTCCTTGGAACCCGAATTTTCTCGAGTCCTGTTTGCAGAATAACTCAAGTTTGCCGTATGAAGTTCGAAAAGACAACATGAGCTGCTCGACGTCGACGCTGACGCTTGAGCCTCCCTCAGCCAGCCGCGCTTCCAGCACTTCCCGCGATGTCGAGCACACTTCTCTACTAGCCAGAGGTCGGCGGCATTCCTACAACACCTCGAGGCGGCGCGATTCGAGTATCTGTAGCGCTGATGCGGTCTTCGTGAGAGTGGACTTGTTTCTCACAGAATTGAGACACCGGTTGGACAGCCTAGAGAAATACCGGCAGGAGAGTATCCTGAGTTTTGACGCCCAGCTGGAACGAGCTTACCAAATTTTAAGAGATGTGCGCGACTCGTGTTCACCATACCATTCGGGAGAACTACTGTGGGGCGCTGCCCGTCAGAGGGCCAATATCTTGGTGGACACAATGGAAAGTCGATACAATGATCTCATGCCCACTCGGGAGACCTTCGAGCAGAAAGCGCAAGCAAGTCTGCGCTTGATGGAATCTTACCTCACTGAGCTGGAGACGCGAGCTCACACACGCAGAAAACAATTGTTCGATTCTGGCTGGAAGAAAGTGGACGATTCTATTACTGCCACGCGGGAAATTCTCGAGGAAGGGCTCGACAAAGCCATTCGTGCGACGGATCTACTTGCCGAGTCAATCTCTCATGCTTTGAGCCGTGCCGCCGAGACCAGGCTCATCCACTACGATGACTTGCCGGTACCTTGGAGAAGCAATCCTCATATTCTTCGTGGTTACCGCTTCAACAGGACCAAGATTGAATGCGTCACGTCAATGTTTCAACCCTCCAACGAAAGTTTCAATATCTGGTCGCACGGCATAGGACTGATGGTTGTACTAGCGATCGCCTTCTACTACTATCCTGCGTCGTCAACCTTTCCGTTGTCCAGCAAATGGGACGTTTTAATCGCAGCGTGCTTCTTCGGGGCCGCTTGCAAGTGCTTGATTTGTTCCATCATGTGGCACACCATGAACAGCATTGCGGACAAATGCCTCTTGGACCGATTTGCTTGCGTTGATTATACCGGTATTTCGTTTCTGGTAGCCGCCAGCATTTTGAGTACAGAGTGGACTGCATTTTATTGTGAGCCCGTGTCGCGGTCAGTCTACATGACCATGACGACACTGCTCGGAATTGCAGGTGTTATTCTACCATGGCGGGAGAGCTTTAACCGAGCCGATATGGCATGGGCTCGAGTGTCTTTCTTCGTCACACTCGCGGTAACTGGCTTTGCTCCGGTCGTGCAATTGAACTACACCAGGGGCGTTGAATGGACCTTTTATTTCTATGCGCCTGTGACGAAAAGTCTCCTGGTCTATCTCACTGGAGCCATCATATACGCCAGCAAAGTACCAGAAAAATGGCGGCCTGGCCTCTTCGACTACGTTGGTGGCAGTCACAATATCTGGCATCTTGCAGTGTTGGGTGGTATTCTGTTCCACTATACAGCTATGCAGGAGTTCTTTCATGGTGCATTCCAGCGAGCGAACGACGGCTGTTGTTTGGGTTGATGCTTTGGGTGCCATATCACGTGTCAAAGACGTAAATGCTCCCTTTGGGCACTTGTCATTAGAACAGCAGAGCCCGGTGGCTATGAGGCGGGCCTTGCATGTACATTTGCAACATCAACATAAGCACATATATTGCTATATCGAATAACCCAAAATTAGCTCGAATTGCTTCGCCAACCTTTGGCCAATCTGTCGTTGTTGGGCCGTGAGCGGCTGCTTTTGTGTCTGGGTTATCCCGACTTCGAGCAATACGATTGGCCTCGAATACGAGGGCTTCCCGTTTGGAGGTTGAGTGTTCAGCCAAAGCCAAGCAAACCCGATCTCCTTACTTCACGCCCTTCCATCTGGGACAATCATCATCGCATTCGAGAGTAACGCGGGAGCCTAGGCGTCCAAATGGGTAAATATCGTACTCGTCCGTTATCACCCTCATCAACCGTTCACATCGTTCTGTGCATTCTCTTCCCTGGTGGCTGACCAAGCCAACTGCTCGAAAGATGGCACTAGCCACGACGATCTACAAAGGACGTCAGGCACCTATTGACGAGCAGAGGCTCATGCAAAATGTCTTCAAGATACCAACCAAATCAACAAGACCAGATCTAAAACCCTCTCAAGCCGCAAGAACGGTGGTCCCTGCACGAAAATCCCATAGGAAATCGAGAACTGGGTGTAAAACATGCAAGCAGAGACGAATCAAGGTATGCTTCCTGGTCCTTATCACATCCCGACTCTAGCCTAATCCACCAGTGCGACGAGAATAAAGATGGTGGATGTTTGAAATGCCAGAGCCACGGGATCGAGTGCGACTACAACAGCTATCGATTCCCACACCATGGCAAGACCATCCTGCCCAAGCATGAGCCCATAAATCCACCTTCAACCCTTCTGCAAAGCTCAAAAGTCGGCGCCATCGTCAACAGAGAGGGCACGAGGCTCTTGAGCCCACTGAATGTTGTGCTTGTCTCGCCAGTCCAACGCATGATTGAGCTACCAAATCAGATGACGCCTATTTTACAAACTCTCCACCACTTCGACACCGTCACTTATCTCTCTATGGGATCAGAATTGGCGCAGCAGGTCATCCGGTTGTGTTTGCGTAGGACCGCCATGGAGAAAGCATACCTGTTGCACGCAGTCAACGGGGTCTCCGCGGCACATCTCTGCCATCTTCTTCCGGCAGCCCAATATCCCAAGCCGCATCGTCAAAGCAAACTTGCTGCAGCATATCACTGGAGAGAGGCATTGAGGTTATTCCGTGAAGAACTGAACGGTGGTGGCATGAAGGAGAATGTGGACACTCTCATCTCCACTGTGATGCTAATATGCGTCCATCAGTACATGTTGAATGACTCAACCCCGGATCCGGCCCAAAGTTTTGTCTACACTTCTTCGGACAAGCGAGAAGGGTGCCTACAATGGCTGGCCATCCACCAGGGCTTCCACGTAATATGGAATGAGCTGGGGGACCTTGTCTGGCAGTCAATATGGTGCCCAGTCTTAAAAGATGCGGACTTCAAGTATATCGCACCACCGTTTCCAGATTTCCACAGAAAGGACAAGGTTTACACGTTGTTCCTCGAGTTTTGCGATATCAGCGAGCAGTCGACAGCCCGAGACAATCCTTACTATATTCCACTGGAATATCTGCTCTTCTTTCGCCAGCTGGAACCCTGCATCAACAACTTCACAAAGCTGGTCACCTTTGTAGGACACATGGGTGACCGATTTCAGAAGCTCTTGCTCAAACGAGAAAGGCGGGCATTGCTTATCCTGGCTCACTGGCTGGCAATGATGAGCGAACTCCAACAATGGTGGATCAGTGGAAGGAGCAGGGCTGAATGTTGTGCTATTGTTACATTTCTGTTGCACGACCGAGATGAGAGGGTCAAACAATTACTGGCATATCCGGCGAGAACCGTAGGAATAGTGCTGTTGTAGAGGGAGAGGCGCAGTTGCAAGCTGTCCCTTCGCGTTGATGTTGCCAGTCAATGCGAGAGGACCGTGCCGTTGCAGGATCAACGCCTGTCGTCCCTCCGCCATATTAGGGCTCGTGGAGATGGATACTGTAGCATTTCCTTTGGCAAGATATCTATAACTTGGGGCGTCCTTGAGCCCGCTATAGACCTAGTATTCTAGGCGTCGATATTGGCCCATGATGGCCCTGCTCGCCTTCCGGGCAGCCGAAAGTCTCACAAGGCTGCCGTCAATGCAACCATTGCCGCACGTGACTCGCCTCGCCCTGCGCCTTTCACAAATCAGCGCCCGACTTGTGTTCGCCGTTCATACCATTTACATGTCCACCGACGGCTGCCAGCGCACTATATCAAAAGGTCTTCTCTCTTGAACTTGACATTACCCATGGAGTCCTCCGTGTGACAACCGGAAACATCAGAACACTTGCGGCATTGAAGTCCTCACGGCCAAAATATGTGCTGTCTGTTCCCAATCCCTCCGACCTCGGCGCAGAGAACACAGCATTTCTCACTATGGACACCGACGAGGTGCCTACACGCCGGCCATATCCTTCAGCTTTCGAACTGCTGATCACTTGCAACCCCCCAATACTTCAGTCATTGCTTGCCCAAGTCCCGACCGATACCATTTTTCGGCTTTACCAGACTTCGTCCTTCCTCCGAGACTTTTTCACGAAATCCCCCACGTCGTGGCGGTACATATCCTGGCGTCTGTATCAGCCGGTGGCCTCTACTGCAGTAGCTGCTAATAACAACGCCGCTGGCCATCGTCAGTCCAGCAACTACGCCCTCGACCAGATCCTGTTGAACGTCATAAACCCATTCAGTACAAGATTGGTCAGCCTGGAATTGGACAACACTGCAGTCAGCGGAGCCACTCTGACATCGACGGTGTTGATCTTGAGAAGAGACACTTTACAACATGTGTCGGTCCGTGGTTGCAAGAATGTATCATTGAAATATCATATAAATCCATGGCTGCAAATGCATGCATTGGCTCGGGAGTCTCAATCCGCCGGTGGGCCAATCGGTTTCGAAACACTCGCTTTGAAAAGTCTCTACACCTACCGATGCCGGCATCACAGACGGAGACCATATCTGCCCAGTAGCCTCGCACGTAAGGAAAGCGACAGTGAACCAACGCATGAACTAGTGCTTACATGTCACAAACTGGGTATCTGGACTGATACCGCTTGGTGCACAACGCCAGGAGCTCGCTGTTTTCGCCGGAGAGGCTATGTGAAAATGCGGATGCCTCAAGACCCTAGGGAGGTCTGGGTGGTATATGACCGCTTATGGAGGAGTCGGAATTGGTTGGGTCCGGTGGAGCAATCAAGAAACTCAAACAGCTCTACTCTACGAAAACGAAAGAGGGATTGTCGAAGCTGGGAGTATGATGAAGAAGGCGTTAATGGAGAACCGACCGGCATGGGAAAGGAAGGAAAATCGACACCTGCACATCTGCGCCAATCTCATATCAAGTTTGTCGAAGACATCTTTTGCCAGAATTGCTCTGCTCAGATTCTGGAAAGATGTGAGCAGTGTTCAGTTATGATGCACTGTTCAGGATGCAGGAAGACGCTTTGTGCAAGCTGTGCATTCGACAGGCCTTATCTGCGCAACAAGAATGCTCCAGAAGAAGAGCGAAACAAGTTCTGGTGGGCTCCAGGCTCTGCTGTATCCCCTTGTTCGATGCAGGACCAGGATCTGCCTGCCAACACTGTTATTGGGAACCATAATCCTAGTCCCAACCAACCACCCAACATCAAATTCAGATGGTGTTGTACAGAGCCTGTGTTTTCTGGTGGCGGTGGCATCACATTTGGCAACAATAACAGTCGAGAGACGGATCGAATACGAGCAGCACCACTGCCCACCGGACAGGGCTGGGAAGATCCTGAATTTGGGCCCGATAGATTGGACCTTGAGGACGAACCGACTCAACACGTCAGCGGAGGGCCAGGGGGCCGTTGGTCCTCTATTGACAGCTTTTTCCAGGCCGCTGAAACCCTGGGTTCTGGTGAACATCCATCAACATCAATACCGAGAGTGCTGTGTGATGAGTGCTACAGCGCTGAGCATTGGAGGTTGAAGTGTAAGGCTTGTGCAACGGCCCTATGCCTCAAGCACGATATCGGCGATCGAATGAAGGCAAGAATTTGCGGTTATCGCGACGTCCTTGTGGAAAGGCAGGACTACAAGTCTCGGCAGAAGGCTCTGAAATTGCTGGCCACGTTGGTGCGACACAGGAAGAAGAGATTGGCAGCAGAGAAACCGGTGGTCGAACATCATGACGTAAGCTCGAGCCTGGATGGTGCCTCGTCGGGTCGATTGGATCTGTCAACATCATCCGAATATCAATCACATGGCATACTCACAAGACCAGCCCTCTCGGACGCCGTAGAAAGGGAGGTAGCATCGACCGCAGTGGGTGCTCAAGCGTCGCGGAGCTACAGAACCCCACTGGCGGAGCTCGATCTACCTTACCGACCGCTCTCACCGGCCTCAACAAGCACAGGACCACTGTCTCGGTCGACGTCTCCTACTCCTTCGGCTCACTCGATTCCTGCCACCCCAGAGCCTGCGATCTCCCCTCTTCGCTTGAGCCAAGCTGAAGCACCGTCTTTCCCCAAATGGCGAGGCTGCCAAGCGTTTTTCTGTCCCGGTACACGTACACCTGGCGATCACAGGCGACGATGTCCCGCCATTATGAAGCAGTGCCTCGAATGCAAGGTACACGTTTGTGGAGACTGTGTGACGACCTTGGAGCCTCCCTGTCCGTGTAAGGGTTGTCATGCCCCGCAGACTGAAGACCAAGCTGCCTCCGGGGAACATACATTTCTGTTCTTTTGTCCGAATTGTCGATGGGATAGGATGCTCTCAGGGAAGTGCAAAAGGAAATCCGAAGCCTTTCTAGCCGCGCAGTCTATGTCGAAGAAAATGAGGAAGAGAAAGGACAAAATGCGCAAGCCAATCGAAGAGAGGCGGCTAAGTGGACCAGGGTCCCTGTCCGCGACAGAAGAGGCAATTGAGGGTCTGGTCGAGTTTTTCACTAGCTTGAACACGCAATACCCCGGAATGAGTCGGCCACAAGATCTGGCACTGGTCTCGGCGGAAAACCATCAGCATATGGGAGCTACAAATCTGAACGATATACAAGAGTTGGAGGATATGGGCGCGCTGGCACGAGATTTGATCCGCAGGATACAGAGGCTAAGGGATCAATTCAGGCCGGGGTCCTTGGCGGCACTGGCGTTGCCGGACATTCGAGTGGAGGATGATGTTGCAAGCCATCTTCTACCAGGCCAGATACCGCATGAAGATCCTGGGGTTGGTCCTGTGCAGCATCTTCCCCACGGTCTCGATGAGAACGGACTGATAATCGTGGACCCTGGAGAAATTGACGACGATGAAGATGAGCATCTTGAAGGCCGAGAATCTAGCTCAGATTGAACGGGGTTGGGAGAATTTTCGCTACAATTCGCCATGGAATTTATACATATGGCCCGAGAATGTCCGGGTTTAATGACATCTACACAACAAGAGTATGACTTGATGACTCAAGCATTTCAGCCTTTCTGACGGCAACTGCAACATGCATACATAGCGTGGGAGATCTCGGGATTTGAGAACAAGCCGCAAGGGGCTTTCGCGGAGGACTCGGGAGTTTGATGGAGTTTTTGGCTTTTTTTGCAATTCTCTATGTCGATGTCGATGTCGAGATGTCGACGTCGGTGGTCGTCAAAGCATTCAGTGTCAATACGATTTTGCTTTCTTTTCTTGTTTCATCCGCGGACCATCAAGCCGCAACGTCTTCTCGATGTCAGCGTGATCAGGACGGCTAGAGATTATCCATTTGATATGAGACGTAGAGCACTCCGAGGACTCCTGCATGATCAAGTGGAGAATTTCTGGTAAATCCGTCACACATTCGTCGATTGCATCGATGATCACGTAGGTTTCCAGCAAGCGCTGGTCTCTCAGAATATCTTCATAGATCTTAGCTAAGGTGAACCAGGCGTTTGGGGACTCAGAGACTTCCCGGGTCGATCTGACACCTCAAATAAGCCGATGTGATGTGTCTTTTCGTGATGCATGGAGCAGGACTTACTCTCCAGGGATATAGCCCCAGGGAGAAGTGTATCATTCAGTTCCAGTAATGGTATGTATATTGACAAGTTGCTCTTCGCGTAGGTAGATCGATCTGCGTCCAGGAGCTCATTTGTCCCATCAAAAGAAGATCACAAATCTTGACAATTCCAACATATTCAACCCTGGCATCTTCGGCCTCCTTTCTCTTTTCTTTGGGTACAGTAAGGGACATGCCCCCATTTTTGATTCCCAACATCGAGCTCCGAATCCGGTCCGAGAGTGGCTGTTCGAAGACATCGAATGGCCCATTTGCACTCTCTATCTTCTTATTCTCGTCGAAGCCTTTGCTCAGTTTCCCTTGTGGTGGAACGTCGTCCTCGAAACCTTGGCGACTTATGATTATGGATGTCGTACAAAGCTGTGACGACAGCCAATGGAGGGAACAGGCAAGATTGCCGAAGGAAACCGCGCAAGGCTACCGGGCTGAGCCACAAGCAGTCACGTGACCTTATGTTCCTATGCTGCCCATGCTGGAGCAGAGGAACAGAGATCACAGAGACACACGTCTATATATACACGGTCATTTCATAGTCTTACTACGTAGTCAACTTCGTTCACGATCATACCCATACGTTTTGTGGGGCTGATCACTTCGATCTGGTACATCGACTCGCTCTGGACAAGGCTCTCATTGACTTTGTCTCTTTTTACTTCCCACTTGTCAGGAAACCCATAACGTGCAGTGACATCTCTGGTGGAACGGAACGTAACATGGAAGACTTTCTGACACTTCTAGATACTACCGAAATATCGCATGTGCCCGGTAGTATTAGAACGTTTTCATTCTTTACCAGTATTACTATCATTAGAGCCATGGAGCTCATGCAATCATTATCTGACTTATACAATCCGCAGCAACTACTTACTAGACTAGCAGTAGTTCGTACCACCTGATATTGTATTACCGCTATTTGCCTGGCTGAATATACTGGTACCCCGAGCCTGAGTAGGTGTATTGTCCAGGCCTGACAGGGCCATAAACCATACCTGGTGTATCCGAGACTATAGGGACAAGTTTGTACCTGGTTCGTCGTCGATAGAGTCCCAAGCATGCGGCTAACAAGAGCAATGCGAGAACACCAGCACCAACCCCTATGATGATAGCCTTATGTTGTGAGACCCAGTTGTTGGCATTGTCTATGTCGCTGTCACTACTAGACGATCCCGGACTAGCAGTTGCTGAAGGGGAGGTCGAAGAAGAGGCAGTAGTAGTGGGGAGGGAGACTCCGAGACTTGCAGCACAGTCTTGTAAACTTTGTCCCTAAACGATATAGGTCAGCCTTGTTCAAAAACACTCGAGCGCAAAAGAGGTAGCAGATGAACAATAGACGGGACTAGTAAGAAGGCAAGAGAAGTAGTAGGGACTTACAGCGTTGCAACAGTTTCCTTCAATGTTGGCACAGACCTTCCCAGCCGGGCAATAGTCTCCGTTCGAGCAGCAGGACTGCAAGGGAAAGCATAATATGAGCCGATGATGGTCAAGTCGTGAAAATGATGCAGTACATACCTCGCCAGCACTGGGGTTGTAACAAGTCAATCCGACGCATTGCACATTCCCTGCTCCAAAACACTCTGCACACGTGCCCGAACATCGCTTGTCGAAAATGTTATCACGGGGGATGATGCTGGTGGCATTTTCCAACACCTTGTAGTCAGCGGCTACCTTGCTCCCCAGCAGGCAGAGGACGAGAAAGATAGTAGTGATAGTCAGCTTCATTCCGAACGATGGATGAAGCTCAAGACTCAAGTCAAGAGAATTCAAAAGCTGAGCTCGATATTCCTTTTTGGGGAAAGAAGGCCCAGGAAAAGAGGGCGAGGCGGCAGAGGAAAGTAGAGGTAATATAGAATGCTTAGCAAAGCTTGGTACCATCGGTTCCAAAGAAACACTTCAACGGTCTGGGTCGGCGTCGAGACTCAGCCACTGCATGCATGCCGCTGCTTGATACGAAGACTGCAAGGCGAACCAGAACTTGACGTTTTCAGAAGACCAAGGACACATGAATGAAGGCGGCTTGAAGCCACAAGGCTGAGTCCATATCGAGGTCTCCAATTTCTGAATAGGAAAGTGCACTGGACCAAAGTTCGAGTACCTTTGTGAACGGCCTTTTGTGCCAGGGGTCCAGACGTCTTGATCGGGAAGGGCAGTTTTGAACGAATTGGTTCGGATATCCGGCCGCAGGTCTTGCAATACGGGAGTACTAGTAGTAAGTAAGTTAGGACTGGCAATCTTGACCACTAGCAAGACGCCATTGACTCATACTTAGTGACAATGGTTGAACCAGTGCTCTACTCTCCAGAACGACATTTTTCACGATGTTGTATGCTGTATATGGGGGCCAACTCGGATGTATGTATATCGGAAAACCATTTTGTAACATCGGCTGTCTGGGGAGTTTGAAAGCACGCTGGCTCTCTCGCACGACGGTCACCTCGTGTTCTATGTCATGTGCGAGGCTTGTTTCGTATCCGCGAGCATCTGGAGAGTCGAGACTAGACGCGGCTGGGTATACGACCAATCTCGGCATGTCCTTCCGTTGTAGAGCGGAAATAGGCGAAGCACCGCGAGTATTAGGTTCAGTCGGTTTCGCTCCCATCGTGCGAAAGCAACCAGCCAGACGAATAACTGATTGGGTGTAGGAGACATTGTTCGGCGGCGTGCTCGTGTTCTATGTCGCTCTCTGGCAGTGTGTTAGGTACTAGTGAAGCTTCCACTTCCCCAAAGTTAAGCGAGTGGTGGCTGAACAATTCAGCCGCAATGTGCCGCTGGCTTCCTGTCTCCCGGCATTGGCCAGGTGTCGCACCGACAGTGATCACAATTTCCCAGAACACTATAGCGTGCCTGAGTGCTATCATGATGGTTACCACTAGTAGTATTGCAAAGTTCTCGCGTCAAGATCTCGTAAGACTTTACTAATGTGCGAATAGTTATTGTGTACAGCCTCCACGGACAGAGGGTCGTCAACGGACAGGTCTTTGGCTCTTGTCATAAGCGTTGGGCTCGTATTCGCTACAGGCAAAAGACTGATCACGAGAGCAGCGGTATATGCGAATCCGGTGCAGTCTGCCTCGTGTTCTCTTCATCTTTCTTTCCAAAAGCACATTAACGAGACGGCATTGCGCCCTCGGTAGAGAAGGTGTCGAGCTGACCACCACGAACACAGCCCGAGCATTAGAATTTGAGTCTTGAACATGAAATGTTTTTTTCTCATTCGACTTGGTTGGGGTTATGGGACTTTGGATCGTGACCACAAAGCCCGTCAGCGCGTTGAGAGGGACGTATATAAAGACCAGACATGAATGGACAGAGGAAGGAAGGCATCAGTAAGTCATAGGCATTGACGAGTCAGACATTTCCTTCAGAGTCATTCGTCATGGGGGTTCAAATGGTTAATGCCATTGTGGACGGTTGCTGTCTGGTCTCTGCTCAGCCAATCGCACCCGACCCCGACCCTCTCTCTTGTGAGAAGGGACATCTGTGGACCAAGGCCAGTTCTCGACTGCGAGCAGTTCTCGGCTACTGGGGCGGACCCCAGTCAGCATTTATGCTGCCGCGAATATGTCAGGGGAAAATATCCTCGAACCATTGGCGGTCGACGAGTCGACCTCTGTCGTTATACCGAGCGGTGGGATTCGAATGATCAGACCGTCATCTCTCACTTGGCCGCTATTGGCGATGCCTTGGAGAATGTGGCGCCAGTCTACGAAGACTTTGGGGTCGACTTTGATCTGATAGTGATATACAGCAAGACTTTGCCCAAGATCGACGGTGACGACGTCGACGGCTACGAGCAAGAGAAAGTCGGCACGTCGACGGACTATCAAGGGTTCTAGGGGTTAGTCCCCCTATATATACATATATCCTAGGGGGCTGGGGATGCTTAGGATCCACTAAACTCTGACAGTATTCCTGGCAGTATTCCTGACAGTATAATCTATACTAGTACGTCTAACTAAGGTACAGTACCTAACAGTGGAGGCCCGGCCGGCCCTTAGACTGGGTAACTTAAGATATCGTATTGGAATATTACCTACGGATACCAGGTAAGGTAACTAACTAGAGCCGACGAGACGACGATGTATAAAGTACCCACCTAGCACCTAAGGTATGTACAGGTAAGGTAGGTATAGAAGTACAATTAGTACTTGACTTTCTGGTGGTTCCGTCCGTCCGTGTGAGCATGATCACGACCATGATCATGCTGGTCTGGGGTAGGCTGCTTCTACCCTAACTTACCACCGCAATCCTGGGTAGGTCGAGGTATACGCCCTCAAGGTTCCGGATCATCTTGGCAGGCACCTTCCCTAAGGATGTCACGGACATGCTGTCCGACCGCGTGTAGCACTACACGGTCACGTCGACCCTCATGGGCCCTTACACGTCCATCCACGGGTACACGCCCATCCTGCCCACGAAGGCACTGACCATCCCTTCCCTTGTGATCCAAACCGCATTTGAAAAGATGCACGCCTTCTTCCACCTCGGCCTTATGCTGCTGACGTCGGACGTCCCGCCAGCCAAAGATGCCGCCAAGGATAAAATAGCCTCACTGCCAGTGTCAGGCAGGAAAGGCACCTGGACATGGTTCCAACCCTATGCTACTTCAGACGCAAACGATCTAAACCCGACTTATGCAGAGATGCAAGTACAAGAAGATCTAGGAGACAAAAAGTATGAGAAACCGCCGTATACGTTCATTGAGGGTTTCTTGCAATTGATGGGCAGTCTGGAACAGAAGAATCAAGCCAAGGCTGCAGCTGGGGCGGGAGGAGGAGGCGGAGGAGGAGGAGGTGCTACCTTGAAATAAGTACCAGTAGCTACTAGTAATGCCAAAATTTACACAGATGAGACAACGATGTCGACCTCGTCGTTCTCAACAGTCACGGTTATGTCCACACCTTCCGTGTCTCCGACTGTTGTCGTCTGCTTCAGCGTGCCGTCGACGTAGACTTCCCAGTCCCCTTGCGCAAGATTCTTAACCGCAAAGTTCACTTCTTTCTCGTTCCCCGTCCAGCTCTTCAAAGTGATGACCATGGCGCGCACGTCGTCGTCCCAGACGCCTCTGAGGAAATCAACGCCATCGGCAAAGCTCAGTCCGTCCACATATGGCCGTTTCGCGAGGATGGCACTGGTCCAGGGCTTCTCCCACATCTTCTTCTGCCCATCCTTGACGTTCAGGCGAGAATAGCCGATACCCGAATTACCCGAATGAGGCTCCATGTGGATCATGTTCTGTCCGTCGTCGTCAAAGAGCTTGTCGTTGCGTGGATAGTAAAGCCCGCCGTTCTCCCATGTTGGATTGAGATGCGAGTCCGCATATTCGAGGAGGTCATTGAGTTCTTTAAATTTGCCCAACTCCGAAAGCATCTGGGCAAAGCCGCTCCAGCTGATCGTCTCGAACGGGAAGAGCGGATTGGCGAATTGCGACGACATCTCACGCGCCTTGCGCAGCGTCTCCGCGCTGTGGGCATCTTCGCCTTCCTCCAGGACCAATTGGCGGAAAGCGCTGGCGACGCGAGTCGGTTGAAGTCGAGTCTTTCCATCGATGTCGGTCAGAAATCCGAGGACCTGGCTATCGTACAGCGAATGCACCTTTTCCGAGTTCCAGGTGTTCATGTACGCGTTTGCCCTTTTTTACCCCGCGGTGTCAGCAATAAGCACACCGAGTCTTCCGTGGTAGAGGAATGTTTGTGTCTTACCAAGCAGTGTGCGCGCCTTGCCTCGCGGGGAGAGCCTTGTGTTGCTTCAGTGCAAAGAAGCTGGGATATAAGCCGCTGTCGTTGATCATGCCTTTCTTGATGAGTGAGGCTTCATATTTCTTCAGGACATCTTCGACATTGTTCGTGCCGTCGCGGCTATCGTTGTATCTCATCGCGATGATCTTTTTGAACCTTGGTTCAGCCCACGGTCCACTAAGTGGCTTTCATTCATTGCCATTTTTGCAGGGAGGGGGTTACTTACGGGAAACTGGTTGCACACGACAAACACCGCATTCGGCTCGCAGCAGACGCCCACCCAGTCGTTCTCTTCCATCTGCTGGAAAATGACCTTCTGCAAGCTTCGATTGTCGTAGGCAAAGTCCTCTCTTCCAAGGCCCCAGAACAGTGGGCTCCAGTGGAATGTCAAGCTGCCTTTCTTCTCGAACTCGTCGTCGTCGAACAGCATGGCGTACAAACTGGTCATCAGCAAGAGGTGTCCACTGTACATGATGTTTTCTTTGATGACCGGGTCGGCCCAGGGTTTGCGCAGTTCTTTGAGGTCCGGGTCAAGAAGGTTGCCTCCGTGGCTGGTGTTGAACCAATATCCCCAAACCTCCCGGCGCAGCATTTTGTGTATGATTTGGCGCAGGAGAGTCTTGAAGGCACTCCTCATCGCGGGGAGACGATGGTAGTGGGCGACTCCAGTTGCATAGGCCATCGTGGCCAACTGATATCTGTATGCGTCGTCCCATTCCTGCTGGGCCTCGAGAGTTCCAAAGTGATGCCACTCGCCATCGGGTTGAGAGACAAGGTTATGGAAATGCCGGAGATGGCCAGCCTGGTTGGCGTCAAGTCTGGGATACTTGGATACTTCAACTGGCGGACGAGTTGAGACGGTCAGTGTATTGGTAGCAGCAGCAGCAGTGGTGGTGGTGATAGTCGTCGCCATGCTCGTAGGAAGTTGCAGAGTTGCATTTGGAGATTCGCAAACGGTGGCCGATCACGGATGCAGAGAGTGCTCTTTATACCACACGGCTTACATTTTCAATGATTCAGGTCTTTGTATCCGAAGGAGTACACGTTGTCGGCTCTTGAAAACGGCAGACGTCTGGATACAAATAAGACCCGAACCCGACTCATAGTGCTTATCCTAGATCTCCTTTGCATTCTTGGAACGAGCATAGACGGGGTAGGGCGCCTGATAGTGCTGTTCTGCAGGTTTGCAAGGCAGATCACTGATCGAGTACGCCGCGACTCCGACACTCGAGAACATGCTTTTGATTACTCAACGCTCAGCTCGTACCTGAAAAAAATGCTACATGGGCAGTTTTTCGGGTTGAGAATCGTCGCGCTATCCGATCTGCAAGAGGGGCAACAGTATCTCGGTGGCTCACCCCAGGAAACTGTGCCAGTCAGCGTGCCCATGCATACGACCGGCGGCAACTATCCAGACATCTTCTACAAATGAGGTACGGCATCTACAAAGAGACAAAAAGGAGTGTCCCGGATGCCAAGATGCCAGCCTCATATGGGTCACTGCAGCGGGTCGAAAATGACCAAAGTCGGCCCTTAATTACGCGGAGCTCGAGCACTGGTCGTCGTCAGCGTCTTTTTCCCTCTACAACAGTATTCTATTCTTCCAATCTCTCCGCCAGACAACGCACAATGCTGTGTTGCTAGGTTACGACTCCTCCTCATACGAAGTAGTAAGTGATCATCATCTTTGACTGGATCCGAAGGTCCAAAAACCACCTAGAAAGCAATCACGATGTGGTTCTCCACTTACGTGAACTCAATCACCAAAAGCTCCTGGCTATATCTAGGGAAGCTATGATTGACACCACGCTATGCTCATGCAGCGCAAGCAACGTCAAGCAGCGTCAAGCATCAACATGCTCCTCTACCTGCCTTGGCGCCGCGTAGTCTTCTTCAATCATCAGGACGAGGACGTCGACAATTAGCCTATCCAAGCTCGACGAAATCGGCTGACGTGGCAACGATCAAAACCCATACGCTGGTGGGTTGCTCCGCGCTAACTCTTCACCGAGGCTGGAGTACTCGCTTTCTCGCCAATGGCATGCATGTCGTTTGCGGTGACCATCGTCAGGACCATGGAGTGGGTTTGCTGGTGGACGTTGACGTTGCTGGTGGGTTGGCTTGCAAGCTCTTCCTTGCGCACCGACGTGTTCGAATGGCGCAGCCGATCATAAACAGTCTATAAGAACTCTCGTTCTGAGTGGAATATGTGACAGCCACTCCTCCAGAAACCCAGCAGTCATTCGTTTGTACCTCCTTGAGCATCAATACCGTGTCGATTTCACTCACTCAATTGCTTCGAAAATGGTCAAGTTCAGTAGCTTTGCTACAGTGGTGGCGGCTACCTCTATCTTCCTTGCCGCCAATGCCCATCCAGGTCACAGTATCGAGGAGGAGATTGCCGAGCGCGTAGCGTACCTCAAGCGTGGCGTCAGCAACCTGGACCACTGCGCCGAAAAGCTTCGCGCACGAGGGCATGAGAAGCGGTCCATCAGTCGTCGAGTCGCAAAGATTCAAGAGCTGAGAGATGAGGTTGCACACAAGAAGAGTGAGCTCTCCGATTCAGACATGCTAGAGTCCTAACTAACTGCCAACAGGATCCCTCGTGCGTCGACAGACGGCCAGTTCGGCCATGCCATCGGGCAGCGGAACTCCTACCGGCGCCATGCCTTCGGGCGCAGCTCCCTCAGGTGGCGCTGGCGGCGCCGACGGTGGACAAAACATCAGTGACTTCGGGGCTTCGGTCGTCAACGCCAGCCATCTGTCAACCCTGAAGGTCGATCCATGGACCGCCGACGTCGATTCGATCATCTACGGCAATTCTTCCTGCATCCTCAACCCTGAAGGCGAGATCGGACCATATTGTACGGAAACCCGTCTCCCGTTTGACCAAAGCTATTCATGCGCTGACAAAGATTTTCAGACGTCCAAGGCGAGTTCGTCCGCCACGATATCACTGAGACCCAGCCGGGTGTTCCCGTCTACCTTGAGGAACAATTCATCAACGTAAACACCTGCGAGCCCATCACGGGCCTCTATTCTGATATCTGGCAGTATGTTCGGTCCCCTAGTCGCCTCTGGCCCCCCCTTTTCCCTGATCCCATATACTAACGCCTGCCCGTCCAGTTGCAACAGCACCGGCGTCTATGCCGGCGTCGTGGCCAACGGCAACGGCAACTCGGACGACGCGTCGAACATCAACTCCACGTTCCTGCGTGGTATCCAGAAGACCGACTCCGATGGCGTCGCGGCCTGGCGGTCCGTCTTCCCGGGCTACTACTCCGGACGAGCGACGCACATCCACATGGTCACGCACACAAACGCCACGCTGCTCTCGAACGGGACGATCACCGGCGGCACGGTCAGACACATCGGCCAAGTCTTCTATGACCAGGATCTCATCGATTACATCAACGACAACGTCTACCCGTACACGTTGAACACCATCACCTTGACGACCAACGCCGAGGATGGGATCTTCATCACCGAGACCAGCACCAACAGCGACCCTGTGCTGAACTATGTGCTGCTAGGGGACAAGGTTGAGGACGGCCTGTTCGCCTGGATCACCATCGGTGTCGATCCAAGCGCAGAGTACACCACCGAGGCGGCCAGCGTGTTGACGGAAGATGGAGGATACGCCACTGGAAACACGAACGTGGTTTAGATTGATGTGCGGAAGGGGGCATTCCCTCACGTCATGCACAAAAAAGCCCGAGAGGTGCTGGTTCGCAGTGGAGGAGTAATCGTAACTGGGAGATGAATGGCTGGTCTGTTTTCGCTTCTTGGTCTCGCTTTCGCTCTCGCTTTCGGTAATGAGTTTGGAGGAATCGACATATCTCTCCATATTGGGAGTCAGTTTGAATATGCCACCATTTGTGTTGAGCGGCGGACCTGCACAAAAGAAAGTTATGCATCGGATGCGGTTGCTGTCACTGGAGTAGCTACATTGTGATAGGCTGCGGCAGTTATAGGGTCGCCGGGGTCATTCCCCTTGGCTTAATATCCATGCCGCATAAGACCATCTGCAGTGTGTTTACGGAGTACTAGAAAGACAATCGTACTACGGAGTATCTTACTTACAACCCATAAGCTGACGCCAAGGTAGTACTATAGTCATCCGGGACATGAAATCCCACACCGGGAAAGCCTACTAGTTAGTACTGGTACTCGAGGACCAGGCGACCCATGCTTCAGGAACTCGACCAAGTTCCAACCTCACAGCTCACCGAGTGTAGGTGAATCCTCGACCACTAGTAAGGATGCGCGATCTCGAGAACAAGGTAAGGCAAACAAATCAATCCGGCTCCCGGGCAGTCGAATAATGTGTCCACTGAATGAAATACGCCTGGCAGGTCGTGATCGTGACGGGCGCCGCGTCTGGAATCGCACTGGCGACGGTGGAAGTCCTCCTCAGCTACGGAGCCAAAGTCCTGGGCTGTGACATTGGCCAGTCGCCATCATCTCTGTCCGGGAAGGGGGAGAATTTCTCTTTCTTGCAGTGCGACTTGACAGATAAAGGCTCGGCAAAGGCGATCGTCGAGCAATGTCAGCAGGTTTTCGGTGGCAGGATCGACGCCCTGTGCAACGTTGCCGGGATCATGGACAACAACAGCAGCGTCGACAGCTTCGAGGACGAGATGTGGGAGAGAAACATCGCAATCAACATGACCGCCCCGGCGAGATTGATGCGCGAGGTCGTGCCGGTCATGCTGGCCCAGGGTGGTGGAGGAAGTATTGTCAACACCGCGAGTTTTGCGGCGCTCAGTGGAGCGGCGGCCGGGATTTCTTACACCGCGTGCAAACATGCTCTGGTGAGCTTTGTCGTTCTTGTTGCCGTCATCATACTTGTCGTTGAAGGAGAAAAAGAAGAATAATAATTACTCGTCCAAACATCAGAGCTTCGTTATGCTGATAGCCGGCCGATTGACTGACTGACTGTCCCACTTAGGTTGGCATGACCAAGAACGTCGCTTTCCGGTTCAAGGATGACAAGATTCGGTGCAATGCAGTGTGTCCGGGAGGTACAGTTCACCGTTCCCCCCTTTATTACGAGGTCCGAGTCCCGAGATACCACAAGACTGACTCTGTATTGGCAGGGGTGCGGACAAACATCATGAGTTCGGTCGATCTTTCGAAGATGGACCGTCAAGCCATGGCCAAGATGAAACCGTTACACGATCTGGGGCTGGCCAACCCTGCCGAACCCGGTGATATCGCCGATGTGATAACATTTTTGGTGTCGGATATGAGTAGGCATATCAGTGGTGCCATCATCCCCGTGGACAAGGGTTTGAGCACAATATGAGAGGAAGACTACCAGTATCAATGAAGTACCTCAAGTAACAGCAGAGCTTCGATCGCGCAAAAATTATATCCTGATCCTACAAACGAGCAACGTCCGCAGTATAATCTGGGTAAGTCGGCCGCAGCCACGTTGTGCCTCATCGATTAGTGATTGTTGTGTTGCTCCAGCTGTTTCGAGCACACATATGCATCGTGCAAAAATTGCCGGAACCAAGCGACCGCAGCATTCTTCCCTCTGACCATGGCATCCCGTTCTCCCGCTTTTCTGGCATCTCCACGGACGAGGCAACCATGCGCCACGCCGGGGAAGTGCTGGTAGTCGAACGGCACGGAGACCTTTTGGAGCGTCTCGAAGGTATGCATCTTCAGCTCTGGCGTGTAGACCGGGTCGATCTCCGGAGCAAGCATCTGAACGGGGACCGCGACATCACCGATATCCTCCTTCGTCAACAAGCTCGGATGACCTACCGAGATGCAATCGACCAAAGGTGGTTGATGCTCTTTTGCTCCGAGGCGGAAAACGGCCCAACCTCCCCAGCAGAAGCCAATCGCCCCGAGCGTTTTGTACTGTGATCGAAGTGCTCGGGCACATCCAAAGATCTCGGGCTCACGAATCTGACGACTGTTTCTCTGCATCATGCCTTGTAGGTCGATTTTGTCCCACTGCTCGTTATCGACGGCTTCGAAGTCCACCACTTCGCCTCCGAAGAAATCGGGCACGTAGACTGTGACGTCTGCCTCTTTTGCATAGTGGTCCGCCAGGAGACGCACGTTGGGATATGTCCAGCCCAAGAGATCGTGGACTATCAAGACGGCTGCATCAGGATTGTCGCCAGCGACGTACGCGGCGTTGTTGGCAAGTTTCTCGACCCGCCCTGTGGAAGTGCCGGCCCACTCGAAACCTTTGAGACAGCAGGGAGCAATCGACATTGTGGAATTGAAATGCCTGCCAGCGCGAACAATGCACACCATATTCGGGTGGTTGCGCTATTAAGGAGGATACACTACATAGTCCAGTCGTGAGTCACAATGTATCGCCCTTGCGCTAGGAATGGGTGCCTGGCATCGAGCGAGCTAGCGACCTATGGTCGGGCGCCACTGACGACTCGTACCTTTGGTTCAGTCATGCACACGCATCTAGCACGTTGTGTTACCACGAGCCCTCTGTGGGAATGCAGGATTTCCACTCAGTGCCAATGCTCCATAATTGGGAGATGGCCGGATGCAGACTGTCCGCAATAAGCGCTTTCTCGTGGATCAGTCTAGTAATTCGAATTGACATGTACGAATACCAAAGTCGGCAGTTATGACTGATTTGGCGGACGAATATTGTCAGCGACTACTACGAGTATTGCTGGGCGGCCTGCTATACTTACGATCCTCTGATTCGCAAGTCACCGTTGGGACGAGCGCAGACGACAATGACATCCTGAGGTTTGGCATCGGTGATCTTGATCGTCGTCGGTGTGATGCATTTCACGTGCACGCGTGCGGGATTCGCGCAGTTCGCGTAAGAGAAGGTCCGCGAACTTCGAAGCCACGGCGCCGATGACATCAGCCGTCAACAATCCCTTTACCAGGATGAGATCAGGTATTTAGACCTGGAACACTCGCCTCACGAAGACCTTGACAGAGACACAACTTCTGCCTCATATTCTGCTCGATTCTGCTCGATTCTGCTCGATCTGCTCGAACTCATACCTACGTAACCAGCCATGCCACGTCAATACATCACTCGTCCGGCCGGAAACCCCCAGTCACAATCCAACAAAACCAGCCGAGCTCCTGCTCGTGCTCGCCGCAATAGATCTTCTTCACAGACCGACCCCAAACATGAGAAGCACGCCACGACGGTCAAGGGTGACGGGAAAGTCGTCAACCTCAATCGCCGAAGGGCAGCACTGAAAGGAAACCCCCTCCTGAAGGGCCTCGATCTGGATGCAATGATCCGTGAAGAAAACCTGAATTGCTCCAAGAGAACGCTGTAGCGTGTTCTACGAGAATACATCATTGAGAATCCGACAGCGAAAGACAGGTCGCAATACTTGTGGTCCAGAGATAAGATTGTAGCCTTGCAAGCCCTGGGACTGTTGCCAACGGAAGCTGGAAGTCCCTAGAGATGTGGAAGGTTCACAGACGATGGGTGTTTGCAGGTGAGTATCTTCTTTGAAGCCCCAGCCACGCTAGCTAGCGGATCCCTTGCTCTTCAGCTCCTTGCATCTTCCCAAGTCCCGAGAAAATAATATTTTAGATGGCTCTTGACTGACTTCTCATGCCGTTGATAGGATAAGCGATTTGTTCGGTCATCGGTATTTGACGCCAGCTTGCTGAATTGGGGTACTATGAAAGTGCTTCCGAATCCTCGAATAGTTCATCCAGGAAGATGGTTGCTGGGTCGTCGCCACAGGGATGAGCTCGTGTATAACAGTTTCTCAGATCATGTCTGATGTACATTAGTTTTAGGTAACAACTTTCAGTGACGGATTCCTCATATCCGAAGTGAAGAAGCTCCAAACGTGACAAAAGAAGAGGAACGATCTCCACTGTGGTTTGACAGATTCGAGCCGAGCTCGCACAGGAGCTTCTCAACTCCCGCAACACCCCTGCGAAAGCTCGTCTTCTGTGACGCGGTGGCGGCCACCATCGGGAGGTCTGCTTCCCGGTGGACAAGTACCGCTTGTGCGTATTGCATGGACTTGTTGTTCGTCTGCTATCCTTCAGTCATGTGTTCGAAGTCTCTCCTTGCTTCGTCTGCCAGGTGCGGCTTCGTCAAGACACGAATGGCCAGCATTGCCAGCCCTTTGCCGCACTTGATGGCGGCCTCATGCGCTTCGTCAGTCCCAGCGTGCGCAGCGAATCGCGGATGGTGTTGTGAGACATCGGGGTCGGTGGGGATGGGAAACGCTCCGTGAAAACTTGGGACTTCATATGATACATTTCCTGTCGAGATGAGTCATGCTTAGTCTGATGCAGTGGAATGTTGCCCTTACCCATGTCAGTTGATGCTGTATAGGATTCATCATCTTTGACAAGAATTCCCTCCCCAATACGCCGCATGTCGTCGACGTATTGCTGGCACAGCGGCATGTTCACCCTCAAGTCTTTATAGGTGGGAGACCTGTCAAGCGATGATTTAGCGACCCTCAGCATGCAAAACCTGACGAAGGACTTACGGGATGAAATCGACCTTGCATCCAGTGCTGAGCGCAGCAGCCCTGCAGCAATCATGGACTCGCTCCAAGAGAACATCTGCTCGTTTCACTGTCGGACCGCGCACGTACCAATTCATGCGCGTGTATTCCGGAATGACATTTGGCACTGTCCCGCCATCCTCAAAAACCCCGTGTACTCGTTCATCTGGTCGCATCTGCTGACGCAGCATCGAGACATTGGTGTACGCCGCCACGGCCGCATCGAGTGCGTTGACACCGTTCCACGGCTCCCCTGCGGCATGGGCCGACTTGCCTCGAAACTCGACGCGAAACTTATGGGATGCAATGAATTTCAATCCGGCAAGGCCCGTGTAACCATTTTTGAATTGATGAGCGGCAAATGGGTGTGCCATGATAGCAGCTGCTATGTCGTCGTCCTTGAATGCGCCGGCGTCGATTAGCTTCGCCTTCCCACCACCTCCTTCCTCGGCAGGAGTGCCTAGAAGACGTATCCTTCCTGGCAAATGGCCGGTTCGCATAGCCTTTACTGCGCCTAGGAAAGCAGCGATCGAGGATGTCATGATCAAGTTGTGGCCGCAGGCATGGCCGATGTTGGGTAAAGCATCGTATTCCACACAGATGATGACCAAGCGGCCTCCAGTGCCCACTTCGGCTGTGAAAGATGTCTCTAAGCCATAAGTGCCCTCGGCGACCTCGAAACCTCTGTCGCGCAAAAAGGATGATATTGTCTTTACCGCGAAGAACTCTTGATATGCTGTTTCGGGGTTGTCATGGATGACTTTGTTTAAAAGCCGCAGCTCCTTGTTCGCTAGGTCGATTGTGTCAATCGCGCAAGTGAGAGCTTCGGACCTATCATCAACTGCTAGTTTGTCTTCCGATTGCGAAGTAGCCATGATGATACCAAAACAGAAGGATTGCCCAGGTGGTGGTCAATCCATGTGGGAGCGCCTCGACGGGACAATAAGATGTGTGGGGGAAGAAAGAAAAGACACGCACGAGGCGGAATTTAACTGCGGAACCTTGCCGGGAGCCAATGTCCATAGCGGGGGAAACGCGACTCTGGGGGGCACAGAGTACAGGGAGACATGGGCCACGATGGGGATTCGGGGGTCACCACAAGCTTAACCCACCCGGCTGGAGGTAAATACTGAAAGCTCAATTTCCGGTAAAAGAAGAGAAAGGCGTCGACACAAAACACGACTGCCTCACCAAATCTCCAAAGGAGGGCCGTCCATCACTCAAGTCAACGCAAGATGCGGTCTGCCCTTTCGAGGCTTCTCCTGCGACCTCGAATGGTTCATACGCGCCCCTTCTGGCACCCGTCACCATCTCAACAGAAGCGCACACTCTCACAAACGACACGGCCAGCGGAAACGCCCAAGAAAAGCTCTGAAGGAGCTGACCACTTCCTTGGAGGGATCTTCATCGGAGCTGGAACAGTCCTTACCGTGTTATATTATTCCGATGCCATCTCCTTGGTCAGCTCAGAGGTGAACAATACTAGTACCACGTCGACATCACCGTTACTTTCGTCCTCTCCACCACGATATGACCTGTCCGAGCAGAACATCCAGGCTGCCAAGGGGGACTTCCTCGCGCTTCTGGGCGGCGACGGCGTGGACGATAATCTAGGCGCCAGAATAGCCCGGTCCAGTACCGACTGGTCACCAGCTCCACACGGCGACCTTGATAGACCGTGCTTAATCGTCTATCCCAGGTCAACGGAGGACGTGAGCAACATTGTCAAGGTCTGTCACCGGCGCAGGATCCCGATCATCGGTTTTGGCGGCGGCACCAGTCTCGAAGGCACACTTGCGGCCATCCACGGCGAAGTCTGCATCGATTTCCGCCGCATGAACAAAGTCCTGGTGGTTCATGACCAAGACTTGGATGCCGTCGTGCAACCAGGAGTCGGCTATGTCGAGTTGAATGAAATGCTTGGTAAATCGGGTCTCTTCTTCCCACCGGATCCTGGGCCAGGGGCGCAAATAGGAGGCATGATCTCGCAAGGCTGCTCGGGGACATCGGCATACCGCTACGGCACGGTCAAGGACTGGGTCATAGGCTTGACCGTGGTTCTTGCTGACGGCACCGTGATCAAGACAAGAAGGCGGCCGAAGAAGTCATCTGCCGGATACGACCTGACACGACTTTTCGTCGGGTCAGAAGGTACCCTGGGGCTGGTCACAGAGGCTACTCTGAAGATCACCAACAAGCCGGAGAATGTCAGAGTGGCTGTTGCGGCATTTCCTACGACACAGAACGCCGTTGAAGCGGCAGTCAAGATCGTCCAGAACGGTTTGCCTGTGGGTGCACTCGAATTACTCGACGGCATATCAATGAAGACGATCAACAACTCGGGCTACTGCGAAAAGGATTTCGCGGAAGCGCCCTCGCTCTTCCTAAAGTTTTCTGGGAGTGATGCTGTCGTACACGAACAAGTCCAGCAAGTTCGGGCACTGGCAAAGAACTCGAAATGCCTCAGTTTCCAGTTTGGCACAGACGAATCCGAATCCGAAGCCTTCTGGCAAGCCAGGAAGACGATGCTGTGGAGCTTGATGACTCTGAAAAGGAATCCGGATGACAAGTTCGTAGGCACGGACAACGCGGTGCCGATCTCCAGACTGGCCGATATCATCGATATCACCAATCGCAAGATTCAAGAGAGCGGCCTGGTAGGAGCATGTTGTGGTCACGTTGGTGATGGTGAGGCTTTCACAGATCACAAGTACTAGTACCTGTCTGAGTATCCACTGACTTTTGTAACATCAGGTAACGTGCACGCAGCCATATTCTACAGCGAAGCCGAGAAAGACAAGGCGGAGAGAATAGTCCTCGAAGTTGAAAGGCTCGGGATTGAAATGGACGGCACCATCACTGGGGAACACGGCATTGGGCTCGAAAAAAGAGATCGCCTCGTCGACGAGCTCGGAGATGACACCGTCGACACAATGCGGCGCGTCAAACTGGCCCTCGACCCCCTATGCCTCCTCAACCCCGAAAAAGTCGTGCGTCTCACGCCTGGGACGACGACGACTCCCTAGAAATTTCAGAGTTCTGCAGGCGCGACCCCTTTTTCCTCTACTCACGAGACCCCTTTTACAACTTGGAACCCAGTCCTTCCGTCTCGGCTATGCGAAAGACGTATTTCGTCGCGCTGGCTTTGCCTTCTTTCAGATTCCTCAAGCCTTGCTCAACACGTTTCAGCCCTCCACGAATGACTTCATGAGGATGTGGCTTGAACCAACCATCTTTCAAACCCAGCTCAAAGAGCCGATACCACGCATACCCGAAATCCTTGTCCTTGCCATGAACACTCCCGACCATTGTCAACGTCGTGTGGACAGACTTGGGGATCGACGGATCGTCCTTGAGCGGGAGGACCAGCGTGAGATGGCCGTCTGGCGCTAGCACTTTACAAATATTTTCGGCCGACGACTTCGCCTTTTCGCTCACGGCGTCAAACGCATACTCTAGCTTCTCGCCTTGGGGGACGGCTTTCCTGATCCCTTCGACGACGCTCTCGTTGCCCTTGCGATAATCGACGACGACGTCACCCTGTCCCTTAATGTTGCTGCTGTTGCTACTAGTATCTCCCAACAATCCCTCGACGAATGGGATCCCTCGCCCTGCCACAGCGATGATCGGATGGATCCCAGCACGCTTCGCCAGCTGGACGGCATACGCACCGACAGCGCCTGCGGCACCGTATATCACGATGCCGCCTTTCGGCACTCTTTCAGGATTTCCAGCGGCGACCCAAGGCTCTGGTAGCCCCAATCGGACGAACAAACCGACCGCGGCCGTCATTGCGGCCAAGGGGATTGCGGCGGCCTCTTCGAAGCTCAAGGTCGACGGGATGTGGAATGTCGTGTGCTCTGGGGAGATGGCGTATTCCGCGTACGATCCGCCGGGGGTCTGCATCCGATGAAACGCGGCGACACGGTCGCCTGGCTTGAACTGTGTGACGGCGGAACCGACCTTTTCGACAACGCCGGCGATGTCGTCGCCTTGGTTTGTGCCGTTGAATTCCGGGTTGACGGCTGGCCGTTTCCAGTCCTTGGGGTTGGAGCCCGAGACGTGGACTTTCGTGAGGACTTCGTCGGCTTTGGGGGTCGGGATCGGGATGTTGTGGAGTGTGACGCGGAGGGGGTGGTGGACGAGCGCTTCGAGCATGGTACTCGTCTCAGATGAGGGTGAGGGTGAGGGTGATGACATTGTGGCTGTGGCTGGCGAGGCGTGGAATCTTCTGTGGATTCGAGAGGAAGTAGTACCGCAGAGTGAGTTTTTAGGGAGCGAAGAGGCAGTTGGGGCGATCCTGAGGGCTTTTGGAATACAACTAGTAGTAAAGCTGTGATAGCGTAGGCTCTGGGATGTCCGTGGCAGGATGTTCATGGATACCTAAGGTAGGTACCTAGGTAAGGTAGTAGTATGGTATGATCCAGTTCTCTGTACCTATGGATTACTGCTAGTACTGCGTGACGACGTGTATGGGCCTGTTCTGTAGTTCATTGTCGTACAATATACTCGTATGGACTTGATCATGACTTGCGGCACGCATTAGTAATACTGCCCAGAGGATGAGCGGACGGCATATCGTGCGAGGGGAGGGGTGGGTACGGGGGTTTGTGAACACTATCCCACCTGGGACGTTTGTTTCCCTTTTTTGGTTCAAGGCTCACTCGCCAAGTTAGGCCTCGCGTCCACGGATTCCCCAAGTACGAACCAATGCTCGAAAGACGGCCGTCTCTGATTCGAGACTCTTGCGCGACCCGGGACAGAGGACACACGGGTGAGATCTGGGCTTCGCTTGCTTCTCCGCGTGTCCAATGGCTAGTGAGGCCGGCGCCCGAGGCAAAGCATTGCCAAAGGGGGTCATCATGGGGATTCCAAGATCACCAGTACCTAGGTAGACTTGGTGATGCGGGGTATCCAAAGGGCGAGATCGAGGTCATAACGAGTGGAGGACAGGCGAAGTCGGAACACTCGTTGTGAAAACCCTTTCTGAACGTAGTATTGAAGCAGCTTACATACCGTAGGTACAGGTACGAGAACGGTCAACATGCCATCACAATATTTCCTCTTACGTCAACTCCCGACCGAAACCTGGTTCTGGGGTCGACGATGATCTCTGGACCAAATGGTACATAGACGAACATGTGAGTACTAGATACCTTACCTATTGGGCGTTCCTTTCACTGTTTCTCGGTCAAGATGCAATGCTGATTGCGGACTTCCTTTTCGACCTATATAGCTGCCCGACTTGGTGAACAGCAAGACATCGACACGCGCGGCCTTCTATCGCGAAACCCACGACTTCGCGCTCGCAACGAAAGTACCACATCCGCGCAAGTTCCTGGCACTGTATCAGACGGACTTCGAGGAACCGCTCAAATCCAAGAACTACCTCGATGGCGTGCGACACTCGAGTGGGATGTGGCCGCAAAGCAAGCAGACGTCCGAGGTTGGTGACTTTGACGCTCGAAACTATAAACTCATTCAGGAGTATGACCCTAACAAGACTGGTGATTGTAAGTCACAACAAGACCCTTGCAAAGCACTCCAAAGTGCAGCCCTAGATGGATTCACTCGTTGTTGACCAGACAAAAGCCGCTCCGCCGTTCTTGCTTACCGTGGAAATGGAACCAACCGAGCAGAACGAGGGGGATTTCGATGATTGGTATCGACAAGAACATCTCGAGCTGCTCAGCAAATTGCCTGGATATCGGAGGTCGTTGCGATATGTGATTGGGCCCAAGACACCAATTACCCAGGGAGAGCCGCCAAAGTATCTGGCCATCCATGAGATCGACAACCCACGCGCTTTCGATGGTAAGGAGGCCGAGGCCGCGAACACGACGAAGTGGACAGTCAAACATATCAACGAGGCAAAGAGCTTTACCCCGAGAATGTGGCAGAGGGTTACTGCCGAGGGTTTTTGAGCTGGTGAGGCTGCGACATATAGGGGCGATACGGTCAGGTTGAAAACCTGACAATGGATTGGAGGGATGAGAATTGATTACCGTTCTACACAGCAGTGGCCATAACGGATCCCATCCAGGGCCAGATGCACTCATTGGCAGGCGGATATCCCATGTGCAGCATCTTCTCGTAGAATCTGGCTTCTTTTGGGCGTCCATAGTTCATGAGGAGCATGCTGTCTTCAATGGGCATGAGCCCGTCCCAAGTGCCGTTGACAAGAAGCAGCCTGCAACATGGTCCGTTCACTATCCCATTTTCAACCAGACTATAGTCCTTCTGTGCTTTTTCCAGGAGTTCTTCCCAATCCTTATAGCCGTATTTGGAGACGTAAGCTTCGCTAAGGACGAAGGGATATTCATGGTCATCAACGTGCTCCAGCCACTCTCGGGACAGAAACAGGTGCGTTCCAGCACCTTGCCCGATACTGCCAGCCAGGCGCGTGTGATGGGTGTGCGCAACCCGAATGGCATAGTATCCTCCAGCAGAGAGACCCCAAACAATGCATGTCTTCATGTTAAACTGCGACTGCCCATCCATCCAGTCCAGGATGGCGGTAAACAATCGATCTGGGGACTTTGGATCGCGGCGGTCTGCAGGACAATCTGCAGTGCCTGGGATCTCGGTGATGACAGAGCCCCAACCTCGTGCTATGAAATCATCTGTCCGCTAGCCCAAGTTGTCAGTCACGTTTTGCCAGTATACAAGCAGAGCTTACGCCTGTGTTATCTGGCCGGTGACCGTCGAGGCCCGTAATAAGGAGTACCACAGGGCACTTCTTGTTACTGCTCGCGCCCGGCGGCAGCCTCACGAATAGCGGTATCTCCTTACCTTCTTGACCTTCAGCTGCGGTATGTGGAATCTTGATCTCTTTTATAGGAGCGTCCCACAAGCTTGCGCCTCTTAGGTACACCTGTTTCTGCAACTCGAATATCTTCTTCTTCAGTCCAGGGCCTGCATCGAGGGAAGGAAAGCGAGATATGCGATAGACACATGCAGCGCGTTTGAAGAGATCGGCTGCTTTGACACGGTCCGACGCCTGAGCGGAGAGCGCCTCGTCAGTGAGCTTTTCGGCAGTTGGCAGGAAGTATTCGGTATATTTGTCAGAATAGGCATCGTTGACATTGTCTTTGATCAAGTTCTCAAAGATTGGGGCAAAGTCTTCAAGTCTGCCATCGTGGAATGGGTAGACACTTAGAGAGCATGGGAATTTCCACTTCGTTTCCCACAAGGCTTTGACACCGCTCAGATGAGGGTAACGCTCGTGGAATTTGTCACCCAGGATCCAGTTAGTCATGATGCTGGTAGTTAGCTGGCAATCTTGCGCGAGTGTGGAAACAATTCGAAGTTCCAGTGCAGAAAGGTTCAGCTAAACGAAGGATAAGCGGTGAGATACCTGATCAGGCTTCCTGTATCTTTCACGCGCGCGGCGGGATAAACTTACGGTCGGCTTTCACTGGCTTAGCACTGACACAATGAGAGCCTTGCAGACAGATCAGGCTTCGCTCAGCTCGATTCACGAATCGTGCAAGGTCCTACTCCGGACTCATAGATCAATCCCAAGCAGAGTCCCGCAGAGTCCGTCAAAGAAACTCTGGGTGAAGAGGAGGAGTTAGTGCAATAAGCGTTCCGTAGAAGGCAGCTCTTCCGAGACCAGATTTGGCGCGTTTTCACGGGGAAGGGAGAGTGACGACTAGGAGTCACAACCGATCATCTTACAACAGCTCTATCCCTCGCGTTGACGTCCTCTTTCCCTCCCAGAGCGCATCTCCTATCGGTCCATACGTATAAAATGCACAACATCTAGCTCACGAATTGCCTCAACCTTCAAGATGACTTCCCGCGAACCCTCCGCAGCGCCATCGGACGCAGACACCATCGATGAGCCCATAGAAGATACAAAGCCAGACATTGCTGAGCTTGAGCAGGAGCAGTCTCAGCTGGAAGAAGAGCCAGTTTCCACCTCCACACCTTCTGGTGCACGCCGGACAGCTCGCCCCAGAGTGTCTACCGGCAGAAAACCAAGACCTAGAAAGTCTGCAGCATGGATACCTGAGCAATTGCAGGAGGGTACAGAAGACGAAGGCAGCGTTGTATCTGCATCACACTCAAGGACGAAGAAGTCAGAGGCTACTCCCGAGTCAGATCTGAGGACCGTCGGCACTGCGGTTGGCACTAGAAGACAAGCAAATGGCACGGTCGGATCAGTTTACTCTGGGAGCAAGATTAGGCACATCAAGAAACCGGACGGCGAGCCGTTATACCGCAAAGAGATACAATACCAGTTCTTGATGCACGTCACTGCAGACACCAAGCCCGTCTTCACCAGGATAAGCGATGGCAAATCAGGTTGTACTTTTCTGGACATCTACGTGGATTGCATGGCGAAAAGTTCCAAGACCAGCAAGATTCTCAAAGACAGATTACAGGTGGATCGGCAAGCGGCACAGAACATGGCCATGATCTGTCTCTTGGTGAATGTTGGCCGCATGAATACGACATTGAACTTCTTCCCCGAGATGAGGGCGCAGTTAAGGACCTATCACTCCATTCCTTCTCTTCAGGCATACAAGAGCCAGAGAGATTACAAGTCACTGCAAGATGCTCCGAGACTGAAGAGCATCTTGAAAGGTGCCAGCGAAGACACAGAAGAGCCTCGAACTCTCGAAGCACTCAAGGCTCGACCAGTGCCCCGTACAAACCCAGTCAATCTTATCTTTGTGCTCTCACAATCTGCACCAAACATCAGCGAGTCACATTTTAGAGATAAAGTCGACTTTTTCGATCTAGCCATGCGCTCAACAATTAGCTCTAAGAGCAGAGCCGAAGCATTTTTGTGGCTCATGTGGTGGTACCTGGAGTCCAACTTCACCAAAGAGGATGGCTTGAACAATCCCTACGGGCCCGGTCAGTACAAGGAAAGTGAGGATCCCGACGACCCCGACGTCGTACCGCTTTTGGTTCCGGAATTGGTGAACATCACGCCAGAAGAAGGAGACAAGGAGAATGAGGATCCTGAGGAGGAAATTGCTTTTGGTGAGAAAATGAGAGAAGAAAGAAAGAGAATCATGCTCGAAGTTGCAAACGAGCCTCCTCTTACCATGGTGGATCCTGGCAATCCCGATCACAAAGCTGTGAAGCGACTCAAAAAGGGCGCCTTATATGGCGACGAAGATTCTATGATGTCAGATGCAGACTCGAGAGCGAGTCCAGGTGTTGCGACCCCGGAAGCTCACCACGGGCATATTATGAGTAGCGTACTCGGTGGACAGGCTGACAGTCTCGACGACGATTGGGAGGCCTTCGATCCACATCCGGGTCGTGGGCGGTATAAGCGTGTGAGAGGGAAAAATACTCCTTCCAGGGTTCGCGGAGGCGGAGGGGGCGCCAGACAAACCGATGGCGGCCGGAGGAGTTTGGTCAAACCGCGCGACGGCGGTACACCAGATACAATAGACAGATACCGCGGTACACCACAGCCTCTACAATCTGGAGCCGGTAACCACGCTGTTGTCGGTCAGTATGGTTCTCATCGAAGCAGGAAGGAAAACGACACGCTTGCAGCTCGATCTGGTGAGCCTGGCACAAGCGGCAGTGTACCGAAGTCGAGGGCCCGAACAGGATATCAGCGCGAGTTGGAGGAGCATCGGCAACGCCGCGTCGAGTGGGCTCTGAGACGACGACGCCGAGAGACTTTGAGGGTATCCCGACAGCTGAGAGAAGGAGGAAGGTGGCTGTTGAGGGCGGCCAGGCGGATCAGCGAGCTTCCTCCCACCTATGATAGCGATGAAGAGGAAGAGAATGGCGGTTTCGGTTTTGCCGGCCTGCTCGGTCGCAGATGGCTCGGAGAAAATATCGAGTCCGAACATGGGGGTATTCCTGCTGGCTACGAACCTGACGACCAAGGTGAGGAGGCCGAGATGTGGATGAATCTTGTGAAGAGGACAGGACGACGGCTGGATGTCTGGGATGGAGATCGCGACGTTGAGGTATACAAAGCTCGCCTGTATCGACCCCCAATTGCCGAAGACCCCGTTCTCCAAGCCCCTGCTCAACCACGCACGAATGGAACACGGAAGAAGAATCGAAAAGTAGAGTCACCGGTTCAATCGTCCGTGCTTGGTTCTGGGAGAGGTGCGACGGGCCTCCAGACAGGCAGAGATCTCAACGACGAGATTACCCAAGACCTGCTTGCAGAGCGGAGCGACGAGGACATGGAAGACGACGATTCCGTGGGAGCAGATGGTGATGGCTATGATGGTAGCGACGTGGAAATGGACTGAGGGTCATAAGCAACAGCCCTCGAACTTTTTTGATCATACATTAACCTGGGTGGTTCATGTGTTTGTCAACAGATTCCTCATGCAGCATGAGGTAGGCGGTCATGCCTTTGAAGTCCGAAGCACCACGATGCATTCTGTACAATACTCTAATGAAAATGGACTTCAACCCCAAGGTCGTGCAATGATCGAGTATTTTGTTTCATCATTGCGGTCAGGACCAAACAATGACCAGTACTGAGCCTATTTTGGATATCTTTAGAAGGGTCTCGTCTAGATTGTCAAAGTGTTACCGCGGTCTCTCTAGACCTTCCGTCATATCACTAGTTGTTCTTGTTCGTCAGATGGAAACCATGGCTTTTTCCCATGGCCGACGATGGACGAGATATTGCAGACGAGTCAGGTTCTCAAGGACTTCACCGTCCCTCCCCACTGACGGGCTGTTGGATTTGCGGGAGGCCCAAGAGGCCTTGATGGAGGAAGCTTAGTTATCAGAAGGATCCGGCTGACTCAGTGCCGGTCTCTGGGCTGGAGGTCGTCGACTGGGATACCCTGCAAATCTGACCTTCTGCTAAAAGTTAGATGCATGTGAGCGTCGCTGGAAAACACTCCTACCACCAGCCTGTCGGCTGAAGGTCCTACTACTCCCAGCCGTGCTCAGGAACCTGGTTCGTATGTATGCCTCTTGTCCAATCTCCGGGGCTTTTTGCCGATTTCCCTGAACGACTTTGCATTATTTGTCCCGTCTCTTTCGCAGAAGTCAAACCACCTGGTGGATCAGCGAATATCCACCTCTTTCGAGCGCTACAAGTCCATCATGGAGAGTCCAAGGACATACCTGCCCGCTAGTCCAATCGGTTGGACTCGCTATGAGCATGTCCTCAACAACTTCGGCAGAAGGTGGAAAGTATGTCCCATCGATCGGAGGCATACTCTTCTCCATGCCACCTAGAATTGACTCTCTCGCAGTTCGCTGGAGCATGTCCCCTTCAGCTTATCATTCGCTATCCACGATCCTGCTACTCGCAGTTTTTTGTACCTGTGTCAGGAAGAACACCTCACGGTACTGCTACACTTCGAATACCTCGTCAAGATTTGCCATACACGTGGCTCCAAACCAGGTAGGGCCCTTTGGACAGCGGGCCGTCTTGCACATGGCTATCGCAAGGCCGCTTTGCGGTAAGAAAGCTTCTTCTTGCAAGGGAGTATAAGGCGCGAGCTCGCCATACGCGCACGTATGATCCTGGAAAGCGGGTCAACACTCACCAGCACATGCCATCTACGAATGGCCCCGCTCTTCGTGGAGGGATGTCTGGATGAGCCTCTTTCCGTTGCAAGAACTGTTTAACCTCTCATGCGCTACAAATTAAGCCTCAGACTGCTTGACCACAGCTACCTGGACACAGTAAATAACGCAGTGTACTTTTTGGTAGCATCTGTCTCTCCCTCGAGACTGTTGGCATCAACCAAAACCACAGTCACGGCGTCATTATATTGCGGCGTTGATCTCGCGCTATCCTCAACTCTAGTACATCCAGAACAAACTCCCCAAGGGCCAGGACCTCCTACTCTTGAACAGACGGGACGAAATACAATCCGAGTCAACCGAGGATGAAGGGGTGTTCCATGACCGGAGGACGCATCATTCGTCCAGCTCCCGAGGCGGACGAGTTCCCTTCTCGTTTCCACAGCATCGATCTCACATCACAACCATCACTGCTGACGACAAGTATTCCTTACTGTTACAGTCCCGGCCAATTCTGGTTTTCGATGGATGTCCCTGAAATGAACATGGACTTCCTGCCAGATCCCACAGCGGTAGGCCGGCCTTCAGTACTCCATGCAAGGCGCACGGATCTCTAACGGCTCTGTGGACAGATGAGTTCAACACGACTGCCAACAACCAGTCTCGACAGCTTCCAGAACACCCCAGGTTTCATCCCATCGAGTCCGTGGCCCGCCCAAGTAGCACGCGCAAGCAGCAGCCGCAGCTCTGCTACAGACTCTTCATCGCTACCCGCAATCGAGACGCCAGCACCAGTCAGCGCAAAGACGCCTTCGGATTCAGAATGTGCTGGAGAGTCGATGCACCGCGCTCGTCAGTGTCATCAGCGAAAAGCTGATGAAGGTTACGAGCATAACAAAATTGAAGTACGTTACTGATAGTTGTTTCCCTTGAGTTGCTACATGTCTCCCTGAAACCCTTTCGGGTGTCTCGATCAAGGGAAAGGGGCTAAAGAGTACCGACTTATAGAAGAGGAAAGAACAAAACCGCAAAGCACAAAGGAACCATCGAATGCGCAGTGAGGCACGGTTAGAACAGCTTCGTGCCAGAGTGCAACAGCAAGCAGTGGAGATTGACGACCTCAAGGGTGTTAATAAGACCTTGCTCAAGCGGATACAGCATTTGACCAACAGCCACGGTGAAGGAGGAATTGTATGAGATGCGAAATATCCTATCTCTCCAAATCCATGAATCGTTAATGATGTTCGGGGCGCAATTGCCCTTTGAAGGCTACGAATCTTCAAAACGGGTGAGATGCCATCGACGGCCGCCGAGACGTGTATGTTTGCGGTCTTTTCGTGACTCCAATTCTTTGGCGATTTGGATGTCAGAGGTGTCACTCTCATGCCCCTGCCCGTCTTCCTCCGAGCTCTCTGGGGTCTGAGCCGTCTTCCTAATGTCAGCTGTTGCCTAAATGCTGGACGTGGTATGTCTGACCTACCTGCTCGCGTTCGCACCGCTTTCCACACAATAGCAATGCCAATATGTGGTGAGCATGCGGCTTACAGACGTTGATTGAGCGAAAGACATACTATGGTCCCCATGGGCAAGATCGTGTAATTTGGCCCTCAGGTGCCATTCGACGACAAACAGCAGCGAGGACAATTTGTGTGGCAGGAGGGCCTCCTGTTCAATGCGGTGCCAACAGCTGCTTCGGCGATTCAAGCGGCAGCTGTTTGGCACACTGGTCAAGCGAGTTTCATTACACGATCTACCTATGAGACCGTAGTGCAAGAAAGAAGATCCGTCAGAGCTTCGCAGTCTGTAGTACCTGTCCCAGCCGCGGCTTCGTCGACGACATTTGCGTCCTCGCCAATGCTCTGCGACCGGCGCTGCCTTCCATGAGCTCGTTGGTGACTTTGTCCTGCGTGATGTCCCAACGTGTGCGCCAGCGCCAACTTCTGACCAACGGCCTCTCGAGGCCCTTGCCCTCCAGAATATCGGCAATCCAAGAACCGATGTTCGGCAGGAACTTGAAGGCATGGCCGCTGCCGGCGGTGGCGACGAGTACGTTCTCGTGGTTTGGCACGTGGTCGATGACGAAGTGGTTGTCCCAGGAATCCGTGTACCAGCACAGCCGAGTCATCACGTCGATGTCGGCCTTCTCGACTCCGCCGTTGGTGGCGGGCAGCAGCTCGGGAAGAAAGTCGGCGATGAACCTGTTTATCACGCGCAAGGCCTGCATGGGGATCATCTGGTCCTGGTTATTGGTGATGGTGACAGCAGCAGACTCTGGGGGGATGTTCTGGTCATTGGTGGTGACAGCAGACCTCTCGGTACGGGGCCGACTGTTGTACCGGGTGATGGGGACGCTGCGCTCACAGCCGTCCCTTTGCACCTGCGGGTTTGTGTATTTGGTGCCCCGATACCCGATCTTCATGTACCCTTCGTCGGTGGCAGGAAAGCCGTAGAGGCCGCCCTCGGCGCCGTCGCGCATCTTGTACGTCCAAGAGGGGAACTTGTCGGCCGAATAGCGCCGCGCAGCAGCGAGGTCCGCGGGCAGTTTTAACATGACGACCGTGCCCGCCGTGGTTTCGCAGACCGAGTCCAGCGAGGGAAGCAGCGCCGGCGTCCATCCGCCGCAGGCCATGATGGTGCGGGTGCTGTGGTGAGACTTCCCGTCGAGCGTGCGGATGCCGACAACGATGTCTCCATGCGCCCTTCTCGTTCCCGTTCCCGTCCCCTTAGCAGCCCAGATGAACGAGGCAAATGTCCCCGATTCTGGCCCGAAAACGGTCCCCACGCCCAACCGGAGTGCTTTGTGTAGAGCAAACGAGCAAGCCTTGTCGGCCAAAATCGTGCCGCCCATCGTGTCAAGAACTCCTAGGTAGTTCTGCCCACGTTGTTTCCGGTTGAACGGATCAATGGCGAAGTCGAAGCTCCGTTTATGGGCGATCTGGACGTGTCTTTGGTCGTATGTGATCAGTTGTGTGTCAGGATGCCCGGCTTCGTGCATGTTTCGGACTGTGGCCATCTCAAACGGCGGAAGAGTTGACTTGTCCGTCATGCTCAAATTGCCGTTGTTGATGAGCACCTTGTCGTTTTGGGTCATCCCCGGCGGCAGGTCGTCACCAGAGGCGATCTCGGCATTCCATCGACGCCAGGCGTCCAAGGCTTCGATGGACAAGGACTGATATTCCGTCTGAGATCCGTACGCTGAGCGAAAGATCTTGTTCATGTCCGCGGAGGCCGCATCGCATCCCTTGAAGTACGAATACTGGGTTTCGTGGTACGGCTGCTTGTCGAAGATTGTGATGTTCGTATAGCCTCGTTGGGCGAGATGGATCGCGGTGCTGAGTCCAAACACGCCTGCTCCTACAATGGTGATCGCCGCGCTTTTGTCTTGCAGTGGTGGCGGTCCTTCCCTGACACCATCAGGCGACATCTTCTCTCCGATCGCTGTAGTTGCAGTTACTTTCGTTGATGATGGGTAGGGTGGCTGAGATGTGTAGTCCCCTTAGGCGAGTGCAAAAGATTGGCTTGGCTGCTTCGAAGACCGACTTGATAAAGCTGAGGTTAATAGATTGTTGGAGACTCTGTATACCTTATTTGCCTGCCGCTGATGATTAAGGTCTGCAAGTGGACCAAGTTAGCCTGGCCGTGGTGCTCGATGCTCGGGTAGTGAGATGAAGTTCTCGGTGCCATTGAGCGATGGACTTGTCCGCACTCGTAGTTCTTGCTTTGTTAGGCTTAACGTTAGAAGATCCAAGGATGAGTTTCGGAGAAGACGTACGATACCTTGACTACCGTCCTCCTTTACCGCCGGGTTTGTATGCTGGCGTCGGCAGCCAGGTGAGAAGTTATTCGCATTGATGGTATGCCATCAAACCACCCGCAGAACAGTTTGGCATAAGTGAAATGGCAAATGGTGCGAGTCGAAGGTGATCTCGCAGGTCTTTGTTATGAGCGTCAGGGCATTCACGAGCATCACCAAGGTACTTTTGTAAGATATCAACACAATAATGCTCGATCAGAAGTATATGGCGATTTGCTAGTATACGGATATAGACTCGACCAAGACGGACTATTGCAGAATTGAGTTGCTGCGAGGAGCAACAGGCTGGCTTTTAAAACATCTGTCTCTTCCTCATCTCAACGGGAAGGAAGACCATGACGAACGCGGAGAGCCAGATTCCACCAGCTCCAAGCCACAAAACTCCAGCGCTGTTGCTCACAACGTACTGCGCACCTAGGGAAACGGTTAGCTCAATCAATACGTTTGACGAAATCCAATAAATGCTTACCTGCAAAAGGGGCCACAATGCCGGCGATACGACCCATGCAGGACAACATACCACTCGCACTACCCCGGTAGGATGTGTCGAAAAGCTCGGGAGCGGATGCATATAAGACAGCGTTGAAGTACTATTGATCGATCAGTCAGCTTGGAAGGAGCGCCCCATCTGGATGATACTCACTGTTTGCATAATGTACTCAAGCGCGTTGAGTCCGACATAACCGGCTGTTGTCTTGACTTGTGTGTACATGGCCATTGCCAACCCTTGGCAGCAGGCAGAGAAAACCAGCGACCACTTTCGTCCAACCAAAGGTAGTTGCACAGTCATCAAGGCGAGGGCGGCACCCAAAATACCAGGAAGATAGATGTAGACGTATTGTCGGTAGGTGTCTGTCACGGTCGCTTGCCCAGTGGAGACGTTGTTCTGGAGAAGGATAATTGGCAGATACGCTCCAGCCAGGTTGAAGGACCAGTAATCGCCCATGTAAGCAATAGTCAAAAGTATGAAAATAAAGCATTGCAGCTTGCTGAGGAACAGTCCCTTCAAATGCTTCAGACTGTTAAAGAAATTCGTGAGGACGTTCTTCGTTGTGGCCTGGGGCACAATCGGGCCAGCCTCAGCGTCAATGGCCTGAAACTGTTCGACCGTCAAAGTCGGCGGTGCTGCGCGGTTGAACTTGGCAATCTTGTGCAGGACCTCGATCGCCTCAGCCTCCTTGCCTTTGCTGACCAAGAATTTCGGAGATTCATGGAATCTGAAGATGAAGTATCGAAGGAAGAAGATGAAGAGAGTCATGCACCCGAGGACGATGACCGTGTAGCGCCAACCCATGTTGCTGGAGACCGAACAGCATGCCGCTCCGTTGCTGACGGCATTGCACGCCGGCAAGGTAGTGTCGCAACGCCATTTTGCAGTTGTTCCATAGGCGACGGCGGAAGCGACAACGACACCGACTGGCTGCCACATTGAAAGCAGAAAGACCAGGAAGCGGCGATTTTGCGGAAGAAACTCCAAGGCGATCGTGGCGTCTATCGGGATGTTCCCTCCAAGACCGACAGACGCAAGAAAGTAGATGCCGCAGATTGCACTGTAGTTGTATTTCGGTGCTGCCAGGAGAAGACCAAAAACCGACGTGATCAAACAGGTGAGGTTGAAGGCCCAGCGTCTACCTATAATGTCGACGAGCAAGCCCCAGCCGAATGCGCCGACGGCGAGGCCTGCATTGGCACATGACCAGATATTGCCATAACTTCCGGCTGGCACACCCATTTCCTGATACACAGCAGAGGCGATCAAGCCGACGCCTTGAGCCCAGGCCAAGTCAAGGAAGTAGCCAAAACCGCACAAGAACCAGATACACCATTGATATTTTCCCATACCGAGTTTATCGAGTTCGCTAAGCTGGGTTAGTCGAAATGCACCTGAATGCTGCAGAGGTAGCGACTTACGCATTGATAAGGGCAGCCTTCCTCTCGAAGTTGGTAAGTGGTCGCGCTGCTGTTCCCTTGAGGATGGAGCCGATGGATAGGTCGTTCTCAGAAGCCAGCTCCAGCTCATTGTAGACAGGAATAGTTTGCTTCGGAGCTCGCTTCTCGTCGGTGCTCAGGTGTCTGTCATTGTCCTCTTTGTTGGAAAGGACAGGCCCCTCGACGTCGAAGCGCGAATTGCGCACAGCCTCACTCATTTTCGCTATATGACTCGTTCTCTGACGTGGTCGATTCTTGTCCGAGGCTCGCAATCTACTCAGAGATAAGTCCCGAATAGCTGCATCTCACCAGAACACGGGTGCCGGGTTAAGAAATAGAGCTGTGTGGCGAGATAAGACTTTTCGTCTTTTCTAGCGTCACAGAACCGCATGCACCCAGCATGGGATTCATGATGCGCGATCTGCTCGTTCTCGCCCATTCCCACCAGTGCTACCTCAGATCTGGGCACTAGCTGCCGTCAAGGCAGTGGGGAAGATTGAGGCTAACCATTTGCGGCAGGAAGATATGAGAAGCGCTTGACGACCAACGGCCTTGCGTCAGGCTCATCCTTCGTCCCACGCTCGAAAGTGAATACTGACAGTTGTGAAACCCATTCCATGTCGCCTGAAGCAGACCCGAAAACACCCAGGCGCTGTACTATCACGTATCTTTGCCCTTTTGTTGGGGTAGACTTGTGCTACTTGTTGGCGGGTGCATGACGTCTTTGATATTAGAAAAGCGGGCCTGAGTAGTAGCAACTGGATCCAGAGCAAGAGGAAGCTGATCTAAATCGACGCTAACATCATGGAATTTCGAACGGGCCAAATCTGAACTGGGAGTGACTGGGGCAGATGTGGACAGATTAGAGATCTCAAGATCTCGGGCTCACCGTATTGTGGGTATGAACGAACCTAGGTACTTCTGGAGGATGTGGTTTCCGTGAGAAAAAGTCTGCATGACAGGACCAGTACTCGTATGTGGGCGGTATCTCCCAAACACCTCCGAGCAGACGTGCAAGAAAAATGCTTGAGGTCCTCGTGGATGGAGTTCCAGTCGCGTAGGGACAAATGCCCGTTGCCATACACACAGCGGGGTTTGTTCGCGTATGCTGTTAGCACTGACAGTATGCCTGTGAGCGTTGCTGAGGAGGTTTCAGCCAAGAGACACTGAACAGCCTCGATAGAAGTCGTCGAGTGCTCGACTCGGAGAAGGCTCCGATTATGATGTTGTTGCACTTCACGCTCCTGTCGATTGATGAAGTTCAGACACTCCTGAAGATGCGAGCCGGGACGAAATTACCTACATCACGTGCTCGGTATATTATCACGTGAATTCTTCCACGTTTTCTCCACACACGTGATCCGTTATCGATATCGGGGTTTATTCCGCTTGCACCGAATATTGAATATCGCCCCAGATTTGTTGCCTGCACTTGTTGCCTTCCCAAGTATCGTATATCAGTACGCTTCACTTTGCGTCGTCCCTGCTCACCAGCGCGAGCATGGCGTCAGGCGACGGGCCTGCGCCAAAGCGGCGGAAATTATCTCGAGATATCGATAATGGCCTTCCCCTTCCCTTCTCGACGTACCTGCCTCTTGCTCGGACGAGACTCGCCGTCCTGGAGACCGATCTCGACAAAGCCACTCTGCCTGCAAACGCCGCTCCGCTACAAGTGACAGTAGAGTCTCTCGTAGTGGTCGAAGGACGCCCTGTGGTCTCTTTCTCTCTGGGAAAAGGCAGGATCGTGAAACAAGCGCAGGTCGAACATCCCTCCCCTACAGATGCGCAAGTGTTACTGGTCGCCACACACTTGGACTCGGCCGTGAAATACAAACACCCTGCCGCCCTCCCTTTAGCCTGCGCCTATGCTACCATTCAGACCACGATCAGTGGATTGGAACTAAGAGTCTGGATCCTTTGGGAGGATACTGTATCATTGAGAGACAGAGTAGACCCAAAACTACTCGACATATTGGGTCGCTTTCTACCCTCTCACACCGCCACAACTCTAGAGTTCGAGCCCTGGGAGCCACGTCAATTCTATGATAATGTTCACGTACCCGAAAAGTCTGATGAAAATTCCGCAGATATCACTGTGCCGCGTCTCGAGTCCACTTTGTTCCCTTTTCAAAGACGCGGAGTGCGTTGGCTCTTGTCAAGAGAAGGTGCTGCTCTCAAGTCAACTGGGGAGCTCAGACCATTACCTACAACCCCTGGGGATTTCCTCCCACAAAGCTTCGAGATGACCGAGAATTTCGAGAAGGTTACATGTTTCGTCAACCCTGCGTTGGGTGTGGTCTCCACCAGCTTGCCCTCAGTTCAAAGGGAATTTGCCTCCGTCAAGGGTGGAATTTTGGCGGACGAGATGGGTCTTGGGAAGACACTAGAGATCATATCGCTAATCTGTCTGCACCCCAAACCAGTGCTTTTGAGCGACCCTCCAGGTTTGAGACAGTCCTCTGCTACATTGATCATCACCCCTCCAACCATTCTGGAGCAATGGAAACAAGAGATTCAGGAGCATGCTCCAGCTCTACGAGTCTATCACTACCACGGCGTCAGCAGCTATAAGAAGTCTGGTGACAAACTTATCGAGGAGCTTTTGGGTCAAGACGTGGTTCTGACAACGTACAACGTCATAGCGAAAGAGGTACACTATGTGGCAGAGAAACCTGAACGAAATCTTCGCCGGCGTCAACGTTTCGAACCTCCCAAGAGTCCACTGACTCAGATCTCGTGGTGGAGGGTCTGTCTGGATGAGGCTCAAATGGTCGAAAGCGGCGTTTCTTCTGCTGCTACAGTTGCCCGGCTTATTCCTCGGGTCAATGCTTGGGCAGTCACCGGTACCCCTTTGCGTAAGGGCCACAGAGACTTATTTGGGTTGTTGCTGTTCCTACGTTATGCACCGTGGTCGGCATCCGCTCGATTGTGGGATCATCTCATCAGCTATCACCGTCCTCTTTTCAGAGATATGATTGGTCAAATTGCTATGAGACATAGCAAAGATTTTGTACGGGAAGATTTGCGTCTCCCGCCTCAAAGCCGACACACGATTACGATCCCGTTCACGCCCATCGAAGAGCAGCATTATTCCCAGCTTTTCCAGGAGCTTTGCGAGGATTGCAATTTGGATCGGACAGGCGCTCCACAAAGCGACGACTGGGATCCTGATTCTCCTGTGATCACTGAGAAAATGAGGATGTGGCTTACTCGCCTGCGACAAACTTGTCTCCATCCCGAGGTTGGTGGTCGCAACCGTCGAGCCTTGGGACGGAGCCACAATGGACCTTTGAGGACGGTTGAACAAGTCTTGGATGTGATGATTGATCAGCAATACGGTCAAATTCGTACTGCGCAGCGGAGTCGCTTAATGGCAAAGATAAGGAGAGGTCAGCTCAAAGAAAATGCCAATATTACCAGCGAAGCCCTGCAGATATGGAGGGAGGTTTACGAGGAGTCTTCTGTCGTTGTCGAAGAATGTCGCAAGCAATTTGAAGAAGAACGTAAGACGTCCACCATCATCAAAGTGGCAGAAGATGACGATGACGAATCAAATCCTCGCCTGACAACGATGCGTGCGCGACTACGGTCTGCCCTGGAAATCCAGCATATTGCCATCTTCTTCATGGCTAATGCATATTTCCAGCTGAAATCCCCCGAGGCTGAGGAGAGCGAATCATATCGGGAGTTAGAGAAAGAGGAAACAGCAGCCTATGAAAAAGCAAAATCAATTCGAGGCGAATTGCTCGCCGAAAATCTCCGACATGTCAATAAACTGATCACTAACGTCAGAACGAACCTCTCCAGCGGTTTGACGGCCATTCCCCATCTGCAGGTGCTTGAAGGCTATGGGGGAATCGAAAGTCGCAAGATTTTTGACAAGATTGAGGATTACTGTGAAGCAATGAATATTCAAGCGGAGCAATTCCGTGATTTGCGGACGAAGATGGCCAATTTCTTGAGCCAAGCACTAATCGATGAAGACGAGGGCGTGGAGTTGCAAGGCGACGAGTACGAAAGCTCCACCAAGCACCAAGATGAGATGTACGCATATATGGAAGCGCTGAGAGCACTGTTTGCCGACCGCAGCGAAGCACTCAGTGGACAAGAAAACATGCTCATCAAGCAAGAAACGAAACAATTCCTTCGTGCAGCTAAAGAGGGAGAAGGGCCAGCTCCCGAATTAATGCTGAAGCTACTCGCAGAACGTGAGCAGAAGCGAGTCAAAGTCAGCGAGTTCGGCTGTCTGCGAGGGATAATCGCAGAGGTCAGACAAATGGTCAGCTCCCTGCAATGGCAAGAAGGCAACGGTCATAGTCGAGCAGCCCACGAGTCGGCAATCCTCGAGCGTGTTCTGAAACATATGCAGCAGCTCAACACAGCACAGACTAAAGCCCTCACCAGCCTAGAACAGGAAGTCAACCAATTCCGCGACACCATGAACAGTCGCCTCGATTACTACCGTGCCCTGCAGAAGATCTCCGACACTGTCGCTCCTTACCAGGAAGAAAATGTTGGAAAGCCTTTCCTGGAGCGGCACTACCACGACTTGGAAACCGAAGAGGCCAGACACCAACAGAAAATTGTCTCTTTGTCCGCCAAGTTGCGGTATCTACTCCACATGAAGACTACGGAGACCAAGTCTTCAGCGCCTAGAGTATGCACGATCTGCACCGACCAATTCGAGGTCGGAACCATGACTTCTTGTGGGCATCAATTCTGCAAAGACTGCGTCCTGACATGGTGGGCCCACCACCACAATTGTCCCATCTGCAAGACCTCACTACAACCAAACTCTTTCCACGACATCTCCTACAAGCCAGCCGAAATCGCCGTACAGGCTGAATCACCATCCTCGACTCCTCCCACGACGAACTCTCCTTCGAATTCCGACCGATCGCATGACCAGTCCATCTACTCAGACATCAGCACCACGATGCTCAATCAAATCAAGGACATCGACCTGCGCGGCCCCAGTTTCGGCAGCAAAATCGACTTCCTGTGTCGCCACTTATTGTGGCTCCGCGAGCATGACCCAGGCTGCAAATCCATCATCTTTTCGCAGTATCGCGAGTTCATCGACGTGCTCGCCCGGGCCTTCGATGAGTACAAGATTTCCTCGACGCGGTTCGACGTCAAAAACGGGATCGAAAAATTCAAGGCCGACCCTGCTATCGAGTGTTTCTTGCTACATGCCAAGGCACATTCTGCGGGCTTGAATCTGGTAGTGGCCAGCCACGTGTTTCTGTGTGAGCCGCTCATCAACACGGCGATAGAGTTGCAGGCCATTGCGCGCGTTCACCGGATTGGGCAGTACAGAACCACGACGGTGTGGATGTACCTCATTGCCGACACGGTGGAGGAAAGTATCTACGACATCAGCGTTGCGAGGCGATTGGCGCATTTGAAGAGTAACACGGACACCGCTAATCACGATAAGAGCAAGGGCAAAGGTAAAAAGCCGACGATAAATAATTCACGGTCAGGCACGGCGACGCCAGCCACCACCACCACCAATACGAATGCCGCGTCGTTGCAGGAGAATGCGATCGATGCGGCGAATTCAATGGAACTCCAGGCCGCAGATCTTTCGAGGCTGCTTACTGCGGGGAAGAATGGCGGCGAGGTGGTGGACAAAGAGGACCTGTGGGCCTGTTTGTTCGGCCGGGTCAAGAAGCGAGAGGAGGTCATGGGTAGATTGGCCGATTCACAACCTGCCGGTTCAGAGATGGGCAGATTGTTAAGAGCCGAAGCTGCGCAGCGGAGATCTGATGAGGACGTGCTGTGACTATGACATTGATCCACTGGGTATTCAGTTCCACGCCTCTGATCTTTCCTTTTGGGATGCGTCTCCTGTTGAAGTCCCTCGTTTGAAGCGAATTGAGCAGACAAAGCTGGCCGGTTAGAGTTAGAAATTGACCCCTTGGGGCAATATGAATACTTTTCTTGCACCACCATAGTACAGTTCACAAGCAAGAAGGACCGTCTACGCTACTCGACTTTGTCTGCGAGGGCAGTCGGACTACTACTGTGCAAGACAGCTTTGCCAGAGCCTTGGTCTCGCCGCGTTGATCAGAATCGAACAAAGCATCATGTCAAATCCAAAAGACTTTCATTATGCTATAGAATGGCTCATTATCTTGGACTACTAGTATCGCCCACACCAGCCGCGGCAGCACCTGCGTCACCTTCGTGAATGAGCCATAACAACGCCCAATTGAGAGCCGCAACGCCTGCTATGCCCCACCACACAGCGCCGACACAGTTATTACCCAGTCCAACGCCCAAGAGCCAGCCACCGAGTGTAGGGCCCACAGTACGAGCCCCGGATGAGACGCTTTGTGCGATGCCATGAATCGTGCCCAAGACACTGGGGTGAGGTGTGCAGTTGTTGACAAGGATGGTCGAGCCGGGCAATGCAAAGGTTCGCGAGACGACTTGTAGTGCCAACGCGACCGTCAAAGCGGGCCAGACCAGAAACGCCTTGTTCGGCAGAAGAGCCAAGAATGGAGTAAGCAGGTATGAGGCGATCGAGAATGGGAGGAACAGCTTGTAGCTGGGCAATGTACCCAGCTTGGCATTGAGCGTTGGGTACAATGCTATTTGCAGTGGGAAGCCTATTACTCCGATGATGGCTGTGGCGAGACCGACACGATCTGAGCTAAGGCCCATCCCACCTGTAAATGAAAATGGGAGATGCGCATCCTTGTTGCTTGAGCGGGGAGCCGGGAGAAACAGGAAGACCAGAGCGTTGAAGGCTGAAAAGTGCAGAGCTAGCAGGTGATGAGAGGCGAGCGTCAAGAGGACGTTTTTGGAAAAGATCCGTCGGAATGGCAATTTTGCCTGCTGTGAAGGTTCCTCTTTGGGTCTGCCTGCCTCGGCGTCATTGTCCCCTGGGAAATGCTCGCCTTGCTCTGGCCCTGCCGCTTCTTGTAGTTCGACTTGATTCGAGAGCTCCGTGTATTCGTAGTCGTATGGATCGCTTCGACTCCTGCGGCAGAGGTTGCGAACCAGAAACCTGCCCAGTTTCCGGCCGTAGTCCGGTTTGTTTCTTAGAGCCGGATGGGTTTCATCAAGTCCAAGAAAGAGGCAGACCGCGGAAACAAGGATAAAAAAGGCGCTGACGACGTTAGGAAGCGCGTAGGGAAAGGCATTCATCCATCCAACCCCGTCCTTGCCGCCCATTACTGAACCAGGACCGAAAACATTCGGAAACGAGGCTATGGGGTCTGCAAGAAACCCGCCGAGTATTGGACCTATCACCACGCCTGAACCCGGTGAATTAGTGACGTTGCTCACGATCATGACAGACCTATCGACTGATACTCACCAATGTTGAAGCACATGGGTAACAAGAGGAATGCCCGAGATTGGTACCTAGAGAAGTCGAGTCAGCTTGTCAAGGCATGTTTTGAGGGCGGGCATTATACTTCTTTTCCTTGATGATCTCGCTGATCATAGTTCTCATGACGCCAACGTTACCATTCAGGCAGCCAGCGCAAGCACGAAAGAACAGTGCTTGAGCAAAGGATTTCGAGAAACCCACGCCGAGACAAGATACACAGGTGCCGAACAGACCAACAAGGAGAACTCTTTTCCGGCCTATCCAAGGGGTGTCGGCTGCTCGTCCCCACCAGACAGCAGTGACAAATTGAGCAGCAGCGAAAGAAGCTGTCAACATACCTCCTTGGCTGGTGATGGTGCTATCTGGCAGATTCGGATTGAACGACCGTAGTTGGTAGAACATATATGCCGCCAGAGAGCGTTCCGTTAAGGGCTCCGACAGTCTCGCGATGGTCAGAACAGCCAATTGGCCCTTCCTAGGGAGCGATCTCCACGTCGTCGGTTCTTCTTTCTTGGACTGAAGCAAGGATGCATTTACAGCAGTGGTTGACGCTACGGCGTCTTCTTCCTCATCAATGAAGGAGTGGCGCCGAGTAACTGTAGCATGTCCCGGCGCAAGGCTGGGTCTGGCGGACAATTTGGGCGGTGCTTTTCCTGCATCATATCGCGTGCCACTGGGGAGAAAAGGCTTTTCGCCGCCTTGTCCATCACTGCCGGTGCCTTCTGGTGCCAAAGATATCTCGCAGAGCGGCGCACAGTTTGCTGCTACATTTTGATCCACTCTTTGAAGAGGTGTAGCTGTAGGCGGTGAGGGCATCCGTCAAGGCCGACCTGCGAAGATGTCATGCGGAGTAGATAGATTGGCATATGCAATACTAGCACATAATATGGATGTTACGCAGCAAATGATAGCTCAAGGAAGACGTTGGGAAGCAAGTGATTTGCTATACGAAGTCGTCTAAGATGAATGGCAATGCGAATAAGAGAAAATATGGATTGCGGCCAGGCAGATAAGCAAGAGTCAAGAAGGACAAGATCCTCATCAGTGGTGGCGGCAAGGCGGCCACTTCCCGGAGACGCCTGAATTGACAAGGCTCGATGAAGTCGCGAAATCGGCATGGCGGTGCCGACGAGGCTGCACTATGGTCTTGGCAAGGCTGAAGATCCTTAAGGGAAACACTTGTCTCTTATATTTATGCCATGGTGACCATGCCACTTCCCAACCATATATCATCCATCATCCAAAAAGGACCCAATTACCTCACCTCTCTTCCAATCAGCATAAGGTCTTTTTAACCTCTGACTCTATCACACTAAATCCCACTCCCTTCTTTAGATGGTCTGTCATCCTTATATCGTTCGTATCTGTCTTGCCAATACAGTCCCTCATCTGCATCGAGATCCAGAAGGCGAACAGAAAACTCACTCATACTTTCAAAGGGCCATGATGCAGATGGGTATTTGCTTGCTTCCCTTTCTGCATACGTCCTTGTCGCATCCAGTAGTATTCCGCTATGTTGCTTTGTCGAGGCAGCCTTTCTCTCCGCCGTCCTGGCAATAGCTTCCAAAAGCGTAACCCAGTGCCTGATGACATTGACATCGGTCGTACAGGCATGTTGCCGAAACTCAAGCGTTGGCTTGATAGGTTTCCAAGGTGTTTCATTCTTTGCAAGTGTCCACAAATTGGCGAAGTTGTACATGTATCCACGGTACCGGTGGTTCTCGTCCTTCGGATCGGGTTTCTGTAAAAGTTTGACAAGGTCGAAGATACTGCCACCCTCCTTAAAAATGCTATCTCTGATGACCCGTGGCTGGTTCCGAGCCGTGATGTTATGCAGCACCTGCGTTCGAAGATACTCAGCATTGGACTCGACATTACCGAATCCGGTGTACTGGGCTTCACGATCAAGGACCTTCTTTTCATTTTCCTTCTCCAGCTCTTCCTCGGTAGGGGATGGCGATCTTGGTGGCAAAGGCGCGTCAGGGTCGAAATCGTCGAAATCGTCGAAATCGGACTGTTCGTTGCTCAGGTCCCCTACGTCGGCCTGAGGTGAAGGAGGTTTAGCTCCGCACCGGCTTCTCGGGTGACACTTGGATAAGAGGTCTTCGTGCAGCACAAGGATATATGCTAGATGCTGCAATAACAGAATAGGCATGTCTTCTGGCTTATCGAAGTTGAAGCCGACGTGCACATGCGTACTCGCCCATACCGACTCCATGACGAGCACGTCTTTTCCATTCAGAGCGGCCAGATACTGTTGAATTTGCGCAAAAGCGTCGTCTTTATGCTCGAGCTCAAAAATGGGACTGATCAACTCGACCCCTGTGCTGTCCCAATTCGATATCTGATCCACTTGCAGGCCCTTGCTTGAGAGGCTGTCTAACATTTGCCCTCGCAATGCTCCCACGAGGGTATGGTCATTCGTCAGGGTCCATTCGGTATAGTCGACCAGACCCTTTCGGATCATGGTATCTTCGCCCTCTTTGGGGAATTGTATTTCTGCTTTAGTGGGATCCCTGGGGTATTGCGGATCGAGAGATATCCATCCAATGACATTGCTGTCAAGCTTTGCTGCGCTGAGGCACTTCCTGGCAACAAGAAGAGGTTCCATAACGTACCGCCGTAGCCATCGCCTGTCGCCGGAAACTTTATTGACAAACATGCCGAGGTGTAAGCTTCTGTTACATATGATGTCGTCTGCAGTGACATGCAATGCGAACGACGGGTAACGGTGCCTGACGTCGTAGGCAGGCTGCATGGGATCAATAGCCAGCAGGTTGGCGTGGTCGTTGCTTGTGAATCGCTTGACAATATCGGCATCGATGTTGTGATCCGAGAGCACTGCTTTCAACTGATCTTCCCTGAAGACCAAAACGAGTTCTAGTTCGATGCCAAAATGTGTAGCGCGGACCAAACCCCCTGTTTCGTCGCCACCCGGTTTCGATGCCTTCTGTTTCGACTTCTTTGTGGATGGTACGTCGCTGGAAAGCGGCTCTTCTGCTGCTTCATTGTGGGCTCTCTTGGAGTGCTTGGTTGAAGCTTCGTCGCGATCATCGGCACGAGCAGAGGCAGCCATGGTGCTGCCAGGAAGTAGGTTAAGGGCGTGCAGGACATCTCGATTGAAGGGGGTCTTGCAAGCTTTAGTCTCGACTTGGTCGTGGGCGGATGGGAATACCACTATTGCCGTGATTCGATCGGAAGGACAAGCCCAATGGCATTGAGATGTCGGAATCGAAGTGCGGTCTTCCCAGTGTCTGTCCAGGGCAGTGACAGTCAAATGGAGTTGCACACCGTGACAGTACCCAGTCTCGGCAATGCGCAGTATATGCATATATGCTACCCTGATCTTTTGTGCGAAGGGCCGACCGCACGATATAAGCAAGGGTCACATTCTTCCTGGAATGTGGATGAAAACAGATCTCGACTGAGGGAAAAAATTCGCCTCGAGTCTTATTTCGAGTCCTTCAGAGGTACAGGTGGGTCCGTGAGGACCTGGAGTGGTTTCTGAGTCACAATGTATCTCGCATTCCAGTCGGTAATCAAGGTCGCCCAAAACGAAAGCGAACTTTTTCAACATTGCAGGGCCTTGCCTCTTCGCATCTTTTTGAGGTCGGTCCCAGGGACGCTTGGTGATGCTTATTGTGTTCGGACGACCGGATATGAGGTGGCTTTCTTTGTTTCCGGACTTGATCTCCTCTCCATGACCGAAGACGTGATGCTGGCAATGAAAATACTTGTCAATGGACTCGGGAGTAGCAGCATGGCCAGTCTTAAGAAACTGTAATTAGTGCACAAGCTTCGAGGAGGCTTGATTATATATATGTGTAGGAGGGTGGCAGCTCTATTCGAGCCGATTTGACGAGGTCGGACTGCCGGGATACCAGGCCATGGCTTCGCTGACATGTCCTGTCCCTAAGGTTGCCGGTCCAAGTTCAAGGAAGCCAGCTCTCTTGTACATGGGCCTACCTTTGACACTGGCGAATAAAACAACAGGGAGGTTGTCCGTGGATGCAATACGTTTTACGTACTCGACCAAGGCCGACCCAATGCCGCGTCGATGGGAGGCTGGGGCAACCGACAGATGGTCGACCTCCCAGTACTCCTTGATCTCAGCAAGCGGACCTCTAGTCCCACTTGCGGTGCTTCTCCAGTACTCAAGCCACTTCGCTTGCGAGATTGACCTGTCGGAGTTGGTATACCAGATGAAGAGTTCTTCTAGGCGAAGAAGTCGAACCTCAAATGCTATGAAGGTCAATCGGTTGCTAGCATTTCTCAAGACAGCGGAAACCTACCCTTCCAAGAAAACAATCGCCGAGTATTCTGTTCCTTGTGCATACTCGAGCCTGCGGAGAGGTAGCCTACTACCTTTTCAATCCCGTTCCATTCCGCATCGTCCTCATCGGTCACAGCGACTAGTGTAGTGTGGTCATCGTAGTACCTTTTCTTCACACGACGGAGAACACCCTGACGCAGACATTCTGGATGGGTATGGCGATAAGGGGCTAAATACACAGTCAAGTCATCGTCAAACATGGCGTCCCTTGCAATGGTAGCGCAATCAGGAAGGTCTTGGGGATTAGCTGGCCTGATATGCATTTTGTGGAGGCTGTGGACGTTTGATGTTAGCAAATGGAAGATTGCTCTACCTTGAAAGCGAAGCCTGTCGTGCGACAAGGCCCTGGATTAACACCTAGGTAGGTTGAGGGTGTGAGTCAGAAGGTACACCTCGCTCAGCCGGTTTTCATCAGAAGCACTTGGCATCAAACAGGACCTAAGAGGTAGTGCTTGAGCGGGAAGAAGTGAAATGGCACGTTACATTCCTAGCCGCTGCAAAAGTAGAGGACGTCAAACGATGATTGTCCGAATGATCGGTTGAGACGGGAGCTCTCCAGATACGAGGTCCATTTTTTGCCCGTGAGTTAACCTCGGAAAAAAGAGCAAGAAGTGTCCCTGTCGCTATATCGCAATGGCAGCTCGGAAGCCGAAGGAGGATCGATCATCAGCTCAAGGGCCGTGATGGGTGATGCTAACTTAGTTAATTAGCCCGTCGCCCGCCGTGCCCACCAAAAACCAAAACCCGTCGCCGAATTTCTCAGCAACAGGCACATCCTCCATCTCAACCCCACCCAATCGCTCTCCTCCCCTGTCGACATTATTTATCGTCCGTCCCCGCCAACAGCCCAAAGCCAGCAGACCTCTCGACTCTCTGCCTGCCATCATGGAGCTAGCAACCATGAGCCGGTGTGTTGCCCGAAGTGCCAGGAAGGTTCCCACTGTCCGATACTACAGCATCGTTCACGATGTTCCTCGAGGGGGTCCTAGCCTGGCTCAGACTCCTCCCCCACCACAGCCTCAAAGCCAGTCCGTCTTTGATCAAGCCGTCAATGCTACAGGTCCCAGAAACAACTGGACCAAGGAGGAGATAACTCAGATACACCAGACTCCTCTCATGGAGCTAGCCTTTGCGGCGGTAGGTCAGTCGACTCCTGTAGAGCATATTGACTAAGACCATCCGCAGGGAACTGTCCATCGCCGATTCCACAAACCCTCCGCTGTCCAACTATGTACCCTCATGAACATCAAGACCGGTGGTTGCACCGAAGACTGCTCCTACTGCGCTCAATCTTCCCGCTACAAGACCAATTTACAAGCGACCAAACTCTCCACCGTCGACTCGGTCATTGAGGCTGCAAAGATCGCCAAGGCCAATGGATCCAACCGTTTCTGCATGGGTGCGGCCTGGCGAGATATGCGTGGACGCACAAGAGGCTTGAAGAATATCGTCGAGATGGTCAAAGGTGTACGAGGTTTGGGCATGGAAGCTTGCGTCACCCTGGGGATGCTGGACAAGCAGCAAGCCAAGGAGTTGAAAGAGGCCGGGTTGACCGCTTACAACCACAATCTCGACACCTCACGAGAACACTATCCTAATGTCATCACTACGCGCAGCTACGATGAACGGTTACAGACCCTGGAGAATGTCCGTGAAGCGGGTATTCACGTCTGCAGTGGTGGGATCCTGGGACTCGGCGAAACTCCTAAGACCGACCACGTCGGACTGATCCATACCCTGGCCACACTACCTGAGCATCCTGAATCGTTCCCAGTCAACAAGCTTGTTCCGATCAAGGGCACGCCTATGTTTGGACAAGAGTCTGTGAAGCTTGAGGATATGGTCCGATGCATAGCGACAGCGCGTCTTGTCATGCCCAAAACGATTATCCGAATTGCAGCCGGAAGAGTAAGCATGCCGGAAAGTGAGCAGATGCTCTGCTTTAGTGCGGGTGCCAATGCCATCTTTACCGGCGAGAAAATGCTTACTACGGAATGCAATGGCTGGGATGAGGATAAAGCTATGTTTGAACGATGGGGTTTGAGTCCAATGCAGACTGAAGCAAGCAAGGTCGTGGAGGAGCCCAAATTTGAGGCTCAAAGCTTTGGTCATCTCCGCGACGCAGGAAAAGCGACCGCGCCACCACAAGTATAGAGTGAAATATAGAGAAACCGTGTACAGGGAAAGTGACATGCTTTCCGATGAATGGCGCGAAATCGGCGCATTCACTCTAAACAATACATCCAGTGCGTTACGATGGTATTCCAGACAGCGAACCAGTAGATCCATACTCATAATATTCTTGCTTCGAGGCTACGGATTCGATATGCCCAGCTCCTTTGCTTTCATCATCGACGCCTCTTAGTAGCTAACATTACTCCTCAACTTCAGTCTCCTTCGTTTCAGGATTGCCTGTCCACCTCTTGACCTCAATCGAGCAAGATAGCCGTGCCGCCGTTTCTGGACCCGCCGTGAAGGATTATATGTATCTGATCGTCTTCGGTACCCAAGGAGTGCTGCCGACGTAGAGAAAGTCCGTGATGACGCTGATAAGTTAGTCGACCTGGATAGCATTGGTACCAAGGGTTGGATAGTATTTCTGCTGAGGAGTGAAGAAGTCGTCGATAGAGATGTAGTGGTATTCGTTCGAAGCGACAGTCCGCTGAAGGCGCGTGTTAATGAGAGTGTCGAGGACTGCGTAATGCTTGCTGAGCCTGTGCTGGGAACTGCTAGTCGTCGAATGGTTGTGAAGGCCCTGATGGTGCGTCAGTTCTGTCGTTTTAGTGAGACAAGGTTGAAGCTCACCTCCGACATGGGACGTGGTGCACTCTGGAAGGCATCGTGTCAAAGATGCATTTGACCACACGACCACATATGCGACACATGCTTGGATTCGGCGAGTGGATGAAGAGAGGCGGCGCAAGAGTGGTGGGATCGTTTCGAGGGCTTGCACAAACGAAGTCGATGCTCTTTGGATAGCCTTCGAGATCTTGCTCAGTTCAACTCGGCAAAAACGAACTGGGGTCGCCGCACCTTCCGAACTCGGCTGATGATCTATATCTCGACTCCCATCTCTTCATGGCTGTCTCGGTAGTCTCGTAGTCTTGCCATCCCCCATATCCGCTGCTTCAGCGATATTGACTTCTGAGAATGGCGTCAATACTACGAATGCTGAGCGACTTTCCTAGTGTACGTGCTATGCTCTGTTTCATGATCTGTCCATACCCGCTAACCTATATCAGCGCCTAGCCGTGTTCCTCGATAGACCTGGATTTCCTTGGAAGAGGCTGATTCTGGGATTCTCGCTGGGTCAATATGTTCTTGAGGGTCTGTTGTCGTTGAGGCAATACAAGGTTTTGCAGAAGAAAAAGCCACCCAAGACACTGGAGGATGAAATTTCGCAGGATGTATTCGATCAAAGTCAAGTACGACACTCTCATTTGCTAAATCAGTGACCCTGCTGACCGTGTCGTTCCATCAGGCCTATGGTCGCGCAAAAGCTAGGTTCGGCTTCGTCTCCGGTCTATACTCCCAGATCCAAAATGTCCTCTTTATCCAATACGACGTCCTACCCAAACTCTGGTCGTTAACAGGGCTCTGGCTTGCTCGCTATGCGCCCGAACGGTTCTGTGGCGAAATCTCTCAATCGGTGCTCTTTTTCTTGACGTTCAGCTTCATCTCCCAGATTCTCTCGCTCCCGATATCATACTACGGCACCTTCGTCTTGGAAGAGAAGTTTGGATTCAATAAGCAGACAGTCAAATTATGGATTACAGATATGCTCAAGAGTCAAGCCTTGATGGTTGCATTGGGGACGCCGCTGCTCAGCGCGTTCTTGAAGATCATCCAGGTCACTGGCACAAGATTCTTCTATTATCTCTGGCTATTTGGGATCGTGGTACAACTATTCGCCATCACAATCTACCCGATCTTCATCCTACCACTGTTCAACAAGCTGTCACCATTGGAACCTGGCGAACTCAAGTCGAGCGTTGAAGCGCTATCATCAAGACTCAACTTTCCCCTCAAGTCTCTGTACGTCATTGATGGAAGCAAGAGAAGCGCACATAGCAATGCATACTTTTTCGGCTTGCCCTGGAAGAAACACATCGTTATTTATGACACTCTGATTGAAAAGAGCGAGCCTCAAGAGGTGGTTGCAGTACTTGGCCATGAGCTTGGACATTGGAGTCTATCGCACACAACCAAATTGTTTGCAATCGCTCAGGTATGGTCACTAATCAGGAAGCGCTTGTTCTGGACTGACCAATATTAGTTCCACATGTTCTACATATTCGCCCTATTCAGCGTCTTTATCGACAACAACTCTCTATACTCGGCTTTCGGCTTTCACAACTCTCATCCAATCATTATCGGCTTCATCTTGTTCTCCGATGCTCTGGCACCAATGGACGCAGTAGTGAAATTGCTGATGAATGTTCTCTCCCGCAAATTCGAATTCGAGGCCGACACATTTGCGTTCAACCTGGGATACCAGAAAGAACTGGCAAGGAGTCTGATCAAGCTCCAGGTCCAAAACCTGAGTACCATGGACGCAGATTGGATGTATGCAAGCTATCATTACAGCCACCCTATCTTGGCGGAAAGATTGGCGGCATTGGGATGGAACACCTCGAAACCGTCGGCAAATGGGAAAGTCTTGGAACTTGATGAGAAGGTTGTGGATGCGGATGTTGTCAAGGCGAAGGACCGAGAGTTGTGATCTCCGAGTCTGTTGAAGTTTGATGCACTCTTAAGCGACTCTTGGAAATTCGGGCCTTACACGATGCCGCCTGTTGGAACTCGATTGCCAGGTGATTGCATCGGCGCTCATGAGAAGAGATGGAAATACCACCAATCTGGTCAGGACAGAAAAGGCCCCTCCGGAGGAACCGTGAGCAGCCGGCCAGAGTCGTGTCCACAGCTAAAACTTCGCTGGGCCTGGGAGCAGTTGATGGAGCGCATGCAGGGTGCTCTGTGAAGGTCCGCGAATGTGATGTATAAAACAAGCCAGGTCTGACATATCAACCCCAGACCTTTGTCCACACCACGGAACCATTCAATCCCTGGTAGCCTCCTTCCTCTTAACGTCTGCATTTTTTGACTTCTCCTCTTTCCTGCGCATCTTCTTCAACCTTTTCCTCTCATCTTTGTCCTTTTTGCTCGTTCGCTCTTCTCCTTCGATCTCGATGTTCACCAAGTCTTGTTCCTCGGCTTCGTTGGCAGGCTGATCCAGATCCGCCCCGGGATGTCTGTCTTCGGCTGTGAGATCGAGGTTTCCTTCAGTTTGCGCCAGGGCGTACGTCTCCTTATCCTGCCAGTCGTCTAAATCTGCGGCGGCTGTGGCTGCGGCTATGGCGGGCCCGTCACTATCGTCCGCGGGCCCAGCTTGGGGGTCAATCACCTCGTAAACTTGGCGGCTCGCTTTCGCATTTTTTCTGCTTGTTGCGTTGTCGGGCCCGCCGTCGTAGGGGCGTTTTGAGGGCCGTGTGCTGGTGGGTTGGTCGAGGTCGCCGGCGGCAGAGGTAGACGACGGGAGCTCAGCTTCGAGGTTCAGGTTGGAGATGATCCGTTTGCCCTCGATGCCCTGCAATATGCGCTTGAGGTGGTGTAGTGTGAGGTTCGGATTCGAGCCTGTCGAGACGGCTTGCGGCCCGCGTTCGGTGAGTGTCGAGTCCGGCCGGTATGAGGCGTCGATCTCGGTTTGTGCGAGGAAGGACGAGAGGAAGATGTGTGCCTGCGCGTGCGTGAGGCGGGAGGTGCTGTGGACGTGTGACGGCGGGAGAGGGTTGAGGCCGGCCATATTTTCTTTTTTTTATATCTTCTTTTCCCTTTGTTGGGCTGCTCCTGGCTCCGTGCGCTGAGAGTCCCCAGCTCGAACCCGGCGACACGAATAGGTACCTAGGTAGGCAGGGTTACGAAGATTGGAGGAAGCACGGAGTACGCAGTTCGTAGTAGGCGGACTCGAATCCGTCCGCGAAAAAAAGTTTCCACACGAACTGGTTCTGAAGACGACAAAGATTAGATTAGATCGCGGCTACTCACATTCGTTGTCTCCGCACTATCCGTTAGCGTGGATTTTCTCCAGCTTTCCATACGAGTAGTATCCGTACTATGTTACCTTAATGCTTATGTAACTCCGTATCATCGTTCCCCACCTCATCGACAAGCCGAGGCTGATGGATGGTATGTAAGTACCTACCTAGGTAGGTAGGTAGGTAGGTGTGCATGTCATCCATATGAGTACCTTTACCGAAGAACCGGTGGTCATACTTATGTAGGCTCCTCCACGACAGCTTCCAAATCTACTCTCAAAAGAGGCTCGACGTCTACAGGTTAATCAGCCTCAGCTCCCAAAGCCCAAAAACAACCTCCCGCATAAATACGCTCTATCAATCCATTCTCATCCTGAATACGGAGTGCTCGGCAGGCAAACGACAATGCCTCTCGCAACAATCCACCTCCTCTCCCTCACGACCTCAACCAGCATCCCATCCTTCCTCGACGCACTCAGCTCCAGCGGCCTCCAACCCCTCGTAGTCTCCAAGGTAATCCGATGGGTCATCACGCCCACGAAAATCGACGTCGACCCTCTCCTCCACCCTCAAAAGCCATGGGATCTTCTCATCATCGCCCCCGGCAACACTGACGCTCTCCCCCAACCGCTCGCCCACAAGGTCGAATGCCACTGGAGCACCGTCGCCGGCATACCCAGCCGCCTGACGCACACCTTCTCGTCGACCAACGCCCAAATCCTCCATCCAGACCCATCATCAGTCCCCAGCCTGACCGGCGCCCTGGACAACCCTCGTCTCGGAGCGAGCAGCCAGACCCTCGAACTCTCATCCGATCTCTCAACTTGGATCAAAGCCTTTAGCCAGACGCCCACCGGTAAGACGCCGCTGTCCATGCTCAACCTGCTCGCCTTTAAACCAGGACTCAAAGAGTCGTACTTGGAATATGGCAAAGCCTTCGCCGAGAGCATCGGCTCCAGACGAGGTGGGAACGCGAAACTTGTAGGCAACATTGTCCCTCAACCGCAACCTCAATCTCGATCAGGCTCAAGCCAGGGCTCAAAAAAGGAGAGAGATTGGGATGAGTTCGCACTGGCTTCGTACCCTTCGATCCTGCATTTCGCGGACATGTTGGCAAGCGAGGACTATCAGGCGGTGAACCTCAAGTATCGTGTCCCCGCGCTGGAGGATACGTTGATCCTTTGCACGAGTGAGATTGAGATTGAGGAGATCATGAAGGGGAAGGGGAAGAGGGCGGCAGGGAGCTCTAAATTATAAGATAAGTAGGCGCCTGGCACAGTGTAATTTCGAGGAGCCAGCCTCAGGAAATACATACACATTCCAACAAGCGAGCCATCCACCACTTCCCAAGGGCTCAATCTAGTCCTCGAAACATTTTATCTCAATGTGCCAACAATCCGCTGACAGTCGCCCCTTGTCTTTTCCGCCTCGAACATTTCTCTCCTGTGGAGGGCCACTTCCACCTTCTCACATACAATATCTGCTCCCCACTTCCGACGCTCCGCGCTGCACTAATCCATCATGTTTGCGTCCCCATCGGCGTCAACTCCCATCACGGATACTTCGACCGTCTTCGAATCCGACTGCTGCGGCTCGTCCCACGGCTGTGTGTCCAACTCCCCTACTTTCCACCCTTCACAGTCTCTCAGAGTAGATCCTTCACACCACGGAGTACTGCAGCAGGATTGAAATTTATACTGTCCAACTGTGCGTCCCTCAGATAACATGGTCTGAAACGTCCTCGCACGAGCCCACCAATAGCGACGCCTCTCGATTGGAAGCTCCATAAGATCGAAAAGCTCCTTCAATGTTCTCCTGGGTGAGTTGAAGGTAGCTGCGTATTTCGACATCTCTGTGACGACCAGACGCTTGGCCCCAACTTTCTGGATCAGATTGGCCGGCAGTTCAACATCTTGTCGTCCTTGGTTTGCTTTCCGCTCTGCTGTTTTGATGATTGCTGTGACGAAGAGGATCCATTCATTGATGTCCTTCTTGTCCAGGGTGCCATGATGCTGTCGAAATTCGACAGTCATCTTTTGAGTCTGATGGCTAAGTGGAACAGCATTGGTGAAATTGACGAAGCAATATCGATCCGATAACATGTCTCCCAACCATCTTTTGCCGTACTTATCAAATCCAATCTCGTCCCTGAAGATTTGTAGGAACGCGTCAATGAGAGAAAAGGTCTTGCAAGAATGGTGAGTTACTCCTGGCTCTCTGCCGTAAGCAGCACGGTTAGATTTGGCGCGCCCATCGCTCTTTGTCCGTTGATAGCCGTGACGCTCTGGATGATGCAGTAGTGTGAAGACATCTTCGAAGCAGATGACAATCCAGGCTAGATGGCGCACAATGTCCAGAGGTAGGGCAACCTGACCATTCTCGGATGGCTCCAGTCCGACATGGACATGAACGCTTGTTGATTTGGGCCCCGCAATGAAATGATATGGTGCTCTTGCAGATGATCTCCTAGTCAAGATGTCTAGGTATTGGTTGACTTCCGCAAGGCTCTCAGACTCGTGGTCGGAGACTTCCAGATCTGGCACTGCAAGAATAGGAGAGATCAATTCAAGCCCTACAAAAGTCCGTTCTCCAAGATCCTGAATCTGATCGTTTGACCATGCTGATATCTGCCGGTCGCTTTTGGGAAATTTGACTGCACATTCTGTTGTCAGCACCCAGTGCTGGAAGAGATCTGAATCGTCTTCAGGAATAAAGGTAGGAGGACTGAGTATCGCGAGATCTGCGCCTCTTCTTCGAAGCACAGTAGCGGCTTGCCCCAACCAATCCTCCTTGTTTACGTATTTGCCGAGCATGTCTCTCTCATCCGACTGATAGTTTTCGATGCGAAGATAGTTGTATTGCGGTTGATTCTCGACTTTAGTCTGATCGATTGCAAAGAGGACTTCAATTTCAACACCAAAGGTAAAGGGAAGCAATCCAAGTATTTGAGTCATGATGTAAACGGCCAGCATCCACCAGCGAATTTGTATGGGACGCTTGTAGAAGGCACAAGCTGTGTCTTGCCTTGGTGTGAGGGAAATGTAAGAGGCATATATGGGAAGGAAATGTGTGAGCCATCCTATTTTCGATGCTTGAACAGTGAACAGTACTTATCAGCCCGCCGCTGAGGCGTTTGCAGCGTACAATTTCCAGGCGGTACACAATCTAGCCTAACTGCTTGAGACTTCCGACTGCATTTCGAGACCATGGATGTCGGTTCTGGGAAGTCAAACAAGGGGACGATCTGAAAGGCAGTAGTTCGTGTTGAGCAACAAACCAGTGTGTAAAGTATCTCAGGAGTGGCAGAAACAGAATCACCCACCGGCATTGTGTAAGGTTGAACCCTGTGTCCATCCTGAATGATTGTCTCAGTCTGGAAGTACGAAGTTGGGAAGCAGATGAATTGAAACCATGCAGACAAAGCACCGTCTGACCTGTAGTTTGGCACGAGCGTATTCATGCAAGGAAATGGCTGACCGCGCGCGCAGCAGGAGAAAAAGTGGTCTGAGAGGCAGTGGCGCCCAAATGAAGGTGACAATGCCGTGTCGTAATGTACATTCTCATTGTATATTGATACATTTCGAGGATCGGGCTGAGACCGGTCAGTCAAGATCTTATTGTGTCAAACTTTGTAGGTCCCACTTACAGTGAGTGTACCTGTACAGAAGGCTCTACCAGTTTTGCAAGGCATGGTACGGTTCTCACCCGCCCAGAAACGCTGACCTATCGCCGTGTCATTTCCCGATCCTGCTAGCAAGGCTGCAGCAACGAGACCAGTCCCTGATCCATGCTGGCATGCCGTGTGCGCCTGCTATCGCAGCCTTGCCTTTCGCCGCGATACTCATTAAAGCATTGTGATTGATGCTGAGACTACACGGGGTCTCCAGTCCCTGTGCCGCTGTCGTATGGGCACCGCCTCCCTTAGACATAACATGTATGTTGCGTTGTTGAGCGGAACCAATCCCATCGCTTCATGCATTTGCGACCATTCCCTTGGCCACCAACTGATCCAGAATGCCCGGCTTCAGCTTCATCTGCTTCTCCACCTCTTGCGAGGACTTGCCCACTTCATCTCGTAACCTCAAGGCCTCTTTAATGTCCTTAGAGCTCAACAGAGTCCTGCCTGCAAAACTGGGCCTTCCTCCACCCTCAAGCTCCGTTTCCCACTGCCTGTTGATCCTCTGTCGTGCCTGCGTAAGTATGACAGCTGGATTGTTCTGCGTCGAAGGAAATATATTCTGCCCCGGCTGCATAGGTTCGCTCGACGTTGGGAATGATTCGTCGGTCCTCGTGCCCGAAGGAGGTTTCACTGGTCCTATTTTTCTCAATGCAGAACCGAACTGTGGATCTCGTCCGTCAAGATCGACATGTTCCGTTTTCTGGTCTACAGGAGGAGCGGTAGCCGGGTTCGGATGGACTTGAGTCGGGGCTGTAGGTTTGGAAGATAGAGGAGGTGCATTTGTTCTCGAGGGAGCATTGGCCGTTTGGTTGGCGGAGTTGGCGATGGAGGAGGTGGAAGGATATTGACGGCGAGCTGCACCGGCAGCAGCTTTGCTTGCGACTTTCGATGAAGAGGAGCCCATCGTAGTATTATTATCTTACTCAAGGTCAAGTCGACAACGACATTGTGTCCCGGATTCGACGATGGTTACTCTGTAATGCAATACCGACCAAGGTATCTCGGTATGCATCTATGACCACATCTTGGGTGAAATCCGCCGAACAAGCACGAGGCTGAGGTCATTGTATGTGGGGTTCGAGGCTGACCAATCAGAATTGCGATCTGAAACATTCATTGAGACCGACAAATGCGTCAGGTTCCCCGGTATGAGCAAAGTATTCTCCCCCTTCAGAGCCACTGAGCAACCCTCAATTCACAGAATACCCCTTGTCTCTTCCATATTGACCCTGCCCGTAGCACCACTTTTCTTGCCTCTCTTGTCAAACTGTCCTCATCATTCCCAGACCCTTCACAAATCCCATCTTCCACCCCGCAGACCGCTTCGCAATGGAGCGCAAGCACAAACCCGCCTCGATCCCGGTCTCCCCCTCCATGGCCCAACCCGTAGTCGATCTCAGCGATAACGTCCTCACAGCCCGTCTCCCCAGTGGCGACTCGGTCACGGTCTACCTCTACGGAGCCACAGTCACATCCTGGAAGACATCCAATGGCCAAGAGCAACTATTTCTCTCCAAAGCCGCGGCCCTCGACGGTTCGAAACCAATCCGCGGCGGCATACCGCTCGTGTTTCCGGTCTTCGGTCCTCCTCCCAAATCCCATGCAACCGGCCAATTACCTCAGCACGGCTTCGCGAGAAACAGCCACTGGGAATTTCTGGGAAAGAGCACAAGCGAGAGTCTAGGGCGCAAGACGGACGACAGTGTCAAGTTGGACTTTGGCCTCAGCAGTTCCATGCTCGACGAGGCTCTTCAAAACAAGTGGCCGTACGACTTTGGCCTAGTGTACAGCGTGACATTGGGCAGAGGCAAGCTGGAGTGTCAGATGCATGTGCAGAACAAGGGCGACGAGCCATTCGAGTTCCAAGTTCTCTTCCATACGTACTTGGCCGTGAAGGTAAGATTTAGCCCAGCCCCTCCCCGGTCACCAACCAATCTGCAGCGCCACGAGTCCTATCCAGCTGAGTTTGAGTTAGCTGAACTGACAAACTGTGTACGAGCTACAGGACATTCACAAAACTGCGGTCAAAGGCCTCCAATCCTCTCCGTACGTCGACAAAGTCCGCTCCGCGCAGACCTTCACGGAAGAAGCCTCGTCTCTTTCCTTCTCCGGTGAGACCGACCGGGTGTACACTCCACCCACGGCCGAAGGCAACACTCTCGTCCCACTCCTCGTGACAGAGGACGGCGCAGAGAGTTTCGTGGTGACCCGCGACGCTCTTCCGGACGTGACGGTGTGGAATGGATGGGAAGACAAGATCAAGGCTATGGGCGACTTCGAACCCAAAGACGGGTGGAAGAGTTATCTGTGCATAGAGCCTGGCACGGTGAGTTCGTGGACGAAACTGGAGGCCGGCGATGCATGGGAGGGTGGCTGTGCGTTTGAGAGCAAACTGTAAGGGAGGATCCGAACAAAACTCAATTGATGAGACGACATAGAACGACACATGAAAAACATTCAACGCGCCTCTCGAGAGGCAGCAAAGTCACGGGTATGCTCAACTGCTCGGTCTATGAGAAGGGAAAGAGTGACCAAACAACAGAGACATATCTCCGGCGGATGTCTAGCAAGCAAAAACCGATAGACACTCAGTCATCCCCAAAGTCAATACAGTCCGATAATGGTTGAGAAGAGAATGTCATACTCGTATTTTCAATGCCTATTTGGTGACGTTCGAGATGGTGAGATACGTATGTGACGCGCTGTTCCATGTCCGAGCCTGAAAGCCATGAGACCGAACCCCCCACAACAAATATACCTGCCGCCTTGGTAGAGGAAAGCTAGCAGCAGGACGTTCGTTAAGGGTACATTCGATGCGCGAAAAAACTTGAAATGGTCTGCCTGCCGCTCGTCCTTGTCGTAGACCAATGCTACCAAGAACACAACTCAAATGCTGAGATCAGGTAGGGGCCGTGCCAACTCCAGCTGTGAATATAATCATCGACCAGCGTCCTCGCTCGCCGTCGTCGACCCTTGAACTCTCCGTTTCGCTTCCACCGCCGCGCGGTACGCCTGCTGCTCATTGTCTACCCGGGTCACAATTGTCAGCGAACACACGACGGAAAGACGATATATGATATAACACAGGAAAAGCCGTGGAGGAAAGGGAGGGAGACCGCAAGAAACAGAAAGAACAGGCTCGAGCTGATCGAAAGCCAAAGTTCAGAGCAACCAAAGTCCCCAAACCAAAGGCAAAAAAAGTGATAGACGTCACGAAATGAAATAATGTAGACATATAGGGTGTAGAGGGGCCGAACTCACATCTCTCCCACAGGAAATAGCTACTGACAATAGCAACCGGCAAGGCGACCATGACCCGCGTCCACCGGCTCGACAGGGCCCGGTATCTAGGGTCCCTTTGGAGTTGGGCGATGGGCAGTTCAGTCGGTTTGGGCGGCGCAGGGGCTTGCTGCGGGACTGGTCGCGGAGGAAGCGTCGAATGCTGACTACTAGCAGTATTTGCCGCAGCAGGACCGGGACCGCCGCGACGCTGTTGTCGTTGCTGTTGCTGCGTGCTGACGCCTCGCGCGGCGAGCGCCGTCAGGGTCGATGGCGGGATCGTGTATTTCGGCCACGTTGACGGCGGGAAGGCAGAGGGCGGGAAATTGTGGCGTGGCATTGTGGACGGTGGTGGTGGTGGTGGAGGAGGAGCAGGAGGAGGAGCGAAATTGGTGGATGTGGAAGGTGAAGATGAGGTGATTATGGTGGATGTTGTGACAGCTTCGGGGCAAGCGGGTGTTGCTTCTTCTGGAAATGCTGAGGATGAGGCTGACGCCGATTGTCGGACGGACGTTGGTTGTTCACTCTGACTCGTTGGAGTGGTTGTGGTTACTGGTTCCTTGTCAATGCCGCTTGAGGATAATATTGCGTTCTCTCGCTCGACCCGGGTTTGATGCTCTGAGGTAGATGCCGAACCACTGCTCGTACTACTAGTGGTTGTAGTGGTTGTAGTCTCTTCTTTCAGCTGCTGCTCCTGTGCCGTCGAGAGGAGTGCAGCTTCGCGATCCTTGACGAATTGGACAATGCTTTGATGCAGCTCGTTTGACTGCTCGCTGAATATTTGGGCTTGCTGCAGTATCACCGAGATCGATTCGCCTGATGAGGAAGTCCGCTCGCGCTCAGAGGTTTGCGGTGCGGCGACTTGCTGTTCTCTCACAGTCTCCGGCGCTGTCTTTTGCGTGGTAGACAAAGCAGATTTCGTAGCCTCGACAGCCAGTTTTCCCACCTTTGATTTTGCGTCTGGAACTTGCACTTTCTCTGCTCGAGAACCTTTCACGTCACTCAGCTCTTCCTCGACTGTGACCGCTGCGGAAGAAGCCTTTGTCGTTTTCCTGCGAGTTGGTTTCTTGGTTTCCTCAATCTCGTGCACCTCCTGCACTGGTTTCGCCTTCTTTGCCGACGACGACGACGACGTTGTTGTTGTTGTTGTTGCTGCCGACGCTCCAGTCGATTTCTTGGCCGCTGCCGACCCCTTGCCTCGCGTTTTCGCGGGCGCCGCGGCGGCCTCCTCTAGAACAACTACATTGTCATCCGGAGCCGCAGCTGCAACCTTTTTCGGTCGACCTCTTTTCTTTGCTGCAACTTCCGACATGGTAGTGTTCTGCGATTTCGACTCTACTAGGCAGTATTTCCGCCAGTTATTGAGTATATTCAAGCAGTAGTAAAGTGCATTAGCACGCGTGTTTTTGGCGTGTACATAGTATAAGCAATCTTAGGTAGAGGGCCAATTTGTGGGGCGACCTATTTGCAGGGTAGTTGGTGACCACGTCTCAGGGGGCTCCAAACCACCCACAAACAATTACTCAAAACACTTACCGTGGCATCTTGACCTGTCTATTTACCAATCACTTGAAATTGCCTTACCTGAGAAAATAAGCTTGCTCCGTACGAATACACAGGACCTTATGTGTCTGGCCTGCGGATGAATACTGACTTCATTCGACTTCGTGTCATAACCTGGGTGCTCATATTCATAACCTGCACCGCATCGCTAAGGTATGAATGCTACTAGTATTACTGCATAAAAGAAACCATGCTTTGCCTCGCTATGCTCACTCCTGTTAAACCATGCCCTCGACTTCCAACCACTCCATCCAATCCACTCCTCTGCTCAAATCCTGCATTTCCCAGTCCAGCTCGTTTTGCAGTGGACCTCAACACAAGCAGTGCTTCATCCTCACAAGCCTAAGTCTTATGGATCAAATACGTATCATCTCAGTCAAGCTTTTTCAACGCCCTCAGACATTGTTGTTCGCAGCCTCTTAATCCGCTTCCTCGACTCATTCTTCTTTTCTTCAATATTGATGATCGTGCCAGGTCCTGGAGACTCTCCCCTCAAGCCTCTTGGGTCGACTCGAAATCTCGAGCTCTTGGGTCGGCTAGGCGACGACATACGACGGAGCTGAGAGTTTGCTTCACCACTCTCTTCGGCAATACTCTTATTATGAGGACTTCCGTGTCCGTGTGCGAGTTCAGCTCTGCCGTTGGTATTGTAGTTGTTGTTGATCTTCCAACCATGTCCATGTAGACCACTCGCGGCCGAAAACCCGTTTGGACGCACCTTAGGTGGCAGAAGCAGGCCGAACCCACCATTCGGCCCATACACGTCTCGGCTTTCGTATACCCCGCCACTGTCGTATGGCGATTTAGGCGCCTGGCGTCCGGCCGAACCAGCCTGTGGATGGTCTTCGAATCCCATGATCAAAGCGTGAATATCTTCGTAAGTCATATTAAAACTCCACGGTATTCCCCTTGCATCAGCTCTTTTCCGAATGTTCGTCAGTGCTTGGTGATCTTCCCGAAGCCGGTCCTCGTAGGTCCTCTTTAGAGGGTTTGACGCCGGCAATGCCGGTGAAATGAATTGACTTGAACCGTCTCGGAGAACGCGTCGTCTTGGTGCCGATGCCGTTGTTTGCGATGTCGAGAAGCTGGGCTCGGCAGAGAGGCTCGGAGAGTTGTTGCTACTTATGATTGAGCTTTCGGTATTGGGCGTAGCAAAGAGTTTCGACAGTCTTTCTGCATCGCTAGCGCGAAGGATGGTGTTGACAGGTGCCGACAATAGTTCGGCTTCTGGTGTAGTGGCCGAGTCAGTCAGATCCACTGGATTTGCCTTCGTTCCGTCCGAGACAGTATTGGGCAACAATGCCCGTGCAAGCTCTTCGGAGTTTGTTCGAGTGGTTTTAAGAGGTTGGGACTTCTTGCATTGGCACCATTGCCATACATAGGTGCGCCAGTCTTGTGCACTCCCAGCCAAGACATCGGCCTCATCGTCATCGTCGTCGTCGGGCATCTGCAAAGCGATTTGTCCGAAAGCAACAATACGAGCTGCTGGTGGGAGACAGAAAAGATCACATGCAGGAGGAATTTGGACGGCCGGAATGGCAGGAGCAGCATCCTTGACAGATGCTCTGTCGTGCTTGACTTTGCGTCTAGGCCTCCTTGATGGCGGAGAACGAGTCTTCTTCGCAGCCAGACTCTGATCCGCTCCACTGACTTCGGACGGTTTTCTGATCTTTAGTATAATTATTTTCGATTTCTTTGGCGGCTCAGCTGTTTCTGACTCTTTGTCATCAACGGCTTCTTCATCAGCGGTGGATGATAGTGATTGGCGCAGTTTTGATGGTATGTTGGCTCCCGAATAAGAGATTCTAGCAGACTTTCGTGGCCTTGCATCTGGTACTTCTGTAGCTGCACGTTTCTGTGCAGTCCAAGCAATCTCCAATACTTTGGCAGTAGGCTTGCGGTCGCGTCGAGACTGTCTTCGTGAAGGTGATTCAATGACACTCGTGTCGGCCTCAGCTGTCCTCTCTGGACTTTCTAATGTTACAGTAGCATCGTTCACACTGGCAGTTGCCGGAGTTTCCGGAACTTCTGGAGCTGGCGGAGTAACGACGTTTGTCTCATTTACTGGTGTGGGCGATGGTGAGGGCTCTTTATGTTGAGACTGCTCTTCCACAGTTGAAGAAGAGCCAATGACAATAGTGTCAGAAAGCGGCGGAGAGATAGATTTGGTATGATGCAACGCTTGAGCTTTGGCTGTCGGTTTTCTGACACGACCAGAAGCTCGTCGATTGCTTTGGTCCGCATTAGATTCATTGTTGTGTGTTGTAGGCTTTGTTCTGGCTTTGCTTGACGACATTGTTTGCGGAGCCGCTGGCTCGCCGTATTCATCCGGGTCGCTGATGGAAGTTGACAAATCCTTGGAATTGTGACTGTCGCTCGCTGAAGTAGTAGGACTTGTGGTTATTGAAATGATTGATGAAGCGGGTACCTTCAGGTGTCGTTCTTCAGTGGTAAGACGCAACGAAGGTGTTGCGGACAGCCGGGCGGATTTTCTGAGGGACATTGCCGTTTGATGACGGCAAACCGTGCAAAATTAGAGAGAGGTGACCAAATCTGTGCTCCAGAGCAGTCAGACTTAATGCACCGTCTCTCGATTCTCCGTCGTAAAGATATTGGCGTTGATCTGTGTCTGTGAACTGAGGTTGCTCTTGCCAGCTCAGCAAGAGAAAGTGGTTTCTGGATTCTTGTCGGCGATGGGATCTTTACCCTTCCGAAAGTGGCCTAGCGTCTTAGCTGGTTGGAACAAAGACATCAACCACTTTTCGCTGGCATTTTCCTCGCCACCTTTGTCATTCATCATACACCTGAAATAATGTCATGGTCTTGTCTCGAGAATCCTGCTACATGATGGTCCTATTCGCTCTCCGCACAGAGGAATTGACCGGATATCTAGCAAATTCTATTGGCTTCCCTCCTCAACCAGTTTCGCAGTTGCCGCACCTCTTGTTCTCAGAGTGGGTACTTTGCTATTGTTGTATTCAGACAGCTCGCGATTGAATAAATCAATAACAACAAGAATGTCAATCAATTGTCCTACCAGGCTCGCACTCACTCTACATTGACAACAAAGTGCGGATTGAAGACTGGGACCTTTATCATCAGTCTTTCCCCATCCATTTCTTAGACGAAGCCGGGCCCGCTGAGTACCAAGCCTAAGGACACACAAATGGCGCTGTCTGACAGGGGAGGGTCGCTGCCACACAAGTCAAGATCTCTGGGACTGTGCCTAAGTACTAGTAGTCCAGATTGAGCAGTAACAGGCTGGAGGATCTAACGACCTCCCTCGACGCAAGGGACGTAGATGGAGTTTTGACAGGTACCGGCCGTTACGGGCTTTGACATTGCTGTATGACCGCCGCCCTCGAGAGTCCAGACCTAGTGTACCGCATGGTCGAATGGAATATACGATGGCCTTCCTGGAGTGTATCGACATATTATATTTTTAGGCCAGGTCTCCCCGTTCTCTAGTCGTTGTCTCTGACAGCTTCAGCAAGTGACGGATTCCATTGCAACTCCTCCCTCCTTCATTGAGGCCGTGGACGAGCAGCCCTCTTACCGACAAGGTGCTGTCTGCTTGAACGAAAGACATTCTGCATACCATGCGTAATTCCCACCGCTGGCCATGTTTTGCCATGCGCCCTACGTCCACTTGTGCCCCCAAAAGATCTTGAAGTTGCAATTGAAATAGACGGCACTTCTCTGCTACTCAAGATCAACAAATCCTCCCTTCCCGCTCAGCTCTTTCCTCAGATCCTCCAATCTTCGTATCTGCTTGCCATCCTCTTCAAAATTCTTGTCATCCAACCACGCCTCAAACCCTTGCTTGACAAGAGGCCACTCTGTATCTATCATAGAGAACCAAGCTGTATCCCTTGACCTGCCCTTATAGATGATATGTTGCCTAAACACCCCTTCAAAAGTGAATCCAAAGCGCAGTGCCGCCCGCTTTGATGGTCCGTTATGGTTGTCACACTTCCACTCGTACCTACGGTAACCCAAGTCCTCGAAAACATGCTTGGCCATGATGTACATGGCCTCTGTCGCAGCCTTTGTGCGTTGCGATGACGGTGAGAACAAGACATTTCCCACCTCGAGGACGCGGTTCTGGGTGTCGATGCGCATGTAACAAGCCCACCCCACGGGCTTTTTGGTTTCGTTGTGTATGATCGCGAAAAAGACCATATTCTCGTACTGGGACTTTGTCGTTACAGCTTGTTGAAAGTCGTCTAGGGACTGATAAGGCTCGTCGCTCATGTACGTCCAGATATAGCCTCGTTCGTCACCTCTGACCTGCGGCCAAAGATCAATGGCATGCTTCCGGTCTAGAGGCTCAAGGGTCACTGTCTTGCCATTCAGGATGACTTTACCAGGGAGCGATGCTGGGGCTGAAGGAGATAATGGTGGCCCGATACTCTGGTCCCATTGTGCTAAGTCTGTCTCAGCATAATAATGACAGATGCAATGGGACACAACTAGTACTTTTCCAGCAAATGAAAGGTTGTGTCATACTGGACGCCATTGTCCGTTTGGTACTAGAAGGTGGTTTTATCATGAACTGAATACGTGACGACCGGGTGTTCAGTCTATACGCCTGATAAGACTGGCAGGCACATAAGTCCTAGGCAGGACCCGCGTCCTGATGAGCCTTGCCTGAAGGTCGACTGCGGCTGTAAAGATTTAATTACCAAGGAGGCGAGGCGGAACCTTCAAGAAGTGGTTGATAGTAAGAAGAGGATTAACAAGTCAAATGTCTTGCAAGAAGAGCATGAGTTGAACGTCAGCTATTGGAGCTACTGTAACGGATGATTATACAGTGTTACAGTACTTAAAGAGCCTGGTTCCGGGCCGGCCCTGTGCCGCCCCCAGCAGTAGCGGCCGCCGCCCAGAGCAGCCGCCTACGTTGTGGTCGCCCGTGAAAGTCGCACACAGGTTTAGGCCAGAAATATCCCCTACCACCTACAGTATGTGTGATACTGCTCACAACACAGTTTCTATACACGTTCCCATATCGAAAATGTCACCTTCACACAGTCTTCAAAGACGCCCAAGCAGGTCCTAGAATGTTCGACCTTCGTGAAACTAGAATCTCCTTGACACAGAGTCATGGTACCAGCGTGGCTTTTGAGTAATTAGCAAATCTAGATATAAAAGTATCGCCCCAGAAGATGTCAAGACGTGATTGCAATGTTCATGCTGTTGTTAACGGTGCGTAGCTCACCGGTATTTGGATAATAACAATATCATTGACTGTGCCGTATTTAGGCACGAGTGCGCTGTAGATATCGGTGTGAAGCGAAAGCGGACCAGTGTCTAAAGTCGGACGACATGCTGGACTAAGTGAAACTATATGACAAGACGCTGGTTTTTGACGGTGGGAAGCTCACCATGTGCCCATGGACATCTGTACATGGTTCATATATCAGTGTCTGAAGTGATCGAGTGCTGTTGTTAACGGTGCTTAAGCATCACCAAGAGCCCGAAGCTCAATCTCCAAAAGAGGGAGTGCTGTTTGTGACGGTGCTTAAGCATCACCGGACAGGATGTCGTATGAGGAGCACCTGGGATCAAAGACCTGTGGCAGGGTCCCCCAAGCCCGTTGTTGAATTTCAAGCCCGACATCGCCGTAATTTCCAAGTCAAGCGGACCGCATGTTGGGATGCGAAGATGCTCAGCATGGACGTACCATTTTGACAGTTCTGGTTCAAGGTGCCGTCTCCTCGTTTTTGAGTCCAGTAATAGTCTCCCTATGCTCCTTCGAGAGCTTCGTATTCTTGACGAAAAGACTTGCCACAATGCCGAGGGCTCCAAGAGCCGTGAACATTATGAACATGTTTCGGATGCTCCAGGCAAAGGCATCTTTAACGGCGAGCTCTTGTGCTCGTGGGAGACTGCGTCCGACATCGACGTTGGCCCCGGCATTCTTCCCTGAAAGTGCTTCCACGGTGGACGATGACAAACCAGCTGCGATCAGGTCATCCTGGCGGAGATCCATGCTTTGTTGGAAAACGATGCCACCGAGAATTACACTCAAAGAAAGAGCCATGCTTCGAATGAAACTTTGCGTTGAAGTGGCGGTGCCAACATTATCTTGGTCCACGCCTTGCTGAATCGCAATCAGAGGAGGCTCAAACAGAAGGCCCGAGCCAATTCCTCCAACAATCTCAAAGCCAATGATCATTCGAATGCTTGTATCGGCATCTAGCATCAGATACAGACCGGTGCCCAAGGTCAACAATACTGGGCCGATCCAGAGCGAGGGTCGATATTGGCCCGTACGGTGGATGAATACACCATTGAGCACGCCAGTGCCCGCGGTAGCAACAATCAAAGGGACCAGGAGGTAGCCGGACTTTAGAGGCGATGCTTCCTTGACGCTCTGGAAGTAAAGTGGCAGGTAATACTCTGCAGCCATGAAGACCTGCACAAAAGGTCAACCACTGTTTTGTAAAGCCAAGGATATAACACTTACCATGCCGTGGAAGAAGGTGACCAGAAGCGTGGCGACGTTCCTGGTCCCGAAGAGCGACAACGGTATGACTGGATATTTGGCTAATCGCTTCTCGCTGTAGATGAACACACCTATCATCAGAGCACCAAAGACAATCAGACAGATGACTTTTGCAGAACCCCACGGATAGACCGATCCACCAAGGTCTAGACCTAGGAGTAGCATAACCGTTACTCCTATGATCGAAACACAGCCAAACCAGTCGACTGCTTTGATACCTTGCATGGCCGGGGTGCGCGGATTGTGGACGTCGAGGAACAAGACAATTAGCACAAAAGCTATTCCGGAGATTGGCAGATTGCACCAAAAGCACCAACGCCAGCTCGCGGATTGAGCAAAGACACCGCCGAGAAGAGGTCCCACCGCTCCACTGAAAGCCCAGATACCTTCGCAAAGGCCGAGCCACAAGCTTCTCTCGCGGACACTGAAAAGATCTGAAATACCGACGTTGACCATGCAAATAAGGCCTCCGCCAGCCGTGCCTTGGAAGGTGCGGCCAATGATAAGCATCTCCATGTCCACCGCAGCAGCACAAATGATGGAGCTGGCAAAGAAGAGGACCAGAGCTGCAAGGAAGATGGGTTTTCGGCCCCATATGTCAGACAACTTGACCCAGATAGGAGCAGCAGCGGCGTTGGCAATGAGAAAGGCGCCTCCAATCCAGATGTAGCCAGCTGCTGAGTGGAGGTCGGCGGTCATTTTCGGCAGAGCAGTTGCAACAATCGTAGCGTCCAGTGCAGCGACGAAGAGAGATAGATACAGCGCGATGAGGATCATGGTGATTCGGAATTTGCTTCGATGTTTGACCTGAGATTCCGGATCAGCCATAGTCCCGGATGCGTGGCCTCGATCAAGTTGGACGGGCACGTCTTTGGGATGGGTCGTAGAGCCAATAACGTCTAGCTCGTAGCCTGGCGGCTGCTGCTTGATGTCCATGGTGTTAAGATGCTGCCTCGGAAAGTGCCCGAGGTAAGGGGAGCTCAAGAGCAACGTGAGACAGGATGGGAAGATACGAAGGAGATGATGATGAAGATGCCGTTAGGGGAGGGGCTGACGGGCGTTATAGAGGTCGAGGCGCTGGAGTCGAAAGGCGGTCTAAGTTAGTCATGACTCGTGCTCAATCTACTAGGTAGCCGCTGCCTTTAGTTGTCGAGGAAGGGCTAGTGAGGCTGAACACGGCTGAGTTGATCGAAAGGATATGCCCGTGAAGTATCAGACACCCAACCTATCTACCCTGCCGGATCTCTCATTTTGTACAGATGAAATTGGGTCATGGATTTTTTTATTGTGGGGAATATCGATCACGTAACTCACTTTTCGTACAACGAGTACGAGGAAAAGGATATCCATGTCATACTACAAGTCAACGCAAGGATCCTCGATGATTGAACAGTGATTATCTGTTCAAGAGTGAAGCATCGGGTCAGTGGTGAAGGCTGCACCAAGTTGAGACACAGATCATCAGATGTACTGGGTGAAACGAATCGCCGTACCCATGACCACGGGTAAAGCGTCAGAGAGTCCAGCTGCAATTAATATTGGAGCTCGTCTTATAGGAAGATCCAGGTGGGATAACTGCGACCTTCCTTTAATGCAAGGAATAACCTTTGACGGCTCCAGGAATAAAGAATAGAAGAGTGTGACAGAATCGTGTTGGAGGAGCGCATTGCATTGCGCGATGCCTCTAGGCACCAAAAAAGGTATCGGCGTGCTCTTGATGCTTGATTGCATGACGGAGTACTTACTTATACTCACTGCCCTCAGAGCTGGTGACGCCCTTTCACCGACTCACTCTGGCCGCTTTGAACCTGCTGACTTTCCTGCCAGTTGGATCCTCGTTGGCCCTGCCTCTACCTGCAGTGACCATTTCGCCGTAGTTGTCTTCTTCTCCGTCCCCCACGAAACCGCCATCTTGAGCATGGATCCGTTTCATGCGGTGTCTTTGATATTCCATCGCGATCTCGCGTTCATGAGCCTCTTCAGGGAAGTCATCTGCATCTGGAGCTTTGGGTGTACTTGGCGACGGGCGCTCAACCAGGTCTGCGGATACAATGCTAGACCGAGACGCTGGTGAGGGTGAGTGTTCTTGCTTCTGTTCCGAAGATTCAGATGGGAGCGTCATCGGGCGCGCAAACATTGGCGTCTGAGGTTGGGACTGACGTGCGACCTTGAAGCGCGATGGTTTATTTGGAGCAGGAGCCTGTACTTCGTCGGCAATAACTGTTCTCTCCACGATGGATTCGACGATCGGCTTAGCTTTCGATTCTCTGGTCTCTTTTTCGGATGGAGGTTGAGTCGGGGGAGCTGCACTGCTGATAGGCTTCGGGGATGCTACGTCAAGTTCTGAAGAGAAAGCCACCTTCTTCTTGCCCGGCTTCTTTTTGCTTGCTGGCTCATTGTCGTTTGGTGGCTTGACAGACGACTTCAAGCTGCTCTTAGTGGACTGCTCATGTCTCGCAAGTGCGGCCTTCCGGGCAGCTTCGGCTGCTGCAGGTCGTGGAGGCTGTTCGAGAACGGCGGCTCCGGCTTCAGCTTCTGCCTCTGGTCCCAGATTCTTCAAGCCGAGCTTTTCCTGCAACTCCTCCATTCTCTTTCGATAGCCCCTAGGTACCGTCAACCGACTCTTGCTCTTGCCAACGTCATCCTCCGACTCATCCTCCTCGAAGTCCTCCTCATATTCCATTTCAGAGTCGAGTTCGAAGACGTCATCCTGCTCGTCATAGGAGACTTCTGAGCCTTCTTCTCCTAGATCGAGTTCTGCTACAATGGCGCCCACTTCATCTATACCTCTGGAATACTCAAACATTTCTCGGCGTAGTTGCGCTTCTTCTTCGGTGTCGTTGGGATTGGTGGGTATATAGGGAGACTCGTTTGATGCGATCGATTTGGGGACTTCCCGGGTGTTTAATGGCGAGGAGGCGGGTTGGCGTACTTCATCGGCCTCATCATCGCTGAGAGAAGAGACCTTGGTAATTGTGCCTTTCTTCTCTTCTAGATCGGTGACGCCTGCTTGCTTCAGTACATCGATTAGTTGAGGTGCATTTGAACCAGGCGTCTCGACTTTGCTGGATAGCACTTTCCCTGCCTCGTCCAATTCCTCGGTGATATCAGCCAACGGTAGACCGGCATCATCTCGATGATCAGGCTCTTCGGCAAGAAGTAATGCATTCCACCTCTTCTCAGCGTCCGAAAGCTGTTTTCGAACTGTCTGTACATTTCGCTCCACGTACTCCACGCGCTTCGACAGCAGGTCAACGAGCTGGGTAGGCCGACATGAATGGCCATTCTTGTCTCTGAGGATTGTCTTAAGCTCGTTTTCATCTACCAGTTCAGGCTTCGCACTTCGCGCAGCCTCTAAGCATTCCTCGGCTGACGAGCCCTCTGGTAGTCCGAAGAATTCTTCCTTTAAGCTCTCGTAGTCTATCTCGAGGGTCTGCCAGTGCCTGAGCGATTTGCGAAGTTTGGTGATGTTTGCCTCAAGCTCGGTTCGTTGCCGCTCAATACGAGCGAGCGCAGACTCGTCCATTGCACGGGTCAAAAGATCTAGGCGATCGACCTCACCACTGTACGGATACTTCTAGCAATGTGATTGAATTGCGGAAGTCATAGGAATCTAGAAGGAGCCTGATGGCTTTTTCACTCACGACAGGAACAAAACGCCACCGGAAAAAACCCCTTTGTCATTTGAAATGAAGCCAGACCTGACCGTCACCGGCTCTGGACTTCACTCTTCCTCCACAAGAATGGTTTCTCTGTAAATTCACCTCAATTGCATGCTTCGCATCTGCGAGGTTGCTATGACGCAGACAGGATTTACAGTGTACGATTCGGCGGCTGAAACGTAGCCATTTGCTGCAGCACATCAGACTCTTTTCCCTCTTGATGACGGACGGCCATCATGGATGACGAAGACTCCGTCGGTAAGTCGAAACGACGAATACTATTCGAGACTGCAAGTATTCACATCAGTGTCACTAGGAGCAAACAAATGCCCCGTTTGTGGCAGTGATCCACGTACACACCCGGGACTTCGTTTCAAAATCAACACCAAATGCTATCATCGGATATGTGAAGGTTGTGTAGACCGAAATTTCTCTAGCGGCAAAGCAGAGTGTCCAGTTGCAGGGTGCCACGTCAATCTTTGGAAGCGAGAATGGCGAACACAGACTTTCGAAGATCTCAAAATCGAGCGTGAGGTCGAAATTCGGAAAAGAGTGGGCAAGACGTAGGTTGATTTCCTTCTCAAAACACCCAGTCTTGTTCGACTCACATTCAGACAGACTCGACCGTCGGGAAGAGGAATTCGAAACGAAACGAGACTACGATGATTATCTTGAATTGAAAGAAGAGCTCATCATGAACTTGGTCTTCAACACAGATGTTCAAGCCACGAGACGCAAGCTGAGAGACTATGCAGTGGCAAATGGTATCAAGACCGATACAAACGACTCCACCAGCGAACCGACCGCAAAGCCGGTCAAGTGGAAAGAGGTGGCTGCAGATGCCGCAGACCCAAGCGGTCTCATCAAAGGCTTGAAGAAGATTGTCGTTCCGAAGGCCAAAGCACCCTACGACCCCTTCATGGGGATGGCACGGACGAGAGACTATTACGAAGTCAAAGAGAGCTATGTTGCTCGTGCTAGGGGCAAACCAGCAGATGCTATGTCTGCGGCAGGTTATGACTTTCATCAGTATGTGGATGAGTGTCTTCTACGGGCCTTTGCTGGTTTTGGCGTATTCATAGAGGACGAGATGGGTGCGAAAGGCGCCCCAGTATCAGTGTAACATTGGATTTTCCGCAGCTGCAGGGTTCTAAGGCCAATTCGGCTATACAGAGTTGCCGTACTTTATCAACGATCCAAGGCCAGCCTGTTTGGTAATACCTCAATGACACAATTTGGTGAAAGGCGACAGTGAAGCCCAGGAACCGAAATTATGTAAGCAGCCGCCGCCAAGATTTTGTTCGATTCCCAAAGTTTCGCCCACAGCAGAAGCGACTGGCCGCCGCAGCGCAGGCGCAAAGAGCAACGAGAACAACTTCGACAATCGTCCGTAATCTTTGACCACAATACCGCAGCAATGCCGGGCCCGTCAAATACCCTTCTCATCGAAGGCTCGTTCTCTGAACTTGCCGAAGAATTGGCTCACTATCTCGACACCCTCGCCAAATCCGAAGAAGGCGCTGGCGTCTCAGCAGACGTTGCACAATTTCTAGACAACATTCGAGAGTCGGAACAGTCTGAAGAGCCAGTGGACGAGTCGTCAGTGCAACAACAGAAAGATGAAGTGTTAAAGAAGATCGTAACCAAGGCCTCCGTCCTCAACTCTGCACCCGAAAGAGGTACGACTCTCTGTCTTGAGGAAAAGTCAATTCGCACAGCGTAACACTAACATCTTTACAGAACTCACAGCAGCATACAACCTCCTCATAAGCCTCTCACTCCAGTCTCAGATTTCTGAGCAATTCTTTGCACGGATATGCCAGTATCTGTCCGATCAACCGATTACTTCGTCTCCTACATACGGCTCCTCTCTTGCCCTTCAGACCCTATCGACTATCTTCAACGTCCTACCTTCGGCCAGCGAAGCAAGGTACCATGTCTTCCTAGCCATCCTCAAAGTCATCAAGGCTGCCGCCTCTGCGCAAGTCTTTGAGGCATTAATACCACAACTGGAAACCAACATCCCCAGCTGGTTGTCCGCATGGCAACTGGACGACGAGGATGCGCGCACATTGTACATGACAGTTGCAGACGTGGCCTCGGCGACCGGGCATCAGGACCTGCACTACAAATACCTTCTCGACGCGCTTGAGACAATCTCGCCAGTCTCGTCCTCCGAGCCCGAGGCTCAAGATCTCGCGAAACGTACACTTCGCACAGCCCTTACCAACCCGAGTGTGACGGACTTCACACCACTGACTGCCAACGATGCTATCCAAGCCCTCCGCAAATCCGACAGCAACCTCTTTGACCTCCTCGAGATCTTCTCTTCGGACGACTACTCTTCATACACAGACTTCCTCGAGACGAATGACCTCTCCTCCCTGGGCATACCCGAAGGAAAAGTCGAAGTGCTGAGCAACAAGATTCGACTTCTCACATTAGCCAGCATCGCCGCATCCTCGACAACCCGATCAATACCATATTCTACTATCGCTTCGGCCTTACAAATCCCCGGCGAGGATGTAGAGATGTGGGTAATTGACGCCATCCGCACTGGGCTTGTTGAGGGCAAACTCAGCCAGCTCAAGCAAGAATTCCTCGTTCAGCGCGCTACGTACCGCGTCTTCGGTGAGAAACAATGGGCTGAAATTCAAGGACGGTTGATGGTCTGGCGCCGCAGCCTCGAAACTGTGCTGAACGTGGTCAAAACCGAGAGGGAGCGATTTGCCCGCGAAGGACCTGGTGGTGGAGAAAGCGGTATGAACGGATTCCCAGATGGCGAGTCGATGCAGAACCGTGGAGATAGACAGCGACGACAGGGTGGTGGCGGCCGCGGCGGAAGGGGCGGTCACCACCGCGAGCAGCAAGGACCGAGAGAGGTCGACGCTGTTGGAGGTGGAGACTAGTACTCTCGTCCTTGTGCCTTGAGTTGGTTTGAGTTGGAGCTTATGAACGCTGTATGTGCCGAGGTGAGGACTACGAGCAGGTCGATGAGGGAATGAACGTCGGAGATGCCCACAGCACAAAGAAGTGCACGAGCAAGCTGGTTGAGGGTCGCATTACTTTGCACGGCCCTGGTATCATTATGGCACGGGTTATACCTCGGTCGTCGATTACAGTGGCATTGCTACCAGATAGCGACTCTAGTTTGTGACAGGTGATGAATATGACCGTAAGAAAACGTATCCATGGAAATCTGTGGACAGAAAAGCATAGAATATCATTGCGATTACCGCCGCAAGCAACAGAGGCTCTTACCTACCCTCCCTGTACTCAAACAGCTAGCCCATAGTTGAACCATAAATCCCTCTGTATACAAAATCGAACCCAGCCGTTGCGTCACTCAGGTCTGCATCTGCTGCGCAGGCGCCGGGCGCGGACTACTCTGCGGGGCCGACCCACTGCCATTGACGTTGACATTGATGTTGCTCTGACTGCCACTGCGCTGGTCCCTTGGCGTCGCGCTGCGACTCATTTGTCCCTGATTCGCGTGCTGACTGACGGGCCTGGCCATGGTCATTACAGGAGAGTTGCTCATCCCATTCGGCATTGCGCCCATCACGCCTGGCTGCATTTGTCCCTGCATACCCCTAACTGCATGTTGTTGAGCCTGTTGCATGCGCATCCGCTGGTTGTACTGCTGGATTTGTTCGTTGGTCATCATGCCTTGGTGTCCGAACTGGGCTGCGGCTGCGGCTGCAGCTGCCGCGTTCGAAGCGTGGTTGCCGGCATTAACGGCACCAATGGCAGCGTTGAGTGCGGCTTGGTTGTGAGGCTGTTGGCGCTTTTGGGTCTGCCCGGCTGCGGCTGCGGTGGCTTGTTGCTGATACTGAGTGATCTGCTGGGATGCGAGGCGATTAACCTCGTCATCTGACAGATTAGGGTGATGTTCACGAATCTTATTCGCGATCTGGGTGAGGACGGGGATGTGGCCGCTTGACAGAGCCTGACCGGAAGTAGCGGTGGTAGGGCGAGGCGAGGCAGAGGCATGATTCATGTGGCCAGGAGATCCAACCCCGTTCGCACCTCCCATGGCAGCCATGTAAGCAGCATTATTCATGCCTTTGCCTGCAGCAAGAGCAGCATGAGGATTGTTGGGTGAGGAATGGACACCGTTTTGAGCTTGTTGTGCCTGTCGCATTAACTGCTCTTGCTGAACACGGCTCGCCTCTTGCAGCATACGCATTTGTTGTGGAGAGGTTGCTGCGCCGCGACCAGCCATTTGTGCTTGCATCTGAGCCTGCATTTGGGGCGTGAGGCCCTTTGGTCCAACCATGCCCGGCGGTAATTGCATGTTTGCTTGCATTGCCATCATCGCTGGATGACGGGGATGACCGTTAGGAACCTGAAGGTTTCCATTTGGCATCGCGGGAAGACCGCCAGCCGAAGGAGGGCCGCGCATGCCGGGTGCTCCAGGCGGGCCAGGAGGCATGCCGTTTGGCATGTTGTTGGACTGAGGGTTCTGGCTGCGTTGTTGCTGCGCAGTAGCACGTTGATGAGCGATGAGTTGTTGACGGTAGATTTCTTGTCGTTCTGCCAATTTCGCCTCCCGCTCCTGCTTGAGCTGTGAAAATTCAGCTGGTGTCTTGTACGATGGCTTGGGCACATTTGCGTCGTTGACCTTCCGCATTGCAGCCAGGTCGGCTTGGTGTTGTTGTTTCTGAAGAGCAGTCTCACGCTTCTTAGCCAATTTACGCATAGCGTCCAGCATAGCAAGATGCCGTTGCGTCCTCTTGCGCTCAACCCGAACTGGTTGAGTCGTCCTCTTCCTAGCAGGAATCTGTACATTGGCACCGGCTCTTCGTTGAGCTTCTTCGATCTGGGCAGCCACGTGTCTGCCAGCTGCCTCAATTCTACCAGAATAGGTCTTGAAATAGGCAGTCTTAGACATGTCTGCGGGCAGTCCTTCCAAGCCAATCCATCTTTCGAAGCATTCCCAAGGCGTTCTGCGGTCGGCTCCTGACGTGTAAGAACTTCGAGGTGTAAGGCAGCTGGAGATAAGAGACCAGTTGTAAGAGTAGTCTTTGACGAGTTTCCTGAGTTCGTCGTCTTCAGCATGAGTCCATTGCGACGAACTCCTGGTCTCGAAGAAAGCCTGGGTGGGCATCGGATGCTCTGACGGGGGCCGGAAAGAATGGCCGGGGTGGATTCTATCTCTAATATGTTTGTTTTCTGGCATGAACAGCGCCACATTGGTTGCTTCAGGTGGAAGAGGTGCAGACTTCTTCTTTGGTGACAGCTCAAGCTCATATTCATACCGACTTCGCTTGATGGGAGCCTTATACTCCTTGACTGGTAGTTTCTCCGTCGTCCATCTCGAGACAGGTACAATGTCGGTCTTCCATTTGGCATCCAAGCGCTCTGCCAAGTTGGATTTGGAGAGATCTGGCTCGACAGCTGATGGCTCATAGAGGGGCAACTCGTCGAGAAGTTTGTCCAAGGCAGGCGTATGGTCAACTGCAAAGTTGAAATCAGATGCGCCTAGTGAGAAAAGTGCCGCTGGTGCAATGGTCATCTGAATGTCGCGGGGATCTGCAATGTCGTCGCTCATGTAATCATCGTCATTCGAAGGCACTAACTCCGGAGTTGGCTGCGCAGAAACACTTGGTCCAGCCGCATCTTCCATGTCGACATCCTGTGACTCGTCTGGCTTCGGCAGTATCTTTGGCGGTCGGACCTTGACTTGTAAATGGCATCTTTCTGCAGGAGAACTCGTGACCCATTCTGCACAGGCATCGGCCAAGCCTCTGGCAGCAGCGAGCTTCCACTTTCGTTCTTCCCTGAAGTCGGTCCGCAACCACTTCATATGGTCAAGCATGAAGTCCCAATGAGATGTCGGTCTTGGAGCTTCATCAGCCCGCTTATACTGTCTCAGTGCCCAGCGCTGCTTCTCTTGCAACTGATATAGGCGTTTCAAGATTCGACATTCCGCCGACAACTCATACTCGATAAGATGATCTTTCGTTGATAATGCCTTGTGAGCATTTTGGATGAGGTAAGTCATAGAAGTCTGCCGTGACATCGAATGAGCCTTATTCTCAAATAGCGTATAAAGGTAGTCCCGCTCGCCATGGTTGGTCTTCTGCATCTCGCGATCATCGACACGCTCCACAGAAAGGCTAACCTCGTCGTTGAGCGGCTTCTGTGGCTTGGCGAAGACGACGGTGGATAACCTGCTACGCTCCTTGTCCCGGCGTTCTCCAGCTCGGCCATCTGGGGTCGAGACTGAAAATGAATCGCGATGCGTCATTGATTGCGGAGAATCACCCTGAGGTGTAGTCGCCTTCGGAGTCTCGCCGAGTATCTCTGAGACTGACTTCTTCTGCAGGACGCCAGAAGATATTCGAGTAGCCCGTTTAGCAGGCTCGTGTGTGGACGGTGTTACTGGAAGACCAAGTTTTGGTGCGCCGGCAGCAGTCATTTGTGCTGGACTCTCGACGATGGTACTGCTTGACCGTGGTTTGAAATACGATTCAACCTCCGTCTGAATGTCTATCCGCACGCTCGGCTTCTTGGAAGTGCTCCCCTCATCGGGCACATTCTCTGTCTCAGCCATCTCTACGTCACCACTTCGGGCTTCTGGTTTTGGCGGTTGCTGATCAGCGCTGCCGCCAACGTCGGGCGGCGAACGCTCTGATTCCGCCTGGCCATGGCTGGAGTCCTTTTGCTGCAGATCCAGTCCAGGGCTAGTGCCAGGGGACGCCGCAGTTGGTACGGGTGTGTTCGCCGATTCTGGTCCATTTGTAGATGCTGGTGACGATTGAGGCTCGGCCGCAGAAGGGACTGGCGCAAGAATCGGGGGGCTTCGACTCCGTCGTTGACTGGGAGTAGGAACCGAAAGAGCCCCAGTGTCAGCTACGGGAGCTTCTTCGTTTGTTCCAGCACCACCAGTCCCAGGATCTACGGATTCCTCGCCTTCATCTGGCGGTACCAGACGGGCAGGTGATCTGGGAGATGTGGGCAGGACATCGGCTTTAGACTCTTGTGACCGAGAGCTGTCTTGCACGCTTTCTTGCACTAAGCGTTGGTCTGATCGTCTCGAGCCGTCAAATGCATTGTCTACCACTTGAAGCTCCTCACTAAACCCATTTTCGTTGACCTCCTCGCGCAAAGATGGCTGTCCTGGTGGTTGAGCCCTGCTGGAATCTTTTGGTTGTGATACCACATCGTTCTTTGAAAGGCTTGTGGATTGTGATACGTTTTCGGAGGTCGATACTGAAGGCTCAAGAGGAAGTGAGGCTTTGGGTTGGCGGGACCGGAGGACTATGTGCGTTCGTGGTGGCAGAGTCGCCTCGTCGAACAGTCGCCCGCTGCAGAAGAGTGAGCCAATGCTCGCAAAGCGCCCAGCACAATGCCAGTAAATAAACACGATGATTGCGCCGGGGTAGCGATATGGGAAATGTACCTTTCTAAGTCGTTTGCATCATGGAAAGCCTGGAGCTTTTGTTTGTAGGTCGGGTCGTCGGGGTGCAGAGGATACGCGGTGATGGAAAAGAGTTCAGATAACTTTCGCTTTCTCGACAACAAACATCTTCTATAATTCACCATCGTATATCAGTATGGTCCTTGAGGCCTGGGGAATCAATTGAATCGGTAGAGAAGATTATTACTGACTGTGCTTCAGACTTCTTCGAGCGCAACTGCTCGACGTGCATTTCATCAGTGGCAGCAGTAGTTGGGAATCATCGAATTAATTGCTGAAAATTGGACAGGATGTATATTTTGATGATAAGAGATGAACCGTCGTGTCAGAATGAATTGTTTGGGCGCGTTGTGGTTGATTTGAGGCTGTTCAAGTTGCTAAGTCGGCTAGAGTATGTGTTCAGATTTGCGGGTGATTGTCCGGCGGGAATGGAGTATATCGCAGGCGCAAATGGAGGAGCTTTGGGCGAGGGGAAACATTGACAAAGGGACGACAAAGGGAACAAACTTACCGTGTGTGCCCTACTTGGCTACTTCGCTTTAGGTGCCATCACTACTTGTGCCACAGGGGTCTTTCACAGGGTCTTAGAAAAAATTTATGGGTCGCCAGACGAGTCAACTTCGTTAACCACTTTTTCCAGCGACTCTTTTGCGATCTGCAAGACTTTTTGATTTGCATCCTCTGGTGTACCTGCTCATTGTCCAGCAATACTACTATCCAGTCTTTTCTTGTATGGCCTGAACAACCGATAGTCTGCTAGTCTCAGAGCCATTTCCTCTTCCCTGCTCTGCACTTTTTCTCGAAGTCCACGGCCATGTCGAAAAGAAAACGAGATACAAATTCAAATACCACCAAACCCACGACAAATGGAGATATTGAGACCTCCAAAGTAGCAAAGACCAACGGCCACGTTGACGTCAAGACCACGCATCCCGTTATCCAGATCATAGCAGGCTCCTATGAACGAGTACTGCATGGCATTACGGCATCCGTATCAAATTTATCGTCATCCGACTCATCACCATCTGTGCAATTTACAGATACGTTCCTCTTCAACGCTCACGCTTCGGCGGTACGATGCCTAGCGCTCTCACCGCTCCCAGAGCCTGGCTCGTCTGAGGCTCAAGGCGTGTATCTCGCGACTGGTGGGTCTGACGAGAAGATCAACGTGTACAGCCTTGCAGTGTCACCCGTGTCTGAGAACGACAAAGTGCCATCTATGCCCTCCTTGGGGGGCAACACGATATCAGAGAACCCAGCGAACAGAGAGCTAGGAACCCTTCTTCAGCATTCATCAAATATTACCTCGCTGTACTTTCCTACGAGGTCGAAACTTCTTGCCAGCTCGGAAGACAACACCATCTCCATCACCAGACTACGGGATCTCGAAGTCGTCTCGACGATCAAGGCACCGCGGCCAACAGTGCACGGTCAACCAAGCGGGGACACTGCTCCCCCTGGTGCAACACCAACCGGCATTAACGACTTCGCAGTCCACCCGAGTCTCAAGTTGATGGTCAGCGTGGGTCGCGGCGAGAGATGCATGCGTCTATGGAACCTTGTGACGGGCAAGAAAGCTGGCGTGCTCAATTTCAGCCGAGATATTCTGCAGAGTGTAAAAGAGGGCAAGTACAGCACTGGCGAAGGGCGACGCATACGATGGAATCCGGATGGAAGCGAGTTTGCCGTGTTGTTTGAACGTGGTGCCGTTGTTTTCGGCGAGGACTCGAAACCAAAATGCAAGGTGCTGCCTCAGCCGCTTACGAAACTGCATCAGATGTGCTATCTGCCACTGTCAGACAGTTCGGATAAGGAAGTGACGCTGTTGGCTGTATCGACGGAGGACGGACGGATACTATTCTACGATAGTGGAAAACACTCAGACACGACACATGTCGCCAGCACGAGCGATGCAGTGATCCCCGAGGGCACTCTTCGAGCCTCGGTAGGCGGGAAGTCTGTCGGTATCAGCACTCGCATCAAAGATTTTGAGATTCTCTTCCTGCCTGCTGCATCGGCGGAAAGTCCTGACCTGGCCATAGCCACCGCGAGCAGCGATGGCACAGTTCGGCTGTTCTCCCTAGCGACTACAGATCTATTGCAAGCAGTCCCGAGCGGGAAACCCGCCCAGCTAGGCAAAATGATCGGGTCCTATGGAACAGGCAATAGGATTACCTGCATGAAGGCCTTTGTAATGCAACCACCACATGATAGTGAGGATGACCTACGGGACGATGAGGATGCATTCGAGGGCTTTGATAGTACAACTGATGAGAGTGCCGAGGATAGTGATTAGAAGATAGTGCCAGAGGTAGTATGGAGGCAGTCAAAGTAAGCTCAATACCTCAACCAGAACGTACTAAAATGCGCGATTCATGATCGTCCCCAAAATGAATGCAGGAAGATTCAGCCAACCCATCGTTTGAAGGCCACCACATAGCCGAGGGGACACAAGAACGTCGTGATAACAGACGAGCGACTTGTGCCACCATGCGGTCGACAAGCACACCAAAGTCGCCATGGCCAAAGGCCAGGATCCTTGGGTCGGTATGGAGCTCGCACCGATTCTGTATCCCCTTGTCATGTCCAGTAAGAGCTATGAAGGTGAGATTCCCTTCTCTGCCAGACTCTGGACCAGCTTCTCATACACCTCCTCAACTGTTCCGTCGGCCGGAACTTTCATAACTCTACCTTCTTGAGAGAAATGATCAACCACAGGCATACTTGTGTTTACAAATGTCCTGAATCTCTTGATGATGCTTTCCTCGTTGTCATCCGACCTGCCACTTGTTTTCCCCCGGTTCAATAGCCTTTCCCTCATAAGATCCTCCGGACAGTCAAGGAATACAGTATATTTCGAAGGGCAAACAGTCTCCTCGAAGAAGACCGCCTGGTCCATTTTGCGGGGAAAGCCATCGATCAAGAACTTGCCGGTACCGTTCTTATCTAGCTTAGCTCGCATGGCATTCTCCAGAAGCTTGACCGTAACCTCCATGGGAACGATAAGGCCTTCTTTGATGTAGTCCTTGATCAGCTGGCCGTATTTGCTTCCTTCTTTGTCCTGCTCTTCTCTCAGAAGATCACCTGCCGAAAGGTGTACAAATCCATAGTCGCGCACCAAGTTGGCGGATTGTGTTCCTTTTCCAGCACCTGGACCGCCGAGGATGAAGAGGACCGTAACCTTTTGCGGATCAAAGACTGGAGAAGCATTGCTGGAGGCTAGGGGCGGGTCTGGTTGTGTTACCAGCGGAGTGCCTGAGGTCGGCTCTATCGTGGCCATGACAAACAGCGTCGAGAACCGAGTGTGATTACCGCTCGGTATTGGCTTTCCTTCGGTTGTCGCTCGAGACTGTTGTTTGATGCCCCGCCCTCCGTTTCACAAGGAAGACGTATGTGCCGCTGCTGAGGAGGAAAAGAGCGAGGAAAGGGAAGAATCGTAGCGGAGCAGCCTGTCCGCCTGGCTGGTGTGTCGGTGTCTGGGTAGGTCTTTTTGCGTCCAGTCGAGAGGAATAAAGGCGAGTCGATGATAAGGGTGAACGTAGAAGCGGCAATACTGTATGCCTACCTCGATTGCTCCTTACAAAAGGCGAGCTCATCACTTGCTGTAAGAATGAAAGTATTGGCAGTGGACAATAGCTCCCCTACCAAGAGTAGGTACAGCTTGTGGAATGTATACGAAAAAGTTCGATGACGAAAGCGCTCTCCTGCACAGCGCGTTACACACTTAGCTGGAGCACGCTGGAGCTAAACCTTTAACCAGGGAATTGAGCAACAGAGCATAGAGCAGCCGCTGGTTGGCCTTCCCACGTGACTCTTAGAGGCCTGGCGGGCGCTGGGATCGAACGCGCTTGGCAAGGATCATCAGCGACAGGAGCAAGAGCAGCAAGGAGCGTTTCCCCAAAGTAATCCAATCCGCCTGTTCACTTTCTAAAAGGTGTCTCCAGGAGCTCACAATCAACAATCCATCTTTCACGACCAATTCATTTCCTTCCTCTATTTCGCTGCGTTCTCTCGTGGCTCTCATCAGTCCCTTCGTCGATCCACGCTCTTTTGTGCCTAGGTTCTTTTCCCTCGAACGACCAGCGAGTCAAGTGCATTTGGGATTGCATGAGGCCGCAGGGGGCCGGTCGCAATCATGGCGCTTCCTATCAAGTTTACTGAGGTGGTCCAGGTACGCTCACGCGCTTACTTGTACATATAGAGGCCCGGCTGACTATTTGACGCAGTTGACGAACCTTGATATCGCGGTAAGCGTCCTCTCCTCAAGACCCGCGACGCAGACGCAGTTGGCTGCCTGCGCTGGACTGGGACAACGTACAACATACTGACATCCGCTTCCACCTACAGCCACAGTCCATATCCTTCAACACTTGTGTGAGTAAATACAGGGACCGCTTTAACATGGCCTGCTCTAACCAATCTCGCAGACACTAGAGTCTGATCACTTTGTTTGCGTGCGGCAAAAACTTAATGAACAAGACAAGCCTCAAGTGATAATTGTAAACCTCAAGAACAACAATGAAGTCATTAAACGCGCTATCAGCGCGGATAGTGCTATCATGCATTTCTCCCGCGAGATCCTTGCCCTCAAGGCCCAAGGCAGAACCATCCAAGTTTTCGATCTCGGAGCGAAAGCCAAGTTGAAGTCTACTGTCATGAACGAGGATGTTGTCTTCTGGAAGTGGTATAGCGAACGCAGCTTGGGTCTGGTCACTGACACATCAGTCTATCACTGGGATGTTTTTGACCCTACACAAAATGCTCCGGTCAAGTTGTTCGAGCGCAACGCCAATCTGAATGGTTGCCAGATTATCAATTACCGTGTCAATGACGACGAGCAGTGGATGGTCGTTGTTGGTATTTCCCAAAGAGAAGGACGAGTCGCAGGGACAATGCAGCTCTATTCACGCAACCGTGGCATCTCTCAACACATTGAAGGCCATGCCGCAGCTTTCGGCACCTTCCATGCCGAAGGCAATCCGCTTCCCCACAAACTCTTCACCTTCGCAGTTCGCAACGCTGCTGGCCAAGGCAAACTGCACGTTGTTGAGATCGACCCCAGCGAAGGCAACACGCGCTTCACGAAGAGAGCGGTTGATGTCTACTTCCCCGATGAGGCTGTCAACGACTTCCCTGTTGCCATGCAGGTGTCCAAGAAATACAGCGTCATCTACATGATTACCAAATACGGTTTCATCCATCTCTACGATCTGGAGACGGCTACTTGCATCTTCATGAACCGTATCTCCAGCGAGACCATCTTCGTTACCAGCCCTGACTCCGAGTCAGCCGGTATCGTCGGTATCAATCGGAAAGGTCAGGTCTTGTCTGTCACCGTTGACGAGAATACGATCATCCCCTACCTGCTCCAGAACCCTGCCAATTCGACGCTGGCTGTCAAACTCGCGTCGAGAGGGGGTCTGCCCGGAGCCGACAACTTGTATCAGCAACAATTTGAAACTCTGTTTTCGCAAGGGAACTACGCCGAAGCAGCTCAAATTGCAGCTGATTCTCCGAGAGGCTTCCTGAGAACTCCAGAAACCATCAACCGTTTCAAGAACGTACCTCAGCAGCCAGGACAACTCTCGGTGATCTTGCAATACTTCGGCAAGCTGCTTGACAAAGGGAAGCTCAACAAGTACGAAAGCGTCGAGTTGATCAAGCCTGTTTTAGCCCAGAACCGGAAGAATCTGCTAGACAAGTGGATGAGCGAAGGCAAGCTAGAATCATCGGAAGAACTTGGAGATATCGTTCGGCTGCATGACTTAGAGCTTGCTTTGAAAATCTACCGAGAAGCAAATGTGCCACCCAAGGTTGTGGCAGCATTGGCTGAAACTGGTCGGTTCGAGGAGATCTTGCCATATGCTCGGGAGGTCGGTTATCAGCCAGACTTCACCAGCTTGTTGCAACACATTGTGCGTGCCAATCCGGAGAAAGGGGCGGAATTTGCGAGTCAGCTAGCCAACAATGAAGCTGGCCCACTGGTCGACATTGATAGAGTCGTCGATGTCTTCATGTCTCAAAACATGATCCAACAAGCAACTGCTTTCCTACTGGACGCTCTTAAGGGGAACCGTGAGGAGCAAGGCCACCTTCAAACTCGACTGTTGGAGATGAATCTTCTCAACGCGCCTCAGGTGGCAGACGCCATTCTCGGAAACGAGATGTTCTCATATTACGACAAGACCAGAATTTCTCGTCTTTGTGAACAGGCTGGCCTGCTTCAACGTGCTCTCGAGAACACTGATGACCCGACATCCATCAAGCGCATCATCGTGCAGACCGACAAGCTCAATCCTGAATGGCTCCAACAATACTTCGGCCGCATGGGCGTCGATCAGTCTCTGGAATGCATGGACGAGATGCTGAAGACCAACATTCGTCAAAATCTATCCTCCGTGGTGCAAATCGCTACTAAATACTCGGACTTGCTGGGTCCAAGCCGTCTTATCGCTCTCTTCGAGAAGCATCGCACTGCTGAAGGTCTCTACTACTACCTCGGAAGCATTGTCAACCTCAGCGAAGATGGCGATGTTGTCTTCAAGTACCTCGAGGCCGCCGTCGCGATGCAGCAGTTCCAAGAAGTAGAGAGAATTTGCCGTGAGAACAATCACTACAATCCAGAGAAGGTGAAGAATTTCCTGATCGAAGCACGACTTGCCGAGCAACTTCCATTGATCATTGTTTGCGACCGGCACAATTTCGTGAAGGACTTGATCAACTACCTCTACCGCAACCAACAATACAAATCTATTGAGGTGTACGTTCAACGTGTTAACCCGGGACGGACCCCTGCCGTCGTTGGAGCACTGCTCTCTCTAGATTGTGAGGAGTCCGTGATCAAGAATCTCTTGTCCTCAGTTGACCCCACTGCCGTTCCAATGGACGAGCTTGTCGCGGAAGTTGAGAAGCAAAACCGACTCAAGATCTTGCTACCTTTCCTCGAATCGACATTGGCGCAAGGAAACCAGCAGCCTGCAGTGTACAATGCTTTGGCGAAGATCTACATCGACTCCAATCATAACCCAGAGGCATTTTTAAAGGAGAACGATCTCTACGACACCCTGACAGTCGGAAAATACTGCGAAAAGAGAGATCCCAATTTGGCATACATTGCCTACCGAAAGGGACAGAACGATATTGAGCTCATCAACATCACGAATGAAAACTCGATGTTCCGCGCGCAGGCTCGCTACTTGCTCGAGCGCGCTGATCCCGAAATCTGGGCATTCGTCCTTGGTGAGAACAATGACTCTCGCCGTTCTCTCGTAGACCAAGTCATTGCAACAGCGGTGCCTGAGTCCAACGAGCCTGATAAAGTCTCCGTAGCCGTCAAGGCCTTCTTGGATGCCGATTTGCCAGCTGAACTAATCGAGTTGCTCGAAAAAATTATCCTGGAACCCTCGCCGTTCAGCGATAACAGCAGTCTGCAGAACTTGCTGTTGCTTACCGCTGCGAAGGCTGACAAGTCTCGGCTCATGGACTATATTCACCGCTTGTCCGAATTCAACACCGAAGAGATTGCAAACATGTGCATTCAACAAGGTTTGTATGAGGAAGCTCTCGAGATCTACAAGAAAGTCAACGACCATATCTCTGCCGCTAATGTGCTCGTCGATCATATTGTCAGCATCGATCGCGCTCAGGAATATGCTGAAAATGTCGACCTGCCGGAGGTTTGGAGCAAAGTTGCCAAGGCACAGCTTGATGGCCTCAGAGTGAGCGACGCCATCGAGTCATACATCAAAGCTCAAGACCCAAGCAACTACAACGAGGTCATTGAGACAGCTAGCCACGCTGGCAAAGACGAGGATCTAATCAAGTTCCTCAAGATGGCGCGGAAGACTCAGCGAGAACCAGCGATCGATACTGCTCTTGCTTTCTGCTATGCTAGACTCGACCAATTGCCCGAGCTTGAGGACTTCTTGCGTTCTCCCAATGTGGCTAATATCGAAGCCAGTGGTGACAAGGCTTACGAAGAAGGCTACCATCAAGCCGCCAAGATCTTCTTTACCAATATATCCAATTGGGCGAAACTGGCTACTACACTCGTCCACCTGGGCGAATATCAGAATGCGGTCGACTGTGCTCGCCGTGCTAACAGCGTCAAGGTGTGGAAGCAGGTGAACGAAGCCTGCGTAGCCAAGAAGGAATTCCGCCTTGCTCAAATCTGTGGCCTTAACCTCATCGTGCACGCTGAAGAACTTCAGGATCTTGTCAAGCAGTATGAGCGTGAGGGATACTTCGAGGAGCTGATTTCATTGTTGGAAGCAGGCCTTGGCCTAGAACGAGCTCACATGGGCATGTTCACCGAGCTTGGAATTGCTCTTTCCAAATATCACCCAGATCGGGTGATGGAGCATCTTAAGCTGTTCTGGTCACGCATCAACATCCCCAAGATGATTCGTGCCTGCGAAGAGGCGCATCTCTGGCCCGAACTCATCTTCCTGTACTGCCATTACGACGAATGGGACAATGCTGCATTGGCCATGATGGAGCGTGCCGCCGATGCGTGGGAACACCACTCGTTCAAAGACATCATTGTCAAGGTGGCCAACTTGGAAATCTACTACCGTGCTCTGAACCATTATCTGCAGGAGCAACCGCTGTTGTTGACCGACTTGCTGCAAGCTCTGACGCCTCGCATCGATGTCAACCGAGTGGTCCGAATGTTTGAGAAGTCGGATAACATCCCCATCATCAAACCATTCTTGCTCAACGTCCAAGGTCAGAACAAGCGCGTCGTCAACAACGCGATCCACGATCTGCTCATCGAAGAGGAAGATTACAAAATCTTGAAAGACTCGGTGGAGAACTACGACAACTATGATGCAGTCGAGCTTGCTCAGCGCCTTGAGAAGCACGACCTTGTCTTTTTCCGACAGATTGCCGCGCAGATTTACCGCAAAAACAAGAGATGGGAGAAATCGATTGCTCTGTCCAAGCAAGATAAGTTGTTCCGTGATGCGATCGAGACTGCTGCCATTTCGGGCAAGCCGGAGGTGGTGGAAGATTTGCTGAGATATGTAAGTTTGAGTTTGTCCAAGTTCCCAAGAATCTCCGCTGACTGCTACAGTTCGTCGACATTGGCAGTCGCGAGTGTTATGTCGGTATGCTTTATGCGTGCTATGACCTGATCCCATATCACACTGTGATGGAGATCTCATGGCGACATGGACTGAATGACTTCACGATGCCATTCATGATCAGCTACATGAGCCAACAGGCAGCCACGATTGAGCAACTACGAAAGGACAACGAAGAGCGCAAGGCGAGAGAAGCTAGCCAGCAAAAGACCGAGGACAATACTCCGATCATTGGCAGCCGGTTGATGTTGACCCAGGGCCCAGGTAACATGGCACCGCAGCCTACGGGCTATGCAGCCACCAATGGCATTACACCTCAAGCGACCGGATTCCCTCGGGCATTCTAAAAGGCTGACGCTATGGTAATCCGGGGAAGTGGTCGGGAGTATTCGGGGTTGAGGGGATGTCGGAGCGAAGAGCGGCGCGACAAATAATCGGAAAGGACATATATGTGCGAGTAGAAACATTCTGGCGGGAAAGAATAATGGATGTGGACGACAGACATCGGAGATGCGATTGATCTTCGTGGCATAGCTTTTTTCGGTGTAAGATGTACTAGAGGCTTGAGGCTTGAGGCTCAATAAGTGTGAGCGCTTCTCCGGTGAATGCATGTGGGAGCTTCAAGCAGCCAACCAAAATTATTCTTTGTGGGAGATAAGCGAATGACAACAACGTATCACTGCCAAATGGCAATCATGGCACTGATAAAAGTCGATGGTCGCATGTCCCAGATCTACAAGGATGAGTTCATGGGTGTGAATGGGCTAATCATGGAAAAGATCACGCCCAGCCACAGGCGGGGAGCGTGTATCCGTATTCTTGGACGACTTCACTACTACTCAGATAGCTCGGCCACGCTCTGCCCTTATCTATGGTGCTGTTGAGCTGTGACGTGATGTAGTGACGTTTGTTCTACATTCAGCCACGAAGGAGAAGATAGCAGAGGAAGTAAAGACTTGGTGGGCAGTGAAGGAGGAGTGCAGCCCATCTTTCAGGGAAGCGAGTTCTCTCTCGGCTTGTCTGTCTCTATGAACCAAGAAAAACAAATCAATAAAATTTTTCGAGGACACTGGAATGAAGAACTACTACTACTGAACGGAACTGGAGCTGCGTGAATCGAAAAACCGACCCCACCTGAGACTGGGCTTCTCCATTGTCCCTCGCGTCCCTCTCCCACATCACGGCTCTTTTTACTGTATTCATCGAGAGCATTATCCTGCATTGACTGCTCAACAACTTGCGGGTTGTTAGGCGGAGTCAGTGAATAGTCCCCGGTTACTCCCTGTTGGAAGTGGCTCTATCGACGGATATATAAAACTGAAAGCCTGAAGCCGCCGAAAGAAACCGACCCGACAATAATTGCCCCGAAGATACGAGGATCGAGGATTTCGGTGCATTGAGCCCAGAGTGAGCATTGGCCCGCCGACGTCAAGCTTGGGAGGAAGAGAAGAGCTAGCTGATCCTCTTGTCCCACCTTCAGATTCCCCTCCCTTTCTGCAGCTTATCGACGAGTCAACACCAAGCACCCAGCACCTGGTTTGCCTGTCGGTACCTGGCCTATCCGAACAGAGCTATATCTTTATTGTGACAGCCTCGACTTTTGGTTGCTTTCCTCCTGTCATCCGGCGAGCCTCCCCACGTCGACCTCATTTTCAACGCCATTCCTTTTTCAAAACCCCCCTCCACTTGTCGAGTCAGAGCTTCCATATATTTTTCTATTTGACATACATCCTCTCTTCACTCAGGCTGCTCCCTCCTCTCTGTCTCGAGATCTTGGCCTCAATTCAACGCGCTCATCGAGAGCTTACTGCCTCCAGCTGCCTCTGCCCGCAGCCAGGCCTAGTCCCCCAGCTCCATCATGTCTGCCAACGGTACAGCGACCCCAGACCATGAGGATGGCGGTCACCACGAGCACTCGGTCCACCAGCGACTGAGAGCCAATTCCACCATCATGCAGCTCAAGAAGATCCTTGTCGCCAACCGAGGTGAAATCCCCATTCGAATCTTCCGTACCGCCCACGAGCTCTCCCTCCAAACTGTCGCTGTCTTCAGCTATGAAGATAGACTGGGTATGCACAGACAAAAGGCGGATGAAGCATACATGATCGGAAAGCGAGGACAATATACTCCAGTCGGCGCATATTTGGCCGGTGACGAGATCATCAAGATTGCTTTGGCCCATGGTGTCCAGATGATCCATCCTGGTTATGGTTTCTTGTCTGAGAACGCCGAATTTGCTCGCAAAGTCGAAGAGGCCGGCATCATCTTTGTTGGTCCATCTCACCAGGTCATTGAGTCCCTTGGAGACAAGGTCTCGGCCAGAAGACTAGCTATGAAGTGCGACGTCCCGTGCGTGCCAGGTACCGAGGGCCCCGTCGCCAGGTTTGAGGAAGTTAAAGCCTTCACCGACCAATACGGCTTCCCCATCATCATCAAAGCTGCCTTTGGTGGTGGTGGCCGCGGTATGAGAGTTGTCCGCGACCAGGAGAGCTTGAAGGACTCCTTCGAGCGTGCCACTTCCGAGGCCAAGTCTGCCTTTGGCAATGGCACAGTCTTCGTCGAGCGTTTCCTAGATAAGCCTAAGCACATTGAGGTTCAGTTGTTGGGCGACAACCACGGAAATGTGGTCCATCTGTACGAACGAGACTGCAGTGTCCAACGACGACATCAGAAGGTGGTGGAAATTGCTCCTGCCAAAGACCTGCCAGCCGAAGTCCGAGATGCCATTCTCAACGATGCAGTCAAGCTTGCAAAGTCTGTCAATTATCGCAACGCAGGTACCGCCGAGTTCTTGGTCGATCAACAGAACCGGTACTATTTCATCGAGATCAACCCCAGAATTCAAGTGGAGCACACAATCACCGAAGAGATTACAGGCATCGACGTCGTGGCTGCCCAGATCCAGATTGCCGCAGGTGCTACTCTTGAGCAGTTGGGCCTCACTCAGGATCGCATCTCCACTCGAGGCTTTGCCATTCAGTGTCGTATCACCACTGAAGACCCATCCCACGGTTTCTCTCCAGATACCGGCAAGATCGAAGTCTACCGGTCGGCTGGTGGCAACGGTGTGCGTCTCGACGGTGGTAATGGGTTTGCTGGTGCTATCATCACCCCTCATTATGACTCTATGTTGGTCAAGTGTACCTGCCACGGCTCGACTTACGAGATTGTGAGACGCAAGATGCTCCGAGCTCTGGTCGAGTTCCGCATTCGTGGTGTCAAGACAAATATTCCTTTCTTGGCCTCACTTCTGACCCATCCAGTCTTCATTGAGGGAACCTGCTGGACCACCTTTATCGATGACACTCCAGAGTTGTTCAAGTTGATTGGCAGTCAGAACCGTGCTCAGAAGCTGCTACAATATCTTGGAGACCTTGCCGTGAACGGTAGCAGCATCAAAGGCCAAATCGGCGAATCCAAGTTCAAGGGCGACATCATCATGCCAACAATCCTCGACGATAGCGGCAAAGAAATCGATGTCACGACCCCTTGCACCAAGGGATGGAAGAACATCCTTGACAAGGAAGGACCTGCTGCTTTCGCCAAAGCCATTCGAGCAAACAAAGGTTGTCTCATCATGGACACCACCTGGAGAGACGCCCATCAATCTCTTCTGGCCACTCGGGTCCGAACCGTCGACTTGTGCAACATCGCCAAAGAGACCAGCTACGCTCTCAGTAACGCATTCGCTTTGGAATGCTGGGGCGGAGCTACCTTCGACGTCGCCATGCGTTTCCTGTACGAGGACCCATGGGACAGACTTCGAAAGATGAGAAAGCTGGTTCCCAACATTCCCTTCCAAATGTTGCTGCGTGGCGCCAATGGTGTCGCCTACAAATCACTCCCCGACAATGCTATCTACCACTTCTGTAAACAAGCCAAGAAGAACGGCATGGATATCTTCCGAGTTTTCGACGCCCTCAACGACGTTGATCAACTCGAAGTTGGTATCAGGGCTGTGCAAGAAGCAGGGGGAGTCGTCGAAGCGACCGTGTGCTATTCAGGAGACAGAACGTATAATCTTCCCTTTACCGTGTGTCGATACTAACTGCTGTATAGTGTTGGTATGTGTTTAACCATCTCCCTCTCGTTCTTTCTTTTCACCCTTTGTCTACTTCCATCTTTTGGACCGGAACCTCCTTGCTGGTGCACTGTGGACTGTTACCGGATGCATCTTCAATGGGGCACATGTTGTATCTCAGCCGGACTCCTGGATCATTCATCATTCTCTCGGACTTGGACCATCTGAAATCGTGTACTTGTTTTATCTCAGCCGGACTCCTGGATCATTCATCATTCTCTCGGACTTGGACCAGCTTGGATTGGGTACTTATTGTATCTCGAACGGACCCCAAATCATTCATCAACTTTCTCGGACTTGGACCTGAATTTGGACTGTCGACGATCAGGATGCATCTTCGATCGGTTACTTATTGCAATAAGATGTATCCTGTACTCATTGCAACAAGACGCTTTCCATACTCATCGCAACAGATACATCCTATACTTCTTACAACAAGACGTATCGGAGCGCGTTACATCTCCAGAATCATCCATCGATTCCCTCGGACTTGGACTTGGACTTGGACTTGGACTTGGACTTGGACTTGGACTTGGACTTGGACTTGGACTTGGACTTGGACTTGGACTTGGACTTGGACTTGGACTCAAAGCTATTGACTGTCAGCGGATTCATCTTGGATCGGGTACTCAATGCAACAGAATGCATGGAGTACTCAGTGAAACAAGATACATCCGGTCTTCATTGCATTTCGAACGGACTCCTAGATCATTCATCATTCATTATTCTCGCGAACTTGGACTGTCGAATGTTACCGGATACATCCTAAATCAGGTTGATTAATTTGTCTTCTACGAACGCCCGGGTCAACTATCAAGTCTCTCGGACTTGGACTGTTGAATGTTACCGGATAGATCTCATCAAAATCGACGTCGCCGGGTTTTGTTGAGTGACTCGATACACCCTCCAGAAGGAGCTTCTTGGACTGGCACCTGTTACTTGATGCATCTCTCATCACCACGGGTCATTCTAGACGTTACCGGACTCCTCAAACTGTCACCTGTTACTCGATGCATCTCTATCGCCGCTGGGCATTCCTGGACGTTACTGGACGTTACTGGACTTTCTGAACTCTTTGCTTCTTCTTTTTACCATTCTATTTGATCCTTATGTCGCTTTTTTGTCTTTCTATGAAGCACTTCTTTGCTCACTGACTTTATCAGAACCCAAAGAAGAAGTACAATTTGCAGTACTACCTCGACCTCATCGAAAAGATCATGCAGCTACACCCACACCTGCTCGGGATCAAGGATATGGTTTTTCACCCTTTTTCCTGCGTATGAGCAGTACACTAATCTTCTATCAGGCTGGAGTGCTCAAACCCAAGGCAGCCCGAATCCTGGTCGGTGCTATTCGCGAAAAGTACCCGGACCTTCCAATTCATGTGCATACTCATGGTAAGAACTTGGTGCAGACTTTTCAAGACAGCATACTGACAGATTGCAGACTCTGCTGGAACTGGTGTCGCTTCGATGGTTGCCTGTGCTGAAGCTGGCGCTGATGCAGTGGATGCTGCTTCCGACAGCATGTCAGGCATGACCTCACAACCAAGCATTGGCGCTATTCTTGCTTCACTGGAAGGCACTCAGTACGACCCCGGCTTGAACGGCCACAATGTTCGTGCCCTCGATCAGTATTGGTCGCAGTTGAGACTCCTTTACTCCCCCTTCGAGGCGGGGTTGACCGGACCAGACCCTGGTATGTATCTTCCTTTCGGATCACTACAGTTGGCTGACAATTCTCTCCATCAAGAGGTTTACTCCCACGAAATTCCAGGAGGACAATTGACCAACCTGATCTTCCAAGCATCTCAACTTGGTCTGGGTGCACAATGGCTCGAGACCAAGAAAGCCTACGAACAAGCCAACGCTCTTTTGGGCGACATTGTCAAGGTCACTCCCACATCCAAAGTCGTGGGTGATTTGGCGCAATTCATGGTCTCCAACAAACTCAGCTACGACGATGTCATTGCCAAAGCCAAAGATCTGGACTTCCCAGAATCGGTCTTGGAATTTTTCGAAGGCTTCATGGGTCAACCATACGGCGGCTTCCCAGAACCACTCCGAAGTGACGCTCTACGAGGCCGTAGAAAGATGGACAAGAGACCAGGACTGTATCTTGATCCTGTTGACTTTGCTAAGGTGAAGCAAACCCTGAAGGAGAAATACAACACCTCCTCAGAGACGGATATTGCCAGTTACGTCATGTACCCCAAGGTGTTTGAGGACTACCGCAAATTCGTCGACAAGTATGGTGACATGTCAGTCTTGCCCACGAAATACTTCTTGAACAAGCCTGAGATTGGGGAGGAATTCCACGTTGAGCTGGAGAAGGGCAAGGTTTTGATCTTGAAGCTGCTGGCCATTGGACCTCTCTCGGAAGCCACTGGACAACGTGAAGTGTTCTACGAAGTCAACGGTGAAGTCCGACAAGTGACCATTGATGACACCAAGGCCGCCGTGGAGAACACCAGTCGACCCAAAGCTGATCCCAGTGACAGCAGCCAAGTTGGTGCACCGATGGCTGGCGTTGTGGTTGAAGTCCGAGCCAAGGAAGGACATGATGTGAAGAAGGGCGATCCAATCGCTGTGCTAAGTGCGATGAAGATGGAAATGGTTATTAGTGCACCACATTCTGGTAAAGTCGGAGATATACTTGTCAAAGAGGGTGACTCTGTTGCAGGTTCTGATTTGGTTTGCAAGATCCAGAAGGCATGAGCACGGAAGGGATAAATGCCGAATCATGGGATGGGGCTCATAATCAGAGGTCTGTAGGGACCGGTCCTCTACGGATAGGGTCGGTAGTTTTATTATCTTGAGGTCAATGGGTATCGATCTTCCACTGAGCAGAATCGTCCTTTGCTATCAACATGTACTTCGAGCGTTATATTAAGCTTCTCGCTTGTCCAAGGAACCGTTGTCACCCATCGCAACCTCTCAGAATGAACGCACTATTACTCGTATGTACTGTACCTTCCTGGCGACCCCGATTCACGTGAATAATCGTCTCCTGCACAGATCGAGATCGCTTTTGGAACTTTGACATGTGCCCGCGTGTGAAATCGCCGGCAATTCAACTCCACCGAGAGACGATGCCCTTTTGAGGCTTCCTTTTACTCGTGTCCAACCAGCATGATTCCACTGGCATCCGAGATGGACTGTCAAATGAGAACGACTGTGGTACTCGTATTACTTGTCACCGCTTCGATACGCTTGAAATATCTGCGGGGAAAAGCACATGATCCAAGCTTGCTTATACGAGATGTACGCGGCACGGGTTACTTTGCCTTTCTTCGCCATTGGCAGATATTGTTGGTCTTTCAGCGCGATCCTGGCTGACTACCTATGGTAATGCAATCCTCCATCAGATGTGTGCTCGTGCTCGATCCAATGGAAATCTAAGCATGGTTGATTGATACTGTACCTATCATTGAGCAAGAGTGGAAGACCAGTGCACGCGAGCTGACCAGGATGCCCCTTCCCACGCTTTGCTTCCATTCTCCTAATCTTGTCAATGGACAAATGCACTGTCGACCACTCACACTAGGACCGTTTTACGACTTACCAATGCTCTTTTATCCGGTCTTGAGTCACGAGAACGACAGGTCTGCAAATCCATTGCTGATGGGATATTAAAACCCCCCAGATAACCCCTCCTGCCCCTCTATTGCTTCAAACTCATTTTCTGCTCTTCTAGCCATCTCAAGAAGGATCAGGACACTGACTGGACTTCGACACGATCTACACCTCTAACTTCGGTTCACGGACTGTGACAGGCAGGTTCGGTCTTCTGCGCTATTCACGGCTTCCCGCTTTTCTTTGAGCACGGCTGCGTCCTCGTAAAGGAATCTGAACTGAGCATCAACTACGTCACGCCGAACCTATCGATCTTCAAAGACTACAGAGCCGAGATCATCAACGACGCTTTGACTCGAACGTTGTGGTCATTGATATCACATGAGCCCTTGCTTTCCCTGGTACAAGTACGAGTACTAAGTATCAACAACTGGTCATTGATATTTCTTCTGCATTTATCACCTTGGCACTTCAACAACACAAACATACCATCTCTACAACAAGAGAAACGCAACTCCTGACCCACCTCAGCCTCGTCAACGACACCCTTCACCACCCTCTCAAGCATAACCAGCAAACAACCATCCTCCCACGAACATTCCTAAACACATCTTTGGCTAGAAAAACGGAAACAAAATGTTTTTCAAACAGTCAGGCTACAAACCACGCACCCTCTCCGGATCATCTGAAGGATCATCCGGCAACAGAGCTGGAAGTCCTCCCAAAGATGCCGGCAGCAATAACAAGACGACTTCCGAAGCCAAGGGACCAGCGGCTAGTCCGGGCGCGGCAGGACGAAGAAGGGTGAGTTCAAACTTGTTCTTTCTCCAGATGCATGTGTTTCTCGACCATCCGAGAGGAATCTGCCACTCCGATTCTTCTGAAAACCCGTCCCCTCCTATCCCAAAATCCATCCCGCATCCGTGATGTGGTCTCCTATTCCTTTCTCTAGAATTTACGACTGCTCTCTGCTTTGATCACCTTTTCTGATCCGCTTCTTTGCTCACATGCAGTGTATTCATTTCCGCTGTTCTACGTTCCAGACTAACGCATCCTCTTTTCTTCATGATCAATAGTCCAGTGCCAACGCAGAAACCAAATTCGCCGGCCTCAATGCCACGAAGCGCAGCAGCGTCGACGAAAGGAGAGCAAACTGGGCTGACCAGAAGCCCGGGTCGCCCGGGATGTTGCAGGGCATGTGGAACAGCTTTACAAAGGGAACTTGATCCTGGGACTTGAGGAAATTTGTGAATGACTAGTAGTGACGACTGACAATAGCAAGACGACGAGACAGGGAAGAAAAAGGACATCGCACGTTCTTCTTCACACGGCGTTGAGGCGCAAGCACATACGATTGATAGGGCTGTCGAGGGGAAGGTATCGTGAAAAGGGAAATATTTGAGGCGCGAGATATGTTATTACTAGTGTCACTGGAACAGAAAAACCAGCACTATATCAGGATGAGACGACGCTGAAAGGGGATATGGTATGAAAGGAGTCTACATTTTGCAACATGTATAACTATATTCATAGTTTGCCACTGGGTATTTGATTCACATCCACATCTGCACCTGCACCTGCACCTGCATCTGTATCTGCATGGTTTATTCCCAGACTGTCTTCAATTCCCAGTGTGCCAATCCAATCTCCACCTCAGTCTTGCTCGGCATGCTGATTCTGTTCCTCGCCATCTCTCTTTCCAGCGTCTTTTTCGTCTCAGTCTCAGCATCTCCATCTCGCCCGCTGACGTGAATCCTTCTCCCGGATACCATGCCCAAAAGTCCAAATCCACCCAACAGGGTCCTCTCTCGAACACGACGCATAGAAAGCTTCTATGAAACAGTCTTCTTGGCCTCCTCGACCGCGCCCGCAACTTTCGTCTTTGCCGTCTCGGCTATCGACTCGGTCTTGCCTTCGACTTTGGCCGCCTCTGCGCGGATCTTGGCCCAGCGATCTTGGCCGCCTCGACTGTTATGACACCATTGATTTAGTATACATCCAACAATCATTTCCCGTGTCTGCGTGTGTGTGCGCTGAGAGGTATCGTTCGATCTGGAACATTGTGCATTTTCTTTTCTTTTGTGTCCATGGGTCATTCGTGCTCTCAGGTCATATATGATTCTGCCACAATTCCCGTCGCAGACGCCTTGGCCACGCTTCGCATGGTGTAGGTATAGGTATAGGTATAGGTGCAGGTGCGGGGCGGTACTTACTACCAATAATCATACCACCGATATCCCTGCGTTAATTGCGCGTTGAAATTGACAAAATGGCATGCGAAGAGGAGGTAATTCTTCGGCTGGACGGCCAGGGCGTATCGCATGAACGTGCCAGAGTACACGGTCAGCGCAGCGGTGAATGTGCCCGAGATACTGTACACAGTTCTTGTCAGCCCCAAGTAACGCCCATGTTATCCCATCTTCAGGGTACGGTTAGAGGAGTAGGGAAGGGTGCCATCGTAGGAGCGCAGTTCAGCGTCGCGCCCGTTCGCTCAGCGGCCACGGGAAGGACATGTCTGCATCTTTGTGGTGGTAGAAGTAGAAGGTAGAAATTTCGAGATACATACATCTCAGGATCTTTCTGCGTGTCCAAAACTGCTGCGATTGGAATGCCAAAGTTCGAAGCCGGGCCCCAGAAATCTGCGTTGAGTTCCACAATGTCAGCTCTTCATGTTCAAGTTTTTCGCGGCCTGCGACGGGTCCGTCTCTTTGAGTTACCCCCGTTGGTTGGGGTCTAGAAGAACAATTCTCGCGATAACCGGCCTGGGACGGAACGAGGGGACATCGAAAACGTACGTGTCGAGCAAAAGTAATCCAAGACTTTGTTGGAGCGAATCTTCGCATTGATAGCTTTGACGGTCGCGGCCATGGTGACTGGCGCTCGCAAGTTGACGGTGGTCGAACTGAATGGCAGAATCAAGGGAGAGCGACGACGAGAGAAGGGCTGGTAGACACTCGAAAAGCAACGACAAGTGAGTCAGTAACGAAGCTGGGCCGGGTAATCGTTGAACAAGCAAGTCCGGCGCAGGAGGATGGTGATTGTGATTGGGAATTGGGCAAACGGGGGAGCGAGAAAGATGGAGTTGGAGATGAGTTCTTCGGCTTTAGTGCCTGATTCTCCGCCCATCGGAGCTCTAAAACAGGAGTACCGCAGTATTCACGAGTATTCTACTACCCCCCACATAGGCATAGGGTGTCGGTTTGGTCAGGTCGAGGACTGAGAAAGTTGATACGACAAAGAGCAATCTATTGTCATACTACGAAGTACAGTCATCTCATACAATCAGCAGCACGAGTGAATGTACGTAATGATGCTACCAGCCCAACCGTCCCATAGATCCCGCCTTCCATCTCGGCGGCTTTTCATGCTCCCCTGCATCCCAATGATCAAGCAGCATTACCGCTGAGCGATGAGCTGAGCTTGAAACCGAATCTGGAAGCAAATATCATCCACCTCCCGTAGGTCAATATCTCCAGCCGTCGAAGATTTGAGTCTGTCCAGGACACCTTGCAGTGAGGACATGATGCTCGGCTCAACAGGTTGAACATCTGCTGTTTCATCCACCACAGCTCGAAAAGGCGCCATTTCAGGCTCAGACTCCGCTTGATCAGCAACATGCGGCTCGATTACCTCGTCGGCTTCATGCATTGCCACATCACAATCCCCTGCTTCGGCTTGATACTCTCTTAAGCTTGCATCCACTCCCTGATCATCTTCGGTCATTTCTTCCTTGAGTCGAGCATCTTCCGAGCCACTAACTGACACAACAACCTTTACATTTGAGTGATGAGGTTCTTGCGACTGGGAATGACGAGCTCTTCTCCTAGCTCGCCCGCGACGAGTCTTGGGAGTCGGCGTTGGTTCAATTGATTGTGCATCCTCCACGGCAGTGCCAGCAGCGACGACTTGTACGGTTTGCGACGTTGCAACTTCAATGCAATCGTTCTCATTCGAGGCTTCCAGCACTGTCTGTTGGGAATTGACCGATCCGGAGGACGGTTGAGACGACAACTTCGACCTTCTTCTTTTAGATCTTGTAAGTGTGTAATCGATAGCTTTGCGTTTGCGAGTGCTGCGCTGCGGCTTGCTTTGCAATGCAGGCTCCTCATCTTGCAATTGGTTTAGCTCCATCACTTCGAGGCTGGCATCTTCGACAACCTGGCTGAGGTGTCGGTCAAGATCTTGAGACAATTGTGACGCACTGAGCATATCGATATCATCACTATCGGTTCCTGGATTTCCAGCTGTCCTGGCATCTACCTCTTCATCATCCACATTCAACAAGGTCTCATCGACCGTAGAAGGGGGGTACTCCTCGGACTCGACGGGTTGAGGTGCTTCAGTAGACTGGTCGACTTGCGGCTGGACATTGCTTGAATCGATGTGGTTACGAGGACCCTCAGCATCAACCGCAACCGGCGCGCAAGTTCTTGGCTCTTCGGCTACTGTATCCTCGGCCGGAATCTGATCTTTCTCGATGGTCGATGACTCCAGAGTCACGTCTGGCTGCAATACAAGATTGATTGCCATATTTGATTCTTCTGTAGGAGTTGGAAGTGGAGATGCGCCGTTGTCGCCAGCATGATCCACCATCGAAGGTGGCGACGAAGGCACTTCAATATCTGTGATAGTCTTTGTAGAATGTCGAGCCCGCGGCGTGGGAGATGCCGTGATCTCTGCCTCTTGATCATGAGATGTCGGCAGAGTGGGCGTCGATGGTCGTTCTTCTAATGCAGCTACTTTTCTGGCAAACTCACAATCTCCATGACTGAACGACTTGCTATGTTGTCTTGGACTAGACCTTAAATCTGGGAACACAACAGCAGGCTCTGACCGTTGTCTGTCTCGAACTTCTTTCTGATGAGCCGTTAGGAATTGAGAGTCTGGGTCATTGTCTGCAGGTGGAGAGGATTCGATTGGTACGAAATCGATTTGTGAGTCGTCGTGTCTTGATCTGGGTCTGGAAGATGGCCTTGACGGGCTTGACTGCACCATGAGGTGGTCTTCAGTCACCACTTGTTTGTAACCCTGGCTTCCCAGAATTGGCGATGGTCCACACATTGCTTCCATCTTCTCTGGCGTGGGGCAACCATTGCGTACTGGCGCGGCATCCTCTTTGATTTTACTGGCACGGGATGGTGATGGTGCATGCTGATGGTAGTCTTCAACTCGCTGCGCTTCAGCCGATTCCCTACCCATGGGCTCCGCAAGCCTGTCGATGGCGTTCGAGAGACGCGACCCGAGCGTGATATTTTCGTGAATGACAAAGTATTTGTCCCATATCTCTCCAGCTCCCTCCAGCACGCTATCATTGGTGCTTCCAAAGAAAGACGCAAATACCTCGTCCAGTTCAGCCACTGCTGTGGGTGGAACCCTGGTAAGGGTGCTTGCGGTGGTCTTCGTAAAGGTACGGTATGCTCGAGCGAAATGAAGGTCCCCTGAGTTATCGAATTGGTGCTTTTCGTCCTTCAGCAATAGTACCAAGGATGGAGTTAGGGATTTGAAGGTCTGCACAACTTCTTGCTCAGGCGCATTCGTCAAAACGAGTACAATCGTCTTGATCAACTCGGCCCAAAAGATGAAGTCTTGGGCTGATTCCAGTTGCATTTGATGGAGCATCGAGGTATTCAACAGCGCCAGGCACTTGTTATACGGTACCATCAGAGCCTGCATGCCGATTTTGGAGCTCTGGATATGCGACCGGAATTCGCCATCGTCTTTCATCTCCTTCAACTCTGCAATGATAGCGAGGAATATCTCTGCAAGAAGTGATGGTGTGCCCCTTCCAACGATGAGATCTCCCAGTGCATTGGCGATTGAGCTGGTGCCCAACTCAAGGATAGCACTTCGTGTCATCTGGCGTAGCTGCGGATCGCTGAGCGAGTGGTCCGCGGTCTGTTGCTTGATGTTTTCTGCCCATAAGGATGCCAGGAAGTCGGCAACGACGGCAGTGGCTTTCTTAGTCTCAGAAGAAGCCTTGACCTCCTTGCTGCTTGATTCGCGGAGAGCCTTGAGAAAATGCGTCCAAGCAATTGCGATGTAGGCTCTGTCCGATTGTCCAGATCCTCCCCATGAGCTGTATCGTAACAGCACGCGAAACATTTCGACAATGGCCATGCTTCTGGCTCGTACCCATTTGCAGTCAATTGTTGGAAGTTCCTCGGGCTCGACGGGAGTGTTTTCGAGAGCTCGATTCTCATTCCAGACTTTGGTGCTTTTATGTGAGTTCCACAAGAGCGCAATGAGGACGCGGCAAGCAAGGTCAGAATTTGCGCTGTTCTTGTCAAAGAAAGAGCTCCTCATCACCTTGACAATGTATTCGTTCCAAACCCGAGTATATTGCTTGTGGGTTGCAGCTGGTCGGAACGCATAGTACAGCAGATTGCAATAACTGGAAACAGCTGTAGTTCGAGTGTTTTTGACACCTTTGTCTGACCCTGATCGCTCCAACTGAACAACCAAGGGCTTTGCAAGCATCGCCGTGAAAGTGTCCGACGCTTCGTGTGGGCGAACTACGTAGACTAGGCGATTCCATGCCGCAATCGATTGCTGCCTTACGGCGGACTCGCTGCAGTTGAAGCATCTTTGGATGACTTTGAGCCAGTCTTTCATTTCTGCCCAATTATCGACACGAGTATCGAAGCCATTGCTTAACAAGATGACGATAGCCCATATCTGCGGTACTTGGGCGACTTCCTCTTTCGTCGAGATCATCTTCTCAAGTCTCCGACACATGGCTGAGCTGAAAGTTCGTCCGGGCTCCAGCTCTCGTTCCAGCACTGATCTGGCCACTGAAGCAATAGATGACGATGCAGGAAACACAACGCAGGCTTTCAAGCCCAAGCTCATGGCTTTGTCGCGGATGTCTTTCAGTGGATGCGTCATGCCTATTAGAAGTTCTTCGGTCCAAAGGTTTGCCTTTGCCTTCATCACAGCTCTGGCTTGCTCAAGTAACTTCTGGTAGACCAGTAATCTTTCGGACAGAATCCCATTTCCTTTGACATGTTCGGGGAGTGCTTTCAGTGCCTCTAAAAGCCGTGGGACACGGTTGCTAGAATTGAGCAGGCCGTGGCGAAAGTCCTGTGTTGCCAGTAGATGCATATAATGGATGATGACGCTTTTCGGGGCCGTATGCTCAGCAACGACGTGTATGGACCGATCCAAAATGAATACACGATGTTCGTCCGACATCAATGACGAATACTCTCGACTCCAGACAAAGATGACAAGCACCTTCAACGCTTGTGTCATCAGGTTGGTGTCCGCAATATGTGGTTCATCCGGCTTGACCTGTCTGAGCAAATCTCTTTTGATGTACTTGAGGATGGTGTTGATCTTGCTCTTCAGTACAGCTTCTTCTGGTATATCATCATACTCTCGGATGACCGAGGCAAGGGTCCGATAGGCATCAACAGAAAGCGCTCTATCGTCCTGGAACAACTGATTCACAATGCTCTCCATCATCTCGCTCATTGAACGGTCCTGGTCTTGCTGACCATCCGTAGACTGCAGGAGCTTTTCTTCCACGGCGAGAGGCTTAAGAATTGATTTCAGCGACGACTGACATTCGGAAGAAGGTGGAAGCGATTTGACTTGAGGGACACTAGAAGATTGTTGGTGGAGATACGCGGACTCGTGAGCGCTCGTCCAGGGCGAGAATACGACGCGTTTGCGGGATCCTGAATTGGACGAACCAGGAAATGAGGCCGGGGATTCTGGTGACCCTGTAGTCTTGACGAGGGACTTGAGAAGCGAGAGTTTTCTTCGTGAAGATGTGGATGGTGGGCTTGGGGGGAGAACACTCGGAGTTGACATGATTGCCAGGAGTGCATTCAAAGGCGGGAGGAGGATTTCGTCATTGGCAATGATTCGTCACAAAGGTCGGCAGTCCACGAGGCTGCCCGCAGTCTCTCAACACGCTCAAATTGCAGACATGATTCCATGAAGAACTTGAAGCGTAGAAAGTACAGCAATGAAATATGGAGGTACAGGCACTCGGGACACGTCCAGCCACCACTCAACGCGTGTCTACGCGCCGCACTCGCAACGGGGTCTTAGTCTCGGATTTAGTTAAGCCATCAGGGCCACTAGGCCATCTCCACATTTAAAGGCCTGCCGCTTTGCTGGAATCAGCACGTGACGCAGTCAGTAAAGAAACGTAAGCGTCTGACATTGGGTTACTCCGCAGCGCCTACCGGACTCGCCCACGTCGCCGTGGTTGCCCAAGTCCCCTTCGTGTATTCCATCCTGATGAGACTTCTCGTTGAGACGGACTTGCCCCCAGAAAAGGCCTGTGTCTTCTTTCTCGTAGGCGGCAAGAATACCTGGTAGGCAGCGGGGGCGCTTCAGAAGGTCAAGTATCAGCTGCCTTTCGTAATGTCTGACTCACTAATATTTGTAGGTGCTTCCATACTTCGCTTCCACTTCCTTCCAAGTTGTCTGATGATTTCAAGATCGATGTCTTTCTCCCTGAATTTCCGTAGCGAGCGGTTCCGTTGAAAAGGTATCTGTTCGGGTCGGTCTAGTGTGGTCTTTTGTGCCTTGCGAAACAAGATACCCCTTACTTCCGACTCAATGTCGACTCAGCCTCATCGGAGTGCAGCTGGAGAATTGCTCGGCCAGTTGCGAGATGACCTGGATACGAAGGAGTTATCTCAAACGCAGCTAGAGGAAGCGCTCGGAAAACTCAAAGTACAAGGCCGAGATGTCCACAACGTTTCCGCCATCTACGATGAGGCCGGGGTGAAGATACTGGGCACCTACGCGTTCGGGGATTATTCGTCTAGCATCCGTCAAGAGGCATCGAGATGTCTTGCAAATGCACTCCTTCTACTTCCTGAGACTCGCCAGTACTCCATCAGGCTCGGTTTGGACAAGCAAGCAACAGACGCTCTCGCGAAGGCCAACGCGGACGAGGAATTTCTTCTCGCCCGGATACTGTTCCTTCTGACTTACGATCCTCAAATCGACCTACCAACCCTCCTATCTGAACACAAGCTCGCTGAAAGCATCACCCGACATCTGTCCCGACACGCAGATGAGTTCGAGGCGCCCCGGACTATGGGTCCAGACAGCCCAGCACTTTCAGAAACACTCAAATTGCTGTTCAACGTCACAAGTGGTGCACCTGGACAGAGGTCGTTATTCAGCTCTACCATGGACTCGTTGTTCAAGATTCTGTCTTTCGCTCCCATTCCTTCTCCGCCACTGCAACCTCCCACTAGCCTCATTGTCAATGCATTGGCAAACCTTGAATTCAAGGCCGAGAGCCTGGAAAACGACCCCAACCTCGCCGCTGGCATGAATAAATTGATGGACCTACTTGAATCAGCCGTTCGAAAGTATTCTCCTACGGAATTAGAAACAGGCGCTATCCCACTCATTACAGCACTGCGGAATATCAACGAAAAGGCAAGCACTGACTTGCGAGAAAGAATGAAAGCACGTCTTCTTCCGGCTGACAAGGAGAGGGATCAACCTTTGGGAAAATCATCATCCTTAGCATCTCGATTATTGCGGTTGACTACCTTAACAGGATTAGTGAATTTGTCCCAGGCGATATCTGCCTTGATGTTCGAGCTTTCGGACAAAGACGCCAGTCAGTATGTCCACAATGTCGGCTACGGATATGCCGCCGGATACCTGATGACGCACAAAATCCCCATCCCCGAAAATGCAAAGAAGATCGAGACTGAGCACGACGGCGAAACCTCTCAAAAAGCGTCAGTAAATCCGATTACAGGTCAGAGACTTGACGCAGAGCCTACGCTTGACATCCCTAAGATGACGACGGAAGAAGCCGAACGAGAGGCGGAGCGATTGTTTGTTCTATTCGAGAGGCTGAACGCTACCGGAGTCGTGAATGTCAAGAATCCAGTGCAGCAGGCCATGGAGGAAGGGCGATTCGAAGAACTGAGTGATTCAGATTGATTCAGACGGAGTTGTGATGAGCATTGAGGAGCTCTGACCAGCTCTATATGCATGTCCTTGACATTTCCTTCCAGCAACGATACCCCTTCGGCGTTCATACAGGCTAACCTGCGCTGTGGATAAGAGCCTTGATGTGGTAATAGTGCCTCAAGGCGCCTTTTGATGAATTAATTTATTTTGGACAAAGGTGCCTGGCATCGATCGTTCATAACCTGCCTTCCCCCGCTTGCAGTCTCCCCGTGGAAAGTTGACGGTTCATCACGCCTGTGCCAATTACAAAACTTTCTCGTACTCAACCAACTCCCTTTCATCTCACTGGTATGACACCAGAAAGCGAGGGACGTTTCGCGTGTTCAGGGACATAGGGGTATAGGGAAAGTAGCGGACAAACACGAGCATTGAGGTGGCGAGACAGAGACGAGAACAATCACCAATGACACATGCATCGCTTCAATGCATCACCTTGCAGCCCTACCCATGGCGCCCATCTCGTCGTCCTAAACTTGCTCCCTAACATGCCCCACCATATATATCTCTCCGTCGCTTTGACAGCTTCCTTAGCAAGCACGGTCGATCATGAACAAGTCACTCGTCCATCTGCCGCGCCCTATACTCCCAATACTTCCTCCTTATGGGATCCCATTTGTCCCCCAGCGCCCGCAGACAGGCCCTGCTCCTCTCCAGATTCCCATCCATGCCATAAATCTCGGCCAACCAGTCAATGGCATGACTACTCCTGACCTGGTCGCCCATGAGATCCGCAGCGCGTCCGCCGACGAAAGTCTCGCAATAAACCTGGAAATCCGTGAGCGGGATTCCCGCCCGTTTCGCCACGCCCTTGAGGTAATTCCACGGACTCGGATTCTGCGGCGCCCACGCGATGCGGTCCTTGGCGTAGTTGATCTCGCGCTCGACAATGTCCTCGTCGACCACAAGATTGCCGGACGCGAGCATGTCCTTGCGATTTCCGCCGCCCTGTGACTCGAGCATGCGCAATTCCTCGGCGCCGAAGACGACAAAGTACCGATGATTCCAGGCGGAGTTGTTGCGCACGTCTTCGGCGAGCAGCGTGTCGATGGCGTTGAGTTCCATGTCGGTATTGAGGAGAGGGTCCGGGAACTGCCGGCACAGCCAGGCGCGGTAGGTCCAGACGTGGTAGTTCTTGGAGTCGAACGAGAGGATGTGGGCTAGGAATTCCGGTTCGCTGGGCGGGAGCGAAGGGAGCAACGAGAGTAGGTGTTGGCGGTGGTGCCTTTACGGAGTTGAAATTCCAAATGTTAGCATCCAGCCACAGGCGTAGTGTGTCCAGGCAGAGCACAGAAATCATGTACAGATCGGAATGTTTCGACAAGACAAAAGATCAAAGATGATGAAAAGGGACGTACCAAATCTGATAGTTCTTCAACGTCCGTTCACTGATGCCATCTAGCCAATCGAGTTCTAGCATAACACCCTCCTCGACACTCGTCTCTTCGGCTTCCCACAGTGACTTCAAGATTTTGGCTCGATAAAGCCAGACGGTATAGTGCGCCGGGTTCATGCCGATGATGTCCTCGGTCAACTCGAGTGCACGGCGGCTCATTTCATTGATGGCCATGACAGCTCGCAGGTATGACATGGCTTCGCTGTAGCGTGGAGAGTATGCAATCGTCGCGAGAGCCGGTCCCGGGTCTTTTTGGCCTGGTGGTCCGTCGATGAGAGGGATTGGTGTGACATCCTTCCATTGTGGGGAGACGGCGTAGTAAGGGTCTCTGGATTTGGAGGATTTGGACCTGGACTTTGCGGACATACTTGCAATCGTCTAGCTAAAGTGAAGCGCAACGTGGCCAAGGGATGGATTAAGCAAATATTGAGGGTTGCCCACAGCCTTATTAAGGGTGAACGACATGTAAGTGACCAGTGTTTTTGCTCGGATCTTGCTTGGAGGTCGACAGTGAATCAATCCACCATCATCCTGTAGCCCTTCTAGTGACAGATATACAGTGCTTCGACATGACAACGGCTGCAGCCTCAAGGGTTGTGGGCCAGTGTATTTGGGAATGTGAGAACAATAGTAGTGAGGTTCATTAAGCGAAATATGCCATGTGCACGTGACGCGCCATTACATTTGCTCGGTAGCCATCAAATCGATGGTGGGATACGGAGTACCTGTAAGCCCTAATACTGAAATTCATATTGATACATCAACCTTTTGATCGCTTCCAAACAGAGAGAGCCATTACAGGGTTCTTCGATGCATGCCAGAGCGCCGCCGCTTGTCAGACAACCATGAGATGCAGCCAGATTCCTTCACTGCCAAAATTTCCATTCCGGTCTTCGTTCGAGGAGACCTACACCGACCAACTTTTCAATTCCTTCCTCTCCTTGAGCGTTAAGGAACTTCTGCTGGTCGATTTCATCGCCTCCTTCTTCCTCCGAACCGTTGTGTAGGACGGCAGGATAAAGAACCCCGACGCCACTACCACCAAGTGTAGTCTTGTATTCCTCAAACCCTGCCTTTTCGAATTTCCGCTGCAGATCCAGAAGAGCCTCACTGTCTACGCCTCGCTTGAGCAGTGTAATGGCACATCCACCTCCTCCAGCGCCTGTGAGCTTTGTCCAGCCAATACCGGCGTAGTCGACCAACTCACGGATATGCTCTAGTTTGGGGTGTGACACGCCCAGTGAGACCAAGAGGCCATGATTGATTCTGAAGAGATCTCCGAGATGTTCGATATTCTGCTCCGACGTAGGATCGAAGTCGTCCGACGTGATCAGCGAATGTGCCGACATTGTCACTGCGTCGATGCTGTCAAGGGCAGCCTCAGTAACGGCAGGGTACTTCTTCTTCATGGCGCCAACCTTGGCAACCTCAGTGAGAGTCGAACGAGGCTGTTTTGTGTTGACTAAGAGGAGGGGAAGTTCTGGAAAATCTTTCACTGGCGTGGCAGTGGGTGGCTTCGAATAATCAACTCTTCTAAAAAGCACGGCTCTTCCCCTCGTTGCAACAGTGTTGTCCACTCCGCTAGGATTTCCGTGAATACAAAGCTCTCCCACAAACGCCCACTTGTTTATTCTTTCCAGCTGTACATCAACTTCTTCCTCTGGCTGATCGTGATGTGGCCCTGACAAAACATGTATTTGTTTGAGAAGGGCAGCGCTGATACAAACGCATATGCTGGCGCTAGATCCTAGCCCTGCGCCAATGGGTAGAGTGGACCGAAGGGTGTATATGCAGGCAGGAGCGGTAGGGCTGCTCAAGCATAGAAACAAATACAGAAAAGCAGACGCTGCTGACTGGTGGCGTTTTCTCTTTTCTGGACCGAGATGAGGAGACACTTCTTCAATGTTTGGTTGCATCGCTTCAACTACTGCGGTATCAAGTGTGGTGACCATATCATAGTACCGAGGTTTCCGCGTGGTCTTGCTGAAAACATGCCATGGTAGGTCTTCGATATTCCAAGTATGATCGAGTCCAATGTCCGGAAATACCAGGGTGATCGTGCGTTGCGATTTTGAGAGAGTAGTAACAAGGAGGTATGATCTTAGAGAGATGGCTGCAGCCATTGCAGCTTTTCCGTGAACGACAGCATGTTCGCCAAAGACAATGACCTTTCCCGGAGCAGAGGTCATGAAAGCCGGAGCCATGGGAGAAGAGGACTTGCGTAGGGATCTCGAGGCGGATGAGTCTTTAGAATGGCCATTGATGCCGTTAACGCGAGTGGTTCCGTTCATGATCGTCTCGACACGCTGGACCATGACGCGGAGGTGAGAGGGAAAGGAGGATTTTGGAGAGCCGTCAGGCTGTCCTGAAGAAGCGAACGCAGTTGCTGGAGAGGGGTGGTAGGAAGGAAGGCAGTGAACCACTCCACAACAAGAACAAAAAGTTCTGGGGATGAGAGGCGATGCGCAGTTTGCAGTTTGCAGGTCGGCAGCCGCGATTCCAACCAGGCCGCAAGCCCCAAACCAGTCGAAAGAATCAAGGTTAAGCTTATCGCTAGGCATGCAGGAACAGGAATGGCTTCCCCGCCCGCTTCGTTTCCGGGTGGCATCATCAAACACTCTCGACCAACAGGGAATGCTCTGATTACCAGCGATGCAGCACGTGACCTGGAATCGACTCCGTCGAGTAGGGATCTTTTTGATCAGGACTCTAGCCATAGTCACTGGAAGATCCTGCTCCTGTGGTCCGCCGTACCCCTGCTTTATACCTAACGTACGTAGCACGAGCTAATGTGCCAGTCGCAATGTGAAAGACGGCACTTCTAAGTGCTCCTAGTGTACACACGTCTGTTTAATTAAAAATGTAAAGAGTCCGCGGACCTCTGTGAGGCTGTGCCCAAAGGCGAGGCGTTGCTGCAAGCATTATGCATGTGCTTGACGCTTTGCAGCGAGGGGAGGTAGCGTAGCAGCTACCTAGTCATAATACGACTGACCTAACAGTGCTAGCCAAAAGGCAAACAGCCGACCCTAAAGGGCCAAATTAGGCCCCCGTTGTGTTTACTCAAGAAGTGCTCAGGGAGCGCTCAATGATGCTCAGCCAAATTTTGTCGGTACCGACAAACTACGAAGATTTAGACGCTTTCGGACCTCTACATGTGTGCTGGGACGGCTTTTTCGCAAAACGTTCTTCACAGCCTGGCCGGCTAGATAAGGGGCGGCTAGAACGGCAATATGCTACAACATCCCATCACCACAAACTCCCATTGATCCTACGACGTACACCACCTCAGATCATCCTAAGGGCTCACAGTCTTAGGCTGTACGCCTACTTTCCGGCTACATGAAATGGACTCGTAAACAGTAAGTGCTCGTCTCGACTCGTCTCTCAACCACTCGCAACGTGATGGGACCGGATGGCGGAGGCGTCGCTGACCGATTTCTTTTTATTATATTGATCAACTCGCACTGAAGATCGTTCTGTTTTCTCTTTCATTTTCTATACTCTGCTATACCACTCCTTAGCCCGTGTGCCCTTTCCATCGTATCTCTTCAACGCGAACCCTACCTCCCCGTTGTCATCATGTCCTTCCTCACAAGCACGACCCGGCAAGCCAGCCGTCTCCTATCTCGCCACCACCTTCCCCTCCCACAACCGCAAACCAGGTGTGCTTCAAGCAAGACTCCCTTCCAATGGGACGACCCACTCTCTTCTCAGTCCCTTCTCACCGAAGAAGAAATAAGCATCCAAGAAACCGCCCGCTCTTACTGCCAAGACCGTCTTCTCCCACGCGTGCTCGACGCCTACCGCAATGAAAACTATGACCGCGACATCCTCCGCGAAATGGGCTCCCTCGGCCTTCTTGGACCCACGATACAAGGCTACTCTTGCCCTGGCGTATCGTCCGTCGCCTCGGGCCTCATCACCCGCGAAGTCGAGCGCGTCGACTCCGGCTACAGAAGCGGCATGTCTGTGCAGTCCTCCCTCGTCATGGGTCCAATTGACCAGTTCGGCTCCAAAGCCCAGAAAGACCGATGGCTCGAGAAGCTCGCCCAGGGCGAACTGGTCGGCTGTTTCGGCCTGACAGAACCCAACCACGGCTCCGACCCGGGGTCTATGGAGACCACCGCGAAACCACACCCAACGAAGAAAGGCTACTACCTCTTATCCGGGGCGAAAACCTGGATAACCAATTCCCCCATCGCCGACCTGCTCCTGGTCTGGGCCAAAGTCGACGGCCAGATAAAGGGTTTCATCATCGAGCGTGCCGCATGCCCCACTGGCACCCTTGAAACTCCCGCGCTCAAAAACAAGAACGGCCTGCGCGCCTCTATCACCGGCATGATCCAACTGGACAATTGCCCCGTGCCAGCCGAGAACATGCTCGACGTAACCGGTCTCAAGGGGCCTTTCAGCTGCCTCAACTCTGCACGCTTCGGTATTGCCTTCGGCGTGGTCGGGGCGTTGGAAGACTGTATCGAGCGCGCTAGGACGTACTCTCTCGAGCGTAAGCAGTTCAACAACCCGCTTGCCAAATTCCAACTCGTCCAGAAGAAGCTGGCTGATGCCGCAACGGATGCAAGTTACGGTATGCTTGCTGCGATTCAGGTTGGCAGACTTAAAGATAGCGAGGCCGGATTGGCGCCAGAGATGATCAGTATGATCAAGCGGCAGAATTGTGATCGGGCGCTACACCATTCGCGGACGCTACAAGAGATATTTGGCGGGAATGCAGTCAGTGATGAGTACCATATTGGACGGCACGTGGCAAATCTGTTCGTTACGCAGACGTATGAAGGGCAGAGTGATATTCATGCGTTGATACTGGGAAGGGCGATTACGGGGCTGCAGGCCTTCTTTTGAGTCGAGCAGGCGAGTTTTATTTCTTGAATGGACGGTCTGAATTCTTTAATTGAGTTGGCATGGATGGAGTTTGTCGTCGATTTCCCGTAGAAGTGAGTCGAACTTTGATAGGAGATCGGGCACGACCTCATGAAATGGACCCATCCGTAGTGATACAAAAGCACGAGGACGAGAGGGAAAGACCTTGCGCATCTCGTGTTTGCGTCCTTCAGTTGACCTTCCCCGGCCGATCCACACTCTTCTTCCCCACCCCATTGACCCTCCCATGCAACCACTTCAAGACCATCGTATTCGCCGCCATGATTACCGCACTCCCTACGAAAAGTCCAGCGCGTTGTGGAGTCTCCAACATGCCAAACAGAGGATACGGATAGAACCCATTATACTGGAAACACAACTCGATCCAGTACCAGTACAAGAACGCAATGACCACGCTCAAGCCCACAGCCGGCATGATGCTGATCGTCCACGGCGGGCTCAGCAGCAAGATATCGACGAGCAACAGTACACTGGGAGCCAAGTGAAAGCTCAAATCCGCGGAGACAGGAAGCTCGAGTTCCTTCGGTACCACGAGTTCCGGGTCAATCGACCGCAGGCCCCAGTACAAGACACTGATCAGGACTTCCATGGGCGCGGAGCACATTGACAGAATGTTCTTCGCCGCGAAAAGGCGAGGCGACAGAGTCGTATCGGCAGCAAGAGCAAGGACAAATGTGACGGTCGCCAGCGTCAGGCCGATGATGGTCAGGTATTGAAAGTGCCAGCCATACGCTTGATTGATGTCGTTCGGGTGCGCGACGAGGTAGTTGAAGCTGTAGGCGAAACTGGCTAGTCCAAGTGCGTGGACGAGCGCGGACAATCCGCGTGATGGTGAGGGCAGGCGCTGCAAAGGGTGACGCTCAATTAATTGGTCCATTGCACGAGTTGGCGAGGACATTTTGGTAGTATAAACGAATGAGGTTGTCGACCGAGATCCTGGGACGCCGGTATGCAAGAAATGAAGCTCTAAAGTCTATTGTATCGCTGAATCGAGGAGAAAGATATATCAGGCAAAGCAGACAGGAAGTTAGATCCGGAGTTCAAAGAAAAATATATAAAAGCTGGGAAGCGAAGCGAGAGGATGAAACTTGAGTGTAAGTGCTGACGTAGTGAAGGAACAACCAATGAAAATGCAGAGCCTCTCCAGCTGACACGCATCGCCATCATGTCCCCCAGACCCTTCGGGCCGTAGCATATGGGTCGCCAGAAGGCTGAAATCCGAAAACGGAGAAGTTCTTGAGGAGTTCCTGCAAAACTGAATGGAGCATATAAGGGAGCTTTCCTCCGACGTCTCGTTCAAATAGTGCATCAAAGAGGCACAGCTAATTCCATTGTAGAAGAAGTGAATGTACATACCCAAACTACCGTGACTATCCCAGCTGCAACGCTCAGTTATTGTATACACAAGCAAAAATGGCCTACTTGTTACCACAGACAAAATCATCTTCGTCTCAGATGTTCATGCAAAAAATCCCTCGGTTACCAGGTTTTCCCAGCTGACTCCCGTACGCCAGACTTCTTCCATAATCTTGCGAGCATGACTGACCTGGCACATCCCAAGCCCTTCAGACGCCTTGATCCTGCTCAGAATCTCTGCTCGATCGAGTGGATCTTCAGCTTCGACTCCAGCCGTGAACATGGGAAATAACAAACAAGCCTCGGCACTTCCTTCCCGTCGGATTGTCTGCAGGATCTTTACAATTTCATGCACAGCACTCTGTACCTGTGGATCCCGGCGAGGGAAGTTGTGGATCCTACGAAGCAAGTGTACAAGTCCTGCCCAGTGGAACGCAGAGTTGGTTGCAAATGCCTCCTCCTGATCCTTCTCCGACATTTCGGCATAAGCTGAATTTCGCCGTGAGCCGCATAAATGAGCCTTGGTCATTTGAGGGCTATGGTGACATTGGATCTGTTCGTGATTGCGAGCCCTTTCCAGATCTTGCTGCAATTTCTCCGCTCTTTTGAGGATATCGTGCGAAGGTCTCCAGGCTTCGTTGATTTGCCCGGTCTCTGGATCAATCCTGCCGGTCTCACATTGTCTCGCCAGAACAGCCACCTGAGCCAAAATCGAAACACAGCGGGTGGTAAATCCCAGTAGACAGTCAATGGTATAGTCGTCTTCATCGTCGCCATCATCGTCGGTCAGGGATAGTTCCTTGGCTGAAGTACTATCTTCGTGTGAATTGGACCAATAATTTCCGGCAAACAAGGGCTCCTCGTTGCGTCTGCCAGATAGCGAGCCCAGGACGTCCAGATACGCCAACCATCGTGTCAAGAAGTACATGACCGGGTCTTTCCGAGAAATCGAATTTGGTCCACCTCGCGCACGAATAATGCTTCGGGCGATACTCAGGTGGTTCTGCCAAGGTATGGAGACGCCGAAACTGAAAGGGGATATTATCTCAAGGGAAGACAACATGATCGCGGTTGCCAAATTCGCATTGGAAACTTCTGTGTTCGAGACATTGTCCAGAGTTTGCCGTAAGCAAGGGAAGACGTCCCGAACCCAATGAGCGATACGATTCACCGGTTCAGGGTGATTCAATAGCCTAGCTCGGTGGCACGCCGAGTATGCCAGTAGCAGATTGAGTAGATTGGGGTTCTCGACCGCCACTGTGAACTATTAGCACCGGAGAGGATTTAATCTTGATCAAGACCTACTTTTAGGTAAGATTGTCTTGAAAGGGTTTTCCGGACAATCATGTGGCACCAGTATCCTGGCGGTGTGGTTGAGAAAATGATGGAAGTATAGGAGATTCATTGGATTTTCCGAAAGCGTTCGCGGTAGAGGTTCCAACTTTCGTGGGATCTTGATCGGAACGGGGGAAGCATAATACCCTCCTTTGGCAAACACCGTTTCTCGACTTACGAGGCCGAATCCAAATTCAGGCACTTGGAGATCAGTGTCGTGCAGCCAAGAATCAAACTCACTATGCTCTGAAGGGGACGTGCCTGAGATGGCCGCAGTGTCGTTATTGCGTGGTATATCTAAGTCCGGGTTTCCACGGTCTTGACCATAAGTTTCCGTCTGCGAGTACGAAACCATGCGTTGGTGAAGTGAACCACGCCGCGGAATCTGCTCATCGCTATAGGTGGTTTGCTCGTTGGTATTAGAAGGTTTCGAGTCTTCAGTGTCGGGATCTTCCGATAACAAAGAGCTTACGGAAATACGTCGATCATCGTTGTCCGTGACTTGTGATGCCGAGGTCGCCGGAGTCAAAGGGTTGCTAAGGTAAGAAGGGAAGAAGGTAGGTGTATGCGGGTAGAATTGAACTCGAGCAGGCTCCTCATTATCATTCGGACCATAGGAAGCAGCGCGTGGATAAGTATGAGTTGGCCGGCCGAAATTATCTGTGCGCGGACTCAATCTCATTCTCTTTGCACTGTTGTACGGTGAGGAGACAGATTCCTGATAGTTCAACGGGTTGGACGTTGGCATAGGCGGAGGCATCTGCGCAGAATGCCCACTGAATTGGTACATCCCGCCATTGAGGTTCGGGCTTCCGAACCCCGAGTCTGACGGGGATGGATATGCTGGGAGAGATAGTGCATGTCGCAAAGGGCCCCCCGGGCCTGGCTGTTGAACTGCTGGATTGTTGGGACTTTCGGTCCATTGAGGAGTTCTCAGGACAGGCGGAGGAGGAAGTGTAGGGGGATTGAACTCGGTCGGAGGGACAGGAAGCGAGTTAGCAAATCTGGGAATTGAAGGCATGGTCGAGTCTGATAAGGACTGGTCAACCGCATAACTCTGAGGTAGGTGCGATTGCATTCGAAGGGCTGGAGAAGCAATGTCTGCGTTGGGAACCTGACCGTTGATGCCGTTGGAATAGCCGTTGGTCACAGACTGAGGCGGAGAAGGTTGAGGAGCGCCAAACGATATGATTTGCGAGCCTGGCTTTCCATCTTCTTTCTTTTTGCTCCGGCCATCCCAGTTCAGTCGTATACTGTAGTCGCAGGCCTCTCCTTGTCGCTGGCAATTGGCGCATGCGGGTTTCTCCTCTCCACTGCAGCCTGTCAGCATACGTCTGCGCCGGCATCTGGGACAAGTGATCGCCATACCATTTGACTTTTCTCGACTTGCAAGGCCTGTATACATGTATGAGCAAAGAGTCCTTGAACCTTGTTGCAACCACACCTACCAGCAACCATTTCTCGACCGCTTCTTCACCTCTCTTCCATCCTGGTCGGCTTTCTTTGGGCGCGGCATGACGTTGGAGTAGACTTGTCACCAGAATCGTAGGAATTCCACATTAGCACAGATAGTGATGGCACAAGAATCGGGGGTGCCGGGAGGCTAGCCACAACATTTCGTGTGGAAGATGGATCGTGATTTAGATAAGGTCTGGACGAACAATGTTAAGGTCGAGGTCAAGGTCGAGATCGAGGGCAGGCTCAAGTATCGCAGAAGCGGGAGACGGGCAATGCATGAATCCAAGACGGCCTACACGGATAGGATGCGGGAAAAGACATGGTCTTGTTGAGCCTGTTAAGACTTGTGAAAAGGATGAGAGGATCATGGGGGATGGGAGGCTGCTGGCTGGCGCAGGCGTAAAGTAAGACTTCTCACAAGCAAGGCCGGTAGTAGCAAATGGCAGCAAATGGCAAGGCCAATAGACTGCCTAAACCAATATCTAGGCGATAGTGCCCGCATCAAGCACACCCAGCAGTGCCAGGCTCTCCCGGAGCTGAAATGTCGACTGCCGCTTCACGTTCAGTGCACGGACCAACCGAATCCTCTCACCCTACCAGAAGGAAAAAGTTCAGCAGAACTTCCAGAAGTGTTGATGGCTTGCTCGCTTGCATGCATCGAGGCGGAATCCAACACCTGGCATCCTTCTCACGTCGAGGTCCACGAGGTCCAATAGTAACGCCACTGTCCTCTCGCAACGACTTGTGCTTGGCGGACTCCTCTAGTCCAAGTCCAAGTTGCTGATTGTGGCTGCTCCGTCTCGCAATCCATCCTCAATTGGAAGCTGAAGTACGAGCACAGCTTCCGAGACTGCACCTCAGCTGAACATTCAGGCCTTCACACCGGCTGCTCTTATCATTACAATGGCGTCGAGGTCTACGAGACTCGGTCTCCAGTTTACACAACCGCATCGGAGAGTGCTCTCTTCCAAAGATGTCTCAACACAATCACGACGAAATGCCTCCTCGGCTGCGCTCATACGAGGAAGTCGGCCACGTCTCGAATCCTCCAAGCTTGCACCACTAGCAGCAGCTCCTCCTTCGTCTACAAGTACACCATCATCCTTCTTTACTCCATCACTGTGCCGAACACGTAATGCATCGACGTCGACCGATCCTCCGCAAACCTCCTCCAGTGTCCTTGACTGGAATGCCTTCTTCCGCCTTCGCCAATCTCGACGACGGTACGCCCTCACCTCCTCGATCATCACCTCCGTAGTGTCAACCGGTAGCGCGATAACCGCATTCTCCGAACTGCCAGAGCTCGCTGACCAGATCACGAGATTGGTGCCCACTGATCCAGTCATCAGTATGGGAATCGCAACATTCGGAGCTACTTTCTTTGGATGGTTGATCGGACCAGCATTCGGGAACTCGCTTTGGAAGTTGCTTCACCGCAGTCGGCTACCAGAATTCACAATAAAAGAGCGAGCGTTCTTTGAAAGGATAAAGAAGCACAGAGTCAACCCCACCGGCGCCAGTACAAACAACCCGGTGCCGGATTTCTATGGCGAGAAGATAGCAAGCGTGGCTGGGTACCGGAATTGGTTGAAAGATCAGAGAGCCTTTAACAGAAAACGTGGCGGAAATTACTCCTCAACTGTGTAGACTTCAAAGCAGTCAAACCTGCTGTCTACAATGAGAGCTCTAATGGCCGTCCGGGACTCTTCCGCTCGACGACACGATTTGGCAGCCCAGGGTGCATTGGATTGCTGAAAAGGGAAGCTTTTTGCTGTGTAATACCATGAGTATCACATTGGTTGTACAATACTCGACACTCCGATATGATGAGATTGAAGAAAATGATACCCTCTCCGGAGTTCTCCATTCACACGAGTGTAATCAGATGAGGTCTAGACATCTGCCCGCATCTTGTGTGCCATACAACTATGTTGGGAGGCTCACATCACTGAATCGTGCTCAAAAAATCTCGGAGCAGTTGGGATGTCCTTCTGCGAAGGCCGGAAACTTGCATCGACACGCAAGTCCTGATGAAAGCCCAGACTGCTATCAGACCATGCCACATGCGTCGCCCACCGGATTCCTGGCTCTCTTCTAAGGCAAGCATTCATCAATGTCGACACGGACGGTTTACAGTGGCAAAAATACAGTAACAAGGGTGGAAGCTGTTTCTGCCAGTGCTTTGCTCGGTTATAGACACGTACGACAGCACCGAACACATCTTGATCCATCCGGGTGTAGCACGCGCTTGGTGTTCTTTTTCGCTGAAGTATCCCCGACATATCCTTGGAGGCTGTTACGGAGTACATACCTACAGTAGGTAGTATGCTAGATCACATCGATGACATCTGTGCTTGCTTGTACGGAGACCTTTCCGACGCAGCTACACAATAATCCCAATAATATTCGTCCCTCCTCTTAAATTCCACACTCGATGCCTGTGCATTATATTTCCCGGGTCCACTGCTCGTAGTACCGTTCGTGTAGAGTTCCAGCCTTGCCTGTTGCACATGTCTGATGTTTCTCACGTCTATCCGGCAAACTCTCGGAAGCATGGTCATTGAGCCTAGCAAAAATGCACTTTTCAATTGGTAGGAAATTCTCCGGATGATCTACCGCCACTCTGTAGACGAATGAAATTCTGGACAATGGTAGAGCCAAACCCGCCAAATGCTTCTAGCGGCAAACAGGCCGGATTTCCATCCTGTTCTTCTCTTGTTTGATGCGCCATTTTGATGTCAATGCTTTTTATTTTCATTTGACCATTCAAACCCCTGGCTTTTTCCCAGACCATGATCTAATCAATGACCAGGGCTACAGGCCGGCGAGCCTTGCTATATATTCACCATGTATCCGCGAACAAGACTGGGGGGTAAGTCTGAAAGAGGTAATTGAACAACACTTCATATCTCATCTCCGTTTTCTCTTTGCGTCAGTTTCCTTTTGTCCTTTGATGATCACTTCGTCTCGTTCCATTCATTAAGATATCTATCTCGAAGCAACGTATATTCGACCACCTACCAGAAATACTCGTACCGACTTAAAGATCATCGAATTCGCTTACATATATCGACCTTGGAAGCCCTGTTGCGTTGCTGTCCATGTTGTTCCAGACTTGTCAGTGGGTACCGGAGCTTAGTCAACACCTCAACATCCTCATCCACCAGGAAAGGGCCTGAATCCAGTCATCAAGCGTTATATCAAACTCTCTTTGATCACGTATTCCAGAAGTACAATTTGATCAATCATCGCCGTTCTCACATCAGCACGAACAATAAGCCTCTGTTGCCGATCTTGAACCTCCGGCTCGAGCCTTCTTCTGGCAGGACAATATTGATACAAGACTCTGATCGAATCCCACTCGAGTACACATAAGTCTAGGGGGTAGAACATCGACCTTAGAATCCGCCATGTCGGAAATCTTCATTCTGGGCTTCCTGCCCGACTCTGAGAGCACCACACCCCTACCAATCCACTGGTCCATTCTCATCTCTCCTGTCAAAGGCACAGACACCTGCTCGGAGTCCCAACCCCAACCCAAGTCCAAACCACGGCTCTTCCGGCATAACAACTCCTCCCACAAGCAATCCCCAACCGACACCGCGCTCTTCGACATGCACGACCACCAACTCCGCCAACAACCATTCCCAGTCCCCAGCCCTGCCTCCTCATCCACCGACCTCGATACCTCGTCTGAAACAGCCACCACCACCGCCGCAACAACAAGCATCGCATCTTCCATACCCAATCACCCTCTCCGCCTCGCCATCCGCATCGCCCTGGCGACACACCACTCCCCGCCATCGAAACTCGCTCCCAAGCTCTCCACAATCCTCTATCAGACACCCACCTACGGGCCCTCGGACGACTGGCTGCGCGCCGCCCTCGAACAACTCATCTCCGCCGACATCCTAGAGTCCGACGCCGACATCTACAAGGCCTCCTCCATCTTGGACTTCATCCACGCCTCCACGGCCCAACACGCACAGGACCTCTCCTCCTCCTCCGGCCGTGTCGTCGATTTCGACTACTCAGCCCAGCTATCCCGCACAGCCCAAGTCAAGGCGATGTTCAATCAGCCGCGCACGTCTTCAAGAACGCCCTCGCCCTCCGTATCCTCTACCATCAAAGACGAAAAGGCCAAGGACAAGGACAAGGCCAAGAAACGCTTCTTGGGCTTCTGGCTTACCCATGGCAGCGGCGGCCACGACCACCATCCGCAGCGCCGCTGCGCGTACCAGCCGCACCCCTGGCAGAGACAGGACGATCCATATGGCGGATTGATGTGAGTACTCACGCCCCCCTTTCCAGTCACCTCACCTCGGCGCGCCAGTCGCTCGCCATGCCAAAAGTTTTACATTCGTCAGATGTTAAGACGTGCGTGTGCGGCAGGGGTGGTCGCGTACAAAGGCGGCAGATGTACACACCAAATCCGTGGGAAAGAAAGGATGATCCGTATGGGGGCCTCATGTGAAGATCGAGGCCATTCCCCCAAACGGTTACAAATTTTTCGAATATATTGTATGAATAGTAATTTGCAGCCGTCCTAACTGACCCTCAATCCTTCCTCCATGCATCCCAGCTCCATGTTGTAGATTGGTTTGATGCAGAATTAATTTCAGAACCATGCTACGTATGGCTTACAGCTAGGGCTAACTTAGTAGAGTATAGATAAAGAAGCATAGGAAAATTGAGTCCGGGTTTCGAGGCATACCGGTTGCCTGGATGGATAACCCCTGCACATATCATCCACATCACCACTCGTTACGCCTGTGACATTCCTCAATCAGAACCCCCTGTGCGCCTGCTCCTCATCCTTGGACGAGTGCATTGTACGTAGACAGGCTCAGTAAGCCTGGCCCGGTGGACTTTGCGCTCGATGCTGCTGGGTAGGAGGCACGTACGCCCCGGGGATCGGCACAGCATCGTACGTCTGCTCACCCGGCGCCGCACCAACATGGTCGTGCAACCTGTCCTCTGGGGGCGGGGACATGGGCGGTTGCGGGGGTGGCGAAGACGTCAGACCTTGTCTCTGGAACCCTTCTGCCGACGACATTTTCGGCGTCGCGCTGTGTACCTTGATTGGTGGTGCCTGCAATCTGAACGGCGAAGTCGTGGTATTCGACTGCGGCGACACAGATGCAAACTGCATCGGGGAGCCCGTACGTCCGTCCGCACTCCGTGGCGAGTGGACAGATTGAGCCATGTGCGAAGGGAATCCGGGCGTGCGCGGTGTCTGGATGCTCGCAAAGCCCGGCGTGTTCGGTGCCGACTGCGTGCGCAGCTGAGCAAGGTACAGATCGGTACGGGCACGGTCCCTGGCGTCCATCGATTTCCTGAGCCTGTTCTTCGACCAGAAGCGGTAGAAGACGATCCCGTAAATCATGATGACAATGACCTCGACAACGACCTCAATGATGCAACAGATTAGAGACCAATCCTGGAGACGGCAGACGAGCGCGTAGTGTACGTCGTCCTCGAATAGCTGGCGTCGTTTGTTGTCCTTGCAGCTCCAGCCCCAGAGATCGGTTCCGCCGCCATTGGACTTGCTGCCGTGCAAGATGCCGGCTCCAACCACCCACATGACAATGCTAAACAAGAACCAGCCGACAGCGAACATAGTGTAGTAGACGGCGACTTTCTCGGCTCGACGGTGGCCGCCGCGGCAGTATGCAAAGATGACGATGATCGAGAAGAGGAGCGAGACACAGGCGATACTGAGAACGACTATCTGCGGCCAAGTCTGTTGCTTGGGCGCCCATGCCGTCAGGTTGTTGCGGGGCGGTATAGCTTTAGTGGCGTGGAAGATGGTCAGGACAGTACTCAGCATAGCGAGGACGATGAGTGAGCAGGAGAAGTTGACGCCTCGTAGGACCATTTTGGCCATTCGAACGCGGGTCTTGACTTTCTGTGCGAGAGGTTAGTCCGGTGCTGTTTACCATCTAACTCACGTAGGCTGTCGTTTACATACCAGATCTTTGGCTTGCTGTACTTCAGTCTTTTCTTCTTCCTTCTCTAGCATCTGCTCTTCCCGGAAGGTCGGGCTCAGAGGGTTCAAGAGCCTGTTTGATGTGCCCGGTGTCTTGAGGGCGGATTTGAGAGGCGCACCAGCTGCTCCATTGAGGTCTCCTCTGACAGTGACAAATTGCTCGACTGGTTGACTGTCTGCGATATAGCCGAAGCCTACATCTGAAGGTTTGGGACCGTCCATTCTCGGGTCCGCAAAAGGAGATTGATGTTCACCAGGTCCGGATGCCGGCGAAAAGACCGACGTTGCTTCGGCGAAGCGAGTTTTCCGAACCTGGTTCCCGACCGATCTGGTAGAAGAAGCCGTTGAATTTGTTCGGAGAGATCGAGTTGTCGCCTTGATTTCTGATTTTTCGTCGAAATCCTCAATGGCAGGGCCCGCCGTGCGAGTAGGTTTGGAGTTGGCGGTGATATCGATAGGTGACACTGGTTCGAAGTGGGATGGTGACATGGCTATTGATAAGACTCTGCTCGTTGCAGTGTGTGGTATGGCAGGGATTCCCCAGAAGAACCGGACTGACTGGCGCAGCAGGGGCGGATGCTGACGTGAGACGGTCAAATCCTATTTCAATATATACCACGTCGACTGCCTCGTAAATCGCTGTATCTCGTCTTTTGTTATCTTGTCGAGGACCAGCTCGGTATCATTTGTATAGACAATGATGAAGAGGGAGCAGATGGCTGAGGGAAAGCAGGTCGAGTAATAGGTAACCTCCTAGGTAGGTGGGCTGACCAGAGCGCTTGGGGAGATGTGATTTGATCTATTGGTAGAAGGCAGTGGTCGAGACCAGAGATCACCGTATTCGTCCGAAGGACGCTGGTTCAGTGCTGTGACTGTATGGCCTGCCAAAGAGTAAAACAAGTCTGGTGGCAATTGGCGCTTTGAGGTCGACGAATCGGCCAGGTTCTTGGATAGTCAGGCCCGCAACGTAAATGCAGGGCAGCACAGGGCTGGGGCGGTGCACAGCAGAGCTTGGTAGGAGTCAAAGAGAAACCGCTCAGCGAAGCCTGCGCGAGCTGGGAGAAAATATAACAAGTTGCGAGCTTGGGAATTGGAACGGGATGGGAAGAATGAGAGAAACGGTGAAGAAGATGTGGAAGCTTGTAGAGGAGAAACCGCAGTAGTAATGCTGTTCTTTCTCCGGTATACTATTTGATGCATTATTGCAAAATCTCCCGGGATGGAGACTCGATGGGCGCTTGAGTTGTCTAGACGCATGGTTGCTGGCCGTTGGATGAGAACGAAGCAGAGAGAAGATGCAGAAGATGGAAGCTGGGGGGGTGATGAAGTGGGATCGAGGAGGATAATTGGATGAGAAGCCTTATCGAAGCGCCGAGGCACCACGAATCAACAATCAGAGGAGCTGCAGTCGACAAGGGTTGTTTTCTTACGCCTTCTGCTCACTGGATGTTTCCTGTGATGGCTTCTGTTAGTTTTGATCCGCCTGCAGCGGAGGTGGAAAGACAGATGCCCGCGTTGAGGGCGAGAGGGTCTCGGCTGATCACCAAGGATGAAAGGGTCCTCGAATACTGTACCTGGGGGCCATGATGGGGGGGGGTTCGATACCTAGGCACTTAGCGCAGTCACTCTCACCCGCACTCTGGCGGCCTCTATTTTTGGACACTCCACGACAGTCTTGCAGCTGCCAGCTGTCAGGTACGGTGAAGCAGTAATTTTCTATCTTTGGACCACACTTAGGTATTCTTGGTCTCATCAATGTCATTCCGTTCACTAGGTCAGCGTCGGAGTACTCGAGGCACATTCATTCGGCAATCAGCTCGTATGTCGCTGCCCGTTCTCATGATGTCTGTTGATATTCTCTGACCTCAACATGCCACGGTAAGTAAGAGTATTCTCTCGTAGCCCACAGCTCTATCATGTTGATCCCGCAAGCTAGCTCTTTCTAGCAGAATGCAACAGGAGGTTCAGCACGAGCATACTGTTCCAATCCCTTGCCTCTCACCACTTTCTTAAGCGGCACATTGTTCATCCCGGACTTGTCTGCCAGTGGTAGCTTGATTGTCAAGACCTTCTTGGCCTTCTTCTTCTCTTCTTCTCGCCTCTTCTTTTCCATGGCTGCTCGTCGCTTAGCCTCCTGCAACTTCATCTTCCTGCCCTTTGAGGACATCATTTGGTTCTCCAGTTCTTTCGCAGTAGCAGCACATTTCTCGAGGTGGAATCGATCGTGCTCCAGTGTCACATCCACGCGCTCCAAACCATCTCCAGCAAGGTGAAGAAGTGGCCTGGCCCATCTTTCGGTCGTCTCGAGCCGGCATGGCCAATCGTAGATTGTCAAGTCGAGTCTGAGTCGTCGAAGTCCTGTCACCTGCTCCTTGATTCGTTCCAATGTCGCTTTCCACTGCGCATCGTGACGCAACTTCCACTCTCGGTCAGCCATCATCCTTGGTTCACTGTAGCCCTCATGGGTGAGCTCCAAGCTTTCGATACTCTTGACACCTGCTTCCCTGACACGATTGAGGAATTTGTTGATGACGCCGAATTTGTCGAAGCAAAATGTGGTCCGGGCATAGATGAACTCTTCCACCTCATGTTTCATCTGACGACAGGTGAAGAGCAGAAATACTGGCGCGGCTTCTCCCGCGAATTTTCCTGACAGTCGATAGCGGGGACATTTGATCTTCTTGGGACGTGGATTCTGCGCCTTGAGTTTTGCATACTCCTTCTGAGGATGGTTGCCGGAGACAATGACAAGAGTCTCTGGGACGACAAGATCATAGATCCTGTTCCTGATCTCCCCGGGCAGTTGGAAGAATGGAAATGGCTTGTTCGTTTGAAGGCGCTGCACGGTGGATGGCCGGACGCATGATCGGATGAGCAGGGTGGTGGAGGGAGGTTGAGGTTTGATAGAGGCAAGTGGAGGAAGTCGGGGTTGGACTGGTCGTCGCGTCTTCCGTGAAGACATGAGGTCTATCTATTCTGGGACGGTTTTTGATAGATAGGTGCGTACGTGATGAATGGGCATAAGAGGTACTTTGCTTGCAACCAGGAGCAAGAACGCTCGGAGAAGTTGGCGAACCAAAATATGACGAGGGTCAAAAGACCAGGTATGGTCTCGATGATTGATATGCTTTATAGACAGGCAGAAACGGTCACGTGTGGACGCCGTGCAAATTGTGAATCGGCAAGAACAATATGACGGAAGGCAGTTCTGATGTTTATTGTGCGAGTGCAGGAGTGAAGAGAAAAGATGAATAAGACTGAGATTCTGCCCCATGATTCACAAATGTAAAGATGTTATGAAGTCAAAGTGAAGCTAAGGCCCGGTCCGTGAATGAATGTCCACCACAACATCACGAGTAGGAAGTAGGAAGTAGGAAGTAGGAGGTCTGGGGAACACCAGGTCCAAGCACCTGATTCAGTACCATGCCATTAGCAATGCACTTAGAACCAACCTATTTACGCCTATCAATACAACCTAACGGGCGCCCCAAATACAATTGTTGGGTACTGTGATAGTCCTGTGAGTGCACAAGTAGGAGCCCCTCATTACTCGCTCAGAACCCCTCTAAGGCTGTTGAGGACACGATAGCTACCTTATGTGATCCCGGACGCTCACAGGGAAGCCCGTGATGGGTTCGACTTGCTGTACGCGTCGTTGCACCCACCCTTCAAGTTCGAATAGGTACCCATTTGTTCGCGCCTAATCCGTACCTGGCATTGGAATGCAAGGCTGAGACCTGCAACTCCCGACGACAGATGCATGTGGGATGGCAAGAGTGTTGATAGCCACACTAGTCTGTATATGGCATAGTACACGTTCGGAACAGCTGGTGCGGAGCAGATCATCCACAATCATCCTGTGTCGTAATTTTTTCTGCACGAGTCTCCCCACCATCGATCCGCCGAGCTGATCTGATGTGATGGGCCGGGCAGAAAGTTGAGATTTCGAATTTTGAGAGATACTCCAAGAACGAGACCCTATTGCTTGGTGGAGGTATCTGAAACTTGAAATCGTCATCGTACATGCTTTCACAGTGCTATCCTGCTTCCACTCCTCATACCTATCATTCTTCGCCAGTCTAGCCGCCAACGCTCACACCTCATATTCGCACCATGGCCTCACAAAAGATCGGTATGTCATCCTTGCCACGCTACCACATATTGCTATCCGTGAGTACAATCAGACTAACCTGATTAGCTATTTTGTCTGTTTACGACAAAACCGGCCTTCTCGACCTGGCCAAAGGCCTTATCAAGAACAATGTCCGTCTTCTGGCTTCAGGAGGTACGGCCAAGTTGATCCGCGAAGCTGGTTTCCCGGTCGAGTATGTCTCCCGCTACTATCGTATCGAATCACCGTACTAAGTGCATCACAGAGATGTCTCGGCCATCACAAAGGCACCCGAAATGCTCTCAGGTCGAGTCAAGACTCTGCATCCTGCTGTCCATGCAGGTATCTTGGCGCGAGATCTTGCTTCCGACGAAAAAGATCTCGCCGATCAGAACATCAACAAGGTCGACTTTGTCGTATGCAACCTCTATCCCTTCAAGGATACCGTTGCCAAGATCAATGTCACCATCCCTGAAGCGGTGGAGGAGATCGACATCGGAGGCGTCACCCTCATTAGAGCTGCGGCGAAAAATCACACCCGGGTCACGATTCTTAGTGACCCCAAAGACTATCCCAACTTCCTACAGGAACTCGACAAAGGAGACATCGTCCCAGAGACTCGCCAGCTATATGCTCTAAAGGCTTTTGAACATACCGCTGATTATGATGCCGCCATCTCCGATTTCTTCCGCAAGCAGTACGCTGGCAACGGCGCCCAACAGCTCTCGCTACGTTATGGCGCCAATCCTCATCAGAAACCTGCTGCTGCATATGTACGCAGTGGCAAGCTGCCATTCACGGTGCTCGGCGGCTCGCCAGGCTACATTAACCTCCTTGACTGTTTGAACGCTTGGCCGCTCGTCAAGGAGCTCAAGCAGGCTCTTGGTCTACCGGCAGCCGCGAGTTTCAAGCATGTGTCTCCAGCGGGTGCAGCCATCGGTGTCCCTCTGAATGAGAAAGAACGCAAGGTCTACATGGTTGATGACATTGACGGGATCGAGTCTTCAGGCCTCGCTCAGGCATATGCTCGAGCCCGAGGTGCGGACCGTATGTCCAGCTTCGGCGATGTCGTTGCCCTTTCCGACAAGTGCGATGTGCCTACAGCTAGGATCATTTCTCGCGAAGTCTCGGACGGCGTGATCGCGCCCGACTATGAGCCGGAGGCCCTCGAGATCCTCAAGAAGAAGAAAGCCGGCAAATACCTCGTTCTGCAGATGGACGAAACCTATGAGCCTCCCGCCCAAGAGAATCGGACCGTTTATGGCGTTCAGCTCACCCAAGGACGCAACGACGTCAAAATCTTGCCTAACCAGACCTTCAGCTCGGTCGTCCGCCCCAAGAATGCGTCTACGCTCTCAGATTCTGCTCTCCGTGATCTTACTGTCGCCACAATTGCTGTGAAATACACCCAATCAAACTCGGTCTGCTATGCCCTGAATGGTCAAGTCATTGGTCTGGGTGCTGGCCAGCAGAGTCGCATCCACTGTACGCGGTTAGCTGGAGACAAGGCGGACAACTGGTGGATGCGCTTCCACGAGCGGACGCTGTCAGTTCAATGGGCCAAGGGGGTCAAGCGGGCCGAGAAGTCCAACGCCATTGATATGCTCTGTTCAGGTCAAGTTCCACCTCAAAGTGAATTTGAGACCAAAGACTACGAGCGCAATTTCGCTCAAGGCTGTGTGCCCAAACCTTTCACGGCGGAGGAGAGACGGCAGTGGCTCGACAAGCTCAGCGAGGTGGCCGTCTCTAGTGACGCTTTTGTAAGTTTCTCCGTGGTCACCCTCATTCATTCGATGACCGTACTGATCGAATGCAGTTCCCCTTTGTCGATAACGTCTACAGGGCCGCCAGATCTGGAGTGAAGTATATTGCAGCACCTCTAGGGAGCCAGAACGACGGCCCAGTTCTCGACACAGCAGACAACCTAGGCATCAGCTTCATCGAGCAGGCAACGCGTCTGTTCCATCATTGAGCTGTTCTTGGCCCTGAGTAGGATACCACAAGGAGTTGGAAGGTCGATATTTCATACGATAGCCTGGGCAGGTAGACTCCTGCTGATCGAAAACGCCAATTCTTGTTAGACTGGGTGGCCCTTTCAACAAGAGTAACTTACAAAAATATCATGGTGAAACTTGGTCCTCCCCTTTCGAAGCGGAATCCATAACCTCATCCCCAAAAGCCGACCCAGTAATGACAATTGCATTACCATCATCCGTCATTCTGTTTTTGTCACGTGACCAAGTAGGTCATAGCCGCCGCGCATCAATTTTCGGCAATAACCGGGAAACCTGATCATCAACTCCGCCATTTAGAATCTTCGATGTCCCGTAACATAAGTTAGGCAACTACGCGGAGTCAGTCCCTGTGTTCGTCGACGCCAGACATCGCCGTTCGGAGTATCGAGCTGCATCTGTGTTTCTTTCGAACCTACCCTTTGTTGCCATCCTGAAAGAAACCCATACGAATGTGGTAGAGGCCTCAGCGAGGCCTTTAGATCGACATGGCAACCGCGTCTCCTCCGGAGAAATTGAAACCCCGGATAAGGGCATTCAAGGCATGCCAACGTTGCAATCACAGGAAGGTAAAATGCGATGCCGCTCAGACTGGTTTGCCGTGCACTCGCTGTAAGGTCGACGGAATTCAAGACTGTGCATTCATCTCTTCCCGTCGAGGCACTTATGATCGCTGGCGGTCGCTAAAACCGCAGTCCCGGACACCTCAAGCAATGTCCACGACAGACTCCCGCCTTGAAAGTGTATCGCCTGAACGAGATAGCCTTGGGGGCTCGGCAACGAGACAAGCTGCGAACAATGGCCTTCCAACTGCTCCGAGAAGCAATGCTTTGGCGGTGGGCTTCGAAAACTTCCTGAGGCAGGGCGACTCAGACGTGGAGGGACTGGTCGGCAAATATGGACTCGTCTTACTGGGGGACTCCTCTCCACTGACCTTTGCACTCAAGGAGCTGCAGCCTGACAAGAGGGACAGGCGGAGCAGTGGCTCCTCGGAGGCCATCAACAGCAACCAGGCTTCAAGCCCCCGTCGATCAGGTCACCCCTCACACCTATCAGCCGCTGATCTGACCTATATGCAAGCGAAAGGCGCCCTGACTGCACCGAGCACTGAATGCCTGACTGCGTTGATCCAGGCGTTCATTGACAAATTCTACCCGCTGTGCTCCATCGTGGATAGGTCTGAGTTTATGCGACAACACCAATCCCGAAACCTGCCGTGGATCCTTCTACAAGCGGCCTGCCTCATCGGCGCCACATACTGCGATGCAAACGTACTCAAGAAGGCCGGCTTCAGGTCCAGACAGGCTGCACGACGCTTCTTCTATGATAAAGCCAAGGTGTTGTACGATGTAGGCTACGAAACCAACAGTGTCGTCCTGTTGCAAGCTATCGTCATGCTCACCTTTTGGGGACCAGACATGAAGGGTTATTGGAACCCTTGCTCGTGGATCGGCGTTGCAGTCACTATAGCCGAGTCATTGGGCATTCACCGTTCAGCAGGCTATTCTACCTTGCACAAAGATAAAGGCTTGCTGAGAAGATTGTGGTGGACCATTGCAGTGCGAGACGCATACTGCGGAACTCTCCTCGGCCGGCCATTCAGAGTCAATATGAGTCACTCTGATGCACCGATGCTGACCAACGACGACTTTGGTCCGGATGGCGATACATCTACTGGCTCTGATGACCCATCCCAGCTCTACATGCAATATCAGATCCATTTTGCAAAGCTGTCTCTCATCTTACGACGCATTGTCAACACACGCTTCAACATCGGCCTCGACTCGACCACGCCTGAGACTCTCAGGGACTTACTGGTTCAATGGCGGTTCGATGTGCCTTCGTCAATCAACTGGCCAGACTATGGCGTCTCAACTTCGATTTTTGCAGAATGCCTCAAGATCTTGTACCACCATCATCTAATTCTCATTTATCTTCCACGTGGAGACTCACCAAATATCTCCACTGCTGGATTGGCCGACGCAGAGGCTCCGACGTCCGAGATTGCCGAGTCCGCGGCTCAAACCATAGCCTCAACATCGCTTAATTTGATGACGAGGTCTATGGTGCATTCTCTCCCGCAGGAAGTATTCCCAGCCTTTTTCGTCGCTGGGATCGTTTTCTTCCGGCTTATACGCAGGTCGCAGCCCCTGATCGCTCAACTGGGCCAAGCCGCCCTGGACAATTGCCAGATAGTCCTCAACGAAGTGCAAGATTGCTGGGAACCCGCCTTTTGGGGCATGAGGATCTTCGAATTCCTTCTTGCTGGGCTCAAGAAGAATGCCAGATCGGAGACTGCCACAGCCGAAAGACAGGACATCATCACGTCGCTGAGCAAGGGTGTAGATTTGGGGACGGATCAGTTAACAGAGAACTCCGCCAGCACTCATGACAGCTTCGCCTTGCACAATACCTTCGAAATGGGTCCGGCGATCCACAATCTTCGAAAAGCGGCTCAGCAGGATACAGCCTTGACAACGCAGCTATTTGATCGATTTCTGGACCCGGCCAACTATCTCATCATGCCAACATCTTTGGGAGGTGATCAGGAAACCTTTGATTTTGAAATGGCGGAATGGTGATCCATGATTAACGCGCCTTGAAAATTCGATTCTTAGTGCGGTACTGGGACAACGGCCCCGACCATGGTGCATCTACCAGCAACTCAGAAGTTCGCCAGTTGTACAGGATCTCACTCGGCGAGTATCTCGTCTAGAGCAAGGCTGTGCAAGCTATTGCATCTGCACGCGAACACATCTGAGCACCCCCATGCGCGTACAGCACGTTCCTCCCAGTATAGTTTTTGATCCTGCTTGCAAATTGAAATCTGGGTGATAAAACTCGATAATTTGTGGGCTGGCAGTACTGTCAACATGTAAAGTGGATTGATGTGCGACGGAGCCATTGGTGATGTAATATTACTCTTAAGAATGCACTTGGCGGCCCAACTGGGTTTGCGCCGAGTAGTAAGCCATACGAAGACCGAAGGAGGGTGATCTTTCGAGTATCAAGAGGAAGCGTAGGATTCGCAGTGACGAGGCTGAAAAGGACAGAAGGGCGCGAGAGAGTAGTACGTCACGTTTTGGTGAATGTCGTCTCGATGATTTGATCCTTCTTGGGCCCACGGACCTCATGCATCATACTCCAGGATGAGAGTCGGTCCGTGGTATGGTCTGTGGCCGACATCTCGAAGACGTAAGAGCTGCTGTAGTAGTCCTCGACGCAGAGGTGTCCCCCTTGACCGCGAAGAACTATATCGTGTTCAGAATTGGAGCCGTCGTGGTCGTCGAGAACCATATCAACCTTGTGGAACAGATAGTCAATCTTATCGGTGCCTGGCTTTGTAAACCAGATACTTATAGTATCGACGCCTCCTGACTGCTGTAATCGCCAGATATACTGCCGGGAGAAGGAGAATTTCGGAACACTTTTGTTTGGAACTGATGCGGGGGTGTCCATCTCGAACTCGCCCTGCTCACGGTAAAGGAGCTCAGCATCGGCAAGCTGCAGCTTTCCGTCGGCGTCAATGGCCGGAGATGGTTGTGTCTCCGTGAAAGTGGCTTTGCCCTTGCATTGTCCAGACGGCTCTGAAGCATTTGCGCTTCGTAACTTCCGATCCAGAAGCCAAGTACCTGCAAGTTCTTTGAAGAGGCGCTGTATCAATGCGTGCTGCGATGAGGAGCTCGGATCGTCCTTCTGCATGGCGTCTGAGTCGTCGCGCGGTGTCTGTCAGACGTGCAGGTGGCTGATCAGCGGATGCTCGCTCGTCGTGTGATGGACCGTGAATGCTGTATGTACATTCAGAAGGAGATGGCGGCTATGGCGAAATGGGGAGATTGCCTTGAGCGAGGTTCAGGTTCCTAGGTACAGGTACTTACTAAGCTGCTCGTGGCTGCTCCCACTTTTCCCGCCATCATACCGCTAGCAGGCTAGTATGGCTTCATTTAGGCACGCCTAGGGTACCGAGTTACGGGACTAACTTAGGTACTCCGTTACCCAGCCACGAGGATGCCTAGTTTGCCTAGTGAGCCCCCATCATGCCCCTACAGGGTCTGACACCTACTGTACAGTACCTAGGTGGGCACGAGTACTCCGTAGGCTCCCCGGAGATGTTCCATCAGGGGTCACCATGCGGTTAGGTCAGTGGCTGAATATGACCCTCCCTCGCCTCCCGGGCAGCTTGGCGCCCAGTGATTGGCAAAAGTGGGAAATACGTCACAAACAGTAACTAGACTTGTTCACAGTCTCCTCCTTCGGATACTCGGCGAGGTGGTTAACGCCTTACTCTTTCAATGGAGTTTCGTCAGGCAGACTCTGTCCGTTTCCATCACTGGTCGCGGCCTTGACTACTGGAGGTATTGCATTTCGGAATGCTATCGGGTTCAGAATGGCGGATTCCGATGCCAAACCCCATGATGACCAGATACACGATACGGAGCCATCCCCAACCTCAGGTAATAAACGGCGGAAACGCGCTGTGAGGGCCTGCGATGATTGTCGCTTCCGCAAGATCAAATGTGATGGTCTCTCGCCTTGTGAACCTTGCCGCCAGGGAGGACGAAGTGAGTGAACGATATCTGCATTACTCTAATCATGGCATCTTAACAATCATACGCAGTTTGTACATACACCTCAACAGTCTCGCGCAACACTGATCCGCGTCTGAGAGCCAGAGTCCTTGAGGATCGGCTCCGTGTTGTCCGGGCAAAATTGGAACAGATCAAGCTTGGGAATCTCTCGCTCGAAGATGCAGACCTCGACACCGTCCTCAACACTCGCGACGGTGGCCTTCTGCCTTCCGACGACACCTTCATCCAAGAAACCACCCCCACTGACGACCAAAACAATGGCCCAATGCTGGACAGCATGATGAGTCGCTATGGCCGCGTGGAATCTGGCGATCCATGGGCAGCCAAGTTCTACGGTGCACCTTCAGGTGCTGCATTCCTCCACCGACTGCATGAGTTTTTCGGAACCAGCAATAGCCCTCCCATCGCCTCAAATGACTCGTCGCCATCCGCCATATCTTTGCTATTTGACGCTCCATTGCCTACTGATCGCTCTCTGGACGATGCACCACCGATTGAGCCCTTGCTACCTCACCGAACAACCGCTGCTGCTTTGATCTCTGTTGTCTTTGCACATGCATACCCGATCTTCTTGTTTCTCCACGAGCCGACCTTTCACGAGATGGTCGACCGGATCTACACCAAGGATCCGGTCCAGTACGATCGTGACGACCGTGCTTTCCTTCCACTGTTCTTCCTCGTCTTGGGCCTCGGGTATCTCTTCAGTCAGTCCGAACATCAGAAGCACGGGTGTCGACAGGCTGTTAGTCAGGCGTAAGCGATCCCGTCCCTTCCCCCCAAGATATCTTTCTGCTGACGGAGAGACAAAAGCATGAGACACTACCTTGCGGCGCGCAAGATGGTCGATATTACAGCTTGTCGAGACCTACGGTCACTCCAAATTTTGTTGTGCTACACTCTATTCCTGATCTCAACGGCAAGAATGGCCTCCGCTCATGCCTTCCTTAGCCTGGCATGCTCGTCTGCCCTAAGGTTAGGTCTACACCACCGGTCGACCCATGACACTGCGCTCTCCCGGCGAGATCGTGACACCAGAAGGAAAATTTTCTGGACCATCATCAAGCTCGACATGTATCTGAGTGCAGTCTTGGGCTTGCCGGCACTGATAGACCTGCGGGACGTCGACCCCGCCATCGACTTGACCATAAATGAGGCCATCCATGAAGCGACCTCGGGCCTCCCGAATCGAGAAGCCATCCTGCTCGGCGGCTCGGCCAAACATTTGGAAATCATGCGCATAATTTCCAAGGCCATCAAAACACTCTATCCGATGCCCTCAACAGACAATGACATACCTAATAAAAGTGGCAATATCTCCGTGAGTATAAGAAGCCTTGAAGAAATCGAGGCACAGTTTCGTGCTTGGGGTGAAAGCACCTCTGAGCTGTTGGCGAAAGGAGACGATGGCTCCGCGGATTTCGTGCGGTATGTGTTCCAAGACCTCTACCCCGTTCGCTCTTGCTCTTGTACTCACATCAGATGTGCAGGCTGAAATATGAGTTGGAGATGACGTCTTTCTTTGGTAAAATCGTTCTCTACCGCCCTTTTCTACACTATCTGGCCAAATCGTCCGACGGGCGCCCGACGGCTCAGAAGGCGTCGCAGCGGGCGCTCGCGTGCATCAGAATTGCCTCGACGGCCATTACTCGATCCGAGGCTATACAGCAGCTGGGTCTGCTGCGCCCAGCATCATGGACGTCGATTTACACGACTTTCCTGTCTGTGGTCTGTCTGGTCTTCCTGATCGCTACGAGGGAAGGCACGACAAATCCAATCGAGGCGTGGCGCAAGGCAGAGAGTGGCATATGCCTGCTAGCGTCGACCACATGCCATGAGACTGGTTCCAAGCAGTGTCTGGGCATTTTGAAGGTGAGTCGGTCTCTATTGCAGGGGGCGCCCATGGGGAGTCTTGAGTCTCCTTTTGGGATTCGCGAAAATAACGTTGTGTCCAGGAACTTGTTCGTTGTCTGTCTCACACGGTGGACTTCGACATCAATGAGATCGAGGCCACGACCAAGCGTGTCTGCTCCATTCACAGTCCCATCGAACAACTCGAAATCCGTGCCGGGAGACCTGAGGCGCCCGGTCCTATGCCACAAGCCTCCGCGTTCACGGGACCAGTTGAGGTACAGGGCCTTGTCGATGAGGCCATAGGTGTGCCCGGACCCTGGTCGATGACGGGCTCGCAGTTACACTTCCGGGGTCAGCAACCCGCAACTAGTGTGCAGCAAGACGCCTTCCCATACGATCCAACCATCTCACTTCCGGCGCTGAGCTTCCCTGCCATGGACAGCAGTGTATGGGATCCAAGCGCGCAGGATATTAGCCGAGTAAGCATTGACCCCTTTCACTTCCCGTTCACAGGGGTGAATGGGAGCTTAGCCCCCCGGTTTGCCACGAGCGTCGCCATCGCTGACAATCCGATTATAGGCGACGACTGCCACCACAGCTGTCAGTGATGAACTGGTCGACGTTCCTACATTACAGCATTTCAGTTGGCCTCACGACGGGATCACCGAGAATTATTTCAGTGATATGCTTGGATCTACTGGGCTTGACAGAAGATCTTAGACCGAGTTTCTTGCTGTCTGAACACTATCACGCGATTGTTCCAAAATGCTTGGTCGCAAATGTGTATTGAATATCGTACAAGGCGGAACTTGCAGCGCAATGTCTTCCAAGAACTACAACTTCGCTTGGAGAGTTCTGCAGACCTGTTAGGAGTAATGACAGGGTCAGCATTTTTAAGTTGCCTTCGCCTCGCGCCTTGTCAACTGTATCAGCCAAGGCTGAAATAAGAACAGAACTGATTTCAAAAAGCCGAAACGTCATTCTGCACGGCAGGGGTGGCTTCGTTTGATATTTTTAGGTTCTCGTCGAGCCAGAAGTTGTCGTTGCCAATGGTGGTGGAGTCCGTGGGGAAAGCGGCCATGCCGGCAGCGGCAGTGAGGTCTTTGACGTCAAGGGTGTCCAGGAGATTTGCGGAAGGGCTGAAGCAAGTTGCAGCAATGTCGGACAACTGGTCTGTCCAGCTTGACATTATCGGCCAAGTGTCGCTGCTCTGAGAGTCGCTTGAGTTGCGAGAGATAGACGGGGGCTCAAAGGTAGTGTCGCAGATCGAGATGCCGCCCTCACTTGGGGATGTGGTCTGTTTCGTTGTGAACTCCTATAAGCCATTGGTGTTTCTTGTTAGCGGGAAATTCCTTGCTTGAACTAGGGCCTTGTATGTGACTGGGTTTGTGTGTCTGCAAACGTACCTTCAAGACGGCAGCGCACCTCTCTGCAATGAAGCTCGTACTGCTCAGCTCCGTGAACAGCCACACAGCCCAGTTGACCGCCTCCCACGCCTCATCTACCGTCGCGCCACCCTCGTTACTTAGAGCGAACATGAGCAGCGTCATGGCTGAAAACAAGGTCATGAAAAGACTCAGCCAGTAGGGAGCAACAGCGTAGCCTCGCTGATGCAGTTGGCGTACGATCCAAATCACCTGCATCGCTGCTTTTATGCAAGATGATGCACAAGCGTACGACCGCATCTCTGCTTCCGATCTTGCTTTGGTGCCCATGATGTGGTGCAGAAAAGGTCTGTACAAAACCAGCTGAACATGTGCATACGCCAGCCTGAGCCGCAGATGGACGCTAGATGCAAAATTAGCAGTGTACCTCGTAATTCTTCGCAGCCCTTGTGTGAAACCTACCAGATCTGGTCGTATCCATAGGATCCATTTTCTTCCGACATAGAAGGAAGAGCCCCGTACCATTCAGCGAGCTCGGCCTCGATCTGCGAGAGTTTGGCCCCGTCAATGCGTCGGTATCGATTCTGTTCCGAGGCCTGGATGTTTACCGGGCACAAGAAGTCAGCCACCTTGGACATGATGCGAAGGAGTCCGATGTGGTGGTTGACGAGCGATAAGAGGGGCAAAGAGGGTGGTGCTACCGAACTATTCTGCTCCTGGACGGTGTCCTCGGCTGCAGAATTGCTAGGTAAGACTTGATCGCAGACGCTATCCGGCATGGTGCGTGGCAAACCCAAGACATTGGAAAGGTAAATATCCATGGTGCATAGAGTCCAGTACACACGCTTCCTCGTCTCAACCTGTGCGTAATCGAACGAGATAGGAGTGTATTCCCGATGGATGCCCATCTGTGCGGCGGACCCTGCAGCCAGTGCTAGATATGAATAGCAATGTGACAATCTCCCCGAAGCTTGAAGGTACATGATCACGAAAATGACAGCTTGCATTGTCGTGAGATCTCTGCACTGAGTCGGGTCGATCATTGCATGAGCTATCTGGAAGTAAGTGTGACTGTCTGGAGATCAGAGACTGTTCTGGCAGCGCAAGGGCAAAGGGCAAAGGGCAAGGGGCTCGGGAGTAAACTCACTGAGCAGATGTGTTGATTTCACTTCTTTCTTGTTGGCCAAAGACGAAAAGAGATCCGACCGCCAGCGCTGCATAGAACAGCGCGAGAAACTTCACGTCTGCCTCCCCGTAGTGGTCTCTATCGGTGCTGTATATGCGCTCAACCATCTGGTCGAAAGAAGCCTTGTCCACAAAGGTCATAAGGCAGCAAGCATCGTTCAGAGCTACAGTGGCAAGATTTTGAGCGAGAGCCTTTTCCGGTAGAAACCACTGAATAAGAGGAAATTGTCTGCACCATGGGACTGATTGGTCGAAGATCTGTGTAGTATCGAAAGTAGTATATTTGGTCCCGGCAGGCACAAATTGACGACAGTATGCGTGGACCCGCTCTAAGAGTGTGAGGCCAGCGTAATGGCCATGGTAGCTATAGCTTCCGTGCCTGTCTTGTTGGAGCAAGCCGACCCCGTCAATCATGGTTTCTAGAAACCCCTCTGGCGAAGCATCTTCCTGGGCTTCGATCTCTCCACTCGACGAAGGTGAGAGCAGTGACGGTCGGCGTAGCTCTGGCAGATCGGATACTGGTAGTTCCTCACCCACCGGCACGAGTTGGCTAACTAGCTCTGTCAGTCGCTTATTCTTGGTCTCCAACGCCCGGACATAGTCGGCCATTGAAGCCCTTGGGCATCGAGGCTGATCGTAGGTGCATTCTGAGAGCACGTCAGTTGTCTGCTCTGGACAGTTACAACGTTCAACAGACCTCTGCTACCCTCTTCGCACAACGAGCAGGGCTTTTCGCCGGTACATTTCGTCTTTCTTGCTCTGCATTCATCACAAGCTCGCCTTACTCGGGGCTTCTTTCTTTGTGAGGGTTGTGTTTCGTCGCAAGAGCTCTCGCTTTTTCTCCTCGTTCCCATTTGGACGATATGGTGGACACAGGAGTAGTTCGATTGTCACGGTTTCAGTTAGGTAGTTCCCACAACATACTTTCCGTAGGAGTTGAAAAACATCATATATATGTACTTACCAAGATGCGAATGCTTTGCATCTTACATCATGTTTGTTGAGGAAAGGGCGAGCCAGCCTTGGCCCAAACAATAGAAGTCGCAGTGCCGATCCTGCAGACCCTCGTCATGTCTACGTGGACTCTTACCCATTTGTAGTGCGTACAGGCGTCGCTGCACCGGTACTCAGATCCCAAAACAACTTTGCCATGTGGCCAGGACGGGATTGACGGGATCAGAACCAGCAAAGCTTAAACGGCTCTTGGGCTTCCTGTCGTTGTTTGACTGGGGACGCAGGCTGGAAGCGAACACTGGGGTGACGTACTGTGGAGTGCCCGAGTGCTATTCAGTACCTGGTTCCTTGGCCGATGGGGCATGACCGCCACGAATAACGGTCCAAAAGAGCATGCTGTTTCTTCCGGATATGCATCAATTAACCGTTTTATCTCTGGGACGCCCGGCATCGTCTACGAGGTATCAACCTCTCCGGACCGTTAGTAGTATTCTTCCAGTAGTGCGCTGATAGGCTGGCTGATACTGGCGTGAGCTTCGACAGTGCACGAAGAATGAATAGTACAGTTGCTTTGCGGATTCAACTGCCCACCTGGGATTCCGTGCGACCCGTGTGCCTGGGACCTCGAAAGCACAATTTATGCAACGAATGCAAGCGAGCGTCGATCCACCTGCCAGGCAAGCGGCAAGAAATGCCTGTAGAAGCTTGAATGGTCATTCGGTCCTATGATGTTGTCGGCATCGTAATCCGGCGTCTTCGCCTCCTCCGGCAGGCTTACCATGGGGACGGGATCGTATTCTAGTAGTGTACGAGTATGGGCTAGTTATATAATAGTAAGCCGGTTTTGGCAAGTGTTGACAGGATCTACACTGCACCTGCCAGGCATGATTGTAAGGTGGCTTGATGGTAAGGCGGTCCGCCTTGCCGGAGAGAAACAATACTCACGAGGTACGATTGTGGAAGGGACGCGGATGGATATATGTATGACCTTGCCATATGGAGTACTCCAGATCGAAATTCAATATGGAGGTCCAGGTGTTGGCATCCGATATATGATTATGGTCAAGTAGAACCAGATCGGAACTTCACTCCATTCCATAAGTTTGCCATTCTTCCCATGCCCCCCGAGCATGGCTCATCTTCTGAGATCCTACCTTGAGATGTGACCGTTTTGTTCCGAGTTTCGGACGCAGTCGCAGCCCTAGTACTAGGCGACGGCTTGGTATGAACCCTTCTTCAGACCCTTTGCGCGTCTCTGGTTCACGTTGCAGAGGTCTGGACGCCAGGCCCTTATTCTTCCCACCAGCACATGTCTGGTGAAAGAGAACGCCGGTTGCCACGACAGAAGTCGGGACAGTACGATGAACACGGACTAACTCATTAGCTCGTCGGAAAGGGCCATCATGGCTTCAAGACGCGAGACCTGTACACGTCTGAGCATGCCGACTAGCCGCCGGCTGGCATATCCGGGAACCAATAGAAAAGCAACCAGCAAAGCATGTCACTGGCAGTATGGTGTTGGCCACCGTTGGCAGCGCACCTGATGGCACTATGATCCATCGATTTTGTTGTGCATACGCGCAGACGTAGCCGGCGTCCTCTGCGCGCGGCATACGGGACCAAAAGACTCATCAAACATCTCTAGCAGGAGGAAATGAAGCACGCCTGCGAAAGCAGGTGGTAGCGACCACAACGAGAGATGTGCTTTCAGCTGCAAAGGGCATCCAGAGATTCAGATCCGTGCTTGTCATCTTGATGCTGCCGTCAGCCACCAACGCCATCCCGTCCAGATAGTCTGCTGGGTCTGGTCCATTCTCAGATATCTGACATCAATTCCGGTAAACATGGGTCTCGGAATCGTGAGTGATCGCAAGAAACAATACAAGGACGACGGTGGAGTCTGGTCCGGTGGAGAAATGAGAACGTACTGATCTCTTTCGTATAGAATATCCCAACCGTCGCGGCCTCTTCTCGATCAGTGCCAGCCTTCACTGAGGACGGTCGTTGGATCAACGGGACCACAGAAAGCAAGGACAAAGGGTGAGAGCTCAACACTTCCCCTCAACAAGCAATAGTGCTCTTCGCCTGTTCTTAGTAAACGTATACCCAACCACCATTACCTGCGCCCACTGTTCTCGAGATTGTCTCCAACGCTTAGCCGGTGACATAAACACCGGCCATTTGAGCCGACCGATGGTTCGTATGTGCTAGCAGTTCGGCCCTCCTCTGATGCTGTTTAGCAATATGGAATCATTCCACATATAGGCCGACTGCCCAAGTGGTCATGCCTATCTCACTTATTTGCCGTACCCGGACTAATGCTCGATCTCACCGTCAGCGTCATAGCTGCAGCCGTTTGTGAACTGGGAGATACGAAGCAACAATGTCGAGGCTTTGGAATGCTGCACTCGTGCAAATTGGATATCAACAGTACTAGTAGCTGCGGAAAAGGCAAAGTATGAACAGTGTCAATCAAGCGCAACAGCTTCGGAAAGCACGGGAAAGTGATTACTTGGCGAACAGCGGGTCTCTTCTGCATGAGCAGCGACCTTAATCTGTTCCTGTCGGGTCAAGCATTTTGCTGCATGACACCGATGACGGCCTGCAGAATGACACGGGGGTGAGAACAGAGCAATGCAAATTTGTGCCAGAATACAGTCGGATGTGTGCAGGTTGGGCACGAGGCTGTCCCGCCGAATCACACTGTGTCAAAAGGTCTGTTCGATGTAATAGGTACACCACTTTTGGTCGGGCAGAGAATATATGCTTCATTTAGGTAGCTACCTGTAGGTACACAGTACTCCGTAACAAGAGGGCGGTCACTGAGGCAAGCTTCAAATACAGGCGCTGTGAAGGCCAGTGGCAGGAAGCAAAGATTGTCAAGCCGTTGGCTACTACCGTAGTATGGATGTACTCCATAACGGATGATCCGCGCCCCTGCAGGCATCAATGGCGACCAGGCTGCTTCTGGATTTTTGTCGAGCAAGACACAGTGACTTTGTTTGGGGCCTGTATGAGCGCTGCTGTGTCAAGAAATGCCAGGTGTCATCCATCACTTCCCCTTGAAAAAAAATATCGATGATACTCTTCTCCCACACCAATCTCTCACATTCGGCAATTAAGATACCTAATGTTGTACGGAGTATCTGTCCAATTGCACGAGCAAATTCCCCGGCCACTTTGCTGCTTCTATCCATCCACCAGATCTTTAACCTTAATCAAATGCTGTGCAAAAGGTCCCTGGCATGTGCCTGACTTGCAGGGTCTTTGGGGCTCAATAGGATCCCCATCCCCGCGCCCAGCCTACCAGCTAAGTTAACTTAGTGAGCTCAGCATGTCCATGTCTCGTTGTGCTAACTTCGGTCACCCCTACCTCCTCGCCATCTATCTGTCTCTCTATCTCTCTCACAACGCCCCCGCCTGCTGAACAGTCACTCAATTGAGTTGCTGGCAATGTGTTTGAGTATGCCTCCAGGGCGCCGCTAGGTATATATATACTCCTTCAGTACACCCTCATCACGCGACTCCACCGTGGGCTACCGTCTCCACACAAATCGCGCCCGCGGCTTCATTGTATTCGAGATGTCCACCTTGAGGACATCATGCTCTCTCCTCCTAGCCTTCGCGACGATCGCGCTCCTCCAAGTCGCTGCTTCACAAAGCATCGTTCCGACGTCCAGTTCGAGCACATTTCCTGCCTGCGCGGTCAACTGCGTGGTTCTTTTGCAAGCACAAAGTGCATGCATTCCACCAAACGTTGCAACCACAAATGACCTCACCTACGAGAATTGTTTCTGTCAGAGCAGTCTCCTGGGGGCTCTGTACAGCACACCGGACTCTATTTGCACAGCAGAATGTACTGTCGAATCCGACAGGTCGCAGCTACAAACATGGTTTCAGGGGTTTTGTTCTCAAGTCGGCCAGGGCATTGATCCCCTAACGACAACGGCCTCCCCGACGCCAACGGCTACGACAATAGTGACAATCACAAGTTATTCCACACCGCCACCCGCAGCCTCGAACACTGGGACGGGGAGCGCTTCGGCGCCGGCTGCGGCGGCAAACAAGAGCTGGTAGGGCGGATTGCAGATGCAAACTATTCCTAATCATAAGGGCTGACGAAATTGCAGGATTGATACCCATTGGAAATGGATCCTTATGGTAGCCATCCTCATCGTTGGATTTGCGCTTTTGACTTGGGCCGCAATTTGGCTCAAGCGACGACACCGGCGGAAGCTCGAGGCACGCCGGGCGACGATGTCGGGCCTTCCCACTGTGGATGAGAAGAGAGGAACTCGTGCTGCGACTCCGGACCTCTGGGGACCTCATCAGGTGGGTGTACGCCACTCGTAAGTTTGCTTTAGCTAATTGTTGGACCAAGCATATGCATCATACGCGCGGTTTTGAGTATCCTGACGCATTCATCACGGGTAGCGGTGCCCTTGCTGCCAACGGTGATCGTGACAAGAGGCGATCGAGGAGAGTGTCGTCTTCCCAGAGCAACAGCCACGGCCGCACTGAGACGACAGAGCTTGCGGGCAGGCCACCTGCATCCCGAAGACAGTCATCGAAAGGCAAAGCAAGAGCTAGAAATTCGACAGCAGATATCCATCCTGCACTTGATCCCGCAGCCAGAGATCGAAGCAGGAGTCAGAGGCGGAGGGGCCCGGAGAGCGATCAGGAGCAAAATGGCGACCCAAATCATGAGCGAAGACTTCGCGAGGTTAGAGGCGCACGCCGCAAAAACAATGACGACCAGATCTGAAATAATAATCTATGAAATGCTGACACAATAAATCTCCCTCCGACAAAAGCTGAGACCTTGTTTCCTGTGGCGTGAGCCATTAGCGAAATGCTATCGATCTCGATTCATCCTGCAGGTTGTGGAGCAAAGTCTGGAAGCAGACTTTTCCAGTATCTTCTTGAGACTTTGAGGACCGTTTTGCTGTATGAACAAGGACGGCGCAAGTGTCCCTGTTCACAGTAACTCAGCCTTGTCCCATGGTCCTACCCTGATATCCGATCGCTGGCCCTGACCCTACTCTCGAAAACCCCGTCCATGTATCCCACTCAGCATGATCGTCGTAATAGTATCATGTAGAATCAAGTCTATGAGCCTCATTGTTTTGATGTTGAAGGCTGGCGAAAAAAGGGTATTCTATCGGAAGCAAACACGTTTGTCTGACGTCTCGCTTTTATATGGTGACCAAACTGACGGGGAGTAAATATAGTGTGGGCTGGCCGTCAGACCAACCTGCTTTTTGACTTGATGAAGAGGATCCTTGATTTCATTGTATCTACCTCTCGCACAATCGTCCCATTATTCCGCCAACTTCTACGACGCAAGGCTGAACGAGAATGCTTATGTGCTACCCGACGCAGTAGGCGCCAAATGATCGCCTTCTGCACGGTGCAAAGCGCAGTAAATGAAGCATGTCCCTTCCCAAACCTGACTGCTCCTTTGTCATTCCTAGCATTCACGACGACTTGGAACTCGATAGTCGCATATACTACCCAAGACGATCTGAGCGGAACCACGAATTATTTGGCCGGAGCTTCGCTATCTTCGCACACCCCTATGCGCCGCTTGGCGGTTGCTATGACGATCCACTCGTGGGGATAGTTGGCAGCGTGCTACTACGACAGGGCTTTGTACTCGTCACTTTCAACTTCAGGTGAGCTTACCCTTCGAAGGGCCCTTACGGAGTAATTCGGTCTGATATCGTGGCTGGCAGGGGGGCATCTGGCTCGGCGGGGCGAACAACGTGGTCTGGGAAGGCGGAACTAGCTGACTACGTCTCTGTATATGGCTTCGTGTTGTGCTGCATCGATGCAGTCTTCCGTAATGTCTCGCGTGTAGAGACAGATGTCTCGGGAACAGATACAGATGTTCCGCGTCTATGTGCATCTGACTCGAGGTCGGAAGCAGCTGTTCCGGATACATGCAGAAACACTCAATCGCCTATCCTCATCCTGGGAGGATACTCGTACGGTTCGATGATTGCGGCTCATCTGCCTTCCCTGGGCACAATGACGGGATTGTTCAAGGAAGCAAAGCCGGGGTCGGCGGAGTGCGAGATCAGGGCACGTGCGAGGGACTTGGGCAAAGATATCAAGGCCTACTTTGCGATGTCTTCATCTGTTATGACTCAGACTGTGCCGGAGGGAAAAGAACCGGATCAGACTACTCGTGATAAGGACACGAGGTTGAAGAGCCCGAACCATAGCCGGAGTGAGAGTCGGATCGTGACCATGGGAGGGTACGAGTCAGATGCAGCCGGCCACCGGAGCAGCCGAGAAAGGCCGAGGAGAAGCGGCGACGGGGATCGAGCGAAAGAGGGTATCGAGAGGATTCGTCGAAAGGTCAGCCACAGAGAGCATCGCGTACAGCACCTTCCTACTACTCCCTCCACACCCATGGGAAAGCCTCAGGCCGTGTCGGTGGACTTGGCGCCGATACTACCATCGATTGCATACCTGCTGGTGTCGCCGCTCTTATCCACAGTTGCTGGCTTCACTACAATGTTCTCGAAGTTGAAATTTACCCCCAGGATGGGCGGTACTGGTCCAGCTCCAGCAGAAGAGTTCCATGAACTTACGACGCATCCTTGCCATTGTCTATACGGCAGTAAGGACGTTTTCACTTCGGATCGGAAGTTGCGAAGATGGACGGAGGAATTGTCAGCTCAACCCGGGTCACAATTCGTTGCGAACAGGGCTGAGACAGGACATTTCTGGCAAGAACCCGAAGCCGTAGTCCAACTTCGGCATGGCATCGCGGAGTGGGTTAAGGGATTGGCATTACGGAGTGATAAGGAGGGAACTGTGAATATAGACGAGGCAGGCTTCGCGCCGACTATGCAGAGCGCAGCGTCATTAGGACCAAGGTAATGGACATAAAGTCCCTCAAGGTACGCGAAAGCTGTAGCTCCAGGGAAACCCGCCATCTGAAGGAGGCATAGACACATCAGTCGACTGTCACAGAAGTGGCTTCGGGGCAGGCATGAGAGTCTGTTTTCTGGCCCTGAAGCCATTTTCTTTGTTCCGAAACGGTAGGACGGCATATCGTTAACGGCCGAGAGATCTTCGCGGTTGGTCGAGTGACTGAAGTTTTGCATGGGATGGCCAGGATGCTGCAGGCAGCCAGATCCGGGCCAGGGATCTCGTTTGGGCTTGGTATTTCGAGCTGAGCAAGGGTGTCACGCGCTCCATCCAACTTATACCGCCCATTGTCCGCGTACATATGAATGGCCGCCGTGGCCACCCACGGAGGCAAAGAAAATGCAATGTGACCTGTAGACGACAGCTTCGACAAGCAAAATGACTTCTCCGGCTTCAAGTTTCTGGGTCAATTGACCAGGACGATGTCATATGAGCCGCCCCACCTTCATTCATTCAGTCATCCATCATCATCCGCCGCACTGTCCAACTTTGCCGGCACCTGGCAATCAACACTGTGTACTCCATACTGTGTAGGCATGCTCGATTCGACTCGTTTGACCATCATCATCATGCCGTCGTTCGACTGGTAGTCTTCTGCCACTCTTCTCCTCTACGGATTCTCGCCATCTCGCCGCTGCCATGCGCTCCTTCATTCTTCACACGGTCTAGTTTATTCCTTTGTTCTTCACTACAACCAGGGCTGTCGCGATTTCAATTGAGCCGCAGCCCCTACCACCACAGCCGCTTGCATTATTGAGGTCACAATCTCTCACCTCTACACTGAGTCGTGTGCGAACCTCTCTATAGAGATCTGTTTAGAGTCTCTTGTCACACTCCTTCATGGCCGCTGCCGAAGCACCGTCATGACCATCCTCTTATTCCCTGTTCCTAGGCATGCTAGTACCCAGCTCTTCTGGTCGTGCGTCGGCATCTACGCCGACGTCGTCAAAATATGCTCACCGAGCAAGAAGTTACGCAGGCTGGCCGAGGAGGTTGCCAGATTCAGCAGGAAGCCGCCCGAGACAGCCACCGAGACCCTCACGAGACGCATGCACCAAGCAACGACCCTCGCTGAATACGAGGAATGCACGGTTGCTCTGGATCAATTACAAGGGCACGAAAGATGGAAAGAAGGGAAAGAGTCTGTGGAACCTGGTTACAACCCCGACGTTATAGACACGCAGATTGGCATGCTGCAGCGAGCCATTGCAACCTCGGATCTCGGCGCCATGCAGCACGTCTTGCGAACTGGTTTGAGTCGAGACCTGGGAGGTATGAACATGTTAAGATTATACAAGCACTCTTGGTTTGGAACGAAATTTTTGATCGACGAATATATCAATACGGTCCTGGACACTATCGACAAGTTTACCGATACCACTATCCACTACAATGTACCTACGGCAGAAGTTCGATTCTATCAACAATCATTAGAAGATGCGCTCAAGTACATGGGACGCTCAGCGCTGACCCTCTCTGGGGGAGCCCTGCTAGGCATGAAACACATTGGCGTTGTGAAAACACTATGGGAAGCCGATCTGCTACCAGAGATTATCTCCGGAGCATCCGCCGGAAGTATCGTGGCAGGGATTATTGGGAGCTCAACGGACGAGCGCATGCTTGAAGTGCTGGAATACTTTCCAAACTCTGATCTGGCCTGCTTTGATCCACCTGGCACTGGCAAGGTGGGATGGCTTCTACAACGAGTTCACAATTATGTTCGCACAGGCGCTTTCTTTGACATGGCAAACTTGAAGAGAGTAATGCAATCCTGGCTCGGCGACATCACCTTCCGAGAAGCACACTACAAGACTGGCCGAATACTAAATATCTGCGTCTCAAGCGCCAGCAGTGCAGAACCACAAATCTTGAACTACGTGACAGCGCCGGATGTCTATGTGTGGTCGGCCGTGTGTGCTTCATGTGCCGTTCCAAATGTGTTCTCACCAGTCAGCATCTACGAAAAAGATCCCATCACGAAAGAAGAAAAGCTCTGGATGCAGAATGCCCAACAGACTTTTGTGGACGGTTCACTGGACCACGACATTCCTATGAGGAGACTGTCGGAAATGTTCAACGTGAATTTCTTCATTGTCTCGCAGGTTAACCCTCACGTTCGAGCATTTCTTGAACCCGAGGAAAACTTTCAAGGCATACAGCCCCAGTCCCCCATGCCACATCGAAGACCGCTTCAAACCGCCAAAGACCTCGTTCGGCAGGAAATCATCCACCGCGCACAACAGATGTCAGATCTGGGCCTACCACAGAACTGGTATCGATGGGCTTCTGTTTTCAACCAGCAATATACAGGTGACATCAACATTCTACCCGAAATCAAATCGAGCGAGTATTTCCATATGATGATGAATCCCACTCCGGAATTCATGGTTGAATCCACGATGGCCGGAGAAAGGGCCACTTGGCCTAGGATGTGCCGAATCAAGAACTGTGTCGCTATTGAGCTTGCCCTGATTCGAGCAATCCATACACTAAGAGATCGCGCGAATTTTGGTCCCGAAGCTCGAGCTGCGCGTGAAGTCAAACGATCGAGCAGCAGAGGGCGCTCAAGACGGGGTCGTTCTGCCCGTCCAGCATTCCTGCGGAGAAGAAGTCTCAGCATCGAGTCTACTGTATATGGTGAAAATGGACTAAGAGCAACAACTCCATTGAGGGTTCGGCGCAATGTCAGCCTTGGGAGCATACCTCTGCAACGCGACATGTCACTGACCTTTACGCCTCGAACCACCCCATATCTTTCACCGCAAGTTGGCATTGACCATGACATGCTGAACGAGGCGCTGCTAATGACCTACACCAACGGTCAGGGCTGATGTTGATGTGTACATCGCATTTGCGGTACAGACTGGACGAGGAGGCATTGGTCTTCACGTGACCTTGTGTTGGGAGAACAGCCATGAGCGTAGATTTTTCGTCTTGATACCCATTGTTGTATGCAAAGAAATTTGTAGCATTATAGAGAAGATAGAATGTCCAAATACAGCTTCTAGAGATTCCGTATGCATGCATGCATCGATATGTGTAACGAAGCCGTTTGCGGTGCGTCTCGAAAATGGGTGGGGAGCATGTGGCGTTGGCGTTGCGCCTGCAACTGCGAATTGTCTTGTCTCTTTTCTCCTGCAGAACCGTGTCTGTGCAATGCCAGATCGCAAATAACAAGGCCACCATGGACAGTGAAAGTCCTCGCCTGTAGTCCGTTGATGGCAAGAGCAGGTTGCTGTTACACAGCTTCACGCCATATGGTGCTTTTGGTCCGACTGTGGCAGAAATGGACCTGAAATCGATGCTCAATGACTCCTCGTCGCAACGACAACCGCCTCGACTTCACACTCCTCAGTCCTCCTACGACCAAGCTGCCGTCCACACCCCAGCTTACGACCCTCTCGAGCGAGCATCCTCCCATCCTCAACCCTTTCCATCTTCCGACTACAAGTCCTCGGCCAATGGCTCCTATTTTGCCGTGCAGTCCCCCCACCAGCAGAACTCGGCCTCCGCGTCAACTCCTAGCCTGACAGGTCAATCGATATATGCGCAAAGTCCTGGACCATATGGACAGATACACACACCACGTGAAGGGGTCGCGCCTTCCCAACCATACCAACAGTCACCATTCGTCCCTTCACCATCATCATCCGGGCCTTACCCTCCCACACCTGGATCCGCTCACCGCCATCAAACACCATCTTCTGCCACCGCGCAACATCACCCTGGTCTTCACACCGCTTTCGCTCATCAATCGCCGCGAGATGACCTGAACTCGAACGGCACCCCGCGTGTAAACCCGCAGACGCTGTCACCTCAGGCTCAATTCCACCCTCCGCCTGCCACACCCTTGGGACCACCAGTCTCCTATCCACGACCATCACCGCATCCACACCGACCTATTTCCCAAGGCCACGAGAGCTACAGAAGGTCATCGGTCGGGTCTGTAGGGTCCACGCAAAGCAGGGATTTCACTCAAGCGCCCTACGCGCACGGGGACCTTTCCAGAAGCGGAAGCATACAAAGAACATACTCGGGGGATGTCAGGGAGCGCGAACGAAGCATCGAGAGCGTGAGTCCCAAGACGATTCCAAGAGCGACTCCCCAACGTCAATCGAGCTCAGTGAGATATCAAGAATCAATGTCAGAAAGTTCTCAGGGCGCACAGCCTGCGTATGACATGGGCGCAATCACACAGCCCCAAGGGACGCCCGACAGAGCCATTGATGCTCAACACCACGAGGCGGCAGCTAGGTCTGTTTCTACACCGGCTGATACGAGGGCTATGCCTCAATACCAGGGCGCAGGACCTCCCAACAGTATGACTCCTCAATCGACCCATTCTTCTCTGCCAGCGCAATCGAGCCCTCCAATTACTGCACAGCCGGCTCTGAAACGAAGTGCGAGTCACATCTCGAGTGTTGCCTCGACGCCGCAACCACGCAAGCGACCTCGGCGGGACGAGATTCCGCTTTTTGCGCAAAGCGCCAGAAGTAGGCCGTTGAAATTCATCAAGGCTCCACCCGTGCTTGCACCTCCGCGAAGTGAACCTGTCATCAAGACCGAGCCGCAGATGCCCAATGGTCAAGTTCAACTTCATGTGACGCCTGTAACCAGCACGCCGCCCGTCGAGGGTCCTTGGGAACCGTCAATCACGAATGTCACACCATTTGAGGATCTGACCCGGAGGATGTGCGATTGGATCTACTCGGTGATTGGTGAGGCATCACCTCCTCCAGGTGGAGCAATGTTTGAGATCGAGGCCAAGCTCGGCTGCATATTTGATGAGCATGCAAGTCATCGCTTGGCTCTACCCGTGGAAACGGAGACATGGTTCAATCGGGACAAATATCGAGGAAAGACTAGTTTCCAGAGTTCGATGAACATGGTAAGTTATGATTTTGAGTTGCTGATATGGCTCGCGGCTAATTACCCTCCTCAGATCCAGCATGAGCTGTTGAACAAATTTCTCAACAATTTGGTCGAAGAATCTGTGCGTGAGTCAGGTCGAACTGTAATAGGGTACAACCATCCTCACGAATACGACGAGTTTTATGAGCTTACCGAGGAAGGAAGACGGAATTTGGCGCCGTGGATTGTGACCTGGCTCAATCCAAGACACAAGCCTCGTGTGAGGAGAACCGTCGATGAGGAGACAGGGCAAGTAAAGGCGCAGATTATCAAGACTCGGATTTCGGACGTCGATATCTATAATCCTCGCGCAGACTTCGATTACAGAGTATCAATCTCGATCGAAAGTCCCTGGGAAGGGGATCCACATTGGCTGACAGAAATGACGGAAGGTGGGCGCGATCGACAGAAAGATCGTATGAGCTACAGACATATGGCATATCAAATTGACCTAACCCAGGTCACTTATCCGAACAGAGTGGAAAAAGAGCACGAGTTGGAAATTGAGATCAGCACGGAACAGATCCGTGTTCAGCTGGCAAACGCGCGGGAGGGTCGACCCAGCAGGTACGAGGAGTTGGTGAAGAGTTTCCTTGATAATGTGAGGATATTATGTCGACAAGGGTCGGTCAAAAGATGAGGCCGTTTCGAGGAGAAATTGCTGCAATCGTAAAGGATGAGATGGTGTGCTTGAAGGAATTGATTTCTTGCGTTTAAGTATGGGAGCTCTTGACATACACCCGCTGATACCCTTGTAATATTATTATTTTCAAGTGTACGGAGTTCCGAGAGTCACGAAGATCCAACTGTTTTACTGTGTTTCTTTATTATGTTGATATCGAAGTAGATTCGTGGTTGGACGGACCCTGATGGACTCTGTGTCACGTGCCCGAGGCTAGAAATTGCAAGTCTTACTAAGGTACCTGACAAGTTGAGTAGTCAGGCTGCACTCTGGTGATGCAAACTGATGCCGCAGCCATTCGCACCGCTAACACGTCAATTGTACCTTTATGCGCGCCGGCCTTTCCATCCCCTGCTCCTCTTCGCCATCAACGAGCCTTCCTCTCCTACAATCTACCTTTGTTTTGTACACTAGATTTTCTTCTTCCTGTGTTCATTACACTCTTTGCGGACCTCGATCCACCGTTTGCGTTGACCTGCGGCTTTTGCCCCTTCTTGCCAGACAGGTCAACAGATCCCGCATCGTCCACCATTTCATCCTGTCTGCGCCTACGCAATAGTACACAACGACCATGGTGGGCTTGGTTTCCGCAGCTGGCTTGGTCGGCTTCCTGTCCGAGCCAGATCCGGAGCTCAAAAGCTTTGCTCTAAAGCAGCTGGATGGCCAGGTCGATTTGTTATGGACGGAAATTGCCAATTCTGTCGGCGAGATGTATGTATCTGCAAGAAGCTGAATCTACCTATCATTTGCTGACACCATCTGTCTAGAGAGGCTCTGTATGAAGATGATACCTTCCCGGACCGCGAACTCGCTGCAATCGTCGCATCCAAAGTATACTACCACCTGCAAGAATATAATGAAAGCATGGCTTTTGCATTAGGAGCTGGAAAATATTTCAGGTTGGACAATGCAGGAGAATACGAAGACACAATCATCTCAAAATGTGTTGATACCTTCATCGCTTTGTCCGCCAGCCGAGATCCTACTTTGGCCGCCGCCACTGCCGGATCGCAGCCTCAGCTTGACACAGCTTTTGGACAGGGAGGGGATGGTGCCGCCAGCATGTCCGCCAGCCTGACTTCTCCGGTTACGCCTTTCACTCAATCTGTCCTGCCGTCGAAGTCACTCCTCTCAAGACAAAATACAGCTGCCTTTGATCCTACGCAAGCTGGTGCCGAAGCTGGCCAAGTTGGCACTCCGGAAGCAATCATTCAACAGCGCGGTCTCCAAAAAGCCTTGACCCGTGTCGTCGAGTCCCTCTTCGAGAAGTGTTTCCAGGAAAGACGATATCGACAAGTGGTGGGCATTGCTCTTGAAGCACGAAACCTTGACATTCTGCGACGGGTCATCAAGCGAGCTGCAGAGGACGAGCGAAAAGAGAATGGCGAAGCTACAAAGAGAGGCGAAGAGTTGATGGATTACGTTCTCGAGATCTGCATGAGCGTCGTCCAAGAGCGAGGACTGCGGAATGAAATCTTGAAACTGATTTTGGAACTGCTGAATGAGATCCCCTCACCAGATTACTTTGCCATTGCGAAATGCGTAGTCTACCTCGATCAGCATTCAATGGCCTCCAACATTCTACGACAACTGGTCGAAAAGGGTGATGCTCGATCATTAGCAGTCGCATATCAGATTTCTTTCGACCTATACGACAACAGTACTCAAGAATTCCTCCAGAAGGTCCGGGAAGAGCTTTCCGAGATGGTACCAAAAGAGGAGCCTTCGTCTGGACCTGATGCGCAGAACACTGACAAAATGGAAGAAGACAAGGCGGAAGATCAACTACAACAAGAATTGCAGGATTCCGCAGGTGCACCTGCACCTTCGAAGCCTTCCAAATTGTCGAAGCCAGAACAACAAGATTCAGTCAAGAAGATCAAGGACATTCTTGACGGTCTTACATCAATACACTTGAACATAGAGTTCCTTCACAAAGCCAACCGGGTCGATTACTCCATATTAACAAAAGTCAAGGACAGCTTGGAGGCGCGGTACTCAATATACCATACGGCTGTCACTCTAAGTGCCGGTTTCATGCATGCCAAAACAGCCACGGACAGCTTCTTCAGACAGAATTTGGAGTGGTTAGGCAAAGCTGTCAACTGGTCGAAATTTACCGCTACTGCTGTCTTCGGGGTCATCCATCAAGGCAATATCAACCAAGTCCAGAGACTACTCAGTCCATACCTGCCGAAAGCCGGTGGTGTCAGCGGTTCCCATGATTCCCCATACAGCCAGGGTGGTTCACTCTATGCTTACGGCTTGCTGTGTGCCAACCACAAGGGCAAAGCTGTTGACTTCCTCAGGGAGAAGTTCAAGGAAGCCACAGAGGAAGTCGTGCAGCACGGTGGTGCCCTCGGCCTTGGTGTTGCTGGAATGGCATCTGGCGATGAGTCCGTCTTCGAGGATCTGAGAAACGTGCTCTGGGCCGATTCTGCTATCAATGGTGAAGCCGTCGGCCTAGCAATGGGTCTTGTCATGCTCGGTTCTGGCAACACCAAGGTCTTGTCCGATATGATCCAGCATGCTCACGATACTCAGCATGACAAGATCGTTCGAGGTCTCGCCGTTGGCATGGCTTTGATCATGTATGGCCGCCAAGAAGGCGCAGATGAGCTCATCCACGGTCTTCTCAACGACACCGATCCTACCATGAGATATGGTGGTATCTTGACCATCGCCATGGCGTACGTCGGAACTGGCAGCAACAAAGCTGTACGGAAATTGCTGCACGTCGCTGTCAGTGATGTCAGCGACGATGTGCGACGTATCGCTGTCCTGAGCTTGGGTTTCATCCTCTTCCGGAAATACAACAGCGTGCCCAGAATGGTCGAACTTCTTGCCGAGTCCTACAACCCTCATGTCCGGTACGGAGCTGCCATGGCTCTGGGTATCTCTTGTGCTGGGACTGGCCTGGCCGAAGCGATCGACCTGTTGGAACCTATGCTTAAGGACCCCACTGACTTTGTGCGCCAAGGTGCCTTGATTGCTCTGGCTATGGTTCTGGTACAGCAAAACGAAGCCATGAACCCCAAGGTCGGCTTAATCCGTAAGCAAATGCTCAAGATCATAGGCGACCGGCATGAGGATGCCATGTGCAAATTTGGCTGTGCTATGGCACTGGGTATCATTGATGCTGGCGGCCGAAATTGCACAATCAGCTTGCAGACACAGACTGGTAACCTGAACATGTTGGGAATTGTTGGCGCAGTGGTCTTCACGCAGTACTGGTACTGGTTTCCTCTTGCGCACTTCTTGTCATTGTCATTGGCACCCACTGCCGTCATTGCCATTGACCAGAAATTGGAGGCGCCTGTCTTCAAGTTCCATTGCAACACTCGACCAAGTCTGTTTGATTATCCTCCTGAGCAAGTAACCAAGACGGACGAAGCTCCTGAGAAGGTCAAGACTGCCGTTCTGAGTACCACTGCTCATGCGAAGAGACGGGCCGCCAAGAAGGAGAAGCAGCAGAGACGGGATAGCATGGACGTCGACACAGTAACTCCTGTCACGCCCAAGATCGATAAGAGTGACAAGAGGGAAACCGACGAGTCGGCTGCCAAAGAGGAGGAGGGCAAGAAGGAAGAGGGAGAAAAGAAAGAAGGAGAAGCACCTGAAGTCAAGAAAAAGGGTGAAAAGGAGAAAGTTGGGTATGACATGCCCAATATGTCGAGGGTCCTGCCAGCGCAGTTGAAGTACTTGACATTCCCAGATCATCGGTACCAGCTCGTCAAGAAGCCGACTGGCGGTGTAATGGTGGTGCTGGACACCGAGCCGGACAAGGAGCGCGAGACAATCCCTCTTCTCGTCAGCAAAGTTGAAGCTTCCGCTGTAGCTCCTGCCGGTCAAGCCGTCGGTGGCGCCACACAGCCAGCTCCAGAAACCCCTGCACGACAAATTACTGGAAGTGGTGCGGCGGCAGCAGCTGGTGTACTGACGGCGATTGACGAGGATGAAGAAGGAGCGGAGGAGGCGCCTTGTCCAGCGGAGTTTGATTACGAGACCGATTCGGAAGAGCAAGGCGAGTGAAGTAATTATGGCTTTGCTCATCCTGGGCCTGTGTAGCGTCATTCCTCTCTCCCTCTCTCCCAGAGGAAAGTCGGCCAAGGATAACAGGGAAGGTCTGCATGACAAGAGCAGACGCAACTGCAGAGGTTGCTCTGACTTGTATTAAAACACCTCGGTACTTATTCTAGTATTGCATTGTCTTCGGCTAGGAGATCAATCATCTTGCTACTTCAACCTGTTTCCCGTGTTTTCGAGCACGAGTATCAATACTGATATTGTATTGTAAGTTGTGGCTTCGACCTAGCACAATCACCATCACCTTAATCGTGCTCCGGGGTATAATTACAAACGGCGCGTAGAGAAGGAGCTTTCTGGCTTTTTGCAAGTGAATGAAGATGGGTGATGGGTATTCTTTTATACAGGGATTGATGGTAGGTGTGTAAGATATATGTAAGAGGTCGTGATGTTTACAAACGGGTGTGAAAAATATACAAAGCAAGATCCAGATCCGGGGCGCTCAAGTTTGTAGCTCCCAGATGCCCGCCTGGCACTGGGAATGCCGAATCACTTTCACGTCGAAATGCTGACATGATCCTTCCTTTCGCATTCGACCGTCATATGCCATGTGCGGCTCGATGGCCATAATCGTGTGTGTCTGGTCTGGTCTGGTCTCGTAGGCCCGCACCCAGCCTTTCATTTTCCCGCTGGTCTGATTCTCAGCCTGGTATCCATTCTTCTCGTGCTAAACCGCTCCTGCTAGTCTCAGCCCAGACATGCCGGCCCTCGGGAGAACAATTGAGGAAGCCGTTTTGCTGTGTCGCCATGAATTCGAATCGAAATCCCGACTCTCAGGAGAATCCGTGTGGGGATCAGCACTTGCAAAAGTTCCGCGTCTTGAGTGTTTAGCGAGTTCGGCAACCAAAAAGGTTCGATGCGAGAATGCGCCAGCGCCTGACCTGATTCTTTTTTGCCCTTGGTGGCAAGCCCCAAGCCCCGAAGCGAGAAGAGAAAATGCATATCTCTCTCTTCTTCTTTTGGTTTCATCACCGTACCCTACAGATCAACATGCCACCCAGCTTCCGTTCCACACACTCCCTAGCCTCCAGTATGCCTCGATCCGTACTCACATACATACATTCGCCGGTCCTCGTCAGCCCTTTTACATAGCCGCTATTCTTCCCCAGGACGAGCTTTGTCAATCCCGACGTGTCCATCCATATCCGCCGCGTTGGCTTGCTCACGAGACTCATCTTCTCCAGCACGGGCTCGCTGTTCCAGTACTTCAGCCCCAGCCACAGGCGGCGACTCGAAATATTGTGCCGTGTCACCGGTTCGATCGGGTGCGCCGGGTCCGACGACGTCGGGTGCGTGAGAAGTTTGTGTGACGGGGGAGGTTCGGCACCGCCGCGGACGACGGATGATATGAAGCCGCTGTTTTGCAGGGCGAGCATGAGAGCCAAGTGGAATTTCGTGTCGGGGATCGAGGTCAGGCCTAAGCGTGCCCGGGAGGCGTTTTGGAGATGGGAGCAGGTGTTGGCGAGGTGGACGAGAGACATATTGCGATGGGAGGCTGTGTCCCAAGGGACTGACGAACTAGACTATAAAGGTCGATTTTTTCTTGCCTACAGCCGCTATCAAGGTTGACGTAAGAAGTGGTAGAGAAGAGAGGGCCGGTTGCGAGTTGATTCTCGTGTAGCTGGCGGTTGATAAAAGAAAGTTGAAGGTCCGTCGAGGAAAGAGGATGATTGGTCTTTTCTGGGTGAGCAAAGCCTTTGAGCGTCGTCTTCTTCGTTTGGGGAGTACCTCGGTAGTCGAGTGCCCAACTGGAAGCTTCGTTGTGAAAGGGTAGCCGATGTCGAGGTTGTGTTGCAGCTTGCAGTTGACCTCGAAGAAAGTTGAAGACCGTCCAAAAAAGCGCGACCAAATGCCAAGGCCGGTCAAGGACCAGGTTGATTGGTGGACAGGATCAGGCTGAGGGTTGCAGGGATAATGGATCTTGCTCTCTCTTACGCTGCTCCGTACAGGACTCGTATGACTTGGCTAATCTATGAAAATGAAAACATCAAATAATACTCCGTGCTAGCCCTTCATACAGATAAGACTGAGAGTTGGACAGGAATAGGTTTCATTGTGAGGTTGGCGCACATGGCGGGCAAACGCTTGCGTTTTGTAGACCCCATCCACCCCATATGGTATCCTCTTCTGTAGACAGCCAGTATGCCCAGAGAAAGGGTCCTGCGAGTATGGCGATATGGCAGATCAGCAAACGATGAAAAGTTCGGTCAATTATTTGGCCACGATTCTACAATGTATACGTCATTTCAGCACCCAATCTTCCTTCTTTTAAGGAGCCATTGAGAGCTCTTCGCTATCCACGCAAGCTGTGAAGTACAACTTCCAAATGTGCTGAGAAGGGCGCCTTCTTAGTCATGGAGCCAGCTAAATGGAGCATTGGTCAATAGCGAATTCCAGAACCTGCCCATCCTAAGGGCGACGTGGTACCTCTTCGAACGATACGGGTCAACGCCTGTCATCTCTGGCGTTCCGGCGGGTGGCCGAGGAGGGTATTTGCACTCTGCGAAATTCAAGGGAACCTCTCTGCCAGGCCCGAATGCTCTGGAATGCAGCGCATCAGACATGCGACTTTGCGTTTGTGCCTCGGTTGTTGGCAAATCCTGAAGGTGTACGAAATATTGAAGGCGCTGTGTCGACCTGGGGAACGGGGCGAAGGGTTAGCTTACCAATGTGGAAAGGTGCTGCTGCAGATTTGATCACTGAGCATGAGGAAGGTACATCTTTCGTAAGTGCATGCTGTTGATGTTCCTTATTGAAGTAAGGAGATATAGAGTTGCGTGGGATACGGACTGGAGACCTGGAGGGAGGAAAACGAGAGCCGTAGGCAGGGCTAGCCTGAGACAGCAATGGGTCACACGCCACTTGTTGACACCTTGTCGACCAGTCCAGGGGCGAGGCCTCAAGATGCACGAGTTGTTTCCTCACCAGTGTGCACAGGACAGGAGTTAACCTACTCTAGTCTGCCACATCTGAGGCCCAAGAGCTCTGGGTCCCTTCAATCTGGAATCACCAAAACCCCAGCTTTCCTCCAGGCCGAAAACCGTGCATCAGTCACCTCCAAATCCTGGCTTCTCGTTGATCTGACAGCACGCAGCATACCCATTGCAACACACCGCCGCTTCTTTCATCGCCGCCGCGGGCGACGCAATAAAACAAACAAGATGAGGAGAAAGGGAGGAAGTCATGTTAAGCGCCCGCCCCCCTATGCCCCCACATAACATCTATTCTCCCATTCGCCAAAATGGGGTTCAGCAAGCAAGCCAAAAATAACGCCCCTGTCACACTTACATTTCCTCCCAATCACCTGCTCACCGGTTTCAAGCCCCTGCAAGCTCATCTGAAACCACTGGCTGCGCGTGTTCGAGGAAGCGCCAGACCCATTGCCCATCAAATGCCGGCTGACCCAATGATCAAACCCCTGCAGTTGCTAGCACGGTTCCAGCGATGCGGTACGGTGGATGCATGCTCGTGGAGTTGTGTCTATTAACCCAGACATCACCACCTTGAGACACGCTAGAATCCTCCGAAAGCTCAAAACTGTTCGGCCATGCGTTTTAGCCTTGCTGATCCTGCCACCTGTGCGTGCGTTGGCAACCGACACGAGGCAAAGAAGGGGGTGATGTCAGGGGCCAAACATCGTCGCTGCTTTAAATGTTTCTCCCGTTAACGACAATTCCTCCATCTCCCATGTTTGGCCGATTTTCGGATTCAACATTTGATTGACTAGCCACGGCAGACTGTAACATCCGGCTTGATGTCTGTGGGAAGGTACATTGTCACCACCCTCTGAGTTTGACCATCTCGGAGCACTTCGAAGCTTTCGAGCCATTGCTGGCTCCTCAGTGGTTGTCCGGCCACGAAACTATGTGGCAACAACGCCAATGAGAACCTTGTAAGCAACTCTGATGAAATACATCATCAGTGGCGGTCACCTTCCCACATATTCTAATGCGTACGTAATCATACATTGTTGAGCAGCAAAATGGATTGTTCCAAGCTCGTGGTTCACATAGGACAATTGACGATTCAGAACAGCATCATATCGATCAGCGAAGGTTCTCAGAGGAGGCTCTTTGCCATATTCTCTCTGCCCTTCCTCGCTTGCTGGGGAATCGGATTTGTGCAAAGAAATGAAGTCCTCGTGAAGGACTCCGAAAATAGCATCCTTAGACCATGATCAAAAAAGTTGCCATTTGCATGTCAGGGTTTAGGCTCTTGCTCCTCTCGGCCCTGAGAGGAAATATTATGTGATCTTCACCTTTTCGATCTCTCTTTTCCAGGCCAACTCCGCCACACGCAAGAGTCCGGCTGCGGACCGAACCCCGTCCAAAACAACTGATCAAATGCTTTTCAGGTAGCCAACCATGAACTCATGCCCCACGATGAAAGGTAACATGGGATTAGTCAAATGTTCTCCGCGCCGCCTTCCGGCACAGTGGGTTGGATATGAGGGCTTCAGATTGGTTCATAGCGACCCAACCGTCGTCTGCTACATGTTGTGGCTCGCCGTACCGGTACACCGAGCGCCATCGCAGAACGTGATGTGGTATCATGTACAAAAGAAAAAGTAGCGCATATCGTTAGAGACTCGAGACGAGTCATGTCGTGACCAAATAGTGTGACGCCCATTGCTGATTCTTCCGAATGCCGAATGGACCCGAGTTCTTTGCGAGACCAGTGACTATCAAAGTCATGCTACAGCTGTTGGAGTTGACACAGTAGTTGGGGTTGTGACAGTCAGTGACCGGGGTGAGGCAATGACCGTAGGGGAGGACTCGATCAGTGTTGAGGGAAATTTATCAACAGTGATGCCAAGCGGGTCTTTCGGGGTGGATGGAGGAGGCATCTCTGAGATTTCGACCTTTCGCTTTTTGCCCTTCGGAGCTGGATCTAGTGGTGGTGATCTTTTGTAGGTGACCGTTCTCGTCATGACGGATCGTACACTGACTGGTTTGGAACACGCGCTTCGTGGGGCGTCGAAATAGCGTTTGTCTGTGTTCCAGTCGGCTGGAGAATATGGGGAGTAGACCATGCTACCAGTGCTCATGCCACTGAAAGCAGTACGTGGAGACGGGCCGCACGTGCTGGGAGAGAAGGCGGGAGAGTGGGGTATTCGAAGTCGTCTGAGCGCGGTAGGAGTTCTGCGAGCATTCGGTGTTGGTGGGAAAGAGCCGGAAGATGATTTATGGCTTTCGCTTCGCGAAGAGGAAGTGCTTGAGGAGGTAGAAGCATTGGAGATCATGGAATGCCTTGTGCTTGTCGATTCATCGGACAGTGATCTTTGCAGAGCCCCAGTCGTAGGAGGACTGGCCAGTACAGGCGTCAAGGCCTTGAGAAAGTCGGTGTAAGCCACTGGCGGTGTAATGGGGGTTCCAGCACTCTCCTGCTTGATGACCGCCGACATGCATGACACCGGAGTGTTGACTATCTCGGAGGGGAATGAGGCCGTCTTGGGAGTCTGCAGAGGAGGAAGAACAGGTCGCGTAACGGCAGGCATGTCGACGTCGACAACGAGTGAGTCGGTGTCTTGAAGCCTTTTAATGTTGAGGATGAGGAGAGTTGGCGGAAGAGGCCTGACGGGAACTGGCGCAGGGAGGCGAGGATCGTTCCGTGAAGAAAGAAAGACAGAAAGGGCAGACAGTGAAAGCGATGCCTGATCTATTTCTGGGGAGGCAAAGCTCGCACAGCAGTAGCTTGTACTGGCACTAACAAGCTTGACCAGGATGAGACCAGCTCAGTTTACCGGCGCATGTAACCGGGTGCAGGAGACTTGTCGTAGGGTGCAGGTGAAAGCAAGCTATGACTGGAGATCGGTTGGCGCGTAGAAGAGAGCAAGATCAGTATGTGCAGGACCAGCCAGCGAAGAAATGCGGCAACGAGAGTGGTTGAGTTGAGGCGCCTGACTGACAAAGACCCTGAAGACTGGGGGATGGTTGGAGGATCTGAGGGAGCAACAGCAGTGTGGAAGAGAAAGAGATCCTGTCAGAATGGAAGAAGAGGATGAAGGAGGGATGGTGTCGACAGTGGAGGCAGCGAGGATAGGTGGTGAGCTGGTAGGTGGACGATGGTGGGCTCGTGGGTAGTGGGCGTTAAAACAGCGGGATGACCGGGGTCAATGCGGGATTGTCTGTTGCTGTTGGTTGGTTTCTTTTCTCCTGTTGCCGCCGGCGGCAAACACGAAGGGCAGTGGATCAGATAGCGAGATGGATTTTGCCCAAGAATAGTCCTTGGCCAGATGGCTGATTGGTTTGACCTGCGAGCCTGTCACTAGCTGTCCACATCCGACCGGGTGAACTGTTCAGCTCCTCGTCTCTGGTATGCTGATTCGACGGATGAGCCTGCAACTGTGACTGGCAAGCTCGACCGCAGACGACAGGGAGGGTGGTATCCTGTGAGCCTACGCAAATCCAGGATGTGCCTTTGTTTGGTTTTCTCGCCGGGTCGGCGTCGCGGTCAGCCTAGCGAGCTGGACCTCGATAGGCGAAATGCGCGCTGCGGAAGTAGCTATGGGAGCCCTGCGGGGTGTGTGAAGCCGTGACACCAGACCTCAGCTTCGTTGTCAGCCCAGTTGTTGTGGAGATGGTGGGTGGAACAGTAATACGAATGGACGAGCGAGAGAGCAGAACTTGAAGAGGAAGAAAGTGACAGCCAACCTGGCACCACATGCATATCTGCAGACACCTGATGCAGAGGCATGGATTTTATCTATCTTGTCGACAAGCCGCTGACCACCTGGCCGGCTTTGTTGCTTTGCTTGCTTGTTGCCATGACACAATTCCTAACCGCTATGTGCTTTTTGATTTTCTGATTCGTTGCAGCTTCACACCAAAACATCAGGCTGACTGGCCAGATGCGGGATTGCAGATATCCCAACCTTGAGCGCGCGGCACCATCATTCGCATATCTTGCATCACTTCCTGGACTGAATCGGGCGCTATGGTTGCTCGATTGCCTGACTGGGTGAGGAGATCTATCGTCTATGTGCCCTGCGTCGACCACGTTGCCAGCGCGCGCGCCATTCCCTTGCATGCCAATGGACTGTATCGGCCGAATTTGCTTTCAAGCAGCTACAGTTTGTCTCAAAAGACCGCATTATATCCTCCAATCAAAGTGCCATACTTGAGCTGAAGGAGATCAGTCTCCTGAAGAAGTCGCTCCAGAGCTGTCGTGACTTTCCGACCACGGCTCCAGACCGGATTTGCGCCAGTCCGTTGAAGGAGTATGTCATCATTTCTCAACGTCGAGGACCATGGAACAAGCATTGGCTGCCACATGTTCTAGGCAAAGGCCAAGCTGCCGGCACAATCACGAACCAGAGTTCGTTGGCGCTCTCTGCCTCGGAAGACGGCTCTCTTTGTGGCCAATCGGGTAAGATATCTGGGTCTGATGATGATGGGACTTTTGCTTCACCCAAGCGCTCGGTTTGTGGATGGGCGATGACTTGCAGAAACGCGAACGAACCAGTGGAGTCCCGGATACTGTCTTGAGTGCGAAAAGATATCCTGTTTTGTCAAGCTCCGGGCAGTTTGCCTTGAAATATCCTCGACGCTTCTACATCGACGATTCTCTCAACGTCTGAATACGGGACGAGGATCCGATTGCTCGATGACTTCTTTTGCGATGCTTAAGTGCTATGCACGATGAGGAGTGTCTCTTGTGACCGTTATAGGCCCTTTCTCCCAGCTTTGGCACCAATCACTGCAAAACACAGTCGCGCCAGGATGACGAGGCGCACAACAAACTGATTGACTTCCACCGTGAGAGTCAGTGCCATTGGCTGAAAGCGATCTTTTGTGATGGGCATGCGTAGACCGGTTGCTCATAACTTCTTGTGTCATCCACAGTGCTCTACCAGATACGAGTATCCACAGTCTGACAAGGAATGATCCGTGAAATTGGAGCAAAGGTAAGCATCAAGGCACTGCCGCAGTCCTCTGTGACCTGGTGGTCATTGTGGCAGCGTCTGAGCATTTAAGCTCGTGTTCATTGGCCTCGTGGCAGTTCTCGTCGAAGTTCTCATCGTGCGAGATCTTTCCAGGAACTCCTTTCTCACCCACCTAGGGACAAGCCAGGACGGTGCGGAACTCTGCTGCCACGTAAACATGCAGAAGTCGCGCCGCAAAAGTTGGACCTGACCACCGCATATCGCGGAGCTGCAGTCGAGGAGACATGTGCTATCCCAAGGGACCTTGCGACCTGGACCTTTCATTGTCGGAGCCCTGGCATATGCCCTAAGAGGGTGGGAATGAGATTGTCTACCGCCTGTCATGACCACACTTTCATCACAGGCGACCAAATCTGCCCACAGTTGATCAAGCCCAGGAGAAATACTCACTTATGTGCCCTGTATCCCAAAATTACTTGTCGCAAGTACGTGATAGTACGTATGTGTGATATGTGCACACGAAAGGCAACCGAGGGTATGGGCTTGATGGCCCGCCTTGCCGGATGATGCCGGGTAAATCCGAAAAGCTCTTATCGGTTATCGCCCCGCAACTAAGCAATTAAGCAATTCAGCAATCATGTAAAAATGCAACATCACTTTTACTTGCCCGCAGCCAGTCTGGGCCTGTTGACTGTGTGTTCCTGTCTGATGCGATCTGTCCTGATCTTTCTTTCTCTTCGTACATGTGTAAAGGTCCGATTTTGGTGTGAATAGGCCTGAGTTTGCGCAAGACAGTGCTGTCATATTCAAGGATACACTTCACCAGCCACAGGCCTACCTCAGCACCCTACCTCCCTACGAGGCTGACCTAGTCCGGCTCTCAAACCATCCTCGAACCCTTGGCCACCAGTACTCCTCCGAGGTCACAAGTGCGGCAAGCCGCATCAACCAGCTCACGATGCCTTCCAACCCATTTGCGACGTTCCTCATCATCTGCCGTAAGGACAACTCCTGAGACGCGCAAGAAGAAAGACTGACATGTGCGCAGCTGTATCCTTCTTCCTGGGTATCCTCTTCGCTCTCTTCCCTTACGACTATCCGCTGCTCTGGTCCTCGCTACCGACACCGGCTGCACACTTCGACGCCATCGAGACGCACTTGAAACTCTTACACAATGCACCGAACCTGATCCAGCGCATCCTACACATCATGCTCACCGCGGGTCTTGTGGGATTGGTCATGAAACTGTACAAGCCCAGCGAGTCTAACATGCTCTTCGATGGTGGGAGTCTGGTGCTCTACATGGTCGCGGTCATCGTCTACATCGCCAATATCGTCAAGGGTTTGCGCATCGTCAGTGAGGGCACGTATGGGATGGGAATGCAGAACCTGGATCAAGATCAACTGGACAATGTGAATGTGCAGGGGTACGACGTTGATACGGGGGATAGCGTCCTCGGCCGGGAGGACAATCTCAAGGTTCTGGCTGCAAGCAACACAATCCTGGCTCTAGTGCTGGTTGGTGTCCTGGTTCTGCAAATCGGTCAATGGTACGCAGAGCGTGTCGACGAGCGCGCTATGAAGGAGTTCAAGGCCAAGGAAGAATCGGAAAAGGAGAAGAAGGAAAGCGAAGGTCCCACAACTGCTAGTGTGAAGAGACAGAGCAGTGGGAAGGAAGGCAAGAAGACGAAATGAATGACTTGGCCGAGTGAGGCAAAGCTTCTGAGCTCCAGTGTTCTTCGAGACATAGCTTCGATGCCGGTTTCGCCATCTGCATACGAGAGCTATCGCCTGTATGACTGGAAGATTGGAGCGTCCTGCTCGTTGAGTTCCTACTACATGAATGGGTGTCGAAAAAAAGTTACTAGAGGGCATGCGCTTCCTGGACTTGAAGTTCCCCAGAGACATAAAAAGCGCCGATATAATGGCGCGTCCCTCAGTTCATACGGAATTAATTGTCCCAAGTAATAACGCATTTCAACAAGGCAACAACGCCCGTGTGTTTCCCATTCTCCTCAGGAAAAAACGCAGAACCCGGGGAAACTCACCGGGCGTGATTGGCTGAAAAAGGCCTCCTACGGCTCCTTCTGTTCCACGACGAGGCGAACCCTGGATTTTCTTGCAGCCTGTCTTCCTTCGTCCGTATAGTGTACTCCGAGACTCCATGCTCATTATTTCCTCTCAGATTTACTGTGTCCTTACTGTTCGACTCTCATACATTCGCCTACCATGGCGTCCATGGCCAACTCGAAACCCGTAACCGTGCAACGATTTCTCCTACCCCGGCTGACCTGGATGACCTCCTCGTTCGTCCAAGCCGCGCCGCAAGCAGTCCGCAGACGTCCCTCAATAAAACAGAAGTCAACTCTCGGCTCATTCAAACCCGCATCCAACCCTCGCTCCATACACACTACTAGCACTTCAAGAACCGTCCCTCTCCCGACGAAACCCTCGTCGACGCGACCGCCCAAACGCCCTCGTATCTTCGACCAACCTCTCCCTCCCGACTCTGGTCCGATCCGCCACAATGGCGTATACGTCGCGACCTTCAAGCCTGCGCGGCGAGCATTCTCCAGTACCTCCGTGCAACGAAAAGACCACCACTTCGACACACTCAAGTTCGTGCAGCGGCTCAAAGACGAAGGCTTCAGCGAAGAACAAGCCGTCGCCATGATGCGCGTCCTGAACGATGTCATAGAAGAGTCCATCCAAAACCTGACACGCACAATGGTCCTGAAAGAGGACGCCGAACGAAGCACGTACACGCAGAAGGTCGACTTTGCCAAATTGCGCAGCGAGTTGTCCAATGCCGACAGCACCGAGGCCCAATTGACCCGCTCCAGCCACGAGCGGTTATCCAGTGACCTGGCCAAATTGAACTCGAGGCTGAGAGACGAGATCGGTCGCACGCAGGCCAGCGTGCGGCTGGATCTGAACCTCGAGAAGGGCAGGATCCGAGAGGAGGCGAACGGCCAGGAGATGCGCATCAAGGAGACGGAAGCACGCATCGAGCAGGAAGTCGCCGGGCTGAGAGAGCGTGTCGAGGCCGTCAAGTTCTCCACGCTGCAGTGGTTGATGTGAGTATATTCCTAAACCGAGAACAGTCCTTACTCCATGCAAAAGCGAAGGTGCTAACTTTCACATTAGGGGTGTATGTACCGGCACAGCGGCACTGATTCTGGGTCTTTGGCGTTTGTTGATGTAAAAGGAAGGAAGAGAGAAGGCATTCATGTTTTACAACTCTGTGGCATGCCCAACACGTGCGATATACGCTCTCACTCCGTCCAACGCCAGTAAATAATGCTGGGCAGTTGTTTGTCATGCAGAAATGACCACTAAAATTGAAGCCAGTTCAACATGCCCGGCAGGCTTTGATCATATCAATCGCTTGGATGCTATCCGATAAACACGTCGATCTATAAGGGATGAGACATGTTCAGAGCACAACCCCTAGTATACCGTGTCTCGAGTGTCCACACGATGGACAGGTTTACCTCGATGAAAGGCTAGGCTCCTTGACAGGTCATCTTTCAATTGATGTTCGAGATGCTCAACGCCACCGCTATGAGTTTTCCATCTAGCCCTACTGCTCATTGACACTGACCCTCATCTCCCCCAGCTACAAACAAATGTCTGCTTGGTATTCATCTCTGCGCCGTATATGCACAACTGATCCTTTCAGAGGTCCGATCTCCTTCACGCTATGTCGAGTCAATGCTGTCCTCTTGGGTCCCCAAAAAAAAGCCCCCACTCGATAGTCGACACAAAAAGATCGTCTTTGCCCAACGCTCGTTGTCGTCTTACTTTGCGAGACTCCCAACCCACAGTGCCAATCACATCTGCACACCCCAAAATCCCTTGCCGCCGCAGACACCCAATGTCCCCATACCTGGCGCCCAACTCAAGTTGCCCACCTCATACCTACATTCCCACACCGCCGAAGGTCCACGTTCCTGAGCCATACCACCTCCTCCAGGAGCCCCAGGTGTCATCCCTGCTGCCGCATTGCCCGTGGAACCAATAAGGTCCCACAGCAACACGCAACAATCATCAGCCCCTGAGGCGAGCACGCCGCGCTGAGAACTGCTCCAGTCCACGCAGTTCACCGACGCACTGTGCCCCTTGAGTTCAAGAAGCGCTTGTCCAGGTTGCCGCACATCAAGCACGCGGATGATATTTGAATCCTGCGAAAAAGTCGCCAGGAGATGAGCATCGTGCGGTGACGCAGCAATCCGTAGCAGCGGAGGCGGGAATGGGAGTGCCTGCGTGCCTGAGCCCCGCGTTGGTGATGCCGAGAGGGGATCGGAGAGTTGTGCTAAACACATCTTGTCAGTCTTGATCTCGACGAGGTATCGGCATGTCTATAGTTGTAGCTGTATAGAATATTTGACGAGGGGACTTACCGTTCTTCTCCTGCTGCTTCTCACTCGGCTCATAGATGATGGTACTATGCTCAAGGCTTCTCAGGTCGAACATTCTTACACTCCCATCGGCGCCGCACGAGACAAACACGTCAACACTATTGGCGCAGAAGCGGACATCATAGACCTCCTTGTCGTGCGCGATGAGCTGCGTCTTGGCTGTCAGCGTCGGAATATCCCATATCGTACATGTCGTATCAATTGAAGAAGTGATGATCAGAGACGGCTGCACCACATTCCAATCCAACGATGTGATAGGGGCGGTATGTTCGGGAGATTTCGAGTTTGACAGAAGAGCGAGTGGTGATAGCTTCTGTGGTGGAGGGGACTTCGCGTTGGCTGAGAGCGTTATTGAGTTGGTCTGATATCCGTGCTGATCGTTCGGTAGTGACCACAGCCTCAAGTGGTCGCCTGACGTTGCGAGGAGGTCCGTGGTCTGTTTGTTCGAGGAGGGTGGTTCCCAAAGTATTCGTGTTACCGGATAGGCGTGCGTTGCCTCTGCAGTTTTGACAAACTCCAGCCCTCGTTCGCCATGAGGGTTGTCTGGGTCCATCTGCGTCCGTTGCGTGTCTAGAATTTGAATCTGCCCACACTGTCAGCTCTGTCCATTCCCTTCCAGGCGTCTGCCTTACATAATTGTGATTATCTTCCAGGTAGCTCCCAATCGCAATTTTTCCCGCCGAAGCACTATTCGACCGCGGCGGCCATTTGCACCAGTCTACGGCGTATATAGGCCAAGGAGCATTGTAATTGCTATTTTGAGGGTATTGCGGACGATCTTCTTCTTGCACAACCCCCGGGCTAAAGGGTATGTCTGTGGCATTTGTATCGGAGCGAGGCCTGATGTCTGCCAGGCCGAGCGGAGAATAGGATGGTGGCCCTTGAGGAGTGTTTGGAATATGTCCCGTCGGAGCGGAGGGATACTTTGACTGCTCAGGAGTGTTCGAGAAGGGTTTGTATCTTGGTTGGTCCATCGCACCTGGACTCGACCTCGAGTAGCTATGGGAGTGATTGAGGGTCATTGGTCTAACAGACATTGGCGAATGCTGCATTTGCGTGGAGATTTGAGGCAGTGTAGGGAGTACTGGGGCCGTGTTGCTGCTATTGAGCGCTGAAGGTCTATTCTGCAAGCCGGGCTGTAATGTCCCTGGAATAGGATTGCTTGCGACGCTATTTGGATGGCCCGGTGTCGAAGGCTCGATATTGATCGACAACGCGTCCCCTCCATAGGCCGGCGGTGCACCATAATGGTGAACGTCGCTCATCGCTGTGCCCTGCTGATTGTACAAATGTAGCCCCTCTTGTTGTCGCCCAACAGTCAGTGACCGACTCAGTCTCTGGTGGTACTGCCTTTGTTGTGAGTCGGACGAGGGCGCAGTCTGATTTCCAGGATATGCATTCGGAGCAGGACGATATGGAATTACGGTGCCATTCCCATTGAGATTTGGCTGCGGCTGGTAGGGATTGTTTTCGGAAGCCGTGGCGGGCGGGTTGGAATTCCAGTGAGGGTTTGGAGCGCCAACTGAGCTCAGTGTCTGACCAGCGGAATAAATGGCATTTGCGGCGCTGTAGAAGTTGTCGTAGGTGGGAGAGGAGTCGGAGACGGTATGTTGATGACGAGGAATGTGAAAGGGCATAATCGCAGAATTGACAGAAGCCTCTCTGCTATCAGCCTGACAGGCATGGAATCGCGCGAAAGGTGGTTTGCTCAGAAACTACACTCTCTGTACACAACAAGGCACCTCGTCTATTCGTCCAACCACACTACAACAAAAGTCTCCAAGCCGGCCTGATCTTTTACACTTCACCCAACATCAGTCACACATCTTCACAGTCCTGGACCAGGAATGATTCACGAACATCGTTGGACATAGCATACCAGCAAGGGACTTTAAGCCAATTGCAGCCCGATAAGAGAGGTGCTTACGAAGACCATCAGCATTCCTCAATTCTTTGGATTCATTGTCCCTTCCAACGGCGAGCATATCTATCACTGCATATTGCATGGTCAACACTTGTCGACTACACATCTTACATTTGGAAAGAACAAAAGGCGAGGAATAACTGAAAGAACATGGCACCAACACCTCAACCAGCACTCACCCTCCTCCTCTTGCCCGCTCTACAGCTCCAGCTCCCCTCCCCCTCATCATCGTTGAGATCAGCATACAAACCCACATTCGAGACACTGCTTCCCAAACTCGTCCAACCTGGCCCCAGCACCACAGCACGTCTGGACATCGCCCTGGTCCTGTCCCCCTCCTACCCCATCAGTTCCAACATCTCCCGCTCCGCCACCTACCCTCTCCTTCAGACCCTGCTTTCCCAGATCTATAGCCTCATTTGCTCTATCGCCGCTCAGTCAAACATTGACCTGGACTTCCCCGGCGGCCTGGACGTCCGAATATTCCTCCTGGAACCTCGAACAGACAGTCTTTCCCAATCCCTCCTGGGCAAGCAGCCCCTTTCCGGTCCGATCATCGACTTTCAGACATTCGTCTCATCCACCCCCTCACGCCCCTATACAAGTCTGTACTCCGTCGAGGGTGAAACGGGCGAGTCCCATCTCAAAGCCCTCATCACGGCCTGGCAGTCTCGACAAGGCGGCATCGCCCCTCCTGTTCATCGCCTGCCCTGTGGCCCATCACTCGCAACTCCCAGCTCTTCAGCAACTCCATACGCCGAGGACGGGCCTGTGGCAACCCATAAATCCGTCGCGGTAGGCGGGACGTTCGACCACTTACACATTGGGCACAAGCTTCTTCTCACCGCGACAGTCCTGGCCGCCGAACCTTCCGACGCTTTTTCATCATCACCCAAAACACCCCGCCTCATCACAGTCGGAATCACAGGCGACGAACTCCTAGTAAACAAGAAATACGGCTCCGTCGTCGAATCCTGGTCGACCCGCCAACAACGCACCGCCGACTTCGTCGAGTCGATCCTAGTCTTTCATCCTGACATCCCCTCGATCAGGGAGACAGAGTCTATCGACGAGCCCGGACCGAACGGCAAGGTGATCCGCGTCACGTATGGCGACGACATCACGATCAATTACACGCAGATCTCTGACCCTTTCGGACCAACGATCACCGACGAGAATATCACCGCGCTTGTGATCTCCGGCGAGACCCGTGCGGGCGGCAAAGCGGTCAACGACAAGCGCCGGGAAAAGGGGTGGAAGGAGCTAGAAGTGTTCGAGGTCGATGTGCTAGATGCGGCCGCGGGCCTGGATGACGCTGAAGGCCAGCAACAAAGAGAAAGACACAGCTTTGAGAGTAAAATTAGTAGCACGGAGATTAGGAGGAGACTGCAAGAGAGGGGAGCCAGTGCGTCTGCATCTTGATTCAGCACTTCAAATAGCAATATTTAACGCCTTGTCATCTGAATGTTATAATCTCAGCAAGGTAGATACTATCCTCGATTTGCCGGCAAAGCAAGGTCCCTTGAGGACCTGGGTACAGGCTACTTGGATCTTTACGTGAGTACACAAAGTCAGGCAGGCACGCCTGGTAGGGGAACACGTACGGCGATAGAAGTCGCAAAGATGACGCCTGGACACCTGCCTCGGCCCCTGTTCTCTTGGAATGCGATATGTGACAAGGCTGACTAAACATGAAGCTCGTCCACTGGCCTGTCCGACTGGTCCCCGTGAGTCCTCCCCGTCCAGTCCTGGCCTCGAAAGTCATTACTAACTGCCGCCAGAATGAATGTTCTGATCTCTTACCGGTCAATCCCGACGGCAGTCGTGCAATCGACCGCGACTGGGACATGGCGAAGACATGGGCTCAAATGGAGGATATACTTGCTTCGGGCAAGGTCAAAGCCATCGGAGTTTGCAACTGGTCCGTCCCATATCTTGAGAAACTGAAAAAGACATGGCGGATCAAACCTTCAGTCAATCAAGTCGAACTCCACCCGCACCTTCCACAACATGACCTTGTGGCATGGTGCCAAAAGGAAGGGATACTGGTGGAGGCGTATTCACCCCTGGGAGGTTCAGGTAAGCTTGCCACTCAGCGATTTTTTGGATCCTTGTTCTTGCAACTCCAGCGACAAGCGACTGAACTGGACTGACCCCTGGTGCAGGAGGTCCAATCTTATCAGACCCGGACATCGCAAGTATTGCCGAAAAGCACAAAGTCACGCCCGCAAACATTTTAATATCCTACCACGTCAGCCGAGGAATCGTGCCTCTTGTCAAAAGTACTTCCCCTTCACGACTGAAGTCGAACCTTCAGACAGTAAACCTGGACGATGACGACCTGAAGAAGCTGAATGAATTGAGCGCGCAGCCCGGAAAGCACAAGCGCTATAATACGCCTCTCTTTGGCTGGGATTTGGGCTTTGACGACTGGTATGGGTCATCAAAGAAAGAACACTAGATATTACGCTCCCAAGGGTAAATCATGTTATTTATCGCTAGAGTGCCATTGGACCACAGACAGCAGAGAGGACAGTTAATGGAATAGGCATGTATCCCATCTAGGGCGAGGTCCGGGACATTTGCGTGGCAGGAGGGCCTCCTGTTCAAGGGGAGCCCAACTGCTGCTGTTTTTTACCCTGTTAAGCGAGCTTCATTGCAAGATTGACCCATGATGCCATAGTACAACTAATCTATGGCGATCTATCCGAGTCCCACATCTTCAAAACTGGCATCTATTCATATACTCTTGATGAGGTTCAAACCCCAGCACAATCTAAACGGCCCTCGAGGCTATTGCTCGCTCATAACTAAGCATTCAGATACGCTTCCCCTCTTTGTCAAAGTCGATCTTTTTGCCCGTCCTGAAACTCTCCTGCAAAGCCTGTGCGATGGTCAAACTCGTGACGCACGACTCCAACGAAATGGGCATTTGCTTCTGCTCAAGCACCGCGTCCGTAAACGAGATTACTTCCGACACAAAACTGGGTTTATACCGATCGTACCAGCTCGGCAAAGCCGAGACATGCACGCCACTCTCGTCGGACAGCTCCAACCTGTTGCGCTTCGAAACCAGGTTCACTGAAATTTTGCCGTTGGTGCCAAAAATCTCGGTCTGGTTGTCGTAACCGGCCGCGGCAGTGCGGGAGTTGTAATGGAAGGCGATGTGACCACCCCAGAATTGAACCATGCCCACGACGTTGTCACCGTCGCGGAATTCGTCTTGCGACTCGAGCTCCTTGAAGTGGGCGGCCGTGCCGAACCCGCATACGGACTGAGGGACGGTAGATTTGTTGCCGGCCTCGAGAAACGACAGCGTGAGATCGATGTCGTGGATGATGGAGTCGACGAAAAACCCGCCGCCCCTCGCTGCGTTGACCACATACGAGTGCATGAAAGGAGCGTCGTCGAGCTTCTCGCAGCCCTGGGACCGGATTACCACGGGCGAACCGATGGCGCCTGCGCGGATCTTTTGCGCCGCCTCCTGGTAATTCTCGTCGAAACGTCGGGTGAAGCCTACCATTAGCCGCGTTCGGTTGGAGGCCTGAACTATTGAGATGAGATCGTGCAGCTGTTCGACCGTCTGCGTGACGGGCTTCTCACAAAGCACATGAATACCTCGCTCTAGCGACGCTTTCGTATGTTGATAGTGGAGTTCCGAGAGAGATGCTACCACGACGGCGTCGAGACCAGGGAACTGGATCATCTCTTCGAAGGTAGGATATACGGCAACTCCGTGGGGAATCAGGTTGGTCTCGGCCCATTCTAGGTCTGCTTTGGCCGGTGAACAGGCACACACCAGCTTGGCCTGAGGCACCAACCTGAGGATGTTGAGCGCATGAAGTTGTCCCATTCTGCCGATTCCTACCACTCCAAATCTCAAGACCCGTGGTTGGCTTCGCGCCGCCGTCTTGTCGATTTCGGCCGACCGGTCGTCGACCGCCACGAGGGATCCAATATCCCCCATTGCTGCTGCGTTCAAGAAACCTGAGTCTGTGGTGCCGGGTCGTGTTTGGCTATGCCTGTACCCGCGACCTGAAAAGCTAGGCAGGATCTTGGGTTATATCTGAAATCTCAAAAACTCGTGGGGGCTGCACTGAAGTGGGCAAGTGTCAGGCTGATCACTACTCTTACTGTGGTGTATGAGTATCAAGTCGGGGAAAATTACCGTGTTGTTTCAGCTAGGAAATATGCCGCCGATTGCCCTACCAACTCCTCGAGTACTCCGTATACGGTGAGACCATATGTACTATTCGTCCACACTGTTCGCCCTAGTTGGCTTTTCCAACCCAGTCGCCGTCGGCCTTGTTATTGCTGGAGGTGAGTTTTCCCCTGAATTACCCCAAGAAGAAATTCGGCTCAGTGTCGTCTGGAATTGGCGGTTCCCCGGTTACGGAACGAGGAGATGGGTTTGTGGGATTCTAGAGAGTGAAAGCCTTGTAGGCAGTGTGCTTCAGGAAGGGAGCGCCGAAACAAAGCATCACTGGGTGGATGGTCCTTTAGGCACGTTTAGGGTGTTATTCCCGTCATCAATACGGAGTATCATGGATCAATTGCACGGTCCCAGCCGGCGGTCCCCACGGGCATAGGCTTCATGGCTCGGGATGTACTATTTGTCGTAGACCTACCGAGTGCGGTATATCACAATAACACCACGTTGAGAGCCGGCGAACTCATCAGCCCCGCAGAGGAAGCGCGAGAATCTCACTGTGCCTTCCACACTCATCGATCAATAACCATGCACACCAGCAATAAGTCTCGGATTAGTTGAGGGCCACTGGATGACTTTATCCACTTATAGGCAAAATAGTCATATAGGGAACCTTGATCCAATCGAGCTGTGCACTCATTCCATCGCACTAGGTGTTCAGGATGGGCAACAGGTATGTAAGATGCATACGAGCATGACTTTGTCACTTGACACCGAGGTAGGCGTCTACATCACAGCATTGGCCCAGTTATTGTATCTTGGAGGGGCATCGCCTGAAATGTTGACAACACCACAGTATGGAACAAGAGTCCTCTTGTCAGGCAATGCCATCTTTTTGTCAAACTAAAAGGGGGTACGATACCACAATTTTGTAATTGCAGATTATGACTGTGCGTGTTTCTCATACTTTGACCCTTTTCAGTCCAGAGGCTTACTAGGTACCTTAGATCGATCCTGCATGCTTCGAGCTTGGCCGATGCCTCTAAGTGCTTTCCCTGCGATGTCCGTTGTGGCCGGGATAATATGCTTGGAAAAGGTACTCTCAATATCTCACTACCCTAGCCTCGTCACAGCCACAGTTAAAGTGACAACTATACACAGCAATACAGCAAGCATAAATCCATCCATAACTTCCTTCATCAATCATTCTCATTCATTCCGTGAAGCGCAGCTGTAGTACCGTCCCGCAGGGATTCCAGTCTTTGCATCAATTCAGAGGCGAGGTCAACTTCCTGATTGCTAGAGATCAGTGTCCTCCGGCAATAGGCCGTTCCATGGTCCGCATTCTCTCCTTGATCTCGTCCTTTTTCTCGCGGCGAAGGTTCCTGGCATACCGGACGCCGAAATCCTTATGCTTGAAGACTTCACCGATTTCCTCGAGAGTCAAGCCAGAGACTTCTGGGTAGAAGAGGATGATGAGAACCCAACCAATGCCACAAATCGCGGCGTAGAAGCCAAAAGCACCGGATGGAGTCATGCCTTTCATCATGGATAGGAAGGTCGATGAGACGATGATGTTGGAGCCCCAGCAACTGCAGGTCAACCACATTGTGCCCATGGCGCGAACTTCCATAGGGAAGAAGTCGGTGCTCATCCACGCCGTATTACCGACGGAGACTCCGTAGAAGAAGACGAACCAGATGATAAAGACCAAGACGATGATCGCCGGGGTCGAGACTTTGGTCGTTTCCAGTGCGAGGGTGTGTGTGTTGACTGGGATGAAGGAGAAGGCAATGGCTACGGCCATCAGACCGGCTGACATGCCCCATACGGTCGATATCAGGACGCGGCGACGGCCGAGAGGGTCGACGCAGGCCATGTTGACACCTGTCATGATCCAGTTGACTGGCAGAGGAAACGACGTCAGCATGCATCCATAACATCTGTGACAATCCGATAGGTGTAATAGGACGGCATCAAGAAAGAAGGGAACAGGGTATTCAACCGGGCCATTCCCAGGTGTCACGTGATCAAAAGGGTAGTCGGGGGGCCGGAAAAGGGGTATCTCTGGGGAAAACTCACCTCCAGCAACAACAAGGCCGACGGCGACTGGGTTGGAAAAGCCAACTAGAGCGAACAGTGTACTCGAGTAATACATAAGCGTGTTGAAACCCGACATTTGGCTGATGACCATGAGACCGCAGGCGCAGAGAAGGGCGCGGAAATTGGCTGGGTTGGTGTGCAGTTGCTTGATCTTGGACCAGCGCGATTGATCTTCGTTGAGCTCCTTAGCTTCTTCACAGGCTGCAGCGATCAGGGCCGTTTTGGCTTGAATCTGCTCGCGAGTGGCGCCTTTGTAGATTTTGACCAGGACGGCCTCGCCTTCGGCGATCTTTCCGTGGTAGATAAGTTGACGAGGTGACTCCTAAGGCGTATTGTCAGTGGACTTGCTTAGGCGGTATGATCTGTCAGAGTTTGCGACACTTACCGGACAGAATGGCAACAAGCAAGCCAGAAGGATAGCAGGAACCGCCCCAAGACCGACCATGTACCGCCAACCGTGTGGAACATGTGCAAAAGCCGCTCCAATTCCATATGAGACCACTTTGGGAACGTCAGGTCAAGGCCAATCAATAAGATAAATGTACTTTACCCTGACCACCAGTGATGGACATGTTGTTGAGACCGATAAGGCGGCCACGAACCTTGGTAGGTGCGATCTCTGCAATGTAGAGTGGCACGACCATGGCCGCGGAACCCACGCCAAAGCCAACGATTAAACGGCCGACGGACATTTGGGCAATGGTGTAAGCAGCTGCCTGGAGAATGGCTCCAATGATGAAGAGAGCGCAGCCAACATAGATAGCGACTTTGCGACCGAACTGTGGCAGGTTAGCAACTGTGGTTTTGATATTGGGGGATTGGGATTGATAGGTCTTACCTGATCGGCCGTCAAACCAGCAATAATAGCACCAATAAAGGCACCACCTGAGCAGAGGGAGGTGATCAGTTCCTTCTCGCTGGACGAGACGGGCCGGTTGTTCAAGTCGTTGTTCAGGTACACCAGTACGGCTGAGATGATGCCGGTGTCATAACCGAACAACGACCCTGCGATCGAAGCCGTCGCTGCCACAAGCCAGACGAACCAGGACGTGCCGAGGTCATCGATGGTGTTCCGGCCGTTCTCATCGTCATTGATCTCCAGATGAGTCGAGTCTGGGAAGACTGTTGCCAGGTTGGCTTTTTCGAAACTCTGGCGCATGGAACCACGACGGGATCCTGGACCTGACCCAACGGCCACGGCGGAGTGGCGTCGGTCAAATGACGTCCTTGTCACGCTCTCGGCACTCAAACTACCACGTCGGTCCCCATGTGCTTCGAGGTGTTGGAACTTCTGGGCCTTTTCCTGGAGGCCTTGCTCGTAAGCCACATGGTCGCGGTTGGCCATTGCGTGAGGTGGAGAGAAGAGGCAGAGGTATAGAATGGGAGAGGTCTGGTAAAGGTCTGGTGCAGAGCCAGAATGGATGTTTGTTCTCACTCTTAGAAAATGAGAAGGTGTGGAGCGAAGATTGGGAAGCGGTCCAGAGGGAGACAAGCCAGGTTATATAGAAAAAAGACGACGGTAGCTCAACCAGATCTCGCTAGATGGTCATTTGTCCCAAGACGATGAGGTTGAGGTCAATCGAAAAGCGAGCTATGCGGGCCGGGGTATCTTGACCAATTGCCATCCCTCCGTTCTAACGACGCACGGCTGCGAGTACGATGTTTCGTGCCCAGAAGCCTTCATTTGGTTTGCGGAGATGGCAGTGGCAAGCGGGCCAGGTGGACAGGTGGAAAGGTGGACAGGTAGATCCGGGGGTGGCCAGGGCAGATGGGAGAAGAAAAACATGTCGCCGAGTCAATACCTTAGATAGAGAAAGCCCCAACGAACCTTGCGGCCACGAAGACCTAAGTTGAGTTAGGTCGTTCTTTCATGCACGGCAATTCTCCAGCTGGGCGTGGCGGGCTTTATTCTAGAGACACTCGGCGAAAGTGGCACATCATCGTTGGGATCATCGTGCGATGGTTTGGAGTATTGGGAAAGACGCTCCGGGGTAGAGGATGCTGCCGAGGCTGCTTCGCCGAAACGCCACCAGGTCATCGCCACCCATTGTTCCCGCCGACTCGTTTGCGGATCTAGTGAGGGTACAGTAGGAGAGGCCTCGGCATGTAAGATAGTTAAACGTACTGTGCAGTGAACGATAGCAACGACGACAGCAACGGCGGCAGAAGGGAAAGTTGGATAATCTCGGTTACAGTACCGTACGTAGCAATAGCATCAATTCGTCGCTCGGGCCACATCAATCATCTAAACTGCATAGCAAGGAGATCTTTCTAAAATCAAACAAGCCTCCCTTCATGCCTCGTCGGCACTCTTTCTCATCCACACTTTCAGAGGCATCGGGCCCGGTGATAGGTTAAAATTTTCCCGTCTTGAAGGCTCCCATTCTGGGTACGGAAGAGCAAACTCATACCGGTGTAGCAACGAGGCCAGTAAGACCATTTGCTCAAGGTAGCTGATGTTGCGACCAATGCAGCCTCGGGCACCAGCAGAGAAGGCAATGAAATACGGCTGCAATTCTTTCCCTTCCTCACCCAGCCATCGTTCTGGATTGTATGTCTCCGGATCCGTGAAGATGCTTGGATCCCGGTGCGCAACGTACGAGGACATCGAGACTGTGGTGTCGCCGGCAATATAGTCTCCGAGGACTGGAGCACCCTCTGGAGGCGTGCGGCGAGGTAATCCGAAAGAGGTGGGAGGGAGCAGTCGCATGCTCTCATCAAGACAAGCTCGCAGGAAAGGTAGCTGCTTCACCTTGTCATAGGGGGCAACAACCTCATCATCCTCGAGCACACCGTCGAGCTCTTCCCGTAACCTCTTCAACTGTGTAGGATGCTTCAGCAATAAATACATAGCATTCGACATTGCGATGGCAGTTGTGTCGGAACCTGCGTTCATCATGATGCTGACTTCTGCAACCATTTCACCCCATTCGAGGTTGTTGGGCACGCCCGATTTATCCTGCAAGATCGCCGTAAAGAAGTCGTCAAGCTTCTCGCCAGCTTCATATCTCTTAAATCGCGTAGTGGCCCTGTTTCGAACAATACCATCCCAATCCTGGTTCAGTCTCCACTTAAGCCGGTAAGTGGGTGATACCAGTTTACTCAATTTAACCAACGCCTGGTACCAGCCATAGGACCATACCAAGTTCGATTGAGCCCACGCCGTTGCATGCAGGCAATCTCTGAACTGCACTTTCTTCGTGGTGCCGTCCATTGCTTCCGAAGTAACCAAGTCGTCTCCGCGGTCGAGAAATCCAAGATCTTCGCTGAGGCCGATGTTGGCTATAGCAGACACGGTGAATAGGTTCGACCACATCCGATAATCGACTGTTAGATCCTCATCGGCGGGGCGTTCTCCTTGTTTGAGGGCTGAAGTACATCTGGCGTCAAAGGCACGGATCATACGCGCTGTCATGTCGGCCACTTTGTGCTCCCAATTTTCCAAATTTTTGATGGCATAGGCGCTCGACAACATCTTCCTTTTGCGAGCATGGTCAGGTTTGTCAATTACATCAGCCAGATGGTAATGCGTCCCCGCCAGCTCTCGGTACATCAAATCTTTACCGCATTTCGTGTTATGACCGTATATGTCTTTGATGGCCTCCTTGGCTCCGAAGGAAAGAGCGTTAGGCCCAATGCGAACGACAGGATGCTTTTGGTGGACCTTCAACAAAGTATGAGACCGGAAACCTTTGTGTGCTTCGTAGATAAAAGGGAGATCTGAGATACCCGACAGAAACGTCAAGTTCGGGTACTTTCGAAGCCCTTTAGGGTCGCGGAAGTACTGGACCACAGGGACGATGACAAAATAGCTGAATGTAAGGGCAAAGGCTAGGATGGCGAATGCGAAGCCCAACATGTTGAAGGCTTTCTATTTTGAGCGACTTGGAAATGATCTGGGAGGAGAAAGCAGGATGAAATACTGTTACGATTTTGCATTGAATATAATGCAAGAAATCGCAATGGCCAACGCGGAAATCGAGAAGAGCAAACTTACCCGCGCATCGAGGTACTTTCCCCCTTCACAGGTTTCACGGAAGGACTCCTAACCATGGTGGCATACACAGTAAGTATTCATGCAGCAGATCATGCAGGTGTTCGCCGGGATCATAATCACGAACCAAAGAAGCAGATCTAGACGAGTTTCAGACGAGGAAGAATTGACTGAATGAGTAAACCAGGCTGTTACCTGTTGTGACAAGATAGGTAGACCCTCGCCGACCGCCTTGGTGATCCTGCTACGAGTATGGAGTATGCTTCGGCGACATCCACCTCGACATCGGCGAGGACAGGATCCTCGCCTGCAGCTCCACGTCTCCCCACATCCGGGTTCGTATCACATTTGGTGGCGAGCATGCATCTACCAACCTCGACCTCGGCCCTTCTGGTCTCGACCGGCTTGCCGTCCTTGTGAGCCGCAATATCATGGCACTCGCCGATAGCATGGGTATTCATACTGCTTCCAACACATGTACCTGCCATGGTCGAGTTTCTCAAAGGGGTTCGCCGGGTATTGATTGCCTGAACCACGAGAAGATTGTGGACTTTGGTTTGACACTGCTAACTGCGATTGTTCACGAATGAGAATAGATAAAACCAAAGCTCAAGATCATCGAGTCCCGGTGACAGTGGCATCAACCTTCACAACAACTGTAACCGCATGTCCTCGTCGATGGATTCCTTCTCAAGCCTGACCGATGCGGTCCCAGTACTCACCCGACAACTGATCGCAAGCCCAACCTACGATGACCTCCTGGTACTCGTGATACTCCTCTTCGGAGGAGTAGCTTATGCCACTCGAGGCACTTTCTGGGACAAGCCAGATCCGTATCACTACACATGGTTTGAAAGACCACAAGCAGCTATTGTCAGCTTAGCCGCGGCCAGCAGATCGACGCGCAATATCGCGGAGAAGTTGGCCGAGACAGGCAAACAGGCAGTCATATTCTGGGGATCTCAGTCTGGAACCGCCGAAGGATTCGCACACCGTCTGGCAAGGGACTGTCACGCTCGCCTTGGGCTAGAAGTCCTGGTAGCTGATGTCTCAGACTACGACCACCACACCATCGCCGAGCTCTCGCAGTCCCAATATGCCATCTTTATCATGTCAACGTACGGGGAAGGTGACCCCAGCGACAACTCGACCAGCTTCCTTAGCTGGCTCAAGTCCGCACCCGAAGTGTCCCTGCAAAACCTCAGATTCGCCGCATTCGGGTGCGGAAACAGCAACTACAAATACTATAATGCAGTCGTCGACACGGTCGTAACATCCTTACAGGGGCTAGGAGCGAAGATAGTCCTACCCGTTGGCAAGGCAGACGAAGCGAAGGGCACCACGGACGAAGACTTTCTGGAATGGAAGACGACCTTGTTCGCCGCGCTGTGCACCCAGTTAGGTCTCACGGAGCGTGAGCAGGAATACGAACCAAGCATCAAGGTCGTCATGGACGATTCCATTGACCTCAGCGGAGTGTACCTGGGGGAGCCACTTGATTCAAACGGTTCAAACGCCCGGCATACGCAATCTGGTCCTTCATCTGCGATCGTGCCGCTGCCAATCTGTGCCGCTCGAGAACTTCTCGAAGGAGCCTCCCAGTCCGAGTCACGCAGTTGTCTACATCTGGAAGTTGATCTGTCCGGGCACCCTGAAATCAAGTACAAGACAGGAGACCATCTGGCGGTGCGCCCCATCAATCCATCTTCCGAGGTCACTGCCCTCGTCGACATCCTCGGCCTCGCTGGACGCGAAAACACTCCGCTCATGATCCAGTATGTCGACTCAAACTCCGACAACAACCTAAACCTCCCCTCTCCGACGACCATTTCGGCCTTGTTCCAGCACTACCTCGAAATCTGCGGCCCGGTGTCCCGAGAAAGCGTTCTGTCACTGGCACAATTCGCCTCGTCGGCCACCGCAAAAGCATACCTCCTCGGCCTGGCGTCCGACAAGACGGTCTTCGCCAACTTTCTCGCAAAGCACCACATCACACTCGCCCGACTGCTCAAGCACGTACAAACTGTGGACTCTGTAGCATCCTGGTCTGACCTACCTCTGGCCTTTGTCATCGAGAGTCTCCGACCCATGACACCACGATACTACTCGATCGCCAGCTCGTCAATCACCTCGCCACGCCGCGCCGCTCTGACAGTGGCCAACAACCCGCAATTCCTCCTCGAGAACGACACTGTCTCTATCCCCGGCCTGGCAAGCACTTACCTGTCCTCGTTCATTGCGTCGAACGTACAATCATCGTCGTCGCTGTCGTACCCGCCCATCGTCAACCCGGCCTTCCTCGCCGCGTCAGCCCGTGCCCTTCATGCTTCCATCCGCCGTTCGACATTTAAACTTCCCGCGTCGCCGAGCACACCGATAATTCTGATCGCGGCAGGGACAGGGATCGCCCCCTTCCGAGCATTTCTACACGAACGCGCCCGTCTGGCGTCGCTGCTGCACGCGCAGAACAAGTTCATAGGTCGGATGATCCTGTTCTTTGGCTGTCGCCATCCGGATAACGACCTGCTGTACAAGGAGGAGCTCCAGCAGCTGCAGGCCGCACTGGCGGATAAATTGGATATTGTGTATGCTTTTTCTCGTGTCGAGGGCGCCAAGAAGACGTACGTGCAGGATCGCGTAGATGAGCGAACGGACAGCCTCGTCGGTCTCCTCCTCGAGGAGGATGCGGGCTTGTACATTTGCGGCTCGGCGGTCATGGCGAGAGAGGTGGGCAATCGAGTGGGCGAGGCTGTGAAGAAGGCCAGGGATTATGACGATGATGGTTTGAAGAAGTGGAGAGAAGAGCGGAAACGGGCGAAGAGGTGGCAGGAGGATGTCTGGGGTTGAATGTTTAAACTTACCGATCGGATTGGATTTATTCCAAGTAGTCGAGTTTCCAGCGAGAGTTGCATAACATATAGACTTGGGGATGACATGAATTGGCATCCTTCAATGTTTGACATACCTAGACATCTTTCACTGTTTCACATACCAAGATATAATCTGTACAGGGACATGGCCATTCTCATTCTTCGCATGTCCGGTCCGACTTTTCAAGATACTTGTCCCCAAGCCTCCCTCAATGTTTGCCTGACATTCCCTGCAGGCCAGGCATTCCTGGCCTCCATCTCGTCCAGCATCCCAAGCAAAGCCTGCTGCTCGAGCGGATCCTCGAAATGGTCTCCACACATGGCGATGCCCAGAAACGCAGTGACCATTGCAGGCGGACACTTACGATTGCTCATGGCGATGCCACACAGGCGGAGCACGGCGCCCTTGAGCTCCATGCTCAGTTTGCGCACGCTGGCGAGATACCCGGGTCCCAGTTTAGGCGCGGTCGGGTCGTAGACGGCGAGCAGGATGCGGGCAAGCTCCACGTGCTGCACGCCGGCGACGTGGCAGTCGGCCATGTAGCAGATCTGGGGGAACACCTCGCCCTTGGCACGGTCTGGATCGCGGAAGTAGATGGGCTCGAAGCTGGCCGGCAGGACCTCGCTCCACATCCGTTCGTACTGCTTCAGGCCGAGCCATCGGTCCTTGGGCGTGGTGGCGGATGACGAGTCGTGCTGCTGCCGCGACGGGGCGTTGGTGGTGTTCCCGTAGCAGAATTCGAGCACGTCCGCGCAGAAGATGATGAGGCGGTCGGCCCAGACGGCATCTTCTGCGGGCGAGAAGCTCCGGAAAGCCTCACAACGTGACAGCGCCAGGTTGACTGCTCGCTGTTTCAGGAAAGCGCTGTGTATCTCCTGCCGGAAGGCCACCCAGAACGCAGCCTGGCATAGCCCTTCCGCGGGCCATCCCGAACGGGGTCTTTGAGACACCACTCCAGGAGCCGACGATGCTGTGGGTGATTGTATCGCCTCGGGGGATGGCACCGGCACCTTTTCCTGGTGCTGGTCTGCCGGTCCTACCTTGGGCCCCGTGATCACCGGGGAGCTGTGCGGGACGAGTGGCACGGAGGGTATTTGGGCGTCAATGAAGACGTTCATGACGCGTAGGAAGAGCTCACTGTCACGCTCCTCCTCTCGCAGGGGGGCATCGATCTCTTCGTAGAAACGCAACACTATCGCTGCAGCCAGTAGGCTTGCATCGCGCGTCTGCTCCGGATCCATGCTGCGTGTGAGCAAGTCCCTGATGCACTCGTTGTGGTAGTGCAGCGCAGTCTCATCGTTGAGGTCCGGGACTATCTCCCCATCGTAATAGTAGACATGGCCTGCTCCGGACTCTTGCACACGAGTCAAGTGCCGCGCCGAGGCTGCGAGAACGGCGTTCTTCAGAGGCGGACACCAGCGTGCTCGATGGGGTACAATGCCGGCAAAGTGCCTCTCAGGATCACAAATATCAAACCAGCGTGCTAGTACATCGATGAAGTATCTCAACAGCACCACCTCGAGTCTGGAGTCCGTAGATTGGAAGGTAGGGTTGGTTGGAGGCTTGACGAGGGTGCCGACGAAGGAGTTCCCAGTGGTGCGGGCTGCGTTCGGAGACGGGACAATCTGACCGCCCCAGGAGAGACCGCCTTGGGACTGAGGTGTTTGTGCAAAGACGTTGCGATTCTCCAAGGATGATTGCCATAAAATACTTTCTTTTTGCGGCATGCCTCCAAGACTAGCGCTGCGCATGGAGAGCGCTTCAGTGGTGTCAAAAGAGGCCGCCGTGACATGATGGAAGTCAACAGGAGCCCGGTCGTCCCGTTGATCTCCAGGATCCGTTGTGGGCTCAACTGGAAAGTCTGCCTGCTGAACACCATATTCAGATGTAGACTGAGCCTGAAACTCCTCTTGTGCACCGTCAGAGCCAGAAACATCGACGAATTCAGTTCCCGGCTGATGCTCGATTGTTGGACCTGGCGGCGAAGTCCACTCTTGATGTTGCTGTTGGTGATGCTCTTCGTCCAGATCAGCTTTATGTCCGTCTTGTTCATAAATGGCTGTCAACTCTGCAGTTTCGTCGATGTATCTCAATTTCGCTATGCTAGAAGTCAGAACATCAAATTTTGAGGCATTCGAAATGTCTAAATGCGCTACCGAATGATTTGTTCTTCAGCCAGGTTTGGCTGGCGGGGAAGCTTTTCGTGTCATATCGTGCACTGGAGCCGTGCTGCTTGAATTGGATTCGGCTGGCTGTTCGGATGCATCGTTCGCCATTCTTTTCACATCTCGTGCAGACCGAGGATATGTAATCGCCTGGACCGTTCAGACATGATTACTCTCCAGCGCTCGAAACTCACACTTGAGATGCTTTTCTGTGCTGAGACGTCAATACATCGAGTGAGGGTGTTGGGGTTTGCAAGACCTATCTGCAATTGTCACAGGGAGCAGCCCGACGCTTGCGTTTGCCTCGAGCTCCGGCAGCCCTGGTCTCGGACCTGTGTACAGCTTCGTCTTCATGTTCCAAGTCAGTGGCTGTATCGAGATTTGCTGTTTCCGCGATCTCCGTCATCTTGCGCGCCGAAATGTATGGACGTTCGCCGAACCAAGTTGTGGTCTGATGGAAGAAATACTGCGAGGTCGACGGTGACTTCCAGACGTTCGGCGGGAGTTGCCCTCTTTTTGTGCCTCACTAGTTAGCGCCTCCTCTCCCCAAGCTCCCCTCCTCGTCTCCCACCCATAAGCGACTCTGGAGATTCTGCCGGTGACAATAAGCGGGGAAAAGAGCTTGGGGACATCGGACGCGAAACCACGGCAATAACGGACGAGCGGAGTACAACGGCGATTCGCGTCATGATGGCGTCTTCCAGTGGTCAGGAAAGTTCCTACGCGTCCGTTTCATTCCAAGCTGTTGGTATCCACGCAGTTGTTGGCCGACATCAACCATGTATGCGCAAAGAGTGCAAACAAATCCTCCAGAGGCATCCATCGTCTTTGGACTGGCACCAGTACTGCATCTGGCACATTCTCCTCCACTTAATGGGACGTGACAAGGCGGACCCAGAGGAGGTTTGAAGGTCAAGTGGCAATTCGGCAGCAAGGGTCTGGAAAATCGTCAGTTCAGTGTACCAACACGGATAATGGCGTGCTGAGTCCATCACCCTTTGCACACGGTAGGGGTTTCGATCAACTAGAGCAACATCCTCGGTCCTGACCGGCCATTTTCATCTTGTTCCGGGTACTGAACCAACGACCCTTGGGTCAACCTTCCCAGAAAACTGAGATATAGGCTGACCGGATGCCTGTGACGGGGACAACCGTGTACGATAAGCTGCGTGCCTCGATGGAGGATAAGGTGATGTCGCAGAACTGGCCACAAGGAGCCTTGCCTAGGGATGTCAGAAGACTCACTGTTCCTGGTTGGGCAGCGCCTTGATGTCGTGGAACATTCAAAGGGTAGTTCAGCCGCACTGTGGACGAGACAAAGCTGCATCAAGACAAGCACGAGATGATCCGGTGTGAGGTTTGCATGGGCATGAAGACTAAGGTACCTAGGTACTGGCGATTTGACACGTTTAGAGCTCTTGCTTGGGCAGTCCGAGGCTGCCCCCGGTGGCTGCTTGGCACCCTCAAAGCGAAATGCTGAAAAGCTTCAGTGATGTTAAGTATTTTCATCTTTCTCATCTACTTCTAATCGTACAGATCGTTCATGCTCGGTGTTTTTCATTGTTGTCGATACTGTGAATCGACTCTTTCGCATCCTACGCTGCAACCTCGCAGCCCTTCCTTCTCTCTTTCACGGTCGCGAGCCTGGTACGCCGGGCAAACAACTAGGATCTTTCTCCCTGAAGGGATTTTAAAAACACTCATCAATTTACATCATGTCTACATCAAACCCATCAGGAAGACAGTACCAATTAGGTACTATGGACAAAGAAGCATTGCGGGCAAAGTCCCATGTGACCGTGACTGCTCACAACTTGGTGAAAATGGAGCAAGAGGTTGACCCTCTTGCCGTTGCATTCCGCAACCTCGAATCGGCGGCTAAGAAGGATAAAGGAAAAAATTCGAAGGCTCCGAGAGGCTGAGCGCAAACTGAAAGGAGCCTTGGAGAGTAAGGGAAAGTCGATAAAACTTTTGCTGGAACTTCTTGATAGTTACCAATTACGAGCCGAAGACGATTTGAAGGAACTGCGGCAGCTTCGGCGGAAGGAGGGCGGTTTCAAACGGCTCTGGCTGGAAGAGATGAGTAAGTCGCAAGACGATACCTCTCGATCGAACGGTGTCAATCGTAAGGCACTTGGCCTTCGTGGCCAATTGGCTGGCTTCAGACGTGAGCTGGAAGTAGCTCGAGCTGAGCTATTATCTGCTAACAGAACTACGACAAAGATACGAACCGAATTGTCGGCCACAAAATGCCATCTGTCAACTATTGATGATGAAATGATGGATCTGAAGTTGGCCAATGTGAGAGAGGCAGGTCCACTGAAAGATCTCGTGTGTGAGAATGCCCGTCTTGCAGATGAACTGCAAGTTGCGACAACACAACGCGACACACTTCGACAGAGTTCAACCCGGAGAATGGATGAGACTCACATTCTCGAACGGAGAAACGACCTGCATATTAACCTTCTTGGCCGTTTTACGGAAGCCCTCGTTTCATCGTACGAGGAGAAGCAGAAGTTGCAATCGAGGGGAGCTCTTTTACTTCAGGATATTAATAGACTCAACCAGGACAAATTCACGGGCATAGCCCACCTCAACCAGCTACAGAGCCAGAACGACGATCTCCGGTCTGAAAAGACCAAACTGCGAAGTGAGCTTGCCGAATCACGTCAAGCATTGAAGACGGAAAGTGAGAAACACAAGGAAGCAAAAGACACGGTACTCGAGACCTCGAAGCAGCATGAAAACTTATCAAGAGATTTTGATATCCTCGTTGGCAACGTTGAGGCCACACTGGATGATTTCGCTCGGCACGGACTTCGACTCAGCAACACGATGGTACTGCATCCTCAAGCCCGCGATAAATGGCCTCTTCCATGGCTCGACTGGAACAACAGTGCCGTTTCGGCGAACAGAGCGCCAATTCTGGAACAGGGCGAGCTCCGAGCGATACACTTTCGCATTTTGGTCCAACTTCACAAGCCGCTGGTAACACTGAGTCTGTTACTATCCGTGTGGCGAGCACTAGAGACGGAGACCTTTGAACTGCCTGCTGATATGCTACTTTTATCACTTTGTACATTGGAGGAGGTGATGTCAAGGGCACCTCCTGCTAGCGTTACTACCTTGGTCAGCAATCTCCTTACTCGAAAGTTCCTGACTCTGTGTCAGACGCCGAAACCAAATGATTTACCTGGCGAAAAGACTGGCTAAGTGTTGACGGACCTGCAGGACCATATTGTGACTGCGTCTTTGTTCGAATACCTATGGGCGAAGGCTGCTTCTCATGAACGGGATGGTTGGTACAGTCTCCACTTCAACCACAAGGACAAGGTGTTCTGGCGAGCGGTCCTGTTCGGTCATGGGATAGTGTCTTGGTAGGGATTGAAGATCCGGGTACCAATCTCATGATCCTGAAGATAGATCAGATGGCTACGACGGGACTTACTATATGAGATTCGACATGGTGGTTAATGTTGGGAGGCATCCACCCTCATTCGGTCTGGGAATTGGCTGAAGATGAGGACTCCACGTATCAATGAGTGGGCCTACATCCACCGTCGTTATGTCTACATATTGCCAGGCATGAGTCTGCCATTTCTGCCGCTATGTGAACGGGTGCTCCAGAATGCAGGAATGGTTTGAAGAGCTGGGCCTGAGATCGGGTCTCGTTTTTGGTGAAAGGTGAGGATGATAAGGAGCTGCTTCGCGCCATGCTGATCCTTTTTGGGAACAGTCGACTAGTCGACAGCCTTTGTGAATGCTATAGAAAGTATCATAGTGGGTTAGTCAGTATTGGCTATCACCTTGTTGACCTGCCTCCAAGCTTCCTACACAGCCCTGCCTCCGACTCTCTTGCACTGACCTGCATTCAAGGTTCCTTTACCGATCTACCTTGCCTTGCACTCAATTAAACACAGTAAATGGTCACTTCTCCGAAGCTTTGTCCTGTTTACCTCTTCCAACTTGGCAATCCACATTCATTGCCGTCTTCGATTAGTGCTCGCCGATTTTCACGAAAATGGGTCCACAACAAACAAGGTGCGTTGGGAGAACACTGTTACGATTTGTTACCCAATTGACTAATCCGTGTAGCAGCTTCGGCCAATCTTCGATCGTAAGTATCCTGGTCGGACAAGACAAGTCGAAATTCAGCGTCCACAAAGATGTACTGGTGAAAGCATCCCCGTTCTTTGCGAAGTGTTTGGCGTCGAACATGAGGGAAGCTACAACAGGCGTGATCGAGCTGCCAGAGGATGACTGCGCCACTTTCGGTGCCTTTGTTCACTACATGTACAAAGACGAAATCTTGACAAGTTGTTCAGGATATGACTTTGCATCTCTTTCTATCAAGTCGTGGGTCCTCGCGGAAAAATTCTGCATGCCCAGATGGCAAAACCTATTGATCGATGCCTTGGCTCAATACTGGGAACAAGAAGTGGTCCAGCATGAGGAGGTTATCTTGACCACCGGAATTACCAGCGACGACCATAAACTTCGAAAAAATGGTCTATGACCAGTTTACATGGGTTGTAGTGAACAGCGAGCATAGCTTGGATGACCAAACGCTGGAAGATCTTTCGGCGGATTCCGAGGTGTCGAAATGTATGCTTCGAGCTATGCTAAGTCACGCTCGGAGTCAGCCAGGTATACTACAGCCAGTGTTGACTCCCGCGGAGTATTATGGTTCTGATCTCAGCCTTGAGGGGCCGTGTCGGAGCAGGTGACGGAGGTCGAGTGGTGAGAGGTTGACATATGGGTGTTTCAAATGGCGCTCAAGCGGAAGATAGCGAGTACTGGAACGAGACGGCACAGGGAAGCAACCCGAAGGGCTTGAAAATGTCAAAGGCCACTTGAAATCAGCTGAGAGTGTTCGTTCAAGGAAGGACTGCTCGCCTGACGCCTGTTACTTGTTTCCGAAGATGATACGGATGGCTGCGGGTGAACTAGGTGGAAGCAATCAGAGAGGAGACTGCATACAAGCGCATAGTCAGCCCAGGTTGTTCCAAGAAAGAGCACAAGATCAACAGGATAGCAATGTCTCGTAAAATTCTGTGATGCTCCCATCAGCCACAACTGGTAAGTTGTACGGATGATAGATACGCCTTTCACATTCGACATTGCGTCAGGCCGTTCAGATGTCGATGTCTTCATTGATCAGCGTTTCCAGGCCCTGCAACTTCCTGCAGCTTCATCTCTCCGTTGCCCATCTTGACGGCTCTCTCCATGACTGTTTTGGGACTCACACTTCCGGGTGTTGTATTGGTAAAAGTTGGTTTGATTGTTCGCTAGCTAGGCATGGCGCATTATTTACGGAGGGTTTAGATGTCGGCACAAGATAAACTGAAGCAGGAGGAAGGAAATGACCGTCGTCACAGCTCTCTGACATAATGTTTCATCGAAGCTAGGGTTGGAGTCATATGTTGTTTGGGAGAGCTACATGTATCATGGTGTTTCTGTTGTGGACTCCAACCCCAATAATATTACACACTACCTAGAAGAAACGTGCTTCTTTCAGAAATGAATTCAGCATCATGACATGATCTCTCTATTGCTCAGTACGGTACGGCTTCTTCACATGGCTTTGGCTTTCAGTATGCTGCGATTATACCCTTTCAACGGTGCGGATACTCCCTCGTGGGCATAGGGGCATCTCCATTCATTGTGTAGGGAGGGACACATGGGTGCACGCTTATGACCGATATAGGACCGTCTCCACAAGCAACAGGTGTGTTGTACATCGCCTGGAGGTGACTCGGCGTATTTGACGGGTCTCGCGCTTTGTGTTGCCAGCCATCAGCAGTACCGTGGCTCAATCGAAGCTACCATATGTTGAAGAGGATGATACTTGATAACGATCTCGTTGAACCCAAATCTTAGTAGCGACGGCGAGATCAGTTTGCTCAGCCATAAATAGGTATCCTGACGCGCTGAAAAACTCATCCGCAGTCGCTGACACAGTTAGCGTGAGCACGACATCGAGTGCGCCTATCTCATGATGAAATTGAGTTGGAAGCACTTCGCGCCGGCGAGATCGAGGCGTCATACTCAAAAGTTGGTTATGAAGGCAAGCGGACAGATCGGCCGCATCATCCGACATGGCTTTCAAAGGAAGCGGATCAAAATTCGTGATGCGCGAAAGGAAATATCCAACATTGATCATTTGTCCCGGCGACAGCGAGGGAAGGCCGCACGCCAAGCGGACTGTTATTGGCATAAGCTGACTCGTCGGCCACTGCGCCTAGGCTGGAATTGCACATGCTGTACAAGCCTTGGTGCCATACCACGTAATTGTGGCCATTTTGCTCAGACGCGACAGCAACGGTAAGTTCGCGCGTAGATGAAGGCCAGTCCATGCGATCGCTATGCCTAGCGCGGTGCGCCGTGAGCTCTTGCGAGCAAGGTCTCCGTGGAGCAAGGTTACAATGAATCCAAGGTTGTATCAAGTGCACGCGGCGACGGCATAGGCGCCGGTGAGGTTGGGAAGTCGCCCGGACAGCCGCGGACTGATCTGCCACTTCACTGAAATGCACCAGACACATTTCGCAGTACATGGCTGGTGAGATAGTCCATTACGTTAGAAGCTTGCCGCGGTCGATGGCGGCGATGTGGCTGGTGGAGAGTATCAGTCATTGAATTTGACACCGTTTGTACCGGAGTGGCTCAGCGCATCGACCATGTGCTTCACGGACCACCGGCAACTCGTTTCTGTACGTCTGAGCAAATTGAGCTTAAAATGCTCATGTTGCGAGGAGCTTGTGTGCGGGCGATACCAAATCGATATCGCTGCAGTCGGCGTCGAGGGCCGCGTCGTGTGCATGTATGACGAAAGTGGGCCGCAGTGCACCGGCGAAGGTGCTGGCGAATTGTGTTCAGAATACATACAGAAGGGCGAGGTGTCATGCGGACTGCGAAAAGATGGTATTGGCGCAGTCGGACACATCTGCCGCATGGATCATTCGCGTCTCCGAATGACTGATAAGATATTGCAAGATTTGCGGGTGTTACAGCTGAAATAAATATTGGGTTGATGCGAGTATCGTGAAATCGCAAGCACCACCCAAGCACAGTTTCGGACTTTGCTGCCGCTTTAACGCGATGGAAATCAATCACGTGCTGGTTCCCTGTATCCCGTTCGTGATGGCACCTAGGTGGATGGTACTCTTATCCCACATAAGGCGACAACCATGTTACCGGACTATACAAAATTGGTATCATCGGTGTCGCATAAGTCGGCCGCTTCATTTGAGATAGGGTTTACGCGAATCGCTTGCTGCGTCCTTTCGTAAATTTGACTTCGCCTACAAACCGATCGCGACAACAAGCTCGGTGGCGCATGATTTAAAACTAGCAGCGATGGTATCCGGAACAGCCTGCCGCTCGACTACAGACAAGTGTCAGAATGGGAATCATGCTGCATGAGGACGTATGGCCGTAACCCCTTTTCAACTCACCGGCGGCGACGAGGTAGAGGATGTATGATACAAATGGATACCAGGGGCATCGGAGCAACTAGGCGCTTCACCTGGAGCCATTGTTTGCATTGTCCGAACACTGTAGTGATATATTGTAAGCATATTTCCTTTCACATTGACCGACGACGACGAGGTTAGAGGCGCACAACATGAAAGTGGTATCAATAGAAGCGGAGAGCTTAGCCGCTTCCAGCGATATCAGTTTCGATGTGATCCCCACGCTAGAACGATAAGGGTACGCAAAATTACTGTAACCATAACGAGGTGCGACATGCAAGTCAGCAGAAGAATAGGATCGGATTCAACCGGCGATTGACATGGACACAAGGCTGGTGGTCTTGAGATAATACTGGAGCGTGACTGGAGATGATCGTAGACAGGACAAGACTGGGGCGATGAGAAGAAATTAATTGTACATGCCACAGCCAGGCGTTCAGTCTCAATCAGCTAGCGAAGATATCAAGCTGATTCAAATGAAACTTTCCCATCTCTTCCGATACTTGCTACTGACACCTTAGGCCGTGACTTCGCCGGTGCCACTGCCGGTGTCGAAGTGTTTGGACTCTGTGTCTTCTGGGCGTTGCCGATGGCTTCTCTCACACTCCCAGCCGGAGCATCCGCAATCTCATTGACATCCTGAGCAGTCAGAACATCGTTGACTCGAGCAGCTCGGCTCTGAAGGAGCAGGGTTGTTGGCCCGCGGAACTGTAAAAACAATCTATCGCCCCATATCGTCCTCCTGCTCCAAGTGCGTATCCTGAGAAGTGCGTTTGCAAGTAATTTGTAGGTATTGCTGGTCTTTAATGTCTCCACAAACTTCGAAGATGGGAAAAAGTTGCCCAACTGTAACGGTATCTGTAGTCGAATGTTGTTGGACTTGAACCGATACGGTTCTGGACGAGGGGAGGGCGCGGAAGCGGAGTAAGCCAGGATGTTGGAAGGATGCACGACGTAGGTCTCTCCTTCCGCCAGTTCGACTGCATAGACCTGCCCCTGGCCTGCTAGAGCAAGTAACCCTCTCCCCGTCACATCTGAACTTCCCCAGTACGCCAGAGATAATCTGGCGTTCAAGCTTGGTTTCACTGACAATGTGCTTCCAGTCCACGCCAACAACGCTTTTCTCTGGGCCAGCTTCCAATCTGTTGTGCCATCGAGTTGCAGTATTGCGAATGTAGTTAATGGAGATCTCGTGGATATGAGGGCGTTTGCGGCTGAGGTGGAAGTGATCTTCTGGTAGAGAAAGGGAATGCCAACCAGTGCACGGCGGATAGGGTTCAGCATTCGGAGGGTCGAAACGGTGCCATCTGGATCACCACCAAATCCGACCAGCGTTCCGCGACGCGTGTATAGATCTTGGGAAGGAGAAAGAGTTACAGAGAGAAGCGAGTAGGGGCTGCCGATGACCTCGAACGTGGCATCTGGACCAGTCAGTGGAATTCTCCATCTTGGTTCGTGAACTGACCTGGCGAAGAAGCAGACACCGATCGGCCACCAACCTCAATTCTGCTGGTGTCTGTTGCAGGCGTGGCTTGGATTGAGATGTATTTATAGCCTCCAACTCTTCGGCCAGCAACCAGATGCGCCGGAAACGCCCATTTTCGAGGAAGGTGTGAGAGTCGGCGCAGGCTGCATGCCGGGATTGCAGGCATATTGACCACGTCCGCAGCTCTTCAGCGCTTTGGGAAACAGTGGACGCTTGGGGGAGGAAGGACTGACAAGATCAGCCGTGCGGAAGCTTCCTCTTCTCAAATCAAAAAGCACACGTCTGGATTGAAGCTCCAGCTTCCGAGCTCTTGAATGCTGTTGTCAAACATGCCAAGCATCCGGAAAACCTGCCCCGAGTTTTGTTAGGGCAGCCTTGCACAGCCTTGCACAGCCTATGCCCGCCTCTGTCAGATCATCGAAACATCTCGTCTTGCAATTTCAACACAAGGCTGCCGGAGCCGGGCATTTCCTGTCAAACAGGCCTTGGTTGCACGACAGATACATCCTCGCGAACAACGTACCAGATGTCATGGCAATCTTGTCACACCTAGCAAGGAGACAGCACAAGTTCGGCTACTTTCGGTCCTCTCTGCGGTTTTCCATGTCTCTGGGAGTATTCGACAGATTAAACCCTCTCTGGGACCTGCGCTTTCAGCACGCGTATGTCCGTCGCAGATTGACCGCTTTACCAACGATGTAACGCAAACGACTTGCATATAGCACATCCGAAGTTCAGCCATCAAATCTGGATCAATCCCTTGACAGGTGGGCAGATCGGGAATTGGCTGCCGAAGCAATCTTGTTATAGGCATGATGGGCGGCATATTTTAGGCCAAGCCGCCCACCGTCCCCCGTATTTTGTGGGTGCAGCCTCACCAAAAGCCAATGATGCCGCACAAGCCAGAGGCACACTGCACGTCACACGGTTCGTTCCCCTCCTCTAGCACTGGAATGATGTCGACGGGTCATGGAACCAGACCGCTGTTCTACCGCCACCACAGAGCGCGAGATGAAGGCTCCAAAGGACTTCGGCATTCGACTGCTCTGAGAACTCTCCCTTCCCAGGTCCCAAACTCTATGAAGAGACAGCTTCCCGTTTTGGAGCAGTATACCGACTACACTTATTTTCATTCGAACAGTCTTTGGCGGTATAATGGCGCCTCAAGAAACATCCCCAGCCGGGAGGGATGATGACCCTTTCCCATACAGACAGCTGGCCGTTATAGGTGAGTACATCTTGGCTAGGTCTCAGTTCGTGCCACTGATTTGACCCCAGCCATCTGTCGGCTGGCGGAGCCAATCGCCTTCACTTCCATAACAGCGTATACCTTTGTTATGGTCAAAGATATCAAAGGCGAAGAGGATGCGTCTTTCTATGCTGGTCTACTCGTGTCGGCCTTCGCAATGGCTGAAGCATCTACTGCCATGATCTGGGGTCACATTTCAGATCGATATGGAAGGAAACCTATCATTCTTGTCGCCTTGGCAGGAACAGCCCTTTCGAGTCTGATCTTTGGGTTTGCAAAACGATACTGGGTCGCTCTTCTCGCTCGAGTCATTGGTGGCGCTCTGAATGGAAATGTTGCTGTCATGCAGACAATGGTAGCCGAAATGATCAAGAACCCTAAGCACGAACGTAAGTTTCTGCCAGTGAAATGTGTGAGCGTCCGACTGACCCTCTACAGCCGCGGCATACGCTGTCCAGCCTTTCATGTGGAGTCTGGGTTCGATTGTTGGGTCAGCCTTGGGCGGGTTTACAGCACAACCTGCTCAGTCCTATCCCCACCTATTCTCTCCGGACGGCATCTTCGGTGAATATCCTTATCTATTACCCAACCTTGTCGCTGTTGTCGCAATTCTCATTGCCATGATCCAGGGTTGGCTGCTGCTGGAGGAGACTAATCCCAGAGTCCGATCACACACGCCGCCTCCAGAGGAGATCAGGCACGAGGAACCTGTCTGTGAGAGAACGCCACTGATGCGCTCACGGTTCAGGAGAGAGTCGGCAGTTGAATCAATAGCGGTATCGCTCGGTCGAACCAGCATTCGCGGCAGCACTCGAGGCAGCGTGTCCTATGCCGCTAGTTCTGCTCCTCTCCCGAATGATCCAGCCTTTGACCTACGGCGGGCCTCATTCGCCTCCATCGGCTCGTTCAAGCCATTGATGGGCCTGGCCCCTACCATCTCCAATGTCGTCGTTGAGGACGATGAAGACCAAACTGCACCGGATGAATCGATAAAGGCGTTCAACAAGTCGGTCATATTTTGGACCATCGCTTTGGTTCTCATGTGTTACCACCAGATGGCCTTCTACTCTCTCTATCCAGTCTATCTTCTTGACGACCCACGACGCACCGCACGACACCTGGATTTGGTTGGCGGATTGGGCTTGACGTTGCCCAAAGTGGGAATTTTCCTTGCGGCGAACAGCATATTGTCATTGTTCTTTCAAGGGGTCATCTTTCCTATATACGTCGGCAGGCTGGGCGTATGGAGGTCTGTTTTGTCGCTCACCATCCTCACACCAGTCGCGCACATCTTGGCTCCGTTTGTTTCGGCATTGCCAAATCCAGCTCTCGGACTCTGGGCTCTTCTCGCCCTGCAAAGTTTCACATGCATTATCATCTTTCCCTGCTTGTTGATATTGCTGAAAAACGCGACCGAGTCCCCCCTGGTACTGGGCAAAGTCAATGGGTTGGCCATGTCCGCATGTTCGGCGGCAAGAACTGTCGCTCCACCGCTTGGAGGTATCATTTACAGCACTCTAGGATCTGCAGCAGGGTGGTGGAGCTGTGCGATATTCTCGATTGCCGCTATTGTTCAGCTTCTTTTTGCACCCAGACCAGAGGAGGACAATGCCACGATATTACGGAGAGCTTCGGTTGCGGTCGAAGCTCCGCCAATGACTGACAATGTGAGGGACTAAGTGGAAGGTCCATCATTCCACTTTGATACTTTTTTTACAGTATATTACGGAGTCTGCGAGCACGTCTGTCTACGCATTGTTTTGGGCTGGAACATCTGGGTCATATTAACAGATCGCATAGCGTGCGCTTTCAATACTGGACGGTGTGTAATGGTAATGTTTTGTCTCTCTTGCATTCGCATCATATGTACTCTCTATCTCACTGCAATCTCTCGCTCAACCAAGTTCTGATAGCAGCCTCCTGACAATCATCTCCCAACTTCTTCAGCTCGCTGTCCGGCTGGGGCTTCAACGGAGCATCATGGATCTCCTTCTTGCCTATGGCCAATTTCAGCACGTCGCCACCAACACCTTGCTTGAACTTCTCAGCAAAGCTGACGATTGCATCGCGCAGTGCTTCTTCTTGGCCGGCCGTCACCAGCACGGAGGATACTTTCGAGCCTGACCACCAACTTCCTGGCGCGAGCTCGGGAACAGTGTATTCGTCATCCTTCACGCCCTTGCCTCGGCCTTTATATGAGTCGATCCAATAGTTCGCGCACACTGGGTTGACGATATCCCGATGCTGGAATTCGGTCATGGACTTGAACTTGGTGTGGTCAGAGGAGACCCATGGCGCGATCATCACTGCGCCGTGCAGCTTGCCGGATAGTTCAAACGGTTTGACAATATTGGAATTCGGATGCGGATGGCCAGAGATGTGGCTGAGCACGGCGCATACCAAGTTGCCGCCGGCAGAGTCTCCTCCGAGCAATGTTGTATCGGGCGTGCGGCCGGGTAGAGAGAGCAGATAGCGAAGTGCTTCGACACTTTCGGCGATTTGCAAGGGATAGAGACCCTGAGGGGCGAGCGTGTATGCGTTACAGAAGACGGCGAGTTTGCCGTTTGACCACTGCACGAAGCGGAAGAGGAGGTCCAGATGGTCGGGAAAGCCGGGCATGACGAATCCGCCGCCATGGAAATAGAGCATCACGTATGTCGCTGAGTCCGGGTTGCCAAGCCAGAAGCCCTTCGTGGACGTGCCTGGGATATCGACAATCTGGGCAGGAAGTTTGTGCTGTTTACAGAATTTCTCATACGAAGAGATGAAAGGTGGGATGAGCATCCTGGGACAACGTCAGCCCTGTCCACGTTCTGTGCTGGCAGTTTATAGCATACTGCAATTGACCCGTGGTGAAGTGCGTGAATATGGTTCGAAAAGCGGTGGTTTGGACATGTTCACTGATCGTTGGAGCGCCCTTTGCTCCTCGAAAGGGACTGCCCAATAGTGAGAGGAAGGTCCGTGCGAAGACATAGGATAGTCCTGGGACTATCAGGGCTTTGTCGGTGACTGTTGATGGCATGTTGGTGTCGGCCGGTATTGCTGGATTGATTCTCGAGAGATCGCGAAGAGGAGGTGGACTGCTAGGGGATATCGAGAGGAGGTGAAAGTTGTTCAGCAGTTATCCTAAGGATGTAGAGGTCTTGAAAGCTGACCTGATGTCAGGGTGTGATGTACTTCTGCCTGTTACCCCGTAAGACGTAAAGTCCCGGTGCTCCCGCCATTCCCGACTTAGTCGAGGAGAACGAGAGGGTAAACCTGAACAGGACAAGGCCAGGCGTTTAGGCGTCCAAGATTTCGATTGCATTTTCCCTCTACATTCGGAAAATGTCCCGAATTATCCTTGCAGGAGACAATATAGCTGCTGAGTTAATGACATCTTCTCACCTGTAAGCATGTCGTGTCCCAGAGGCTGCTGCGATCACCGTTGAGAATCGGGATAATCTTTCGAGAGTAAGTGCCGGTCGCAAGGCTGCACAAGGCTGATGCAAAGAGGACCATGAACAGCCTAACCTTTGCAGGACTAGCTTAGTATACGGCGAAGCATACCACTCCTTCGCGGCTTAGACGGAGAATTCTTGCCCGACCACAGAGATGGCATCAGATTCAGCAGAATGGGCTCATCGTCCACACATTACACATCGACGCGTCTGATCGCCGGCCATAATCGATTCGGTGCACACGCTTGAATCTATTGAGCAGCTGATGATAGTGCTCATGTCGTAAATTGACGCCCAAGGGCTCAGGGCAATCCCAATGCTCGTTGCTGGAAGACTAGGGCCTGCTTATACAATCATGCTTTCGCGGACTGTTCACAGCTGCGGGAGGCGACACTTTTACAATCTGGGCTGCACGAGAACCGCGACTTGGAATCTCGCATATCACTCGTCGGCGAGGGATGGCGTTCGTCGTACCTTCGCCCAATCAGCCTTGCTAAACCGAGATGACGCCGCCAAAAGATCGATTCAAGCCAGCAAGGTTGCAGAAGCCCCGCCCAGCCGAGCAGAAGGCGCCGAAGTTACCAAGCCAGAGACCTTACAGGGTACCAACACGGCCAAAGCTGCCGAAGAGACAGCCAAAAAGGATGCGACTCTCTTATCGGAAAAGGTCGTGTCCAACAAGGAACAACGTAAAGTCGACTTTGCGATTATGAAAGAAATGCTCCAATATCTCTGGCCTAGGGGAGACTGGGGAACCAAAGTACGGGTTGGAGCAGCCTTGGGCCTTCTGGTGTCGGCCAAGATATTGAACGTCAACGTACCCTTTTATTTCAAGAACATTGTCGACTCGATGAACATTGATTTCTTGGCCGTTGGCGGAACCGCCTGGACAGTTGCTGGCTCAATGCTCGTCGCTTACGGAGCCACCAGAATCGGCGCCACCTTGTTTCAAGAGTTACGAAATGCCGTTTTTGCCAGTGTCGCTCAGAAAGCTATAAGAAATGTTGCTCGCAATGTGTTTCAGCACCTGCTGCGCCTGGATCTCAATTTCCATCTGTCGAGGCAAACTGGTGGACTCACCAGAGCACTCGACCGAGGTACGAAAGGCATCAGCTTCTTGCTGACATCTATGCTGTTTCACATCTTCCCTACCGTGCTCGAGATTGGCATGGTCTGTGGCATCTTGACATACCAATATGGAGCTCAGTTCGCCGCCATCACCGGAGCCACGATGGTAGCGTATTCAGCCTTTACAATCACTACGACGTCGTGGAGAACGAAATTCCGGAGACAAGCAAATGCAGCAGACAACCAGGGAGCTACGGTAGCAGTGGACACGCTTATCAATTATGAGGCGGTCAAGTACTTTAACAATGAGAAATTCGAGGTCAGCCGCTACGACAAAGCACTCAAGAAATACGAGGATGCTTCTATCAAGGTTACAACATCATTGGCGTTTCTGAACACCGGCCAGAATGTCATCTTTTCGAGTGCATTGGCAGGGATGATGTATATGGCCGCAAACGGTGTGGCTGAAGGTTCATTAACTGTGGGAGATTTGGTGATGGTCAACCAGTTGGTCTTTCAACTTTCAGTTCCATTGAATTTTCTGGGGTCGGTGTATCGAGAACTTCGGCAATCCCTTCTGGACATGGAGACACTCTTCAACCTTCAGAAGGTTAACGTCACAGTGAAAGAAGTGGCTAATCCAAGGCCACTGGCGCTGACTCGGGGCGGAGAAATCAAATTTGAGAATGTCACCTTTGGTTATCACGCCGACCGACCAATTCTGAGAAATTTGAGCATGACTATTCCGGCAGGGAAGAAAGTGGCCATTGTCGGACCAAGTGGTTGTGGAAAGTCGACAATCCTTCGACTGTTGTTTCGCTTCTATGACGCAGATTCTGGCACTATTACCATCGACGGTCAGAATGTCCGTGAGGTCAGCCTGGACAGCTTGCGGCAAAGCATTGGAGTGGTCCCGCAAGACACACCGCTATTCAATAATACTATTGAGCACAACATTCGATACGGCAAAATCGACGCTTCCCTCGACGATGTCAAACGAGCAGCTCAACGAGCCAGAATCTTCGACCTCATTGAACGTCTACCGGCTGGATGGAACACCATGGTCGGCGAAAGAGGTATGATGATCTCAGGTGGTGAGAAGCAACGCCTTGCTGTTGCCCGACTGATTTTGAAGGACCCACCTCTACTGTTCTTCGATGAGGCTACATCAGCACTCGATACCTACACAGAACAGACACTTCTCCAGAACATCAACAGTATTCTGAAGGAGAAGGCACGCACAAGCGTGTTTGTGGCACACCGGCTTCGTACCATTTATGACAGCGATATCATCTTTGTGCTGAAGGAGGGTCGTGTATTTGAGCAAGGTACTCATGCAGAGTTGCTTGCTATGGATGGATTGTATGCCGATTTGTGGACCGCACAAGAAGTCTCCATCGGGCAAGACATGACGCTGGAGCGTTCATTGGAAGAAGAGCGCCAGTCGGAGGAGAAAAAGAACTGATATTGCCCCCATCATGACCGAGTATTGATGGGTGACAGACTTATTGGGCCCGAGAACCGAGCTTTGGCTCCAGAAGCAAGGCCCGAAGCCTCTGCACCTTTGAGTCCGACCGTGGTTCTCCACGCAAATCTGATGCACTCAATGTCAAAGCCCGGCCTGCAGGGAGAGCAAGTTCTGTAGGTCCTGCCCTCTATCTCGGAGGTCGACCAGAAATGGACTCAGTTGCCAGATTCACACAGATACGAAGGTCCGATATCAATGAAAGTACCTGGACAGCCAAGCAGTTCAGACGAGGTTACGCTGGAACCGAGATGATGGAAAGTCTGTTCAGAGACAGGGGTCACTTTCGCCCCCTGGCACGTGGCATTCGCTTGCTGGGGGAAATGCCCACACTGACCGCTCAAGAAGAACTTTTACTGGCGGATCTGCTTCAGTCCGCCGATCATTTTGACTTCTATGGCTTGCATGGAAAACCACCGTCGTACGCATGGCAAAGGCCGGCGTGCTTTGGATATAAGGGCTCGCTTGGATACTCTGAAGGAATGGATACAGATGGACAACGTCATGGGAAATGTTCATGTAGGGTTATAGTGATCGCATCTCCGTCCTCGATGAATAAGTAACTTCAAGAAATTTCATCAAGACCTGTCACTTCCACTGCCCCAGCTTCTGAGATTCTCCGCTTGACGTGCCAACGCTAAGAAAAGGTTCTTGGGCCCTTTAGGTTCAATCTCTAGGCTCTCTAGGCAGGAACCATCGCGATCTAGGCGAGCTAATTAGGCTAGCTTCCGTCTAACGTTCAACTAAAGATGCCTGCAGAAATTGCGACTGTCCGTTTCTTTCTTGAGCCGACTCCTTTCTTACCAGGAATCCCACCCTGCCTCCTCCCTTGATAATGGGTACCACTTCCCACCGGACCTTGTCGCTGGCGACGAGCATGACATATTTCCTGACATCCCTCCCTTGACTTACTTTCGTCGTCTCTAGCAGATCCAGTGTGCAGTATTGTGCCGCAATCCACATTCAACACGACTCCTTCCTGCGGTCATCTTTGTTTCAGAAACCCGCATACACCTGGCAGGATAAGTCATCACTGCGATTTAGATATTCTGCAACTAGATCCGGTCTCAGATCAGTGCATGCCAAACCCTTCTTCATCACATGCGACTGTGAGATCATCCTCGCTCCATACGTTCCTCCGCTCGGACCGCGAAAAGCGCGACTCATCGCGAATCTCTATCTTTGAACCTATCGCGACACACTCTCCTCTCGGAAGGCCGAATCGAAAGAGTCAACGGATTGGCTTCCCAATCCTGGTCACGAGGCTCTGGAAACAGACGCATCCTCTGGGAATATCATACGAAAGCAGCTCACTACTGGACTGTGGACTATAAGCCATATCCTTTCCGAACCGCATCACCTCGCCATCTCCCAACTCGTCTGAAGCTCTTGAGTCGTCCAAAATGGGTCTCTTCGACAAGCTACAGTCAAGTGAGTCGCAACCTGGCACTTTGCTTGCTTGAAATGCACGCGCACCTGTTTCGGAGATCTGGCTAACAGTCTCTTTGCAGAACTCGAACTCTACCGCCTTGAGCAGAAATACGCCCGTCGCAAGAATCGAATGACCTACAACACCGGCGCCCAGTACGTTGATGGTGAATATGTCTACCCCAGCGGAGCCGACTACCTCGACAGTCCTGTGTCTGCCAATTCGACTGGTAGCTCCGGCAGTTCGAACAAGAGACGGACCATGTTCTGGGCACCACCTAATCATCGCAGATGATTACCTCTTCGGACACTGGTCATGACGTTTTCTGGAAGTACTGCTGTACATTCTGTGTCTATATTTTATCGGTTGGAATTCAGCATAGCATCGGGCGTCCTGCGTTTTGGGTTTGAAGCAGCACGATTTGATCTTTACAGTCACACGGACAAGAACGAAGATTTCATTTGTTATGAGAAGTATCATTAGAGAAGGCGGTACTGAGAAACCTTTGCCCTGGGTACATCTACAGTTACTGGGCACTGCTGTTGAGCAAGTGTACCAACTTTCGAAGGGGAGTGTCGGCGGACGAGAGGGAGTATAGCAGACTCACCCCACCAAAGAGGTAGGAGTGGTGAATATTACTTTATCTTTCCAGTCCATGCTCTGACGTTCTCTATCTCGTGTACGGCTCTTATCGATCTCGAACCCTGTGCTCAGACCATCGCGTTCAGCTAGGGCCAACGACCAGCAGCTCGGCACGTCCCTCTTTAGAAGTACTCCGTAAAAGGAGCAAGCTATATCGGATGGTGCTATCAGACGATATAATACCCTGCTCAGCTCCTTCAAAGAAGTCTTCGCAGATTACCAAATGATCGACAACGTATTTCAATCTTCTCGACATCCGGGTCAGTGCCGGGAGTTAGAGTACCACATAACGAGATGTTCTGGTCCTATTATACGCGATGAGGTGCGAAAATTCGTCTGGCCGAGTATGACTCTGAGTATGGCCCGTGTGCTCCGAATTGTGGCCGTCCCTACCTGAGTCCCCCCACGATCATTCCAGTGAATTGCGTGTCAGTGTCGGCAGGGAGGAGAAATGCAGGTTCGTAAATTGGCGCATAGTCGTGCGTTGAGCTTCATCATTGGGACAAATGCGCGCACGGTTGTTCGGGATGCGTGCCAGGATGGGAGTAGGCGGTCGCCCTATTCTAGCGGGCGATTCCTACGCAGTGACGTTGCGCTCCGTAATGAAGGAAACGTTAACAGAGACCCGTAGGGCACGTGTTGAGTGCCCTACGGTGTGAAAGCGCGAATTGTCGCAGAAGTGTATCCCACATCAGAGCATGGCAAACTGCGCTGGCATGGGAGATATCGCACGATGTCTCTTGACCGGTAAATGCGCGTAGCGTACGGAGTAGGTTGTTATCTCTTCTCGTATCTTCTCAGCCCAACCTCATCTTCTATGCTTTTTGGGAGTCATAAGAGACTTCACAGACGATCATCCACGGGGCCATTCAGCCTCGTGCTTTGGGGTTTTCCGTCTGTTTCGCAGCGGCATCGCGATTCGGTTTCATCGGCTGAAGCTCAATGTCTTTGCTGATGCGGTTAGAACTGGCGGTGAAGCTCTCCGAAAGACTGCGGATCTGCGGCTGCACGACCCGAGAGATGTTGTGGTAGCCATGTTGCGGTACCTGAACGAGGATGGAGTGTAGGTATGCGAAGAATTGGGAAATGCGGCCCATTGTTCTTTCTTTCCGCGTAGCACTGTAGAGGCAGGTCGTTGCTCAAAGCACTGACGACGTTTTTGCGGTTCGTTGGGCGTATGGTGAACTATTGTTTCAGTGTTTACGGAATGACAGTGGGATGCGCGGTCCTGATGGAACGAAGGAGGATCAAATATGTAGTGGCTTCAAAGCTGAGAGTGAATGTGAATCACATCGCCGACGATCCGAGATACAGAGAGAATGATGTCGGCCGTGACGGGCTGGTGCCAGACTAAGCGCTGGGCACGAACAGTGAGGTATCGAGGTTGTGTTGGAGAGGGTTGAGATAGGCGGTAGAAGGCCTCACTAGCCTTATCAGATTGGACGGTCGGGGCCAGTGAGGTCGAAACATGGGGGCTGAACTGGAGACACAACAGCCCAAGCACGCCTAACTGCCTGTACCTAAGCATGGATGACCTTGATGGGCTAGTGAGGCTCAAGCCAATCAAGACCAGGCACAGAAGGTCCTTCTGATCCTCCGTACATCTGCGTTTTCCGTCGAGCCTTCCTCGTGCACACTCGTGGTATCTCATCCACCGCTGTCGTCAAATGCACAGAACCAGAGAAATGTTCCCCACTGACGAGGATATGGTCCAGCCGCCCGCGATCACCCATCACCTATCAGCGATGAGCGATTGGACATACCCTACGGAGTACGCAGCATGTATCTACCTATGAAATGGTGGTTGCCGAGCCTTTGACTCGAGGACGCTGAAAGAACTAGCTTTCCGCAGTCAGTCTCGAAGTCGTTCTGGCACCGATGCCCAAACCCCGTCCAAGTGAAGATAAAGTCTTGGTGAGTGATCACCCGCTTGTGAATCCGAGCGTCTGAAAATATCTTTCGTCGGGCGGCAAGATCCCAGTCAAATGGTACGGAGGTTCCTCCCCACATATCAAAGACAACATTCTCGCCCACCATGGTACGCTCGATGCAATCCGAGACAGAATCGGGAAATACGAGTATGTGCTGGGAGACACTTTTTCTCAACGGTGGTCGCCGAAGGCAAGCAAGTATATATAAATACGTCCGTTTGCCTCTTCCTCACGCCCATTCTCTCCTCAAATCATCTTCTCTTTGCACAAGCATTCTCTCGTCCCCTTGAGCCTTCATCCCATCTTCTCGCAGACTTTTTGCTCCGCATCTGGCTTGAACTGCCAGAGCTCGTCAGCCTTGTGGATCGACAATTCGTGATCATCACCAGGTAGGCCTTTGGTCCTAGACTTCTGGGAAGTGATGACTAACACGAGGCAGTCATGTCTTCTCTACTGCCCATAAACTGGGTCATACCCATCGCAGTAACAGCGGGAGGCACTTTAGTGAGCAAGCTATTGGAGGACTGGCATATTTTTGGCGACAAGGATCCAACTCCATACAAAACCAGAGTTCGCATCTGGGCCGGGATGGACTACAACAGAGCAAATGCTAGACATAGCAGCTTGGGAGGGGCGAAGCCAAACGTCCGCCTATACGACGAATTGGGAAGATCCCTCGGCACTACAATTTTCATCCCGCCAGAGGGTGCGATACCCGAGGGAAATTTCAGAGACTACGAGATCGAGGGCTATGATCTGGAAAACGCGAAACCAACCGACGCTTGGGTGCACAGTAACGCTCGAGCAAGTTATATAGCAATTTCGGCAAGTAAGTGGGCCTTTTTCATGGGCGACCTTGGGCCTCACTGACCTGAAAATCCTAGACGGGGACGACGCCCTCTGCATCTCTGCCATCGCCATCACCTATCCTGATGGTGGCTCCGACCTCATCCTTGGGGACATTCCGTCCAAACTCTGTGGCTGGAGAAGCTATGTATCGGCAACAGAGCTCCCTATTCCTGGACAGAGAAGCGCCACCTACAGGCCGCAGTGCTTCTGGATAGACGGTAACGACTCTTTTGGAGATCGCAAAAAACCCTGGGCAAAGGGTTCGAATATGCCGTACACTGTCGCCTTCCACATCCGCGATTTCAGAGGCAACAACGATACTGTCAATGCCTTGCAGGAGAACAAAGACTTGTTCTGTAAGAGTTCAGGTCGGATGGAAGCTTGGCCTGAAAAGCAGAATGGCAAATTACATGTGCGAATCAACGTCTTCAAACCACCTCTAACATATGACGGAGACCAACCTACTTATCTCGATCCCAAATATGTAACCAACGACAATGTCAAGCAATGGGCCTTAACCGACACAACACTAGCACGTCGACGTACTGCTACGCCTGTCCTCGATCGGCGGGAGACCGATGCTTCCACAGCCGACGAGGAATCCGAGCCGAATGAAATGCACCAACTTTGGTGGGCTCTTTCGACGAGCACCGAGCTGGATATGAGCGCCGAGTACGTTTGTAGCCAGCCAAACATGGCGGGTCCTCATTACGCCAATCTGCACGAGGGCAAATTCTGCAAGCTGGATGACCATACAGTATGGGATTTATGTGGTGGGGACATCAAGACGAATTGCTTCGACATGGACAGCCAGGTCCTTTGGGGTGAGTCGTCCGCCATGTCGAACGCCACCTTCACCACTCAAGCTCTGAATGTTACGGCTGCGAATCCGATCATGAGCCTGCAGTATCGCATTGACATGTAAATGGTCTCTGGTAAGTGTCGACCTTCCCCCACAACTGATGGCCAAATTTAATGACTAAGACAGCGCGATGGAGGGGAATAGGCGCATGTAATGCGAACAAAGCGGAGCTTGTCGCTGATGCTGACGGGATTGGTTTGGGTACGCCCGCCCCTTTTGGTCTGCCTTGGTCGGATATCATCAAAAGGCATATCGACCTATTGTTTACCTGGACGGAGAAGTCCAGGGACATTCCTGGAGGGCGGAAGCTAACAGAAAGGGGTGAAAGAATCAAGGAGCGAAAATCCCAAAAAAGACATCTCCGGCAGGCATTTATGGAAGACTGCAGGAAGGAAAGACTGTTCCACGGGTTAGTTCGATGGCATCTAGTTCCTCTATGTTGGGTTCGGTTCATGGAAACGGTTGAGATTGAGATTGACCGGTCCTTCATGTGTAATCATCTGGCCTTGGAAGTTATCAAGTATGCGTCAAATAATATATTGAGCGACGTTCAATTACTCGTACATTGCCGACCGCTCCTGGGCTCTCGTGTGGCTCTTAATTTCTCAGCCTCGTCACATGATCTCAGCCTTGTTTACATCATATTTCGACGCGTCTCGCGCTTGTGAAACTCCAAGTCGACGACTTCCAAGTCCGTAACTAGTCGGTAGTCGAGAGACACCCCAGCATTTGTCTACACTATGCATCAAGCGCAATGATACAAGTCCATAGTTGAGCCTGTCTGTCACCAACATACAACAGCGGACGATCCTCCCCTCGATCCTTCACCATGCTCGACACGCTATACAAACTCCCCCTCATCTCCTCCCTTCTCAACTTCTCACCCTTCCTCCCGCCTCTTGATACTCATACCACCACCATTCCAACCTCTCAATCTTCATGTCCCAATCCACCATCACTATCCTGCCCGTTCCCTCCGCCCCGCGAGATCAACACATGCTGCCTCAACCACCCAAGCGGCCACTTCCTCCAGACTCAATTCTGGGACTCATCTCCCGCCCTGGGGCCCAACACATCCTGGACCATCCACGGTTTGTGGCCGGACCTCTGCGCCGGCGGCTTCGACACCTTCTGCGACTCGTCACGCTCGCACTCACCCTCTGACATCCGCACGTTACTCACGTCCCTGCTCAACCACACGCACACCACGCACGATGACCTCCTTGATTTCATGGACACGTACTGGCTCTCGCTCGACGACCAGCCCCAACACCTCTGGGCGCACGAATGGAACAAACACGGCACATGCATTTCGACCCTCGACCCAGATTGCTACCATTCCCAGGAGAACCCCGACCTGTCCGTGCTGGATTACTTCGTCCACACGACATCCCTGTTCCGCACGCTCGACACGTACACGCTCCTCGCCGAGGCTGGCATCCTGCCGTCCCGCCATCAACGCTACACGCTGCGTGAACTCGAAGAAGCCATCGAATCTTCTCCACACGGATACCCCGTGACATTTCGATGCACACACGCCGGCGAACTGAATGAAATATGGTACCATTTCTCAGTCATGGGTTCGCTGAGGAACAGTTATCCCGAACACGAGCACGAGCACGAAGACCCCAATGAAAGACGTATGTCACCACTCCTCGACGCATCCACTGTTCGCGACATCTTCGTACCCACCAACCCTGACGGCGCAAAGTCGAACTGTCCCAGCCAGGGCATCAAATATCTTCCCAAGGACAAGAATCCTGACGGCGGCCACCCTGGTCCTTCTCCAAGTCGTACCACAACCACGGCGACTAGCACGACCATTCCCACATCCGCTCCATTCACAGGGAAGGGCCATCTTGCAATCCATATCCTCGACGGTACCTCTTCCTCTTCCTCTCCCTCTTCCTCTCCTTCTAACGAATCACCGCCAACGCAAAACATCCTGTCCTCCTCGTCCGATGAATTGTTGTCAACACAGAGAGGCTGCCTCATCCGCCTCGGACAGTGGTACGTCTCCGGGACATGCGCGACCTTCAAAGCACAACCTGACATTGTCGACCCCGGCCAAGCACCGCTCTTCTCCCTTTCGTCGAGTTACTCGCCATGCGTGTTCAGCGTACGCACTGGCAAATTGGAGTGCACGAAGTCCACGACGGTCCAGAGCATATTTTCTACAGACAACGAGAACCCGCATGTCTTGTCATACCAAAATAGGACGACATTCTACGCTGACCATGTTCCGCGGCGGTTCGACAAGGTCGACATTTATGCTGATGATGGTGATGGCGAAAGAAGTGTCCAGTTGGAGATACATTGGGTAGCTGTATAGGTTAATACACGCGCTGGATCTGTCCACGCTTCTCGGTTCTACAAAATAGTCGTTTTGCCAACACAGAACTTGGCCTGAATCTACTTTTGACCCGGAGGCACCAAATCCTCACTGCTTCCCAAACTCATTGCTCCAACTCGTCGACCCATCTTCCTCACCTCACGGACTCCTGCGCCAAAGAAGTTCTTCACCATTTCTCCGCTGAGTTGCCTCTCGCGTCTGCGGCGCGACTTGATTACCTTCTCCTCGCCACCATTTACAGTGACCACTTCAAGCGGCGGAGAGAAAGCATCGGTTGTCGGGGCTGTGGGCGGGATGCCATGGCCACTCTCTAACATGGCACAGTCAAGACTTCTCACCACCGGGTCAAATTTGTGGACCTTGCTACCAAAGGTCTCACCACGGTCTCTTTCTGCAAGGGGAGTGTCCTTTGAAATTGATTGCGATTCGAGATTTCGACTCCCGCTCTTAACCAGACCAATGGACAGCACACGTGAACCAGAACGTCGATGAGTCTCGGCAGCTCTGCGTGCCGCTCGAGCTTCCCTTTGCTTCATAACCTGGGCTCGAAACTCGGGAGAACATTCAAAATACGACGTCCTGCGTCGATGCGACTTTGATTCACTAGTATCTGGCTCCGAATCGGTCTTGACCGTGGGATTTCTTTGCTTCTTTGTAATCGTAGGAATAAAGGATGCCAGATTCCCCGTCGTCTTGCTTTTTGCCATGCCGCCGTCGCCGTAGAATGCATTTGGGTGGCTAGTCATGACAGCTTCGGCGTTGATGCTCGAGACAACACTTGTCGGTGTGGAGGTGTTGCCAGGAGAGCGCGGCAAGCTCCACGCCATTGAAGACCTTAAGCCACCACTGCCCGAAACCTTTAGTCGTGGGTCATTGTCCGAAGGAACAGAACTTTCTGCGCGATAGAGACTCTGACGCTGGATCCCAAGCTTCTCCAACAGTCTAGCTTCGAAATTTTCAAGACTCTCCAAGGCTTCTCCTGTCATACAACATTGTCTCAATTCCTTCAAGGAGGTTCTGATTCGAGCTCTTTCGGCGGTCTCAAACATGTGGTCGAGCTTCTTGTTGGTTGAGTCTAGGAGGGAAAGCGGCTTCGTACTCTGCATCTCTTCTTTCCTAAGGCGGTCGCTCAAGGACACGTACCGGCCGGCCCAATACTGTGTGCTCTCTGCACGACATACCTGGGTCTCGTCAGTTTGGGGTTTGATCTACAGGCGAGTCATGTCCTGCCTGCTTCGATTTCTCCACTGGTGGTCCACTCCAACTAGACCCCGTCGCGCTTGTCACTGTCGTTGCGGTAGGGGGATCACTATCGACGCAATACTGATTGGCTATAGTCGGATTGATTGAGAGTAGGCGGCCAGATGAGGATTTTCGTTGAAGGGCAGCAGGTCGTCGAGGTGGTATCGCGTCTTGAACTGGAAGTGTAATGCATGGTGTGCTCTTATGCCAGTCCGTCGCCCAAGGCTGCGCTGTACCTGGTGGTGACGGATATTCGCTCGCTGCATGACGTCCTCCGATTGAATTCCTGAGGCGGATACGGTTTACGGCCGCTTCTCTCTGTACTTGTAGCATCAATTCCATCTCTTTGTCTGTCATTCTGCTTTCGTTTAGCACATCTGCCATGTGGAGTTGACTTGCATCATCGTGGTTCCTCCTCAGCGTTGATACTGTAATCGAAGTCGGCTTTCTTGGAGACGGCGTCGAGCTCGTCGAGCCGAAGCACGTCATGTTCCCAAGAGTTTGTGTTCTTGGTAGTGGCGGCCCGAGTGGTTGCAGCAAGCGTTTCGGAGTGATGTCTCGTGGCAAGGAAAAGAGGTTTGTCATGGTCTTTGACTTGGGAAGGCCACTGCCATGTTTGAATTGAGGCGATGTTGCGGATTCTGGATCGTTCAAAGATTTTGTCGATAAATTACGGATGTAGAGCTGTTGTCGGACGCCAGAGACATCCTGCCGAGACCGGTGAGCGTACGGCGGAAGAGATTCTGGGCTGATCGATGAGGATTGAGGCATGCGAAAGGATGAAGGAGGTGCACCATCATTGAGATTCCATGGTTTCCTAAGATTTTGTCCTTGATCGAAGATTGGCTTGCCCAGCCCTGAACATGCTTGGTTGCCGCCGATACCACTCGGTGTGGCACGGCGAGATGTGCCAGATGTTGGACGTGGAATGGCAGAGACAGATGACCGACTACTTCTGGCGCTGATAGCAGCAGGGTCAGTTGGTGTTGATGACTGCGGCATTGTTCCTGGAATTGTAAGGTGAGCAGAATGACTAGATCGATACGATTGGAGATAGTAGTTCAGCGAGGTGTGAATGATGAGAGAGGATTTCATCAGGAGGCAACAACACATCTGTTCCTGCTTGGGATTGTTTGTTGCCGTTCGTGCCTTCCACATCCTCCCTTCACGTTCCGATCACGAACAGATCTTCGTTGTTATCATACCCACTTCAGGAGAAGATCAGAAGGAAACAGGAACAGCAAGGAGAAAGAAAATGATACTTCAAGCCATATTGCATCTCACAGAAGGGTGCATGATGCGGGAGGCAATAACACGACATCAGAACGATGCGTATGTGCACTTCGCTTTGCGCGCGCTCAAAAGCAAAGGCATGGTAGAACGACGGCAAGAGCATCCACGGGGGCATGATCTGACGATCGTATCTCAGACGGACTCTAAAGGACATATCAAGGTCAAGCATCGTCTCTGCAGGTTGCGTTATTCTCTAGCTGTTTCTTGGTCTTGTCACGACATCAAAAACCTGGTGGCAGTCTCCTCAGCCTCGTCAATGGGCGCTAAACCCGACGCAGTCAAGCGCAGCTTGCTATACGGAGTGGACTTCGGTGGACTCAGCCTCGTGTTGGATGTAGAATGATATCACATCATGATGTAATAACTCACAGTCTCGTTGCATTGGTGGCTCCTACAAATATGTGGCCAGCAGTACCTCCTACTGACTGCGATTCGTTCTCGACCCAAAAATCTCTGAAGTACACGACCATTCCTTGAAAACCAGACCAAATCCCACACCCACCGCTCACAGAAATCCATACCAATACCAACACCAGCACCATGTCTGAACAATACAAGGGTCAAGATCTTATGGACATTGCCAGAAAGGCCGAGCAGGACCTGAATTCCGACAAGGCCAAGCACGGCGCCCAAGACGGTGGCTTTGGAGGAAAGACCGTCCACGGAGGAAGTGACAGCAGTACGCCCCGTCCCGTCCAATACAATCCAATCCACAGTCTTTGCACGCCGCTCCTCCATACTGACAAACCCATAGCAGTCGAATCCGGCATCGATCAATCCGTCACCAACAAATTCCCCGGTAGCACAGCCGAGTACGGCAGCAAAGTCTCTGGAGCAGGCAACAACCGTGAAATCCCTCCCGAAGAAGGTGGTGACATCCAAAAGGGAACAGGAAGACCCACAAAGGCCGGTGACTTCGACCAAGGCGAGCCAGGCGAGGGACCAGAACATATTGCTGCAAGACGAGCTCAAGAGTATGGCGGAGAGGATGATGTACGGAGTAACATCAGGAACTAAGCCACGAGACAAAAGCATACTTTGATCATCATCCCAGCATTACCTGGAGTATTGTACATTCCACGTTCCATATGGACATACCAGCGGAGAAGATAAAAATGCCTCATACCAGACCATAATATGACAAGCTTGAAAACACCCCATTCGACAAGAGAGCCATCTCATGGAGATTTACCCCTTCCCACGTAACGCCATGCTCAAAGTTCCAACCCAGGTTATCCTCGTCGAGGTCTCACAACGCCTTGACAGATTGGAAGAACGGGTTCGCCATCAACTTTTCGTCGCTCTTGACCATATCCCTCATGAGTTTCAGTTTTTCGTCCTTGCTCATATCCTGTCCCTCGACCTGCTCTTTCCATTTCTTCAACATAGCCTTCAATAGCCTGCTCCCCTCCTCAGCTTCCTCTTTCGAGTACTCATCCTTCTTTTCCTCGCCAGTCACGGCTGTGAAGTCTTCCAATTCTTCGGCCTTTCGTCGAGCCATGTTGACCACCTTTGCTGGGAATCTCACAAGTTCAGCAACGTGGATACCAAAGCTCTGATCACTGATTCCGGGCTCGACTCTGTACAACAGCGTGACTTCCCTTCGTTTCGTCGAACTATCACCGTCGGTCTGATCTCCCACAAAGGCAACAACATGCAGATTCTTCACAGCCTTTGGATACTTATCTGCCAGAGCAGTCAACTCGTGGAAGTGTGTCGCAAAGCAGCCGAAAGCCCCAATTTGAGCCACAATCTCTTCACTGATTGCCCAGGCGAGACCGAATCCATCGTACGTACTCGTCCCTCGACCGAGTTCATCAATAATGATCAGCGAGTCTCTAGTGGCACTCTTCAGGATATTCGCCGTCTCGAGCATTTCAGCCATGAATGTCGAGACGCCTTTGAGCTGTGAGTCCGAAGCACCCACACGAGCAAGAATGCAGTCAAAGATGGTCAACTCAGCTTCAGAACATGGCACGAAGCATCCGATCTGGGCCATTAGGGCAATGCAGCCGATGGTGCGGATGTAAGTCGACTTGCCGCCCATGTTCGGACCCGTGATGATCAAAAATCTCGATTCGTCTCGCTTCAATTCGACATCGTTGGTGATGAAGTTGATGTCGTCTTGAGCTTCCATACAAGGGTGCCGTGCTTCTCTCAAAATGGTGTCGCCGGTTCCACGTTCATACATTTTGGGTCGGACATAAGCCGTCGGCGCGTGAACGGAAACATGTGCAAGGCTGACGATAACATCCAGGTGAGCGATGATGGCGGCAAGCTGTTCAATGACTGGAGTGTATGACGAAGCTACCGAGACGACTTCAGAGACCAGTGAGCTTTGCGTTCGGTTGTAAGCAGTCGATAGCTGATCGTGCTCTCGCCTCAATTCTTGCAGTTTTTGAGTTGTGAAATAGACTCCATTCTTTTGTGTCGAAATTTCCTTATAACTCGGCTTGTTACGTATACAGCTGGCTTCATTGCGCGTAAGTCTGAAGCAATAACCGTGCACTCTGTGGTTCTCGAGGAACAGTTTCTTGTCGAGATCTTGGTTGAGATCCTTGCCGGCTCGACGATGCTCAACTTCCATGTCGTGCTTGATCTTGTCGAGCTTCGTTCGTATGATTCGCAGTTTGTCGTCGAACTCGGGTTTGATGATAAACTCATGGCGATCGAGTGCATCCAGGTCAACCGTTGTTTCTACCATCTCTGCGAGTTTGCCGAGGAAATTCGACAACTCCTTGAGTTTTGAGGTGTACTGTGCTTCGAGCGGTATTTGATATTGTTCGTCGACGACGGTCTCCAAAGCTTCAATAAAGCCTGGAAGACGGATGACAACCTGGTAAGCGCGGACCACGTCCTCAAGATTGGCCATTTTGCGTTGAAATTTTTTCGCGAGCCGGTACAGGTCGGGGATGGAGCGCAGATGTGATTCTTGCATAGTCTGTCGAAGTTCTGTGTCAGTCACAAAAGCCTCCACAAGTTGCTGCCTAGTCTCAATTTCGGACAGCTTCATCAATGGTTGCTTGAGCCATTGGGCTAGTAAACGACCTCCTATTGGTGTCTTGCAGTGGTTGAGGAGGCCAAATAGACTCATACTCTTCGCGCCATCCCTAGGGCCGGGCATAAGATTGAGGGCTCTAAGTGCAGCAGCGTCTAGTTTCATGAACTGGCTCAAGTCGTGCTGGTAGAGTCGATACTGACCAAAATTGCTGGGATCGGTCAATGCACCAAGATACTTGATCAAAGCAGCTGCACTGCCCATAGCCAACTTGAGATCCGTCTGAGGTAACAGGCCCGTCGCATTTTCTCCTTTAAGGAGTCTCGATAGATCCTGATCAATGTCCTTCGTCCCATAGTCGGCAGCGGGTCTCTCGGAGATGGCGATATTGCATGAGTCCGCTATCTGTCGTATCTTGGCGAGTTCGGGATCCTTTTTCTGCCCATCGTTTGCCACGACACACTCCTTGACACCAAGTTGAATGAGTAGGCTTTCAAGGTTGGAGTAGAGGTCGTTATCGAGAAATTCGCTGACACCGAGCTCTCTGACGCTTGCATCTGCAAAACAAACTCCCACGCTTCTTGCCTCGCCTGCCTTTGCGCTGACCTTGACGGCCAGAATAATTGGTGCACTGTCACCTTGACTGTCCAGGCCCGAACCTAGCTCTTCCTCGACCGCTTGCAAGTTTCCAGGGCTAGCCTGCCGAGCCAGCTTCCATTGTCCCTTTCCACATGCCTCCCATATCTCTACTCTTTTACCCAGTTTAAAGAGTGCTTCGCGGAGGAGGTTTCGGAAAACAGTGGTTGTCATTGTAACACTCGGAAGGGCATTGTCACTGCGACCGAGATTTCTGATGACCGCAGTGGTTTTGTAGACAGTCCTAGCAATGAATTCAGCGTCTTCGCCATGTGCTGAGTACCAGTCCGTGCGGTCGAAGACACGAATCGTGCTGGCTCCATCTGGCTTTGAAGGTAAGGAACGAAAGGTCCGGATGAAGCCACCTTCATCGTCAACCTGTACCATGAGTCAGCCATGTCCATTATGGCTCTTGGACTCGTCTTACCTTGAGTTCCGGCCTCGACGCCATTGTGAGTTACTATAATTGCAACAAGTTGTTGGACTTCCCCCATCAACAAACCATCGAGTGACGCGCAACTGGAAATAGCGCGTAAAGTACTGACAAGACGCGACCTCTTGGCACCTAAAAGAGGACCACCCGGCCTGCGCCGCTTCTAGACAGCACTCACCAACCTAGACACTCCCTTCTCTCTCCCTTCGACGCCTGATTCTTCTCCCGCGCTAGATAGGGATAACTTTGTTGTCCTATAGAGTCACCATTCTGGAAGTCTTGTAAGTAGGTCGGTGGGTGGCCTGCCCTCGATTGTCTTTCGATGCTAGAAAATATCACCTTCCAATCCTACAGTAAAATAGACCTCTCTCCCAGTACGAGGGCACTAGAAAGGTCTTTATGGACGGACATTCGTCTCTTTCGTACTCTACCTAAACTTTTTCGTTCTCGAGCCTTATTCAGACGGTTTTTCCATCTACACCATTATGAAACGGAAATATACTTCACAGGTGCATCACATTTGGCAGTGTCCTGTGGTGTGGAGACAGCACGACCATGGCCATGATCGAGATCGAACCCACCGGACGAGCTGACTATCTGTGATCGCTATCTTACCGTCATCGTCTTGATCTGCGTCCCATTCCCCATCGAGTGTGCAATTTCCACCACGGCGCAAGATCCTTCTGGACAGCCATGGCAGAATCTTCATCAATGACTGCGGTATTCAGAGCACACGCTTGGAATATTGGCTTCCCCTGCCCGTTTACGCCTCCAGAAAAGTCTCTGCCTTCTCCGCCCTCTCGATGATTGGCGGCGGCTTAGCGATCCTCTGCCGGAAGATGTGTCGTTTGATGAAGTATGGAAGCGACACGGTCAACTCATAGGTGATGAAACCTTTCGTCGGGACCGAGAAGACCTCTGCGAGAGACGTCAGCGTGAGGCCAGATCAGACGAGCGAAGTGTGACTTACGGTCCAACTCTTCCAGGGTGAGCTGCTTGGTCTCGCGGACGAAAGAGAAGATCATGAACCAGGCGACGAGGTTGAGCCCAGCATAGAATGCGACTAGAGTCACCGTCAGTGTTTAACACCGAAGAATGCAATAACAGTCTGCTTACAAGCTCCAGTTGGAGTCATGACGGTCTGCATTCAAGGGAATGTCAAACTCAGGACGCCAGCTACAAAGACATTGTGAGTGAGGTCTCAATGGCCGGGGGGTTTTCTGAGATTCCACCGAAAGTATTGTTGATGCACACGGCCCAAGCCATCCCTTGCTCTCGCTGGATGGTAGGGAACACCTCGGCAGAGTACTGGAATGCGACTGGTCCTTCACCCAAAGAGTAGGTGATAGTGAAGAGGTAGACGAATCTGTGAGACTTTAGTATCCAGCCGAGGGTTGCCAATATGCCGGGCGAACTTACAAGACCACCGGCCCAATCTGTGAGCCACGGCTAACCGACGTGTTCAGAAGAGACAGGCCACCGGCTAGTAGGAAGATAGACATAAAGGGGAAGGTCTGCATGGTCGGAAGAATCAGTTGTCTCTGCACACCAAGCTCGTGATACGCGAACTTACAGCCAAAGTCAAGGTTCTTCGACCTTTGGTGTCAATGAGGAACAAGGCCGGAATCGTTGAAACGACCAGAACAGCACCATAGCCCAGGGACGCGTATAAGGCCTAGGAAGCGGTGTAACCAGCATTCTCGAAGATGGATGAGCTATAGAACGAGATGACTACCACGGTGTCAGTACTTTTCGTAACGCGACAGGCGGCAAGTGCCTCACTGTTGATACCGCACATCTGCTGAGCGATCATGACGGTCGAGGCGCCATAGCTGGCTCGCCTGATCCTGAATACGGCGAAACAGTCCCACAAACGGGCGAAGTAGCCCGCGCCACTCGCCTCTCGCATTTCCTCCTCATATATCACCCACGAGTAGTAGTAGTCCCGTGCGGCGATGATCGCATGAGCGCGCAAGCGTGACATGAATCGAAACCCTTGAGCGTATTTACCATGCTTCATGAGCCAGCGAGGTGACTCGGGACAGAAAAAGATCCCAACGAGAAGGAAGAGGGATGGGATGAAGGCCGAGCCGAGCTGGAGACGCCAGGCGATGGCACCCACGTCTTTGACAATCACGTTAGCACAGAAGCCCAAGAAGATACCTGTCAATGATCAGCCAAATGCCTCTCTCGTGTTGGGCTTAACCTCACCAGCCACGACCCAAAGTTGCCAGAACATGACGAGAGCTCCTCGAATTCGAGCCGGGGCCATCTCAGCCTAGTAGATGGGAACCGTGGCATTCTTTGCGCCTATACCGATGCCCATGACGAATCGCGCCACAAACAGTCCCTCCCACGATGTTGCAAAGGCGGAACCAATCGGGGTGGCAGTGAGACAGCAGGCGGTGATGAAAATCTCGCCTCTTCGGCCGAGATAGTGGTTGAGTGGGTCGACGATGAAGGCACCACTGTATATCCAAGTCAATCAACAAAACGGATGGGAGCTGGCGAACTCACATGAGACCGGCCGTCAAGAAGATGATGGCGTTGATGATTCCCACGACCCATTCGTCGCGCCCTTTCCCAGTCAGGCCGAACTCCTGAGGGAAGGACAAGTTGGCCCCGTTGGCCCCCGTCTGATCCCATCCCTGCGTGGCGGCTCGGCAGGCGCACATGGCGATGGAATACCAAAGCATGGCAGGGCCGTGCCACTTGTGGTCCCTTTCGTAGACGAGCGCCCTTCGCTCATCTACATCAAGCTCGGTTACCATCTCGGCTCGGCTGGGGTCTCGTGCCACGAGAGCAGCTCGCCCGAACCGAGCGGCGTGCTCGGCCACCCCATGCGACTCGGCAAAAGCCCGCGCTGCCATTACCGTCTCTTCCGGGGAAATGCGTTGCGAAAGACGAGAGGATCAACCACAGTGACGATGGCGCGGGAGAGATCTGACAAAGACGCACCTGCAGAGGGTTCTCAACAATGTTGAAAGCGACGGATTGGCGCCGGCCACTGGCTAACGGCTCTGGAGCCTGAATCACCTTGCTCTCATCGTGAGAGACGTCGACCACCTGGTCCTCCGTGGACGTCCTCTTGGTCATGGTGGTGGAGAGCTGAGGGTCGACGAAGGGTGACAATATCTTGTTTGCTTCTAATCAAAGGTTCTTCGCAGCAGTTGAGCCGGGCTCATGTATCTGGCAGACCTTTGTCGTCTTATATGTTCGCATTGCTCGATTCTTTCTGATGCGTGGCTGTTTGGACCCTCACTACAGCCCAAGTTAGTGAGCCTTAAATGCTCGTCTTGATCGGGCGCCACAGGTAGATTAGCGTAACGCACGCCAATCACCGGAATGCAAGAGGGAAAACGTATGGGTCGAGGCTGCGGAGGGAAGCCTGCCAGATCCACATCCACACCATTTTGACACTTTCAGCCGCGGGTCTCCTCTTGACCTCTTGATCAAATGTGGAGTATGGAGACCTTCAGGACCATCTTGGCATCTACTTATACAAGTAGTACTATTCTGCAGACTTCTGTTAGCGTCGAGCAGTGAGTGTCGTAACGCGGACTAATCCCCAGACTTCCATCCTCCTAGGAAAGAATTCCCTTTCTGCTGACTGCCGCGCCACTTTCCTTCCCCACACCCGATTGACCAGGCGTTCGACGAGACTATTCTGGCCGTGAACCGACGGCAGAGAGTGGTCGTTGGTGACCGTAGCCCGTACTATCACCTCATATATACTGTAATATCATTGTACAGTTGCTGTTACCTGCAGTCCTGTCAGAGTATATAGTGCACGACCTTGCTTCCAGACGACATACTTCCAAGATAATATTTGACAACGTACATTCATTGACCATGTCGCTACAAATTCTCACCCTTTCCCCTCTCCAGAATCCCTGGAGCTCACTCCTAGCAGTCCTGCTCCTCAGCCTGGGTTGCTTGTCGCTCAGATCGATCTATGTTTACTTCCGCGATCCCCTCAACCTCCGCAGGTTCCCAGCACCGAACTTGTTGGCGGCCATGACCCCGATATGGATGATGCGTGCGACATGGAGTGGAAAGAGATATGCGTGGCTTCACCGCGAACATGAGCGCCTCGGCGACGTGATCCGAATTGGGCCGTCCCACCTCTCCTTCAATGACCCTCGGGCTGTCTCCGATATATACGGGCATCAAGCTGCCAGCAAGACCGGCAATACCACGATATCTTCCAGTCCACCGATCGTGCAGACCACTCTCGCAAGCGGAAATTCATCGCCAACTCATTTGCCTTGAAGAACGTTGTCCGGATGGAGCCCCTGATTCGTGACAACGTCCGCATCCTGATAGCTCGAATCGACGACTGGTGTCAACAAAACAACGCAGAACCTCCCCTGGACTTGCGCCGCTGGTAAGTTGACGCATCCTGGAAAAATTGATCATTCTGACGGGTTCGCTGTCCTAGGTTCAATTACCTGACATTCGATGTCATCGGGTCAATGGCATTCAGTCAGCCATTTGGGTTCCTCCGCAACAGGGCAGATTCCAAGGTAATCGAAGGGGTTGGAGACCGGCATGAGGTCCCAAGTGTCATTGATGCTCTGATCTTTGGCCTCCGCTTCAACATCACGGTGGCACAATTGTCCACCTCGTTGGGAACCGTCAAGTCGGTAAAAGCGTTGGTCAGGTCAGTTTCCCCTTTGCGTCGTTGTCTGGGAGTGGACGACTCTGTGGATTTCGACAAGGTCTGCATGCAACACCTCCGCCGTCGGATCAAAGGACCGGCAGAACCTTCCACGGACGACTTTATCCAGTCAATCTTAACGGACAGAAATGGAGAGGAACGCAAAGTCCCTTTCATTGAGCTGTTTGCTGAATCCGGTGTCATATTGGGGCCGGAAGTGCGATCACCACTGGACTTCTGTCGAGTTCGTGCTATCTCCTGGCATCGCACCCGGAATGTTTGGCAAAACTCCGAAAGGAAATTGATAGTGTCATGCCATTTGCGGCGGGTGACCACTCGGACTTTGACCAGGAGATTGTTCCCTACGACCTCATCATCAAGAACTTGACGTATCTTCGCGCCGTCATTGATGAGACACTGCGTCTCCGGCCGCCAATTTCCTTCGCCCTCCCACGGCGCGTCTATGCGCCCGAGGGTGCCAACATAGCTGGCCATCATGTCGGCCAGGGGACCATTGTCGCTGTACCTCCCTATACAATCCACCGCAAGGCGTCGTTGTATTCCGATCCCGAAGACTTCAAGCCCCAGCGATGGTTCCAAGAAGAAGGCAATTTCGATCCAGAGAAAGAGTCCGAGATCCATAACTTGAAAGCATATACTATACCGTTCAGTCAAGGGTCTCGAGCTTGTATCGGACGTCATATTGCGGTGGTGGAAGTCCAGATCTTGCTGGCAACGATGATCCGGCGTTATGATATCAGCCTGGTATCGAAGGATCAGCAGCTTGACATCTTCGAACAGTTCAACGCGAACCCAGGCCCCCTTCCCCTCATTATTTCGAGAAGGGTTGCAGCTTGATAGACCCTTTTCGTCCCTTCTTGAGGGTTTCTGTTTACTCCATCATAGATTATGTGGATGATGAATGACTGTAGAGCTGTTGGGGTGTCGGTATGTGACTCAGAGTTAATGTCGATCATTGGAATAGCTCAGATATGTGTCTCTGTCGGTTACTGTTCGCGCTGTCAGTGAATGGCGGACATGGTATGATTGTACATGATGTGATGTCTTCATCCCAGAAATAGTACCAGCTGTGCTCTACCGAGAGAAGCACTTGACGGTACGCTCCAAGACTTCCTCACTGTCTCGTGTGCGGTTTCAACAACCATCATATGCTGTCTCTCTGAAAATTTGGAAAATATGCCTTGAATGACGGCATGATCTCTCGATTCTGCGTGCAAGCCGATTGTGTAAAGCGGCCACAATATCGTCGACATTGGACCTGAGAGAGCACAAGTCCTCAGAAGGCTGTCGATTGCGGAGTTATAGACACATTTCAGCGACTTTGCATTTGTATAGTCCTCGCCTAAGCACGTTTTGTATAGAGTGAGAAGCGAGGTGTACTTGAATGCCCTCGCAATCTGTAGCATCGCTTCCTGGCCACTGTCGGTTCGATCGATGGTCAAGGGAGCCGACCAGGAGCGCAGTTGTTCCTCCAAACGACGTGCTTGCATGGAAATATCCTCTCCATTGTTCTGACATGCTAGGAGGTCCGCGAGATTGATGATCAAAGGCCAGAGACTTCCACTCAGGCCAAAAATGCTGTCAAAGCCAGAGCTTATCTCTTGCGGAAAATGATTGAATCCTAGCGGCCGCTGTCGTAGAGACAAGGAGGCCATCACATCAAAGTACTGGAAAGCCGTGGCCAGATCGGACAGGCGTGTCGCAGACTGCTGTGTCCGCAGTATATCGAGTAGGGATTTGGCCCCTCGAAGATGGCAGCGAGCGACGCTGGGAGAGTTGCCCAAGACGATCTACAAAAAGTTAGCCAGGGCTCAGCATCAACCTTTCTACATTCAGCTTACCTCGTAGTAGATCAGCAACAAGCTCGCAATCAAGCATTCTTCTCCCGATGAATCATCCGGGTCGGTTCCCACCGAGTCCAAACAGATAGAGAGTAGGCGAAGAGCTTCTGACTGTAGATCGGCCGCATTGATTAGCGACGCCTTGCCCAGGACATGCAAATGCGCCGCGGCGACAGCTTCCACCGACTCCCGAACGAGCGGTGAAGAGTGAACCAGTGGTAGGATATGAGAGAAGAACGGGTTCCTATGATTGGGAATTTGAAAGGTGACAAGGTCCGTGAAACCCGTCCGGAAATGGTATACGAAATTGGTATCGGTGACCGCAATCGATTTGGTGATGGGAATTGCGTCGCAACGCGCCGGTGGCAGGAGAAGTTGACGATTGCTGGATATCTCGAGGTATATTAATGTGACATCTCTCACTTCCCGGAACCATCACTTACTGGTTTTGCGACTACTCCTTGACCTTTCGGCCCTGAGTACGTGCACTCTGAATTGACCTTCCGACATAGGGAGCATACCGGTCGTACTTCATCACACTTTTTCCGTTTGGCACGACTACGGAGAGACTCTTAGCAGTGGAGAGCTGTTGAGGAAGGAAGAAGATGGAGATCGAGAGGCTGAGGCAGAGTATAGTGGATAATGTCTCTTACCAATTGACGCAGCCCCTTCGTGACCGCTGCTCGCCGGACATGCTCAAGACGATCAACCAAAAGCGCCGTAAAGGATGGCGTCCCCCGAAATTGAGAGCAGTATAGTGTGGAGATTGAATGTCTAATTCAACAGCGCCGGACAGGGAGGCATCAAGAGGAGATCCATTATCTAATGTGGATTGTGGTCTGCAGATCTGCCCCGTGGGGTAGAAAAGAGGAAAGTACAAAGTACAAAGGGAGGACGAATATGGATACTTCGCCCAGATACGGAGACTTGTGCCGCAGAAGGGAGGATCTTGGCAGCTTAGGGCGGCATCACCCCTAATCCCAAAAGGGGGGTGAGCTGGGTGTCGAATTACCATCTCTTGGCATTATAGGATGACGACAACTTGCACCTCATCTAGGCTGGGGTAGAAGCACCACAAGGTATGGTAACTAACTTACTGACCGTCTCAGTCGTCAACTTCCTAGCAAACTTCAACAACTATGAGCCAGACCCCTCAACTGCTCCTGCCGTCGCACCCTCGGCTCTTTCTTCGCCATCAATTGCACCTGTCAGATCAGCCCAGAGCCGGTTGCTTTGAGAGTAGTGATCCTCTGGCGCTTTCATCACGATCCTCTTGGGCTTCGGGCCCAGCTCACTCAGTGGGGCCATGAACGAGTTCCAGACACCTTGTTCTTCAAGCTCCTCTTGTAGGCCTTTGAGTTGGGCCGGAGAGGCACTCAAACCCAGTTGGTCAACGTGACGAGCCTGTAATGTCTGCATCCCTGTGGACTTGGATGAAGTGTAGTAGAATCGTTCATAAATGGAGCACACCTGGATTGCTGGGAGCAGCAGGGCCTGATCCAACGATCGGCTGCTGAAAGGTTTCAAGAATGCCCGTAATGTTTTGGGCTCGGCAGGATAGCTGACTGCAACATCTTCACCATCCAACGTAGCCAAGACTTTTTCTCGACGATCCGTAGGACTCGTGTACGTCGATAATGAGCCGCTCTGGTCCAGACATGTGTGCAAGAGTTTCAGGACAGTCCATGTGAGGTGGTCAAAGGTGAAATGAAGTTCGACCGCAAGATCAGTCGAATCTTCACACCGGAAGATGTAACCTGGAATGTAGACGACAAGGTTGAAGCGAACAATGAATCCCCATGTCTTACTATTCACGACTTCGCTTGGAGATTTCCAGCCACAACTGAGGCTCTTCTGGTGTGTGAGCTCGATACTTACCTTTAGAACATCTTGGGCTGATGACCAGGACATGGGACTGATGCGGATTGGACTCGAAAACATCAGAAGACAATCCCCGGAGGGGCGGACCTCCGAGGAGCAAAGTGTTTGGTCAACCGTGTCCGAGACCGTGTTGCCTGGGATTGCTGTCCAGCTTTCTGCAGTTTGTGTCTCGCTTTCTTGGTATGTGCTCTGCGTTGTGAACGCTCTGTAGGCTGCTGCCAGCCACAGGACCACCATGTTGTTCAGTGCCACCCACCAAGGAGCGACTCTAATACCTAGGTAGTAGATCACATAGCAGCCTACGAGACCAAGCCCACATACAGCCACCTTGACATCTCGCGCACGAGAATCCTGAGGAGCATGTCTTGCCGGCAAAGCAGACACAATTCCATCCACTTTCAACGGCTCAATGCATCGCCACTTTGAATGGGTGGCATTGCTGACCGTCCACTGCCCATCACGAAAGAGCGCCGGAAGCGGCTCAGTTTGCAGTACGACTTCTGATTGGATTAACAGAAGGAGTGCCACTGTGGATGTAACGACGCCTGAATAGCCTACAAGCCCCATTATCAGGCCTTGGATGTCAGTACCGTTTGTATTGTTGGAAGCGTAGCCGGCGATCTGGATACCAATGATTGCAGCTGTCAGGCCTGTGGCAACCAACATGTCCATCAAGCGGCTCATTGATGTCCTGCTAGATGCTAGGGTTGCTGCAGGAGATACACCGGTTGTCCGGAATGAGATTGTGGCGTCCATTGCAACATGTTGGTTCGAGAAACCATCTTTTCCAGCATCCTCCAGATTTTCGATCAAGGTGGCTGTTTCTTTTAAGGATAGATCGTCGAGTCTGCGCAGTGACAGCACAATTTCATGGTCTTGATCGCCATGATGCTCCTTTCGACGAAGCCAGAGTGATCGAAAAGCCCTCAACGCCGAGGGGGCATCTTCCCTAAGCCGACGATGACAGCAAATGAATGCGGCATCCTTGACAACGTTGGGTTCGATCTCGATCCGCCCATCCACATAGACTGGCGTTGCTTGAGACATGCTGACCGGTGTCAGCTCGACCATGGCCTCGTTTCTCTTTTCGCCTTCACGGCCAATCAGCCGGCGAAGGTAAGGAAAGCCGCAGAGCCTGACTGCACTGACAAGGATGGAGAGGATGCCCAGTGGTGCCACTGCCAGATTCAATAGCTGCCGTTTTCCCGACATGGTCCGTAGGTATTCCTTAGCATGCCTCTCCCCAACAAGGGCCATGAGAGGGGTCACATTTGCCACAACAGACGCCCATACCTCGGACGAGCTTATCAAAGGAGTCTGGCCGACTGCTTGTCGTTTCGTGGTTGGGAAGGCCCAGACAGACTGAAGCATTGCAAGGCAACCAAGCAAGTTCGCATTCAGGAGATGCATAATTAAGACTTGCCGTGGTAATAGATTTCGAAAGCTTGCACAAATTGAATTGAGAATAGGAACCCAGTTTCGGACTGGGCTTAAAAGCACCAATTTATGGACGACTTCACTGATTGGGACGTCGCAGTGGCATTTTATGGCATGTCGAATGTAACCGATTCGATAGCGACACCACTGGGATCCCGAGAATTTAGGTGCATCATGCAAGGCAGAATTCGCCTGCGCCCTGCTAAAGAGGACGCCAGAAGCCTCACTCTAACATGAGCCAGGGGTTATTACTAGTACTCAGGTGTGTAATAGCCGGACCACAGTCAGGAGGAGGCATTGGAGGGTATCACGATGATCAATCCGTCATATCTTCATTGTGCGTCTAGGAAGCTCAGAGGAAAGAGAGAACGATGTTCGCAGCGCGTCTGTAGTCTTCATTCGGGCATCGCTGTACTTGCCTATTCAGCTAGCCACCCACTAGCACCAACTTAGCCTCACTAGCCTCACTAACTTATCTAGCGAGCTCGCTAGGTAGCCTACATGGCCTCAATGGATCACTTAGAAACTCCAAAACCCATGGTAGTTGCTTCAGGGCAATAAAGTATCATGTTCACCCCCACGTTACAAGAAGCCGATTCCTGACCTGTTAACAGCGCCTGGCTTATCAGGCTGGCCCTAATTTGGTCTACTTAGTGCGAACAACCTTCTGACTCCTGACCGGTGACAGAGCCTCCAACCACGGCAAGAGACGGCAGGGGACGTTCAAAGACTTGCACAAGTCTTCGAGTTCGAAGCCTGACCCAATATTGCGCCCGATTTTGCAAGCAACTCTGGACATAAAGGTGGGTTTTCCTTTCCGACTTCGTAGTCATCGGAGGCAGACATTGTCAGAAAGAGAGATTCCATGGCAACTATGCAAGCGGAGCAGGTCATGCCACCCTTCAATACCCCTCGAACGTGGAAAGCTTTGAGATATCGTCACATTCTTTTCTTCTCCGTCGCATCTTTGCTTCTTTATGCTCAATGGTCCATTTATACATCCTTTATCGTGGGCCTCCAGCATCAATCAAACAAGCTCTTCAACAAAGAGACCGGCATAGTCTTATCCACATTAGTGCCTGGTCGCATACTAGGCTGGTACAGTATTTTATGCGCCCTGCTGCCACTTGAAAAAGCCCGTCGGAGCAGTCTGTCTGCTCGCCGCAAATATGCTCGTCTCATTATTTGCATGGTCACGAGGGGCCGGAATATCGAGGTACGTTGGCATGGTTTCCACGATCTCACAATTGCCTAATCTGCACTTCCCAGGCCATCAACCGAACGGCAAGGGCACTTCCAGAGCTGGAAGTTATATATAGTCATTTGGAGTTCCATATAGTCACAGAAGAAGATTCGATTTCGCGTTTGCAACATTTGAAAAGCCTCGCTCAACTCCACAGTGTGCCGTTGGAGTTTGCACCCCGAAAGGCCAAATACAAAGCCCGTGCATTGGAGTGGTTCCGCCAGATGCAGGCTTTCACTCCTCAGGACTGGATTCTCCACATCGATGAGGAGACAATGCTGGACGAATTCGCCATCCGCTCATGCCTGGAGAAAATTGAGACGGACTCCGAGGCCTCCATCGCCCAAGGAGTCATTTTGTACAACGCCCATCACTACTGGAAGAACATCCTGACCACGTACGCCGATTGTGTGCGTACGTTGGACGACTTTGGCCGATATCAATTTCAATTCAATCATGCCCGCCGCCCAGTCTTCGGCATGCACGGTGCATTCCTCTTGATCAATGGAGAGGTCGAAAACAAAGTGACCTGGGAAACGGACAATCTGACAGAGGATTACTGGTTCGCACTGCAGGCCGACCGTCTCGGATTCAGATTCGGCTGGATTCCCGCTATTGTGAGAGAGCAATCGCCAAGCAGTCTCTGGGATTTCTGGCAACAACGCCGACGTTGGGCGAGCGGAATTTTGACTGTCAACGCGCATTTGGCTGTGGCTTTCGTGACGCTCTGGGCATGGCAGTCTTTGGAGGTTGTTTTGTAAGTTGAGATCGAGAGGGCGACGGTGCGGTGCGCCTGCTGATTCTTTCCGAAGGTGGCTATCCATTCTGTTCGTGGACTGGCCGTCACGAATTCCGAATTGGCTTTGGTTTGCTGCATTCGCAGAAAACAGCGTCTCCCTGACTGCCACGGGTCTTTCGCTCGCTCTCCAGGTAAGACCCTCTATTCACGCGCTTTGCTCCTGTCGAGTGGCTCGAAAATCGTTAAGTCAAGCTGCCAACAGGATTATGATGCTGAAGTTCCGAACTGGTGTCTCGCTCTGCATCTGCTTTTCCTGCCGATTGTTGCGCCCGTTGCGAATTTACTCAACTCGATGGCCGCCTTCTCGGCGATAATCGTCCCAACTGGTGCATCATTCCACGTCATTAATAAATAGAAGTAAGCCAATAGAGTGATATGGCGAGCCATGTGCTGCAGAATGGCATTTGTAAGACGTCGGAGGAAGAGGGAGAGCCAGCCGCGCCTGACACCCTCACATGTGAGATCTTCGAATGGCATGGTCGTGCGACGCCCCAATTGTATGCCAAAGGTGTTTGCAAGTAGTATAAAGCCGCCAGTGTCCCCCAGAGACATTCTTTCATCAGAGATATTCTTTCATCTGCATCCATCTCGTATTTACCATGTTGAGTCAGTCTGCAGCACTACCTCGCAAAATCTGGCAGCTTTGGCTGCAGCAAGACCATGGCCCTGACCTTGCCACCGTCAAAGATCAACATACACATCTAATCTCGACCTGGAAAACGCACAATCCGGGCTGGACTCACCACATCCTCGACAACGACTTAGCTGAGGAGTTAGTGACTAAGGAATTTCAGCTGCATCCAGACATCCTCAGAGCCTGGAGCATGGCGCCTATTCCGATCTTGCAAGCGGATTTGTTGAGATACCTTGTCTTGTACATTGAAGGCGGTGTCTACACTGATTTGGATACGGAGTGCATGAAGGGCGTCGAGGAGTGGAACATCAACTGCGGGGGGCCAGAGGGAGATTTTGAGCTGCTTTTGGGCGTCGAATACGACAATGTCGACGGCCAAAGACTCCCGCTGTTTCCAGACGACATTCAGTTCGCGACGTGGACCATCGCTGCGAAGCCGAGAAGTCAACTCTTATGGAGCGTCATCCGTGAGATTGCGGACAATTTGAACTCACTCACTGAGGAAGGAATCGAGCGCAGTAGCCTCACAGCAACACTTGTCATGGAGCTCACAGGGCCTCGAGCGTTCACACACGCTCTCTTACGGACACTCAGCGAGAAGACGGGCAGAGTCGTAGGACACGCTGATTTTACCCTGTTGAAAAAGCCAACAGTGATAGGCGGCCTGGGTGTGTTGCCGGTGACAGCCTTCGCATGCGAGCAGCCACATTCAAATGCCGGAAAATGGACACATCCAGATGTTTTGGTCATCCATAAATATCACCATTCCTGGGGAGGACAGATTGAGTAGCTCCGCAGGCTGATGATAAGAAAGGATGAAAGGCCATGAGACCTAGCCTAGCCACGCCTAGCAAAGCCAGAGGCAGTAGAGGCTAAGCCTAGTTCAGCCGTTAGTGCCGCCGCTCTCAGAGCACGTTTATCTTCAGTTTTCTTGGTCAAGTTTGTTGGAGCGCGTATGGTTTGACTTCTTCTGAATGACTGACCTACCTAAACAATGTTCCTCACACCGAGTTCTCGGACAAGATTAATGAGATACGGTGATCTCTCACGCAGGTCACGCGAGCAGTGGAGAGTAATCGCAGGGCGGCATCACCTCGTTCCCAATTGGGTAAAGCGAGTATACTGGTCTTGGCACTGCAGGGCTTATCAACCATGGGAAATCAATGGGCGGCCGCCACTTACACCTCTCGATAAGCGACCAGCCATTGAGCTTGCCGTCCTGATAAGTGCTTGCTCAGGATATCTCTCAGCTATGCACCACAGTTGTGGCTTTTTGGCGACTCCTCATGATCCGACGGCCACCGGGACTTCGATGCCAGCACTACAATGCAGGAGGAAGCTCAAGCTTCTCGGAGACGACGTTTCAAGATCCACAGTGAGTTCGGCACTGCTAGACAATGGCGGAGTCGCAAGAATCGTCCATGCGATGCCTGTAGGAGGCGCAAAACTGCCTGTGTAATTGAGGATCGGCCTCCATGTGAGTGACGCCCAGTCAGAGCTCATTACAGATCGTCGACTAACCTACCCAACGAAGGTCTTTTCTGCAAGGGAAGGAGATTAACTTGCGAATTCACCCCCGAATCTTTGGTAGAACGACGTCCCGGGACCCGGCAGCTGGACCAAGATGAGGATCCCTTGGGTCAGATAGATTCAGAGGCAAACTCTACGTCTCCTGAAAACGGGTATCGAGCCACGCACACGAGTCCTAGTAGTACCGATCGCTCTTTGAACTCACCTACCACCAACTTGGAAAATATGGATCTGCAAGACCGTCACCACGGCAGTCGTCCCAGAGCTTCCAGCGGTGGCGAGACCCAGTCGTCGGAATCCAAGATCCAGACTCTTGAGGATGGAAAGAATCTTACAGCCCACTCTCTTGGACTCTGCTCAGAGCAAGACACCAACCTCTTGGCCTCATTTCGATCCGTCATCATGAACGAAAACAGCCGCGTTGCCGGCGACATCATGCAGGTCAACCCTGGAAGCCCTGTAGCAGGAACACCTCCTGTGCATTTCTTCATACTGAGAGATTGGTTCATGCCTTATGATAATACCATCAAGGACGAATCATCACGGCTGATCGAGGCCAAAGTGGGACTGTACGGTCCGAGCATGGTTCGGTTGTACTTTAAACACGTCCACCCTGTCTACTGCATTGTCTCGAAAGTCCGCTTCCTCCGAGCATATAAGGAGGACAAACTGAGCATTCCAGCATCGCTCCGAGGCGCCGTATACGCAATGGGGTCCGCTTACTGGAACGAAGATCCAAATCTAAGGACGATTCATCGACCCTTTGAGCAGTACGAGCTCTTTCAGGCTGCCACAGCTTCTCTCGAAAGGGAGCTCGAGGCGCCCAATCTCTGGAGAGTGCAAGCCTGCCTGCTCATGCTCCACGAGAAGGCCGCGAGTAATACGACATTTGAGACGCCGAGGTTATGGACGCTATCCGCTCGAGCCGTCTCATGTGCGCAGATGGTCGGACTGCATCGAGATCCGTCAGAATGGAGCATCGCACCTTGGGAGAAGAGTTTACGGAAGAAGTTGTGGTGGGCAACTTACATGACAGACATGTGGACATCTGTTTCTCACGGAAATCCTCCTCACATTTATCGAGCATCATACACGACCTCGGAGCTGACGATGGAAGACCTCCGGTTTGACGAACATGTGCCGGAAGATCTTGCCGATATGGTGGACGACGCAAGTGCCACATTCGACGCTTCGACTGCCGCCAGGTTTCTTGAACTTATTCGACTTACTCAAACATTGCACACGTTGTTGGAGACTGCTTTGTACGATCCTACACTACACTTCACACTCTCATGCCTGCGCTAACACTGCCACAGCTCCGACCACAGCTACCGAGCTGCTATGCTCGATCTTACCGACTACGAAGCCAAGCTCCTGACTATAAAACAAGACCTCGAGTCCTGGCACTCCCTGATTCCACAGTGTGTCACCATGAATTATACATCAAGCAAATATCCTTTCCGCAATAACGGTACGTCTGCATCTGGCCGGGCATTCTGAAGTCAAAGCCCTTCTTGTCTCATAATTGACCGTATCAGGGCCACTCCATCTGGCCTATTTCGCAACGCACATCCTCCTCTTCCGAGCACTAATGACACCGGCCTCAATGACGGCTAAGTACAATCGCCAGTCATCACTCCAACGCTACTTTGGTGCGGCAATGGAGCAGGTCAATGCGTTCTTGGCCTTCATGGACGAAATCACACCGGACGGTCTACGTGCATTCTGGGGTCGACGTATATTTCCCTGCTCATTCCTGGTCATAGTACTTGGCACCGCTAACGACGACAGATGGGCGATCCCAACTCATTCTTATCGGCAACTTCCTGATATACTTGTTCCTTCTGTCCTCCAGCCCGGAGCAAGTTCATGCAACATATCGACTCCTCGAGCACTTCCATGAATCTCTCCAACGGCTAGGTGAACATGTTGATGAAGAATCTGTGTGTCTGATCCGACCAGTTGCCCTTAGGATCGACTCCTTCTTCACACAAGCAGCACAGATTATGCGACGAGGCTCGGCATCGGGCTCTTATTCAGTCGGCAGCATGATGAATGCCTCGCCGTAAAGGTGCTTGCACGAATCGCACGAACATGTAACGACGATTGGTAACACCTTTTTTTCATTTCGAAATGTGACTGTCAGGGTGCATCGACAACAACTTGCGTCCTGCAAGGCTCCATGATCCTATCAACCAAAACCTCGATCATGCTGTGGACTTGTCACCTCATAATCAACTCTGCACCTTCCGGCACCCACCCGTTCGGGATCTGGCCTGTGTTATCCAAGCACTCTCGATACAGTTTGGTCGCCTGAGTAATAAACAATCCTGGGTTTGACGAACACTCTGCCTATTCTTCGGCGAAACACGTCAAGCCTTGCCAAAATCTCTCGCAGTCCATCCATACGTATGTGTCAGTCTCCTACCAATATTTCTCGCCATAACATGTGGAATCTTGGTGTCTGGATGTGGTTGATGCACGTGGAAGCTTCGGCTGAAGTCCGATCCTTCTGCAGGCGTAAAGTGCCACACAGAACCATAGAGCTTCTCCGCTGCAAAGCCTACCTTCGTCATAGCATGGAGAAAGTCTTTCCAGTCGACTTCACCCTGCCGATCGTTCGGGTCTTCGGTGTAGAATATGGTGCGGAACACTTCCAAAGCGCGGTCTTTCAGCTTAAATGTGACCTCTTTCGACTTGTCCGCAGCTTCCGGCACTGGAACTTCGGCATATCCCTTGACTCCATCTCGCACATCGTCATTTGGTGGATTACAGAGACCTCGAGTTTTGACTTTTACTTGCCGGGTTTCGAGAACAGGCCGTCTGGGTGTCTCTGGCTCCTGGGTCGGGTAAGCAATGCTGGCGATCGGGATCGCAGAAGATGGCGTTGTCGATTTTCTTCGTTCCATTGGACGGTATGGGAGCGTTCGGTGTATCACCCGTGGACCCTTCGAGGACCGCCGCAAGATATCATTGAGCGTCTCTCCTGTGTGACTGAAGAAAAAATGGTCCCACTTGTTCCAGAATGTGTCGAGATTGCATTCCGCACGCGCCGAAGGCTTTCCACATTTTGCTCGCCGTATATTTTATGGATCGGATAGTCAAGCGAATCTTTGATCGGCAGCGGCAGACGAATCTCACTCGCACTAGCAGAATTCTCGCTGCCTTTGTCGATGATCTTCTGCACGATGTCGATGAGCTTGATCTGCGGGCAATCTATGGGCTCCGCATTCTGTTGCTTTCGCTCGAATCTCAACGACCATGGAAACAGCCCGTCAAGCGCTCTACATATATTAGCCATGAGCGCCAGGTCTGAGAACATGTCGGCGACTAAGGGAGATAGTCTCTGCGCCCGTCGCCGGTCGCTTTGAATGATACGCTGTATTTCGTCAACAGTGTGATATAGGCCAACTCCCTTGATAGCAGCGCCGCGGACATCAAAAAGAAGCTCGAACATTCCCGTCAGAGGATCGTCGCTGAGGGATCGCATGTCCTTTCTCTTCATGCACAATCCTGGCTTGCCTGGTTGATCTGACGTCCGACGTGGGTCGGTCACTCGCACCCAGTTCCCCAATTCTCGTGAGGCAGGAACAGCATTGGAGAGCTCTGTCTTACGACCACGAGCGTAGGCATCCGCTATCACCATCATATCAAGTACGAGAGACTCCACATCCTGAGGCAGTGGCTTTCGGTAATCGAAACTGGCAAACCCCTTGGGCGTTTTGGTAGCAAGTGCGTGGGCCAGGTCGTAAAGTACATCCCACATAAGCAGCACAGTGTATGTGGAAAAGAGCGTGTCCAGAACCACGTCGTTCCAAAAGTTCTCACTGTAGAGCGAGGGGCTTTTGTTTCCTTTCTCATCACGCACATGCTCTTGCCGGTGAATCGATCGTGCCAGTATGACGTGCTTGAAGTAGCCAGGATCTTCTCTGATGCTCCAGGCATGGTCTTCCGCTGCAGCTCGCTTCGCCTCGATCAATTGTAGAAGCCTGCCGGTATCAAGAGTGGCAGGGACTCGAAACGGTGCTTCCGCTACGGCAGATGCTAGATTGACATACGAGGCATCATTTGTTTCGATGGGTTCTGGTTCTGGCTGTTGCGGAAGTTGCATGCTGAGCAACTCATTCCACGGGACATCGGAGAATATTTTGCCACAGCAATCTAGGAGGAATTCGTAGATCTTCCGCTGAACTTCGAGGATCAAGAGGCCTTCTCCGATACCGAAATGGACGCCAGCAAGCCACAGAAGAAGTGCACGTGGGCTCGTAACGCAATGGACAAACTCTCCATATGTCTCCGATGTGTTCTGGCCAACGAACACCATCACTGCCTCCCCGTCCGGATACCAAGCGGTTCTGATTTTTCCATTGAAGAGGCCGATTTTGCAAGACGCCAAGTCGGCATGCGCAAACACACCTGGGTCGTTACATCCTCGACTATTGAGTAAGAGGGGCAGAGATTGGCCATGGGTCAGGTCCTCAACGTTGAGGTGCGGCCATTTGTAAATTGCATCATCTTCTCGTGGTTTCTTTGTGGTGTAGAGTGAATCAAGAATTCCATGAATGTCCGGACGGTGTCTGCTTGAAATATTTGGCCATACACTCTGTAAGATCTTTCTTCTCTGCTCGTGGGTTTTCTTTGCCCATCTCTTACGCAAACGCGCTTCTCTGCCATTGAGTATCCGCAATATCTTGTCTCTCGCCACGAAGATCGCGCTCGAATGTAATTTTGCTTGCTGTTTTGCGGCTTCGGCGTCGATCCGGACTGTGTTTGCTGGCTGCTTCGGTTCTTCACGAAGTAAGACCAGATTTTGGCATCTTGGCACTACGTCTCCGTAAGGATCGGAAGCCATGTCATGAGAATTGTCAGGTAAAGCCATATTGTCAGCATCCAACGACAACGGAGAGGAATGGGCCGGAAGGGTCAAAGAGAAATGATAGTTCAAGAAGGTTACAGAACTGGAAGGTCAGCTTGTTCCTTGAAGAAGCAGTGAACAGTTCATAGCTGCCTCAGATAACCACGCCGCAGCACCTTCGATTCACTACTGCCAAGCAAAAGACCTGAAGTCCTGTTGAAAGTGAAGTATATCCTCTCTTACATTCTCTTCACTTGACGCCCCTGAGCACCACGTGCCACGCGACAAAAGTAAACTTCTGGACATTGAAACGACAACATCTGAAGGTGGCGTACATGCATCCAATGCCGAATACGAAGGCGGAACGTCGCAGTGGAAGTGATGAACGAGCATGAGGTGACGCCCGTGTCGAAGTGAACATCCTCGGGTGGTTGAGACGGCTTTCCCCGGCCCGCGGAGGAAGATTCTTCACCTCTACCAGGAAGACTTAACTTGACCAGATGAGAACGTATTGTGTCATGTAGTGCCTTTTATAAAGGCAGCCTGGATGTGGTCCATTGAGGTGTCTGTAGCTTATCAACAGCAAATGCTCTGACATGTGTGGAATACTTGGTCTCTTCCGTAGTGGGGACATGGAGATTTTCATGATCAGTTATCCCACCAATACCTTGCACCCCTCAAGGTTTAGACTGCGGCATTGGTACCGGATGCTACGATGTTGGCGAGGTGGACCTCTTGGACGGCTCGACGTCGAAATCAGTACCGCTCGGGAAGAGCGCTGACACCAGGAAGATGGCGGGTGTATCGCACTGTCCGTAGCAACTAGTTGTTCATATTCATGGCCATCACGCGGCGAGACTTTTGCTTCACATAAGCGGACAAGTGGTCCTGACGATTGACTGTTGACGGACCACAGCATCAAGAGGAATGCAGCATGCTTGTGGAATGTGCTGCAAGATCTACCCTTCTGCAATTGCTGGGGTGCTTTGTCCTTTGTAGGGAAATCGGAAGCCACGGCGAAACAGCAGGGTCATGACGAAGTCGCGAAAGAGTTGCTCAAGCATGCAACGAAGGTGAATACTCGACTTGAACCACCAGTCAAGTTCTCTGCTGGAAGATAAAAGCCTTCGTGAGGGCTTCAATCACAGTAGAGAATAGCAGCATGGGGGTCAGAGATGGTAAGACAAGAAAAGTGAGAAGAGTTGAGGTGGCACTGGCGGTCAAGACAGTTCATTAGATGGCGACGTGGTGGGATAGATGCGCATAGGTGACGCCTTGATCCGCCGTACAACTTCTTTCCTTGGTCCGCCGTAGAACTTGTCCTCGAAGGCCCCAGACACGACATTCGACCACCATGATCAAGTCAATGCAGGCAGCACGCGTAATGGCGGTTGATATCTTTGCAGGCTCAATCGCTCACCATGCGAAAGCCTTCTCGTACACTTGCGACGCGTTTCAGTCATGCAGTCTCCATAGCTGACGGCCGGAACCCTCACTCACCAATTGCTATGGGCGACACGTCTCGTCCTGGCTACTCGAGCATTGCTGCGCTGAGCGTCTCGACAGAATCAAAGACATTTACTCGTCGTCTCCAAAGAACACCTTGATCGGCATCCAGGCATCATTGACAACCTTGAATCGGGTTTTAATGCCGTTCAAAGCTTCCATTTCGTCCTTGGTCAGCTCCCAGCCATCCAAGTCGAAATTCTCTTCAATTCTAGAGGGGGTCACGCTCTTCGGAATAATGCTGGTGCCTCTTTGGAGGCTCCACATGAGACTTAAACAATCTGTCAGCGACTCTTCTTGCCTGCCCGAATTCTGGTACTCACAGGATCTGAGCGGATGTCTTCTTCTTAGCATGCCCTATTTGGGACACGACAGGTTCTTTGAACAATGGATTATCTGTTGCACCTCCAAGACAGGAATAAGCCGTACAGTGTATTCCCTTCCCTTTGCAGTATTCCAGCAGTTTGGGCCTAGTCAAATTCAGAACTTTGAACCCACAGGTAACGAGACCAGTATGACCTACGATGGATTTGCTGGATGTAGCTCGATCTGGTTCACCGCAGGAACAATCTTACAAGATGGATCGTTGAGAAGTTTTTCCAGGTCCCGGATTTGAAAATTGGATACGCCAATGTTCTTGACCTTGCCGGTATCCAATAACTTTTGCATTTCTTGCCTGTATCAGTTAGTCAACGGCCAGCTCCTCCTGGGATTTATGCTGGCGACTCACCATGTCTTGACGAAATCCCAGTCCGGCAAATGCTTCGAAGGGTCGTTGGGATCAGTTGAGCAAGGGAAGTGCACCAGATACAGGTCGATGTACCCAATGCCAAGGTCACTCAGAGACTTGTCAAAGCCTTCACGGACCCTGTGATGCCACGGATTGTCAAGCTTAGTCGTGACCCAAAGTTGGTCTCGAGAGACTCCCGAATCTCGAATACCTTGGCCAACCTCGACCTCATTTTGATAGTTCAAAGCAGTGTCGATGTGTCGGTACCCTTTCTGGATTGCATGGCAGACGGCCTTGCGGACTTGGTCGGGTGGTGATTTCCAGGTTCCTAATCCAACGGCCGGTATTTCCGCCCCGGTATTCAAGGGGAATTTCAGAGAGGTATGGTTGAGTGTCGCCATGGTGGCTTATGCGACTCACGTTCTCTCAAAGTACACCCTCGAAATACTCGGTATGCCGAGCACAAAATGAACGTCTTAATGCTGTATCATTGAGCGGAAGTATTTGTAGCAGATGAGCCTGACTAGGCTATGTCTTCCATCGATTCCTTGCCAGTCGATGCCGGCTCACGTGGAGCTCCAAGATACACTACTGCAGATCTCGACGAGTCAACCACGAGCATGTGAACAGCTGCAGACGTCTCGAACATTCTCCACCGCAACTTGCAGGACACTCCACGACACCGTCCCTGGTGGCAAGTCCGGATATTGCTTAAGTGCGGAATACTCCAACGTCGGCAAGTTGCACGACCAATCGCGCACCTGGGCAGCCACCTGATCGGCCAACTCCTTCTTTTTGATCGGCCAACTGTTCTCATTTTATCGTTCATGATGATCGGCGAACATCAGGCCCCGCATGGACGGACAGCACGACCGGGGTATCGCTGAACAGCCAATATGTATAAGCATCCTCCCTGAGGATTTTGCCCCATTCAAAATCAGCTTCGACACTCATTGTGTAACATCTTTCACTCCTGGAGCAAAGTCCACTCCAACCACGAACAAGCGCGAGCACAAGCGATTATGGGGCCCAAGTGGGAACAGCTCAAGGAGCGCCTACAAGTGTGAGTCTCAACTCTGCTGGGGAAACCCAATATTTTGTACTGAAGGGTCACTCATTTTTGATTCTCCCAGGCCCAAGGACGAGAACTCATACTATGAAAACACGAGATGGTGCAACAGGGACTTGATACCAATGCCAGCAGAGAGGCGGACTTGGGGCATTTGGGGATACTTCGGTAAGGAGGTATAACCATGTTCTGGGTGGTAGATACTCACTGCGCTCAGGATACTGGACGGTCTCAGGATCATGCATTTCGGCATGGTCAACCGGCAGCACTCTCCTCGCATTCGGGCTCAGCCCGCAGCAAGCCATCGGCGTCGTGGTATGTTCTTGTCGTGATACAGAGTTGCCACATGCTCATCAATAGGTTAGATTGTTGGAGGCGTGCTCACTGGTCTCCTGGCCGTCGGTTGTGGCTGGATGGGTGAAAATCATCACATTGGCTTCACAGTGTCTTCGCGGTTTTCCTGGGGCATGCAAGGCTCTTATTTCCCCGTCGTGCTTCGCGTCTTTGTTGCGTGCATGTGGTGAGTGCGCCGCGGCTGGTCAGTCTTGACTGCAACAACGGTCTAACGGTTTGCAGGTTCGGTATGCAAGCTTACTGGGGAGGACAAGCCACCAGAGTCTTATGGGGTGCAATCATACCAGGTACGCTGACGGCACGGCGTCTCCAGAATACCTGCGCTGACTTGGTTTCTCGCAGGCTTCGCCGACATGAAGAACTACTTCAGTGAAGGCTCCCATCTCCTCACCAAGGATTTCATCGGACTGGTCATCTGGATGGTCGCGTTCATCCCTCTTGTCCTTGTACCTCCTGAGCGACTCCAGATTCCTTTCGCCATCTCTTTCGTCTTGTTCGCAGGATCTTGTATTGGGCTCTTGGTTTGGTAGGTGGTAAAATCTATCTTTCGGTGGCGACTCTGTCTTACTTTTTGTTTCAGGGCTGTCCACAACGCTGGAGGAGCGGGCAGCATGTTCCAACAGCCCGGTAGTGCCGACAACATCGGATGGGCGTTCATGTTTGGTATTACTGCCATTCTCGGTGCCTGGGGTGCTGGAACCTTGGGTCAGTCCGACTGGACTCGTTATGCCAACCGCAAATTTGCACCAACTCTATCCCAAATGGTTGCCGCACCGATTACCATTGCCGTCACTGCCACAATCGGAATCATCGTCACCAGCGCGGCAAGGGATGTCTTAGGAGGAGACATCATCTGGAATCCAATCTATCTTCTCGCAGACATTCAGGACGCTTACGGCTCCAGCCCAAGATCAAGAGCAGGAGTTTTCTTTGCGAGCATAGGGCTTGTCAGTTCTCAACTCGCGGTAAGTGATGGGCCTGGGCTATCTGGCGTGCTCATGCTAACAAGAGCGACAGATCTCCGTTGTCCTCAACTCTGTGTCTACTGGCATGGACATGGCCGGGCTTTGGCCCAAGTATATCAACATCCGACGAGGCAGCTATATCATGGCATGCATCGGCATCGCTGTCCAACCGTGGCAGCTTTTGAGCACAGCAGACAAATTCCTCAAGGTGCTCAGTGGGTTTGGAGTGTTCATGGCACCTGCTACGTGAGTCTTCCACTTTTCTGTCCGTTTGTTCCATTGACTAATGTTTCAACTCACCAGCGGCGTCATGCTGGCTGATTATCACGTCGTCCGTCGCCACAAGTTGAAACTCAACGACCTGTACACTGGAAACAAATCTTCCATCTACTGGTATAACAAAGGCGTCAACTGGCGTGCCCCCGTCGCCTTCCTCTGCGGAGTCTGGCCACTGCTACGTGAGTGACCTGTCCCTGCTGTAGGTATTCTGCGCCAATACTGACGTCTTACTAGCCGGTCTCGTCGGAACAGTCAACAGCAGCACCGACCCATCTTTCACTGGTTGGATTCGTTTGTACAATCTCACATTCATCGTCGGACTCGCCATGAGTTTCGCCGTCTTTTGGGTCTTGAATTACTTCTTCCCTCCTCCCGGTCTCGGAGAGGAGGCGCCCTTCGTCGACGAAGTTCTGTCCGGAATGGAGGAACCAGGCTCGGAGACTGGCAAGGAAGAGCTCGGCATGGCGAATGAGAAGCACGGAGCTGCGGCGACAGTGTCCACCTAGAATACAGGGGCTGATCCGGAGTGACGATTCATCGACTGAAACTCATGCATGTCAGCTCAAGGCTCCTTTCACACGGCACACATGGTCAAGCGTTGACTTGAGCTACCATTGTTGCTAGGCAAGCCGTAGCAACAATATCATTCATTTCACACTTTGCAAATCCGCTTCTTGTCGGTCATACTTGTTATATTTGAATGTTGAACTGTTCTCTGTTTCTGCCCATGGTTTCAGGGAAGTCCCAACACGTCTGCAACTTGATCATTTTATGTCAAAGTCGAAGGCTGAACAATGCTCTGTTCTTTGCCCAAGAGTCCCGGGAGAACTGTAGCTAAACAGCTGTGCCCAGAGTAAGGGGCTAGCTCAGCGGCCGGGGGAGAAGGGTTCCTGTCAGATCGACCACCTCTACTCGTAAGCACACCACGTATACCTAACTTGACTTAAGAAGGAGGCACTAGGTTAATTTTGATGGCCAGCGACGTCCAAATCCGACAAATTACTACAGCGGTGTCTCTGATGATTTTCGAATGTAGTACTACGATCCCGTTACTTGTGTCCTAGTACGTCGCATTCAACCTCATCTCAATATACTCCCTCGCATTGATGGGCTCATACTTCTTGGGCCTCCCCTCGCCGTAACAACCCGGAATACAATCGATCGTCTTCTCACGATCGGCCGTGACGAAATAGGGAATCGAATAGCGGGCCCTAGTCATTCCCTTGCCCTGACTTTTGTCCATCGGCGGTGCCCTGACGCGATGCAGCGTCGACTTGAGCGTGTCGTTACTCCAGCGCTGCAAGAAATCGCCAATATTCACGACAATCGTACCCGGCACGAAGGGGGCCGGATTGAACTTGCCCTTCTCGTGCATGTCCTCGACCTCGAGCCCGCCGACCTCGTCCTGGAACAACAGCGTCATAGTCCCGAAATCTGAATGCGCGGCGATCCGCTCCATTTTGCCGTCGCGCAGCAGCTCGGCTTCGACGGGAGGGTAGTGCAGCAGTCGGATCTGGTTGTCCTTTTTCGTGTGGTATTCGCGGAAGAACTCTTCGGGCAGGTCCATGCCCAGCGCGATGGCCCTCAACAGATCCAGTTCGACAGTGTAGCACGTCTCGAAAAACCGCGTCATGAATGCGCGGAACCCCGGCAGGACTTCTTCTGGGAACCAGATGTTGGGCGTGTGCTCGTCGTCTTCACGGCCCAGCTCGAAGGATTCCTTGAAGTCCGGGCATTTGCGCAGGTCGGCGATCGATTCCGGGTCGTACACCATCTGCACCACCTTCTCGCGCCCTATGCCCGAGTATCCGCGGTGCCACCAGCCGTACGGCGGGTGAGGGGCCTTGTCTTTATCTGCTTGAGGCAGATCAAAGAACTTTGAGCTCTGTCGAGTCAAGTGAAGGTCAGAACAATATGTCCAGCGTGTTCTTAAATAGTCAAGTCAAGTGATTTGCTTACCCATTCGAATGCTTGGTCCAGCAGATCCTGGGGTAGACCATGGTTCTTGATGTATGCGAAACCTACATCTCGAAAGGCTTCGAAGACCTTCTTGCCTGTCTCGTGTGCTTCCTTACAAGTGCCCGAGCGCATGGGCTCAAGGTCGATGATGGGTATCGCAAGTTCTGCGGCGGGTTTGATGGCCATGGTTGATGCTATCGTCTTTTTTCCCTTCCTCGAGGATCCGTAAAGATTATTCGCCTTCCACGGTGGTCATTCGAGCAAGATGATTTCGTGCGCGGTTATCTGTAGCACAGTGATCTCAGGCACTATAATCTCGACCACTTTTATCTTAACGTTGACAGTAGTGGCGTGGTTCGAACTGCTGGTTATTACCGGTTATGCGAGTGTTCAAGTTGGCCGACGAGACTGACATATCATATGAGTATGAAACCCATCTGGCCGATAGATACGGATATATCTCCAAAGGCCAGCGGGTTTTTACAGGCTCGGGGTGGATATGGGTGTGGCATACGCAGTTAGCCGATCGTTGGCGAGACCGAGGCCACGCGAACATCAAACGCCAACACCCATCAAGGGCCTAGAGCGTGATCAGTAAGAGAAGATTCCAGAGTCTCGAACTGTGCCGTGCACGCCGTGATAAGCAAGTGCCGTCCGCGGTTCCAAGGCAAGATCATTCGTGGACGTTGGGTGGACGTGAAGGAATGATGGGGGAAAGCCACAGGACGGATAGCCGTCGATCAATGGGACTGGGCAGCGGTCAGGCGAGCAGGATCCCCAAAAGTCCATAGCCAACTGACAGATTGTTGGCCGACCATAGAAGAGCCTCTGGTGACCTGGATGAGACCCGCTCCCGACGGTCCACAGCTGGATGCTGGAGTCGTTGACATGATAGGCGAAGTACCTCGGTATCAAGCAGCACGGTATGCACCAGCGGTGTGAATAACCACTTCTCGCTCAACTCCGCGATATCAAATCCGGTGTCCGGTCCAACCATTGATAGCCGAACTATCTTGGATTTCTTCATCGGCCAACATCTCATAGCATTCTTCTGATTGAAGGAGATGATCATGGAGATATATTTTCAAGTGTTGACATGACTCAGGGCGGATCCGCTACTGTGACAGTCCCAACAGATAAGACAACTGCAAGTACAACCTCTCCTGATCAGGGCCAAGCACAGTGCGCGCTGAAGGCCACATCGGGTTTGAATCATGGGTAGCATAGGCAACATTGACAAATATCGCATCGGCGTCGATGTAGGAGGTACGAACACAGACGCCGTACTCATCTCCCTTTCACCAACCCAAATCATTGCCTCTCACAAAGCGCCAACAACGCCAGACGTGACGACGGGCATCGCAGAAGCAGTCCACGCTGTCGTTTCCGCGAGTAACGTGCCCTTGAGTGCCATCAGCTGTGTCATTATAGGCACGACCCATTTCGTGAATGCAGTGGTTCAGCGCTCTCCGTCCCTTCAACGCGTCGGGGTCGTTCGGCTCTGCGGCGGCGGTGAGGATGGCTTCGGACTCGGAGTACCGCCGTTTGTCGACTTTCCCAAGGACTTGCGTCGACTCATCGCGACAAAGCCTTTCTTCTGCCAGGGTGGACATCAGATCTCTGGCACCGAGATCTCCCCAATCGACGAGGTCGAGCTGAGACATGTGGCCGAGGAACTGGTCAAAGCCGGCATTTTCAACGTTGTCATCTCGGGCATCTACTCGCCTCTGAACTCTGCACATGAGATCAAAGCTAGCAAGATCCTCATCGACCGAATGAGTGAGTTGTGTACGGAGTCTGGTCTTCCAAACCGACCTCGAGTCACCTTGTCACATCTGATCTCGTCCGTTGGCTTTCTTGCGAGAGAGAACGCCGCGATCTTAAATGCAGCACTGAGACCTCTTGCCGAGCGCACAATATCCGGATTCCAGAGAGCCATGGAGGACATCTTCCTGGGGGACCCCTGCACGCTTTACCTCACGCAAAACGACGGAAGTGTCCTCAGTGCTCCGGATGCGATCGACCTTCCTATCCGAACATTCAATTCAGGGCCGACAAATTCCATCCGAGGTGGTGAATTTCTGTGGCATGCGGCCAGCAGTGAGGCGAGTGGACTTGATGGACGCCAAGATGCCCTTGTGGTCATCGATATTGGAGGAACGACCTCGGATAGCGGCTTGTTGCTCCCGAATGGCCTGCCCAGAATGAGCTCCTTGATGAGCCTTGTGGGAGGAGTGCGTACCAATTTCGCATTGCCCGCCGTGGAGAGTATCGGTTTAGGAGGCGGAAGCATTGTAAGGGCCTCAGGAGAGGATTTGATGGTTGGTCCCGAAAGTGTCGCTCTGGAACTACCCCAGAAGGCTCGTCTGTTCGGAGGAGATGTTTTGACAGCTACCGATATCGTCGCGGCATCTGAACTGCACTCGCCCTCCAACGATAACCCGCTCAAAGGCCTGGGAAACCCTGCGTACTTGAAAGACCTCACGCCTGAGCTGGTCGAAAAGGCCAAGGATAAGATGCGACGGATGGTGGAAGAAGTGGTCGACCGAACCAAGGTCCAGAAGGGGGATGTGGACGTATTGATCGTCGGAGGCGGTGCCATATTGATCGATACCAACAAACCTCTTGCCGGCGTTCGTGCGGTACGGAAGGTGAAGGGCGGCGAAGTCGCGAACGCAGTGGGCGCCGCCATATCCCGGGTATCTGGTGTGGTGGACACCGTGGCAGACACATCTCATCAAACGTTGAAGCAGGCACAGGATGCCGTGACGAAACTGGCCATTGAGGCGGCAGTCGAAAATGGAGCGCAAAGAGAAACGATCGAGATTGCCGAGATAACCATTCTTCCGATCCAGTATGTCGACGCCAAAGCACGAATACTAATCAAGGCAGTCGGAGTGCTTGATGTGGTCAGGACTTCGAAAGGAGGCAAGATTGGTGCCAGCGACTTGCCAGAAGAGCCTCAGCAGGATGGTCATCGAACAGGATATATCGGTGACGAATTCGTGGATATGCCAGATTCTGTGGATGTTAGTAGCTATCAGCCCAAGATTGTGGAACGGCAGTGGGTGTTATCCTTGACCGACATCGAATGGATTTCGAATGGCAACAAGATTCTAGGCTGTGGAGGTGGCGGAGAACCCTACCAGCAATACCTCAAGATCAAGTCAATCCTGGAGAAGTCGCCAGGTATTATGAAGGTGGTCTCAGCGTCAGATCTTCCAGGTAGTGCCATGCTCGGCTGGACGGGCTGTCTAGGCAGTCCAGAAGTCAGCATGGAGCGGATGGAAGCCAATGAATGCAACAAGGCGCATGACGAGTTGACTCGAGTTATGGGCTACGCCCCGGTCCAAGGCTTCCTCGCTTTGGAGATCGGTGGTGCAAATGGACTCGTCAACCTCGAAGTTGCAGCGGCACACGGAGTGCCATGCGTCGATGCCGACTACATGGGTAGAGCATACCCCACCGGCTGGCAGACGACGGTCAACGTGTATGGCAGTCCGAAGGGGGAAGCACTGTTGCCTGCAACCATCGCGAGCGGAGACGGCTCATTCATGACAATGACCTCCAGCAGAACCGATAGATTGGTTGATAGTGCGCTGCGAGCTGCCTGTGTTGAGATGGGATGTCGAGCCGGTCACGCGGGTCCACCGAAGTCCGCCAAAATAGTCCAAGAACAGGCCATCCTCAACACGGTATCCTTAGCCTGGTGGATAGGTAGGGCGATCGCGCTAGAAAGGAACATCACAGACAGGGCCAAAAGAATTGTCGAGGCAGTCGGTGGTTCTGAGAGCGCAAAAATCCTGGCCGAGGGCAAAATCACCAGTGTGGAACGTGTGCTCAAGACCGGCCACACATACGGAGTCGTCGAAGTGGATGGCACCCTAAGCGACGGGTCCAAGTCGACAGTCAGGGTTCCTTTCAAGAACGAAAACGCTTTTGTCGAGGCGACGGACTCAGATGGCAAAGTGTCGGTGCTGGCGGCGGTGCCAGATCTGATAGTCGTGCTCGACGCAGAGACCGGCTGCGGCTTATTGACGCCCGAATTCAAATATGGCTTGAGAGTCATAATAATGGCCATCTCAGCATCCCCTCGGTGGACGGATACTCCCAGAGGTTTGGAGCTGGGTGGTCCAGGTTCGATGGGATTTCACGAAATCAAGTACGTGCCCATTGGGAAGTACACCAAGCCTCGAAGTGTCATTGAAGCATATTCATAGAATTCGCGTTGTGAGAAATGATGGGACGCCAGTACGCGTTGAGTAGGGAATCCTTCCTATGGCTGTTTGAGCCTTGAACGTAAGGCGGATCGGATGTCATACACTTCCCACCAGCATGGTTAAGATGGCCCCTGGTAGCGAAGACTTGAGGCCTACGGTACCTGGAAAGATCAGGAGGCGCGGGATCCAACCCTGCCTGCTATCATGCTGATCTGGCCAGACAAGCCTCGTGGCGCACGCCGGCTATGGAGGCTGATGGAGGCTGATGGAGGCTATCGCGGGCTATGTACGAGTACCATGCTGAACGATTTGCTGCAACCAACATTCGTCCTCGCCAAATCGAAAAGGTGGATTGTCCCAACAGGCTGTTATGGTGCAAAAATCAATGAACGATCCTACCAAATAATCATCATTCTTCCCTTTCGGCGCACACTGCTGCAGACGTTGGAGGAGTCAGCCCTCCATTGATCGGTCAACAAGGCTCCCTCAAGTGAGCGACTTACGCCAGACCCGTCTCCTTCTAGTGCTTCATTTGTCCTTATCATTGTTTTTGTCCTTTGCCTTCCCTTTACCTTTGTCTTTAGCATCATCCAACTTCGACTGTTGTTCTACGGGCGTTTCGCCAGACTCGGCTTCTTCAGAGTTTGGAGCCTTGACGCCAGCCAAAGATCCATGCCAGAGGAACAGGCAGAAACCGACCGAGGCCACCAGAAGAAGAATCCGGAGCAACCACTTTATTGGTGTGCCATACGCGTATACCCAGCTGACCAGCCAGATGAGGGTCGGGGTCACCAGCTCTCTTCGCTCTTTGTCCATGTCTGGATTAATGGTGACCAGCAAGGCCAGAAGAGCGAGCAAGATGAAAGCCAGAATAGCAACGGTCAGTACCTGGATGAAAGCCAACAGGATCGCAATGTCTTTTGTGGTCTGGAGAACTTCAAACCCGGCCGCTACCAGTGGCGTCACCTGTTCGAATGCCGCATTGATTTCTTTACTGTATGGGATGCCCATTGTGTCAGATGGTGCAGTACGCTGCCGTGCTCGACCATCCGCAGAAATGGTGAAGATCGATGTGGCTTCATGAAGCAAGTCTGCAACGCGATGGCGAGCTGCTGGTCATCAATGCCCTCGTTGTCGTTCGTGATGTCATGCGCAGCTGTACTGGTTGCTGGTCCTGCTGGCCAATCAACCCAGGGTGTTGCCAACTTCTGTGCCGTCTTCCTCGGGCGGCGTTGAGATCCGTCCGCTCAGCTCCTCGTGTCAATCATCCGTGACTTGGCTGGCAGTCTCAGCCTCACCAGCCTCAAGATCTTTTCTAACTGATCTTTAGCTAAGACTCGTCGATATGTCTTAGGATTTTCTCTGCGTCTCCTTGGCAACTGCCCTCTTGCTTGATGAGCCTGGCGACAGAACAAGCTTGACGGTCTGACGTGAGGCATTTTCTCCCTTCACCGGCCACATTTGCAACCCCTTCATTCGAGCACATTGCCCTTCTATGCAACAATCGCTGGTTGAGATCTCACAGCGCTTTCGAGCTCACCCAGCAAGTCTCTCTGGCCGATCGAGAAGCTGAATTCGAATGGTAAGACTAAACATAAGTTTTTGGAAGGTTCCTTGTCAGACAGCGCTTTTACTGTAAGCCACTTGCATATTGAAACGCTCAACTTGCGCCTGCTGACGATCTAGTTGACCTCGTGCCTGCCAGCCAGTCTTGTGTACAGCACCTTCGTCTAGTCCCGTGGCCATTCATGTCTCTCTTCTCTTTTTCCTCACTCACTCCCCATCACACATCACTTCATCCTTTCATTCTGCCCCTGCCCACCTATTGTTATCGTTGCAAGCCTCGTGTGCCATCACGAGTTCCGTTTGTTCAACACTTCATTCAGCCACCTGATTCCTCCAGGCATCTTCCCAAGATGCCCAGGTCAAAAAGCAAGTCGCCGCTCGGCGACCGTGCTGATCAAAGTCTGCACGAAACACCTCTTGAAGCCGAATCCCGCAAACAAGCCAACTTCGTCGAAGTCGAGGCCAAGCTACCGAAACGATTTGACAGATCGGAAATGGGCTTCATTGACAAGGGCACAAGTACGTATTACTGGCTGAATGATCGATAACTCCTGCTAATGTTGTCTCGAGGTATCCTTGGTCCCAAGAATCCATTTGGCAAGAAGGCCACCCCAAAAGAGAACATAGTATGGATTCTCGACAACACCGCATACAGACCGGTCAAGCCGGGCACAGATACCTCGCAACCTTGGGAGGCGGAATTCGTCGCTTGTTACTTCCGTGAAGGTCGCAAGGATCTGACAAAATATGTTAGCAACATTGCGGATCTCCTTGGTATCGACGGCAAGGCGGGTGCCGATCCCACTGTTACCCAAAGAATCGAAGAACGGCTCAAGCCTTTCGTGATGGCAATAGCGCCTGCCAGAACGATCGAGATCGAGATTCCGTGCCCCAGTCCAGAAGGAAGTCCACACAAGAGGCTCCTCGGTCCATCGAACTCGAACGGCATCAGTAGCCAGATCATGCTCACCGGTGGTTCTGACAATGCTGACGGCAAGACGGTGGTTTGTAGAAGTGTGGATGACCTTTTCCCCGATATCAAATCAGAAACACGTTTCGTTGGCCCTGAAGGGTGGGCTATTCTCTCCGACATTGATGACACCATCAAGGTTACGCAGACTCCGAATCCTACTGGAATCCTACAAACCACATTTGCAGAAGAACCCAAGACGACTGCCGGCATGCCAGAGTTCTACAAAGTGTTGAACGAAGCTTTCAACAATCCTGCGTGGTTCTATCTTTCAGCGTCGCCCTACAACCTATATACTTTCCTCCACGACTTCATCCGTCAGAACTACACACTCGGAACAATCATTCTACGAGATGCCTCCTGGATGGCCTTTGGAGGCTTGCTGCAGTCGTTCACGCAAGGTGTGCAAGCGTATAAGACGAGTCGGATTGAGAAGATACAGTCATGGCTTCCCAAACGCCAGTTCATTTGCATTGGTGATTCGACTCAATCAGATCCTGAAACCTATGCTCAGATGTACACCAAGTATCCGGAATGGATCAAGGCCATCTACATCAGAAAGGTCATCGATGCTCCGAACATGGAGGCCAAGAACAAGAACCAACGATTCGTCGATGCTTTCAAGGATGTACCGGACCACGTGTGGAGAGTGTTTGTGCAACCTGAAGAAGTGGCAGATCATGTCAAACATCTTGCCGGTCACGCTCATGCTGGGATGCTTGGGTCTCTGCTTGGGCGGTAGTGCCAGACCGAGCATGACATGAGATCGAAACTGTCAAAGTCCCAGCTGAATACACCTCAAGCACGTACACCGCAGCCTCGAACACCAGAAGCAAGAACTCCACGTTCTCCTAGCCCAGGACCGCAGAATCGGGATGCTGTCGTCAAGACTCTGGGTAGCTTGGGAAAGGATTTGTCTGCTGTGCAGAAAGGCTCATCATCGCTGCGGCCTAGCCCTGGACATGGCGCAAAGAGTGTCTGAACTGAACGCGGATTGCTTTCGAAGAACTGGGAGGGAGTCCTGGACCACTCCTGCGGCAACAGAGGCAGAACTATTATCATTAATACTCGGTTCTCTCACACAATCGATAGCTTAGACTGCCAATAACAATTGACGGAACCTGACGAAGCATTCAAACTCACAGCGTCCAATGTAGCCATATTCTACCTCATTTCTGCAGCTCCGTCCTCTCTTCGAGTTGTCGATGCGCACAAGATTGACAGGCAGCCTCGTCGACGATACCTAGCGATCTAGCGAGCCTGGTTAATTTAGCCGACCAAGGCTTGGCAAAACTCGCCACAACCTGCCCGACTGGACGATGAGCGCACTCGCCAGCGAAATTCATCTCTCGTGAAGACGGCGCAGTTGAGAATCGACCACTTCCCTTACCACGCCTGCCACAACCCACCCAAGACTCTTTCAAGATGCCTCAAGCCTTTGATAAATGCAAAGAACGGCCTGAGCATATTGACCAAATTCTCAACAACCTAAATCGATACAACCCTGAAACGACGACGACTTTTCAGGAATATGTCACGCAGCAATGCGAGGAGAAATTCTTTGATACATACGCATGCCTGGCGCTACTGAAATTGTAAGGGACTCTCGCGATGCAGAACCTTTGTGGCTATGTGATGAAGAGAATTTTTTCATACCACGTTTCCTATTACCCGACTTTATCCCACGGGAGCCATGGAGATTGAAATTATTAGCTCTATCTGAACGCCGGAAGAAACATGCTTGGATTTTACTGTTATATCACCCAAGAGCGAGTGCTGACTTGCCGACCAGATACCAGTTCAATCCGCAACTCCTGCATCCTGAAACCGTCACCAACATCCTCGTCAAGGCTCTCACTGTCTTCCCGTCGCCTGCCTTTTCTCTGTGCCTGAGCCTCCTACCTCCCTCGACTATTCCATACCAGCCGGGAAACACCTCGGTCCCTACCACCGATTTCACCGAATCCATACAAAAACTCACGCGGTTGAATACTTTGCTCGAATCCGCACAATATGACGCGTTCTGGTCGACGCTGGAGTCGGACGATCTATATGCAGACCTCTACGCGGACGTCGCAGGGTTTGAAGATCTGGTTAGAATACGGATCGCTGGTGAGGTAGGAAAGACATTTCGGCAGATTGATCTGGGTGTCCTGAGCGGATGGCTGGATCTACGAGGAGACACATTAGCCAAATTTACTCAGACGGCTTGTGGGTGGAGAGTACAAGGGCAACAGGTTGAAATACCAGCCAATGCCGAGAATGAGGCCAAGAGCGAAGTCAAGGGCGAAAGAGTTGGTGTAGACATGTTTAGCAGGGTCTTCAGAAGAGGCTACGAGGCTCCGGCATGAGACACAGATACCTTGAAATGAAGGACGTATGGCGCAATGATATGTGTCTGGGCACGAGCAGTACAAATCCGGGATCGTCTCACTGGCACCTACTGGGAGTCTGGGCGGATTCTGATCGAGTGACGGGCAATTTGGCCTGGAAGACGTCCTGAGACCTATGTCCCATCCAATCTTGAATGGCAATGCTCGTTAGATCCCAACCGAACGTCTGGCTTTGCGGTCTTTCTGGGAAGGGCTCAGGCCTGCCGGTCGAATGGGCTACGGAAGGGTCGGGGGTGAGGGAACGAGGGTGATATGCTTGGCTGATTCGTTTACTCCGGTCAAAGGTTCTGATGGAATTGAGCTGGAGGGCGGCTACGTTTTCTGGCTCGACATAGATCCATGCGAAAATTGCAAGTACTTGTATTGTCTCGTGGTGGCAGTTCACTGGGTTTCCTACTATCTCCGTACTCCGTACCACTGGTAGCGTTCAAATCAAGGCAAAGGACCCCAGAAATGCAGGAGGTTCTTGGGTCTTGGCAGAAACTGTGGCGCGTCTTGGGTTGAATGATGATCATCAGGTATGACACTGTATCACGTCTTTATTCCCATTCCTCTTCATGTTCAAAACATCACACCAACTTCTTTTCACGACCATACAAACTCTCATCTGTGCACTCCCATTCAGTAGCAGTACCCATCGTTTATCCAGATCACATCACCATCTGTTGCCATGCCAGCCTAACAAACTGCCTGCCTGGCCACCTACAACTTGAAGTCTGGCGGATCCGAGTCTTCCATTTCCGGGGCCATCATGATTGCAGCCATGCCAACTCCTCTCTTCCTACTCAATCTTCCGGATGAAGTTCTCATTACAATATTCGGTTTCCTTGATTTTAAAACCCTCCGCAACGCTACCCTGGTCTCCAAACTCTTTGACGACCTCGCGGAACCATTCCTGTATCACTCTATCAAGATCCTGAATGGTCAGCAGGCCGCCGCTCTCTCTGCAGCTCTCTACGCAAACCCGCGTCGTGCAACATGGGTTCGATCTCTTCTCGTCTCAACCAAGTTTGGAGAGGACGAAGGCTTGGACATTCTGCCACCACACATCGGCCGGATGCGCAACCTGCAGGATCTATGTCTTGAAACCCCTGACTGCAACGCCAAATTCCCGGAGGAGAGAGTGGCTTGGGTCAACCTCCAGGACAGGTACGAACGTATCTTCGAAAGTGCGTCGGCTGTTGTTCCCAAAGGAGACCGGGTCCTGCCCAGTCTGAGAAGCTGTAAGCGCGGTCTCCAGCCCTGGGCACGATCAAATCTAACAATGCCATTCTAGGCACGCTGCATTTTGTGGACGGCCAAAAAGAAATCTATTCGATGACCAAATACGCCATGCTTTTCTTGCACCCAAACCTGCGCTCGTTGACCATGTCTTGTGCGAGCACCGACTACCCAGACAGAATACTTCGCCCCTTCCAAAATGACAAGACTCTCATCAAGTCGACGAACCTGGAATATCTGCACCTCGAAGAGTGTGATATCTTTGAGCCTTCTCTTGCCATCCTATTAAGCTTCCCCAAGGCTCTAAAATCATTGAAAGTCAGCGAAGGTATCCGGTACGACGGCATTTTCAGTGCCAGAAGCAGCCGCATGCATGGGAATGTGAATCCTGGCCATTTTGTGGACGCCCTAGCTCTACACTGCACTGATTCTCTCGAATACCTGTCGTTAAGTCTTGGTCACTTAAGACAGGGGTTTCAAAACATCAATCATGCTGGTCAGCACCTTGATCTTACTCCATTTCACGCTCTCAAGCAACTGGACCTGGATGTTCGAACGGTCAATCTGGTAAGGGTCCGGGTACAATGCGACCACGCGACTTGGCGAAGGCTGCCTCCCAATCTGGAGTCCCTGAAAATCTTTGGGATCCCTCTCGGAGAGCGACCTCCATTCCAAGCAAGACGAAGAGTCTGGTTCCCCTTCGGCACCTGTATCGTGACCGAGAAAGCAAGACACGGGCTTCGTCTCCTCAAGAACCTCATATATTCTTATGAATATTACCGGGAAGATGACGAAATCCCGCGACTCAGCATATCCGATGATGGTGAGAGCGTGGAAGAAATCAGCCAAGTGTCACTAGCTCACCGGAGAATGATCGACAAATGCAATGAGCTACTGCCGCTTTACAGAAAGGCGAATGTGAGATTGGAAATTGAGATGGTCGCATTGCCCAACGGTTTCATTCCACCATACTTGTTTCCCGAGGATAAGCCCAGACATTTCAAATTGTGGGAATCCGCATCGAAGTGGAGAGGCAATGCCATGGTGTCTGCTATTCCCGAGAACACCTGCGATTACAATCCCGATCGCTGATCAAAAGACGAGTGTTGCGTACGGCCGAAGACATCGGTACTATAAGGACATACGTCATGTCTGTAAGTTGCATCAAAAGGGAATGGCGCAGCCTTGCTGACATGGGCAGCGCACGTATCGCGCTATTGGATGGGTGATGCCAATCGGTGCAATATTGGCTCCGAGAATCCATGCAGAGTTTAGTAACCACAGCACGGTGGAAAGACCAAAAGGGATCTAAGGGTACGGCAGAGAACGAATCGGTTTCCATCCTTCGAAGTGGTCAGTCACTCTTCAGGCTGCTTTACGATGTTCGACCTGATATGTAAGTTTACTAATCACTGAGAAAAGCCATCACCTGGAGCTAGTCAAGCAGCTAATGTTTTAATAAGCAGCCTTCTCGTATTATCCGAAACCGGTAGTCGTCGAGCAGCAATCATAACCCACCCGTCCATCGAATACAGAATGGTCCAGAATGTTTATTGATGACAGAGAAGTTTCACAATGTTCGTGTCGCCAGGCCATACGGACATAATGACTCCACCAGGGGGAGCTACATTCCGCTCGCTGTCCTATTGGCGTGCGCAGTCTTGTATGGCGACGCGAATATTCTGATTGATGGGTCGGCATGCATACTACCCTTGGCAGATACTGTCTCAAGAGCTGATTAATGGCAGCAAGCTTTCATGCAACACCAGAGCAGCAGTCTACTTTCCATGTGCTGGAGCGTTCATAAGGACCAACTTTTCTGCCCTCTTCCTTACTTCGATCTCTCTAGTCGTACCGTCGTCTTGCTTGTTCTTCCAGGGCTTTACTTTGTGTTCAACATACCTCCTTGAGTATGGGTAATTCCATGGCAGATGTTATCCAAGACTCGCCTTTGGGGCAGGTCATCCACTTCATCACACGAGGCAAGGTCTTCGCCTTTCCCGAGGAAGACGCCAACTTCAGGATCCCCTGGGAAGAGGCGTCGGCCACAGAGAAAGAGATTGAAATCGAGGCCGACGCCACTCCTGTGAGCCCTGTCGCAAATGTCGCTCCCAACCCGGCGATTTCTCAGATTCCTTCCATCGACGACAAGGATGATATCGAGGCCCGCATTCCAGGCCTCACCACCATCCCAACGGCTCGATCATCTGCCGTGCATAGTGCTGTCGGTCCGGTTACTACGCGCACCTTAACCCGCGAGCGCACATTGCCATACTCCCGCGAACGATACGAGATCGAGCAACAGGAAGCCGTCGAGCGACGACAGAGCAGCATCATTGCCCCGCAGAGAACATCTGACGGTGTTATACTAGTGGACTGGTACACTACTGATGATCCGGCCGTGAGTCCAGACCTGTCCAGCCCTCTTCTAACCGAAAAGCCTTTGTTTGTCCTGTTACATTACCCCAAGCTATATGATGTCCACTTCACTCAGCCTCGCGCTTGATAAAGATTTGCTGACGGACATGGGGCGCAGAACCCTCAAAATTGGAATAGCTGGAAAAAGGCATGGGTCGCACTGATAATCTTCTTGTACACTTTTGCGGTATACATGGCCAGCGCTATCTATACGTCTGCGGAGCCAATGGTCATGGAAAAGTTTGGGGTCGGTCAAAGTAAGGCTTCATTGGGTCTGAGCATGTATGTGCTTGGATATGGCTTTGGGCCGATGGTGAGCTTCATCTCTTATCTCATTACTTGACGTCGAAAACATGCCGCTGACTCAATTGGTGCCAACAGCTGTTCTCACCCATCTCCGAACTGCCGATTTTTGGGCGCAATATTCCCTATATCATCTCCTTCGGACTCTTTGTCATTCTTTGTATCCCGACTGCCTTGGCCGATAGCTATGCCACTCTCTTGGTGTTGCGATTCTTGACCGGGTTCATGGGCTCTCCATGTCTGGCCACCGGCGGTGCCACAATGGGTGACATGGTACATCCTCCTTCCTTTTTGCTTCTCTCTTGAATTACTGACGCATGTCCTGTAGTACGGCCTGCTCAAACTTCCATATGCCCTTACCGCCTGGGTCGCGGCGGCGTTTTCGGCTCCTGCTCTTGGACCTTTACTGAGTGGGTTCAGCGTCGTCGCCAAGTCGTGGCGCTGGGCTCTGTGGGAAGTGCTATGGTGTTCGGCTCCCATCTTCGTCCTGATGTTCATGTCCATGCCCGAAACGTCGGCATCAAATATTCTCCTTCGCCGCGCTCAACGGCTGCGCAAAATCACCGGTAATCCTAACCTGAAATCCCAGGGCGAGATTGATCAAGGAAATTTGTCCTTCAGCAAGCTCGCCATCGATCAGTTGTGGAAGCCGATCGAGATCTGTCTGAAAGATCCGGCTGTTCTGTTCACGAATCTTTACACAAGTCTTATTTATGGTACGTCATCAAGTCGTCTTTTTGTATCCCTCAGGGGTTCTCTCCCACGCCTCCGCATTCTCAGACCATCAAAGGAAGCGCCTATGCCTTTGGGCCTCTGACTCTGACTGGAGCGAACTTGTCTTTCATCCACTAATCTTCCATTAGGAATATACTACTCCTTCTTCGAAGCCTTCCCCCTCGTGTACATTGGCATCTACGACTTCAACATTGGTGAGCTGGGCATCGTGTTCACTTGCATCGTCGTCGGCTGTGTCATCGGCATCATCATATACGTGTCGTACGTATACATCTACCTCGAACCGGACATCAAGGCGAACGGCCTGCGCGCACAAGAACATCGGCTTGTCCCCGCCCTCTTCGCCGTCACACTCATGCCAGCCGGGCTTTTCTGGTTCGGTTGGACGGCTGAGCCGCAGACGCATTGGATCGTGGGCATCATCGGGATCACGCTATATGCTGTCGGCGCGTTTGTCTTGTAAGTCTGAGTCTCTCGAGCCGCAGTTTACCGCAGCACACATTCTTTCTTTTCTTTTTCCCTCTCCCGCACCTCGTCCTATCACTGAAGCCCTATCAAAAGTATCACAGCCCATCCTACCAACTTTCGTCGTCATTCCCTTCCCTTACCCATACTACCTACCTCAAGCTCAGAAGTATTACTCCGCTAACATTGGCTACTCACCCCAGATTCCAATGCATATTCATGTACCTCCCTCTCACATACCCGCAATACGCCGCCAGCCTGTTCGCCGCCAACGACCTGACCCGCTCCTCCCTGGCCGCGGGCGCCGTCATCTTCGCGCACCCGCTGTACGTCAACCTGGGCATCGGCCGCGGCATCTCGGTGCTCGGGGGCCTGTTGGGCGGCGGCGTCCTGGGTATTTGGGCTCTGTGGTACTATGGCGCCAGTCTGAGGGCGAGGAGTAACTTCGCCGCCAAATAGTTCTGTTGTCATGTCATCTCACAGCAGCGCCTTGGAGAGGTAAAAACGCCTTACTTAGGTGTCTACGGCCCGCACGCAGAGATGGAGCTGCCGCCGTGACCATCGCTCGGGCGGAGTGGCACGGGCAAATATTTATCTGAATACTGGATCGGACATTATGAGGGAATTGACGCGGTGTGATGGGTGTGCTGTGCTGTTTTCTTAAACTTCGCCGCAACGTTGAGGTTGTGCTCCGAATGTCGCGAGTGCGTGGGCAGTGGCTTGATTGACAGGCAGGGAAAAGAGGCCTCGAAAGGATGATATGACCTTTGCCTGTCTGCATTAGCATGGCGTTGGGGTTCAAGGACGACTAATACGTAAATTGCAGAGATGACCGGTGCTGGCCAAGGAGCTCCCCCCTTCTTTCTAATCAAAAAAGAATCAAACATAGAATTGATTACTATGTGACGTGCCTTCTAATTCTGACCATGTTGGCGCTCTCCAAGCCGCCGACATCCTCCTTGTGATTCTCTACCTTCTCGCCAGTGTCATGTGCAACATTCTCCGGTGCTTGTCGTAGACTTGCCCTTTTCACAGCCCGAGCAACACGTTGCAACCAGTCCCATTCGCGCAAGAGGAACATACCGACTTCTTCGTCCGATGGCCAATGGAGCGATCCGCAAAGACCTCTTGCCTTTTCGATCAATTCTGGTCGCACGATCAAAGGAGTCTCGAACGAGAATGTCTCCTTGTCGCCTAGATATTTAGGTCTGCCCTCGAAGAATAGCCTTATTATGCACAGGACGGAACGAATCTGGGTCAGCTCTTGATCTTCAGGAGCGTCGCCAGTCACCGACAGGCTACGTTTGCCTTTGGACATATATGCTTCGGCATGCTCATTCATCCATTTCACCAGAGCGACTGTGCCTTCGATGTCGCCAACTGATACAAGAATCCTGGTCATCAGTCTCAAATCGCCTGGTTCGGGCAGAAGGAGGATCGGTAACGTGTGGCGCGGGAGGAAATCCGCAACAGAGTGACCATAGATTGCGCGCAAAAAGATTGATTTCGCAAGTGATCCCAGTCTTCTGCTTGCTATATGTAGTCGCCGATGATTTGCGTCCCTGACAACAGAAGTTATGATCCCGGCCAAGTGACGGAATGAATCGAGGTCGGGTTGCATCTTCAGTTCCGTCTTCGGATTGAACTGTTCCCATAGACAACGCCAGACCTCATGCTTGATCGTGCGCTCATCGCTGTGGGACATAGTGCCACTTCTCGACTTAGCATTGGCATCACGGATGCACGCCCATGCTCCTTTGAGAAAGGCGTTCCAAGCACGGGTATCTGTGCATTCTCCGACTCGTAGAAGATTCCATGCGTATGTCAAAGGGGTCACAGGCTGTTTCGTGATTGTCCACTGTGCTGCTTCCACGTCATAGGTTTCGGTCGCGATGGAGAAATCCGGATGGTTGTCATATCCGTATCTGCACAGTAGATAGATGAATGCCGCTAAGCAAAGGCTTGGGATTCGGTCGACAGCATCGTGAATTATCGTCGAGGGATAATTTTCAACATGCCGTAGGACATCCTTTGTCACTTCATCCCATCGACTATCCTGAATGTAGGAGAACCCGGCTTCAATATTGGGAGCATGATCCAGTAAATCACTCAGGAGTCTGCCTCCAGGAACAATGCCGGCGCGAAACATTTCGTTGTAGAAATCGTCCAAGGAAGGCACTTCTCTGTCCACGTAGACAATATCCCGCGGACTTACAGGATCTTCGAATACTTCTTTTACATCTCCTGCGAGATATCGCGATCCCAATGCTGAATCTGCTGTTGCAACTTGGGCGAGTAACTTTTCGCACATGGCAAAATATGGTTGATGTCGTCTTCTAGACAATTCTGTCGCTTTTTCATATGCACAGAAAGATGCCCAGGCTTCTCTCTGGGTCCTGGTGGCTTGAATACGTGCTGCCCATACTTCGGCTGCATCGTGAGACGAGCTGTCAAGGTAATCGACCGCCTGCTTTGGCATCTTCCATGGCTGGCGAGGTAACTTCAGGATTGCTCGTGTCTGAATGGTCGGGCTTTTGTCTGTATCCCATCCTGCCAAAACAGCAGCACTTTTCTCCCAAGCACCATGAGTGTATCCTGCCTGGTTCATCCGTCCAAGTAATTTCATAGCTCGACTTTGTCTGCCGGGGTATTCCAGATCCTGCTCAATTCCAGATTTTATTCGCCGCCAGGGTGGCCAAGCTAGAGATTTTGCTTCTGCCCATGCACGCTCCTCTCCGGTCTTGGGATGCATCAACTGGACCGAAATAAGCGCTCGATAGCCTTCTCGAGTGAGAGGTAGTTGTGGCTTAAATCCCACCATAAGCCTAATGAGAGCAAGCTGGGCATTTTGTTGTAAGAGATAAGTGTCGAAAGTCTTGATGGTCGGCAACGCAATCAGTGAGAGAAAGCGATTGAAGATATGAGATAGACGTTTTAATTCCGAAGGGCCGAGTGAGTCCTCCTGAAACATGTAGAGGTCAGAAAACAGATGCTCAATGATCAAGCTGATGTCTTTGAAGCAACTGGGGGCCACTTGGCGAGCATGTCGAAGAAGTCGTACCACCAGACATACTCTGCTCGTCCAACCCCATCCGGAATATTGCTGGGCTTCTTTGCAGGAGTCAAGTTCCGTCAAAATACTTCTGATGAGCCCTTTTAACGCAAAAGCGCTGATACGTGATGCGCGTAGAATTTGCAACAGAATGAATTTGGGCAACCGTCCATTTCCAGAGTCGCGGTAATTTGCAGCCAACGCTATGTACCTCTGTACAGCGAGGTCGACGCTCTGAGCTGAGAAAATCCAGGCCCAGCTTACCACATCAGTGACGTCGTGCCCACTTTCACTGAGGGTGTTGAGGTTCTCCTCTTTAAAGACGGCTTGAAGGACAATGTCCGGTTCGCTATCGACCCCATACGACCCCGACGGAAATTTACCGCCGCGAAGAAGCGGTTCTATCTGAAAAAGGTAGTCGAGGAGGATTTTCCGGAGGGGAGTCGACGACCTGAATTGCAAAGTAGCTGGAGTTTCGAGCTTCCGTAGATTCTGCTCCCAGTCGTCAGGCTTAACGTACGAAAGGTCAGTCTTCTTCGGCCGAGCACGGGAAGGCAAGAAGACTGAGACAAGGTTATCGAGCTGTTTGCGGAGAACAGACTGTTGGTTCTTTGCATTGTCGCCGGCCTCCAGATCCACTTCTGTAGCAGCATATGCTTCCTTCTCTTCGATGGTAAAATCACCCTCGGTTCCTGGCTCTTTTACTCCTGGCCATCCTGCAAAAGACTGAGCCGGAAGGCTGATCGACGAGGTAGGTATGGAGAGCTCATCCGCTGATATTCTTGGAGCCGCAGACGGAGATTTCGACTCGGATGGTGCGAAAGAAGCGAAGGAAGTTGAGCGCCTTGTGGATGATGAACTAAGGCGGACCCCATATTGACGGACTACAATTCCGACCGTGAATCTGACTGTGACGCCGTCCTTGAGAGGGTATTGAGTCGATAGGCGAGAAGGGGAAGGTCCAGCTACATGTCTCAACCGAGCTCTGCGCTGGAAGGCACGAGCGGCGGTAGAGAAGACGCACTGCACGTTGACCATCCATTGATGCTTCGAATGGAAAGAGACAAGATATCGTCAGATGCTTCTGTTCGTACAAGACAAAGGTGACAATGGGTGATCAATAGACATGGAACGTGCGATTCCTCGTCTTGTCGCTGCGTAGAGTAATAAGTCCCAGAGTTCTCGAGATGCTAGGATATTGGAGTTGTACTTCGGTTATAAAGCAGCAAGCGATAATCTCTAGGCCTAGCCTAATCAAGACAGGGTTGTATAATCGCTTGGAAAAGACCAGCATCTTTGACACGATCGATTCGCGTGCATCTCGTCGCAGAGTTCAAGTCAGTCAAGGGTCCTAGATTCTTGAAGATACACCACAGACACCGACGTCTCTACACCCAATAACTTAGTGTGCATTGCACCATTTTCCCTTTGCCAGTCCGGACGGCCATACGCGTACGACACGAATCCTCACTTCAACCCTTGCAAACCTATTCCCATCCGATCTTCTGCGGACCGCGACAAGACCTGAGCCTGCGCCGATACGGAGCCAGCGGTCACCACAGGAAAACCAATATAATAATTGACAAATGCGCAAAGAACATTCATACTGCGTCTGATGTGGTTGGAGAGGGCTTCTACTGCTCCAACGCAATAAAACTCCCATTCAATATCCTGTGGGGTGGACCGGCTCGTCCATCGCGATCATGGTCGAAGTAAACGGAGTCTCGAAGATGGAAGACACCGTCTCTATATCGGCTTCCCATCTCGGCAAACGAAAACGCACAACATCTCCAGAACCTGTGACTGCGCCCAAGAACACAAAATCATTCCCATTACAAGCTATGCTGAAAGATGCTTTGTTGCTGATCCGCAGGTATGCCACATCTTTCAAATTACCGCTTCGTGTAGCTAATCTGTCTCAATAGACACGACATAACACCTTCCTTGCTGAAACATCCTCTCCCACTGTCAGACACCGAAGGTCCAGACGCGAAAAGAGTACGCCTTGCGAAAATCGAATCCGTTGGCGAGACAGTCGAAGAGAGGGTACTTGCAGGGGCCTACAAGTCTTTCGATGAATTGAGGAAAGATGTCAACACTGTCGGGGCAGCTATTGTGAACAACCTTTCCAGCTCAGATGTGAACGGGAATACAGCCTCGGATACACCCTCTGAGTCTGGCGTAAAAGAACAATTTGCAAAAGTAATGGATTTACTATCAAAATGCGATGTAGACACCTCCAAAGTTGCCAATACGATTACAGTCAAGACAGAAGGTGAAGATTTGACCAAGGCACTTCCAGTCACGCAAGCCCCGAAGCACATTCTCTCGCTTCGCAGCCATATCGCGGCGGGCAAGGACTCTCAGCCATTGTTCTCTGGGCTGGAACTACAGCCACAAGATGGAGATAGTGACGAATCACTTCTCCCGAACGGAATCAACCTCACTGATTTCACCTCCCTCGGAAGCGAAGCACCCAAGCCAAAGCCGCAAAAACGATCTTTTAGCACTGTCTTCCAACCATCTACTCGATTAAAACAGCTGGAGATGCCACGACCTTCTTCAAACAGAATCGTTGGGAGTAATACTCTCGACTTTGCGCCATATGTCGATCCTAATGAGACCAATCCACAAACCAAGCACCATTACAAGTTCACTAAATTGCAGACTGGAAAGTGGCTGTCCTATGGATCAGGGAATGACCAAGATAAAGTTCGACAACCACATGTTCTGGGAGCGGTCGATTACAGGACAGCTCTCACAGCGAACGGTGTGCAGAAAGGGAGTAGATCAACTGAAGGGTCATCGTTCAGCTCCGTGTATTCGTCCTTTGCGCCCACTATGGACAATGGAGGTTTCTTGATTTCTGAAGAGGACAGAAATCGTCACTGGTGGCACAAATACGGAAACAAGAAGTTGTCAAAATTCTTCAGCTCAGAAGAGTTGGAAGAGACGGCCACAGAAACCCAGGCCCTGGAGGATGACTTTGCGGACGTGGTCGCCAACTTTCAGCCTGACGAGCCCGAAGAAGACACCAAGCCTATGGAAGACTCTCATGACTCCGAAGAAATGCTTGAGGAAGTTTCTGGACTAATCGAAACGTTGAGCTCGTACCAAAGGAACCGTACCCTCGATACCAAAATCCCCGTCCCGCAGCCTACACCGACGGATGCCGAATTTGACGTTTTTGAGATGCTGCGGGATCAGCTGAAGATTTTGATCTCATCGTTGCCCCCTTTTGCGGTGGCCAAACTGGACGGAGATCAGCTCGAAGAATTGAATATTTCAACGAAGCTCTTAGTCGAGCCGCCTGACTATCAAGGAACAGGACAAGTCGACGACTACACATGGAGGTTACAAATGGCCCGGCAAGCTACCTCAGCTCCCGCTCGTACGCCCATAGCCCAGCCGATACGTCCCGGCTATTCGCAAAGCCAGGTGACGCAGCCAGCATACAATGCTCAGGCGCGAAGTTACAACGCCTCGGTTCCAGCAACCGCTGGGTATGGTGCGAGAGCTGCGAACTACCAGACACCAACAGTCCCGCGCCCGACGTACTCCCAAACACCATTCCAAGCCACTGGCACGCCTTACACGAATCGTACTACCATTCAACAATTCCAACGAGCGACGCAGAATGGCTACGCAAATTATGCCGCTGGTGCGACACAGACACAGAGCCCAGGGTTTGCCCAGCGTCCAAGTCAGCCAGGCTACCAGCAACGTGCGCAAGATAGTGCTTTTGCGACTGTTGGCAGATCGGCATCGCCTCAGAAACCGGTGGTCAACGGACAGAACTACCCTTCGAGACAGTATCCAAGCCAACCTCAGACGCCGTACGCGTATCAACGACAAGCTTCCGGGACTCCCGTCACACCAAACACGCCCGCCACGACGGCGGCTACGGCTTATGGGCGATATACAGCCACTCCGGATCGGGCCAGTACTGAGGCGGGTACTAATGCAGCGACAGCGGCTACCGGACAAACTGTTGAGGTTTCTCGCTAAATCATGCTGGCAATACTTGGCTCAGTTAATCATTGTTCTTGTATGATGATGAGGAATTTATTCATGTTAATTCAAGTCGTCCAAAGACTGACGGCAGTATTGGAGACGTCGAACACTTTGGGGACGCTCAGGCCTGATAGCCCCTGTAGGCAGCTTTTCGTTCTAACCAGAGCGATGACCGCGTGAAGTGGTCAAGAGGTATTGGAGAATGAAATCAGATGGGCAATTTCAGATAGCTTTCGTCATGTTCGTACAATCCGCTGATCGATTGCTGGCTCCGTGGAACGGGAGATCGCTCGCATCGTATGGTGTAGTCGACAGAGAAAAGGTCGAGTAGCCGGGTATTTCGAATTCGACTTTGTCATGGTTTTTGAAATCATGTTGGTCAATGCTCATTGCCAAAGTAGCGCCGACAGTTCAGCACTCCTGGAAACAATCATATGCTTCAAGCGGTAACAAGCGGTCGGAGCGCGCAGCTCCCTCTGCATGGTTACCTTACGAGGCACTCAACCTGTCCAGCTCATCCTGCAGATTCACCACTTTCTCATTTCCACCGTCGCCCACCTTCGCTGCTGCTGCTGCCCCCGTGACGAACCGCCACTTGATCCTACCCCAAGTATTCGGCACGACACTAGTGTATACGTCCATGCTGGCCTTTGAGCGCTTGTAGAACGTGCGCGCCAGGACGACCTTGAGGCGGGGGTGCTTGCGCGTGATGTCTAGCGCGGCCTGGCAGATTTGGCGCTCGTAGGATTTGACATCGCGCCAGAGGCTGGACGAGCCGCCGAGCACGCGCATGCGCCAGGTGGCTAGGTCGAGGGTCTGGAGGCCCGATGTCGCGTGGACGGTGGCGGGCTTGGAGAGCGACCAGGAAAAATCTTGGAGTTGGTCCCAGTCGAGGATGAGGTGTACGATGAGCGCGGAGGTCGCGGGCGTTAGCGTCTGGAGCAGAATGGGCAGGGCGGAGTGAGAGGAGCAGTTGAACGTGTTGGCTGTGTAGAGGATGGACGTGGCTTCGGCGTGGATGAGGCGGGAGGTGCGGAGCAATTGGGCTGAGACGGGGTAGGGGGTCAACAATTTCTGGGACGGGATGGTCGCGGTGGGAGTGCTAGGTGGTGACAATGATGAGGAGTCGAGTCCGACGGCGAATGAGAGGAATTGAGAGAATTGTGAAGAGGTAGTGCTTGAGGGAGTGATGGTGACGGGCTCTGGGGAGGTGAGGACGTATGTGTAGATTTTGAGGCGCAATTCTGGGGGGAGGTTGAGAAAAGGGATTGAGACGGTGGGAGTTAGGGTCGAGGGGGTGGAAGACATCTTTGCCTACGAGTATCAGGTAGGTGCAAGTTGTGTATAGACTGAACAGGATTCAGAAACATGAAGTCGAGAGATCATCACACACCGCATCTCCGCCGTGTCTGGAGTGTGGAGGTGGAGAGTGACGAATAGATCTTGCATCTGCGACGACAGGGGAGCCTTGCAGTTCATCATCCATTTCCATTTCATTTGGGCATAGCCGAGCTTGATCGTTGTAGTAGTGAACATTGTCAAGAGCTGTTGGTGAAATGTACCGATCTCGATGCAAGGACTCGGTATCTGTTTCTTGCCTCTTGCCGAGGCTGACGGTGTTCGCGAACTACTGCTGTATGGTGATGTTACGCCTCATGTCGAACCTTCTGAGGCTGACTTTTATTTCTGCCGCGGTCATGGGGTTGCTTGCAAGGGTGAGCATTTCCGGCAGCCGAGATAAAGGCGTCTTGAAGACGCCATTGGTAGGTATGTAGTGCATATGGCATAAATCTAACCTGCAAGCCTCGCCTAAAAGTTGCCTTGTTTGAAGCCAAACCCACTACAGAGTATCTATCGTGCCTATCCCAGCCACGAGTTATGATGTCGTCCAAGACTCGGGACAGGGGCAAGGTTGCAGAATGGGGCGTGAACCAGGCAATGTCTGGTACTATGTATATCAAGCCGTGACGCCTTGAAAAAGTGTCTCGTTAGAACGGTCTCTTCGATTTCGGTCTTTCAACCGGTGAACCATAAGTCTGCCTCGTTGCCTTGTTGAACGCGTGTCAGATCATCTGACACCACACGGGGCGAACGTGTATATCTTCTTGCTTGCATACGGAGTATCTTGCGAATATATTCTATACCGTCGAGAATCTTAGAGCGGCTCGTCAAAGCTATTCACCAGAGTTGCCGCCATACGGGAGACAATAGTCCTATCAGTCAGACACTTGCTACCCATACATCCCACATCAACATCAGCGAACATGTGCTTCGGAGGAGACCGCGACGACGAGGCCGTCGTTATCCGACGCCGCGAGCGCAAACCCCACCATCACCCTCGTTATAGTCGAGAACAATATGTGTCCAGGCCTGAAACTGCGTCTTACCGTCGAGAAACGGTCACACGACGATCTACATCTGCGCATCGCCCATCGCGGTCCAGCTACGACTATTCCTCCAATCGCTCATTCAATGATCCAAGGCGCAGTGGGAGCAGGACTCGAGTTGTGAGAGAAGAACGAAGAAGTCGGCAATACTATGATTGAAGACCTGGCACGACAATGAGTTCATATGATATCATCAGTGACTGCCAACAGTGGTGGTCAGCGCGGGACTTGAGCAGGAGGATTGAAGGATTCTAGGTTTCGATTTCCGGCCTGGATGGAATCGTGGTGTCTATGCAGCTAATGATACCTTATTTTGAGGTACATGGTGCCTTTGCCATCGTCTAGAAAATCTAGCAGAAACGAGATCTATCTTGACAGAGATGAGATGCACCTAAATGATGGTGGGAGAAGATATCTTGATTCTGGACTTGACTGAGTGATTGAATGCCCCTCCACTCCCCTCCAGTGGACCACCACTAGCACCACCAAAATGCGCCAAAACTTCGAGATGTGCCATTGACGTCACACGTTGTGCCTCGTGCATTTTCCCTTGCGATCGCAGCCTGCTCTTTGTTGTCTCCCTTGAGCTTACTATATTTCCATCAGACCTACCTTTACAGTCAATTGTTGCGCGCCCGAAATCCTTTGTTGCCGTAATAACCCCAAATCAACCCACCATGAATCGAGCCCTCTCCATCCGGTCCCGCAAGAAGGACGACCATGCCAAAGAAGCATCCAAGCACACATTCTCCATTTCCACCTTGCGTGGAATGCAACAAGCTGAGCTCTCGAAAAAGCTGTACAAGTTGATCAAGACCGAAAATCATGCTATTGGTGCCTACGAGACCGCCGGTCGTGAGCGTCTGTCCATTGCCTCACAATTGTCTGATTGGGGCGAGTCCACCAACGACGATGCGATCTCGGACATCTCGGACAAGATTGGGGTGATTCTTTCGGAGATAGGAGAACAGGAAGATCTCTTTGCGCAGAATCTCGAGGACTACCGATCCATCCTGAAGCAGATCAGAAACATTGAAAGCAGTGTACAGCCGAGCAGAGACCAGAAGGCCAAAATCAGCGATGAGATCCAGAAGCTCAAGTACAAAGAACCGACGAGCCCAAAGCTAGTCACTCTCGAGCAGGAACTGGTGCGCGCCGAGGCACAGAACTTGGTCGCTGAGGCGCAACTCACCAATATTGTGAGTGGTTGGACTGGACCAAGTAGACTGCACGCTAACGAATGCGATAGACTCGGCAAAAGGTCAAGGAGGCATACGACTTGCACTTTGCTGCCACCATCGAGCGAGCAGAGAAACAGCTCATCCTTGCCAAATATGGTCGCCGGCTGGTGAACTTGCTTGACGACACTCCCGTTGTGCCAGGAGACGTGCGCCAACCATTTGAGCATAGCAACGAGGCCCGACAAATCCTCTCTGAGGCCGAGGCCGAGCTGCAAGCATGGGAACCCCATCTTGAGCCTATCCACTCCAACGCCGGCGGACTTGGATCAAACCTGATGCCGACGGGCGAGACAAGTACCCGCGCCACTTCTGATCTTGACACCGCAGAACCAACCTCTGCTGCGACCACCGAGAAGCCGGCCGCGGAGGCCCAAGGAACGCATTTGGAGGCGGCCACCGCCTAGAAGGTGGAGGCCTGGCATGCAAAGCAAAGGGTGGAGACTGAGAAGGAGAAGGAGTGGGATGAGAACAAGTGATGGGAGACTCTGTTAACCTGGTTATTTGGTTTTCTTTTCTGCTCTCCTATGATTTCAGGTTTCCTGTGATTTCAGGTCCATGGCAGGTGGGGGGATAGGAGTGAGCATGAGGAGACTGCTCGTTTTCTTGATAGTAACCCAGGAGTTTGATGACTGTTTCCTATATCCACAAATACATCATCAGTTAGTTAATTTTCTAATCACCACGATCGATTCTGCCATGCCAGCGATAAGTACTTGGCTACTCCGGTGTCCATCGCTTCCAGAATTGGCCCAGAACCCCGAAGCTCGCTTAGATGGCAATTGGCCCACGCGTGCCCATGGCCTCGAAGCGACCTTGCAAGCTCGGTTCGGTTCGATCTTGTGGTACCCATTGCCACATCATGACTTGCTTTCACACCAGATCGGGTACTTAGTTGCACCTCTGCCATTGGCTTCGGTGCTGCCCTTGAGACCCCCAACACCCTCTCCACGCTGACACTCACCACTAAATGTGTAGGGAAAGAAGGGTATGGATGACGGTGTCACAACCGGAGAACACACAACCCGAATTCTCAACGACCTTTTGATTTGATATGCTGCCATTGGCGTCGCCACACGATCGCTTATGTGCTGAGACTCACCAATGACACTTTGGGCGGCGAGTGGCCATTTCGAGATCTGCGTCTGGCACGTTCGTTAACTATGCCCTTTCGACTCCGTTCAAACACGCGTCGTCTCGCATTCAAAATCCAAAAAGACACCCCTTCCTCTCCTCCCACTAGCTGGACATTTCTTGACCGCTCCATCCACGCAGTGGTGACTGTCTATATCCTTCATTGTATTATACTCTCGAGAAAAGGCACTGTCAGGATGCCGTCCATAATACTCCTTGCTGCCGTTCTTTACCTGGTATACTTGGTTACCAGCACTTTTGTCAGCCTTTTTCGCAATATCAAACGAGCCAAACAATCCGGAATTCCCTATGTTGTTGTCCCAGTCTATTATCTTAACCCATTCTGGCTCATCACGAATCAGCTCTATCTACCATTGCTGGCTAAGCTGCCCCAAACATGGACTTGGTGGGTGGACTTTTGTCTGCCGGATTTCAACTACAATTACAGCATCGAGATCTTCCAACGTGTGGGAAGTGATACGTTCTTGACCGTCGCCCCGGGTGGCATTATGATGCACACGGCAGATCCAGCTGCCATCCATCAGATTACGACACGGAGGAACGATTTCCCCAAGCCGACGGCCATTTACCGGTCAGTGGATATCTATGGCAAGAATGTGGTCTCAACCGAGGGCGCCATGTGGCGTCAGCATCGTAAGGCCACTAGTCCGCCATTCACAGAGAAGAACAACCATCTCGTCTGGGCGGAGAGCATTGATTTGGCTAATGCGATGTTGGCCTCGTGGACGGGCCCAGACGGACAAGGCAACAAGACCGTCGACCGGGTCATGGACGACACGATGCGCCTCAGTTTGTACGTAATCAGTCGAGCAGGCTTTGGGCGGAAGTTGCAGTGGCCATCAGAAGACGCAAAAGCTGATATCGATGTCAATTATGTCGACCAGTCAAAGATACAGAACCAAAGGGATGATCGAGATCGAGGACATTCAATGAGCTATACCTATGCCATCCATTGCTTGTTGGACAACATTCTGTTCCAATTTCTCCTACCTCGGTGGCTGATGGCGCGAGTTCCCTTCAAGATCGTTCAGAAGGCAAACGAGGCGTATGTGGAATGGGGCAATTACATGAAAGAAGCTGTTGCGTCGAAGAGAGACACTCTGCAAGAGGGAGAAGAGAGCAAAGACCAGATGGATATCCTGAGCCAACTGGTAAAGAATCAAATGAATGAAAAGAGCAAGGATCCTCCTCTGACAGACTCTGAAGTATTGGGAAACATGTTCGTTCTCATACTGGCCGGCCACGAGACAGCAGCGAATTCGATCCATTTTTCTCTGCTTTACCTGGCGCTTGACCCTCGGACGCAACGAGCAGTGCAAAAGGACCTGGACCGGATTTTCCAAGGCAGACCACCTTCTGAATGGGATTATGATCGAGACTTGCCCTCCCTCTTCGGCGGCATGATTGGTGCTGTGTTAGCTGAGGAACTGCGACTGATTCCGCCTGTGATAGGTATACCTAAATCGACCTGGGGAGTGGGAGATCAGCCGATCACCCTGGAGGGCAAGCAATACACTGTGCCAGGTGGTATTTATATCAGTCTTGCCACATCCAACGTCCACCGAAATCCGAAATACTGGCCCACTACCAAGCCGAACTTTCCCGGCGGTAAACCTGTTCATCCGGTAGCCAACCTGGATAATGACCTTGAAGAATTTCGACCCGAACGGTGGTTGCTGGATGGCGAAGCTGAGGTCCAGACCACTATTGCAGATGACAACAAGGAGATGCCGAATGAGGCACTCACATCAGACGGTCTGGGGGTCAATGAATCATCTGATACCTCCGACCGATTCTACAAACCACCCAAAGGAGCTTATGTACCATTTAGCGACGGTTATCGGGCATGCCTCGGACGACGATTTGCTCAAGTCGAGGTCCTGGCAGTGCTGGCGGTTCTCCTACAGAACTATTCGGTGGAACTGGCGGTTGATCGCTGGGCGAACGACGAGGAAGTCATCGAAATGGACGAGGATGCCCGCGTGGAACTATGGCAGAAGGCTGCTGAGCGGGCAAGGGACTTGATGCTCCATGGCCTCAGTGTTATCATATCTTTGCAAATGAGGAAAGGAACCGTACCTCTACGGTTTGTACCGAGAGGGAAGGAGAGATTCCCTGATGATGTGGACCAGAGATGGAAAGATAAGCATCCTGACCTGTGCAGGAGACCCGAACCCATCCCCAACTGGAGGTACTGGGGATGAAAATGAATCTGAGTATAGGAATGGCCAAACCCAAAGATATTACGGAGTACATGACCATAGACAGGAAGTGAAGTGAATCTTTCCATCAGCTGGTCTTCTTCGATCCCGGAGTTTCTGAGACCATGGCAGCCTAAGGCAAGGAACTATGCGCATAGCTTGCAGTTTGCTGCATGTCCCTGCCTAAGCGGCTTCGCTGGCTTGACCTGACTCGCTCGACTCGCTGGGGGTTCTGCAGTAAATGCATGCGATGAGCCGTTTGATCCTTCTATTTTATCTCTTTGCGGCGATCTGGATATTTTGGACCTTTTTGTCTCGCACCAACACTGAAGCATCACCGCTCTCGCGTATGAGCTCGCCTCGACTGCTAACTTGGAAATGCTCGTGAGGCGCCGAAACAGACGGATGAGTTGCATGCACTGGCAGGTCCATTGGCCATTGGAATATCAATTAGGGCGAATCTGACTGGACTGATGAGTCTCCTTTATCCGATTGCTCAGGCCACAGAGATCTCACTCCACCGCTTTCTCATTCGTATCTGGCATTCCCCTGATGATGCTTTTGCTGGCAAGATCAGTGGCAATTGGACATTATGCTTTGCTGGCGTATGCCCGGTCGAACCGGTGTTGGGCACAAACACCCCGTCTCCTTCTAATATTCGCCCGAGTCGAGATGTGGACCAGTTGTTGACTGGACGGTTTTTATTACCTCTACCTGCCCTCTGGGTGTTCAAACCTCTCTTGTTCAGCCTGTCTTCTCTCTTGCATTCCCTGTATCACTCAGGAGGCGCGACCTGCTTTCGCTTGTGCACGCTCCCATCCTTGGGGTGCCAGAGTGGTTGTTACATGTTTGCACCCCTCTATGCTTGGACCTGTCACATCCCGCTCTGCTCGTCAAGTTTGACGCAAGGGATGATCCATTGCACCACTGAGCCTCTCGCACCTTCACCCTGACACTCCAATGCTCTAACCGCGTCCTTAAGGTCAAACAATGGCCACTACAACTTCTTTACAGTCTGTCATTACTAGGTATCACTATTGCTTGCCGACACTCCTTCCATCAGGGCTTTACGCCTTTTCCGTCAGGGACCACCCCTGACCACGTTAACACTCCCTACATGTTTTTGTCGATTCGCGACCAAGGCCGCCGGCGGCGCAGTCAGACCTACGGCGTCAGTAAGGCTGCCCGTTCTTCCAAGTTATCCCTTCTTTCTGCCATCACCACCGGCTCGCATGGATCCAACGATAGCTCGTCTACCATTACCCAAGAATCGTACAGGAGATCCACATCTACTTCAGCGAAACGACGAAGGTCATCACATTCCAAAAAATCGCAGAAGCCACGCGAAAGGAAGCTCTCGTTGGTGAGAAGCGGACCGGACAATCCCGAAAAAGAGAAAAGCATGTCTCGAGAATCGGTGGATGTTTTTGCCTTTCTCGTCGATGAGAATGCTCCAGATACACGAACGCCGCATGACGAGGTTGCAGGTCTGGTCCGCGATGTCCACGAGGACTCTGATAATGAGAGCATCAGCCGAAGTCAGCACTCTGACTCTGGTATCTCCATGGGAGACAGCATTGTTTGTCATCCCCGTGCTGATTCTTTGGTTGAATGTCACCTACCTTCGCTACCAGAGGAGTCTCAGGAGATGGCCGATGGAGACTTACAAGTCGCAAACGGATCGACGCATTCGAAACGGTTGCGATTTCAATGGCCAGTTGTACCTCGAGCTACTCACGAGCCATACATGAGCAAACCTGGCAGAAGGACTCCTAGTCCCGAAAACGTCCGTCTACGTGTGACTCGCAGGCTTGATGATGGATTCCAGCCCTCCAAAGAGCCGAAGCTGTCCGGATATGACCTAATTGCGGCGAAGCTAGGTCAGGGAGAACTTCCTCCTGTTTTCCGGCGGTTTCAAAAGAGCAATTTTCGAATGCTGTTGCAATTACAGGATGAGATCTCGGAAATGGAAGATGAGTTGGCTTCGCTTGATTTGGAAGATTCTAAAAGTCGACTGAAAGCCGATGGCAGTACATCGCCGGCATCAAGACGAATAAGCTGGGAGTGGACACAATCCGACTTGCAGGCGCGCCGACTCGATGTTCTGGGAAGGCTGTATATCAAGATTGAACAATATTGTAGGTGGCCGCCACCTTTGACTGCGGGCGATGCTGATGACAACAGATCAAGCTCTCCTGGCTTCACAGAAGGTGCAGAAATCAACTGCACCAGCACTACAGCTAGATGTTGAACGGTTTCGAGCATGGTTGCGCCAAAACAACCCATTGTCAGCGCTGGAGTCAAGGTTCCTTGATCATCAAGAGGATCTGATATGCCTCGACTGTACTGCGACGCCACCGACGACTGCCATGTCCCCATCATCTTCGATTCCTGTATGCATCCTAACCACCACCCTCGTTCCGTTGTTATGCTTCAAAATCATGACTGGTGTTTTGAACCGGTTGATCCTGCTCATCGTGGTTTTGGCTGTTGGCTTGAGCAGCCTGGAAAAGCTGGACAGATCAAAAGTTGAGCAACATCGGCAATGGATTCTTGCATGTTTCGGTGTTTCGCTTCTGGCCGCTATGATTCTATGATTAGAAGGCTCGAGCCATGAGTGGCAGCATTCTGGCTGGTGATGATAATGATGTATGTCTACGATGTGATACCCTTTGATGAAGAACGGCAATGATAGAGGGAGACAGGAGTCGATCAAGATAGATCTAATGATAATGAGAAAGAATGAGAAACAATCAGCTGCCTTGTCCTTGCAGTGCATTGTACAGTTTTGGTGACTACTCTGTACTGCAAGCCGACTGTAAGCATTGTTTGCTGCGGAGAAGACAATGACATGGTTGGAGAGGGCAACACGCGCCTGCCCTCGACACTGGCTCGCTCTCCCTTCCCATCACCGTCGACGCCTCAGTCCAGTCGCCCTTTGTTGATTTGTATTTGTGTCGAGTTGTGGTTTTCTCATGTGAAGACAATCTCTACACGCACTATAATATACACTGTCTGGCACCGCGCCGAGTACTAGTTGGCCGGTTCACGGTCCCACGATCTCTGCCTGCTAGACGGCTGTCATGTGCCCGCGCAGGAGCGTTCGCACTTGCATTTGCAGGCACAAACGCTCCGAGGCGATGGTGTCGTGAATATTTGTTTGGTTTCTCTCTTCTTCTCTGTTCAATTTCGTCTCAAAGAACAAGTTGCGCTTTGTTGGGAAGATCCTGCAAAGCGCCCTTGTCGAGCGCCATCGATGGCTTCTAACTTCATCTCGAGGTTTACAGGCTCCAACCACGCTTCGGCTTCCATCTACGAGACTCTCCGACAGCATGACGAAGATTCAGACGGCTCGGATGTGGAAGAAAGAGCAGGCCTAGTCGCGGAACCTCAAAACGTAAGAGATGATTACCACGATATAGGCTCGAGTCATATGAACTTCAGCCAGAGTCGACTGGATCATCGTCTCACCCAGGACACGGGAACCGACCACCGGCAAGGCAGAGTCTCTCGGAAGGGAAAGAGCAGGGCTACGAACAGATCGAGATACCCTGGGGCGCATAAGCTATTGGATGTTGAAGAGGCGGACGACGATGTGCCAGCGTCACTGCTCATAGACCCCAACGCAGGAAACCAAGACCATGACTCTATCTCCTTACCTCCTCCTCCGAGTCAACTTTCAGACGGCCCTCCCTTGCCGGAAGACGTTGAATTCGCTACCCCACGACAGTATCCACGACTGCAGAGTCCCGGTGAAAGCAACCCAAGACATCCTCGAAATGCCCCGGTCAATCCGTTCTGGGGAAGGCTTGCCAATGCGGATCCAAAAGAGAAGGCCATGTTTCGATGGGTTAATGTGACCGACCTGGACAACTTCCTGCTGGATGTCTACAATTACTATCTCTGTCACGGCTTCTGGTCTATGCTCCTCGTGCGCTTCTTCAACCTGATCACGGTCGCTTTTGTGGTCGGTTTCTCGCTATTCCTCACACAGTGTATCAACTATCAAGAGATCAAAGGCAGCACAAAGATGTCGGAGATTCTAATACCTCAATGTGCCAGCAAGATGGGCTTCTTACCCAACGCACTACTTTGGATCACAAGTTTTGTTTGGCTCTGGAACCTGGTTATTTCCTTCTTCGACATCTTTCGCTTAAGACAGATGCACGATTTCTACCTGTACCTGCTTGGTATCCCCGAAACCGAGATTCAGTCAATATCGTGGCAAGAAGTCGTTAGTCGGCTCATGGCTCTGCGGGACTCGAATCCCACGATTACTTCCACATCCAAGAAGGCCGGCGGCTATCTCAGATCCCAGGACAAGCAACGAATGGACGCCCACGACATTGCTAGCCGTTTGATGCGAAAGGAGAACTATATGATCGCTATGATGAACAAAGACCTGCTCGATCTAACATTACCGATACCGTTTCTACGCAACCGAAAACTGTTCACGCGCACGCTGGAATGGAATATCGAGCTGTGCATCATGGATTTCGTCTTCAACAGCAAAGGACAAGTTCGGCCCCTGTTTCTGAAGGACACGCACCGCAAGGATCTTTCAGATGCCCTTCGAAACCGTTTCGTGGCTATGGGGTTTGTCAGCCTCATATTCGCGCCTTTCCTCGCCGGTTTTGCTCTCACCAAGCACTTCTTTCAGAATTTCAATGAGTACCAGAAGAATCCTGCTCAGATTGGCTCAAGAGAATACACTCGGTTTGCCCAATGGAAATTCCGAGAATTTAATGAACTCCACCACCTGTTTCACCGGCGAATCAACATGTCGTATCCGTTTGCGACGAGATACATCAACCAGTTCCCAAAGGACAAGACTGTCCAGACGGCCAAGTTTGTCAGCTTGGTGTCGGGTGCTGTGGTCTCTGTACTAGGTCTTGCCACCATCTTGGACCAGGAGAATTTCCTGAATTTCGAGGTAACTCCAGGTCGAACAACCATTTTCTATATTGGCATCTTTGGGTCGATATGGGCTGTCGCTCGCGGCTTGTTGCCAGACGACAACATGGTGTATGATACGGCATTTTCGATTCAAGAAGTGGTCGAGTTCACCCATTACGTTCCGGCGCATTGGGAGGGTCGCCTGCACACTGTTGAAGTCAAGGACGAATTCTCGCAATTTTACCAGATGAAAGTAGTCATCTTTTTCGAGGAAGTGTTGAGCATGATCTTCACACCTTTTGTCTTGTGGTTCAGCCTACCCAAGTGCAGCGAGCGCATCATCGATTTCTTCCGAGAGTTCACTGTGCACGTCGATGGCATTGGATACGTTTGCTCCTTCGCAGAGTTCGGATTTATGGAAAGAGCCATCAGACCTCAAGCTGCTCAGGCGGCTGCGAAACCCGAGACAGCGACAAGAACGGCAGGAGATGCGGGCAAGACGAATGCTGCGCATCTACGAGACGACTATTTCGCTCCAAATGACAACAAACTCGAGCAGAGTTATTGGGGCTTCATGAACAATTACGCTCGCAACCCAAAGACAGATATTCGGTTTCCTTACCATCACAACGCGCGGCGTCCCCTGCACATGCCTCCGCCTGTACCCGGGTTACTCTCGCCGACGCTTCCTATTACTGAGCATGGCAATGGTGGTCATCGACCCGGCGCAGGCTTAGGTCTGTTTTCGCCGCCCAATCGAGGCGCCTTGGGTACACCTGGATTCGGTGCTCAACATCACGGCGGCCAAGGTCAGTTGCAGTCGACTCAGCCCCTCGGTTCGCCATTGCAATCTTTGCTTCTTGATCCCCATCATCAACCATCGACCAGCGGCTTTGTGAACTCACCTCAGGCAGTACGACCTCGTCATTCGCTTACAAATCGATCTCTTCGCGACCGAGACCATCGAGACAGTATGGCTGAAGAAATGGGACCTGAGAGTCATAAGCGCGCTAAGGCTGACGGTCTACATACAGCCGCAGTAGCTGAACAACCATCAACCCTTGGCACGACGCAAGAAGGAGGTGAGTTGGGCTCGTGGAAATACGAAGTCGAGTCGTCTTCGAACGGTGGAAGCGAAGACGAGGATGATGAAAATGATCCCAAGGCCATCGCGGCGTTGGGTGCACTCGGCCCACTCGGGTTGATTCGGCAGTTTCAAAAGGCGCAAGCTCAAGAAGGTGGAAGGGCGAGAGCTGCTGGAGCAGGCATTTGAAAGTCTATGTCGAAAGCTAAGTTGCAGGATGGGATTCATGGGTGGACGCGAGATAACCAGTGCATGGCGGGCATGGCGTGAGAGGCTCAAGAGCATAATACTGGTTGGATACACATTTCCATGGCGTTGGAATCAGCTCACCAGGAGAGCACAGTCTCATTGTACGCTCAACATTAGCAAAGGCATAAGAACAGGTGGCGTTTGCACGGCACATATCTTGTGGACAGTTCCAAATCCATGTAGACAACAAGGTCAAGGTAGATACAACTGGAAATGATCACAGCCGTTTTCAGATTGGGTGCTGGTCGTCGGCAACAGTACTCTGGACAATGTTCAATGGTCCGCATGCTTTCTATTCAAGAGATATTGACTTGGGTAACGTGGACGTGGTTGATCCACCGGGAGTAGAAAGTTGAACGACAATGAGAACAATGTTGCCGCGAGCGATTCGATTTAGATGACTGCAGTGTGGTCATGCTGGAAAGTCTTATGGAGCTCTCTTTCTTGATATTTCACTCATTCTCCATAGCATCTACCTCGACATGTGAGGAGAGCCCTTCTTAAGTGGCTTGCCGACGAAGTGTAGCTGCTTTGGAAGCGTGCCGGTTTCTTCTGTGAGAGTGGTCTGAGGTGGTGCATGATTCTTCCATTCGTTGCTATGCGATGGTTTACACTTTCCCAAAGCTTTCAGTCTTGGGATCTCGCAGCATACGTGGCGTCGAACGGTCGTCGAACGGTGGCCAAGGAGAGGGTAGGCATGCGTTTTGTTTTGCCACAGCCTTGACCCGCTGTCTCAGCGGCATGTACATACGTGTCATGGTCTGCCTCTGAGGACTGACTGCGGCGAGCACAAAATGGCTATTTGTTGTGGAGGCCAAAGACCCATATCGTGGCACGCCACGTTCATTGACGGCTCGTTCTTGGACCACTTTCCAAGAGCGTCGCACTTCAAACTGGTGGGTGCCACCGCTCATGCTTCCCTGGGGTTGGATTGTAGCAACTGCCACAACCGGCTCCATAATTTGGGCCATCTCAGCGTCGAGTCGGGCAGGATGAAGAAGGTGGTCGGTAGTAAGGTGCCAGGGCAGGGATACTTCGCGAAGAAGAGGACCCATCAGCCACCCTATGACCCCATCTTCCTTTTGAGGTAGCAGTATGTCCGAATGGTACAGGTGCTTTGAAACCAGAATCGGCTGACCCTAACCGGATTACTAGTATGGCTATCTATGTCGGTGTCGGTGTCGGTTCATGGATTTGGCGGCGGCGATGAAACTCTGTCCCATTGAAGACAAGGCGAAAACGAAGACAAGAACGAGATGAGTGAGACGGCGAGAAGGTCCGATCTGACTGCAGAGTCAGGTCAGGTCAGTCGGCTGAGGGTGGTCGGGATGGCAATTGAAGGAAGGAGATGGTCGAAGGGGCGACGCGCACTGCGCGGCAAACGAGGCTCACTGAGGCTACCCCAGAACCCAAAGGAAGTGGTGCTTGGGTAAGCAAGACCCGAATTAGATGTTGAGCTGCTTAGGAAAATGTCTTACCGTGGCATTCTTCTCGTTACAACTTGATAACGATGGTTGAACAGCTGCCTGCTGAGTCGATACTCGATACTCCCGTATGCAGGACAAATACTACTGAGGCGGTGTGATCAGCCAGCCATGTGCATGCATGCCATGTAAGACTGAAGAGGCACACCGGGCATTGTAGCATTTACCGCTCGAATGATTGGTCTCTCGATGGTACGATCATGGCTACCTGCAGGTGACACCAGCTACCCCGAGTCGCCGGACAACAAACAAGGGAGACGGCTGGTTCAGCCAGTAGGGCGCAGATACCAAAAGAAAAATGCGGAAGACGCATCCAGACAATCATCCAGACCCGGGATCTGGAGGGCTTCTTGATGGGCTCGTACCTCTGCCGTGCTCACGAGTGCACAAAAGAACTCGTATTAAGATGTATGCAGTGGAGGCAACTTCGGTACCATGGGGCTGAACTGTGCTATGCAAAAGCTGTGCCACGGGCGGGAATCGAATCCCATCTGGACCAAAAGTGACTATCAGATAGGCTCGTCTTATTCCTCGTGAAGACAGCTTGGTATAGCTTGGCAGCTGGAACAAGTACTAGTACTGGTGAGTTGGTACTGTAACCGAGGTAGGGCTCGACTTTCCAGAGGGGTGATACTCCCCATGAAGTGTCGTGTTGGCTGTGCAGAAGTAGGTGACATTGGCGACCTACCGATGGTCAGTTCGGCTGTGACTGTTGTGTCGTGGTGGTGGCATGGTACTGCGTAAGGTACTCCGTACATATGCTTGGGAATGGACGTTGCTTTAAATAGGCGGGCTGGGGTAGATTATCATGTAAGCAAGTAATGCTCCTTCATGTTGCGGCTGAGATGCAGGACAAGACCGCCAGTGACCGCCCCATTGAACGAAAATGGACAAGGGTTACGGATTGAGGGACCTCGCCTGTCCGCCGCGGCGCCAAAACGCTCGGGACAATTCATTCAACCATGGATGCTCATGAAGCGAGCTCAAAATCGGTCCTGTCAGGCAAATGAATTTCGGCCTCTTGTCAGTGCCATGATGGTGCTCTTCTCTATCTGGCTAGTTGGTGAAAATGGAAGCTTCCACACATTAGTGTGATTAGTCTACTCCGTGAGCAGCTTGATTTGGTGTTGAGGACCTGCCGGTTTTGGCCTGCTCGAAACGAGATTCGCCAAGTTCCCTGTGCGGGATTGCAGGATGGTGTTGATGGTCGGCCACCGCACTCCTGTTTGAAGCCATGATTTTCTGTTTTGGGGGGATTAGAGAGAGACACACGATGGGCGCGTGGCAACCGGAGGAGAACGCCACTGTTTGTGATGGAGGCGCCATGGGTGTGGGATTTTCGAGGTTCCGAGATTGCGGTCGTGATGTTTGGGGCCATGGACATGATGTGATCATGGCTCGCATGGGACCGCATCCATCGCGTGTGAGAGTCGGTGATGGAGCTAACGGTTAACATAAGCGGTGATCTATCTCTGGAGATACCTAGGGAGTAAACAGCCCGAGAGATGATGGGCGGTAGGACAGCTGTGATGAGTCTACAAAGTAGGCCAGCCACAGCACAGTGGACTTGCCAGTCCTCCGTATCCCCAAGAGATTTGGATGAGTTTTGTGGAGATACAATGCCTTCTTCCTTCCTGCATCAAGTCACAGTACGAAGGGAAAGAATGCAGACGCTTTGGAAGGTACCACACTCGTAGTGAGTGACCTAGGTGATAGTCGAAGGATAACCGAGGGGGACATTGATATCAAAGGTGGACACAGTGAACGGGGTGCAACTAGGTACCTGTAGTTTGCTACTCGTATGTACTATGGTAGGTGGTCAACTTGGACTACTGGTGATTGTCGTGTCTTTCTCGATGAAGCTGTGATTAACCGACAACAATGCCCTTGTTTTTGACATATGCGTACATTGTTCGTCGTTTATTGCTCGCGTGGCCTCGAGTCAAATCGATTTTTCTTCCCGTAGTTGCACACCGCAAGGTAAAGCCTTATCATCAGCCTCCTGGAGCCTCGTTGATCTCACAAAAAATTCGATATCTTCCTCTCCACCCCCTGACTACTAGTACAAGTATTTCGAGGACGAAGTCCCCATCTACGGCCCGATACCGCAAAGAGCGGCGTTCTTTAGTCTTGCAAACTAAACCACAGACGTCGATTGCTTTTGACCGTCTCCTGGAATCTGGATCTGCAATGATGAGACAGTCAGAACCAATGGACGTCTGTGCTTGAGCACCTGGCAAGAGTTCATCACGGTGATATCATCGACAGCAGCCTTGGTTACGAGTCAATGCAAGTCCACCCTGAGCCTCCGTATAGATTGCAGGCAGGGCGTGGTACGAGTAGGGCTTCCAGTGGCCTCCTACCAAGAAACGGGTCGCCTTGATCGTCCTATTCCTTACGAGGTTTCGACCACAATCCTTCGGCGGCACCATCCACGACAATCCTAAAACAAGTGATGCAAGCCTCTGCCAGGATCAAAGGGCATAAGCACCAGCCATTCTTCATCAAGCGTTAAGCAAAGGAAAGGCGTCTTTGTAAAAGAACAAGTCTGACAACGCCAGTATCTCAGCGCAGGGCATCTCATCAAACTCGGCTGTCCACCGACCATGGACCCTCTTTGAACTCTGGGCCCCCTGCCCTGGTTCTCCGTGCTGACAGCCACCGTATCCTCCACCTACGACTAGCCTCTCTTGTCGACCAGTTGGGATGCAAATCCTCGTATCCCACGCGAGAATTGGGCTAGCGGCTTGCATATCCCCCCTGCTTCGTTGTTCAGGTTCAACATGCAAAGGAAAAGCCACCGCCCAAAAGGCCCTTCGCTGAGTGCTCAAGCAAATAACGGCCACGCTTGTCATGCATATACAATATTGTGCTCTGTGCCACCTCGATTGAACATCTGTCACTTTATCACAGACCCTTCCTGCCCTTTCTGACTTCATTCAACCGTCAATTTTACTAAACACCACAGTATCCGGAGTCTTTCATATACGAGTACTCCTCCGCCAGATTGGTCTCAGCGACCTGTCGTTGGAATCCCTCATATCTCTGCTACCAGGGTCTTCCCTTCATTTTGGCCCAATATGGTCTGTGAAAATGGGTATGTACAGATATTGCATTCCCCGTGTGAAACATGTTCATTGACGGACGCAAGGGCTACGGCAACAACGACGTCAACGTTTTCGCCATCATCTAAAACATTGGCCGACTCTTCATCTTCATCTTCACCCTCTTCCACTCCTGGAACACTGCAGACCCCTAAGAATGCTTCGAAACCCATTAAACTGAGAGCCGCCTGCAACCAATGCTTCTCGGCCAAGGTGAGACACGTCGAGACTCCATCTTCTCTTTCCCACTGGCTGACCATCTGGGACTCTAGGTACGGTGTGATGGCAACAAGGAAAGCTGTCGCCGATGCTCTGAGAAGAGATTGCCCTGCATCTATAGCGAGTCTCGAGTGGGGAAAGTGGTAGGAAAGCGAAGAAAGAGACCGCTTCCCGACCAGACTGCCAACGTCAATTCTCAACCGTGGATCGTCAACGGTACTGCTTGTTCTGTGCAATCCATTCCCTCGCCTGCCGCCAGCCACGAATCCGACGAATCCAACAAGAGACCTTGTTCGGTTCCCAACTGGACGTCGTTCGCTGCCGCAGGTGACCAGGGTTTCATGACGTTTGATGAGACGACCGAAACGTTGAATGCAATCGAAATGGCCAACAATCGAAGTTTCTCAATGACGAGCGAGGTCAGCTTCTTCACCAACAACGGCCTACCGACCCCTGCACTCAGCCCTCCACAATTCACCCGTTGCCTTTCACCCGCCCAGCTAGACACTCGACCTACCTCGAAACAAGGATCGAGATCAACGGCTCCGATCGACCCGCGCAGACTTTATCCGCCGGCAAACACCACCACACCATTCTTCGCCAGACACGTCGAGCATCCTCCATTGACTCCTGAAGACGAAGAGACCGTGTGCATCAAACTGTTGGCTCACCTAAAAAAGCATTCCTCGGACGAGTCCCAGCCTCGGGAGACCCAGCTTCGACTGCTGAAGAAATGTAACGCCGCCGTGCGAAGGATCCTGCACAGCAAAACCATCCGATCCTCTTATACGTGTCACCTACTCCTCTCCAACATTCTGAGCCACCTGGTCCGTCTCTGCGAACGCCTGTGCTTGGACATGGACATGAACAGCTCAGAGGACGCCGCACGGAGCTTGGAGTCGCAATTCCTCCAAGACCAAGTCCATTATGAAGCAGTGCCGGGATATTTCGAGAACGTGGCGGTGCACCTTCCGCAACAACCGTTGCAGGCGTCGGAGCAAGAAACGATGATGGCCTTGAACAGGGAGGTCATGTCGTTCGCATCTACAGTGGCTGATATGCTGAAGAGGAAGCCTCTCGGTGGGTTCCAGACCCTCGGCAGGCATGAAAGTTTCCATGCCGAACTAGAGCAGAGATTGATCAAGGCATCGGCTCTGCTGCAATCATGATGGATGTGTACTAGTTAATGCTTGATTTTGGATTTTGGATTTTGGATTTCGGATTTCGGATTTTGGATTTTGGATATTCCCAGAAAGCATGGTGTTAGCGTGTGCGGTGCTTCAACCCCAGCAGGGCGATATGATTAGGCACATGTGCCGTGTACCACAGTAGACAAGGTGTGGACAAGGAGCAATGAGAAGACCTGTTCGAGTCGAGTCAAATACCAATGCACAGGCCGGGAGAATTTTATCCCGGCCACCTCCCTGCTCGTTCGTACTAACACGCATACGGAGCTCCTGGTTGGCCTGAAGGTGATGTCGTCATGCAGCTATAGCGTAGGTGTAGACCGTATCCGCGGAGGCATCTCTTCTCCATGCGTTGATTCAAGTTCTTGGTGATCGTTCTGGCTCAGGAGAAACCCAAATCTGGCTCCTCTGTAGAGATGCAAATAGTCAACTACGCGGCCTGGATCCCCGCCGAAAACGCGGCTCTGGAAGTCGCAACAGCTCCCTTCCCGCAAATCGGTGCCGATGAAGTCATCATCAAGAATCGTGCCGTGGCCGTCAATCCGGTCGACTGGAAAATCCAGAGTTGGGGCGGCTTTGGGATCAAGTATCCAGCCATCCTGGGTGAAGACGTCGCCGGCGAGGTGGTCGAGGTGGGCAAGGATGTCAAGAAGTTGTTCAAACGCGGGGATCGAGTCATTGCTCACGCGTTGTCGTTGGGCAAGGGAAGTGCATATGCCGGCTTCCAACTCTACCCTCGTCTGAAGGCCGCGACGGTGGCCATGATCCCTGACGATCTGGAGTTCAAGCATGCTGTGGTCCTGCCGCTGAGCATTTCGACAGCCGCGTCAGGATTGTATCTCAAGGACACGCTGAATCTGGAGTATCCCCAACTGCAAAAGAATGGCCACGGCCATGTGGGGTTGTCAAGCTCGACTTCGACGAGTCCTCCCACTAGTCCACCATCCGCAGAGCGAGGATCCTGGACGATGGTGGACGTCGACGTCGACGTCGACAAGCCGAAACCAATCATCCTGCTCTGGGGTGGCTCTTCCTCCGTGGGCTCATCCGTGATCCAGCTCGCCGTGGCATCGGGCTATGATGTCGTGACGACGGCTTCACCTGCCAACTACTCGTACGTCAAGTCTCTCGGGGCCGTTTTGGTCTTGGATTATCACAATCCGGACATCGTCCCGATCCTGGCATCGCTGCTGAAAGGACGGTCTGTCGTCGGCGCATACGATGCGATCGGGTCGGTGACAACAGTTGGCCAGTGTGCTGCGGTTCTGCATGCCTTGGATGGCGGCACGGTTGCGAGTGTAGGTGCTGCGCCCGACGAGTTACCACCGAATGTCAAGGTGAGCAGGATCTCGGGCGAAAGGATCGTCAGCACGGAAGATGGGATCGTCGCGAAAAAGGTGTGGCACGAGTATGTGTCTGCTGCGTTGCAGGAGCGGTCTCTCAAGCCGGCGCCCGAAGAGTTGGTCGTCGGTAATGGGTTGTATTATGTTCAGGGCGGGCTGGACAGGCAGAAGCAAGGAGTCAGTGCGAGGAAGGTGGTTGTTACACTCTGAAATGAAATTGCTAAGATGGACATCTGTCGCGTCCTCGGAAGTACGGTTCTGTGTTCGTTTCTACGGAAAACCGAGACGTAAAATTTCATATTCCTTCCCGCCCTCATTCCTCCTCCATGAGTGCTTCCAAAGTGTCCTATCGCGCTAGTGTCAATCGCAAGCCATAGGCCTGAGGCATGAAGTTGGCTGTGCAGCTCACCTGTGACAGGACTTCAGGCGCAGAGATGATGTGGAAGCCCAATTTGGTCTGGGACAAAGTCAACTCTCACTCTTCGTCTTCGTAACGGCGTGAGGCTTAGGCCGGGCCGAGTGGTTGCGGATCTCACCTCCAATTTGTATCGACCTGGATATGTCCTTTGCAAGTATTTCCTCAAGACGTCATGTGGGAGTCGATAACTGGACACCCTTTGCGGTTGGCGGCCGCCGAGAGTCGACGTCGACGAGCCTTGAGTTGATGACGTGCTGCTTCGGTTGATGGTCATAGTGATTGGTGTTTGCATGGGCGAGGTGACCGAAAGAATAGAGTCAGCCTCGTGATCGGTCGGGGCAGAAGGCCGGTGCGATGTACACCCTATACCGGGCGAGATGGGGTGGACTGTAACGTCAAGGGGATTCTGATAGCCCCTTTCGGCAGATGTGGACAACAGACAAGCCGGAGCACGAATTCTCAGCTGAGAATTAGGACAGACGTGGACAGATCAAGTAGTCGGATTCAGTGAGGCTGAGTCTCGTTCCTCTATGAAGGAGGCGACATGCGATTGGTCAACAGCACTGCCTCGTCGGTTCGCGACCGGTTCGCGACCAGGGATTGATTCGTCAAGCTGAAGCATGTTACACGAAGTCAAATCGGCACCTGATGAGTGCGCCTCGAGTGCGCCTTGGGGAATGCTTGTGCTGGTTACGCAAGTACCACCGAAAAGTGCAGGGCAGGTGTCACGGGCAAGCGACATAATGGCGACCATTTCTGCGACGAATGCCGGAAGAGTTGCATAGAAGGTGTTGATTTGCTGGATTCGGTGATTGCAGGCTTCGACCTCGAAAGCTTTGTGGTTGTTCGCGTCAATGCTGTGACTAGAGTTGTTTGGAATCCCTCAAGATACACTTCCGGATGAATGAACAATGTCCTGAAGATACAGTTCTTGTCGAACGAACGAATGCTTGAGATTCAACCCGTTGCCCCAACTTCAATAGTCGCTTAGACGTACAAGTCACAGCCGATTCAGAAGACTGGAAAGCTGACAAGGGACGTAGAGGATTTCTTCACCCCGATTTGAGGCGAAGGAACAATTCATTCAAAACGCTATCGAATTGCGAAATGCGAAAAGGAGTCCTTGCGCGAATCACTTTTTGCAACGTAGCGGCCAGATTTTGGCTGTCAACAAGCTCACACGAGCACTGCTCAGTGTAGTTTTTGGGACTGTCATTGTCGAAGGCATTCGATTTGTTGCTATTATTCAAGTCAGCATGGTCCAGTGTGCCGATATACCATTCTTTAGCAGTACTTACATCATTTAACCATGAGGGGGCCTCAACGACAAAGTAGTCGAGTCTCCGGGACACTCTGTAACTGATTGAACCCGACACAGCTGGTGGATATAGCACTTCCAGCAGGCTCTCGAGTCTCTTCCGATCAATATCGTAGCTGGGGAACTTCTGCGGTCTCTTGAAGTCTGTCGCTCTAAGACTCATATTTGAGGGCATGATGTTGGAAAGGTGGTCAAGTGTTGTGGTGGTGGTACTGGTGATGATGACTGGTATTCACAGGAGTACTCCGTACAATGGCGTAGATAATCACGGTACAATAATGCTGTTGCAGATGCACGTTTGTTGTGGGTGAAGCGAGTAGATCAAAATGGGACTTTGGCGGGCCTTATAGTAATAACAAGACCGTGGCAGGCCTGGTGAGCCTGAAGACGGCCCCGAAAAAGGACGGCGGGATCCGTAATTCATTTCCCTGGATACCACCCCCAGTCAGCCTATTAGCCTGAGTCTGCAGCCTGAGAACCCCTAGACCTCCCCCGAATTGGCCACGCCCAGGAAGCCTCATTGGGTGCCAGCTGTTAATACGAAGATCATCTGTCTCATCTCGTTATCGGTCAAAATCTCCTTCCTGACCAGCTGGTCTGCGCTGTACTTTCTATGAAGCTTAGGCAACCTCAATGACTCTTGGGCACTGCTGACTCGATCACAATGACTGATAACGCTTCAGCCTGACGACATCGCCATGTTGTGATGGAGGACACCAGCTCCTCGCATGAGGCTAGACTTGCGACCGCCTGTGACAATGCACCACGCGACCTGCACAACTCGTGGTTGGTCCTCCCACATTCGTTCTTCCGTTGGCGAGGGTCAATCTGCACTTTAGCCAGAGGGCTGACTCTTGTTTTGCGAGCATGTTGGACGGAACTGGGTGGCTGCAGGATGCCGTGAGAAGGACTATGAATGGTCAGTCATGGGGGCTGTGCCAGTACTACTTTCCCTGAAGCCCAGCGCGGCTGAGACAGATTCCTTGCCTTCAGCTCTCGCCTACGACGCCACCTGCAGAAAGATGGATGGATGGATGCAGGCGCAGGCTGCACAGGCACTCTAGGCTGCCCTGGGTTAGCCGAAGCCCGTATTCATGCCCCGCGGCATCTGGGGACTCGCCAGCAATTCCGATCAGGCTGCATGTTCCCATCATGACCTCCATGCACGAGCTCGGCAAGGCTGTCCTAGACTAATATGACCGTCACAACGGCGACGTGATCAAGGTGTGAGAGCAGAGAATCGCTTCATGGAACAGTCGCGATCACTGTATCGCATACTCCTCGAAGATCAGGCGCCTGCGGCAGCTGCCTATACCGAGTCAAGCGCCGATTCCTGCTTTTCTCCCGATTCAGGCCAGATTCAATTGAGAGTCTTCGTCAGGCAGCATCACAACGATACGAAAGCGCTTGAAAAGCCGATTTTGCAAAGCCAGGAACCGCCCTCACCAGGAGCATTGCCCGATGGACCGGATTGGGAGGAACCAAGGTCCCTGGATTTGCTGGATATTCATTCACCAGCAGACCTCCTGGAGTTCTACAATGTGAGCTCAAGACCCAATCTCAAAAAGCCTTGCACTGAATGTCTCGGAGAAGGGAAAGCATGACACCACCATCTTGTTGGTTACTATTCCGAACCGACACGGACGAGCACTGACACGCGTCTCAGCTTCGTTGACCAGAAGACATCACGGAGCCGCGTGAACATCAGTCTCGCTTGCTTCACAACTCTCCTACAGACATATCAGGTCTCAGCTCACCTTTTAGACTTCATGTGCTGCTTTGGGCGTCCTAGCGGTGAGATGCAGCTGGCTCCACCTCCTATACAATTCAGGTGGCACCCAGACGAGGGTCCTGACTTTGTGAATGGTTTTGGTAAGTGCTGCACTAAGTTGCAGTTTACTCTCTGCTAACAATCCAGATTGCACATACATCCTCCGATTCGTCGAGCCCAACAATCGAGGCGAAAAGAATCCATATTCCCTCCGCCAGGCACTCGTATTCCATCGTTGCTCGTCTTTTTCTACGTGGCTCTTTGTCGCATTGTCGAAATCTATGAGCTTGACTTTGCATTCACATCTAGCCTCACGGGATGACACACTTCCGGAAAATCAGTTCTCACTTCACCTGATCCTCATCAATGCCGCTGCAGCAACATGGCGGAGCTATCTTTCATATATCGCCGAGGAGGTTCGGAATGTTGTATGTGTAGCCCTACGAAGTCTGCGACTAGTGACCACTGACTGGAAGGCAAGGCAGAACAGGCGATCCTGGCGGACTTTGACAACGACGGAATCCACTTGGGCGAGCTCGAGGAACGACAGTACCTCAAACAACTAGAAGATATGATTACCGATCTTATGACTGCTGTCGATTCATCCCTGGACATATGCTCGACATTGCAAGTGAAGCACTCCAGATACGCTGAAGAGCAATCTCAAGGACGTGCGCAGCCGTCACGACGACGTCTTAATGAGCTGTTCAACCAAGTGATTGCCGAAAAAGAGCGCGACTTCCGTCATTATCGGGCTCAAGCCGATGTACTCCGCATGAGAATACGCAGCGCTGAGGCTCTGGTACGTCAAGTCACCATTTCGGATGACAGGTCTTCTGACAATTGCAGGTCACCAATATCCTTGACCTTGGTAATGGCAACACACTGAAAATGCTGGCTCTGGAAGCGCAAAGGGAGAATCAGGCCATGCAAGCTCTTACGGTGAAAGGCACAAGGGATGCAGCTGCTGTCAAGGTGCTTACCGTTGTCACATTGGTGTACCTTCCCACCACCGCTGTGCTGGTACGTCCCTTCCTCCTTATAGCGTTTTGGCTCTCAAGGCATTGACGTTGGCTCGAGAATTTCTTTTCGACTTCATTCGTGGACTTTGGCAGAAACGGGAATGGTTCACCCGTGCTCACAGTTGCCAGGAACTGGTGGATTGCTCTGGCGGTAGCCGCCCCTCTGACCGTCATCACTATTTACATCTGGTGGTTTTACGTGGAAAGTTTTGTCTACCAAACTCCACCAACTTGGTGGCGCTTGCTCAGTAGAGGATTCAACCGCATCCCGACGACGCAAAAGTGGAAGCGGCGACATTCTGATGTTATCGATCGAGAAATGAACAATTTGTAGCAGGTTCACCACACAATGCTGTCGACTTGGTGAGCCATGTTTCACCGGTCGGATTTATCGTCACGATAAGGCTGTCTGCCGCAAAAGTCCTGCACCAACGCGAGATTGTGTCCTGCCTGTGGTGGCTTGCCGCTTATGTCGAGTTAATGCATAACCTCAGCCCGCTAGGCGTTTTCGAGAAATTTCGCCACCTTTTTCGCTTGTCCAGTACAGCCTGTGACCAGCATAGGCGATGGGTGCGCAGCTGCGCAGTATTAGTGCTGTGCGCGAGCCAATCTCGCAGGCATTTGTGTGACACAAGAAGAAACAATATCTGCACAGCCGGGCTGGATTGGCCTGTTTGAACACTTGCAGTGGGCGCCACCATTCTTTCACCCCCAGACCGAAGCACGATCATGGCCTCGAGAGCTGAGCTGGAGAGCGGAGGTGTATTGGGATCCTAGTCAAGTACATGCGGCTCTACGGAATCGCTTTAACACTTCCAGCAGATGAAGGCCTTATCTACAGCCTGATGCCTCTCCAGACTTTGTCGACCTCTTCGCCTCACCAGGCACATGCCTTCCGCGATGTCTAGATCCAAGAAACCGTTTTACGTACGAATTCAGAGCATATTTCCATTCTTCGGTCGGGAACGTTCCAAGGGTAAGTGACTCGCGCTCAAACGCAAGCTGAGACTGAATTCCCAAAACAGCATCCTGGACGAAACCTGGCCAACCCAGTCCAGAACTTGATTCGGTGCAGACCTTCTACAACAACTTGAAGTCACCTGTCCGGGCAGCACCGGACACCTCTCAACAAGCTGAAAGCGAGGAAGGTCCTGCAGAGCATGCTGTTAGCTCCTCGCCTCCAAACTCACGGACCTCCAAATCCCATTCACCAGAGCGTACCTGGCCACTGGCAGATACATCAACAAAAGGATCAGGATTACCACAGGCGGACGCCTCATCACGAAAGCCAGTCACCTCACCGCAGGCGGATGGCCTAGCACAAAGACCGGCCTTGCAACAGGCGGCTGTCTCATCACGGAGATCGAGCAGCGACAGCAGATCCAGACAGTATGTGCAGCCTTCGCATAGTGCGCCGCGGAGTGCGGCCCAAATGATCATAGCTGGACGCAGTTCACATCATCGCCCGCCGTCGCCATTGGCAGGGGGCATCAACGATAGCACTGATATCGAAAGTCATTCCTCCAGTCAACCTTCGTCCTCGGCTGTTTCAGAGCACCAGCAAGATGAGGAATCAGCGAATCATCCCGACATCCTGGTCAATATAGTACCGCCTACCCGCGCGCCGACCATGCAAGATATGGTTCAGCAGATGAATGAGGCAAATCGAGTTGGCGGTCTTCACCAGCCACGAGACCATTCTCGCTTGCGGATGTCGACAACCAGTGAATCCCCATCACGATCTCGATCATCATCGAGTACGCAAAGATCACCTTCTCCCGACATCACCGAGGACACACATACCGGTCCCCTCTTCCCGGATACGATTCCCGTCACCCTGAACCTTACCTTTGGAGGCGAGGAGATCAAAGAATTCACCGAAAAGGAGGTAAAAGACTTTCATTGGACGGATCCGGAGAATTACAAGAGACTGGTCCCCGATGCTTTCATGAGCAAACTTCAACATGCTCATGAGGAGTTGAAGACGCAAGATGTGTATCTCCGTTACGGGACTTGCCAAGTCAGGGGTTCCACTGGCCTTGACCATAACAGCCAAGTATCGTTTGTTGAAGACCATGAGCAATTAGGCGAGGCAGCCATTCGCGGTGTTTGTGACTTCGTAGCCAAACACCCCTATCAACATGTCAATCTTCAAGTCTATTGGGATTACGGTTTCGCCCAGATTAAACGACCAACACCACAACAAGTCGAGGAGGGCACTTATTCCCGGAATTATGCAACCATGATCAAGAGAGAGCTCGAAAGAAAGACCAAAAAGAACTTTTTGAAGAAGGACTATATACCCCGACGCGATCTGAATGTCTTCCTGAATCGTCAGGTGATCGAAAACATTGTCAGAAACGACGACAGTCTACAATTTGTCGACGACGAGTCCAGAAGCGAATTCATCAAGGCTATCCAGAGTCACGCACCGAATTTGTTCGCTATCTGCATCTATCGTGGCTTGGAGATGAACTTTCTTAAGCATTTGATGGAGCGACACAACTGCCAGGATACCTTGGACGCTCGGCCGAAACAAAACATGGTGTGCAACAGGGGCGCTTGTACCAGCCATGCGATACAGCAAATGATCACCTGCCTGCCCATGTTTTTCGCGGAGAAGATTGCTCGCGACTATCAGCATCGTCAACTTAGCCATGAAAAGGTGCTCCCCCTACATGACGTTGGGGGCGATGACGGGCAAGGTTGCGCCACGCGCCAGTCGTTAGGTAGAGGTGCCTACGGCACTGTGTACGCAGTCAAGATCAATCTCGCGCACAATGCTATCTCACGAGCCGCGACCTTAGGACCCGCGCACGACCTCTTTGCGCCTACCACGAGCTACGAGAGCCCTGAACGGCTTTTTGCTGTCAAGCAATTTTCCAATCCTAAGGCCTTCGAACGTGAACAGCTCATCTTGAAATCCTTGGCCGACTATCCACACCCACATATTGTACTACATCTCACCACCTGGAGCCAGGACACAGCACATTACATTCTCTATGATCTGGCAAGATGCAATCTGCGGGAATATATAAACAACGTTCAAAGTCCTCCCTTGAGCAGGCCGCATGTCCTCTGGTTCTTGCGACAGTTGGACGGGCTCGCCAAGGCCATCTTCTATGTGCACCACTTCAAACGACCTACTTTGTCCGATCCAAAACCCGAAGCTGACTATCTGTGGGGACGACACAACGACATTAAGCCGGAAAACATCCTTGTCTTCGAAAAGGCTCCAAACCAGAACCCGGTACTGAAGCTCACAGACTTTGGCCATGGTGTATTCACTGAACCCAAGGGAGATCATTCCGTGGGCGATCCTCAAGTTGTTGGCACAGAAACGTATTGGCCGCCCGACCAATCCCGGAACAAGAAGACTTCCCGGCCGTTTGATATGTGGGCTCTTGGTTGCGTCTACCTCGAGCTTTTGCTGTGGCTATTCGGCTTTTTTCAGGAGGAAGGGCGGAGAGGCTTTGCAACCGCTCGTCTCAGCCTTCCTGGCCAAAATCGCACTGCTAGAATAGACCGATTTTGGTACAAAGAAAAAAGGGGAATGTCAAGACATTATCATCTCAAGCCTGCCGTCAGGGAGGCAATAAACGAACTCAAAAACAAGCATTGTCCACAACTGAGGGCCTTTTTGAGAGTGCTCGAAGCTATTGAACTCCTGTTGGACACAAACCCGGAGACCCGCATGACTGCCGACGGCTTGTCAATTTTCATGAGCACCGTCGTGACGCAAACTGAGGCCGACCTCAAAAGGCATGCCGATTTCTATATGAGGCAGTACAGAAGAAACATGGGCGGATCAGATGTACCCGACGATCTGGGCACCGAAAGGATCGGTCCGGACCTGGCTGATCGTTCACCAATAACACGATCGCCGAGTTTTGATAGCGGCGCACCCAGCCGAGCCGACTCCATGCGGCGGTCAGCCCTGACACATATCGCTTCCGCGCCGGATGTTCTCATGCATGCTGGACCCCCGGGACAAGCTGGCGGCCTAGGAAGGGCTTTGGAAGATCTTCACTTCTGACTGATACAATGCTTTGTCTTGCTTGATCTGTGATGCTTGTGAGTTGAAGGTGGCCGCATGCCGCACGATCCGCGAGGTTGAGCGGTATCTGGAGAAAGTCATCAAAACGGTGTTATCGGTTCACAGTGTGGAATGCACAGCCTTGAGTCACAAAATGGCGTTGTACGGTGATGATGTAAGATACTTATGACCAAGCCCAAGTAGCTCTTAATGATTGATTGTATATGGCTGCTATCAAACGACTCGTCTGCCCCGGCTCAATGATTGAACATTGCTCTTCAACAACAATGCTTTGCGATGACACTATTCAACTCCAACTTATTGATCAAGTGAGACATAAAAAGCTTCAATTAATGCGGCGCAAGAATTTCCAGCGTAACCAGAGCGCCATCCATGAGCGACACCTCCGGAGGTATGCAGACCAGACCACCCCGGAACCAAAATCACCTATCCAAGCGATACTGCAAATTCAGTATCGGGCTTGGTACCGCCGCCATCAGCGCCAGCGGGCCCACAGCACTACTATCGTTTGCAGCAACAGCTGCCTCACCCCACAGCTGTTGGGCTTCAATGTCGAAGCAGTTGGACCGAATTGTCTCGTCACACAGATCCCACAGGGTATGGTCGTCCATCTTGCAGAATTTACGATCATACAGACTGGCCCAGTGGGGACCGTCGATATTGGGCATGCCGCAGAGAACTGTGGCGGTATCGTCCAACATTGTGCTGTTGGAAAGAGTCCACCAGAGTTCGTGCATCCCCTGGAACTTGGGGCCCTTTTCGGCTTCGGCGGCGGAATCATCACCGTCCGAGGCGCGCTGCTTGACTGAACGGTAGAGGTCGTCGGGAAGCTTCTTCTCCTTGGGCTTCGGCTTTTTCTCTGTCATGGGCCAATATACCGGTGATGGCGGTCGAGCGTAGTTGTCCACGGTCTTTTCGTCGAGATTGTTCGCATCGGGTCCGTGGTAGACCAGGGGCGGATAGAACATGTGAAGCTGGTCGGGCTTGTCGTTGCTGGCATACAGGCGGGGCGCGCTGTTGCAGATCAAGTCCGGGTTCTTTTGGTACGCCTCCATGGTGCCGTTGCCGTCAAAGTCCTTGATGTGGAAACTGACACTTTTGGGCATGTGCTTGCCAAGGATCCAAGTTTCGCCGGGATTCCATACGAGTCGTCGGCGTCGAGCCGGAAACACCAGGGCTGGTATGTGGTTGATCCATCGCTGCCAGGAAGGGGGATTTCCGTCATGGATCTGTAGCCTGTCCAGCCACAGAGTTTGGTCGGGACATCTCCGAGAAGGATCTCGGTGCCACCGTCGGGATACATGACCTGGACGGCCGAGACGCAGATGGCGTCGTTGCTCGCTGGGCCTTTTATCAGTTTTCCACGTTGTAATGATGTCTGCAATGGGGAGAATGAACTCACAAGCTCTCAGTTGGACATATGGTGCGCGAGCATTGTGGTTCTCGTAGTTGACCAGGACGTCGTGGAAATCACCCTCGCCAACCCCCTTCATCTTCTTCTCCTCGTTGTAGGCATAGCCTGCGTAATCGCCACGTTCATTCCACAGCACGACTTCCGGGATTCCGCCTGCTAAGCTGCTCTTCTTGCTGTTCGCCTTGTTGAAGTCCATCCCAGCCCAGATGCGGACGGCATGATCTCTTGGGGTTTTGTCCTTGGGCGGCTCTGGAACAATGTGTTCCCATTCCCACAACTTGCCGAGGAGCATGCTGGCAGCAGTGACGGTAATAGGGATAAATCAACCCATGTCCTGGAATATATATTTAGTTGTGACACTTGGGGTAAGATCTTTGGACGTACTTTGGAAGGGTAAGACTTCAAGGGATCTAAGGAGGCTTGAATAGAGGAAGGAACACAAGTCGAAGTTGCGAGGGATGCGGGAGATATATATATCTTTTCTCTGCTGGATAAGCGAAGGGCTCTTACCTAGCGTGCAACAAGTATCACAATTTGACGGTACAGAACGTGTGAAAGCCATAGACGGTGATGGTTGTAGATGGTGGAAGGACGAGCAACTGGAGGACCAGAACATGGCAAAAGTTTGGCGATGCAATATGTCTCGGATGAAGTCCTAGGGAAATTGAAGATGGTGGACGACCGTAGGTGAATTGAGGACCTGGCATCAGATACTGGTACACTCGTGTGCTCCATAAGCAGAAATCCACGCGAAAGGTCCTCTTGAACCATGAAGAAAGACACTTGTAAATCGGCAACGCGTATCTCTGTTAGGACAACCGCAAAATTTTCGCAGTTGTGAGGACCTATTCGTGCGGCGTCGGGCGTCGTCCAGTGCTGTTTGCAAGTACTTTACCACACAGATTGCAAAGTGGAATGGATGCTTCCATGATTGGTGTTGCAGATCCGCAGTCTTGAGGGAGTTGGACCCCGCGTGCCTCGACCAGCCTTGCAACAGATACTCGGCGAGTCGTATGATTTAAGCCTCCAGTTTAGCTGATGGTGTTGGAATGTACCACGATTTCCCAGTGCCAGAGTGAAGGGTTGAATCTCGGAACATTACACATTCCACCCTGGTAAAATCTATGCCGCCCTCACGGAGTATTGACGTGCGAGTACTAGGAAAGGGCCATTCCAAGCTTGCGAGGAATCACACTGCGGTGTCAAAATATTCAGCCATGATTATTCTGAAGGATTCTCAGACATAATCCACATCGATCTCCGACCCTGGTCGACAACAATGTAAAGCAGCCTGAAATGGTCCCAACCGGACCGCGGTATGAAAAGGATATCGATGCCGCTAACTTTGAGCGAAGCAGAGAATATGATGATAATTGCGAAGACAGGCGTGGACTGGTAAGTTGCCTTGATTGTTGGCTTGATATCAATCAGCAGCCTTTATCGGAATTTCTGGTCTGACCAAGCAGGTAAAGTATCTGACAAGGCTGATAGGCGAAGAAGATGTGGAATACTCTGTCTGACTGAATGATTTCCTGGTTGGTGGCAGTTGCGGGCAATTGCCAACGTAAGCGAATTCCCCAGTCTTTTGGTCCTTCCTTCGTTGTCGCAGTCGCAGATGGAGGCCGCGTACTAACTTGATGTACAACCATCCAATATGTGGCTGTCTTGCTGATTCCTCCTTTGCTCACTCGGCTCTCTGTGCTCTGGTGTCGTTCACTTCTCAAGTAGTCACTCCTTTGGCATTCTTACAAGCCTTATTCCTCCGCCGACGACCGTACAGACAATACTTCTGACTGCGCTTCCCTCCGCAGTCGCCTGTCAGATGAGGCCAACCGTCAAGCCCTGAGTCGAGTCGCTTCCTCCCGCTCACAATGTTCCGGATTCGTCGCTATAGGATTTTCCTGGTTGTTGCTATCCTCTCGGTGATCACGGTATACCATCTGTCCCGGGTGAACCATTGGGATGGCACAACCTTGGAGGGTCTCATTGGTTACAAACCAGACGCAGGCAAGCGTATACCAGGTGCTCAAATACCACCAGCTCATGTACAGCCAGAATCTGTGCCAGACACGCCCATCTATCCTGCTGTGAACCCGTCTCCCGCTGCACCGGTCGGAATATCATCCGCCGCACATGCTCCTGACACAACCTCGACAAGTTCTACCGCTCCAGATTCGAAGCCCACTGTCACCGGAGAAGAATTTCTAGCCATACAACCGAGTTTCGACGAAGAGTTTGGTGAACATGGTCAGGGTCGATACGAGGTCAAGCCTAGGCCGCCAGGTCTGGGAAAAGCAGTATGGAGGCCACAGACTGAACATTTCCCCGTCCCGTCACAAAGCCTGATCACCCTACCAACAGGTCAGCCTCAATCTCTGCCCGTGATACAGCACACCTTCGGCTGGGAATCCCCTTCCAAGAAAGCCGATCGAAAACGGAAACAGACGGCGATCCGCGAAGCCTTCAAGCATGCCTGGAACGGGTACAAAAATCACTCGATGGGCCATGATGAATTGAGGCCTATCTCCAAAAAGTCTGCGGATCCCTTCAACGGCTGGGGTGCGACTCTAGTCGACGCATTGGACACTCTTTGGATCATGGGCCTTCGTACTGAATTCGAAGAGGCTGTGTCTGCCGTGTCGCAGATCAACTTCAAGACCTCCGCTAGAAAGGACATTCCTCTTTTTGAGACGACGATTCGGTATCTCGGAGGACTGGTTGCTGCATATGATATCAGTTCTGGGAAGTATCCCATACTACTCGAAAAAGCGATCCAACTGGCCGACATACTTCTTGGAGCCTTTGACACTCCCAACAGAATGCCTATTGGATACTACAACTGGGCTCCTTCGTACGCCTCCCAGCCGCATAGAGCGGGGGCTCATACAGTCATGTCTGAGTTGGGTTCGCTTGCAATGGAGTTCACGAGGCTGGCGCAAATCACCAAGGAGCAAAAGTACTACGATGCCATTGCACGTGTCACCGATGCCCTTGAGACATGGCAGATGCAAACAGAAATCCCCGGACTGTGGCCTTTGAGACTTGATGCTTCTGGATGTAAGAAGCCCGAGGTTGTCAGAACTGCGGCCAGTGATGGATTAGCCATTCCGTTCCTATCTGATAAGCCTGGGGAAGACGAAGAGCCTGCTGTCAATCCTCTCGGAGAAGCAAAGGCAAAGGATCCTTCTTTGCCTGGATTGGGCGAATCTAATGTGCTGAGCAAAAGGCAAGCAGCTGACTCGGTGGACCCCGTAAAGGAACCTGCCAAAGCAGAGTTCAAGCCTACATTGGACAAACCTGTGCTCGTCACCAATGATGAGTGGGAAGAAGATTACGCCAGCGTTGACTGTGCGCCACAAGGCCTCGACTACGAGCCTCATTCCACCATCCACACCTACGGGATTGGAGCGATGGCCGATTCTACCTACGAATACTTTCCGAAGATGTTCGCCCTTCTTGGAGGCCTGAATACACAGTACAAGTCCATGTATTTGGATTCCATGGACGCTGTGCGTCAAGAGCTGCTCTTCCGGCCCATGACCAAAGAGAACCATGATATTCTCTTCACATCCAGGCAGACTATTGCACCCAAAGCAACCGAGCCGTCAAGGAAGAAAATGTCGATATACGAAGGTACTCATCTGGGCTGTTTTGCAGGTGGTATGTTCGCTCTTGGGGCTAAGATGTTTGGCATCTCAGGCGATATGAGCATTGCTGAGAAGCTCACGGATGGCTGTGTCTGGGCTTACGGCTCTACTCCAATTGGGGTCATGCCGGAAGATTTTGAGCTTGTCCCTTGCGACAGTCTCAACTCTTGCACATGGAACGAGACAAAGTGGCACAATGCTCTCGATCCTTATCGTGGGGAAAGGATCCGGGCAGTTGAGGAGTACAATTTGAATCAGCAAAGACTCCATGAAGAAGCAGTGACCGGCTTGGACAGCTTGGCGGATCAAGATGCTGCTGAAGTAGTCTCCGATCCAAGTATGAAAAAGAGGGATGTCGCCCCTAATGTTGACAAAGGCAAGCCTACCAAGACTTTCATCACTGATGAAGTCGAAGAGGAAGCCATCCCCCCACCGCCATATGTCCCGCGAGTGCCACTGTCACACGAAAAGTATGTGGCGGCAAGGATTTTGGAAGAACGATTACCACCGGGATATATCAAGATCCGACAAAGTGATTATCGACTTCGACCAGAAGCCATCGAGTCGGTCTTCATCATGCATCGGATCACGGGCGACGAAACCTGGAGGGAGAAGGGATGGACCATGTTTGACGCGGTGGACAAGGCCACGAAGACGGATGTTGCGCATGCTGCGGTCAAGGACGTGACGAGCCAACTCGGCGAGCAGCAAGACACGATGGAATCTTTCTGGTTAGCGGAGACTTTGAAGTATTATTATCTGTTGTTCAGCGAGCCTGATTTGGTCAGTTTGGATGACTATGTTTTGTAAGTGATGGGCTGTGCTTGTGAAGAAGATGAGTTTGCTAACGAGCCTGACAGGAACACCGAGGCACACCCTTTCAAACGACCCAAATGATGTCGGATTGCCGCCTGTTTCGAAAAGGTATAGATGGTTCCAGGTTGTTGCTGTACAAATACTGTTGGAAACACCGTTGTATAGGAATTTTGCTCGCGTTCTTAGGCGGTAAGAACTATTGATAGCCGGTGTTATATTGGGTACTCGGCAATGAGACTCAAGAATCAAAAAAAAATGATCCTACATAAGCCGTCCTTGAAGTCCCGTGTTCGCTATACATAGTACACCTTGATGACACTATCGGTATCCCCATATGGCATAATGGCTGTTGTATCGTTTGTTATGTTGTTTCCACATGCCTGTAGAGGAAGCGTCGCCTAAACTACGGCAAGTGGGCGGCTCACTAGGCCCATCATCGCCAGTGCATCGCCCATCAGCGTCATCTCCTTTGTTGTAACGCCTCTGTTGCCAACTTGGAGACTGCAAGCTTCACTCCACCTCCTGGTGCACTGCTGTTGACCATCCATTCTTCGTCTTCCACCACTTATATTTTTATTCTCGGGGCGACAGCCACTTGCAATCGTCGGTGGTCGACACTTCGACTGTGTGGCTATTCATGTCAGCGCTCCTTCCCTCGTGAAGCGCATTCCTTCGCCATCCTCCTATCCGGCCTAATACCGAGTCTCGCAAAGACGATATGCAGCTGTTCATAGCATGGACCACGAGGTTGCTTATGACTTCGAGGACGAAGACCAGTTCTGGACCGGTAAGTCGGCCGCTCTTCCTGGGTCTGTAGCACTGATCTGAACTCTTTCAGTTCTCGACGAGACGATCTCAAAAGAATGCGATAACCATGGTACTATCGACGACACTTTGCGATCCTACTTAAGTCTTGTCGGCTGCTATCGAGGTATGACCTTGGCTGGTCTCAAAAGCTGGAGAACACACTGCTTACGCCGAGAGTCTCAGATCAATATCAACCCACCGACTACGAACTCAGTCGATGCGCCTACATGCTCCAAGAATCTGCCCTTTACTCTGTCCATGCCGACTATATCCGGAGACAACTTGTCCAATGTCTGATTGAGGTGTGTCGGTACGAAGATCAAGAAATAACGCAACGCTAACCGCCCGGGACGCAGGACGATGAACCACATGTGGTCTTGCTGTCAACTCTCTTCTTGATAGCCGATGCCCAAGCCTACGAGCGGACCTACGAATTATTGAACGAGGAAGGTGCCTTTCCCCGGCTAGTGGACTTGATATCAAGTCCGAAACGACATGGCCATGAAGACATACACAGGTCTCTCTTGGAGTTGCTGTACGAAATGTCGCGCATCCAGAAGATCAAGACCCATGACCTCGCTCATGTTGACGATGACTTCATCAAGATGCTCTTCGAAATTATAGAACAAGTGTCTGACGATGTCAACGATCCATACCATTATCCCACGATCCGGGTGCTACTAGTCCTCAACGAACAATTCATGGTGGCTGCCCACGATCCCACAAACGGTCAGCCTGGAGTTCCTCTCACCAACAAAGTGATCAAAGTCCTTTCTGCACATGGCAGTGCGTACAAGACTTTTGGCGAAAACATCATCCTGCTGCTGAACCGAGAAGACGAAACGTCGTTACAGCTACTGACCCTCAAGCTGCTCTACTTGCTCTTCACAACTCCACCTACATATGAATATTTCTATACTAATGATCTCCGAGTCTTGGTCGACATCCTGGTTCGGAATCTTCTTGATCTGCCGGAAGAAGCCTCGTCTCTACGCCACACATACCTCCGTGTCCTGTATCCACTTCTCGAACACACTCAACTTCAATACCCTCCACATTATAAGAGGGAAGAGATACGGAAGTTGCTTGTTGTGCTGGGAGGAGGTCGGCTAGCTGAGAATGGTGAAGAGCAGGATGGAAACCAGCATTGGGGTCACTTTGATGACGTTGACGAAACTACTAAACGCCTCGTCAAGCGATGCGAAGGTGTCAGCTGGCTTACAGATCCCGAGAATGAACCACCTCTGCAAGCCGAATCTCCCACAAGTGATGTACCTTCCGATCTCTCGTCGCCAACCTCACCCGCCAAAGGCAAACCGCCCGCTCTCCCAGCCCCGCGAAAGTTAAAGAAGCGGAATTCCTCAAAAGCGTCGACTTTGACTATCGGTCAATACCTTACTCCTCAACTTGAAGGTGCCAGGAAATCGAGTCTCAGTATGATGGAGGTGGCCGCGCAAACAGAGAAGCCTGGAGTGATCACCCCAAGCAGGAATCCGACACTAAAGAATAATCTCCGTGCTGCGATTATACATAAACAGGACAAACCTCCACCTCCGCCGCAGGCAAGGAGGTCTGGCTGGCCACGACCGAGAATGCAATGTCAATCAACGGAGATGGAGGTTACAAAGGCGGCAATTTCCGAGGAACAGCCACCATCCAAGCCTGAAGTCCCAAGCCGGCATCACCATCATCACATCCCTTACCCTCCTTTACCACATTTGAGACATCGCCCTACGCCGCCTGTCCCTGATAAGGAGAAAAACAAGGAGAGGGAGCAAAAGTCGACTTCGCCTGAACGGCCCCCTGTGCCGTCTCATCATAAAGGTCACTCTACCTCCAAAAAGCCACCACCTGCGCCCAGGTCACGTCGATGGCGGAAGGAGTCAGGCGGCCCAAATGGGCCCAGAGAGCCTGGGAAGTTCAGTGCTAACTTACCGTCCATCATTACAACTACAACGACGGGCGAAAGATTTCACGAACCGAGCCCGTCGCCACGAGACAAAACACCAAGTCCACCTGGCTTGGACTCGGCAGGATCGACAGGCAGTATGGAGAAACTGGGCGTGAAAGAAGCACTAGAAAAGGCCCAAGTGCAAGCTGTCGACGATGTCACGGAAGCGCTAGAGCGTGTTGATCTGGCTGACTCAAAGAACGAGTCTCCAAGTCAAGACCAGTCTAATGTGCAACCGCAAGTGACAACCGGTCTGGAGAAAGTCGAAGATGTTTCGGCGGAAGAAAATAAGGACGACCGCCCTGGAATAAGCCGATCTCGCTCCGAAGACGACCTGGACCAGCCTTTCCACGATGCAAGGCAGACTTTATCTCACACTCCATCGCATGCATCACCGTCGCCGACCCCTCGTCCGCAGAATCTGGACCCGACATTACTTTCGTCCGCCAGCATGCTGCCTGAACCGAGGCTGGTGCTTACTCCTCCAGGTCAGGAGCCTTCGAGAGGAGTTCCCGGGCCGCAGTACGCGTTGGAAAGGAGTCCATTCCTGACGGACGAGGAGGAAGAGGTGGGAGAGGAGAGTGATAATGACCTTGGTAATAATGATGACGACGGTGGGCACGAAAAGAAGAGGGAAGAAACGGACGGCGAGAAACTATAAGCCCAAGCCAGCCTCTGCCATGGTAATTGGCGATGATATGCAGGGAGAAGCGATGATGGAAATTTACTACAGGGAACCATGATCAGACCAACGCCAGAGGTCATTCAGACCACGAACGACGCGGGGATTCGGCCACATGCACGTCGGACCCTGAACGAGGGCCGTAGAAGATTGAAGCAGTGGCATATAGTCCACGTCCCCGGCTGGCTGGCAGCGAGGAGTGAGATAATCTATATCCGTACGTACGACATGATGAACCACTATTGACCGTGTTGCTTTTCGCCCTCGCTCGAGGTTGGTGCTGATTTTCAATATCGGACCAAAACCGATCCGGTGGCTTGCCTGTCATGTAGCATCGAAAGCCTTTTCAAGAGGTTTCATCATGCGGCGTTTGAGGGTTCTCAGAGCAACAAACCATACAACATTGTACAAGATTCGGACCACGAGTGAAGCTGGCATTGCTGTGCTACGTACATGTTAGGCCAAGGTGGAGTGGTCACCATCTTGGAGCACGACCTCGGTCGGACCTGGGTGTAAAACAAAAAGAGAGGGTGGTTTTCAAGATGGTTCATTCATTTGAAGGGGGAAGCTAACTGAGCTATCTAATCTGTCATGTCATCCATGCCATGCTAGGTCCCGGGCAACACCGTGATGCTTTGCTTACGGTAAGGCTGAGATCCTCTGCAGCTCGTTTGGTTGTTCCTGAGCCGGACATGGCTAGCTTGGATGTGGGTTGGCTGGCATACTCTCATGTACCCATGCTTGCATGATGGATATGAACCTCCTTGACCGCTTTAGTCGTTCACAAAACGTCATTCTTAACCTCGTCGATGCCTTGTCTGCTCCAGGTGGAGTTGACTCGGCAAGGTGAGTGGAGGCCGAATGTGATGTGCGTAAGGTTTTAGTGATCGCCGTTCCTTGGACGTCGAGGACGTCCGCAAGGTATACCGTGCGGAAAGTTCCGAATGTGATGTAGTCTCTACATGGAAAATGAAAGGGTTGCTGATCCTTGGGGTATCATGTTGGAGAAAAAGCAGTGCAAGGTCGATATAGCTCCGAAAAAAAGCCAACTGGATCGGATGCGTTTGAGATGATGTGGAACGCCGTCGCTATGCAGAAGACGGGCGAGTGGTGATAGATGCATATGCTGAATATGGGCTGAGAAGCAGATACTGAATGATGTGTGCAGGCATAAGATCGATTTTGAAGGGGGTCGTCTGGTCTCGACGCTGATGCTTATTTGACCAATGCCTCATATCGCCACATCGCTCAGTGGCCGTAGATGCCAAAGAATTGCTCGACTCCCAGAGGACCAGGCGCCTTGTAGGTCGCATCATAGGCCTGGAACAAGAACAGCCCGCCAGGATTTCCGGCAAACGCAGATCTAAGACCGCTGACTGCGGTCTGCTGATTTGCGGGTGAAGGGATGGCAAGTCCATTGGCTTGTCCTTGGTAGGGCCAGCCGGATTCCGTTATGACAATAGACTTTCCATTCGCAGCGGCGGCGAGTTTAGTGACGATGTTACTCACATAGCCACCGGCCTGCTCCGCAGTGGTGTTTATGTCGAAGAACGCGTGCGCATTGGCAGCACAGTAATCGGAGTAGGTGCAAAGGTCGGGATTAGTTATGAATTGACTCCAAACATCAACGGTGACAACGTTCTTGGTGTATCCGGCGGCAGTAAGAGCAGCGCGAGCAATTCCAAGTGCCGCAACAACATCAGCCGCGTTTCCACCGTTGTTGACGACTTCGTTGCCAATAACAATGGTGTCGACTGGTCCCCAGTTGCCAGCGAGGAAGCCGATCAGTTTCGCAATGTCGGCTGCGACATTGCTGACTGTATTGAGACCAGCTATAAGTTGCAGGCCATTAGAAGCGGCAGCTTGTGCAACAGGTCCGAGATTGCAGCCAATGTCGTAGACACGAACCTTGCCGAAACCTTGACTGACCAAGAAAGCAAAATCTGAGTTCATCTGGTCTGCGGTCTTGCAGCCAGAATTCCCAATAAGTTCGTAGCAAATACCGAAACCACTACCTGCGGACACCCCATCACCACCGGACTCACGATGGTCGGCGGAGCTGGTAGCTACCGCCGACGCTGAGGAGACAGGAGTGGAAGACTCGAAAGTGGAGGTCGCAGCGGGTAGTGACGAGACGACCGAATCAGTAAGAGTGTCGGTGCTAGGAGAAGGAGTGAGAGAAGCGAGGCTTGTGGTGTCCGAGGAAGAAGATGCAGATGGTGCTACGTTATCGGCGGTGGTAGGAATTGAGACAACTGATTCAGTGCTGGAAAGAGCCGGAAGATCGGTGGTGGCGGTCTCGGTTGCTGTCGCTGCTTCAGAGTGGCCGCGATATTCAGTCGAGATGACATTGTTGTACTGGTCGACCCAGATGACAGCGTTTGGAGCAGTGACAGTCACGACGTCGGTGATGGTGGAATAGTAGGTCGCTTCATGACGAGCAGCATGACGGTGCTTTTGATTGCCAGCTGCCTTGTGTGAGCTTTTGTTTTTCTGTCCGAGGTAGAGGTACTCACCATGAGGAACAGCCAGTCCAACCTGAGCGCACAAGGCAGCAACGGCGAAAATGGTGGCTTTCATGGTTGTCGCAGTGAGCGTGAGGCGATTTGTAGGGGTGAAAAGAGTGACGGGACCTATATGATCGGAGAAAACGTGAGCGAAGGTGTTACCGACCGGCGGCTTCTGCAGCAAGAGTGGGTTATGCCAGCGTGGTCCAGAGCAATGGCCTGCAAGGTCGACGGGGAGATGGTGTGCTTGGTGCAGGGGTGTGGATTTTGTATATGGGGGTGAGTGAGCATAGAAGGGGAGATTGCTGTTGGCCCATGCGCTGTCACTTGAGGCTTGGATGCGATCGCAGCTTCTTTGTTCACCTGGGCGACAGCAGACAAAGCACAGACAATGATGAAATGGTCCAGCTCGTGTGCGTCGCCGCTTCTGGGTTAACAAGAATGTGGTCACTTCATTGTGACTGACGCGTCCGGATCTGAAGGATTGCGATTTGCGGGAAGCCGCAAACGGCAGCGTACTGATGAGAAAAGGCTCGAGTCGCGCAAAATCAATGGACAAAGTGACTCACCGGAAGGTCAACGAGCTGTGGGAAAGCGCGATGAAGGATTGCTGTTGATAGGAAGTGATGGTTATCAAAGAATGAGTGTTGTTTCTGGGAGAGAGAGTAAGGAATGTGGACAGGTATGTGAGCAGTGTTGGCGGAATGATATACCATGATGGACACGAATTCACTCTGTATTGCGCCTTGGCGAGAATCAAGAATCACTGAGTGATGTGGTACCTAGTGACAAGCAAGTGAAGAGGTCCTGGTTATCATCACGGCCAAGATGTGAAGACGTGGTGTTGGTGGTGAAGGCCTCCTCGGTGAGTGTCTGTGACGAGGCTCTGGATCGATTGGTTGTCAATGATGGAATGCCCACACCACCTGTCGCTCGTGTTACTATCACGTCAGTAAGATAAGATCACTGTCAGTGTCACTCAAAGATAGGACTCCAGATCCTTCGCCCTGGGGCACTGTATGCAGCTTTCAGCCTCAAGTCTGCTCACTCCTGCTGTGGGTGTCTGGACAAATGGCTCCTACCATTCCATCACCAAAGACAGGAAAATCAATGTCCAACTTGAGCATTGCGTATTGGGGATACACAGTATATCCTCACCAACTGTAACTCAAATATCGTGCTTCAAGGATTACCCTGGTGGCCGGAAGCATTTGCCCGTCCTTGGTGTAAGGCATACTGGCACACTTGTCAATGGCTTTCCAGCTCAGCTCGACAGCCCAAGAACTGAGCACGTAAGCCAGTCTATGATCGAACAGATTAGGAGCTCTCAGGGGTCTCAATTGAGATTGCGGATGAGGAACAGAGACAAAAGGAAGGAAAAGGGGAGAAGTCAGATTTTCTGACATCTCTAAGAGTACCTAGCGAGCTAGCTCGGTTAGTTTGTTCGTTCACGTCGTCAGCCTCGGCACCGGAAATGTCCCCCGAGTCGCAGCCTTGCACGAGAATATAAGAATACAAGAACAACCACAACCACAGTTTATGTTCGATGAGAAGTCATTCCTTCATGCAAGAACGATTCATCCAATCTATACGGCGTCATCATCAATCATAACCCTCGCACCAGGCCGGCCGCTGGTGTAACTCTTTCCTTTCAAGAGCTCATGAGCCGATCCCTCGCTATACAGATCCCGCCAGAAACGCCAGAAATCCTCGCAGCTCTGCCTTAACCCAACTGCTGTGCTGATACATCTCTTCGACGCTCGTCAACCTCCCCGTTCGCCGAAATCTCTAGCCCATTGCTCAAACTCCTCCAACCCCTTCTTGCTCACACTCGGTCGAATACTGGCCAGACTTGCTTCAAAATCTTGCATGTTGATTGGTCGAATTTGCTCCTTGGGCGTATACAGCAAGGCCTCTCCGAGATGTCTGAGTGGTCCCATAGCAGCGTCCTTCGCTAATGCTGTGATGTCAGAGCCCGAGTATCCTAGGTCAAATCAGCACTCTCCCATACCCAACACAAATTGATTTTCCCTTACCTTCAGTCAATGCGACCAATCGCACAATATCTTCCGTCTTCAAGTCATGCTTCTGATGGCCCAATAACGTCCGGATCTGTGTCTCCCTGGTCTCCGCTTCAGGCAATGGGATATATTGCCTTCTCACGAACCTTCTCCTGGCTGCTTCGTCGATATCCCACGGGCAATTGGTCGCAGCCAGTACTAGTACTCGACTCGCGTCTCCAACCGTCGTATCTCGCCCTGCCGCTGCTCGTTGAAGGTCGGACCACTGGATCAGAAACTCGGTCTTACTCCGTCTCGATGCTTCATGCTCGCTCGATCCACTTCTCGCGCTCAGCAAGGAATCAATCTCATCCACGAAGATGATGCTTGGCGCCAATGCCTTTGCCAACGCGAACAATGCCCGGACTAGCTTTTCTGACTCGCCATGCCATTTGCTCGTAAGACTGCTAGCACTGATGGCGAAGAACGTGCTCTTGCTTTCTGTTGCAACGGCTCGTGCCAACATCGTCTTGCCCGTCCCGGGCGGTCCAAACAATAGCATGCCTCGAGCAGGTTCTCGCAAGCCCATAAACAAATCTGGTCGAAGAAATGGGTATACTACTGCTTCTTTTAGGGCTTTCTTGGCGGCATCAAGACCTGCCACATCTTCCCAGTGAACTTCATCGCCCTTGACGACAATCTCATTGAGAATCTGTTTGGCAGCATTCTCATCTATGCCTTTTGGCAAGCTCTTCAGAAGCTTGGCCATCCGCTTGTCTTGGTCTGACCCTGGGCCGTCATCCTCCAACGATTCGGCATCAGTCGAAGGCGGAGTGATAGTCTTCGCACTTCGCGTGCGTGTTCCCTTTGGTCGACTCGGTGCTAGTAAAGTCGACTTGGGGCCCTCATCCTCACTGTCGGATTGCTCATTCTGCCTCCTTGGGGATCGTCCTCGCACCTCGAGAGTCGTCTCCGTGCTCGCTACAGGCTTTCGAGATATACCCAAAGAGCTCCCTCCTGCAGGTGGCCGCTGATAAGCCTTGTCGAGCAAATTGTTTGCCAGTGGTTGCGGAACTCTTTGGGGGCGGTGTGGATATTCTTTGCGGTAGGCAATGTCCGGTGGTTTTGAGGGAGCTGCAGGGGATGCTGTTCTGGCTTTCGAGATTACTGGAACGGTCCCTGATCCATGAGGAGGTGGCAGGGGTGGCTTTTCTGGTTCGGGGTCGAGATCTATCAGATCAGGCACCGAAGTCGACGTCAATTTGAGGCTTTCCATCGATCTCTGCATGGCTGAAGGCGCATAGCTCGAATTGGTTAAATCTCGCCATGTCTGTGGAGAAATCATCTCAGCGGGACTCGGGTTTGATCTTCGTTGCTCTTCCGATCTTGCTGCTGCCTCCTGATCAATGCTTCTGCGAGCAGCAGTAGCACTAAGTCGAGCTTCGATTGTAGGATCTGAATCCGGGCGCGGACTCATCTGCGCACTCCTGCGAGGCTGTGATTCCCATGCTAGACCGGCCGCTTTCAGTGTGTCTCCTTGCCTGTCACGATTCGGTGCCGATCGATATTTTCTGAAGCCTCTCTTCTCGCTCCGCAACGTAGTTCGCATGGTCTTCCTTCCATGGTCCGGACTTGGGCTTCTCGACACTTTCGTCGTTGGAACAGGCAGCGTTGGTGGGAGGCCCATAGGCGAGGGTCGTATATTCTGCGATGTCGAGGCACTTGCCGTAGTTTCGCTGCTTCGGGCAGGTCTGAGTGGTGGACGGCTCAGTATAGCAGGCGTGGCGTTGGGTAGTTCCGACATCTGCATCGGCGGAACAGTCTCATCTCCGAGCCATTGCGGTCCTGGTCGGTCGTGCACCGTCTCCGTCTCGCCTCTGTGCTTCTCAAGACGCCGTCTTCCATTGCGATCTGGTTTATCATCCTTGGGCGTTGTCCTTCCCACCTCCTGGCGACTCCTTCTAAGCGTCTCCAGCAAATCAACTCGCTCCTTACATTGTATTTCCAATTCTTTCAGAGAATCGAACAGGGCTCTCTCGGTCTCGGATTTAGGAACGTAATTCATTGGGAGTTTGTATGCCTTGTAGTAGGCTATCTGGTCCAGCGCAGACTTCCATGATCGAAGAGCCTCCGCTTCATTTCCCTGCCAAACGAATGCGTCAGTCAATTTCACGGCATGTAGAAAGGACATCCGCACCTGGCCCTCGAAGAAGACGGCGGTTGAGCATTGAAGATAGGACTCATCGTAGGTCTTTTGCATGGACGAGGCTGGCTTGCTCCGCATCATTGTCGCTTCTGGAGACTCGTAGGGACATGCTCATGGCAACAGTAAGAGGTTCAGATTCGTAGGCAGATGAATATCAGGGTCTGAGCCTCAAAATTGAGTGGAATATTGTATGGAGTACAAGGCGAATGAGGCACCACTCCAGGTCAACACTGCCCACTGTGAATTGCGGTTCCCACTACGTCACCCCCAAAATGTCCACTACCAGTCCGCCTGCCCATCTTGTCAACCATCACACGAGCGCCTCTACTACTATCTCATCTAGATCCTCTGATCACTCAAGGAACGGCTTACAAGGGCAAAGTCGTGGATAAAGGGACGGGGCCTACCAGGACAGCTGGCTACAGAGATAACATAGTTCGTCCGGCATAAATGCACTTTTCATTGCTGATCGGCTCGTCTATAAGGTTGAAGAAAGCTGAAAGACCCTCCGGCCATCCCCATTTTCGATAGATGTACAATGATTATCCAAACCCTTACAGAGGGTTATCTGACACAACGTACATCAGATTTGGTGCCTCTTCCTGGGTCGTAACGCCTGTCGCATGCAAATGGCCGACCACGACCTCGAAATCCGCCATGGCTTCCCAAAGAAAAGCATCCGGTCATGCTCGAAAACCGAGTCAATGCGATGCTGACTGCCATCCCATTGCACCAAACTGGGTATCTTCATAGCGGTGATAAAGTGCTCCGTAAACCGGAGAAGCCCCGTACCTCCCAAGTCCGTTCTTGGTCCTCGAGCAAGAATCATTGGGCACTCGACATTCGCGAGTCATTCAAAGACTGTTGATGTGGGCCTCGTGTTCCTCTCGAAGTGTTCGTTTGAAGTATGCTTTTGCCATTTCGTATGATGACCTGCTTGTTGTTAGAGGGAGCCTTCGGGATCAAAGGGAAGAGCTCGTACCAGCAGATTGCAGTGCTTGGCATGGTGGTGATGATGCGCGGCCGCCAGCCCCTCATGAAACCACTCCATCCGAATTCCTTTTTGATAATCGCAGCAGCATTGAAAATACCTCGCACGTTTCGGATTTCAGCTTGTTGGCTAAGCCCGCGTGTTTGTAACAACGTCTTGATCACATCAAGCGGGGTGGTGATGCCGGCCGCAAAAGCTCCGGCTAACCCGCCAGCCATGCAATGACTGATCGGGTCGTATTCTTTCTGGGGATTCATCACCTTGGACAATGACTCGTAGGCCATGAATTGTGTTGCTGTAAATGGCACTGTCATGCATAATGTCGTGGGGTATGATACGTAGAATGCCGAAAGCCCTTCGGCCCGGAACACTGATCTCGCACACTGCATAATTGTCCGATAAGTTGAACCATGTACTTGCATTCGCTGTTTGATGACTGCGGCATCGTCAGAATATTGGGAAGACACACAGGGACATCGACCGCACCATCAAAAGGATTCATCAGGGCATCGCTGGCGATTGTCGCGCAAGCTCCGCTGAGAGCTGCGAATGTGTTAGTATCTCAATTTGGTTATATGCTCAGGCCGTGAGCTTCCGTACCTGCAGCAGCAGGATGGTGTTTGCCATCCGCTGCGTTTCCACCGGCCGCCTCTTTTATAATTTCATACGTGCCAAAATACACAGCGTGGGCAGGACCTGCATGTCGGGTCAGAGATAATTTCCATCTTTTGGTAGGTTCAGCACACCTGCTCCGACAATGACACTCGTAACGCCTCTCCATAGCGTCCGTAGCCCTTCTAGTCGGTAGATCGTTGATACTGCGTGGGACAAACCCGTATAGAGACCGCCCGAGGAAGGATTTATGATTTGCATCCGTGTCTATGGACAAAATCAGTCCGCCGTCGCGCCGCGATAATGGCCTTGGGTGTTTTCGTACCTTCATCAAATCCACTGGATACATCACCGTATGCTCCTATATTTCCATCAGTGGTTTGTCCAAATCCAACTCTTCGTCAATTCGTACCGCGATGCCTGCGAATGCACCGGCGAGCATGTTGTGGTAAAGGCCATAGTTGGGTGGCAGAGCTTCGTAGCTGTGGCCATGTCAATTTCTGTTAACGACCTGCCGGACGACTGAACATACTCAAACTCTTCACCAGGGACGGCATCCGGACTGCTCGACGCAGTCATATTCTCAGCGGTCAGGACCGCTGGGAATTTGGCTGACGTCGCCACGATTGCAGATGTTTTCGGTGGCTCTCTGCGAAATGATCAACCAACAAATGCAAACTTGTGCTATGAGCCTGATGAAAGCACGCCGTCCTCCACAGACGATGCAGAGTCAACGGAGAGTTTCAAGACACTCAGAGCCGTTGCGGGTACCAGAAAAAACCAGCCGGGGCAAATATCAGTCAGAGCCAGGCGAGATTCTTTGCGCAGACAGCAGAGCGCTCCCCAAGAATTTGTTAGACTTTTGGGCTTTAGATGGCTGGCTCAATGACGCTCCGCAGACCCATGCCTAGGCACAGGCGCACAGGCGGTACCAGTAGTACTCCCAATTCGCTGCCCTCCGCACCTCGCTCTCTCAGTCTTGATTAGGCCTGGCTTCGCTCATATCTGACGCCCCATCGGCTTTCACCTGTGATACTCGGTCATACACTTCGTTCTGCATGTTGCGGAAACTCCACTGCGAGATACGAGGCCTTTATCCGTCCATACGCATTGATTGTTGTACCGTGTACGGAGATTGGGGAAATGCGAACTATGTTACTGACCGATACTGGCGCTTGATAACAACGTCTTCGACCATGCCTATAACACTAAACGATCGAGCACTGGTACAGTTCGGCTTCTCGGTCATTGTTCGTTCGACCCACTCACGATGAGCGACGGGATCTCATCTTTTCCAATGATTCTGGGATAAAACTTTGGTACCCCGGGAGATACCTCCGCTACAAGCTGTGCGTGAAATATGTGCTTGAGCCTACATGAGCCCTCAACGCCCTCTACCAGTCCCCCGTGCGGATTCATGATGTTGCATGCGAAGCGCTGCCCTCTCGTGAGAATGCATCCAAACGGAGCCCGTGTACAAACGCCTCGCTGTTCGCAAATGCCTGGCGTGATCCCGGACAGTTGTACATGTCAGGGTACTTCATAACTCAACGTTAAACTTCCACTGGTCTGCAGCTTCAGCGTCAGCATTTGCAGCAAAGAAATACTTCATGCCTTACGTACCTTTCTTAAGATTTTCGGCGGTATCACTGAGCAAAATTTCTCGTCGACGGTTACAGTAGGTCGTCTTGTCCAAGATCTCGACCTTGAGGCTAGCCAGTTCATTCACTGGCTTTTCAAACATTTGACTGAGATTTTCCACAGCCATCTCCAGATCCTTCTGGTTGTCTTCGAATATCTCCGTCATGTTGTTTCGTGCAAGGTAGAAGGCAAAGGCGTACGTCCATTTCAGTGTCTGGCGACAGGCCTGTAATGCTTTGGCTGCAGTGTCGAGGAATTGCACCTCGATCCACGACATGTTAGATTGTGTCTGCAGACTCGTCATTTTCTTCTCCGTCTTGAGCCAGAGATCTTTGTCCAGTTTGGCAGATTGTTCATGATTGGCATAACGGTTATAGTAGTGCAGATACCGTTCCAGAGATTGACGAGAGCGAGCTTGAGCATCACGTGCGTCGGCTCCTGATTTCTCTTCAAAGCGGTTGCAATTGTACCAACTTGTACCGTGCTCGGACCAAGGTCCCATACACATCCAGCAGAATTCATGCTTGCATTTCCGGCAAGTCATGTGGTTGCATCCACCATTCTTTTCAATTGTAGATCCGCATTTCGGACACTCCTTTGTGTTGGCTGATATCCAGTTGGAGGTTTCGGAGTCGTCCTCACACTTTTTCATCCACTTCTTGACCAGAGCACACGGGGCAGGTCGGTGATCTGCCAGTGTACATCCAAAGCAAAAGTTATGGTCGTGTGAACACCGGACGGTTGGAACGACCCGATTGAGCTCACGCTTTTTGACTGGACACTCAATGGCATACTCACACTCGGGTGCCGGACACCACTTCAGGGTTTCCTTATCATCCACGTATGTCCTTGTGAGGAGAACCTCGTAACGATCCTGCACCGTCTGGCCGACCAGCAACTTCAATGATTTAGAATCCACGATCCGATGGCAACCATCAAAAGGACATTCAATCCTGGCAGCTTCCCCCTCTTCCTTAACTTTCTGTGTCAAATAATGACTATAACAATCGACGCAGTATCTGTGACCGCATTTCATGGCATACGTCTGCACATCAGGGCCGTCCTCGTAGCAGATCTCGCAGGTAAATCCCTTGACTGTTTTCGTCTTTGGTGACGCTGCCGAATCCCCTCCCAGGCCCGCAGCCTCGAGTACTTTCTCCGGATTGTCCATGTACGACTCTATGAGCTTTTCCTTGTTCCATCTCGCGAATCGTAAAAGGATAGCCACTTGCTCGGGTGGTAGTTCTATGATCGAGGAAACTTCCTGAAACTGTCGATCTTGCTGTAATTGTATGTCCTTCGGACTGAGGACTTTGAATTCAACTTCGTAGGGTTTATTGGGGCTCATCAGGATATCTTTATCGTAGCCGAAACCGCCATCTTGATCCTGATCAAAGTCTAGAACCATTTGTCAGCCTGAACGTCTTCCACGGCACGACGGGGACATGCATACCACCTCCCAGACTTCCAATATCACTATCTTGGGTTCCTTCATCGAAGTCGATTTCATCTCCGCTCGGCGGATCGGACATGAACTCGTCGTCCGAATCCATGTCTCGTAGAGAGGGTGAGCCGTGCTCAGTGACTGGAGTGGTCGGACCCTGCGCAGGAACGATGGATGTCTTCCGGGTTTTTGCAGATCCGTGCTTCAACGCGTCTGAGACGCTATCCTCGGCCTTTCTCTTTCTGATTGAAGGTGTCGTGGTGGCTTCTCTCGACGCAGCTGTGTCTCAAGACGAGACAACAGGCTGCTGTGACGGCGGGGACCGGAGGGAGAGAATGTCTCTAGGAGGAGATCAACGCACGGGCGTAACTAGCGAACAACATAAAGTGAAGGACAGCACACGAAAAACTCAATGGCAAGATCAGCTAAAGTGGTACATGTAGTCACAAATGATAAAGTCTTTGGAACACCGAAAGTGGGAGATCTCGAGCCGGGGACGGTTTAATAAGGCAGTCAGTCATTCAGCGCCGGGGCGAAAGACGCAGGAGCGGTACGGAGTAATCGTAGCCACATGATGGAGTGAAGCAAGTGGCGCTTAAAGAAGTCCGTCCATTGACACTTCGTCATCAGAGTCACGTGCCAGAATCCGTCGCAGCCTCGTCCGCCATCCTCATTGCCACTGGCCAGTTTGCCGAAACTTTCCCTCACAGCTGACACATCGAGATATCTATCCAACTTGGCCGCCTGCAGCCTTGTTTCGAGAATGCTACAAAGCTGGTTACTCTGGGCCTGCTGGTTTTGGCTACCACGGTATAGTCGATGGGGGTGCGGTAGGCCATCGCACAAAGCCAGGTTCCCGGCCTATTCGACTCAGAAACGCCACCTGTTGTTTTCACTCTTGCTTCCTTGGGCATTTCCGTCGAGTATCAAGGTCAATCATCATCCTCATCATCCTCTTCTTCCTCGCTCTCGCTCTCACTCTCGGCATTTTCCAGCCACTCGATGAATTGTGAAGTTTGTTGCCTCACCGCAGCCATTTCAGGTTCGCTGCTTGATCTCTCGTCCTCCCACCATTCAGTGAAGGCTTCCTCACTGAGCACCTCGAGATCGTAGAGATCCTTGACGACAAACAACAGAGTCTTCCCGCCATCCTTTCTTCGCGTCAAATCTCTCTGTGCGTCCAACAAGAACGAGACTTGTTCTTCCGTGGTCTGGGATGCACCTTTCCGCCGGATGAGTGTGTTGAAAGCAGTCAGGGCTCGTCTGCTGGCATCAGCCGCTGAGACACCTGCCTCTATCTCGCCATGAATATGCTTCATTAGCGCGATGGCCACTGCTCTGCGGACCTGAATTTCGTCGGCTCCTCCGCTAAAACGAAGACCCATCAATTCACTCAGCATATCATCAGCCATCTTCCCTTCTTGCATTCTTTGCACCAGAATCGCCACAGTATCATGCTGGAATCTGTCGGTGAACTCTTCGTCAGATACAGATGTAGCAAAACTTTGCCTTCTCGAGTCGCTTCTCGAGGAGAGCTCGTCTTGTGAGGCGTCCGAATCTAGAGTCGATAATGAATCTGCAAACTCCGCCTTTCCATATATCAGCCGGGAAATCCGTGAACCAACGAGATCGTCCTGATCATCAACATATGCATGGCCTTCTCCCTCCTCACCACCAACCACAGCCTTGTCTGGGCTTTCTTGCTGATTATCTTGCTGAGTTTTGCATATTCTTGTTCCAGGCGCTACTGTGGTGCCAGGAGCGATTCTAACGCCGAAAGAGATCAAGGCACCTTCTCCGATGATACTGTTGTCGCCGATGAAAGCCTCGTTGCCGATGATGGCTCGCGAGACTTTGACATTCTTGCCCACAGTCACGTCGTCCCATATGTACCCACCATCAATAGTTGTGTTTTTGCCAATGTGGCATCGTTGGCCTATGACACTGTTCACTATGTTGCATCCCGAGCCGACGCTGGAACCAGGGCCAACAATCGCGCCGAAAGCAATTTTCGTAGGTCTGGCCTTGATGACTGACCGGTCAGTGACATCGCCACGCGGCGAGCGTTCGTAGTAAGTGTCTGCAAAGACGTTGTTTTCGACAGCCAAAGACGTGACTAGACCTTGCTTCAGGTCTTGTGAGATGGCGTTATACGACCAAAAATCAGCTGCTCGGGAGGCATAGTGATCTTTCACGATATAAGTGTGGATAGTCTTGCCGTTCAGCTCATAGTCTTTCAACACACCATACAAGAAATCCTTTCGAGGAGCTTGATTGTCGAAATTGTCCGACCACAGGCTGAGCACGTCAGGAGTACAGATGTCGATTCTGCAGTCGATGAGATCTTGCCTGACTTCTATTTCTGTTGACTTCAAAATTTCTGGGTCGACCTGGGCCATAAACTGATTACCAGCTAACCCTTCTTCGTAATGCAAACATCGATCTTTGGTAGGGTCTAGAATGAAAGTCGGCACAACGCCTCCTGCATGATCATGAGAGCCGGGTTGAATTTCTCGGAGAATCATGGTCATGATGGCATTTTTGTCCTTTTCTCTCCGCGTTTTGTGCTGCTTCAAGGCTTTCTCCAGGGGGAAGTTGGACACAACATCGCCGCTGATGCAAACGAAATCTCCAGCCATCAGGTGCTTTTGGTCCAGATCTCTCATAATATCGCCGACCGAACTGGCAACGCACCTCAGGAAACTCACACTCTCAAAGGGTGACTTGTGTGATTTCCACCTAGAAGCCTCGATGTACGTTTCGACTTGGTCAACATGAGCACCGGCATAGATGTAGACAAACTGGACGCCGGCACTGGCGAGATACTCTAGGCTGTAGTCGATGAGGGGAGTGTTGGCGAGAGTTAATAGACATCTCGGTCGTTCGAGGGTGAAGGGCGCGAATCTGGTTTCGAAAGTATCTGCGATGATTACGGCTTGTAAAGGCTCTTCTTTGTTGTCATCGCCTGATCTACCTTTTCCGCCGGCAGATCTTTGTGGCTTGGGCGCCATTCCCAATGAAGCCGTTGGTCGTGAAGACAGGACGATTTATTGCCGATGAATATTAATGGGTGGTGAAGGACTACCGTGGGGAGTGATATGTGGCTTCGCAAGATCTAGCTGTGGAGTTCCTCTTCTGCATGATGCTGCTCAAGAAATAAATTGTTTGTCCATTTACTGAGAGCCTTGCGGACTGAGAATCCCAAGAATATTTTAATGAGACCAGTGAGTCACTCTGACTGGTTGGTCGTCATGCTGGCCACTGCTGGGTAACTGCTGGCACATCCCAATGAGAATTTGCGCTCGGGAATCTTGCCAAGCCTGGAAGCCGCTCCCTCTGCCAGTCACTGTGCAGTGTCAAAAGCATGGCCTAAAATATCAGGTAGCAGACCAGGAGAAAGGGGCCGTGTCTGCGTCATAGCGAGGGGGACCAAACATTGCCTGAATTGTTCTTTGCCTAATGTTGAAGCCCGTGTTCATTATTCTTTAAAAACAGCCTCTAATTATTGTTGCGGTTGCTCGCTCCTACAGTCGTCGTCGCAGCTAGACTCTACTCATTCATACTCATCAAGTCCGGCCCCTCCATCATTTCCTCGCCTTCGTCTGGCCTTGGATCGTCTGCCCGCGTTGAACACACCTCAGCCCCAATCGAGACCTTGCCGCGCCTCACCATGTCGAGAACATCAAAGGAAGCCCAGAATGTTAACCCGCAAATGGACCTAGATCCTAAATACGACGACTACGATTTCCCTACCACTGCTCCAGAATCACAGTCGGGCCACCCTGGCCATACGACCAAAGAACAAGATGCTCAAGTACACCAGCTAAGGGCCATGTTGGAACAGGAGGGCTACACTGAAAGACTGGACACTTTGACTTTGTTGCGGTTCTTGAGAGCTCGAAAGTTCAATGTTGAGCTTTCCAAGCAAATGTATGGTCCTCTCATGCAGGTTCTTGTATACACTGTGCTGATAGGTTCTCAGGTTCATCAAAAACGAGCAATGGCGGAAAGAATTTGGCGTTGATGACTTAGTCCGCAACTTCGACTACAAGGAAAAGCCTCAAGTCTTCCAGTACTATCCACAGTACTATCACAAGACGGACAAGGTACAGAGCAGCCCCAGTAAGGTGTGGTTCTTAGCTCACACTACACAGGATGGCAGACCCGTCTACATCGAACAATACGGCAAGATTGATCTCAACGCCATGTACAAAATCACGACCGCCGAGCGCATGGTTCAAAATCTCGTTGTCGAATACGAGAAAGTTGCCGATCCTCGACTCCCTGCTTGCTCGCGAAAGTCGGGCAAATTGCTCGAGACATGTTGCACCATCATGGACATGAAAGGAGTCGGCGTGTCCAAAATTCCGTCGGTCTACGGCTACCTGAAGTCTGTCAGCGCCATCTCTCAGGACTACTACCCTGAACGCCTGGGTAAACTATACATCATCAACGCACCTTGGGGCTTCAGCAGTGTATTTAGCTTCGTCAAGTCTTTCCTCGATCCCATCACCGTCGCAAAAATCCACGTCCTCGGCTCAGGTTACCAGAGTGAGCTCTTGAGCCAGGTTCCTGCCGAGAACCTTCCAAAACAGTTTGGCGGGACTTGCGAGTGCAAAGGCGGGTGCGAATACAGTGATGAAGGTCCATGGCAAGATCCTCAGTGGGTGCGGACACCGAAATGGGCCAAGAAGGATCCTGTCACAGGCAAGGATGCTGCAAACATTGTGCAGCCGGCCCCTACTGACGGTGCGAAGGATCCTCTCGAAGGTAAAGCACCGGCCCCAGCAACAGCCCCAGCGGAAGCTGAGAACGTGCCTGCCGAAGGAGCCAAGATGCCATTGGAGGCGCCTCAGCCATAGTCTGGAAGAAGAAGGTGCAAATTGCTCAGGTCAAGTTCTTCCAAAAGGCGCAGAGGCGGCGAGTAGTCATGCGTGCAGACGCGATCGACCAGAAAAGATAGAGAGGGTTAACGAAGCATGGTTTCGAACTGTATCTTGCGCATTGTGCACTAGGGGACCCTCGCACTTATACTGTAGGAATTTAACGCTGGCACTTTCATAGAGTTCTCTAGCTTCACCATAAGGTAGGTACCTATCTCTCGTATTCCCATGGTGCCCTCATTCGCAACATTCACTCTGCACGTTCCACACGTTCGGCGTGTCCCTTTTTTTTTAGCTGACTCCTGCCAGCCAATCTCGCTCGACCGAGTTATACTAAACTCTGTCTTACTGCCTTCTTGGATCAACCATGGTCCACGATAGGGCGCTGGTATGTCTAGCTATCATCGAGAAATAAGAATTCCCCGAGGATACCAGATGATTCAGCCGGACATTCGAGCTGCTGTCTGCCAGCATGCGCAATAGCCAGACACTCGGTTTTTCGCCGTCCCACCGTGGCTGTCCCGGCTAGACCCCTTCATGCCGTATCTTTTCGAATGTGCAGAACAGCCCGGGCATGTGTGCCCCTACTGTCCACGCTAGTATGCCTCATCCACACGCACACGCATTGGGCAAGTCCCCTTCGGGCGTAGATTGAGTGCATGTTCCTCTTCCCCGTGGGGTAACAGCATATGGCACGGCAGAATGTCCAGTCCTACCATGTCCGTATTCATCCCTTGTCGTTGGTCCTTGAGTCCCTCACTCGAATTCCATAGCAACAGTTCTTGCACGCTGGACCTTGCCCACCGTCTCGGTCAGACTTGTGCCACCACTACCCGCCACACTTTCGCTTGCAGGAAGGCCAGCGAGAACAGCCAACTCCCCAGTCCCGTGTTCATACATTGCCCGCACGTCCTCGTGCCAGCCATCTCTCAACGGTTTCAAGTCCAAGCTGCCACCGCCATTGGCGTTGTCACGTTCTTGTAGCTTAGCCATCTCCACCTCATACTGTTCATCATCGCCCGCCAGCTCGGCCATCAGCGCGTCTCGAAATTGCTCCGCACCCTGTTTCGGCGCAGTCCTTCTCAACTTGCTCACCTGCGCTGTGAGCGCTTCGAGTTCACCATACAGTCCCGCGACTTTGGCCTGTAGCCTCGTGTCATAGCTTTCGTAGACGAAATCCAGACCTTCTCTTTCCTCTTGCGGTTTTATTTCGTCCGACGCAACCGCATTGTTCGTCGCGCGGGCTATGATAGGAAGAGTGGACGCATCCATCCCATTGACTGCGATGTTCTGACTTGCGCCGGCCCATGTCCTACTCATGAACGCGTCGACGAGGTGGCGGACTCGGGCGCGGAGGGGGTCTTCCTGTTCTTCATCCTTTCCGATCGAGGTTTGCGCAGGTTCGGCAGGTTTCATACCATCGAGGCTAATAACTGTAGCAGGCTGACCGCGTGACTCGGCATACTTCTGCGACGCCGAGGGAGGAAAGTGGAGGTCGAGTTTCTGTTGAGCGGACGCGATCAGGTTGCGTTGGAGGTAGGTGAAGTCGTCAGGGGATTGGAGTTCGATTTTGCGATGATGAGTGTTAGGTGCCGGGTCTGGGTGGATAGATGCATCTATGTCCATTGTGCAGCGAGGCAAATTATAGTCCGCTGAAGGTAGTCACAGTTCATGGGTTCCTTATGTCGCTGGCATGCGTAGTGTGAGAAGTAAACAATCGATATGCGGAGAGAACTCGGGCTCCTATTGGCCGACTGGCCTCGAGGCTGGATTTTGGCGGGGCAGGATATCTACTCATACGGGAAAATTGGAAATCACAAAGATGAACTTGTCAATGGATTAGAGAATCCTCCAAAGGCATGCGATATACTCAAGTATGGTAGGAAACATCAAAAGAGAGCGAAAGCAGCGACAAGTGGGTACGAATAACGTGACTGCGAACAGATAATGTAATGAATCCCGATTCAGATTTTGCTTTGCCTAGCTATTTGGCCGTTCGTCTGATCTCGTAATTGTCTGCTTGGTTCCACCATTTCGTTCCCCTGGCTTCCATCTGTTCTAGCCTACTTGGTCTCGTCAAAAACGTAGGTCAAGTGGCAGCGACCGCAGTATTGTCGGTTGTGCATGGCAGCCATGAAAACACCAGCACCACACTCCTTGGTCGGGCATTCGCGTCGAAGTCGCTCGATCTTGCCATCACCATCGACCTTGTAGTATTTGAGAACAGCCAACTTGGTCTTCTTGCGCTTGTGCTTGATCTTCTTGGGAGTGGTGTAAACCTTCTTCTTGCGCTTCTTGGCACCACCACGGAGTCGGAGGACGAGGTGGAGGGTCGACTCCTTCTGAATGTTGTAGTCGGAAAGAGTGCGGCCATCTTCGAGTTGCTTGCCGGCGAAGATCAGACGTTGTTGGTCAGGAGGAATTCCTTCCTTGTCTACAAGAATGATTAGTTTCGCCATCGACCATCAGCCGTTCCAACTCGACGCACCTTGAATCTTGGACTTGACATTGTCAATGGTATCCGAAGACTCCACCTCGAGGGTGATAGTCTTACCCGTGAGGGTCTTGACGAAGATCTGCATATTGAAGATCTGAAAGAAAACCGTCAGTTCCTGGCTTTTGGTCGGATCAATGCGCAAAAGCTCCTGAAGGTTGTGCGGAGGGAATGATGAAAGTGCGATAAGAAGCAAGAGAGAATGTGCAGACTCACCTAGACAGAATATGTCTTCCTCAATCTTTTGTATGCAGAAGTGCTTGATAAGCCAAAAAGAACAAGAACGAAGTTGAGCCGCAGTTTGAAGATGAAATTCGATGTGTGGAAAGGCTTGGCAAAGGGTTTGCCATCTTATCTAATCTAACCACGTGACTCGGACTTGACCAAGCGAGCAAGCTCCAAGCTTGGATGTCTTGTAAGCTCTACAGAAATCTGACCATGTTTACAGAGAGGGACGCCACATTTGCAGTGCAGGGAAACCGCAATCATTCATTCGCGTACCAATTCATGATGAGGACGACTTTTCCATGAAAAGTCAGACCATTTTCTTATCGCAGACACCTGTCCTTGTTTCAAACTGTAAGTGGTGAAGTGAGCGCTTAGTTTAGAAAGGTTGCTACGACAACCATCGAACCATGTCGTGTTTACACCGCGACCGGTTCGTCATCATCGCCATGGACACTGGACAGCGAGCCGGAGTTACTAGTAGACTTTTGCACCTTGCTGTCAACACCTAGACTCTTCCATCTCTCCATACACTCCTAAACCTCCCCTTCAAAAACCACTTCCCACACCGTCGAAAGACAAGAGACCTACACAAAGACAAGCGAAGAAGCCTCTCAGGCAGTCCTGAACCAAACAATCTCTACTGCCCGAGAGGGCCCCTTCTGAATAACAGAAAGTCGCAAGCAGCCGCCTGCGACTGGTGGAAGCATAAAGAAGCAAGACCGCTGCCCGGTCCGCAGCCATAGCGCTGCGTGAGGTGAGAGGAGCAGTATATACCAAGATGAGAGGAAGACTGACAGGTGCAGTCTCGAACCATAGAAGGAACCAATACCGGAACAACGACAAACCCTTCGACAAGATACTATTTCGAACTCATCTCGCCTAAGATGATGTCCAATCCACCTTCATCTCTTCACCACCGACAGGCAATGCATCGGAGACAGAACTCGACTCCTATTGTAGCCTTTGAAGCCATGAAGGTCAGCACCAGTATGCCGCCACAACGACAATCACTTCACAGACGGGGACAATCGTTCGATCAACAACGAAGCCCCATACGAAGACAACAACAACAACACGGCAGTACGGTAAGTATGACTAACCTAGGATCAATCCACGGACAACAGATTTTGCGGGAAGCGCAGCAGCAAAAAATTGCAAGAAGACCGGGCCAGCAATTACAACTCAATATGGATATGCCAATCTCTCCAGATTGTGGTATCTATTCGGGTTCTTCAGGCTCAATGCCTGGAACGCCATTTGAAAACATGTCAATGAATGCGTTCATGCACCAGAATCCCAACGGCATGGACTATTCCCATTCACCACAATTCTTCTCCGACATGTACATGTCCATGCAGAATGGAATGCCAGGCATGGGGATCATGGACGAAAACACTCCTCAGTACCTCCACGATGCTCGCAGCGTCCATTCTCAACAAAGCAGCGGCATGTCCTTCGACGCGAGAAGAATGTCGCAACCAGATCTGCGCGTGCAGACTCAATTACGACCTCACACACCTTCACATCAAATCCAGACTGGTGAGCTCCTACAGATCCGCGGATCCGCGGTTGGTTCTTTTCTGCCACGCGCTGACATCAAATCTAGCACAATTTCCTCTCACACCTCCCTTCAGCCAACACACCCCAGCCGCACAATATTCACGATCTCTCCAAGCATCACCGGCTTTACAATCACCTTATCCCATTCCGATGACAAGAGGCCGGTCCTTGCAAGGCATCATCGAGAACGAGGAGTTCAAGGCTGACTTCATCACCACCCCGATCGCCACCTCATTCGAAGTCGCCGAGCTGCCCACTCCGAGCTCTCGAAGACACGTTCCAAGTCCCAGACTGCAGCAACATTCAGATCCAAACAAATCGAAACCAGTCATGTCACCTGCTATGCCGGCTGACGAGGGCACATCTCACATGCCACAGCTCACGGAGAGACCTGCTCCCATCTTGACTCCGATCCTGACTCAAGGACGAGACCAGAGTAGCAGCGCGTCACCAGGCCGACCAGCCCTCTCGCCTCGCCGAATGTCCATCTCCGATCTGAACCTCGAACCTGGCATTCAAGCCTCGATTGAAGAGACCAACGTCACTCTCGACGACATTGCACAATACATCGAGGGCCCGGACCCGGTTGACAACAGATGGATCTGCAAATTCGACGACTGCAACAAACGCTTCGGCCGCAAGGAGAACATCAAGTCACATGTCCAGACACACCTTGGCGACCGCCAGTTCCGCTGCGACCACTGCGGTAAATGCTTCGTCCGCGGTCATGACCTCAAACGCCACGCCAAGATCCACACCGGCAACAAGCCATACCCATGTGCCTGCGGCAACTCCTTCGCCCGTCACGACGCCTTGACCCGACACCGCCAGCGCGGCATGTGCATCGGTGCATTCGAAGGCACGGTCAAGAAAATCGTCAAGCGCGGCCGACCACGCAAGCACCGCCCCGAGATGGACGAACGTCTCGACAAGGCGCAGCGCACACGACAAAATGCCAATGCCGCCAACAGCGAAGGCTTCAACGACCCATACACGTCCTCCGCCTCCAGCTGCTCCATGTCGAGCTGGGGTTCCCCGCCGACCGAGAACATGGACAACCTGAGCATCCGCGGTACATCGCCGTTCGAAGGTGGTATGCCGCTCTTCGGCCTATCCAACCCACCCCTCGTCAGCATGGACCAGATGATCAGCTTTGCCCCAGACGCATTCTCCTTCACGCCTCCCGCCAGCCCAGGCTACTCGACCGGCACCAAGCCCAGCCCATCGTACCGCGAGTTGACACCGGCCGAGATGCACCAGCGCGGACACGACGTGACACGCATGCTCCCGGACTTGCCGGCCATGGACCCCAGTCTTTCCGTCATGAGCGCTGTCAACGGCTACTCCGGCCAGAGTCTACCCAGTCTGTCGCATTCCAGCTCTTCGCCCGCCGCGGACGTCGTGGCCTTTGACTTTTCCGACCTGCCCAACGATGGCTCCTCGTCAACCCTGATGTCCCAGTCTTCTCAGATGCCCAGCAAGCTCGACTCCGACCGAAATGACTTCGACACGTTCCTCGACTACGGCAGCATGGAGATGGGCATGGATTCTTCCTCGGTGCAGGACTTCTTTTCCATCTAGAGAATGGAACCGGGTTCTGTATTCTGGGACTTCTCCATGTTTTGACCAGAGTGATGTAAATGTGCAATGAACAATGCTTGCGTCGACACGGAGGAACGCAACGAGGCGATCTGCGAGGGGTTTGTCAATAACAACGAAGATATGGGATGGGACCCGTCAGGTTGAAATGCGCCAACCAAACAACACAATGTACTGTATTCTAGGCAAAGGATGAGAAACGAACGACTTGTTGATGAGGCGAAAACACTGGAGTTTTCATCAGGGATTGGGCTTATGGAGATTCAGCGTTTTCATGGGAACGAAGGCCTAACGGGAATGGATGGGTTGACTCATTGAACTGATTGCTTGCTTGCTTTGCTTGAAAACGAAGAACATAAGGGGGTCGGCTCGGCTGGGCTTGAACGAGGGCTAGGGCTAGGGCCAGGGACGACTGGGCTCGCGCTCGGCCTACGCCCCCTTTGCCTCTGATATGGGAATGTGTTTTTATCATGTCATATGCCTTCCTTCTTTTGTTGCGTGCTTCTTGTGTGCGTTTCTTCTCTTTTTGAACCAGGCGGTTCCGGGGGCTGGACTTGTACATTCATTTTGGAGACTGCATCGGCCCAGAAACACCTTTCATTCATTCATGCAGTCTCCGTCTTTTTCTTGCTGAGCAAAGCGTTGGCGTCACCGGAGCCCGGGGAAAGGAATGGTTGCAGGATCTGCTGGGGTCGATCTTGCCTCGCATGGCGTCTACGTCTTCGTCTGCGTCGCAAAGTGAGGCAAAAAGAAACCCCGCGACAGGAGGGACGAGGCACCGGGAGCATCCAAGGATATGGATGGCACCGCCGCAATGTCAGCAGCCAGCATGAGGTTCGACCCTTGTATCGAGAACGCCTGGTTTGGCCAATCTTTTTGTTATGAGGGAATGCAACACGGCAAGGTGGATGGACAGCCAGGGGTCTGGCTCAGTTAGTAAAGTCACTATCACCAATACGAATGCCACGCTTCTCAATTGTGTTCCGTCCTTGACGATGTCCTTCTCCGGGTCAGGCCCTGCTTCGAAATTTGTACGTGCACTGTCTCAGATGTATTTGCAATTCTACGATGATCTGCGATGGTCGATAGTTGAAACCGGTCGTTCATTTGCCTCAAGGCAAGGTGTGATAGCTTCCTGGGGTCGCATGTACTCTGGCGGAGATGATGCCATCATCCTTTACCCTGCACATGGACCAAGTTAATCGCTAGGCATAAGGCACGGCTGTGTTTGGCCATAGCAGTGGGCGCAATTGTCCACTGCAAGAAGGCCAGGGATCATGCTGGTGGTGGTGGGCAGCGTCTCCGCGCTCTGGGAAGTGTCGGCTGCCACAAAGTGAGGCAGGTCTCGTCAAGGTGGGCGACGTCGATCGAAAGGTTGACAGACCTCCGTGAAATAGTGCGAGGCATTCCAGGGGCGATGATGAAGACGCGGACGCAGCCATGCTTCCCAGAGCGCCGATAGGACCAGATAGTGAGGCTCCAGACGGGCATATGATCCGTGACAGATAGAGCGTTGCGGAGTCCATATTCCTCATTCTTGCACGTTCCAGACTCAAACTCGTCAAGCCATGAGGCGAGCATCGATACAGATGGCAGGTGCTACCGTACAACGCATGTGACTCCCAGTGCTAGAACGCCAATAGTTGGTATAGTATGAGCGTCTGGTGTAGAGGATGGAGAGGGGTCCTGCTCCGAAGCCCGAGATCGATTAGGTCCTTCGGGTGGAATAAATAGGCTGGGAAGCTTCTGGCAATAAAACAAGCCTGCCGTAGAGAGCGTCGATGAGACTAGATCCCGAGGAGCCTGGACAATCATTCAATCATACCGGATCTCCCGCAGTGATTCTGGATTTATGATTGATCATGAGCAAGTCGCTGGCCGTGGGCAGTGAGCCGGACGTCTGGTATGTTCTTGAGTTGAGCTTTGCGCTTTCCTAATGCACACTCCTAGTTCGTTATGGTAACTTCGCTAAGGCCCTTCCACGCTACTTGCTTGAAGGCTGTAATGATTGGGCCTGCGTGTTTGAAGAATGAGAGCTTCCACGGACCAAGGACGGGTATCCTGATCTCGGGTCACTGTTGACAAAGACGCCCTCGCAATGTCTCCTCGTGGAGGTGCTTCAAGAAACCAGCGCTGATCACTTAAAAGTGAGGCAAGGAGGGATTAGGCTGTCGTTTAGAGGAGTCCCATTCAATTTGTGTTCATAAAGCCACGCCCGGAGAATAGTTCCCAGAACCCAGGTGGGGGCGGAGCGTCAGTTACAGGACAGCTTGCGGGATAACCATCGGCATGAAAGTGCACGATCGGGTACGGCGAGCGGATAGATGCGGTTAATGTTGCAATCTTGATCACGCTCCGTCAGTCTGGTTGAGACGAACGCCGATCGATGCCCACTAGCCATACGGCACGAGTCTGTATCGACCTGGATTGTCTCCAGAGTACTGAATACAGAGGTTAGTACAGTAATGCAACGTCATGCTACCTCCCGGAAGGGTATCGCCCGTATGAGTGAAAGAAACAGGCTGGTGCAGGATGGATCCTTCCCCGATTGCATGCCCTGAAGTGTCAAGGTTCGGCAGCTATGGAGGTCGACACTATTGTTGGATCAGGTTTCGACTCGAGTACCGAGGGCAAGGGTCTGTCCATACCATACCGTGGTGTTTGTCCACTTTAAGCCGAGCTAACTTGGAATATCAGCCAGGAGCCTAAGGGATTATCGCACAGCCTTGCGAGGTGTGATTGGTCCGCAGATCAAAAATGACAGGGCTGCCCTAGTGATGATCGTCACCCAGCGAAAGCCACAGATCCTCTAGCTGTACGGAGTGACGGACAGGGAGATGATCGTGTCGATACCTTGGGCACTCAGACCTCGAGCAGTATTCAGAATGAACCGTCGTTAGCCGACTCGGGCCCTAGTGTTAGTAGGTCCAGCTCAAGGACCATTTCTTCTTGACCATGATGGCAATGGGCCCTGACAGTCCTCACACCTGAAGAGATGGTGTGCAAGAAGATGGGAAATGGGTACGAGTCTGACACCAGTCTGAGACAGGAGAATACCATCATCGCACTCTTGGCGCAGAGGAGGTGCTTCGACCGAGGGCAGCCGTTCTTTGCATTGATTACTCGCGTACAGGTCGCTGGTTGACAGAAGACGGCGAAATGCAGCCCGCTGCAATAATTGACTGGCTTTGGAGAATTCAGCAATCCGCAAAATCCGGATTCTGTTGGCCAACTCGGCATAATCAGGAGACATTTCGACCGAATTGGTGGTACAGCATTAGGGCTCAGCCACCAACGTCAACGATATTATTGAAGGGGGAAGGAGGGCCGTGTCTCATTATCCACGTGTGCAGACAGGAGACGACGGAAGCTCTGAAGACCGAAGAAAGACAGCCGGCGTTACGCCTGGATTTGCTCCAAACTGAGCGGTGTGGATGATCCTTGCCATAGGTTGACGTCGGTTGGCATGGCATTGAACGGTGCAGAAGACACGAAGACTGTCGAATCTCGGTCCCTTGACGCTGCAGTGCAGTAGTGGGTTGTATGCTGGCTCGCCCCGCGTTTCTAAAGGTATTCCTTGCAGTGGCGATCGCTAGGTGGGATTCAGAGGAGTTGGTGAGCAAGTGTAATAATGTGTACGCTGATCAAAGCAAAGACAGCAGCTGGTCTGATGAGCTTTATTGCCACTCAGGCCGGCCATCACTGTCATTTTGAAAGGGTCGTGAGCCACGTGTGCAGCAGTACCGTAGCTTTCCGCGTTTTGTAGCTCGTACTTCGTAGACTGCCTGCATCTAAGCAGTGCAGAGGTGCTTGCACCATGTGGATCGAGCGGACTCGATGCTGAGCGGCAAGTGGAGGATGGGAAGGAGATGAAGCTAGGATGGGAACAAAGTGAGGCGGATGGAGGAGATCGCCTCGATATAAGTCTGGCTTCTGATTGGCTCCTTGACGTCGACGCCCGGAAGCTGAGAGACACCATTTGATGCCATCTACATTCCTACCAACCACCTAGCCAACGACAGGGCAATTCATTGGTGGGATGACAGTAACTCGCACATGGCAGCGCCTGTATCATTCTTTCATGTTGAGTACGAGTAGAATCGTGCTTGACCCTGTCCGTTTCTGAGCCACTCGTCATTGGCCTACCAGCAGCTCCCAGTCCACGACCGCTCCTCTCCTGAGAGCCTTATATCATCCTTGAGGCTGCTCGCATTAGAACGCCTTCTTCTCTACTCAGAGCAGAACAAGAAACTCAAACAAGAAACATCAAGCAGCAAAGTTGAGCCTACTGAGAATAGCAAGGCGTCTTCTTCTTCTTCTTCTTCTTCTTCATCCTCCTCTTTGCTTCATACGTTTCGTGACTGCTGTATAGCACTCCTCGAACGAAGATGCCTCAATCCGACACTGCAATCCATGACTACTGGCTTCCAGGATATGGACTTTCTCGACATATTGTACTTCGACATATCCAGTACCACCTGGGGCCTTCTGCTACAGTGAGACCTTACTCCTACCACGTATGAAGGCAACTTCCCTCTCTCCGATGTGCAGACACTCATCGCCACCAGGGTCGCGAAGGCTACCTCATTAACGGGCGGGAATTGACAAAGGTATACATCAATTTCCCTTCCCGGTGAGAGAAAGCTGAACATTCCCAGGAGCAAATCGACGACCTCAAGCGACAGTCCAGGGAATACGAAAAGCAGCAGACGATCCGCATGTCCGGGAAACCGGTTGCAAGCACAGACCCGGCTGAGCCTGACATCAACGAGCCCATCGTGGTGACCGTCCCTGGTCGACGAAGCAATTCGTCCTACTCTTCGACATCGTATGCACCATACCATCGATTTCGGTGACAAGGCACGCTTGATGATGGGAAAGCGCGTAATGCTATTCAACGGATATACTCAAACCATTTGAAGCTGATCAGGTTGTGCCAAAAGCAGCGCACAACCATCGTGGGACAGCACATCAAGCTCAAGATGCTTGAGCCAGGCTTGATATACCTAAGACCGTTGGGTTGGCGTGTCAAATGGTGGCGCGCCGGTGATAGTAGCTCTTGAGCATAGAAAATTGCAAATGGAAGGTTGCCCATACACTCGTTCGTACTTTGCGATATGGGGGCCGGGTTTGGAACTGTATCCAGAAGCTTATGATGAATGATGGCATGATGGGGGTCGGAGTCGCGAGGCTGATTTGAAACCGGGCGGACCCGCTCGTGCCGACAGGGCCATCGTAAGGAGGAATTGGAAAAGCTTGGATGTGTTGTCGTGGCTTCAATGAAGAGCATCGAATAGGCATTTTGGGCGCAGTTCCTGGCAGCATAGTGACGCGAATGAGAACCTGCAGTCGAGTCCAGCGGTGTATCCTCCAACGGAGAGTCGTAGCTGATGACATTGCATTCGACCGGTGACCTTATCCACTCCTCCAAAGCAATTGGCGACGGCATTTGTGACCACCTCACGATCCTCGATAGGTTGTGTAAGTCCACGGCCCGACCAGAACAGGCACATGGTAATGTCTTTCTCCCTTTTTGACGTAGAATTTGACCTCGACCTCTGGCCAGAAGCTCTCCACATTCTGGCTCTCATACCACGGGCCAACCTCGAATTTAATGCTCCAGGGTATGCGTTCGCCAGGACCAAGCCAATCCATAACCTCCACCAGAGTCTTTCCGGTAGATGGCGCAGGGTTCCATTCTTTTACGCGCCCATCATTATTGGTTATAGCGGTGAAGCTCTCTGCTGATGAGTACAGCGAGTTCTGCTGTAGTAGAGTTAAGGTCGCTTTGAGGCCGGCGGCAGGAGTACCAGAGAGCGTGTTAAGGACGTGACAGGTAATCGGGGACGACATGATTGCGGATGATAGAAGCAGAAGGAATTGTAGAGAGAGCAGTTTGTAGAAGGCGCAGCACGAAGAGATAATAAATATGCTGCGACATTTCGACGCGGCCGGAGCAGGCCGATGATGGACATCACAATCGTATGATGATGATGGAAAGCTTGGGAGATAGTTTTATCGTCTGACAAATATGATTAATTATTAGTTTGCCAACAATCACCGTGGAATTTGATATGGCCGCTCGTCAGATTTGTGTCTGACTGGACAAGTTAGAGAAGACGCGTTAATGTAGATGCAAACATCCCACAAGTACGAAAACCTCTCGAACAGAGCATCATTCATCGTACAAATGTTATACTAGTATGCTTTCCGCACGGCCCGGTGTTGTCGAGCAAGGACACTCCGGACATTAGCAATGATCTCGAAAGCCAACCTAGGCCAGACTTCTCCAGAGCTCACCTCGTTCCAAAGCTGCTTTATCAAGGCTACAGGACTGCATGGCAAGCGTTACTGGCTACGAATATATCTTTCTTGATCCCAAATGGACGGCAGTATCCCTGGCTCCATCGATGGTGATGCTTTTGTCATTGTGTATTAACTAAGAACATGTACGACATGAAAAATAGCAATAGCTCTCCGATGCAAAATGCACCAAGCTGGCTTTCTCTGTGTCCAGCCCCATTACTGACCAGATACCCATTTGCAGCGAACAAGACAGAAAACATTCCATCAAGCTAATTGTCCTCTGACCACACCAGGGACATATTTCATCGTGTGCGCGTCAGTGAAGAAACCGGCGGGGTTCTCCTCAATCTCCTTGACCATGAAGCCTGCACCAGTGTCCACTCCGTTCGACAAGATACCAGTTTCGAAAGGCCCAGTCAAACAACCAACAGATCGGCGAACGACGGAGGGATCGTCGCTAATTGGTAGTGGGTTGGGGAAGGCGATCCTTGGAGGACCGCTCGCGCCTTTGGCAGCCTCGTGGATATGAGTCGCAGTCTTTGCAGCGGATTGGTAACCACCAGTAACTCCTTTCAGGGTGATGTTCTGGGTTTATTGTTAGCATGTGAGAACTTTCCAGGAATTGAGAGAGGCGAAACTAACATAGCAGATGACGTCCAACTCGCTGTTTATGCCGTAGTTGTAGTACCCGATCGCACCAGGTTCGCCGGGAGTCGGAGTGGTGCCATTGACTACCTGGTCGGGTGTGGCAACGACGTGATATACCGAAGTAAAGTGGAAGGGCGATTTGTTCTCCTTCCAGGCAGTCCACTTCTCGCCTCGGGCATCAATTGGGCTCGACGACACGAGTCCAACCAACGTCGCTGCCGCAGCGGAAGCGAAGAGAGTAGCCTTCATTGTCGAAAAAAGGGGTCGTCAAGGCGCTTTTCCGTGAGTAGTTCGTGATATTTTTCTGGCTTTGAAGAAACTAATCTTTTATTGGGCTCGATTTGGGACTTGATGGATGAAGAGAAATTCACCCCTCCATGCGACGGCCCTTGCCATTATTTATACCTTGACGCGGAAGCCTACGAGGTACACAGTATGAAGCTTCACCTTCCCCAGGAGCCCAATGCGGCCCGCCCATGATGTTGTTGAGCAAATTCCAAATATTCTGAGACATCTCGCGGGTACAGCTTGTTCCGTAAAGTGTTGTTCAATTAGCTCCCTTCCATCCATAGGTACCTACCGTAGGTATGAGAGCAGACAAGGCTTGGGATGTCCAATAGTCAGAATTGGCGGAGGCGGAGTCATCCCGTGATACTTCCTGGGAGCATTGCCAAGGCCCACGATGTCATTGGAGCGGGACAAGGAAGATCAAGAAGATGCATCGAGTCTAGGCAGATGATGGCAGTAGCCGAATGCAGGTCGATCCAGATTCTTCAGGACTTGTCGTCGTCTTGGAAGACCTCCAGATCGACCCCGAATATGGGAATTTGGCCTTGGAAATTCCGTCGATCATCTGTCAACTAGTCAACTCCGCTTCGCCAATCTGCCAGCATGAGATCCCACTAACTCAGTCAGTCGACCGTGCACTGGCTCCATCGTCGTGGACCACTCAGGTCAAGAGATATATGACGATCTCGGTGGCCATTCAGACCCAAAATTGTGGCTGAGTCGTTCCGCGGACGAGGCTGTCATGATGAGGTTCGAACGTGCATTTCAAAGAAAACACATGCTGGGCACCCACGGCACTGTACTCAGTCGTCATTCCTGACGCAGCATGCCCACCGTACAAGCTGGGCCCCCACGTCGACCGAATGTGTACCACAGTATCGTGCCTGTCAAGCCTTCTCCATCAGAAAGATGGAATCTTCTATTCGGGGACACGGGCACCACGGGTCACTTTGCATGACCCCACCCATGCCAATACCCGATCACAACGTTTACCATGATGTGCTCGATCATACCAGGTCGGAAATTGTCCTTGCTGCTGGCCGTGAGGAACACAGCTAACGACGGTCCCTGCAAGTTGTAATCGCCAAGCAAATCAATATTGCCAAAGTTGGCTTCACGTCATGCGCAATGGGAAACACTGAACGAATGAATACATACGACGCGTTGCTATTCAATCTGGCTCACCAGCAGCTCGATCTCACCTCGAGACCACCGTAGATATTGCTCTCACTTCTTGACCTTTTCAAATCCCACGAAATCGGGAAGGGTGGCCCTAATCTCTGCATGGTACGCAGGTATTCCCCCAGCCCAGTTGGTCTGTTCGAAAGCCTTGTCGGGCTTACTGCCACCCATGTACGTAGACTTGGTGGTTGGGAACAGGCTGATATCAGACAATGCGTTGATCTTCTTTTTGTAGGCCGCCTGGGCCTCGGCCGTGGGATTGATGTACTTCAGACCTTGGCGTTCAACCTGCTTGATGGCATCAACAATCCATCGACCTTGAACCTCGACTGTTGTTGGGCCATTGCTCAGCAGTGTTGGTCCCCTACAATGCGTCAGCTAGTATGCTCATACCGACAGAACCACAACATGCAGGATATGAGGGAATAGGGCTGTTGTGCCAGAGTATACTTACTGAGGTCCGTAGAGATGGAACATATTGGGATAGCCGCTGATGGTTGTACCAAGGTACGTGTAGGCAGCCTTCTTCCACTCGTCTTGAAGCAAGGTGCTGTTGATGTTGCGCAATCCCATTGCTGTCATCCCACCTAGAAGGCACATGTCAGCTCACGAAGCTCGACTGTTGCGCACATAACTACCTGTCACGATATCAAAACCAGTGGCAATGCAAATGACATCAAATTCGTGTTCGGTGCCATCTTTCAATTTGATTCCTTTTTCCGTGAACTGCGAAATGGGATTGTTCTTGATGTCGACCAGCTCAACATTCTCACGATTGAATTGCTCATAGTAGTTGAGTTCGAGACAAGGACGCTTGACGCCGAATGGGTGCGGTGGCTCCAAAGGTGCGAGGAGATCTCGAGTTTTGGCATCACCCACCCTGTAACGGACATTTTTGGCCCAGAAGTTGTAGGCCTCACGGTTGGCCTTCGCGTCAAAGAGGTAGTCCTTATAGTTTCCGAGCCAGAAGCGGAACCCACCATCTGCCCAGAGCTTTTTGTAGAAGGCTTCACGTTCGGCAGGAGTATCCTCAAAAGTACCCTTTTCGGAGAAGGTGTACAGAAATCCACCAAAGCATTTTTCGCGGAGGCTGAAGAGCTCCGGGTACATTGGCTTGAGCTCATTCTGCTCTTCGGCTGTGAGAGCCCGTTTTCTCATTGGCACGGCGAGATTCGGGGTACGCTGAAAGACTTTCAAGCTTCTCACGTTAGGACCCCATTTTTGAACACTAGAATGAGTTAATTCTTGAGACAATATTCCTGGATTGGAGATTTGGGTAAGTACATTTGCACACCACTTGCACCCGTTCCAATCACACAGCACTTCTTGTCTGAAACATCGATGTTGAGATCGGGCCAGAACGAGGAGTGATGGCAGATGCCTTGGAAATTGTCGATGCCAATGAATTCATCGGGAACATAGCGTTTGGCAGCAAACCCAGCAGCGATAACGAGATATTTGGTCTTGGTAGTACGTCCATCGGCAGTCTTGACGTGCCAGCGGCCTTCGTCAGTGTTGAACTGGGATTCGACGACAACACTATCGAACGCCGTATGACTTTTGATGTCCAAGACTTTGTCGCAGTGATCGAAATATGCTCTGAGGTCTTCGTAAGTCGGATAGTTGGATGGCCAGGTCCAGTCCTTGTATGTCTCTGGGATGGACAGTTGATATTCTGGGATCTTGTATCATGTCATTAGGTCACTCTATGACCATAGATTCACGGATAACGAACCTCGGAGTCGACCATTGCGCCAGGGTAACAGTTCCAACGCCATGTTCCTCCAAGATCGTTGCCGGCTTCGTAGATGACAGTCTTGAAGCCCGCCTTCCTCAATTCGTAGAAGCAGAAGACTCCTCCAAAACCACCACCAACGACAAGGGCATCCACCTCGAGATTGTCCGCATAGGGACCGGTCTTGGATCTCCTGCGTCCATAATCTCGAAGCTCGGTGGTGATATGAGGCATTGTGAATAGCTAGCTTGACTTTGCTGCACGGTAAGTACTGTTTCAGACCACTATTCCCCGCGGAGACAACAAAAGCTCTCGAAACCATTTATACGGCATCGGTAGTGACATCGTGCTTCGAGGCACTGAACAATATCCCCACCTTGTCATCTCGATTTGCGGATCAGCTCAGCACACGGATCCGCCAGAGTTGTGAGCTGTGCACCGACGTGCTTCTCCGCAACAGCTAGCATCATCAGTTTGCCAACGGCCTGTGAGAGCCCCTGTTTGCAAGCTAAGCAAGACATCCCGCACCCTTGTGCTCACAGCTTGCTGCCATACAAGGGACAAGGATGTGTCTTCCCCTCTCTCCTCCTATTTCTCCGCTTCACATGCGGAACCGCCATGCAACAACGACGACAACAGCGACAATGCCCGTAACTTGCAACGAATCACTTGCGATCTCTCTCTTACCTTTGCAGTTCTTTCCTCCGTGCGGAGTGTCACTGGAGAAGGGAGTGCAATGTCCCTAAAGCCATTCGTCGTAGGAGTAGACGCGGTTACAGAGATCGATGTGGCTAGCGGCGATTTGGAAACATGTCGCTACATTACGGATCTTATCAAGAGATCCGTGTGACATAGATGAGTGTAGGTTGATGCCGAGGCAGGAGATTGAATGAAGCGAAGTCGACTTTCTGTGATAGATACGACGTTCACGAGGCCTACTGAGAAATGCCAAGAATGCGGCAGGCGGTGGTATGGGTCGATGTACTACTGCGGACTGCATTTACCACAACAATCGATCCTTCCCGCCTTGTAGACACGCTCGAGGACATCATGAAAAGGAGCTTCACTTGCTCGATATCCATAGTTGTTTCGTAGTTGCTTCCAAAGCTCGCAATGGCATTCTCAACTACCTTTATATTGGAGCTATTCTTGGACCTGCAATGATGAATACTTTTCTCTCAGGGGTGAAAGCTGTCAGGCCTTGCGTTACGCGTCTCGCAGACATTTTCTCAAGAACTGCGCCGCCAGATATGCCATATCCGACTTGTTCGCCAGATTGAGTAGTCCCTCAATACAGTAGCTGCATCGCCTCCTGGCCAGATACTTCGTATCATCGGAGATCGACGAGGTCCTGTCCCGCCATTCGTTGGAGGAATCTAATTGACTGACAAAGACATAGCCCGCTCTGCTGAATGATTGAATGAGTACAACGGTCCATGGCTCTGACAACAAGGCAACTTGGTTGACCGGGTAGGTGAACTCTCGTGCTCTGGGAAATGACAGACTTGGACCATGCAGGGAACATCGACACAACTCGGAAACAGTGGTTGCATTCTTCCTCCTCATGTCGTTGGAAAAATCCGTTACCCGTCGTACATGTCGCTGGAAGGCTTGACTTAGGCCAGCACCATCCATTTCCTCGACAACATCAGCAAGCAACATGGCTCCTAGATGCCAATGTCCGGCCAAAACGATGTACCAAGATTGGATCCGGGGTGGCAGCTCGTGGTGATTGGCGATGCATTGGGAAATAAATTTCCCGTATGATCTGTTCCAATAAGCATATACCCCGAGTGTGTCTTCTAGCGCAGATTCAAGTGCGTCGCCAGCAACCCGTCTGGACATCAATTTCTGGATTCGGCCCACCTTGCGGAAGAGGAGGACCTTGACTGGCGCCGCGTCGCACAGGATTGCTGCGGCCTCCTCCAAATCGAAATGCCACTGATCTTGACTCTGAGCTTGCAGACTTTGAGGACACTCTTTGTCAAGAAACAACGTCCCCCACAGATCTCTTGACAATGTTTTATGATGTCCCACGTCCGGTGAAACAGGTTCCCATCCATCTAAGTCAAGAGCCTCGGCGGAGTAGTCGAATCTGCCACTCCAATCCTGGATACATGCGTCGTCAGATACGTCCCATGGATCGGATGTGTCAATGCTACTGTCCTCGTCCGACACGACCAAAGGACGTTGTAGCATCGCCGCGGATATGGTGTCGAACATGATGGCAAGCCAGGACAGAAGTTTGAAGGTCTCGCGATGTTCACGACTCGGGACGAGCCTGCGAGCCGGCGCTTGCTCTAGACCGAAATGCCCATGGGGACGCAGAAGCTTGGCTCGTTTGGTCTGCTGGCGCTCGGATTGTTCCCATTTCCAGCGAGAAGATATCAATTGTCTCGACGCTGCTTCCAGAAAGATTGGAGGACCGTCTGCATTCAGGATGTCTTGCAGTTTCTGCCACTTGGTCAGAGCCTCCCCTTCTTCTGGCAGCGTTGTCAGCTCGCTTTGGATATCACGGGCTGCGCCGTCTTCATTGAATCCCGATCTGCTCAAGTCGTGCGCCCAGTCTTCGAAGTTGAGCGGCCGCTGAGTCAGTGAGAAGATGATGTTCGCAAATGCCACTCGGTAGGACTGAACACCCGCAGCGTTTTGCAATGCTTGCCGCGCCTGGTTCCACAGCATTTCTTGAACAGATCTTCCAAACCCATCAGCAGATGGAAAATTCATTTCCTCATGCATACTTGACATCGAGGCTGCTGATGAGGCAAGGTCTCGCATATTACCCCTGGCACCAGCCTGGGCCCACTGAACTCCGAATGCCATAACCGCAGCGTGCAATGCTTTTCCGGCGACGGAATTCTCTGTTTTACTCAAACTTTTCCCAGGGATATCATTCATGAAACGATCCAGGTTACACACTCTTGTGTATATTCTGTTCGACCACTGGGTCCCCCATACGCCGGAGCCGCCGTTCGATGACATGTGATTGGTGCCGGAGGGCTTCGAAAGAGTGTAGGGGCAATTCCTCTCCGTCAGCCAACACGACAGAGCGTTCTCGAAGCTGTCGTGATACACTCGCAACCAATTTTGTGCCAGCAACCACCGGTTGGTGCCCGATGCTAAGTCGTCCCTGTGCAGTAACAAAGGTGAAGCTTGGCCGTACAAGAAGTTGGAACCTGATGCTCCGTCCCAGTCAGCAAATCCAAAGAGTGTACTCTCGCTCTCGGGTCCGCAAGATCTCGCATTGTTGAGACCTGTGTCGGCTTGCGAGAAGTCGAGGTCGAAATCTTCGAGATCTTGGGCAGTCTCATAAGGAATGTGGATGCCGCTGATCGAATCCTCGGCGAGCATGTTATCTGTCCACCATACCGGGACCGAAGCAGGCTGCTCTCGGTCATGGAGTGGACTTTCTCCTTGAGCCACCTGACTGTCTCCGTGGCCGAGGATGTCCGGAACCTCGACCCAGGAATCTATCCCAGGATCATCGAGATTCGGATTGAAATCCCAAGTCTGTATTTGTGGATTCGATCCCGAGAAGCCTGGTGTACTCCGGACAGTCGGAGCCTGTGTCAGTTGAGGAGGACTGGTTTGCGATATTGTCCGTTGCTGTGGCGGTTCAATGCTGTCGTATTGCTGCTGTCTTTTCTTACTGGCATTGGTCGCCTTTGGCAGGACATCTTCGAGCCATTCAAACGTGCAATCTCGGCCCGTCTTCTGGCAGTTGGAGCATTTCGATGCAGAACTTCGCAGCCTCTCTCGCTGTTCCGCAGGCTTCATATATGAAGGCTGCAACTTCACTGCACCTACAACGGGCGCCTCCACTCGATGAGCAGCATCGCAAGCGCGCTTGGCTTTCCGACATTGATCACAGCTGCTGTGCTGTTTGCGACGAGCCCTCTTGATCACGACATTTCGCTGTTCCATTGTGGAAAGACAACAAGGTGACTTGAAGTGGGGATGACCGCTCTGGCTTCGGAGGTGAAGTACACTGACACATTTGTCGGTCATGCCCATGACAAGTCCTAGATAATCCGCCATCGATCTTACCGGCTTGTCCGCTCACCTCCCGCGAGCCGGTCAAAAGCACGGTCTGACCGAAAGGGAACGCCACGTCCTTTGGACGGCCAGGCACCTACCAGGGCTCTCAAGGACACTGTGCTTGTGCCGGGTTAGAGACGTACAAAACTGCTGCAAATATTTCCTTCTCCGTTAGAACTCGATGGCGAACAGGTCTTGCAGTATGAATCTACTCATTACAGTACGGTCCAGAAAGATATCGTCCCAGAGGTCAAGAAGAGTACTTGATGATAAGAGGACATCCGTAGTATCCCAGGGTCAGACCATGCCATTTTTCATGGCCCGTACGGAGACTCGCCAGTTCGTCCGCATGGCCTCTATCCTCAATGGCTCTTGACCCCGCAACGAGCAACACAAACGCGGGGAAAAGGGATCATTGTGCATATCGAGATGATGGGCCTTACCAGCAAAAGGCACATATCGACAGTCTCTCCTCCTCAGGTTGCCGACCTCTTCCGATCGAGGAAAAACAAGAAAGAGGGGTACTTTGTAGGGCCGGGAAAAGTTGTCCAAACTGAATGGTCAGCTCGAAACAGTCTAGTCTCAAGACAACAAGTCCATCACTTGAGGTCAAGCTGTGAAGGAGGTGGACAATCTACCCGCATCTTCCAGAAGGAAGCAGATGGACGGGTGGCACTGCCAATGAGCCGTGGTTGAGGCAGAGATCACATTGCTTTTCTGAGGCCAATATTAATGGCACTTCTTGATCGGCGAAGCGGCTTGGTGCCGAGAACCAGCATCACAAGGAGAAGTCACTGATTCCCCAGCAAGCCTCGTCCGTCACTGGCTCCTTCTTCGTGGACATCTTGGGTTCGATCTCAAAGAGCATACTCTGTGTTTTATCCATCAGCCGATCGCTGATGGCGTCTCGGGCGAAAAGGTTTGCGGCTGAAATAAATCAGACCAGCCGCTCGTGAGGCTTCACAACCCGGAGTACTGCAGCCATTATTGCGCTAGGAAGATATCGTGCGGTCGGCCATTGATTCTAAACCTCAAGGTACCGCGACTTACATTAACTGAAAGATGCGTTGCAGCTCGTGTTTGACAGCAGCTCAAGATTGAGGTGACAACCAACAGCAGGTTTGGTCCAGAAGACTAGGTTTTTTTGGACGAGAATTTTTTACCGTTCAACTGCTGAAAGCACCTGCAGTATGCCGAGTATGTGGACACTCTTGTCCTTGTTGCAAGTTTTGTTGCCATCAATAGCATGTCAGCTTCTGCGAGGAAAGACAGGCGGTGAGCCAAAGCAGCTCAGCGCTGCATGAGGCCGACGGCTTAGAAGGGTTTCCTGCAGGGTACTTACCTACTCCAGTGCCTTTTCGTTGACCACCATTTCCGGCCAGGCAACATTTGCGAATTGCCGAAGAAAGAATATGCATGTTATCCGATGGCGGTCAGAGTATGCTGTAGGACCTTGCATTTATATGGAATGGACATACTTGTCGTGGAGCCATAAATCTGTCTTCCCTCGAGTCTCGCAGTCCGGCTGTCTCCTCATCACCCGATCTTATGCCGGCCATCCTGGTTCATGCGGCTCAAAGGCTCACCGGCGCAAGCCACAAGCAGCCATAGGGCATTTTCAGGAGTGTGGACGAGTTGGCGGCGTGCGGAAATCGCGTGACAATGAAGAGCATCTTCTTTGGTCAAGTCTCGTCCAGATTTCCACGATACGAAATGCCTGGGACGCACCACAGACTCCCAGGATATCAAAAGAAGCCTGTCGGAGGCGAAATATGCAGACTAAGAGGTGACAACTATTTGACCCATCCGCTCCCGAACACCTTTGCCCCGGCACGATGCCTCTCCTGAACCTTCTTCTTTGGTTGCGAGCCGGGACTAGCGCCAGGCAGGCAGAAGTCTCGCCACTTAGCAGGCACCGATCGGCAGAAGCCACTGAATCCCCCAGGAGGAGAGTGCATCACAATCCTGGTCGGCTTTCTCATTACCTGGAGGGACCTTTCTCACCCCGTATAGGCTGAGAAGGGTGCAGATGGGTGCAGATAGTACCACCCCTTCACCTCGACGAACCGGGTCTTGCAGGAGCAGCACATGCCAGGTCAATGCTAGTGGACTCTCCCATACGCAACGAAGCTGCTGTCGAGTGCTGGCTGTCACCAGGGGGTTGCTTCTCTTCGGGGTGCTTGTAGCCACAACGCACCCTGTCTCACCTCGTGATCGTGTTCATGCAGAGACCCCAGTCTCCGCTTGCTTTGTGTTCGGCTGCCTTCTTCAACGAGCCCTTCACATCATGACAAGTTGCGCCTTTGCAACGGCTACCGAAAGAAACCAATGCAGACGCCCGCGGCCCCAAAGCGTCCGTCATTTTCTTGACTGTTGAAGGATGCTTGTGCAAAAGGCAACCAGCTCCACCTACATCCGACGACGCCTCCCTAATTTCGCGGACCAAGATATGCCTGTTCGAGCTGAATCTGCAGGCATCACGGTACACGATCCTGTCTGAAGGCATTTCTTCAGCACTACAAGCTCCAGACAGCATCATTAAACAGCTTCTACTTGTTTGTTTCGGTCCAATATCAGCTCCCAACAACCAGGCATCTCCACGATCCATGGCTGGGCGGTGGCAAGCAACCGACATATCACTCATTTTGTACGAAGAGCCCGCTATCTGCGAGTCTGCGACACCACTTTTCAGAAGTGGGTGGGCATGCGCCAACCCACAGACCTGAATTGTCGAAGAACCCGGGCTGCTCGATCTCTAAACCTCGAACAGTCGTTTTCAGCAGTAGTCCTGTAACATCCTCTGTTCACAACTGAACAACAAACGAAATCCTGGCCTCTAGCAACCTACAGTTGTGCCCATCATGCCTTCACCGGGTCCCTTCCCTTCTGAAATCGCAGCCTGATCGTTCTTTTAGTGCATGCTCTATACATCCCGCTCCCGTCTGTGACCATGCCGGCGAGTGGGTTTCGAAGCTGCAGGAAATGATCAACGCAGTGCATGAAGATGATTCGGTTGAACATTGAAGATCCTTCGTGCTTACGTTTTGAAAAGGATTTTTGTTGTTGATGGACTTATCTCCGTGGCTGGGGTCGGCCAATACAAGATTTTGTTGTTGGCACATTTCTCAATAGCAGGAGTAAGAATGAAGACTGGCTATTCGATATATTTGCTTCTACTGGACCCGAAGGGAAGCTGAAGCGTTATCATAACCTATTGGGCGTAGCTGTGAAGATTGCCTGTGACGACGGCGTGTGCAAGCAAAAGGAAGAGATTAGCAATTTTAGGCGATGCAAACATCTACCAATATTACCGCAGATGTCGAGTGTTTGCCATTCTTGTACACTGGTTGGATGGCTGTCGACGGTTTACATTTCGCCCTACTGTACAAATACCGGGGTGTATCCTTGCATCATCATCACCATCACCATCACTCGCCAAAGTGTTCGGAAATATGAGGCCTCAAGTGAAGCCAAAGACACTGCTGAAGCTTCTGCACCCAGCTCGTCAAGCCATCAAGCAGTATGCACGAGCAAACATGAACCTTCCGGTACCGCCGTCTTATCAGAACCGAGCCGTCCTTCTACCACGGGGAACTCATCTGATTGTTTGGGGTTGTGACGACTTCATCTGCCGAGCTTGGAATCCTTAGCGAGCAACATTCAGCTCGCCACTACCTAGACTTGACCCCTCGCACATGAACGGTCGAGGCAGTCCCAATTCCATATGATTTCCTGCAACATAGAGCTGCCCCAACCGATGTAAATCCACCGCAGTCTTAATTCACCTATGATCATTCTGAATACCACTTTTTTTCCGCGTATGAAAGAAATAGGAGCTGTTGCAGAAGCTCCCAAGAAATTTTGGGCATCGACCACCGGGGGTCGTCTGGTACAGGTACAAGGTGGAATGTATCGAAGAAAACCGTCCACTGGAGGGGTGTATTCAAGAAAGGATAGGCCGTCGCAGAAGGTCAAGGGCGTCGATGTAGCCTCTGCCAAGGACGATTTCACATCATTTGATCTTGTGTCATGCCACCAGTAGCTTCTTGACCTTCCATTTCGTTCCCGTTGGCGTTGGTATACTTGACAAATGTCAATCCGAGGGGACGACCGCCGTACATGTAGCCGGTGAACTTTGCTATAAGAGAGTTAGCTTTAATCCTCAACATTGACAACAAACTCACAGATGGCAGTCTCAGCATTTTCTGGGCTGTCGAACTGAACCACTCCAGTTCCCTTGGATCGTCCGTTCGCCTCGTACTGGATCTCTGCACGTTCGACCTTGCCAATAGTGGTGAACAGTTCGACCAGATCTTCGTTGCTGGTGGACCATGGAAGCTGAAGATTGTCAGTTGGAGCGCAGGCAAATGAGAGGAGCATGATACTCACGTTTCGAACGAAGATGATCTCACTCCGTTCACCTCCATAGGTGGCGTTGTCGGTGAAGGGGTTTGGCGCAACTGGCTCCTGAGGAGCACCGGGGCCACCGTATCCTCCTCCCCCACCGCCACCACCACCACCGTAGCCACCTCCATATCCACCTCGTCCATAGCCACCGCCTCCGAAGCCTCCGCGCCCGCCAAATCCTCCTCTGCCACCACCGAAACCACCGCGCATGCCGAAACCGCCTCCATAACCCCCGCGGCCACCATAGCCACCACCCATGCCAGGTCCACCTCCTGCGTATCGATCTTCACGAACCTCGAGGGCTCGACCGTGCCAATCGTAGCCGTTGTATTGTTGGATAGCGTTGCGAGCATCGTTAGCGGATTCGAACGCGACAATACCAGTACCTTTTGGTCGACCTGTTTGATCCGTGTGGACATCGGCCCGGATGACACCTCCTTCCTGTGCTATAACATGTGAGACATGTCGTCAGTGCTTCATCAGAGGTGGAGACATACCAGCGCCTCGGAACAAATCTTTCAGGTCTTGCCAACCAACGTTGAAAGGAAGCTGTTCGGACGACATTAACAATGACCCCCAAGGCAAAGCTTACACAGGAGTGAGGAAACAAACATTGGACACGTAGAGTTGACGGCCTCCGCCGCCACCACCACCGCCGCCATAGCCATCGCCGCCGTATCCTCCCCCGCCGTAACCTCCTCGTGGAGGGCCGCCCATGTTGCCTCCGCCGCGGCCTGGCGGTCCGATGAATCGAGGTTCAGTTTCGCGGTCCTAGTTGTAAAACGCCGCAGTCAGTGGCGCAATGACAAGAACAGACAATAGAAGGATTGCATACCTCGCGCACATAGACGAGACGTCCCATCAGGCTCTGATTGCTGAGTGTTTGAATAGCTTGTTGGGCTTGATCCCTAGTTGCGTATTCCACAATCCTGCAACGACAGTCAGAAGACGATGCGCAAAACAAGGTAGTAACAACATACCCGCATCCCTACAAAACCCGTGGACCAGGTCCAACCCGTCAATCCAGCGTCCAACAAAATAAAACCAAAAAAGAAAGACCAGTAGAACCAGCCGCATCACACAATGGCGCCCACCTTCGACATTCCATTTGGAAGTAGTAAGACATCAGCAAAGAGAACTTCTCCAGCTGTTCCTTGGGTCAGCCTTGACTTGAAGAAATTGTCTCTCAATGTAACTGACCCTGTCTCATGAAATCTTTGAGATGATGCCATTTGACGTCGTAAGCCAAATTGCCAACATAGACTCGGCGGTCTTGCTGAGATGATTCGCGCACCGATTGCATCATTTGCTCTTTTGCAGCAGCACGATCTTCGGTGGATCTGGGTGGTCCGCCGCCTCTACCGCCGTAGCCTGACCCTGCGTATCCTCCTGACGAGTTTGGTGCACCACTCATGGGACTTCGGGATCGGCGTTCACTGCGTCGGTAGTCGTCGCCTCGACTGCGAGAGCGGCTACGGGGAGAGTAGGAGCGTCGGGTTCGTCGAGGGCTGCGCGAACGGCGACGGGGTGAGCGAGATCGGTCTCTCTGTTGGGGATAGTCAGAAAAATGTCTGGTCAACGTGATCATACTGCGCGCGAAGTGAGGTTGAATTTAAAGGATGCGCAGGTGAAGTGAAGACAATGTCGCACGTGAAAATGAGGGCTCGTGTGATTGTTGGGCAGGTGAATGTGCGGTGAATTTCGCCTATTCGTTTCGGTTGTTGCTGGTGAAGGGCATAAGGCGGAAGTGGAGTCCCAGGCCAATTGACAATGGCTTCAAAGTGAATTTGCACTTCACCTCGATTCCGATTCGAACCATTGACGGTTTCGATCTGTACGCGAGACGAGAAATTGTGTCACTTACTGTACGTCCAAACAGTTAGCCAAGTAACAATCTCAACCAAGAAATGATCGGATGATGAAAAGAACGGTGAAGGATGAGGTGGACAAGGACGAGATTGACGCAGCGAAGGTGAACAAAGCAGAATTTAGGGCAAGACAGGGTGATGAGGCCACGGGCCAATGCGGAAAAGGGAAGGGCAAAACTGGGGCAGAGGGACTGATGAATAGAAACGCACCCATGATGAATGACTGCCGAGAGGTAGCTGCGGCGGGTTTCAACTGTTGAGCTCTACGAGATCAGGATTGCATGCACGAGAATGCAGGAGGAGAGGGGTCTGGAGGCCAGCTAACAAGGTTCCTCGAGTTGTACAAGGGCTGTCAGGACGGTTCTGAGAACGCGAGCAGCTCGATTTGTCTCGGTGAATGTGGAGCGCGTCGCAAAGCCACGAAAAGATCGGAGATAGAGTGGCAGGATTTTGTTCGAATCTGACAGAGCCTCAGCGTTGGGCGTCTTGAGGACAGGAAGTTGCAGGACGCACGTCTTCCCGGCTGCAGCTTGACTGTATGGTCGGATAGAATTTTCGCAGAGCGAGCACAAACAGTGAGAATGGCGGGGCCGAAGTAAGAACAAGTTAGAGCGAGAGCTCCAGTGGAGATGAGTTCTCGTAGGCTTGCAACTTGCTGCTGTGCACAGGAGCTGCTATTGGATGTCGGCGTCTTGATATGGTGTGCGGAGGAGTGGTTTCTTCCTGCAGTATGATGCGGTAATGGGAATCCCTGTACGCGCAATGTCAATCAGCATCATTCTCAGCATCTTTCGACTTTCTTTCTTTCTCCGGTGCGTTGTTTGCCTTTCGCCAACCTTCGACAAGGCAGCCTCGGCTTGTCCAACCTGGGATTGGTGCAGGTTCTTTGAATCCTTTTCTCTTCCAAAGTTGGGGGATAACTGACCAATCCGAAACAGCAGTCGCAGAAGACTAGGGGTCTTGCGTCAGAACAGTTCGAGCAAGGGCTTGTTCGGAAGGAATACCCAGTGGAGATCGTGGTGCAGGGAGGTACTGGGTTGGTGTTGGATGTCCCTGTTTGCGATGGAGTCAGCAACAAGCACTCGTCCTTTTGGGGCCTAAACCGCAAGATGGGCCCGTGTGTCCGAGCAAGGCAGGGGATTAGAAGGCGCAGGAATCGGGCAAGATACCGTTGGGAGGGCGAGGGCTTCGATGGCTGCAGCTACTTGCGGACACGGCGCAGGAAGATGGGTGAGGAGAGGTGCAGGAACAACGTGTGTGACGGGCGCGATTGGAAGTTGGAAAGAGACGTCTGTTCCGTGAGTGGGTGGAGGCCTTGGCGGCTAGCAACAAGGTGACTCGGTGACTCGGTGACTGTGGACTGTCGAGCCTGCATCGATGCACTCTACTCTGCCTGTCAACACTCTCTTCACACTTTTAATCCATCACATATCTCCTGCCCACTCACACAATATGCAAGCCACTGGCATCCGCCGTCGCATGCCCCTGTTCCCCTGGAGCGAGATTCATTCCAGCCGACAATCAAGGAGCTACAATTTTTGGTCAGCCAAGCTCGTGCTTTGAGTCTCTATGAGCTAGGAATGCACATCTTTTTGAGTTGTTGCGATACGACAATTTAGCTGCAGCCTTTGTCTTTCGACTCGATGTGTCAAGCTTAAACCATGATCCTCAATTTTGTTTAGCCTTGCATCTCACCCTAGCGTTGCACCCACCTATGCACGCCCGGTGAGCTCTATTCTCTTGTTGCTTTTGGCTTGGGCATGGCTGGTCCCGCGAGCTCTTCTACCCTGACTGATAGCTATGCTTGCTATAGCTGATTTGTCTTTTTGGAGCACGCATCTTCCCGCACAATACGGAATTCGACAAGCTTTAAGACCTGAGGCTGTCATCACATTCTTGTCCTTTACTAAACCTCCCGTGCGGAACCTCGGCGAGTCTACATCTCTCAGTCGCCTATTTCAGTTACTGAATCATACGACGATGCCCAAACGGCCGTTAATTGTGGAGGAGCATCTGGCAGTCCCAATGGTGGTCTTTCGAAGGCCCTGTCACCCAGCACCGAAGGCGTTTTTCAGTTGACATCAATAATGACCAGGGCGTGCACATAGCCTAAAAAAGCCCCGCTGCTGGCATTTTGCCGTTCTCTGAAGGCCATTTGCAATGATCGGCACTACGGACCATGATAAGTGGTGCCAGTATTACGTGGGCACGCATGGGCAACAAGCGGAGGGACTCTCACATGCATCCCGGCCGGCTTTTACGCACACGAGGGGTACGATCTCGGCGAAAGAAGAAATCATCCCTAGAGCGCGTAGGTGCTGAGGTATTTAATTATGCATCTCGCGAACTTAAGCATCATGAGGCGTCCATCATTGGCCTCGCCGTACTTCCTTTCAGGTCGGTTGGAGCCAGCCACGGTGGCGGCCAGGGATAGTGTAACTGCCTTCAGAACGGAAGCGGGGAGAATAGCTCTTGCAGCAAAAGGAACAATTCCAACCATCGGCCATACAACCAAACCAATAATGACCCAAGCGGCCAAGGTTCCGGAACTTTAGATGATGGACCGTTATGGCTATTCCCACGCCAGCTCGTCCACTGTGCGTACGCGGCAGCTGCTCATGGGCAAAGCAACAAGTCTCGTGGCTCATGATGTTCCAATCATTCTTCCATGCACTTACCGGAGGTATCTATACCTTGGTGTAATGGTGGCCAGCCGATAAAAAATGGCCGGTGATGCCGTGCCTGAAGTGGCCCGAGAGCCGATAAGGCTGAGTGGAAAAACCAACACTGCTCCTCTGAATCGACTAATAATAACTGGTCGTCGCTCACTCATGTCCTGCGTCCGCAATGTCGCAAGCAAGCCACATGTTTTTAGCCTCGACCTAGCCTTCAAAGGCCAACTCGTGCAGCCGGGCCCGCGGACCGTTGTAGATCGCCTATTATTTGTCCTTGAATGCACATCATTTTCGTTATCGCTTAACCAGCTTTGGCAAGCTTCCAAACCTCAACTGCAACATTCCCACGCAAAAACACCATGGCGACGTCTCAGCGAGCTGTTTCGACTGTCAGTAGACGCCTGATAGCAACATGTGCAACAGCATGCCGCCTCCAATTCCCGGCTTCGCAGCTGCGGCGATCCTACTTCTCCATTCATCACCCTGATCGTCCTCCGTTCCCTGAGACCCAAGATAAAATCCTTGCCGCTGCGATCGCCCGCGTGCCGGAATATGGATTCACGGAAGAATCACTGGTGTTGGGTGCTATAGATGTGGGCTATCTCGATGTGACTGTCCAGCTATTCCCGCGCGGCGTTTCCGACCTAATCCATTACCATCTTGTCACGCAAAGACTCGCATTGAAGCACAATGTACAATTCCCAGAGGGTATTCACTTAGGGTTGGGAGCCAAGATCAGAACTTTGGTAATGGCACGGTTAAGAGCAAACGCGGATATAATTCATCAATGGCAAGGAGTAAGAATGAAATGAACATGCGCCGATGTGAAGAGTAACCATTGACGCCCTTTTACAGGCACTTGGACATATGTCCCTCCTTGGAAACATACCAGCCTCCCTACAAGAACTTAACGCTCTGTCCGATGAAATATGGTATCTCGCGGGTGACACCGCGGTCGACTTTTCCTGGTACACCAAACGGGCATCATTATCCGCAGTCTATGCCAGCTCAGAAATGTTCATGACCACAGATAAAACGCAGGATTTTGCAGCTACTGAAGAGTTCCTGAATCGTAGACTGGAAGATGCACAAAACGTGGGAAGCACCGCAGGTGGCTTCTCGCAGTATGTCGGATTCTGGGCTGGCAATACTATCAACGCCGCGAGATCTTGGGGAATGAAGGTGTGACCTACTGTCAATACTCACTACCGCGAAGGTAACGGGACTGATATGGTCGACGGAGATCTCATACTTCCTACGGTCAAAGATTCCTGGGTCTTTGAAGAGGAGACACACTCATTCCAGCCTTCCCTATATCACAACTGGGCCGGAGTCCCGTACTCAGGATGACTACGGCTGTTGCTCATCGCCGTGAATAACAGTTCGAATATGGCCCAATTGAGCGATCCATCCTATCAATCTACACTTTTACATGGAAGGGAAGTACTGCGGCACCTCTTTCCAAATGACCACATCATGAGATGAGAATGACTGTGCCGTCAAACAGTCCACCGCTTCGCCAAAGCTCTGAGCGCAGCCGATATGTTGTCCACAGCCAAAAACTGATTTTCAGAGACCTGTCAACCTCGATCAACCAGTCAATTGGTGTCTTTTGCATCGCTTCAGGCACTTTGTTGCAAGCTCTCGGGCAGCACGGCCTTGACTATGCGGCCAAGTCGATGGCGTCGCAAGCATTGAGGCATTCTGGCATGGGGCCGGTTGCCTCTAGCGTCACCATAGGCTGATACAAAATCCTGGGGTTTGAGAGCATGGGCTCAAAAAATCTCGGAGTGGGCGTATTGGGTCGTTGAGGTGTATGTGTCCAGAGTCCTTGTCGGCCCGAAAGCCTCTCAAGCAGACATTCACTACTTGTGAGCCTTTATACCGCAACCTCTTTGGGGCTTGTATACTATGGAAGGGTAGAACGGGTGCCAAAAAAATTTGCTGATAAAGTCGTGAAGTACTCCAGCCTCAACATGCGTGCGGTGAAGCATTTCGCGTCTTGTGCAAGGCTCGATTAAGGCAGCTTCGTCCCGACTCGAAGTATGCTAGAAATCTTACATAGAAATGGACAAGACCTGGTATCGTGGTAAAGCCAGAACTCGAATCTGCTGTTCGAGTGATCAAAGGTTGTGCTGCTGAAAACCAGCCTCCTATAGGACCAAACGTCCGCCAGAGTCCCACCCTCTGTATCCTACAGCCCCGAGCCACTCATTCACGCACCACACCAGGTAGCCAGATGTTCATATTGCTCATTTAGTGTCATATCAGCTACCAACATGCAAGCCTCACCATCTAAAGCCCGGGCTGAAGCCCTCGAATCCCACTCGTGGTCGCTAGTTCTGACGTGGCTTTCAACGCTGTGTCATCCGTCACCAATCCCGTCGTTCGAGCGCGATGCTACCACGCTCAAAGCCTTGCAGAAACTCATGACCGAGAACATTGCCGCAGAGAAGTGGAGAGACCTGCTGTTTCTAGCACAGATTGAGGGACTGGCCTTCCATCAGCAAGAACGCCTCCATCACGGCACAAGCTCCGAAAACGAGGCGGAATCTCTTCTTCATCTCCTTGCCCTTTCGCTCCCGGCATCATCGAAACCTTCACTTGACTCTCTGTCGGCCTCAGCAGTCTTGCTAGGCTGCTTCCACTCAGCTACGCTACAGACGTCAATTCTGGAGAGTCTACAGTCCCAGATCCTCAGCCTTCCAGGCCAAACCTTCGCGCTTGCAACACACCTTTCGTGCATCGACAGTCTCAACTCCAATATCCGAGAAGAGATCAGCCAATTCCAACGAACTCTTTCTGGTGCCTCGTCCTCTATTGGCCAACGTCGAGATCGTCTCGTGACGGATTCGGACGCGACCTCACTTTCACCACCCCGGACCCCAATTACGTCCACCTTTCCGACCGACGACAACGACGATGACGGTGAGGTTGGCATCAGGGAATCCTACTCAAGGCTACATGCCCAGACTCTTCGATATCAGCTCGAAACTAAGCAACTCATGCTGAAGTGCGCCGAATATACCGACCGCATTGCTGCGCTGGAGCGACAAATTTCATCCCGCAACGCCGGCTCGGACCGTCCGACCCTGGCCGACGTAGCTTCTAAACAGACGCTCATTGACCAGAAGAAACGTCAAGTCGAGACGCTTGAGATGAAGATCCTGGAGTTCCATGGACTACCACCCGACATTGACGCCAGTCGGGCGGAAGTTCAACGAGCGCAAGTGGAGTTGGACGAGCTGAAGAGGCGGAGGGAGGAGCTATTTGAGCGACTGAGCTCATAAGAAATGCTAATATTCGGTAAATTCATGGTCACTCTCGATCACCAGTCTCAAGGAGAGTGCAAAGCAGGCCAAAGAAAAACATGCCAGAGCTCTTCTGATTTCGCTACCTTGCTTTGCGCGAATACCTCTAGCGCTATTGCCGTGTCTAAACTCAAATAACTGGCATAGAACTCGATTCCTCAGGTGCCTGGTGTCAAAACACAATGCTGATCGTAGTTATACAAATCCTGGCCGAGATTCGCTTCGCACCGATATCAAACAACCGTGCCTAATCGCCCTCTTTTCAAAGGCGTCGATTTTTCCTCCTGCCTCGCTCTCTTCCTCGTCGCAACGATCTTATCTCTCTCCGCCTTGGCAGCAAGATACTTCTCCGTATGAGCGAGCGGCTGTCCATCTCGTCCTCGCACAACAGTATCTGGAAGAACGGGAGGTTGGGTGAAGAACAAGACACGGCCTTCGTCGTCCTGGGGAAACCGGTCACGGATGTGTTTAGGTATGGACTCATTGGCGATGTTTGAAAGAACATACACTTCAGCGCCGCGTTGATCCTGCATGTGCGTGGAGTATTGATTGTATGCTGTCGTCTGTGGCAATTGTGGACGGTTGTAAGCTTGCGAAGGTGTTGCGGCAGTATAATTGGTTGGGTGTGCTGCAGTCAGGCTTGGTTGAGGGTGCAGTTGTTGTCTGGCAGCAAAGGGCAGTGGTTGCTGGGCAGAAGGTGTCTGTGACACCGTCGCGGCCTGGATGTGAGGAGGTTGTGATTGCGGATATGAAGTTTGCCGGGAGTAGGACGGTGGAGCTGGAGAGATTGATTGTGGTTGGTATGAGGCCACTTGAGGGGTGAGTGATGGCCGTGATGGTTGAGGCTGTAATTTTGTCGCGCTGATGCTGGGTGTCCGATCGATGCTCGGTCGCACGATTGGTTGTGTCGACATGGTGCTGACGGAGGGTTGACGGATTGGTTGTGGAGGTGTTGGAGGTGGCGGCGGTGTTGGTTCAGGCGGTGGTGATTGCTAGAAAGAGAAGGTTAGCGAGTGAGTCAAAAAGAGCAAACACAACTCATCGATAGAGGAGCATGTGCGCCCAGTGGCGCAGCCGTGGTAAACATGTTTTGAAACTTACATTTTCGTCTCGAGGATGTTTGTGAATAGCACCAACGATAGGCGGCGCGTTAGGATGCCCCCATTGAGGTGATGAGATCTCATCTGTCTCTTTCATATCATCCTTCAACAGATGCTTCAGTGGACTAGGAACCTTCTTGATTCTTCGAGGTTGCTCGAAGAGGTCCATCTCATAATCTTTGTCCCTGACTTCATCAGGTAGACAACTGGCCCACGTCTTGATTTTGTTGAACCTATGCTTTTCTTCGTTGTAGCGTGCCTCGCAGACGTAGACTTCTTTGCTTGGGTCAACATCTCGGGGTCGACCACGACTGTATCTCGTGACAAACATGACAAAACACCGATCAACGACTTCCTCGATTTTGTGATCTCGATATTGACCTGTCTTCACAACCTCGTTAGGGAAGAAGTGCTTCTCGTATTGATGCACGGTCTGCTCGGGTCGATAATACCAGCATGCGTTGATCCATTTCTGACCTTCGGGGTCTTCCCAAGTTCGATAAATCTGGGCCACGATCGGTTTTGTCACATCATTGGGATTCGAGATGTGGATCCAGTCCCCAACTTTCCAGAGTTCGTTCTTGTACAAGATGCCCGATGGCAATGGTCGCCTTCCGTCTTCCATAAGATACTCATCATCTGGCTTTGCTTTTTCAATCTCAAGAAGTTTATGTGCTTCAGCCTGCATTTCTACCGCATCGTTGTAGATTTCGCTCCCCTCTTCATTGAACTGTTTTGCGTTGTTGTAAAGCAAGTCAATGTCTTTCATGAACTGTTCCAAAGACTGATACTTCTTCCGCTTGGACTTCTTCTTGATGGTGTCGAGCGCGACGGGGTCTTTGATGGCCACGAAATATGCCGGATACTCCGCTTTGTCAGGTAATCGTTCGAAATGGCGTATCTTCACATTTCCAGCTTTGTCCTTGAGCTTGCGAAGGCCTTTCAGTACGGCCTTGATCCTGGCTTCCATTGGTGTGTCAACTTTAGGAGGCCGTCCTCGTCGCTTTCGAACGTCGGCATCATCCAGCTTCTCGTCGTCCTCACCACGGCTTTTGCGGCCAGAGAGACTGGGCCTGCCACCTCGTCGGCCCTTTCTTCTCCGCCGATCCTCATCCGATTCGTGCGCTTCAGCATCCTCGTCCTCGTCTTCTTCTTCACCATCATCCTCGTTGTCTTCATCCTCCTCCGAGACAGGATCTGGTTCCGGCGTAGCATACGGGATCTCGCCGAGGTCTGGAAATACCGTCTCTTCTTCCTTGGCCAGCCCTTCATTGACCAACTTCTGCAGTTCCTCCTTGAATACATCCTGCAGTACAAGCACGTCGCGCACAGGGCCTGAGTTTGGAAGATTGTATACTTGTGCATTATGGACGATCAGAGCAAAGTCTCGAACGAATTCCGGAATGCCTGTGTATTGCTTTCTCTGTATCTTGCCCTTAAGTGTACTGAGTGCGGCGGGTTCCTTGATTATTTCGTGGTAGTCCGGTAGGTTTCGTCGATTGGGGATGCGCCTGAACAGCACAGAAGGATAATGCTCACTAAGTACGTCAGCACAGTAGTCAGCCTAGAGGTACGGTGGACATACTCGTCGCCCTTCACTTTGATCTTATAGTTGGTTAGGGTTTCGGTGATGTTTCTGAGAGCTTTGTATTGTTCGTTTGACACGCCTGGTTCTTCACCAGTAGCCCCATCTTCGTCCGCTTCTGCATCATCATCATCATCATCATCGCACTTCTCTTCGGCGGCATCCTCCTGCTTTACTTCGGTTTCCACTTCGATGGACTGTACTGGTACCGGCGTCGCAGGCTCGACAGTCGGGGTGTCCGCCATGTTTCCGATCTTCCTCACAACTGAAGCCTCACAATCGGTCACGAAAAGTACGCATGTCAAGATTTGACAAGGTGTAGACGCAGCGTCGCAAGAAATGCAGGTCTGCTATGCGATCGCGACGTGACTTGGTCTGCACAATTATGGGCGCGACAAAACCCGCCTTTGCATGACTCGTGCGCAGCTTTTATGTGAATTGAGTTGCAAAGGTGGCAAGGCTGCATGACTCGCGTGATAGATGTGCCCGGCACCCAGCCCGGTGGATTTTCGCAGCTTGCCAGCTGACTAAACGACCCAGTACCGACTGTTGACCTGCGCGGTGGCTGCCAGGAGACCACGGATTTATTCAATGCAAACAACGCAAGACAGGCCGCTTCCCAAATAAATCTCCCGGGTCAGAGACAAAGGCGACACCAATTGAACCCAAGGACCGAGTCTCTTCCATCCCAGACCACTTCTTTCTACGTGGCGAACAGCTCTTAGATGACACATCCGGTAGTCGAGCTGTTCTCTCGAGCATCTCTGCAGACTTCTCCATCCTAACACAATACATCTCTTCTCGCAGTAGGATGAGGGTTCGGATCAGAGGCCCCTCGGGCAAATCGAGTACAGCCATGCTAGACGACAGCGCAACAATAGAAACCCTAAAGAAGACCATTACCACAGAGACGTCTCTATCGTCGTTCGAAGTCAAATATGGCTATCCGCCGAGGACGTTGGTGCTGGATCAATATCCAACTTCCAAACTCTTGTCAGATTTGGAGGTCAAACTCAATGGTGAACAGCTCATCGTCAATAACCTCGAGCCATCCAGTCGAAAAGATACTACTCAAAAGCCTCAGACATTCGAATTCTCCGGCGCAGAGAAAGGAACCCCTATCTTTGCAGCCGGTTCTTCGGGGGATGACAGCTTACCTTTGGCATCTTCAGGACAAGCAAAGGACCCGAAAATGCAAAAACCCTCATCTGCTCCCTTGTCGCTATCCAGAAAGGAAAACAAAGAGATGTCGGATCCCCCCGAAATCTTCATCCCAGACCTAGGTGGCAGTTTGGTCTTGCGTATCATGCCAGACGACAACTCATGCCTTTTCCGAGCAGTGGCAAGTGCAATCATGTCGAATCTAGACACAATGACGGAGTTGAGATCAATCATCGCGCAGACTATCCAGGCCAACCCGGATAAATACTCCAAAGCTGTCCTCGACAACAAAGATCCCGACACGTATTGCCGGTGGATACAAAGTGAGAATGCCTGGGGCGGACAAATTGAGCTCGACATCCTTAGCCAGCAGTTCGACGTCGAAATTTGCAGCATCGACGTCCAGACACTGAGGGTAGACAGATACAACGAGGGTGCTCCGCGCAGGTGTTTTCTGGTCTACTCGGGTATACATTACGACATTATCGCCTTGAGCTTGTTTGGAATGCCGCCAGAAGATGATGTGAAGCAATTCGAACAGCCACTCTCAGACGAAGTTCTCCCGCATGCGGTTGCTCTGTGCCAGAAACTTCAGGAAAGGCATTATTTCACGGATACTGCTGGTTTCACACTCAGATGCGGCGATTGTGGGGCGACTTGTGTCGGCGAAGCTGGCGCTACCCAGCATGCAGAAGCGACAGGACATTACAATTTTGGGGAATCATCATAGCACCCTCGTCTTTGATCTGTTACCCAGAACAATACCCGCTTGTCATACTTCGCAACGATTGGTTCATAGGCTGGTCATGCGTTCGGTGGAATGCAAAACCGGGCGGATTTGGAGTGAAGAATTGGAAGGATCTTGGATGTATATATTTTCAGATGCGGACTTGCATCCAGCCGTCTGGCCGAATATAGACTGGCAGAGACACCGTACAGAACATTCTTGCCTCGTCTATCCTATGGGCATCCTTGCAGACTTTGCCAAGCCGAATATCATCCACTTGGCCAACACCACTCCCCGGATTACACTTGATCAAACACGCTGTGGAGTCGCTGACTTGGGTGGACAGGCAGAAAGATGCTCATTACTTGCCTGTGTTCGCTTCTGAGACGAACTCATTCTGCTGCCTTTCGTACGAGACTGCGCTCTCCGATCACAGGTTCAGCCTACAAAGGAGGCGCGGATCAAATTCTTACAGGACTACTTACCTGGTATCTGGACCTTGTCGCAACATCATTTCCTAGTTGAAACATGCTGCTACGTCTGACTCGCTCAGCTCGCTTCGACCACTGGGTGCCTCATACTCTAGCTCTGCTATTTTGCGGATACTAGGCTTTATGGGGTAAAGGAACACTGGCCCCTCCTATGGATACGGCCATCCATTACCGAGGTCTATACCAGCCAGGGTACCGGTACATAAACCCTGGTTCAGTTCATCAGCTGCAGCGACTCGATCTGACTGTGTCCGGCCTCGCTACCTGTGACCTTACTTTATTCTGCACTGCTTCCCTTCGTCTGTCGGCATTTCAACTAACAACAGATACCCAACATGGCTTACCTGCAATCATGGCTAGATGTAAGTCTTCCCTGGCCATGGCACTGCTCCCGGTCTAACAATATGCAGCTGGAGAAGAGTATGGGTGGGCGAATGGTTCTGAAAGGCAGTGCCGAAGATATCAGGGCGCAGATTCAGCAGCTGATCCAAATTCTGCTGCCTCAGCTTCCACCACCTTCAGACGCCGTGGAAAGTAAGGATGGCGAGGTGGACGGCATAAAGTATCGTCTTTACACGCCCAAAGAAGCTTCGAAGCAGGGACCGCTCCCGGTGGCCATCTGGACACATGGCGGTGGATGGGCCACAGGCGATCTGAACACGGACGATCTCTTGTGTCGCATTGTTGCCGAGCATGCGCCATCGATCGTTGTCAACGTGGACTATCGTCTTGCCCCTGAGCACAAAGTGCCCACACAGCTTGAGGATACGTTGACGGTTTACAATTGGGTTAGAGCCTCTCGATGGCTAGCATGAGACCAGTGGTTGCTGACTGAAATAGGCCCGACAGAACGCAACATCATTCGGTGGCGACTTGAACAAGTTCTACAGCATTGGTGGCTCTGCTGGCGGTGGCTTGGCCTTGCAACTAGCAAACCGCATTGTTAGGGACCCTTCCAAACGGGACGGCATCAAGGGAGTCGCAGCGATTGTCCCCGTCACGCTTCACTTTGACTACGTACCTGAGGAGTATAAGTCGATGTTCACGGCTATCCAAGAGAACGAGAAGGACGTACCGATCATCGACAAGGAGTCGATGCGAAGCTTTTACACCTTCGCTGGCGTCGATCCCCGAGATAGTGACACCTTCACGGCTCTGGCTACAGACAACCACAAGAACTTCCCACCAGTGTACTTTGTCAGCTGTGAGAAAGATCCACTCAGAGACGACGCGTATGTGATGGAGGCTGCGTTGAAAAAGGCCGGGGTACCTACAAAGCATGATACTTACAAGGGTCTTCCTCACTATTTCTGGCTGTTCCCTTCCGTACCTGAGAGCCAGCAATTTGTCGGGAATCTGATTGGGGGTGTCAAGTGGTTGATCTCACAGATGTAGTCTATGATACAGTATTAGTACCTAGGTAGAAGAGCAGAATGTAGTCGAGCGTCATTATGGGTAGAAAATACTCAAGACTGGCACAGTCATTTAGTGAATGTCAAGAATTGGCGCCTGGGTGCCAGTCTCCTCCAACATGATGCCGGCTTCCTTTCTCCGCAGCCATGTCCTGAACGTCCCACATTATCCTCTCTTCCTTTTTCACATATGGCAACACCATATCTCAGCGGCCTCGATGGCTTCACATCTGGCACACTTGACAGCCCCGTCACACCGGGCGGCGACGGCGTCTCTGCGCGGCGCACGAATGCCCTGAGCACAAAACTCACCGGCGTGCTCTCCTCATCATACGCCGACTACGAGATCCGCGATGCCTTGCGCCTGCTCGATGCCCGCGGCGTGCACAATGACGAAGAAACGAGGCGCAATCTCAAACTCAATGCTCAAAAGGAAGTCATCGACTGCAATGCGAAAATTGTCGACGATTTCGGCCAGGTCGCAGAGGTACGTATCATCTCCTCCCTCCACTCCCCTCCCCTCCATTCTCTTGACTTACGCCGTATGTATCGTTCAGCAACTTCGCCGCGTCGGCTCTCTACTGTCCACCTTCAACGCAACATGCACTTCGATGCGCGAGCACATCATCGCCGCGAAACAGGAATCCGCACCCGTCCTTGACGAAGCAAGCACACTGATCTCTCGCAAACAAGAAACCGAGACAAAGCAAGCCCTCCTCGACGCCTTCACTACACACTTCCTCATTTCCAATGCCGACTTGACCGTCCTCACAAGCTCCGCTGAGCCCCTAGATGACCGCTTCTTCAGTATCCTCGACCGTGTCAAAACTATTCATCGTGACTGCGAGGCCCTACTCGGATACGATGGCGAGAACCAGCGCCTCGGTCTCGAGTTGATGGAGCAGACAGCAAGAAATTTGGATGCCGGGTTCAAAAAGCTGTACACCTGGATTCAGCACGAATTTAAGACGCTGGACCTCGAGGATCCGCATATCAGCACGGCGATCCGGCGTGCGTTGCGAGTACTAAGTGAGCGCCCAACGCTGTTTCAAAATTGCCTGGATTTCTTCGCCGAGGCGAGGCAGTCCACCCTCGCGGAGGCGTTCCATGCGGCGCTCACAGGCTCTGCGGGCGCAGCCAAGGCGATTGAATTCTCCACGCACGAGCCGCTGCGATACGTGGGCGATATGCTTGCTTGGGTGCACGCCGCGGGAGTGTCGGAGAAGGAGGCGCTCGAAGGTCTGTTCGTTGGTGATGCAGATGATATTTCGAAGGGGTTTTCGTCGCGAACGGATGATGAGCCATGGGCGAGGGTCCATGGGCGACGAAGGAGCGCATTCGAAGATGAGGGCGACGAGGGCGAGCGAGATCCTGTGTTCGACGGGCGAAAGGCTTTGGCCGAGCTTGTCTCTAGGAATCTGGCGTCTGTGTGCGAGACATTGCAGTCGCGGATTGATGTGTCAGTCCGGAGTAGCGGGGACCCGGTCCTGATGTTCAAGACCTTCAATCTACTCGACTTCTACAGAGGCATCTTCGACAAACTGCTTGGTTCGGAGTCTGCGTTGGGCAAGGTCATTCAAAGCTTGCAGTCTTCCACGCTCTCGCAATTCGAGGTGACGATGGAGGAAGAGACCACTGCCGCGACCATGGACAATACGCCGTCTAGCGATCTGAGTCCGCCCGTCTTCCTGGCTACGGCGTTGACCCAATTCTCAGAAGTCGCGCGAGCTCGAGGGCCTCAGATGACCGAGACGGAGTTGGAGCGTCTGTTTACTGCCATGCTCACGGGTCTATTGACGGCATGTGCCGAATCAGCGGCGCAGATTCCAGATGTCAGGCGCAGTAATATCTACAGGATCAATTATATGACGGCTCTGAAAACAAGTATGGCTGCCGTGTCGGCTCAGGTGCCCGTGGCGCAGACACCTCTCGAGAAGGCAGGCTTGGAGATACAATCACTCCGCGACCAGCTCGTTGAAATGCTCACCACATCGCTGTTGGAAGACTCTGGGATCAGAGACTTGATGCAGGAACTCGACACACGACGCAGCCACGAACCTCCGACCCGCAGGGCATGGCTAAACACAAATCTTGATGAAGCCGCACAACGATTGGACAATTTCTTGTCTTCGGCGCTGATGGATGCACAAGAGAGCTTGAAGAATCTTTTCGACCGGACACTGGCCCAAAATATAGTCTCCGAGGCAGTTGAGAGATTCTGCTCAGAATTCGACGAGCTGGAGGGCATGTTGGACATGGTCGATGCCGAATCCGGCGAGTTAGATGGAGAACGCTTCGAGGATGTCCCAGATCATGACACCTCATTGAGGGAACTGTACCCACGCACGGGAGCTGAAGTGAGAGCACTTCTAAGCTAATGACAACGACTTTGATGCTTCAAAGGACAGACATAGAAACTTTCAATAAACACCATATGGCAGTGACGGACGATTAGATGGATTCTTAAACTTGGACCTGGTGATATCGTTCTGCTCGCTGACTGCTAAGCATGTCTTTTATCGTGTGCAGCTTCCCCAATTCTGTATCTGCTCGAGAACGTGGCCGCTACATACTGCACCTGTTCATTCCCTGGCCACTCATACCCAAGGCGGGAGGTGGTTATTTACAGGACGCTCTCGGCTCCGGAGACTAATTTCTTGTTACATAGCTGACTTGTGGTCGGACATATGGGAACTCACCTGTCACCTGGGTCGGGTCTGGCTCGATAGCAACCTTTGAAACCTTGCCGTTCTCAGTGACAACAGCATAACGTTTGCTTCGCTTGTTGCCCAACAGTGGGGTAGCATCGAACTCGACATCCCAAGCTCGAGTGAACTCTCCAGCTGGATCAGCCAAGAAGCGGATGCCACTGACTTTGGAAGAGTCAAGATCCTTTGACCAAGCCTTCATGCTGCAAAGACAGTTAGCACTACTGGTGGATGTGCTCGGGTTAATCTTATATTCTTACACGAATGCATCATTGACTGAGACGACAAAGACCTTTCCAGCACTCTTGAGCTTGTCACTTGCAATGTAGCCAGGGATGTGTTGCTCGGAGCAGGAGGGAGAGAAAGCCGCGGGGACACCGATGACAACACCTTTGCCGGAAGCGAGCTCCTTGGAGAGGTTGACCTTGTTGCCGGGAGAATCCTCGAAGAGGTCAATGTTGGGGATGGCGTCGCCTTCTTTGACCTGCAATGGCACTATTGTGAGAATGAGAAGATTCAACAGAGGACGGCGGACGTACCATGATTGCTGGGGTTGAGGAAAAGGGTCTGATGAAAGGGGAAGTTCTTGCTTGACGAAGTGAAGAGGTGGTAGAGCGTAAGATGGATCGAGAGAACATGGTTCGAAGGATAATGAGATTTATTTATCACCAACAAAGATTTGAAATATGATGCAGGTGCGTTCTTTTCCTGTGAATTACGCATTGGACCACCATGGACCCTCCCAGAAAGCAACCTTGAATCATAATGCGGGGGAGCTTCCTCGCAACCAGTTGGAGGGGCTTCAGGCTTCCAAGATGCAAGGTACTCACTCAGGCTACGGGCATATGCAAGGCCACTGATCATACCTTCCGGACATGCTGCAGCTCTTGCTTATGTGCCTCACTAGCTCGCAGCCCTTTGGTGCATCGCCGCGGCCCTTGTTCGCGGCAAGACAACAACTTGAAGAGCCACATGTACTCCGTACCTACTGTTGGATAGTAGTCTGTTTGTCTCTCGTTAAGAGCTTGCCTTGTCCACGAGAAGTTGAGTAATTTGAAGATTAATATTGACTGTATACCACCAGACACCGACCACGGCTGCCTCAAATAATATGGATCCTCCTTCGATATGCCCTTCGATATGCACACGGGAGCTTCTGTGGGCTACGATTGGTCAGGCAAGGTCAATGAGTATTTGGAATCAGCGCAAACAACTAATCTGCAGGGACAAAGCGCCCATCTCCACAAGAAATGCTTCAATGCTCGCTTTCGCGCAGCACCAGGAGTTCGACCGCAGGAGGTAAAGCGTGTTGCTTTTGACTGCAAATCCACCCCGGAACATGTACCTCAACGAATTGGTCCGTGAGAGTGGACGAGCTTGTCAAGCTTCCTTTTTCCAATCGCTGTGGCTAGCAGCAACAGATCTGCTCGGCTCCGGGGTTGCCCCAGCCCTATCGTACCACTCAAGGTCCAGAACAGTTATCTCTGGCGCATGCGTGGTCTGGTAGGCACAAGCCTTTGGCAGCTCTACCGTTGGAGTCAGTACTTCAATCCCAAATTGAGCACAAACGTGTCTTCACCAAGCACTGAGAGTTTGAGAGCTGTCAGTCATCCCCGGTGTCAAAAATCCTCATGTCGTTAACCCCCTTGCGTCATGTACTATCTGAGTCATGACTTCTTGATTTCAGGAACAGCCGGAAAACAGCTTCCAGGACTGTTTTGGTCGAAGATTAATTCTGCTGTAACACGAGAGGAGCACCGCCACAAGGAAAGTAGTTAGTACTGTGGCTATACAGCATGTCCCTGGCGACTTACCGATCTGTCGGAAGCGAAGGGCCTTCAAAAGCATGCCTTGTGTTGCAGTCTTAAAGATATTTACGTACATAGTATTTATCAAGCTGCCAAAGAATGTGTGATGGAATCACCAAGGCACCACGCGGCGCGCTTCTTCGGCACTTGGAAAGCAAGCTTTGAACCGGAAACTGTCAGTCCTTGAACAATAGGTATGTGTATGGAGAAGAATTATGAAGCCATGGATGCCGGACTCAAGTTCTGGAATTTGACACGTTCGATCTTGCACTGCTGAGATGTTAGGATGACTCCTCCGGCACGGCTTGCCCAAATGGCTACAAAAAGGTGAATTAGCGCTTTTCGAGATAGCTGAAAGCTGGCAACTTCGTGGCTCGTGAAGATCAGAAAGGAATACGTTCTTCACATCCAGGACCGCCTGACCTGTCACGGCCAATCGCGAGGGCATCCCATTAGCGACGAATCATAATTGATCCGACCTTGTCTTGATGTCTCTTCGCCATGTCCGGGATCCCAAGCCTCATCATTAGTCTGGGAGCCCGGGTAGAGCTATGACCGCTTCGCCCTTGAGCGGTTGTCGCATCTGTCAATGGTTTCCTAGGACCAACCCTGATCAACCGAAAACGTCCTCAGGCAGCTCTTGGCTCCAGTCCATCCGCCAAACCGTCTACCATCCGGGTACTCGTACATGCGCGGCAACATGTCTCTCCGAGCTGAGAGGTCGGATGATGGCAATCGACGACTGGGCTTCGGTGGCTGCTTGGTTAGTCTGGCTTGGACTGAAGGAGGGAGGTGGCCTTGGTGGGATGTTTCCTCGGCTTCGGATCGACTCTCAATAACTGCATTGGGACTAAGAGGAAGGGCAAAAAGAGAGATCTCCAGCCTAATCGGTGGCAGATGCAACGCCGCTCTCGTCATTCTTTTACTGCTTGTGTTCCCCGAACGCCCCTTAAGCGACTCCCGGGAACGTCTTTAGCGAATACCTGGCTGTCCTTGGTACCGGGGTAAGCCAGGCAGATAGACGGAAGGATAACGCGAACATCGCCCAAAGACGACCGATCACAGAGCTTGCCGCAGAAACAGACGATCTGATCGAGAGATGCCCTATCAAAAGAGCATTTCCATAGCTAGCGTGGCCGCTTATGTGCCCTTAACCGATGGTTGGGCGGCCCCTTCTCGTACTCGCTGATGTTGCTGTCCCTATTGATGCCCGCTTGTGCCTCTGTCCGCCCTCTCCGGCGCCCACCGCCCACTTGTTGGAGCTGCTAATTGACCTAATTGACCCATGCTCGAATTGAAACTGGGTTATGGGGTTTGGAGTGGATGCAAGATTAGCCGGCGTTCACTGGTGCAATTGTCGTCAGAGGGAACTGGCAAAAAGCAGGTCGGCGCTCCCCTGTAAAGCTGTCAATCCGAGAGTGTGCCAGAAATCTTGCACTTTTGGCTGGTCAGAATCGACTTTGGACTGCAGCTAAAGATCTCTCTTCCATTCCTCATCCCTCCACCATCGCCGCGCCCACGCAACCTCTCAGAGCCTCTCAGTGCCTCTCTCAGGGCTTGTGCTTCGCTTTCTCTCCCACCTTCCTACCGAAACGACAACCGTGCACTTGTCTTGTCTTTGCGTCCCGCATACCTTTGTCTTCAGCGCGGTCTATCATCCTAACTCAATTCCTTTCCTCTGTTATTCCTCCCTTACCCGCCAGAGGTTGCCTCGCCAGAATCGTTCATATCCCCTCGAACTCGGCCTGCGCCCGATAATTCCGACCTCCAATTCCCTCCAAGCACAAACCATCACCCGCCTGGAACCCAACTCTCGGGCTACCTGTGTCACTCGCACCACCTCCCCAGCATTCCATTCCAGTCGCAAGAGAAAGACGGCACAGACATTGTCTATATTGTTTGTCAACTAATACCTCTCTCCGATATTCGCGCGTCGCAACGATGCAGTCTTGAGAAGGCTTGCGTGCAAGTTATTGCATCACAGATTTCCGATTGCAGCCATCCACCGTCGCCACACTCTTCAGCCCTTGTCTCTACCTTCGATATTCCTCGAGCCGAATCACTAGATCCTCGACAGATATACTATTTCGAGATGGATAATCAAGGCGGCGGTGCTGGGGGCTCCAACAACTCGAGCGACTTTGTGCGCAAACTGTATAAGTACGTTGAGCTACGGCCGACACTTTGAGCAGGTACTAATCTCCCGTGCGCAGAATGCTTGAAGATCCCACGTATTCCTCTGTAGTACGATGGGGTGATGACGGCGACAGTTTTGTCGTGTTAGAGAACGAAAAGTTCACCAAGTCAATTCTACCGAAACACTTCAAGCACTCCAATTTTGCCAGCTTTGTCCGACAGTTGAACAAGTACGACTTCCACAAGGTACGACAGAACAACGAGGAAGGCGGGACTTCGATATATGGTGCCAATGCGTGGGAGTTTCGCCACCCCGAATTCAAGGCCAACAGCAAAGCTACCCTTGATAACATCCGAAGGAAAGCTCCTGCTCCTCGAAAACCTTCGAACCTCAGTGATGAACAAATACCTATACAGCAAATTGACCTCATGAACCAGCAAATAGTAGCGCAAGCACAACAAATCGAGTCTTTAGTTCAGACCACAAATCAGCTACAGATGAACCACCAGATGGTGGTGCAAGAGCTCCTTCGGCTACAAAAGACCGCTATCAACCATGACCACGTTATGCAGGATGTCATGACATTTTTGCACACCGTAGATGCAAAGCAGCGGAGGGACAGCAAGGCCCTTTTCGCCCCGCACTCCGACCCGGCTCAGACAAGCACGACTTTGACCCCTACCAGCCAGACCATGCCTCAACAAGAAGATGATGTACCTGCATCGCCTCTGCAACATGCCTCAAAGCTACTGAGCGACCTCAATGCTGACGGTCAATTCAACATCACCAGCTTAGAGCAGATGAACACCCACATCCCCACTCCACCCGTACCTCAAGATCCTCGAAGTATGCAATTCCGAGGGCCCAACTCTGCCACGTCAAGTGGTAGTATGGGTTTTGTGAAGATGGATCCGACCCAACTGGAGACAGTCGTCTATCCGATGGGCACGAACAACGGGATTGACCCCATGTCTAGCGAATATATTAACAGCATCCCCTACCCGATGCCGTCAAAAGATACTCAACATGATCCTCGTGCGCAATTTGCCGACTCTCGTAAGAAGAGTGGTACATCCGATCCGGGCTGGAGTCGATCGCCGAGGATATTGTTGGTGGAGGATGACCCGACGTGCCGCCAGATTGGTGGTAAATTTTTGTACTCTTTCAACTGCGTTGTGGACTCTGCGTTCGATGGTCTCGAAGCTGTGAGTAAGATGCAAGAAGGAAACAAGTACGACATGATCCTGATGGATATCATCATGCCCAACCTCGACGGCGTATCTGCTTGTCATATCATCCGCCAATTTGACCGGACGCCGATCGTGGCTATGACCTCCAACATCCGTTCGGACGACATCCAGATGTATTTCCACCATGGCATGGATGATGTCCTACCGAAGCCATTCACACGAAAGTCTCTACTTGACATGTTGGAAAAGCATTTGATGCATTTGAAGAAGGTCCCGCAGATGGAAGTACCGCCGATGGCAGCGGTTGCTCCTGCTGGTGGGCTCCCTTCTACATCACACTCAGTGCGCGATGATATGTCAGCGGGGGCTTCTCCTGCAGGCTCAAGTGGGACGTGGAACTCTCCCAGCCAATATTCAGGAGCTTCACCAGTTAATCCCAACATGCACCTGGGTGCTATACCTCCTCAGCAGCACTATATCGACGCGAATGGGAATTTTACTGCATTTCAAAGTGGCCCACAAACACCGATGGGCATGCGACAAAATGCGATGCAGAATCAAGCGCACAGAAGAGGCCAGTCCGAAATGTCAGGAGTCGGCGATATGGGAAGCGCCAACAAAAGGCAGCGAATATACGCACCTCAACAATCAATGGCAGCCCCGATGCGACAATGAGAGACAACCTTCCGTCGCAATCTGACCAAATTATGGAGGATCATGGCCAACTATTGCCATGTATTGTTGCTCGTCGATGCCCGACAGATGTCCAATGGTGCCAATGAGCCCACCAGCTGCTTCATGTCAAAGGGGAAGAATAAGCACGCGAGGTGTCATGAGTGAACATCCTCTCCACATTGGGGACACGAGTTGATGCACTCACTGAAATCCGGACTCTGGCAACGCCGCAACTAGGGCGGTGGAACCTTGTGATAGGGATACACAGCAACCTATTTATGACTTGACGAAAACTAGCATTGGGAAAGGGGTTCGTGTATATGCCTCTGATTATACCCTTGTGACTGTGACGGAGCATGGGTTGTGCTGCCATGGAACTCTGTGTAGTCCATGGTAGACACCATTCCAAGAAAGTGTGTCAACATCACTGTTTATGATCCAAGTGGGAGGACGTTTGAGCGAGCTTCGTGAAAGCATTTCGTGCCTACGCTGTGGTGCAGTAGACAGACATCTGTTGTACAGAAAATCTATTATGATATAATATGGTGAGTGGTGTGGCACGTTGAGTGAGCTTCAGATACTCATGACAACGAAGAGAAGCACAGTGCTGGGATTAACTTCGTTGTACAACTGGTTCGGGAATCTATATTGATGCGCTGCGCGCTCAATGTATCGATACAATGGCACCATCCCATACCAGACGATATAGGTTCGTCAATCTGGTCACTCTTAAAAGGCCGTCGGTCATTGATACCATAGCTGGAAACATCTTCACCATCGATATCTCGTTCTCGTTCTCTTTCCTACCAGCTCCCAATATATGGATGAACAGCCTTGTTATGATGGACATTACTTTCCGGTGCCAGCACATGGATCCGGGGGTATACTGCTCAAGATGCTGCAAAGTCGTCATCATCTTCAGAAAGTCCACGTTTCTAACTCATCTTCTCCTTTTCCTTGTCCCACTGCTCCGGCGTCAGACACTTGGGTGTCCAGGCGTGAATGGCTGCAATTTCGGATTTCAACGCGTTATTCACCAGTCTATGCCGTGCAAGGAGTGTCTTCTTTTCGAACTCCGGCGACACGATGATTGCGTTGAACGCTTGCCCACACCCACCAGACATGTCTTCGATCGAGACGTACGTCGCGCCAATGGTCGATTTGAGCTTTTCGCTGAGTGAGTCTGGAGTGATGCCCGAAGATGCGGCCGTCTCGGCGGCGGCGGTGTCGGTTTGAGCGGCCATGGGTGTAGAGTAGCGGACAGCAGTGGAAGAGAGGGACCGGGAAGGAGTCTGGACGCTGGATTTACGGACCGAGGCGAAGAAAGTGCTGCGAAGAGAGAGTGTGGTCGGCAATGCTCTGCGGGCGACGGGCAGCGCTATTCGGAGGGTCATGGACGGTCGCTGCAGGTTGAATGTAGGAAGCTGGTGGTATTCAGGTGAGTCGAGGTGGTCGAGGTATCGCCGGCTTCGCTTGAGGTCTTGGATTCGGCACAATTTCTGGCTGGTTTGTCGATTGGTTTGAAATCCATTTTTGGAGAAGATGCAGATGAACCTCACAAGAATTGCGTCATTGGTTCGCTGGGTGGACCGACAACAACAGAATTTCCGGCTGTTCGCGACGCCTTACACACGAATACTTTGTTATACAACGCAAAGAGATGCTGTATGTGCCTAAAACCACTATCAGCCGGTCGCCCTAGACCACTGATGTTGCGTCATCTTTTATCTCAGGCTTTGTCAAGAACCCAGCCTTGCACCGTCGGCAGCTTCATCACCATCCGCAACATGAGCACCACCAATACATACAATGTCTCCCCCTTCACCACGGCCGTGGTCTCCTCCATGCGCCGCCTCTATCCTGAATCCCTGGCTGATAAATCCTTTGACAACACCGGCTTTCTCGTCCAAGCACCGTTCCTCTCTTCGCGCCCGCGCAATCGGAACTCCGTCCTCCTAACCGTCGACCTCACCCGCGCCGTCGCCGACGAGGCCATCGAGAACAACTACTCCATCGTGGTCTCCTACCATCCCATCATCTTCCGCGGCCTCAAGTCCATCACCACCGAAGACACGCAACAACTCTCCATGACCCTCCTTCTCGCGCACGGCATTAGCGTGTACTGCCCGCACACCGCCGTTGATACCGTTCCCAATGGCATGGCAGATTGGCTGTGCGACATCATCACCGGAAAGACCGATGTTCCCGAAGAGCATGCACATACCGCGACACCCTCGTCCCCAACGTCGGAGACTGAAGTCACTACCAGCGACGAGAGCGAGAAGGACTCGGACCACTCGCGGCCGTCGACGAAACCTACATCGCCCTCAGCAGCAGGGCAAGATGACCCCTTTACATCCACCGACACGCCCAAGCCCAAGAACTTGAGAATGTTCAGACAGAACGCGCCCCATCCTCACAGGACCTATTCGAAACCGACATACCCACGACCGACGTCGAGTTTCCACCCCGCTGTGCTGTCTCATGATCGAAGCGTAATCACACCCTCACCGCGATCTGCACTGGATGAAGCAAATCAATTCGTAGCATCTGACATATACAAGACTAGCAACACTGGCGCCGGCCGTCTGATCGAGTTCGCCGAGCCACAGCCCCTGACAGTCCTGATCACGCGCATTGCCCATGCCATTGGATTGCCCAAGGGCTTTGCCGTGGCGATCCCGCAGGGTCGGACAATTGAGGACATCAACATCTCGAGCGTCGCAACATGTCCGGGCAGCGGCGGCGGTGTGATCCGCGGGTGTCATGCTGATCTCGTGTTCACAGGGGAGTTGAGTCATCACGAAGCACTGGCCGTGACTGAGCGGGGCGGATGCGTGATCTCTTTGTTCCATTCAAATTCGGAGAGGGGCTATTTGTGGACGGTCATGCGCGAAAGGCTGGAAAATGAGGTGCGCGAAGAATGGGACCGAGTGAGGACGGAAGAGGGGTCGAAAAGCGGATTGGAGAAAGAGGCCAAGGAGATGCTGGACGATGGGAGCGTCGAGGTCGCGATGAGTGAGAGGGACAGAGATCCTTACGGTATTGTGGTGCTCGAGGAGGCTGCGGTGGAAGGCGTGAGGATTGGGTCTGGTTCTGGGTTGAGTGAGTGATGAGTCGCGGTCCCAACATACCTACAGCTCCGATGTGCGCGGCACGAGAAGACGCTGGATGCTTCACGGCTCACATGGGTAAGGAAAAGCGATAACGAAAGAATCGACCCTGACTGGGACATCCAGTCCTCATCAGACGAAATTGGGCGATTTCACCGGTGCTTACCATCGTCCACGGAGGTAACCGTTGTCCCGCATGCAGTGCCCTTTTGGATGCCAGCGTAAGGATGCGAAGCCGCACCTGCTGAGTAAGTCAGGGCTCTTTCTTCCCGCAACAGCATGGGTAATGCCCTGACCTGGAGATGACAGCGTTTAGGAATTGGCCGCAGGAGAGTTTGGCTGAAACGAAACGAGTGGCGGTGTCTTCCTTTCACCAACGTACCATATTACGATCAACGGCTGATGATCGAAAGGCCACACGGAACAGTCCTCTCATATTCCACCGTGCATGTGCACGTTTGAAATTCCGGCACAACACGCTGTGAAGGAAGCAAGAACGTAGGCCATCTAAGAAGTATGGAATGGTATCTTGTGGGAAGTCATGGGACACCCATACCTAGTTATGATTACACCAAAGACCCTGCTTATACCGGCTTGATATCCACGGATAGGAAGCTCCATCCCATGTATGCACGGTCAATCTAGCCAGTTTGAGAGGTATGGTCGAATACACACTGATTTCAAGGGCGCAGCAGCAATCGATTATATCCAAGAAGAATTACACATGGTTCGCGGGAATGGCACATCTATCGCTGTGTGCATTAGGTCGCATGTGACTGGAAGCGCAAGCACAATCAACCTCAAAATTAATGTCACACAACAGACCTCGTCCTAGGCGGTCCCGACAAAACCAAGGGACGAGCATGTTTTCATGTTCCAACGCCACGCTATGCAAATCAATGCAGCTCAACGCGCGACCTAACCAGTGCATCGTTGCCACACAAAAGAGTGAGGCACGGGAGCACGAAATTCCAACCAGAATAAAGAAATACATTTCATACGACGACACCCTCCCTCATCGTCTCAAGCGTCTTCTTTCCTACGCCACGCAGTCTCGTCAGATCATTCCAAGAACTCAACGTGATTCCCTCATTTTCTTCTTCACCGTTGAGAAAGTCCACGATTCCTTCTGATCTCTTCGCGCCCAGACCACACAGAGACTTGATCTTGGCCACGTCGCGCGTATTGAGCACGTCGAGAAGATACCGCGTGCGAGGAGTCATAGCGTCGGCATGGCTGTCATCATGACCGAGGGGATTGGGCGACGACACCCTCATTCTGCGCTTCGGCTTAGGTTTCCTGGTTCTGCCCCGTTGGGACGATTCGTCATCATCGTCACTGTCTTTGTACGCTGACTCTGCGCCCTCGTCATAATAGCTCTCATCACCGTCGTGATCATCTCGTGCCTCATCTTTTGACGATCGCTTCACCGGTTCTGGCTTGACTGCCGCCGAGGTCTCCTCTTGCCGCCGTACCGCAACCTTCTCCTTCAACCTCTCAATCTTTCCTGCCAACTTCTCATTGTCCGGAAAATACGGCCGCGCCAGCTCGTACATTTTCAGCGCACTCAAGTCCTCACCCCTGGCTTGATGCTGCTTCGCCATGAGCAAGTAACTGAGACCCTCGGCGCGTTCGCCTTCTTGACCCTCGAGTCGCTTCTCGATTGAGTCCAGCCGGCGCTGGACTTCTTCCGATATCGTCTTCGTCGGCACCGGGTCTGGTGCGTTCAGTGCGCGGGCAGCCAGGATCTCCGAGACTTTCTGTTCCACTAGAGATTCGATCGAGGCTTTTGTCATGCCGGCGGGTTCAGGGCCTCGGCAAATGAAGTTCGGCGTCGGCCGCGACGCTTTGGACGGTCGGGTTGAGGCAGTCAAGGATGTGTCTGCCGTGCGTTTGAGCGGGGAGGATTTCTGAGGGAGAGGCCTGGCTATGGCGGATCTGTTGAGGTCGGAGAAGACTGAGAACGCTTTTGGTGGTTTCTCATTCTTCCCACTATTGTCTCGGGTGGCAATGAGATTCACGTTGATGCTGTTTGTGAGTGGTCGCAGTGGTTGACGTTGCATTGTCGGGCCACCTAGAGGTGCCCCAGCAACTTGTCGTGGTGGACCTTTGAAGATGGGTTCATTTTCGAGCTCACGGACCTCGATCTTTTTGGTTCTGTTGGCGAAGTTCAGAGAGCTCAAAGTGTCGAGATGGAATGCTTTGGTCGGCGCGAGATTGAGTATCATTACTGTAAAGCCGTTGTTCTGTCCGAGCGAGAGGATTCGTGTCATTTTGGATTCGCGGTACGGAATTCGTTGCTGTTTCTTGCTGATAGCTTCGACACATTGAGCCAATACGAACAGGGATTTGTTAATGCTCGCGGACTCGACCATTCTGTCCTTGCCATTCCCTGTTCGTCGGTTGTCTTCAGAACCAGCAAGGTCGATGGCCGAAGCAGTGCTAACTCTTGTTTCCGTGGGACTTGATATCGTGACTTTGACGCAAAGAATGGCGTGAGATCGAGAGGAGTGAGCGTTCAGTTTGGTTGCGCCTGTGCTTCGGTTGGCGTTGGCCTTGTCATAGAGGAGTTCAAAATCCTTCAGTGATCCGCAAGGGACTTCTGTCAATCCTACGACGACTGTCTTGCCACCTTCGGCTTCTCTGATGGGCAGACCGGTCAGCGTTCGCTTCTCGGGCGCGTCGAAGAGGTCAAAGACTCGGTCGTTGTAGATTTCGTAGTAGCTCATGGACACTGCCACTGTCGTCTCGCCATTACTGCTCTTCTCAATGGCCCGACTCTTTCTGTATATGTTGCTGAGCAGTCGCGGAATCATGCCTCTGTCTGCGAGTGATTTTCCACCACGCATTGTATGTGTCTTTCCCGTTCCCGTTGAGCCATAGGCGAATATTGTGATATCGTAGCCGAGGAAGAGATGTTTGACCGTGGGAGCGACTGTACGGGAGCGTTAGTCCTGGTTCAGGCTGCTACAGGCTCTACAAACCTTCGGTGTCAAAGATCTCTTGCTGAGTAGCATCTTGCTCGTAGACACTGTTGAATTGGAAGCTGTACTCCTCGGACAGATTTTTGGGGTTCGGTATCTTGATTATCGTGTTGTTGCCATCTCCGCCGGTATGGCTGGTTACGATTTGGTCTTTGTCATTTTCGGACTTGAGAAGAGGTCGTACACGCGCGACGACTCTGACACTCATCTTGGACTTGATGTGCAGTATTGATAGCACGACTCTGCTCGGCTTGCGCAGGAAGTCATCTTAGACACCGATGCCGCATGGAAAGGAAACATAAAGTGGTTGCCACAGCAACCAAAATCTATAGCCCTTGCACGCCTAGGAGACTCGCCATTTTAAGTCACCAGCATGATTTCTGGGCTCATCAATCTCTACAGCGACTAGCAAGCGATGGATCCGAATGGACGAGTGGCGGTGGAGGAATCGCGAGCAAAGGACGATTTGACTGATTGACTGTATCGAAAAGCCCAGGGAGTAAGTAGTGCTCGCACGGACGAGGCGCACTCTTCTCTTGAGTTGGCAGAGGAGACGGGCAGGTTGAAAACACATTGACTCTTTGATCTGATGAAACCTTCATATGAAGCTGAATAAATATCTGGTCCCTTAACCAGAATGTGTGATTTACCAAGTGGCGGATTGACTTACACTCGTGCTTGATGTAAGTGCACTCCATAGAGCATCACAACCCTCCTTGAGCGTCGGGAGCGAGCCAGTTGATCCGGACCATTCGTTCTGCGTAAGTGACGGGAGGACCGTCTGACTTTGTCGATCGTTATGATGTTGTCTGCATTCTGTCTTGCTGATTCGTCTTCCCGAACTCTCAATGCACGCGTTCTCGCAGTTCGACTCACAACCAGAGATCAGCAAACCTTGATCCGCCACGTCTGATCTGGTCTGATCACAAGGAGTGCCACTCCCTGGGAATTCCACCAGTTGATCCGAGGCCGGTGCTCACGAGTACAAGTACCTCCCTTCTCCCACCTTGCTCTTCGTTTTTCTTTTTTCTCAAGTGCGTAGGCAAGTTGCCTAGGTGAGTATACAAAACTGAGGCGCCTTGCTCCAGGACACGGGCGATGAGTACTAAACTCCCTTGCTAGTGGGCTCTGCTCACCCTGCTGTTGCTGGCGACCTGGAGAAGGCGGGTGGTCGGAGTGGTCTGATGAGTACATCTTGGACGACATTGTTTTTCCAGACCCGGGTCCTCAGCTGGTGAGTCTTGTTAGATCGTCTTAGTGCTGACATCGACGCAGCTTTGTTTCTGGCAATCAATGAATTTTCATCATTTTCAAGCTTTATGCTTGTTCATGGAGAAGAGTATTTGTGCCTGCAGACCTCATCGGCGGTTGAAAGCAGATACGAAGTTGGAGAAGCAGCTGAGCCGACGTCGCTTGTCTCGCTTACCACTGCCCGATGGTGGACGAGGCCCCCGAGCCCGCATCATGACGCCGCCTGGAAGAATAGTTTTTCCACATCCCGACAACATTGTGGTGCTTGGTGGGTGGCTCGGTGGTTGCCCAATCGACACCGCAAGAAGCAACACCAAACAACCTGCTGCATCGTGGTCGGCTGCGATTCGAACCACCACATTTGGTGCACTTACCACACCACATTCCACGTCTGTTCTTCGGGTACCTGCGCTTCCTTTGCAGCCCAATCCATGTCAGTCTTTATATGTGGCGCATACTCTTTGAGCTCCTCCCGAACACGATGCAGTCCATAGTTGCGGCCTGATTACCTTGGTCTCCTTCCTGAAACGCAAAGTCTCGCGACAACCCTCCCATAAACAGAAAACAACAACTACGGTCCTTGCCAGAGCTTGGAGCCTCTCGAGACGCAGGCACCTCCTCACTGCGCACACTGAATCCGCTCTATACCTTTTGGACACCACCGCGCAACTCCCCCCCCAAGCGCTGTGTCATGGCGACAACGGAAGTTTACGTCCGGGAGACGCGACGACGGTACAGATGGCCAGAAGTCCAACTCAACCTGTGGATTTTTGTCGTTCTCGCAGGTGCAGCCACAGTACTAGGAATAAACGCATGGTTTATATCCGTCCAGAATCAATTAAGAGTTGGAGTGCCTTGGTAAGCACGGTCCCTGGCGCATTGATGCCCGGAAGGACACCCGGTATTGACATGTCACTCATGGCAGGCTGTTTACATTTGCGGTCATTGCCGGAGGCCTCACGATCCTGTTCCTCATCATTATCCTCATCCTCGCCGGACGGCGCATGCTGATACCCGGCGGAATTCTACTCGGCTCGTTTATCCTATTTGTGTTATGGGTGACGGTACTTATCGAGACAGCTATTCAGTTATACGGAAGCGGCAATGTGAACAGCAATTGCAACACCTATGTCAATAATCAGGAATACAGAGGTGTCTCAATAGAGACCTTGGCTTGGTTGACGCAGAGCAATATCTGTTCGTGTTGGAAGGCCTCCTTCGCGTGGTCCATCATTTTGGCTGTGTTGTTTCTTTGGATGATGATATTGTCGTGGCAGGTGCAAAACTACGATGATTGAAGAGGAGGGTACATGTGCATTCTCTTTGTGTTTTTGAAGAAGGTAATGAATCTTTAAGCATACGTGGATGGAATGTTTGATGCTTGCATGGGTTGAGCTGAGAGAGTTGTGAGCCCATTGACGATACGTACGCATATATGGCATGGAGTTAGGCTTGTCGATATTGTATTTCGTTGGTTTTTCTTGTATCTATTGCATGCTGTTGTTGCTAGGGGCGATCATATTGACCTCTGTTGAAGAGGCACTGTTGGATGCATTGAGCAGGCAGATTTGGCAGGCATGGTCTAGTGGAAACGGCAAGGAATTTCATCTGCAAATATGTTGCTCTGCGAAACAACGTTCACCGAGTCCAGAGTCTCTGAAAAGCAGTTGACAAACAGCAATAGAGACCGCACTAACGATGTCTTTCCTCTCTTCGGATTTCCAAGATGTGAAGCCGTGCATATTGCTACGCCCAGCACTGCCAGTAGCATTATCGATCATTCCTTGATGAACTTCGACAGCTGGGTGTTCATAAACTCGATGTCCTTCTCATTCAATCCTCCACCAGCGGTATGGCCCCATGTAGACTCGATCACCGCCAGCGTACCACGTTTGAGATAGTTGGCCTCAATCTCCGAGTCCTCGGGAGGAAAATACTGATCCGTCCGACACGGCATGAGCAGGGCCTTAGCTTTGATCCCCTCTAGAGCTTTGACATACAGCTCATCATCTGGAATCGCACCACCCAGCTGGCTCAGTTTTGTGCTGTCTTGGGCAAGACCCGGAATCACCAAGCCCACATCGCCCATCTGCCACATGCGTGCTAGGATCAGCAGATCGTCGGCATCCCAGGCCTCGTAGACTTCCTCCCTCTTCTGCATCCACCCCTCGATAGTGTCTGCACTGAAAATGCCGGCCTTGGTGAACTCACGGTCGCGAAACCATTTCGTGCTGGTCAACCACGCCGCATACGCGCGCGCAAAGGCTCGGAGCCCGTGCTTGGGCGTGACTTCCTTGAGATTGGCACCGACATCCTCCCCACGGGCGACTTTATCCTTCATGGCCCGCCACGCGATGTAGTCGATGGAGTTTGTCAACGCGGACACCGGTCCTTCGATAAAGGCATAGTTGTGCAAGCTCGTCCGGGCCGAAGAGCAGATGGCCACAATCCGCTTGACAAAGTCCGGGTACATGACGGCCCAATGATAAGCCTGCTGGCCGCCCATGCTGAACCCGACGACGGCTTCGAGCGACGCCACCTTCAAGTGCGACGTCAAAAGGGCGTACTGTGCGTTGATCACGTCTTGGTAACGAAGTTCGCCCGGCCGAGGGAAGAAAGGCTTGTTTGACGGCGACGAACTCTCGCCGTTGCCGAGCATGGCGACCACCACGACGTGATACGGCGCCAGGACATCGTATGGCGCATTGGTGAACGTCAACGTGGTGTTGATGAACCCCGCATAGCAGGTCGGTATCAGGACGACGCCGGCTGTCGATGATGGGTTGAAGCTTCGATAGGCGACTCGCACTTCGTGGAGAGTCGTCCCGTTGGAAAAGGTGAAGTCCGGGATCTCATAGTACTCGACTCCTTCGCGACTTGGAGGCGGCATGGCACGCAAAGGCAAGGGTTCTCAGACTTCTACCAGCACAGTAGTTATATTTTCGGTGATAAGTAATATAACAAAAAATCTCCACGGGTTGTACGGAGTATGATGTTCAGTATTACCCTCAGTTGTGACGGCGGAGTTGGACATTGGGAGTTTCAATCTATTAGTTAGTATGCACCAAGATCCCCAAGACGTAGGATAGCCTGGTGCTTTGCCGCCAAAATTGTCTGCCGGTTAGAGGCCTCTGCCGGCAAACTACCAGCGAGCCAGGCAAGCCGCACACAATTTTCGCGGCAAGTACCAGCCTGCAGCAAAAGATATCTTCAAGAACTCGACATTGTCCCACAATCCAACACGATTAAGCTGATGATATTCATAACGTCGTAACATTACCCAGACGATGCCATCACAGTGGGTGTCAAAGCCCTCCCCAATCAGTGACCAAGCTCATGCCACACCAATACCTTGCTATTGTAGGACGGTCCAAGGCTTCCATTCAGAAACAAGCATGACCAAGCAATATTCAAACTTCCATGACTCTCGCTCTCGAGCGAGCCTTTAGCTGCTTTGTCCGAACCAGTTTCAACTCCTCACCAATTATCCTCGCATCTCTCCACTGCTCCTCGAGATTGCTCATGCGAATCGCAGCCAGAACCGCGAACACCCCAGCCCGGAACTTCTGAACGGGCCTCAACTTTGTCTCGTACTTGTGGGTGTCCAGTGAGACCCCCATCTCGTCCAGAATCCGCAGATCGACTTGGTTACTGTCTCACGGGTCAGTCTAATGGCCGGACTAAAGCGGGAAGCGAAAAGTCGAGAAACATACCATTGCACTCTCATTGCCTCGCCCTGTTCGAGAAATGCTTTGCTCCAAGCCAGATCTTTTCGGAGCCGCTCTTCTCGTTTGCACCTGGCCTTCAGCCACATGACCTCTTTGATTAGACCTTTCATCTCCTTCTGCCGGATTTCGTCCTTGCTCGATTTGCCAGAACTGAGTCGCTCGAGCATCGTTTCGTACTTGCTCTGCAAAACTTCCAACTCGTTCTCGACAGCCTCAGCTTTCTTGTTGGCATTGCTACGCTCTTCCCGAAGACGGCGCAGCTGCTGCTTCATTTCGCGTGCTTCACCATCGCGGGTGCTGACTCGCGTGGACAAGTGATTATTCTCTTCTTGCTCATGACGGAGGCGCTTGACTTGTGTCTTGAGGTCTTGGATTTGTCGATCACGTTTGCGTAAGTCGATTGAAATGCTGTGTTCTTCATCTTGCTCCTTTTGCAGGCCATCAAGCTGTTCCCGCAGATCCCGCACCAGGTCATTCTGTCCAGCGATTCTGGCCTGCAAAGAGTCAACCTCGGCAGAACGAGCTTTGAGAGAAGCTTGTAAATTCACAAGCTCATCTTCGTCAACAGTGGCTCGGCGGGCTGTCCGCTTGAGATCACGATTTTCCGAAATGAGAACCTTGACCTCTGCTTGAGCATCGATAAGGTCTTGTCGAATCTTGGCCAGCTCCATCGAGTGTGACGGGGGAGGAGAAGCAGACGGAGACTTAGATTTGTACTGAGCAAGCTTTGCCTCATGCAGTTCTCGCTCAAGATCGTTGATGCGCATCTTCAGGTCGCGGTTGGCTGATTTCAGATCTGCCTCTCGTTTGGCAGTAGTCGTCGCATTTCTTCTTGCTTCTGCGAGGTCACGCGTGAGTCCAGACACATCGGCATCCGGAGACGGGACAACCCTAGATTGGCTGTCAAGCATCTCCTCCAGGTCTTTGATTCGCGACTCCAAACGAGCAACCTTGTTCTTGGCAGAGGTGAGCTCCCGGTCTCGGTTTTCTCCACCACTGACCTTCTGTACGCGAAGGCTATCGAGCTCCGCGTTCAGACGAACCTCTTCTTTACTAGCTCGTTCGAGTTCTGCATTGAGCTCGTCTTCAAGCGTCTGGTTTGCTTCGACAAGGTTTTTTCGCTCCGCAGTCAAGCGTGCCACGTCTTTCTCCAGCTTGACTTTGAGCCGCTTCAATTCGCGCTTTTCCTGGTCGACGTTGAAGGTATCATCGTTGGGCTTTTGCGCATTCAAGAGCTTCGCTTCCAAACTATGCCGATCTTCTTCCGCAGATTTCACATCAGCACTGGCATTCCGCAGTTCCAAGTTGACGTTTGTAAGTTGGTCCTGTAGTGCTTGTTTCTCTTGTCGGAGTTTCTGCACCTGAGCATCGGCAGTAATGGAGTATTTCTGTTGTTGGCGCTCTGCAAAGTCGTGCTCTTGCTCAATATCCGCCTGCAAGACCTCGATCTCTTCTTCCAACTCAGCTACCTTCTCCTTCAACGCAGCTTGTTCCCGAATCGAGATGCGAAGCTCTTCCTTGGCATTATTCAACTCCACACGACTTTCATCTGCGAGCGTCCGCTTAGCTAGAAGGTCTTGGTGAAGTTCATCAATCTGTCTGGACAGGACCCTCTCTTCTTGCTGGTGTCGTTGCTTTTCGCTCTCGATAGCCTCCTGGAGTCTCATTTCCCGTCCAGATAAAGTTCCTTGAGCATCTTGAAGTTTGTCTACCGTGCGTTGCAAGCCCTTGGCCTTTTCTTCCGCTTTCTGCGAAGCTGCTTCGAGTGTTCTTCGTTGAGCTTCCCACTCTTCCAAATCCGCTGCATGATCGCTCTCCTTCGCATTGACTTCGCGGTGCAGTCCATCGACCTGTTCGTTCAGGAGATCGACTTCATGTTTGTGCTGCGACCGTAGGATGTTTTCGTTTTGCGCCGACTGCCGTCGCTCCTCGTCGAGTGCAGATTCGAGGTCTTTCATCGACTTCTGGGATCTGCTAAGGTCTTTCTGCAACTCGGCGGACTCTTTCGTCAAGGCATCGTGACGTGTCTGTAGCAGATCCTTTTCTTCACTCTTGACCTGGAGCTCCCGCTCGCTTGTCTCGAGTTGCTTCGCCATACCGGCCAATTTGCGTTCGAGAGTGTCACGCTGTTGATGGACAAGTTCGAGCTCTTGCTGCAATTTCCTGGCGTCAGACGCGCCTTCTCGCTCCATCTCACGAATGTGCTCCCGCAGTTGCCGCTCTGATTCGGATTTTTCATCGGCCTGAGTTTGAAGCGCCTCGTATCGTTCCTGCAGATCTTGGAAGTCGTCTTCGAGTTTGTTCGCCTTCTCTTCCAGCTGTCGACTCAAACCCTTCGTGGTGAATGACTTGTTAGCCATTTCGTCTCGAAGCTCATCCAGATCTTCTTCTGCCTTCCGCTTGTCTTCAAAGGCCTCTTCTTTATCTTCTTTTGCCTCTTGCAACTCTGCTTTCGTACGTTCAAGATCCTGCTTGAGGTCTTCAATTTCTTGTCTGGCAGAATCCAATTCATCTTCGGTTTCGGCAGCATTGTTGGATTCTTTGCTAGCTTTCATTTTCAGCTCGTCAATCTGATCATCCCGCTCATCGACCATGCGTTCCTTTTCGCGTAAGTCAGCCTGCAAATCCTCAATTTCAGCTCTCAGCTTTTGAACCTCGGACTGCTCTTGGCTTGCAACATGATCTTTCTCATCCTTAAGACCCTTGATTTGTTGGTCTCTGGCTTTTAATTCTGAGCGTAGAGTCTCAAGCTCCATGCGAAGACTTTCGTCGACCTGCTTCCTTCTGATCCGCTCTTTGAACTCCTCCAGTTGCAATCTGTAGACCTCGGCATCCTTTTCAGCTTGCGCAATGTTCCTCTTGAATTTGTGTAGCTCGCGCTGCATGGTGATGCGATTGACCTTCAAGTCCGTGTTCTCCTTGAGCGCAGCCTGATTGAACTCATTTCCTCGTTTTGACAGAGCCTCCTCCAGGAAGTGTATCTTCATTTTCAGGCCGAAATTCTCTTTCTCGATCTTGTCGATAATGCTCTCCTGCTCGCGCAGCGTCATCATGTTCCCGTCGTTAACAAGACCGCCAGCTTCGCGTCCTGGTAGCTGCGCAAGAGGAGTACTTCGAACACTGCTGCTAGCGTGCTGAGGTATGGGAGTGTCGTCGACAGCCCTGCCGGCCGAGCTCGAGGTGTCTTCGCCATCCAAACGCGACAGATCACTGAGTCGCGGCAGTGCAGGGGTGCGGCCATTTGTGAGGAGAGATGGTGTGCTTGACGCGCCCAGTTTCTTGCTAGAAAGCTGGCGCGCGATGTTGTTCTTTGCTCCACTCTTGAGGTAGGGTGTGAATTCGGAGCGACCTTGGTTCCCGTTGGGAAGGAGTCGCAGAGGGTCTCGCGTTCCAGCTCGAGGAGTTTTGAGGTTCATCCCCTGTGACCTTGCACTCCGCATTTGACTGATGAGATCACCATTTTGCCCTGGTATGTTAAAGGATTTTTCGGGGGATATATCTTCGAGTCGGTCACCACCGGTGGTGAAGAATGAGCCGTCGTTTGTTTGTGCAGGGGTGTTGATGTATCGGTCCATGACGGGAGTGAGGGCACAAAAGCCCTGTTCCGTCAATGGTACGCGTGAGGGACCAAAGCAATATTGATTTAACAGTAAAGCATACTGTTTGTGCAAGCAAGACAACAAAAGGTGTGATGGACTCCTCTATGTTGATGTCTACCGAAGCGGAATAGTGTGTTTTGGTTGGGGTCCCGAACCGAGCCTCCCACAGCCTGTTACTGGCCTCCAATCAGCGAGACGAGAAGAGAAGTGAATGCTACGGTACTGCGAAAAGACCAAGGGACACATCCACGTGACATTATGGGGAAGTGCACCTGATGATAGAGTACTGCACCCTTCAATTCTTCCATGCTTCTTATGCTGCACTTGGGTGATCACCAAGGTCACTCACATCAGCCTATGATACCCTTCGAGGAATGCTTTTCCAAGCCTTTCAGCAGTACTGGAGGCCAACATCGTCACCATGCTCTGCATCCTTGATTTTCTGCAAGGTGTACTGTATCAAGACATCAAGGTCGAAGAGAACATCGACACAGCTGGAACCCCTCCTGAATGGCCTTGACAGGTATCTTGCCGACCAGTCCACATAAGACGAGTTTGATGTTCCCTGCCTGAATTCACACTGTTCGTCTCTGTCTCTGTCGTCACCCAACCCTCTGCCTGCTCTGTGCATCGACCTTGCCGCCTGCCTCGGGCATGAAAAAGCTCATGGTTATGGCCGCCTCATGTGCATCTGTCCAGCCCTTGGGTACAGGTGCGAATTGCGGTATGTCAACTGCCTGATATTGGTCATTTTGGTCCTGAATGCACGATAACAAATTTCTAAACAGTCTCCACGCTCGATATGCTGATAATGAGCTTTGCGTCATGCACCAAATATAGGCCATAGCCTTGCGTAAGTAGTTCACCACCTCTGGAATCTCGTTCCTGAAATGCTGGCAATCGAGAGCCATTTCCAGCATGAAAACAGCCGTGGCCTGCGCCACGTAATGAAGCAGCGCCCACCAGGGAAGCAGCTGATACGACTCATGCGCGCTCGGATTGTCTGGCATGATTGCCAACAACGACATTGCCGCATGAACGCAGGCGCGAGCAGAACTCAGATTGAATTCCTGCGACGCAGAAGATTGATTCTCGATAACGATGTCGCACAGGCACGGTCGATGGAGGATCATCTGGACACTGTGATAGTATAGGGCCAACTCGATCCTGGCCCGTGGATCTGTGTCCATGGTAACATCACTCTGCAGGTTCAGTTCATCCGGGAGGCTCTTAGTCCAAAACCTCAGGTCCGTCTGCAGCTCACCAATTTTGCCCTGAACTTGTGCCCATGTGCTGTCGGACGTTCCGCTGTATAGCTTCGTTGCAATTTTATCACTCAATCGACACAGGTGGATACGGTGGGGAAAATAGTGTGGCGAAACTCCACGGCCCAGCGATGAGAAGCTGGTCAATGGCACCATCCCACCCGTCATCACCTGGGATATGTCGCGCCTGGCCCTGAGAAATTCTAGCCACATCCTGCGCGACTCGAGAGCTGACATGTAGTCGGAATCTTCCACGTTTCCGTCTTCAATGTGCTCCTGTCGTTGCAACAAATCGGTAGGCGTGGTTACATCGGATAGGAAAATGGACTTCGGTCTTCCGGTAATCTCCGCAATCAAGACCTCCAGGCAGTATAGCGCATACCACGTCCGGGCGCGTCGAGCTCTTTCAGCTTCATCGAGGGCGGGGTCTGACACTTTGAGGTGTAGGCCAAGTGCTGTTGCGTGTCTTGTGGCATGGCCTAAAGTATTCCACGCACTGAAAGGGGCTAAGAAAGTGGTCGCTCTGCGGGAATTAGATGTACTTACCGCGTAATTGACCCATTGATCAAAAGATAGTACGCGAGGAGCCCGATTCCTTGGATTCGATCAATGTCTGGATGATCAAACACCACCCTGTGGTCAAGGCCTAGAGCGCGCGCTCTGGCGTAGAATAACATGTGCCTGTCTTCATCACTTTGCTGATCAAGTTTGCTAATATGCAGCCACTTTGCTCCTATGGCCCAGACCAGATTTGCCTGTGCGAGCCACCGCCGCTGGCTCCAGGTCGGCATCATTCTTTCCTGCGGGTAAGAGAGCATTGTCTGCAAGAAGGTCTCTCGAACAACGAATGGATAGGCGCCTTGCATAGCGTGGAAAAAGGCTTCCATCAGTAAGTACGCATCTTGCCCAGAGGGCCATTCGTAGGGGTCGATGGTATCCTCATCGAAGGCCAAGACATCGACGTCGTCCATGTAGAAGCTAAAGTCTTTGGCGATTGTGAGACTGTGGTCCATCTCGCCCGTGGCGAAGCGTGAATACTCGGTCTCGCGTGGATGCTGTTTATGGACTACCTCAAGAGCACGTCGAAACCATGACATTTCCGACATCTTTCCAACGAAGCCGGAGGCTCCAGAGCCACCGTCAAGGTCAACAACATGGGCCAATTCTCCCTGCTTTCCAGGAGAGCCGACATCTGATGGCGCCGTTCTCTCACCTGACACCGCGCCCGGCTCCGTAGGCTGTGTTGTGTCTTGAGTTGTCGATTGCTTCATGCTGCTACTTGCCACCGTCATTGACTGACTGCCCGAATCTTGCCCACTCTCGGAAGGCTCCGTTGAATACTGCCGAATGGGTGTCAGAGCTTGCGCGTAAAGGATGTGTCTAATACCTTGGACAGAATGTCAAGAACATCACTATGTCTGGACGAGTCAAAATCGTCTCTGCTTCCGAGAGAGCGCAAAGCCGTGAGCAGGATTTGATTCTCGTTCTGCAACTCGCCAATGCGCTCTAGGCTTTCGGCAAGATCTCTGCACCAAATTAGTACTTTGGTCAACTGTGGACGCCTTCAAAGAATGCAGTACTTCCTGTTCCGCTCCCGTTTTCGGTCTCCAAAAACGCACGTTGCGTTGTCCTTGATACATTTGGTGCATCGTTCTCCTCCGGAGCATTTGGTGCGCATGATTCTGCACCGATCGCAAGCATGTGACGTTCGTGGTTTGGTGATAGCGCTGCCAGGCCGAGAAGGTGGGCGTGGGGGACTCGGACCTCCTCGCTGTGGTTGCGCTCTAGGTATGACCGTTCGCGAAGGAACGAACCTGCCTGGCGCCGTTGACATGCTTGCTTGGTTTCGCGGCTTTTGCGAAGATTCACGTGTCGGCCCTTTAGAGGGACAGAACCATCCAGCAAAAGAATAGAGGGTGCTCGAAATCATACAGCCATGGCATAAGGTGGAGGTTGAAGGCCAGCGATAGAGTCTGTGATCACAATATTCTCGATCGGGGCAAGCAAAATACCTGAGATTTGTTGTTCCAAACACTGAATCTCTGATCAATATTCAGTAACAAGCGTGGGAGACAGCGAACGCGTAAGTTAAGTTTCGGTGCCGCTGAAAGATCTGGCGATCGCCCCCTTATCTGCTACGGCAAAGATGTCGCTATTCAAGTCGACCAAGCACAACTCCAGCCTAACAGTCGCTTAGACCTGACTGTTGCCGGCTTTGTAAATCAGCCAATGTAGGACTCAAGATTGTTGGGTTGATGGGTGGCGATTTAAGAGTGCCGGGAAAGGTTTCCGCCAAATGTTGGATTTTCAAGGCGCTCCAATATCGAGTTTGGGCTGTTCTGCGCCCGTACGAGGACTCGAGGCCTACATTGAGACCTCGATAGAGTGGAGCATCAGCAGACGACGCAATATTTTTCCGAGGCGAGTTGATTGGATACGAAAGATTCTCGTTAGTATGATTGGCTCTGGCCACTTGGAAGGATGTGTCTTACCAGGGACGAGTGGGAATTACCTTGGTAATCAATCGGACAATACTTCGTGTCCACACATGTCACCACCGATGAGGTGAAGGCAAGATGACTTCAAACGGATATGGCATGCCGTTTCGCCGGAAAAGTCCCTTCTAAGGAGGAAAGCAGAAGCGACGGATATAAGGATGGGTGCCTACATTTTTCTGCAATTCCACAACATGGGATGCAAAGAGTGGTCGGTGGAAGGGTACCCATAACATCCCAGAATTATCGGATGGCGACAACATATCCAGGAAGCAGTAGCATGATGGTCTAGGCTCACCAGGCCGGGTTCGGGGCAAATCGTGAAGTGTCTATAGGCCGCTGGGCCCACAACGTCCAGGCAAAGTTTCCCCTATCTCACGGTCACGGTTGGTTCCATGACAGCGCTGGGCTACCCTAGTGCTCAAGCTTGAATGATCCGAGTACATGAGCCACGATGGGCTAACCTTGCCCTTGGCCGCCGAGACTGCTGGGAGAGTCATATTCCTTCCCTTCAGACTGCCCCACATGTAGAGAGTTCATGCCCAGAGTTGATCCTCAGACTTGATGCTCAGACTCACTGGCGTTGAAGTGGAGATCAGGCTGTTGCGGCAAAGCATGCACGAGCACAGCGAAGAGGCAGCATAAGGAGAACTTTTGGCACGATTTCAACGGCTAATGGGATGGCATAATCAGACATGCCTTCTTCAGGGTCGAAAGACGAAGTAAATGCGGAGGGGGAAAAACGCATGTGTGGCGTTGGTCTCGAAGGAAGATCAAGTGGCTAGTGTGAGTGGTGTGGCTGGTCGAAGACTCGAAGATGACGTTGCGGGAAGCGGGAAGAGCCCCTCCAAAATGTTCAATCGAGCTCTCAGCAAAGAAAACAAGACTTCTCCACCCCCTCCCAATCTGCACTCGATTTGGTGTTCAACAAGTTTTTTAATCCAGTCATTTCATAGGCAGTATCTTTTCCATAATTCACAGACAACAGACTCTGGAATCGGCCCTATCCTGCTACCTGCAGGTGTTCCCCCCTAGACCTCCCCTCTCAATCTCCGCAAGCTCCGTTCAACCATGGCCAAGGTCGACCAGAAGGTTGTTTTGAGTAAGCTGTCTGCCCAATGCAACCACGCGAATGGATTACTGATATGAGTTTCAGTTGTTATCGACGGCTGGGGAATCCCGTCGGAAACCTCCCCTCCAGATGGCGACGCCATCGCCGCCGCTGAGACCCCCTACATGGATGAGTTCGCAAAAGAAGGCTCCAAGACTGCACAAGGCTATACCGAGCTGGAGGCTTCTTCACTAGCCGTGGGCTTGCCTGATGGCCTAATGGGTAACTCGGAAGTCGGCCATCTCAACATTGGCGCAGGCCGAGTGGTCTGGCAAGACAGCGTTCGAATTGGCCAGACAATCAAAAAAGGCGAGATGAAGAATGTGCCGAATGTCAAAAAATGCTTCCAAAGAGCTGTTGACGGCAACGGCAGGCTTCATTTCGTCGGCCTTGTCAGCGACGGTGGTGTCCACAGTCACATGGATCACCTTTTCGCTCTTCTTCAGGTCGCCAAAGAAATGAAAGTGCCAAAGGTCTTTATTCACTTTATCGGAGATGGCAGAGATACCGATCCGAAGAGTGCTTCTGGATACATGCAACAACTTCTGGATAAGACGAAAGAAATGGGTGTTGGTGAGTTGGCCACCGTTGTTGGTCGATACTACATCATGGACCGAGACAAGAGATGGGATCGTGTCGAAATTGGCATGAAAGGCCTTGTCACGGGCGAGGGTGAAGAATCGACAGACCCGGTGGCAACAATCAAGGCACGGTACGAGAAGGGAGAGAATGATGAATTTCTCAAGCCCATCATCGTGGGTGGTGACGAAAGAAGAGTCAAGGACGGTGACACGCTCTTCTTCTTCAACTACCGGTCAGATCGAGTGAGAGAAGTCACTCAGCTCCTAGGTGACTACGATCGATCCCCAAAGCCAGATTTTCCCTATCCAAAAGATATTCAGATCACGACCATGACTCAGTACAAGACCGACTACACCTTCCCCGTCGCCTTCCCTCCCCAGCACATGGGCAATGTGCTGGCGGAATGGCTAAGCAAAAAGGGTGTCAAACAATGTCATGTCGCAGAGACGGAGAAATATGCTCATGTGACGTTTTTCTTCAACGGTGGAGTCGAAAAACAATTCGAGGGCGAAGAGCGGGAGATGATCCCCAGTCCCAAGGTTGCCACTTACGATCTGGAACCTCCCATGAGTGCGCAGAAGGTGGCCGACAAACTCAGCGAAAGGATCTCCGAGAAGAAGTTCGAGTTTTTGATGAACAACTTTGCACCCCCCGATATGGTGGGCCACACTGGAGTGTACGAAGCAGCAATCAAGGGAGTGGCGGCGACGGATGCCGCCATTGGAAGCGTGTACGAGACTTGCAAGAAAGAAGGTTACATTCTGTTCGTGACGTCCGACCATGGCAATGCTGAGGAGATGTTGAACGAGGAGGGTACACCAAAGACCTCGCATACTACCAATAAAGTTCCATTCGTCATGGCAAACGCGCCTGAAGGCTGGACTTTGAAGAAGCAAGACGGAGTGCTTGGTGATGTGGCACCCACAGTGCTGGCGGCGATGGGCATAGAGCAGCCAGAAGAAATGGGCGGGACGAGTCTTTTGATTAAGAAGTAAGTGGACCTTGAAGTCGACAAGGGATATTGTTAGCAATATCTTTACCGACTGCCAGGCCCAGCTTGTACATTGGCTGTGAGCGTTGTGGTACCTTAGAGACATGAGCTGATGAGACATGAAATAGACGAAAAGCAAGCAACTTGAACCCACAAGCGGAGGAATAGCGTCTTCCTTTCAGGTCTTCTGAGCCAAATCGCAAGAGCGTGACTCCAGAGAACGTCGGGGACCTTATTTCTATTCTCGAGAGGATTCGACTGTTTCAGTTAAGAACAGGACGTACTGGTTGACATGACGACGAAACAATCTTGACCATCTTATTTCCTGGTTGATAGCTGATAATTCCCATCCACCCTGCCATCATGGCATGGCTGAGTTGCCCAACACGGGAAGGGAAGGGAAAATGGAAAATGATTCCGGGCTTGATGGATTGGGTCGAGTTACACAACATGTGTATTTGTTCAGATAGAGGTAGTACAACATGGTCTAATGCTCACTCTCAGAAACCGTAGCCAAGATCTGATTTTCGGGTTCCAGGGAGGGAATAATCAATACAGGTTGCTGTTGAGCTGTGTATTGTAGACGACTTGACGAGACGACTGCAGACACCTCGTCGGCCCCACAAACCGATGGAATTTGTTGATTGGCTGTTTGACGATTTTCGATGTCGTGAAAAAGAGTGTCGTGGATGAATTGATGACTCCAACAGATAAATTTCGAGCAGAGCTTAAAGTAAGAACAACATTCTGCGGTAGCGAGGGGTTCGACTGCTACTACTCATCAAGCATACGACAACTGGGAAGCCATCGTGAGCGAAGTGGTCGTCCTCACTAGAGACTGTCGGAGTGGGCTCTTGACCTCACAGCCACCAGGGACCTCGTCTATAATACCAATCCTCAACAACATGTCATTAACAGAATCTACACCCGAGGCCGCTGCGAAGGCGGCCTCCCTCTCGGCTCGTAGCCTTGCCGTCCTGCCAGTATCAGCACGCAACGATGCTCTGACAGCCATGCACGACGCCCTGCTCACGAATAAAGAGTCCATACTTGCCGCCAATGCACAAGACATGATCCGCGCCACCTCGGCCTCACAGTCTGGCCACCTATCCCAAAGCGTCCTCAAACGTCTCGACCTTTCCCGGCCCGGTAAATATGAGGACATGCTGCAGGGTATCCTCGACGTGCGTGGACTCGACGACCCGATCGGCAAATGTGACCTGCGTACCCTTCTTGACGACGGATTGGAACTCGAACGCGTGTCGTGCCCGATTGGCGTGCTACTTATCATCTTTGAAGCGCGACCGGAAGTCATTGCCAATATTGCGGCGCTGGCCATCAAGTCCGGCAACGCGGCGATCTTGAAAGGCGGGAAAGAATCCACCAACTCCTTTGAGACGATTGCAAAAGTCATCAGCACCACATTGGAAGGGACGCAAGTGCCCAATGCGGCGATACAGCTCGTTAAGACACGCGACGTCATTGACCAGCTGTTGGGGCTTGATCGCTATATCGACCTAGTCATCCCGCGTGGTGGGAATGAGCTTGTCAGGTACGTCAAAGAGCACACGAAAATCCCGGTGCTGGGTCACGCGGATGGATTATGCAGTGTATACTTGCATAGTGATGCGGATCAGGAGATTGCGGTTCGAGTCGTGGTAGATTCGAAATGTGACTACCCAGCCGCTTGTAATGCGGCCGAGACATTATTGGTGCATGAGAGTGCATTGACAACAGCGCTGCCAGCTGTGGCCGAGGCGTTGCTTGCAAAAGGGGTATCATTGCGGTGTGATGAGCAGAGTAAGAACGCTCTGAGAAAGATGTTGCCTCCGACGAACGCTACGTTGGTGCAAGAGGCGGGTGAGGAGGATTACAACACAGAGTTTCTGGATCTCATCATGGCAGTGAAGACGGTACCTGCCACGACAGTCATTACGAACGGCCAGCTCGCGGACGAGCAACGATCAAACGACACGTCGCTAGACTTGGCGATCGCGCATATCAATACGCATGGGTCGAAGCACACGGACTGCATTGTAACGAGCTCAGAGAGAGCGGCAGAGAAGTTCATGTCCTCTGTCGACTCGGCCGGCGTGTATTGGAATGCTTCCACAAGGTTTGCTGATGGGATGAGATATGGGTTTGGCACAGAGGTGGGCATCAGCACGAATAAGATACATTCCAGAGGCCCCGTTGGTCTCGAGGGCCTGACAATCTACAAGTACAAGATCAGGGGACATGGGCAGACTGCTGCTGAGTATGGTGAAGGAAGCGGGAAACGAAAGTACAAGCATGAGAGATTGAGCATTTGAGCGCACAATATTGTAAGGCTGGCGAGTTATGCATTTCATCCGAGCTGCAAATGGAGAGTTGTCGAACCGCCTACCATGCTTTTGAACAGCTGCTGAAGCAAGGAGACGGACAACCGGGAAGATTCTCAAGATTCGCGAGACGGAATGTACCTGGCCCGCTACCTGATGACCGGCTGCACGCAACAGTCACTGAAATGTGCACTGCCAGTAGCTCAACTAAGCCTGAAAGACCGAGCATTTCGTCTGGATCAAGAGCATCTCAACCGTCTGCACGAAATTGAGACTTTAAACACCAGCGTACCATATTAATTGGACATTCTGGACGACGATTGATGCCGCAATTCTGACTGCCAGTCTCCTTCCTCTGGTGCACTCAATTCCATGTTGACGTCCTGATATATCTCGATGCAATGGCACCAATGGAACGATCAGGTACCTATAACTACTCTATACTGCAAAGTCAGAGAGCATGATTTATCCGAGGTAAGTATTTCCAGACTGAAATATACTGTCCAATTTCTCAGCTCTCAACAAGCCACATCTTCCATTGTTCGCGTTTGTTCCCATCTCCTGCATAAGGAGCCTTGACAGGCGCGATTGGCAACCCCTTTCGAGGAGGACGGTTGAAAACCAAGTCCTGTCATGCCTAATCCACCAAGCTCTTATCTACCACGCAAACTGCCTTCCCTTTGAGGCGACCGGATTCCAGAAGCTCAATCATCCTCGGCACCTCTTCTAGGCCATTAAACACCTCCGTCTCAGCCTTGATGCTGTTCTTCGCGACCACATTCAGCATCTCCTGGCTCGTGTTGCGATCACCATACATTGTGCCTTTGATAGCGACATCGCGCAACACGACATCCTGGAAAGGCACGGTGATTTCTTGCGGCTGTGCAGCTTGAACGACGACTCCATGCATACGTGTGATTGCAACAGACAGTGCCGCCGTGGAAGGATGATCGCTGACATTGATGGTGGCTTCGACGCCTTTGCCATCCGTCAAGGCTTGCACCTTTTCCACAATCCGGGCTTTCCCTTCACGTGCGTCTAGAACCTGCTCTGCACCCGCATGCCGAGCCACTTCCAGCCCTTCGTCTCTGGCGTCGATTGCAATGACATTGATGCCTGAGGCTTTTGCGAACTGGATTCCGAAATGTCCCAGCCCGCCTCCTGCACCGACAATGGCGAGCCATCCCCTAGACTTGACTCCGCTGACCAACACAGCTCGGTAGACCGTCACCCCGGCGCAAGCAAGCGGCGCTGCTGCCACAAAGCTCACCTCATCAGGCACGTGGCAGCTTGCTCTGGAGTCCACGACGTGGTACTCTGCAAACGCCCCATCGGACTTGATCCCCGTCGCCCCGTCTGTCGCGAAACAATATTGGTTCCAATCCTGTCCGGCAGGAGGATTGCAGTTCTCGCATTTCCCGCACGGGTGAAGCGAGATTCCCGACATCACGCGATCGCCGAGCTGGAAGTCCGTCACAGCATTGCCCTTAGCAACCACTACTCCTGTGCCCTCATGAGACATGGTGATCGGTAAATGCGAGCCAAACACGCCTGCAAGGACCATCAAGTCGGTATGGCAGAGTGAAGCGACGGCGGTGCGGAGGAGCATGTCATGCGGTCCGAGTTTGGAGACTGACGGTGTTGGGACTTTCTGGATCGCCAGCGGTGCGTTGTACTACAGTATTTGCCATGTCAGTTTACCGGCTGGAGGTAGCTGACTTTATTATTCCTTGACATCTCGATGATGAGGAAAAGGATTCTTGTATGCATGTAGTAGGCCCTCGAGAAGGGCGGAGTGGACTTGCTTCACCTTTACGACCTGTACCGCGAGCATTTCGCTTGGAATATCCGTCGAGGAAGTAGCCATGGTCAAGTCGTTGCTGTGATGGTGACTTCTGGACTCTCGCGTTCCTGGATGTGTACAAACACAACTGAGGTTTTTGAAGACCTTTCACAACTGTGCCGTGGCTGAAGACTTCAATCCTGCCCACTCCGGTTAGTCAATCGGCTCAGCTGTTTCCGACTTGAGGTGGGTGTCTATGCAGTAGGATGTCGACAGGGGCCTTCTGGCGTCCTATGAACACCAGCCATTCACTACCCCATCTTGTACTATCAAAGCCGCCAATAAGCAGGAAAACAATCGAGACCTCAGCTCGTCATAGCCATGGAAGCCCCGCGCTGGGTTGGGGCTGAAAGCTGGTTCCAGTTTCCCCCACATTAACTAGAACCGGCGAAATATCAACAAAATATGTCTTGCACGCCATGTCCTCTAGAGACTATCATACTGGTCATCACGAACACAACGTGACGGAGATACAATATTGGCCATCTTCACGCGTGCTTCAACATTCATCCCTGCTGCTCACTCTCCATAGCGGCAACTGTAGCAGCCTTGGTACTTGCCGACATATCCATCAACACCTTCTGGTGCAACCAATGCGGCCAGCCTCGTATGCCCGTGGCCAGGGACAAAGACGACGGGACGACGATCTGGCCGCTATCTCCCGAATACAATTGTTTCACAACAGCGTCTGCAACGACTTTGGGTTCGACCATAGATACTTGCAACCCGTTCTCGAGCAGGCGCTGGATCAAGGGCGTCCTAATCCATGCGGGAAGCACAACTCTAGCGAGCACCGTCAGCACATTGATATTGAATTGGCAAAAATTAGGATACTTACGTCGTTCTCACTTTCTTCGCGTTGTAATACAGGGCCAATTCCAGCCCTAAGCCTTCATGAAATGCCAGTGCGGCTGCTTTTGATGCAGCGTATGCCACATTTGCAGTGCGCGGACCGTGAGCCGCCAGGCTTGCAACAGTGACAATGTGTCCATGGTTTTTCTCAATCATATGAGGCAAGAATTCTTTGACGAGCTGGTAGTGTGAGAAGAGGTTCACCGAGAAAGTCCTCTGGACATCGTCCATGGATATACCCAGGATGGTCGCGTCAAGTGCGAGACCGGCATTGTTGATCAGGACAGTCGGATTGCCGTGCTCGGAGCGAATGCGGCCACAGGTGGCCTTGATGGCATTGAGATCGCCAACATCGACCTGGTAAGCTGATGTGTTGGGAGCTGTTCAGTGTCAATGTCAGTGCCGTGAATTGCGCCAGCGCAAACTAATATCACTACTCACGCAGTTGCCCCTTCGCTTCCGTGATATCGAGAATGATGACTTTAACTCCTCTGCTAGCCAACTTTTCAACCATCTCAGCACCGATACCCGAATTTCCTCCTGTTATCACGACGAGTTCCTTGGACCAGTCCCATTTCGAACTCGAAGTGTAGTGGTTGAGTGCTCTTTGCGAAAGCCATCCGCTCAGGGACCTCAGTGCTTGTATGCCGACAAGCGCACCAACAACTGGCAGACCATATTGCCTAAGCCTTGGATTCGCAATAATCCCTCGATACAAGGACTCCATTTGCTGCAGCATGCTTTGTTCCCGGCGTCAATCACAATGCCACCGCAGTAGAAGCTCGAATGGTCCGGACTGAGACAGTGAGAACAATGTAATGGATGCCAAATCGTCAGCCATTACGCATTACGCCCTTTTGCAGTACCCAATCATGAAACTGCCTGGAGGGCATCAGGCCTGCCATCCTCTCCGGCGCAAAGGGTGAGAGCAGCTTAGTCAGCATCCTGAAGCCGTTCGAGATTCTTCTTTTGCTGCAGAAGTCCGCTGTTCCTCGGAGAATTCTTGACTTGAAGTCTCTGCAGACGACATGACGACATCAGCGACATTGTCTCGTCCGGTGACAATCCAACAAGTTTACAGTTGTAAGAAGACTTTCAGAAAACAAAGCCATCATGACGCGAAACCATAGCATCGTCGCCAAGTGCTTATGGACTCGGTGGGTACTCGGTTCTCGGAGCTACTTTAGCATTGGCGGCCTCGACGGCTTACATGATGTCTTCTGATATCGAGTTTCAAGGTATACAGGCATCCAGAGACTCTGAAAAGCTTCTCGGATCTGTGAAGCATCCAGAAGCCGACGATATACCAAGTCCGCCACATCCGGCGTTGGAAGGGTACAAGCACGAACAGATCAGTCGGCCTGTTCTTCGCTGTCGACGAAACTATCCCTAGCAGGAGCGACCGTCGCCATCGAATTCGGTAATGACACGAGCGCCTCGCTATAACCAAACATAACTAGCGGAGATATTCCACGGGTATTAGATAGGCCATTACAGTGGTAGAGTCCAGGAGGCCACGCAGTCAGCGAGCGAGGCTCATCACGGTAGCAATGGGCGACTACCCTGTTCGTGTGGATCAAAGCCCACATCTGGCAAAGCACGAAGCCGCAGTATCAATCATTGCCCAGCAGGTCGCCCATTTCGATGCCTCCGATATCCCATTCCGGATATTCCACGGCAACACCAATTCAACTCGACCCAGTGTCCGGACCCGGGCATGCACCATCGATATATCGTCGCTCCACAACGTCATCTCTGTCAACCAGACGACCCGGACATGCCTCGTCGAGCCAAATGTGCCGATGGATGCCCTCGTGGCTGCGACATTGCCTTACGGCCTAGTACCCCCTGTTGTCCCGGAGTTTCCGGGCATCACGGTAGGAGGCGCGTTCGCAGGAACGGCAGGCGAAAGCAGTAGTTTCAGGCACGGTTTCTTCGATAAAGCTGTCACTTGGACCGAAGTCATTCTTCCAGATGGAGAAATCGTTATCGCTTCCAAGGACAAAAACGAAGACTTGTTCTCCGGCCTCGCAGGGACATTTGGTACGCTGGGCATTACCACTTTGTTTGAGATATCGCTGGTTCCTGCGAAAAAGTTTGTCGAGCTGTCCTATATTCCTGTCGGAAACATTGAGGATGCCCAACGAGTAATGCATCAAGTTACAGAGGACAAGGAGATGGATTTTTTGGATGGCATCATGTTCGCTCCTGAAAGGGGAGTTGTCATGGCCGCCAAATTCGCTGGTCGGAACAGCACCAACAGCGGTATGCCGGTTGTCACCTTCACCAAGGCATGGGACCAGTGGTTCTACCTCCATACCGAGCAAGTAACAAACAAATCGACCGGCGTCGACACCATTAAGAGCACTACTCCAACCTCCAAATCGCCAGCAGCGGCCCACCGCGAACTGATCCCCCTGACAGACTACCTCTTTCGTTACGACCGTGGCGCCTTCTGGACCGGCCGCTTTGCATTCACGTACTTCCTCACCCCGTTCACCCGATTCATCCGCTGGCTGGGCGACCGCTACATGCACACACGAATCATGTATCACGCCCTGCACCGTTCCGGACTCATGCAGCGCTTCATCATCCAGGACATGGCCCTTCCGAACAAGAACATTCCCGAATTCTCCGCATGGTTGGACACCGAGCTGCCGCACATCTACCCGCGGTGGCTGTGCCCACTCAAGACGGAGGGAACAGTCAGCATGCATCCTCACCTCGCACCGGCGGCGGCATCAAATGACGATGCCCTGCTGAACATCGGTGTCTGGGGTCCCACGCCGCCAGGAATGCGGCAGGTCACCGTCAACCGCAAGATCGAGGCCAAGTTAACATCCCTGCAGGGTATGAAGTGGCTGTATGCACAGACCTTCTACACGGAAGACGAGTTCTGGCAGATCTACGACCGGACCTGGTACGAGGCGCTGCGGAAGAAGTACCGCGCCGAGAAGTTGCCCAGTGTGTATGAGAAAGTCAGGACGAAGTTCGAGGTCGAACCGAACACCGATGGCGATGTACGGCTTGGTATTGAGAAGGGCTTCTGGAGCATCTGGCCCTTTGCCGGCGTTTACGGCGTGTTGAGCGCCATCAAGGGTGGTGATTATTTGAGGAAGAGCTGAGGTAGTCAGACTTGATCCGGTATTCCGGGAGTGCAAGGTAGCCTGTAGACATTAGCCAGCATTGTTGGAGTGCGGGATATGCAACTTGTATACAGATAGATTCTGCGTACAGGATCAGGCATACAGACAACAGCCATGCAAGAGCTAAGTTAGTATCGACAAGGCTCGGACAGTTACCATTTAGATGCAAGATAGAGTATACAAAACCAAGACAGTACGAAGTATCATTCGCGCATGGAAAAAGAATAGACATAGACTGGTCGAGTTGCTTCTCGCCGACTACTTGATCTTTTCACATTTCTTGGGCATAGTCTATCACATTCATTGATTTGATTCAACCAAGTCATCGGTTGGTGTTTCCACACTCAAGTTCGAATTCATTCAACCCCGTTCAGCACTGCGCATAGCCATACATGTCTAGAATCCAGGATGGTCATATCAAAAACTAGCACAAACGTGCTGTGCCACTCCCTCCAATGGCAGTTTACACAATGTCGCGGCACCTAGCAATCCAGCCAGGTATTCGAGCGTGCTACAAGGTTGCTGTGCGGCAAAAAGAGACGGTCGTTCATCATCGCATAATCTCATTCCATATCAGTGCTTTGAGCTCCTCTTTGCTCAACTGATCTTTGTTGCGGTCAAAATCGAAGAACTCTTCCGGAATCGGTTCAGCAGTTGGCTCGTCGTCAGGATCATGGTAAGGCTCGAGATAAGGGTGCTTCAGCGCGTCTTCGACCGTGATCCGCTTGACTGGATTGAAAGCAAGAAGCTTCTCCAACAAATCGAGGGCCAGGTCCGAGGTCTTGGGGAAGAGAGCCTTGAGAGGGATTTTCTTCTTGAATGGCAGAGACCGGATGTATTCGCGAGCACGCCTCGACTTGATGCCGTAGTAGTCTTCCATAGTCGGTGTTCCGAGAACATCCAAGATCAATGTGAGTTGATGGTGGTCTGTGGAAAGTTAGCTTTCTCCATCGTGCCCTTGGATAACCGAACTTACAATCTTTGCCTGGGAACAACGGCTTTCCACTCAGCATCTCGGCCAAGATACATCCGACGCTCCAGACATCTATCGCTTTGGTGTACTCCTTGAACGTGAGCATGATTTCTGGTGCTCGATACCATCTTGTTGCGACATATTCCGTCATGAAACCCGAATTGTCGTCGGTAGAAGCCGCAGACCTCGCCAAACCAAAATCGCACACTTTCAGGTCGCAATTAGCGTTCAATAGCAGATTGGAAGGTTTTAGATCTCGATGGAGGACATTGGCGGAATGCATGGCCTTGAGGGCACGTAGGGTCTGGTAGATGAAGTACTGGCAATGATCATCCGAAAGATCTTGTGTTCTGATCACACGATGCATGTCGGTTTCCATCAATTCCTGTGGTTGTCAGTGTACCCTCGGGAAACGTCAATGTGCTAGACGGACCTGAATAAGATAGACTTCCGAGAAGGACTCGTAATTTCGTGGCTTTTGGATATCGAGGATGGAGATGATATTTTCGTGATTGAAGTAACGTAGCAGTTTCATTTCTCGTAACGTACGCAAGCAAAACATGGAATGGTCGAAAGGAGTGATCTTCTTGATGGCGACTTTCTGGCCGGAGGGTTTGTGGAGGGCAGAACTGCAATCGAGGTCAGCTCGCGCAACTGAGCTGGATAGACTACTTACCAGACAACGCCGTAGGCACCTTCACCAATGACATCTTGAATATCGTACTGATCAGACACGTTGAATGAGATCTTCCTGGAGCCGCCGGACGGAGCAGATTGCTGCTGCGGCTGTCCCATATTGCTGACCGACTCTGACTTGTCTTCCTACTGGAGATCTGACCGGTTGTATTGAGCTTCACGCTATCTTTTCCTTGTCCAACTTTCAGGGTAGTATCCAACTGGGATGACTGCTGCGCTCGAGGACAGCGGGCCGATCTTTCGAGTTCGCAGGAGGAAGGGTGCAAAAGGTCTAGAAGCCGGAGTCGATCTAGCCCCCTTTCTATCTCACCCTTTGTTCAGTTCCGTCCTGTTGGAATGTGGATCGAGAAAGTGCGGGCTGATACAGGAAAAGAATGCCGTGCGCACTCTGGCTGAGCGAGTAGAAGCACTTGGGATGGCGGTGAAGTAGGACGCGGAACGCAGTGGGTAAGTGCTATGGTGCAATCAGTATTCAGGTCTCTCCGGGCACTTAGAGGTGTCTCTCAGTATCCTGACAGGAGACATGGACGACATACCGCTGGTATTTTCTCGCCCGCGAGTCCTATGCCTGCGATTGTTCGAGGCGCTACGAGTAAGGCAGTGAACAACTCCAGCGACTTGTTGTGAGGAGTGGGGTTGACGTTCTGGAGGCTGCGGAGCACAGGGTTGCAGTTGCGGGTAGTAAGTGCAAGAAGCAATACTTGCAGATCAAGGCCGGGACACAGGAACGAAAGAATGAGGAAGGACGTGAGCTATCTATGCAGAAAGTGAATGATATCCCAAGGTGATCAAAATGGACAGGTCGAGTGCAGTGCCCGGCAGAAGTATGTGACCTCGATCTGCAGCAGGATCGATCAGCTCTTCACACACTTTCACACCCGCGACCGAATTGAAGGACGTTTGGCTGGATAGCCGCCCACACTGGTCGAGCACAGTCGAGCTAACTCATGGAACTGTCCGCTTGATGCGACGCGCTATACCCCTTGTTCATCTAGCTTCTACCGGGGCCGTGCATCTCTGACACCTAGTCGCCCGTCGTTTACAGGGTGGCCAGAAGTCTGATCAGTGTTTCATCCTGGTTTGTCGCAGCATGGGCCCCCGAAATAGGTCAGGCACACGCAACAGCATCGAAGCGAGCCGAGAAAAGATGGAAGATGGAAGATGGGCCACTTGCAATGTTTCAACACAAGCCATGTCCTTGTTTGTCCATGGCTTAATTGACCGAGCCTTCTTGTATTCGCTCTATGGGAACTTAGCTAGCGCTCATCAGCTTCTCATTGCATGACCTGCCCAAAATTTGTTAGCAAGACAGATATTCCGTCTGCATTCAAGCTCATCAACCATGACATTCCACTATGTGCTCACCTTTTCTCGCATCTGTCCCATCCATTGCTGGAGACTGACCCCTTGGTCTGCTCGATCTTCTACGAGCATCGTCTGTGCCCATAATCTCAATCCTGGTTCGCCATCCTCCTTGACAACGTAGAGATGGGGCACCACGATACTTCCAACACCCTTGGCCCGGTGATCACGACTCTTGGAGATCACAGCTCTGACGCGCTCGCTAAAGTCGTTGTCCAATTCCGGTAAACGCTGCTTGCCAACCTTCAGCTGGCTCTTGTCGGGGAGACCGAAGACATCCATAATCAATTGGGGCACAGCATCTCGTCCGATCCAGAGGAATTGCGTTTGACCATCATCAATCAGGTACAGCCCGTATGGCACAATGCGCTCGGACGAGAGATTGTGTGGTGGTGGAAGAATGATCTCGCCTGTCTCCTTATCGCTCGTTCCGGCATCGTCACCCATGTCGTGGAGAGAATACATTTTAGGATAAATGTACTGTATCAGCAAGGGTAGGGGCAAAGTTGACAACAGGCACAAGGCCGCAGAGCGCATATCGCTGGGAATCTGAGAAGATCGTCTGAGACCCAGGTTCTTGGTGAGAGCCAAGAACAGGACGGGGAGACCACGAAGGTTTGCAGGGAACTGCAACCCACCTCCACCCATACTGCCACCAGCAAGCTCTTTCTTGTAGGTCGAAAGAAGTTCCACCAGCTTGCTCTGGATCATATCACGGGCGCTGTCAAGACCACCATTGAGGACCCGTTCGACCGCCTTGTGGCTGTAGTATGTGGTGATCGCTTGTTGATCCGATGATGCATAAACATCTGCCAACTGTTGCGTGGTCGGCAATGCCAAAGTCATAACCCGAATACGTCTCTCGCCATTGCAAGTCGTGTGCAAGACGGCCGTCTGCATGCACACGACCGGTTTGGTGATGGTCTCATCAATTGCCACTTCAACGACGTAGCTCTGGTCTCGGGGAAATGCTGGAAATGCGCACAGGTCGGAGCTGCGATTGAAGAAGTTGCCATAGAACGTGCTCATTCGCAAGCCAGTCGTTGCCCGGACACGAAGCACTGCTTCGAGGCCAATTTCGGCGGACAGGTAGTCTGAAAACTCTTTGGCAAACTTCATAGCATCATCTTCCCGTGCAGCGTTCCAGCCAGGATAGAAATAGGTCTGTCCGCCAGTATACCTGGGGAGATTGCTTAAGGAAGCCACATCTTGATACTGGGATGAGAACAGGAACATATCCACAGAGATCTGCTGCTTGGAACACTCGACTGCAAAACTCTTGTAGAAGCTGTTGCTCGTCTGGAGAAGACTGCTTTCCTTTGAAGTGCCCAGAAGCTTCTTGTCTTCACGCATATCAAGCTTTCCGTGTCCGATATTCGGTAGGGAGGCTGTCACGACCGTCATCTTGCCACCAACAGGCCCAATCAGCTTGTGACCTGCTTTAAGTGCAGATCCCATAGCGGAGGCACCATTCTGAGTGTTTTGGAACATTTCTTGCAACTTGTCGAGGAAGTTCTCGATGTTCTCCCGGCATTCGGACAACGTAACAAGCAGATCCGCAGGTGTAGGCAGGAAAGCCTCTTCCAGGTCACTCACAACAAGCATGCTCGTTTGTGCATTTTCAGTCCCATCTCGTGGTATGTTGAAGAAGTGCAGGCTCGAGTCCACAGCGATAAATCCGAGTCTCGTACGTCGGTCGGCGTTTGGTATTCTGTCCAAGCTTTCTCGAATGCATCTCGCCGTCGTCGCCAATAGACCACTTGTTACAGCGGCGTAACTCACATCCAGCAAGAAAAGGTAAACCAGTGGTTGTGGGGGTCGAACCATGTATTCTTGAGGAGCGATAAATTCGACCACGGCATGGTTGAGGTCCGGCCTCTGCCATCTGTCCAGGCTCTTTTGAGACGCTGCATCCCAGTCGAAGGCCTGAGGCACATCGTTGGTCAAATTGCACATATTACACCTCCATCGATGACCATGATCCAGGAATGTGACAAATGGATTGATATATGACCGACATCTTCTGCAACGCGATATTACTTGGTCAGGCACGATCGGCACAGGGTCTTCGACGTCGTGCAAGGAAGTGTACGGCTGGATGACAAGAGCAAATGGCAGCTTCGACTTCTTCAAGAGAGAGTGCGTCGTTGGGACGGCGTTCAGTGTAGATCGGACGTATTTAGGCGGACAATTGGCAAAGGGCGAGGGGGTTACGCTCGTCTGTGACCACTGTTAGATTCAGATTCCACGTGCAAGATTGGAAGAGACGTACGTTGGGTGGCAGGATTGCGGGCGGAGGCGGGTAGTCTAGCTCTGCAACGTTGAAAGGCTGGTTTGACAAGTCCGTAGGATAAAGCTGATTCAGAACAGGAGCACGTTGTGATTGCTGCGGCGCCGCAGCTACAGGAGGCTTCTGAGATATGTCCATCTGCCCAAATTGCTGCGTGACGCCTGCAACCCCTTGTGCAGGATATCCAGTAGCTGGTGGCTGGTAACCTCCCATTGCTTCCTGGCCTGGATACATGGGCGTTGTGTTCGGCTGGGCTGCGACAGGATTCTGTTGGTACCCTCCCTGGGGATAGCCAGCCGCATCTTGTTGAACAGAGTAGCCTGAATACGCATCGCCTGCTTGTGGTTGGCCTCCCAAGGCTGCATTTGCTCCAGCCCCAAATTCGTATGCCTGTCCAGCATATGCACGCTTCTTCCTGCCTGCATGAGGCTGGCCTTGCGGAGGAGCAGGTGCTACTCCCGGCGGTGAAGTTGTTTCGTAATTCTCGTAATTTTGCCCTGCTGGCGGCTGTTGACCGTACCCATCCTGTCCCGGCGGACCTGGCTGAGGGTACTGCGACATAGTTGAAGGCGGCAGGGATCAAGAATTCGTGTGGAGGAGGCTTCTGGCGCCGGTGCAAGCAAGGTGATGAAATTCGGGCTGCGACTCGGAGGAAAAGAGAGTGCGGAGCACTGGGGGACGATGACGGGTTTGTGCGAGGCTATTCCTGAGAAATCTCGTAAAGCATGGCATCCATAGTCAGTACGAAGATCTCCAAGTGGAAAAGAACTGGACAGCAAGAAGATGTTGAATGGGGATTACTACGAAAGATCTCCTGTTGATAACAGACAAGTTGTCCTCTATGTGGAGGACTGTGTCCATCGACAGGTGTGCTTCTGACGTTTTGACCAATCATCTTTGACGCACTTACCAAGACCACATTACCCGGGGTCAAACGTGGTCACCGTTCCATCATCTGTACGGAGTATTTTGTTATCAAGTATGATTATTGAGGTTCCAATACGTGCATGGTTCTGTACCTAGCCGTCTTGAACAACGTATGAAGACGTGGAAGCTGCAATGAAAGATGCGCGATTTCTCTGGGCGAAGTCCTTGTATCAATATTCAAAATAATGTACAGTGGGCTAACATCTCGCCATTAAGCGAATCCTGCAACTTCTGTTCTTCACACCCGGGCACATCTGATCTTGGATGACAACTTGACGTCGCCGTCCCAATCTCATTGAGCTTCTGTTCAAGCGCTGCCTTCTTTCAAATCATACGGTGGCGGAGAGACCTTCCCATCTCTGACAGGTGCTGGCTTTGGCACGACAGCAGCAGTCACAAAGCCCACAATGATGAATAGGGTGACGATAATGACTTCCATAAGAACTCCCATCAAGCCACGAACCAGTATTGCACTCCACTCCAAACTCCACGAATTGAAGTACTTGGGTCTGCTTGCGAAAACGGAGAGGATCGAATAAATCATGCGGACAGCCATAAATGGCAGGGTCGCCAAAACTGCATAGAGTAGCCGGCGCTCTCCAGCTCTCACATGTACAGCCTTGAGAAACCCGTGGACTGTGATAAAGATGTCTGCCACATAAACGGCCAAGAAAAGCATGACCGCCGCTTTGAGTTCCGCAAAACCTGAGGAGGTATTGGAGGGGTTGTCCCCCAAGAGATTGGTAGCGCCAACGATGCTGAGGACGAGCCCTGCCAGTCCTGGCAGTCCGAGTACGCGGAAAAGCTGAAAAGGGAGTCCGTGGCCTTCCATGCCTGCTTCAACGCGGCCCAGTAGCCCCAGGGCAGTGTAGATGATTGCAGAAAGCCCAAAGTTGTTCATGATGTCGTATGAGATGGTGACACCACTTGATGGACTTTCGACAAGGACTATTGCGCATATAGCTCCGACTACGCGGAACAAGGAGATCATGACTAGGAATCGCCATCCGAGTCGCTTGCCAGCCCCATGCTTGTAGACGACGGCAATGGAAACCAGGAAAGCCGGGAAGAAGAAGATCAGCTCGCAGATGGCAAGGATCTCGAATGCTGCAAGCATCATGTTTGGGATGTGTGTCTGCTTCTGTTTGAGGATGGGCTCAGTTGTTTAATCTGGAGGTTCGGTGTGAGAGGCTGGATATTAGTACTTGGTTCTGGCTGAGAGAGCCATGGCCACCCGCTAAGTGAACTGTTATATAGAGACATCTGTTGTCGTATGCTCCCGAGTTCTTTCTTTGCGCATGAATAACCATGGGTGCAAGGCGAGACTAAATTAAGCTACGAAATGAAGGTAGATCGTCTCTTGACCAGCAAGGGTCCATTTCACGAGGGCGGCACATCTGGTTCGAGGAACGTGCGGCAAAATAGGCAGTGGCGCTATGAGCGCCTCTAGGGTTGAGCTTCGTGGTCCATCGCGATATGGATCAAAGGTGGTTAGATTCGCGAGCTTATTTTGTCGAATATACTCCGTATTCATTGGGGGGAATGACTGCTTCGCTTGTATCGTCCGTTTCCGGCATAGCACAGTACATTGCGAATATCACTCCGTATCCTATCTGGGTACCTGGTAAGTGCGCAAGCTGCTCTTGTTGCAGTCGTCCTTTTAATACAACATGGCCCAGCTTCCAATCTCGATCACTTTTGCGTTTGTGAACGCCAGCCAGTCTCTGTGAATATTCAGCTGTCCTAAATTTAGTACTTGATGTCGCCCAAAAGTTCATTGAATGCATGGTCTTGTCGTGAAGTGAACAGTCCGATTCTCGCTTGGATGAGCACGACCCATTGAGCAGCAACCTTAGCGGATACCGCAGTGCTTCGAAAGGCACTGCCGCCTGGTCCAATGTGAGCCGGACGACTCGGATATTGTCAGACGGTCACGTGGACACGTTCCGGAGGAGCTAGGACTGTTGTGGTAAGTGTGAGATCGGAACGTCAAAGATCAGGCGCGAGCCTTCCTTGCGTTGATGGGCTGACAGACAGCTCGTAAATTGAAGTCTGGACTTGATTCTCGGGTGCAGGGTCGACTGCTGTCCGCACGCATCAACGACGTAGACCGACCTCTCTCAAACCGCCATCTGACGTGGCATACTAATTATGGCACTTATCTTGACGAGTGTGCCGCTTGCCGGCGTCCTTGGTATAGCGTTCTCCTCGATGTTCGTCGGCGGAAATTGGGTCGTCACTTACGCGAATGTGCCTGTCTTGATGCTGCCATCATCGACGTCCTCCGCAGATAAGGCGCAAAAACCAGAAGCGAGCCCATCGCATCTTGCTCGCCAATGGCAAATGACCTACGACATAGGCAGCAAAGCAGGTCCATTCTTGGCGGTCTCTTCCTGCGTTTCTTACTTGTACGCGGCAAGAGAGCTCCCATCTGCGGCGGTCACCCAGAAACGACTATTTGTCGCTGCAGCAGTGTTAAGCATGGCAATTGTGCCCTTTACCTTCACGGTCATGAAAAGGACCAATGGTGAATTACATCGCCGGGCACTGGCGGCAACGCAAGGCAAAGAGGAGGAAGCCAAAGCAGATGCTGAGAAAGACGGGGTCGAAAGCTATCAGACCAATGAACTTCTCCGCTGGTGGTCGACTCTGAATATCTTGTAAGTGGTCTTCCAAGTCAGGAAAATGCCAAGTCCAGCATAACGACTGAACGATCTCACAGGAGAGCCTCGATTCATGTTGGAGCGATTAGCTGTGGCATTGCGGCAATGTTGCTTTAACTGCATTGCCACTTTGCGGTTATTGTGGCCTCCATTGAGTCTTTGCTGCTCATCGCGGCCCTTGTGGGGGACAAACCACAAGCGCAGGAAGAATTGCTTTGTTTTGACCAGAAGCACTCCTTTGCTACTGGTTTCAGGTAGAAATTTGCAGTGAACTGGCTCGTCCCGATGGTGTCGAGAATGTTGGCTTGGTGGGCAGACGGCTCTTTCATCCTCAGATGCAGTCTGGCCATTTGTTGTCTGAATCTAGCGACAGGCGCAGTCCAGACTGTGACACATCCTGCATGGTGGTGACTCTGCGAGCAGAGAGTTGGGTGCTGGTGACATCAGATACGCCACTCAAAAATTGAAGAATATCTCCCTCGCTGTAATAAATTCTGTCTTGAATTTCTTTGTTCCTTGCACATCAATGTAACTTCCATAAGGGATGGCCCAAGGATGATTGCGAATTCTTCGCTTCAGCTACTACGGAATGGAGCGGCTAATTCTCGGTAGGTCAAATGCCAAGACTTCAAGACTTGGCGCCAGACACAACGAGAATTTGAAGCTGCGACTCTGGACTGGACTCACACAATCGACGACATCTCTTTAAGCCACCTCCAGTCTCCCTTCACGTACCACAAGTTTGATTGCAGAGACTGCCTCGTCTCCGAAACCGCAATCATGGGTGGAGTTACAGTTCGCGATGTTGATGTGAGTGTGCCGAATCCTTACCCACGAAAGCCGAAGCGGTCGTGCAAGAATGAAAGAGGAGGGGATATGGACGAACAGATCGGTATCTCGCGAATTTGGAAAGCAAGGGCTGTTGCTGACAAGTCTGGTGATTAGGCGCAAAAGTTCATCGTCGCCTATGCCGATTTCTTGAAGAGACAGGGCAAGCTTCAAATACCAGGTTAGAGCACTCCGCGAACACTCTCCCGCGCCAGACATCCTTCCGAAATCATAGAGCATCGGGGTTTTGAGAGACTAGGGCATTGCAAGCAAGGTCGACAGAATGTCGCGGCTAACGTGATCAAAAATTAATAGGTTGGGTTGATACTGTCAAGACCTCACACTCCAACGAACTTCCTCCTCAATCTCCTGACTGGTTCTACGTTCGAGCTGCCGCTGTTGCCCGACATGTCTACCTCCGAAAATCTGTCGGCGTGGGCCGCCTCCGAAAAGTCCACGGCAGCACAAAGAACCGTGGTTCAAGACCCTCGCACCACGTTGATGCGTCCGGCTCCGTTGATCGAAAAGTTATGCAATCCCTCGAAAAGCTAGGAATTTTGGAAAAGATTGATGAGGATGAGGAGGGTGGAAGTGGAAAGGGTGGACGAAGAATCACGCAAGCAGGTATGCGAGATCTGGACCGTATCGCTCAGACCGCCATTGAGGGCGAGGAAGACGAGGAATAGATTCAGATCCAAACGCGGCGTCTAGGGGGATGCATAAGGGGGTGCTCTTGCCAATACCTTCTGTCTCAATGACAGTCTACCAGCAGCGAAAGCAATCACGCTAAAAGCAATTGTGAAGCGAAGACCACTTTCACACGGGTTGGGTTGCATGTAGAGTCAGAGGCCAGCTGGTTCCAGATTCTATCAGCATGGTTCAGGCAGATGAGGCTCAATGAAACTCTTTCAAAGTTGTACTGATTCATGTAAACTACTGGTTTGGTGCTGTTGACTGCTTTTCCTCTGCTGAACCCACGTAGCCAGCCAGCCTAGCCCGGCACCTACGTTCAACAGGTAACCACAAAACGACTACTTTCTCGACCTATCCTGATCTGTTGAAGCCAGTGAACATACTAAGTCGTCACTGCCATCCTTTTGATCACTCAGCGATCCCACCTCAAGTCAGCCATGATCGAAGGGGTTAGACAGGGCACTGAATATCTTCTCCGTAGGGTTTGTTCGGCAATCGGAAAAGCTTTGTTCCCTTACGTCCTCCAACGGCCTCAGACCGGGGATCGTCTCGTCCTGCAAGCTCTCGTCCATGCATCATTTCGTCTTTTACAACCTCTATTCATGAATGTTCAACACTATCCATCGCTTCCAGAATGTGTTTCAGGCATTGAATCATTGCCGAGTTGCCAGTAGCAAGCTCGATTCCTATCACGCGATGCAAATGCCTTGCAACAGGCGAGGCGTTTCCTGCACAGCCGCAATGGTTGCTACCAAAACCTAGATGGCAAGGCACATCCTCCCAAATCCACTCCAAACTGTAAGAGAGCGACACGTCCAAAGGGTATCTCAGATGTTCCTGTGCCCACTGGTGCTCCACAGATGTCCATCATGAACCGCCTTCTGCTATGTCTAAGCACGCCGTTGCCAGCCGAGTAAACTATGCTCTGAGAGCTTGCCTCGTCAGGCATCGTGAACCGCTTCATGAAAGAACTCTTTTGAATGCCCGATGCGCCTTGCCAGCCAGCACGTGCTGTGGTATGACCAATCCGAAGATCTTTGACAAACTTGCCTGAGTCACTACTTCATTTAATGGGCAATGTCCCTGCCGATTTCCCGACCATACACAGCCATCGTGCCACAGCCTGGATGCTTGTTCTTGAATCTGTCATGAAGGAGCCTTCCAATGTTGCAGAAACTCCTTGTTTTCTTTTCCTCCCTCGCACTCAAACTCGTCAAAGTCTTGTGTAGACCGATGTCTGCTAATCGCAGAGAGAAGCCGGCCACAGAAGACTTCGCAGATATTCAAGGCCGAGAAGCCTTCAGGATAACGGCACCGGACCCTCAGCCTGATTACGACTGGGCTCACCAACCTATTCCGCAAGAGCTGCGGCTATACCAAGATGATGATTCTTTGCATCCAATCATCAGGCAGATTCTTGCTTGGTCATTGAATGTGGGCTGTCAGCCTTCAGACAGTGAGCCCAGAGGTGACAATAGAGATGGAAAAGACACAGGTTCTTCAAGCAAAGGCACAAGTGACCCGACCAGTGAGCGTCGCTTTGACAGCCAAGAATTACTCCCTCCGGCTGCCGCCTCCAAGCAGCTTGAGAGAAATGGGGTCTTGGAAAACCACGTTGATGAGGCTTCAGCCCTCTCTCGGAGCACCGTTGGTGGGGGAAAGCGCCTTTTCAAATCGCAGAAAGGGAAATATGGTATTCTTGATTCCACCTCGACCTTATCTCAGCGTTGAAACCAAGAGCAGACAAAGGGGCACCAACTTTGTGCAAACCAGCCGACATTGCTCGCCGCGTCCTTAAATTGTCAGAATGCACGGGTTGTTTGGATGAATTTGCGGAATCAGAGACGGCCAAACTACCTTGCAGCCATTCTTATTGCAAACAATGCTTGACAAAGTTGGTCGTCACCGCCCTTCAGAACGAATCTAGCTATCCACCCAAGTGCTGTCTCACGGAGATACCTCTACAGACGGCGCTACTTCCACTCGACACGAAGCAGAGGGAAATCTTCAAAGAAAAAGCCGCTGAATATTCGGTGCCGGCTCAACAACGATGGTACTGTCCTGGTCCTAAGTGCTTGAGATGGATTGCCCCAGATAAGGTGCAGCGAAACCGCAACGGCTCCCAAAGATGCCCACACTGCGCGAGCAAGATATGCAGCATTTGCCGAGGTCTAGCTCACGACAAGTCGGCCGATTGCCCTCAAGACTTTGGGTTGAAAGAAACGATCTCGTTAGCAGAGCTTGAAGGATGGAGACGCTGTTTCAGCTGTCGGGCTCTGGTTGAAGTACGTGCTCAGTATGCATATGCAGTTCTAGCTAACGCGCACCAGCGAACTACCGGCTGCCGTCATATGACGTGTAAGTGCGGCTCTCAGTTTTGCTACGTTTGTGGCGCGAAGTGGCGCACGTGTCATTGCACAGAGGTCGATGAAGCAAATCGACAAGCAGGGTTGAGACGTCGAAGGGAGGAAAGACGTACTACTGTGGATACTGAGGCCGAGGAACTTGCTCGAGCCATTGCCGAGGTTGAGGCACTTGAGAGTCGTGAAGCACAGGAGCGACAAAGGCGGCAAGAGCGACAAGAAGCTGAAAGGAGACGGGAAGAGGCCGAGCTTGCCAGATTAGAGGCGGACCGTCAACAAGAAGAAGCCGCAAGGAGACGGGAAGAAGAACGATCGGAGCGTGAATATCGACAGATTCTAGGACTGTCTGTTGAAGTGACATGCGATGCGATGCAGGCAGATTTGAGTCGTCGCATCCGGTCTCAAAAGCAACGACTGGACAATCGCCGTCTACTTGCCGAGCAGCTCCGAAGAGGCGCACGAGATGCGGCAGTAGGGAGGCTACGAAAGGAGGCCCAGGAGTTACAGACGAAGATGGAGTCCAACGTCAACAAAAGGGCCGCCCTTATCGCACGCAAGCACAAGTCCGAGTTAGATGTCTTCAATGCCGAGCAAGACGAACTGGAGGACGACCTCTTTCTGGATATACAGACGCATCTCCATGGAAAGACTGACAAAGAAGCTAGAGAACGTCGGCTGCAGGAGAAATTCAAGAAACAACGCGAAGAGAAATGGCAAGAGCTCAACGCAAAGCAAAGCTCCGAGTCTAAGGCTCTGACGATCAATGCGACAATGGAAATGGACATACTAAAACGAGCCAACGATGACAAGATGGCCAATGTCAAGGACGGATACTTAGCGGAGGTGGGGATGCTGAAAGTCTCAGTGGCTGCAGACCTTGCTTGGTTCCGACTCGTCTCCGAGAGGCGTCAGAATATGATGTCTGCTAACAAGCGGCTCATGCTTGATGCATTGAATGCTGGTGGCGAGCCGACAGGGCTGACTGAAGAGTTGGCCGCGAGAGTCGGGCCCTTCGTCAACTTCAATCAACTAAAGATAAATCCCCAAATGAACGATGCTTCCAGGAGCGGCCCAGAGAAATCACAGCAGCAAAATATTCGCCAGGCGTCGGCAGCATCGAGTACGCCTGACCCCCCTTCGCCCACGCTCGTCGAGCTTGCCGCGACGTCGGAGCATGTGCTGTCCCATTTGCACCCAGATACGCCATCGAGCCACGGCGACAAAACTCCAACAACTGCATCTGCGGACCGTTTATCCACGAACAGCGCATGGGTATGGATGACGGGGACCAATGAGGCAGGAGCAGCCTCTTCACGTCCCTCCGCTGAACGGCCGACGCGGAAGCCTCTACCGCTCCAAAGGAGTCAAGAAATCCATAGTGATGCTCGACCACGCGTACAGTCAATGTCGCTCAATCCTGCACTCATGTCTGGAGCCTTGTCAGCATCACGACAGATATTGGTCCATGGGGGTTTGCAAGCTTCGAGGCATAGGAACCAACCTGCCATCAAAGGAGTTCAAGGCTTGCCACGCGAGAGCACACCACCTGTGCCCACGATACCGGCTGTCTACCTCGAGGATAGCGATACTCTGGCTAAGACACCTGGCGCCTTTCCCGTGTCGCCAACAGTCCCTCGACCTACTGTTCTTGAAGGTCCGGCACCGGTCGCGGCCAAATACACGGATCAGCGGCATTCCTTGACCGAGAGCTGCGCATCAGACGCAATGACCCCATCATCCCCGGCCTCAAATTACTCGACGCCCCCAAGCAGCGTTGACAATCTCGCCATGTCTAGCACAAATGCTAGTGCCTCGGCTCCGCGACGCTCACTGTCTCCTTCAGCGCTGGCAGCTCTTCCATTTTCCAGCCCTGCCAAATCTCCGCTCAAACCACGTCATCACACCCGCGCGATGTTTTCATTCAGTGACCTGCGTGCGGCAGTGACAGGTGGCGGCGGAAGTGGTAAGGCCAAGAAGCCGAAGTATTCTGAGGAGGAGATCAAGGAGCGTATGAGGAGGGCTGTGGGCGATGCCTTCTCGGCTTGAAGGGTGCCGTTGAGATCATGTATTGGACATTAGTAGAATGTTCGTTGCCCCCGTTATATGGATATCGTTTTGCGACTGTCGTGGGCTGGGTGTGTGTGTGGTCTCAGATCCCTTTTGAGGTCACCATTTGTAGAGTTCCAGAAAGAGCTTGCTCCAAGTAAAGATATTCGTACACTTTTTAATCGATGTGGAGAAATAGATTTCTACTCGACCTTGAGGTGAACAGCCATCGTGACCCAATGCAGTAAATATTCCCCAGACGGCCTTCTCCGTGTCATTCATCTGGCTATCTCAAAACTAACGGAGCGACCAACGGCAAGGGAGCGATTAGTTCTTGATGGAAGGAGTTCTTCAGAGGATGATTCGCAAGGATAGAATACATTTATTGAACCTGTCAGATCAGATTGACGAACTTCTTGTACATGAAAATTGATTGCATAGCAACCTACGAGTAGGAGATTAATCTATCAGACATATCGAGGATGACGACGGTCGATAGCACTACCTTTCTCGCCGACGGCGGATATCTGCAAAAGGGCAAGGACAAGAATCTTCGAGCGGTCGACTTGGGACGGAAAACGCACAATCTGCCACCGTCGAGGTAAGGACCGAAGTTCTTCGGTCCTCTTGGCTTGATGGATCAAATGCTGATGAAGAGTAATTGTGCACAGATGGTATCGAGATGAGAAGATCTTTCAATTGGAGAGAAGGGCTTTGTTTTCAACAGTATATGCTCCTCATCTTTCTTTCAGCTGTGGACACCATGAAAAATGATTTCTGAGCGGCACTGACTTGTGTTTGCAGTTATGGCATGTTGCAAGTTTCAGTGCGCGGTTTCAGAAGGCTGGCGATTACTTGACGATGGAAGTAAGCCGCTCAGAATCCATAATGCTATGCTGTGAGAGCTGAGCAGTAGGCAGATGTTTGGATGGAATTTCTTCCTCATAAGGGACAAGGAAGGAAGAATCAATGCCTTCCATAACATTTGTCGGCACCGCGGGCACCCAGTGATACAAAAGACCAGCGGGTCGAGTACGGTGCTTGCATGTCGATTCCATGGCTGGTAAGCCCGATCCACTCACAATTGCACAGGATTGTCTGACTGACTGATTTGGAGGTCGTATTTGCCCACCGGCGAACTGCACAAAGCGAGGGAGTACAACGAACTTCCCGACTTCGAGCCCAAGGCTCATTCGCTCTTTAAGATCCATACTCACGTCACGCCGCAGGGGTTCATTTTTGTGAATTTCGACGCTCGAGAGACCCCAGCAGTCAGCTTTGAAGAGCAATTTGGTGATGATTTCGAGCCTATGCCGACGACACAGACCGGGAGGGAAATTGGAGACGAGTTCGCCTTGTTTCCCAATGACGGATGGGAATATGATCATACGTGGAATAGCAGTGTTGGAGGGACCGAGTTCAACTGGAAGACTTTCGTGGATGGGTTTCAGGTCAGTCAAGCTATCTGCCGTTGTTGCGTGAGTTGACCATTCCTGATGTAGGAATGTTATCATTGCCAAACTGGCCATCCGACAACCCTACCAAAAGACTTCGCCCTGGATCAGTACTATCTTCGTCAGGGACATGGAGCGTCGCGACATTTCCTTCCTCCGAAGAGAGAAGGCTTGTCTGAAGCATACGTGAGTTCCTCTGTATATCTTGGATGTCATATCTGTGCCTGTCAATCCAAGCCGCTGACGGGGCTTCCACCCGTTCGTCGAGGCTGGAATATGGCTAATGGTTTTGATCTTGGCTAGATCACCTGGTTGTACCCCCTGGGAGTCGTCACATTCAGCGACAATCTGCTCTTCATCGGACGATTCAATGCCACTGGAGCTCTCGAGACCTCCTATGACAGCGAGACTTACCGGAGAGCGAGCATGAAGAAGCCGAGTGCAGAGTACGATCACTGGATGGAGCATGATATCGCATACTGGCGGTTTGTGGAAACCGAGGATGTCGAGTTGGCAGTCAGTGCTCAGAAGGGATTCAAAAATGGTGTCTTGGGAATAGGAAGGCTGCACTCTGTCGAAGGTAAGTGTCCGTCCTGTTGATGGAAAGAAACTCCGGACTGATGATGGCATGATAGAGCATGCGGTGAAGTGGTATTTGGATAAAGTACGGGACATGTTAGTACGACATGCCGAGCTGGAGAAAGCGGAAGGTAAGAACATTGATTATGCGATTCCCAAGGCCCAGGCCGATGCAGCCGAAGAGGATGCGGTCTGCAAGCTGGTTGGGCCGGAGTATGAATGGTAGGATATCGTGGTGGCGGGGTAGGTGGTGGGAAGTAGGAGGTACAGTAGGGGTGGGATGCGGCGATGTAGAAATAGACCGGACTCCGGCATGTGTTCTCCCAGGGGGTGTGTGCATGCATGCAAGCTTGCGTCCATGTTGTAATGCTTGATTGGTTAGGAGATGCATTGGATATTATAAGCTCGTAATAGCCTTGTCGGTTGCCTGCACGCCCAGGGATAGTGAGGTTTTTGGAGCCAAGCTGCCTGCCTGCCTGCCCTGCCTGCCTGTCTTGTCTCCGTCGCTGACACTTATGAGCTTGTACCGAAAACTTCCAGCCGTAGGGAGTACTGTGACCCCGTATGGCCGTATGGTCCCCTTTTCTGAGCGCATACCACTGTGGCCACCGAAATGGAGGCTGATCAGGTCGATACAGCAGTTGCATGATCCACAAGATTGAAACAATGAAGACTCTCCACACATCTGCAGATCGACCTTGCATTAGATGGACACCCCGTATCAGAAGGCGAGAGCGACATTCTTGTGGATACTGTGTTACAGAGACTGTTCGGCCTTGGCCACTGGTTAAGATTTTGGTGGAGAGCTGGACCCATTGACGTCAGGGTTCTCAACAAAAGCTTGCGTGGCTCGGTGGCTTCTGACGAGTAACCGTGGCCTCATGGCCTTGTTCATCGGAGCACCGTTTGTGCCTACTCTTAAGGTAACTTAGTGTGGAGGAAGCACCTAAAACGTTGTGAGAGTTGCTTTCTCAGTTCTTGATACAACGATTCTGCTTGGAATTGATATCCGCCGGCATAGTCAATTAAATCATCAGTCGCGCAGAATGGCGCCATTGCGCATAGTGTGTCTCATATCGGCTTCCCAGCCATCCCCTTTTGATGGGGCGTTGCTTTTTCGTGGACGGGATACCGAGTACTCGTACGGAGTGAGGAAGTCGCGGTCAACATATACACGGTGGCCCCTACGAGTACGGAGTAGACAACGGCCAAATGCCCGGATATCGTGAACTGGGATTGTGGTGCTGTTTGGTACTGTAGCAAACTCCAGTCGCTGGTCGTCCCTCTCAAGTGTCACACATCTCGCTTTGGGCTTGGGGTTGGGACTAGTTGCAAGTAGTAAGTCGTAGTACAAGTTTGCGGCAGGGAACATGGCAGAGACCAAAAGCTTAACTGGACCAGCAGCAAACCACGGAGCGAGCTGGACACGCTGGGCGACATGATGGGGAGTTCGAAAGCAACATGTCCCGACCCTCCACGATGCAAGATTCATCCATGTGCAGCCAAACCATCCACGGCCCGTCCACATCATCATCATTGATATCTTCGTTCATGCCGGTGGTGCACGTCCTGTTCCAGTTTAGATCTTGTCCTGGTTTGCCCCCAGATGGAGCCTCAGGTGCAGAACAAGTGATTGCTCCTGTCCGTGCTGGCAGGCTGCACCAGCCAATAGTGCTCATGCCCTGGCCAAAACATCCCCGTCGTGGCGTATCCTTGATGCTTTTTTGCCGCAACGCCCGTTCTACTATTTGGGGACATTTTGTGGACATTTCTCCTCAGAAACTGGGTATCTTTTGATATCGGACTGAGATCTTGGGACTTACTTTCTCTGCTTTCATACATGTCCACCTCCTTCCCGCCTTCCTGCTAACAATTTGCTCTGCACCTGCCGCACCTCACACTCGCTTTTGTCCAAGTCGGCAGTGCCAGCATCCAGTGTCGTTAACGTCTCCATTTGAACACCAGTCGCTACCACCTGTCTCAAAACGTTGGTCATCTACATGACGTCCCCCGTTACTGCGTCTGTGTCGCATTCCCTCCCCTAATCCACGATAACATACGACAAGACGATCTGGAACCACCATCGTCCTCCACCTATTCAACTCCAGTCGCTCGCTTTCGGCCCATCTCTGCTCCTTCCACATTTCCGTCAAAACGCGCTCAATGACCCGAAGACTCACCATCAGTGGCAGTCGCTCAGAAATGGGCTTGCTTCAAGATCCACCCGAGCCAGAGACTCCTCCTCCAGGTTGGACACCAGCGAAACACGACTTCTGGAAGAAACCTTCAAAATGGCAGATTTGCATGCCTCGGCTACGTCTGATTGTTAAAGTGTTGACCAGTATCCTTGGGTTTGCGCTCCTCATCAGGATTATGAGCCAACCGCCTCCTCCACCACCTAGTCCACCTCCCGAGCCTCCAAGACAATTGTCAGAGCAAGAACTGATGGACAAGATGATGGAGGATTCTAAGAAGGAGTTGTGGCCGTGGAAATCTTACGAAACGTATGTCAAAGAAGAGATCACGCGCTCACGAACTGCAGAACACAAGCTGACATGCAATCCTGTCACAGACATGACGGTTTGACACGGGGCACATCACATCTCCGGCTCTGTGAGTCGGGTGAGATCGACTGCAAAAGCAAGGCACCTCATATGGTTCGCTACGATGGCTACCAGAATTTGGTCGAGCAAGCCGAGCACATTGTTCCTTGTGTTGGTCCAAGAGGTGTCCCGATTAATGAGAGCCACGAAGACGCAATCTGGGCGTATCCTGGCAAAGCTAACGGTAAGCATAGTCACTGATTACAGAGAAGCAGCGGCTGACAGCTTTGCAGGCGCCGTGGACCCTACCCTTGGCTCGTACGAAGCATCGGGATTGGATGGCAACATCTCGTTTGACCGCATTGGCCGTTTTCAAGCGTACGGACTCGATCAATTCGAAGCTATTGATCTCGAGGACATGAAAAAGACTAGTGACGTGGATTGGGACAAGGTGGATTGGGGCGAGCTGCAAGAGGCATGTACTGTCGCCAACAAGCAGAGATTCAGACCAGTCAAAGAACGCCCACAGAACTCGATTCAATATTCCAACATTCGACACAAGCACGACCAACCTTCAGTGAAGGCACTCTCGGACACTCTAGAACCTGGAATGGTCAACAAGGCCAAACGAACTGCTATCCTTATCCGTGTATGGACTGGCGCTAAATGGACGGCCGACGCAGTCATGAACATTCGTGCAATGATTGCGGAAGCTTCGTTGGCTAGTGGAGGCAAATACCAAGTTTTCCTGCTGCTGCATGTCAAGGACGAAAACGTACCACTCTTCGTGGGCGAGGACGAACCGCAAGCTACCATCGCCAAGCACATTCCTCCCGAGTTCCGATCGCTGACCGAAGTCTGGAATCATGCTCAAATCCGAAGTCTGTATTCGAACCTGGCTGAACATGCCTTCGTTGGCCGCAGTCCCTGGATGATCATCCAGTGGTTCGCTCGCAATCATCCAGAATTCGATTTCTTCTACCAATGGGAATTTGATGTTCGATTCACAGGCCATTATCTCGATTTCTTCGAATCTGTTGAGAAGTTCGCCAGAAATCAGCCACGAAAGGGGATCTGGGAGCGTGCCGGCAGAGTCTACATACCTGCCATCCATGGCGATTTTGACACTAGTTTCCGCGAGCGCACCAAGTACGAAGATCCTCATCATGTCTGGGGTCCTGTCTCTGTTGAAGGCGTCAAACCCCGAGGACCAAAGCCGCCCAGGAAAGAAGCCGATGACAACTACGAATGGGGGGTTGGAGAGGACGCCGACTGGGTCGGCTTTTTGCCCAGTTTCAATGTCACTGGCACGAACTGGTGGTTCCGCAACTACCTCTGGGGTTATGCTCAAGGCAAATCCACCCCGAGAAGAGCCACTCTCATCGCTCAAGGAAGGGTCAGTCGACGCGTGTTGGAGATCATGAACTACGAGAATGCGGAAAATGGTCATCACATTGACGCCGAGATGTTTCCTCAGACCATGTGTCTGCATCACGGCCTGAAATCGACCACCTTTCCACATCCCATCTTTGCGGATCGTCACTGGCCAGCTGAGGCGTTGCAATCAACCTTCAACGGAGGCCCATTCGGACAAGCTGGGGGATACTGGAACAGCTCCTTCAGCAAGTGGAATGAGTATGCCTGGACAAATATGACTTGGTATTACAGTTCCGCACAAGCCATGCCCATCTTCCAGCGACTGCTCGGCATCACCGCGCTGGAAAGTGGTGGCCAAGAGTGGGAAGAAGTATATGGCCGCACTGTTGTCCGTCCCATGCTGCTTCACCCGGTCAAGGGTGGAAAGGCATGGCAATGGACCGAAAATGGATGGCTTCAGACTAAGAATGGAAAGTGATCCTGGAGATGACCTCACATATTGACGAGACCTACGGCATTTTCTCGCTCATCTTCGCATCAGCAGCGGCGTTTGGAGTTCAAAGATTCTTTTTCGTCAGTCCGGCACTGGTTGCATCGACAGATTTGACGACTGGCGCTCTCAATCCGGTAGGTTTGATAGACATGGGTTGAAGGAGTTTTGGGCACGGCGTATCATACACACTGCACGGTGTCTATTTGCATGAACAGTCAGGGGATTCCCCCATACCGAGATGAGACACTGATACGTACACGAGACACAGACACAGGACATTAGGAACTGCACAGCTGGATATGAGCTACAGGCTATGGAACAGCATGAGCTAAGGCTCGCATGTGAACTTTCAACAGATAGAGCTATTAAGTGGCCAATACGCGGCTGCCAGTAATCATAATGATTAAATGTTAGACACTGCAATTCAAAGACCATGTAGTCAGTACTGTAGTTTCTGGTATCGGAAGATGCTCAGTGTAGATGTGGTCATGATGTGATGTGGAATTAGACCCTCTTCGCCGCAACCGGGCGTTGACAAGGATCCGAAGCACGCTGCACAAAGATTCCGGAGTTGCTGCTTACTTGCGGCGGACAAGCCATCCCATTTCGTCCATTCTGAGATGTCTGGTTATCAGAGCACCTCCAGCATTCATCCTGACGCGTATCTGCTATGTATATGGCTACCTAATGTCCAATCCATTTCGCCGTAGTTCTTTAGCTAAAGGTGTTGTTGGCAGCAATTCATTCAACACATCGCCCGGCCCGCGCGGCACCGAGCCTTTGGCGATAGACACAAAAGGTAGATCTGCTGCTCTCTACCCAGACCTCTTGAATCTTCATTGACGACTCGCCTATACAGTTCGTGCTGCGTCTCAGAAACATGTGAATTTCGCTTCTCCTCCAGCGATCATCTCGCCGGCCTCGTATGCCTCGTCACCCGAATCAACTCGACAAGAGTTTCCGTCTGCCTTTTCCAGCCCGACTTCGTCCTTTCCTGTACCTACAGATTACAGCCAGGCGTTTGCCACCGACCCATTTGCAGAACAGCCTGACGACGAGGACGACAGTGCAATCGAGAAAGCGCAGGAGAATGCAAAGGCCAACACTGCGATAGTGGTCGAGACAACAGCTACGGTGCACGTCTCTAGGGATGACGCTGTGACGGATACATTGGGAAGATTTGCCAGCGGTCTACGGAAGCCATCGACCACACAAGAATTTGCAGCTGGGGCGAAGGACCAGGGTGGCCTCGTGAAGTCGACCATGGACGTGGACGCATTCAAGAGGATGTTGCTTACTGGAGAACGGCAAAGTGCTGCCTCTCGAGTGTCCGTAACGCAAAATGCCCATACAGCCACAATCCAACCTGTAAGTGACAGTAGTTCCAATGCGGATTCGGCTTCGATCTCACAATACTCGCTTTTCGAGACGATTCCACCTACGCACGAGGAAAGCCCGCGAACCTCCGAGGAGCTGGATACGAGAGAGGCCAACGAGCCACGGGCCACGGCCGGACCTAATTCTTCAGTCAGGAGGCCGCCTCCGCCACCCAAGAGTCGACATGGAAAGCCAGACAAAGAAGCAACGCCTGAAACTGGCCCCATCGCAAAATTGGACACCTTTATCAATTCCCTCACATTACCTGCATCACAGAGTACTAGTTCAGCGACGGCCAGCATAACATCTCCGCCGATCGAGCAGAGCCCTACAAGCGACCGATTTGCGAAGCCCACTGTACCTGAAAGTAACAAGCGGACAGCACCAGCACTTCCGCTTGCTCGTCGAAAGCTCCAACAGCCGCCTAGCAAGTCGTCCTTGACAAGGAGCAGCTCGTCGCGACAGTCCGGACATGGTGGATTTGATCCGCCCCCGAGCCCTTCCGCCACGACTTCAACATCAAAGGCTCCTCCACCTCCTCCCGCGCGCCGGTCCACCAGTACCGGTGAGCGCCGCGATTCGCTTGACGTGATGCCAGTCTCGGAGACTGACAGTCTTTCCGGAGAACAACTAACTTCAGACTGGTCAAGTGTCGAGGCAGGTTCAGCCTTAACGCAGACACCCTCGTATCCGAAAAGGACGAGTCAAGGGCCACCTCCGCCGCTGCCGCCGCCTCGAAGAGGGCGAGGCTCTAGTAGAAGCTCCGTTGAAACTCAGAGACCGACAATGACGGCATTAGGTATGACAGATGTTAGTCAAGGGGACTCCAATATCAACAGGGGCAGCACTGGCAGCAGGGACATTTTGGCGGATCTCGCGGCACTCCAGAGAGAGGTGGATGCAGCGAGAGCAAGCGCAGGTCCATGACGACCTGCTATGAGTTATGTATAGTTGTACCAATGCAGCACGAACGGACACGAATTTACAAATTCTTTCAGGTTTCGTTCTGCTGCCCTCCGAGGCCTCCACGGCTTCCTACGCTGCCTTGATTACTATCACGTGGACAGGCGACTGGCGACTGTTACAGTGGTGGAGCGATGACGCAGGCTCCTCGACTAACGTTAACTTAGTGCCTAACCCATGAACTTTCAACTAAAATGCTTTGACCTGGGGGCGGCAAGGCGGGCATTCAATCGCATGTCGCAGCTGAACTGAAGCCAGTGCCCGAACCATCTGAGCCAAAGCCTTCCCCTGCTTCACTTCCAAGAGCAATCCTCCCGCAATCCTTCTATCCTCTCAGTCACCGTCGTTGCGCCAGCAAGTCATCTAGAACCGCTCGACGGCATCTCTGCGCTACCACTTTGCGCATACTCCCGAGTCTCCTGTCCTGCCCCTCTACGAGCTCACATCCCTCCCATCACCACTGCTACACTACCGAGACCATACGCTCTACCTTTTCCAACCTTCACTATTGGCGGCGAATCTTACCTGCTCTCAAAGATCAGAACTCAGGTTTCAGATAACCCTCCTTCCCTCCTGTCCAACCCAGTCTCGATTCCGCCAACATGCCCAATAGAGGGCCGACCTTGATCAATTGTATGTATCACATGGCATGTTGAGCGTGGAGTCACTGACCTTGTTCTTTCTACAGTGCCTCCTCCTCCCTCCGACCCGGCCACACCCAGTGAAATGGGTCCTGGCACCCCCAACTCTACAACCACGTCTCTCTCTGCATTGTCTGTTGTAGCGATCAAAGATGGATCAATGGGCCACGGAGGACGAGGAGCAACCGCATCTGCCAATACACTAGAAGCAGAACGAGCCGACCGTATTTCGCGTCTTGCGGGTTTGGAAAGAGTCGCTGGCTCACGGCCCACAGCCTTTGGTCATCTGGCCCCGGGATCTGGTGCCTTTTATGGCCAGGGCTTTGACAATGTCCCGCAGTTCAAAGAGCGAAGCACCGTCGGTAGCGCAAGTGCAACAGGTAGTGTCGGCGGCAGAACAACCTGGGCTAGTGGGAGTGTTGACTACGACGCAGACAAGATGAGCGAAGACCAGGATGACGGCGTATCGAGCACCGGCGGCTTCTCTGACGAGGACAAAGCGAGTCTGGTTGGATTTGGCGAGGGCGCAGGAAGTACAGTCAGCGGTCCAGTGTCTACTCCTTACAATACTCGCGCATCCGTGTCCCGAACAAGCACGAATGTCAATGCACCATCAACGCCTCGAACCGGCACAATGCCTGGATCTGGATCTGGACAGAGCACACCGATGAGTGGGATTACTCCTGGCGCCGCTGCTGGAAGCACGGATCCCAAGATGATGGATGGAATGAGCTACGATCAAGATGTTGTCGACACCACAATGCAGCCCGCCCCACCAATCGACCAGACTGCTGAGGGATACCGGTTCTCAGGATTTGGCACTGAAGTCGCAGAAGGCATCATGCAGGACAGACTCAACAATGGGGGTCGGCCTCAACCGCCGATGGGGAGCGGAGACGGTCAGACGCTGGGAAAGTTTCCGTTCGAGAGGGAATAGATTGCGAATATTCTCGTTACACGATGCTATAGACGGGACGGGATCGATGGCCTTACCCGTGGTGTTCTGCCGGCGAATCCTTTTTGAAAGAACGGGTTCTTGATGGGATGTACGATATTATGGCACGGATAATGGTGGTAGCTTACTCATTTCATCGACGACCGAATGATTATGTGCCAGGCGTATCGAAGAAATCCTCCAAGGGCTCACGTTTGGTGGAGAGGAAGACAGGCAACAGCGAGCTCTTGCTTGTATTGTATGATTAGTTAGAGTAAGGTGCCCCAGTTCTATCATGGCTCCTCTTGTACGAATGTGCCATGAACAGCCCAAACCGATACTTCGGCCGTTATCTTAACTACAAAGGAGATCAACGGATGATGACGGCAAGGCTGAGATGCGGCCAGCAAGGCTCGCAACTGAAACCAGACGATCGAATCGCGTGCTAACTTACTGTAGGCACAGCACTCTGTAGGGCCTGGGGATGATGACTGGGTGGCGGCATGTTTGAAGCTAAGGCACCTCGATTTGGGCGCGGCGCTGAGCCGAGACGACTAACACTTTTTTCTTAGCCCAAGACTGCGCGTGGCTCCTGCATTATTGTTGCTCGAATTTACTTCGGTTTCTGTCCCTTACCGCTCCCTCTCTCACTCTGTCTCTATCTCGTCACCCTCTCGTCGTCACCCAAATACAATTTGCCCGTCTACCGACAATAGCTGACATTGACTTGTCAAGTACGGAAAGACCCGAATTGTGACAATTTCCACAGGTGTCTTCTGCGGCAATCACTGCTCCTCAGGCCCTTGTTCTGCACCAGACCGAAAAGTTCTCGACCCTTGACGACGCTCACAATACTCGCGCCCGCTTCATTTCCTACCTTACCGCAAGCCTCCCCTGCAAGAGTATGAACGATATGGCCGTCACTACACAGTTTGCCTGTGCGTGTCATCCCTTCCGCACCAGCTACAAAAATGGTCGACATGCTGATTGGCGTCAATAGACCGGACACTCAAGGGTATTGGTGTTGTCAATGGTGCACCAGACTACGAGCCGCTTTCTGGATTCGAGCGGTATTTCTTCCCTTTCAGCAGTCTCGTTGCCATGCTAACGCTGACAATCTAGACCGGAAGGAAACCTCCGGTGCTGTTCCTATTCCCCATGCGGCCGTTATTTTGCCTGGGCCTCGCCTGAGAAGTACGAGCCCAAAAACCCTGCCTGGACTGACGGTATTAACCTCGAATAGAGTGAACATCATCAATGCCGATAACGGTACAATCGTTTCGACGCTCCCTGCTGAAAACGTTTTCGAACTTGGCTTTTCACCCTTGGGCACTTACATCATCACATGGCAACGCTCTACCAAGGATGAAAATGGCGACGCTACTAAGAACCTCAAGGTGTGGCTGGTCATTGATGAAAAGGCATTGGCAGAAGGGGTAGAGAAAGAGACTGTTGCTCGATTTGTCCAAAAGTCCCAAACTGGCTGGAATCTGCAGTACACCTACGATGAGAAATTCTGCGCGAGGGTGGTCACAAATGAAGTCCAGATTTACCAAAGTCATGACTTGACCACTGTTTGGAATAAAATTCGAGTTGAAGGCGTCACCGACTTCGCCATCTCTCCAGGCAAGAGCCATACTATTGCTGTCTTTGTGCCTGAAAGAAAGGTAAGTTGGGCTTTTCTCGTATCCGGCAGTGCGAGCTAAACAAGCGTTAGGGACAACCAGCAGCCGTTCGAGTTTACAATGTGCCGAACTTCACCGCTCCGGTGTCTCAGAAGAACTTCTTCAAAGGTGATAAGGTCCAGCTCAAGTGGAACGACCACGGTAGTTCTCTGATTGTGCTGGCGCAAACAGAGGTCGACAAGACTGGCAAGAGCTACTACGGAGAGACTACCCTGTATTTGCTCAGTGCCAATGGTGGTTTTGATTCGAGGATCGATTTGGGTCGGTTGCCACCAAATGACTCTCGGGTGTTGGACAAGCTGACAATTTACAGATAAGGAAGGCCCCATACACGACGTGTCTTGGTCGCCCAAATCGAACAGCTTCGCTGTGGTCTACGGTTACATGCCGGCGAAGACGGTCATTTTCAATTCTAAAGCCCAAGCAGTCCACACTTTCCCCCTCGGCCCGCGAAATACTGTGTTGTTCTCTCCACACGGTCGCTTCGTCCTCGTGGCCGGCTTTGGAAACCTTGCTGGACAGATGGACATCTATGATCTGGAAAAGGATTTTACGAAAATCTGCACGATTGAGGCGAGCAACGCGAGTGTGTGCGAGTGGTCACCAGATGGTGTGCATATCCTAACAGCGACCACTTCACCTCGTCTCAGAGTCGACAACGGCATTCGCATCTGGCATGCTGGGGGCAACCTCATGTTCAACGAGGATTTGAACGAATTGTATCACGTATGCTGGCGCCCCCAGTCAGCATCGGCGCATCCGCTGAGTGATAATCCTTTGTCTCCCATGCCTGTACCGCATAGCAGTGCCACCCAATATATGGCAGCGAGAAAGACGCCTAGCAAGCCGGCAGGTGCGTACAGACCACCGGGTGCTCGAGGCCAAGTGACACCCTTGGCTTTCAAGCGAGAGGACGAGGGAGGGGTTGCTTATGTCCGCGATGGGATCTCGTCATTTTCGAGCAACATCAACGGATTTGGCAAATCTCGTTCACGCGTCGTTCCTGGTGCCGAGCCTGCCGAAGAGAACGCACCACTTCCGCCCGGTGCAGCTCCAGGTGGCGGTGTGAGTCTGACCGGCACCGGAGAAGGAGCCGACGGAGAACCTTTGTCCAAGGCGGCGAAGAAGAATGCAAAGAAACGAGAAGCAAAGAAAGCGGCAGCTGCAGCTGCACGCGAACAAGGCACCGGTAACAGCAACCTTGCTCCGGAGCAGAACGCAAGTAGGATTAAGAGTCCAAGTCGGAGTCCAGATGGTCGCGGTCACCAACGAAGCCGAAGTAGGAATTATGTGCCGGCTCCTGGCCTTGAGCCGCCAGCTGGATCCAAGAAGGAACGCAGTCGAAGCAACAGCAGACGTCAACGTGGAGACATTACGAGCTCGGCACACAACCATCAACACACCAATGGTACGGCCAAAGGAACACCAAATCAGAAGGGTCGAAATGCGAATGCGCCAATGAACATCAACACATCTGCACAAATCCCCGTTCCTCCACCAGTTCCGCAAGGAGAAGAACCGCCTGAGTTGGAGGTTACGAGCCCACTGACGCCGGGAGGAAACCCACAAGACAAGAAGATTCGGGGTTTGTTGAAGAAGATTCGAGCCATTGAAGATCTCAAGATGCGATTCGCTGGAGGCGAAAAATTGGAGGATACGCAGGTTCGTAAGATCTCGAGCGAAGATGGTGTCAGAAAGGAGTTGGCTGCTCTGGGATATATTGGCTAATCCGGTCGACGCTAAACATACTGATAATGGCCGACTGATTGCATGGTCTACTGCTTGCACACGTCAACCACTGCTCGGTTTTTCGCAGCGCGGGACCGAACTGCAAGTTCATGCAAGGCCCCAAATATGATGGATGGCGGCTGCGTGAAAGGGATGGCAATTGTTCTTCTGCGCACTGTGTCAAGGATCGCAGGCCGATGAATGGAAGGGTGTTACAAGCCTGCGTTTGTTTTATCACATTGCGGGCGACTTGGGGTCTGTCTATCTGAGCACGTTGGCAGAATGGGGCGTGTGGTTCAAAAGGACCTTTCTTGCATAGCGTCGGACATGGTTGTCTCGACGATGGTTACCAGATAAATCTTGTTCAGGTATGTGGCGAGGTGGAAGGTGAACGGACGATTCTGTGCCGTAAAAAGTCTATATACCCCAGGTGCATGAAGCAATAGAGATTGTGCAATTGTAAGCCAGATCATGATCCATCAAGAACCGTAAGCCAATCCACGCCAGACTATCATCTTGCGTTAACAGCCATGACCGTGGAGGATTCTTGACGTGTCGACGTCTGAATTCGTAGTGATTGGCTCGCTTTCCGCGTGCACATTTTCTCCGAAGAGGAAAATGGCATCCAAAGATTTGAGCAGAAGACTGTTTGATATCTCGCGAGGAATACTGAGCTGACCAAGGTATTGATCTCGCCTTGGGCTCCACCTTGCATCGCGATAGATAGAAAAGAAGTAGAGAAAAGCGTCGGGTTCAAAGGAGAAATGAGAAGGTTACGATTTGGCAAAGTGGCAGATGAAGTGAATGTAAGGTACAGACAGGAGCGGTGGAGGGCGCAGTCAGCCCGCAGGATAGGCATAAGGGAGGGTGCGAGGGAGGACAAGCGTATATAGCGGAGTCTGAGTCAATGATATATGACTGACCAGGGCGGACAGCTGGCTGGATGGAACGCGGAGGACATGAAATGATGTCGTGAATGTAGCGAAGAACGGATTGTCAATGGTAGGCACACCAGGAAGAATCATGACAACGGCGGATATATCTTTTCATGAGTGGAAACCGCCCTGGACTTCTCGCCTGGGTTTTCTTTTGCGGTTAACAAAAATCAAGACCTCGGGTATCGTACATGAACGCTGGTGGTGGCCGCCAGCAGGGACAGCGGGCTCTGGAAGGCCAATCGGGAAGGATAAGCATGGCTTAACTGAATATCCTCCTCTGTGAACCTTGGGTTGCGGCTCCAAGCATAGGTGAATTCCGAGGCTTCAGTGGGGAGTACTTGGCTGGCGTGGGCGAGGCCATGTCGACATCTTCGTCGTCGTCGAGCTGAAAGCCCACACTTTTTGTGAAGATGTTCATTGGTTTTGGTTTGGACACAGTAGGACCCTCACTGCCACCCATCTCCTCAAGGATACGCTCCATGCCGTCGACATCAAGTTCTCCCGAGGCCAAAAGAGCTTGGTCAGACGCTTCTGGACCGAGTGAAAAGGTAGTCTCGGCTGCTGAGTTGGTTGTGGAGGGCGCTTCTGTTAGAGGATTGACGGAGAGAATCAGGCGATGGTCGGTCTGGATGAGGAATTCGGGAGTCGAGGTAGACATGCCAAACAGAGTCGAAGAAGAATTGCTGTCGTTGTTGGATGTTGGGAATAAGCTGAAGCATCGTTGGGTTTGACCTCCTAGTTTCACCGCTGGCAGCCGAGTTGGTTTGATGTCAGACTTCCAAAACGAATAAAGAGATGAAACGTATACGTTCTCGTCCCCGTAGCTGATGACGGCGCATTCTTCTTGAGGTCGACCGGAAGCCCTATCCTCGATATGGATGCTTCCGTACTGGGTCTGAGATCTGGCCGCACAAGCTTGTCGTATGTCTCCGTTGAAGAGCCCTTCCGACCGCACTTTGCGTGTCGAGGGGGTCATTGGTGCCAGACTGCCAGAGGATGGTTGAGCTTCTGCACCAGATGTTTTCTGTCTGGCTTCGACCGACGGCGAGATTGTGCATCGGACTGCAAACTTCGTCAAAGATCCACCATGTATTCCAGCGATGTTGGCTTGTCCCCGGATAAGATTCGCCCCTGAGCTGGACGCCGACGACGTTGGCCCAACTGCTTCGAGGTCCCAAATACCCCATTCGCCGTCTTCAAGGAGCGCGATGACGGCACGACCCCCAGCCAACCAACGTGCATCGAGCACGCCTTTTCTTCTTGGGCTAACAGTGCTGACCTCTTGTACAAAAGATGGTAGAAAGCTCATGAGGAATTTCCCACGCGAGCTCCCAGAGGTTCTCGTAGGACGCGTTGTAGAGGCCGAATCAGCAGTGCCCGTGGAGCCTCTCCGCTCGCGAGAATGTGTGGGAAACACTTGGTACAGTTTGACACAAGAAGCCGAAGGCAGCGTGATGAGCAGGTTCGAATGACGGACCGCAGGGTAAGGACATGTGTTGAAAGACAGTCTCGCACTGATGGCCGAGGACCGTAGATAGTGTCGTCTGATGGGCAGAAAATGCTCGGGTGCTGGAGAGATCGAGTTCCCCTGAATTGGTATCTGATGTATCAGCAACAATCCTGCACCTGTGCACGAGATTGTAGCTATGAGAAGGGACCACTGTCGCGCATCGGTGGGTGATTTCTGTTTAGACGGAGCATTGCTCGCTTGCTGTTGCTTATTGTCCTCTTGATCGTCGTCTAAAATACCTGTTGTATGTGTAATCGCGATATCCGAGATGTAGTCCTGATGAGAACTAGGTCCGAAGATCTTGATTGTTTGAACATCCAGCCTTGACACATCTTGGACCTCCGGTGTCGGAGGATCGAGGGAAGCAGAAACGAGTCGGATACTCAGATCTGCGCAAGCCACAGCGACCACAATGCGATGGAGGTATAGTGACGGCCATGATTCAGGAGGAGCCTGTTCAAGATCCTTCACAATATGCGGAACTGCAATGCGCATGGCTGCAGTGCCCAGTGGTATGTCGATGTACCGGATGACATCCCTGTATGGCGCCGTAGGGTCAATTTCCTCATCTTCTTCTTGGAATTCTGCTGGACCCGTGGGTGGTCCTTTTGTCGGTTGTTCATCGTCATCGTCGTCTAGGTCAATTACGATAGCATCTCCCTTGGCCGTTCCGTTGACCTTGGGAGCCGCAACTGCCTTCGTAGCTGGCTTGAAAGCCTTGCCAGCAAACCAAACAATGCGTAGCCCTTCCTCATGTCCGTAGATTATGACGGTGGAACCGTTAGATGATTGTCGAGGGTAGACATGCGAGGTGTGGACTTGATGAGGGAGTTCGTAGCTGCATTTATACGTCAGTTGATGTAATGGCAGGAAGAGACGCCCATCTACCTGAGTTGGAAGCGATCCCTCTGTCTCAATACTGTATGCTCCATATTTCGGAGAGACTTCTGAGCTTGGTGGTCTCCTGGGTTTTGTTTAGAAGATGGTCGAGAGAAGAAGCCTTGCGGAGTTCGAAAAGTTGTATTCTCCAACTCGCGTCGCAGCGCGTCTCTCACCAACTGCTTCACTTGATTAACATCAGCAACACCGTTGCAAATTCGACTACGATTATTCCATGCAGTCTTTTCGGTAACGATGGCCGTGGAGCATGTCATCCCACGAGATCCTCTGATGTCGATTTATCTTTCACCTTCCTCCCGCAACCATGACCTCAGTGCAGTCGCTCGGCCTTCGTGAACCGAGTGCCTTACCATACCTTGTGGCCGAGTCGATCCTCCCTCCAGACCCCGCTCCCTCACTCTACAGATGGACGGTCTTTCAGGTCCCTCAATACCATGGCCTGGGTCTAGTTGAGGAGGAAATCCTTAGCACTGAGCACTGTGTTGTATGGTCGCGCAATGGAATCATCAAAAGAGCGTTGGACCTGGCTGTCGAAGGCGAAAGTATCCTACATGCCTTCGTGACAGACTTTGCTCCCAGCCAAGCGCAAGATATAGCAGAAGGAGGGCACCTCCAGGCGCAAGGTGGATCCCAGGGACTGGTGGAACGTGGCCTCGTCGTGGTGCTCAAAACTCAGGCGCATGTCTTTCTTCTCTCTGGTGATGGCTATGTTGTCCCTCTTTCGTTTGAGGTCGACTCTGCGCTCCCTTTTCCCTTCGGGTTCATTCTGCAGCGGAAACTCAGTCCAGACGAGATTGAAACCCCTCCTCTGCCACTGCAACAAGACCTGAGCACCATAAACGAGACGCTTACTTCCATCGAAGGTAACAGTTCGAGGCCATCTTTAGTGCTACCAAGCGACCGGCAATGGAATTCGCGCCCCAAATTTCCAACTGCCGCTGGCATGCCCCGAACATACTCATTCACGCAGGTGATGTCCGAGTTAGGTCTGGTGGTTCACAGTGCAAATCGCAAGGGGGAGCCTCTTGACGGATGCAGAGCGCTGCCTAGAACAGAGAGACTAGTCTTCATTTCTCGGTATGATGAACTCGGTTCGCAAATTGAGGACGACAAGCAACCTCTTTGCTTGGCTTTAACGCTCAACGAGAAGACTTCGACTTTCACTCTTTGGCATGTGAGTCCAGACGTTGCCAGGAGAAGACTGGATAGGCAAAAGACCAGTCGGACCTCCAAGCCGAGAGCTTCCTTGAGAAAGAGTTCGAACATCTATAAGCGTGATCCAGGCGTTACCGCTCAACCAGCACGGAGGCCGGGCGAGTCGAGAGAGTCTCTTGGTGGTTCAGGACAACAATTTCCTGACGCAGGGCTTCTCTCGTCAGTCCAGGAACAGAAACTATTCCCGCCAGATGATCTAGCCTCCCAACTTGGTCCAGAGTTCGGTGACGTAGGGGTCCAAACTCGGTCAGCTCGAAGGATCAGTTCAATGTTAGCTCGAACGGACCTTGGGTCTGGAGCGGATCGGAGCACATTTAATGATCTGGCCATGGGGCCCGGCGCTCGCCAGAGTCTGACCCGGACTGGCAGACGTGGAGAGTCCATTGGGAGCTTCAACGACCGGCACAGCTTTGGCTTTCGACGCAGAAGCTCATTCCCTACCAATGCATCCGCTTTCAGCACGGGGACTTCATTCCTTGACATATCCGCTCGTGGTCTACTCGAGGACATGGACCCATTACTGCAGTCTGTCCGCGTCGAGGAAGATATTTGCAACGGATCAGAGTCTGACTTACCTAGAGAAATCGGATTCTTCAAGATCAAGTCTTTTCCCAGACGCCAAGTGTCGGTTGGTCCCAATCCAAGTCTTGATGTTGACGTTTCAACTCTCCAAAGCCCTGACCTGCTCAATCAGGACGGACAACGACCGGGAGAGCTTTACGTGTGCGTCATGGACAAGCCCCAACAAGAGCTCACTTTTGTAACTGTTCTGGTCAAAGCAGACTCGCGAGAAAGCAAGAAAACATCTCTTGAGCTCAAAGCCACCGAAGTTCGCAGGTTATCGGGAATCAAGGATGTCTGCAGAGTAGTTGACGGTCCTACTCAACGACTCGTCGTGCTGACCGAATCGCTCGCAAGAAACATCTCTCTACAGCTCGAAGCCCCTTGGTCTCCACCCTTTCGGTTCGACCTTCCGGCAAGGTTCGCGATATATGATCCCTTCGCGAGCTCACCGTCTTTGAGCCCTAGAAGGGACAAAGACACAGGGCTCAGACGGATCATACCAGGGGCGGAAGTCGACATACAATCACTGCTGGAGTCCGGATCTCATGGCAAAATCTACGCGCTTGATCAATGTCTACGTCGTCATGCCGTACAACTTCAACTGGCTCCTCGTGACCCCTTGGTCATTGACATCCTCAGGGTGTGTGAAGTGGTGCTCAAGACAAACCAGCAAGAAAGCTTGCTTGTTGCATTTTGGGAGGTGTCTCGGTGGTTAAGCCTAAGAGAGCCGCCGGTCAATTCAGATTGGGTTGCGATCGTTGTGGTCCTTTTCTCACTTGCGATTCCTTTTCTGAACAGCCAGCAGTCGCAATCTACGCCGAGCCATCGACGGAAGAAAGGTGCTTTCCTTCGGTCCAGCAGTGGAAGCACCATTGACACTACAAATTATGAAGCTATGCATAATGGAGGAGGTGATATGAATCTGAATGCTGGGATGCGCAGCCCATCTTGGAGATGGCTTTCGCGACAACATACAACGATTTCTTCTACTACACCAAGATCGAAGTCGGGCAAGATCTTAAGTCCAATGACTTCCAATGAGTCAGGTAGTGACGGGAAAAGTTCTTTTCTGATGGATTGTGTTGCGCTGGCAAAGGAATATGTACAGTCCCCATCTGGCGAAAATGCCTTTGGACCCGAGGGCTATCTTCCTACATCCATCAACAAAGGCCGAGAGCAACGGTGCAATGCCATTCCAAGCATCCTATTAGGCTTGCATCTTCTCTACGAGGAAAGCAAACTCAGTGTCCCGGCCAATATCAGAGCGAACAAAACGCGCAGCAATTTGGTAATTGTCATGGCTCAATTGGGACGCTGGCTTCAATGGAACAGCTGGACAGCCGACAACAATGGATATTACGAATTCGAGTCATTAGAGTGTGGCAGTTGTCTCTTTGATCATTCAGTCATCGACGGCTTGCCAATGCCAGCGCAACCCTTTGAACCCCCCTCGATTTATGACCACCTTGAACAATGGATCAGTGGCCTTTCTCCTGATCCTTTCCTGACATTGGCACAGCTGTCAGGGAGAAGCATCAGCAGATCTGGTGACACAGGCTCGCACCAAATCGCTCAGTTGACCCCTCGAACATTGGCTCTGATCTCGTTCATGCGGCATGCGCAAGACCGAGTTGGCTCTGAAAACGTGATTCAATCCTTGTCGAAGGCTGGTATGACGGCAGTAAATCTACATACCCTGCCGGATGGGGTTGCTGCCGCTTTTCAGCAGGCTCTATCGTCAAGGAGGTACCGAACAGTCCAGAAGAAACACGACGGGAATCTGTTGCTCGCTGATGGCACGGGTGTCAAAGATGACGCCACGCTTTTTACAAACAGACCGCATCTTTCTTCTACCCACGACGCTCTGCGAGACTATCACAGCATTTGCACATCCGCACTCGAAGCAGAAACACTTCAGAGGTGGGATGCATCATCCGAAGCTGACAGACATGCTATCACCAAGTTAATCTTCAGTAAAGACCGGCGTTTCCCAGAAGCTTCCAAGCTTGTGAACCAGACACGACCTCCAGTGGTGGAATGTACTCCTGAACCAGAGTGGACCGAGGTCGAGTTGCTGGAAGCCCAAAAGGAATTGGCCCAGTACGTCACACGCCGAACACTGTCTGTGGCAACCGGACGAGGAATGATGCATTACAATGCTCGAGTCCCTTTGCTCACGGAAAGAGTCCCAATTCCAGCCTTCAGCCTGCAATGCATCATGAAACCCAGAAACTCCACCGAGAGTACGCAAGCAATGACCTTCAGTGCCGATAAAGCAACGTTTACCGAAGAGAAAGTGTGTTGGGCGTTTTTCCACAATGGTGCATCAATGGGGCTGATGATCTCGAACGATGCTAGAGGAATTGACACTTCCTGGATTCTGTACAACAAGCCGCCAGAACTGACGAACCGACATGCTGGGTTCCTGCTTGCGCTAGGTCTCAACGGCCACTTGAAGACATTGGCTAAGTGGGTTGCTTTCAAGTACCTCACCCCAAAGCACACCATGACATCGGTCGGACTTCTTCTCGGCCTGGCAGCGTCTTTTCTCGGGACTATGGACACCTTGACTACTCGTCTTCTTTCCGTCCATGTCACTCGCCTACTACCTCCTGGCGCTGCCGAACTAAATCTTTCACCACTGACACAGACGACTGGTATCATGGGTATCGGTCTGCTGTATTACAACTCGCAGCACCGTCGGATGTCTGAAGTTATGCTTTCAGAGATTGAAAATGACGATTCTGAAGAAGGGGCACCTGCCGACATGGTCCTTCGTGATGAAGGCTATCGATTAGCGGCAGGCTTCTCTTTGGGACTTATCAATCTGGGCCAGGGCAAGCGCCTACACGGCCTCCATGATATGGGCGTTGTTGAAAGGCTTCTTGCGATCGCGGTCGGCACCAAGAATGTGAATATGGTTCACGTTCTTGATCGCGCGACTGCTGGAGCCGTTATGGGCATGGCATTTATATTTCTAAAGACAAACGACGAAGCGATCGCCCGAAAAGTGGACGTCCCGGATACTTTACATCAGTTTGACTACGTCCGCCCGGATATCTTCCTCTTACGAACCCTGGCACGACATCTGATAATGTGGGACTCAATAGTCCCCACGACGAGTTTCGTGGAAGCATCACTTCCTGCACCCTACAGGCGAAGAGCTGACCTCAAATCGACGAAATTTCTCAGCACAGAGGATATGCCCTTCTTCAATATCGTCGCGGGCATCTGCTTCGCCATCGGGTTGAGGTTCGCGGGCTCGGGACGTGTAGACGTCCGTGATTTGTTGATCTCATACCTTGATCAATTCTTGCGACTAAGTCGGTTGCCTGCTCACAGCTACGATGCGCGGGTGACGTTGAACAGTGTACGGAACTGTCTGGATGCTCTGGCTTTGGCGGCAGCATCCGTGATGGCTGGCTCGGGCGATTTGCTGGTTATGCGGCGTCTACGCGCTTTACATGGACGAACTGATAAGGAAACTCCCTTTGGAAGCCATCTCGCCGCACACATGGCCTTGGGTTCGCTGTTCTTGGCTGGGGGAACAAGGACATTTGGCACGTCCAATCTTGCTATCGCCAGTCTATGTATTGCATTCTATCCCGTGTTTCCTAGTGACGTGCTTGATAACCGCAGTCACCTTCAGGCGCTCCGCCACCTATGGGTCCTTGCTATTGAAGGTCGATGTTTGATTGCCAGAGATGGCGACGCCGGTGGTTCTGTCATCGGAGGCGTGACTGCTACTGTCCATCTCAAAGATGGCACGACGCAACCGATCCAAGTTCCTGGCTTGATACCTGAGTTCGAAACCATCAAATCTATCGAGCTCAAAGGAGAAGGGTTCTGGGACGGCTTCATTGACTTTGGAGCCGGCGGAACAGAGCTTCGAGAGAAGATCAAGGCCGAAAATGCCGTCAACGTCGTCCTTCGCCGGAGAGCTGCGTATGCGAGCCCTCCACGAGACCTCTTCAACGCCGAGCTGCAAGCGTTGACCGAAGCCCAAGGCATCCCTAGCGTAGATCCCAATTCTGTCGCCTCCTACACTCACGGCGGAGGTGCAACGGTCGGCACGAGTTCCTCGAGGCCAGCCAATCCATTTGAATGGTTGTTCGAATTGGTTGCGCTCAAAGGTTTCGATCATGCTGAAAGAGCACTCGTGCTGGGCTCGACACCTGTGGGCGAATGGAATGCCGGGGAATTGTTGCACACAATGGTCGTTGATTCTAGGCTGGAGCTGGAAAAGGTCAGTCTTCCGCCCGGAAGTGAAGCAATTCTGCCTTCCGAGGGCAAGGAGACATCTGCATTAACCATGGAGAAAGACAAACTCTGGCAACTGCGACTTCTGTTCAGCTGGTTCGATCGCTGGGAGAGGGAAGATGAGCAGATCGATAAGCATGGTCATAACGAGGGAGCAGTAGATCTAGATGAGGACAAATGGTTCACCAGGTCTGGAGGCACATGGTTGAGGAGGGAAGTCATCGAACGCTTGAGATGGAGAGTCTGGAACATGACAATGGCCGAGGACGACAAACACCAGACAATTCAGAACGGCGAAGAGACTTAATCATCATGGCTATGTGGAGGCCAGGCACAGAAGCCGTTTAGAGGGCATGTATAGATGCTGATAGTAAAGGATCATGCAACCAAGCCCATTGTCGACTTTCCAAGCCTCATGCACCAGCATCGTGTTCGTTCACCAGCAAGGTATTCAAGGTCTGCTTTCTTTCCTCTTTCCATTTTGTATCCCAGGCCTCGACCTTGCCGCCCAACACGACACAATTCTCAGGCTTCAACATAACGATGCCCCTACGGACCACAGTACCCGGTTTAAGGACGAGTTTGCATCCGATGTACATGCCTATGTCGTCTTGATTTGACGGGCGGAAAGCCTGGTCACCATGTGCAGCGGGTGAAGGAACAGAGGCCGAGATTGAGATTCCAACTTTCGGGATCTTCTCCAGCTCAAACGCCATGGCCTTCGTGCCTCGGGCATCTTGGATAACGAGCCTGTGTGGTCCTGCGGTCAGCTTTTTGTTCGTGACCGATCCGTCCGCAGTAGCAGTAGGCCCCGTGGCACTGGCATGACTGGCGGCGGTGGCAGTAGGATCTGGGCCCTCTTCTTCCCCATTGGCGTCAACCGTGCGAATGACTTCCCTGCCACGCACCTCTTCGCCTCGCTCCACGCGCTCGATTGCTTCGACTTGGCTCCATTTGCTCGAGCCCACGTCGAGGACGTCCAAGATCTGGACGACAACGGTGCCTGGTAGCTGCCGGGCTTTGACATTCACGTCGGCGACATCTCTTGGAAAGAGGCCTGTAGAAGACGGGGAGAGCGATGTAGTAATATCGCTTGTCAGGATGCGAAATTGCGCTGTAGATATCAATGCTGGTAGAGGCGGCGGGTTCGGCCCACGCGAGTCGAGGAATTCATTGAGCCATTCACCATTCACGGACAGCTGCTGCCTGCTTTGAAGCGCCGAAGAGATTTGGCTGTGCAGAGGGTGCATCGCCGTGTCAGGCCTAAAGTCAAGTTGCTCGCCCCTTTAAAGGTGTTTGTGCCAGTAATGCCAGTTGCTTCGATGTCGCTATTTACAAGCAGTGTCGACATTCGCGGGTATGGCACTGCGGGAAGTGAGTGATTGTGACACTACATCTCCAACAGTCATTTGCCAGGTGACATCCTCGGTACCTAGGTAAACTTCATGTGACTCCTCCCATCGTTGAAGCTTCTCGAAAATTGTGAAGACAGATGGGCTCATCATGGCCTGGTCGGCGGAATTTCGGTTGATACAAGGCTACGGACACGAGGCTGTGCTCTCGTCCCTCGCCTTTGTTTTCTTTTCTACGGAGTACAGCAATGCCAAAACACCGGTATAATAGCACAATCGCAAAATTTGTTGGACTGTATTGTACATCCCGCTGCGTTGAACTGATATCGGCCATGTAGCTGTCCTGTTGCACGCCATGGCTACGATCAGCTCCCCTCGAAGCGAGTCTCCCGCCATATCGATTCCACGCATCACTTCACCTTCTATACCCAGTACAAGCGGCACACCTGTTTCCTCGGTGCGTCCGTCATTCGAAGTGACAAGAAACAACTCTGCTTCTCCGTCGCTACAACATGCCTCCCCCATTGCCAATCCGGCGCAGCGGCGCAACCGGGCTGCTTTGCGTGACTATTACAATCTGAAGGGAAGAGGTCCGTCCGGCGCGGATTACGACCTCAGTCGCAAAGCAAGCATAGCATCCAACACCTCCGAATCAACCATAACCTCTCCCACGGTCGTACCGGAGTCCTCAACGCTGACAGCACAACTTGACGACCCCTACTTTGACGCCGAAGCTTACGTTTCCGACCTTCTCAAAACTGCCACCCTGCAAGATATACTAAAGGCAGAAAGCGCCCTTGTTAGCGAAGTTCGGAATCTAGATGGCGAGCGAAAGGCTCTGGTCTATGACAACTACAGCAAGTTGATCAAGGCTGTCGGTACGATCGCGAAGATGCAGAAGGGCATGCACAAGCGGGAGCCGAACAGATTTAGTGCGCTGGGAATGCAGAAAGACACAACCCCAAGCCTAGAGGGAGTGGAAAAACTGGGCGAGAAACTTGACGGTCTGCTCAAGATAGTCAAGGATCTGGGACCTGTTCAACGAGAAGACACTCAGCGGCTGGTCGAGGCGAGGGAGCAGAGACGGCAGAAAGAGACGGTCAAATGGGCATTGGACGCCCCAAATCGACTACAAGCCATGATAGAAAGAGGCCAGAAGGCCGAGGCGGCGAAAGAATATGATTCAATCAAGGCATTGTTGGATCAGTGGAACGGTGTTGGTGGAGTCGATGAGTTGCGAGCTGAATGTGCGCGAGTCATCGACAGGATCGAGACGGACGCGCGGGTATCAGAACAGCAAGATAACGATGCCGCAAATGCAGACTGACGATGATCCAAGAATGCGCACAATTTGGCCGACTCCTCAATGTACCTACGGCACCACCGGCGACATTCTCGGATGGGCGAGCGGCTTCCGTCAGATGCATCAGGTCTCTAATGTCCTCCAACCAGGTGGGCAGGCGCTTCCCACGAGACAAGATCTTGCGTTCTTGATTGAACTTCTTAATCACCGACTTGCGGGACTGGGTCTCCCACGTCTATAGAGATCAGCTTCAATCTAGCGACTCGGCAGATCCGTTTGCCTAACTCATACGAGAATCGGCGCCGCGTTCTCTGCCACTCCATTGTGCTTGCAGAGTAACTCGGCCTACTTGACACCGCCAATGAATGGTGGAATCTACGCCTGCGACTCGTGTCGCGTGGTCCGAGTCGCCTTGGACTGGAATTTGGATGGTATAAGAACTCAACACTCATGATACATTCAGTAGTCGAGCTTGAGGACGAAGGGAGAGACCTGGACGCAACCACATGACTGCATCTGTGTATTGTGGCCTACTCTTGTCTACCTACGTGGCTGCACGTTCCAGTGGTGAACCTTCACTTCGAAGCCTAGCGTCATCGGCGATATCCTTGCAACACCATCGCAAGTTCATGGGGCGTGCTCTATGGTTCGTACAATCCAAGGCAAGCTTACTCAAATACGGTAGAAGATTGAATTCGAACAATAATCATATCGCGCATGACCATATCTCATGTGTCTCCTTTCCCAGCCTGGATCCATGAGCCTGCATGTCGAAAATCGGGGTATCAAAACAAATGGAACGCATTATATGAGAATATCGCAGTGATCTCGGTGTCGCCGTAAGACTTTCATGCTTGAAACACCGCCGAAGGGATTGGAGACTCTGCAGCTGGCTTTGCCAATCCTGACTGTCCGCTCAATATGGACTGTTCACAATCTCTTCTCGCAAATGACTCTGCCTGCCGCTTCGTCTGGGCGTCGCCAATGCACCAGTGCTCAGCCTCACCGCTGGACCTGCAATGCTCTCTCTCGTCGGCTTCTTGAAAGTCTTGCGACTGACCATGTCGACTTCGTTGGGTAGCGCAAGGATGACATTCTTGTCGGATCCGAACTCGAAGTTGTCTGCCATGACCTGAGCGGCATAGCGCTTGATGTGGTATGGATCCTTGCTGCCAGCAACGACCTTCTTAAGGCTCCAGGTGACAAGGAAAGGACCGGTTGAAGTAATGATGCTTGTCTCGGGATTTTCTGGTGAAGCATTGAATTTCGCAGCTGTGAAAGAGAGCGGCGCACCCGTCTCATGCTGGAATTGTGCAACATGGCTGGGCGTAAGGGCGAGACGACGTGGTTGGGGCTTGCTGTCTTTGGCAAAAGAACGTTCGAAACCCAACTTGCCCTCATACCTGCCGTCCTTTTGGAGGGTGTCAATCAAGAGAAGATAGGTGCGGCACGTGGCAAGGAGCCAGCGACCGTCAGCACTGACATCAAGACCAATAATGGCTTCGCCGAGAGCTGGGATATGAGTTTTGGCATTGACGCCCAGCCGATCAAAGAGACGGACGTCTCCTTTGTTGGACGCCACTGCAACATGGCCCTTTTCTGTCGTGGCCGCTGCAGAGAAATCGTTCTGGGACATGTACTGTTTCAGTTGAGTCTCCACGAGCTTGTTACCAGCAACACGAGGATCGATGCGGAACAGAGCATTCTTGCTGTGACCGATGAATGGTTGTGCTGAGGTTTGCTGAGCGAACTTGGTTTCGGGGACGAAATTGGTCACAGGGATATCATCGTGGACTTTCCATTCGTCAATGATCTTGCCATATTCGAGGTCCATCCGGTAGAGGGCATTGGGGTTGGAGTCGTCTTGGAGGACCATGTTCTGGTCTTCTGAGTGTAACATGACCTTGTTTGGTCGGAACAGCTTGCCCTTTGGTGTCTCCACTTTGGATATATTGGTCGTAAACTCAAGATGTCGGTTTGGAAGGTGCTTGAAGACCCCGATCTTGGAACCTCGAATGACAAATGACCGATCATGCTTGGTTCCCACGGCCAACTGTGAGTTGACATTGCCATCCGCGTTATCGAGTTCGACATTGTCTTCTGATTCATCTGAGTCGTAGTGTTCGCTGCGCTGGCCACCATCGGTATCCTCATCTTCTTCCTCTTCCTCTTCGACCTCCTCGCCCTCTGGCGCATCGTTCATGGTCAATTCGTTGAAAGCTTCAAAGACATATTCTCGATCATGGGCTTTGACTTTGGACCATTTCATCTCGTTCAGCTGTTCCCACAATGCCTGCATGATGCCCTCTTGGAAGTTCTCAAGTGTTGCTTGGTCGTGGAAGCGGAGGAGCCAAGAGTATGCCGACCCATCGTCGGTATAGTGGTTGAAGATAGCCGACAAGTATTCGAAGTTGAAAACGGGGTTGATGTCGGCCACAATCTCTTGCCCAAGCCATTCGCGTCCGTCAGAGCTCGTAATTTGCAGCCAGTAGCGCCATTTGCCGAGATCGGTAACAACTGCATCCACGGAAGCGTCCTGCAACATAAAGGTGCCAGAGGAGAAGTCGAAAAGATGCAGTTCAGCTTTCTGCTTGGTCAAGACTTCGCCTGCCGATGGGGCAGTCTTTGCTGCCGGGGCTTTTGTAGAGGTTGTGGCAAGTTCTGTGGCATTCGGCTCAATTGCCTTCTTAGGGGATTTCACATCTTGGGCCATACGTTCGGCCGATTCCTTGGAGGTGGGCATCGTATCCTTAGGAGACGAAACCGAGCTGGCGGCAGGGATGGCGTCCTCGTTGTCGAAATAGAACTCTCTTAGTTCAGAGTCGGTAGCCTTTTGAGCCGATTGGCGGTGTTTTCGCTCGTATTGGCAATCAATCGCAGCTAGCAAAAAAGTCTGGATCTTGTCTTGTTGCACCGACGGATCGCAGACAAATTCGTAAAGGTCGCCTGGATCACCACTCAGGTCCCGCCAGGCTAGAACTGTTTCACCACCCGATCTCTTCTCAGATCTGAAGTGCAGACTCTGATCGAGTAGGAAGGTCTTCTCGTCCTTGTCAAAGCTCTCTCCTCCTTCGTCTTCGTCGTCCTCTGCCAGCTCTTCTTCTCCCTCCTCATATGCCCGCTGCACCACTAGTTGGTACTGGAACTCCTGACCGGTTCGCCGGATGCTGGCGACAGCATCTTTGTAGATGAGTTCGGAGTAGCCCTTGGGTGACAGAGGACGGACCAGGTAGAGCTGCCCTTGAGGAATCTCGGTAATGACCTCCTTGGAAACGTCTCCAAAGAGGTACTTGCTGACTAGATGGGAAACAGTGGTTAGCCAAAGGTCTGGCATCGCAAATGCAGGAGTGATGATGGGATACCGTACCATTTTTGATCATGAACATCGTGAAGGCGGGGAACTGAAATTCACAAGTCGCAGCGACTCGGGCAGAATCTGCCAGACCTCTTGACAGAGGAGCAAATGCTGTTTGGAACCAGACGAGAGCGACAGAGCGATGGTGCTATCTTGCAACTGTAGTGTGTTTGAGCAGAAGAAAGAACACGGAGTATCATAATCACGTTAAATGTTGACAGAGTAGAAGTTTGGTCGAGTGGCCGACCGCAGGATCTAGGTTGCCATGACGCAGTGCTAGGCTGCAAAAGTCCAGCCTGGTCACGCCTGGTGCAGTCCAAGATCCAAGGCTCTAGGGGTGGCAAACAACGTCTGCCCACGAATCACCAGCCCGGCCCTGGGCCCGATGTTTGCTCCATCCTAGCCTCATCACCGACAGAGAAGGCTGAAACAACCCTGCCTGCGCTTCCACTTCCGGACCGCCTCAATGTGAAGAACATCGTCAACCGATTACCCGCTCATGAAACACTCATCCTTCACGGCTTGATGCATCTCACAAAGCCTCCTGATGGCTTCTCAAGATGGGTCTCAACGGCGAACCTCTTCTCAAAGGCAGAACGGGACCCAAACGCTGGCAGACAATCCTTATAACCCCAATTCAGCCGCCTATCTCGCCTATCCTGTGAAGCATGTGGTATCGAGTCTCTATCGTCGAATGACCGAACCTCCTGAGCATCCCGTCAGCAAGTTGCTCGACGCTCCTGCTGCAGCGCCGTCGTCCGGGGTCTACACGCCTCCCAAAAGAACACAATCTCCCTTCCAACCTCCACCTCTTACGCCACTCGAGCTGAGACATACGCTCTCGCCCAAAGCAGCCGAGTCGCTTCTCTTGACTCGACCCCTCGCCGAAGAGATACGGCTTCTCATTCCACCAAGACTTCAACTAATCGACCATTGGCGTTTGGCATATTCACTAGAGGCGCACGGCTCTTCGCTGGCAACACTATATGAACACTGTGCCAATGTGTCTACCTACACGCAGCGGTCAGGCTATGTACTGGTGGTAAAAGATGGATCCACGGCAGCTTCACAAGGATCGGTGTTTGGTGCATATCTTTCAGACTCGCCCAAGCCGGCCTTGCATTATTTTGGCACCGGGGAATGCTTTCTCTGGCGTGCCAGCATATTGCCTGCGTTAAGAGATTTCTCTGCAGGTCTAAACGAGACCTCACAATCACAATCTCATGATTTGCTGGAGCTGGCTGGCTTACCTCCTCCGCCCAGCGCCGATACGACAAACCTCCAACGAGCCACGACAATTCGTGGCGAACGGAAGACTTCTTCGGTCTCCAACTCAACGACATCGCTTCCGCTACCTACGAACAAGGATACTCTTGCGCCGCCACAACTGCCTCGCTCAGGAACCTCGACGCCTGACCGTATACGTTTCAAGGCCTTTCCTTACAGCGGAATCAATGATTTCTTGATCTACTGCCAATCAGGCTACCTTTCTGTGGGTGGTGGAGATGGCCATTATGGCTTATGGTTGGATGATGAGCTTAACACCGGCGTCAGTGAAACATGCCCAACATTTGGCAACGAGCCCCTGAGCGACGAGGGACGCAAATTTGAAATCTTGGGCGTGGAGATGTGGTACGTGGGCGCGTAACGAAATAATCGACATCAGGCCTCCATGAGTCGAGCCGATCTGAAGCCGCTGCAGCTCTGGGCCCGACCACCAAGACTCGACCTCAACATCCTCGCTCTACATCTACCTACCACATACTCAGACAATCCAGCCTTGTGTGAACCAATGCTGGATAAGGTAACATATGCTGTCAATCCTAACAACAGGGAGCGACAATTCCCTCCAAGCGAGCATGAGACTCATGTATCTGTGCATTCATAAAGCATCGTGATTCCGCCGAAATTCTGGGACCACTCCAAAAGCGACCGGATGGTACAAATGAAGCGGTGCGACCGCATCCCAGCGATGTGCTCGTATGGCTTCAGTCGCGATTGACACACGTTTCACAAACTTCGTATTTCGGCCATCGATGGAGGAATTATTGGGTGGTGCGATATTCTGTTCACGGTCAATGGGCTTCTAGAAGCAGGAACAAGCTTCCGGACTCCCCGATCGCAATCTCTGTAGAGATCACGATTGTGGAATTCCCTTTGTCCTTTTTCCATCAAGAATATCCCCATAGCCAAAGGCACTGAGCAGGAGACACGACGTCACGCAAGGGTTCTGTTATCCGACCGGATGTCTTTTGCAGAGGGAATTGTACGAGGCACGCTAGGCTCTAACTCGGCGCCTGAACGTATATGCGTTTTATGCTCGACTATGACCGGGAAACAATGCAGTGGCCATTTAGGAATTCTGCCCGAAGGTCCTAGTGCAAGAATTGAATGCTGCCTCTTAAGAGAAGACGAAAGAGCCAATCAGCAAAACTGCCACAGCTTCTACATACGGAAAGCACTCCATGATCCCCGAGGTCCTGCTTGTGGTGGACAGAACAACAGAAATCACAAGAGTAGGCTCATACTGAATTGATTTCGGCCGTATCAGGGCAAGTCGGACGAAGAACTCGATGGTTAATAATATACCTGCATCGAGCCAAGCGGTATATTGGTTTGGTGAAGGATACAATATGTTATGGGACAAGTGTTAGATGCTGATCAAGTCCAAGTCCATTTTGAAAATGGTCAGCATGAGGACGCTTGATCATGTTCGTCCGAAACCGTGCGTCAAAATTATTTTTGGTAATCCAGACTAAACATTGTTCACGTAAATTACCAGTAACCCCGTATTGTGACGGAACGGCGCTAGCCAATACCATGCATAATGCTGCACAAATCTGCCTAGTAGCCAAGATGCCGGAGTCCTTGGTCCAGTTGATGGCAACGTAAGTCGAGAGCAAGTGTCGATCTCAATGAAGACTGGGCACTCCCAAGACTGAGGGCTCTTGATCTCACTCTGAAGGGCAGGGAGATTTCGTCGGGGAGCAGGAATGCATGGGAGAGGAAGAATGCATTTCGGTTTTGCTGTGTCGGCCTTACGAGGTTCCCTTGGCAGATGAAGTCTAGTCGCAAAGTCAGGTCCATCTCAAGCTATGATATACTTCCTCTGATAGGTAGGCATTCACTAATCGCCGACCACGGCAACCAAAAGGGAAAGAGTCTCGCTCCTTCGCAACTGAGGAATGACCGTGTGCCGAATAATGCTAGTCGTGCGCTGCCGACTGCCCGAGAGAAATCCCCAGTCTTTTCGTGTCGGGATTTGAGACTATTAGACTTGCGAGCAACTTGCTGCACAAAAAGGCGCATCAAGAGCGCAGGGTTCCCTGCCGACTAACCCTAAACGGTGCCTGGGTGTCCTTATGACTGTGACTGACGCAGCATGCGCCAGATGTAATCGCACCAAGCTGGGTCCCCTGCCAGTTGCTGCTGGTGCCAAATCTTCAAGTTTCTGAGCATCATGTCATCAAAAGGAAAAGGATCCAATCCCCCTTGGCCAAATGTTTAGTTTTAGTCGGGGTCCACTCCTACCTTACTGCCTTACTCAGTCTTCATTCAACACCCCGGTCATGCATCATCTTTTGTGGCTTTCACGAGTACGTGCATCGCAAACTTTTTGGGCCGCTCGCGCCCTGGGCTGCAAAGCTCAGCGTCCCAAGTAACTGACCAAACTATGCCTCATGCTCATTCAACATATGGCTCCACTTGATGCGGTTGCTTGCCATCTTACTAACCCAGCCTCTGCTAACGATATATAGGGCCTGATGTTCTCAATGCTCCTCCCCTCTAGCAATGTGCACATACCCCCAGTCTCCTTCGTATCCTTCGTCTACTTCAATAAGCTGACTTTGCCTCGTGTTGCCCCGGCCTTGAACTGTCTGGCCTGACTATATCTTGCCTTAGAGACCTGTGTCCTATGGTGCGCCTCCCCTCCCCTTGTCGACCCTCGAATTAGGCACGACGATATACTTGCCTTCCCTTGGAAACACCTGGACTACCCAGCAATGGGCGCTACGATCATGACTCCTCCGTTGGAACCTTCATCTCCCCTCGATGGTGGCATTCGAAAACGAGTATGCAAGGCTTGTGACCGATGTCGATTAAAGAAATCCAAGGTTCGTCTCGAGTACCACTTGGTCCTGGTTTGGTGCCGAGGCCAAGTCTGATTTGTTTCCAGTGCGACGGTGCCAGTCCATGCAGTCGGTGCAAAGCGGACAACGCCATCTGCGTCTTCGGAGAACGAAAGAAGTCTCATGACAAGGTCTATCCCAAAGGGTAAGTCGCCAGCGTCTGCTTCTCTGCAATTGTCCTGATCTGACTCGCTCGCAGCTACGTAGAAATGCTCGAGAGCCAACAAGCACAACTCGTTACCGGCCTACAAGAGTTGTACAAGCGACTACAGAATGGTCAGGGTTGGACCGGAGCGCCCTTGAAAGAGACCGGCAGTGGCACGCCCTTGACCCATGACATCTTGGAGAGACTGGGCGCGTTGAAACAAGACGGCAATACTACACACGAGGCATTCGAAGAGGACTTGAACGCCTTACAGCAGAGGCTGATCGACGACGGAGCTGGCTTCATGCAACGGCAACCTTCACATGATTCACATACCGACAGCAGTGCTCCTTCGCCCATTTACGAGCCTGTAGCCCAGAGGCCCAACTTTACCAATCCATTCAGCCTCCACCAGCTTCCTCCCACACCTCCGAACCGGAGTCCTTATCCTCAGAACGCCCGAGCTGTCCCTCCCACGAAATCACACACCTACCCCCACGCCGTCAACCTGCAATCGAATCTTAGCTGGACTACCCCTGTCGGCGAGTTCGACAATTCCATGGATTTCATCAACCAATTCGGCTCACCTCTGGTGGACTCATCATTTGATCTGACGTCCTTTCCTCCAGCCATGTCCCAAGACCACATCATGCCTGCAGCTATCAACCCCTGTCTAACGATGAAAGACTGGGCTGGCCAGGAAGATCTTCAACGGTATTTCAACCCGACCATGCTGGCATGACCTGATTGGCCGGATACGATACATGATTTTCACCAGTATATGTAATGCATCCAAAGCGGGCGAATCGGAGTTAGGGCAGCCTCCTGACCGGAAACCCGAGAATGGGAGCCCGGCACGGCAAGGCCATGTACGAAGCTTCTCCTTCTGCCGTGGGAACTGGATTCTGGAGCGGTTTATCTCTTTTCACGTTGAACGTCATCAAGTAAGTGTATAACATCAACCGGGCGGCACAGTCCTGTGGCGTTTCGGGCGGCTCAGCTATGGAGCATCGTTCGTCTGGCGCCCACAGGAACCGACGAGAAGTGTGAGAATGGAAAGTATGTGCTGACATGGTTCACTCATGTCTCATCATGTCAAATTTTAGCTATATACCAGTTAATGATACGAATTGGGCGGGATAACATGACGTGGATAAGGAATACGATCAGCAGAATGGAGGTGCACGCCTTACCGAGGTCGAGGTGCAAGCCGCGTTTTCGGATCGTTTGCTACTGAACCAGTTTATCGTTCGTCTCAGGCTTTTGGATATATGCATGACTAGGTGCTTGGGCCCCCGACAGCTCGCAACCAGTTCAAGAAACTGGCAGTTCAGGTGCTGAGCAAGTTTGTCCGAAGTAACTTCATTGTCATCCAGATATACTTCGTGATTGACGTTCGAAAAGCCAAAGTTGTGAGTAAGGTATCGCATAGCGCTCTTGCCTTTCCACTGCGCTAGGCGACAAGCATTAAATTGCGCTCGCTCCGTGATGTAGTATGGCTATACAGGTGGCGCGCGTATACCGAGCCGTCTCTGCAGCCATATGCCTGAGTCAGGCAGGCTTGTCAGGCTTGTCCACCCATGTTCTATCTTACAACATTCACAACCTTCGGTTCCCACTGCAGCTTCATTATTTCGTCACGACTTTGGAAAGTTTCGAGTCTTGACCGTCCGTTCTCCTCGGGGCTTGGAAAGCCTTTTGCGAATTATTAGAGAACCTCTTTGGCATGGCCGTTGGCCCACGGCTGTATTCGTCATGGATGCTGTCAGTGGTCTACCAACGCAAGTTGTGATCCTAGAATTTTCATCTTATGTTCGTGCGAGCCAGATTTCACTTGATTCCCCACAGCCATCAGGGAACATGCTATCAAATAAGCCTGCTGTTCGGGGGTTGATGGACGGCGATGATGATGATGCAAGCGAGGAAGGCGAGATCGGTGCGAGCATTACTGTAAAATTGGTTGATGATTCGCCTTTCGATTCCCAAAATCGATCAGAGCATTTACAACGGGGCGCCGCTGGGCGGCATACAGAAAACATGACCGTCCATAAGATTTGCTGAGAAATCTCCATTGTGCTTGAACACTTTCTGGAATGTTTTCGGTTCTCTGCTCAAGAAGCCACTCATTTCCCCGCGCCCAGAGTATATGTAGGCTCTGGGCGTGAATTCAGCCTATAGCAGGCTGTAGACCGGATAAATGTGAACACCGGGGATATGCCAAACGACGCAACATCGTCGTCCTGATCTCAAAACTGGTCATTTCTACATGATATCAGTTTGAATTTCCAGATCTGCGTCGCCATTTCGTCGAAGCTTTGGTTTGCCATACCCGCAAGCCATTGGTCTAGTGCACCCTACATCGTATATTTCAGCGGAAGTCATGTCGTCAGAGTCGAATTTCTCCTTCCTACCTCAAGGAGCTATCATCCAGGAGTTCAAAGTCGCTGGCCACAACATCGTTCTGGGCTATCCCAGACCGGAGCCGTATGCTGACTCTCCATTCTATGGAGAGACCATTGGTCGAGTTGCAAACCGAATCAAAAATGCCGAGTTCAACCTGAATGGCAAAATTTACAAGCTGGCTGCCAATAATGCTCCAAATTCTCTCCACGGAGGGTCAAAAGGATGGGGCAAGAAACAATTTGACGGCCCGAAACCTGTCAACCGGCATGGTAAAGAAGGCGTTTTGTTCACGTATGTTTCGCCCGATGGAGAAGAAGGGTATCCCGGCACGGTGGAATTGAGAGTTTGGTATACTGCTTGGTCTGAGGATGAAGCTGGGATCTCCAAGACAGTCCTCGAAACGGAGTACGAGGTAGAGTTCATTGGTTCCGAATGCGAGGAAACGATTGTCAACGTAACCAACCACGGGTAAGTCATCCAACAGAACAGACAGTCCCGAGCAAAGGCTGTGTTAACACTATCGCCAGCTACTTCAACTTAAGTGATGGTCCAACGATCGAGGGCACTGAGGTGACCCTTCATACCTCGAAGCATTTGCCTGTGGATGCGTTTGACATACCTCTTGGCACCATCGAGGACTTCCCAGGCATTGAGGCGGAAAAGCCTTTCGTCCTTGGCCCTCAGGAGCCTGATATCGATCACTGTTTTGTTGTCGATACCGATACACATGATCTGCCACTTGACACCCGGAAGAGGCCATTGAAGCCGTTGATCAGCGTTTGTCACCCGAAGACGAAAATCCACCTCGACATTCTCAGCACGGAGCCTTCCTTCCAGTTCTACACTGGCAGACATATCAATCAAGCTGCAACGGAAGATACACCCGCCCGAGGGCCCCGAGCAGGGTTTTGCGTCGAACCTGGACGATATATCAACGCCATCAATGTGCCTGAATGGAAGAATCAGGTTGTGTTGAAACGTGGTCAACTTTGGGGAGCCAAAACAGTCCACAAGGCTTGGAAAGCATGAGAAGATTGTTGACGATGTGTGACAAAGGCTGTATCGACTCGGAGAAATGCCATTTCATCTGCGACCGGCTTTGTCTAGGTAGCGAACACGTGGCAGCAATTGATGACCGCAGCAAGAGAATTAGGCCACTTTCTAGAATCTTACCCAGTGAGCACTTGGAAGGGAACGGTCCAGTCAGAAGCGTCGGCAAGCCACACCGCGCACGCATCGGACTGCCCAAGAAGCTTGGTCTTGGTCAGAGGATGGGCATCTTGTCGACCAGCGTCAAATTCAGGGTTATACTATGATAGATTGGAAAAAGCGAAAAAAGATGGCGCGTGGCGAATGTCAACCTCAGGTGACCCCTTTTGTTGTCTCCGTACTCGGTAAAATGCCTCATATTCTAATTTCCATGGTTGGCGAGCAGACTCCATCTCTGGAGGAAAATAATGGGTTGGTCTATTCGTACGAGATATGTCGATATGCATGTGGTGCCTCGGGCGTAACGACACAAGTTAAGGCCGAAAGGGCTGGATGGATATCCGTCTCCGATCCACGGTAGACCAGGGGTAAGAGGTCGGTGCTCTTCTCGATGCTCGTGATCGTTTTCGATAATCTGTGTCATTGCGGCCTGTTCGCCGTCGATCAAACGATGGCAGAAGATTGTATTATCGAAGCACGGTGCAAACTCGGTTCTGTCAGACAGATCCAAACAAAGGTGACGTTTGGCATGCGGAAGAGTTCCCGTACAGAATCAGAAGCAGATGCCAGAGATAACAAAAATAATCAATCACTCCTCTTTCGGAGAGTTTTTGGCATCTGTGTGGGCGGTCGATCGCATCATCGACACCCAGATGTGACAGACACGGACAGACTACGTTAGCGGCCGTATTAAGTAAGCCATAGGTTGAACGATCGCGGCGGCGGAAATCGACTGTTCCGTAGCCGAGGATGATTCTTTGATTGTGCCTGATCAGGGCAGAACACCCCTCCTTTCTGACACGGGTCGCCAGGTGCCAATCTCTACACGGCTCGCCTGAGGCGCAAGTATCATCAGCGCCCAGCATTCAGCGCGTCTGGTGAAGTCTCCTATTGCCCGAGAACTCTACTCCGTATCCGTACTATGGATATAGATGCAACCCGAATCCTATTTCAGGCCAACCACAGCGGCACGTTGCAGAAGTGTACGTGGCTTGCTCGACCAGACGTGGACGCTTTTCCTCAAACGGAGCAAGATGCGATGGCAATGCAGTCGAGCAATACGACGAAGCTGGGGTTGGCCCCTGGGACGCCTACCATCGAGCTATGTACACGACGTACTCGGTTAACCTGCAATCAATGCAATAATGGAACTCTATTCCAAGAAAAGGACCAAGCTGCCAATACCTTCCCCGCGTATCCCGGCTAGGCACCAAGCACCAAGTGGTGTGCCGTGAAGCCCAAGACTCTTCGAAGAGGATGAGGAGACGCCCACATACAGAATCATCCTAGTAGAGAAAGGTCCAGACCTGGGACAAGAAACGGGCTGTGAACGCCTTGAGCGTACACGCCAGCGGCCAAAGCCAGGCCAAGACCCCTGGGGGCTCGATATTTCGCCAATGGTCAAGGCCACAACACCTACCAAAGTCTTCGCTTCTTCTTGGATCGGCCTACTACAGTATGCTCGTAGAAGCACAGGCATCATATGATCATGCTGATCCCAGAGATGATGTTGAACATCGCCGCCTACGAGGACAATGCCAGATTGATGCATCCGTATTAGCTAAGGCCAAGGGTGGCAATGCATAATTCGCTGCATAAGTCCGTTTCGGGAAAAGCTACCTACCTAAATCTTTTCATGTTGTTCACGCCTCATAATTCGCATTATTGGAGCCGTATGGGCATTACATGCTGGTGGTCTTCATGACAGGTCATTTCAGCTTCTGTATTGACATTTCAAAATCACACAATCTTCCCCCTCCGGCACTCTCTTCCACCACCTTTCGTCCACAAATGTAATCAAACAACCCAAACTCGGCGGTTCTCACAAGACGCGCCTTTAATCACGCTCATTGGGCGCTTCACCACCTTCAGTTGATATTACCTTGTTCGCCCACTTGCATCGATAGAATGCGATTAGACGGTCGCAGCATCACAGCTACCAAGTCCCGGCTTGCTTCAAACGTATAACATGCTTAAGCACGACAGCGACCAACAGAACCTCAGCAAGAACGCGGTTGACGCCTTTCCCGTTTCAAGTTCATCTCTGTCTCTTGCTGATTGGTCTGCTGAAGCTGAGTAAGAATGCTCACCAAATCTCAGTCATGGTTCTGGGCCCAGGTCCTTCAACCATCTTAGCACCGACCGGGGACTTTCCTTCCCTCTATCAGGGCATATGCTTGAGTTCTGGCATTTCCCGCAAAGCTTAATCTCAACATCAGACCTTTTCTATCTTCGGAAGCAGTCGAAATCCCTTTCGAAGGGGCTGGTCCAATCGCCATAGACTGCACGGCGCACGTTGCTATGTACACTGATAATGCTCGTGAACGGCAGGGCGCCCTGCCTGCAGGATCCTGAGTCATCAATCAAGGTACGAACTTTGGCATGACGATCCGGCCTCGAGTTGGAACTCCACTATTGCGCGGTGAGCGTCCTTTGCAGACAGCAATACCTTTTCATCGTAAGGCCAACACGGACTTCTAGGTAGTTCTTGATCACGGAATCCAAAACGAGCGTGAATGATTTCAGACTTCCCATGGCTTATCCCCGCCGACTGCGCGACCGCAATCGACAAGCGAAACTCTATTCGACCCTCTATCACCAATTTTCGAGACCACGGTCTGTTGTACAGGTGCCCTAACCCCCTTGTCCTTGTCACCAGCTTGCGTTGCTGGGCAGTAGCAGTGCAGCAGAGCCAGAGCTCCGCCATTATGCACCTCTGGCTCTCAAAGCCATCTGCAGCTTTGTCAGGCCGTCAATCGTCTGGGGGCTCGTTCTCGGCTCTCCGCGATGAATGTCAGACTCGCGAACTGACGCTTCGGAATCTCCCAGGGCCAGCTTTCGCCCAGCCACCATTGCCCAGGGCCTTATGTTCAGGTCCACGGCTTTGCTTCCTGCTTGACATTGCCATGCCCTCGACGAGCGGATTCGACGAGTACCCAAGGTAGGGTCCAAACTATCTAGGTCTGGTGTAGGATGTGCTGGGACCACTTTCCTCTGGCAGATCCATTATGAGAAATCTCGCTTGGCCTCAAAAGTACCCGGGATACGCCCTCCGCATTGCTGACATGGCCGCAGCGGAGAGTTTCTTTACAACCGCCCCATGCTGGGAGCTGTGAAGGCACGGGCAGTCCTTGATACGGTCGTCTCAGCAGCAGTCTATCGGCTTGCCACCACCGCAAATCGTCCAACGATCCTCGTACGACACTGGGAATTTCTTTGTGTCCGGTCCTCAAAGCGTGACCAGTCACACTAAATCGGCAGAAGCGCGCGTAATTGACTTCATGCCTGCAGCTGAATCATCCACGGGCAGGCACGCCGAAGTCAAACCCACAATCTGCACGACGAAATGTTTCTTTCGGATTTTCGAGTCCTACCCAACGGGTGCCAGCCATATCCGTTACTGGTAAGCGTGGCTCTACTCCTTTTTCCGTATCATTCTAGTGGGATCTTGCTACTCTCGTGCATGTCTTGTCATGTTGCAACGCTTCGTGAGGGTCGCTCAGAAGTATAACCCCATCCGAGCTCACATGAGACTATCAGAATCAGGCTTTTCATGCGGCGTGCAGACAATATCTTGGAGTTTGCGTAGGCGTCCTCAACTTTGCGGAGATAATACGCGGGATTTTCTGTGCGCATTTCTCGATCTTCATGGTGCATGAATAAAAAGTCACAGTGGAAAGGTAGGAGCTTGTTTGTGAAACCTAGGTGGCAAGATCGCCTTATCTTTTCATCTATCCATCATCATACACTTCTTCTTGTCCGATTGACAAGGGCCGTTCATACGATACAACACTAGAGAAGCATCACGGGAGCATCAGTCCACATCGACAACCGCTCGGTCTCAAGCAGCTCCACAATCAATCTCCAATCTCCATGGTGCAAGCATCTTCGCTCGAAGAAGATCCTCAGTCTGCCCCGTCCCCACATATGCCTTTGCTAGCTCACCCGCTTCGAGTCTTCCACCTGGAGGAATTTGCCTGCTTGCATTGAGCACAGCCATTTCCGCAGCGTAGTTCCTGGCATCTTCATCCTCGGCAGCTTGTGAAAGCTCGAGCCATCCTTGTGGTTGTCCGGGTGCGAGCATGATCCCATTAAGAGCCTCTGCAATCACGGCCACTTGGTCTGCTCGGCTAATATGTGCCTCTTTTGGTCTGCGTCCAACAATGCCAGCCAAGATCTTGGTGACCTTGATCTTGTCTAAAACTCCGATCTCATCACCGCGTCGCAAGGCTTTGAGATCCTCCTCGACCGCTTCCAGGACATCTTCGTCATAGTCGAGAAGCCCCATCGCGGCCAAGAGCGCTATGGCTTCCACATGCTTGGGATTGTTCTCAATAACGTCGAAGAGTTGTGATCTTGCAGCATCCTTTTCCGCCGAGCCACCTTTTGCCCACAAGACCTGCGCAAGCATGCATACGACATCAGGCTGGTTTTCAGACTCTTCAAGCGCTGCTTGAAACATGTTGATAGATTCGTCGATGTTATGCAGGTGGCTGTGTGCAAGGCCGGCCGACACGTGCGCAGACAGCCTCCATTTCCTCCGAGATTCTGCGTATGTCGGACCAAAGTCATCAGCTTCGCCAGACAAGTCGAGTGCGGTTTCTGCATTCGAAATAGCATCTGAGTAGTCGCCGCTCGCAAGCTGTGCCCGGGCTAGATCCGCCTTCGCTTGGGCGAATCTGACAAGGTACTCGTTGGACTCCAATTTCTCATACTCCGCTTCGACAGCATCGCACACTTCCCGAAGTGCTTCGACACTGGTGGCATGGTCACCGGCGCGCTCTGCCAGGAGAGCCATGAGACGGGTCGCGATTGTGTCGCTGGGCTGCAGAGTACGGTACTGGCGCATGGCAAATAGTGGTTGCAGGAGGACGCCGACTTCTTGGGATCTAGAAGGATCCTTGAGCAGGAAATCGAAAGCTGACATTGCATAGTGACGTTTTGGCGGTAATAGTGACGAGTCAGCAATTTCAAACGCATGCATAAAAAGTCCTCTTGCTTCACCAACGCTTCCGAATAGCAAAGCCAGCAAACCTTGTCCGATCCAAGCATCGGCATATTCGGGATCTTCTGATTGTGCTCGGGTGAACGCTTCGTTCGCAAGTTGATGATCTCCATGAATCAGGTAGAGAACTCCGAGGTTGGTCCAGGTTTTGGCACTGTGATCGGCGAGGTGTAGGCTCCGGACGAACGAGTGCTGGGAGACCTGAGGACTAAGCGTCATTGTGGCCACTCCGAGAGCGTTCCAGAACTCAGAGTTGCTGGCTTCAAGCTCGATGGCACGCTTGAAACATTTGATGGCGGCTTTCAGAAAACGACGCGGCTTCTTGCCATCAGCCTTCATCAATTCCCCTCCGGAGATATATGCCTGATGTTCAGCCCAACCGAGGTTATACCAGGCCACTGCTTGCGCGTGTTGATCTCCAGAACAAGCATGGACGGCTCGCTTATGCGCCAGAATCGCAGCATATAGGCATCTTCCGGCGGTATCTGCGTGGGAATCACCCTCACCAGCCTTGAGCGTGTCCAAACTGACCTGGTCAAGATCGGCAAGAGTCTCCAACTCGCTTCCGGGGGACAGCTGCAGCAACGATGAAAGTGATTCAAGACTCGCTGCATCTGCATATAACTTCACGTGTCCCAGAACAGAGCAAGCATCGCCAACTGCTTTCCACAGATTGAAGAATTGAACACTGTTCTTGGCGATATTGGTAGCCACCTCGATTGCGGAATTCGCAAGCTTGACAGCCTCGCCATACATGCCGAGAGCGACATTCGCCCATGCGCTTTCTGAAATAGTCTGAAGCAACGCAAGTAGGACCCCAAATTCTTCAGGCTTGAGCACGAGAACTTCCTTGTACGCTTTGATGGCCTCATCGAAGAGACCCATTTCGCGTTGAACGTTGGCGAGCATGTACTTTGCGAACCAAGTCTCGTCCGGAGGCAGGCCATGATCGAGACTTTCAGCTTTCGCAAATGCTCTTGTTGCAGCAACATGACGACCAGCATTGTGGTAACTCTCTCCCAGGCCCACCCAGGAATAGTAGTCGGTCGGTGTAATTCTCAGGGCCGCCTGGAAGGACACTATACTCTGGGAGTACTGCTGGCTGTTTGTTTGCACCACACCTAGAGCGGCATATGGCCAACTGTATGCTCTCTTCTTGGATCCAGGTGCAGGTCTTGCTTTTCCCGAAGCGACAACGCGTCGTGCGACCAACTCAACAAGATCCCATTCAGCCGTATCCGCAAACGCTTTTGCGAGCCTATGCGCAGCCTCAAGTTCTGAAGTAGAGAGCTCGAACGCCTTCTGCAACGCCACTCTGGCTCGTTCCTGGCTCCTGCTGCCCTTGCCGTAGTCCTGGAAGTATATACCGAGCAGGGTATACGCAGGAGCGTAGCTTGGATTTGCTTTGACAGAGGAAATGAGGTACTGATAAGGACCCGACTTGTCTTTTCGTGCTGCTATGGATGCATTGACGTGCCACTGACACCAGGCTATGCGGTAGAGGACCACAGACTTCACCGATAAATCCGGCTGTTTGTTAGATTCGATGACTGAGAGGATTTCGTGAAGGTCATGGAGGCCGTGATCCAATTCGCCGTTCTGAGCTCGGCACCACGCGAGCTCGAGCTTGATCCTGACATTATCAGGATCACGTCCGGCAGCCTGGTGCAGAAATTTGACGGCTTCGGGGTAGTCCTCATCCTCTTCGAAAATCAAGCCCACGCCGAGCAACGCCGCAGTCAGTTTTGGCTTGCGTTGGAGGACTTCTTGGAATAGTGCCTTTGCCTCTGGGTGATAACGAGGAGATTGATGATTGATCAAAGCGTCAGCTAGAATAAGGTTGACTCCGTCAATGCTGTTTTGCAGATCAAGAGCGTATCGTTGCTCTGCCTCTTTGTGCAAGGTCTGAGCCTTCCTTGCAACGTCCACCGTGCTTTGCCAGTCTTCGTAATGCATATAAGTGCATGCCATTAGGCGGTGACCCAAAAGCGACTCTGGACAGTCCTCGAGCCCCTCATTCATGAGTATAAGCCGGTCGGTGTCATTTAATTTCCCAACTTTCCCCTCCTCTTCAGTTGGCTCCTCCGCTGGATGCGGGAATGGTGAAAAGTCGCTGTCTAAGAACCCTTTGAGAATCTTGCTGAGACCGTCATCCGGAAAATAGTTAATGTATTCGCGGAATATGTTGACATCCCAATCTTTCAAATTTTCTGCATCGACCCATTCTAGTGCAACTTTCCAAGCCAGAAGGAAGGGCTGTTTGATAATGACCATGCCGTTGGCCATGTTCAAGACTTTGTCGCGTTGCTGATGCTTGGTTTCTGGTGGTACTACAAGCAAATTGTCATACATACGCTGAAACAACTTTTGCTCAAGATCATGGCGCGCATCATCGTCTCGAGTCCAGTCAATGAGCGCCGCATATTTTTCTTCGACTTGGAATTGGCTGATCGCTTCGGCCTTGACTTGCCGCGTTACTTGGTCAATCTTCGCTCCCAAACGTGTTCGTCTCTCTCCAATTTGTGTATTTACCCACTCTTTCTCTTCTGCCTCCGCTGATTCGAGGATGCGCCGGTAGGTAAGATTCGGCTGCATGATTTGACCCTCTAGAACCGGGTAAAGGGTAGATGTCGGCAGGATAAGCTCCAGCGCCCGCCGGTATTGTGGTTTGGTACCGTGTTTCTTTGCAAAGAGCTCATATTTGTCGATGACATTCTGGCATTGAGCTCTATCCTCTTGCTGAGCATAGATCTCGGCGAGTTTGAATGCGACATCGTGATATTGGTCGACTTTAGCGCTACCCTGCTTCTCATAGAGCGTAATCAAGCCCTTGTAGGCCTGGACATCTTGAGGTTTGCAGTCGGCAGCTTTGCGAATGGCCTTTTCTGCAGCATCCAAATCACCCAACTTCTCTCTTGCAAATCCGAGAAACAGTAAGGCCGTGTGGTTTTTGTTGTCTTGTTTCAACAGATCCTCAGCCTGATCGGCGGCTTTTTCGAAACGGTCTCCATCGAGAGAAGCCTTGATGGATTTCAAGGCCGCTTTCGAAGAAGCCATCGAGAGCCGACTGAGGGGTGGTCCCAGGCTTGGATATTGTTTTCAAATTCAGCCGGTAGGGATTAAGTGGAAAGTCATTGCCATGTTAAGTGAGATGGTAGTATCTGCTTAAAGACATCACAACACCAGTCTCGTCTGCCTCACCCACAACACTCACACCAGAATGAAATCGAGCAGGCAGAGCCTCTAGCAGCCAGCCACGTAAGTGTATGCTTGAGAGATCCTAGTCGCTGAGACATGAAAACGAGACGCAAAGAATGCCACAAAAATCCCAATCAGGAAAATGACGTCTCGAGTTTCGGCTGCCGCGGAGCACTGAAAGTCTAGGTGCTGAATGACCTTCCCTTGTACTCCGTATGACCACGCCATTACGACGACAGCCACGACATCCGACAAACGCATGAGAACAGAATCGAGTATCTCTTTCGAACCCCCTTCCCTGCTGAGCACCTCTTGTGACAGCACATACACCTCCGAGACTCTCCATACAACCATCTCCTGTTTGCCGCATGCTCTGACGGGCTGCTCAGACTTCCTGCGCTCGGATGGCGGCGCAAGGCCTCAGGATCGACGGGATCAGGATCAGAGACTCCAAAGATCGCGAAGTCACCTTCCGAGGCATAAATGTCGCTGGCGACAGCAAGTTTCCCCGCTACCCGGACCAGCCGTCTCATGAGCCCAAGGGCTTCTTCGAGACAGACAACATCTCTTTCGTAGGTCGACCATTCACTGAAGACGAGGCACGTGTACACTTTGCACGACTGAAGAGATGGGGATATAATGTCATACGGTACATATTCACATGGGAGGCTTTGGAGCCTGCTGGCCCAGGTCAATATGACGAGGACTTCATCGACCATACCATCAAAATTTTGCGGATAGCAAAGGACTACGGCATGTATGTATTCATGGATCCTCATCAGGATGTTTGGTCAAGGTTCACTGGCGGCTCAGGCGCTCCCCTATGGACTTTGCATGCTTGTGGCCTAGATCCCGAGACCTTTACCGCCAACCAAGCTGCGGTTGTCCACAACACCTGGCCCGATCCCGCAAAGTTCCCTAAAATGCTATGGCCCACGAACTACACCCGATTAGCCACTCAAGTCACGTTCACCTTGTTCTACGCCGGTCGAGACTTTGCTCCCAACGCAATCATAGACGGCAAGAACATCCAGGACTACTTGACGGACCATTTCATTGCTGCTTGCGCTCATCTAGCTCAGAAGATACATGATGCTGGCGGACTGGAAGATGAATGCATCATTGGGTGGGAAACAATGAACGAACCGCATCGAGGACTAATAGGATGGGAAGACCTAGATGCCCTCCCGGATGACCTGAAGATGAGAAAAGGAACATGTCCTACACCGTGGCAAGCAATGCTTACTGGAGCTGGACGTGCGGCAGAAATTGATGTCTATGATTTCAACACCTTTGGACCATATAGAAGTGGCAGGGAGTTGGTGGATCCCGAAGGCGTCTCAGCCTGGCTGCCGAAAGACCGGGATGACAGCAGATACGGCTGGAAACGAGATCCAGGTTGGAAGCTTGGGGAATGTATATGGGCCCAGAATGGAGTTTGGGATCCAACCCAGGATCAGTTGTTGAAAAAGGACTATTTTTCCTCCATCCCAAAGTCCGGTACGAAGCTAGACTACGAAAAGTTCACCAACCTATACTATATGGACCACTATCGAAAGTACCGAGACGCTATCCGAGCCATTCACAAGGACTGCATCATATTGTTGCAGTCCGCAGTCCTCGAAATACCTCCACGTATCAAGGACACTCCTGACGACGAAAAGAGGATTATCTTTGCTTCGCACTATTACGATGGAATCACTTTGATCCAGAAACACTGGAACAAATACTACAACGTGGACGTCTTTGGGCTGCTGCGGCATAGGTACTCGAATCCGGCGTTTGCAGTCAGATTAGGCCAGACAGCCATCCGCAACTGTTTACGAGACCAACTTAGAGCTATACGTGACGAAGGAATTGACCATCTAGGCGAGCACCCGACAATGTTCACGGAGATCGGAATACCGTTCGACATGGACGATAAGTATGCCTACAAGACCGGGGACTACTCAAGTCAAACCTCAGCCCTGGATGCAAATCACTATGCGCTAGAGGGATCGGGAGCGCAAGGGTACACTCTTTGGACTTATGTTGGACAGGTAAGAATTCACCCTCGAGTCTTTGATCACCCGACTAATACGTGACAGAACAATCATCAATGGGGTGATATGTGGAACGGCGAAGACCTGTCGATTGTGTCTCTTGATGATCAGCTTCTGCCCAGTAGCTCTTCAATGTCTAGCCTCACCGCTGCAAATCCGTCGACCACCTCCTTGGGCCAAAAGTCCGGCTCATACTCTGGCACGACCTTATCCGAGTCTTCAATCGTCAATCCTTCCAACTTAAGAGACGTGTTGAAGCACCCCGAGATCGTTCAGAAGCCTTCTTCCGCACCTTCAGACCTCACTTCCAATCCTGGACTCCGGTCAGCTGAAGCGTATGTCCGACCATCGCCCATTGCCACAGTAGGTGATGTGATCAGCTATGGCTTCGACTTGCGCAGTGTGACTTTCACCTTCCAATTGATCGCCGACCGCGCGACGAAGGAGGACATTCCGACGGAAATCTTTCTTCCCGAGTTCCACTGTCCATCAGGCAAGACCACTGTCGAAGTCAGTGGCGGTAGATGGAGGATCGACGTTCTTGATGTGGACGGCGAGAGCATGCAAATCATGAAATGGTGGCACGGTGTAGGCGAGCAGAGCATGACCGTCAAGGGCGTCAAGAGAAAACCAGGTGCTTGGGAAGAAGAGGCAGATGCTGAGGCCGGCTACCTAGATTCCATGAGATCTACTGTCGAAAACTGCTCTGTGATGTGATGAGTTACGAAGGCGTGCGAATGAGTCTAGCAACAAATAAAGCTGGTTGGCGTTGGGGATGGTGGGAGTTTGACGGCACTTCGCGAAAAGCCTTGTTTGTGGGATTTTAGTGTTGGCATGTTAAGCTCGCAAGCCTCAAATATGCCCAATCGTTAAAACCTGGCGGGTGGAAGGCGTACTGTTTGCTCAGGAGGCAACTACCCGTTCTGTCGACATTTCGTTACCGTTCTGCTCATGATCATTCTCCTCACCATCACTGCCATCGGCCTTTGGCTTGCTCTCCTCCCTCAACTTGCCGCCTTTTCGCTTTGGGATGACTCTCATGAAAGCCTCTCCCCAGTCGCCATACTCCAGCCATCGAATCATAATCTCTACGACGTGGTTCGTCGCGAGGACCTTGCGAGACTGCATGTCCATGTATTCTCCGATCGGAAGCTTTGCGGTCTTGATCCCTTTCTCCTGCGCAACCTTGTAACAGATACCCTTGTGTCGGTTCTTGTCCACAAGCCCGCCCACAATATAGGTTGAATAGGGCGACAGTTCGGTCAAGGTGTCGGGGGAGTCGGAGGTAAGGTAGACAATCTCGCCCTTGTGCGGGTGTACAGCAGGTTCAGAGGTTGCATCAGAGGGCGGAAGGTCTTTTTGCGCAGATGCTGGGTCTTCCTCGGCGCCATGCTTTTCAGATGCGGAGGAATCTCCAGTTTGATGGGAATTCTCAATCTCGGCGGCAGATGCAGGAGTTTTTAGAACGGTCGCATTTGTGGTGGTCAATGCCTCAACATGTCCGTTCGCAACAGCAAACCCCTCGAAATACCCTGCCAGCCTTCCCCCCTTTGGACCGTGCATGAATGCCTCCGCGTTCCGTGCAGCTTCTGTGAAGTCGCCTTCTTCGAAAGTCACGTTCTTCCAATTCAGATAGTGCTTCTTAAGAACTGTGTCGAATCTCTCCTTCAGTAGCCCTCCCCATGAACTGATCACAAGATGTGCCTGAAATGGTGCACGGTAATTATCAGAGTACGATCGTGTGAGTTGAGAGCCCAGTGAGATCCGCTCTTTCTCCATCATCAGCTCGTCGAAGCCACAGTCGATGATAATTGTGACAGGCAACTGAATTGGCCGGCGGGATTTCTGCTTCTCCGGCTTCTGTAGCTCTGCGGAAACAGTACCTGGATCTTCGCCTCGCTCGGTAGCGTCCTTTTTCAACTGTTCCACACGCAGCTCTTCCTCTTCTCTCGCAGCCTTCTTCCTAGCCCTTTTTTCTTGTAGCTTCTCTTTCCTCTTCAGCTTGCGATAACCTCGACCTGCTTCCCACTCTTCACGCTTCCGGAGTTTTTTCAACTGGCTTTTCGACAGAGGCTCTGCAGGCACACCATCCTCTTGTCGCTGTCGTGATTCTGGAATGTCTTCAATATCGACATCACCTCCGGATTCGCCCTCCTCATCATCACCATGTAGCGCTCGATCTGCGACATTAGCAGTATGCTCGTCTGGCTTACTGTTGTGAGAAGGTGCGGTCAGGAAGGACGCTGAAGCATTTCCAATCGAGTATGACGGCAGATGAGCGTCGGAAGCGATGTTGTGAACTTCATCACCATTATCGAGCTTCCTCAGCTTGGTCGGCCGCTCATCTGCTTCCATCGTGTCTGGTTGTTGGTAGAGTGTGAACGGACAACTCGTCGATGCGGAAAGTTGCGAAAATAGTGGTCACGTGGCTAGCCTTTGATCTTGCCGCTCTTATCTCCCCCGGCCGACCCAATTGACTCCATCTCAATTCAAAGCTGCCCGCAACCACCTCACATACGTTGATGTCGGCCGGTTTCATAACATCGTCTTCAAGAGATGCCTCAGGATCTTCCGCCCACTGGCGGCTACGAAGCCGTCCAATATAGGGTACGTTTGGAACTGTCCACCCTCATGTCGACCGAGACTCTCCGGAATTGCACACACCTGCTCGTCCTGTCTTCAATACAGCTGCTAACACTTTCTTACGCAGCGCAACCTCCCAACCCGCGGCTTCAAACCTGCCTATTACCTACTTGGTGTAGGGCTGATTATGGCTTATGGCTGGCGGAAAACCTTCCTTGGACAACGGGAGAAGCACGAAATGGCCCGCGAAAAGATGTGGTCACGCATTCACCTGATTCCAGTACTGCAGGCAGAAGAAGATCGCGATCAGGTTAGAAGGTATTATGCGGATTTGGCAAGGGAAAAGGAGCTCTTGGGAAGCCAGAGCAAGGCATACAACAGTGACAGGTAAGTGCTGAAGAGTCTATGTTGATTACACGGGAAGGAAGCGTTTCAAGGACGCTGCGCACCCAAGAACCAGAAGGGACAAAGTTGCATCAAGAAGCTCGATCATGCGAGAATCATTTGGAAGACATAAGCTGACAGTGGGCTCTCCAGATTTGTACGCCCGACATACACTGCTGTGCCATCAAGGACGACCGAATGATCGACAAACGTTTGACGAATACCACTTGAATCGATATGTCCGCAAAATCCTGGGTAGACACCTGAACACTATATCTGGTGCCCTCTGTATCAGTGCATCCATTCCGGGCCTCAAGGCATACGATGTTCAATAGCTGAGGAGCGTTTTGACGAAGAAGAAGCTATGTACATACTTAGAACGGCTGGTACAGGAAGGGGCAGAATGGCGGAGCATGACTGGAAGCAGGCCGAGTGGGAGGCCAAGGGCATGCATTCATAAACCTGAAGCCGCCGACCTGGGCAACCAACAAAGATTCGAGCCGATGCCTTGGACTTTCGTTCTTCGTCGTACCTGGTCCTAGCCTTCCCTAGGAGAACTGACAGCGAAGCACTCCTAGTGACACTTGAACTCCGTATTGACAGTGGCCCCTCTTCATCATTGCAACCTCCTCCAGTGTGATATTCCTCAGCTCCTACAATCTTTGTCTCTTACAGCTGTCTTTTCCCTCCACCCAGCTCAGTCTTCTATTGAACTTTCTTCGCCATGATGGGAATGTCTATTGGGCAAATGCTGGTTTTTTCGAATATGCATCGCATACACGTACTTGATCTGCCAGCCAGGCCCATGTCTCATCTTCCACACGGAAGCACAGTTATTCAAAACGAGCGAGCCTTTCTTAAAATGAACCGTCTGCTGCCGAGATCGCTGTTCACTTCTTCCTGGCCGCCCATAGCATCAAGTCTCTAACCCGCAAACATGTCAGCCACACCACCGAAATCAACTCCACCATCCCCAGTAGCTTTGCCGCTGTCGTCGACGCCTTGCATTCCCAACAATTCGCGCTGCTTGTATTTCTCAAGGATCTTCGACTGCTGCTGCCTCATGTCGATCTTACCAAGTTCACTGAGTCTGACACCTCGGACCCCTTCCAGCAGAGACAGGATAATTGCTCGGAGCTTTTTGGATCGCCCTGCCAGGCCCTCTTGTAGCAGCTGTGAAGCAGCATTGTCGACCCTTGGCTCCGTCATCCCAGGCAGGCTCAGGATCACATCCCGTGGCGTCGAGGTCAACGGCGGACGATCGTGCGCCGGTGTCCCTTCCGTTGCCGGAACGTGGGCGGGCAGGCCGTACGATAGCCATATGGTCGCAATGAGCTGAGCATAATGCTGCTGGTGATCGGCGAAATAGCCGTCATTTAAGCAGGTGATTGCCGTCTTGAGCATGTCGGTTGAGATGAACTCGCGCACCGCTGCAGCTTCCTGGCCTGATATGAAGTGCTCGGATGCGAATTCAGGAACAGTTCGCCGCGCACAGTCTAGCATTGTAGAGCATGATCGCAGGTCGCGGAAAGCAAGTGCGTGCCTGATGAAGACGAGTAAGCGGTCGAGAATACGGACGTTGGAGAGCAAGAATTCTCGCATCGTTTGCTGATTTCCCTGGGTCAAGTAATTGCCATTAACAATTGCCTTTTTGCTGCTGAGCTGCTGTTCTCGCTTGGGATTCAGCCAGTGCGCCACCAGGTTGACAGCCTTATAGGTCATTTGGCGGAGGACAGAGTCGTCGCGCATCTCATCATTGAGGTTTTCTTCCTCGTGTTTGACCTGCTTCCGTTCGGTCATCTTGACCCATTCACTGGAAAGCTTGTTGTCCGTCTGTTGAAGGAGCGATGACAAAATGGGAGTTAGAAACTGCTGCCGACTCTCGGGCGGGCACTCGTCGATCAATTTCGGAAGCATTTGCAGCAGTACGGAGAAGTGGTGCGGACTCAATGGTGCTGCGGTGTCAATGGCGGCTTCAGCTATCATTTCCGGAAGTTGCTGCAGGCCGTAGAAAACCGGGCCCAGTCGACCCAACGTGTGGAGGATGCTGTAGCATTGCTCGAGATTTTGTCGTATTCGTCCACGTACAGACGACGCGAACCCTTCCAGAGTCACCTTTGTCGATTTGACTTTGCTGTGGAACTCGTTCATGGACCCGGCCGAGATTCCTGACTGCCAATACCGGTCTCGAAGGACACGCCGAAGGACTGGCTCCATCTCAGGCGTCGCATTTGGCCACGAGGAAGGATTGTGCAATTGGTGGTTGTAGCTGGTAAGCCGCAACACATGACTCAGCATGTTTGGGACCATGGGCGACCACAACTCGCAGACCATCTTGTGGAGGGGCGAGCCTTCCTCAAGTCTTTCCGTCGATATGGTGAGAAGTATCCTCGATTTCCGCAAGGGTAATTTGGCATAACCAGTCGACATTTCTTGCTGAATCTGCAGTCCCCGATTGTCATATGGAACCGAGGACCAGTCCTCAACATTGACTGCCTGTATCGACGCCATATAGGGTCCTATCTGATCAAAAGCTTGTGAGTGAGCGAAGGATTCGAAACTCTGAAGTGTGGCTTGAAGGCTCTCGTCAGCCCAAGCAGCAGCCATGGGTTGAAGAAACTCTTGCAACTTGGCATGACGTTCAGCATAATCCACTGCTGTTGCACGCTGTATAACGGAGAACAAGGTCGATTCGAGGTCGATTTCTAGCCGCTCGTCTCCGCCCAGTTGATTTACAAGATCCGTAAACTTGATCTGAAGCTGCTCATAGAAGGTGGCAAAGTAGTCAGCATGCTGCAGCGACAGACGTCTAAGCTCGGAAGTGGCATAACTGTGCAGCTCGCCCACAGCCTCGGCATAGATCCGGTTCTGCTGATTATTGATGATGAAGGACGACAGAATATGCTCGAGGACATTAAACGCAAAACCGGTATCTTTCTGCAATGCTCTGTTCGAGATTTCCACCGCGGTTTTGATCTGACGTTGCCTGATCTGAGGATCTTTAAAGTCTCTTTGATTCATCATGTTCAGTGTCCATGCTTTGGCCGCCTCTCTCACTTTCTGACTCATTTGCTCCTGCTCTGTGGTCAAATTCTCTCGATGCGTGTTTTGCCATCGATCGAGACCCTTGAAAGCCGCGTCAATCATGGCGAAATGTGCGTCTGCCTTGAGCACGTTCATGGAGACTCTCTCGTATCTGTCAAGGTCAAGCCGCTGCTCCACGGTCTGGATCTCGTCCAGGAGCTCATCAGCTCTTTTCAAGACTGCTTGCATAGCCTCTTCCAACTGAGCGTAGCATATCCATTCGACAACCGCTGAGCAGAGTTTGCGGTAGTTAAGGTAGAACCCTTGGCGCTCAGGAAACAATTCGATCTCTTCGTTGACGAAAATCACAACTGGATTCTGCGTATCTTCAGGGAGTTGGTCGTATTGAATGAGTCGTTGTGATGACACCTGTAGAAGAGGACCAATGCATTGAAGAACGACAGGTGCTTTCCTCCAAGATGGTACCTCCAGCAATTTCACCCAAGAATGGACGACCGGGATCGACACAATCAGACTGTCGTGCTCAGCCATAGCAATAAGGAGGTGCAGGAACGGGCCGAGATCGAGACTACCGACATCTGGAGGTGCGAACTGACACATATGATCGGATAAGAGAGACATCAGTTCTGACAATTTCTTGGAAATGGTGTAAGTGCTGCTTTCGATGTCTTCAACCGAGACTGTAGACCACGAGTAAAGTTGCCGGAACGTGGAAATGCTCTCAGGTTGGAGGAGAGGGTGAACAAGCGCTTGTACTTCTGTTTCCTCCATCCGAGGTCTGCCGTAGAGAGACAAGAGGACGTCAACAGCCGCCAAGACAAGATCCGGATCCGTCTGTGTCAAAAAATTGCATGTTATTGCCAAACTCATTGAATGTACAATTGCCGGAGTCATCACCCAGAGGAAAGCTGACCGTAGAGTGGCTAGAGCCTTGAGGGCTGTTTCCTTGACGCCGCCTGTGATCTGGGTGCTCACGCACTCGTCAAGGCATTGTTTGATCCTGACAAGCCAGCCTTCCTCTCCGAATCGTACATGGTGTAAGGTGTCACCAAGCTTGATCCCGCCCGAGAAATTGGCGCTTGAGGTGAAAATCTCCACGAGAGCAGAGTTGAAATCCCGTCCACGGAGCACCGCAATACTGTCATCGCGAACAAAGGCATCCTCTGAAAGATTCTCCAGCACGGTAAGCACGAAATCTTTATGTACGAGATCTTGAAACCACAGCTTGACAAGCTGCTCATCTAAATCGAACCAATCCAGGGCCCAGCTTCGTTTGGCAAGCTCGATCCAGAGTTCGGCAATTTTGTTACGGATGAAAGCCAAATCCGAAGCCAGGATTGACCGGCCAAGATCAAGCACACAATTGCGGAGCTGGCCATTCTGCTCTTCTGATAAATTGTAACCCTCGTGTCGGATGACGTGGCTCAGCAGCGAGAGACCGAAGTGCCGTACAAGAGGTGGCTGCGACCGGTCTGTGGAAAGGGCGTATCCATACTGAGGCGCGTCATTGCTGTTTTTCAGATTCTCCAGGTAATCCGAGGCATGTCTCCGGACTTCGTTCTTGGTCGTGGGACGGTGGATGAGTTCCAACGCCTGGAGGATGTTGGAAGTGTCGAGATTCGGCTGGTTAGCTCCGTTCGTGGTGCCATTGACTGTATGCACGTCTGTCATTTCCAGCCGTTTTCACTCAGAATGACCCTCCTCAGCTCAAGAATGGCATGTCGCTTGATGATCAAGCAATCGCAACGTCGACCAAAGTCCTTAAAGACAGGTAGAAGCCCCTAAGCTCGCCAGATAGAAATCGTAAGAGCCTTGAGTTAGAGGCTGTATGGTATTGATCGATCGAATTGGGCGTGGAGGTTCAAGACTGATCTGCCTGTTGATACGCGAAGATCTCGTGGAAACCGGCACCTTTCAGCGGCTTCAAGATGGTTTCTCACCGAGTTACGAGCAGGCTGCAATGCAAAGTTGAAGGATTGACAGTAATTGTTATCGTTACCTCGCGACTGAAGATCGATTGCTTCAGATACAAAGGCATGCGACACTGATCAATCATGCGGAGTTAAATTGTCCCTTGTCAAACACTGCAAACAGAGTGTGCAGCAAATGACGCACTTGGACAGAATAGGAAGCTTAAGCGATTGTTTCATCCCTTTCTTCCTTGTACGTAGTACACAGTGACAGTGTCTGGCGAGCTGGATGCGGGAGAAAGGCTGCTATCTTATTCAGACCTTGATGCTGAGTGCACTACCTCTACAATCAGCTTGACGGCCCTGCCATCCCTCTGCCCATCTTCCGCGCTCGGCCTTCGCGTCGACTATGGTTCGCTCCGCCCCGACCTCTACCCTGTTCCTTTCGCTTTCGTGCCGCTTGAGTGGAAGCCTCGCCACTTGGACCCCCTGTGCTCCCGCCTCGACCACGGCCCCATGTGCGGCTCCCGCGAATTTGCGCTTGACCCATGCGACGTCCGCCACTGCTGTTATCAGCTTCTTCACTGTCATCAGGAGTGTCCCCTTGCCATCTCGTCGACCCGAGCGCAGTCTGGTTTCCTCGGAAAGTGCCTGAGACTGCGTATTTCTTCTCCAAGCGATCTTGCAATTTTGGATCCTTCTTCAACATGATTGCCCATCCTTCGAGCTGCTCATCGCTCATGCCGGTCGCCCGCTTCAGGTCTTGCCGCACTGGAGAGGCTCGGATCTTGCTCTCTCGTGCAAAAAGCCCTTCATTGTCTTTCCAAGCGCGGAACAATGACTCTTCATGCGGGTTCTGCTCAAGATTTCTTTCCGATTTGGGTCGACTGTCAGTGTCCAATGTGGAATCGACTGTCCCACCAACATCGGCAACGTCATAAGTGTCATCTCGTTCGTCGTCATCAGAATCAAAGGCTGCCAAGGCTGCCATAATGGCCGCTTTTCTTCGAGTATGTTCGTCCTCAGTACCCTTTCCGACTGTGACCTCTTTCCGGCCTTTGTGTAAACGACTTGCCGATATACGCAAGGTATCAAAGTCATCTCCATCAAAAACATTCTTCCTTTGGGGAGGCAGCGGCGGCGTCGAATGTGGTGCCAGTTCAGGTGGTGGCCCGTCAACGTCCACTGAAATGCCTTCCAACGAACCTGGTTCGCGCAGGTTTGCAGGAAGGGACTCTGGTTCCAGCAAGGCAGCGATCACCGCTTCAGTGTCATCATTGAAATTGTCAAGAAGCTTAAGGACATAATGATTGGGTAAATCGGGGAACAAATCGTGGACTTGGGAGATCTGGGATGCTTTATGGATATGCATTTCTTCATGCACATCGGCCTTGCCCTTGCCCTTTGGAATTTTCCGTCGTCGAGGTGCCATTGGTGGATGCAGGTGTGCAGTATTCTGGCGATAGGTGGTGAGGGCATCAACCAATCCCTGACCTCTTTTCCCAGAGTTGACAAAGTCATCAGCAGCTAGGTGTCTGAGGAACGATGTATGGCATACCAGGCTCGAGCATAGTGTCGGCTGAGAATGGTTGGACTTTGCCACTCGGTCAGCCTCTGATTTCATATGGTATAGGTGGTCCAGCAGCAGGGAACCATGCTTCAGACCGTCCGACATGAGGCTCCGCAAGCAGTAAAAAATATGCTCCGTCGAGAGCTTTTGCGCTGTCGCCAAGTCAGATGTCGTCTGCAGGGCACCGTACGCCTCCATCAAAATTTCGAGGTAATCAGAACCGGTCATCAACACCAGACCTGTTTCGGGTGATATCTTGAGCCAAGAGTTGAAGAGACGATAATGGTCGGAGAGCAACACTGAATCTGGCTGAGTCGAAAGTAGCTGGGACGTGACCTTCTTCCAGCCTTCGACCGCACTGGTCATTTGCGCTTTGTTCCTCTTCCATAGCGACATGACAGTGGTCTTCCAATCCGTAACTGAGGCATAAATAGAGCTAGCCAAGCACAGCAGGTCGATCAATTTCGAAAGCTCGCAATCGAAGGGCACATTTATCTCTAGGAGAAGTCGTCTTAGAAGCATGTAAGCTCGTTTCATCAAGAGTCGTTCTTTCTGTGACTTCGACGATGCCAAATTTTCATGTCGTGACGCCTTGAACAGCGAAAGCAGGAACTCCGCACCACTGGTGGTTTGCGAGATTCGAAGTTTTGAGAAATCGTTGTCCCGTAGCCTTAATCTGAACTCGATACTGAACAGCCAGGAATTCAGATAGTCCTCCCACTCGGCCCCGGGCAGGCTGCTTCTGACGCTAGACCCCGGAAATGTAGCCAGCGGGGGGATCTGACCTTCGACACCAGGGATGACATCCATGCCAGCGGTCCAGCTTCTCGGCTCTTTGAAGACAATGTCATACAGATCGTGTTCCTCGATGTGAAGTCCGCCAGTCATTATGCCGGACCATCTGAGTTCCACTAGAAGTGGTTAGCGTAATTATTACATAAGCTGCAAGTCTTGGCCAGGCACAACGAATTTTCAATATGGCTTGTGTTACGGCTACAGCACCGACTTGTGACTCTAATCTTTTCTTTAGCCTTTCATCACTTTACCGAACCGCAGTTGTTCAGGTCTTGACTGGCGACGACGCTCTCTCAAGCCTTCCGAGTCCACACTACAAGTTTCGCAAAATCAATCCGACAATAGCTCACGCGCAAAGATGTCTTTCCAGAAGCCCGAGAAGGATTTCGGCGAGGGCCCGGTATGTCTTGACAATGCGGTCTGGGTGCGCGATCGGTTACTGACTTCATGAACAGAAAATCCACAAGATCCGCATCACCCTGACTTCTCGCAAAGTCCAATCCCTTGAGAAGGTCTGCTCCGAACTGCTCGAGCGCGCAAAGTCCAAGCACCTCCGCGTCAAGGGTCCCGTCCGTCTGCCTACCAAGACTCTCAAGGTCACCACCCGAAAGACACCCTGTGGTGAGGGTAGCAAGACGTGGGACATGTACGAGATGAGAATACACAAGCGTCTGATCGATCTCAATGCCCCGACTGAGGTTGTCAAGCAAATCATCATCAACATCGAGGCCGGTGTCGAGGTCGAGGTTACCATTGCTGCCTAAGCGAAAGAGACTGCGCAAGGCTACGGAACGGTCCAAGGGTCATGTCCTCGTCACTGTCGCGGTGCTGGAGGAAATCCAAGGCTGCTTGCTAATTCGACTGTACAAGACGAGATGAAGAGCGGAACAAATCTGAAGCGTCCAATGAAACTTCCACCTGTTCGACTTGAGCCGTTGTTGCGTGCGCCGTGCTCCATGCTTCTCATGTAAAATTTCTTGTTAATTGCTTGTTAATTGAGGCATTGCATCACCCTCGTGGCATCGAGTTGCCGTTGACCCTGATTATCGCCCGCGCTCAAAAATCGTACACATTCCATTCTCGCATTGGCGGCACCAACGGGATCTTTCCGTCCTTGAACTGTCCTTCTTCGAACAGATATCTATACTGCTCCTTAATTTCATCCGTATACTCGTCTGCCTTACCCTGAGTATCATCCATTTTATCTTCTCTGTTCAGTGCCACAACCTCTGGCGTCGCACCAGCATCAGGGAACCAAATCTTCTCCCAGCCTTTGCCATCTGGTCGGCTGTAGCATGGAGTACCCTCCAAATATTGCACACCTTGTCCGCGGTACGAACTCACCTGGCCAGAAGCATTCTTCTGGGTCGGTTGGAGTGGGAGACTTTGAGTATAATGAGTAGCGTGGGGAGGCCGTCCGATGAGAGGATGGGAAGTGGAGGAGGTATTGACAATCGGCCTAGCCACTGGAATAGGCTGGGCTGCAGCAGGTGCAAGTTGAGCAGGGGAATGAGCAGATTGTTGAGCAAAGCCTTGAGCAGATGTTGTTTCGAATGGATTTGCTCGAGACGCTGGACGTGACGTAGCCGGAGACGTCGTCTCCATGTTCTCATCTTTAAGTTGCTCCTCTGCAGATCTGATCCCGAACGGGTTTACTGGAGCACTTGGCTGTCCAAAAGCTGGGGTCGAACTGGTTCCGAATGAAGGCTGCCCAAACCCAGAAGCTTTTGGCTGGGAGGCTTGACCGAAACCGGGGGGTGTACTCGCAGCTTGGCCGAACGGTGAGGCACTGGGTTGCACAGCCTGGCCAAAGCCTGACTGAGGCTGTGAGGGTTGACCAAAAGTGCCGTTAGACTGCCCAAAGCCCGCGTTTCCAAAGCCAGGGGACTGCCCAAAGGTAGAGGTTGGTTGAGAGGGCTGGCCAAAGGTCGTAGAAGACTGAATCGGCTGACCAAACGTAGCTGGGGTTTGACCGGCTTGTCCAAAGGGCGCCGTCGGCTGTGATGATTGCCCAAACCCTGAGGACGCCTGCCCAAACCCACTTGATGCAGAAGCTGGCGCAAAAGGATTCTTAGATGCATTTGCACCGAAGCCAGACGCACCGAAAGCTGGCTGTCCAAAGCCTGACGACGGTTGGGATTGCTGCCCGAATGTTGTCGTAGGTTGGGATGGCTGGCCAAACGTACCTGTGGGTTGCGAAGGTTGTCCGAACGAAGCAGTAGATTGCGAGCCTTGACCGTGTCCTGGCTGCCCGAAGCCCGGGCTACCAAAAGCCGGTGTCCCAAATGTGCCAGCCGAGGCCGTTTGGCCAAAGCCTCCGCTGGCGGACTGACCGAATCCCCCTCCGCCTTCGAGCCCACCCTGGCTGAATGCTGGTTTTCCGAGGGGAGAAGACGATCCAAATCCTCCGGGTTGGCCCGGCTGGCCGAATGAAGTAGCACTGGTCTTCGCAAATGGGTTCGGGGTAGAACTTTGACCAAATCCGCCGCTTGATGTGGTATTAGAGAGGCCCTTGACGAAGTCGTCTCGAGATTTTGAGCCGTCCATTGACAGCATGTCGTATCTGTTTGGATGTTTTTTGTCTGCATCTTCCATGAATCTGCTGACATCTTCGACTTTATTGACAATATGCTTCATGTCCTGGTCCGCCTTGTTCCAGAGGGCAATGGCTTCCTGGTCGGCTTCGGCTTCCTTGCCTTGACTTGCAAATTCGTAGAATCTTACCCGCAACTCCTCCGGACTGTACTCATTGCCCTCGAGTATAGAAGCTGGAGGATCTCTGCCTGGACCATACGATGACAAGATCCATTTCGGCCGACCTTTATCAGAGGACAAATCGGTTCTCACATCAACGCTGTTAATACGCCAGGAGTCTTGTCGGCCTGTAGCGAAGAATTTCAGTTCCGATGGATTGATCAATATTTCGCCTTGAGACTTACCACTGCTTCCAACGCCTCCAAGGCGATTGCCACCTCCGCTACTTAAGGCCCCGAATCTGTTTGGGCTACTAAAGCCACCTCCTGGATGCTCATTTCTGCAGTTGTCTGGGAAAGGCAAAGTCAGTAAATCATATCAAACACGTCCGGAGAGCCGGCAATCGAGTTCATCAAACATACTGCCAAACTTGCAGTTCCCCTGCAGGAAATATTTGCAGACAACCATTGCAATTTAGAGCAAGCCCGCCAGAGTTGGAATTTGGCCGACCAGTACGACGCGAAGTAAGAGATCGTTGATTGCAGTATGCTTTCTGTGTAATCTCATGTTCGAAAGCAGCCTGCCAATGGCGGCCAGTCTAAAGTGAAGCTGCCTTCACTGCGAGAGAATGTTTCCGAAGGACGGCTTCGTCTGTGATATTCCGAAATCGTTTCCTGTTTGCAATCACACGCTGTGATGAATGTATGTGCTTCCACGCCGATGGCTGATCATAATCAGTGTTAAGACATGTCTGAGCACGAGCACTGCAAAACGTAGAGAGGATCGTAGAGACGATGGCGGATCGTCGCGCAGTATGCTATTGTTGATGGTGAGTGAAGGGAAACAATTTTGGCAACGAAAGTCAAGCTATTGACTTTGGATTGATCCTGCGAATCAGGACGCGAGATAGGAATAGCGTTGTTGCAAAATAGAGAATCTTCGTCCCATTTTCACTATCACCGATCGACTTCACCGTCCCACGGTTTTGATAATACTGATTGCATCTTGTCAAGCTTCTACCCATTTGAAAATGCTAGTGGACTTTCGACCGTGTTGCCTCTCCTATTATTGCGACATGCTACTTGGATTATGCACTTTTGAGTTGACTTGACTTGACAGGTTCGCAATTCAGATTGCGAGGTACAGGCTCAGAATATCCCAGAACCGTCGTTGGCCTTTCTCACATCATACGCTCTGATTGTCGCATTGGAAAGCTACGTTTTGACTAACTTCGTGTCATCTCCCCAACACTTCCTCCTGCTCCTACGTCGAAAGTCTATGGCTGATCTCGGCACCGCAGGAAATTCCTGATGCCGATGAAGACAAGATATTCGCACACTCATCTCTGAGCGGAAAAGCACTATGTCTTCGAAAGAGTCCTCCCAATCGGCAAATTACTATTCAGGAAAGAGCATCCAGAGAACATAATCTGTATATACTCTTCCTTCGGTGCGCCTGGTGCAGCTCGTAGGTCTCGAAATCCAGAAAGCGACCAGGGACGAGGAAATCTGCTCCCCAATATAGTCTGCAACTTCATAATTTTGTACTCGAATGCCTGGTTTGCCACAAGACAATTGCGTATATGGTGCTGAAACAGGCTCAGTAGGACTTCTCAAGCGCACAAAGTTGAGCCGTCGCGAATCGAGTGAAGTCGTGAGTTATCCAAGCACAGTAATGCTCCATCCACATTTTGCGTGAGCCTGCAATGGCTTGTGCCTACACGCGCAATGTGCTCGTCTCAATGGGTAAAGAAGCAGTGAGTTGTGCAGATGGGCAAACGCAGCTCCAGATAACACTCGGTCGCTTCAAAAGTGTCTTGATGGATCGCCAAGCGACAAGTTGTTAACAACTGATAATGGCAAAGGATGGTGTCTTATCAGGCGTAGACAATTCTCTGGCTTTACCTCGCAGCTAGAATAATGAGAGCAGATCCTCATTCGTCTTCTTTCCGCTTGCGTTATCAAGTTGTTGTTTCGGTGGTGGCGGTTGGGAACCCGATAAATCCATCGATGCAAAGCCATTCATGATATCACTATCAGACATCGCAGCAAAGCCTGAAGTGTTAGGCATCGTGGAGGATTCGCCATTACCAAAAACGCCAAGGAGATCGTCCATATTGTTGGCAGCAGGCGGCTGACCAACTGCTGGCGAGTCAACTCGTTGCGGTGTCCCGGCCAAGCCTTCGAGACCGGATAGACCGTTTGCCGGTTTTTCCGACACCGAGGCTGGAGCAGCACCATCGAAGTCAATATCAAGTAGATTCTCCATGTTGTTCTGTGCTTCAGGGACTTTGCCTTGCACTGCTGCAGCTGCAGCCGCCGCCGCCAAAGGATTTTCTCTTGCGTTCTGCATTTGCTCCTCGATGGCAGCTCTTTGCACAGCATCAGCACCGAAGCGGCCTTGACCAACGAATTGCTCGGGTGGTTTGTGGTATACCGAAGCAAGCGTCGAGAGTTCTGTGAGTAGTCTTTCAAGGAGCGTCGGAGGTAATGATTCGATAGTGGTTGTAATGGGTGGCTTTTCGGAGAGGATGATATTCTTGGGTGCATTTTGATCGATTGTGTTGGAAAGTAGTCGCCAGTAGACATAAGCTCGATCCCGAATATCTGGGTTGTCAGATTCGGCTGTTGCTGCGTGGAGGACCTTCTGAACAAGCCCCTGCGCGGCCTGTGGCCGTTTTAAGAACAATTTGACCACTGCAGTCAGAATTTGCAGCTGCGTCTGCGTGAACTCTTCCGAAAAGCCGTCGACAAATCCACCGAGGATGTCACCGGCGTTGCTTATTTTCTCAGCATACTCGCCCACAATCCATATTAGCGAGCCCCTGGCATTTGGCTCATCCAGTTCATCTATGCATTTGCACAAGGTTGGTATGATCCCTTCGTAGCCGGGATATTTCCGAAAAATGTCTTTGATGACAACGATGACCTCCTGAACCACATAATTGACTTTGGTGTTGATCAAGTCCAGAAGGGCATTCACGCATCTTTCACTTGCACTCTCGATCTTAATGGCGACTTGTCCGATAGCTTTAACAGCCCGCCGCACGAGATCCATATCCACCTCCAGGGCATATTCTTTCAGTTCGGCGAGCAGCTGGTCCACGTTGGACTCATTCGCAAGTCGTACCATGATCTCGAGTTTCTGGAATTTGACGTAGGGAGGGTCGTTGTATTTACAAAAGAAGACTCGTATCTCTTTGCTGAGGATGTCGGGCTGTTTTTGAAGTAAAAGGTCGATGTTTCGCAGCGCCACATACTGGACTTCAGGTGCTGAGGAGACAAGTGTGACAAGAGGCGGGGCCATTTTCTTGAGGTATGACTTTTGCGTGTCGAGAGGTAGATGTCTCATATGCAGAAAGACGGCCTTGACTGCAGATACGACAACACTGGAGTTGACGTGCTGAAATTGGGGAGCCACTCTTTCACAGATATGCTCTGCTTCTTTGACATCTTGAGGTTTGTAATCAGCCAGCGTGCTGAGAAGGGTCACTCGGCCCCATTCCGTGCATTCGTTGAGTGCCATAAGCAGCTTCTTCAACGTGTTTGGGGTGATTTGCAGAGCGTTCGTCTCGGGCGCTGATTCACCTATTTCTGCCAGCGCCTGAACGGAGTTGGCGACCACCATTGGGTTAGGATCACCAATCAGTTCCTGTAATCTTTCAAGAAATCCGTTTTCTAAACACATGGCCGGGTTCAGGTCGAAGAGTTTCGCAACACAGATCGCAGCAGTTTTGCGGACATATGGTGATTCGTCGCTCAGAGTCTTCCGCAGTGGTTCCTCCATATAGTCAATCATCTTGTCAACTCTTATGCAGCCCATTGTGCGAATTGCTAAGGCACGGATCAGAGGGTTGGGGTCTTCGGAGTCTTGTACGAATGTGTTGACGGCGAGGATGCAGAGGTCGGGATGCGATTTTGCGTAATTCCTGACAGCAATTAGCGTCCTTACTTCCTCGACGGAACCAGAGACACGAACATGAGATATAAGTAGACCAGCTTCTTCTGATCGAGGTCCGCCGTTGCGATGTTCTTGAGAACATCTGGAAACAATGCCGACACGTCCTTGCCCAGGGTCATCGCCATGATCGTCTTTTGAATGGCTTCCTTGCTGGCGGCGGTGCGTTAGATTGTGGTTAGGGAATCGATACTGCAGTCCTTACCGCTCGTAGGCATATTGTGATCTGGTCAGTCTTGTCAGCACTTTCATCTCGCAGGGGCCGTACGAGAACGTACACAAGTCCAGCCCGGAGTTCGAAGGTCTCTCCCTTTCGCGGAGGCGCGAACGCATTCCTCATCCTATTCATAGCCATCCTGCCGGTACGGAAGTAATACTCGTGGCGCTCGTGGGGATCTCGTGGCGGACTTGGTACTCCGGTAGAATTCGAGGGGCTATCGTTCCATGTCCAGAGCCGCCTTGGGTTTTCGTCAACAGAGAGGAGTTATCGCATAAGGTGATGGCAAGAAAGATGCTGTCAGATCAACCAAGAGAGCCAGATGAGCTCCGCGTCACTTTCCGAGAATGTTCAGACCAACTATCGTCAACGGAGAGTAGAGAGTTGTCATGCTGGTTTAGGACTGATCTAGCGCCGCTCTAATTTAGGCTTCTTCAAGCAATTAAATTCCAAAACTTGTGGATGGAAAAAGTGGTACGGCGAGCGACGGTCACCCTGGTTTAATGAGCTGGACACCTCTTTCAACGCACTTGGTGCCTAAGGTGAACTACAGAAATATGGCCTCGAACAACAAGAAGACTGCTTGCTGGGACGAGAGCGCTTTTGTTAGACAAAGCCACATGATGCTCCCTTTTTTGTCAAGAGGCTTGTTCTTTTTGAGGAGCGGTAAGGCTGTAAAGCCACTCTTCAAGAAGCGTTCCTGTTGACTTTCTGCTTGTTCAAATCTAGCATCCGCTACCAGCACCTCTTGCCAACAGCAGCATTGCCACAATCATGCCATACAGGCCAAGGACTTCCGCAAATATAAGAATTAGCATCATTGCGACAAATAGACGTGGCTGCTGAGCAGTAGCTCGCACACCGGCGTCCCCACATATGCCGATGCTGAAGCCAGACGCAAGTCCAGACAACCCAACAGCGAGACCGGCTCCAAGCTGCGTGAAGCTAGTTGCAAGATGTGTTGGACGGGTTGAAATACCATATGAGATGAGGATCGATATGACAAGACCATAAATGGCGACAATTCCGGCCATTAGGATGGGCATCAAGCCTACTCGCACGGTGAGAACAGCAACGACCTTGTCTTGCACATGCGCATACTTCTCACGATTGTATCAGGTCGAAGTATCCCTGCCGACATCACTCCGACACCAGCTTTCGCAGTCCCGTACGAAGCACCGAAAGTCGTCAATGCAATCGCCGTTGCACAACCCATGGCTCCGAAGAACGGCTAGGGACATTATTTGAAGCCATCGGAGGGGACAGAAAGCGCCAGCTCACCGAGTAAACAGGGCTTGGAAGCGTTAGTATTGTTGCTGGCGAGGCATGACAGTGGACTTACCACAGATCTGAAGCCATGATTGAAGACCAGACGGAGGATAGCTGGACCTTCCAATATTCACGAAGGGAGGTTCTCAGCACATGGGATGGCGCTGCCCTGGAAGGTTATATTGGCGCAGAATAGCTGGTGCCTGAATACGAATGCGAGCGCCAAGCTGCAACATTCTCGTGAAAGCGTGCTTGCTACTGAGCTGGCTGTTTCATTTCGTTGGCAGAATGGTTTAGCGAGGAGCAGTCTGCCACGACCAGTGAGTGTTTTTCTTCGCAGCCTACGGATTGCATTGTCGCCTGAATTTCCTACACTTGGATGCCGGGGCTGATCTCGGTGCTAGCCGTCATCGATGCTAGCGTCCGAATCTCATAGCCTTGGTGACAGTTCGCTGGGAAGTTCTCTTATAACGGTCTCTCTTTATAAATCAGATCAGTCATTTACAAGCTGGTAGTGATGCTCAAAGCAATGCAAACAGCGCTGTGGTGGACCAAAACAAAATTCAAGACGTTAAAGCGGCAGCAAGGCTGGGTAAGCCAAGAAGATCCAGTAGTCAGATTGTCTGGACATCAACCTTCCACGACTTCCTCCCACAGGGATCGATCGTTACTTCAACCCTCTTTGCCTGCTACTGAATAGACGTCGCCTGTCAGTGAGATGGCATTGCCCAATCTACGTCGGCTGTTTGTCGAAGCTCGGACGGAAGCAGAAGAAAACGAGTATTCACGTAACGCTGTATGTTGTGTCTTGATGAGACAAAGTGCTTCTAGGGAATCGCTGACTGTTAAGTTCTACAATCTCGTATTGTTCATCTCATCAGTGGCCGTCTTTAGCCTGGTGGCGCAACGCATGAGCGGCAACAAAACCATTCGATGAACGGCTACAACAAGGTCCCATAATAGTACACTCGAAGAACGATCGCTGAAAGACACTTTCTCTGACCCAACAACGGGAGTCCACTGCATCAGTCGGTCTCTTCGCCATCGCTACTCAGGAAATCATAATTCTTCGCACCTCTCACTAGCCGCTTTGCAGGACGTCCATCCTGTTTCTGGTCTCCAGCATCGTCGTCGGCACCCCAGCGCTCGGCACCCTCTTGCACTGCCTCGATATCGGCCGCCAACTCTCGAGCCTCCTTGATCTGGTTGGCCTTTTCCAGAGAATATCGACCAGACATGCCGGCCTCTGCCAACATCTCTTTAAGATGCTTGATTTTCGCTCTGGGTGTCTCATATGGTTTGAGCTCTTTGCCCCAGAGCTTCCGGATGCCACACTTTACTAGCCAGCCTTGAAGTCGCTTAATCTCGGCCTGATCACCATCGAGCTCTGTATCGGGTTTGCCTTTGGTGGTCTTGGATTTTTTGGCCTTCTGACCTGAGGGTTCTCTCTGCTTCCTCTTGTTCTTCGGCTGAGGTCCTTCGTCCAGTAGGACCGACATCTCACTTTCCGAGTCGTCATTGGCGTCCTTGGTATCATTCTTGCTCTCTTCCTCTGATGAAGGACCTACACCACCTGCTCCAGGTGTGCTCTCCTGTTCATCGCTATCAGACTTTGCGGGCTTGGCCTTCTTCGGCGTTGACGGCTTCGGCTTCGGCTTAGTCGTTCGCCTTCTCTCTGGAGCCTTTTTCTGTTTCTTCTGAGGCTTCTCTTCGACCTCTTCGGATTCGAGGTCGCTCAGGGGCGAAGATGACTCCTCCGTTTCAACCTCCTCTTTGGCGATCTTCTGCTTTTTTCTGGGTACATCTTCTCTCTCGACCGAGGGGCGTTTTTTCGTTCGTTCATTAGGCTTTCCAGGCTTTGCTTTGGCTGGCTTTACCGGAGAACTCTCGGTGTCCGACATGATAGCCTAAAGACATAAGTCTTGCGCATGGCGCGTGTTTGGGGTAGCCAATGTACAATTTGATCCTTGATGACATCCTTGCTCCGCTTCGCCCACTCTCCATGATTCTTGTAAAACCCTTGCTGAAGGCCTAACTTCTCTTCGGAGGCTGCACGTATATCGTTGACGGAATAATCCAACTCGGCTTTGTGAGCTTTCGCCACTTCGCGTCGCAGACTCTTTTCAAGCTCGTGATCAGGCGGTGCTGGAGTGGTGGAGGGTTGCGACAACTCGGAGTCAGACATTCCGACTTATGGGTAATCGCAACAGTGGCAGGAACCACGGATTCGAGTGGACAAAACACGGCTTCCGCATGTGATGATTTCCACCGGTAACAGACGCGTTGGACTTATTATTACAGTGACGATCTTCGAGGCAAGCGGCTCCCCGCAAGTATTCGCCAAAAAGAGTCGTTTAGCCGACTATGCATCGGATTTATCGGCCTTTGACAAATTGTTGCGTTGCGGCCTGGCTGCTTCCTATGCACCGTCACCTCGTATTGTATCATTCCTACCACACGCTGGCGGCACTGTAGGACCAAGGCGAGAAGGAGGAGGCTATCAGGAACCTCGGTGCAGATGTCTTTTCCCCCCTCTGGTCAAGCATCCAGCTCGAGAGACAGTTCGACTACAGAAGATGCGCCACACCAACATGCTCCTCCGGGTGTGGTCCTGGACAAGGATGGGAAACCGTACGTCTACTCGGAGTAGACTACCACGTATATCAGACTGACAATAGCAGATGCCGAACTTGTACATCATCCGCCGCATGGATGGCCATGATGAAATCCTCGACCGGCAAAAAGTCGAAGCCTATTGTGCCCGTCACTGCTCCCGCATCAGATTGTCCACCAGACGTCGAAGAACTGGGTCGGTCGACATGGACACTCCTCCACAGCATGGCAGCTACCTACCCTACCAATGCGCCCCGCGAGACACAATCGATAATGCAGCAATTTATATCCACATTCTCCACACTCTACCCTTGCTGGGTCTGCGCAGAGGACTTCAGGGCCTGGATGGCAACCCCGGGGAATGAACCGAAAGTTCAAGGACAAGATGACTTAGGCATGTGGATGTGCCAGGCTCATAACGCCGTCAATGTTAAGCTGGGCAAGCCCGAATTTAATTGCAGCCTGTGGAAGCAGAGGTGGAAGGATGGCTGGAAAGATGGAAGATGCGACTGATTGATGATTCCCCGGGGCAAGATTTGATGAACATGTAGGACTATATGGCATTATACCCGGCGATCAGAAGATAAACAGTGTTTGGCATAGATCATTGGCGGCTAAGCATCTCTCCTCGCATCAAATGTGTATATTGAGGAGATTTTTTGGAACCAGGTTAAACGGCACCGGACGTACACAAACAAGTCAATCTATACGCGTACTTCATATCTTCTGTCGCCGCGCGGTGTTACAGGCGTGTCTCTAGAGCAATCGTCGTTTCTGAATTTTTGAGTGAGTCTCTAGGATCTCTACCTACCTTAGGTACACAGGGTGCAATGCAACGACATCCTTGTCGGCATAGTTTGGACCGAACGCCTCAGCACATGCAGTAAACCCTGTCCTTTGAACCCCCTGCCTCGTCATCTCCCACAACTCTTTTATCTTTTCAGCCTTTCCTCTCCCTTGCTCCTTCATTCAGGTTCAACGTCGATTCGTTAGTGCCCGTTACTGTGTCTGTGTCCAAATATCGTTATACCTCTGTACGAGTACAAACCATTGAGAATGGAGCCCTAAACAAAAGTACTGGTTCCTGTTTAGAGGAGCATGCGCAGCCTTGCGGAACACCAATGATTTATAGACCACATCTACACCTACCATGCTCTTGCGAAAAAGCACGGCTCTGTCATTGGCACTGGGAGCTTTCACTCTGATTTACCTCGTCACCAACTTATCTTCGAAACCCAAATATATTTACGGCCAAAATGATCCTTCGTCCCTCTACAACCCATCCCTTTTCACTCCTGGAATATCCAGACCAGCTGGGCACAACTATACCCGGATCCTGGTCATGGGCCGCCTTCACACTGAAGATGTAAGCTGGGTATCTCGGGATCTTCCCGACCTCCCGACCAAAATCTACACCGTCGACAGCGATATGTCCGGGCTGCCTGCCAATAAGGGCCACGAAGCAATGGTATACCTGACCTACATCATCGACCATTACGACTCTGTGCCCGACGTGGTGCTCTTTTTCCATCCGCACAAAACGGCCTGGCACAACAACATCCTCCTGGACATCGATTCTGCCAAGACGATCAAACTCCTCAGCGACCCTCACGTCATTCGACAGGGATACTTCAATACTCGCTGCCACTTGGATCCAGGGTGTCCAAACTGGTTGCACATCGACCGACCCCGGTGGCGGCATGATCTGAAGCACAAGCCCGAAGAGCCGGCCTTGACGTCTCAGCTGTTTCATGAACTTCATGGCGCCAACGTTCCACTTCCCTCGGCCATATCGCAGCCCTGTTGTGCACAGTTCGCTGTCTCAGGAGATCGTATCCGCCAACGGCCACGCGAGGACTACGTGCGATATCGCACATGGCTATTGTCGACGGAGTTGGACGACAAGACCTCTGGACGGCTGATGGAGTATTCGTGGCAATACATATTCACGGGCAACTTCGAGTTCTGCCCGTCCCAGCACAAATGCTACTGCGATGGGTACGGGCTCTGCTTCCAAGGCGAAGATGGTCTGCGGAACTGGCTGAGTACCCTGAAACAGAAAGAGAGACTCGACGAGAAGCTCGCCGAGATGTGGGACACTGGCGTGAAGGGCGGCGAAAAGTACAAGCGTCTTGCCTGGGAGATTAAGCAGAAGGCAGAGTTGCTCGATCAACTCAGGGAGGAAGCCATAAGAAGAGGGTTCGATCCTAAGATCAGGGCAACGGAATGTGGGCGGGAATGGCACGAGGGTGATGGATTTTGATTTGACACCTTGTTGGCGAGAAGCGACTTTGCTGCTTAGACCGTACCATAGGGCAATGGTTTGCTGGACGAGGAACTGCATTGGGACAGAACCTGCCGTGGCTGGAAAGGTTTGGACTTGTTTGTACATAGAAGCAAAAAGTCTCTTAAGGGAATGTATTCGACGATTATATATGATCGGGAATTTGAAATCAAATAGGTGGAGCGCCACAGAATTGTTTGAGAAATTTATCTGGAAGCAATAAAGCTGTGGAGAGCCTTCCAATTACTATACTTGAAGCCATTTCGAAATTGTTAGGACGCTTGCTGGACATGGCAAATAAGGCAGAACAAGACTACCAGGTATCTAATAATCATACATCATAGCTAATGCAGGACATCCCTTCTTCCGAGGTCGATATTAGCTCAGGTTTTCATCGCCATGCATCAGGCTGTTGTAGCGGTCTCTTACCCTTTCAAACGCTGTCCATCCATGAAACTCCTTCGATAGATCATACATGGTATCGATGCAATCCTTCAACAACAGGTATAATACGCCATAGCAACATAATTGCGGTAGAATCGCATCTTAACCTCGACTCCCATTCTCGAGAGGTCAACGCCATGAAACCTCATAGTTCCACATCATACTCAATAGTTCATAACCATCTCTCCAGAGCCGGCCTTCGTGTCATTTGCACCATCAAAGTTACCTGGGCCATAATCGTCGAGACTCTTGTAGCCTGGAAGACCTCTGTGGCCGCCACTGGCATTCGTACCAGCGGCGTTTCTTCCTCGATTGCCGCCACCTGCACCGGGTCCACCACCACGTTGTCTCGCATTGGTGTTTGCATCTTGCATGCTGTGTCTATTGCCGGGCATGCCGTGGTTGTTACGGTTGTTGAAGTTGGCTTTGCTCATCGCATTGCGTTGGCTGAATCTCCCGCCTCTTGCAGGTCGCTTATCTCCGGCCCAAGTGCCATCGTCTCGGTCCCCAGCAGCGACGCGAGCATAGCTGCCTTGAGGTGCAAGGTCTGAATCGTCATTAACGTGCTTGCGCTTGTGAGTTCCGTCGTAGGCATCTTGCTTGCGTCCTCCTTTCGCGCGCGGGAATTCAGATTCTTCGATTTTCAGCATCACCTTGTCACCTACTGTTGTTTCAAACATGAAAGCTTTCTCTGGAGCGACGGACTCCCAGTGTTGGATTTTCGCTGCATCAATCTGTCTGGAGCCTTTCCGGATAGCAAGAACAACAAGCGGTGTAGGATCCTGCGTGTATATTTGTGTTTCGGACACAGGCGCAACCCTCACTGCCCAAATGCGATCTTCGTATTTGGTGAAGCCAGTCACTTGCCAGGTCACTTTCTTTCCGCGTCCACCAACTTTCTTGATGAGGTCCTTTCTGGGATAGAATGGGGCGATCAAAATGCTCGATGCCAATAAACGCACCTCGCCAGAGTCGATGAGACCATTGGGTAGTCCCGTAATCAGAGTGATCAGGCGGGCTGAGTCAGTCTGGTTGATCAGGTATCCGAAATAGGAAAATTGCTCGACAATTTTTAAGTGCCTCCTGATACTCTTGGTAGGATTGGGGCCTCCATTCGCCACGGCATGGTTGTGACGATTGATGGCTTTCTGAACCACGTTGACTTCTGTCTCCGGGTTCAGAGATGATCTCAACTCACAGACGTGCACGACATCGGCAGTAATGGGTTTTCGAACCGGGGGTGGCTGATCAGCTGGATGTGACAGCAAGGATTTGTTCAACCGTTCGAAATAGTCGCGGAAGCCTTTGACGTGCTTGGGCCGGTCTTCGTAGATCCGGATTTCCTCAGCATTTTTATATGTGAAGACCAACTCTCGAAGAAACTCCTGCTTGAAACTCATGGTAGATTCGAAGCGTTGGCCTGCAGGGCCGACCTCGGGTTTGAGAACGACCAGGTCAAAATCCAGGTTTTTGGCATTGCAAATTCTGTTGACGAGGTCTGTAAAATTCGTCTCTCCTCTTCCTGTGAGCAGGACTGTGACAACATCTCTTGACTGAATGCTCATCTCGACAAGTTGGACAATAGTCTCGTTCCACCAACCTTCCCATGCTCGGGGCTCTTCCTTTTCCAGACCGTCACCTGTTGCAGCCAAAATGCTGGAGTCGTGCCACCATCCTCCATATGCGAGGGTCTCATAGGCCTGAAGCATTCCTATCGCAGGAGAGCCCCATATTTGAGGATTAGGTAGAGGGCTGGAGAAGAGGGTGTTGTCGAAGTCATAGACGTGGACTGCTTTGACTGCAGAAACCACGGGTATATCTTTGCTCTTGCAAGACCAGCGCTTCAGGCTGTTCGCGGAATATGTGGACTTCATTATGCCGAAAGGAGAGGTGAGTATGAGCGGGTTAGAGTGAGTGTATCGGGGCAAAAAGGACGGCACTCGTTGTCAGGCACGTCGAAGAGGGAAGCGGATCGACAAAGAGGATATCGGAATAGTCAGACGCATTTGCTTCTGCGGTCTACCAGCGGCAGGATGAGCGTAGTTGAGACAGCAAAGAAAGAGCAATCACATGTGCTGGAATTGCCGATGGGATGGGCACAGTTGCGACTGCTGTGATTGGAAAGGCTCAATATGAGACGTTGGAATTTGAAAGCGCAGTTTGAAGTTCGAGGTTCTTTTCATCAGTCTGGGGAAGGCGCTGTCGCGGCGGGACTGGCACCAAAAGGGATTTTTGATTGGAGAATTGACTAGGTATGATTCTGCGCTGGGCCTCAGCCCAGCATATCGAATATTTTTTCGCTTTTCACCTTGAGTCTTCGTAAAGTTGCTGCACCTATCTACCTACCGTCCCATTCGTGGTTATAGTATTAGACCGGTGCTGATAATAGTTGGACTCCTGGGTCATCCAGCCTTGCCTGCATACAGTGCTCTAGGGGCATCCTGCACATAACATAAGGCCGTGCAACGTTCTCGTCCTGCAACATCTGCACATGAAACACACTATTCGTCCTCCTCTCAACGAGCCTGCGGGCGTGCACGATCCGCCCAGAATGCCTGATCCGCGCCCCATGAAACTAATGACATGATGTGGACACTGTCGTGACTGTCATGAAAATTGCAGCTTTTGATGCTCTAATTAGACCGCGTCTACGGCTTCCAATATATCCGTGGGTTTGTGGATAATTCCTTACTCAGGGCGTGCATTGCTGAGTTATCCACAGCTACTTCGGCTTTAACTTAGCGAGTCAAATCAATACCTCATCATTCTTTCGCATCCCTCTACATGCGACGCTGCGCTTGTCAGCGGCTGTTTTCCAGATCAGTCTTTCCCTCTCCGACACAAAGAGGGGTGCAGCCAGCCGTCTGTCCCAGCCCCAATCCTCATCAGCTACGACCTGGGCCATCATCATACTCTCCGTCAGACCCTTCAAGTCGGCGCAGAAACTTCCACAGTACTCGGCCGCGTGCGCAACCCCTCCAAGCCTCTTCATCCGCCTACGTTCTTGTCCTGGGCATCGCATGTGGAAGTGCCCTACTCTTTGAGTACATCGTGCGCAACAACTTCCGAGGGGCACGCGACAACGACGGGACCGATACCGAGCATCGCGTCTCACACAAACCAGCACAACACACCTACGACTACTTCTATACAGACATGCCCATCCCACCGGGCCACTTGGGCAATCTGACGCCTGACCAAGAAGCCAAGCTGCAAGACCTCTGGACTGCCACGTTAAGAGTATTCGGAGTTGAAGAACCCCACCACGTCAGCGGCACAGACACACCTTTAGCCGAGGAGGAGTCAACCGTGGCTGAAGTCGATGGTAAAGACAAGAAGAAAAGCAAGAGGCGACTGGGTGTCTTTAAGCGGCACGACAAGAAGGATTCGAGTAATGGCTCAGCAACCCCGACCAAAGACCCCAGCCGTCATGCTGATTCCGACGACAAGTATGGCCAGGTGAAGGACTTCCACGAGATTCTGGCCACACAGGACCCCGAGTTGTTGCGCGCCACTTTTTGGAGTATGGTGAAAGCAGACCATCCTGATGCACTCTTGCTACGGTTCCTCCGAGCACGAAAATGGGATGTCGACAAGGCCTTGGTCATGCTGATCTCCACGATGCGTTGGCGAAGTCAAGAACAGCACGTGGACGATGATGTGGTCTTGAGAGGAGAAGGTGGCGCCCTGGAAGACTCCAAATCCAGCGACCCAGCCGTCAAAAGGGAAGGTGATGATTTTCTTGCTCAACTAAGATTAGGGAAGAGCTTCCTGCACGGCACCGATAAAGAGGGAAGGCCGTTATGTTTTGTTCGGGTCAGGTTGCATAGAGGCGGAGAACAAACCGAAAGAGCTTTAGAACGATATACGGTTTATGTGATTGAAACTGCTAGACTTGCTTTGAGACCACCTGTGGAAACCGCTGTGAGTATTTTGTTCTTTGATGCGATTTTTCGACTTACTGACCCCCGATCAGTGTATAATATTCGACATGAGCCATTTCACCATGGCCAATATGGACTATACCCCTGTCAAGTTCATGATCAAGATTTTCGAGGCCAATTATCCAGAATCGCTTGGTGCGGTCCTTGTACACAAAGCTCCCTGGATCTTCCAAGGCATTTGGAAGATTATTCGAGGATGGCTTGATCCTGTGGTAGCAGGAAAAGTCCATTTCACATCTGACGTTACCGATTTGGAGAAGTTCATCCCGAAATCGCAAATTATAAAAGAGCTGGACGGCGATGAGGACTGGGAGTACAAGTACGTCGAACCAGTTCCCGGCGAAAATGACGCAATGAAAGAGGAAGGGCCACGGAAAGAGTTGGAGGCGGCAAGGGATGTAGAAGTTCGAGAGTATGAGAAGAAAACTTTCGAGTGGCTTGCCACAGGTACGGGTGCGGAGGCAGACAAGATCAAAGAGGACAGGAATTCGCGTGCCAGGCAATTGAACGAAAACTACTGGAAGCTCGACAAGTATGTCCGAGCAAGGACATATTATGATCGTACAGGCATGATTTTACCAGATGGCAAGATCAATTTCTACCCGCCACCGCCTGGCAAAGCAGAGACCCACAATTTGGCGCCAACGTCGAACGCGCCCAATGTCGAAACCAGTGCAGATGATCTAGATTGAAGACCGCTCTCGACGAAGCAGCCGTTGTATTCGGTTAGCGGTCTCCATGCAAACAGTGGACGGGCAGATTCGCATGAAGTAGCACGTCTTTGAATCCAATGCATTACTTCCGCATGCTTGATGCATGTAAGTTTGCAATTTAACCTCAGCCCATCACGGGGGACCGACGTTGTTCGAATGAGTTAATAACAATACAGTAATCCTTTGACTCTACTGAGCGACATTCACCGTACTTTTCCACTCTTCCAGGGCGTCTGCATAGCAACGCAAATGATTTCCAGCTTTCTGCGGGGAAAAAGCCTGGTCCTGCGTCGGTGCCCTCTCCCCTGGGATATCGCGATTCTATCACTGTGTAGCAACACAACAGTCCTTGAGGTCGAATGAGTCGCGGGATCACGCGGTATCATCTGTGTAATGGCCTAAGCGATTTCGGAACACCGACAATGGGCTCGCGCAGCCGAGCCGAACTTGGAAAGTAGGACGCGTGCTCGTGGCCAACGTGCTCCGAACGGAATGAGAAAGAGAGTCGATGGCAGACAGTGCCTGGTCCCGAAGGAAATCTTGAAATTTGAGGGTTTCAGCTCGGTAACATGTATGTTCAGCACCACAACAGGTCACGTCAAGCCCACAGCATCCGCTCCAGGCTGTGGTTGTCTGCTATTCTACCGTCCCTCCTGCTTTTACTGTACCTCCGCTATAGCATTGCCGTGCGAAGAAGAAACCCCTCACATCTTTGCCTTGATATCAGCATGAAGCTTTTTCAGCGCCTCCATATCCGTCGGCGTAGCAGGCCACCCGATTCCAAGTCCCTCGGTCTCATTCGGTTTGGGGATCATATGGAAGTGGACATGGTCGACTTCTTGATGTGCCAGCCGGCCGTTGTTCTGCAACACATTGTAGTTCTCGGCCCCGCTAGCAGCTGCAATCTTCTTGACCACTGGCAGGATCTCGGCCAAGGCATCGTCGGGAATGTCTGTGAGCTTAGAGCCGTGGTGTTTCGGGACGACGAGCTGAACACAACAAGTCAGCGAAACGATTGGATCGACACGAGCAGAGAATCGGAAGACTCATACGGCATGTCCTTTGCTCAAAGGTTGAATGTCAAGAAAAGCAAAGATCCTCTCGGACTCGAAGAGCTTGAAGGAGGGAATGTCACCTGCCCTCGTCAGCTCAACTATAGTCTGCTGGAGTACCCAAGTCTCACCTACCTTTGACAATCTTGCAGAAAATACAGGCAGCCATCTTGCTCATCTAGTCTATTCCTAGCTTTGTGACGCCCAACTGTTACGGCTGGAAGTAATTTCATGGCATGTCGGAATGGTCTGATCTGGCTCGCTGAACAGCAATGACGAGTGCGGGGGGATTAGCTAGTTGCGGGGGCCACCATTATCACGTGTCCGGCTCCAAGAATAAAGGTACATATATTTGTAACTGGTAAAAATTGGTCTGGAGCGGGACGAGCTATTGCAGAATCCATTTCTTGCCTTTTACCAGAGATGGCCGTGGCTACGCCCAAAATGCTCCTTTTATGAATCTTTGGACTGTTCCTGCGATACTCGGCATGAGTAATTGCTTTTTTGCTCGCTCTTCATTTTTTGGTCGGGAGGGCGCATGTTCGAGTCGCAGATACAGCGTTACTGACAAGGAAAACTTTTTGGTTGCCCAGATTTCGACGGATTGGTGCGATACGCAATGGGTCACGTGTAGGTTGATATCGTATGTACGCTTAGTGCTGCCCACCTCAACTTTGCGACCTACCAACATTCCATTCCTGCTATATGACACCGAGATGCTATCCTGTCCGTTGAGGCCAAGCCATGTCTCTCTTTGTCAAAGCTGCTGCAAACTCACAAGGTTGCTGCGGTCAAATGAATGGAGGGCTCACGCGGCGCCAGGGAGTTGACTAAGCCGTAGAGCTGTCGACCTCTTCATAATGAAAACGCCGCCACGCCATCCGTGACTCGTCGTTGTTGTGCTGCAGTTTTGAGGTGGTAAGGGGTCGACAGGATCACTCTCTGCCAAGTTCGAAGATGACTCTGCACATGAGGTTTCTGAGCGACTACAATATTTAGAGTGATCATAGGATCAAGAGCAGAATAGAAAGCACAGAAATTGCTAGGGAGAGGAGGCTAAACTATAACTACCAGGTACGTAGAATAGTAAGAGGTTTCGCGGAGGCTACAAAGACAGTGTTGTGTAAGTCAAAGTCGCAGTCTACAAGTTTGGGGCTTTCGTGCATGATCTGGGGACCTGCCATAAGTGCGAAATCTGTTGTGCATCAAGTTCGGAGGCAGGTATTCACATTGTTCTTACTTCTTCCATGCGTGACGGCAACAATATGTGAGCTACATTGATGGAGCCGCAAGCAAACAGGCTGGTAAGCCTAGGGGGTCGCAAGTGGACAATTGGGTATTTGACAGCCGAGAGAGCGAGACACATGCAAACAAGTAGGCCAAATATCAAAGCGGCGACCAAAGGCCGCGAAAGCCCCCCTCTGCTGTCAGCATAAGTGAAGATCCTGAGACACATACTCTTCGCAAGCTACGCGCTGAGTCGTAAGTGCAGAAGTTTCATCACGGTAACGGTGGACATCATGACAAAATGGTTCCAAACAGAGGGTAGACAACTTCACGCTCCGGGGTTCCAAATGGAGATACACCTCGATTGCTCGAGAGGGTATAACGAGAATTGGATCATAGCCTAGGACCGAAAGGCCAAAAGGTTGTGCACTTGTACATTGTCTTGCACAGTTTGCTGCAAGGCATACGCTTCTCCATTAGAATAGTACCCTCCTTGATAATTTCATGGCTCGTTAATCCTATGAAATCTCTCATCTACCAGATAAGCACAGGTTTAATCACCGTCCCGCTCTCCATCCCGTGAGCTGCCTCGAGCGCATCCTTCGCCGGGTAGAACTTGACAATCTTCTCCACAGGGAGCTTCCCGTCTCGCCACCACGCCAGCATCTTGGGTATCATGGTCTTTGGGGATTCGTCTCCGAGGCAATGGCATTCGATCACCTTGTTCGCGGCAAAGAATTCCAGGAAGTCTATGTTGAGCTCGGCGCCAGGAGGTGGGATGCCGATTTGGATGAGCTTGCTGTGCCAGCCCATGGCTTTTAGGGCCGACAGAACGACCGCCGGGACGCCGGTTGTCTCAATCACAACAGAGATGCGCTGGTCGTCCACGAGCTTCCGCACATCTTCGACTAGGCTTGTGTTTGGGCTGCTGGTGTCGAGCACTTTGGTGGCGCCGAATTCTTTTGCCACATTGAGACGTGCAGCTATGCGGTCGACAGCAATGATTTCTTTACAACCGAGGACTTTTGCGGCTGCAATTGCGCCAAGGCCAACGGCACCAATTCCAGTGACCATGACTATGTCGTAGGGCTGCACCTTTGCTGAATTCAGCACTGCTCCCACACCCGTCATCAGGCCGCATCCCAAGGGTGCCAAGAGCTTGAGCTCTTCCTCACTGTGTACTAGGCCATTGACATTGATCACACTTGTCTCCTGGACAATACTTGTCGAAGCGAAACTCGATTGACCAAAGTATTTGCCACCTGCAGGCCTGCCGTCTTTGGTCTCGAAGATGCCTTTCTCGCCAGCGCGGTTGCGACGACGCCATTCCACACAATATGCAGGTTGGCCGCTCCTGCAGATATCGCAATTCTGACAATAATCATAAGAAAGCAGAACTGGGTCTCCGGGATTTACATGGGTGACTCCGTCCCCAATTGCCTCGACATATCCTGCGCCCTCGTGTCCGAAGACCCATGGGTACGGAATGCCATCAGCCCTATCAGGGATATTTGACTCGTAAATGTCTGAATGGCAGATGCCAGTCGAAACCATGCGAATCTGAATTTCGTGGTCTTTGACCATTCTAAGCTTCACTGGCTCATATCGCCAATTGGGCGCGCCCTGAGGAGGGTAGGCGACAACGGCAGGCACTTCAATAGTCATGCCGTGTACTGTAATGCAGAAAGATCCTTGCAACGGGAGGATATAGCGAATTAGATAATCGACAAGGACTCGGACGTACTGACTCGAAGTGTCGAGTTCTTATAGTTGAATAGCAGATAATCCTTGACAGGAGAGGGTTCCCTTCCGGGCCGTTCTCAGGACATGCCACTCGTTTTATCTTGAGCTGATCCCCTCCAACGTCTTCCGGTCCTTTCTGTATCACGTGCGGAGCATCGTTGCCACTTTGCCATTCTTCCTTCACGGCCGAAGCCTCCATAGACCTTTTAGTACGGAGTCTGCCCATCATTCCAAGCCACCCTCAGTGGATTGTTAGAGGTGCATCTGCTGAATTGTAGATAGCTCGATAACGAAGTAGCCATCTGAGCCGCTGGCTTGGGTAAGCAGGAGTGCTGCTGTTCCAGATATTGTCGTCTGCGGAGCAAGTACTCTGTAGGTGGGAGCGGCTAATTCAGGGGTGTCGAAGATTGTAAGGCTCCGGAGGCCGGGCTCGGCTGGTTCGGAAGGCTATGAGGCTCACCAAACCAATCAAAACGTGTCGGAGCTCGATGGAAGCCAGTGCGGAGGCCCAAAGCCGAAGCCAGCACATTCGGTTCTGCACGGGGCGATCGTTGCAGCATCTCGTGTTCCGGGGATCTGTGGTCAGGATTGCACTACAATTGGAGGAGCCACGACATGGATGGACCCACTAATCCGGGCCCTCACCACCGTTGGCTTTAGCAGCAGAGCATTGCTTCCTGTCCCAATTATCTCCCCTTTGTGAAGCCAGACAGTGTGCAGGACCTATCGCTCGTGAAGGCTGGTTAAGAGAGAATAGAACTCTCAAACCATTGAACAAGGCACCATTAGCTGTCTCGATGTCGTCGGTATGACCCACAGAGATTCAGTCCATCACGACCTGCTAATCAGCTCGGATAACAGGGAGTCGAGCATGAGACTGAGGTGTTGGTTGTTGGTGGCGGCCCTGCTGGCTTGATAACCGCGCTCCAGCTGGCTCGTCATGGCGTCCGATGCATCCTCGCAGAAAGAAGCCTGGAAACCACCAAGTGGCCTAAGATGGATATCACTAACTGCAGAAGCATGGAGCTTTTCAACAGACTAGGGCTATCTCAAGGTCTGAGAGAACAAGGTAGGCCAGATCAAAGTGCCCGGCTCCTCAGTCAATGACATTTCGAGGCTTATATCATGGATTTTCTAGGCGTTGGACAGGACTATTCTTTTGATGTTATCTTCAGCAGTGGGCTATCCGATGGGGGTGAGATAATTGGCAAATGGGTAATCCTGGCACATGTCTGTGACCGTAGCCTTCTCCGACTCACATTTTTCCTAGGCTCTGCCCTCACCCAACCAGTGCAGGGAACACTTCAAGACCCAGAACGATGGATCGATGCCTCGAGAGCCATACCAGCGCTGCTCCCAAGCAGTCTTTGAGGCTTGGCTTAAACCTCGGATCGAAAAGGAACCGTTGATTGACTCGTGCTTTGGACTCAGATTCGAGAAGTTGACCGAATCCGAAGTTGGAGTTGAAAGTCTTTTGGAAGATGCCACTACGGGACAGAAGCACATTGTGCGAAGTCAATATGTTGTTGGCTGCGATGGCGCTGGAAGTCGGGTACGGAAATCCATCGGAGGTGTCCTGACTGGCGGGCCAGTGTAAGCAAGAATATTGGCATATCTCTGGTTAGGCTCACATATTGACGTTTGCAAATAGGCCAATGGCAATGTTCCTGGTACACTTCAAATCCAGAGACTTGTCTGTATTGCAGCGGCAAGGCCAGTATTGGCACATCTTCTTCTCTAATGGTGGAGCCATCATCAGTCAGGACGAAGAGGATACCTGGACGGTGCACATGGCAATTGGCCTCGATGTCGATGCTGAAAAACTGGATCCCGAAAAGGTAGTGGCAGAAGCGCTTGGAGGCTCAGCAGGTCCTTGCCCGTGCAAGATTGACAAAGTCCTGGTGAAGAGTACATGGCGTCCAAATATCTGTATCGTCGACCGCTATACGTCGGCAGGAGGTCGAGTTTTCCTGACAGGAGATGCTGCCCATCAGAACATTCCGACAGGAGGATACGGCATGAATACGGCGGTTGGAGACAGCTTCGACATTGGATGGAAATTGGCTGCGGTCTGCCATGGCTTTGGTGGGAGAACCCTCCTGGAGTCATATGAACATGAGCGACGACCGGTGGCTGTTCGCAATATCGAGCGTTCTGGCGTTCATTTTTCCGTGCACCGGCAGTATATTGACTGGGTCAGTGAGGCTGGACATCATGCCATCCTAGCAGATACCGCACAAGGTCGAGCACTACGACGCAAAATCGATCAATTCCTCAGCGAACACGACGGTGAGAACAAAGAACACGGCATCGAACTCGGTTATCGCAACAATCATTCCCCCGTCGTGGTCCCTGATACTGAAGTAGAAGAGCCAGAGTGGAGTTTCAGAAGCTACATTCCATCAACATGGCCTGGCTCTCGAGCTCCGCACGTCTTCCTCGCGGATGGCCAGACGAGCATCTTTGACCTTTTTGGCCCGGACTTCTCGATTGTCGATTTCTCCGAAAGCGGTAGCATTGCGTCTGCATTCGGTGACGTGGCTGATGCACTGAGCTTGCCCCTGAAAAAGATCCATCTTCCCAACGAGCCTCATGTTCGCAAAGTGTGGGAGCGACGGGCGGTCTTGATTCGGCCCGACGACCATGTCGCATGGCGCGCTCCTCTGGAGGACAACGCCGTGATCAATCCAGAAGAGATCCTGAGAGTCGCAGCCGGACTAGGGACTCCACCAATAAGCAGGAATCCAACGTGGAATGGCAATTCCGATTCGGTGGAAACTGTCCTGAAGAGGGGCTTCTCAGGCACTGTAGGTAATGTCGACCAGAACGATGTACAGGCACTAGCCGCTTTCCAGAAGTGATCTGAAATAGTCGATTGATTTTTCATGCAAAGCACATCAAGTCACGTTCTCGTAGCAATTCCGTTTCAGAAGAAACCTATATAGAGCACTGGTGCTACGGGGGCTTCAAAGCAAGCAGAGAAATTGTACGAGCAAGGTGAAGAGAGCCATATCGACTGATGTAGCTACGTGTTTAGAGAAGGTGATCAGGAATCTCGAAAGTCACGGCATACCGTTCCACTATTCGACTATTGCAAACACGAAGAACGCACAGTCCATATCCTGTATGCATAGGTACGGTGTGAATCAGTTCAAACCCGCTTCTTCAGCGGAATTTTGTGTCTCCCAAAACAAATTCTCCCATTTCGGCATACCACCGAGATCGCAGCCCGCAGCTTTTGAGACAGCGATCCCCAGATCGTAAGCAAATTGCGCCTGGCTTGTTGTGGCCCCGTGACGGATGGCTCCCCTCAGATGCCAAACAAGCTGTTCGGGACAGTTCATTGCAACAAGAGCGGCGATAGCGACAAGCTCCGTTTCCACGTCTTTAAGTATCCGATCTTCAGAACCCCAGTATTCGTAAATGAGCCTCTGATTCAAGAGATCTATCGTTGCGTCAGCACGGCGTTTGCAGTCTTCAAGGCCTTTGTGCGTACAGAAGTCGGGTTGGTACTTCTTCAGAGTTGCTCGAACACCTTCAGCTTCCGTTGGAGTCCAAAGAATATCGAAAAACTTCTTCCCGCGGGCCACCCTTTTTTGCTGTTCCTCAGGGTCATCGTATGACTCGAGCCTGAAAGTTGGGACGATGTCAATAACCCACCGCCAAAGGGTCTCATCTCGATCGGTTGTCACAGCTTACCGGGGTCCAAAATGATCGATTTCCTCGTCACTTAAATCTCGGAACAGTGCAAACGCTGCTCCTGCCGAGCGTGGCACTCCCACAAAGATTGTCGATTTGAGGATTGCCTCTTTCAATCTCCGCTGGACCAACTTGGCGAGTTCAAGAGGCAGGCCGGTCGTAGCGGCACGGTATAGTGAGGGAATGTTCGGTCCAGCCCCAGCTCCAGTAAGAGCAGCAGTCTGAAGAGCAATTAGTCAAATTCAGATCGAGAACCCTCTCAATCCGTACGGCCACTAGATACCAAATCGCTTTGAGAGGGTCTCGCTCGCCCTCCCTGTCCCGAAAAAGGATGATGGTGTCAATGTCAATCAAAGCCATTGGTCGTGTGTATGGAATGCTGTTATGAGAAAATGCTACAGCCGATCTCGACGGGCTGATGGCTATTGTTCTATCACGAGGTGACCACAATTACCAAGGGACAATTCACGAGCAAGCCGTAAACAAGCACATCCGTACGACGCGTCAGGAGGAAAACTCCACCGGGCTCGGTGGCCGAGGAACGAGGAAGGTGCGGTCTCCCTGTCCAAGGGGGCACGGCGCGTGCGACCGGGTCCGGGCCAGAGCATCAAAATCGGGATAGACATGACCTTTTCGCAACATACGGGACAGAGGTGCTCCAGCATAGTCGCCAGGGAAGCCTCGAGAGGATTGATAAATAATGTTTTATTCTGCAAGCGCACATATTTGATATGGCGCTGAAGGGATATGAATGTCGTTGCTCGGGCGAGATGTAACTTCTAAAGTTGGGCCATGGGTCTGCCTTTTTGGTCCTCCGCCAACTGAATCGACTTCTTTTTTTGAAATAGCCACTCTTCAAAAGCACGCTCAGCATCAGCAACCGCATCAAAGCCAATAAGATCCTTCCAGTAATCTGGGCGCAGAAAGCACCAACCAGTACTGTCGGGTCCTCCTCGCAAAGCAGCATCACGCTTCTCTTGCATAGGTCCATCAGCTAAATGGTACCAGAACCGGTTCGCTGTTGCACCCTGAACATTGATCGTAGTTCGCGATTTCCGGATGGTTTCGTATAGGTTCAAAATCTCCGGGATAAAGTTTGTAGATGTTCCTTTGAAAAGTGGCTCAGAATTCAGCAACCCAAGCAGCCTGCCCAAAACAGCGCCATCTTCGACTGCCATGGCGGCCCCTTGACCTTGATAAGGGAGGGTGGGGTGGCAGGCATCTCCGAGAAGGGTGATGCAGCCCTGCATCGATTGTCAGCCCTCAGGAACCTCAAACCGATCACTACGTAACATACTTTGGTCCAAGTGGCGAGCTCCTCATGGTGACAAAGCTTCCATTTCAGGACGGAACTGATTTTAGATAGAATTTTCGTGAGCCTGTTAAAATCTCGGTCAGCTGTTCGGGAAAACCTGGTTCACAGACTGCAAACTCACACCATATCCCAGCCTTCAAAGCTGAGTCTCATCTCATCGACCGTCCCTTGAATCGTCCGAGCTCCTGCAGGCATGTTGTCCGGTCGAAGCAGGACTAAGTTGTAGGCCTTGCCCTGACTTATGGGGTAAAAGACGCAATGCTTGTCGGGACCCAGCCACACGGTAACTACCTGTCTGTCATAGATCGCTTTCACTTCCGGGTCGTCCAGTGCTTCGATCTCTTCTCGACTTAGAGTAGCCCGGTAGGCCAGATCCCCAGTTTCGACAGGAGGAGACTCATGACCCAGCAGTAACTCACGCGTTGTCGACCATAGGCCTGGAGATCGGGTCAAAAATCATCATTTAAGTAGGAACATTGCTGCTGACGACTCACCATCGGCACCAATGATTACGTCCGCGCTCAATGTCTCTCCATCCTGTACCAAGACTTGTGACTTATCAAAGTCTAGACCTTCAACGGTACAACCTAGGCGAATCTTCACGCCTAATCTTGTGGCTTCTTGCATCATGACTTCGTGGTAGTCGGCACGGTGGATAACGCTGTAGAATCGACGTCAACTGCAGGACCGGAAAAGGTCGGCGAGGGGCGGCTGTACTCACAACCAAGGCGATCCATACTCCTGCACCATGTTTTCTCTGCCAGGTCTAATGTAGAGGACTGAGCCATTATCATATCTTCGCATTTCTAGTTTTTCAGGCTGTATCGCTCGTTCAAGGAGGACTGGAAGGACGCCGAGACGACGGGCAATGCGCGAGGCATTCGCGGACACTTGAATGCCGGCACCGATCTTTGTCCACTGTCAACAAAATTCGATCCACGACTTGTGCGATTGTGGCGGCTCACAGGCAAGATCTTCGGGGCTCTTTCCAGTAAGAGCACATCTAAGCCTTCACGGCGGCATGATATAGCACAGGCAAGGCCGCCTAGGCCCGCGCCAACAATGATGACCTTCATTGGAAGCACCAACAATACTATGTCAGGATTAACGGGCTTGAATTCCAGGCAAACCGCAGTTAAATGTTTCTTGGTATATGTGCTAGACCTGAGAGGAGGGGACCCGTTTTCGTAGTTGGCGCCAGTCGGAGGCCGACACTCGACTCGCAAAGATACGACCCAACACAGCGAGGTGGAGTTGGGCCAGCCTGGTGCAGCCCAGGGCCGGAACCCGAGACAGCCGTCGGAGCCTGGAGCTACCAACAGTGCCACCGACGCATTTCATGCATACCAGAGCTGCTATGCCCGCGTCTTGTGTTTGCTGTCTGTAGCTCACATGCGCTCAATGTCTGTCTGGTCCTTATCATGGCTCTACGCGGCTCTATGCAGACGAGTGTGAATGACGTGGTAGACGAGTATTGCAGTCCGGATAACATAAAATGTGAATATCTTAGGAACTATCTCGACTGTATCCATTTGCAAATCTTGGTCTTGGCTTGTGTTAAGCTAACGTCGTTAGGGACAGCCCCTAGTTAGAGCGCCCAGCCAGCAGGGGTCAGTAGGTCGCGTAAGTCCCTTGTGATAGGCTTTGGCTGCCCTGGAGACCCCGCGTTGAAGGCGAGACGGGGGACTTGGAATTCTTCTTTGGCCAGCTTCCCCTCCTTTGCGGAGTCTTTTAAATCCGATTCCCGATTCAAGCGACTTTGAGTGTTCTCTCTTCTTCATACTACTCAGTATTCTGCCTAGTATAGTTGAAATAGTTGAATGGACCGTGCAGTACCTGCAATGTCGATTTTCGTCAAGCTTGCCCCTCTGCATTGACTACACTTTGTCCTCGGGTCTCCTAAGAATGGGTCAGGGAGAGTTGAGCAAGCGCAGTTGCGACTATTGCCGTCAACATAAAACCAAGGTAAGGCTCCTGTTCTTGTGCCCATCAAGTGTCAGTCCGCGGGCTAAAGATTAATGCTTTGTGCATGACAGTGTATACGATTGGAAGATGCTACCTGCAGACGATGTTCCAAAGCACGCCGGGCTTGTGTCACTTCGAACGTGAAAACCGGCAGACCATATTACCAGAGCTCAAAAGAACAGTACGATTTGATGAGTACAATTGTCAAGCATTTTCTTCCCGATGCTGCTCTGGATAAGGAGAGCCTCCGGCAGCTTGTGACGCAGCTGCACCAAGATGACAACAACCGCGGCAGTGATGACAACAATGACAACAACACAACTCCTGACAACAATACGTCGAGTGCAGCAGGCTCTCATCATCAACCTCCAATTGGTGTTGTCAATGCTGACTTGCAAAGCCCACTGCCAGTAACAGCTCTGGTCGAGAACAGTCTCCTTACGTCCGCCGAAACCACCGTCCAGCTACCACCTTTTTCAAGAAGATTCCCAGACCAGACGATGTCAGAGCCTTACCCACAGCTCCATGGCTGTCCTGATGGAATGAACCAGGGAAATACCGACCTTGGGCCAGTTTCGGCGGTGAACCTGGCCGAGTATGCTTGCCACTATCCAATATCAGCATTCGATGTGCCACAGACATGCTCACCTGAGAGCGCCAGAGCCTCTTGGACAAGCGAAACAGAACCGGCCGAGAGCATGGCTCGTGCAGAATTGATGAATGTTACAAGTAAGACGCGAGGCACGACTTGATCTTGTTCAAGACGGCTGACTCACAACCGCAACTCAGGATACGACAGCGGCACAAGCTGGACTGCGTTCTTCCGCAAAATACACTCCACCAAGGGGCCCACATACGGCGATGCGCTAGGGGGCTCTGTTTTTAGGTTCGATGAGCTGACTGGCAGCAAGCAAGTCGACCAAGTTCAGCCCAATGATCTCCCACCCAGGGCCGAGTTTGAGCGAGCATCCTTGAGGTTCTTCGCCGAAATCAACTGCGTAAACTACATTTTGAGCTATGAGCAGTTTTACGTCTACATATCTGACTCCTTGGATCAAAGGCACCCGCTCAGCCATGGGGTATTCATGCTCTTGTGTTTGATACTGTCATTTGACTCCAAGTACGAGGAGTTTTTCTCCAAGGCATGCGGACATGTTGAGTATGTATTTGAGGAAGGAAGCATAGCCAGTGTGGAGTCTCTAATGCTTCTCGTACAGCCTTCTTTCTCTTCTGGACTACGGCCACGTTGCTAACTGTGAATTCAGGCTTTGTGTCGGCTGAACAGAGATCAGAGAAACCTAGCTTGGATCACTCTCGGTTCCGCGTCCAGGATTGCGCAGTCCTTGGGACTACACTTGAAAGAATCGTGCTGGGAAGAAAAGTCTCCTTCTATCGTCGAGAGCCGAAAACGGCTATGGTGGTCCCTTTACGACCTTGAAATTTGCCTGGCATATCGTCTTGGAAGAAACCCCGGGATCAACCCAGCATTCTGCAGTTTGGATATCCCGTCTCAAGCGGTGAGGAAGCCAGTATTTTTGCACAAAACGTACAGGCTAACATACTCAGATGTTGAATATGACTCCATACACTCCTCCAGATTACCACAGAGCCGTCGCTCAGCTGAGCAAGATCAATTGCCTGATAGTGCAGGACCTATACGGGCCGAGAGCGGCACAAATCTGCCTTGACAGTCGTGCCGATGAGATTTTGAGTGACATACAGTGCTTTTGGAACAGATTGCACGATTATCTCAAACCTGGCGCCCCCTTGGCAGCATCTCATAGTCGAGCCGTCCACTACCTCGGACTTCGCTATGAGTACACCATTCTGGTTGCGACGAGGCCCTCGATGGTCTCTTGCTGGAAGTTCTTCGGCTCATGCAGCGACCGCTTGATGCAACGTGTACAACTGTGCGAAGCAGCCAACAGAAGATCGCTCTTGCTCCTCAAGAGAATGGCCCGGGACGGCTTATTCAGTCAACACAACTTTCTGGATGCGACTTACGTGCTTGCCAACGCTTTGATTTTGCTCTTAAGGCTTGTCAAAGACCCTTCAAGAGAACTCCTCACGGAGGCTGAGGAGTATTGCCTCCTCATCGACATGGCCCAGCATCTGAACATCGGCAGGGTGACAAAACGTCATTTCGAAGAGACCACACGCGAAATAAGGTCAAGACTTGGGTGAGTTGCTTCCTTCGATCAAGCGATGTGCGGAGGCACTGCTGACAATGTTTAGATTAGGAGGAGAGCTCCGCACTCCGAGAGAAACGTCTGTCAGTGAGCTTCTCGAGAACTTCATGGGCGTGGATGAATGCATATGGCCGACGTGGCCTTTTGATGATGTTGCCGAGCTGGACTGGTCCGCTGCCATACCTTGAGTCGCCATTTCGAGCGGATATGCTGATACATTGCGCCGACTGAGGTGCATTCTTCACACGTCCGTGCCTGATAGCACTTTCCAGAAAGTCTGAACAGTCCGCCCGGAGATGTTCTTTCTATGGCCCAGTTCCACAGACAGAATAGCTGCATTTACCACGCACGAGTTTCGCAGCTAGTCGTATACCCCAGAAAAGGTCTGAGCAATTGAAGCACTTGAGCACCGAGAAAGTGTGATGCCTCCACATGGGGTTAGCATCGTTGTTTTTCTACGTAAGAGGGTATAAAAGTTATTCAGGGACTCGTATGACTTGTTTCTTCTATACGTCCTCTTACATCCCGTGGCACGGTGCAGTCCCGCTCATCAAAGTGAGAACCTGAAGTCTCTTGACCAAACAAATGGCCAAGAATATCCAAGCTGTTACCTCGTAACTAGCTCACACGTGAACTTCTCCACGTCGTCGCCTCAGATATACGCAGAGGCCACTCTGGAGATAGAATAGGCCCGTGATATGATCCAGAGGCTTTTGACTGACAAGCGTCATTTCATACCTTCGGAAGAGCTGGGGCAGGAGTTTGTTCATCTCGAATAGTGCAAGATGTCTTCCAATGCAAAGATGAGAACCGCCCCCAAACTGGTGTCCTTGTCAGCCTATTCGCTCTGCATCTCAGAATCGCATCAAAAGAACAACCACTTCGCTGAAAGAGCGCAAAACTAACCCGAAAAAGCAGAAATAGTGGGGAAACTCACCTGAAACATGCATCTCTCCATCATCTTCACACAATTCTCGTCCTTGGATAACCATCTCTCGGGATTGAACAAATCTGCATCGGTTCCGAAAATATCTTTGTCTCTGTGCAATACCCATGCATTGAGAGCAACCTGGGTGCCACCCGGCAGCCAAGTCCCGTTGACCTCTGTACCTTCACCAGGCACCATCCGAGTTATGTTAGCACCTAAGGCAGGTTGGAGACGCATTGTCTCTTTGAGACAAGCTTGGAAATACTCGAGAGCTTGTGCTTCTTTATACTGAACCATCTCAGAAAGCGGACTCCTGAGGATCTCCGCGACCAATTTATCATGGATCTTAGAGTTTGATAGCACATGCCAGACAAATGACTGCATCGTAGAAGCTGTTGAATCGGATCCGGCCGCCCTGGCAGACTAGTTAGCGAAAGCTAGACCACTCAAAGGATACAAGAAAAGCTAATCCATACACGGCCCCCGTCGAAAGAGAGATTACGTCCCGAATCGAGAACTTATCAGGGTATTCGTTGTGAGACTCCAAGTGTGCCTTGAGCAGACTTTTTGGTCCGGTTCCAGCAGCATGGTCGTCCTCTTCCAGGTGTCTTTTCAGCATGAGTTCCGCGGTTCTGGGTAGTAGCGAGACTGCGTTTTCAGGGAGGAAAGGGACATATTTCCAAATCGGATTGGAGCGTGTCAGCTTTTCGACAAATGGGACGTGGCCGACGATTCCACTCTCCCAGCCTGATCTCCTGATGGTTTTGCAGAATCCATCCATATCAGTGCCGGCGTCAAGAAATCCAAAAGGGTGCGCAAAAGCGAATTGACCCAGAACCTGGACCGATCAATCGGAATCTGTGATAAATTGGGATACAAGAGGTGTGCCACGTACATCAAATGCTAGATAGTGCAACCAGCTACCTAGCTCGACTGCCAAGTTGTCATGCACCGCAAAGTCGTCCATCTTTGACTGGAACTTCCACAACAGAGCTTCTATGTCTTCGGTATGTTGCTGAACTGAAGCTAGGCTGTAAGGCGGTACGGCAAACCGCTTCATGACGGCGTGAACAGGCTCGCGAATCTCTGTGAAGAGGTCTTTAACATTGGGCGGCAGAAAAATAGTGTAGAAGTCAGACTTATAAAAGCCTTTGCCGGTTTTGAAGATATCGAGAGCAGCCAAAGGTGAAGCCATAGAAATCTCGTTTGGACCTAATCTCACAATAGGACCTGAAATTATATGGATTAGTTTGAGAAGTGAGAATTGACATTGTTCAAAATTACCATATTGTCGGTGCACCGCGATGTAGTGCTCTTCTGCTTTGCCGGTCCAGGCGGTCCACACTAAGTTGATGTTTTCAGTCGGAGCGATAGTAAGGCAATATTCATGGCCCTACCTTGCCATAATCTCGTGGAAGATGCAAGTAACGGGCCAGGAAATTTGCGAAGCGGGCTGGCATATCGGTTATACAGAAGCGTGAGAAGAACACCGAGCAACAGACAGCTCACGCCATGTAACTTGATGTAATGCCATAGGTGGTCTATCCTCGAGAGCTGCAGTAATAATTGCGCCATGAGGATCAATCAAGGAAGATTGATATCGAGAGTCTCGATTGCAAACTTAGGTATGAGAGCGGCTGTACGTAGGCATCTGCGTCTACTTATGGGAGCAAGTCGTGTAGTCGTTGCTACGGGGCAGTGGTCCGGCTCTGGGGCATTAGCATAATCACCACCATCTCTGGTGATGCATCATATTTTCCGGGGTATGGCGTTTCCCCACGGAACCCGACATGGGCGCGATCCAAGGCCGAGCATTAGCACGACGGGCTTTCCAGAGGCCCCTGCTGGTAGGAAGTTGCCGTGGAGCAGCGATTTGCCTCGGGGGTTATGCAAACGCGATATTGTGCGTTTCCTCAACGATCTTGTTCCCCGCAAAGTGCACTAAAACTAGTCGCGACCATAACTCTTGCTTCAGCGTGGCAGTACTGACCGCGTAACTCTCCTGCCTCGGGTTCCGCATCACAAAGAAGAGGTATTGCAGCCCCTATGCCTCGGAATCAGCAATCTGTGCTGCAAGCATGAAAGAGCCGAGGTCAACCCTCTGCACGGCGTCTGGGGCACCATGTTGGCGATTGTCAAGGGTCGGATGTCTGATCTAACCGGCCTTGAGCTGCTCGTGTGGGTTCGCGGACGGCCGGAACAATGGTGCATGCCTCGACTGAATCTCATGATGATCATCGATGTTCGGAGGTTTCTTTTGCTCTGAAAAGATGGATTGTCTCGGCGTCAGCATCGGTGGTTTACGGAGAATACCACGGGGCTAAGCGTACAGTCGCGGATGGCTGAACCATTGGGACCGATGCAAACCGACCTCGAAGCATGTCTTCCGCGACATCATGCGCTGCGACGTCAGAAGGGCTCACATATGTGGTTTATGAAGATCTCACCTGTAGTCACACTTCTTACCAGGACACCATATCATCCAGCTCCCAAGATCGTCGTCAGGTAGCCGTCCATGAGGAAATATTTCCGTGGCTTTTCAAGGGCAACACCGAATGTGCTTGAGGGCATCATCTGTTCAGGTGGGGTTTCAGAGTTCCAGTTCTTGGACGGCTCAATGTCGCCAAAGATGAAGACAATTTCAGGAACAACATTGCAGCAAGAGCACTTGTAGCGAGCACTAGGTCTTTCGGACTATTCAGGAACCCAGGCTGCACAGCTGCCAAATCCGCGAACGTCTCTAGGAGCTTTCCTTTGATGGCTGCCGACAGGGTATCAATCCAATTGACAACGTGAAACTTGTCGTTTTCTGAAAGTCGCTCAAGTTGTTGTTTTATACTCACAATTTCCCAGATCTCTATGAAGGCGCCACGAAGGGACTCCGGGATGCTGACATGAATGCTGATTGATGAGGTCTGGACTGCGGGAAAGGATCGAGCGATTGACTGTCCGGTCCATGGACCTGGAGTCCAGTTCGATGAACATGTCAAGGGTTTTCGAAGGAGAGCGCCAGCGAGCCAGACATCGGACACGAAGAACGTTGCCGAGTCATGCCAGCCTGGAAACTTGTGCTTTTGAACGAATTCCCTTGCTGCACGATGGTGCAATTCGGCAGCGTGGTAATTGCCCGCCCAAAACTCGAGTGAGAATAAGCGCAAGACCGTTATCAGCGTGTTGTTTGCCGTTGGCCAGCTAGGCTTGGCCAGTGCTTTCCTCAAGCATGCCATTGCGTGGATTTTATGCTGAATGGCCCGCTGTGGAGGCGACGTCTCCGCCAGATCAAAGCTGTCTTCTTTGACGTACGCGCCTGCTGCGAGGATGGTATGGAGATGCGCATCGTGACTGAGGGAGTCTTGAAGGTCGGTCAAGAAGTCCTCCTTCGCTCTCCGAAGAAAGATCGCGCTGACAGAGACCGGCCACGCCCAGAAAAGGGAAAATTGCGAGGCAAGAAAGAGCAACTCGTGGGCGGCGGGCGTGATGCGGATGGTAGCAGCATTGAAGGGGTCCGAGTTGCCTTTTCCCAAGAGATTGCACGGACTCGGTACGAGGGATCGATCTGCGAGATGAAGTTCGCACTTTCGGGCTGAGTTCTGCGTTTCGGCCTGCGCATGGAAAGTTGACTGAAGCGCCGATTCTGTTTGTCTGACCTGGGAGACTACACCCGAGTGTATCAGAGGACTAGTCAGTGACAAGCTCAAGCGCGAAGTCTCCAGTCGCTCGTTTCGTTGATCCTTAGACCACTTGCGGTAACGGTCTGGAGATGTGTGAGAATACTTCGAAATCTTCTTCCGGTCTGCGGTTAAGATTTTCGGCGCCTGCGTTGATGAACGTGAACGTGCCAATATCCGATGGCATGCTTTAGCCAACCTGCCTGCGTAGTCTGTTGAGCTTGAACATTGGCATAGGAGCAGACAACGACCCTCACCGAGCGGCCTCCACAAGCAGAAGCATGTAGCTACTTTGGCCTGGTGATTTCATGATTGATACCCTGCAAAAGCTGTGACGGTTGAGATCCTTGAAATCCAGATGGGTGTTCCAGCGGATACAGTCCAGTCAGCCTTGACAAAGACGCTCGGTCATTGTTACTCTGATTTTGAAAATCGGCACCACTTGACATGGTGGCGTCGAGGAGTTACAGGTGATTGCCGATAAGATAAGATCTTTCACAAAAATTTTCCCTGCGCCTCCAATGTTTCGACGAAAACATCCTCAGTCCAGTTGGGTTCTGCAGCCACTACTTCAACATGGCTGCTGACGTTCAACCGGTTGCGCAGATCAAGCTACCTGCTCGGCCATCTTCTCTTAGCCCCGAACAGACTTACTGGCGAACGTTCAAATCACCGCTGAACATTCCGTCCCCTACGAAGCATGCAATCACCCATGTTTCACAACCGCAGCCGACCTCCGCTGGTCAAGCCTCCTCCGACTTCTTCGTTGTAACTACTGGGGCTCGAGTCCAACTATTTTCTCAGAAGACGCGGAAACTCGTCAAGACCATCACTCGTTTTGACGATACAGCCTATAGCGGTGAAGCGCGTTACGATGGACGCGTACTCGCGGCAGGAGATGAGACTGGTGCGATTCAAGTGTTCGATGTGAACTCAAGAGCGATTCTCAAGACGTGGAAAGATCAGAAACAGGCTGTTCATACCGTGAAATGGAGCCTGAGGGAGAGCACATCTCTGATGAGCTGTGGCGATGACAGGACCGTCAGGCTTTGGGACCTCCCCAGTGAATCCAGGGTCGAATCCTTTCGTGGACACCAGGACTATGTTCGAACCGGCTCTTTCCTCCCCAGTCAGGCTAGCAACCTGCTCGTCTCCGGAAGCTATGATCAGACTGTTCGACTATGGGATCCTCGAATACCGACCGGGGCTGTGATGACATTCAAACACATTGCTTCGGTGGAAGATGTTCTCTGTATGCCTTCGGGGACAGCAATTCTCGCTTCTGCCGAGAACCAAATAGCGGTCCTGGACATTGTCGCTGGCAGACCTCTGCACATGATCAAGAACCATCAAAAGACCGTCACCTCCTTGTGCCTGGCCTCGAATGGTACGAGAGTCATCAGTGGCGGCCTCGATGGACATATGAAGGTGTTCGAAACAACAGGCTGGAATGTGGTTGCTGGCTCGAAATATCCTTCTCCTATTCTCTCTTTGGCTGTAATTGCGTCTGGTACTCCGCGCGAGGACAGACATGTCGTCGTCGGTATGTCCACAGGTCAGTTGAGCATCAAGACAAGATTGTCTGGCGAGCAAAAGGTCAAAGAGCGGGAAAGGCAGAAACAAATGGAAGCGTTGCTTGCAGGCAAGATCGAAGAATATGACAAGAAGCAGGCCAAGAAGCGGCCGAGCGGGTTTGAAAGGCGACTCCGAGGTCGAGACTACGCTGGGGAAGATGCCGATATCATTGTTGAGGGCAATATACGGCAAAAGCAAAAGAAACTCGCTCTCTGGGAGAGGGAGTTGCACAGAGGGAAATACCGCCTGGCTATGGATATGGCCGTCGCAACGGCCGACAAAATCACCATTGTCACGCTCCTCAACACCCTACGATATCGATCCGCTCTACGTGCTGCCCTGGAAGATCGTGACGAGACCCAGCTTCAACCCCTTATGAATTGGATCTGGAGGAACATTACGAATGCGACCTTTGTCCCTTTGTGTGTGGAGGTATCCATGAACATTATTGATCTGTATTCCAGACATTTGGCGGAGAGTGAATCTCTTGCCAGACAGGTCAAGAGACTACGAGAGAGGGTTCAGGAGGAGGTCAACCGCGCACAATTAGCAGGATTGACAAGGGGCATGCTGGAACTTTTGACTCCTGATTTGGCGAATTAGGATCGATTCTCCCAGAAACAGTTGCCTCTTGACAGGCTCACCACATTTGGTCAGGAAGTACTGTTTGTACTCTAACCAGAGTAGGGCCTAGAGGCGCCGTCCGCTGTCTCATCGAACATCCGGATTTTTGAACGCGACTGTTGCACATCGAATCGCCACGGCCAGAAGAAGTATTCTCGAGATATTTCACGCCGGAGAATCGCCGCATCATTCTCCCGAGAACGCGATCTCTGCATTGCATCATAGGCCCCCAGGGACCCCAACAAGAGGGGTTTATTTCCTACCAGAGTTGAAGTCTCCAAAACACCCGATTGTCCAAATTGTCAAAATGGCACCAAAGGTGGTTCGCTGGGGTATTCTATGCAAGTACTGCCCCTGGGCAATCGCAACGTACAACTGTTGATTCGCATCAGCTACAGGAGGCATCGCCGAGACATTTTCGAGAGATCTTTTGGTCGATCCTGCGACACGCGATGTTCATGAAGTCAAACATACCATCGTTGCCGCCGCAAGTTCCTCTGGCATCTCGCGTGCGCAAGAGTTTCTGAAGACAATCAATGCGCCCTTGTCAGCCAAAGGATATGGCTCTTACGAAGAATTCGTGAAAGACGCCGACATTGATATCGTCTATGTCGCCACGCCACATTCTCACCACTATCAGCATGTCATGCTCTGTCTCGACGCCGACAAAAATGTTCTTTGCGAAAAAGCCTTCGCCTCAATGCTGCTCAGGCACAAAAGCTTGTTGAGAGAGCTCGGGAGAAGAATTTTTTCTGATGGAAGCAGTCTGGACTCGATACTTCCCGTTGTCAGTCTATGTCCGAGACGCAATCACCTCCGGCAAACTTGGGACGGTCATCAGAGTCTTCGCGGACAATTCCACCGGCGTTGACCCCGAAAAGAAGTTCGGCAAGGAGCATCGCATGGTCAATCCGGAGCTGGCAGGCGGCGTTCTGCTCGACATGGGTATCTACAGCTTGACCTGGGTCTTTCAAACACTGTACACCACCCAACCGCCAGGCACGCGCAAGCCTCCACAAGTGCTTTCCAGTATCCGGAAATATCCATCAACCGGCGTAGATGAGTTGACAACTATCCTGCTTACCTTTCCCCGCGACGAAAAGTCTGGAGGTGATATGCATGCCGTTGCAACGGCTGGCTTCCGAACAGCAAACAATATTGACGGCCAAGGTACCTGCAGCCCAGCCATACGCATTCAAGGCACGAACGGCGAGGTGCAGGTGTGGCCACCCATCTTCCGGCCGACTCGTACGAAACTGAGTCTTGCCGACGGAACCACCGAGGACAAGGCATGGCCTCAGCCTGGTCCAGGCAAAGGCAGTGGTTGGTACAATGGGTTCTTAGCCAACAAGAATGCTGAGGGTGAAGGACATGGCATGTTTTGGGAGGCAGATGAAGCTGGGATGGCACTGGTTGAAGGTCGAAAGGAAGGTAAATACGAAGGTCTAGACGAATCGGTGCTCATCATGGAAGTCATGGACGAAGTTAGAAGACAGAATGGCCTGAAATACCCTGACAAGATCGAGGCTACAGAGAGGATCGAACTCTAAGAAAATGTGTACTTAGGATGCGCAGACCATGATTAATTATCACTTCCTTCGACTTATCACCTGTTCTCGCATGTGACGAAGTGGCCTTGAATGCTTTATAATGCAACCCAAGTGGCATGAGATTGCCCACTCAGAAATGTAAGCTAAAGCACACCGATCTCTAATCATCAGCATAGAACCTGCGTTCTTCATCCATCTATAAAAATGCCAGAATGGATATTACCGGAACACGCATTGCTTGCCTCGATCTTCATCCCTTTTTGACCAGGTTCCGAAAGTCCTCGTTTGTCTTCTTTCCACTGGCCGTCTGGACATCTGCAACGGTTCCCTTCTTCTGATCTGGATGCATCAGAAAAGCGGACCTCTGGCCGAGATGTCCACCTTTTCGAGCACCAGGCTGCAAGGGGCGGCGGACTGGACCTTGTGCAGAAGTATTTGGGGGCCGGTTTAGAGTAGGACGTTTCGCAAACTGCTCCTGCTTGCGTTCGGCTTTCTGCTGAAGCATTTCCTTTTCTGTTGTCACCCGTATGCGCCGGCCTGGATCAATCTCGTGACCATCAAGCTCAATCATTGCACGGCCAGCATCTGCCACTGTCTCGAATTCGATCAGAGCACCCTGGTGGTTTGTCTTGAGGATGACTTTGCGTACTGGCCCAGCTTTCTCCGCCATTGCTTGTATTCGACTTTCATTGACGGTGTCAGGGACATCACAGATGGCCACAGTTCGCTGTCGTCGGTCTTCAACGGATGAAGGGTCGGATGAATTCGCACTCGTTTCGCCATCTACCTGCACTGAAGGCGACTTCGAGACGCGCGGTCCATTTTTCGTTGTTCGACCACTTTCTTCCGTCCGTTGCACGGTGATTTTCCTGCCCATGAATTCCTGATCATTCATGGCCAATGCCGCTTGCGCTTGTTCAGAATCCTCGAATGTAAGGAAAGCCACGCCACGAATGCGATTTCGTGCATTGGCATCCTTCGGCACACGGATATTCTCCAGTTTCCCATACTTCGCGAACAGCTTTTCAACATCGTCCGCCGTGGCTTTGAACGGCAGCTGACCAACGAAAACCTTCCGACCGTCGTCCTTTTTCTCTGTCCTTGCATGTCGAACGCTAGGGTTCGAAATCTTTGCAACAATTTTCAACCCATCGATTTCCTTGTTGTCGAGCTCGGTCGCCGCTTGCGCTTCGCTCGGAAGCTTAAACTCGACGTAACAAAATCGGCGCCTCTTGTTTTTCTGGAGAGATGGGAAGCGCACGTTGATGATTTCTCCATACGGGCGCAGAAGATTTCGGATGAAGGCTTCGTCGGCAGCCGCAGGATAATTTGTGACGTACAAGGTCGACCCTGTATTGAGGACGACGGAGATCTCAGAACCTTCGAACTCTCTGCCATCTCTGGAAAGCGCAAATGACGCAGCATCCGCGTCTTCAAACTCAACGACGGCGGTGTTTTCATCTTCAAGGTGCTTTACATGCTTGACAAGCCCACAGCTGCTGAAAAATTGTCGGACTTTTGTCTCTGGCACATTAGTAGGCAGATTTTGCACAAGAATGCTGGCATGCTCGCGGTCGCGCTTCAGCTCTTCCTCTCGAGGGGCTGATTCTTCAACCGATTGTTGCATTTCAACTGCATTCGTGTTCCGCTTCTTACTGTCTGGCTCTTGGAGGTCATCCTCACGCTTTCGTTTGCCGATATGCAGGCCGTTTGCGACCTCTTCAGTGCGGCTGGCGACTTGTTCTTCGGCTTTTTGCGAGTCTCGCACAATGCCCTCTGCTTGGAGAGCTTCTTCTCGCCTCTTTTCGTTTAATTTCGTCTGAACCTTGCGCACCAGGCTTAGAGCATTTTGCAGCTCGTCGGCATCTTCATAGTCTTCGCAGTGGTTGAGCAAAGCTTCCACAAGAGGCTCCGGTTTGTCGAGACCCGGATATTGCAAACCCTGCTTTAGAACCCCAACCGCAAATGGCGCCGACCATAGCGTGGGGAGACGCTCGTTGCCGCCCTGCTGTATGAAGGCCATTTGCACGCCCTTTTGTAGTTCGAACTCGTAGAACCTCAACCAAAATTTGTGATGTTTTCCAAAGTCGGCAACAGCATCGTCGAATTGGGCACGAGCATTGTCGAACCGTCCCTGGGACTTGAGATACTCCACGTATTTCCGCTGCAGGCTGAAGGATGCGTCGAAATCGGGACCGAAGCCTTGCTTCGAGGCAAGACTGTGCACGGCCTCGATGGATGATCTGATGCCCATTTCTGCAACATCTGCGTCTTCCTCGGTGGAGTCTGCTCTTTTAGTTCGTCGCAGAAGATAACCGCACCATGCGTCGTAGATGATCAGGGCTTGTTCGACTCCGGCAGCATCCAGAAGGCCAGTGCTTGTAGCTTTGTGTTTGATCTTTTCCGTTTCATCAAATTCATCTTCTGCGATTTCTGAGGCTAGGAGATATTGCTTCCACAAGGATCCCGACCATGGGCAGTGTTTCGTGGCTCGTGCTAGAAGTGGTAGTATACCAACCTTCGACTTTTCCACCAAATAGTCCAAGTGGGCTTCCCATATAGGAACGACCGACGGGAAGCGGAGTTCGGCGCGGGAGTAAAGAGCTGCCACCATGTCCGATTCGGCATCCTGTAGTACTTTCATGTTGCGTTTCCCCTTTGCATTACGGCCCTTTTTGGCCAGTTCCTCCTGGTTACGTTCGAACGTGATGTACTGATCGAAAGTCGCATATTCCGAGGTCTGGTCTCCGCTCGCCTGAGCTTGTCGCAAAGCGCTTTCATAGGCATCTCGCTCACCGAGTAGCTGCTTGGCGCTGGCAGAATCTTTGAGTGTCGTAGACATGATGTTTTCGTACTCTGCAGGGAAGTTGGCAGAGATGAATGTGGAAAACGCTTGAAATGTTCCCTCCCACATGGCGTGGGGAACATGAAGTCGTGCTTGAAAGAGTTCAAGGGCGGCCGCGGCATCAGCTGAGGATAACTTCTGACCGACATCGCCGAACCTCACAGTCATGTACTTGTCCCAGACCTCATGGCTTTGAGCCAGATCGTGCTTTGTGTTTTGAACAGCTTCTGCCCAAGTATCGAGGACGAGCTTCCAGTCGAAGACTTCACGTCCCACCAGCCGCTCTGCTTCTCCGTTTTCGCCTTCCAGGTCAGTGGCAGGATCAAGTGCCCATTTATAGCAATGTAAAACCCAATCCCCGTATGTAATCCATAGACGTGCGCTGCCACATTCTTCCTCAACCGCTCGACGGCACTTGTCAACGACGTTTACCCTCTCTTCGGCAGTCTGTGCAAGAATGCTTTCGTCTTGAAGCCAGTCCAACCACTGTTCTTCGCCGACCGCAAACAGTTTGTCGAAATTTTCCCGTGCCTGCCGGAGTTCGGAAAGGAGCTCATACGTTCGTGGATCTCGACGCGCGTTCGGACTGGAAGAAGGATAGATGTGGTCAACAAACCCTTGGTGCAAAATTTTGATGATCTCTCTGTGGACTTCGTACAAGGACGGCATCTCTTGAACATACGCCACCAATTCTGTAAGTCTCACTTGCGATTCCGTTGGAAGCGAGGTCTCGGTATAGTCGGCACGCAAGACCTGTTTAGGTGTCTCAACCATTGCGATATCAAAGGATGCGCGAGGGTTCGATGTCGCACCTGTGGATGCCAGGCGAGGAAACATGCCGGTAGATGATTTCTGGCTCTCTGAAGAGCCGCTACTGGAGAGGATCGGAGGTGTGGGTCTGGAGGGTTGCTGGTGCGCAGCCAGCTCGGCCAGGGACTCGATGTTCTGAGACGACGAGGACCGGGAGAAATGACCTGAGAGGGGACCGGAAGGCACAGGACTGATGAGTGGTGAAGAGTGTGATGGCTGCTGCGATGGACTCCTCACATGGGCTGGGATGCTTGAAGGAGGCAGAATGGAGCGCGACAATGGAGAGTTTGCAGCAGGCTGGCTGCCGGTGGCAGAATGGGTTCGTTGAACATGCTTGAAAGGTGATTTTACAGACTCGGAAGTGGAGGTCGGAGTCAAAGAGGTCGAGCGCGGCGTTTCTGAAGGAGACAACAGTGAATTGATGTCCATGGCTGTGCGCATCCACTGTCCGACAATTATGGCGACCAGCACAAGTTTTCAATGGTGTCTTCGTCAACTCTTTCAGATATTATGTCGGCGAGGGTCGTTGTCCAGGTCCATCTCAGAGAACCTCGATGCTGGGCCAGGCACCGGATGATGGTGGAACTGATGGACAAAGCAGCACGTTTTTGTTTGGTCGGCGCATGCAATAGAAAGCAGTCGATGTACTGTAACGCCCGGTGCGACACGCAGGCGCAAAGTGACAGCAGCTGGAGAGGAGGAATGGTTGGTTCGTGCGAGTGTGGAAGCTATCTGAAGTTGAACCTCGATGCCGACGAGTTGTATGTGATGAGCCCAGATGCGGCCTGGTTTGACGGAATGGTTACAGGCTCGCAGGGTCCTGAGTCGAGGCCTTTTGATCTGTTGCACGAATTGTCGTTTGGCCGTTGCCGATCCGAGAGCCTAGAGACTGGCCGTTCGGTAAGTTTGCTTCCGCAGCAAACATGATTTGCTAAGCGACCTTCCACTGCCAAGCGGATCATCTTTCTCAGTCGCAGCACCTTGCTCTCAACTGCTAAGTCACTATTCGATAGAAATCTCCTTTCCTTAACTGCACCAATTGATCACCGCACTCGGTCGCTTCACGACAGTCTGCGGCGACCCTCAGACCGTGTCGCCATGAATAGACAACAGATCGTGCTGCGGCGGCTTTCTCATGGCAAGTTCTCGCGCCCATCTTCGTTTACAAGGTAGCTAACAACTGCAAGCTCGACCATATCAGACTCCTTCGGCATCCGCCGTTGAGCTCTGCCCCCTCATGTCGTCGCTTCGCCTTGCCTCTACTCGGCCCTTCCACAGCTCGTCGATACGTTATGCGCCTACCACAGTCGAAGGAAAAGCCACCACGAAATCAAAGTCTGGGAAATCATCGGAAATGCCAACTTCTGCGACTTTGACAGCAAGAGAACGATTAAAGGTAGCAAGGAAGCGAGCAGCGGAAAGAATAAAGGACGAACGCGCCGAACAGGAGCGGAATTTCAAACTTGGAGGTCTATCTTCTTCCAGCTTGTTTGGTGGTGATCTTATTGAACGCAAAGACACCGGTCCAAAGGAGGATTTATCATTCGCAGAGCGTAACCCGGAGCATATGGCTCAGGCCCTCAATCCTCGTCCCACTGCTCGGTCTAGATGGCAGCGGAAAATGGTAATCAGAGACGTCAGGCGTCGTGGGCGGCCAAACAAGGAAATGAGAATAGCCCGGTCGGAACGAAATCATGTGTCTCGATCACATTTCTTCAAGACATCCATGAAAAAGTTGGCTCCTCTGGCTCGACAGATTGCCGGCAAACCTATCGAAGAAGCCATTCTGCAGATGAGATTCTCCAAGAAGAAGGTGGCACAAGAAGTCCGACAACATCTGATGCAGGCTCGCAATGAAGCCATTGTTATGAAAGGCATGGGCCTGCAGTCTGTCACGGAGAACGAAGACGCGACAGTCGGCCAAGATCCAAGCGCGACTCGACCTCTTCCACATCAAACACATTCCAAAGCGCTTAAGAAGGGCCACACTGCCGACGAAACCGACATCTACATCGCACAAGCCTGGACGAATCGTGGCCCGTATGGGAGCGAGCCAGATTACCGAGCACGAGGTCGAGTCTTCATGATGCATCCTCCATACACAGGCATCAGCGTGTTGTTGAAAGAAGAGAAGACAAGAACGAGGGAGAAAGCCGAAAAGGAGGCAAAGGCTCTGAGGAAGAGAATGGGCAAGAACATGTGGGTTCACTTGCCGGACAGGAGAGTCACTACTCAACGTCAACATGTTTTGTGGTAGACATATGCTGTATAAAATGATTTGTTTGCGGACTACGCAGCCTGTACAACCCACTCTGATTCGGTGGAGAGAAGTTTATGTCCTAGAGTATCCGTGTTGCGCCAGATTTTGTCATAGACGACGAGCTTCATTGTTTCAAACAACGTTGTCATCTCAACATTGCCGATATCAATCAGTCAAAGACGTCGACAGCGTACCTCTCGCCTCTGAGGCCTTCCCACCAATTCAACCCTTGCTCGTAACTTACTTCTTTCCCTTTCTTCCTCGCTCCTTCGACCGCCATCTTGGCCGCAACTTCTCGCACCCCTTTTCCTAAAGAGCTGCTTCCACATATGTAGGCTCTAGCACCTTCATCAAACAGTCTGCTCACCAGCTCGCGTTCGCGCCAAAGCTTGTCCTGGGCATACCTGCAGCCATCTGACTTGTCCGAAGCCTGACTGAAGGCATAGAACACTTTGACAATGCCGGCAGCCTCCCAATTCGACAATTGCTCGGCATACAGTCGATCTCTGTCAGGATATCGACAGCCAATTATGAGGATTGCTTCACCGAAGTCCTCGCTCCCACCACCGGAAGCAGCAATACGAGCAGCACGCTCCTGTACAAATCCCATGAAAGGCGCGAGGCCGGTTCCCGCACATACCATGATGATTGGCGTTTTGTGGCCGCGTGGTAGATGGAAAGAAGCATGAGATTTTTTGACCATGAGCTGCACTATAGAGCCGGGCTGAAGAGCTTTCAGGTAGTTTGTGGCTACGCCGATACGTCCTGTCCCCGAATTGACCACCGAGTACATGACGCTGGCTTTGGTTGGGTCGTTCAGGGGTGAGGATGAGATGGAGTACTGTCGAATGCGCATCGGAGTCAACATCGAAAGGTAAACGGGGAAGGGAAGGTCCAACGACGGATACTTTTCGAGGATCTCGAGAATCGAAAGCTGGTCCGTTGTTGATGTGAGTTCTTCGGCAAGCTTGTCGTCGTTGGCGTATTTCGCGAGGGTGATGAAATTCTTTCGTGTAGCAGGGCTGCTGAGCTCAACATATGCACCGAGGACGGCTGACACGGGCATAGCGGTCTCTGTGGGAATTGTCGTGTGCGCGCCTTTCCGGAGGGTCATCATCGCATCCCAAGGTAGTCGGAATCGCCGCAGTACTCTCGAGATTGTTGGAATATTGTTGACTGGTAGCAAGGCGAGGTAATCACCAGCTTCATATGAGAGGCTAGTCGGCAATTGGAACTCGGTGTGTCGTTTCTCAGGGACGTCTGCAGCTGTCAACGACTCATTCTTGAGCACAAGGGCATCCAGGACATTGTGTCGAAGATGCGACGCCCGAGAGGTAGTGCTGATCTCCATGTCCAGACCTTCCGTGATGTCTGCGAAGCCCGAGTCCGCGGAGAGTGCAGGCCAGAGCTTCTCGTCTTGCCAGGCGTCGAAGTCATCAAAGACATTTCCTCCACCAACATCCGATTCCCCACGACTGGCAATTTGCTTTCCACCTTTGCTGAGCAGCTCAGCGTCAATGAATTTCGGCACCTTCTGAAATGTGGCCACCCAATCGTGATGACCGCAACCGAACACTGCAAATTGCACATCCTTGACCTTCTCTGGGGCAACATTCTTCAGCCACTCAACGAACACTGCCGCGTTGTCGGGAGGATTGCCCTCATAGCTAGCAGTTATAAGCACAACGGGTTGTTTGACCGGGAGCTGATCGACTGCTGCATCGAGAGGCTTCACTGTGGCTGCGAACCCTCGACTGCTCGCGCTGCTAGCAAGGTTTTGCGCGAGTCCTTCGCAGGTGCCGGAGTTCGATCCGTAGAGAATCAGCATGGGCTTGCCGAAGTCCCCTTTTCTGATCGCAGTCTGTTGTTTCTGCCGAACATCTTCGACTTCCACCCCAGCATGCATTTTCTTCTCCAGCTTCAAGGGATCGATCCCATCTCGCAGAGTCGCCCGGATGAAAAGTTTGTCGGGTTTGATGGTCAGAGTTTGCTTAATTTGCAGTTGATACGAAGGATCGTCAGCCCTCAGATTGAAGTTCTGAAGAACAAGGGCAAGTGTCAAGATGGCTTCTTGCCACGCAAAGGGTCGTCCTATGCATCCTCTTGCCCCGTTTCCAAAAGGCTGCAAGCATCAGTCACAACTTCAGATCACTCCGAATTACACTTACCTTCCATGCATTTCTGGGCAACTTTGCAAAATTCTCTCCGCTCATTCGTTCTGGCTTGAATTCGTTGCAATCCGGGCCGAAGACTTCCGGATCCCTCCCAATGCTAGGCAGAAGTGCAAATATTGAAGCCTCGGGGGGGATGTAGTATTTCCCACCGAGCACCACAGGTCCAGGGACGGTTTCCAATGCTCGCAGTTGGAATGCAGGGGCCGTGGGCTGAAGCCGTAGCGTCTCTCTGAGGATTGCTTCAAGGTATGGCAATTTGGACATATGCTGGAATGTGACTGGCCCTTTGCCGACAACAGCATCGACCTCGGCCTGAGCTTCGCTCAAAACATCAGGGTTCTTGACGAGATAATACGTCGCAAAGGAAAGAGCTCCGGAAGTTGTTTCGTGGCCTGCAATGAGGAAGGTTATCATGTTGTTCATGACGCTCTCATGTGTAAGGCGTTCTCCGGTCTTGGGATCTTTGCCATACAGCATTGCATTCAAGAGGTCCTTTTTGTCCGTCGGATTCGATCTTCGGTGTGCAATGACTTCCTCGGCCACGGTTTTCATCGTTGCGATATCTTCTTGGAACTGACGTTCTGCGGCCCTGTTGAATAGTGATTCTAGCCGTGTTCGAGTCGGACGTCGGCCACTTTCTTGAAGGAATCCAACCATGGCATTGACGAACGGATGCATCGATTCCGAGTAGAATGAATTGAAGCGTTTTCCCATCGCGCAAAGAGCAATAGAATCCAATGTCAAGCGCGTATAATCGTCGGTCACGTTGATTTTCTCGTCTGGGCCGACGCGTGCCCACTTTGCGACCAACTGTGTGGCAATATCGTACATCTCGTCGTCTGAACCTGTGAGCCGATGGTCTGTCTGCAGCAAGAAGACTTACACATCTCATGAATACCGATGGGACCGAAGGCCGGCACAAGTGTTCGATGGGCGACCTCCCAGTTGTGTTCGCCATTGTAAGCAGTGAAAAGTCCATCTTTCACGCCGTGCCGGACTTCTTTCAATCCTCCAGATACGGCTTTGCAGAACCGACGTTCATCACAGAGCTCATCGAGCAATGCCACCGATGTCACGAAATATCTCTCTCGTCCTATGAAAGACAGCTTGAAGATGGGTCCTTGGCTATTGTCAGCTAACGTCTGTTGATGCTGAGCAAGAGATCTATACCATATTTTTCGCCGATATGAGAAAGACTTTGTATCGAGTTCTTTGGATCGATATCCCAAACATTTCCTAAAATGGGAATTGTTGGAGGTTGAGGAATCAGGGTTGACATGTTGTACGAGCAAATGGAAATCTCATCCGGAGTAGTCTGAGCACAATCAAAGGGGATGAGAGTGACAGGTTTGCAGTTGAGGCTGATCCTGTTTACGAATATGCACGCTAACAATGGTGCTGGCAGCACGAAGACAACATGGGGTTTTATATCCGCGGACAACCAAAGCCTAGGACACCCCTCGCAAGCCGTACCGCACAGAGCAAATGTCGTCGTCCTCGAAGGGATCTCGCCAGCACGGGACTGGGTTGTGTCGAAAGCCGATCAGTTGGGAAGTGCGCTGTATTATTTCACAAGAAGCATGTCGTCGTGAAACACAGAGCGGACAGAATATTGATCCGTTGATATCGAAGTGCCTCGGTTTTCCGGCAGAAAAGCATGCATATGTCAGCGAACAGGACTGGCGGCGGACAATTTACAGGAACTTTGGATACGGGATACGAAAGCGATCTACGAAGATTGACATGGAACTTGACCGCTTGCATGTGCGAAGCCAATGATGGTTGTGTTATTCCTGCAGGCGTGAGGCTCAGCCACGGTTTGATAGAGAGCTCGGACCCCAAGAACTCGTAATTACTTCCCAAATTTAGGCACATCATTAACATTATATATTCGTTATGTAATCATGCTTGAAGTTCGGACAGCGAGGCGATACTTGGTACTCCGTACTAAGCTCGTCAGAGTCCTTAGATGACCACGTGCGCTCACAAACACAGCAGATTCACTCCAGATAACGCCGTCCGTACACACGACTGTTTGATCATTGCCAAAACATTGCCAGCCATACGCCATTTTCCTACGCGCTCCTATTCATTCTATAGTAGTCTTGCTCACGTTAAGCGTGGTCCGGAATCAATTCGTAACCTCCTTCGCTCGGAAGAACTACAGCAGCCAGAGTGATTGCAATAGCGCACAGCGCCTGAAAACTCCATGAAACCGTGCACATTGTCCAGCTCTTGTCAAGAAACCAGCCGGAGAAGAATCGTTCGTCGTTTTCATACAGATAAGCCTGCAAGAAACATCAGCTTTTGTTAGGAGTCAAGAAGAGCTAAGCGGTCTTACCATCAAAGCCATACCAATGGCCTGTACAAACGCAGCCAATGCAACCAAAATTGTAAGCACTCCCCAGCCTTGTTCCCTCTTTTGTTTGCCCCCCACGAGGAGGATTGCGAAAGCCGCGATTGTCATGCCCTCCAAAACAACAGCGAAGGACATCAAGAAGCCCACCGACCTCCACATGCTGCAGAAATACCGATCTTCTCCGCGACAGTCATTGTATCGAGGGAATTGCACGCAATGAAGGGATGCCGGAGAAAAGATGGAACTGGTCGAGGGAGTATCGAAGGCGGGAGGAATATTCGTGCTCGAACATCTCCGATGCAGGCCGTATGTGTAATGCACCGGGTCGCCATGGGGCTAGCAGCGGTCAGAAAAGCATTTCACGAATGGGCACTACGTTGACATACCGTGCTTCCATCATATGCTATCCAGTTGGGGATGATGATGGAGGCAATGGTCATGCCAGTGGCTGTCCGAGAGTAAGTCAGTCGTGCCGAGACAAATGTTGTGATGTTCCATCTTACCAGCAAGAAACACAAACAGAGCCGCTGAAAAGACAATGCTTCTTGTGAGCATCCCTGTGTAGTTGGTCCCATGGCCGCTGGGCACAAGTGAGAAGTCCGCCATCCTCCCCTGCGTAACCACGGCCGCGCTGGTTGTGCCACCTCTTATAGCAGAGCTGTTGGACGTCGAGGAATAGCTGTCCGATAAGAACTCGCGCCTAGTGAAGACGAATCTCTCAAAAGCCGATCTTCAAATGACTGCTGAAGACGTTGTCGGGCTTGAACAAGGTATCGCGAAAGAAACACTCATCAGAAGCAATGCGATATGCACTCGGCAGCTGATGAAATTGGTGGTCGGGATGGAGATAGGTAGCGCAGGACTCGTGAAGTGGGACTCGGCGCGGGAGATTGGAAATGATGGCCGCCTGAAGAATTGATCGATAGAACCAGACGGGGATGATATACAAAACACAGGAAAGATACGCGGTAGACTTGTTGGTCTCTTGTGAGAAGTAACCCAAGATCAAATCATGGCGACAGGTAAGGTTCCAATTCTCCCAGATAGCAACGCAGTCGGATCACCACAATAGTCGTAGCTTGAGGGGGTTCGCCGCCAAGCAATGACGACGGTGCTTCATACGCGACATCAAACTCGAAGTCTCCCAAAGCGACGTTCCCATCCTTGACCGTTCCTCTCCCTCTCTTCGCGAACATTTTGGCCTTCGCATTTCTTGACCGGGGCCATGCTGTTGCTAGACACTATACCCGCGTCGAATTGTGGTTTCGGCAGAACAGTACAGATTTCGACTGAAGTATATTGAGATGGACTCGTGCTCGGCAAAGTTTTCCGGCCAATGTTACCGATTGATTCTATCCATTTATGTGTACCGTGTTTGTTGGCCTGCTCAAAATAAAATTCATTCTTCAGTCTGCTGCCCGAACCCGGGAATCAATAACAGCTCTAATAGCAAACAATTTGATATTCTCTTTTGCCGACAGACAGACGGGGACGAAAAAACCATTGAACGAAGCGGCTCACCAACCATTATTGCGATTCAGAACTTACTGGCGCAGAGAAAAGTGGCAACCAGCTCGATCTCTCAATACAATGGGGGTACACCGAATATCACATCATTACGGCATGATTTCACGAGATATGATCCAGAAAAGCAGCTTGTGCAGATCTCAACGTACAATTTCTCTATCCAAGAACGGTCGCTATACACAGGTTTCTCCCTGGACACAAGACCCAAGTCCCTCCTGGTGTTTATCGTCAGTCAGGACTACGCCGTGAACTTCTGACGTATGGAACTCTCTTGTCGCCAGCCTTCCCCCTCCAGACCAAGGGCCATATGCCTTGAGCCGACACTCACCCGCCGCATCTCATTCGAAACATCCTGACAGGGAAACAGGAAATGTAGCGTCCTCGCAAGTTATGCCGTCAGGTACTCTCTGAAGTCCTCCCGCAGAACATTTGTTCCCTTCCGAAAATCAGATGCTTGCTTCTTTCATTACAAGAACAAGACTTACCTGCGCCATTTGTCGAGCCAGCTCATCATCTTCCTCCATCTTCTTGCAAAGCGCCCAAAACTCGTTTCTGTCGGACTCGGCTTCGTCAAGACACACACGTTTGAAGTTCGCTCGCGACATAGGATCGATGATCTTTGCCCACTTCTCTCGTCGGACCTCGCTATACTTGTCCAGGATGCTGTCGTCGGTCTTTCCATTCCTCAATGCAACCAGTGCATCGTACAAACTTCCAACATCGGCAATACCGCCAGTCAAGCCAAGTCCGCCGCTATACCCGATCGTCAGCTTGCAAGATTTGAACAATCGGCCTCACTTACAAGGGATTGCACAGATGGGCAGCATCGGCAGCCAGCAAGAACCGGCCAACTCGGAAGGACTCGGCGCATCTCTGGTGAAGCTTGTAAGGACTGGCACTGACAAGCTTATAATCTCCTGGCTTGGGGTTTCCGGGCAAAATCTTCTCGAATCGTTCCGGTTGTCGCTTGAGATATTCTTCGTTGGACAGGCCCCAGTCATCACCATACGTCACTCGCCACAGACCGTCATCGGTAATCCTAGCTGCCATGTACCAGTCTTTCTCATCGATGATGAAATTCGAGTCCCAGTACCCGAATTTGTGGAAGTCATAATAAACCTGCCAGAATGTCAGTATGGGCGTGCTTGCTTTGGCCGACGACTCACGTTTGTGGCAATGATCTGCTTTTGCAATGTCTCTCCCGGGTAGTTCCAGTCCCCAAAAAGCGAGCGTCTTATCTGGCTGTTGGCGCCATCACATCCAACGACATAATCGGCAGCGAAAGTCTGCTTGCCAGTCGGTGTCTCGACATTGACGCGGGCCTCGTTTTCGTCTTGCTCGATTGACACGACCTTGTGCTCCCATAACACTTCGGTGTTTGGCGCTCTCAGAAAATGCTCGAGAAGGAGGATGTCAAGTTTGTCCAGAGGCAAGCAGACCATTGGATGGTCAATATCCATCCGATTCCGGATTCCCGCAATGAACGACCCATCAGGATGTCTCCAGCAAACAGCGTCTGGGTGAATCCCCTGCGCTTTCACGTCATCCAAGACACCTGCTCGGTCCAAATCGTAGACGGCGGATGGCGCATAATGAGCGGCACGCGGGTTCTTGTCGAGTTCGTCGGACGCCTCGACTATCTGCACCTTGACTCCCTCTTTGGCCAGAAGAATGCCCCTGATGTTCGTCAGTGTTAGAATCAGTGAAGCTGGCATCGGATGATTTACAGCAATAACCCCGACGGTCCTGCGCCGACAATGATGACCTGTTTCAATTGTTCGTAGCTGTGCAACTTTGTTCGTCAACGAGACTTACTTTGTTAACCGGTGTTTGCTTCCCCATCTCGTTTGTTTTTCGCAATGGCCGTGAAGGAAATTGTTTTCGGGGATATTACGACTGATATTTTGAGGAATGGTTGATGAGGCTGTCTCTGTCTCTACTTATGACATGGTTTTGCCTCCGTGCTTGAGTGAGACTCCCACCTGATGTGCTGCACCGAGGTCTCAAACGAGCCCCACAAGTCCAAGTTCTAGGGAAATGGTCAAGGTGGACTGATGGCTGGAGCAATCGAAACATCCAACATAGACACTGCCGTAAAGCGTTCGGTTCCCAGGAGATTTCTCCAACCCCTCCACCAGGTCAACAAGCAAGATCTCGGTCAATGATCTCCTGATGAGAGCAAGCATTGGGTAATGAAAGGTGCTACGAGTACATTGAGAACCCACACCTCCAATCTCGTGGGGTATAGCTCTCCGCAGCAGCAGGAACACCATGAAAAAGGCTGAAAGAAGGAATGTGGGGTGTCAACAGTGGGCACGTCTGAATATGCAAGTGGCAGCAGCTACTAGTACCGACAGCCTTACGATCACCCTCTCACAAACCAATTGACCAAAGTACAAAACTTTCAATACTTGGTGTCCACAGCTATCCTTCCTTCTCTCTCGATCAAGGCAGCATGCTTAGGACTTCGCACCTGAATTGCAACGTCAAAAGGCGCGAATCTGTATTCTCCCCAATTTACCTGGAAACTGTCGATTGGTTTGCCCTGACTTTGTCAGCTTTGCGGAGAAAGGAGCACGACCGGACTTTTTACCGGGACTGGTTCAAAATCGAAGCAGTACAGCAGTCGGGCCACCACAATCCACACATTTGATTCGCCAACATTGTCTCCGGAGCATACCCGCCGTCTTGTTTCAGTCAACATCCGCCAAGATGGGGAAGATTCTCAGCAAACCTGGTCCAAAGCTCCAGTGTCCCTTCAAGACGTGGTCCAGGTCACCATTGAGGAAGCGCTCCGGCCAGAATCTTTCAGGCTCGTCGTACTCGCGTGGATCCATAGCAATGGCGGTAGCATTCCACGTGAACAATGTACCCGCGGGAAACTTGTATCCCTCGTACTCATCGTCCTGGATCAGCAGGTGAGGTACACCGATTTCAGCAAAGGGTCGCCATCGAAACGCTTCCTTCACCGTCGCTGTGGTGTAGGGCAGGTCTATGCGATCATCAAATGTGGGTAATCTTTCCGCATTGCCGCCACAAACTTTGTCCAAAGCCTCTCTTGCTGTCACAACCCATCTTCTGTCCAAGACCGTGGCAGCTATGACCTGGCTGATGGTCATCCGCGACGTATCACTGCCTGCTTCCATCAAAGACCCCAGCGCGAAGTATGTTTGTGTCTGGCCATAGTTTCTGGTTTCTGGAGCTTTGAGAAACCGGGTGGCAAAGCAATCCCTCGCTGTTCATTTCCTCATTTTCTGTTCCAGTTCGTCGACTTCGCGCTTGTAGATACTAGCCTGATCAGCAAGTCTCCTTCAAGCCTTCGGACACCTACTTGACCGTTTTCTGAAACATTGCTTCTCCTCGCGGCCTCCACCACTGAAGAGACTTTGGGAGTTTCTCGAGGAAGGTGAGGGAGTCTACAAGATTTGCTGACGGTTGAAAGGCGTCGATGGTGGCGTTGGATGTATCGAAAAGTTCCCGAATCTTCGGATCCTCCAGCTCCATCCGCTTGCCGAAAACCACACTCATTATGACGGAATTGGCGAAGCGCTGTGTTGCTGAGTACCATAGCTCCGGGTGATGCAGAAAATCGTAGAGCAGATGTTTAGATTCGACATCCTGGAAAGGTGCAAAAACAGGTGCGTTTTGCTTGTTGAGGATGGAGTGCATGATTTTTCGGAGTGTGCGCCATCGCTCGCCATAGGGCATTAGCAGTATTCGGTTGCCTCCAGATATCACACCGGACGCCATGGGCATATACTGTCGGGACGAGTATATGGCAGACCTCTTCTCCATCAGATCATTGACAACACGCGATGAGTTTAAGAACACCCATGTTTTCCCTCCAATACTGCAAGTGAACCTGGCTCACGTCAACGCTTGCAACTGACCTCGGTGCGCCCAGACTAACATCTCGCCATATTTCTTTGCCGTCTCAACTCCCATAATCCCTGCTTCAGTGGTGGAAGTTGGAATGTGTTCCCAAATATTGGGATGCCCGGGACTCTTGGTGGCAGCCTGTATTTTGCGGCTCTTGCATTCTCTTTCATCATCCATATTGCAATAATGATGGCCGCCCACGAAAGCGAAATGGCTAGGGCAGGATGGTGGCGAGCGAATGAAGGGAAACGGGAGGCATCCATCTTTTCTTGCAGCACCTGGATGTGCTCATCAATGTGAACTTGTAACAGTACGTTCTTCAAGCCCTCTTATCTCACGGTTCTGTCATAGGCTGTCGTCTCTAAGCAGCCGATCGTTGACCAGCGAGCCAGGTCATCGCTGGAGATGTTGTGTGGGGCCTGATGCCATGCCGCAATGAGAATGTTGGAGAAGCATTTTTCCGTAGCGTTGTGCATTTCCCCAAGGCGGCTGTGGATAGAGCTCAATCGATGCGGCGGAGGATGGTGCCTGTGCAAAAAAAAGACAGGTGTGTCTTGCAATGTGGATTGATGAAAATGTTGCGAGAATTAAGGCATTGTACGGAAGTGTTTCGATGTTACTGCCCGATTTTCTCGATAGATTTCCCCAGGTTGCTACCCCGCATCATGTAAACTTCGTACCATCGCAGTTGAATACCAACATGAGCACAAGATCCGAGTTTCAGCAAGGCTTATCTGTACACTTGGACCCTCTCAGACATTGTCGACTGCACTGAGAGGTACCTGGCAAGGCTGGGTCATTGTGAAGGAAGATTGCTGCATGATGCCAGCTGTGATATTCGATGGGTGTATTCGCAGCGTAGAATACTTTTATTTTCCCCGAGTGATCGAAAGTATATTCAAGTCTCTTTCAGTCTCTATGCTCGAAACTCACACAACCACAAACAAAAGAAGACTAGGCTTCAGATTGCAACACTTTGGGAATACCTATGATGCTATATTTTTCGTGATTAGGAAGCACGATTTATGGGCCGAAAGAATCCGTAGCGAAGTCTTCAATTCTGCCTCGGGTTCAGGCAGATCATGAAGCCTAGATTCTATGAACAACTCCTGCCCACTACTAGTAAATGATGATCATGCCTCCAAATTCGAATGCCGAATCTTACGTCTTGAATATACGTTATGAGACAGAACATGAAGGGTCTCTGTTGAGAGCAGTAGCTAGCTCCTTCCACCAGAGATGTCTTGCTATGAACGAGCATTTTAGGTATGTCTTGATGCATCTAGACTGTCGCAGCAAAATGAATCACTTTCCGTGAAGAGCCAAGAGCTGCCGCTTCAACCAAGGTCTTTGATAATCATTGGAGGCTTTCTAGCTGCTATCTGACTGGCCTGAGCAGTGCTTTGAGGACAGGACCACACCATCCAGTAAAGACCAGGAACCCATATCGAAGCCAGACTAGTACCACTGAACAGTACTTTTGAGCTGGCTATCGAGGTGCGTGTGAAGACACTTCCGACGCCTTTCCTGCTCAGTCGAGTATTGACAATAATTTACGACTGCGAGTATCCCCAGGCAACAACATGATCTGTCTCGACATCGCATGGCGTTTTGACATGCGGTAGAATTCTTCCGCCAATGAAATTCATGCAGTTGCGGCCATTGATTAGTTTAGCAGCTGAGAACGAGGTTTTGCATACCGCTCGTAGTTCGGAAGCAGTCGAAGATGCATGTTTGGCACAAACCGATTCGGAAATCATATCGATGATCTTCATGATCAAAGATTGCTTGATAAGATTGCGCAATGTTGTTAGAGTGAGACAGGCCTTGAAATTCGCATTGCCCCCAATAAGTTGGAGCCAAGAGCGGACTATGGGCGGGTGGCAGCTGGGGACATTTGCTGGTAGTATGGAGTACGGCCTAGTGAGCCTCAAGAGCAGCAACAAGAGGTTAATTAGCCGAGTAGTCCGTTGTTGTGTTTGTGTTTTAAATGACGTCAAGCCGCTGCCGTTTTCTTCCAACTTCGCTAATCCGCTCCGTTTGACACCCAAAGACACTCAATTGACATGCGTTTGACGCCTGGTGACATCGCCAAGAACCACACACTGATCCTTCTGACACTGCCACACTGCCTACCACGCCGAAATCTTGCTTCTCAACCTCGCCGAACAACGACGACCCACATCCTCTCCTGTCAAAAAGCCCGTGAGGCTGTCCAAAACCTAATAATCTCATCCCATCATACTCAGACGTCGCCCATCCAACGCCACGAGAGCTGCTTCAATGCCAATCATGGCCCACCAGGAGAACCTGCGGTGCAAAGAGCTAGAATCCATGAAGGCTAATACCTCGAAACAGCTGGAAGAAAACATCTGGGTAGGAAGGGCAGCTCTTTTCTGTTTGTTGCTGATGTCGCTCTTCTTTGGTACCCTTCATGTTGTGATGATCTCCCGGCCTCGTTCATGACAGATGTCGTGCCACAGACGACCACCAATCACATACCCCCTTCGGAGCCTTCTACCGGCTATGGACTCATGAGAAAAAGCCGTTGGCGCTGCATGGGCCTCCCTCTGGCTTTCTCGCTACTTTCATACAGCCTGGGGTTGACGGTCGAAAGTGTCCGAGCACGTTGTCCGGAAGGCGTCAGAAAGCTCGGTAACAGATGCGTTGCTGACCCTCTTGTTGATACTGGTCAAGGAGACAACCACCGATGATACTGTCATGAGGCGAAATGGTGGATATGCGAGATTACTTCGAATCTACAGGTAGGTGCACAGGCTTCGATACCCTGCGGCGAATCTTCAACCCTATCAGTCAAGATCGATAGCCTGTTGCTGGCGGTCAGTCGTGTGGATAGCATGAGGTGTATAAAGCGTCTCATTCTACCCAACTTGGTCTCTCCTCCATCACCAACCTTCAGTTTAGTTACTAACCACAGTCACTCGTTCTTGTTTCTTTTCCTTTTGCATCCGACCCGAAGTCACTCTTTTCACCACCATGAAGTGGTCAAACTCGGTGGCCAACAAGGCTGCCTTGGCCCTCCTTGCGGCTGACAAAGCTGTCGGAGATGTCTTGACCGTCATCGAGCCTTGCCCCAGTGCTACCAGCCTTACGATTCCACCCATCACCGTCACCGCTCAATATCAGCCTGTGTCTACCTGTGAACCTACGACTGCTTGCGTCAAGGGAACATGTGCGACACTCTATCCCTTGACGACTTTCCCGTACGTTTCTACCGTGGTCCCTTTCGCCTGGAACGGTACCACTACGCAACTTACCACTGTCACCGATATTGCTCAACCTTTCAGAGCTTCTGAGTACCTAGAAACACTTACCCAGGTCACGGCTGCCCCCTCGATCGACAAACGAAGCTGGGTTGATTGGTTCGACAAGAAACGCCCAACTTCTAAGAGCACTACCGTCTATGAGACTGTGACGAGACGCGCCATGGCACCATACAAGGACGTTGGCCCACTCGCCATTCCTGGCTGGGAAGGGAGTGGTCTCTGTGCGAAGTGCGAGGACAAGACTGGCGGCGGTCGTTCTCAACTTCTGGACGTCGTCGAGTGCCGATCAGGTGTCGACGCTGCAGGAAAATCGTACGAAGAGTGTGTCGAATGGTACGAGACATTGATTGAGCGCCCTGCACCCACTTCGAAAGTCACTGCCGAAGCACTCTGCTCCAGCAAAGGCAAGATCCCCCATGCCGGCGTTTACACCTGGACATTCCCTCAAATTGCCCCTCCTGTTACGATCACTGCACCTCCTACGACTGTCACCGTCACTGTCAACGGCCGACCATCGATGCATGTTATCCCAAAACAGGTGAATGTTGTCTCTGGCCAGGCGTGGAATGCTTATGTCACGAAATCGTTCTCCGGCCCCACTACATTCAACTTCAACGTCTATATCACAAAGATCATCATCATCAACGTTCCACATATTACCCAACCCGCCTCCAAAACCCGCAATGTTCCTGTTCCAACAGGCAAAGGCAACAAAGGAGGAAACTGGTGGCCATTGCCAGAGCAAGATCAAGAAGAAGACGCTGGTCAAGCCTGGGAGGACTGGAACTCCGCAACCTCAAGCTCATCTACCGGCGGTCCCATTGGCCAAAGCACCACCTCGTCATGGAGATGGTCTTCCTCAATCACCACAACCTCAACCTCATCCTCGGCAACCGGCGGACCCATTGGTGCCAGCACGAGCTCGAGCTCATCCTCCTCTTCATCTTCATCGGGTACTGTTGGACCTATTGGCGCCTCGACATCTCCTTCCAGCACGTCCTCTATGATGTCTTCTAGCAGTTCGTCGTCAACATCGTCCATGATGGCCGCCAGCAGCTCGTCCAGCTCATCTAGTACATCCAGTACATCCTCCATGATGGCCGCCAGCAGCTCATCTAGCTCGTCCAGCACATCCTCCATGATGTCCTCCAGCAGCTCGTCGTCGTCCACCTCTTCCATGATGGCCGCCAGCAGTTCATCCTCTTCATCCAGCAGCACATCCGCCTTTGCTACCACTACCTCCATCACCGCTACTGGAACCGGCTTCTACCTACAGATCAGTGCTACCGCTGTCGCCAAGCATCGAAGACAACTCGTCGTCCGGTATCTGGGATTCGACGAGAACGACAATGGAATCGTCGTTGACGACGAGGCGTCCGCTACCCTCGTCTTCCAGGGCACTAGCAGCGCTCTCCTCTCCGCAGATGGCGAATTCCTTGGTACTGAGGAGCGAGACACTTCCTTTGTGCGACTTTTGGCAAATCTCCCCGCTGGTTTCCGCCGTTGGACGTTTGTCGACTCCATGGCTCAGTTGCAGGGTACCTCAGGCTTTTGCTTGGGTGTTAACGGCGTCGTCAGTGCTTATGTGGCTCCTGACACCTGCGATAACCCCATCGTTCTCATCCGACAACGTAAGTTTGATGTTGTGCTGATCGAATCTTTTTCTGACTGAGTTTTAGCTCCAACAAGCTCTACGAGCACATCATCCACCTCTGCAACCAGCACCTCGTCCTCCACTTCAAGCAATGGCGGTGCAACAACAACAACAACAACTGCCGCCGAGACTTCTACCACTACAACTTCAACCGCCGGTGGTGCGTCTTCTTCGTCCGCAAGCTCGTCGAGTTCATCAGTCGGTCCTATCGACAGCTCCACCTCGTCCTCTTTCCCTACTACTTCTGCGGCGTCGACCTCATCCTTGACAACAATCACGTCAACCACCAGCTCGGCTCCAGCCACCACAACCACAGGTGCTCCTCTGTGCAACATCAATGCAAATATCTGTCTGGATTCGGACCTGATCACGGCCAACATTGTTGCCACTCAAGACTGCCCACTCCTTGGCGGCCTCACGTGTACTATCAATGATTTGTTGAGTCTCGTACCTGAGCTGCTCGGCGGAAACCCTGACGTGGCTTCGGTCCTCATTGCGAACAACCAGATCCTCGGCTTGAGCATCACTCCCGAAGAACTTCAGACTGCCATCAATGCCGGAGAGTTGAACACTGTGTGCACAGCATTGGAAACCGTCAGCGTCGTCATCGATGATCCCACTTGCCCAGCCAATCCAACTTTCAGCACCTCAACTACTTTCGCCACCTCCACAAGCAGTTCTTCGGCAGGCAACGGTGCCAGCACTACCACCGCCAATGCACCTACCACCACCAGCGCCGCCACGACCACTGCCGGCAATGGAGCTACGACCACAACCGGTGGCGCCGCAAGCTCTACCACTTCTGCCGGTAGCTCTCCCACGTGTGGCGTACAGGTTGAGCTCTGCGCCGGCCAGACACTCCAAGACGTTGGATTGAACGAAGTCGCCTGCGACAGTGGCATTGCTGGTGTTGTTTGCTCCCTTGCGCAGACCCTAGAAGCTGCTACCAACGCCTGCGTCGGTAACTGTCAGATCGTTGGACGGACTGGTGAAGTGGGTCTCAACCTTGATCCTCTGACTGGCATTGAGTCCATCCAATCCGTTCAAGCTGCCGTCGCTGACTATCCCAACTGTCAACCTGGTGGGCCTACCGTTACCTTGAGCGAGCCGACCTGCCCGCTCTCATTGTTCAAGCGTACCACTCGAAACCATCGTTTCGCCCGGTTTTAGAAGGGAGGACGTGATGCCTTGTTGTTGCTCCGCAGTTCACTATCATTTGACTTCTTTTGCTTAGGTTTACTTCAACCTTAGCTTTAATTCTAGATATCCAATGGAATCTTGTTTCATTTCATGATTACTTGCACTATGTTGATTCTCGCGGTTCTTGACATAGCACTCCGAAGACGTGACTAGAAGTTCTTGTACTTTGGTATATTGGTAAAAATGCTTCTCCAGACTATCCGCACCATCCGCCCATAGGTGCCCCGAGTATGACTCCGAGCTTACCGATGCTACTGACACATCCCTCCAACATAAAACCGTGGTATACCTTCAACAAACCCGTAAATACTTGTGAGTGTTTTCCTCGCCATGACAATGATCGGAGCGCCCGTCAAGTAATCATTGCATCCATCAGTTTGGCGGTCTCGGCGCCAGTTTCTGGCCGTTGGAAATGACGTTTGTGATTCAAGTGCGGCCGTGGGGACTCGACTTTAGCGACGTTCTTGTCCAAGTTTCCGTCGATCGGCTACGACTGCTAGGGCAGGGGAAAGTCAAGTTGATAAGCTGAGTAAGGAAGGCCGACTTGGAGGTGTAGAGTCGGATGTGGTAGGACTATCGGATGATATAGCGTAGGTCTTTACTATATTGACTTAGGTAATATTGACTTAGGTAATATTGACTTAATTTAGCTAGTTATATAAGCGTTAAACTAAAGTAAATAAATGATTTACTATAACTATAAAACTATATCGCTAATAGCGAACTTATAGATAAGTTATAAATAATATAAAGTACTAGTAGTGTTACCGCTAACTAGAACCTAGCCAAGACTTACCCGATTAGTGCTAAGCCCGTATATATACTGCTGTCTCACCGTAGGCTATTAGCCTTCAACGCCTCTTCAATAGTCCTAGGAATTTTACTCTTATAGTAGAGGACTACTAGAAGCTACTATCTATCGTTGTTATCGTACCTATTGCGCGGCTTACACCTAATCGGTTCCGCTAAGGCACTCTTATAGGAAATAAAGAGCAATTTATAGTGCTGATTTAAAGTTAAGTAGATAAGCCGTTATATATCTAGATATATAGTTATATATTCTAGGTTATAACCACAAAAACGCGAACGGCTATAGAGATCTTCGTTATATACGAGCGCGATAGAAAGCTAATAATACTACCTAAGTACAAGATTCGTCAATATATATCGGAGCTTAAGGCGTAGGGAGTTGTCAGGAATACACCCAGGCCTTCCAGACAAGTCAACGGGCTTCCGCATGCGAGTCCTAGGCGACCCGGCACTTAGACTCGATGGAATGCCGAGCGTTAGGCCACCTATCCAACTCGGTAGATATAGTCATGCGACTCGCATAAGGAGAGCTTACTCTCCTTGTACTTAGAGTCCTGTAGAGACTGAAGGTCAGGATCATCTAATACTGATAAACGAAACCATTTATTATCGCACTCTGCCTATTCTCATTAGGCGTTCCTTACAGGAGTCTACTTTTGCCGTGAAGGTCTTGGGCATACCGGGGAGATTCTTGCGCTTCCCAGAGAGGCGACACCACCACTTTTCCAACCGGCACACATTGTCACTGACAAGCGCCTCCCGAAAATTCTACGTCGACCGCCATAACTGGTAAGTCTGGAGCTTGGTGAGATTTCTCAGCTTACTTTTCGGCGTCTCGGGCTTCATCCACTTCCCTCCCCAGGGGAGGAGTTTCGTCCAGAATGTGAATACCTTCCTCAGAATTTGCGTGCACAACTGATTTCGCCCTTATAGCAGGACCCCAGATCATGCACGCGATGATACCCGTATAAGCCACAACAACAAATATTGCCATCATGCCGAAGGCCCAATTGACGCCAACTGCCGCAATCCAATAATCCAAGAAGAAGGGAATAGAGAGGGCGAAACAGGTTCGGTAAAAGTTCATTGCAGCTGCGACTTCATTGGCGTAGGCTGGCGTCAATGCTTCGACAACATAGTTTAGCAGAGGGGAGATTGCTGAGATTGCGCCAAAGTTGGATAGGAAGACGCCTAGGGCGAGGACCATATAGTGCCAGTGGAAGTATAAGGAACCGCCGAAAAGTCCAACACCGAGGGGGAAGCAGACCAGGAGCGGCAACCATGTAGAGTGGAGACGATACTCGGGCTTCCAGACTCCGCCGTTACGGGCACAGATAGCTAGCGGGAGCCGATCTCCGATAAAGAGACCGTATGCTTGAGCTAGAAAGGCGCTAACCCAGAGGACGAACGTAACTATTGCGGGTATGAGTCGCAGCAAAAAAGATGCTAGAGGATAGGAAGAACTCACAGGAAGCATTTCGGTCGGCCGAAAAGCCATATCCACCATCCTCGACCGGTTCCTGCAAAAAGATGGACAGCAAAGTGTTAATGCCAATTCCAAAGCCGTAGAAAATCAGCATATTGCCTCCAACTATAATGGATACTGGACAGAATGCGACGCGGAACGTAAGCGTCCATGACTTGAATAACTCTGCCGGTGACCTCTTGGCCGTCATAGGCTTGGTGAAGAAATAGGTGGCCAGCCTACGCTGGACCAACCCTTTAGGGGGAGTCGGGACCGGTAGCTGGCCTGGACGAGACCAGTTCGTCTCGTCTAGGAAGAGCACACACAATAGTGCGAGAACAGCCTCGAGTCCCACGTTGTACCAAAACTGTACGGTCCAGCTAACGCGCTGGACAATATAGCCCGAGAATGTGGAGCAGCAAATCCCTCCTATCAAAATGGAGGAGGTATAGACTGCAAAGCACTTGCCCCGATCGTGCAAGAAGAAAATTTCAACGATGAAGTTTGCGCCGACTATAGAAGACGGGGATAGATCAGTTAGTAACCGATCAAGAGAAGATGCCAGGTGTGTCGGAATGCAGACTCACCGGTCAAGGGCGCGGATCCGAAGAGACCTGCAAAGCCGCGCGACCAGACGAACGGAACGTAGTCGTTCTTTCCCGTCATACACGCCGACCAGATGTTCGCCCCCATGGTCAAGACCATGCTCCAGAACATGATGGCGGCCTTGCCATAACGAGTGGCCAGCGGGGTCCAAACAAATGGTCCAAACGTAAGACCGGCAATCGCCGCAGATAACTGGATCGTTCGATTCAGTATGTAGATTATCCTGCAAGCTCTTGCATTTGACTTACGCTGTACGAGATCTCAATAGGTGTCTTCCCATATTCAGTGGCCTGGTAGAAAAAGCCGGAAGCGTTGGCAAGCGCCTGCAGTAGACCGGCGAAAGCAATGAAGCACACGATCATGAACGTAGTGGCTTTCTTCGCGGAAGACCAATTCTGGAAATCCATTGTCAGGTCATATAGAGCCCATAGATGACTGGGGCTTCTCGTATGCAAGGACTCACCAAAGGATCACGAGGATCGTCCGAGGGTTGAGGAACAAGAACAACGCCTTGAGCATTGTGCTTCTGGTGCGTGGCAGACGTGGTTACGCTATCCTCAACAACAACTTCGCCGCTGTAGTGCTCCACCTCGTTAAAGTCCTTATCACCCATTGTGTTGATCCTTGTGAAGGCGAAGGAGCTGACAAAACTTTGAAAATAAAGATCCAGGGTTAGTCGGACTTGATGGAGAGAGCGCAGAAAGCAGATGAGATTTTTGGAGGGTGGGACAGGCTCCTTGATATGGAAGCTCAGATCTCCGGGGACTCCGGGTTTAGCTCTTGTACGGGGGGGCGGGGTCGGATGCACGTCCAGCTAGTGTGGCGTCGGTGACCCGCAACCCGAGAAACGATGACCATGGGGACGGTGGGCAACATGCCGGCGACCGCATGGCGGTAGCTTTCCTCTGGAGAAGCGTAAGGGTTGTCTGCATCGAGGGATGGGCCGGGGCACGAGCTTTCACCTGACTTCCAAATCGCCTGAGTCGGTCTCCGACTGCTTTGTTGTACTGCTCCGGTCCACAAACGGCGGCTTGGAAGACGTCCTACACTAACGCCTTTGGACTAGAGTAACTAGAACGTCACTCTATACGGGGTCGTATACCGCACTATTAGATAGCTCTAGGACATTATATGATGATCTTATCAACACGTTTCGTAACACGCCAAACGTACTTGCACCATAACGAGAGCACAACGTGCTCTTTAAATCTCGATCCGTCGTCTTCTTGGGCCTGCTCACTGGCTCACTTATAACAGCAAGCAAAGATAATTGTCCGTAAAGCCTTTGCCATAATGTCCACACAGTATTTCCGCGTTGTTGAACACGTTGTACCATGCCAGCATATTAGACAGTACCCGAGGGCAACCGCAAATGCAGAGGAAGACACTCTCCATATGTCCGTCAAGCAATATATGCCCTTGAGCAATCTGAAGCCTCAGTATGGCGATGTCACAATTATCGCGGGGCATGCGAATGGGTTTCCCAAGGTATGACATTTTACCTTGCGCGCTTTTCGAAGGGTAGGCGACCATGCACCTGACCAGACCCCAGGAGGTGTACGAGCCCTTATGGGACGAAATATTGCATCTTGCAGAAGCCGCGGGCTTTGGCATTCGAGGCATCTGGATTGCCGACGTTGCACAACAAGGGCAAAGTGGGGTTCTGAACGAAGACAAATTAGGGAATGACCGTGAGTCTGAGATAAGAGGACTACTTTTTCGGCAAGCTCTGACTTGGAGTAGCCTCGTGGTTCGACCATCCTCGTGATTTGCTACATATGATCAACGTTTTTAGGGACCAGATGCCTCGCCCCATCGTGGGAATAGGTCACAGCATGGGAGGAAACCACCTGACGAACTTATCGCTCCTGCATCCACGACTGCTGGAGACACTGGTTCTCATTGATCCGGTCATATCGCGACAGAATTCCAAGAAGAATGAGTTTTTCGCCGCAAGAGCCTCGGCGAAGCGGCGTGATCGCTGGGAGTCTCGTGAAAGCGCGCTAAACGCTTTCAGAAAGAACAAATTCTACCAGAAATGGGAGCCAAGACTCCTGGACCTGTGGGTGAAGTACGGACTCCGGGAGCTTCCAACCCTTTTATATCCCAATTCGGCGTCCCAAGGCGAGGTAACGTTGACCACTACCAAATTTCAGGAAGTGGCAACCTTCTTGCGATTGGGGATTGTAGCCGACGAGACATCAGGACCATCCCGTCATGAAACACGCCGCACGCGTCCAGATCTGACTCCGACAGACGATCCAAGTATACCCTTTTATCGGCCTGAACCGGTGATCACATTCAACAACCTACCATATCTGAGACCTTCGGTTCTGTACATATTTGGGGAACGATCTTCTCTTTCCATGGCCCAACTTCGAGCCGAGAAGCTAGCGGTCACCGGAGTGGGCATTGGTGGCAGTGGAGGCCATCCAGAAGGTCGGGTCGAGGAGGTACTCATCCACGACGCGGGCCATCTGATCCCCATGGAGAAGGTGGTTGAGACAGCAGAACATACAGTCAGGTGGCTTGGGACAGAATTGGCTCGCTGGAAGCAAGAGGACACTCGAGAGAAAGAAGAGTGGGCGAGTTACTTCGGGCAGAAAAAAGGGGTGCCGAGCCCCGAGTATCTGAAGCATATGCTAGACCCAGACAACTTGGCCGAGAAAGCTAAGCTGTAGAATTTCCCTACCTCAGGAAAACACCTCCTTTTTTAATGCTAATAAACTAAAATGCAAGCCCTTAACCCTATGTCGATTTGCGCCATCACCGTGGGGAAACGCATCTTCTGGCAATGTCCAAGGAAGAGGTTGATTTTCATTGGGTGTTGGTCAAGGCTGTCTCTTCGGCCTCCGGAGGCGGTACAGGACCAATAAAGTGCGGAGTCAGGTGGGCCTCAGGATACTTCGTCGTCCGACAAACGCCGTCACTTGATCACACCTCACAATGAGGAGGTGCGACTTACGGGCCGGACCCTTTGGTCGTAGGTAGGTTTGGAAGCACTGAGTTGCAAGCAGATACCGAGGTGCTCAATTATTTCATAAAAGAAATTTTGAATTGACTTAAGATATTGCCTGTCGAGGTGTTTTGTGGTACTCTCGACTGTTTTGTCTCCTTTTCGTCTCAGCCGGCTCAGGTTCTCAACGTCTTAAAGCCGCGTCCATAACCCATATCTGAGCCAGCATGGCTGATCTTCGTTTTGATGGTCAAACAGTCGTTGTGACTGGGGCTGGACAAGGCCTTGGTAAAGCCTACGCGTTATACTACGCCTCGCGAGGTGCCAACGTCGTAGTAAATGACTTGGGGTCGACGGTTAAAGGCGTTGGCCAGGATGGCAAGGTACTCTCTTCTATGTCCAGCCTCATCGGCAATACTAACATGCCGGTGGCAGATCGCTGACTCAGTCGTTAAAGTAATAAGAGCTGCTGGCGGGAATGCCGTCGCTTCTTACGAGTCCGTCCAGAACGGCGATAAAATCATTCAGACAGCGAATGACCAATTCGGACGTGTTGACATTCTGGTAAATAACGCTGGTATACTCAGAGATGTCAGCTTCAAGAACATGAAGGAGGACGACTGGAATGCCGTTTTGAGTGTGCACTTAGATGGGGCTTACCGGACGACTCGTGCTGCCTGGCCTCACTTTCGAAAGCAGAGGTTTGGCAGGATCATCAACACCACCTCGCCTACTGGGCTGTTCGGAAACTTTGGACAGGTGAACTACGGTGCAGCCAAGATGGCCTTGGTCGGATTAACGGAGGCACTGGCAAAAGAGGGAGAAAAGTACAACATTACCTGCAATGTCGTGTCGCCCATGGCCGCTAGTCGGATGACGGCGACTGTCATGAAAACGCAAGATGGGGAAAAGAGCCCCTTCGATCCTGCCGCGGTGGTGCCGCTTGTTGCCTTCCTCACACACAAATCTTGTTCAGAGACTGGCGCTATTTTCGATGCAGGTGCAGGACACTTCTCAAAGATCCGTTGGCAACGCTCTCGTGGTGCTTTGCTGCGCCCGGATTCTAGCTACACGCCCGGCGCAATCTTGGCCAAGTGGGCTGATGTGCACGACTGGAAGCAAGCAGAAGCTCCGCGGGGTCCTCCCAATCTGTTGGAAATACTTGAGCAAGGATCTAAGCTGGGTCAGAATTCCTCCTCCGGAGAGCCAGATTACTCAGGCAAAGTTGTTGTTGTCACAGGCGCGGGTGCAGGGTGAGTACTCCCAGCCTTACTTATGAAATAGCGTACTGACTGATCTTTACAGTATTGGCCGCGCTTACGCTTTGTACTTTGCTGGACTGGGAGCAAGTGTCGTGGCTAATGACTTAGCGAATGTCGATGACACTGTCAACGTCATTAAGCTAAGTGGTGGAATGGCTGTTGCTAGCAACGTCTCCGTCTTGGACGGCCCAGCCCTTATAAGGACAGCCCTGGATGCTTTTGGCAAGGTCGACGTCCTGGTCAACAATGCCGGTATACTCAGAGACAAGTCTTTCCACAATATCTCAGACAAACAGTGGAAAGACGTCGTCGACGTTCATTTGCATGGCACTTACTCCTGCATCAAAGCGGCCTGGCCTGTTATGTCGGGACAAAAATATGGCAGAATCATCAACACCACAAGCCCGAGTGGCATCTACGGGTCGTTCGGCCAAGCGAACTATTCTGCGGCGGTAAGCTCTGACAAATCCTGTTCACTTTGTTTCTTATGCTGAGGTTTTGATATCCGCAGAAAGCTGGTATCATTGGCATGACCAGGTCGCTTGCCATAGAGGGACAGAAAAACAATATCCTTGTGAATGCCATAGCTCCTACAGCTGGCACGCAGATGACTGCAACGATTATGCCGCCTGAGGTCCTTGAGAAGCTCAAGCCGGAGTACATCTGCCCGCTGGTTGCTCTCCTTGGCTCCGAAAAAGCCCCTTCGACGGGTTCCATTTTCGAAGCCGGCTGTGGATGGCAAGCAGAGCTTCGATGGCAACGGAGTGGAGGTATCACCTTCTCGGACCGCTCGAAACTAACTGCGGAGGCCATCGCGAAAGACTTCGCTAGCCTAATCAACTTCGATGATGGTCGCGCAAATTATCCGAGCTCTCAAGCCGATGCTCGGAAGAACGTGTCGGCGAATACTCTGCCAATATCAGAGGCGGCCACGCAGCACGAAAATAAATGGCTAGCTGCTATTGAGAAAGCTATGGCCGCAACTCCACAATCCACTCCGTTCGACTACGACAAGCGTGATACGATCCTCTACAACCTATCAGTAGGCGCAAAACGCCACCAAGGCGAATTCGTGTTCGAAGGAGATCCAAACTTTCAGCTCATACCCACCTACGGTGTCATTCCCTACTTCGGGGCCAAACGACCTTTCGAGGTTGGTGAGATTGTGCCAAATTTCAAGCCCGTGAGACTATTACACGGTGAACAGTATTTGGAAATCAGAAAGTGGCCTCCTCCTGTCGAGGCTAAGACTGTCTCTGAAAAGCGGCTCTTGGAAGTTATAGACAAAGGAAACGCTGCTCTTGTCGTCACGGGGACAGTCACAAAGGACGCCACAACCGGGGAAGACTTGTTTTATAATGAGGAGACGGTCTTCATTCGTGGCTCCGGTGGGTTTGGCGGACCCAAAAAGGGCAAGGACCGTGGCCCTGCGACCACCACGTACACAGCGCCAGCAAGAGCACCAGATGCCGTCTTCGAAGATAAAACTAGCGAAGAGCAAGCCGCCTGGTATCGACTCAATGGAGACTGGAACCCTTTGCATGTTGATTTCGCGTCAGCCAAAAAGGGCGGGTTCGACTTTCCAATTCTTCACGGGCTCTGTTCGCTGGGAATCACTGGCCGCCGGATCGCAGAAAAATACCGGCCGATCAAAAATATCAAGGTCCGTTTCACTGGAGTTGTGATCCCTGGGCAAACTTTGAAGGTCGAACTGTGGAAACATAAGTACACCGTCATATTTCAGACAACTGTAGTAGAGACCGGAAAGGCAGTTGTGTCTGGGGCCGCTCAGCTCCGTGATCTCTCGTCGAAGCTGTCGTGAAAGTCTGTGCGAGCAAATTACATGGAGCTTTGGAGCCACAGCGGCCTCGACGGAACCAGCACAAAACGGACGTTACATTGGCTGGATTCCCAAGATCGAATAAAAATATATCATACTGGGGTATGTTGCGGATCTGAAATTTGTTATTGGGAGAGGAGTATAGTGAATTTCCTAGACCAAGCTCTAGTATAGGATGAAGTATTGTGCAGTCGTCTCAAAACGAGGAGCCCAGCATCAGCATGTTGTTGCTTCTGAATCAAAGCGAAGATTCCTTCTTGCCCGTAAGGCAACGGCTCCCGCGCTTCTCGGCACCCGTTGAAGGTGGAGTGTACCACTTTCAGGTGAATGTGCGGTTTGGAGCCTTCTGGCAGTCGCTCGCCGAGGTAGTGGGGAGATCCCGCAGAACGACTTTAGAGCCTCCTAATATAGTATATGTCTTTCATCTTTCCCAACAGTTCGTTCTCTGCCTCGTTGTTAACCAGCGAAAGCCACGTGTCGTGTCATATATCTATTTTCTACTTGGAGATGACTGTAAAAGCAAGGACAGAAGCTGTGATGCGGCAGCTTTCAGAACAACCTATGAATGCGGTGTCCAAGTTGCTGGAGCAACAACCAAATGATATCGTATGTTTGCTAAAACTGTTGATACATGGCTGATCAGCCAGCTCACGTTGTGGATTAGGTGATCACATGCGCTTTGAGGACCCCTCTGACAAAAGCCGGTCGAGGAGGACTGAAGGAGACGCCGATGGACGAGCTATTAGTGCATGTCTTGAAGGTAAAGACCGACATTTCAACAGCTGGTGTGATTCTCTTCCTAACAATGATTTAGTCTATACGGGAGAAGTCGGGCATCGATCCAGCACAGGTGGAAGAAATTTGTGTCGGCAATGTCTTTCGGCCAGAAGCCGGAGGGGCCGCAAGGTGTGCAATGCTTGCTGCCGGTTATCCTCCAACCACGACCTCAAATCATGTCAACCGGATGTGCTCTTCAGGGCTACTGGCAATTCAGAACATCGCAGGGGCAGTCTCCCGCGGTTGCATCGAGATTGGCATCGCAGCTGGATCAGAGAGCATGAGTTTCAACAAGGATGGCCCGCGGAAGCCGGTGAGTGGGCCGATAGGAGCCCTTGAAATCGTCCAGACCGCCATGAAACCTGTCTCGTGGACGTCGGAGAATGTAGCGGCCAGGTTTTCTTTTACCAGAGAAGAGCTCGATGAGTTCGCTGCAGAGTCGTACCAGAAAGCGGAGCGAGCACAAAGGGCTGGTTGGTTCGATGAAGAGATCGTACCCATCACCACGAGATTTACCGATCCAAAGTGCAATACCACGAAGGAAGTGACAATAACCAAGGACGATGGTATCAGATACGGGACGACAAAAGAGTCTCTAAGTTCGATTAAAGCCGCGTTTCCCCAATTTGCCCCCGGTGTCACCACAGCCGGCAACGCTTCTCAGGTCACGGATGGCGCGGCGGCGGTTTTGATGATGAAGAGGTCGACAGCTCTGCGGCTTGGTCAGCCCATCCTAGGCAAGTACGTGCTTTCCACCAGTGTTGGCCTCGATCCAAGCATAATGGGAATCGGCCCCGTTTACTCTATCCCAAAACTGCTGGGAAAGGTGGGCTTGCAACTCGCGGACGTGGATGTGTTTGAGATCAACGAGGCCTTTGCAACTGCAGTGAGTTTCTTCCATCCCCTGGCAACTTGTTCACTGCATATTAATGGCAATTTATCAAGGGGCTCGGTGCAGTGCGACTACTCAACCTCGATAAGGAAAAGCTCAACCCGCGAGGAGGTGCGATGTGAGTGTTTCATCAAGCCATAACAATCATGAACATCTTGTAACAACAAATCACAGAGCCCTGGGTCACCCAGCTGGATGTACGGGAGTTAGACAAGTGGTAACAGCCTTTTCTGAATTGCGTCGTCAGGGGAAGAAGATCGCGGTTACGGCCATGTGCGTGGGCACTGTAAGTATCGAGGTCCCAAGAGCGCGTTTCGTTCTGTCCCTAACAGTGTGCTAGGGAATGAGTATGGCAGGTCTTTTCGTCCTTGAAAATTGATCTTGATGTGGTCTCCTCTATTCACCAGTTCACAAAAACTACCCATGATCTCACAGAATACGAAAGCCGGAATTACTGCTTCTCCTGAACACTCTCGTCTATTTGTCCATGGTCAGATGCTGATTAGCGGGAGTGCACCGCGATCAATAGCGGAGGAAATGAACATGGTCAGGGGATGATCACAATGGTGGGGCCTCTTGTTCTTCTAATGTCTTTGTGTTCGATGCAAGACCGCTAGCATGCCATATCCAGAAGTTTCGAGCGGATCATAGCTTGCTTTGAGAAACAACGACCGAACTGCCCTTCTTCAGACACTCCGCTGCACCAAAGACGAATTCATCCACGATCTCCTTCGCTGTCAATCGCTCATTAACCATGGCAGATGCCTTGCCCATCAATTGAGGGATAGTGGAATCCAACTCGTCCTCAGTCATCGTCTCAGAGTTCTTTTCAAGGTCGTTATTCACCTGCAAAATGTATCAGTATCCAAACTCATTGCACAGCTAAAGCAAAAACAGCTGAAGGCGCAATTGGAGGTGATAAACGTACTGGAATGATGCCCTTGATAGTCAGAGACTTGATCTCAGCCTGTCTCTTCTCCTCCCAGTTGCGAATGTAGTCGTTGTTTCGGACACGTAGAGGCCGACCCGTGAAGATAATCGTGCGAGCGTTGTCATCGAAGCCGGCGGTCCGCACAGCTTCCTGATGATGCTTGGAAGCGCCGGCCTCTTCACAGAGGATGAAGCGCGTCCCTATCCAGACTGCAGAAGCGCCCAGCATCAGTGCAGCTGCTAGAGACTGCCCGTTGAATAGACCACCAGCGGCGATGAGCTGAACAGGCTTGCCGGTGAACTTAGAGGGCGGGGCTTTTGCGAGCAGTTGGGCCACGGCCGGAATGAGAACGGTGGTGGGAATATCGCCCTGAAGCATACTCAGCTTGAAGTTCTGGTAACGCTCGTAAGTTGGTTGCAGGCTTACAGTATGCCCGCCAGCTTCACCACCCGAGGCACAAATCAAGTCGGCTCCAAGGTCGAGACACTTCTGCACATGCTTTACATGGCCCACCATGTTCTGCATTCGCCACTGGTCAGCGACTCCCCCAGAGCCAAGCAGGTCTTTGTCACTTGAAGGTACCACGATGGTCGCACGTAGCGCACCAAGACAGGGCTACTAGGGGCCCGTCAACTTACCATATATAGGACTCCTCCTGCGTGTAATCTGTCAACTACTGCCTGGGGAGGCACACCAACAGCAGAAACTGGACAGCACGGTCAGTTACCAATGCATCGTTCGTGACCATGGCGGCAATACCGAACAGCTTTGCGCCAGACTCGACGATCACGTCAACCAATTCGTTCAATTTACCCTTGGTATAATCCGTGCTAACAAAGAGTTAGTAAACGCTGGCCGGCTTCTGATTGCCTTTCACTCACTTGGTTTTCCTCGCATTACCACCGACCTTTGGCAGAAGTAGATCGACGCCGAAAGGGTGGGTCTTGTCCTGTAGGTACCCCTTGAGCTCATCAATTTGCTCCCTCAGCTGATCGGGCGTGTAGCCGACCTATTAGCCACAGTTAGAGACGCCTTGAGCTTGACCATTGTCCATGATGCGGAAGGCATACACCACCAATAACACCCAATCCACCGGCATTTGTGACTGCCGCGGCCAGCTTCGGACCTGCAGCCACATTCATGCCAGCAAGCAAGACCGGATGTTTGATCTTTAGAAGATCCGTGACCGTTGTCTTGAGCTGCTGAGGAGAAGACATGCTAGCTGTGCTCGAGATGCTTACTCTAGTGATCTGGAAAAAAAATCTCTAGACTTCGTGAAATCGTTCTATGACTTGCTAATGTCATTTTGCACACAGCGATGAGCCTCGGCTGTCGGACTGTGAACTGTGCGTTGCCATATGTCGCTTGCCGGGTCGCTTGCCGGGAGCGCTGATTCGGAAGGACAGGCATCTAGAGATCGTCAAAGGTTTGTCGGCCTCCGACCCTTATTTGGGCGGAGATTCTGTTTTTCCGCGGCATCATTCAACCATGTCGCTGCTTGTCAAACCACCGAGGTCACCGGGATAGCGCCACAAATGATCGAATGCGCACTGTGTGCCTCTTCACTCGACAGTATTGCGCAAACTGAAATTTCGATGTCTTCAGCCCCGTCGATGCCTTTTTGGAAACCCACAGAAAGGGCCAGTAAGAGATCAAAGAAGCCATGAGGTCGCACAATGATTAAGAGCAGTCTGTCATACACCCCGATTGAGCTTTTGGGCATAGCTATGGAGACTTGATCAACATGAATCCTGAATCGCTTCTAGATGGGCCTGGCAACAGCCTCGCCGTTAATCTTATAGAAAACTTGTTTCTGTGTCGCCTATTCAAGGGCTCTCATAACTTGGCTTGACCAGTTTCGATGGTGGCCCAGCTCTTCGCATCAATCGGTTTGTACGTCTGAGCTTCAGAATCGAGCCAGTATTTCCGCATACCACTGTCCGAGGCGTCCGGACTCCAGTCAAGGCTCTTGACACTCTGTTTGGCATGCTTGAAGGTGTCACCCACGGCCGCAAGCTCATTTGTGACGGCCACAAGCCTGGGAAGAGCATAACCTGGCAGACCCATTTTCCGCAAAGCGCGATATAGTCCCTTTATGAACCGCTCCTCGATCTCGCCGCCAGATGAGCCGTCAAGGCTAATGAACGCGGCACCGGTTTGCCCATCGTAGCCCTTGAGCTGCTTTTCAACCACCACGACGTCCAATACATGCTGCATTTCAGATATGAAGGCTCGCACTTCACCTGCACTGACGTTTTCGCCTTTCCATCGAAAAGTGTCGCCTATCCGGTCGACGAAGGTGACCCAGCCGAGTCGATCTTGCCTTAGGAGATCGCCGCTACGTTGCCAAAGGTCGCCCTTCGCAAAAACGTCACGCATGATCTTGGCCTCGGTGGCCTGCGTATTCCCCACGTACTCGGGATACAACGCCATGTTCTTGATCCTGGCGATCACCTCTCCGGGTTCGTTGGGTGCTGCAAACACGCAGTACCCCGTCTTCGGATCCCTGTAGGGCATTTCGTTGTCGTAGTCGAACTTGACGATAAATTGGTCTTTCTCGAGTTGACGTCTGTACACGCCCTGAAACCCGACCTTCCCCGCGCCTCTCCTGCTTCCAAAGTGCTGGTTGTCAAATTTCGCATAACCTTCGGTGGAGCGGTAGAATTCGCGGACCTCGGGTACTCCAAAGCGTTTCATGAATGGCAGCCAGACGTCCTTTTGTAGCCCGTTCCCCATGGCGACAATACACTGATGCTTGCGGTCGTACTCTCCTGGGGGCGCTTTTAGTAAGTACCGACATAGTTCACCGACGTACAAGATTTTCGTCGCACGTGATTGAGAGACATCCTTCCAGAAATTGCGCACCGAAAACTTCCGCGCCAGGCAGAAACACCCCGACGCGCCCACGCTGTAGCACAGTCCGACGAAAAGGGTGGTTCCGTGAAACAAGGGCATGCAGCTGTAGGTGCGCAGGGGAGACAAGTACTTCTTCGGGTTCACTAAATCGTTGGCTAAGACAACAGATCCTCCGGCAAGGCGACCGTTCTTGATGGCGCACGCCTTCGGTTTTCCTGTTGTGCCAGAAGTATAAATCAATAAGCCGAAGTCGTTGGGGCTAGCGCGTGGTGGAATCACTGGAGTCGCTGTTGCTGCGTCGATGATTGGCAGGTCTTTCACGTTGACCGTGTCCGTTGCAACAAACCATGGCACGAAAGAGCCACGGTTTACCGAGTACGTTTCGATGGTCCCGTCAAGAGACTCTGCTGCTCTGGCGGCAAACAGAGCCAAATCTGGAGTGCTGATGATGTGACTCGCTTGTGGCACTTTGATGCAGTGTGCCAAAGTATCATCTGACCGAGGCCAAGGGATATGCTTTCAGCAAGGTTCTTCGACAGGGTATAGGATCAAGCCATAACATACCTCTCAAAGCAGAATTGAGCAAGGCTACCGTAGCGCCCAGCTTCGACAAAGCATACAGACTGAAGACCATTTCCGGGGAATTCGTCATGAACACAGCCACCATATCTTTGTCAACGACGCCGATCGCCCGGTAGCTGAGTGCCAATGCATCCACCTCTAGATTTGGCGTTAGCGATGGCCCCGGAGACATCCAGCATAAGATCCACACGAACCGGTTTTCATGGCAGCATAATTCCATGACCTTCCTCCGAACCAGAAGGCATCTGCCTCGGGAATAGCCAGCTCCAGAGAGTGGTACAGGTTGACACGGTCACCTAGTCGCTCTATACGCTCGCCAAACCATTTTTCTCGTTTCTTGTCCTCCCGGATTCCTCGAATGTCTATGGAAACTCCCAGAGTTGAGTCTAGCAAATATGCTCCCAAAGCTACTGAAGCCGTAGCTGCAGCTATTGGGCCAGCAACTGCTGTAGCCGGCGACATCTTTGTGCAAGGCTGTGTCGACCTTGTGAGATTGACGGACGGAACGGGAACAAATCAAGCACGAACAGCCAAGAAACCAATATGAGAGCAGGGGATTGTGCCGAGCATCCTGCCATCTTGGAAGAGGCAGCTCCGTATTGTATTGTCTCTCCTTTCGAGGAGAACTTACCGAGGTGGTTCTTTGGAACATATCAACGGAACCCGAGCCTCGAGGGGCCAGTGCTCCATCATGGAGAAGACGGAGAACTACCCCACGTCAACGGAGACAAACGCCTTACTGTATAGGGCAGGTCTACCGAGCGGACTTCCAACATCCATCGACCCCTTTTCCGGTTTGCTCGTCACCATGGAATCTTCAATAGACGTGTTGTGCCAGCCTACCCGCTTTCATGTTGACGCGCATCAAGCCAATCTCACGTTGAGCTGCTCCGCCGCATATCCAGTAGCGCGATGCGCATTGTCTTTCCAGGTCAGCGACAGTACAATAGTATAAAGATAGGGGTGGATCTATCTACGTCAAAGAAAATTTGGTTTTTTTTTATAATAGAACTCTTTATTTATAGACCCTATTAGTAATGCGGCAAACGATAGACGGTGAATCGTTTGAACCGACCAATTAACCCGGCCATATCTATCCCGCTCTTACCGTGAATCGTTTAAAATTTCGACCGTAAACCGTTTAATAATCTCCATTAAATTTTTCCGCGAAAATTTATATACTTACTTAGTTATACTATTAGACTATAAATACTAAATTATTATAGCTATCGAGACTATATTATCGATAAATAAAGTTAAATATTATTTTTTAAGATAGTATTATATATAAATAGAAGAGTTATACGGAGGTATACACCAAATATAGTTGCCGCGCTAAAGTTAAATAACGAGGACGTTAAAAGACTATTTATTTTCTTTTCCGTTGCTTCGGACGATAGTCCCCGAAGATATCGGAGTTTACTCTCTACCTCTAAAACTCGTCTATTCTCTAGCGCTTAGCCGCCTAGCCGAGAGGCCGCCGGGGATTATATAGTGTACCTAGGTAGGGCGGCCAATCGGGGGCGCCGGTCTTCCTCGATTCTAGGTGGTGCACCCCGGTAGTGCACCTTTCGTTTCATCCGCGTCCACCATCGATAATTTCGAAGGGAATGGGTACACTATACTTAGCTTATCTAGCGCTATCGAACGTAGGTAATTATATAATTATACGACTTCTCGTTATTATACTATAGTTTTAAGGTAGATTGTTATTTCTCTAATCCTCTCTTCGCTAAGTTTTAAGATAATTTAGTATAACTTTTATTTTTTAGTAGTAATTATAAAGATTCGACTTTTTCTTAGAAACTAAGATTTAATATATTAATTTAATTATTTTTTATTTATAAATAAAAATAATAGTAAGGTCTATTATCCTTAATAAAAGAGATAGTAAAGTTTAAGAATATTAAAGAATATAATTTAGAGAAATATTTTTTTTAGTTTTAAATTTAGTTATCTTCTCGAGATATATTTTTTTCGTAAATTATTTAAGAAAGGTTTCTTTTTTTTTTTTTTAAATAATTTTTTTTTTAATTAAATTATTTATTATTTTATTTTATATTATAAAGAGAAATTAAAGAAATACTATATATACTTAAAAGTTAATAATCGATAATTAATACTATATAATAGGGTTACGAACGAGAGAATACACTATAATTCCTTATACTATAGTAAAAGATATATAAAATAAAATGTATCGATATAGAAATCTTTACGACGGCTCTCTTTAAGTTCTCGTATATATATTCTTTATTATTAATTATTGTTGTTTAATTATCTATATATTTTCTATATATTATTTCGATACTTCTAATATTTATCTCCTTAGCCTTTATTCTCTCTCCTTTAACTATTAAGAGTAATAATTATCTCTATAATATCTCTTTCTACTATAAAGGAAACGCTAATCTTTAGTTAGTATTTCGCGGTCGACTATAACTATTATTGTATAACTTATTTTCTTTAATATAAGATCTCTATTAACTTTAGTTTATAATTTAATTTATTATTTCTTTTTCTTTATTAATTTATTTATATTTATATTTTTTAAATTCGTTATTATTTATACTTTATAAAGATTTTTTTTTTTCTCTCTAGATTCTATAGATTTAGTTTATTAAGATTTAATTTAGATAAATCTAAGTACTAAAGTTTATTATACTAAAGTTTACTAGAATAAATATTTATATAATACAATAAAAAACTCTAAATATATTATAATCGAAATTATATATTTAATTAAATATTAACAAGCTTTTTAACTATTAATTTAAAGGTTAGGCTAGCTTTAATAATAGTAATAGAGTTCGCGATTATAAATACTTTATAATTATAATTGTTTAGCTATTATTTTAATACTATACTATTTATTTAATTTATTTATTTATAATTTCTAAATAATAGCTTAATAAATAAATAAATATATTAATTATTTATTATTAGGCTAAATCACGCGAAATTAAGAACTATCTAAAATCGTAACTTAATTTATATAATTATAATAAACTAATAATTATTTTCGTTAGTAATAATAATTCTAATAAAATAAAACTCGTTAAGATTAAAAGAAATATTCGAAATAACTTTACGATATTAATACTATTAGATAGAGCTTATTAAGAGTATTCGAACGATATATCGGTTTAGTATATAAACGTACTTTACTAGGAATTATTAAAGATTAAAATTTACGATATCTTACGATATCGAGAAGATTAGCTAAGTTATATATTTACCGTAATAATTCTTAACCTAAAAGCGTAAGGCTTAATAATTTTATTAATTAGCGTAATAATTCCTTTCTAAATAGGTTTAGAACGTAATAATTCCCTAACTAAAAAGGAATAGCTTTATCTATAATATTAAAATATTTATTTTATCTCTCTTTTAGTATCCTTTATAATTTAGAAGATATTATTTCGTTTATATAGCTAAATCCTTTTCTTTATCGATATATTTAAGTTCGCTAATATTAAAGGATATAGATATAGAAAATATTCTCTTTATTAACGAACTTAGATTTATCGATAAATTATTCTTTTAACTATAGCTCTATTTAAACGCGGTTATTTTATCTTCTATATAAAGAATATAATTATTCGCGCTTAATATAAAGTAAATTATCGTTATTATTAAAACTTTAATACTTAAAAATATAAAAAAACTATAATATTATATCTAATATAAATATAACTATAATAAAGTAAAAGAATTATTTAATTTAGTATTAGCGATAAAGATATTAAGCTAATATTATTATCTCTAGATCTTTATCTTTAAGGTCTTATATTTCCTTAAGATTTCGATAAGATATAGACTTAATAATATACTACTAAAATTTTTAATAATACTATTTATAATAATAATAATACTATTCTTAATAGTAATATTTAGTTTTCCTAAGCTTCTTTAACTACCGTTATAGTCTCTCCCTTTACTTTAAGATACTCTTTTTTTTTATAGGCTTCTTAAATAATTACTATAGTCTTTTCTTTCGCGTCGATATATTTCTTACTTTATTAAGCTAATTAAACTATTAATATAATCTTTTCTCTCTCGATAAGATAATTTCTTTCTTTATCTTATTTATTTTTTAGTGATACTAATATTATATAATTTTTTTAATACTAAATTAATTAAAATCTCTTTAATACTTTATATAGTTCTTTTTTATTATTATCTTTAATCTTAAGTTAATTTTATTAATCTTATAGATTTAATTACTTTTTTACTTAAATATTTTTCTTAGTATCTTTTACTTAATTTAATATATTAATACTAAACCTTAAAGAAAGATAATCTTAACTTTAATTATTAAAATTTATATTATTTAATATATTAAAATATTTTAATAATTTTAATAATTTTAGTTTCGATAGTATTTTAATATTTAAATTATTATATAAATATTATATTTATAATACTTAAAAGTAACTAAAGTAAATAATAATTAATAAAGATAATATATTATTTAATACTTTAATAGTAATTAATATATTATTTATATACTATAGTTTTAAACGAATTTTTATCGATCGCTTCTTTTTAAGACTTTATTATTATTTTTATATAAAAAATAAAAGTTTATACTTAATTATTTAGATAGAAGAATTTAATAATAAAGTTAAAGAGTTAAGAGAAAAATTTATCTTAAAGTATATAATTAATAATAAATTAAAATAAGAGCTAAATAATATATAATATATAGTAGAGAGACTATATCGTTAATTTTAAGAAGATTATAATAGCTACTCGTCTATATTCTATACTAAAAAATATTAATAGTATATAAATAATATTAATAACGACTATTATAAACTTAATAATCTTTTTCTATTTAATATAGTCTTTTCTAATATTCTTTTATAATCGAATATACTCTCGCTTAAATAGTTTATTAATCTTAAGAATTTATCTCTATCTTAATAAAATACTAGATTTTATAGCCTTACTTATAATTATTGCTTTTATTATAAATAGCTATAATATATTTATCTATATATAAAAGAGATATAAAAGATAAATCTAGATATTATATTTAATATCGATAGCTTCTTTAGCTTTATTAGCTCTATCGTAGTTATTTAATAAGATCTTTAGTATTAATTTATTATATAAATTAAATAAAATATCGTTAATAATATTTACCTTTAAAGTATAATATATTATTTTAGCCTTAATAATAATGTTAATACTTTACTAAGAGCTTAGTTTACTATACTTCGCGAAATTTTATATTTTTTTTTTAATTAAATAGTTAGCGCTTAAGATATTATTATCTATATCTTTTTTCTTTATCTTCTTTTTTGTGGCGATAAATTTATTAATCTAAGTTATTAGTAGCTTTTATAATAGCTTAACTTTATCTTCTACTTTATTATCTATATATATATTTTTATATATATTATTTAATATTTAATTATTAATTATAATTAAATATTCGTTAACTTTAAAGTCTA